TTTAATATAAATCTTAGTAAGCTTATTACTAAAACTCTTCTTATTATTAGTTCTAAGTATAATAACTAAGTACTTAAATTAACGCTATAGTTTAGCAATTATTCTACGTATAGTAGGTATTAATACTACTCTACTTTTCGCGGGTAACGTATATTCTTTATGCTAGCCTAAGAATTTATTAATTACGTAGAGTCTCTACTTATTCTTGTTAAAATAGGTTTCTTCTATTAGTAGTAGTTAAACTAAATCTATCTCTATTTAGTAGAAAAGACACTTTATAGGCGTTAATCTAGGTCTTTAGAAGACTTAATAATTTATTTTTAACTATATATAGGTGTTATAGTTCTTTTAGTTAACTAGAGGTATATTCTTCTTAAGCTTAAAGCTAGTAACAGCCTCTTCTAGGTGCGTAATAGCTTTCTTATTTAGGTATACCTATAGTTAATAGGCCTTAGCTCTAGTAGTAATTATTACTAGTTGTAGATTCTTTAATAGTTAATATACTATTATAAATATAGTAAATATTTTCTATAGATTAGAGTAGCTATTTTTATCTATGTTAAGTAGCTAGTACCTCTATTTATACTCTAAGTTATAGACTATATTACTAGGCTCGTTCTTATACAGAACGTCTCTACTAGAGTTAAAGTAAATTCTAACGTCTTAAGAGCGCGTAAGCTCTATAACGTTTATAAAGAAGCTCTCTACTAACACTATATAGGTAAGGTGTATTAGAGTTAGTTCTAATAGAGTATTAGTCTAGAGAATTACCTCTCTCTAAGCCTTAACTCTTATAGCTTGCTCTCTAGCGTATATAATAATGTTTAAGTTAGCTTCTACTATCTTTTTCTAGCCCTAATTCTCTAAGTTATAGACGTAAATATTAGAGCTAGAGTTATAGATCTACCTATTAATAAGGTGTAGAGCTATTAGAACTACCTTCTAGGTTTCTAAAACCTTAGCTATTATACTAAAGAAGTAGAATATAAGGTTAGTAGAAGAGGTGCTACTTATTAGCTTATTATTGTTAAAGCTTAGTAGAGTAGTGCTTGCTTTTAGCGTAGGTTTATTTCGCTATTTAGAGGTTTCCTAATTAGTAGCTTGTTTAAACTTTTTAGCCTACTTCTTTTCCTTCTTTTTCTTATTAAACTTAGCCTAAATTTCTGCGTTAGGCTTCTAGCCTATTAGGTAGATCTTTAGGTTAACGTAAGGGTACCTACTAAACTAGTAGTAACACCTATAGAAGTACTCTAGTATCTCTTCTTAAAACTTGCTACGTTTCTAGCTCTAGTTCTATTATTATAATACTACACCTAGTATTATATACGTCTCTAGGCTAGCTATAATAGGTTTAGTAGCTCTCTATAGCTATCTAAATTCTACTACTAGGTCTAGTACTATAGAAGCTTAATTTTCTAGCTAGGTAAATAGCTGCGTAATTCTAAGCGTAGAGTACGCTTTATTAATTAGTTAAAGAGCTTTAAGTAGCTCTCTCTAGGCTTATATGCTCTATACATCTAGTATATTAAGTTTAGCTATATAGTTAGTAATCTAAATCTATTTATTAAGCTAGTTATCTAGTTTATTATCTCTCTAGGTCTTCTAGACTTTCTTATATTATTCTAGTAGTACGTCTTAACGTAACGCGTTAGTTATTATAACCTATTTCTTTAAGCTTACTAACCTTTTATAGGCTATATTCTTATCTATAATATATAGTATAAGGTAGGTATTAATTATTATAGCAATATATACTAATACTTCTCTTAGACCTTTCTATATAAGAAGGTGCTTCTTAAGATTCTTCTTATACCTTTCTTTCTAGTTCTAGTACTCTAACTTTTTATTAGCGTTAAGGTCCCCTATCTTTGTAGCTTCTTGCTTAATTATTAATAGCGTTAGGCGTTTAGGCTTCTTCTAAATTCTCTTACGTTCTATCTCTTTTAGATCTAGGTTATAGTAGGCCTAAACTCTATATTATATAGCCTTTTTCTTTACAAGAAACTTTTAGTAAGGCTAATTCTATAGTATACTAATATTTTAATAGCTTTCGTAACGTTAGTAATAGTAATAGTGTTCTTTATTATAGAAATTATAGTGCGTAGAGCTAATTTAATTGTGTACGGCGTATTTCTAGAGCGACTCTAGAATCTATTAGTAATAATAAGGTGTATAAGTTAGTAACTCTATTGTCTAATTGTATTAAATAAACTTAGCAGGTTTAATTTATAGTAGTAGGCAAATCTAGACTTATAACTATTAGGTAAATTATAGAGTATTAAGACATAAGTTAATTAATTAAGAATACGAGAAATATGGCTATATATATACATGACCAGGTCACGTGAAGTAGTAACCATATCCGGCAACATCTGTCGTCCTGGGTCGATGCTCTGGCGTCACATCTCTTTTTCATTCCAGACTCTGGGATGTAGCATCACTTATTTCATTCTCTATTAAAAAATCATCTTTCCCCTACTTTACGTAAGGAGGTGCGCAGGTGCTGCTCAGGTTCGGGGCATTTCAAAGCACGTGACCACCAAATTCACATCTCAAAGCACCATTCCGTTTACCCGTTTCTAGGGCTTCTCCTGCACCAGGCCACCAGGATGGAATCTCAGTTCTTCTTATCTCCCCTTATTGCGGCTTTCACGGCAACCAATGTACTCCTCTTTCCGGCGTTCAACGATAAAGTCGGATCCCTGTCCCTTCATCTACCACAACGTTCTGCGCCACATATATTAATTACGTGTAACCTCAACGCCGCTCATCCAGGTAACAACCGTCAAATTCGATATGAATTTCCGCATCTTGGTTCAACGGCACTTGAACTCGCCCCACACCGATTATGAACCTGCACATGGCCTGGACGCTCTTTCCGAGATACCCATGTAGATCCAAGCATACTTAACTACATCCCTTCGTCGAAACGAACCCCCACGCACGCACTCACTCCTCCAACACCAAACATGCGCGACTCGATTCTTTCGATCCTCGCCCTGCTGGGTGCTGCCCAGGCGCAGCAAGCGCACATGATGCGCTTCGCGTGCTCGCAGCTAACTGTTGAGCGCCTGGATCCACTGGTGAACCCTGGCATGGTGGGGACTCCTCATACGCATCAGATCGTGGGAGGCAACTCTTTCAGGCCGGACATGAAGCCGCTGGAGTACGATCAGGTAGCGAACTCGAATTGCACGACCTGCACGTTCTCGGAAGATTTCAGGTACCGCCACTTCAATTCGCCCCCGGAAAATCGGTAGCATAGATGACTGACGCCGAGCAGCAACTACTGGACCGCAGCGCTCTACTTCCGCGCACGCAACGGAACATACAAGCGCGTCCCGCAAGTCTCGAACGGTGGACTCAACCAAAGAGGCGGCATGACCGTGTACTACATCCCGCCCTACGATGGCGTCAGCAACGTCACTGCGTTCACACCAGTAAATCCCCGTTCCACTGTTCTCCCTTTTATCTTTAGCACTAACATCGCCCAGGGCTTCCGCATGCTCGCCGGCAACGCCATGGTGCGCAACACGACCGGTGAATCCCGCGGCATCTGCCACCGCTGCCTGAACACAAACCAATCCCCCTTCGGCGGCGCGCCCTGCGTCGACCCCGACAATATGGACACGTCATCCTTCCCGAACAAGATCTGCCCCGGCGGAATCCGCACCACGGTGTCCTTCCCGACGTGCTGGGACGGCAAGAATCTGGATTCTCCGGACCACCAGAGCCATGTGGCGTATGCGACGGTGCCGTTTGAGCCGTACATGCCGCCGGTGGCGACGCGGCCGCTTAAAGTGGGCGAGAGGGGTGTGTGCCCCGAGACGCATCCTGTGACGCTGCCGCAGTTGATGTATGAGGTTATTTTTGATACGACGCCGTTTAATGATCCGAATATCTGGCCGGAAGATGGGAGCCAGCCGTTTGTATTTGCTATGGGTGATGCGTAAGTTCTCTCTACTGTATGGGGGGAGCGAAGGGGACCGAGGAGCTGACGGGATAAAACAGGACCGGCCACGGCAACCACGGCGACTACATGTTCGGCTGGAAAGGCGACTCACTTCAGCGTGCGGTGAATGCAAGGTGCGATAACGATAAGTGCAAGGAGCTGCTGAGGCAGACGGATGAGGAGGCAAAGGCATGCCAGATTCCGCAGACGGCGGTTGAGGATGTGGGGAATGATGATTGTAAGTGGCTTTTCCTGAGTGACGACTTAATGCTTTTGGAAGAGAGGTGCTGACTGCTTTTTAGGGCTTAAGACGTTGCCTGGAGGTGTGGAGATCAACGATGGCGTTAATATGTAAGAGAAGTATAGGTGTTCTTCGGTTACAGTACCCATTAGATGAATGGATTTTTGCTCTACTAGGCTACCTAGTTCTGTTCAACCTCTGTTCCACTCCATCAATCGCCATGCCCACCCTTATCCATATCCAAAACCGCCCAAGAGACTTCACTATCCCGCCTTTCTCCCTCTTTCGCGAACCAACCTCATCCCACTCACTCCCTATTCTCCGCCCTCATCGCCTCCCTCTTCTCCTCCAACGACTCATCCAACAGCCTCAGATTCTCTTGCATCTCATTCCGAACGTGCTCCGGTAGGGCATTGAAAGGTTCCTTTAGTTCGACAAACCAGTGGTTGTACTATTCATCGCGCAGCTCCTTCATCTGCTCATAGGATTGCGTGGATGGGTCGATGTGGGGGATGGCAGATGGCTTTGCCTCTGAGGGGGTTTTGGTGTCTTTTTTACCATCGGACCTGGTGGGGGGGAGAAGGGATCGGGTCGGGTGAGTTAGGTGATGGAAGGGCGCGCCGTGATGTCGAAGAGGGGATGGTGCGGGAAGAAGGTTAATGTATGGACGAATGTTTGCGGGGAGCAAGCGGCGCGGTCATGATGAACGGCCATGATGGATTGTGCTTTGTCACGGGTAGTTGGCTGGGTCATCTTTGGGCAAATTGTCATTCATTCAGGTATGATACAAGCAGCTACCGGCGAATTCTGTGCAGTGTAGGCACGATCGCACTAGTGCAGTTAACGATATCCCTTCTAGCAGACAATTATCTACTCTTTTATGCACACCCACCCACACCCTCCCACCACGCTCCTTCCTTAAGCCCGCAGCCGCGCCGCGCTACTTAACGAAAAAGCTATCTCATTCGCGCACACATCCAGGTAGTGCAATAGGACGGGCACTGTGGCCCCCGACTGTGGACCGCGCCCAGGGAGCCGGGGACCGCGGTCCAAAAATAAAGGCAAAACACAGTGGCGCTCGTGGTCCACCTCCGAAGGTGTTACCCTAAGGAAGAACAGATACTACATCCGATCAAAGCCAAGTTGGCAAGGAGAAGATGGGGAGGGGAAGAGGAGGGCGAGGGAGAGCGGGATTATATAGGACAGCAGAGGACTAGGCAGCAGGGGGCACGTGAGGGTAGGAGCCTGCAGGGGAGGGGGCTGTGTTGAGAGCACTTCAGGCTACAAGGGCACGTGACTAATGATACCTATATCAGTTCATCTCAGAATGGTAGGTCGTCCGGAATCCCTCCAGGCTCCCGTATCACGTGAGTCTCTTTGTCTACGTCGGCCTCCTCGCGCAACGAGTGCGACTTGCTGACTGTAGAAGGTTTCAGTCATTCATGACGGGGCCAGCGTCTATGGCGCAGATTCTCATCCCAGAGGCAAGTTTCCACGCACCCGCGCGCGTAGGCAGCACTCACTAACGTGCAACGAAACAGACAAACACGAGGAGCTGCATCAAGCGACGTCGTGAAGAGATGAGATTTGTATGAGTGGGATATCTAATGCCTATACTACTTTTTCAGTACACTTTCCAATCGAGGAAAGAGGGACGTTTCAACCAGCTGGGTCCACACATCCCCGGTCCACATATCCCATCCTAGTCCTAGCCCTCCCAGCGAACCTTCTCGCTCCTCAGCACGCCCACCAGCCCCACAGGCAGCAAGTCCCGCTCTCCTAACTGCAACCCCTGGCCCCCAAACCGCTGCTTCATATCCCCCGCATACAGGTTATAGATCCACAGCCAATACGGCGATTCCTCCATCCCGCTGCTTCGAAGAGTACTCAGGATCTCCGTAGGTGTCTCGACGCGCTCCTCAGGCGGACACTCGAGCAGATTCGTATACGCGTTGCGGAGGTGCGTCGAGACTTCCTCGCGGTACCGGGTGTACTCGTCGAAGCTCATGAAGGGCTCGTCGGCCTCGGAGTCGGTGCCGGTTTCGCCTTCCCGCGCTAGGGACGCGTGCTTGATGCGCTTCGTGGAGCGGTGCTGCTCGCCGGAATCCCAGCGCTCCTTTAGGCGCTCGTATTCTTCCTGCTCCTCCTCGAAGGCGCGGTCGATACGCTCGCCCGCATCGCGGAAAGACTTCTTGTACGTGGCGAACGCGTTGATGAACGGGTTCCGCAGGCCCAGACCGCCGAGCTCAACTGGGAAGTAGAAGAAGCCGTCGGGGACGGTGTCGTCGGTGCCGAAACGCTCCTTAAGCACGCCCCGCAGGTAGTCGGTCACGTTGGCGGTGCCTGCGTCGGCGAAGAGGCCGCGCTGGATGTGCTCGAAAGTGTCGATGATCGTGTCGTTGTGTTGGCGGCCGAAGCAGTTGGCAGGCTGCCCGAAGTTGGTCGAGAAGAAGCGGCTGACGTAGCTGTTCCAGGCCTGGACCCACGCCATGACGCTGCGACAAGCGCCCAGCTGGCGGCGCAGCTCCTCAATGTGCTCGTCGACTTGGGCGCGGTCGATAACCCAGCGGCCAGCCTCAGCATCCAAGTTGAGGAAGCCCCACTTTATCTTCCCTTGTGGCAGAGCGGGTGGAATAGGACGCGCGTTGGCTTTGTTCGCGACGATGAGAGCTGAGCCGCTCTTCTCCTTGTTCAACTCTAGACCCGTAATGCTGGCGAACTCCTGCACGGCGTTCCAGGCTTGGATGCACGTCGACTCCTGTCCCCAGAACCACAGGTCGTCGTGGAAACGATGGATGTTCGCGCCCTGCGTCCGCTTGTTGACCGCGAAATCGAGACAGAACAGGACCGCTTCGCTAAGGGTATCACTCAAGACATGGCTCATGGGGATACCGCATTTGCGCACCTGTGCCTGCGCTCCGGGGCCATCCTGCGCAAAGACGACTGGCGCCTCGAGGAATTTCTTGAAGAAACGAAGCCACTTCCCGGGAACACCGAAGAACTTCAACACGGCGAAGATGGTGTCGTGAGGCAGCGACGGGCCGAACCACTTGAAGTCGGATTGCAGAACGAGGAATTCGCCGTAGACCTTGGTGTTGAGAAGGAGTTCGGTCGTGACTAGGCGCAGCATGGACTGCTTCGTGGCGAGCGGCGACTTCAAGGAACCAAGCTGCTGTTCGTCCTGGTCCTCAGCAGCGTAGTCACGGTGATCTTCGACAACGTCGTCCGGCAACTGTGTCATGAAGTACTCCTCCTGGTACTTTTCGCGCCTGTAGTTGCGAACGGTGGCTGAATTATGCGTGCTCTCGGGGACGAAGAACTCCCGCCGTTGCCGTGCTTTCTTACCCATCGACCGGTAGGGTGTCTGGAGCCATGCACCGGAGTGGTAGAAGGTCTCGAATGCCGTCTTCAAAGCGACGGCCCACGTCTTGCCGATGAAGTGCAGCAGAATGGCCTGATGAGTTTCCTCATCCATGTACACGCGGTACTTCCCATTCAGCTGCCGGCGCATGTTGAGCGGGACAGGCGATGGGTCCCATTCCCATTTGTCGAGCCCCTCAAGGTCCATATTTAGTACGTCCACAAGCTCCCCTAGCACCGCTGGCTGGTTCTGGAGGTCAGCGAGGGCCTCCCGCTTCTCCCCTGCGAGCAGATCCGACATCAGCACGCCCCTGATGCATGACTTGAGCTTGTCAACCGTGAAGCGCGTGTCGTGCTGCGACTTTGGGATGTCCTCGTGAGCTCCAAGATGCTGCTTCGGCGTCTGCAGGTCCGACTTGAAGTCCATGACGTTCTTCATCGAGTCCCGTAGATTCTGGAGAGGCGACTTCTTGATCTTCTTCGCTTGCAGCGTGGTGCCGAAGATCTCGTTGAGATACGCCTCGATCTTGCTCTGGTCCACCTTCTTCTCCGTAAACGCATAGCTCTCCCATTCCTTGCGCTGCTCATGCATCTCCTTGCGACCTACCGTGTCGAAGCTATCGCTCATCTCGGTATCGGTGTCCGAGTCGCTACCAGCAGGACTAGCGCCCATGGTCGATGCGGCGGGGTTGGGATGCTTGATCCATTCGGTGACGAGCTTGCCGAACAAGGCGGCGTACTCGTATTTGACGCTCGCGACATCCAGTTCATGCTCCAGCTTCGATTGCCAGTCCTGGAGCAGAGTGGCCGAGACGGACGGGTCGGACTTAGCTTGGTGTATGAATCGCTTCAAGTTGGCGATGGAGAGATCGGGTTGTCGAGCAGTGATACCGTACAGCTCGAAGCCTTCCAGTAGGGCTTCCACCTTGCGTCGATGATCCGGAGCAGCAGTTACCTTGGCGCGAATGGCTTCCTTGTCGGCTTCGAATTTCTGGCGGTGGTCGGCAAGCTTGTTCAGCTTGCGCTGGGTGACGTGGTGGAGCGTCGAGAGAGCGGGAGTCGCCATCATGTGGGGTGTCGAGTGGTAGAAGCAACGTAGAGTAGTTCCCAATTGCGGCCGGATGTTCCGTGTGGATGGGTTGCAGGCAAGAGGAGAGAAGAGGTGAGGTGAGGGTGCCCTGCAGAATTGACTTCTGATGAGGGTTGACATTGGTGCGGGAAGGAGCGAGTTCTTATACCCCCAATGTTTGGCGGCTGCGAGGCAACGCTCACGTGCGTTCAGGCAGCACACCCCGGGCGCGCCCTTCACAGCGCCACAATTAACTTGCAGCCCCGGCCACGAATGTGAAAGAATTGCGACGATTGCAAAAGAATGGAAGCGAAATCGGAAGTTCGAGGTCTGTGAATGAACATGGCGATGGACGGAGGGCGGAAGGGCGGAGGAAGAGGCTTGGCAGGACGTCGTTCACCCCTCGCAACAGGCATCAACGCCCGTGCATCCAGCACAACGATGCCATCCCTAATTCGGCTTTCGTCCACTTTTGTTCACAGGACATCTGGCATAACTCTGACTCCGCGCTAATTCCAAGGGCGCGCCTCTGCTTGGAAGAAATGCTCATGATGTCACCCAGCGGAAGATAGGCGTACGTGATGCATTGATGAAAATCACGCTAATCCGAATCGAAATTAGCTCCGTGATGCGCCCGGGCCGTCCCAAGGTGCATGGCGGTGAATGAAGCGCACGGGCCGCGGTGAAGGTGAAGAGTTTGAAGGCTATTGTTGTGCAGTAACCCACGGTTTCGGAAATTGCCTCTTTAGGAAGGTTGAGTGCCTGCTCCGGAAGAGGCCGCTCCGAATTAACCCAGTTATGCTCCGTATCAGAACCGCTCCGAAAACATCTTCACCCTTCCATGGCATGACATCGCAAGCGAAACGAAAAAAGAAGGGCTCTCCATTGGCAAGAAGCCTATCCACGACCCGATCGGCCCGAGAGCTCAATACATGCGGATGCAAGAACACAAACCTACTCAACTCAGCCCGCCATGACGCTGCGAACCCAGAGCTAAGGTCCCTCGGCTCAGTCCCCCGGCTCCAGACGCTCATCTATAGACAGCTCCGTCGATACGCACAAGGCAATTAAAAGACCCACGTGGCGACACGCCCAGTACTTCAGCCAAAGCCTCCCCGTCCATCCATGAAGCGCCTAGAACCCCCGGGGCGCAAGTTCCCCACCTCCGCCTACGCACCATTAGCACACCAAGAACTCGTATCCCTGCAGCAGCGGAACGAGCTGATCTGGCCCTTCAAGTCGGTCACAGTATTCGTCAGACCAGAATAGATACGCGTGTGCGAGCTCTGGCAGTTGAAATCCCTACCCTCTGCGTCAGCACCCTGTTCACCTGAGGTTTCTGCGCTCTGAAGCGTCTCGCCTAGTATAGATTACTTACTTCCAGAAGATGCAGATATCGCCCTCGGAGATCTCGAACGATTGCACTTTGTCGTTGTCCTCGTAGGGGATGTTGTCTACGCTGCAGGTGTTAGATGGAAAAGAGGGCAGCGGTGCGGAGCAGTGGTGCAGGGAGTGGGACTGACAGCAAGCGTGGATGTCTTCGTGCGCGTCTTGGACGAATGCGGTGGAGCATTTGCCGCCCATGGACGGCTCGAGGCAGTACTTGACGCCGACGTACTCGGCGCTTGCGTGGGAGGCGAGGGTGAGGAGGGCGAGGAGTGTTGCGGCGGCGGCGTGCTGGAGGCTCTTCATTGTGGTGATGGCTTGGTGCTGGATGCGGGTTTGTGAGTGAGTGAGTAGCGGTTTGGCCGGCTGGATGGTGTGGGGGAGTTGATGCTGTTGCTGCGATTAAGCTCCTCGTTCTATGCCCTTTATATATTCGCGGTCTAACAGTCTCGGACTTCTCGAGCAATCTTCCTATTTCTCTGTCCTAAACCTTTACAAGGCAATCTGGGGAGAATCGGGCTTCTTCCATCGTCATCATCCCATCCAATCCATCCGCTTGGTTACCTCCTTCATCTACTTCTCTATCCACCTGCGCATCATTCTCATCAACACCTACGATTAGACGACTTTGAATAATCACAGGTAGGCTACCAAAAATGCCGAAAGCAGCTGTTAGTCTGATTTCAGTTGAGGGTGTTCGACGCTTATTGCCTGTATATGGTGGTACGGCTGACCGGAATACGAGGCTGAGCATCAGCAACTATCCTTTTCGGAAGGAATGTAGTCTACAGGGCGCACTGCGAGCGAGATTCCCTTGAAAAAGTGCGGAATAACTATCCGCAAGGCCTTTGAAGCCGCATATCGACGCCGGTCCACCGCTGTATAAGCGAGCGTGAGGGCCTCGAGCTCTCTCAGCGGTGGACTCGCTCGCGACGAGAGACTCGTACCAGAAGCGATTGAACGTCACTAGATGCAGTCATAAAGAGGTGGAATAGATAGTAGATAGTAGCAGGACGAAGGAGCAGATACAAAAACAAAAGCTTCTCAGTCTAGCCTAAACTCCAACCCGCTCCCCCTTCCCCCCTATCTAAGACGTCCCCCCCAAGCGAATGTATGAATCAAAAACCTCCAACCCCCTCCATCCCCCCTTCCCAACCCTTACACTGCACCCGTCCTCCACACAGCCAACCAAGTCTTGCTTCAAAACGCCTATCTAGCTGCCATTCGGCTCACAAACCACACTCCGCGCCCTATTATCCAAATGATAATCTGCATTCGCCAAATCCGGCACATTATAAAAGAAAAACCAGGTAGAATCATTCGGGTCCGGGGGGATCTCGCAGTTTTGCAGCCTGGTCCTATTAGCCTTTCTCCTTCCCATCACACATCTCCTCCCCCACCCCCCTGCCGCCTCACAGGAATCGGGAAGGGTAGTAGTATAGGAGTTGGCCGGTGATATGAATAGACATCGACTTACGAAGAAAGACGGCAGCTAAAGCCACTCCCCTCCCCGGTGGCGCTCAACATCACGCTAGAGGCCTGCATGTCGATGTTCGCTGGCAGCGTTGGCGCGACGCACGTCAGGCCGTCGATGGTGAAGGGGATGGTGTAGGAGGTGCCGAGGTAGTCTGTCTCGGTGTAGAGCGTGATGGAGGCGGTTACGGCGCGGTTTTGGAGGGGGGCGGTGGGGGCGGCGAGGCCGAGGGCGGAGAGGGAGAGGAGGATGGTGGGGGTGAGGGAGGGCTTCATTGTGGAATGATGGGGGTGATTAGGATGAGTGGGTGGAGTTGCTGAGGTGTGGAGATGCTGGATGGTGGTGGTGGTGATGCTCGATGAGCGGATTTGGTCCTCCCTTTATACTTCTTCCCGCTTGCCTTCACGCCTCTTCCAGCTATCCAGCTTCCTCGCACGCCGTCCTTTTCTCGCCCGCCTCTCCCCGCTCTGCCTTGCCTCCGCCACCAAATCCTTTCTTTCCATCCACCCACCCACCAAAGAAACGCCTTGTCCTCATGCCTTGTTTCGCATCCTTCTCCCCTTATACATCTCCACAGCCCTATATGTCATCTGCTATACTCATTTCCAGCCAGTCACCGCGCTCATCCTTCGTTCACACGTTCGCCATAGAAAGTGATAGGGCTGCCGAAGGCTTTGGCAAGGATTGCTTATGCTCCTAGAATATCAGCTTAGTCGAGATGCAGCAGCTGTGGAGGAAGTGTGAACGTGAGCACGTGGGAGCCGCAGGAGGGTCTGTGGGGAGGGGGAAGAATCAGTTGGCATTACGCCCTCCCTGGGTTGACGGTGAGAAGGCATGTGGCTGATAGGAATGCATGCGATAGATGGGATGGGCGCAGGTAGCTTCAGTGCAGTGCCGAGACTTCGGTTTGGCGACGGTCGATCACAGGTAGGTTATTCGGACGACGGGTTACACAACGGCAGCGCGTTGCAGGTATGCTTAGAATCATCCACATGCTATCCAGTATGACCAAGAGCTCGCGATAATATCCCAGGTATAGTAGTGTCTCGCGCGACTAAAAACTGCCAAAGTCCTCCAGGCGACCAAGTCAGTGTTCTCCCTCCTCGCCCACCGACCCAGTCCAACATTCCCTCTGACGAGTAACAGGAAACTTAATACCTAACTTAACGTTCCCACCTGTTCTGTTCGCCGCGGAAGCGTCGGGAACGCAGCGGCACGCGGCCCGTGAGAAATGACGACCCGCTCACCAGATCCTATAGCATCGTTCGCCCCCCGAATTCGGAAAAGATTTACGTAAGAATTGCGGAGGTGAGAGGGCGAGAGGTAATGCATGCGGGGGTAGGAGGATAGGAGGATTTGTTTCAAGCACAGACGACATGTAAGACTGACAGGGATTGTGGAAGCGTGATCGAACGTTCACTGGATAGGGAAGAGTGACGGAAGGAATCCTTCGAACGTATTTAAGCGTGTAACCGGTAAGCTGGGGGCCAACAAGAGGAAGGAGGTTCGGGATGCTTCGTTGGAACTGAATGCGCATGACGTCTGTGATGTCCGTTTGTTTGCGATGTCATGGGACAGGATGCCTCATCCTTCCTTCTGCTTACCAGCAATTCAAAGTATCTCCGCGGAACACGCTTATGCTGCCTTCGTCAATCCTGAGCCCTTTGCCAAAGCGGGAGATGTCGTCCCTATGCCTCCTCGTCCTCTAATTCGACATAGAGGCGCAATTCCTTCTCCACCATAACATTATACACCCTCCTCAACTCTTCCTCACTAAGAAACTCCTCTCCCAAGCGCATGAAAGCCATCATCATGTACTCCTTGCACCAAGGCAAATGAGTCATGCCGCGAAGAAACGTTTCTTTCACCCTCCTATACGCGTCCTTCACCGACGGCCTGTCCTTCCACTCAAACTGTGGAGGCATCTGCGGAGGCCGCCCAGGGATCTTCTTGGATTCTTGTCTAGCTTGCTCGAGTTCGAAGAGGACGTGCTGTTTCCAGAGCGCGGGGCAGTGCGCGCCAACGTCCTCTTCCGCCCTTTTATAGAGAGCGCGAACAGAGTGGGCTGTTGAGCCAGCAATTTCGCCCTTGAGCGTCTCGTAGTGGATGGCGAAGTTCCAACCTACTATGCTGCGGTTCTTGGATGTGGAGAGAAGCTGTTGATGTATGATGCCCCGCACACGGTCGTCGATTGAGAAGCGCTGCTCGTTTGCCGCATATAGGGAAAGGAGGATAGTGTTGTCGGGGAACAGAGCAATGAGGGGCTCTAAAGTGGTACGTATCAGGGAGGGCTTGACGATTGAGGCGTGGGTTGCGTGATGGAGGAGGAACTGTGCGATTGATTGGGCGTGCAATTCCGCGGCAGGACTTTGGGATAGCTTGTGTTCCACGAACCAATCCAATAGCTTGTGATGGGTAGCTAAGGCGCTCTCGGGTTTCTGGCCGCCGCAAAGGTAGGCAAGCAAGGCTGAAAGAGATGCGCTTGTGACAGCTGAAGAAAAGTCACTTTGAAGGTGCGCGCGCTCGCTCGTTTCGCTGAGCGTTGTACGGGCGCGTAGCAGAGCGGTCTGTCCCGGTCCTTCGTTATGGGCGTTGGATTCTTTCTGCACCTGACCTCTGAAAGACACAAGCCGCCATAATGCTTCTTTCGCGTCACCCCGACGCAGAGCTTCCCATGCCCAGCTGCTAAAGAGCTCCAAACTTCCCGGTGTTGAGAAAGGAGTATCCCCCTTTTGCATCGAAAGAGCAGCGCTGAACACCTGATCAGCTTTGTCAGAATCGCCGCCACTGGACATGACAAGGCCATATGCGTTGTAAATGCGTAGACTTGCAGGCCGGGCTTTCAGAAGCCGCTTCGCCGACTTGGCTGCTGCCGAGAAGAAATAGTTGCGCTCGAATGCGAGGAGATATTGCCCGACTATGTCATCAGACGCAGAGTCACTCGCGATGAGCCTCAGTGCACCCCGAATGAATTCTGCGTCCCCTGTGTCATGAATGTTCGGAAATGGGAGAACGAACAGAAGCTGAGTGCTCATCTGAAATTGCCTGATGGGGCAGTTCGCAAATTCTGCTACCTTCTGAGCAAATTGATTGTCAGCATGAACGCTACGGGCGTCCGAAATCTTGAGCTGGAGAACCGGGTCGGCCCAGTACTTTTCAGTGCGCATTCCCGGAAGCGGCGGCAAATGGCAGAATCGAAGGAAAGCGTCCAGAATGTGCAATTCCGATATTTCTTCGGGAACGAACTGTATGAAGTCCCGGATATCAGAGAAAAGGACTGTGTGGAACGGGTCATCCTCGCCGACTTCATCGGTCGTGCGCCCAGGAATTTTCATTTGAATAGAGCCAAATACCTCACGCTTCCAGAAGTCTTCAAATATCGGTTGAGACACATTTCGCGCAGCTAATGGCGAAGGGCCTTGAATGGTGGATAGAGGATCCTCTGGGCTGAAGTCCTTCCATCCCTTGGCATTCAACTCTCCAATTCGGGGAACCTCACTCTCCCAAAACTCTTCGAAGAGTCGCAGCCGCTCTTCATCTGACGCAAGCGCAACAGACATAGGCCTCAATAAGCGGAATTCTAGAATTGCCTGCCAGGCGGCCAGAGCCAGTTCTTGGTAACCAGCTTGCTGCATCATGGAAGTGAAGCGGACTAAGATGTAAAGCCGGAACTCGGACGAAACGGGCCTTGAGCTGGCCTGAAGGAGTTTCAGGCACTGAAAGAATGTCGCTCGGCATTTCTCGTATTTGAAGCTCGCGAAGCTAGACTGCACGAAGTCTAGGTACTTCGTCCAGAGTTCTGTACTCCATGGGAACTTTATAATGACCTCAGGCCACTTCTGGGCCAAACGAGTGTCGTCCCAGGATTTGGTAGCTTCAGTCATTAGTCCAAGGTGGAGTTCAACTTGACTGCTCTCGTCACTACCAATCTTACGTAACGCGTCCTCGTAGGTCGAGATGCGGACGTCGGCGAGGTGCCGTCTGTCGGCACTACTCAATCCCTCCGTAGAGCGATCAATTTTCATCATCGCTTCTTGATGATCGATGAAGTCGAGCCATGCTTGGAGGTCGTCGGGATGCTCGCGGGTTCTTCGTATAAGGGCGGCGTTTTTCTGAGTGACTTCAGCGTCCGCAGCGCCTGCTTCTGTATCGGATTCGAATTCAGCATCCGGGTCGGCGGGTTCTGTTGGTTTACGGCGCTCAAATCCGCGGTAGTCGACATCAGAAGCATCTTCATCTTCCTCCCGCTTCCCCTTTCCCGTGATCGAGAATGGAATGAAGTCGCGGTCTTCATCCGTCTCATTCCCGCTCGGTTTCACGAAGCGGATGGCTCGACCACTCTCTCTCGCGACATGCTTACTAGTGAGGAGCCTCTCCTGCCGGCGGCCCTTCGCAGGAGTAACCACAATGCCCTTGTCCGAAGAAAGCTCCCGGTCAATCTTCCTGTCCGGTGGAAGCCCCAGGATGCTGCCATAGCCGTACCGCCGATATGCTGGAATGTCGTACTTGTTGAGGCCACCATATCTCAAAATGTCGGAGTCGCCCCGGCGGTCGCTAGCGAAGAGTTTCGAGGGCTCTTTATCACGCTTTTGAGAGCGTCTCTCGTCTCCTTGACTTGGCTTACTTTGCTTGCGCTCTTCTACCTCCTTTTCTTTTGGCGGCTTCTCTGACTTTTCTCGCTTCTCGGGTCTCTCGGCTTTTCGCGATTCCTCGGCGGCTTTGTCGGGTTCCTTGGGCTTGGGCCTGAAGCTCGTGAATTTCGGAACATTGGAAGCCATTTCGCTCTCGAGCAGAGCGTGGTTTCACTCAGTCCACCAGAGTAAATATCATCGCAGGGAGAACTTGGGTATTACACTGCCAAGTGCAGATGGAGTTTCGAAGCCCTTCACGGGCAGTGATGGGGCAGCTGCTCAAAGCATGACGCCAGCTTCATGTTTGGGGGTGAAAGCCTGTGCACGTGCCTCGGAGGTCCGCAAAGCTACGCACGGACCATACGAAATCTTGGCAATGAATTTTCCAGTCGAAAAAGTATTCCACCAACTTTCACTCGCGCACGCCGCCGCCGACCCCGCTACGACCGACCTTTCCGAGCCCATTGCCAACTGTAGGCCTCCATGATGACAATGATCTCCTCGTCAAACCCATAAGCCGGATCCGGGTCGCACAGCCATCATGACGTCGCTACAGAAGCAACTTGCGGTCATCGCCGCCTCGAGCACGCACCAGCTCGACCTGAAGGCGCAGAAGCTCGCCCACGGCAAATCGCTGCTGTTCGAGCCCCGACAGGCCGCCAATCAGTCATTCGAGAACATCTACCTTATATGCTATGAGGGCTACCGCGATCTATGCGCGCTCGACCCGCGATTTGTGCAGTTTTCGCGGAGCTTGTTCAGTGAACAGAGCAAGGTGGAAGACCGGACGCAGATGACCAAGGCGGAGAATGCAAAGCTAGATGAAGTGCTCCAGGCTTTCATTTGCATGGTCGGGCCGCGACTATTATTAAAGCCTGCGGAAAAGGCGTTGGAATGGCTTGTGAGAAGATTCCGGTATGCGACGGTGCCCTGAAGCCCCCCAGGACGAGATATCTCAAGGGACGCCTGCTGACAGCTTCCAGTGTACACGAATACAATACCGAATGCCTCATCCTCACATACCTACCCTACCATAATACCCCGCAGTTCCTCGCTCTCCTATCGATATTGCCTCCCAATCCTCCGCTCACGCTGCGATTTCTGCATCCATATATCCAATCTCCCACGAATCCGCCCAGGCAGACCATAGTATACACGGCAATCAATACCCCTGCCTTCTTCAATGCTCTGCAGAACTATGCCACGAAGGTGTTGGAGGGCGGTCATCAGAGCTCTACTCTGTTGTCCTTCTGGTCAAGCATTACAGCGCAAGCGATCGACGGCATACTAGATCAGGGAAGCTCTGGAAGGAGGGAGATCCAAGATCAGAGAACGGAGGGCCTGCTACTGCGCGTTCTTCCAGTACTGAATGCATGCATGAAGAGCGCCTACGGGGCGGAGGCCGTCATAGCATGTTACATGATCATTATCGGCTTGGTTACGAAGACCTCTTTCCAAGACAAGGTTCTGGACTCACTCATGGAGGCTGCGATCCTCAGTTCGGACAGCACCACGTTGGAAGAATGTTTGACGTGTCTTGCCGTCATAGCAGAGGAAAGATCGAAAGTTGCACTTTCGCCCACGGTCGTGAAGAGGCTGCTCAGGATTTCCGATCTAACCCAGCGGCTGATGACAGTCTCGAAGAAATGCCTCGCGAACCGGCTCACTCTCGGCTACGCTCTGGGCGCTCTGGAGCGCACCGGCCAGTCTGAGGAGGCACTAGACGCTTTCCAGTCGATTCTGGAGTCGAATCTCCTCGACGAGCCACGCCTGTCCGTGGCGTTGTCCAGTTTCCTCCAACTGCTTTCGTCGAGAAAGCGTGGCTCTATGGGGCACGGTCTACTGATTGACTATGCGTTGAAACTAAACGAGACACGCAATGTCTCTAAAGTGCTACGGGAAGTAGCCAAGAAGGATGGTACGGATTTGGAAGCTCTTGGTCTCACGCTTGGGCAGTCCATCTATGCAGTCGAGGCCGACGCACAAGCTTCAGAAGATGAGGAGATGCTTGATGCAGATGGACTAGAGGAGAGCGGCGCTCCAGCAGCACAGCCGCCGAACATCTTAGAAACGACCTTCCTCGATCCAAAGGCCTCTGAGTCCTTCCTAGAGGTTCTCCCGCGCTTCGAACAGGCGGTCGCATCAGACGAGGCGACCCGGTTCCTAAAGGCGGACAGTCTCCAGCAACCCGACGCATTCCAGACTCCGCTATTCCTGAGTTTCCTAATACGTTCATGGTGCAGCTCAGCCTCTGCCACTGCCCGTGCTGCTGCCCTTCGCCGAGCCACGAGTCTCATCCAGAAAACCGACATATCAGTGGATCTACAGAATATGATTCCGTACCTACTGTATGCGCTTGCTGATCCCTCTGCAATTACCCGTCGGTCTGCCGCAGCATGTACTATTGCGTTGTCCAGGAAGATGAGTGCTACGAAGAACAAAGCACACACGGGCATCTGGGCTTCGTCGGGGCTCTACGGAAAAGAGTCTTCGAAGATTTCACCACTACACAAGGACCAGACTCAGGCTCTCCTCTCAGTCCTCGTTCCGATGCTTGAAGAGTCCACCATGGATTCCAATTATGTCATCACCGCAGTCCGAGAGATACTGGAAGGAACGCAGTCGCCCAAGAACGCCAAAAATGGCCTGAAATCGTCGTTGCGGAGCCCAATCCTGTCATTTCTGGGATGCCACGTCGCAGTTACTCCGCTGCTTACCGTTCGCCTTCGTCTTCTATCTCTGTTTAACTTCCTCGGAAGGGCATCGGCCGGCATCCGAACCGGTACAATTTTGCCGATAGTACGAAAGTGGTGCTCAATGCCAGCCAGCGAAGTTGCAGCGCAATGCGAGATTGAAAAGATTGATGCCACAGAGGTGGATCGGATACACCTCACCACGCTGATGCCTAGGGAGGCTGAAAGCGTAAGCCTCCTCAAAGACATCATTACCGGTAAATGCAGCAAAGACAGGAAGCAGCTCGTGGGCTTGGCATTCGATCGGCTCAGCGCCATCTGGTCGAAACTGCGATCTGACTCTCGATTGACATTAAGCGAACAATTACTAGAACTGTCGTTAGCAGAGATCAAGACTGATTTCGACGAGTTGTGCCGTGGCCGGGCTCTGGACACCCTCCGTCATGTGAAACTCGATACCGCCACGCTTGTCGCCTTCCTCGACAGCGTACCGTCATCGGTTCAGATGCCAGAGGGACCTCCCGCGAAGAAGAGGAGACGAACTAGCCGCAGTGAGATGGCACGAGTCGAGTTGCAGTCGCCTGAGGAGGTTTCACGCCTTCTCAGTAGGCTGACCCTGGTACTTGAGCTGATTGAAGGCTCTAAACCGGCAGAACACCCAGTATTGTTTAAGAACCTCTTTGCTGTATTGGGCGAGTTGCAGCAACTAAAGCAGCAATCAGGCTCAGAGCTAGTATATTTACAAAGCCTGATCCTCAGCTCGCTAGCGCCTATCGTAGATCGCATCAAGGTAACATATCCTCCCACGTGTTAAATGGTTCATGCTAATACAGCCCAGGACGAGAAAGACACATCTGAATACCAGGCTTCGATACGTGCCGACCTCCTCATTGATTGCATACGGCACTCCACTAGCCCACAAGTACAAACCGCCGCTCTGCTTTTGATAACCTTATTAGCCTCCTGGGTTCCCGAGTTAGTCCTACCCAATCTGATGCCCGTTTTCACCTTCGTTGGATCGACAGTGCTGCGTCAGCAAGATGACTACTCTGCCCACGTGGTCGATCAGGTACGTCACCCTCAATCGCCAAAAGGACCGCACTAACAGACAACTCTAGACCATCTCGCGCGTGATTCCCCCCTTGGCCGCTTCTCTACGAGCTAAATATAAGAACTTCTTAACGGGTGTTGCCGACCTACTCTTGAGCTTCACGGCGGCTTTCGAGCACATTCCACCGCATCGGCGACTGAAGATCTTCTCCGAATTAGCTAGGACGTTGGGTCCCGTGGACTCGCTTTCCGTGATCATCGCGCTTCTGGTCGATCGATATTCAAACAGCAAGACGCAGAGCAGATTTTCGACAGACTTGCTACTCGCGTTTGATCCCATTGTCGCTCTCGAAACCTTCAAAAGCTACCTAGCCCTCGTTGCAGATGCGTCGGGGGACGGACGCAAGATATCAGACACTTTATTTAGTCTGAACGAGAAGCAGCCAAACGAGGTCGAGAATGCGTTAAACAGCCTCTTGTCCGCGATAGCGGATCTCTCCACTGACGAGAGGCTGAGGACCCACGTTAGCAGGGCGTTCCGTAAGAAAGCTGAGCCTGAACGACCTCGAACCGTCTTTGCGGCTATAATCGAAACAGTCATCCAGATCTCAAAGGAGGTGGTAGAGCGGCCTAAGGTCTACCAATCCTGCAGCCGTGTGCTCGGTAATTGTTTAGACCTTCTTCCAACTGCCGACCTGATCAAGTCAGTCGAGCTGCTCCTCTCAAGCCCAGACCGCGATGTTCAGATTGCGGCGATCAAGTCAGTCGAGGTACGAGCAGGTACCGTTACTCAGAATGACCAAGAGTCGGTCACAGCTTTGTTAGCTTTCCTTCACACCCTCGACGAAGTCCTGCAACGGTCTCAACAAATGGACGTTAAGCGTGTTACGCTTAGTTGCATCGACAGTATCATCGGGAGGTTCGGGAAGAGAGATACGACTACGGTCTCCGAAGTCGCCCGGACAATCTCCGGTCCACAGTCACTGGCTAGCAGTGACGATAGAGCCCGCATCCTCTCGCTGCTATGCCTCACGTCTATCGTCGATGTCCTCGATGATGAGGCAATCTCACTACTGCCCACGGTCTTGCCCATTGTCTTCGAATATCTTGGAACGGCCATTGACCAGGAGAACACCGGTCTGCACAATGCTGTTTACACGCTCATCAGCAATATCGTGCTGCGGGTTGGTTTCATGTTCTCGCGCGACTACCTAGTACCCATTCTCAAGCTATCGCAACGCTCAGCCGTCGGGGACCTGGACGAAGCATGCGACGAGGAGAGACACCAATTCTACGAAAGGGTATCGCAGCACCTTGGAGCCCAAGAAGTCTTCACTGCGATCAAATCAACTTGGTCGGATGCTACCGGCCGTGGTTTCGAGGTACATATCCCCCTTGTTCTAATCATATGCATTACTAATCGAGTGCAGGCGTGCCAGGAACAGCTTGACCTCATGCGCTCTACAATTGGGAGCCAAACCAAGCCGAAGTTAATCAAGGCTAGCTCCACGCTGTTCCCACTGCTTCTGGATATTTTCGGACTCAGGAGCGCTATAACCTCGTCTGGCGAAGAGGATTTCGACGATGACGAAGTGGGGCAGCTAGAGGGCACCCTCATCGAGGCTGTCATAGCCATGACGTTGAAGCTCAGCGATGCTACTTTCCGACCTTTCTTCGTACAACTGGTCGACAAGGCGTCATCGAAGTTGGATATTTCGCGTTCGATTACGTTCTACAAGTTCCTCGCTGTCTTCTTCGACAAGTTCAAGGTACGTCTTTATTCCTTTTTGGTATGCGATAGATTACTAACCTCCGCAGTCTATCGTCACAAGCTATTCAAGCTATGTCATTGAGGATGCATCCAGCCTTCTGGAGTCCCTCGCGAAACAAGGAGGTAATACAGCGCTGCGAGAGGCTGTGCTAGCCGCTCTCCAAAAGACCTTCCAGCACGACCAAGACGGGTTCTGGCAAGCGCCCTCACACTTCGGCGCAATCATGACGCCACTCCTTGCACAACTCACAATCGACTCTTCAGAAGAAATAACGGCAGACATCATCCCTGCCATCACGGAGCTTGCAGCCGCGTCGTCGTCCTCAACGGACAACCACCGCGAGATGAACACCGTGTTGCTAAACTACATGCGCGCCGAGGAAGCGCATACGCGCCTCGCTACAGTGAAGTGCGAGCAGAGTCTGACGAAGCGGCTGGGAGAGGAATGGTTGGGCTTGCTGCCGGAGATGCTGCCGTTTATTAGCGAGTTGAGGGAGGATGACGATGAGATGGTGGAGAGGGAGACGCAGAGGTGGATTAGTATGGTAGAGGAGATTCTGGGCGAGGATCTGGATGCTATGTTGCAGTAGATAGGTAGGGTAGTGAAGGTCTAAACCTCCGGCATGCATCGGGTGCTAATGCATTTCTAGCTGCCCTATTACCTCTCCACCTCCCGCATCTCAACCTCTTCCTCTTCTCCCTCACTCACAACTCTAAACACAAAAGATAAAACCCCCTCCCTCTACGCATCCTCCCCACTCGGAATCCTCATCCCATGGCATCCCCGATACGCACTAACACGCGGCTCCTCCCACCCCCTCAGCACACCCTCTCTCACGCCCTCACTAATCTCCCACACCTCGACCTTAATCGGACGACACGTGCTCTTCATCCCCTTCCTCTCCTCCTCCTCACCATCCCCCTCTTCCCCTCCGCCCCCGTCCTCCCCCGCCTGCCCCCATCCCCACGCGCTCAAATCGCCCCCCGGACACGTACTCAGCGCGCACAACAAGTCCTGCTCAGCGAAGAAATCGACATACGAGCCGCGCGTCGCGGGACTCGCCTCCATGAAGTAGCGCCCCTGGGCGTCGAGCCCGGTGACCTGGAACACGTTGAGCACGTCGTGGACGTCGTGCTCTGCGAGGCCGAAGGGCAGCACGGCGCGCACGAGGTTCGAGTGGCAGTGGAAGTCGTAGGAGGTGGATGTTAGCATGGTGGATACTGCCGGGGGTTGGGTTAGTAGGGAAGAGGATGGGATGGGATGGGGTATGAGGTACCGTAAGGATCACACCGCGTCCCCAGCAGATCATGGCATCTGCCGCCCCACTTCGTCACCCCTCCCGCTCCATCTGTCACTAAACACGCATCCCGCAGCATCCCGCACAGCGGCCGCATGTACGGCAGACAGCTCCACAGGCGGTCGCCCTCGCGCACATGGCTCGCCTGCAGCTGGCGCGTGCGCGCGGCCCAGAAGCGCTCGCGCGGGTTGTGCTGGTTCCAGATGTTGAGGTCGCCGACCTGTATCCTCTCTTAGGTTCAGCCTCAGCGTCTGATCCCTCCTACACAGCAAATCGTCGCTGCTCTGCTTTGGATGAGGGGAGGAGAGGGAAGGAGGGAGGACACACCTGTGGCCCCTCGGGCGTCGAAAGCCGGAAAATGCATCCCTTGTCCACTTTCCACGCCTTCCCGCTGCGCGGCGGGATGACGAATTCTTCTTTCTTGACCAGGTCGCCGTTCTCTTCGCTCAGACTTCTCAAGCGCGCGTAGAGGTCTTTCGGGGGGTGCAGTGGTGACGCCGTGGAAGTGGGGAAGTACGCGGGTGCCGGAGGCCCATTATCTTCATTATTTAGGGCCATTGGGGCAATTAGAATCCTGCAAGTCTTGCGGGAAACCCCTAGTTCTGAGTGAGGAATTTGATTTTGCAGACTTGACTTCGAGAGAGGGCGGTATTGATGTTGATATTAGTCGTCGATGTGATGATATACGAACGGACCGAGGATGACTGATCTGATCTGATAGATAAGTGGGACTGGACTAGCAGGAGCTTTCTGATAGATATGAGGCGAGCCGTTAATAACCGACGGGCATGCTAGTGCGATTCGCATCTCGGTCTCCAGGCTACTCCTTCGGGTACACAGTCAGTGTAATTCTGAGCATCACTAATACCATACCGTACTGCAATCTTAATGACTAGCGACCGGGGCGTCTTGAACGTCCTGCTGAAAGACTAAGCACCTAGCAAACTACGGTTACCTTGCTGCGCAGAAGGATGGGCCTCCTTGAGTAGGAGCTTTGTTGCAAATTGACGTCGAGCACACGCAATGACAATATCTACATAAAAACTTTTTGGTAGACACCAAGCCGCCCCTTTTTTTTGTTTCCGATGCACTCCCGATGCGTAGATAGAAAAATGTCGGAACATGAATATGCACAGACGATCAATTTTGTATCCCCCCAAGAAATGCAAGAACAAAAACCATCAACCCACAACACTCGTACTTTTCCTTTGTTGATTCGGAATACTCAATGCGTCCCGTTCACGCTCGCCTCCAGCCGATTCACCAGCGGACTCCCCTCATACTCCTTCTTGCCTGCCTGCCTAGGACTCGACTCCGGGCTCGGGATATCCATGGTATTTGATCGCTTAGGGCGGAAGGGTATCGGGGTGGACGGTCTTGAAGAGAGGAACTATACCTAATTAGCAAGAGTGTACACAGGAAGAGAGTGATTGGTGACAACTTACCGACGAAGCAGCCGACAACAACGCAATTAGCGACGCCTGAACAACATCCTCATGAATGCCCACGCCCCAGACCTTCTGGCTGCTCCCCGCAGCCGTACACTCGATATACGTCGCCGCCTTGGCCTCCTTATCCGTACCAATCGTGTGTTCCCGATAATCCGCAACATCTAGGTCAATTCCCAGATTCCGCAGAGCATCGGCTAAGGACGAGATAGCGCCGTTACCCGAGCCTTGAATGCGGTGCTCCTGTCCATCAATCTCAATAACGCCTCTGAATATCCGCTTGAGATTGCGGTTGCTGACTGTCTTGCCGGGTTCAGGCGGCGCAGGGGACTTCGACCGGTCTGCTGTGATCTCGTAGTCGACGAGGGCGAAGCGCGGATTGCGCTTGAGGTGGTATGCTTCTTCGAACAGCTTGGTGATTTCGGTGGGGAGGAGTTCCCGGCCCAGCATATCCGTCTCGCGCTGCACGATCTTGGAGAAGGCGATTTGCAGACCGCGCGGCAGGTCGAGCTCCAGCTGGCGCTGGATGATCCAGGCCACGCCGCCCTTGCCGCTCTGCGAGTTGACGCGGATGATGGCTTCGTAGGTGCGTCCGATGTCCTGCGGGTCGAGAGGGAGGTAGGGGACTTGCCACGGCGACTCGGCATTTGCGTGCTCCCGCTTGCGCTTCTGGAAGCCCTTCTTGATGGCGTCTTGGTGGGAGCCGCTGAATGCGCAGACGACGAGCTGGCCGCCGTACGGGGCGCGTGGATGTATGGGGATCTTGTTACACGACTCCACGACGTCGATGACAGAGGTTAGATCCGAGAAGTCGATGCCGGGGTGTATGCCCTGCGTATACAGGTTCAGCGCCAGCGTGACCAGGTCCACATTTCCCGTCCTCTCGCCATTGCCGAACAGCGTGCCTTCCACGCGATCCGCACCCGCCATCTGCGCCAGCTCCGCCGCTGCAACCGCACATCCTCTGTCATTATGCGGGTGCAGGCTCACACAGATCTTCTCCCGCTCGGTTATATTTTTGCAAAAGTACTCGATCTGGTCGGCGTACACGTTCGGCGTTGCCATCTCGACCGTCGCGGGCAAATTAAATATAATCGGCTTCTCCACGCTCGGCTCCCAAGCTTTCTTAACCGCCTCGCACACCTCCACCACAAACTCGGGCGATGAGTCAGAGAAGGTCTCTGGCGAAAACTCGTACGTCCACTCCGTCCCGCTCTGCTCAGGATCGTCCTTTGTAATGGACCGCGCATACCGCGTGCACTCGACGGCTAGTGCCTTGGTATCCTCATTGTCCATATTGAACACGATCTGCTGGAAGCACGGGCTCGTGGCGAGGTAGAGGTGGAGGATGGCCTTCTTGGCGCCGCGGAGGGAGTCGACGGTGCGGCGGATGAGCTCCTTGCGGCAGGGTGAGAGGACCTGCAGCCAGACGTCGTCGGGGACGATGCCCTCGGTCTGCACGAGGCGCTGCGTGAAGTCGAAGTCGGTCTGCGACGCCGACGGAAAAGAGACCTCGATTTCTTTGTAGCCGAGCTGGACGAGCATCTGGAAGTACTGCCACTTCTGGTCGCCATCCTACACATGCCCAATTAGCACTGCCTACCCCAATTGAGCAGCGATCGAACTCACCATAGGGTCCACGAGGCTCTGGTTTCCATCGCGCAGATCAGTCGACAGCCAGCGCGGCGGCTTGTCGATGGTTTTGGACGGCCATGAACGGTCTTTGAGGTTCAACGGCGTGAACTTTCTGTATTTCTTCCAGGGCTCCTTGAGCATCGGCATGGCGGCGGGTGGGCGGCGGGGTGGATGGAAGTTGGTAAGAAGGTAGGCGAGCACTTATGTCGTGTACGGCGTGCTGTGGAGGAATGATTCACAGGCAAAAAGTTTGTAGCGCAAATAGCGGCTTATGACGGAACTTGCAGGGCTGTTCATGCGGGGCACGTGCTTTTCCCCTCGAATGCGGGGCATGCAGAGCCGAGCCGAGTCCGGACGAGAGCCAATCCCAGTCCGGATGAAGACAAGCACGCCCTATGCGCTCCCTATGCATGGAAAGGGCGTGATCCGGTGGACGACGACGTGTGCTCTTCCATTGCAGCCTCACACCTGCATCCCATGATTTCTTTTATACCCCGGTGCCTAAAAGACAGGTATCCTACACCCACAGCACTCCAACGTCCTCCCCTCCACATCCGCCACCCGTCCAAAGTACATCCACAACAGCTCCTGCAAGAACGCCCGATCCGCCTCGCTCCAAGTATCCAGCCCCATCCTACTAACCTCGTCCCTATCCACCACCAATCCCTCGTCCTCCTCGCCCTCCTCGTCCTGCCGCTCTACCAGCTCATTTAAGATGATGAGGAGGAGCGTGGTGGAGCGGTGAAAGTACGCGATGATGGCTGTTTGGAGGCCCTCGTGGTAGTCAGAGAGATCCCCGAGCAGATCGCGGTCCCTGTCCCGCTCCGAGGCTGTATATGCGGGTTGCTCGCCCGCCGACGCCCACCACATGAAGCCTTGGTAGGCGAGGCGTGTCCATGTGAGGGGCTCGACGATGGAATCGTCCATCTCGCTGAACGCGTCCTCTTCTTCCTCCTCGCTGGCCTGACGTAGTAGCGCGGCGCGGTCGTCGTCCTCGTCTACGTCGTCCGTCGTGCTGCTCGCGCGTCTTCGGTGCTTCCACAGCTCGCGATGTAGCATCTTGTACCGCCATAGATCCCGCTGACTGGCTTTTATCTGCGCGCCGTCTGATGTCTTCATACCTGGCCATCTTCGTTTCGAAGGCGGTGCGTCGTATGCGTGTGGCATCTCGACGACGATGTCGTATAATGCTTTCTTGGTCGTCAAGATCTCGTCCGTCGTACATGCAACCCAACCCTGTGAGGGTAGCTCATCCCCCGCCGCTTGCGCACCATTCGCTTTCGGCACTTGCAGTTGTTCCAATTGCGGTATATCGTGAACCCCCACAGAAAACAGCGCAGGGAGACGCAGTAATCCCTCCGTCCCCGGTGACAGAAGCTCAGCCGCGTGCGGAGGTATACTCGAGAGGACCGAAAGGTTATACACTGCGCCCAATTAGCCCTCCCTTCCACTCTCAAAACTGTGCCCGTATACCATACCAAACTCGCAGCACGTCCTCACCGGCGGCGCGCCCACAAACAGAATCCGCTTCCTCAACAGCGCAGCCTGCTGCAGCCGAAAAACCAGCGGCCCAAACACATCGAGGTACTGTATCACGCTGAGCGCAGGATGGAACGCCGGCAGCGACTGATCGCTCGGTATAACCGCCGTGATCGTACTCAGCGCCCTCGCCCTACTATGTCCTCTCTGCGCGCCCTCTTTCGACGCCGAAGCCTTCGGGCTCGCCTGCTCCGCCCAGAACTCTTCCAGCGGCGCCGTCAGGTCCGGGTTGTCCGCGAGACTCGACGCCATCTTCTGCAGCCTGCCGGCAAGCAGCCAGCTCCGTCCCAGCCGCCCATAGCGCCGACTCACCAGGATCCCGACGGCGACGAAATTCGCATTGCGCTCCTCCGCGCTCGCGTCGCCCTTCGCGAACGCGCTGAGCCCGGCGTAGCCTTCGTGCACGAAGTACACGAGATCGCTCTTCACGGCGTGCAGGCCCGAGGGCAGCGACTTGAACTCGACGGCGCCGTCGAGCGGGACGTCGACGCAGGAGCGCTTCCAAGCGATTGTGTATCTGTGGCGGTAATGTCAGCGTACTGCTTCCCGGGGGGAGTTGCACCAGCGCCATACGTACCCGATCTTCTTGTCGAACTTTATTAAGAATAGCGCTGAGACCTGCGGCGCGTCGTTTTCGCAGCCGGAATCAACATCGGTCGCGCTCGAGTCGGTCGATGCAGGCATGGCTGGACCGCCGTTGTCGTGGTTGACGGGCGCGGGCTGGCATGCAGCGCCGTTGGAGAGGCGGGCGGGTCGGGCTCGGTTAGACTTGCGTGTTCGAAGCACATACATAGATAGAGCAACGCCCATCCATTATATCTGCACCTCCTTCAAAACTCTCTTTCCCGCGAAGAGAGTCTTCATCCCAAGTCCACACGTGGCGGCCTCAACTCTCAGATCACACAATCTGAATCCTCCGCTCCTTAACACCTTTGAATAGAGACACTTCCACCCCCATGGCCACCCCCCAAGCTGCCTAAGAAACAACACCGTCGCCGGGGCCCACTTGTCCCTCCACTCGTATCCCGTCAGAACCACGAGGCAGTAGACATCCCGCCCAACCAGCTGCTCAGCATCATTGTCATGTCTCCGTTCGACTAGGATAGCTAGTTCACAATGGAGACTGGGTGTGCGAAGAGCGGTATCAAAGATTCATTCAGCTCCTGCGCCTGGGTAGATCAGATGGTCAAGACCTTGCGCCACCGACCTTGCCAGTTCGCCATATCTCATGCCCACGGCCGTTAGCCGCGATGAACAATAGACGATACATCCTTTTCCAAACGAAAACGAGCGCACGAGATTTTGTTTGGGACAAGCTTCATTGCTCTATATGCTAAGATGCCATATGCGCAATCCCCGCTTCTATATACCCCATAACCCGCTTTTTATTCGCATCCCCCCACGCCCAGCTCAGCGACAGCCCGAAACTAGCACACCGCATGCGTCTTCCCATGCTTCGCCTGCAAGCTATGGTCGTCGTCGAAGTGGCCCGTCGACCAGCGCTTCGACGGGGGCATGTTCCCAATGAGCGTCGAGCGGCGGCGCATGTGGAACTCTTTCGCGTGCCTGGGATGCGGTCAGTCCTATTCGTAGTTGGAGGGAGTGGAGAATGCTTAACACGTACTCCCTGTGCTCCTCGAGCCGCTTTGCGTCCATGGCGTCGAGCGTCTGCAGCGCCAACTTGAAGTCAGTGATCAGGGCGTCGCAGCGCGACTTGGTGAAGTCCTCGCGCACGACGATGCGCATGAGCTTCATTTGCTCCGAGTGCGGCGCCATGGTGTATGCGGGGACGACCCAGCCGCGCTCGCGGAGCTGGTGGGCGCTTTTGCTAGGTTAGTGCGAGGTCCGGTCGCGTTCAGCGGAGGTTTTACTTACATGGCGAACTCGTCGTACTGCTTGCCCAGGTCCTCATCCAGCCGGCAGGCTACGAGCGGCAGCCCGGCGCCGCTCCTCTCGGACAGGATAATGAAGCCCAGCTCCTCAAGGTTCGCAGCGAGATAGTCGGCCGTCCGCGTGAGATTGAGCATGATGCGGCGGTATCCGCGCTTGCCCAACCGGATCATCTGGTAGTACTGGCCGATGATCTGAGACGCGCCGCGGGAGAAGTTCAGCGTGAAGGAGGCTTGGTCTGCGCCGAGATAGTTGATGTTGAAGACGAGTTCTTTGGGGAGGTACATCGGGTCCCGCCAGACGACCCATCCGACACCGGGGTAGACGAGCCCGTACTTGTGGCCGGAGACGTTGATGGAGACGACTTTTTCCAGGCGGAAGTCCCACTCTAGGCCTGGGTTGACGAACGGGACGACGAAGCCACCGGAGGCGGCGTCGACGTGGATGGGGACGTCGATGTTTCGCGCGACGAGCAGGTCGTTGATGGCCTTGACATCCTCGTACCTGGACATTGTGAGCTATACAAGCGCAGAGATTGATAAGCGAGGTGTGAAGCGTACTCTCCCGTATAAGTGGTCCCCAGAATCGCACAAATACCAATGGTATTCTCGTCAATCAGGTCGACACACTCGTGCGGATCAATCACGTAGCGGTCTCCTGTGCAATACACGTATTTCTCCTCTACGTCAAAATACCGCGCGGCCTTCTCCCAGCACACCTGGACAGCCGAATTCATGATGATGTTGGGTCTGTCGTACGGCTTTCCTTGGGCCTTGCGCTTGTTGGCCCACAGCTTCTTCATGGCGAGCACACCGAGCATGATGGCTTCCGAGCTGCCGATCGACGAGGTGCCAACCGCGTTGGAGTCTTCCGACGTGGGCGCATTGAAGAGGCGGGCGATCATGGCTACGCAGCGGTTTTGGATGTCGGCGCTGACGGGGTACTCCTCGTAGTCGATGAAGTTCTTGCTGAAGGCGTCGACCATGAGCTTTTCGGCTTCGTCTTCCTGTATGTGTTGTTTAGCAAATATCCTCCTACAATTCTAACTCTTCCAGAAAGCGTGGGACATTTCCGTGCGTGTCTCTAGATTGCTCCATGTACAAAGTTGTCGAGCGCCCCACATATGAACAGGCTGAGGGGACCTATATCATAGTTTCCCACGCCGTGTTCAATTGGAGGAGTCCTGGGGCCGTCCCATGCCAGTCCCTTCTGGTCAAGCTCGCATGCGCACCCAGTGGAACGACAGCGGGTACGGAGCGATGAGGATAACGACAACGGCGAGAAAGCTCCAGCGGGACAGTCATCGTCTCATGGATGCAGGCACTACACATGATCAGCCCACAAACACCCCCCAAGCCAATCCAGACCAACTTACCATCATCCCCCCCGCACCATCGCAGCCCGTCCGCTCCCTCCTCTCCTCCTCTCCGGCAAAACCCACGCCTCCCGGGAAGCAGAAAACACATACCATATACGTCGTAACAAAGCTCGCCAAATTCAGCGTCGGCGTCCCATCCAGCGTAAGATCATCCTTAATCATGCGATACGCCCTATCCCCCCCAAAACATCAGCGCTCTCTTCTTTCACACACTCTCTCCATAGCAAAGGAAAGAAGCACTCACACCTGCGGCGGCATCTCGCGCTCCTAGAAACCCCGCATTAGCAAGCCATCCAATCCATCCACTCCAATACATTCCAGCGCCGGCTGTAGAAGAGAAGGCGCACGTACTGGCATCTCATACCGCGGCAGATCCTCCGCCGCATACTTACTCCCATACACGGTCGCAGTAAAATCATCCGGCTCCTCGTCGACGGGCTCGAACTTGAACTTGCTCAGGCCGCCGACGAGCCTCTTGGTGGCTTGGATTTCGGCATCCGTGGCGATGCGGTTGAGGTGCACCATTGCGGGCAACTCGACGTAGGTAATCCCCGTCTAGAAGATTAGGTAGAGAGGAGAGGGGGGAGGAGAAGAAGTTTACGAGAGAAGTTTAAAAGAGAAAGGGAGGGGAGGATTGAGGTCAGGTTGGGTTGTAGTGGCAGAAGTCGACGCGCAGCTCTGAGCTATTATTTTAACCCCGCGGTAGCAGTGGGGTCAGCTCCTACCTCCATAGATAGCTTCCGCCGCCCTGCGCACACGCATCATCACGCATACGCAGCACAGCCATCATCGCACATACCAGCGCCCGTAAACCCCCCCGAATCGCATGCCCGCATCACCAATCGCGCGGCCCAACTCTCGTGCGCTGGCACCCGGTCGCGCCGTCGCAGCCCTGATTCGATCGCCCGCGACAAGCCTTCCCGCGCAAAGCTTGTTTGCTGTCCAGTACAGTACCTCGCCGGGGGGGTGTCCGCTTACGGTACATGTACACCGCCTGTTGGTCGACGGACGATGACGCGCCTAACTACTAACTAGCGCTAGCTGCGCGGGGGGAGCTGCGGGACGAGGCTTGTAGCTAGCTACTAGCTACCCAGAAGCGGGTACTGCGACGTGTGGGCCAGGCACACGATGGATGTGGATGCGGGATTTAGGGGGACAGGTGACGGTAGTGTGAGGAAGGCGGAAGGCGGTGCGTGTGGAGTGAGAGTAGCGGGGCTGAGGCTTGAGAGACGTGGCGGGGTGGGCGAGTGGGCATATTGTCTCGCGCATTGGGGTTGGATTGGGAAGTTGATTACACAGTACTGGTATAGTAGGGGGGGTGGTGCGCTTGAAAGGGTAACATGCAATTGCGAAAAGATGGTGCATTGTTGCGACGCTAGCTACGCCTCGGTGCCAGCGTGGGGCGCGAAATCGTAGATCGTAGGTAGGACGAGCGATGGATGGAAATGAAGTACTGTAATGCAATTTTTCCTAAAATCTACCCTTGTGTGCTTATACCCATACCCACAGATACCGCCGAATTTTCCGTGCCGGGGTATCTTTCCGACCTGTCCACCGCCAAATGCCAATGCGAACACTCTGACGAATGTGATCGTAAACGAAGTATGAAAGAAATAGAGATGGAAATGCAGGCCCAAAGATCTAGGTAAAGTGTATGATCTGGGACATGCGCGAATATCAGACTGATCCAAATGACGCTGAAAGCTCGTGTTGGGCGATGGGTCGCGGGTCCGCGCGTATTCATCAAGTAACGGGGTTGCCCCAAACAAATTCGAGTGTCCAACGGAGGACGCGGAAAGCATGCTGTGCGTGACGAGAGACGGGTGACAGTGGGACGACGAAGGTATTGAGAGCTGATAGCCCAACCGATGGACGTTTGCAATGCAACTCAAGGGTGGAGGATGCTCGTACCTCTCCGGCTCCAGCGAGACGCGAGGCGCGCATCTAACTCGTCCCTGCACTCATATGATGTTCGCAATGCTGATGCGACTCGCACTGGACGGCGTGGTACTCGGTTTTGGCGGCGATACAGGCGGCGCATCGGGGGCCAGCTGCACCCTCTTATCAGGATTGTGTGGAGGAGGGTAATACGACGGCCCAGCGTGTTGCGCCAACCTCGGTCTCTGCTCTTCCATCAATTGGCGAATCATATGCTCCACTCGTCCCCAGCCACCCCATTCTCGTGTCCCGCTCTCTGGGGATCCCGGGTTCGGTCGCAGCGGCAGCGTGTCGTGCATCGGTTCGTCCCGAGCATGAGAATGGATGCCGACATGCGTAGCGCTTTGTGGGGATTTCGGTGCCGACGCATAATCCGCCCGTGTCCACGCCCAGGAGTGCTCTAGCCTGCTTTGCAGGTCGCCGCTTGCGTAGGCGAGCATTTCTTCGTCGTGCTCGAGGCGATGCAGACTGCCGTGCCCACTTCGGACCCGCTCCGTTAGCCGATCGAGGAAGAAGGCAAGGTTCCTGCCGCAGGCAGTGTTGACCTTCCGTAAATCTCCTATTGCTACCGGTAGGTGGAGGCATGCGAGCGCCGCCTCGTAATCGCCGCGAAAGCACAGCATTAATAAGCATCGCCAGACGTGTATGCAGATCATATTGCTTGCCAGCAGCGCCACTCTCGTCTGCCAGCTCTTTTCCCATTCAGATTTACCTGCAGGCGTTTGCAGTGTCCGCGAGATGTATCTAGCAGTATCCTGGGCTACTGCGGTGCATCGGGCGATCGCTTCGGCCCGTTCCGGTGGTCGACATACCGGAGAAATATTTCGTCTGTAGAGATGAAAGCGGGCGAACTGGAGAGTCAGGATCGGAAGTAATGCCGTTGGTTGAAGTTGCGCTTCGAAGGCTACCTGGTACGACTCTGGAAGCGATGACAAACTCGACTGGAACTCTTGCTCATAGCTCTGAATATCCTGCGCCGTGATCGTGCTTGATTTCAACGACTGATATAGCCCCGAGAACGAACGCGCAACTTGAACGACGGCGACAAATCCCGACAAGTACGCTTGGGTCTGGCGGGCGCGGAAGAATCCTTGAGCTTCAATATAGCGATCTTCAACTGAGGATGGGTGTGAAATATCGCAGTCCTCTTCGTTGATTAGCATTGGGCAGTTGGTCTCGAGCGATGTTAACCTGGTGCACGTTAGCCCGTCCAGTCTGAGCGATCGCGAGAGCAACCTACCTATCCCGCGTGTACATGGCCCACCAAAGCCTTCGTCGCATCTCAGCTTCTAACACGGGTAGTGCATCACTCTCCACGTTCAGTCCTAAGCCCTGGGCGATTCGGACACCACAAGCTAACCATATCGAGCCAGCTGATTTTATATTACTCTCACTGGCGAATATGCTCAGGAGCAACGCAAGAGTGGCATGTGTGCTGGTGAAGCTGTGGGGCCAGGGAGCCATGGCATGGCACGCAATGTCGAAGAACCTTGCACCGTCGCTTGTGCCCTTGGGAGACCCGAGCGGGGAAGTTGGAGGGTGAAGACTTCCGCAAGCTAGCACCGCGAAGAACAAGCCAATCCACTCACGTGCTTTGCCTTCGAAGCTTCTCGTGGTGTATACCAAGTCCACCTCTTGCTGAAACGTCGGCCAATGTAGTATGGGGTAAGCTTCGTGAATGGAGTCTAGGTATGACCGGGAGATGTGGGCAAAGTCGGCTCGCAGTGGGATGTCAGGGAAGCTTGAGGCAGTGTCTGCCAGCGAGCCACTGCCTGGAGGACTCGGAGAGTCAAATATACCCCGGGACTGTATTCGAATGTTCCTGCGCACTTGATCAAAATCCCGCATGACAGGAGCAGGGACTCTCTTTGGAGTGCTCTGATGCAATCCTTGGCTCTCTGGAGCGTGATTCGCAACAGGTGCCCGATCGACTTCCATGCTATCCCGTTCAGCAAGTTTTGACCGGTATTGGGCATTTAGTTGCGTCAGTTCGGCGATTTGAGCCTGAAGATCTTGGACTTGCCTGCGGAGTTAATCAGCATGATGTTGTTGGAGTAGTGCAGAGACTAGGACGCACTTGATTGATGACATCCGCCTGTTCGTCTCCTTCGTGAACTGGCACTTGTGGTTCCTGCTGGAACATTCTGAACACGCGGTCGTCTCCGTTGCATCGCACTGCGGCGTTGTCAGTTGCTGTACGACAAAGTGATCATTCCGCACGCTGCTTGCAATGCTCAGAACCTCAATCGAATGTGCTCACGCCCAATATTACCCGCCTTGCGCCTTGCTCACATCTTTGTATGGCTAAATGGCACCCCTGTCAACGATGTTGTCCGAAGAACCAACCGTGCCATGGCGTTCAAGACTCATTCCAAATGTTTTATATCCAAACTGATCCGGTGCCTCTAGAGGCACCCGTGGTCCATCCATCATCGAGGCTGAGACCGAGCGAGGTTCGAAACAGCTTCAGTACTCACCTTAACTTTTCTTTCCCTGCAGGCATCGCAAGATGGGTCCTTCCTGCGCTGCCGGTACGCGCGCTTCTGAGCATTCAGGTTTGCTGATGATATGTGTGTAGGCGAAATCCCCACGCCCGTGTGGTCGTTTGCCTGTAGTTCGGGTACGCCCCCGGACGCTGTGCTCGGAGAGGTGGAGTGGCTGAAAGTTGCGGAATTGTATGGGCCAGGAGAGCGAGATCCCGCTTGAGATAATTGAGGAGCGGTGAGACTGTGTGGTCGAGCAGCAGGTGCGACAAGTGCGAATGGATTTGGTGGTGGTATATGGCCTCGGGGAGATCCGCCAGCAGAGCCTGGTGGAGATGTAGGCATGGCGGACGATACACCCTCAGGATGATGTTGGTTTGAAGTGGACATTGGAGCATCCATGGCGCGACAAATCGAGGGGTCCGAAGGAATTAAGGATGCTGTGGGGAGGGTGGATATCTCGGCAGCAACCGAGATGTCGCCGCTCGGAAATGCGCCCAGCAACACGGAGAGTTCGGGGGAATGATTGTCTAAAGATAGCCAATAGGCAGGAAGGTCCGGGTTCCTGACCCTAGTTCGGCTCGGTTTCGGTTCAGTTCCACGGTGCGGGTGAGCTGTAGCCTTGGGGCTAGGCTGACTAAAGTGCACGGCCAGCTGAACTAGACTACGCGAAGATGCGGCAGATCCTGGCCATGGGGGATGACGGCTCAGAAGTCAGTGGTAAAGATGAACGAGTCGTTGAGCTGAAGCTTGCTTCAACAGTCCTGATCAGCAAGCCAGCCAAGCGGCGAGCACTGTAAAGAAGGATTGGCCCAGAGATGGAGGGGTGCAGGTTCGCAACAGGCAACGCCAGGAGTGGGAGGAAACCGCGTCTTGCGGGCTGTAGTCGGATGGCAGCTGTAGAGGCGCAGGTGGCTGGAATGAAGAGTGCTGTGGTGGAAGGCACGAAGGGCGAATAGACGGAGTGAGGCCGGATAGCCACGCCGGCCGGGCCACGGACGGCAATGACTGGCAAGATAGTAACAGGATCTGACGACTTGTACCTCCCAGGAGCGATGTTACGCCAAATGATCAGCCCGGGATCCCGATTGCTGAGAGGGTTAATCAACTGAGGCGCATTATTTGTGAGATGAAGGAAGGGCAAGGGTCTAATGATTGCCACACATACCTTTGCGCCGACGATATCGGACGATTAAAAGAGTAGGCAGGGAGTTGGCGAGTGTTGCGCTCCGCGGCGCAGACCTGCCCAAGAGGAGCTGTGGGACTGAAAGGCCGGGGCTGAGTCTCCCGGATTCCGGGGCTCTTCGAATCGATGCTTCAGAAAATTTTGATTCCGCTTGACAGTTGGACGGGTAAAGGTTCACTTCAACATGTTTTGGAGCTGTGGCGGAAAAGAACGCCACACTCAACGTACGAGTAGGCTTGTCGCCATCAACAAAGGGTCGGCACGGGCCAGGCACGGCAGTCCATGTGCGCGCTATGAACGCCCAATGGTATTCGTGGTGCGTTGAAGTGATGGTCATCCTTGGGTGGAACGAGGGTTCGACCAATTGGACTATGAGCGGCATGACGGCCCCGTAGTCATGTCGGATGACGATCCGGATGCCTATCACAGTAGTTTTGGAGACATCGAAACGATCCTCGGCATGATGCAGATTCCAGAAGGGACCGAATTCCTTCCTTGAAACGAATATACCGGAGCAGCTATCCCCAAATCGTGATGCGCTGGACAGATTCGGCGAGCAGCATCTGCAGGAGCGGTGCTGCAAGCAGCAGGTGATGAGAAACCTCCCTCGCTAATGCCTGCCCGCATCGCGAGGGTCGAGCTCGTCCAGGGCGCACGGCTGGCGGCTACGCATTGTCCCTCGGTTGGAGCTGGGTAGGGCTTTGCTGAGACGACGGCGGGTGAGCACGAGGATTGGCCTCTCACCCACACAGGCAAGGGAGGACAGCTCCGTTGAAGTGGTCCACGCGGGTGCTGCATAAGCGCAACCTCCGGTACAGTGCCCAATTGTAGTACGAAGCGCGCGATGCAGCCCGTTGAGAGCAAATTTTCGGCGCACGGCAGCTTCCAATTGCTCAGTTACCGTAGCCGTTCCGATTTGCTGTTGATTCTGCGCGAGAGTGCACGATGGCGGAAGGCAAAAAGTCACTTCAATCCGCCGTTGAGCTCGCCGACCGTCTTGAATACCCCTCATCGGTAGATTCCAAGGGGTTAGATTCTTGTCAATCCGAACCACGGCTCGACTGAGAGGGGTTGGATGCTCAGCCAGCCAACGCGCGTGATGAAGAAAGCAACCCCTGTCATCGCGGGCTTGCCATGTGTGGCACCGGTGCTCGAGAAACGTGTTTTCCCCACGCCCCAGCTTGCGCGTGTACGCATCCGGTCCGCGAGACCCACAAGGGCCCTCGAAGAACCCCCTCAGAGACTTCTAGCGGCGGGTCGGTGCCTTGGCATCACGCTTCCCATGAATCCCATCCATCAGCCGCATACTCGAGCACACTATACTCGCGTATATTTCCTACTGTGGTGCCGAACTTGCTAAAAATCCCAAAGCAGATGGCATGGGAAAGTACTGGGCTGATCTGGACCTACCAAGCCGGCGTCTAGACCGCGACGTTGCCCCTGCGCAGCTCCCGGCTGCCAGAGCCGGACCTCTCTGCTCGAGGCTCCAACGACACGTCTCAGGCACATTTCCATGTCTCCATGACGCGGGCCAGGCGCTACTGTACGTCTCCCGAGCACGGACATGGCGACCTCGGAAGCGTCTAACATCGGCCGTGGTATCGATCTGCCCGTGCGCCCAGATGCGATAGAGTTAGTGTCCATGCGTCTTTGCATCTCCGCGTCTATATCAAACTCCTCGGTCCTTCTTTTAGAGATATCCTGTGTCCCTTCGCTTAGGTCTGTGGAACGGGGACAGCAGAGGTACGCTCGTATCTGTCGTCAACTATTGAATCGACGCCGTGACGGCAGTGTGCATCAACCGCGTGCTATCGAGCCGGAAAAGAGGCAATTGAGATCTGCGCGCCGGCGTGTTGATGACGGTGTTGCGGGTCGGCAGCTTCCGCTCAGAATTACTGCCGATGCATGTTTCGGGCCCTGAAACTCTTGGGCCTCTGCTCCTTTCGCCCTACAGGACCATCTCTGGGCAACCCGGGATTGAGTGCGCAGTGGCTCAACCCCTGATCTGCCTTCCGATAAGGATACCGTTGGTCGGCTGGGTAAAGTCGTCATGGCGATCAATCGCTGGAGGTTTGCCCACTGCGACGATCGGCATGTCAGAAGTCTCTCGGCGGGATCGGCGTCGTCGTGCACAGCCCCAATGCAGCGTTGAGTGATGTCGGAGGCGTGCCGACGCTCTTGCGGCGGGTAATTGTTTGACGATCCGGGACTGGACCGGCATCCCAGTGGCGACTTAAGCTTCCAAGCCACGGCGAAACATGCTCGCGGGTGGATGTGACAGCGGAGAGCGGAGGTGAGCTGCGGGATGGGGAAATTCGAAAAGAAAATTCTGCATGGGACGTTTCGCCTGCCGCATCGTGGCTTCCTTTTGCGCCGGAGAAGGAGCGTTTTCGCATTCGGCCAATGAGCGGCCGCGGAGCGCTGCCGTCGGATATCCGTGGCAAGCCGGCACATTTGGGTGGCTTCGGAACTCGCCTGGTGCTTTTGGCGCGGCGACGACAGGCTCGTGAATAATGCGGTGGACTTCACCTCGTGTCCGGTGGTGGTGGGCGAGAATGTCTCGCAGCAGTCATCCCTTGAATGCCATTATGGGAGGTGCGACTTCCAGCACGTGGCGGAGCGAAAGGGACGCCAACCTAAACTAACCTTAATTGAACCTCCTCAACATTGCATCCCATGATGCCGAAGTCTCTGTACACTCCGGCGAAGCGTTTGCAGATGTAAATTTGAGATACTCGACTTCGGAGTGGGCCGCAGCTACCGCATTCGAATGCTTACGTGATGGGTGAATATGCCACCATCAGCTTCAAAGGCCTTTGGCATCCAATCGCCATAGCACTCCGTTGATTCCATCCTCAGTTCGGTAACAGTTTCTCATTAACACGCGAGAAATCGAAGCGAAACCCGTCTTCCAGATGGCGAAAGCTTCCCTGCGAGAATTTCTCAGGTGCCTGCCAAAGTGCGAACACCACATGCACCTCGAAGGCGCCCTCTCACCCCAATTGCTCTTCGAGCTCGCTGCCAAAAACAACACCACCCTCCCCCAAGACGATGCAGCCTTCAAATCGCCGGAAGCGCTTCTCGAGCGATACAGAAGGTATATAACCGTGACATTCCAAGCTTCTTCCCGCTTCAGGCGAGCTAACGGATACAGATTCACATCCCTTGACGACTTCCTGCACTACTACTACATCGGCATGTCCGTCCTAATAACGCACTCCGACTTCGAGGCTCTCGCATGGGACTACTTCCGGCATGCAAAAGCCGACGGCGTGGCGCATGCCGAGCTCTTCTTCGATCCTCAAGCGCACACTGCGCGCGGGGTCGGCTACTCCACCGCGGTTGCCGGGTTCGACGCAGCGTGCAAACGCGCGGAGAAAGAGCTGGGCATCACCTCGATATTAACGACGTGCTTCCTGCGGCACCTGCCTGTGGAGGACAGTCTGGCCGCATTTGATGCTGAGGATGTGCAGGAGAGCTACGTGAGCGGGGTGGTTAAAGGTATCGGATTGGATAGTAGTGAGAACGGGTATGCGCCTGAAGGCTTCAAAGAGCTGTTTGCGAAGGCGCGGCACCAGGGTCTTAATCTTACGACGCACGCGGGCGAAGAAGGCCCGGTCTCGTATATCGCCAGCGCGCTGGACAATCTCCGCGTGAGGCGGATCGATCATGGAATCAAGCTGGTTTACGACGAGCATCTGATGAAGAGGATCGCTTCTGAGAACATCATGCTCACGGTATGTCCGCTCAGCAACGTTGTGCTCCGCTGCGTAAACACCATCAAGGACGTCCCGATACGCAAACTCCTCAACGCTGGCGTCAAATTTAGCATCAACAGCGACGACCCCGCCTACTTCAGGGGATACATTCTCGATAACTATCTCGCTGTGCAGGATGCGTTTGGCTTGAGCGTGGAGGAATGGGAAGGCATTGTAAGAGCGGGGATCAACGGAAGCTGGTGCGGGGAGGACAGAAAGACGATATTATTGCAACTGTTGAAGGGAGTCGTTGTCGAATGGGAGGAGAGACTAGAGGAGGAAGCAGGACAAGTCAATGAGGGATTGCGGCGGCAGAGTCAAGAAATCGAAGTCCGCGCCTGATGGGATCCACGAGTCCCCACACATCGCATCTCCGTGGGTTCCAAAGCCTACAGTATCCACACGGTGGAAACACTTCAGCAATATTGCTCAGTGCTTGATCAGTTTGGCTGCATGAGGCTGCTGCTCGCTAAGCCTTGGGCCTTGCACTCGCCAGCCACGATTTCTTTCAGCTCTGTGTTTCGCGACTTCAGCCGCGCCATCAACAACTCCGACCAACCGCCCCACAAACACCCTTCCGCAATTTCACCTTCATCTTCCTGCTCGCCTGTGGTCCATACCTTTGACCGACCAGGTCCTGGCACGTTAGTCGACACGATGAGCTCTTCGCCCGCACCAGTCGAATCGCCGAATCAGTACAGCCTAGTATCCGATACCTACGGACCGGGCGTCGTCCTAGCCTGGATCTTAGTCGCCTACACCATTGCGGCGCACATCATTGAACGCGCCTCTCCGGGAATAGACACCATCAAACGCGACCTTCTCATAACCGTCAGCTTTCCCGCCGGCGTCGCCGTTCATCTCGTCATTCTAGTCAGCCAATATCCCGACCCGTATAAGGAGATCTGGACAACGACCGAAAACAAACTCCTACCGTATGCGACAGCCATATGGGCCCCTGCGGTAGTGTGCAGGATAGCTTCGGCATGAACCTCACGCTGGGCATAATGGCCTCCATTGCTGCACGACCAAACTGGCCCATCAAGAGATTGTGTCTGCTGGGAGTATCGAACACCTGGATCTTCATCGCCCTATGCTACGCACGACACGGATGGTCCTTGCTCGTTATTGGCGCAGCTTTCCTTCCAGCAGCGACACCATCAATTGGATGTCTATGGGGCGCTATGTGCTTCTGCATCGTGGCTTTCGCCCACTCCATAATCCGAACGTCCTTGCGGGGTTCTTGCATGGGGTTCTTCTTCCGTATGGTCGCTCTGGCCATTTCATTCGGCTTCCTTCTTTATATCATCGTCATCTTCGGCGGTTTGGGACTTGTTTGGTATTACTGGATCTTGCCCGATACGAACATTTCGATTGCCGAGTATGAGCAACTTCTGGCGCTCGCGGGGGGAATCATTAATGCTGCCTTTTCTCTGCGGCATATCCTCAGGACATACGGACCAAAGGCTCGGGCCACGTTGGTAAAGATGTGGACGGAAGCTCATGACACCGATTTCTGGTGATTGAAGTCTAGGTCGACAGCTCTGTGCGAGAACTTGGGAAAGCTCGTGGCTTGAATTCCAGAGTCTCTTTCGATAGTACAATAAGAGTTGAGGGCTTCACCTGAAGTGATCGCATCAGCCCCGTTATCCGAATCTCTTCTTCTTCCTCTTTATCTTCTTCGCCCTTGGTCCAGATCTTCGTTGGCCGAGCTGGGGCAGGGTCTAGCGTTGGCCGGTGGGGGCGTGAATCTGGTGTTTTTCATGCGCCGTTTGTTCAGCGCTACCGTAGGAGTGGATATCTGGAATGATGCTTGGCTGGGTCAGATGCGATTTAACTTGGTACACTGGATTCCAGGGCATTAACTAGACAGCACGTCGTAGCACCCAATGGTTCCACCACGCCCACGCCCACACTACAACCGCTCCAGTTTCCCACTCCCCCAAATCTTCCCGCCATCCAGCACAACCACATCCCCATTAACATGCCCGCCCGCCCGACTGCTCAAATACACCACCGCAGCCGCAATATCCTCCGGCCGTCCCAAGCGCCCATTCGGATTCGCCTGCTCCAGCGCTTCCACACCGCCGCTCCTCCTCATCAGCTCGTTCGCCATCTTCGACGGGAAGAAGCCCGGCGCGACGCCGTTGACGAGAACGTGCCGCGGCCCGAGCTCGACCGCGAGATTGCGCGCCAGGTGCAGCACGGCGGCTTTGGACGCAGAGTACGAGAACGAGGCGTTCGCGCCGAGCGAGCCGACGGCTATGCCGGCCACGGAGGTGGTCACGATGACGCGGGAGGGCTGCTCTTTGCTGGCCTTTGCCTGCAGGAGGGGCGCGAATCTGCGCGGTTTGGTTAGTCCGGGCTTGCTCGCAGACGCTGGCATCCACGAGCGCAAACGCACTTCTGGATAGTAAAAAACACCGCCTTGACATTCAAGTCCATAACCCGATCCCACCCGTTCTTCTCATCCACCTCGTCGAACGCCGCGCCCCACGTCGCCCCCGCGTTCGCGAACAGAATGTCCACGTGATCCGTCTCTTTGCCTACGTCTTGCACCAGCCGCTCAATCCCCGCGAGCGTCGAGCTATCCGCGGGTACGGCGTATGCACGGGCCCCTGGTTGCTTGTTTGGCAGCGCGTTGAGGGCTGCTACGGCGGCTTCACATGCTGCGGTTTTGCGCGAGGAGATGAAGACTTTGGAGCAGCCTGCTTGGAGGAGGCTGAGGCGGCGTTAGGGTGGGTATAGTTTGTTTTAGAGATTTTGGGAGGGAAGCGGTGGCACGGACCCCGATGCTGCGTGTAGGCCTAGGCCTCGCGAGCCGCCGGTTACGACGGCTACTTTGCCCGCGAGGGAGAAGATGTTGGCGAAGTCGTGGAGGTGGACGTCTGCTTCGGCCATGCTGGGCGCAAATAGAATAGATTAAGAGGAAATGAAGTGAGAAGGTATTACGATGGAGATTAGAAATCGATCAGTGCATTTGGGGAAGAGGGAAGATTGTTGGTGGTTGTTGCACCTCGGAGCGTGAACGTCTAGAACTTTGAAGTACCGAGGCTGCACTACCTACTCACGAATCGGGTTAGTCTTTTCAGCCCTTCGACATCTGGACCTTCAGCGGCTGGGTAGCATCTCTGGGCATGGATGTGCTCACACATCGTTCATTATTTTGTCCAAACTCCAGCAGAGCGCCCAGAATCCGGATACGCATAAAAGCGTGTACTTGAAAACCGCGCTAAGGGCCTAGGCGCCACAAAGCCTCCTGGCATCCATCCCCGACCTCACAAAGTATTCCTTTCCATTAGCACGCCGTCCGACCGAGAATCCTATGCCGGCTATGGCGGGCGGCGGTCCCACGCCATCTGTAGCTAAGTGTACCTCGCTCCCTGGCGAGGGCGGCGTAATGTCCATGCCCGAGCCGTCTCGCAAACTCCAGCAGGCGCGCTTGAGGCGAAGATCGTGTAAGGAACACCTCCTTTCTCGGCCGTTGTACAAATAGTGCCTTCGCGGGAAGGGATACTGGACAACCTGTTAATGGACGTCGGGCACGGTTGGAATGGGTGGCGGAGGCCGCTAAGACCCACGCTGCGAAGACGCCTAGATCGTAGGTATCTCCGGCCTATCGTGTGGGTTGGATATCCATCTACGCTGTAGTCCGTCGACATGTCGACGGCGTGAAGGGCCGGGAGTGCGCAGAAAAGGGTCGACGATGGTCTAGCTGTAGAAGAAGGAGTGGTGAGTAACGACTGGCTGAGGTCTTAGGAGTAGGAGAGCTGAATACGGAAAATTGTGGCGGGGGGCTACGAGCGCACAGAGTTGGGCTTCAAAGCTGCCTTTGTCGCGGCGGCGGCCGAAGGTATCCATAGGCTACTTAGGAAGACCTCCACAATACCGCACAGACTCCCCGTGCTTCTTCGTAGCGTCCTTCCACACAGCCGCCCAGTACTTTCGTCCGCGCCGCTTGACGACATTCCGCAACGAGAACGCTGCATTTATGCACCCGCCCACGAGTGCCAAAGCCTGTCCAAGCTCAAGAACAGGATGACCCGACTTGGGCAGCATGCGCGACCACATCTCAAACCCGACCCACCCATTCACACACACGACAAAAAGAATCGATAAGAAGCTAAGGAAAGCCGTCCCCAGCAGCGCAAATACCTCCATAGAAGTAAGGACCCCGACGCCTCTGACGGGTTGATACAGGGACGCAATGAGTGAAATCAAGATGTGCAAGACGACCCATAGTAGGAGCGGCGTCACGAATAGCGCGTATGCCGCTCCGCAGATCTTTTGGCCAGCTCCAAAGATGCCGACGCCGTGTTGAGATCCGGGAAAGCTTTCGAAGCACAGGGCGACCGAGATCCAGAGACTAGAAACCCCGAGCAGCCAGAATCGCTTTTTCGGCAACGGTTCCTGACTCTTGCGAACAAACTCGGTCGAGCGTCCGAAGTGCAGGAAGAGAAAGGCTAGAATGGTGTTCATTGCTAACGCAATTCTGCACATCAACGCAGAAGCCCATATCGCAGCGGCGTAGGGCACGAGCTGCTCTTCTGTAGTTGTCCAGATCTCTTTTCGTGGGCCGGGAAATCGCGCAACTTGGAGGACGAGGTGGATAGCAACGGCAATAAGGTAGGAGATTGTGATGACGAGGTCGCGCTTGATCATGTCGATGCTGGGAGACTTCTCCTGGCCGATTTGCGCGGCGATTGTATAAGCGACGAGGATCCAAGCGAGGAAAACGCTAGGACCATACGTGTCCGACACTCGATTGTACAGATTTGGAACCTTTTCTAGGCTGTATTCGTCCTTGGTGCTAGCGGATGGAGCGGTGCCGAGCATTCTCGTTGGAGAGCGACAACGTGAAACTCCAGCAACGTAGAGTTAGAATTGCAAAACTAGAATGCGGTGGTGAGCGGCGCTGATTTGTTTGGTGGGGAGCAGCTGGCGTTTTGAGAAGTGACCCGGCACGAGAGCTGAAAAGAATGAAATTGGTGGCTGGCGGCTGAGCGGCTCCAATGCTTGGCCAGAAGACAGCCTTGCCCATCAAGTCTACTGAACGCTAGGAACCATTACATGAAGCTGTGAGTCTAGAAGTGTGGCACATGAAGGGAAAGATTCTAAGGAAGCGAACTCTACTCAGAGCTTACTCTCACCCGGTTGGCGTAATCGAACAACACCCTGCGTCCATTAGCTTGTAGTTCTGCCTCTGGACCGCCGCGGTCCACTCACCTCTTGCACGCAACTCGCAATGAGCTTGCCATCACGAGAGAACATCCGCTGGAAGACCAGTCCGCGCCCGTCGCCGCTCCACGGCGTGTCCATTTCAGTGAACATCCACTCGTCTGCTCGGAAATTCCGCGGGTCGTGGAAGTATATAGTATGGTCGAGACTGACCATCATGCCAATCTCTGGCTGTGTTTTCTTTTTGGATATAGTCTCCCCGTTCTTGTATTGGCGTATGCGCTCAAGATCGGCCTGATCGAGGAATTTGACGCGTTTCAGTTCCTCGTCATCCATGGCAAGCAGCTTCTTGAGCACGTCCTCGTCAATGCTGGACTTAGTGTTGCTCTTGCGGACGGCAGAGTATCTCCACAGCTTGTGTGTCCGCGCGATGGTGCCGATGAAGTAGCTATCGGACATGTATGCCAGGGCGGCGAGGTGGGCTTCGTGGCCGCCGGCGGGAGAGATGCGGCCGCGGGCTTTTATCCATTGCCTGCACTTCTTCGTATGTGGATGAGGAGAATCATCTAATAGCCATCAGTGCTTGCGCAACAGGGAGCGTATCCAGAATTGTCGTACTATTCAGAATCTCGATTCTCTGGCTCTGAAACGGCCCCGTTGATGCGCCGCCATAATCAAGGTCATCCATGCCCTCAATGGGCCCCGGGATATCTGTCGGCATCTCGGCCGAGTGCTCCACCAGCTTCTCGCCCCCTGCATTCTGTCGCACGAAGCTGATGGTGGTCGTGAAGATGACCTTCCCTCGCTGCCGCGCTTGCACTGTCCGGGTCGCGAACGACTTCCCCGAGCGTACCCGTTCGACATGGTATATGATGGGGATCTCGGAGTTACCGGCGAGAACGAAGTAGCAGTGCATTGAGTGGACGGTGAAATCCTTCGGCACTGTTCGCTGAGCAGCACTCAGGGTCTGTGCAATGGCAGCGCCGCCATAGATGCCGCGCGCCCCTGGAGGATGCCATAGCGGACGCGTGTTGGTGAAGAGGTCCGGGTCTATGTCGGAGAGCTGCGTAAGCTCCAGCAGGTTCTCAATGGCGGATTGCGACGGATTGAGGGGCGGCGGGCGGATGAGCGTGGACATGGCGAGTGCCTACAAGGACTGCGAGAGTGGTGAGCGCTGGAGGTTAGCAGGAGTGACCAAAGATTATATGCAATCCGTCGGCCGCGACATTGCTTGGACGTCTGGATGCGTTGAGCCGAGGCAATGGCGCGTCACGGGATGGTAGATTCACGGGCGTCTTTGGCGAGTGCCGTCGCGCGCTGACTAAGGCGCACCTGCCGCCCGAGGCCGCCAAGCCTGGGAAACGTCATGGAGCCCTGCGCCGTGCCTGACACGCAGACACGGTATTGGCTTCATGTCAATGTGCGCCTGCAGCATTCACCCCCCGAGTTGTCGCCATTGAATCCCCTCACGCCTCGCACCTGCGCGACCCTCCTCTGCGCTCTCCAGGGCTAGCAGACGTCGTCCCCTGGCCGCCCGCTGTTGACATGTCGCGAGCCGCCACCTCCACCTCCACACACGCCCACCCGTAGCTTCAAACGTTGGATTCCAGCCATGGCCGAGAATAATCCAGAGCTCCAGGCGAAGCTGCGGGAGCTAGACCACGAGCTGGAGGAGGGCGACATCACGCAGAAAGGGTGCGTGTGCGCCGCCAATATTGTTGGGCTGCAGCCGCTGCTCGGGCGCATACTCGCGGACCGCTGTGCTAACAGTATTGCAGCTACGAAAAGCGCAGAACGATTCTGCTATCCCAGTTTCTCGGCCCCGCGCAAACACAGCAGCTCCAGAATGAATTGCGCCTCAACAGCGTGAGCACCGAGGGCTCGGGGTCGCGCTCCGCGTCGCTCGCCGCCCTTTCTGGACAACCGCAACCGCCGCCGGCCCTCGAGCTGCCGCGCCCCGAGTCGTCCTATGGCGCGCCGCCCGCTAACAATGGGAGGAACTCCGAGTACATGGCCTATCCGCCGAGCCAGGTTGGCCGCTTCCAGGAGAAGCAGCTGGGCATCAGGACCACTTCGCTCCAGCGGCAGCCATCGCACAGCAGCGAAACCTTCCTCCCTCGACCGCAGACCCCAGAATACGGATACTCGCGCGACGGCACCATGGTCACCGCGAACTACGCATTCAATCCGGAGACGCAGCCGGGCTATGACGGAGGCTACAGTTCACCAGGAGGAGGAGGAGGAGATGTGACCCGGCAAAGCACGATGCTGGATGCGCACCAGGGCTACTTCTCTGACTTTACCGGCCAGCAGATGCAGGACCAACGCGACTCGTATGGCGGGCCAAACAGATACTCTTCTGGAGATACCTTCTCTCCAACCGCCGCGATTCCGCCGCCCATGATGAACCCCAATGACCTTCCAGGAGGCCTTGTTGAGACGCAAATGCCGCTCGAGCCGCGCGACCTTCCATTCGATGTCTACGACCCGCACAACCCAAACACTCTGATGTCAAAATTTGACAACATTGGCGCCGTCCTCCGGCACAGAGGGCGCACGCAACCTCGGCAGACCGCCTTCTGGGTGCTAGATGCAAAGGGCAAAGAGACGGCCTCGATAACGTGGGAAAAGGTGTCCAGCAGAGCGGAAAAGGTAGCCAAGGTGATTCGGGACAAGAGCAACCTGTATCGGGGCGATCGGGTGGCATTGGTGTACCGGGACACGGAGATCATCGAATTCGCCGTTGCATTGATGGGCTGCTTTATCGCAGGCGTTGTGGCGGTCCCCATTAATAGCGTGGATGACTATCAGAAACTCAATCTTCTTTTGACTACCACCCAAGCGCATCTTGCCCTGACGACCGATAACAACTTGAAGGCCTTCCATCGTGACATCAGCCAGAACCGCCTGAAATGGCCCAGCGGGGTGGAGTGGTGGAAAACGAACGAGTTCGGGAGCTACCATCCAAAGAAGCACGACGATACACCTCCGCTACAAGTTCCCGAGGTGGCGTACATCGAATTCTCGCGCGCTCCAACTGGCGACTTGCGTGGCGTCGTTCTCAGTCACCGTACCATCATGCATCAGATGGCCTGCATCAGCGCTATCGTGACCACGATTCCTACCGGTAGCGGGAGCTCAGACACGTTCAGTTCAACCTTGCGAGACAAGAAGGGCAACTTCATCGCACCCCCATCCAGGGCCTCACCTACCGAAGTCATTCTGAGCTATCTCGATCCACGCGAGAGCGCGGGCATGATCATGAGTGTCTTGTTCGCTGTCTATGGTGGGCATACCACTGTGTGGCTGGAAGCACAGACGGTCGAAACTCCTGGCATGTATGCCCACCTCATCACCAAGTACAAAACCACCATCATGGTTGCGGATTACCCTGGCTTGAAACACGCTGCGTACAACTATCAGCAAGATCCAATGGCGACAAGAAACTTCAAGAAGAACATGGAGCCCAATTTCGCATCAGTGAAGATGTGCCTCATCGACACGCTGACGGTGGACTGCGAGTTCCATGAAATATTGGGTGACCGATGGTTACGGCCCTTAAGGAACCCCAGGGCCAATCAGTTGATCGCGCCCATGCTGTGCTTACCTGAACATGGCGGCATGATAATATCCATCAGGGACTGGCTAGGCGGCGAGGAACGCATGGGCTGTCCGCTGAACATCGAAGAAGAGGAGCCTGACGCGGACGAGAAGACAGAGGACCCGACTGCTCTCAACGGCTATTCTAGTCTCATTGGCGGAGGCGTCACTAAGAAGAGGGACCAAAAGAAAAGTCGCACTGAACTAACCGAAATACTCTTAGACAAGGAGGCTCTCAAGATGAACGAAGTGGTCGTCGTAGCCCTGGGAGAAGAGGCAAGAAAACGCGCGGGCGAGCCGGGCACCATGCGAGTCGGTGCTTTTGGATATCCCATACCGGATGCCACTGTTGCCGTCGTCGACCCTGAGACGAGCTTGCTCTGTTCACTATACACTATAGGAGAGATATGGGTGGACTCACCGTCTCTGTCTGGCGGATTCTGGCAGCTTCAGAAACACACCGAAACCATCTTCCACGCTCGGCCATACCGATTTGTCGAGGGCAGTCCGACACCGCAAATGCTGGAATTGGAGTTCCTGCGAACTGGCCTCCTGGGGTTCATTGTTGAGGGCAAAGTCTTTGTGCTGGGGCTGTATGAAGATCGGATCCGGCAACGAGTAGAATGGGTCGAGCATGGCGTGTTTGAAGCGGAGCATCGGTACTTCTTCGTGCAGCACCTCGTCGGCAGCATCATGAGGACCGTCCCGAAGATCTATGACTGGTAAGTCTCGGTCGTCTCTTCGATGTCTGCTCTAACTGTGTGCCAGCTCTGCTTTCGATGCCCACGTCAATGGGGAGTATCTACCTATTATTTTGATTGAGACGCAGGCTGCCTCAACCGCGCCAACCAACCCTGGAGGTCCACCGCGGCAGTTGGATATACCATTTCTCGATTCCTTATCTGAACGATGCATGGAGTTGCTGTACCAGGAACATCACCTGCGCGTCTACTGCGTGATGATCACGGCGCCGAACACACTACCGCGAGTTATCAAGAACGGGCGGCGCGAAATCGGCAACATGCTTTGCCGAAGAGAATTCGACAACGGCTCGCTTCCCTGCGTGCACGTCAAGTTCGGCGTCGAAAGTGCGGTTCAGAACATCGCCTTAGGTGATGACCCTGCCGGAGGGATCTGGTCACCGCAGGCTTCCATGGCACGCCAAAACTATCTCCTGCTGCAGGACAAGCAGTACTCCGGCGTTGACCACCGAGAGGTCGTCATCGACGATCGGACGTCAACACCCCTCAACCAGTTCTCCAACATCCACGATCTCATGCAGTGGCGCGTGTCACGGCAATCAGAAGAGTTGTCCTACTGCACTATTGACGGCAGAGGCAAGGAAGGAAAGGGTGTCAACTGGAAGAAATTCGACCTCAAAGTGGCTGCTGTGGCCATGTACCTGAAGAACAAGGTGAAGCTCCAAGCTGGCGACCACGTTCTGTTGATGTACACGCACTCGGAAGAGTTCGTCTTTGCCATCCACGCCTGCTTCGTGCTCGGCGTGACGGCTATTCCCATGGCCCCAGTCGATCAAAACCGGCTGAACGAGGATGCGCCTGCGCTGCTTCATATCATCGCCGACTTCAGAGTCAAGGCAATCATAGCCAACGCGGAAGTCGACCATTTACTGAAGATAAAGGCGGTATCGCAGCATCTCAAACAATCAGCGGTAATTCTCAAGGTCAATATGCCAAATGTCTACAACACCACGAAGCCACCTAAGCAGTCTTCTGGTTGTCGGGACCTAGGGCTGACTATACGGCCTGCTTGGGTTCAGCCCGGGTATCCGGTGCTCGTCTGGACTTTTTGGACGCCGGATCAAAGACGCATCGCGGTGCAACTGGGCCATAACACCATCATGGCACTTTGCAAGGTCCAGAAGGAGACGTGCCAGATGACGAGCACGAGACCTGTCCTCGGGTGCGTACGCAGCACAATCGGCCTGGGCTTCATTCACACTTGCGTTATGGGCATCTTCCTCGCTGCTCCAACGTATCTTGTGTCGCCCGTCGATTTTGCCCAGAATCCCAACATTCTCCTGCAGACGCTGTCGCGATACAAGATTAAGGATGCGTACGCGACAAGTCAGATGCTTGACCATGCCATGGCGCATGGAGCTGGGAAGGCTATGGCTCTGCATGAGCTTAAGAATCTCATGATTGCGACCGACGGCAGGCCGCGAGTCGATGTCTGTAAGTATATCTATCTCGACAGTACAGATGATCAGTTGACCATGCGCAGATCAACGAGTGCGGGTGCATTTTGCACCTGCAGGCTTAGACCGGACTGCGATCAACACTGTCTACTCGCACGTCCTCAACCCCATGGTAGCCTCGCGGTCGTACATGTGCATCGAGCCAATCGAGCTGCACCTCGACATGAACGCCTTGCGACGAGGCCTGATAATGCCGGTAGATCCCGACACCGAGCCGCATGCGCTGCTCGTGCAAGATTCCGGCATGGTGCCCGTCAGCACGCAAATCTCCATCGTCAACCCCGAAACCAACCAGCTCTGCCTCGTCGGAGAATACGGCGAGATCTGGGTGCAGTCGGAAGCTAATGCACATAGCTTCTACGGCTCCAAGGAGCGCCTCGATGCCGAGCGGTTTAATGGCAGGACGGTCGACGGAGATCCAAATGTGCGCTACGTCCGCACCGGGGACCTGGGCTTCTTACACAATGTTACCCGCCCCATCGGGCCTAATGGCGCGCCCGTCGACATGCAAGTCCTGTTCGTTTTGGGCAGCATTGGCGATACTTTTGAGGTTAATGGATTGAACCATTTCTCCATGGATATTGAGTCGTCGGCGGAGCGCTGCCACCGCAATATCGTCCCTGGGGGTTGGTACGTATTAGTTCTTTGTTCTCTTTGTTGCATAGTCTTATAGAACGTTTCTAACAATGCGCAGCGCTGTCTTCCAAGCGGGCGGCCTGGTAGTCGTAGTAGTCGAAATCTTCCGGCGCAACTTCCTCGCCTCCATGGTTCCCGTCATCGTAAACTCCATCCTCAACGAGCACCAACTTGTCATCGACATCGTCGCCTTCGTCATAAAAGGTGACTTCCATCGGTCCCGCCTGGGCGAAAAGCAGCGCGGCAAGATCCTCGCAGGATGGGTAACGCGCAAGATGCGCACCATCGCGCAATATAGCATCCGCGACCTGGGCGGCGACGGAAACCAAATCACCGAGGTAGCGGAACCGGGTGGTCGCGCTTCGATGGCGACCTTCAGGAACAGTGGACCCGGCAGCATAAAAGGCAGCATGCGCGCATCAAGCTTGAGAGCGAGTAGTATGCTCAACATGACGGCGATGCAAAACCTGTCGCTGCAGACGGGCAGCGCGCAGGAACTTCCCGGAAACTCGCAGATGATGAGCTATTCGTCGCTGCCCACCGGCCTATCAGAAATGCCGGCTGAACGCTACCCAGAGAGCATTCCTGAGCTCGGCACCGGGAGCGGCATTGGAGCGCAGTGGGATGGCAGCGATGCTACGCCGACGGAAGTCAAGAAAGAGTTCCCGCCGCATCTGCAGACGGATTCGAAGAACGGGCCGGTGCACTACTCGCCGCTGGACACCAAGGGCGTGTTCGACTCCACGTCTTCCTCGAGCCAGAGCCAGAACTCGCAGCAGCTGCTACAGAACTACAGTAACCATCAGCAATACGGCGCCTCGGGGCTATCCACCTCTCCGCTCCCTAACGTCCTGCGTCCAGGCGGCTCGCAGGAGGAAATGGCACCGCCGGAACCGCACTACGGCAATAAACCGTATCTTCCACCACAGCAGCAGCAGCAGCAGCGGCAGGATGTGAACCAGTACCCTCCACCGCAGGCGGGCGATCGATGGAGCTTGCCGAGCCAGCAGCACACCGGTGGTCTGAGAGTCGCGAACGCGAGCCGAGATAGTAGTGACGAGGAGAACGACGAGTGGCGCCAGGATGCGCGCATGGCGATGAATTTCGCCGGCGCGGGACCGGGGGACATTGGGCGGTATAGGTAGTCGGTTGGTGGTTCAGGCGGGCGTTTCACCTTAGGTGTGCTTTGGCAAGAGCGTTGGTGGGCAGTTATTTGGGGATGGAGGCTTGAAGGTTTCAAGCTTTTGGCGTGGGGTGCGTTGCATGTGGTGGTGACGAGCGGGTGTTTGGGTAGGATAGGATAGGATAGGATATGAATGGTGTTGGGGGCTATGATGGGTGATGGGCCTGGTTGAGGCGGTGGAGCGGTGGAGCAATTTTTCCTTTTTGCATCGACGTAGGTATCCTTCCGCATTGAATGCACGCACGGGACTTGGTGGCATTGACAGCGAAAATGATTATCATTCATTTCGCTTTGGAGACTCCACATGGCTATGATGTCGTGAGTGGTGTACCATAGTACTCGTCTGCCTGTCCTGTCATGTGATAGAAACAGGCACAGGCACATGCATACGCAGTACGCCTACGCAGCGCAGCGTTCCGGAGGGTAGGTAGGTAGGACGGAAGTACATGGACGGCAGCAGCACCATACACCGATTCAAATCCAACCCATGCGTCGACATGAATCTCGCGCCGTCCATTCCGCTGGCACGACCCTCACCTCTTTATCATCCCATCCCCATTACTACTTCCCCTCTCTCTCCCTTCCTATCTCATCCGATAGGCGCAAAAATCACCCACCGGAGTCTTCGCACGCCCCGCCCAGCTATCGTGGAGATTGCGCAGGAACCCGCCGTGGCGCCAAACTCCGCTCACAGAGGGGCCCCGGGGTCTTGGTACGCACTTTCACGGCTTGTCAGCGTCAGGGGGTGCGGTTTGGAAACAAAGGGATCGGCGGCAGGGGTTGGGTTGGTGCGACTTGACTCGACTTGGCTAGATAACCGAGATAGGAGATAGGGTGCGCCGGAGGTCTGGAACGGAGCTGGCAACTGGCAACGTCATTTGGACGTTGTTTCATGTAGGGCGTGTGGATGGTGCGATGGTGGAAAGAGAGAGGGAGAGGAGGTGGCGCGAGGGAGAAGGCCTGAGGAGGGGGAAGAGGGCGTGGATGGTACCATGGTACGTATGGTGGAGAGTCCACGGACGACCCGAGGCGTGAAACAACAGGCGAGAAACACATGCAACCACAGCGCAGAACTGGCCTCGAAAGGGTCTCCCAGCCGCATGAAAGAACCCGCTCGCTGCTGAGATTCTGCGGCTGAGCCCACGTCGCCGGCACCGCGCGGGACTCATTGGCCAGCACGCCCCGCCCAAGCGACGTTTCGAAACAGGCCCAGGATTGCCCAGCAGCCACTCATATCCGCGTTCCTGGCCCGCCCTTCGACGTTTCGCCTCGGCGGGCCTAGGAAACATTCGCTCTTATCCACACGTCGTCGCTCTTCCGTGCGGTACCTGCGACCGAGGGGTGGTCGAGACGTTCGTTTCTTTGCTGTCCAACTGTTGTTCATTCGTTTAGGCAACGCAGTCAGTCATTCTTTTGAGCGTCGGACGGGTACGACGGGAGACGGGGTTTTGACGGCCATTCCATTCACTCTTTTTGAAGACGGGACCGACTGCATCACGGCATTGCGACCTTATTGACAGCCCACTTTCACGCTGCTCGACGACGGCCTGAGCTGTTCCCCTTCACTGCTTCGAGAGCTGCAGACATTCATTAGGAACCGGTGTCACCTATATCGTCGATCCACCTACCTACCTGCTAGCTCGGAGAGCATACCGTCTTTTCACCACCACCACCGTCGTGCAGCGCGCAACTTCGACCGCCGCCTACATACATTCATTGTGCATATCCGGCTCCCTTACCCCTCCTCTCTGCGATCACTTGACCTGGCCTGGCCCTATTGATCGCCATTGTGATGCATTCACGGTGACGAGACAATACCTTTGTCCGCGCATTGTCAACACGAGTTCGCCTGCATTCCTGCGCTCCCGCTTGCCGTCTGGGATAAAGGTCCTTTGCAGCGCTCTCGCGCAATTGTTCCCCAGATTTCCGATTCACATCGCACCTGGAAGTGCAACTATTCATTCGCCACGAGCTTTCACCCGCACCCGCGCGAACGATCGACGGAAACGAAATTTAGATCGTCGACTATACTTTCCGTGAGCTCTAGACTCACTGACAACGTAACTTCAAAGGCACCTCTTCCACCGAACCGAACGAACCTTTTTTTTTCCTACATGGCTCCCCCCCTCCGCCCCCGGCTGGTGGAGTCCCAACCCACAACCAGCACATCCCCGCTATTGCGGCGGCATTTCCTCGACGGCTGGGACGCCGCCGAGTTCGACTCTTTAAAATTCTCCTACGGCCTCACGGGCGTCGACCAGGCCGGCAACTTCCTCTGGGTCGACTGTTTCCTCTACCTCCTCCTCGCATGCGGCATCTTCCTCCTCGGACTGCGGATATGGGGCATGTGGTGGCGGCACACGCGCCATCTGAGCGTCATGGGGAACCCGAAGAAGCAGGCATACTGGGCGCAGAACCGGACGCGCTGGTGGCCGTGGCTGAACCGGCATCTGCTGGTTGCGCCGCTGCACAAGAAGAAGCACAATGCGCAGTTTCAGATCAGCGCCGCGATCGATAACGGGACGCTGCCGGGCCGCTGGCATTGCATCATGCTGGTTATGTACGGCGCGCTGAATCTGGCGTGGTGTCTGGCGCTGCCGTACCGCGACGCGGAGTCTAAGGCCATTGTGGCGGCGCTGCGTGGCCGCTCCGGGACGCTGGCCGCGCTCAACCTCATCCCCACCGTGCTCTTTGCGCTCAGGAACAACCCGCTCATCCCGCTGCTCCAGGTCTCCTACGACGACTTCAACCTGTTCCACCGCTGGGGCGCGCGCATCACCATCATCGAGTCCGTCATCCACACGGCCGCCTGGCTGCACAACACGCTGCAGGGCAACGGCTGGCAGGCCGTCGCCGACGCGCTGCGCGACGAGGAGTCCTACACCTGGGGCATGGTCTGCACCTGCGCCTTCGTCTTCCTCGGCATTCAGGCCTGGTCGCCCATCCGCCACGCCTTCTACGAGACCTTCCTCAACATCCACCGCCTGTGCGTCATCGTCGCCTTCGTCGGCCTGTACCTGCACCTGGAGCGCCACGGCCTGCCCCAGCTGCCCTGGATGTACCTCGTCATCCTATTCTGGGCAAGCGAATGGGCCATGCGCGCCCTGTACGTCGTCTACTACAACATCAGGCTCACCCGCACCTCGCGCATCACAGTCGAAGCCATGCCCGGCGAAGCCGTCCGCCTCACCATCGACCTCGTGCGCGACTGGCACCCGCGCCCGGGCTGCCACGTGCACCTGTACATGCCGGCCCTCTCGCTATGGTCCTCGCACCCTTTCAGCGTCGCCTGGGCCGCGACCTCTCCCACGCCAACATCCTCCCAAGAAAAAACCATCTCCACCCTCGAAGGCGGCACCGCCCTGATCCCCAGCGCGCCCGCCAAATCGCGCCAACTCAGCCTGATCTGCCGCGCGCGCACCGGCCTCACGCGCAAAATGTACGAGCGCGCGTGCCGCGCGCCCGGCACTTACTTCAGCACCTGGGGCTTCATCGAGGGGCCCTACGGCGGCGCGCACTCGCTCGACTCGTACGGGACCTGCCTGCTCTTCGCCGGCGGCGTCGGCATCACGCACCAGGTGCTGTACCTGCGCCACCTGATCAGCGGGTACGCGCTCGGCACGACCGCGACGCAGAAGCTCACTCTCATCTGGACGGTGCCCGACAGCGAGTCGCTCGAGTGGGTGCGCCCCTGGATGGACGAGATCCTGCGCATGCCCGGGCGCAAGGATATCCTGCGCATTAAGCTGTTTATCACAAGGCCGAAGGGGCGCGTCGAGAGCAGCAGCGAGACGGTGAAGATGTTCGCCGGGCGGCCGAATGTCGCGACGCTGATTGAGGAGGAGGTGCGGAGCCGGGTGGGCGCGATGGCGGTGACTGTGTGTGCGAGCGGGGGGTTTGCGGATGGGGTAAGGGCCGGGGTGCGGCCGTGGTTGACGGAGGGGAGTGTGGATTTTGTGGAGGAGGCGTTTACTTATTAGGGGTGCTGCTTTGTTTTGGTTTGAGGAAGAAGAGTAGGAAGACCCCGTTTCCTGTCCGCATCTGATGCTTCATGTCAGCGCATCTTCGTCAGGTTTGCATCTTCTTCGCCTTTCTAGCATTCGCATTTAGCATTTAGCATTCGCATAGCGTAGCATCTGCATGCGCGCCTACCCTTCTTACCCTTCCTTTTCCTTTTCCTCTTTCATTTCCTCTACTTCTCTTCTCTTCTCTGTACATACATATTCCCACGCAGCCCTTTAGACAGCATTTACAAGAAGGCGTAGAGGAGACGAGCGGAGAAGAGGACATGGGAATGGGCATAGTAGCCGTGAAAAAAATAGCAGCAAGAACAGAGCCGCAACTTCGATTCGATTCCTCCCCTCCCCTCCCCTCCTCACCTTCCTTCCATCCTGCAAACTAATAAGAAACAACGATCTGATGTCTTGACTTGACAGCTAGTCTTTGTGTAAAGAAACCGTGGTGCAGTGCAGTGCAGTGCAGTTCCAGAAAAGCAAAGAAAGGTACACAACGCCCCTCCACGTAGTAATCTTTAGGCGTGTTTACTAAGTTAAACGGTCTTTCCCTTGCAAGGGTATAGGGCTATAGGTACTGCGTTAGTATTCTTTACATATTTCTGCCTAGAATACTGGGCTAATAATAAGCCCGCAACCTCAGTCGTGGAGGCTTCCATTAGCTAGTTTTTCTATCGGGAATATGTACGCATAAGCCCCTACACCCTCCCACGACCCCTCTACCTCACTACCTAACAAGCAGCACCTATCGCCCTCTATCTCTCTCTCCTAGCGACTAAACCCCTTCCATACCCACAGGTTCAAGCTCGACCCAGCATGCCTGACCCGCCCACCAAGCCTAACTTAGCTATCTTGTTATTTCGCCCGCCCCACGTAGTCCCGAAATCACATGCCGGCAAGGCTAGCTGAGCCTGTCTCCCAACGAAATTGCTTCGAGGCACTGAGTTCGCGTAGCGTGATGGGATTCTGCGCGAAGCTCGGAGACGCGACCCGGCCGCTACCTCTCGAGCAATCCGTCGCTTGGGTGTGCGGGCGTCCGTCCGGGACGATAGACGCTGCTTGCTTGCTCACGGCTGATGCGCGCGGGGCGTAGCCGTGGATCGGAAATGGCTAACACGCACAGCGATGGCGGACAGGATAGCGTCTCGGAACCACGTCGATCGAACTTACTCCAACCCGCCTTACTAGCAGCTCGCGTGAGTATCTACGCGAGTGAAGTAGTTTGACCGGGGCTCTTATACGTTGGCTAAGATCGGGGCGGGTTCTCTCTCGAGTGGTGGCGGTGGACGACCCTCGTCGAACGACGATTTCACGACCGACGACCTGCGCGAGCGCTATGCGACCAACTGGACGCGTTCCCAGACTACGAAGTCTGGAGTCATTTGGCCGGGAGCGACGTCGGTGAATCGTCGTGTGCGGCGCTCCGTGGTTTGGAGAGAGAAGAGACGAGTAAGTTTGATACGTGTGTACGGCAAGGAAGGAAACCACGCATGCTGCGTGATGAAGGGATGGGGTTAGAACTTTGAAGAAGTATTTCAAGGTAAACGGAATCGGCGCGCGTGCTATTGAATGGAAGGGACGTGCACCGAGCCCTTTGTCCTACTTGCCAAACCAGCGGCCATGGCTTGTTGTCCAGGTATGGGTGGGGAGCCTCTGGTCTATCATAGATGGCGTGTTTTGACGGCGGCTCTACGTAGAGGGATCTATAATCTGGTACGTACGCATGGAAGTCCAGTTCAGTATTCACAGGTCGAATTAAATATATCGGACAGGCACGCAACCGTCAATATGCCCTCACGAAGCGGAACGCCCCTCCGCAACCTCCACCTTCTCCTTCCCCTTACTACTTCCCGCCGTCCCACTCGGTCCATCTTCCACATTCGGCTCCTGCTTCTCTCCCTCCGCATTCGCATCCTGCTCCTGCCGTCTCTGCTCTTCTTCCTGCCTCCTCGCCTCCTCCAGCCTCTGCCGTTCCTCCTCCGCAGCTCGTTCTGCCCTGGCCCTCTCCTCCTGCGCCTGCACCATGCGCTCGCCGATGCCCGGCCACAAGCTTGCCACAAAGAGGGCAAACGCACGCTCAATCGTCCGCATGGTTTCCCGAATCGACCCAAAGCGCTGCTCCTGGCGTTGCTGGACGAGCCTCCGCGCGGCCTCTTCAGGCGTGAGATTCTGGTTCGGCTCTACGCGTTGGTTCGGATCGCGCGCGCCGTTCGCGTTCTGCCGATTCTGGCCTTGAGCCGGGCGGTCCTGGAGCGGGAGGAGGGCCTCGAAGTGGCGCCGTACTACGTTGAACTGGTTCTCGAAGATGCCGATTTGCGCGAGGTAGACGACCGCGGCGATGATGCCCATCATGATTGGCCTGTACCAGCCGCCCCCGCCGGCGAAGAAGTAGATGAAGCAGGCGAGTTTGAAGATGAGCCAGGCATGGCCGGCAATAAGACCAAGACGGTCGTTATCCTGCCCTGCGTTTTCGTTCGCGTTCGCGGGCTGAGCCAGGTTCTGATTTTGGTTTTGATTCTGGGGCTGTTCCGGTACAGGTGGAGCGCCGGCAGCTGCTTGCTGGTTCTGCGGTGGCTGGCCGGGAGCGAGCTGGTTATGTAGTTGAGTAGAATTCTGGGCGATGCGCTGTCCAATACCCGCGATAAGCTGTCTGTTAGTAGAAAACTGCTGAGTAAAGGTCTGGAACGGTAGCGTCGGGACCATGGGCGCCGTCGTATATGTACCTCGCTGATCGAAGAGGATACCGACTGGACCTTGGGGACTCGAAAGGATGAATAGTTCCGTTGGGAAATCTGGTGATGTGTGATTCGCAGCCTGCTGTGTCTGATTGCTCGGTGAAGGCTGTGGATTCGCCGGTGACGAGGATGGTGCCAGTGCCGACGATGTACCGTGGGTTGGTGAAGCATGCCTAGACGCAATTTCTTCCTGTAGGCGATCCAGCTCTGTATTGAACTCGCCCGCCTGGGCTCTCAGCTCAGTGGCTGACTGTTGCAGGGACAAGAGGTCACGATTCTGCGCCATGGACGGTTCCGCGACGATTGATGCAAGCCCACGATCGACGTTATCCAGCCCACTAATGAGATTCCGAACGGCGTGCCGTATTTGCTCAACACGCCACGCGGGGGGATTCAATGAGGCGAGTGAACTAGCTTGCGCGGCAGGCTGCCGAAGCAGCACTCTAACATTCTCCATCTCCTGCCTCGCAAAATCCATAGACCTTCGTATCCGGACTAGTGGGTCGGCCATGTCTCCGGACGCAGGAGACGGCGTTCGTCGAGCGGGTAGGGGGAATCCCTGCGGATGAGGGAACGGTCGAGGCAGGATTGGCTGTTGGTGAGGATGCAGAGGAATCGTCACGTTGGTGTTGTTCCACGTCACAGTCCACCGCTCGCCGTTGGGCCCGATGCCCTCTTGCCGTACGGTCCTGGTTGTGTTTGGCAGGAAGTTGGGCACTCCTGGGCCCATCATCGGCCTCCCTCCTGCTGGCTGCGCCTGAGCGCCGTCCTCGGGTGCGGGCGTGCCTCCATTCGACTGCTGATTCGGTGTCGGTGTCTGCGCTTGGCCCGGTTGCGCATTCTGGCCCACGGCTTGTCCGAAGGCGAAGGGCGGGGGCATTGGGACTTGGCCGAAGGGGTTCAAAGGCTGTGGATGGTGGTGATGATGGTGTGGATGATGGTGGTGGTGCGGCTGCGGCAGCTGTGGTTGCGAGTTCGGTCTGGGTTGTGGGAGCGCTCGGAAGGGATTCGTCTGCAGCGGGCTCGGCGGGGGTGGTGCTTGAGCAGCAGGTCGGAAGGGGTTTGGCGGTGCGGTCGAGGATCGGGGAGCGGGCGATGGCGATGAAGAGGAGGTGGCTAGTTCCCTTAGGACCAGGTGCAAGCTCTGTTCTTTCGAGGCACGTATCTGCTTCACGTTAGCTGCGTCTCTCACCGCGGAGCACAGCTACCGACATTGTCAAGGCCGAAGATGTCGACAAGCGTGTCTGTCTCGTTGGGCACCACTCTCCCTCTGTATATCAAGCGCATGCGGTCCGTCGCTGGTCTGCTAGGAACCGCATCTTGTATCCGCTGGCGGAGCTCTTTGATGGTTGTAGACGTGGGCAGGTCCGGCAGGTTGACGCCGCCCTCGACTTCGGTTGACGGAGAGAGGATCTTGAGATTGACGAAGACCGGTTCATCGGCCATGGTGTTCAGTGAGCGGACGGCGGGTGGAGTGACGGTGGTTGCGAGGTGCAGCAGCGGACCGCGATTTGTATACGTTGCGCTTAGAGCTCGGGACAGTCAGTCATCCAACGCTCGCGCCTGCAGTCTCCAAGCAGCGCGGGCAGTGACTCGACTGTGTGGCTACTCAGAGCTGGGTGAGTCTATCACGGCGCCGCAATTGTTAGATTATTGTATTTCTTCGAGTATGGCGCCGGAAAGCAAGGGAGAAAGACGACCCAGCCCAGCCCTACAGCTTCGCGAACCGCGCCAAGAGCCTCGGATGTCGCTTCGTACGTCATTGGCCGCCGAAAGCTGTTGCTTTTCTCAAGCACCCCTCCGCCATTCTTCGACCAGACCTTGTGCAGATGCTCTCTACATATCAGCTCCTATATCGAAGCCTAACATTAAATACACCAAATGGGGTAGCAATGACCGCCATCTGCGCCCGCCAGCTCCCCCGAGCCGTCGTCCGAGCGCATCACCCCCGTCCGCTCCGACCTGCGTCCGCCCGCTTATCGCTTCAATCGCGCAGCTTCTCTTCTTCGATGCCCTTCCTCGAACAACATTTCCATCGAAAAGAGTCTTTCAGATCGCGGCTGAACTCGGCGCTCAAGAATACCAAGATAAAATGGGAGCCCATTCCCATCGCCCTCGGCGTCGGCTTTCTCGGAGTATGGCAACTTTATCGTATCCAGCGGAGGGAGAAGCATACACAAAGAGAGGCGGATAAGGATGAAGTTGTGTTGGATCAACAGGGGCGCCCGAAGAAGCGCGAAAAGATACGGCCAAGCGGGCCTTGGTGAGCATCACTGGACCCGTTCTACTTCATAAGCTAACAGCTTGTTAGGACCGTCCAAATCATGTCCACGCTGCCATTGAAGGCGCTCTCGCGGTTATGGGGTCGCTTCAACGAGCTGGACATTCCCTACTACCTCCGTGTCCCCGGCTTCAAGCTCTACTCGTTCATCTTCGGTGTCAAGTGAGTCGTGAATCATGTCTCACAACGACGCACTAACGAAGGCCAGCCTCTCCGAAGTGTCAGAGCCGGACCTCCATGTCTACCCCAACTTAGCCGCCTTCTTTTACCGCACCCTCAAGCCCGGCGTGCGGCCTCTTGATCCCAATCCCAACGCCGTCCTCTCCCCCGCCGACGGCAAGGTCATCCAGTTTGGCACAATCGAGCATGGCGAAGTAGAGCAGGTCAAGGGTGTGACGTACAGCCTCGATGCTCTCTTGGGCTCCATACGGCCCACCTACAAAGGACCCGCCATTGAAGCCGCCGCCGACGCGCGAGAACAGGCGAGCGACAAGCACACCAAAGCCGGCGAGGAGGATATCATGCGAGCAGACGAGGAGTTTGCTCAGGTGAACGGCATCTCATACACGCTCCCCAACTTATTCTCAGGCCCCTGGCCGAAGGATAACAAACCTTCGGAAATGCCTTCAGATCAAGCGACAAAGCCGCAGCCATCCTCTGAAGCTGAGGTGCGCGCTGATCTTGCTTTGAGTGAGGCTAAACGTCCGTGGTGGGCTCCAGCGTCGGCGCAGACTCCGACTACTCTGTACTACTGCGTTATATATCTCGCTCCCGGCGACTACCACCGCTTCCACTCGCCCGTTTCCTGGGTCGTAGAAAGCCGACGGCATTTCGCTGGTGAACTGTACAGCGTATCGCCCTATCTGCAACGCACTATGCCTGGCCTTTTCACTCTGAACGAGCGCGTTGTTCTGCTTGGTCGGTGGCGCTGGGGCTTCTTCTCATACACACCCGTTGGCGCCACAAACGTCGGCTCCATCAAGATCAACTTCGATCGCGAACTCCGCACCAATTCCCTCACCACCGACACCGCCGCCGACCGCGCCGCTGAAGAGGCAGCTGCGCGCGGCGAACCATACTCCGGCTTTGCCGAAGCAACGTACGAGAACGCGAGCCGGGTACTCGGCGGACACGCATTGAAGCGAGGGGAAGAAATGGGCGGGTTTCAGCTAGGCAGTACCATCGTCCTGGTCTTTGAAGCGCCGAAGGGTGTCAGACCAAGTTTAGACGAGGGATATAAGGGCGAGCGGAAGGGCGGGTTCCGCTGGAAGATCCACCAGGGGAAGAAGGTTAAGGTTGGCGAGGCGTTGGGGTATGTGGAAGAGGCGTAGTAGAGGGATCCGGGTTGGGCGACCGTTGTGTTGATACCATTTGGTGAAGATTTGTAGGATATGAGTCGGTTGTGCAAGAGCGACGCATCGCATATACATATATATCTGATTGGATTGCATTGCATCAAACATGAGTACAGTACAAGCTCCTCCAGTCCACCCGTCACCGCACTATCCTTCCTTCTCCAGCCTTTCATTCCGAGTACGGCGGTGGCGGCTCATCATGATCATCATCCTCATCCTCATCCGCTTTCCGCTTCGCTTCCATAGCCTGCTCCTCTTGCTCCTTCTTCTTGCGCCGCTTCTCCATAGCCTCCTCCTCTCGCTTCGTCCTGCGCAGATTCTCCACGGCTCGCCTCTCCTGCTCTCGCTTCGCCTGCGCCAATGCCATCGCGTCTAGCTCCTGCTCCTCTTCGCGCCGACTCGCCGCGGCTTTCCGCGCTTGCGCTTGCGCTTGCTTTGCCGGCGCTGACGAGAGACTGGCGGCTTGCGAATGCAGATGCAGCTTTTTGACGGGGTTGAGAGGGGGCATGGGTGGTGATGGTTGGTTGGTTGAGGGAGGTTGAGGGAGGTTGGTTGTTGGGAGGTTGGGGGGTGGGGGGACTTGGGGTCTGGGGTTTGGTGGGTGGGTGGTGGTTTGTAAGGGTTTGTGGGTTGTGGAGTGCTGTGCTGTGGAGAAGGGAGAAGGGAGAAGGGAGTGTTAAGGAGGAGGAAGAGAGATGTGGAAGACGGCATTCTATATTACGGGCGACTGTTTGGACGGTGAGTGGGTGAGCGGATTGACTAATGTTGGAGATCTGAGTCAATGGAGAGCCGGGAGACGCTCTGTGCCGTAAGAGCGAGTAATAAGATAGAACAGCGCAGCACGGAACGGTGCAGCAAGCTATTAATTGATAGTTTGTACGCGACGGTCTGGAAAGGTGTGGGCGTAATGGGAAAGCATCTGGCTATCTAGAGGCCGGACAGGGCTATGACTATGTGAAGAAGTACTTGTACAATTTGCACACGATGATTTGAAATGACAAAGGAAGAAGGAGAAGGAGAAGCAGAGTGCTGATAAGAAGTTGATGTGCGATCGGGAGACTTGAGGAGAGCAAGGAGCAAGAATGAGTATGAAATTTGAGGTAGTTCTAGACATGGCAATGCTCTGAGGCGACTCGGTGCCCTAAGTGAGAAACCCCCTGGCTACTCCCTGCCTCGCATCTAGTCTCCTAATCCGCCCCAACACATCTTCCAACGCCTCCGTAACGGTCTGAGGCCGCTTTTCTTGATCGGTGAGATCAAAGTAGACAACCCCCCCGTCGTCCTCTTCTGCATACAACCACACTTCGTAGTGGCGTCCTCTGAACACCCAGTCCACGCCGAAGCCAACCTTCACAGTCTTCGGGAAAAGCTCGTGGGCACGATCTGGAAGCGTTGTTAGTGTGAAGGCGCGCGCTGCGAGTAGAGGGCTAGTAGGTAGGTATGCGAACCTACAATGCATCTAAGGAGTTGCTTTTGGTGTGCGAGAACGCTACCGCTTTTCGAGAGCATGGTTCTGCCCGATAGCCGCGTCTCTATGCGTGTGGTTACCCCCGCGGTCGTTTGGGAAGGTTCGGGCCCTACGCGTGTTTCTACCCTTGCAGGCTTTGGGAGAAGTTCGTGGGCTTGATCTGGAAGGATTGTTAGTGTGAAGACGCTTTAACTGAATTGCTAGTAGAAAGAGTATGCGAACCCGCAATGCGCCTAATAAGATGCTTTCCGGGTTCCATGGCGCTTGCCCTTGCTAAGAACATGGTGTTGCCTGATTGCCGGGTCTCCATGTGTGGAGTTTCTTGCTCGGGAATGAAGGTCGCCACGGCGTCGAAGTTCTCGAGTGCACGTTGAATTATGGGTAACTCGCAATATGCGGGGGGCTCGAAGGTAGAATGGTAGGACATACTGGGAGTTTGGAAATGATGAGTGGAAATTCGATGACGGTGTATATATGGTAGCCGATAAGCCAACTCGCTTCGATGGATGGAGTGAGAATACAAGCTCTGTGATAATCACGAAAGTGAAGATGAGGGAGAGGTTGCGCCGTAGATATAATCGGGAATGACTCACGGCTATTGGATCAGCGGGGGAGGAGTCAAGAAGGATAGACAGGCTCTGATTTTCACGGCTCATGGAAATAGCAATGAGCCATTGAAGAAGAAATAGCTAAACAAAATGCCAGAAAATATCTCACTGGGCCCTCGTGCCGCTGCTGAACCAGGAAAGGGAGCCACTCCCTCGTTCCTCATATCCTCTTCGTCATATGTAGAGGCGGAACCCCTTTCGCAACTACCTATTCTTCCGCTTGTGTCTTCCTCACGGTCCAAGTCCCCCCAAGCGCTAGTGACCACAGTGAGCCTGCCACAGTGTTACACTCTCTCCCCCTGCCTAGCTCTTTTCCCGATTCCTTACCCTCCTCCCACACTCTCGCGCACCACCAACCGTCCTCTTTGGCGCATCGGATGTGCATCTTGCTAGCACGAGGTGCAAGTTGGAGAACTGTGTTGCGAATGTTGCCGATAGGTTCTCTTCGGATGGCATCCTCCTCCCGTCTGGCCCCTTCGTGCCTTTCTCGTTCCATGGTCTTCAAAGCCTCTTCCTCCCTCCGCAGCGTCGTCGACCGCTCCGCAGCCTCTGGTGTGGCTTTACGCTCGCGGTGCTTGGCTAGGAGATGCGACTGTAATATAGCTAGAATCTTGTGCTCTTTTTTCGGCTCACTCCCGTTCCCGTCGTCAGACTTCTCGGGTACTTCAGGGGCTACAGGCGGTGCGGCTTCAGCAACTTCGTCTTCCCAGTCGTACTGGAGGGTGTCGATGTTCATGGTTTCGAGATTGACGATGACCTCGTACACTGCGTTGGGCGCTGTGAACCATGGGGGGCCAACTCCTGGGTAATACAAAGCCATAGTGGAAAGGGCGACGATGGGGAATTGTACTGAGTGAGAGCGGTGATTGAATGGAGATGAGGAGAGAATAAGAGAGTGGAGGGCCGTCGAGGAGTTTATGATTCAGATCCGTAGGGGACGTTGGACGTTGATGAGTCCTCGCGCGATCAGAGTCATAGATCCCGCTCGTTACCGAGCCTGGGTCTCTCCAATGTGAGTCATTCGCTAGGTCAGTGCATAGTGCGAACTGTACAAAAGAGAAGAATGTGCTGAGTAGGCAGAAGAATTTGAATGACATGATTGTAAGACATGTTGAGGAGGTGGAAAAGCGTGGATGATAGACGTGGTGATACGGGGATGTGAGAGAATGTTTGAGGGTACATCCAGGTTTGGTGAGCTTAGCTACATGCCGCTTCGATTCTCCCACCTCCATTACCTGTATCATTCATCCTGCCTTTTCTTTAGCCCTTGGATCAGCATGCCCATGGCATCAGCAGGAGAGGAGCATTCCTCCGTGTGCAATTCCCGCCCGGAATCGTCATTTCCTGCCCACACCGTAGCGCTATATCTCCCAACGTCCTCCCGGCATAGTCGGAGGAAGAATTGATCAGTATTCGGATCGAAGTTTCGAACTTCTTCTGTGTATGGTTAGAAAGCGTAAAGAGGACCATGATTGTGATGACTTACTCGCAACACTTTTCGCATGCTCATTGAGCGCCTTTTCAGTCTCTGCATCTGGTATACTGTCATTGAGAGGTTCATGATTGGGTGCGCCCGTCATACCATTCGTAGGTTGCTTAGCGGCGCCCTCAGCTTCTCTTTTTGCCTTCCTTTCGGCATGGCCGGGAAGAATCTTCGATAGAGAGAGTTTTGATGACTTCTTTTCTCCCTTCGCAACAGTAGAATCTCGCGCAGCGGAGGTAGGATCGTAGATGTAGGGCTCGTCATCTGGTTCCTCCTTCGGGAATGTGATTATGGCTTGGTATATGATGGTCTTCTTCGGCGTTTGGTCTGAGGCCTGGGCTGACATGTTGGTCGGCGGCTGGGTCCACGTAGTTTGGTGATATCGATCTTGTTGGCTGACAATGATGTATGTATGGCAGGTGCAAGAGTGTGGAAAGAAGAGAAGAGTGAACTCGGAAGGAGATGTGAAGGTAGGAAAGTACAGTGTAGTCGTGATATATACAACGGCATGACTCCTCCGATTAGTATTACTCATGTATGTACCAAGGAGTCACCGTCCACGCCCTCGCGGCGCTGACACTGCAAAAAGCCGCGAAATATTCCTGTACTAGCATAACTTCGCGATAGTAGGGGAATCATAATGGTGCGCAGATATCATGCTTTCGCCGAGTGCGTTGGCGGCGCATTGGAAAATGGTGACATGGTGTTGACCTTGTGGCTAATGAACCAAGCGCGCCTTCGAATATGATTCAGTGCAGATCGTCTTTCGCAATTTCTCCGTTTGGCTCGAAACCCAACAGCGTCGAAAAGCGGATCGGGCTTGTACAAACTCAAGCTGGATATCGTCGTTGTGTTATGATACATGGAGCGGCCCTCCGTTCGCCTATTGAAGGCCTTCAGAAAGGGTGATGTTTGGTGCGGATGTGTAGTGAGAAATGAGTGGACTGTCGTTCTCTCCTCTTCAAAAGATGCGTGAGGTAAGGGATCATCTATACATTACGCTTCCAATGACCATGATGGCGTAGGGAGGTGCCCAAGGCCGCTACGTAGGTATCGTGGAGGTCGCGCAAGCGTTGGACGAGGCCGTGCAGGAAATGAGCGACAAAGTGCACTGGCCGATTGGGATGCGGTGCTAAACAAGCCGCGCAGACCGTCCTTCCGGTCGGGGTCACGAGATGGTGTTGCCAGTGCTGAGAAAGTCGATGGGTGCCTAGGAAGATCTCTGGCTTTAGATCATTTAGTAGCCCTTCGCAGTGTTTTTGAGACCGTTTTTGAACATATTACGCTCTTTGTGACCGCAGTCCTATTCCACATGGCATACTTCGTGGGGAATGAACGAGCTGAAAGTCAAGTAGAAATGGGACTGGGCTTCGATGTTGGAGTGACGAGTAGAAGTTGTTGTTAAGCAATGGCGTGACTGCGACCTCATGTTGGTTGTGGGTCCGTTCCTCATCCCAGTCTAGGCCACGTGGCGGCCCCTGAAATTTGAGTTGCATGGCCTCCGCATACAAGTCCGAGCGTGCCGTCACCTGGAATGCGACGCCAAAACTAGACCTAGACGCCAGAAATCCTTACCGGTGCAGGATTTCGAGTTCGATATGCGGGGGATGCACCTGATCCTCGCCGACTATTGCACACACACACCTCTACTGGAACTTAGCACGTACACAGTTTTTGCATGCGGTATATCAGAGGGCGAATGATAAAAGCAACAGGGACCTGACTTGCTTCAAGTTTGTATTGGAGAAATGATGTAGAGGAAAGGTGTCGTGGAAAGTGACAAAGTGGGTGAAGACCTCCGTCCACCTCTGAGTCACCATTGTACTACATCACTTCTACCTAGGTATGTCACGGAATGCTAATTTATATACCGACGCAGCCTCAGAGGGTGAAGAAGAATAGGTGGTCACCATCACATTACGCGAGAAGGAAATGTAGCCCTTTCGTGATTTTCAAAAGGCTCAAAAGACAAATAAAGCCCAGCTTCACAAACACTCTCCGTTACGGGGTCCCTCCTTACTCCATGACTTCAAATCCGGCACCAGAGATAATCTTCTTCAAACGATCGCGTTTGTAGTAGGTATCCATTTTGCCTTCAACTATGCGCTTCTCGGCGATTTCAGCGAGGCCCCTGAGAAGACAGAGCAGCGCATTGAAATGGTCCAACTTTCCGTCTTCCCCCTTGTGAAATGGCTCTCCAGATTCACCCCAGCCTCGCCATGCTCCAGCGTAATATTTCCCATCATTTTCCTTCGTTGATCCAATAAAAATCTGACGGCCTCTCGGCTCAAGGTCGCGCACTAGCACTGTAGTAGTTTTCAGTAACCGAAATCATTGTATGTACGGAGCGCTGACTAACTTGCAATATACCTAATGCAACGATGGCGTTTTTCCTTCGAGTCGGTCGACGCGTTGCTTTCGCTCGCGGGCTGAGCAGCAATTTTTTCTGAGCGACACTCGCGGTCTTCAATGCGGATGTCTTTCACATTCTCTGCTAGGGTGACCATTGCTTCGTATCTTGGGGCCTTCCTCATACGCTCAGTCATGACTATGAGCCAGGTGCTGATAGGCATTATGTGATAATGTTGCTCGGTGAGAGTGAGTCTTGCAATGTAAACAGACACTGTAAAGGGAGAGCGAGAAAAGAGTTCAATGGATTGGGAACGTTGGATGAAGGCAAGATCATTTATATATCTCAATGTGACTCCTCAGGTCTGTGATACGGAGTCGTCGAGGAGTCAAGGCGTGATCGTGGCCCGCCCCGCGCCGTACATCAAACCTCTAGAGCAGATGCCATTCCCTCACAGCGCACCTACTGTGCACCTAGTCATGGACCCCTTTCTGCATCTTTTGCGTCCTTCTGTGCATCATGCTCAGATTCGTCGCCCTTCGATTCGTCGCCCTCTGGTTTGTCGTCCTCGTCGTCTTTCGCCTTCCATTCGTCCCGAAGTTTCTCACTCAGAAGACGAAAAGAGGTTAGGATATCATCGGCATCTTCACCAGTCCTTATCTTTTCTAATAGCCTCTCGCTAGTAGTCGAAACGAAGCATTTGTAAAGAGTCGCAACGAAACGATACCGACCGTCTTTTTTAGCTATGTCTGCGTCGACTAGGAATTGATTATGTTCAGGGCGGAGCTTCTCTAGAGACTCTGCTGGTGGTAAGAGCCCTGATGGCCACATGTTCCAACGGCAGCACTTACCGGTTATCTCCCTTTTTATCCTCGTTCGCTCGATAGTTTGCTCGTCTCCCTCTCTCTCGAACTCTTCAATGATCGCTCCTGTTGAGTTGTCTTCAAGGTAGTTGCGGACGTTGTAAAGAGTCTTTTCGTTTCTCGACACTGTGATGATGATCCAAAGCTGGTAAAGTACGTACGAAAGTCGATCGAAGATTGGAAAATGAGTTTTGATAGAAATCCCGCTTATTGTACGGGTAGCTGGAGAAATGATAACAAACTCCGACCTCGAGCTTCTTTATATACTCGTTCATGACTCTCACTGCAGCAGCAGCTAGTCATCGAGGAGTCAGGCGCGGGCGAGGAAACGCCGGCTTGAGGGTCAACTCTATGACTACATTTCAGAAGCTGAGTGCGACAGATATCTTTTCTTCGCACTCTACGTTGGAGTGTCACAGTCAAGCGTTCGATGAATTGTATGTGTGGATGCGTGGGCGCCAAAACGTGCGAGATGCCCAGGCGCCTACGCGGGGAGATGTGGCCCTGGGGAACTCAAAACGCTATACCTGATAAGGCTAGCCCGATCTTGATGTCCAACTCGGTCAGCCCCTAGCAACTTCTCTCGCTAGTATTACAGCTGCCGTATCTATATCACATATCTGTGCATTGAACGTGACTCACGCGTGAATGAGTCGTGCTTGTACTATCTTCACTCTCCAGCTCACCTGCGAAGCAACTCTACACGTTCACATAGCTATAACTTCAAAGTTCACGATTCAGGAAGTTATTACGACCCTTTTCTTCCTCTACCTCCAGACCTCAGAAGCTGCTTGGGAATTCATAATGCTTCCAATCTTTCAAGCCATCGTCAGTTTCGGAAAACCCGACGCGAACGTACAAGTACATATCCGACAGAACGATCATACGGAGCCAGAAGAGGTGCGCAAACCCTGGCTCCTGCTGCCAGCAATTTGGAGGCTGATCTGTACGGTGACCCGTATCCTAACGCCTTCAACAGCAAGAGAAGACGAAGACTACGGACCGGCATAAGCTCTTAGTGGGAATAGCTTGTATGGCTGCTCTTCACGCTTACATCTAAGCCAACGCTAATGCTCGGCAGGGAAAGTGCGCAAATCTCGCCCCGAAGCTGGTTTAGCTGAAATCTTCTGGGTCGACGTTTACTTCGACAAGCCGAAGAAAAGCTACAAAGTAGTTGGATACATGCTAGAGATCAAGGGGCCTCAGCCTTACATGAAGAGCTATGAACCAATTGGGTTTGCTCTCGGGAAAGACAGCATCGACGAGGTATTGAAGGCCTTCGGCGAGGACATGGAAGCGGATAAATTGCAGCATACTAAACCAGCAACGCAAGGCAGTATGTAAAGGCACTAGCTCATGGGGTATGGGTGTATAATTGGATGTTTACTCGGCGTCGTCCGGCTTCTTGATTGCTTCTTGACGGCCTCCAGGTACGGTAATGTTCGGTATGGTGGAGAGCAGGAGGCCGCAGCGGGGAATTCCTCAGCGCCTCTTCATGTGAGGGTTGCTCAGCGATTATTTCACTCATAGTCCGTGGGCATTAGCGAACAATCCTAGAATGATTTATAGGAAGGTGACCGCGACAACTCCGTGAATATGTTTAGGGTCGTGAAAAGGTGAGCGTTGAGGTGCGGGGAGAGAGATCGACGGCTATACTTCATAGAGTTTAGCGTGACTGAGCGCAAAACTTAGTCAGACCCCGACGGCGCCTGTTTCAATCCACGACCACATCGTCAACGATCTCCGGCATTCATATTACATCTTTGTGGCGAGATGCATGCACATACGTGGGGTGTCGTTCCACGTCCAGGCTGGCTATTTCATTGATCTGGAAGTCTCACGAGACGCGCGTCGATCTTCAGGAGCTACAGAAGACCGGCAAGCAAGTTGCTTTGCAACGAAACGCCTTCCCAAACCCTCCAACATATGGCTAGCAAGCAGGCTGCATGTCTCAACTGCCGAAAAAGCAAGATCAGATGCAAGAGAGACCCTGGAGCCCCGGTGTGCGAGAAATGCACACAAACGGGCGTGGAATGCGTCATTCCTAGCTTCCACATCGGAAGGCAGAAGGGCGTCAAGAAGTAAGTAATGTATTGCTCTTGAATCATCTCCCACTCACCTGCCATAGCAAGCGAACTGGACTAGAAAAAGCCATATTTCAGATTGAAGAAGCTCTTAGGAAATCCAAATCAGACCCATCGTCGAGCGAGGGCACTGTGGAACACTTGCAACAGCTCCTCAGCCAGGCGCGTGGTGGGAGCAATGAGCCGTTTCACATTTCGCCAGCATCGTCGGCCGGTGCCCTTCCAGTCATCGAGAGAGATGGAGCGGGCCCATCCACGGACGAGCACCTAGCATTGGATGATGCAGAGAATCCTCTTCAGCTGCTCGCAAGAGCATCGGATCTTCGGTTGACCTCCCCGCACTCAGGAGATATTGGCGCTTCCACCCCTTCAAGTAGGACCTTTGCAAGCGACAGAGGGGACAAGTCTGACGTTCACCGATTCTTTCTACCCGTCAAAGCGAACTTAGACCAGGGCCCCGATTTAGATCCGATTGACCTTGGGCTGGTGACCATGGAAGAAGCAGAAATGCTCATTTCATTGTAAGTAAGCCTACATGGACGGCAACGCAATATCTACTGTGCTCGTTTGGCACGACCAAGCAGGCCAGCCGAGATGAAAAGCACGGGTTGGTACGACGTCGACAAGACAATTCGCTGCTAGCGTGACGTTCAGTCTAGTGAAAATGACTAACCAGACCAGTTATCACGAGAAGCTAGCCCATACCCGGTGGGGCACCGATACAACCGTACATACTCTTCCATTCGTTCGAAATCGGTCGTCATTTCTCTTCACATCCCTCCTCCTGTCGTCTGCCCTATTCATGCCTACCGCTGCAGCACTTTGCAAAAGGCTCCTCATACACCGGAAGTTCCTCGCAGAGCAAGTCATCGCTCGCCGATTTCGCTCTGTCGAGATAGTCCTAGCGTTCATGGTCAATGTTCCCTGGATGCACCCCGGCGCGCATGCTAGCGACGACGATACGGGTCTGTACATTTCAACAGCTATAAGCATTGCACTAGACTTGTATTTAAACAAGATTCTTGTGCCGTCTCGGACATTCGCTCGCGATCTGCTCAAACGGGTACCACGAGCCGACTGCCTCGATGCAAAGAAGGCACTGGCCATGGACGGGTTCGAAGACATTGACACCGAGTCTGACTGGGGGCAGAGATTGCTTCGTCGAAGAGAAAGAGTATGGATTTCATTGTTCGTATTGGACCGCGGCGTTTGCCTTGCTCGGGGTCGCAATTACTGCGTTCCCATTACCCCCCTGGTCAGGCACTGCGACAGTTGGCATGTCAGCAACGGGACATCCGATGTTCAGGATGGGCCCCTTGTTTCGATGGCTGTGCTTCGACGAGACCTAGACGATCTCTTCAACGCTGTCCGTTCGAGGTGCGACAGCTACAGGGTGATCGACGTCGGTTCTAAGGTTGCGGAAGAAATCGACGCGACCATAGAGAGCTTCTTCGGTAGATGGCTTGCCACTTGGACCGCTTCCATCGGCGAAGGCGAACACAAAGCTCTGCCGCCGTACGTTGAAATCCTCGTCACGCATACCCGGCTCTCTGCTTACGGCGGCGTCATCAACCACCCGACTGCGCCTCTCGAAGTCAAGCGACTGTTCCGCGCCTCGGCACTGTCCTCCGCCCTTAATGTCATGCGCGCAGCGATCCAGGGCGAAGCTCGCTTGAAGTCAATGCCGAACAACACCGTGACTATGATCTGCTTTGCGGCTTGCGTCGCTCTGAATCTGAGCACTCCAACCCCCGGCGCGAATCAAAACCTCGTTCCAAGCGTACGGAATCTCATCGAAGAGACGGCAACCGTCTTGGAGCGCGTAGGAAGCACTCCAGCTCACAGAAACGGTGCCTCAGTTATATACGGAAAATACATGCGTGAGCTCGTAAAGCAAGCGCCCGAGCTACCAAGGCACCCTCCGCCCGAACCACGCAGCTATGTACCGCCAGCCTCGGATCCTCCTGGCTCCTTGTTTCCTCCGGCAACGGACCTGATAGACTCATCAAGTCAGGTCCAACACTCCTTGGGGTCCTCGTGGGAACCACTTCAGTTTTCGGCCATGTCTGGCAACGAGGTTATTGAGACAGTTATGAACGTTGGCGACTTCGATTCTTCCCTATTCGACTTTCCGATGCAGGACGCTAATAATGCGTTCATGTGGATGGATTGGATGAATCCTCCAGACTTTGGGTTTCAATAGGCCCCTGGAACCAGAAGCTCCCGCTAAAATCTGGTCGTTATATGAGGTTCGGCCGCAACACGATGTCCGCGCAAAAGGAGTTGACGGCGCTTCTCCATCCGGGGCCGGTCCGCTGAAATTTAGCACGAAAGTTCGCGCACATATATGGGTCACCGCATATTCGTCGAAACCCCTAACCTCACTCTCGGTACCTGATATGCTCCCGAATGTTATCCGTCACGACATTAGCCATCGGAGCGGCTGCTCACCAAGCACAAAGATAACCGTACTCGAAGCGGACACATGCAGGCCTTTCGCCGAGACCTGGTTGTTGGCTCGGTACACCGGCGTTGCAGCATCACCCCGCCTCGGAGCCACTTCTGTCTCCGAGCGCGTCGCTTGCTACGCGTCATAGCCACGGCTGGCGGCGAGCTTCGGGTCCAGCTCCTGAGAATACTCACATGCCGGTCCACAGGTCCATTCCCGGGCGTCGTAACTTAATTATTCCCGCTTGAGCAATAAATGTTAGAGGACCCTTGGAACCCAATTGGCATCGCTGCGCTCGTTTTCACCGCCCATTTTCATCATGGACTCGCTACCATCGCGTCTACTCCTCACGCTGCCCTCACGAATATGTACAAATCGGCCCATACCAGCGCAATTCCGTGCCGCGAGGAGTTTGGATAGAAAATGGAGATTTGTTTCGCAAAAGCGGTTTTACAGCGCTCCAGTTTCACGGGAACCGGTCATCGATCGCTCGAGATCGAAGCTCTTCAAATCTGCCGATGAAGCTGTCGCGGACCTTCAATCCGGCTCCACCATCCTCAGCGCAGGCTTTGGCCTTTGCGGCGTCGCCGAAACCCTCATACAAGCGATTAAGAACCGCGGCGCACGATCGTTACATTCACTTACAGCGGTGTCGAACAACGCCGGCATCGAAGATGTGGGTGGGTTGGCCTTGATCACCAAGTCCGGCCAGGTTAACAAGCTGATCATCAGCTTTTTGGGGAACAATAAGGCGTTAGAGAAGCAGTATCTCTCCGGAGGTATCACGATCGAGCTCTGCCCACAGGGAACGTTGGCGGAGAGGATACGAGCTGGTGGTGCTGGCATTCCGGCTTTCTACACTCCTACAGCGGTGAATACGCTATTGCAAGATGGGAGAATTCCCGCGCAGTTCGACAGCGAAGGGAATATCATCGGATATGGCACGCCACGGGAGGTTAGAGAATTCAATGGGAGGACATATCTCATGGAAACTGCACTGACCGGCGATGTTGCGATTGTGAGAGCATGGAAGGCTGATGAAGAGGGAAACTGCATTTTCAGGTAGGTTGAGTCGTTTGCCCGCGGACGCGTGCTGAACTTGGGCAGATATACCACCAAAGCTTTTGGACCAATTATGGCGAAAGCAGCACGCCTCACCATCGTTGAAGCGGAAGAAATTGTCCCCGTCGACTCGCTGAATCCGAATGACATCGACCTCCCCGGCATCTTTGTCAACCGCATCGTCCCCGCCACCGCGCCGAAGAACATCGAGATCAAGAAGCTCCGCGATCCGGAAGCGTCAGGAAAACCATCCGAGCCGAACAAAGCCGCCGCGCGCCGAAACCGCATCGCACGACGAGCAGCGAAGGAGCTCAAACAGGGATACTATGTGAACCTGGGCGTCGGCATCCCGACGATGGCAGCAGCATTCGTGCCAGAGGGAACCAAAGTCTGGCTGCAAAGCGAGAACGGCATTCTCGGCATGGGTCCGCATCCAACAGAAGAGGAGGTTGACCCCGATATCATCAACGCCGGCAAAGAAACCGTGACCCTCCTCCCCGGCGCCTCCACCTTTGACAGCTCCGAATCCTTTGGCATGATCCGCGGCGGCCACGTCGACGTCTCCATCCTCGGCGCGCTACAAGTCAGCGCGTCCGGAGACCTCGCGAACTACATGGTCCCTGGCAAAGTCTTCAAAGGCATGGGTGGCGCTATGGATCTCGTTGGCAACCCCGATGCTACGAAGGTCGTTGTTGCGACCGAGCATGTTGCTAAGGACGGAAGCTCCAAGATCGTCCAGGAGTGCCAATTGCCGCTTACGGGAGCGAAGTGCGTGAGCTTGATCATTACGGATATGGCGGTTTTTGAGGTGGATAGGAAGAGGGGGACGTTGACGCTGACGGAGGTCGCGCCCGGGGTGAGTGTGGAGGACGTTAAGGCGAAGACGGATGCGGAGTTTAAGGTTGCGACGAATTTGAGGGAGATGGAGTAGATATAGACTGTGTTTGGGTGCGTTGTATATAGTCTTTTCACGCATTGGCTAGGTTGGAGCGTTTCGCGATGGCATGGATGGCTTCGTACCGCTGTTTCTTGTTTTGTCATTGCCCTTTCAATGGATATCCTACGCAGTGCGTGCAGCGCATTCAAATATGTCTCCTATGTGCCAAAGACAGCCCCCGCGCTCCAGGTCCTCAGGGGAACGGCACTGTGGTACGCATTATGTCACTCATGACTACAATCCTCAACAGACTGTGTCTCGACTTTTATAACCACACGAGCGCCTCTCGTTGGTGCATTTGGTCGCTTGTGCACTCGATATCCCGACTTCCACCGCAGGCGCCACAGCGCCACGCTGCCCTTCGATGTCGAGATCCGCAGACCATCGCCCAGGTATCACGCTGTTTTCTCATCAAGTTGTATGCCCTCACTCCATATATGTTCTCGGATTCGGCTCGCGGCCCGACTAGTAGCCCGTCGCTATAGTCTAAGGCTCTGTCTGTTCGCGGGAGATCGATGGAAGGGCGTCTGGCGGACTTTGGCTACAATTGAGCTCTTCGGATCTTCGTGTGACCTTGCGTATCCGGCTCTTGATGACATGTGAGATGGGGATAGTCTCTTCGAAGCTCTCGAGGCAAACAACGGCGGCCGTTAGGAACTGTGGGCGAGCGAGTGGGTGTCTTCCTGGTTTTTCATCAGCTTTCATCGCGCCTTCATCGTATCCTTATCGCTGGCACCATCGTTCGGATCAGCTTGTCGACCTCTGCAAAACGACGTGGTTCTAGAGGATGTCTTGGATGCGTTGGCGCCCAGGCGCGGCGTTTTTGGCGTTTTTGGCGTCTTCCTCCCGCGAACGCCAGGGAGCTTGGACGTGCTTGTGCGAGCTCCAAGAACGCGCCTTTCTGGGCGCCGCTCAACACTACTATTCTCTTCAGCATGCGAGCGCAAAAAGTATCGAAAGACGTCCTCAGCAGGGCTTATCATGACGTGAGCCCCCGGGCGCAAAACAACCACCGCCTGCTGACGCGTGACGATCACTGCCCCGCCCGCCGCGCTGCCATGGCCGAACATGGCCGCAGATCTCGGGCGGGCCTGGTGTTCCCCACGGGGAGCTCGCATCCTAGTCGCGCGTGCAACCGGCCGCATCCAGGCTTTAAATTGATTGGGGTCCCCTCTCTGCTCTTTTCGTGGTAACGTCGTACCGCGCGCCCTTGCTCACCGTCTCTTCGATATATCGGATCAGCTGCCGCGAAGGACGGGACGTATATCTGACAGACACGATGGATTCTGAAGTAAAAATGCACGACGAGAAGATCGAAGGGAGGGGTAGGAAGGCTGATGAAGAGATGGTTGGCACTGTTGACGACGCGTCGCCTTTGACGCGACAGGTGCTGTGGAAGATGGATGTTAGGTATTTTGGCTTCGAGGTCCGTTCATTGACGCTGTCTAACTGAGTACAGGATCCTGCCTGTCCTCGCGCTGCTGTTCCTCTGCTCGTTCATTGACCGCACGAATGTCGGCAACGCAAAGATCCTGGGCCTTCAGGCAGATACGCACATGACCGACCACCAATACGCGATTGGGCTCTGTGCCTTCTATGCGACTTACATCGCCAGGCAAGCGCACTTCCGCTATACAAAGGCCCCTTTCTGACTTCATGCAGCGAGCTCCCGAGTAACCTCGTGCTGAAGAGATTTTCGCCCAAAATATGGCTTCCCTTTTTGACCGTCGCTTGGGGAACCCTGACGATGTGTCTTGGTTTCGTAAAGGCGTTTGGTTCGTTCGTTGCGGTTCGAGCGCTGCTTGGTGTAGCTGAGGGCGGCCTTCTTCCCGGCATGGTATTTCAAAACTGCGCCCATGGCCATCTGATGCTAATCTAGTTCTAGGTTCTCTATCTCTCGGGCTTCTATAAACGTACCGAACTGGCTCTCCGCATCGGCATCTTCTATACTGCAGCCTCTCTATCAGGGGCTTTCGGTGGCTTGCTTGCCCGTGGGCTGAATGCGATCGGCCACAAGAGCGGCCTTGAAGGCTGGCGCTGGATCTTCATCGTGGAAGGCTTACTCACCGTCTTCATCGGCGTATGCAGCTACTTCATTCTCCCCAACTCCGTCGAAACCGCACGCTTCCTCACACCAGAGCAAAAAGAACACGGGAGTCGCCGCCTCCACGAACAACATGAAACCCACGAGGAGTTCTCCTGGGCCGAAGTCAAACGGGGCATCTTCAATCTGCAGGTCTGGCTTTCCGCGCTGGCTTACTTTGCGATTCTCTGCGGCCTGTATTCATTCGGCTTGTTCCTCCCCACTATCATCAACAACCTCAAATTCGCCAGCGATCCAAACGAAGCGCAGCTCTGGACTGTCATCCCTTACGCCGTGGCTTCCGTAATGACTGTCTTCGTCGCGATCCTCTCCGACAAACTGAAGATGCGCGGACCCATCATGCTCGCCACACTCCCCATCGCGATCATTGGGTACGGCGTCATCTCGTCAAGCACAAACCCGCACGTGCAGTACGGCATGACCTTCATGATGTCGACGGGCATGTACGCTTCCGTACCCTGCATCCTCTCCTGGAACAGCAATAACTCCGCGGGGCATTACAAGCGCGCGACGACGTCGGCGCTGCAGCTTGCGATTGCGAATTGTGGTGGGTTCGTGGCGAGCTTTGTGTATCAGAAGAAAGAGAGCCCGAATTTTCATAAGAGTCATAGGATTATGCTGGGCCTGCTTTGTGCGGCGTGGTTGCTGTAAGTGTTGTTCCGACGGGCAGGGAATGGAGTGGCTAACGGGGCATAGCATTGCGGTGAACGTGTTCTGGGTTAGGAAGATTAATCGGGATAAGCAGGCGGGCAAGTTTAATGCTTGGGAAGGGAAGGGCGATGATCGCGATCCGAGCTTCAAGATGGTAATGTGAGCGAGGTATGCGCACGGAGGGTATAATCGGGCAGGGAAAAGGGATGCGAAAGAGCTGGACCAGGCGCTTGGATGGTGCCAGGATATCTCCTATCGAGTCACCTCCGATTATGGGTCCGCGGGCGTAGGGTCCACAGGTTTCACGAATGCACATTGTGTCACTGCCAAGGGCCAACATACATGACTCCCACGATATGACGCCACCTTCCGAACACCTTCTGTGCACGTCGACTTGCTAACGTACGGACAGCGCACACGCACACACCAATATGTCCCAAACTTTAATTCGGAAACCCATTCACGAAGCCCTCCAACGAATAATAACGACTATGAACCACTCGAGTGCTCCCTTCTAAGCCTCGCTTGGGCCACTCAGCAGCCCAACATCTACACAATCCTAACCGTGAACTCCAACACCCCCATATCCTCCCCCATAAACCTCGCCCTCTCCACCTCACACCCCCAGTCCCCCCACTCAGTCCACCTAACCTCAACCTCCAACCCCATCCCCACCTCCTCCCCCACAACCCCCCACAACCGCTCAAAACTCTCCTTATCATGCTTAAACGGCTCCTCCGCGCGCTTCACCCCACCCCCCGTCATCCTCTCCATCTCAATATCCCCGGCGGCCTTACAGCTCCCCGCCAGACACCCAAACACAAACGACCCCCTCCCCTTCGTATACCTCAAAAGCCGCTTGCACGCCACAACCTGCTTATCCCACGCAAACTGATGCAACACCGCACTACTCCACACGACATCCATCCGCCCATCCAACAGTCTACTCGCCTCGCTCCCCGCGCTAAAATCCAGCACATCGCCCACCACAACCCGCCCGCTCAGATCAAATTTCTCGCGGTCGTTGAACAGCTCCCACCCCTGCTCCCAGAACGGCAGCACGTCCAGCCCGTGCAGCGCCCCCTGCGGCACCCCCGCGAACTGCAGCGCCCGCAGGTCGTGCCCGATGTAGCACCCCACGTCCAGCACCTTGCCGTCCGGCACGGTCTGCACGTAGGATACAATGCGCGGGAGCGCGGAGTGCGAGGCTACGAAGGGCGTGAGGAAGACGAAGAGGCCTGTGCAGGGGTAGGCGCGGATGTTCCAGAGGGTGGCGCGCACGCGGCGGATGTGTGGGATTACGTCGTCTGCGGGGATGGCGGAGTAGGTCTCGAATTGTGCGCGTATCTGGAGTGGGTGTTAGTGGGGGAGGGGAGGGATTGGGGAGGGGGATGCTTACGGAGGGGCTGAGCTGGCCTTCGACGTCGTCGGTGTACCAGGGGAGGTCGGAGGATTTGAGCTTTGTCCAGGGTGGTGCGGAGTTGTCTTCTGCGACGGTGGTGGTTTGCGGGGCGGACATCTTGGGAACTTGGTGGTTGGATGGTGCAAATTGCGCCTGTAACGTGCGTGCGTCTTGAGCGTCACTGAATGCTGCATAGCGGCGTGCTTCTTATACTTTTTTTTGGGTTTCGCGTTCGGCCGACGAACTGCGATCGTCGGTCACGGTAGTGGAGTGTTAGGCGCCGATGGGGGGCCTCGGGGTCAGCGCTACCGTCAAGCTTCGCAGGACGGGTAATGAGTGGCGCGCCGGCGCGAATAAGCATTGCGGGCCGCTGCAGGCTAACTGGGTTTAGGAATGCATCTGCCGAGACGGATGGTCGTGAGGTCTATTCAAGTTTTCCGACGTCCGAGGACGGTAGTGTCATTTCACGTGAGTAAGTGCGGCCCGGGCTCTTGTGACTGTGCGATAGGAGTGTGAGTGTTGGGAGTGCAGAGGACTCGGACATTAGGTTTCACTCCTAGGAATGGGCTATCCGGCCTGGCTCTTCTCGAGTCTGCAGTTTCCATGAGAGCATCCCGTGCTGGCCAATGGCAGCGGGCGACTCGCTAATTCCCGCTGTTGCATCACAGTTCCCTACCAACATCGATGATGGCTTGTGACGCATGGAGGTGCTGACTGGACAACATGATTCAGGCATGGTATGCTACCCGCGATATAGTTAGCAGGGAGCTGATTGAAGCCATTATGTGTACGAAGGGGAGTTGAGACACATTAGAAGTGCTTCAACGACAGGCACACTGCTTCATCTATAATTTCATCCGCAGGTCACTCCGGTACCCAAGACTCATCATATCACCATATAATGACGGAAAGCCCGACTCCAAAGCGGAGTATGGCACTCGATGCGCACTCATCTAGATATGAAGAGTCATGGCGAATATAAAATCGGGCGTTATCGTGCAACCTATTCCTCTCTGACTCCTACACAGTCATGGCACGACGGCGAGTCGGCGACAAAGGGTCGTTGCAATGAGTCAAACCAAATTATAAAAGTGCCGCCCATGGACAACTTCGCCCACTATCCCCCACAACACCGCACCAAGTTACCTGAATATCTATTACAACTTCTAAGAAAGCTGCAAGCTCATCTCGGTATCCCGGAGCCTCGAAAACGACCAACAACACAGAATGGCCGATCGAGTAAAGGAAGAGGAGATTATAGTGGAATATATGGAGAGGCGAATCCTCAGTCAGTAAACCTTCATGCTCCTCGATTCTTTGGTTACTAAGGTTGATCGCAGACCTTGCCGAAGTACTCTACAGCGGAGCGAACCGCAAGTTCCGACTCGTATTCTTCGAACACCCTCTCACAATGAGCGAGGACCAACTAGGCAAGGGGCTAGTACGGGCGGATCCGTATTGGTTTGCTGTCCTCGTCGACGTTGCAAAATCAAGGGTCGAGATGATTCTTTGCACAAGTGAGGGGTGCGGGGTTGATGGAAGGAGCAAAGCCGCCATAAGCCTGCTCGAGACGCTGGAGGCTGAAGCCTCTCTCAAATTCTGCAATGATTCTCAGTTTGCGGCCAAAGTAATGGAAAGTCGGGCAGTCAGACAGCAATGGGCACATGAGAAGAGCAAAATGGAGAAACAGAATTCGGACCGACGGGAGGCTTACTACGACGAGATTGAACGGCAGAGCTAGATCTAGGATTGAAATCACTGTATTCTTACAAATCTACTTCTTCTGCCTGCTTTTTCTCCCGGTGCCCCATTGAGGCATTTATGACACGAGTGCTCAAGCCTCCAAAGGATGTGGCGCGCGGAACTGGTGAGATGTCGAAGCCGTTGCGTTCGGATATCTGTGGCACATACATGCGAGTTTGCTTGCGGCCGCGCGCCGTTGGAAAGGTTAGCTCCGGGGGTCATCAAAAGGGATGACACGAAAGAGAAGGCGCTAAGTTATACAGGTCTGGTGGATGCGAAAAACAACAAAGCCACTGGAAATATCCGATAACCCCTTGCGGCGCGATATCGCAAGACTTTGATCGCGCGGCAAGTATGTTTCTCTCATCGAAGCATTTCGACGCGAGGTATGCCGAGTCCTCAAAGATCCGTTTGATTCAGGAAGCAGCGAGGGAGGAACTTTCTTAGGTGATAACAAAAAGGTGGAGGCTCTCAAGAAGACGGTAGGAGCCTGGAGGACATTAGGATGAAGTTGTTTCCGACGCTGAAGGAGATACTGGCCAACCCCAACAGCGAGGATACGGACTAGGACACGGATGCGACTAAGGACTAGGGAACGGACAAGGATACGGATGAGTCTTTAGATTAATCTGCTATTGTAACAATATTGGCTCAATTCTTCATGCTGTGATGGTAGAAAGCAGTGATCGGAGGCGGCTCGCCAACTTCCGTCATTGTATCACAGTTCCAACCCCAACGTGGATGCTGGCTTGTGACGCATTGACACACTGACTCCTTCATACCACGGTCGCCTTGGCACAGTCATAATGCTGCCCGCGCGGAATGTCTCGCGTTTGGAGGTCGAGTCATTCTGATTATAGGTACCCCACCTCTTCCACCTGCGTCCGCCCTTCCTTACACACAGGACTTTCACAAAGGCTATTCTGAACAACTCTATTTCCTGTTACAAAGAGACAGCCATGTCTACTCCAATGTCTCTATATCCCACCGACCGTCAACCCAACAAACCTACCATGAATCGCGAACGGACCATCGATGCCGGGTTCATATATGGACAGTGGGAGGCACAAATAAAAGGTAATGTAGCAAATCCCAACAATTTTACCGCCCAGGCTTACTGGAGGAACAGAATGCGGCGAGCTTCTACACGATAAACCCGGCACGGATTCTCTTCGCCTTATCATAGTGGTAGTAAATGATGGAATGGAGGAGAAGTTCGTGGCCACACTCGTCGACAAAAGCGAATCCGATAAGAACGATCCCAATGACCCCAATCCCAAGAAATTCGGGACCAGCATCACCGAAGCGGGAGCGCCAGAAGGGTCAGACATGGACGCGGTGGAAAGCCTATTGGGTTTACTTCAATACAAAGTTGGGAAGAGATTTCAAGGCAAGATCCCAAGGGATCCCGAATTAGCAACGGTTGCGGAAAAATCGCTGGGGGGAACACCATCGGCAAGATCGGTTACGGGGCAGCGCAGAGCGCATGGAGGGATAACGATTGGGCTGTCCTTCGATAATGTACCGAAGATATAATGGTCCATGAAGCAGATCCTTGCTTAACAGTCACTCTGGTGAAGTGGGAGGTGGTGTTGACTTCATTTTGGTGTTTTAGTCCTGCAATAGAATCGGTGGCGTACCCGAGGACCCTTCAAACATGGCTGCTCGTAGTTTGATGAATGAGGTGAATCAGAACACTCGGCACGTGACTGGTCGATAGTGACTGGATTCTAGCGACCCTATGACTCCTCTCTGCGTTGGGGTATTGGATTGTGTGCGAGGCCGTCGCAGGCAAAGTATAGAAACCATTCCATACGTCTTTATCGAAAGAAGTCTTGCGCGAGCCATCTTCGTGCATGGCGTTGCGGTCCTGCATTAGCGTTTTAGTTAAGCATGGAGCTCCTTACTGCTACTTTCGAGTCGGTGGCTTCTTTACTAAGAAGCTATGAGTCCTCTTCTATTCCTAGTCATTCAGTCATTCGTCAATATACTCAAAAGAACTGACTCACATAGTGCACATAAACCGCGAACTTTGGGTGCGACTCTTTCTCTTCTACATACCACAAATTCGGCGAAGTACATCTTTCCAATACATATCCCGCAACACCAGTAATCTTTGTGAACGCAGCGTACCTCCCCCACTACCACGAGACTGTAAAGAAAAAATCACTCTCGGTAAGTATCAGCGTTGATGATGCGCTCCTGGCAGAATACGCTAACTTCGTTATTCGAAGGCTTGCACTATGTCCAACAAAGTTAATGATACCCCAAAGCCGAAGGACAAAGCGGCGCCGGAAGTCAATATCCAAGGACAGGCTTGTACGAAACAGAATTGGGACAACGCTGAGGAGGACATCGTGCGAAGAGATTGCTACAGTGCGTCCAATCCCCTCTGATAAATGTCAGTCAATACTGACAAAAGCGCGGTAGACAAGGCCAGAGAAGTTTGGGGAGATTCCATAGAAGGTCTAGAGATAAAGACGCGGACGAGAAAGGACCGCAATGGGAATTGGCATGTCTCTGGCGTCGTTCGCTGCAAAGCCAAGAAGCTATTGAAGAAAGTGAAGGCAGAACAAAAGATTGAGGTTTTGCGATGCATGCGGGTACAGTTAGATCAGAAGCTCGCCCGCAATGAGGAGAAGAGGATCAAGGGTAAAAATGGCACTGAGGGGGCATGGGGTGGACTCGTTCATCTCATGAACTCCTGGACTGGGCGAGCGGACGGGTGTAGAGATGGTTGATGCGATGTCAAGGATGGTACTTCTACGTGTTCTAACAGCGCTATTGAGTTTAGAATCTTCCAAAATGTACATCTTCTATCGGATGTGAACACGATGTGGAGGGTCGGTAACCGCAGACCGTAGAGTGTTCCGCCTTGCCGTATGCAGCGCATCCCGTAGGACTAGCGCACAAAGACCTGGTGAGATCTTGAAGCCAGTGTGTCCGGCCATCTGAGTTAATCCATACGACTTTGCTCACAGCTGTTCGCGATCGAAAAGGCCGATCGAAGGATGTCCTTGTCCAACGCTCCGGCGCATAGAGCTAAGCTGTCCCTTGTTTCCGCGGCGTCTCATTGCCTGCTCACCATGGCACGGTAGGAGCATGTTCGTTTGCCGTCTTCGGTGTTCGAAGTAATTTCGTGGCGTCGGAGTTCGTTTCGATGTGTGACTCGCCTCAGACGCTCCCGAGGTCCTCATATATGGTTGAGATGAGGTCGAGAGGAAATTTTCGTGCGAAACGAGGAATGCGAAACGAAAGCGGGAAGCAACCGGTAAAGCTGCTTGATGCAGTCGAAGCCCACTTTGGGATGCATCTGAGGGAGGAAGCATACTGGAGGAGGTGGTCGTCGGGCCTGCATCGGCCCCGACAAATGTCCGCGGTCGCGGGTGCGTCACAAGCTACATGCCTGATGCACCCTCCAACACCACTATTTCATCCCTACGTTCCATCGCCATCCAGCTTAGGGTAAAAAGCTGTCGAGCACCCATATAAAGTATTTTATCGCCCCATACACCTAATTCGAACGATAAACGAGCCGCAGCACGCCAGAAAGCCGTTGAAGACATTAGCACTCAAGACCTGACCAGGCGAACGGTAGTTCGGTTTTGAAATGAACGAGTCTCTCACTTAGTGTCACCTTCGCCGACTCGATGTTGAGTGACTCCGCGACAGACAGTCGTTTAGCGCAAGACTCACGGCAGAGCATCGCCTCCCACGACGACCTTTCAAACTCGAATTCGACATCAATTTGACAATACCTGGGAAACAGAGTCTTATGAGCCTTTCTAAAATGTTCTGCTACTCGTGAAAGTCAACTTCTCAAGATGACCTCGCAGACTTCACGTACGATAAGTTCCCTAATTTTAAGCCTATGACGCAATTGGAGTGTTTGATTATTCGTAAGTCTCCCGCAATACCGCTGAAAAAATGTTTCTGAGAGCACCCACAGGATGCGCCGAAGAACTCGAAGAAAGCCCACCGACCTCAACGATACCTATCGCGTCCTCCCAATAAATGTCAGTTTACGCGCGAATCATAAGACGGAGAAGAGGAAACTAAGGTACGCAGCTTTATTGTTGTTGGGAAAAGACGAGGTATTCCAGGCGAGCGAGCCTACCAGGACCGACTTGGATTCTATTGAGAGCCTTCTCAGTATTCTCCAGTGTAAGGTGCGGATAAGTTCGGTCGTGGTGGCGCTAGTAATAGATTCCGCAAGGAATTGAGAGGCGCCATTTCATACGCTGCAAACGAGGTGGAATCTACATATGAGCAAAGGAGTCCCCTATCGTAGTAGCTTCCGCAAGCCACGATGAGCTGAGAAGGCTGCAACCAGCTGTTATTTCCTACCTCAAGGGTAACCTCCATTGAAATATGCTGGCATAATTGGTACACCCCCCACTCGTTGAAGGGCTTCATGCACGCCCAATACCACGTGAACGACGTCTCTTCTATTTTTCTTTCGGAGGCGGGCATTAATGATTACTGCTGCCTCACGTACGATCGTGTTTCATTCAACTATCTTCAACGTTGAGCTTCTCTTACGTGCGCACTTCAATAGACATCTGTAAGTGATTTATGTATAATCACGCTACCGAATTTCCCCTAGGAAAAAAAATTCCGAGGACTACTTCTAAGTTCGGAGGGCCGTGCAACCCTTGGGGCCGCCAATCTACAACTCCGAATCATGACTAAAACTTTGTACTCATAGTGTTGGAACAGTCATCAAGCGGCCACAAGAAGCGTTCTTGGACTATGGTTCATGACTCTCTTTCATACTCCATACACATATTACAGGCTCAAATTCATTTCCCGAACACCATACTCGAATACCTACTCGAAGATCGCAACAGAAGCAGGAAACTCATACCTTGACTTCTATCAGAAACTAAATCACGAATGCTCTCGATGGCGGAGGTGGAAAGAAATCCTTGGGAGGACCACCACGTCCCAACCGACGAACAGCTCGATAGGATACAAGATAGCGGGAAGAACGCACGCAAAGCCCAAACGTCCTCCGAGGCCTCGCCGTCCGCTTCGAAACAGCAAGCAGCACCTGCAAACTCCACGATCTCCACGCTTTCCAGGTCTGCGGTGGTAGCTCAAGAAACCCATCCAGTGGCAGTGGCTCCTCAAGGGAAGAGCACTGAGTCTAAGGACTACGAGAAAATCATCAAAGAAGTCAAGGCAATGGTACCGACATTGGAGAAGGCCTTCGAACAGAAGGAAGGGGCGCTGAAAAGTAGGTGTTTGGGCATGTTCATCACCTAGAGAGCGCATAGGTAACTAACAAGGCCTCTAGAAACGATCGATGAAGCTCTATCATCACAAGCGAATGAGACACGGGGTGCGTGGTATGATCTTGATTAAGCATTTGGGGGAATACTTACAATTCGTAGACGTTCTCTCTCCCCTTATGGACATGGTCTGTACCACATTTACAACGGTTATCGAGCAGAAGTATGAAATTGATGCAAAAGAGACGGAAATTAATGCATTGAAATGTTCGACATCAAACCTTGAATTACACCTTGAAAAGACAACCAAAGACCAAATTTGGCTGAGGGCGCGGTTGGGGGATGCCTCGAAGAAAATGGAATCCTGGAATGAGCTCGCGAAAGAACAGAAGCAGTGGATCACCCAGTTGCATGACGAGAAAGCCGCACTCGAGGACAAGAATAACAAGTTACGGCAAGAGAAAGCCGCACTCGAGGACAAGAATGACAAGTTACTGAAAGAGGAAGCCGCATTCAAGGACAAGATTGACAAGTTACAGCAAGAGAATACCGCCCTGGAGAAGGCAAATGCCGCACTGCAGCAAAACATGACCACATTGAAGGCAGTGTATGAAATCAAGTGCACAGACTGTACAGGCGGGGATGCTTTTACAAAGTATCCAGCCCTCACTGGAGGAATCAAAGGTGCGTTTAGTATTGGTCCTCTGTGCTCGATATTAATATGCTAACACCGTAAGACATCGCCGTATTTTGCTGGAGACCGGGAGATGGCTACCACCTAGCCGTGAAATTGGAAGGAAACGGTAAAGACCGGTTTTTTGTATCAGTGTGGGACGTGAGGAGAGTCGAGCCCATCTGCATGATCAGGAGTAAAGATGAAACCACCAGGGAAGGAGCCTTGGACGATATATCGATTGCTTTGGGAAAGAAAATTCAAGGGATCCTCGTGGGAATGTTCGGGGATGGCCTGAAAGATCGCAAAGTCAACCCCAAGAATGGCGGTTCACGGCTATACATAGGGAAGAGAAGGAGAGGAGGGTGAGAGTAGGTAGATAACTCACACTAGATGCTCGTAGAGGAATGAATCTTCTTTCTACCTTTCTAAACCAGGACGGAGGGAGTATTTGTTATGCCCGGGCTGCAGGAATGCATTCGGGGGAGCGGAAATGAACATATAAACTCGATTTCCTAAGTACATTGAGTCTACTTTTGGATCGGGGTTTCGTAATCACATTGGGGTGTAGAATGTGTACTCGAGGAGATAGCCTCCAGGTCTCCGTTCCATCACTTGCGAAAGGATTAAAATATTGACCGTAAGCTAGAGTACCTCCGTCTGGCTTAGGTCAGAGCCACGAGGCTTTTTTGTTGTTGTGGGGGCGGAGGGCGAAGGGGAGAGAGAAGTTGTCCGTTGAATTCCCCACTTGTGGAAGCAAAAGATCAATCTAGAGCTTCCGATAACTGTACGGTATATGCACTCAAAGCGGCGCCCATCTATACGCCGCGACACCACTTTATTTTTAGAGAATTTGTGTATGTTTCTCAGGTTCCAAGGTTACCAAACCTTGAGGGCACGCGCACTCTGTTGATGAACCCTATTAGTCACGATACCTTCCAAGGTTGCAATGACTTGGAAAGTGTGAGTCAAACGCGAATGACAACCGAACGTCTCATTACATATTTTACTATAAGAATTTCCCACACACCTCCCAGGCCCGCACCCTTACACTCCACTTTCGGAAAACCACCAGCAACACTATTGTAGTGAGGAAATCCCGAACGCGCTCGACACTCCATTTTATACACATCGCAAGCGTCCCTGAATTCTCCGCGGGTCCAAAAAACTCGACAAACCACTTCGGTAGGCACAGGCCTCCCACCATTTGAGGAAGGGGTTCCACGGAGCTTCACTTCGTACTAGGGTTCCCATCGGCAAGACACAAAATGAGCGAGTCCGGAGAGTCTAGGGAGTCTAGTGAGCAGAGAGACAAGAGCGACACTACAGAGCCTAGCGACGAGGAGATGCTGCCTGACAAGCCCCTGTCTGGGAAAACGGTGCATTTCCTGGATGGTGAGAAGAGTACACCGCAGCCTAAGGAGCCAGGCGAGCCAAAGGAAAAAGATGGCCTGGCTCCGGAGATCTACGAACCCAAGGACGTGAAGCCCAGTAAGCCGGACGAGGGTGCCCAAAGCACTGGCCCAAAAAATCCGGAGAAGACTGATAAACAAAAGGCACAAGGTAAATCTTCTACATTCCATATGAAGAGAACCCCCTGCTAAGCATTTTTCAGACTTGGTAGCAGGACTCTACCCAAAAAAAAACTCTAAGATACGCCAGTTCCGAGATATCAACCGCTACGCGTTTGGAGTAGTGAACAGCAAGAATGCAATCCGGGACGGACTCAGAACAGGTTTTCACAGTACTAAGGAGGAAGGAATGAAAGCGCTCGTCGAGATGTTAGAGAAAGCGAAGAGAGCGGATGAGCGGGCGCGAAGGGAGGCAAAGCGGCATAATATGGTGAAACCGCGGTGAATGGGTACAACAGATTGTATTTCACCGAGGTGATAATACTGTTTCTCACGGGCATAGTTTGCTAGGAATTTTGCAAGGTATTTACGAAGGAATATGCGAAGGAGGCTCATGTACAACACGATTCAATCATTGCGGCCACGGTTCGCTCTAATCCCATACTTCTGGAAGTCCATGTCAGCGATTCCTTTTCTCGTTTTCTTCCATGCATAGTTTGTGCGACTCAATGTTATCCTCTGCAATGCGCTTCGGATGTCGATCGCTACTCAGGATCGGTACTTTCCCTTCACAACGCGCCCGCCGTTCGGCGGGAATGCTACCCCGGTAAAAGCCAGACTCCGCTCTTGCGAAAAGTGTCGTACTTCATAGGGGTCGGAGAATGGTTGCGCTTAGCAAAGGTTATCTTTCTGAATCTCAGGCCTTGTTCTTCTCATCTAAAGTTCTGTCAGCAGCAATGAACAGAACCTCGGATATAAGATAGCCAATAAATACGGCGGTTTTGGTGACGAATCACGGCAGTTGCCTGCGGCCTTCTCTTTACCAGAACGACTGCTAGGGACACCCGCTTCTAGCGTGACCGTCACCTATAGCTCTCCTAACCCCCTTGACAGCCGCGGCAGACACCGCTGGTATGACCAGTGGCACTCATCGCCCCGAGAGAGCAACTGTGGTGCGGCTGAGACAACTACCTCGACTCCGATTTCGACCAACGTCTACGCTGGCACTTCTCCGATGACGTCCATGGACGGCGCGATGGCGACGCAGCATACCACTTCGTGGAGTCGTATTGCTATACGCAATTGGATTGCGGACATCGGGACCCGTGCCTTTTCAAGCGAGACTTGGGAAGATCGAGGAGCCAAGAGGGGAAAATTTGGGAAGTTTTACAAGAACGGCGGGCTGTGTGCGATTAGCTCGCGGCCGAGTTCGTGGAGCGGGAGAAGTCGAGTAGGCTGAAAGTGAGAGTCGAAAGGACGCTCTCTGGCGCGACGCCGCGATGAGCCGGGGTTCTGCACCGGGAGTACGGGCTGCATAGCCCTTGACGTTGGCCTTTGAAGGAACTGGATGTTCGATATGTTGTCGTATGAGGTTGCATCATTTCCTAGACTGTTGTGTTACGTGTGGTGACTCTTCTGCTTGCTAATATTCCTCGCCCAGTACGGCTCTCTAAATACTTTCACGCACCTTATTCAGGCCGACATAACGTATAGATTTCCATTGTACATAGGTTCTGAAGTCTTTCGACGGTACTCAATATTACTTCGGCGACGCATAGTGAGAGGATGTTCGTGATCGTGTGAACACTGTAAAACCTTTCCGCTGAGTCATCCTTTTGCGCCATTCCTTTTTCGGGACGACCCCTCCACCATCAACTATCAATCATCAAGCATTCAATACGAGACTCCGAAGGAAACTCAGAATTACAATACCCGCTCGCAATCCCCGCTACGTAGCTTATTCCTGCATCTGCATTGCCCGGGCTAGCGTGCATGCTCGGCCGCTCGCCCGACCAAAGCACCTACAGCAACGACGCAAAACAACGCGGCAGGGAAGATGGGAAATTCAGCTTTTCGTGGGGACTTCTACCTGGAGTTAACCCCAATAGACGGCCTCCACCGTGTTACGACTTCGCACCAACCCCTGCCTAGCCTGGAGTCATGCAGTCAACAGTCATACGTGGACATAAATCAAGCTCTCGGCAGCATAGCTTTGCCTCGACGTTTCCACTTTCCTAACAGCACTCAATTTCTATACCAGCCTCTGTATTCAACAAGCCATCGCTCCATTCAAATACTGTTTGCATATCAACTATCACACCGCCGTATTCTTCACAACACAAGCCCGGAGAAATGGGTGAGGAGCCAATCCCGGAAGAGCTGAAGGAGAGCATCATAGGTACGCGAGTGATCAGGCCCCCCATCACAATATCCACTGACCAGTTCCAGCCATCACGGAGCGAAAGTATGGCTGCCCATTCAAGTATGAGTGCGACAAAGAATGTAGCCATAAATTCACGGTCTGCGATTCAACGTATGAGGATGACCAGACTGGGGAAACGTACCAGTGCATCTCCGTCTGTGCCAGCTCGATGAATGACATAAGAACGCTTAAGATAGCGTCCGCACGCCATTGTTCTAAGATCGATGCCGCGGAGGGGCTCCTAAAGCATCTACAATTTCAAGTTGAGAAGGCGGAGAGTGTGTTCCACCCTGGTGTCATGATACGCGGAGTACTAACGCAGCAGGCCTGGCGCCCAACTCTAGCCACCACAAGAAGGAAGAGATCAGTAATCGCATTCGAGGTATCTCAGCACCGTTCTTCCGAGTGTAACTTCTCTAATTGCTCTTTCAGATTACGCGAAGCATGAGTACCGCGATCCTTCCGAACGCAAGTGCGAGGAAGACTGCATACATTTTTTCCGAGTTTATAGCCAAGATCGAAGAGCAGCAGCGGGGGGAAGAGAGTATCGGTCGATGCTGGTGAAGTGTTCACTACTTCACGAAAACGAGGAGATTGCGCAGACGGAATACTACAAGAGTGAAATTGAGGCTCTCCAGAGCCTAGAGAACCGAGTAAGGCTGCAGTCGATTGCGGCCGGCGAAACCGGAGTGGCCGTCCCACGGCAAGACCGCGACACAATCCCAAGCCCTCCAGGAGGACACGACGCCGCGGGTGGTTGTGACCCGGGAAATGAAAGCGGAAAGGAAGTGCCCGGGCTCGCAATAGAGATCCCCGATCGTCTGATCTCGCTCCAGGAAACGGGGGGACAACCAGAGAAGGAACAACTCGGGAAACAGATGTATTCGCAACAAAGGAGCGGGTAAATCAGCCATGAGAGTCGCACTCATTCAGCGCATATCCGGGCTCCTAAACGGAGCCGGAGTGTACTTCGGCTGGGTAGGGTGTCTGTGACCAGGGCAGCGAATTCATCATTTTCTTCTTCCCCCAAATGTTTCCAAGTCACTCATTCTCCCCAATCAAAACTGTATTTGTAATTACAATGCAAATTATATGACTTTATACCAGTAAGAATTCGTGTTCAAATGCTGATACTATCGCATGACATATTAATTTTCGCGTCTGGTATGGACGTGAGTCCCATCGCTCAACTGAGTCATCGTCACCGTCACCGATATTTACATCGCCAACACAGACCTCCATCTTCGGTCACTCCTTTAAAGTGTCATCGCCATCGCGCTCCGTAGCGACGGGGCACATCTTTCACAAGATCGTGAGCCCAGCTGGCTCCAGGCGCCCGACCTGCTACTGCTACCGATGCAATCACTCTCGGCCTTCCGTTCTGATGGACTGGTCTTAATGGTGGGGCTTTTGGGTAGCGGGCGGTTGGTGGGAGGTTATGACTGCCCTGTACAGGGGAATCTTCCCAGAGATGCGATGAGGGCGCAACGGCACGAAAGAAGACGAAGGAGACGACGAGGACGAAGGGTCCCGGCCGCATCGTCGTCGAGAATTGAGGTGAGACTGAGGAAATATTACAACGGGTAGAGTTATAACGCGATGCGCAAGCACTCATAGATACTAGGGGAGGTGCTGCGAGTTGGAGTTTCTGAGCTTATAATACCGGTGAGCGCATTCCGCCTTCGCGGCTTAGATCGGCCACGAACTCTATCGTACGCCCCGGGGCATGGAATGCACAAAGCTCGGTAATTAGAGTAGCATAAAGCAGCGCGGGCTGACCAACAGTGGTCTGCCATAGTCTAGTGGTCTAACCCAGCGAAGAGCGGAGAGTTGGCTGTAGTGGTGAGCTGTCCTATACGGCGGTGGTGGTCTGGTTTTCGCGTCCGACACATGATGGGCCTCCTAGTGAGAAACGGCTATATGCTTGAGGCTCCGTACCAGCGGTCGTGATGACTATGAAAGAATTTTGGACGTCGCACATCCTATCTTCGATATCCTCCACGCGCGCTTCTAGGCCCAGTAAGTCGCCAGCTTGTTTCGGAATTGCTTATAGATGAGTATGATCATCGTCCATAAACTGCAGGTCAGAAACAAGCGAACGACGATGGGTCTCCATTGCTTTTGAGGCGCTTGGAGGGGTTGGAACATTTGCTGTGCTTCCACCACTTCCTCATCTGGTATCTCTTCTTCAACTTGCCACTCTTGACCCGCTGCTCTTTCCTTCTCTTGCTTTTGAAGCTTTTTCCTCTTCTTCTCCAGCTCCTTGACTTCGTCCTCCTCTTTGTCCTCTTTCTCCACACTGAAGATATCCAATCGAGAGATAATATGGTTGAAGACCTTCCGTGAACCAATTGATGCTCTAACAAAGTCGCACGAAACACCGCGACCGCCCCCTGCAACGATACTGCTCCCTTGCCGCCCGTTGGTGGCGTCTTCCAATACTTGTCTCAACGTATTTTCCCTAACTTCCAGACTCGGAATCGAGAAGATTTGAACCTCGTCTTTCAGAAACGAGAGCGCGACAGTAACCTTTACGTAAACGCAGAGAAGGTCGCGCGAAAGGACGCCCCGAAAGCCAAGCACTACGCAGCGGACCCCAGTTTCCTTTGGCTCTCGGAAGTGCAGGCTTAGGGTATCCTTATCCCAGACCGGCTGCCACTCTGGGGGCTCCACGCTCTCGAATTGATACCAAGAGAGGAATCCACCGAATTTGCACACTCGAGATTCTTCTGAGCTCCTGAGCACAATACTTCTCGTGAAGTAGCTTGGCTGATTTTGGGAGAGCGTAAGGCGTGACTCCGATGGCGAATAGTTGATCAGTATCTTTTGCAAAATCTGTTGTTGGGGGCTGTCGGTGGCGTCTTTGCAGTGAACTACAAAGGTGCTGACGCCTAGGCGTGGAGAGACACGCCGGTATCCATCGGGCCGCATCCATCTCCGCAGGAGGATGCCCATCATCAAATGCGGTTTGTCTTCCAACCCACATGGAAGTAGCCCTATGCAGAGGCCGTGTAGAGCTGAAAGGAGGCTTGAGTCGACAGGGAGCGGAATTAGGGGCACGTCAAGATGAAGTGTGCCGTTTGACACCGATATCTGTGTCCCAGTGCCATAGCGATCGTGGGAAATAATCTGCCCGGAGTTCTTGAACCCTTTGGGACTGTCACAGAACATAGCGTAAAACGCATCCAGATGTTTCTGCCCAGTGAATTCGAAGTCTTGTATTCTCTCTCGGGAGAATCCCCAGGCAAATAAAGACTGATCGCTTGAGTTCCTCAGAATTTCTTGCTGCAGTCTGACGAACGCGTTCTTGCCTTCGCCGTACAGTAGAGGCATGTTGATGTCGAAGATCCCAAGGAGAGAATAAGCGGTGTCTTCAATGCGAGTCGCCTGTCTCGTTGATGCCCAGGACATCCGCTGCGCGACGCTTCGCAGATACATCTGCTCCGGCTCCCTCAACGTCTCCTTGTCGATGCCAGTCTTCTTCGAGATGACAGCCGCGAGCTCGAATTTCGAACCAATCCGGTTCCACTCATTATCGTAAAAGATTACATCCTGGGATGCGAGAAGTTCCTGTAATGTCCAGGCTCTTGTCCACCAGCGACTCTCCATGAAATTATCATTCTTGGTTTTGTCGACATCGGTGAGGTACGCGTAGCACACCTGCGACCTCTGATACCACGCGAACATAGAATTGATCGCCTCGGACAGCTCCGCGCTGCTTGTTTTGTCTATGCAGCACGTGTCGATCCACGCGTATTCGTATCCTTCGTCAGCGGCCTGGTTCAGTAGGAGTTCGATCTTCCGATACCCTGCCAGATGGCGACATGCTTCAGGATTCTGAACCTGTGTGAACGTAACTTCTTCGTAGTCTTTGAGCCAGGTGTGGGAAAGGATGGCATAGGGCGGGATGCCATCTCCATAGAATGTGTGCAGCTTCATCGATTCGACGTGGAGTAAGCGCATTTTCGTGGTGGCTCTTGTACAGATTATAGCTCGCTTCGGCGGTATTGGTGACGGAACCGGACTGTTGTAGGGTGCTTTACAGTGCTAGCTGTTACTAAGGGGTGATCGAGACCTTGATGTAGTTATAGTGTAGGCAGAGAGCGAGAATGATATGGTGTGAGCTGAGCTGGCCGGAACCGAATCGGGAAGTGGCAGTGTGGCTGTGCACATCGTGGCGTGTCTCACGCGATGAGGCATATGCTGTCCTATCAAGTTTTGGTTGAACGTGTATCGACTGACTCGCAAGGCAGAGAATACTCCAATACATTGCCAGAAACCGTCTGAGACTTGTGCACTCACATCCTCCTACCGCCCGCGCACGCCTACACCTTCGTTGCCGCATCCCCCGTCCTCTGCGGACTCTCATGCCGAATCTCCTTCTCACCCAGCTTGCCATCCTGCTCGGCCCTCCTCACATTCTGGTACTCAACGCGCGTCTTCCAAGCTGGAATGCCGACCAAGAACATCTCCTCGACGTCTTCGAGCGTCTTACCGGACGTCTCAGGGAAACAGAAGAAGCTGTGGACGGCCATGACGGTGCAGAAAACGCCAAAGATGATGTAGACTTTCCACTGTATGTTGACGAAAGCCGGGGGGACGAAATAGGACAGCGCGATGTTGGCCCTTGAAAGGCCTTTGTTGTAGGCTCAGCCTCCTAGCTAGGGGTGTTTCACCTAATAATAGATCCTTTGTAGAGACTGTCAGAGACTCTACAAAGGCCTTTGTACCTGCCTGTTTATATAAACAGGCAGAGCTCGTAGGTAGCAATAGATCATCTCTCCAGTTCAACACGTGAAGTTGAAGATCCAGTTCGACGCCGTGGTAACAGCGACAGCCTTACCACGTACACGCAGGGGGAACAGCTCGGGTGGGTAGATCCAGGACACCGGGCCCCAGGTTGGCGCATAGCTTGCGACGAAGAGATATGTGCAAGCAATGACGGCACGAGCTGGCGCCCCTGTGATCTGCCAGGACTGTTCGGCGATGTGGTTGAGGCCGCCTTCAGGTGCCGGTTGACCGTAGGAAGCCATAAGCCCGGCATTGGCGTACATCCAGGTGGCCATGAGGATCGCACCAATAACTAGGGGACCACGACGGCCCCAGCGGTCGATGTAGACAAGCGCGAAGACGGTCATGCCGACGTTGATCACATACTGTATCGAGGAGGCGATGAGGTTGGTGTCTCCCGAAAGACCGGCCATGCCGAAGACATACGTGATATAATACATCATCACCTAAGGTGGCGGTACGATTAGCATATGTCTCAGAATGGTATGTGTACCGCGGTGTTGGCTCACGTTCATTCCAGTTAGCTGCGACCAGATTTGCGTGAACACGCCGATGTGGAGGCGGTTCAACATGCGCGGCCTGAACAGCTCCTTAAAGCTCACATCCGCATTCTGGCGCTCGAATTCGACCATCGATCTGATCTCCTCAAGCTCCAGCCTCACAAACGGCGTATTCGGATCGCCTTTGCCATGGACCAGTGTAAGCACGGCGTGGCACTCTTCCCAGTGATCATGGCGCGCGAGCCAACGCGGAGACTCCGGGAGCATGAACAGCGCGAATCCGAGGAAGACAGCGGGCAGCATCTGCAGACCCCACGGGACACGCCAGGCCTTCGGTCCATCGAGGTACGAGCAGCCGTACGAGATGTAGAACATGATCAGGATACCCCACGTAATGGCCCACTGTTGCGCGCCAACCACACGTCCTCGCTTTGATGGTGGAGCCAATTCGGAGACGTAAACTGGGACTTGGGCGGAGCAAATACCGACGGAGAGGCCGTTGATGAAGCGGCCGGCGACCAGCATACCGATGTTCTGCGAGGCGCACACGATGATGGATCCGATGCACCAGATAACGCTGCCGATTTGGATGGCGCGCTTACGACCGAAGATGTCGGTCAGGAAACCGGATGCCAGTGCGCCGATGAATGAGCCGCCGGGCATGGATGCGGTGATACCGCCCTGGACATCGGATCTGGGACCAGAGCAGTCGGGCGGGCCATGGGGTCCTTGGTTGAAGTAGCAGCGGTATTGTTCGGTCGGAAGACTTGAGTATACGCATCAGTGGTCCGCTGCAATGGGGATAGACAGGAAGGCGTACATAGCGCTCATAGAGCTGATATCGAACCCGAACAACCCACCACCAATGACCGCAATAGCGGTGATGCCGTAGATATTCCCAATTTGATACATCTTGCCTCGATCCTCTTTTATCAGACGAAGAGGATCCAAGAGAAGGGAAACTGTACAGAAAACTCTAGAAACCGGGGAAGGAACCTGGCTTATATATACCTGCGGCACGGGGCACTGCGGTTCCCCAGAACCAGAAACGCGGCGCCCCGCAACACGAGCCCGTGCGGCTTGTCACAGGAACAGTGGAAGGAGCGGAGCTAGCTTCTGGTATGTTACCTTGCCGAGTATAGGCTCCGAAAGAGACCGCTTTGATTGGGGCTCCACGGGGAGGCAAGGAAGGAGCGTAAGCGGGTTGCGGCGAGTGGGATCGAGGGTGATGCTGTGAGTGGTTCGAAAAGCAAAACACCACATGGTTGGCCCATCGGCGGGCTTACGAGTACCGTATACCGTATTGGAGATCATCGTTGTTCTTCCATGGGCAGCCTCGCTCAACGAACCGCTCTTTGTCCTAGTGCCTGTTTACGCCTGACGACAGTCGCTTTCTCCGCCGTCCTTCTCATACTCTGCAAACATCTCCTACCCTTCCCATTGCAGCCCTTCTCTCCATCCTATCCTTACTGCAAAACTCGATTCGGCGATCTGCTTGTGGTCGTTTCGCGTTGAAATATCGAATGACGTCAACCCCACCCAAAACCTCAGGCGTCCCATCACGGAACTCAACATACTAACCAATCACCCCTTCGCGCCGCTGACGTATCTCCACTTTTCCCACGCACCATGTAACCCTTTTATGCTCTGCACTGCCGATCATCAACGCCTCCCGCATGCGACCCGCGGCGTGGAAAAGCTTGACGGGCTTGACTAGTGATGCCGAGTGCCGAGCCGTTGCTTCGCGTCTCCTTAGGCCCTTCGTGTTCGCTGGTTCGGACGGAGTTAAGCTAGGAGATGTGGTGGCACGGCGGGGAGGCGCTCGCAGGGTAGCGTTGAGGATGAAGAGACGATGTTGTGGTGTTGAGGAGGGCTGACGGTGGGACACATGGCGTGAGGCTCTTCTATATCCATGCTGCCCCACTATTAATCAATGAACCTAGGAATTCGACGTGTATGTCTGCAGCTCACGGAGTTTAAGGGAGAAGGACCGCCTGGTGCTCCATGAGAAAGCAAGCGCAGAGCTTCAATTGCGCAACGCAGGACTAACTGTCCTCTTCCTCATCATATACAAACTTATCCACGTCCTAGGGATCTAAGAGTTCGGGCTCATCGTCGGATACGTTTCTCAACCGAGTGGAAAATATGTCGATCCAGCTCTCACGCCAGCACGTGAGAGGTGGGTCCGATGCGTGCGGATTCGGAATCGAAGCGGTCCGAATACTCTAACAAGGAACGCGTGGGTGAAGGGTCGCAGTGGGTAGAGTCATTGAAATGGTCTTTGGAAGATGACATGAGTCGCGCAACGAAGCCTTTGCCTATGGCTTGTAAGCGGCTACTTCTCTCTTTGTAGACTTCCGCATCATTGCGTGGTTCATCCACCTCGACGCCTCCTTTCACGACGGCCCCTGGCGCGGGTAACGGCTTGCGTTGAGCCATCATTGTCGTTTTGAGAGTGCTGGCTACATGTCTTCACTCCAAATGGAACCGATGGACATGCTCAAGGTTTGAGGAGGTGGACGGCGGGCACGTCCGACGGGCGTCGTGTAAGCGAAACAATCAAGGTCGGAGGCGGGTGACAATGCGAACCGAAACAGGATATTCGAACGATGGAACGAAGAGAAGGAGGGGAGACGTCCTGAATAGAGATATGCTCCGTGCAACGAGGTTGCGCGGCGTTTGCTTGGGAGGCAACAAGACCGCCGCGGAGGACCCGCCAGGTCCATGATCCGGCCCGACGTTGGATTCGATCGACGGCCGGATGAGGTATTGTTGGGGTCTTTCGTACTGAAATCTGATATCGCCTACAAAGTTACAGAAGGTCTGGCGCGAGGCATATGGAGGATACGGCATATACGGTGGGGCTTGATTGGTCAGATCCAATCTGCTGACAAAGCCCACTAGCCACCTGCGCTGGACGAAACCATCCGCCTTGCGCAACGATCGAAATGTTCTCGAAACGTTATTTTAACGTTCCGGGATGGCCTTGGTAAAAGGGGTTCCGTCGTCTTGCCCCCCGCTTCGAAGTTCCTCACTTTCCAGCAGCCATCGCAACCTGAAAGGCACATATTCCGACACCCCGGCTCCATCGAATCGCGCTCGCATTGAATTATCGTGGTCGGGAGTTTGCGCAACACGTTTCATCGACGACAGAATCGCAAAAAGTAGCTCTGTGCGCTCAGAATTTGCACGAGGTTGTCCGCGTGCGCGATCGAAGTATATTGCCGAGGCCTGAATTTGGCGATCACTGCAGAATTCGCAACCACCATTTTATCTCCTGCATATAGCGGGGCGGTCTCGGCATCAATCCTCATTAAAAGTCCGGGAGAACTAGTCGTTTCCAACGGCGTTCCGCGTCGCTATGCCTCAAGCGGTGTTGTGCCGTTCCTCGGTCTGGGGAAGCCACGTGCTCCGAGATCCAGGAGAGGAAGGAGTTTCATTCCACATGCCTGTCGACATGGCTCTCCTTTCCAAGATCTCGACTGCCATGCGCAAATATTTATTGACGAACGCCGAGATCTCGCCGTTCATCAAATGGCAGTCAATGAACGGACGATCTAGCCCCGAATCGTTGAGTGATGAGCGAGTGCACCGTTCTGTCGGCGACTTCATCGTCGGGAAGACGTTGGAAAGAGGTAAGTACGATGGGGTTTACTGGAATGCGGAAAGGAGATGGGAGTTTGGAAAGCTTGTATAAGAAAGAGGGGTAACGCCCACGGCGTGCGAGAGCTCAACTTTCCCAGGCGCCCCCAGCATCGGTCCAACGGTCTGCAGAGAGCAGTGTAAGCGCCTGTGAGACCCATTGCATATTAAAAGCACTGACGGCTATAACAGACCATCACATTCATTCACGATGTTTCTCCTTCGATTCTTCGGTTACGTCGCAGCCGCGACTTCATTTGCTGCCGCTGTCAACTTGACAGGGTACGAATACGTCGTGGTTGGTTCAGGCGCTGGTGGTGGCCCTCTTGCTGCTCGCCTCGCTCTTGCGGGACACAAGACGTTGCTCATTGAAGCTGGCGATGATCAAGGTGCCAATCTCAACTACACTGTCCCGTCGTTCTCGGCGAGGGCATCAGAAGACGAGAATATTGCGTGGAACTTCTTCGTCCGCCACTATGCCGACGAGACGCGTCAGGCCATGGACTTCAAGACTACCTATGAGACGCCGGATGGAGGAGAGTACACCGGCCTCAACCCACCGGAGGGCTCGACGATGAAGGGAACGCTCTATCCTCGCACCGGCACCCTTGGTGGCTGCACCGCACATAACGCCTTGATCGCTGTCTATCCCCATCAGTCGGACTTTGAATACATTGCCCAGCTGACAGGAGACGCCTCGTGGTCGGCGGATAACATGCGCAACTACTTCGTCAAGATGGAAAGGAACCAGTACCTGCTGCCGGGGCTGCCGGGCCACGGTTATGATGGTTGGCTTGGCACCGAAACCGCTCCCCTCAGTATTGTCCTCGAAGACCCGCAGCTGCTCAGTATGCTCAGTGGGGGTGCATTTGCTCTTGGAAACGAGACGAACTCCGTCATCAACCTCGGCACTCTGATCGCCGGTGATGCAAATGCGGACACATCTGTTCGCGACCGCCAGCCTGCATACTATCAGATCCCTCTCTCAACAAGCGATGCGAGTCGCAATGGAGCCCGCGAATTTGTGGTCTCTGTCCGTGACGCGAAGAACGCAGATGGAACTAAGAGGTATCCCCTCGACGTCAGGCTAAACTGCCAAGTTACCAAGATCATTTTTGACGAGACCTTGACCCCTCCACGCGCAACCGGTGTTGAGTTCCTCGACGGCCAGTACCTGTACAAAGCCAGCCCCAAGTCCAACAATGCCGGATCCGGCACCCCCGGCGCCGCCTCTGCTACACGCGAGGTCATCATCGCAGGAGGCGTCTACAACTCTCCCCAGCTGCTCAAACTGAGCGGCGTGGGTCCGAAGGGCGAGCTCGATAAGTTCGGCATCCCCGTCGTCGCCGACCTTCCCGGCGTAGGCACCAACCTCCAAGACCACTACGAGATCTCCGTCCAAGGCAAAATCCCCTCCAACTTCTCCGCCCTCGAGGGATGCACATTCGACGGCAGCGCCTCCGACACCTGTCTCGACCGCTGGGAGACATCTGTCCTAGGCGACCGCGGCATCTATTCGTCATCCGGCCTCGCTGCCGCCATGTACTACAAGAGCACAGCTACCCAAATCGACGAGTACGACGTCTTCGTGTTCGGCGGGCCGGTAAACTTCCGTGGATACTTCCCCAACTATGCGTATAATGCTACGCAATATCACAACTGGTTCACCTGGGCGATCCTGAAGGCGCACCCGCGCAACCACGCTGGAACCGTTACGCTACGCTCAGCCGATCCGCTCGATGTCCCGGACATTGTGTTCAACTACTTCGACACAGGCGTCGGCGACTACGCGGCCGATCTGCAAGCCATGAAGGAAGCCGTGGATCTCTCGCGCGACGCCTTCGCGCGCCAACTCATCCCCGTCGAAGAGACCCTTCCCGGCGCGGACGTCACCTCCGACGAAGCGATCAAGGACTACGTCAAGAACACTGCTTGGGGCCACCACGCGTCTTCCACGTGTCCTATCGGCGCCGACGACGACCCGATGGCGGTCCTCGATTCCAGCTTCCGCGTCCGCGGCACCACGGGTTTGCGCGTTGTGGATGCCTCAGTGTACCCGCGCATTCCTGGAACGTTCACCGCGGTGTCGACGTACATGGCTGCGGAGAAGGCGGCGGATGTTATTCTGAGCCATATTGACGAGCTGCCGTTGTATAATGGGACTGCGGCCGCAAGGAATGGAACCGCGACGCGGTTGTAGTGGCACTGGGGATGGTTCGGGTTCAATGTACATATATGTGTTTAGCATTTCATTTAATATACGATTCTCGTACAGTAACCTCACTAAAGTATCGAGGGATGCAGTAGAGGGCTAAAGTCGTTCGAAGAAGCTGGAAAGCACCTCGGTTGCATGAGACGATGGATGACTAAGGGCTTAGGTCAGCCGTCCCAACTCCTGAACACATGCAATCGCCATCGCCTTGCCTTCGTACATCTCACCGAGCCATCGGCACCAGATGTTTGCCGGGCCGTTATGTTTCCGAGTTGCACCTCCCACGGCCAATCAGACACTTAGCGGTGCAGTTCGAGGTCCGACTCGCATTTATCGCTAGAGTCGACAGCGATGTCACTCCACCGAGGTGGCGCGACTTGCCATGGCCGCGATGGAAACCAGGCACACTTTTCTATTCCAAGGCTGTCAGGTGCTTTTGGTGGTGAGCCTCTGCGCGTCCCGTATCCGGGAGATGCCGCTCAGCAGATATATTACTTGCTCAGATTTTGATGCCTATTAACGCAATCACTCCAGCTACCGTAGGGCTTCTTTACAGCAAGCTCCCTTTATCACCAATGATACCTATTGGTGCTAGTATCTTTTAGTAATTCACATGGAACAGTCAGCGAGCAAAGAGTTGGAGGGCGAGGAGGACGCCACTGGTAACACCAAATCACAGCACCCGATGTTGGGCGACATGAATTCCTCAGCTACAGACACGCCCGAGCAGTCACAAGCAAACCCCGTCGAGCCTAGATTTGATATCAAACAATGGGCAAGCAACGGCATCACCAAACTCACACAGGAGGGCCTGCGGATCCAGGGCTCTGGTTTCGTGTTCAACCATCTTACCGTCTCCGGTGCTGGATCGAGGGTGCAGCTTCAAGAGACGGCGGCCTCGGTTGCTCTAACGCCCATTCGGCGACTCGCTCGCGCTGGAAACCGCCCTTCGCCAGAAAGGGTCATCCTCCGCGACTTCTCTGGCGTAGTGAAGGAGGGAGAGCTTCTTGCGGTTCTTGGAAGACCGGGAAGTGGTTGCTCAACCTTCATGAAGTCTATCAGTGGCCAGTTGAGCGGCCTTCGCATTAGCAAGGATGCCGAAGTCACTTTCAACGGTCTGCATGTCTCGACTTTTTGGCTGCTCCTCAACTAAATTCGTGCATAGGCGTTCCATTCGATTACATGCACAAGCACTTCAAGGGCGAGGTTTGTAGCCCCTAATGGCCATTCAACGCTCGGTGCTAAACGTTCCAGGTCACGTACAATCCGGAGCTTGATTTCCATTTCCCACACCTCACGGTGGGACAGACACTGGAATTTGCTGCCACGCTTCGGACGCCGCGTACTCGATTCGACCACTTGACCCGTGACGAATGGGGCAAGTGCGTATCGAAAGCTGTCACGGAGATGTGCGGCTTAACGGGCACCTACGACACGCGGGTAGGAAACGAGTTCATCCGCGGCGTTTCCGGCGGCGAAAGGAAAAGAGTCAGCATTGCCGAGATGGCCGTCGCCGGGTCGCTGGTCGGCCTCTGGGACCAAGCAACTCGTGGCCTTGATTCTGGAAGCGCAATAAACTTCGTCCGGTCCCTGCGAAACATTGCTGAAGTCCTGGGCTCCAGCCACGCCGTTTCGCTATACCAGGCCTCCGACTCGATCTTTGCCTCGTTCGATAAGGTTATCGTTCTCTACGAGGGGAGAGAAATCTACTTAGGCCCTGTATCCTCTGCGAAGTCATACTTTGAGGAAATGGGCTGGAGCTGTCCCCCTCGTCAACCGGTCGCCGATTTCCTGACCTCTGTCACAAATCCCGTGGCTAGAAAAGCGCGTGATGACTGGGAGAATCGGACACCACAGACCGCTGAGGATTTCGAGCAGTACTGGCATGCATCTCGAGAGTTTGGAGTGTTGATGAAAGAGGTAGAACAATACGAACACTACCATCCAGCGGACGGAGCGTACGTGAACGATTTCAAGCACGCTATGACCGCGAAGCAAAGCACACACGTACGGAACGAGGCACCGTATCTGGCCAGTTTGCGCAAGCAAATACAGTATTGCACGAAGCGCGCCTTCTACCGAGTGTGGCAGGACAAGGTTTCCACGGTGACGGTTATGGTTGCGCAAATCGTCATGTCTCTCATTCTCGGTTCGATGTTCTACCAAACGCCGAATAATACGACCGGTCTCTTCAGCAAAGGAGGCGTGCTGTTTGCAGGCATCCTTCTGAACGCACTCATCACCGTTACAGAGATCTTCCAAGTCTACCACCAACGCCCTATTGTAGAGAAACAGGCTTCGTACGCCTTCTATCGACCATGGACGGAGGCACTCTCAGCCCTGTGCATCAATGTTCCCCTCAAACTGATTACAGCTTGCACATTCAACATTATCCTCTACTTCCTTGCAGGACTGCGCACGAGGCCCGCCCAGTTCTTCATCTTCTTTCTCTTCGTCTACGTGGCGACTATCACTATGTCCTGCATCTTCCGGGCGGTTGGGGCGGCCACACGGGCTCAGCCCCAAGCATTCGCCATCGTCGGCGTAGTCTTGCCTCTCCTCGTTATTTACACGGGTTTTGTCATCCCGCAGCCGTCGCAACATCCATGGTTCAAGTGGATCACGTACATTAATCCGGTGCAGTACACGTTCGAATCATTGATCGCCAATGAATTCCACGACCGGAACTTTACCTGCGCAGCGAGGAATATTGTCCCGCCGTATGGTCCAATGATGGACACGCCATATGCTTGTGCGGTGCGGGGTGCAGAGCCCAATCAACCCTTTGTCTACGGAGACTCGTACATCGCAGAAAGCTACGACTACCACCACAGCCATCTCTGGCGGAACTTTGGGATCCTTGTGGGCTACCTTGTCTTCTTCCTGCTACTCTATCTGGCGTTCTCCAGCCGGAACATGTACACCGAACCAGTGTCGGACGATCTTATCTTCCGTCGTGGACACGTGCCAAAAGCGATTGAACAGGCGAAGGCGGGTGGTGTGGATGACGAGGCTGAGAAAGGCAACAGCGCCCCTGCGAGCAGCGATTCCGCTCTTGTACAAACCCCTTCTGTAGTCGCAGCCAACGGTATACCTCCACAAACGGACACATTTACCTGGGAAAGCGTGTCCTACACGATTCCAATCCGCCATGGGACCCGAAAGCTTCTAGATGACATATATGGGTGGGTCAAGCCAGGAACGCTAACTGCTCTTATGGGTCAGTTTCTCTCCTCGTCCTCGAAATACACTGTTGCTCATCATTCATAGGAGTATCTGGCGCGGGTAAAACCACTCTCCTAGATACACTCGCCCAGCGCATGACGGTCGGCGTCGTCACAGGACGCATGCTGATCAACGGCTCACCTCTGCACATCAGCTTCGCTCGGAGCACGGGCTACGTCCAGCAACTAGATCTGCACGTTGAAACAAGTACCGTCCGCGAAGCCCTGCGCTTCAGCGCCCTCCTCCGCCAACCTCACACAGTCCCGAAATACGAAAAGTTTGCCTATGTCGAGAACGTTATCAGCATGCTCCACATGTCCGACTTCGCCGAAGCCATCGTCGGTGTCCCAGGCCACGGCCTCAACGTCGAGCAGAGGAAACTACTCACCATCGGCGTCGAGCTCGCCGCTAAGCCGTCCGTGCTCTTATTTCTCGACGAGCCGACAAGTGGCTTGGATAGCCAGAGTGCATGGGGCGTGGTGCGATTACTCAGACAGCTTGCGAATCAGGGCCAGACGATTCTGTGTACGATCCATCAGCCAAGCTCTGTGCTCTTCCAGCAGTTCGACCGTCTGCTGCTGCTCACAAATGGTGGGAAGATGGTATATTTCGGCGACATCGGCAACAACTCAAGAACTGTCATCGATTACTTCGAACGCAATGGCGGGAGGACGTGCGGTGGTGCCGAGAATCCGGCAGAGTACATGCTCGAAGTGATTGGTCCGGGCTCAAAGGAAGACTGGCCTGCGCTTTGGAAGGCGAGCCCTGAGCGCCAGGAAGTCTTGGACGAGTTGGCGCGACTACGCGAGGTCAACTCCAATGGCACGGAATACAAGGCCATTGGTGCCGGATGGGGAACCGGAGAGTTTGCTATGCCCTTCTACGCGCAAGTACACTATGTCACCCAACGCGCCTTCCAGCAGTACTGGCGCACACCCCTCTACATCTGGGCCAAGATCCGGCTCTGTGTAGCCTCCTCACTGTAAGGCATTACCTTCCCTACTACTTACGGCACCAGACTAATCGGTATAGCTTCATCGGCTTCACGTTCTACCAGGCTAAGAGTTCGATCCAAGGTATCCAGAACGCCATGTTCGGCATCTTCATGCAGGCCGCTATATTCCCACCCCTAGGTACGTAGAGCTCCCGTCCGCGCCGTACAGACTCTATCCCAGCTGTTATTAACATGCACCAGTCAACCAAATCATGCCCCGCTTCACCTCCGCCCGCTCCCTCTACGAAGTCCGCGAGCGCCCCTCAAAAGCCTACTCCTGGATCGCCTTCCTCATCTCCACCATCACCGTCGAAATCCCCTACCAAATCCTCATCGCCGTCATCGTCTTCGGCGGCTTCACATACCCCGTGCTCGGCATCCTGTCGTCCGCCCGCCAAGGCCTCATCCTGCTCTACTTCATCCAGTTCTTCGTCTGGCTCAGCACATTCGCGCACATGGTCGTCGCCGCGCTCCCTGACGCCGAAACAGCGGCCGAAGTTGCGATTATCCTGTTCATCTTGAGTCTCGTGTTCAGCGGCCCGTTGCAGCCGCCGAACCAACTGCCCGGGTTTTGGCACTGGCTGTGGCGCGCGAGCCCGCTTACGTACTGGATTTCGGGCATTGTGTCGACGGGTATGAGTGGGAGGCGCGTAGAGTGTGCGGGGGAAGAGTTGTCTGTTTTTGACCCGCCGACGGGGTTGAATTGCTCTGTGTATCTGGAGACTTACCTTAATAACTTGCATGCACCTGGGTACGTATCCCCGTCCTCTTACTACACATCCCATCCCATCCCAGCCAGCAAACCCCTTCTTCCACACAGCCCTCACTAACACTCCTTACCAGCTACCTCCTCAACCCCACCGCCACAGCGCAATGCGAATACTGCCCGCTCAGCCTCGTGGACCAGTACCTCTCCGAGTCGAAGATATACTACGGCGACCGGTGGCGCAACTTCGGCCTGCTGTTCGTGTACATTGGGTTTAATGTTCTGATGACCGTCGTGCTGTATTACCTTTTCCGGGTTCGGCGGTGGAATTTAAGGGCGCTGGTTAGAGAGAGAGTTAGACGGACTTGATGGCGGGGGTCGGGTGGCGGTGGGAGTGGGAGTGGTATGTATGTAGATGTAGATGTAGATGGATGGTTGTTGGGGGGGATGAGATGATACGTAGATAGGTGGGTAGGTACTTAGAGAGACTTCGGGGAGCGCGGGAACGAAATCCGTATCTAGATGTGTAGAATGGCGAAAGGGGCTGGCACGTGAGCGTGTTATTGGGTAATAGGCGGATGCCAATCGCATTGCTGTCAAATCATAGCCAGCAAGAAGGTGTTACTCATTGATCATTGGTCCCCCTAAAGCCGTCGTGTATATGGTATCATCCTGAACCCAGAATCTCCTTATCTCTCACGCCCAAACCAACTTCTTCAAGCTATACCCCAACTGCTCCAGATACCCCGTACTCTTCTTCGCATCCGCCAGACTAATAATATCCTTCTCCTCGACGGCCAACTCCTTATCCTGCGCGTCCTCACCCGGCCGCTCCTCCCTGTCCGTCCCCGGCAGACTCCACTTCACCCTATCCGCCTTCTTCGTCTTATTCGCCACGCGGACAATCTCATCGCATATGCTCTTCACTACCTCGGCTTCCGTCTCAGGCGTGGAGGAGTCGGCGGCATCGGAGGGGGGCGGGATGCTGGAGCGTGGGGGGAGGGCTTTGAAGGCGAGGAAGCGGCCGGGGTTAGGTTTGTTGTTGTTGCTATTGTTGGACTTTGAGGATTTAGACTTGTCAGGGCCGGTGGATGGCGCGTCCAAGATGCCCGAGTCGAGCGAGCGCGTGTTGCGCCGTACAAGCTCGCCGCTGGGTTCAGCGCGGTATCTGAGCACGAAACCGATGTTCTTCTGCTCGTCCATGTGGCGCTGTGCGAGCGTGCTAGTGATGTAAGCGCCGCGGAAGACGCTCTCCAGATTCTCTAGCTGGATGCGCTCAAACTCGCGGACTTTCTCGGTGCCCCAGTCTAGGCGGCAGAAATACAGCGCTTTTTCCGTGAGCAGCAGGACGGCTTCTTCAAAGGTCGCTGTCTTGAGTCGGTCGGCGGAGGTGGGTACGCTAAGCGTCCAGCCAGCGATGAGGTCTTCGTCCTTGTCTTCGATCACGATGCCTGCGGAGCGTTCGATGGCTGCTTGTCGGACCTTCCGCAGGTCAATGAAGTAGTCTGAGTTCTTCATGTCGGCTTCAAACTCGGCGAAGATGGTGTCCGTCGCCCGGCCGAGCAGGTAATCGATGACGGCTTGCGCGAAGTAGTCGTTGACGATGTTGTTGTAGTATCTAGTTAGCGTGAGTCCGAAGTCAGTCAGAGCGCCGGTGATTTGGCGCTTCCTTGTACGCGTGAAGTCGCCCTTGAGAGCGGCAGTGCCTGCGTACTGCCTAGATATCGCGTCGCCGTTGTCGGCCCAGAGCGTGTTGAACCAGGATGTACTGGGATCGTGCTGCAGATCGATGCTGAAGCTGCCCGCGGAGAGTTGAGCTTCGAGCGCCGTCCTGGCGCATGCAGACTGAACGACATTTGTGCGATCCAGACAATCCATGCAGTTCGTCCGTAGTACGCCTGACTGTTTCTGCACTGACTGGTCGTCCGAGATCTCGGTCCAACTCGTCGCCTTAAGGAAGGGTCCCAGGGTTTCCATAAGCTTGGAGACGTTCTCGAATCGCATTCCACGGCAGACGTAATGGAAGTCGAACCACTCGAAGCCAAGCTCCTTCCCTTTCCCGTCCATTCCTCCCCTCTCGTTGAGCATCTTCGCATGCCTTTCGAATAGTTCGCCAATCTTGGCTTCAGTGCCATGCTTGTCCACAAGCGAGACACAGTATATCGCGCCATATCTAGAGGAAAGGTCCGCGAAATGGCGCTTAAAGGCTTGGGCATTTGTATCGGACGAGCCCCAAGTGCTCACTTGCGGCTTAAGACTATATGGCGATTGCGAGAAGAAGAGGGGTATGGAACCGCGGAACTGTGTGAATGAGAAGATCTTGTCCTGAGAGGTGTTCCAAGTAGGGGACGAAAGTATCTGTTCTGTCTCGACACTGTTCGCTGCGTTGCCTTCTTCATCGACACCGCGCCGCAGGTAGCGCAGCCCCGCTCTTTTCGTCGAGCGACGTGAGACGAGGGTGAGTAGGAAGTCCTTGCCGTTGGACGGTTCGGGAGGTGGCGTTTCAGTATTTGTGTCAGAGCTGACATCGGTGTCGGAGTTGTTTTCGCGCAAGGACTGTAGTTGGATATCACTAGGAGTAGAAGCCGGGTCTATAACAACGCTGTTTGAACCACTATCGACGACCTTGATGCTGAACGACCGCTGGCCTACGAAGCCTTGTATTACGGGGAGGATGAAACTATGCTGACCGGCGTCTATGAAGGGTGACATTATATGCTGATTCCAGAAGAACTGCAGGAGTTAGAAAATGCGGTGGGCTTGGGGTGGGGTGGCACTAACCAGAGGATCAAACTGCTTGAAAAGCGCAAGGCTGGAATTAGACTGCTGCTGCCCAATGCCGCGCGATAGATCGTAGTCGTATGAGAAGAAAAAGTTTCCCGATGCAAAATACATCTTCGTAGTCCGCAGGATCTTGGGCAGGAGCGCCACCGTGGTGGTATCTGTGGGACCCTCTAGGGCCTTTGGGATCTCCTCAGGACTGACTGCTTCCGGCGCATCTTGATCTTGGACCGGAAAGGCATCCGGGTTGGATGGGCTTAAGGGGCCCTCCTCCTCTTTCGGTACAGTTGATTCGACATTCTTTAGAGCATTCTTGCGAAGGTCTCCCTCAGAGGTCAAGCCTTGCGAGCGCCTGCTCTCGGCTTTCCATCCCTTCTTCGAGAACCACTTATCCGTGAAGCGTCCATATAGACCCTTCCGCTGTATGACATCCTCGGCCACACTCGACCTACGCTCCACGCGTCCTCGCTGTCCGGTGAGGGGATCCTTGACCTCGCTTGGCGGGGCCGTTGAGTCTTCCTCAAGCGAGTCAGTCACGCTCGGTGCTTCCTCCTCGCTCTCGCTTTCCGACTCCTCGTCCTCCTCCCCCAGATCTTGTGCCTTCTTATGCCGCTGTATGTGTTCCCGCGCGGATACAATGGCCTTGTCGGCATCGGTTTGGGACGAGAGCGGGATGAGGGCGACGTCGGTGATCTTGTAGATGGGCTTGCCGTGGATCTGCGCGACCTGTTCGCGGCCGCATATAGATATAAGGAAGAACGAAGTCGCGACCTTGAGGAGCCCTAATTATCCATAATCAGCATCGAGCACCAGCCAGTGGCAGGAAGCGCGTAATGTGGCTTAGGCGATGCTTTACCTATGATGCCATGGACTTCTAGGGAGACCGGTGCCGTATCTTCTTGTCGCCTGTCCTTGAGCAGCGGGCCGACATTGCCCTTGTAGTCGATCTTGATGGCTTGCTGCGTGGACGGCGGGTGATTGCGCGGCGGAGCCGGCTGGAGGATCAGCCCGTCGACGGCGGCGAAAATGAGGAGCTTGCGGACTAGGCCGGGCATACTGGCGGCGGCGCTTTTCGCTCAGCGGGGCATTGGGTTTGAGAAACGAGGCATGAGGGCGCAATATGCCTCGATGCTTTCGTTGGAGGGCAGCTGGGAAGCCCGGATGACGTCGATCTGCCGCCGTGATCTGGAGCTAGCCTTTTTAGGCTAAGCGCGCTTTTGGACCTCACGCGTCGCGCGGGCGCCGCTGGGGCAATACACTTCATCACTTTCACCCACCCAAGGCTTTGGCGCACACAAGCAGCGCATTAAACCAGCATTCCTTCCACGAAGGAGTACTATATGTCTGGAGGTTTGGAAGGATATCACGCTAACGTATTGCGCGTAGGGGGAATCCCGCCTGAGTTCAAGATTTTGCCACATCTGCATCATCGCATCCATGAAGTGTATCTCACTTCTAGCGTTTCCTATCATATCATGGCCGCCTCCATTGCTGACAGAACTACGGAGGTATCGAAAGCGAAAGGCGCCGCCAACTTCAAGAAGCATACCTCCCTTAAAGCGATGCGGAATGCGCTCCCGAGTGTTTTCGAGAGCAAGATGGGGGAGGAGTTCTTGTGGAAGAAGGTCTAGAACGGATGCGCCTAAGGAAGGTGAGTTGAAGTAGTGCGAGTGCAGGGAGCATGTGTCTGTCGGCGTGGACTCTGCAATGGCGGGGAAGATCAACCGGGGCCCGATTTTGTGCCTTGCCACAATCCTGAGTGGGCCGGAGCTCACGCAGGTTTCCGGTCGCTAGGCGATCCATATTGGGATGGCCTCTTGCAGTCCCCTCTCTACTTCGTAGTCCTGGACAGATAGGAGGTACTTTCGAATATTCTCCTTTCTTCAGTTCTGTCTTCCCTTAGCGCCTCCGCTATGGTCTCTTCTCCCTTCAAGCGATGTGTGTTGCTTGGAGATTTCTCCCATTCCGAATCGCCCGAGCTGCACTTTAATGAGCCTGATCGACTACGGTCTCAACCCGATCCTCAATGACTGCTATTTCAACTACAACCGCTCATGCATCTGCGCGATACAACCCTTCTATCCTCGAGCCGCATATCCTTTACCTTGACTTATACATCGGAGTGATTCGACATATTTCGCGCTCGGGTACGGAAACGTCTTGTCTCCGTACAGTACCTCTTCTCTATATGCGAGCGAGCCCCCTAGACCAATTAGTCTTAACTTACCTCCTAGGAAACCCCCCTGGAAATATTACTTTGACCTGATTTCAATGTCCCGAAACGCTCAGAGCACAACACACGCGGTTCCCTTACTCTTGGCTCCCCTACGCTTTGTCCCCTTACGCTGGGAGAGTATAAAATGGATTGCTCTACTCGATTCTCTTACCTCGACTAGGGCAACAATCAACAAACAACCAGGAATTAGCTGACATCATGTCGTCGACAAACAATATCTCCTTTTTAATACTTGTGCTTCTGCAAGTTTTAGTCGTGTCAGTTTCCGTCATGGCGATTCGCTCGTGTTAACTAGCGCAGAGCGGATTGGAGATCCAAATATCATCCGCGACATGAAGCAGGCCCGTATGCGGAAGAGAATGAGGCGGTCTCGTTTCCGCAGAAGAGGATTTGCTATCCATCAGGCAGTTAATATCAGTAAGTGTAATCACTCCTCGTCGTTTTGTTATTGGGGAAGGGGAGCACTGCTGACGGTGCAGATTACACACCAACTACGTGAAAGTCAATGTCGGGGCCAATCAAGGTACGCCAGCGCAGTTCATCTTACCTGAGAGCCTTGCTAGAGCGCGTTCCGGTGTCATCGGTACCGCCGTGTCTCGTATCGCTCCTGGCAGTGAAAAGCGCATATCGCTTCCGGATATACAACCTCATCACTCCCAGTATTACGCGCAATGGCTCTATACTGGCCGAGTATTTATTTTGGAACCGGATCGTGTCCTTCCCGGTCGATTGGGACACCGATACTACGAGATGGAAGAGCATGCGCGTTGGGGACATCACCTGAAGGTCGCAACGGAACTGCGAGATATCGACTTCCAGGACGCGCTAACCGATGCTATCATTGAATGGATTAACGAGTTTAGAGAGGGGTTTGATCGACGCCATGGCGAAATGCTGGCCTTCAGGATTGACAGGGACCTATCCCCAGATTCCCCTGCACGTCGCGTCCCTATCGAGGCGTCGATCAAGTATTGGCGTACACGAGAGTTCAAGGATCTGTCTTTGGTTCATTTGAAGGGCCCGGAGTGGTTCGTACAAGGTCTATTCGCCGAACTAGTCCCCTTCGTTGGGAGCACGGCGGTCTCACGGAAGAGTATCGCTTTCCCGAAGGATTTAAGCCAAACGTGCGACTACCACGAGCACACACGACTAGGACGGCCATGTTACAAGAGCCCCCTACCGCTCTGAACGAAGAAACGAGCCTTCGAATAATAATTGCTTCATTTACTGGTATATCAACCATCGAATGGGCAGGGTATATAAACTCCTAGGCCACAAAACCGCCCTCGGCTCCAACACCACTTGCGGGGTGAAAGTTCCGATGTAAGGCATACTGCCGTTCGCCCCTTTCCCACGCGTACTCCTTTACCAACAGTCAAACCTTTCCGCCCGTCGCAGGCTGTCTCCGTTTCTCTCCTGTCGCTCGAGCATTTGCCTCCAGGGCCATCACCTCTCTTTGTACTTTCGCACTGACACGCTCATACAGACGCCAGAAGTTCTTGCCCGTCCACATCAGCCGCTCGTGGAAAGCGAGGTTGTCGATGTCATCCAGGATCTTGCATGCCTCCCTGTAAGCGCGCGCCAGACCGCCGTTCCAAGGAAGTCCACGTTCCAGTTCCGCTTTGTAGCTCCTCAGGACCGCAGTGCTCCAGATTCCACTGTTGCCTAGATGGATCCTCTGCTCTGTTAGCTCTTTGCGGTCAAGTTGGATCTCGTCGAGCAGCTGTTTCTTCTGCCGCGTAAGGGCAAGTTGCTTCGCCGTCGGCTTAGGCTGAGCCACGCCGCCGCTTGCTACCGACTGCGGGTTGCTGGACTCGGGCTTGGGAAGTCGGTCGTCCGCGGCCCAGTAGAGCCAGCTGGCCAGCCGCTCGGGACCGTAGTCCTCTGCGATTTCTTTGTAGCACTCGGCATCTTGGGAGTGCGAATGATATCGATCGCAGAAGTCGCCCTGCTTCGCCCCGTCGAGGCAATCCCGCCCACCGAGGACCAAGCTGGAGCACTTCATGAGTACAATGTGAACCTCCTCCGCGAACAGTTCGCGGTCTGAAAGCATCTCATACAGCTTCCCCTCCGCCTTCAGGACATCCGCGAAGAAGGTTATGATGCCGAGATCGCCGTCTTGCGGATCCAGTTGGTTCAGGATATCCACGATATCGAAGTCCAGCACATTGAGTTTCGACTCCGACTCTGAGCCGTTCTTGACCTTCAGCCTCATCTGCTCATTATAGAGCCAGTGGAAGCGGTCTAGCACCATGTCTTTGCCGACAGCGCACTTTAGCTCCTTGGCGACGAAGTACTGGTCCCAGAGACGCTCAATGGTGTACTCAATCTTCGTGGCTTTGACGGCATCTGGCTTGAGGATGCCAAAGCAGTCGACGTCGGCGGCGTTGTACTGAAGCTCGTGCGTCGGAAGACTCCTGCGTGGGACCGGCGAGATGGAATCGATGAATGTCTGCAGCACCTCAGCGGAGTCTGCGTCAACGAGGATCTTGCCATCCCTGGCCATCTTCTCAATATCTGCGCACTTGTTCTTATCTGTGTAGAGGAACAATGCGTCTGGTCGGATGGCGCGGTATTGCTCTGGGGCGTCTTCCAGGTGCAACAGGATCGGGCTCCTCATGACGTTCAGTGCCGCGCGAAGGTAATCGCTCTTCGAGATCCTGGGTTTTGTTAGCAGGAGATATGAAATCTGTCTGGGCATTACTTACTCTTTAGACACCAGCTCTGGGTCGTGCTCAAGGCGATCATGCTTCATGATCCAGTCGCGGAAATCGACTTCTTCGCCAGTGTCGGACTCGGAGCGCTTATCCGCATCATCCGAGGCATCGTTGGCCGAACCACTGCTGGTAAGGTCTGAGCCGTCATCGGAACCCTCGCTGGAGCCATCTTCTTGCGCCTCAACGGTATTCACAACCTGATCGACCTCCATTGGGTCGAAGTCAGCATCCGAGTCCTGCGCAGATAACTCAGCGGTTGCCAATCCAATGTTGTTGGTCGTTGGAATCTTAGCGGGAATGTTACGAATTCCGGTCGCGTGCTTAGACTTAGCAGTACGGCCCGGCTTCGAACCGACCGAATGAACTTGATGAGCGCCACCAAGCAGTGTAGTCTGAGGCTGAGTAGCTTGAGGAGCCACCTGTTGGGTCTGCGCTCGTGCTTGAGAAGCAAGCGTTCCGCTCTGGACCCTAGGCGGCACGATGGGAAAGTGCTCAGGACCCAGCCCCAGCTCCTTCAGCCTAACCCTGTCGGCTTCCCTCAAAGCCTTCCACGGGCGAACCACTCCCTGCTCGGTAAACCAAGTCGACACGTTGAACATGACGGCCTTCGAGATAGCCGCCTCCCTCGTGACTTTGCCTCCCTGTTTGTTGTATCGAGGGATGCATTCCGTCTGACTATAACCAAGGAAGATATAGTCGTTGATGACGTGACGGATCAGGAGCGTGCAAGCGGACGTCGAGGTCACGGGGTCGAACTGGGCCTGGACTTCGAGGCCTCGAACTTCGTTCATGTAGGCCGCGTGAGCTTGTGGGAACTCGACGGCGTCGGGGGCGTACGGGTATTGGCCGGCCGGAATCACGAGAGGCGCAGCGGTGCCGGAGGGTGCCGAGTTCTGCGCTGCAACTTGAGCGCCGGTGGTTGCCTGGTCTGGGTGAGCAACGGATGGAACAAGGCCACCTGTTCCCGACATATTCGCCAGAACAGGCATGATCATAGCAGCCGGGTTGAGGCTGCCACGTGCCGAAGTCTTGAGAGTGTTGAGCTTCGTACGGCTACGCTTTACAGGCGGGAGTTCTTCTTCGTCAGACTCCTCATCCGGAGTCTCAGCGACTTTAGGGACCGCCGCAGACTTCGTCGTGGGCCTCTGGCGAGGATTCGGAGTGGGAGCCAGACCTGTAGCGGTATGGCCTCGATTCAGCACCTGAGCGCTCGAACCCGACACCTGGACCTTAAGCTTCGCCTTCGGCGGGCGAGCTAAGGAAAGGGTTGCATTTGCAGCGGCGGTGCTGGGCGTCGGCTGGGGCGTGGTAGGCGTCGGGACCTTCGAGTCGTTCTCTTCGCGCTTGCGCTTGATCGGAGCCATCGCGATTGCGGAATCAGAGGGCGACGAGAGTTCGGAGATGGGTATCTGTATCGGTATGTAGTGAGAGCTGGATATAATACGGCAAGAATAGAGATGCTGGTGTGCAGGCGTAGAACTGGAGGCGGAAGATCTCGAATACAGGAAAATGAGGACAAGACGGAAGATAAAGAAGAGAAGGAGGATGCCGATGGTGGGGCTTATATATAAGTCTGATACGGGCGGGGAGGACGCGCTAGTGGCGAACCTACGGAAGGGTGAATCTATTCTCTAGGTCCGAAGCTTCAGCGCACAGCCAAGTGCTACTCCCTGCTCCTAGCGTCCCGAATTACTTGAGTCGCTTCTGGAGGTTTGCCCGACCGTCGATTCAACCAAATCCTCAATGACTGCTGCTCCAACGATTCATGCATCCGTGCGATACAGACTTTTTAGTGCATCAGTCGCGTATCGCTCACTTCGATTTACACATGGGGTACCTCAGATATGCTCCGTGATCAGAGTACAGACCAAATCCCCTCCCCTCACCCTCCCTATCCTTACCCCGTGAACCAACGCTCTTGTTTCCGACTCGAACTGCACCTGTTGAATTTAACTCCCACCAGAACTCCCCCTAGAAACATTACCTGGGCCTATTCTCAATCCTTCAATATGAAACAGAGAAAGCCCGTTTCTCTTCATCTAGGGTATGAAATCGATCGATCCACTCCATTCGCTTGCTTGCAGTATGCCAAGAATAAGCAATCAACTTACCATGTAGCCAACAAACAAGTTCTATATCCCCCGGCAACAAGAACTATATACGAACCGAGGACTCCCGAATGTCTGGCTGAGGTTGGTGGCCCTGACAAGAGAATACCGGAATACTATGGCCAGGTAAGTGGGTATCCTAGCCTGTTTGTCTTGATCCTTTTTGCTGACGGCAAGTGCAGTTCGTCCTCAAGAGAATCAAAATATCATCCGAAGACAGGGACTATGGTTCCGTTTCCACCGGGAAGGTTATGCTATCCGGAGGGAAGTTATTACATGTGAGTTTTCTAAGGGAACGAAGGAGTGGTATGAGCTAATTGTGCGCGCGCAAATTACACACCAATTTTGTCAAAATTGACGTCGGAGCTAATAGAGGCACCGTGGCGCAATTTCTCGTACCTGAGGACCTTATTTGCGGCCATTCGCGCGTTATCGACGACACTGTATCCGCGACACAACCGGGCGGTGAAAAGCGCATCTCCTTTCCGGACATCATCCCCGACCACTTCAACTGGTACGTGCAGTGGCTCTACACGGGTCGCTTCTTCTTTCTTCATCCTAGCCGAGCAACCACGGGATGGGATGCGTACATCCACCCATACGCCGACACCTACGAGCTCGCGCAGTGGACTCTCCATCTCAAGCTTGCCTCCGAATTGCAAGATACAGATTTCCACGACGCTTTGATCGACTCTCTGCTGGAGTGGATTTGGTAAGTAGGCTTCGTGTTAGGGCGGCTCCTAGGTGAGAAACTTGCGTGGGCTTTGGATCAATATTCTCCTGCAGGTTCCTCTGCGAGATGTATCCCCGTGGAAGCCGCGATGAGATTCTGGAGAACGGACGACTTCCGTTCTGTGGAAGTTAATGGGTACGGCGCGCCAGAGTGGTTCGCTAGAGATCTAGTGGCTGGGATAGCAAAGTGCAAAGGGGAAGGGAGGGATCGATGGAATGTGAGATTTTCGAGCGATCTGTCGAATACGTGCCGGTACCATGAGCATGCGCGGCTCGGTCGGCCGTGCTATAAGAGCCGCCGTCCATTCTAGCAGATTTCGGAAACCGCACCGAAGATGGAGCCTTAATTTTTGAAATATTGAAATCTTAGCTGATTATGTATGGTAATATGCATCAGGCTACTACGATACCTTCGTGGGAAGCTTCTACAGCCCCCAAATGTATCAGCGTGAACTCTCGTGTGACGCCCATCCTCAATCTATGAAGACGCCGCCTTCGTCAGCGACAGCCTTATCGTTATAAGCCAGCTTCTTCAAACCAACCCCTCAGCTGCTTCTCCTACCGCTGCCTGTCTGGCGCGTTCTGCCCGCGCGTCCACCACCTCCCTATACACTTTCCGCATGAGGCAGTACACCTCCTCCCACGTACACCGATCGAAGTCTATGTTGTTGAGATTCCCCGCCTCAATCGCGTCCAGGATCGTCCTTATCTCGCGCCGCGCATCTACCAATCCGTGGTTGTATTTGCATGCCTGATCAAATTCGATATACTGATCCAAGAGCATGCGGTACCCCTCCCAGGCATCGTTGCCGAAGGCATGGAAATACCAGCCCAGGTCTCGCAGTCGTTCCTGCTGCATGCGGTCCATCATCTTTTGTCGCGCTTGCCGGCCTGCTGCTCCCAGTACCCACTTGTATACTCGCGGCGAATGGGAATTATTGCCTAGGTTCGAAGCATCCACGGCTGCCGACGAATTATCTTCTAGCGGCGTTATGTCGATTTGCTTCAAGAGCTTCTTCGCACCGCTGTTAGGGGACGCGTTCTGCTGAGAAAGGAGGCGCTCTTCTACAGAATAGTAGAGCCAGTCTGCGAGCCTCTCTGGGATGTAGTCCTTGGCAATCTCCTTGTAACACTCGCCACCGAGCGTGTGGGAGTGATAGCGATCGCAGAGGTCGGCCTGCTTCGGCTTGTCGTGCAAGTGACCACGCTCCTTCGACCACACGCGATAGTGGAAGAAGTACTGAATCAGGCCCGAGAACTGCAGCCAGTCGTCCCTAGGCGTGAGCTTGCCCTCTGCCTTCAGCACATCTAGGAAGAAGTTAAGAATGGGGCGGTCTTCAACCGGATCGAGGCGGTTGAAGGTCTCTAGGATATCGAAGGTGAGCACATTGAACTCCTCTTCGCCCGTGCGCTTCCACTCTTTGTAATTCCAGCAGAAGCGGTCGACCACCATATCCCTGGCATGAGCGGACTTCATCTGCTTAGCGAAGAAGTACTGCTTCCACAAGCGCTTAGTAGTGTACTGGATAGGTGTCGCTATAATGCTATCCTTGTTGATAATGCCGAACTTGTCGACATCATCTGGGTTGTACCGGAGATTGTGGGTTGGAAGAGTCTTCCGTGGGACAGGAGAGATGGAGTTTATGAAAGTTCGCACGACTTCTCCGTCTTCAGCATCAACGGTGATCGTACGGCGCTGGTCGCCGACACGTATCCCGAAGTCGCCAGCTGCGTCGGTGTAGTGGACCAAGGCATCTCCACGAATGATGCCTTGGACCTTATCGGGCGAGCTTCCGAGGCGTACCTCGACGGCATTGCGGATAACGTTGAGCGCCGCCCGGACGTGGTCCTCAGTAGTAGCCCTGAACCTGTTAGTCTCGAACGTCTTATAAGTTTCTCGGGTATCACTTACCCATTACCCATTGGTCGTTCTGGATGGTACTGGAGGTTATCGTGCTGCGGAACCTTGCGGCGTCGGAACTCCCGGTTTGCAATGAGATCCCACTCGGAATGTGACTCGCACTCGGAATCGGAATTGGAACCGGAATCGGACTCGTCATCGATATCCATTAGGGAAAAGAAATCGTTCGTTTCTCCGTCGAGAATCGGAAGCGCAGGTGGCCCATGAGAGGCTCTCTGCGAAGTTGACGTTGCAGCACGTCGGGAGTCACGAGCGCGAGGCTGTTTTGGGGCCTGAGCAGGAGCAAGTTGACCTGAAGCCGGAGTATATGGGGTCGGACCCTGTGCTGCCAATGCAGTAGCACCTGACTGAGCACCAGGCTGAACACCTTGCTGAGCCGCCGCTTGTGCCTGAGACTTTGGCGTGCCCAGCTGAACAGCCGGATGCACGATCGGGAAGTTCTGCTCTGTCAACCCCAGTGCTGCCAGTCGCTGCCTATCCGCTTTTCCTCGGGCCTTCCAAGGAGCCACGACGCCCTTCTCAGTATAGAAGGCCATTGCGTGGTCCAGGAGAATCTTTGATATGCCAGCTCCTGTCCCCGCACCGCCGCCTACCGCCTGATACCGAGAAATGCATTCTTTCTGGGTGTATCCGAGGTAGTAATGGTCGTTCATTACGTGTCGGATCTTGAGCGGGACGGTGGCCGAGGTAGAGCTTACCGGGTCATTATCTAGTCGCGGCTTTAGCCCTCGAACTTCACGCGCAAAGGCGGCGTGTTGGTGCGGAAATTGGATTGGATCGGGGGCGTCGGGGAACTCGGTCATGGACACGGAGAGGAGCGGGCCTTGTCCAGTCGGTGCGGACGTTGCCGACGGGGCTGGAGCGGGCGGCGCAATCTGCGCATGCGCCTGAGAACTGCGAGATGTTAGCTTTGCGCATACATGGGAACAAATTGATACTAACCTTGCGGCCGCGCCAGTAGGCTTGGTTGTTTTGGGAGTATTCATGGTCGTACGCGCCCGTTTTGCGGGTGGGACGACGCCCTCACTGGATTGCCCATTCGAGGCAAGCTGCATGTCCGGACTGGATGGTGGAGGGACGGGAACTCCAGGAGCGGACTCGTCGCGCTTGCGCTTGCTAGGAACCGTGTTTGGAGCCATTGCAATGGGTACGAGCGGGAAGCGATTGATGTCTAAAGCTGGTATACACGTTTCGGGGTACGGTGGTAGCTGTGGAAGCAGAAGTAGCAGAAGCGAAGATGCAGGAGTGCTGGCGTGAAGCTAGCGGTCCAAATGTCTCCGAACGCACGATGATGCGGGCGGGACGGTCAAAAAAGGAATAGAAGAGGGACGCCGATGGTGGGGTTTATATATGGAACTAGCGCCGTCCGGAGGACGCCAAGATACGAAAGGGTGAATCTCTTCTCTAGGCCCGAAGTTCGGAGTGGAGGAACCTTCTCGCAGAAAATCTCCCCCGCTCTTGCCGCGGATGCCCGGTTGAGGCCGTTTCGCCTGGCTGTGAAAGAGAGCTATTCCATACATGAGATATATATGGAAATGCGGGGCTCTGACGATTTGGCCTCGACCTCGGTATTCAGTTCGAGATAGGAGGGAAGGGAGAAAGAGTCGAGAGCTAATATACTCGGTAGATTGCTAGAACAGCAAACTACGACCAACTGGGCGTCTTCTTGGGAGCAAATATCCGTCTATCAGCAAACCTTATCATAGCCTCGAGCATTGTCCTCTAGGAAGCTGCAGCAAACATTGGGAAATCGTAAGCATGGAGTGTATATCTTAGCACGTATAAGCTCTATGCATCCGCCGGCCCTTTCTAGTTGTGATGCGAGCGGTTCAGTTGCAGTAAGCGGTGCTTAAGTGTATGGTTGCTGGAGATCAGACATCATGCTTCATATCTAAGGTGGGGTTAAAACGAGGCTACACGTGACGCGCAATTCACTCTGCACTTCACTAATAGCGCACAGACTCCGCTAAGATTGCGGCGCGGATGGATAACCAACTCAGCTGGTCGACTATGCGCGCCTATGGCTCTAGGGGAAAGAGGGGATACTTATTTAGCGTTTTGAGCTTGCTTGAGTGATACTGAAATGCAAATAGATGGAGAGCGGTCATTTAGGAAATTCCTGTATTACCTAGCCGTGCACCGTGATTCCGATCACTACCTTCGGTGCTCCCGCATGACAGATAACGTGTGACCTACGATATGTGGTTTGCCAGCAGGACATATCTTCCGCTCCGTGCCCAGGCAAGCTCGATGTTATTCCCCTACACGACCTCGTCGCCTTCGAAGTCCCTATAGCAGGGATCCCCTCCCTTGTGATGGTGATATGCATCACAGAACTCTTCAGCGGTAAGGGTGGCTAGCAATCCGTCATTGCGCCACGGAACACCTCGCTCGAAAATGTCGACCACCGCCTGGGGAGCACCGCTCAAGAACTCAGCCCCGGAGTGACTAGCACTCTCCCAGTTCAGCTGCTCGGCTAGGAAGCAAATGACAATGGGGTCCAGGCCAGAGGTCATAAAGGCATCGAGATGCTTCCGTTTGAAGCCCGAGACGTCGGGGCGGTTTTGGAGGTCATCGATGGATGGTACCTTCAGGCCGGGGTATACAGCGTGGGCGTCCTCCGCCTCACCCGGCACGGTCTCATGCTGGGCGTGTTCCTTGAACATCCAGTGCAGGCTGTCGATCACCATGTCGCATATCCACAGGACTTCCAGTTCCCTAGCAAAGGCGTAGAGCTCCGCAAGGGCATCGAGATCCCATCGAATCTTTTCGCCTTGAATTGAAGCGATATCATCATCGGCGTCACGCGGCTCAGAGGTTGCTTTCCACAGATAGTACGTCGGGAGTGTCTTTCGAGGACTCGGCGCAATGAGCTGCAAGAAGCAATTGACAGTCTTAGCTGAGATGCCCTCCCGTACACGCACTTGCTTCATCGCCTGGGAGTTCTCGAGCGTCTTTCGAATGACAGGGGAGGCTTGGAGGAGAAGTTCCCGGTCCACGACTTGGCGATCGTCGTGCATGTTCTCCGCTTCATGAGGGCTCTCGAAGGAGAAGGCGATGGGTTCGTTTGTTCGGAGCCCCGCGCGGTACCTGGCAATGTCTGTTTCGGATATGCTGGAGTCGTCAGTATGGAATTTGCCGTTGGTGCTGTAGATGGCATACCCCTCGGTTTCCGCAACATCCGCGACGTTTTCTCGAGTTTGTGGCCGAGACTCCCTCATGGCAATACCGCTGGTGTTCGAGTGTTCGAGTTTGCTTGCTTGAGAAGCTCGTCGCTGCCGTTCTTAGTCTCGGTCTTATAACGTCGTTAATAGTTTGCTGCAACCCATTCACGTGAGAAGGTCTTACATTTGGCTGTTCCATCTCATCAGCAGTTGGTTCACCTGATCCTTCGGTTTCCCTATCCCCCAACATCTCTGCAGTTCCGGAAGGTGCCACAGTCAAATTTTTTGAACGAGATGCTGCTGCTGCTGCGGCAGCTGCCTCCGCTACTGCCTTGTGGTCGTAGTCCCGCGGGTAATCCGGATACTGCTGGTAGAAAGGCTTTCTGGCCTTTCGGTACCGCGTCTGGATGGTTGTAAAATATAGGGGTTTCTTGAGCTCGCTCTTGAAGTGTTCGTTGAACTCGCGGGTCACGTCCAGCCAGACTTTTGGGGCTAAAGCGCCTGGGACACGGTTGTCGCGGCAGCGAACAATCCATTCGTCCTTCTCCCTTACCAACCGGGTCGAGGCGGTCGGCTTGGGAGGCATTTCCAATGTGTAATTGACGGTTCTTGGTTGGAGGTGCGTATCTCGAGATAGTGAGATGTCGATTAAGGAAGGACAAGGGAGCTTCATAACCTCGCAGTCGGTAGTAATTGAAGAATCTCAATTCTGTGTGTTGAGGTTGCCGAAGGTGGAGCTGAGTTGAGCAAGCTTTAGCGCAAGAAGACCTGGTGCTATTTATTCTAAGCTGTAGAAGCCTTCGATCATCGTCCACGACACACGGACCACTTCAACCACAGACGGCATGTAGTGAAACGAAACATCATACTGGACATATAGAACAAGGAACGGCTATCATTTGCTTAGCATTCACCGCTAATATACGAGACCTGTGGGGAGTTTGAGGAAGTGTTGAAATTGAATCGGCTTAGGCATCATTTCACCAAGACCTCGGGGCTTCTCAAGGGACTCCTCAGCCAAGACTGTTTGTCTCCTTACAGTACAACGGTTGGCGCAGCAAACGCATGTTTGCTTTTCTCTACTATCACTTTAAGTATCAATCTGCGTGAAATGCTACAGCCTCTTTGCTGACTCGGGGAGTACCATTCTTGGTGCTGTGAGCGAACAGCCGGACTAGTTTTCCGCAGAGTACATCTCAGCATAGCCTAGATGAGATTCGTAACGGGATTCTGCCGCTCGATAGATGACGGAACTTTTGCGGAACAATAGAGAGCGACGAGGATAGGGAATGCATGTATTATCTATAGATAAGTTGGTGATATATGTAGGAAGCGACTCCAATCCGAAGTCTACCATGTGCGTACTCTAAAGACACGCTAGCCTTGCCAGTGTAACAAGCAGCGGTAATGTCCACGTGAAGGAACGTATCTGGCATATTTACGCTACAGGCAAATAGTGCTTGGAAAAATCTTGTACTCTAGATAATTTGTGCATGGTCGAGCCCCTTTCCACCTTCCCCCTATATTTCCGGTCAGGCACTACTCCTCGTGCTGGCGCTCGTCCGCAATATCTTCCAACGTGACATCATTGAACGCCATGATCAGAGCTCGTGCAGCGGACATGGCTCCATCCCTACTGCGTAGTTCGCCATTGCGTGCCAGACGGATGACATTCTCGAGCGAGTCGACCTGGGCCTGCTTTGTTGCCTCCAGCTTCTTGAGATACTTCAACATGGATGCCGCCTCATTATGCTTTCCCTCGTCATGTGGATTAGCATTCAGCAGATCGCGCATCATGGCCTTTTGGCCAATGATGCTTCCAGGGGTGGCGTCGTCTTCGGAGTCGAATACGCTGTCGACGAGGCCGTGAAGGCGGCTGCTCGGCTTTGTACGCCCGGTTGGCTTGGGTTGAGGCCGAGATGGTTCATTCATGGTGCGGGCAGGGGCCATGTTGAGATTCCTCAGGTCCTCAGTAATGCATCCGACGCCGCCCCGGGAATCACTACGTGACAGAATGCTACCAGCTGTAGGGGTCTTCATAGCTGTCACCGCAGCTTTCGAGGGCTTTGCGCGAGCTCCTGGGACTTCAGAAGCTGCATCAGCATTCTGTACCCGAGAGCCGGACGGCAAAGACTCGGATGTATCCGCTGCAGTAGGGTTTGGGACGGATGCGGGAGGCTTCCCAATCTTTGTAGAGGTCCTCGAAGTGGGCCTTGTAGCAGATTTCGCAGGGCCCTTCGAAGTTGACGCGGACTTAGAGACATCCGCTTTCCGGGGAGCCCGCGTTGCCGTTGTCGCTCCCCCAGAAATGACTGCGCCCGTCTTGTAATCCCAAGTCTTCAGCTTCGGATAATTCGGGTTGTCCTCCTGAAATGTGTCCCTAACTCTGTGCGCCCGGCTGGCTGACGTTTTGACGCTTCTTATGTTCTCTCCGAATTTCGCATTGAACAGCGGAACCACTTCCTTCCACGGCTTAGGGCCGGTGGCACCGGAGACGAAGTTGTCATGAGCCTGAATGAGGAACCGGTCTGCCTCGCTCACACGTTGGCGGTGAGAGAGATCAACGAAGTCACTGCCTGGCAGAGCCGCTGTGGCGGCAGAGGAAAATGGGGCAGTTGCCGTTTGCAAGGCGTTCGAGTCCGAGTCGAGTTCGGAACTGGAGTAGATCTCGGACGATGGCCCCTCCGTAATCATTGGTGCTGGCGCTTCGCGAGGTCGGAGCGACCTGTTTGGATTCGGTGTGTTTGACTCGGGTGTCTTTGTTCTCAAAGTTGCACTTCCTCGACGTTTTGTCGCAACATCATCGTTCCCGCCGGTCTTCGAAAGTTTCGGGGCCGATGCCAGTGGGTGGGTAGACGGGTTTCCAGATGCGGTAGGCAATTGGGACGCCGCTTCCGGAATAATAGACGCAGCATCCCTAGTGGCTCCCTTTCGCTTGCTTGGTGTAGTTTTTGGTGGCATGTTGGTGGCTAGATTGGTTGTAGTCCGAAGGAGAATTGGGCAGGGAGGTCGCAAATTCCAAGGAAAAACTTGTAGGTCGAGATGGTTGCAGTGTCTAAGTGATTGAATCTGTTTTATTTAGATTGAGGTTGCGGGATAGTGGGGAACGGGTTGAGGATAGAATCTGCGATGAGCTTGGGTACGTTTTATTTGATGGCCGCAGATTGTAGGCATCTGTATGTGAAATGAACTTTCACTCATGGTTCTTCGCTGCAGAAGTGGTCTGTGGACCTAGCGGTGGATAGGATTCAGGGGGCGTGAATGGTAGCTCACGTGACATTCCTGCTTGTGCGACATTTCAGCCGAGCATCAAGGACATGGCCTAATCTTGAACAATACTTACTCCGTACGAGATGGGTGCCGTCGCACATCCTGTAGAAGCATGCGGGCTCTATTTGATCAGTTCTTGCTGAGATATATGCTCCATGACAAGATGTTCCTGTAAGGTACATATAAATTGAACGCCAATTACTCGACTCTCGACCTGGTCACATCCTCTGAAGCAATATATGAAGCACATTGTTTGAGTTTGTGGAGAGCACTACTTAGCCAATCGCGCTTGCAGCGGACAGCATTTGCCAGCGGCTTGCGTCGCGAATTGCGTCGCGAATTGCAAGTCAAGTTTCGTACAAGTTCCAAGGTTTCCCTTTCCCCATCGTCGGTTGCCGTTACGCGCGCCGAACAAGGTGTGCATACTACCTAGGTATTCGCAGCCGCTTTGTATGCATTGCTGCGGCTCGCCAACGCTATTATGGTTCCAAACTCGGGCGATTAGAGCCCAGGTGCCCCTCTCGAAGATCAATTTCGTTCTTCAGGAGTGAATTATTTTTCACACGACTTTAAACTTACTGCGCCTCTCAGGTACCTTCCCCACGCCGGCCTGAATTTAAAGCTGCATTCTGAACGTCTAAGCTTCTCCTCTCCACCTTCATGCTCCGATACAGTCCGCCTGTCTGCTTCGCTCCTCCGCTGGTCTCGGCACCTTCAACACCCGTCTGCGTTTAGAGCGTCCCCATACATGCATACCACGACCTACAATTAAATCTTGGACTAATCGAAATGACTGCGGTCGTACCCAGGAAGCGTAAATTCGGCTTTTTCGAGGATGACAAGTCTCCTCCCTCGGCGAATCCCGCGACTACGCCCTCGCGCACGCCCGCGGTTGCGACCTCTACTACTGCTGGAGCTATAATATCGTACACGCAGGGACCCACAAAGAAAAAGATGAGGGTTCAGCTGCAGAGCAGCCCTCCGACAAACATGCAGGCGCTGCTTCGACGTACATCGGACGCGCTGACGAAGGCTCGCAATCCTCGCCAGCATAATAGGGGACACGGCGCCATCGCTAGCGAAAACACCGAGTCTCCAGCGGACCAGCTTGAGAACGGGGACGACCGTGCAAGTAAGCGCATCCGTACAACTGCGAACGCTCTCTGGACGCCTGTACCTGCGGCACCCGTTTCGACTCTCATCCCGAGTCCTGCGCCTATAGTCCCAGCCGCACCAACTTACTCCGTATCCACCAGGTCACTTGCTGCAGCCCTATCCATGTACCCCGGTGCTCCCGATCCTGTCCAGTTCCCCGCGCAAGCCGCTGCCTATCTCAGCGAAGTTCAAGGTCTCCTGTCGCGACCCGTACGTAGTCCTATTGACTCGAGCTGCAGCAACTCTGAGGTCTCGCTTTCATGTCGCGATGCCATCAACGATTACCTCTATGGTGGAATTAGTCTTAAGGATTGCCTTTCTGGCTATAACGCGCATGGTAGCAGTGCTAAGGCGACAGCAGCCATCTCCAAGAACATCCTCAAGTTCTCGCCCACATGGTTTGCTGAACAGCACACGGTCCTACCGTTGGACGGTCGAAACAAGGCGGAGAAGAATCGTCTCAAGGCTCTAGGGCAGGGGAAAGCCAACTTTCCAGCCTTATCTCCCGATACCACGCAAGACGCGGCTCAACCGCAAAATCAGCCGAATCCACCACAAAGCGTTCAATCGTTGACCGAAAACTCTGCTGACATATCGCACTCCCCAGGTCAAGTCGTCGTCCCGGCTTCTCGTAAAAATGGTTGTGGACCAGTGACTGTGGAACTGCTCACACGACATCTGGAGACCCTAATCCCCATGTATATCGATGAGAACGGGGATTCCGAATCAAGGTCCGGATGCGACTTCGCCAACAACATTGGCTCCCCTGGCGAATCCAATTCCGGCACTGGCAACCCTGATGACGAATCTATTGCTATGAAAGATAGGTCGAATGAGAACAGGGACCATGGATGCGATGTTTATTCAGAAGATGGTTCTGAGTTCGATCTGGGTGAGGAATGCGACTTTCGCAACCGCATCATCGAACACGATTGGAAGGAGCACGACGCTAAGGAGATTCCGGACGACAAGTAAGTAAGGTTCAGACAAGGTAAAGAGCTTTAAGCTAACAGCCCTAGAATCACCGCAGATGACCACGTGTGAGTTGCTCTGAACGTGGTCAACAACTCTGTCAGTTTGATCACCAAAGGCTCTCCGGAAGAAGTCTATTACGCTCGTGCTGATGCATTCCTCCACTACACCGAGGAGCCAAAGCTCCATGAGCTTCGTCAATCTCAGCAGGTATGCATCGACGTCTCGCCCGAAGTGTTGGGAGCGTTTGTGCACTCCATCTCGCCGGTTCCGCGAGCCAGCCTCCCGACCCACGACCTGAAGTATGATGTTAAGGATGTCGATGACGTCGGCATGATAAAGACACAGTGTTAGTGCTACCAAAATTGACTACACCGTCAGCAGGCTCTTAGACCAATACCTGGTCGCGAAGCACATGAAATCCATTCATGCAATGGATATGGTGGTCGATCGCCTACATTGGATGTACGAAGAGCAGAGCCGATTAGAGAAGAAGCTGGAGAGGCCCCATCCCCCCAATATCGCCAATCCGAAGAGGCAGGATGCTCACGTTGTCTGGGACGGCACTAAGTGGGAAGTGTGCCTCAACGTCTTGGACTTTGACATCCCTACTGTGCTGGACCAAATGGACCCAGAGAAGGATTCCGATATACTTTCCCTCTTTGTAGATGTCATCGTGGAAAAGAAAATGCCTCAAGAGCAGTTGGACCAGATGGAGTTCGAACCTGCCGTTGGAGAACTGCTCACGGCGCGGTCCACAGAGCTGAATCATCTCCATCGTGCAAAGCAAGGCGACTTTTGCCATCGCTACCATTCTCACGGCGGAGAAGAGTGTTACAAGAAAATTGCTGAGGATCACAGGTCGGACAGACTAGCTCGCTGGTTCTACGATTCCAAACTTAAAGAGTACGAACAACTCAACTGGGATGCAGAGGATGGGGCTACCCGCCACAAGAATACCGAGGGCAAGGAGTCGTGGAAAGGGAAGAGCCCTAGCTATAATCCGGAGGAGACTCTGAAGTGGGCGAAGACCCACATGCTGGAGCAGATTCAACTCGAGCGAAAGGAGAAAGCCGAGAAAGAGATCGAGTGGGTAGGCTATGATGAGAAGATGGGCCTTGCTCTTCTGAATAATTACGAGGGACAGCTCTTCGAGGCTTTCCCATACAATCCTGGGGTAGCAAATGAGCTACGAGAGACGGTAAAGACACTCAACGCAATTCAGAACGGCGCTATTTCTAAGCTTACCGATGAGGCTAAGGAGTACCAGGACTTCGGTGACGCTTATCACCGTATCCGAGAAGAGGTTCGGGAAGATGTCTCTATGAAGTACAATGAAGAGCGGATTTGGTACACGTGCGCGGCCGCGCCCGACCGCTGCGGAGTCACCGGTATGTTGACTCGCGTTTGTCGCGGATAGTCCTCCTGTGCTGTGGAATTTGAGGCATCATCACGAACCGCAGTACTCGGAACATTGGAACGCGATGGGAATGGACTATTGGTTGTGCGAGGTCTCGCTAGCATGCGGATTGATTTAAACTCCCGTCTTATGGGCATGGGTATGGGTATGAAAATCGCCCAATAGCATCTTTGGAAGGTTCGACGATACTTTCGCGGGGGTTCTTTTCGCAACTCAGCTACTGTAAATAGCCAAAGCTCGCCTCTTCATAGTTTCAGCTGCGAGATCTCTAAAGCGTAACTCATTTCAGGTCCATTCGGTGTCAAAACGCTGCCCAGGCCGATGAAACTTACCATGTTCTTGGTATTGGCAAGTCTAAGAAAGGTTTGCCGGAAAAGCATGCTGCTTTCGCAATCTGCCCTTATTCATACTTAGGGCAATATAGCAAGGATGTAGAAACTAAACTGTGTGACAATAGCGAGCCAGATATGACCCTGGCGAAGCATGGGGTGGAGTTATGCTGGAAAGCTCCAACAGCACGTGGACGAGCCCGTTCTCATAAGAGTTAGTCTGTGTAGCGTTCTGTCCGTAGACGCTCTTGAAGGACGAGCGATGTAAGGGGAATAGCCTACCTAGGTACCATTGTGCCGGAAGCTTTAGAGCGAAACTCTGGAGTTCTTACATTTAAACGCGACAGCGGCCGACTTTCCCTAGCGAAGGCCTAATGGTGACTGAAATCGTGACTCTCGTCCGTGTACAGTTAGCGGCGTAGTTTTGAAGCGTTCAAAGGTTGCGTAACTGATGACTGCCTAGGTATCCTCTCTTCTATGGACCGATGAGGAGTGAGGTAGAGCAGAAAGGGCGAGAAGGGGGCTTTTGCGAGTGTGAGAAATATGTGCTCGGATCAGGTGAAGTGTTGAGATGTTCGCTGCCTAATTCATGGTCGGGTATCCATTGGCTAGCAATTATGTGAGAACCTTGGAAGTGTTTGCCAACCCCACACATGAGTTCTGGAACATGTAGCAGTATCCTACGTTCTCTCACGCTACGTCATCATATCACGGCGCCATGGCTTGACTACGCTTCCCTCTTTAGCGACATTCCTCTTTCACTCGCGAGATTTGGGGATTTCTAGTTTGCTCTGGGAGCTCCCTGCAGACCTTTCTCATTTGTTCTGGCCATTTGAAAACTGATTGCAAGGCAGAGAGGTGAAAGACGCTTCTTTATTTGTACACAAGAGGTTTGCTGATGCCTAAGCACCTCACCCATCGCGCATATGAGCAAGAACAGCCAACCTCAGTCAGTTGAATCCCTGCTTCGGACCCGCGACGACTTCGGCTAATCCTGTAGGCGACTCCAACCTTTTTCCTTCGACCCTTCTCATTCCGCACGCTCCTTCTTCGCAAATCCTGTCCGCACTTCGACAATATCGCGGATTCACATGATGGGTTCGAAATACCATCAGGAATCATACCGGGAGTGGATGGCATCGGTCAAAAACCACCCCAATATCATTGGCTCCCATATCCACAAGAACGGGTAAACTTTCCCGCAGGGACTTATCCAGAGTAAGTGTTTTGTCCCTTCCAGAAATCATGCCGCGAGATAACTGATGATTTCACAGCTTGTATTCTGAAAACGTCATCGTCGACGCCGGCGCGAACAAAGGCGGCGTAAAGCGCTTCATCATCCCAGAGCCGGTCATACAGTCCCATGACAGCCTCTTGAAGGCCGCCATCAACAAGAGTACCGTGAAGCGAGAAGACGACGGAAAGTACCTCAAGTTGCCTGGCATCAGTTCGGATGTCTTTGAGTTCTACGTTGAGTGGCTGTTCTCGGGTCGCTTCTTCATTCTGCTCCCAGATCGCATTGAGCTTGGGAAGCCCGGCTGCGAGAAAACAGAAGCCGCCGAGTTGGAACGATGGGTGTCTTGCTTCAGGCTAGCGACGGTGCTAAAGGATGTCGAATACCAGGACGCTTCCATCGACGCACTGATCGAGTGGATAGAAGAGCTGGGATCGGACGGATACTCACTGAGGCTGAGCCTGCGTATCGCCGAAGTAATCTACACGAGTACTACGCCAGATGCACCTTGTCGACTACTACCGGTGGAAGCGGCAGTGAAGAAGTGGTCTAGTGAAATGTACAGACAGCTGCAAGACCATCCGGAAACGAAGCAGAGAGGAACTGCGCTGGGGCAATTCTACGGGGACTTGATAGCACAACTCGCCAAGTGGAAGGACTTCACGATAAAAGAGCGGAGGAACAAGACACAGGCCGATTTCCCGTTTGTGATCGACCTCGGGGCGACCTGCCAGTACCACCAGCATGTTAAGCAGAGGGAGCCGTGCTACAAGAAGCGGCGGCCCTTCTAGTGGCTATGGAGAACGAGGGGAGACGAATCTAGGACCATGCCCGAGAGTCGTATCTCGATCGGGTAAGGAAGGGTACACATAGAGGCAGAGCACACCTCGGGACACTTGATATAGGAAAAGAATGTATCGGATGATCTTTTATAATAGTTAATGATATACCTATAGAGCAAACGCTGATGGCCTAATATATATTTCTAGAAACTCCGCTGCAACGCCCTGAGGATGACAACCGCCATCCCTTTGTCTGTGGACTACCGCCCATCCGTTCTTGACGCTATTTCAGCCTCCCATAATAATAACAAAAATCACCGCCCAGTTCTGGGCTAACCTTTCGCCCCACAAATGAAAATGTGCCCCCGCCGCATTCACTCGTCAATATCATCCTCTACGTCCGTCATCTCCTCGTCTTCAGTGTCGGTCCCACTCCCACTTTCAGACCTGTCGTCTCCATCCCTATCCTCGCTGCATGCGTCTTCCCGGTCCTCGCCGTTACTTTTGCGACTCCAGGTCCCATACGCATCGAACTTTTCCCACATCATCTTCATTTCTTTGCGAATTTCACTCTGTCGCCTAAGAGCTGCATTAAGCGCCACCACAAAGATGCTCGGGCTCACTCGTCGGAATTTTGCGGCTTGCTGCTCCTTCTCGAGGTCTTCGATATCCAGCTGGAGCTTCATCGCCTCTTCCTCTAGCACGTACGACTTCTGGTGCAGGATGGCCTCTATCTCATGATTCGTTTCGCGCTTTTCATCACGAGATACAAGCCGCTGCATCTCTTCAAGAGTACCGGAGTCCCTCTCAGCTGCTGACTCCCGAAGAGTGAGGTAGAGTTCCTCCACTACGTCGTCAGTGTTGATCTGATTCGCGACCTCTTTGTGGCACGGCTGGTGACCGTGGCTATGATACTGTGCGCAAAAGTCACCTTGGCGGGCTCCATGGAGGCAGGCTACCTCGGGAGTAGCGAGTCCATCAGCAATAGCCTGTTTGGCGGGCTCGCCGAACATCTCCCACGTCAACAGCTCCGGATTTGCGTCTCTCAGACCTTCGATCATCATGTCGGCCCATAGTCGCAGAAATGGAGCATCGTCATCTGAGATGAGGCTGTTGATGTACTCCGGCTTTGCCAATGCGATCAAATCGAAACCCGACTTGGTCGGTCCCACTTTCCGGCTCTCCACGAAAAGCCAATGCATTCGATCGACAACCAGGTCTTTCACAAGAGAGCACTCCATGTACACGGCAAGGCGGTGCATCTGGATGCATTCCTCCATGTCCCAGTACATCTGCCAGGGGGAATACTTCTTCGACTCGTCAATAATGGCGAACCTGTTCTGGCCGTCCAAGTAAGGATCCACCTCGTCGGGTCTAAAAGCGAGGGGTGGCAAGCGGGCTTGGGGTACCGGAGAGATGCATTGAATGAAAGCTTGGACGATATCGCTCGGGAACATCGAAAGGTCGAGCTCGAGCTCGTCGTTCATATTCTCGTCGTCCGAGGGGCTGGTGAATCGCTGGCAGTGTTCGCGCAGCGCATCTTTTCCCAGTTTCAATGTGCATCCGTCGACCTTGATTCTAACGAGAGATCCGACGGCATTGGCGGCGGTGAAGAGAGCGTCAAGTGCAGTGATACTACTTAGGTTAGCAAGCAAGAAGCAAGAGTAATTGGAACATACGTACCCAGGTTCGGTCGAATTGAATTCATCTGGACCATGCTTCACGATCCGGTCAGCGAAATTTGGAGGCGGTAATTCCTCTGGCTCTGACTCCTCATCACTCTCGTCCTGGGATTCCTCTACCTCAGACTCCTCTTCCTCCGACGAGGACTCCTGTGCCGCCATGTCTTCTTCAGAAACAGAATAGAGTGAGAATGGCTCGGATGCATCATTATCGTCTTCAACCGTGGGTTGGGCAATTGGTATTGCAACATGATTCGCGGCTTGGGGCGGCGCTACCGTTTCTGGCTTCAAGATTTGTTGTGTCGCTATGGGTGCCGCCTTCGGCTTCCGCGGCTGGGATTTCGTTGCCGCGGTCGTCTTCGCCTTCTTCTTCGAAGCAGCAGCTTGTGGCGCCGCCGCGCCATTCCCGATTGTCCTCGGATCGATGAATGGGAAGTCATCAGCACCCTTGCCTTGGTTCACGAGCGCCGCCTTCTCGGCCTTGTTCTTAAGATCCCACGGCAGTCGCGCTTTCTGCTCTTCGTACCACTTGCGTGCGCCTTCTCGGAACTGCTTGGACCTATTCTGCGTGGTTCTAGTATGCAGAAGTTCGTTGCTATCTTCGTCATGGAGCTTCCTCGCAGCAGCTAGTTGATCGATGTCATCGAATAAATGCCAGTGGATGAACTTGAGCTTCCGAGCTGGCAGTTTCGATGATCCGATGGTGTCTATCGGTGTTCGCGGAGGATAATCGAACAATCCATCGGGACCGATAGGTGGCGATGGAGTCTGCATTCCCGTTGATTGGGAATTTGGGTCATCGTTGGGGGAATGCTCTGTATCGGGAGTGTCGGTCATGGGTTGGTCGCCGTCCGTACGTTTATCTCCACCCACATCAGACGACGCAAGATGGCTCTGCTGGACGAGCTCTTGGACTGAGGTATCGTTATGGTCTACGGTGGTCTTTTGCTTCTTCCTCTTCGGTTCATCGGTGACCGTCCGCTTGGTACTCGCTGCCGTAGGGAGCGATGTCTTCGAATAACCATTCAGCCCAGCCGTAGTCGTATCAGGGGAGCCTTCATCATCTCGTGCTCGCTTCTTGCCAGCGCGTGCTGAGTCATGTGGCTGCTTGGTAGAAAGGTTCGCCGGGGTACCTTGATCACTGTTCGACACAGCGCTAGCCTTGGAGCTGAACTGGGATGTAGTGCCGTCCATTTTGAGATTTGAGGTAACCTTGGAAGATGAAGAGAGAGTATGTTGGTTTGTGGAGTTGCGCAAGATATCGAATTAACTGGCGGCTCCGCGAATTGGTTCCCGGGGTCGCAATCGAGAGAATTGTTTGTTGAGGAAGGGCTTCTAGTGTTGAATTCCTCTGATGCTGGGAGCGAGTTTGCGTGGGCAGTCTGCGATGCAACTAGTCCGTTTTATATAGGTGCGAGATGGTCCAGATGTGGCGGTGCAGCGCAGCGTGCGATTCACGTGAGGCTACGTTCACTGACCTCGGGACCCGTGCGCGGTGGCTGGGACGCGCCAAGGAATATCAGGACATGGCTTTCGCGGTGAAACTGCTCTGCTCCGAGTTTTGTTTTCACTGCCTACGACTAGTCTTCTAGCGACGTCATAATGGCTCGTGGTCGCAGGAGCGAGAATCGATGCTGTTGTTTGGGGAATAGAATATATTCAGTTACGATGGAAAATAACACCTGACTCCGACAAGTGAGGCTAATACTCCCAGGCGAACTTTATTAGCATGTCTTCAAACCATTTCTATAGATGAGCAGAAAGTTTGCTTGCTGTTTGCGAAAATTACCGTCCTCTTCGCAATGAAACATGTGGTGCCGTGTACCGTGTATCGCGCACGGTATATTGGATTGGAGTGCGAATCACCCTTCATCAAACGTCTAACACTGCAGCAGCACAGAATAAGAAGAAGTGGAGTTCGGAGCCCAATGTTTATGATTTGCATTTGCTAATGATCCATCACGAAATTAACACCGATCCTTGACTTTCACAGCGCCTTCCAGGCATGTCCATCCATTCAAACTCCGACTCAGCAGAGCTGATCTTACAACTCAGCCCATATGCCTCTCCATCTCCCACATCTCTGGCCACCAATTCTTCGACCATGTCGTAGCTCGCCACTGCACATAGTGGTTCTTGCTTAACGCGGCAGCTTCATTCTCCAACTCTTGCAGGGCACCCTCAAGTTCGTCGGCACCCGCAGCATCGCCAGCCTGACAGGACATCTTCCACGCTGACTCTATTCGGAGAATTTCTGCTTTAATGTCATTCATCATAGCGGACGCTTCTGGGCTCAACTCAATCTCCGAACTTTCACTTCGCTCACTGCAGCCGACGCTCTCCTGAGGGAGACCTTCGTGGACGGGGTCTTCAAGCAGGGTTTCCCCGCTCCTAAGTGACATTGCTTGCTCTTGACCGGATGGCGGGTTGCTAGCCCTGAAGTGTGTCTCCAGTCCGTTCGACGGGGCCATCACCTCTGAGGTGAGGAGGGCAGGCGCGCGTGGAATTTCGGTGGCGATCCCACGCGATCGAGAAGTAGTAGCATGAGGCGTGGGCTCCAGTCGCGGAACTCTAAGACGGCTTCTGTTCACCCTTACCGACGCTGTGTCAAGTGCGCTCCCACGCCTAGCGTTCGTCGTCGCTCCAGCATCGTTATCCCGATCCCGCGGATGCACGCAAGGAAAGTCCTCCAGCCCCAGACCCTGGGTGATAAGGTCCCGCTTCTCTTCCGTCGAATATAGCTGCCAAGGCCTCACGACGTTTTGCTCAGCATACCACTGCTTCCCATATGTACGAAGGTAATATCCGATCGCGTGCCTCGTGATGGGCTTATCTTGGACCAAGCCATATTTCTTCTTATTGAAGAGCTCAGCGGCGGCCGGATGCGTGAGCCCGTCAAACAGCACCCATTCGAGTACAGCCAACGCGGCCTCTGGAAGAGCGGAGGTGCCGAGGCAGGACATGGGAGTAACGCTGACGTGAGACGCGAGTGCGGGCGGCTGTTGTAAGGTGGAGCTTCCTACAAGCGTTGCGGGCTGCCCGGGTTTCTTAGTGTTGGTGCCTCCTTGCTGAGGGAGTTCGCATATTGCATCTCGGGATTTGGTCATCGCGGGTTCTGCGGGCGCCTGCAAACGTTTCGCGGCTCGGATAGTAGATGAAAGCTCTGTACCGATAGATAGAACGCGGTGAGCTTGACCGGGAGTCTGAGGCACATCTGGAAGAGCGGGTGGACCGGAGGGGGAAGATGTGCCATTTCGAGCGGCTGGTTGCTCTGCTATGTCCGACTGGGCGATTGGGCGGGGCGCCGGAGTGCTCAACTGCCTGCCATTCTGGGCCGGAAATGCGAGGATATCCTTGGAGGGTCGGATGGATGCCATGATACCTAGGTACCGAACGATAGTTAGCAAGGGATGTCAGCGATATGGGAAGAGTGGGAAGTCGTGTTCGAAAAAAGGAATTATGAGACTTGTGTGTGTGCGGCAGTTAAACCGGACCGAACTCCAAGGCTTTCACGGAAGGCGCGCAAAAGATAGGTCTTCACCAGGTGACATTGCACTTCACTGAGGAGCGGTGGCTGAGCGGTCTGTGCGAAGTAAGCCACACTCCACGCAAACCCAAACCGCCTTTCACTTAGAACGATATCCACATTCTTGAAGCGATATTGTACGAAATTACATAACATCTAGGTACGCGAAAGGATGTGCGGAAAGAGGATCTCGTATCTCCTTTAAAGCTGTGCTATGGCGACTTCAGACTTCCTCCTATTTCGCTGACTTGTTTTGCCGTGCATCTGGATTTGAATATTCTCCCTATGCCTACTAAGATCATATATATCTAGGTCTTTTTCAATATAATAATATGTGATCCAATTCCTCTACATAGAGGGCCCCAATTCTACAATCTGCGCATTGCAGTATTGGATATGCGCATACCCCTGGTGCCCCACTAGGGCAAGATGACGTCGTCAATTTCCCAACAACAGACACCACCCCGGTGCGTTGTTCAAAGCTTCCGACCAGACCAGCTCAAGTCCCAAAACGTGAGCGCCGTCCAAATCTTCAGCAAGGAGTGGTAATATGCAAACAGCGGATATGCCGGGATCGGGAAGAAATACAGGAAGAAGTCCCCCGGGTGCTGCCAGAACCATGGCGCCGTTTTCACTAGCTTCGTTGAATAAATGAAGCCTGCGAATCCGTACAGCAGCGCTATACGATGCTCAGAGTTCTGGTACAGGTTCGTGTGCATCAGCGCATACACCATTAACACATCCCAGAACAAAGCCGCATTGTACATCCACGGGAAATACGTCGTCCACACTGTAAGCGGCCATTTCCACCAAATCGTCCGATCTGCAAACAACGCAATCGGGTTTTGTCGGAATGTCGTGCGGCTCCAGCGCTGGCACTGCTGTACGAACTTCGGATATTTCCCTAGCGGCGTTGTGATAGTGGCCTCTTTGGAGCACTGGATCTTCACGTCCCAGCCGTGATTGATAATCCAACGGGTCAGGAAGTTATCGTCATCTGCTACAATGGGACCGAAGCCGCGGAAGCGCTCACCAAGACGCAGCACGAACTCGTTCAAGAACGCGTACTGGAAGCCATAGTCTGCGACGATACATGTGCGAATCAGGCTCGTGCGGCCGGAGACGCAGAACACGCCACCGTCTGCGGCGTTGGTGGCGCGGATCTCGAAGTTGTGCCGGATCAGGTACAGAGCACCCATTGTGTTCCAGAAGCCGGACCAGTACTTCTTCCAGAGGTTGCGCAGCCAGGTCGCGTTGGGGTCCCCGACGCGGGGAAGCCGCTTCACCCATTTGCTGGTTCCTACAAAGCCTACCTTGTCAGATCCGAACGCTGGAAGGGTGCCCTCGAGGAATTGGGGGTGCCAGACTGCAGTGTCGTCAACCATGATGGTGATGGCAGTTTCGACCATGTCGAAGGCGTTGACGACTTGACGGCGCTTGTTGGACACCTTCGCATTTGTCACGGCTATATCGGTTGATACTTCGGTGGCTTTTAAACGCCACTCCCGCTGATAGTCTGACTTGCCTGTTTCGAGGGCACTCAGGATCGGAGGAAGAGCCGCCTCGACCTGCTTTGCGGCATCCTCGGAGTTTGTCGCGAAAATGAGGCGCGATGGGCGGTTGAAGAGAATTGCACTTACCGTTTCAGCGAATGCTGGATTACCTTCTGGTCCAACAGTAGGCAGAATGACGGTACAATCTGCGTGGCTGAGCTTGAGGTCAAGATTTGGTAGAGCCGGCTGGTACTGAAACCAGAACCAGATGTTGACTACTGTGCGCCAGTATCGGAAAGCTACGAGTGCGATGAACCATACGAGAATATTGTCGTTGTGATGCTCGACAACCTTTACTGTAGCGAAGAGAAGCATTGTCGGAATCATGTGCCCGAAGAGCTTGAGCGAGGAGAGAAAGGATGGTTGATACGGTCCTCGACGCGCATCATACACGAGGAAGATCACCCAGTAGAGCATGCCTAGCACAGCCCAGGACGCCAGCGTGGTCAGCCATTTGGGATTGGACAGGAATTGCATCATGGTTGCCTCTGACGATTAGTCTTCTCTTTTCGATGGTCCATAGAGAATATTCTGAGAGAATCATTTATGCATCGAAGGCATAGTGTGTGCGAGACATTCGTGGAAACACGTTGTGCATAGGGGGGTGCATTGCGAGTACACAATGTCTTTCCGACCGCAATGCCAGATAGGGCACTTGTGAAAGGCATTCCCCTTCTGGCAATAATGCTGGAGCTTTCCCTCTAAGATACGCTAATCTTCCCATTCAGTCTCAAATCTCTGGAGCTGGCGCCAACGTCCACCGCAAACGCCCCCTTCGGGACAACCCACTTCTTCGCTGTCGCATCCCAATAGCTCAAATCCTTGTTCCTCAGCACAAACTTCACCGACTTGCTCTCTCCAGGATTGATATTCAGTTTCTCAAAGCCTCGAAGCTGTCTCACTGGCGTATCGGGAGCGGAGTCCGGGAATCCGAGGTACAGCTGCGCGACCTCCGCTGCTACGACTGAGCCAGAGTTCGTAATCGTTGCTGTGACTGTAGCTGCGGTCTTGAAGAGCGATGACGCCCCACCGGGAATCGTGTCGCCGGTCTCGGGACCGGGAGTTGGCGAGCCGGCGATTGCAAGGTTAGAATAATTGAAGGTGGTGTACGCTATGCGCTCGTCAGCCTCTGCAACTTCGGTGAAGAGGGAGTCCTTACACAATCCGAAGCCAAACTCATATCTCAGGACGATGCTCTTCTTATCGAACGCTCGGTAATCGATATACAGGCCCTCGCCAAAGTTATCGGTGTTCGATTGGATTGTTGTTCCATAATCGCTCGCCTTCTTCGCAATCGAATACGGCATCTTACCACTCGGACTCACATCGCCATACAGCACATCAGCCAGCGCACTTCCAGCCTCTTGACCCGGAAGACCCGCCCACACAATGGCCTTTACATTCGCCAGATCCGCAAAACCCTCCATGAGGATGGGACCCGTGCTGTGAACAACGACGATGGTGTTTTTGTTCACATTTGCAACGGCTTTTACGAGGGCCTCACCGTTGTGCCAAGCGTCGAGATTGTTTCTGTCGCCTTTATGGCCTTCAACAGTGACATATTCTTCCCCGGAATCTGCTGTGATGAAGACGATTGCGACATCGGCGTTTTGGGCGGCGGAAGCGGCCTGGGTGGAGGTGTCGGTAGCGGAAATGGTGACAGTAGTGCTGTCTTGCTTTGCGCGGGTGGTGATTGCTTCCGCTGGGGAACTGACATACTGGTACGTATTAGCATTCAAGCGAATTTGGATGAGTAGTAAAGTTAACAGCGACGAAACGTACCGGCAGAGTGCAAGACCCACTGCCCCAACCCATCGTGAGCGTCCCCTGGTTACACCCCATATCCTGACACGAGTTGATTCCTTTTGGATTCGGCACGGCATCAGTCCCTAGAACTGCAATACTCTTCGGCTTCTTCAGCGGCAATATCCCATCCGTATTCTTCAGCAACACAATGCCGTCTCTTGCAACTTTCCGCGCCACATCCTTATGATTCCCCTGTACGTTCGGTCCACCATTCTTGGACCGTCGATCAATTGCCGTAGCAGGATACCCGGAGTCCTGCTTGACAAGATACCAGCTCGCCAGAATCCTCTTAACCATATCGTCCAATCTACTCGTGCTTACTTGGCCGCTTGAGACTGCGGACTGCAGCTTCGAGCCCCAATACACATTCCCACCATTGTAATCACTCCCCGGCATCGTCATATCCAGTCCCGTATTCGCACTGTCAGTCGTCGAATGCTGCGCATTCCAATCCGTCAACACGTAGCCGCGGAACCCCAGCTCTTTCTTCAATAGGTCATCCATAACCCGCTTATTCTCGCACGCCCACTTCCCGTCAATCTTGTTGTAGCTACACATAACCGATGCTACATTTGCGCGCACCGCCTCAGCAAACGGCCACAGATACAGCTCATGCAGCGTCCTGTCGTCGACGACCGAGTTCATCGTCTCGCGGTTCTTCTCCTGCTCGTTGAGGATGTAGTGCTTAACGCATGCCTGGGCGCCACCTTCCTGAATCCCGCCGATTGTTTGCGCGGTCGCTTCGCCAGAGAGATACGGATCGTTCGCAAAGCCCTCCCAATTTCTCCCTCCTTGGGCAAACTGTCCAAGCGGTCCAGCAACCGGCCCAAGAATCACATGGATTCCCAAGGCCTTCGTTTCTTCTCCCAACGCCCTTCCGCGCTCTCTCATCAGTGCTCGATCCCATGTCGCGCCCGCTTGGATCCCAGCTGGAAAAGCGGTGATGCTAGCTGCTGAGCGAACACCGAGAGGACCGTCTTGCAGGCAGAGTGCGGGATAGTTAATGGATCGCGCGGAACCCGTGTTTCCGGAACATGGTCCTTTACCCCATCCCACGCCGGACACGAGGCCGACCTTCTCGGATTGGGAAAGCTTGGCTAGGGCGGCGGTAGCTTTTGTGTAGGCGGCGTCCCAGTCGGCTTCGAAACCCTGAGCAGCAACGAGAGCGATAAACGCCCAGCAGGGGAGGAGACCACGCATGATAACGAGTTGAGAGGATCGACTAGCTGAGCGGGTGGAAAGGAATTCTTCATTTTGAACAAATATATGGAACCCACAAAGCCAAGCTATCGTGAAGTGGATGATATCTCGAGAAGCTAAAATAGCCTACCCTGCTCGGCATGGAAATGCCGTTATACAGACACTCCACGGCATAGTAAACGATCAAGTGGTACTTTGGCGGGACATTGCACAGGTGAGTGGTGGGTTATTTAATCAATTCTCGGCTAATGACGCTACTCGTGACCCAGTAACCCGTCAGCTATATGGATGATTTTCGTATGCTGGCTACCCCGGATCTTAGCTTGTGGGGCTTCCGTCGCACTGCTGTCTTGACTTCAGTCCATGGCAGTTCGTCGGGTACTCCTTCATTCTCTGAGCTTGCGCCTTTCGAATTTCAATGCGTTAATGATTTACAGTTCTGCTACCCGCTCACTCAAGCTTCTCTTAGATCGCCTCACTATCAACTCCAACTATCGCGATATCGAGCTGTTAGATCTACTTTTCGAGAAGGGCGTAGAGTCGCACCACATGCTTGGTGCGCGTAGCATTGACCAACATCTCTACCGCGAGCCTGTCGAGCCGGATATCCGTCTTTCGAAAGACGATAAATCCACCCCTAATCCATCCTTGACGCGGTCGAACAAAATCGTAAAGGCAATACTCAAGGTCTTGCATCTATTACTGTTGTCAATGACTTAACAGTGTTGTGGTAGTGAAAGACAGATTGAAGTGCTTCAGGCAACCGAGGCAGCTGTCCTCACCTTGTAATCGACCATGACATAATAAGCGCAGACCTATCTCAGGGGCGGTGAGTAGTGGTTAGTTTGCCAGCCGCCAGAGCTTGAACAATAGCGGTGTCGGCGCTTCCCCGTGCGTTAGAGTGAAAGCGTCTCCAGAGACCTGGCTGGTGCCAAAGCCTTTCGCGAACGCTGCATTCACTCCCACCGCCCTATTCTAACGTGAGTACAATAGGATCGGCACACACGGACCAGAAGCGAGTGAGAATAGGAAGAAATCACCCGCACTTTCTGACCCATTGCTCTCGACATCCACAGCCTCGCGTTCAGCATCCCCAGCTCCAAGCCCAGCACCTAAATATCGCAAGTTCCAGCAACGTAAATCGAAGCCAGGGCCCCTCCAAGGAGTAGCACAGAGCGCGACGGGTAGTCACAATGGCCCCTGCAAGGGTCGAGGCTTCCCGAAAGCGTGGCTTCGAGGACGTCGAGCATGTGGGATTTTACGACGCTCACCCCGTACCCAGTCACCCCTCAATGCTCTATGAGCTGCCAGCATACGACCTTCATGCAGCGCCGGCGCTGCCCCTGTACCCTGGACTATACGACAATCTTGCATATGCCGCCCATCTCAGCTATCAGTACGAGCTTCGCAACTTGCAGATGCCAATGACGACGATTGACCCTATTCCTGCTGCTTCGATGCGCCTCAAGCGAGTCAAGCGCTCCAATAGCTCCGGGCCAGACCTCCTGAGCCTTCCACAGGAGATCCGCAACCAGGTGTACCGCGAGATCCTCATCGACCATCACACCGCCCACTTTCTCCACCATCACAGAGGCATCAACTACCACATCCACTATCGCGGGAGAGGTCACGAGAGACCAGACGGCTTCCACAGGCGCGGCACTTCCCACGGTCAAGACCGCAGCTCGTTCGGTTTCCCGATGTGGTTTCTTACAAGCAAGCAAATTCTCGACGAAGCCTTGGATGAGCTATTCCACAACGCAAACGTCAAGGGCACGATCAGCTTCAACAAACAACAAGGCGAATGGCGAGATGAGCTCGCATTGAACATCCTTCCTTACGTGCGAGACTTGACGATAAGCACGAAGGGGACGAACGACCTGGATAACACGCCTGGCGTGCTCTCATTCACCGGTAACACCAGGAGGGCGCTCACCGAGATCGCAGAGGGACTGAAGGAGAGTTCGAGGCTCCTGAAGTTGACCATCGCGTTTCAACTCCGCCGGTCGTGGCACCAATTCGCCAACACGAGGAGGGGGAAGAAGACCAAAGTGGATCTTTCAGCGCTGAAAAAGTTTAAGAGCGCGCGACTTGAGGTCTTTGTGCTGCGCGTTGAAGATTCCGAGACCATGTTCGGGGCAGCGAAGGCGGCCAGGAGGACGGAATTGACGGATAAGATGTGGGATATGATTGGTGAGGAAGCAGAGAGGCTTGGAGTCACTATTGTGGGAGATGCAACTCGGTTCAGGGGAGAGGTTGACCGGTACGGCAGGTGGAACTTGATGAGTGAGAGAATTTCGGAGCGGTGAGTTCCGACATGTGGGAGCATGAGGAGAGGACCCGGGCTGGTCCACTACTGTTACCGCAATGGGGAGCGAGGACCAGTTTACATGCACTGAGTTCTCGCAGCCACGAGCGTGGATCTGAGATTACATGCCAAATACTACTCTTGATAAGCTGGACGATTCACGCTATTTCGTCAACTACGCCTAGATGAAAGACCTCGTACTAAATGCTTGTACAAGTAACATCCCGCCGCTTCTCGTCCGCTACTCCTCAGCTCCGCTGATAGCGTACTAAAAGAGCAAGCTAGACTGAGCGATGGTGTTTTTTGGTCGGCCTTTGAGAAAGCAAGTGAAGAAAACTCCCATGAAGCACGGTTTAGCGTTATCAAAATCGAGATAATTACTGACCTATGTGCCTTGGAAATTGGGAGATTTGAGGCGAGTACTCAGAGGCCATCTTGAGCATCCTAGAGCCAAGTAAGGTCTTACGAATAGGTGCGCAAACCCATCCGCCACACTGGTCATGGGAAGCAGGGCCGTAATAGGGTGTTTCCATGCTTGGGGCGCGAACATCGTGGGAAACGAACAGAATTCGGGCATCAAGAAACAAAAGAACTGAAGTCTCCTTCCATGCGGTGCGGCACTGCACCACAGCTTCTATATCAAATCTCCTTCTCCAGGTCTGGTTCGCCTTACAGAACTTCCTTTCACTTCCTCCAAACTCCTAAAAGAGGGTCCCAAAGGTTTTTGGAGGACCTGCCATGTCGCTTTCCTCTGCGTCATCATAAAATTAGCACGCCAGCAGGCGTAGGTGACCATCTGCGGACTTGAACTACTCAAGCATGCCCTGCATGGATGTCTCAAGCTTCGTGTCTTGAAATCTACCTTCGCTTCGTGGAAAACATCGTCCAAAATTGCGTGTAGAAGACTGCCGTGGAGGAAAGAGGGATCCCTGAACGCAAGACTGCAGTGGTCAAAGAAAGCCGTGCATGAATCTATGGTGGCAGAGTTCGAATACGGCCAGTAGAATGCATTAAAAGGGTGCTCCAACGGATTCATGAGGAAAGAGGGTCATAGTGCGCACCTGTCTCATCCAGCAATAATTCTGCCTTCTCAACATCGCTAGGGCTCGGCTTCTTTCCCCTTTTGCGCGGCCTTCATCTCATCACGGTCCAGCATCGTGACATCTACATAATGCACTTCTATCTCCCCTTCGACCAGGACCCCACCCCACTTCCGCCGAACTCTCAAATGTTAGAACACTAAAAGCTAGTTTATCTCTTCAAATATTGTTCCTGTCGTCGCTCTCCAAAATCAGACTCTCAATCCACTCATGGCACCCCCCCGCTGTGGAAAAGCTACAATTGGAAGTCGCATGCACTCGTCCAGACCCGTCTAGCATCTAATCGATCCCACCTTCTACTTTTCAAATGGGTACGCGACCCTGCCTTTTCCCCCTCACTACCCATTTGCCTGCTTTGTCCCACTAAAAGACTAGCTCCAGCCCTTTGATGCGGAACTCCTCACTGCCCAGACCATACCGCTCCTCTGTCTATCTTCCGAACAGAGGTCGAAAAATACCTCCATGGGTGGGCTCCAATCGTGGAACTGCACTAAAGCGGTGGAATCAAGAATTCGTGTTGTCGCAGGATTTCGAGAGCTCGAGAGTCGTGTAAAAGCGAAACAGATACGACGCTACCCAGCGAGCAAATGTTTCTACACCGCACGCCGCGCATGCATAAACTTCGACTTCTCTTCTTCCGCCTCTCCACTTACTCTCCCATATCACCAAAAGCACCCTTTGTCGAACAGCATAGACAGCAACTTGCGAGGGATTGATGCATGGATCCTTCCTTCCTCGGTGTCCAAAAGTAGCACAATCGCTTAACAACGGATCGTCCAGCGAGAATTGAACTAAAAGAGGCCACGAGGATTTCCATAACTACATAACAACTAGAACATATCACTAAAGTTCATCATAGAGGAAGCTAAAACCGATGACCAGTGCGAAAGGTCTTGGGACGCTTTAAGCTAGCGAGGAAAATGGGGGTATAAAGGAGCTTTCTCGTTCTCTTCTACCTTCTCTGCGCGCCTCATCTAGCCTAACCGACGAAAAGAAGATGGCTGGCCATTCATGCTCCTAAAAAAACTTGAAACGCCTCAGTCATGGACTCGCTCTTGCTTAATACCACTCCTACCGGACCATGGGATGACCTCGGCCGTGCCTGGAATAAAATGCAACGAAACAAGCCGCTATGATCGCTCGAAGCGTCAATTCCCCCCTAGATCCGACGCAGGAAAATCCAAAAGACACTTCAACGAGAAAAATGTTGGAAACCAAAGCAAATACTTCCTCTGCATCACCCCACTCTCTCGCTTCTCGATAGCTACAGCTATATAAAGCTCCCCCCTCTCTCTGTCTTCCTTCTCTCCACCGCACCCTGACTTGTCACAAAACTCATAGGCGATTACACGAAATAAAAACAGCTCGTGGTCAAGCCTAATGGTGCCTGGAGCGGGGCCGGGTGCTTCTCACGCCTTTAAAAGTAATAAAAGAGACTACGATGGGAAGTCTCGAGAGGCGAATATAAAACACACAAACCCGCTCCCTCCCCATTCCCCTTCACAGCACCCCTACGCTCCACCAAAAAATGAAGGAGAAGTCGTTCAATGCTGGTGAGAATTGCACGACAAGCATTTTTCAAGCTGCCTGCGTGATTTTCGCGTCCCAAGGGGTATATAACCCCCTCAAACGCTCTCTCTCCAACTTACTCTCCACACCGCCGTCGCCGGTTCACTAAAAGACCCAAGAGACTTCGCATGAGTTGCTTTGCGCCCGCGTCCGGGCGGGCGTCTTCAAAACCACCAAGCGGCTGACTTAGCTGCTATCCGTGTAAAACCCGATGGCGAACAAACTCATGCGCCCGGGAGGTCCAAAGCTCACCCAGCACAAGCCCCTACAGTACAGGCACACTGGATACGAAAAAAAACTTATTCCAGCATGACATGGTGCGGGAAGAATCTCGCTTCTGCATTCTTCATAGGCAAGTCTATGAACGGGGATAAAAAGCCTCCCCTACTCGCTCCTCAGCCTCACTTCTTCCCGCCCACTCCCGTGCTCCACTAAAATATCTTCGCACACTCGCCATAAAAACCTCTCAATCAAGGCTCCTATGGAGCCAGGCAGCGGAAACCCCCCAGAAAACAAAACAGACATGACCGAATGCTGCTGTGCTGCTCGTGCACCAAAACCATAAACTCCTCAAGCGATGTGCGCCGTGGGAGGGTCCTGCAGCCATTCCACTCCGACCCAAAACATCCCAGAAAACGACATCCCCAACAACTGTGGGATTTGGATCTGGAGGTGTTGAAGGGTGTCTCCGCTCCTCGTCCATCCGTAGCGCACTAGCGTCTCAATGGGGCCGACTACTGGATATAAAACCTCTACTACTCGCTCCTCTCCTCTGCTTCACTTCTCCCCACGCGCGCGCTGTCGAGCTCTACTAAAAGTAGCCTACAAAAAGCGCCGTGTATCAATGGAATGGAGCACTGTTGGCTGGTTCTGGACTAAAATCTCTAACCGTAACGAGTTATGTGTGCGGGGAGGGAGAGTTCTGCAGCCGTTAAGCCTCCAGCCGACAGACACGATGGAAGGGAAGGGGTTAAAAAGGACGTTCGCACCAACTATGGGATTGGCGTCTCTGCTCCTCCTCGTTCGTTACGCAGCAGCAGGCAGGTGGGTGGGCAGGTGTATAAAGCCCCGTCCTTCTCCTTACCCCATCCCTTCACTCTGCACACGCTTCCGCACTTCTACACGGCGACTAAAAGGGAAGGTCAACCCTCGCATGAGAAGAGCGAGCGACCACAACCCTCACAGCTCTCTAAAATTGCTGCGTCAAGGACGCATGGGAAGCCTCTGGACGCCGTGGACGAAAACGCACAAGTCGGAGGACATATGCCCGCGCGCTTCGTGGTAGGCGGCAGTCATCAAATGATCACTCACGGCAAACCATGACTTTGATCTCCATCTCGGAGTACAATAAACACCGCATTTCGACACTTGCTCCCCACAGGGAGGGCTCGCGCTAAAGGGTGCATATCGAGCACGCATGGGGACCCAGAACCCAGAGAACAGAGAATTGGGGCTTCGTTTTAAAGACCCGTTCGCTGGTTTGATGGAAGGAGGGATGTTGTGTGGACTAGCTGGTGTAGTGAGGGTGCGAAAGTATATTGGCTTTGCGGTGCGGTGTACTGTGTCCTGTGTAATGCTGTGGAGCGGCGGCGTTACGCCGACCGAGCAGACGCGCGGCGAGGAGACAAAGAAAAAAACAAGAGATGGCAGCATGTCTCCGGCATGGAGCAGCGGGAGTGAACAGAGCCTATCCAGCATGTCGAAGAAGAGGGCGCGGTGGAGCGTAGCATCAACGTATGATAATGATGATAAACGATAAGATTCTCAGATGATTAAACGTATGATACACGAAGTGAAGAACCAGGGTATGTACACAAGAAACAAGCGCTAAGAAACCCCCGTCGCCAAAACCCATGCATGCAATATATCGTGTCTCGTGACCATTACGAGCGTCGAATGCGGGGAACCCGGACCGACTAGCATCAGAAGCCCGCCATCCCCCCGTCAGAATCCTCAGAATCATAGCTGTCGTCTGTGTAGTCCTCATCGTGCACGATGCCAGCGAGGGCCCTCAGTTCGGCCGCCTGCAGCACCTTGCCCAGGCCGATGGCCAGCTGCAGATCGTCTAGTCCGTCAAGCTTGTGGTATGTCCAGGAGTAGTCGATGTCCTCGATGGCGTGCGGCTCCTCGGGAGCGCCGACGCGGCAGCGCACTTTGCGCAGCTCGGCGCCGAAGATGGCGTCGTTGCTCGTCTCCTCGAGGTCCATGGTGGAGTCTCGGCGCACGTGCGTGGGCAGGCGGAGCTTGGTGTCGGATGACGCAGGAGCCTCGGCTATGGACCCCTCCCGCACGACGGCGCGCTTGAAGCTGGGGTTCTTGAGCTTCTGGATGCCCGTGACGTAGTAGAGGGGCTGGTCGCGGAGAGCCATCTTGCGGAGGAAGGAGTGGACGTCACTGCGGCGGAGCCCTTCGAAGGCAGCGTGGGGGCTCTTGAGCGAGGTGTATGACATCTGCTCGGCTTGGACGAGGAGGAGGTTGTCCTGGGGGAAGTGCAGGCGGTCTGCAAGGCTTGACACGAGCCGTCCTTCGTCGTCTTGCAGGATGATGTCTTTGTACCCGGCCCGGAGGACGGGCTCCTCCACCGAGTGTGAGCTCCCCGTGCTGACGGACTGGTATTCCGGGTTCAGGGGGTCGACGAGCAGTTGGCCCAGGAGCAGGGAGCTCGAGGCAAAGGGCGCTGGGAGGAGGACGGGGCCGGACATGGTGGGCGACGTGTGAACGACGGTGTGGACGACGGTGAGGACTGACGATGATGTACTGGTGGCGACGGACTGGCGATGACTACCAAATTGAAAAGAGAAACCTACCAGAAGAGGAGAGCAACCCCTCATATATGTAATAGAATGCCAGTCCGGTGCTCGGCGGCAATGGATAGGAGCTCAAATTCCACACGCCTGCGCCATCATGGCAGTTAGTGCACGCGACAACAAATACCGCGCTCGGATGATGATCAGACCAGATTCGCCGTAGGGAACTCCAGATGGAACGAAAAGGCTTGCGGGGACCATGCAGGAGCTGCTTGGCCATGCTGGCAGGTGCAGCAGTTTCAAGGGCTGCATAGCAGGCTTTAGTCGGCTTCCCGCGGCTGTATGGTGGTGATGCGAGCCTTTGCGCGACATGTCCCGAACTGGCGGTGTTGGAGTTGAGGGTGTGGTAGGCCGACGAGGCGGTGGTCCCGATTCCTCCCGTCGCGACGGACCGCGCTGTCCGATCGGGTGAGGGGAGCGTTTCGATAATTCCCGGCTGACATTATCCAAGGCGTGAGTTGATGGTCGTCGTTGTTCATGCCATGAGATATATTCCAGCTCATCACTGATGGTGCAAGTTGAGACTGCAGTGAAGCAATGAAGCAGCTGCCATCGCACTCGTGGGCCATCGTCGGCCGCGTTGGAATCTGTTTAGTCAATGCTGCTTAGCCAGTACGTGACGCCGCATATCTTCTATAGGGGCAGACGAAGAGAAACGATCAGAAGGCAATCTGCTGACATGGACGAGCACAGTGCTTATCTGGCGGTGAGGTTGTTGGCTGGATGTCTGTGGGATGAATTTTGAGCGATGGTGAGGCGCTTGTGTGCCGAGCCGCAGCGATGAACGCGTCGCAGAGCAGGGCCGCGTGAAGGGCGTGAAGAGCGTGACGGTACCTAGGTACATACAGTGCTGTGGTAGTCGCAGAAGGCGGACGAATGAGTGGTGGGGAACACGTGGAGGCCCGCTTGGCGACGAGCTGCTGTGGCGGTGGGTCGCGACTGCCACAACCATCATCGAAGGCTCATACACTGACGACATCGCGACAATCCGGAAGGCGCAGCATCCGGCTCCGGCCTGCCATCAGGCCCTTCGACATGCTGCAACCTACTCCCACTCGGCCAACAGCCCTCATGGCCAGGACCCGCGCCGGAGCTTGTGCTGACGGGTGCGCGCGGATCGCGACACTGCCACCGCAAGAAAGTTAACCCCTCGCCCCAGGGCCTGATAACACCTGGCCCGGACGCGAGCACAACTACAGACACCGCAATGGCAGACCCTCTAGACGGCCCGGCCAGCTCCCAAAGAGACCGCCAGGGTGCGCTCGCCGAGATCCGCTTCAATTCCGTCGTCGACCCCGACCTCACGCCCTCCGAAGACGAGACGCCGGAAGAGAAGGCGCTGCAGTTGGAAAATGTGCAGTCCGCGATAGGCGTCAGCATTGGACAGCAGCAGACGCGGTTAACGTCGCCAAAGACGCCGGCTGCGGAAAAGGCGGCCGCATTGGACGAAACCGACGGCGGCGGGCTCTTTGACGTGTGGCAGCACCCGCCGGAACAGACAATTGAACAAAGCGGCCCGCAACCCAGCCCGTACGATGGCCAGATCGACGAGCGCGATCCACATGTTGAGGATGCAGTGAAGGAGTCGGCAGCTTCACATGAGCCGCCCGCGCGTCTCCCTTCACCATGGCGCGCCTCTCCCAAGACGTTCAAGAAGGTCGACGACCACCGGTTGGCCATGCGCGACGCCCTCACGACCAAGACACGACGACGCACACTGTCTGGCGGAGGCGCGACCGATTTGTTTAGGAAGTATATACCCTCCAATCTACCGTCAATGCCCAAGACATCCGGCCTCCTCAACTTTTCACTCCCTAGCTTCTCCGTGTCTTCCTTTGACCATGTCGCTCTCGACCGCCGAAGGCGGGTGATGTCTCCGCAGAGCCCTATGTCAGATGGCATTACGCAGCACGACGGCAGCGCTCAGTCGAAGATCGAGCGGCCCGGAACAGCGTCTCCTCGAAGCCCACTGCAACATCCCTCCACAGCGCCACTCCCACAGCGCGAATTTGGCCCCGATGCCGACGGAGATTCCAGCCCAGAGGCGCTATGCGAAGACGTCCAGCCACGTGCGGTACCGAAGCTTCGTCAATCCACCTCGGAAGGGTCCCTGCTGCTCTACAGGAGTCCGTCGTTTACGTCCTCCCTTGGTGACGACTCGCGATTTGAGAACGTGCAGGAACAGGTCAATAGCAGGCTGAAGGCGATCAAGGACAGCTGGCAAGATGCAAACTTCAAGTTTCCCATACCGTCTATGCCTAACTTTGGCTTTGGCTCTAGGGATGATCTCGTCAAGCCGAAGCTCGGCTCTTTAACACCGAGAGGCACGAACGGCGACACCGGCAACAGTCTTCGGGTCAGCTTTCTTGCCAATTCTTCAGGCCCCTCCTCGAGACGCAATTCGATTAGACCACAAAAGGCGAGAGGTTCATCCTCGGATCTGGCGGGAATGACGGCGGCCAGTGCTGCAACGCATCCATACTTCACACGAGCTCTTCAGGATCTAGAAGGCGATCTGGTCCTTCTGGGAGGCTATCGAGGGTCCATCCTGCGCTCGGCTGAGCCTCCAAATCGCCAGCTATGGGTGCCGCTCAAAGTGGGCTTGAACCTGCGGAAAGTGGATCTCGAAGTCGGCCTTGACCCAGAAGACGAAGAGACAATGGAAGAGCGCATCATCCCAGGCGGCATGCTCACCAACATTGGCCCCGTGGACATCGCGAAACGGCTGTTCAAGCGCTTGCGGGCATCCGAGAACGCAAGAAACGGCACGGTTAGAGTACACAACTACGGATATGACTGGAGATTGTCTCCGCACCTTCTGAGTCAGCGTCTGATCAAGTACCTGGAAGCCCTCCCTTGCAACCAGCCTGGCGTACCTCCTGAGAAGCGCGGCGCCATCGTCATTGCCCATTCCCTGGGTGGACTCATCACCAGACATGCGATCAACCAACGTCCAGAACTCGTCTCCGGCGTCATCTACGCGGGCGTGCCCCACACCTGCGTCAATATCCTCGGCCCTATGCGCAACGGCGACGATGTCCTCCTCTCGTCTCGCGTGCTCACCGCGCAAGTCAACTTCACGATTCGGACATCCTACGCTTTGCTCCCTCTGGACGGGAAGTGCTTCTTCAACAAGCACACCAAGGAGGAATACCCCGTGGACTTCTTCGACGCGAAAACCTGGGAAGAATACCGCCTCTCGCCCTGCATAGCCCCACCCCTACCAGCGCCCGACAGGAGCGCAACGAACATGACCGTCAGCGGCCTACTAAACGCAATGTCGCAAGCGCTACCTTCCCTTCCCAGCCGCAAAGGCAGCGTGTCAAAAGGAAGTCCCGTCCGCGACACCGCCCAGACCGCCGTAAACAAAGCCACCGAGTCGTCCGCCCAAACTTCCGGCTTCGAGCCGAAGATGCACCCCGACCATCCCACCTCGCCGACCGTCACCATTCCGCACGACAAAGCCGTCGTCTATCTTGCGCGCACCCTCGCCGAGGTGAAACGCTTCAAGGAAGAAACCGCACATAATCCCGCCCACACGGCTTCCAACGCCTATCCGCCCATCGCCCTTATATACGGGAAGTCTACGCCGACTGTGTACGGCGCGAAAGTCGAGAGCCGCGAGGCGATCAAGCGGGCAGATGCGTACGATGAGCTGGCTTTTGCGAGCGGCGATGGCGTCGTGCTGGCGCGTGCGGCGATGGTGCCTGAGGGGTACTCGGTCGTCAGGGGAGGCGTCGTCCCGAGCGAAAGGGGTCACGTTACGCTACTGGGGGATCTGGAGGCCGTGGGACGCTGTCTGCATGCTGTTATTGGGGCGCGCAAGAACGGCGTTGGACTGGGAGAAGCGGCAATGAAGGGTAGAGAGCAAAGGAACAGGGACAAGGAGAGGGCTTAGAGGATTGGAGAGGGAAGATCTGGCACAGCACCCAAAAGGGATTGGAAATTAGACTAGTAGACAAGAAAGACAAAAAGCCAGCAATGGCACGGCACGGTGCAGCGCAGTACAGCGCTGTATGTATGACTAGTAGACTACGACGAATACGAAAAGCATTACAGACTTCCAAGCGCTCGCAACTTCCCCATGTACTCTGCCAACCCCTGCACCTTCCCTTCGCTCCCCTCCCTCTCTACCTACTATCCATTATCCTCTCAAACTGCCCATCAACTAATCGTCCGTCCTTCGAGGTAGCATTCCCAAGATAGCCAGCCGCACAACCACCTGCCTGCACATCCTGCTTCTGCCCCGCATACGTCTGCTCGTTTCTCGTTGGGGGCGAGGAATCGCTATCTGCATCGATTGCGCGCGTCTGGGGGACGAGGATTGGCGCCGGATTCACCACTGCTTCATATGCGCTCCTGACGCCCAAAGTTCGATGCTGTCATGCGTGATTCTGCTTTTGATTCCTGCTGTCATGCGTTTCGGAGCATGCGACAGAGACGGGGTCTGGCTTTCTGCGTTTGTAACTGTAAGGCCCCGATTTCGCCGTCGTCTTGATGACCTGTCTTGCTGTGCTCTGCTCTCATCGTCCAAGGCCTTGAATCGACCCCAAGTTCGTACGGCCAAAGCCTCCCCAGGCGCTCGGAGTGGCCAGTCTATGGTGAAAAAGACGCAGCCAGCGGAGACTACCACCTTCCACGACCTCGGCCTCCGCCTCGGCCTCCGCCCCTCCAGTATCCTGGCTCCCTCTCAGGCGGCGCCTCTCCTCTCCTCCATTCGCCAGACGGGAGTCCCCCATTGCCCCTCCTGTCCTCGAATCTGCCTCCCCGGCCGCCTCGTCCGTAGCCATAGTCCCCACGTCCACCAAATCCATTCGAGTAGTCCCTTCCCCTCGCGCCATACGTATCCCGCGGTGGCGGGACTCTTGACGGCCCAGAAGGCGGAGGTGGAGCAGCCTGCACGCTTCCGTCCGGTAGAGGAGGGAATATAGCACACGCCACGTAGTCGCCGATGACGAACTTGGCGTATCCGAGCGTCTTGTCAGGCTCGCCGTCAAGCTGCTTCAGCGCCTCGGAAACTCCGCTCGGGCCCTCCCCGCTAGTATCCATCCCGTCCTCCTCTGTCTGCGCACCCACGACTACGCTTCCCAGCTCCCTCGAGATGTAGCGGCCGGGCATTCCGGGACGATTCGGAGCGGACATGTCGCCGTAAACGAGGCGGAAGGCGATGCGCGTCCCGGCATACGGCTTCGGGAGCAGGTTCGGCAGGGCGGTGAGGAGGAGCGTGGACAGCTCGCGCAGCGTCGCGTTCGGCCAGGTGTAGATTTGGAGGTGTTGTTTGGGGAGGCTGGAGTTGGGGTCGAACTCGTCGAGGCGGTGGAAAGAGCCCTGCTTGTAGAAGAGGCGGAGGAGGAAGGGGGCGGTTGTTTGGCGGTCGATCTTGGCCGGGGCGTGTGCGGCCATCGCGAGGGCTCTCGATTGACGCGCGTAGGGTAGGCTGGGAGATATCAAGGCCTTTGTGTGAGCTGGGATGCAGTCGAAGGAATTGAATGGTCTTCAGGCGCAGCTGCTAGTTAGGTTGCTGCAAAGTTCCCTCGGACAGCGTGGTGGCAGCCAGCGTCGAAAGAATTCGAAGGGGATTGCTAGGGTAGCACCAACCTTTTTGACGCTTCTGAGCGTGAGCAAAAGCTCTACTATTGACACAGGCGCGACAAATAGAAAGTGACGCGGGATTGCGGCTTGGGTTGCGTGGGAGGGGAAGGAAAGCTGCAGACTCTATGCAACCCAGAGCTCCAAATCTTAGCGTTGCCGGAGTTTTGCCGAAGCAGTGTATCGCAAGGCGCAACCCTCGCTTTTCTGCTCCTCAAGCCTTCACTAGCAGTGCTACGCTCTCATCTTCACAGTCGCAACTATGGACTTCGCAAAGTTAATGTCGGCCCACATCAAAAAGGGCAAGGAGTCCGCACCGCCCTCAGAACCCGACAAAAAGTACCTCAAGCGCAGCGAAGTCGAAGCCCAACGACAGGCCGCATATCGAGCCGAGCAGGAAGCCGCTGAGAAAGCGCGCCAGGAGCGACTATCGCAGAAGCGGAAAGCTGAAGAAGAAGAGGCAGCGAGAGAGGAACAGCGGAGGGAAAAGCGTCGCCGGTTAGCGGAGGAGTCGAGACGCAGGCGAGAGGAGGAAGAAGAGGAAGAGGAGAGGCGGCGGAGGAAGAGACTGGGACTGCCGGATCTGCCACCAAAGAAGGAGGGCGAGGATGAGGGCACACCAGTTCCGGAGGAGGAGGATATCCCCGACGAGGAGTTGGTTGCGAAGCTGCGGGCGCTCCACGAGCCAGCGATACTCTTCGGCGAGACGCACAAGCAGCGACTGAAGCGGTACAAGAAGCGTGTCGGCTCAGACAGCCTCAAAGCGACAATGACAGACGGACCGATACCAACAACACTACAGCTGGTGCCGGAGAAGGACATGAAGGTGGAATTGAAGATCCCCAAGGATAAAGAAGGCCGCGAATTCCTGTTCAGGCAACTGGCAAGTTATTTCACCATGGTGCTCCAGGAATGGGAGGACACCCTCGCCCGACGCTCCACCGACGTCCAGAACAGCTACCAGGGCAAGCAGGCCTACGGCGCCATGGTGCAAGCGCGCGAGAACTTGCGCCCGCTCTTTAAGAAGATGGAGAAGTACGAGCTCGACGACGGCATACTTGAGCCTGTCGTCGAAATCGTGCACGCGGCACAGGAGCGGCGGTACGTCGATGCCAACGACGGATACCTCAGGCTGAGCATTGGAAAGGCGGCGTGGCCTATTGGCGTCACCATGGTTGGTATCCATGAGAGAAGTGCGCGGGAGAAGTTGCATGAGAGTGATAAGAACGCGGCGCATATCATGAGCGACGAGATTACAAGGAAGTATCTGCAGAGCATCAAGCGGTGTTTGAGCTTTGCGCAGACGAGGTGGCCGCCGACGGATCAGCTACAGCTGATGGGTTGAATGAGAGGTAGCATGGCTCAAAGCAGAACGATTCTAAAAGCATCAAAGTTCAACATGGCAAGATCTATGGGATTGTAATATGCCGCGTGAAAGTGACGCGCGTTCACGTGCGGGCCCAGGGGGGAATTACCCCCCAACCTTCCCACTTGACCTCTAGAGCTCATTCGATCACAACACCTTCTTCGGCAAATTTCAACACTACGCACAGAAGCTCATTATCGTTGCAGCAGGCCCATCTGATGCTTTGATACCTGGGTACAACTTTTCCCGATGGTGCATCGCAAAAAATGCACGAGATCGTAACCCTCCAGTTTGGACAGCAGAGCAACTATCTCGGCACCCATTTTTGGAATACACAGGTAGACACGCTTTCTCGCGATCTGCTCCCCTCTACCCGCATCTACCTAACCGCCCGGCCTTTTCGTTTTGTATTTCAAGTCTTCTCAATTGAGCCGGGGGCGCGCCTTCCTACCCAGCGGTACATCTTTTCGCTCGATCATGCTTTCCGCATGTAAAGCCCTGCATGCGTCGCATAAACTCAGCATTCTCACCTCCCTCTTCCTCTTAATCTGCTTCTGATAAGCTCTCAAGGAATCGTACTTCACCTATGCTCCGGAGCCCGAGTCGCCTGTCAATCATGACATCCTCTTCCGGCCCGGCATTGCCCTAGATGGCTCGGATACATTCACCCCGCGGACGCTGATCTACGACCTCAAAGGCGCGTTTGGGAGCATGAAAAAGGTCGGCCCGCTGTATGAGCCTGAGGATGATGCAAACGTTGAGAGATCTGGTGTCTGGTAGGTCTAGCCCCTCCCTCACACATGGACTGGCGGCATGTGTCTCGTGCCATTTACTAGTACAGATGTGGATATTCAAAAATTGAGCTCGCAATACTTACGCAGGGCAGGCCATCAAAACCTATCATTCAGCGCTCACAGCCAATACCGCCATCATCGTACCAGACACATCTTGATGCGGGCCTTGAGCCGCCACCATTGAGCGCTTCAACCGTGCGCTACTGGTCGGATTACTCCCGGATCTACTACCACCCAAAGTCTCTTGTTCAACTCTCCGAGTTTGAAGTCAACGATAAGCTCATGCCCTTCGAGAAGTGGCAGGTAGGCGCGGAGTTGTTCGAGAAACTCGAGAGGGAAGTAGACCTGGTTGACAGAGACCTACGACCATTCGTCGAAGAATGTGATGGCATCCAGGGCATCCAGATCATGACTGGCATAGATGACGCTTGGGGTGGATGGGCCAGCGGATGGCTTGAAAGAATGAGAGACGAGTATGGAAAGCTGAGCATCTGGACTTGGGGCCTGGGAGACCAAGGCGGGAATATGGCGACTCCAAGGGTGCGTAGGCAATGACACGGAGGAATCGCAGTGCTAATTTAAGCAGGAGAAGCGACTGCAGCAGATCGAAAACACCTCCCGATCACTCCAGGTGCTCGCGGAGCAGTCGTCCGTTTTCATCCCAATGTCAAATAGCCCAGCCAAGTCTCCATCTTACCTTTCATTCGACTCCAGCTCGCCATGGCATGTTGGCGCTCTCCAAGCGGTGGCTTTGGAATCGATGACTATGCCAACCCGGTTAAGGGCAACCGATGGAAGACGAGGGACGCTGCAAGCGCTTGAAGAGACATTCAACAGCACCGGAAAGCGTCGAATTGCAAAGTTCGGGATGAGCATCGCAGACCCAGATGTCCTTTCAGAGAAAGCCTCCGAACAGATCGCGCAAGCTGAGAAAGCCGGCTCCACAACCTCGCATCGAACAAGCGAGGAAGGGGGTGAGCAATTGGCCGAGTTCGACATCGACGTGTTCACGAAAGACTACAGGATGGCGCCCACGAAGCCAAAGAAGAGGGAGCACGTCTTCGGTAGAGCGGAAACCTCGCGAGGAGAGTGGAATGTCGGCGAAGACCGCGATCCTCACGAGAGGTTCGCTGAAGGACCGGCAGTGCAAAGGTACGTTACATCGAGACCCGCATGACCTGATAGTATTTGCCCAGTTCGACGCCATGAAGCCCAGTACGAGAACTACCACTAGCATATCTTGTTGTCGCCAGCAGGGCGCCGTGGGAGCGTGCCTCCATACCTAATTGGGCTCTATACGACTGAGCGACTATCGAAAGCCATACGAACTTCACTAACCATCACTCCAGATTCACGGCACCGCTACTTTTTCCGCTGCTCGATAGTTTCCCATCGTCCATATTCGATGTGGGTTCCGGAAAAGCGAACAAAATCGCCGTGTACGCGGGTCTGACGACAAGCACAGCAGTTGCCGATCAGGTGAGAACGGTCGAGCAGATAGTGCGCCGCATGCACATGGTCAGCCTCGAAGAGCGGGAAACGCTCTGCAACGGGCTGCAAACAATTGCGGAGGAATACGACGAGGGGTGGGATAGTGGGAGCGATAGCGACGAGGACGACTGATTCAGCATTCTGCCGCCGTCCTTTTCTTCCTCAGTCCACCGGCAACCCAGGTGTCCATATCAACAGACAGCTATCAATAAACGCGACCCGTCGCTCACTTTGCCTATCAGTTGAACAATGGTACCATGTCACTCGCACGTTGACGTGAGTTATCACCGGCGCGGAAAGTCTTATCCCGGTCCGTATGCACGCTGCACCCTAGACGCCTATCGATAACGGACCATGTACCGATTCGGCGCCTCCAATACTTCTGGCACCGCGTCGTGATGCAGGACCAGCCGCTCAAACAGGTTTTGTTTGCTTCGAGCCTTCGAGAAGGCAAAGGCCTGCAGTTTCTAGGCGTGCCTCGATGGGAAAAATAAATTGCGGCATAGCGGCACCAAATTGCCTTTTTGGAGGGTGCCAACGATGCCCAGCTTGGCTTGGCGTTTTGGTCTACCGACACTTCCGTGTACACAAGCCTGAGTGTTTCGAGCTCCTCTGATCAAGAGGAAAATGCCTCAGGCAAAGGTACTGATCCGCCCGTATCCGGTCGCGGCATCACATGAAGCTGCGACATTATCAGTTCAGGCACGGGTATCGGGCCCAACAACGCTCCGGGATGAACAGTGGAGAGATCATCAACAACTCCACTTAGCCTTCAACAAAACCCTATCGCGCAGGAACGCAGTAGCGGAGAGGACGTCTGAGTGGAGCGCGATGTGATCAGCCCACGGGATCTGCTGCTGACCGCGGATAGCTCATGCAGGTCAAGGCACCAGTGAGAAACTTTTCTGCCTCTCAGCGTGGCCTGCGATGGCTGGAAAGAAGCATCGACTGCAGCGAGCTAGCCAACAAGCGCATGCTCTGTCAGACGGTCCAGCACGCACCGGCAGACCTCCGTCATCAATCAGCTCTCCACCTTACGGCGGCGGCAACTGCTGCAGGAACAAGAGTAATCGAGAGATCCCGCGATCTAATTGCTGGCAAAACTCTCCTGAGATAACAGTATGCAGGAGGACATCAAAGGCTTTTTGGACGACGATGGACTCGAGGCTTTTGGGGGTTGGTGATATCATGTGCGATGGTGGCGGACCACGATACGCACGCGAGTGCTACAAGCAGGATTGCCAGCCTCCCCGAATGGCCAACTGCATCGCATTTATTCCGCTCACGGCGCAGCCACATCCCGGCTTTTCGATAAACCGCCCTGCGAGGATCGCCTTGAGGTTCCACGGGCGCCGGCCGTGGCGGTCAACCGAGCAGAGTAGAAGCTGTACCCCGCCATCGCGATAGCAACCAGCCTTCGCGCAACCTGCCTCCGCTCCTATGTATGATAGCGGTCTAGCCGTGAGCTGAGCTGATGATGAGCCGCACAGACGAGCTGCAATAATGGCGGAGTTGTGCCTTGATCCTCACGTCGCTCAATTCGGCAGCTCGCCAGAGCTCGTGGCGATCTATCTCGACAAGGCTGGCGAGCATGAAACAATTATCGAAAGTCGATCCAGATCGCTGTGGTGGTACTATTTTCAGAGACGTTTTGTGCCAAGTTTTCACCCGTCAAGAGACCCCGTGGTCTGTGCAAGGCTTGCCGAGGAAGCGGGCCGTTAACTGGTGCTCGTTGCATCATCGCTCGGAGATGTCTCGCGAGCAGCATGGCGAGATTTGTTTTGGAAAGATTTCGAAGGCCTTTGAGAAGTCGAGTCTAAAATCATCGATTATGCGGTACCGCGGTGCGATCGTTTGAGAAGTAAATTCACCTAACCGGTTATTTCAGTGGTACGTTGGCTGGGGACAGCTGCAGCTTTCAACTTCCGTTTCTCTCAGAAGGCTGGCGTGCAGAAGTCGGCAGCACATGTTAGCCTACGGCCTTACCGCTTACATCCTGGCAAGGTTTAGGCCCGCGAACTTGTGGCCTCCCAGCTGGCCCTCTTTCGCTTTTAGCTTTGCCAGTTGCCAGGGTAGCAGCGGCCTATCGCGGTGCAGAATCCCCAATATCGATTTCCTCTCTCGGCGGAACTCACTCCACCCCCATAAAGGCCTGTCGGCCCACTCATACGAGGGCGGGCCCCAGTACGCTCCAGCCGAAAATCAGCATGTCTCCGCTGATACGGACCAACCGACGTAGTGGTCATTCAAGCTTCCCTTGGCGTATGCAACCCTGCCGTTGTCCACCGCATGAGGTTATGCTGGGATCCGAGTATCCAGAGGGCTGGTGCGCTGGTGGCTCCCCCTGTGGGAACTTATATGGGGGGACCTCGCCCTCACCTGGCTCGTTCTTGAGCCTCGTTTTACGGTTTGCTCGCGAGACGTTTCCAGCCTCTGGTTTATGCACCCAGCCCTCGGCAGACGCAACTCGCTCGCTACGGTTGCAGCTGTTCCCTTCGTTTATAGCTATCGTTCGCTCAAGCATACCACTGTTGTCAAGCCTACCATCAACTGAAGCCTAAAAAATGAAGGCCGCACTGACGCTGCTTGCCCTCATGGGCGCTGCGTCCGCTTGGGAGTACGGAACGGGCTATCCCTCCAAGAAGCCTCATCCTACCTACACTCCTCCACCTTATCCTACCTACAAGCCTGTATGTCCCTTGACTCCTTTCTCTCGTCGCTGATGCTGATTCAAACAAGACGCCGACGCCGACGCCGAGCACTCCTTGCGAGAGCTCGACTCCACCACCGTACACGCCGCCCCCTTATACCCCCAAGCCTCCCCCGTCTTATACGCCCAAGCCTCCTCCGTCTTATACGCCCAAGCCTCCGCCTTACACGCCTCATCCGGTAAGTATCTGGCGCGACTTTCTTCTAAGTAATTCCTCATCTTCGCTTCAGCCTCCTTTTAAGAGTAAAAATACTTCTCCTTACCTGAAGAGCTCCAAGATAAAGCCTCCTCACTCTCATACTCCACCGCCTGTTGGTTTCCTAGCGTTGGTTATTTCCTCTTTCTTATCTCTTAACTCTCCTTAAGCGTCGTAAGAATACGACTTCGCCGTGTCCGGAGAGCTCCAAGCCTCCGAAGCCTACTTATACTCCTCCAGTACGGTTTTCTTGGTGCGATCTACTTACTATCTCTCATCCCTTCTAGTGCAGCATAAGAACTTTACCTCTCTTTGTCCCGAGTCTTCGAAGACGAAGCGTCCGAAGACTACTTTTAGCCCCGTGGGTTTCTTAGCAACAACCTATTTTCGTATTTCTTAATTTTCCTACGGCCTCCTTACCAGAAGACTACGACGCCATGTCCAGAGAGCTCTAAAGGGAAGAACACTCCTATTTCTAGTTATACTCCACCTTCCGTGGGTTTTCCTAGCATACTTTGGCTACCTTTTATTTGAAGACTGGAAAGAGTTCAGCGCTAACTCTAGCATAGCCACCACCAAAGACCACTACGACCCCCTGCCCTGAGAGCTCGACGCCCCCGCCTACTTACAAACCGACAAAGCCTCCCAAGCCGACTTACACCCCGAAGCCACCGCCGGTGTACTCGAACTCGTCAACTCCTTGCCCGGAGACGAGCACTAAGCCGCCGAAGCCACCTCTATCGACGTACACTCCACCGCCGTACTACCCAACTCACCCGCCCAAGCCGCCGGTTTACACTAATACCACTACCTGCCCGACTATCACCACCACGATCACCACCAAGACCACAGCGACGGTGCCTTGCACTACAACCATTACGGTGACGACTTGCCCATCGACGTGCACGACTTACACCACTACAACCGTCACCACTACAACTTCTGTTTACACCACCATCTGCACGACGGAATACCCGGTCCCGCCGAAGACGACGCTGATCCCAGTGCCACCCGCCCCAACCAGCGAGGTTCCTCCGCCACCTCCGCCAACCAGCTACGTCCCGGTTCCTCCTGCGCCAAGCAGCGAGGTTCCCGTCCCGCCATCCAGCTATGTTCCGGTTCCAGTTCCGCCTGCACCCACCAGCGAGGTCCCTGCGCCCACTGCCGTGACCTCGGCTCCTCCGGCACCCACCGTCTCCGAGTTCCCTGGCGCGGGCTCCGCGAACAAGCCGATCGTCGCGCTCCTGGCCGGTGCTGTGGCTTTCGTCGCTCTGGCATAAACCTCCTTTCCTCAGTGTATGATACTCTTCGTTACGCTCCTTGATGAAAGCAAAAGTGCAACTTAACGACCCTGTTTACGAATTTAATGCATGGAAGGTTGGCATGGCATCGCTCCTTGAAATATAGATTGGATGGATGTGGTGGGACACGAACACTCCCTTGTAAATTGGACATTGGTATATGAGATTCACTTCAATGGGGAAGGCATTTTTGGCAAGTGTGTGGAGGATAGTGGTGCTTAGAGGAGGATACCAGGGGGTTGCTTGGTTTGGTTGAATGTTAATGTTTGGTTCTTGGTACATGTAGTTAGCCTTGGAAGATGGTTATGCGAAGAGATTTCTCATATCTCCCTCGCTGTGGCGTGTGTATCTTCGTATTGCCTACTGAGCTCGCTGGTTATCATGCCTTTTGCATGAGGCTGGCTTAGTGGCAACGCTGTAGAACCACCAGTCCACGATGCCCTTAACGCTACTAAAACGCAGCACGCTGCCGATGACAGCTCAATATAAGCCCCCTCTACACAGTACAAGCAGGTCGCTGGCTCGGAGTAATATTTCTTCGCTCCTCACGTACCCGCTGCATTCTCGCTTGCCCAAACCAAAAAGCACCGCGAACCGGTGAAGACACCAGCGCACGCGCATTGGCCAATCAGCGCCCGACACCCACTTTCCTCTCCACCTCCGCACCGCGCATCGATTCACGACATGCGCTATAACCGCAAATCAGACGCCCGATAACGCAGTGCCACTTGAGCGGACTGGACTGCGTCGGGCAGCTGAGGGCGTGTGCCACGGGGGGCGGCGCGGGGTGCTGGTGCTGACGAGGCAACCACCGCCTCATCGCTCACCCTCACCGTATGGGGGCCAGCAGTCCTCTTGCCTCCCCATTATCGCTCGTTCGCCTCCGCGATTCTTTTGTCGCATCCGTAGGGTGAGATTTCCGGTGCGCGCGCCGCTTATTCGTCGGTCACGGCACCGTCGCAGCCAGCGGTCGTGTGAGTGGGTGCGCGCGCTGCTTGACCGGACGCCCGCTTGGCGCGCTGGGGGCGACGCGAGCCGGTCTGTGCAGCAGGAAGCTCACCGGTTTGACCGGTCGCGGCGAGGGCGCGAGAATAAGGGCTTTTCGTCACGCTGTCCTTTTGAGCGGGTGCTCTTTTTATTATTGAGAGCTGCGTTCTGAGTGTGCGCGAAGAGTCGGATTGAAACATGGCGGCGCTCGATGCGATTAGCCTTGCCGAGAAGCTGAGCTGCCTGCAGAAGGAGGACTACTGGCTGCATTTGGAGGCCGAGAGCCCGCTGGAGAAGTACCCTGGTGAGTAGTTTGAATGAGATGCATGAGCGTGGATCGAGCTGATGATGATGCAGCGAAACAACATGCGCGCAGAGTGCGGGAGAAGCTGGGCGTGGGCGAGGGACTGGTCTATCTGCCTGGCGAGCCGGCGCGCAGCAATGAGGATAGCGATATGCCCGCGCCGTTTCGGCAAAGGCGCTATTTCTACTATCTGAGCGGGTTTGTTACGTCTCTGGAGTTGGGAGATGCGTGCTGATGAGATGAAGGTGCAACGAGCCGAACTGCCATTTGACATACGACATCCAGCACGACATTCTAGCCCTCTTCATTCCGCGGATCAACCCCGAGAGAGTAATCTGGAATGGCCGCGGATCCACGCCTGCTGAAGCGCTGGACAAGTACGACATCGACGAGGTGTACTTCATCGACGAGCTGCAATCCTGGATCCAGGCTTGGTATATGCACTACATCGGAAGCCTGTACATCCTGCACCCATCCCAGGCTCCGCAAGTTCCCTTTTTCTCTCCGCGGCTGGATTCCACATCGCTCCAGCCGGCTATGAACCTCTCGAGAATGATTAAAGATGATCACGAGATCAAGCTCATCCGGAAAGCGAACGACATCTCCTCGCAGGCCCACAAAGAGGTCCTGGCCAGCATCCTGAAGTTCAGGAACGAGGCGCAAGTAGAAGGCCTGTTCCTAGATGTGTGTATCTCGAAGCAGGCGAAGCAGCAAGCCTACGATCCCATCGCCGCCTCTGGACCCAACGCAGGCACCCTGCACTACGACGCCAACAACGAGGACTTCGAAGACCGCCAGCTCATATGCCTTGACGCCGGCTGTGAATACGAACTCTACGCCTCCGACATAACCCGCACCTTCCCCCTCTCCGGAGCCTGGCCTACCATCGAATCGGAGAACATCTATAAGCTCGTGCAGCGCATGCAAGAGACATGTATTGAGAGGCTGAAACCTGGTGTTAGGTATCTAGACCTGCATATTCTGGCGCACCAGATTGCTATTGACGGGCTGTTGCAACTAGGTATCCTGCATAATGGGACGAGGGAGGAGATATACAAGGCTGGGACTAGCAGGGCGTTTTTCCCCCATGGGTTAGGACATCACGTGGGTTTGGAGGTGCATGATGTGGGACAGAAGGAGTTGATGAGTGTGGTGGGGAAGGGCGGGAGGTTTGAGAAGGTGCGCGAAGGGTTTCCCGTGATGTCTTTGAGACGCGCTGACGAGGTTTAGGCGCTATCGCTCTATCCCGAGAACTTCCATCTCCCAGTGTACGACGAGCAGATGTGCAGGGCTCCGACGGATCCGCACAGTGCGCACTTGGAGGAAGGTATGGTGGTTACGGTCGAGCCGGGAATGTGAGTCGCCTGGGCATCCCTCCCGACCCGCACGCTAAGCAGTCGCAGCTACTTTTCCACCTACGCCCTCAGCTACTTCTACCTCCCCTCACCCGTCCACTCCAAGTACATCAACTTCAACGTCGTGGGCCGCTATCTTCCAGTCGGCGGCGTCCGCATCGAGGACGACATCCTGATCACCTCGAAAGGTCACGAGAATCTTACCACGGCACCCAAAGGCGACGCGATGCTGGAGATTATCCGGAGTGGAAATGCGCAGTGGCCGTTTGTTAAGGAACCTGAAGAGTTGAGGCCGAGGCGAAGAACGAGTGTTGAGCGGAAACGGGAAGAGGAAGAGATGCTGCTGAGGGCACCCGGGGTCCCGGAGAGACTGATAGACCCGGAGGTGAGGCCTGTTCAGAGAGCGGCGACGGCACCGGTTCAGAGGAGCAAGGATCGACGTTCGGCGGATTTTGAGCCTTTTGAAGGGCCCTCGCTATTCTCGAATTTCAGGCGCTCCATGACCGCGGATGAGGCCCTGGAACGCCAAAGGGCAGCTACTCATCGTGCCCCGCCCTCGAAGCCCACGCACGCGAGTCGTGTTCCCATTTGCGGAGAGGACTCGCCAAACTTCACGCACGTTTACATGGGCTTTGAAACCCTAGCACGGAATCTACCTAAAGAGGCGGGGTCGGCTAAAGATCGGATGCCGGCATGCAAGGAATGCACCATCCTGTCCCAAGCTATGGGCCGACTAAGGCAGACACTTGAGCTGTCAGAGAAGGCATCGCCAAAGCTGGAATCGAAAGCAGCAACGCGGATCGAGCCAGTAGCGACGAAGAAGAGCCCCGAGATGCGGCAGGTTCACCAACCAGCGCGTAACACGACCCAGGATACGTTCGGCATGTGTGGTGTACCGTCTTACGCACCGCTCGAGAAGCCAGCGTCAAGCTCATTCGGAACACACCGGAGCCTAGAGCGGGAACTACGGAACAAGGCGAAGGCTGCATCGATAACGTGTCGTCCAGAAGTGCCGCAACGGCGATCCGCGACCTTCGACAGCTATCTCCAACAACCTAATGCTTCTATGTCAAACCAGAGAGTGCCTGCGTCGAATCCTTACCGTCGGTCTGTGGCTCCGGCACCGGCTGATGCGCGTACATACGATGACCCACGACCGAAGCAGGCAACAGTTACTCCACCGGCAGATGTTATACGGCGGTATGAAGAGGACCGCTTCAAGCGGGCTTCGGCTTCCCAGCCGCTTACTACACGTACATATCCCGACCAGAGACCACAACCGCCGCCAGCCAGTCAAGCAGTTGAGACCCGTGCGTACGCGGATTCAAGACCACCACAGCCGCTCGACAGCCGTAGCTACGACAATCCACGTTCAAGACCAGGCGCCGCGCCCCGTCCGCAACCAGCCGCCAGCCGCGGCCTATCAGCAGCATACGCGCGCGAACGCCCCCAGCCCTCCACGCGACCCCTAGGCTCTCGAGCTTCCCTGCCCGTGCTCCGCCCCCACCGCACCGGCCTTCCTCCCACCCTAGGACGCCACAGCACAGCAAACCCTTTCCCCGCGCCCGCAGCACGCACACACCACGCCTGCGGAGCACCGCCAGCCCTCGATCCGCGCGTCGAGGAGCAGAAAAAGGCGCGGCTAGAAGCCCTACTTCAGACCTCCGTGGCGCCGCGCTCGAATCCTTACCTCAGAGCCCGCGCCGTGCCGCAAAGGCAGACGCAGGATGTCGATCACCTGTCCACTGCGATGGCGGGCCTGTTGACGGTCGACAGGGAGGACGAGGCTGCTGCTCTGGACGCCCCTGGGGGTAGGCTGAGAGCGGAGCTGGGCGAGGAGTGGAGGGAGCGGGTGGAGCGGTATGCGGATAGGCCGCTGCCGAGGGGGAGATATGGTGCTTAGGATGGCGTGAGGGAGGGTAGGCGAGGTGAGGTGGGTTACGAATTCCCTTTAGTGTTAATAACGTTTTCTTACTCGATGTTTTTCTTCTGTGGTCGTATATACGTTAGGGGAATGCGTGGTTTCGGTTCCAGGTGCTGCGGAGCGACGGGAGATTATATTATACGTTAACGCCAATGCGATATGACATACGTTTCTCAACGACGGCGTTTCTATCACCCTCCACGCGCGTTCCTTTTTCGTCGCCGCGTTCATTCCGTACTACTGCTGCTCATTATCATCATTCTCTCTCCCTGCTCTACAACATATAAGCCATCGGCGACACGTTTCCGCCCCTCTCACACTTTCTTTCTTTCTCCCTCTCGCTCGAGCCTTTTAGATCAGAGCCCTGGGGTTTATCCACATGAATATATCCAGGTTTTGTTTTAGTTTTGGGATATAGAGGGCGAGTAGGCTGTAGGGAAGGAAGGAGAAGAGAGAGGTATGTGCTCTGCTTTCGTCTTTCCGCGACTGCGCTCATGATGACTTTGCGTGTGGGTTTTAGTGACGGCCCGGGGAGGGACATGAGGACCTTGTGCGGTGGCTTTTAGGGGGATGGATGATGATGGAGTGGTGGGTGTGTGTGGAGGATAGGGAGGAGGGAGGGTTATATATCTTGCTGGAGTCACGCGAGTTCTTGCTTCTGTGCGCGGAATGCTTGTGTTAAGGCGGGCAGACACGCACGTCCAGGGGCGTAGTTGATGTGAGCGTCTACCTTTTGTAGACCACGGCGCTCATCACGACTTTTCGTACGGGCTTTTAGTGACGGCCCGGGGGAGGGACATGGCGACCTTTGTCGATAGGTTTTAGTAGGAAGGAAGGAAGGAAGGAGGACGTGATGTGGAGGGGAAAGGAGAGAAGAGGGGGTTATATATGTCTCCCTCTAGGAGGAGGAGGGGCGAGGTATGTGCTCAACTCAGGTCCTCGCTTCTGTTCGTAATGCTGGCTTAAGCGGACACATAGACACACGCGCCATATCTGCCGCGCGAGTCTCTTTTCGCCTTTCCACAACTACCGCTACGCTACGCTCATGGCTCCCTCATCTAGATCTTTTAGAGAGCGCGAGAGGGAACATCCGACCCCTTGTCGTAGGTTTTAGGGGGAAGGAAGGGAGGAAGGGTAGGTGTGAGAGATAGCGTGGAGGGAGGGGGGCGGGTTTATATGCCCTTCTAGAGTTACGCAAGTCCTCGCTTCCGTTCGTGACTCTTGCTTCGACAACGCGCGCCATAATTCCTGCGAGGGTCTCCTTGTTGTAGTTTACAACTAGCTCATGGCTCCCTCATCCAGATCTTTTAGAGAGGGCGCCGGGGACGGATATCGGATTTTTGACTGTGAATTTTAGTAGGAAGGAGGGATGACGGGGTGTGTGGTGCGTGTGGAAGAAGGATGGAGAGGGGAGGGGGAGGGTTTATATATGTCTCCCTCCCGGTTGCGTTGCGAGGCAAGTGCTCAGCTTTTGTCTTTCCATGGCTCTGCTACCCTGCGCTTATTTCGTCTTCGCGTATGGGGTTTTAGAGAAAACGCGAGGCGGGACATGAGCCTTGTAACTAAGCGTTTTTAGGAGAAGCGCGAGGGGGCACATGAGATTTTGTCTCTGTAGGTTTTAGTAGGAGGAAGGAAGGAGTGAGGATGGAGGAAGGAGTTGATAAATGTGCTCAGCTCGCTCCTTCTTTTCGTAACGCTAGCTGGGATGGACAGACACACGTGCGCCATGTATGCTGTAGAAGTCTACTTTAGCCTTTCTGTGGCTATGGCTGCGCTACGTTTATGGTGAGTTTGTGATTGCCTTTTGGAGAGGGCGCCGGGGACGACATGAAACACCCTGTCGAGCGGTTTTAGTGGGAGGAGATGAGGCGGGTTCCTGGTGTGGGAAAAGGAAGAATATGCAGGAGCAAGGAGTTTATATACCCCTACTCCTCGCCCGACTCACTCCCGCGAATTGAAGCGCTGTGCCGGAACTTTTCGAGCCGTCGTCCCCACCGCCATTGGAACAGCTAACTGACGAGCAGTATATCGGCCTAGCCGACATATCTCTCTCTGCATGCCTATTTCTCCTGCTCAAGCAAATCTCTCTCCCCTTTTTTGTCAATGAACCACGGTCCACAGGAACGACGTCCCATGATGTGACGCCGAGTTGGGTTTTGCTTCTCGTGTCTTGAAGACTGTTCGTGGCGTCGTGAGCCAGGGGATGTAGTCCCGGAGACGAGACTGCGGACAGGAACACATTTGGACGTATGAAAGCGCATTTTAAAGGGCGCGAGGGTGCCACATGGGTCCATTGACCGATTCTTTTAGTCCTGATGGTGGAGATTTGTTGTGGTGGTGGGGAGGAAGAGAGGAAGAGCGGAGGGGAGGGATTTATATACCCACCCCACCGCTAGCAGTGAGACACGGTAGGAGGGGAAACTCGCTCGGTCTATGGAACTGCCGTGGTGTGGGCGTGGAAGAGCATCACATCGCGGAATCGGACTTTGGACTGGCTTTTCAGGACCCTAGATACCCTCGCCATTTCTTGAGGCAGACAGCGCCTTTTCGACGTTCTCTTGGTCGCGCGGAAGGCATAGCGCATCTTCGATGTACGTTTTAGGATTTGGAGTTGTGCACTGATGCAGAGCACATAGGTCGCGTCTCGGTTGTTTTGTGTTTGGACCCCCTGGGATCGCACATGGCTTGTTCCGTTTTAGGATTTTAGAACATGTTCCACCGCGACTTGTGGTTTTAGTAGCGCTGTGGCGTGCTGGTGGTGGAGTGTCTTGAGGAAGGAAGCAGGGTGGGGAGGGATAGGAGGTTTATATACCCGTAGGAGCGAGTAACGAGCCGGAAAGGAGTAGGATTGGGCCGGGGAAAGCGGGTCGCGACTCGTGAAGCAGGGTGTCCAGCTTCAAGCACTCCCTGGATTCTCGTACGAGTCTCGTCTCAGCTGCCGCTGCATGTACCTCCCTGCTCACGTCTTTCGTGCAATCCAGGATCCGCGGTCCACGGACGGTGCATGGCACGTTGTATGGCGGATTTTAAGCGCTGGAAACAACACATCTCGGATCTGATCCTCAAATTTTTGGACCACCAGGACCGGACGCCGGACATGAGTTTCTCCTCTCCACGCCTTTTGACATAGTAGCAATATGTTCTGGTTTTAGAGGCTAGGGAACTGCGGCGTGATGTGGTGGTGTGGAGGTAAGAAGAGGGGAGAAGGGAAGTGGAGAGATATTTATACCCCCAAGCGCACGCGTATGTCTCAATCCGCTGACATCGTTCTCATTTCCATTCGTTATCTGGTCACCAGTTTTGCAAATCCTGCCCTCCCTCAGTCTTCAGAATTGGGATTTCGCGCTTTTCGCTCGGGCTTTTGGAGACCTTGATAAGTGCCGGTTTCGCGCATGGATGCGTTGTGTGGCATTTGGTCGAGCACGGGGAAAAGGCACACATGTTTGGTTCTTGTGTTAGGTTTTGGTTCGTCCGGGAGAGAGATGTAGAAGTTTACCCCGCGTCTGCACATCGGGTCGTTTTTCGCTCGTTTTAGTTGACTCGAGCGTGAGAAGAGTGGTGTAGAGCTAAGAAGAGGTATGAGCGAGCGGGCGTCTTTATATACTCGCTGGATCAGCAAGCGAGTAAAGGCCCGTGATCAAGATCATGGGATGGGGTCGTTGGGAGGATATGGCACGGAAGGCCTCTGGCGTTCATGCGCTCGCATCGACTCTGGCTCGCCTGTGTAGTTTACTGCTGCGCTCCCTCGCATAGCTTTATATTGCCCAGCTTTTCAGGCTAAGGGGTGTCCACTCATAACATCGAGTCAAATGGGTTTTTCGTGCCGCTGGAGCACGCACATAGGTGCTTTGGGTTTGAGATTTTTAGTCTTCTCCCCAGCGTCTATATTGAATGCCGTTGAGGCTTTTAGACATCAGACATGTTGAGCGGCCTTTTAGAAAGCTATGTTGCGGAGTGGTGTGGAGAAGAAGAAAGAAATGCGAAGCCGGGGAGGCTTTTAAACCCGTGTCGGCGTTCACTATCGGCATCGATATGAGTTGATCCACTTCGAGTTCACTCTCAACTCGCCGGCGTTCTTCCTGTACTTCCACACTCGGCTTGTTTTACCCCATCATCTAATTTAAACAAGCAGCACCTCATGGGCACTCAGAATCTTGAACTTACTCGCCGCGCAGAACCCACGTGTCATGCTGGTTTTTCACATTTTAGAGTTCCGCGGCGGCGCGCATGAATAGGGGAGTTGTCCTATTTAAGACATGGAGTTGTTCGCCGTAGCTTTTAGTAAAGTATGGGTAAGGTGGTGGAAAGAAGAAGAGGTGGAGGAGGCCATGAAAGCCGTCCTTAATATACCCGCGAGAAGCGAGAGTTGAGGAAAGGTGAGCGGCCTAAAAGACTCAAGCGTGGGTATTAGGAAGAGTGGTGAGCATCAGCATCACCGCTAAAGGACGATAGTACTAGTGGACAAACTTATCCGCCTAATCTCTAATGCCAAGTATCTTCGGCAGCTTCCCGAGGCCGAAATCGCATCAGAAACTTGGGACATCTTTCAGACATACATGTCAGGTACCAGGGTTTTAGGAGAACAAAAAGAGCGCTGTAGTAGAGAAAAGGAAAGGAGAGGGAAGAAAGAGGACTTTTATGCCCATGAGGAGCGCACAAAATATATGTGCGCGGAGTGTCATGTAACAGCATGAAAACTTGTCGACAAGTCGCCATGAAGGTCTTGCCGCTACACTTTGACAACACCGACCAGTGCTACATCCCATAAGCTCACCTTTTTCTTTGCGCTCTCGACCTTCTTACGTTGAACGAACCCCATGTGAAAGGAACAGTTTCTTTCGCTCTTTCCGAGACGCCGCAGCACATGGATCAGAAGGCCGCCGCTTTTAGTTCCCACATGAGTAGTAAACCTCTTCCTTTTAGTGTCTTCGAAGAGAAAAGAGAGTGTATAGAAGGAAATCAGAGTGAGGAGAATGATTATATATGCTTCGGGGGCTTGGCGTTGGAAGGCGGTTGGACGAAGGTACTACTCGTATGTCACGTGAGCGATCTTTCACTGGCGCGACAAAGGAGTGCCTAGACACATACGAGCCTAGAAATTCGATCCCGATGTGTTCCGTGCCCCTTTTTGTTTCACCGCGCTCAAGTCTTCAAGAAATCCCTGTGCCCGTTCCATTTCTTTCACTCTCAGGGAGTGGCGCTCTCGGGTATAGAGCATTTTCTGCCGCTCGCTTCCCATGACTAGACTATATCGCGAACAACCTCCAACTGCTTTGCAACCGAGATCGAGCCATCATGTCACCTCCCAACATGCAGTCCTCCGGCCGCGGCAAAAACTTCGATCTCAAACAAGCAGTCCTGCTGTATACGCCTTCCGGATCCCCGCCCGCTCTGCCCCCTCGACCTCGAAAGAGACGCCTCGAAAAGCGCCTCAATTTTCTTGATCTCCCCGGTGGTAAGCATCTCAGGATTATTAATAAATCGCTATGACTAACCCTTTCGCTGAAGAAATCCGCAACCAAATCTACGGAGCCGTCCTTTACATATGCGAAAATTTCCGCGACACAGTTCCCCTTCAGTTCACCTGCCGACTAATCCGCACGGAGTTCCGGTCCTTCTGCTTACTGGAATCTGTCGAGGAGCGCATATGTACGCTATTGTGGGGTGATGTCGAATCCATTACAAGCGACACGGTGTGTGATTCCGGTTCCGATACAAGCGACATAGTGGGTGATTCTGAATCCGCTACAAGCGACGTAGTGGGTGATCCCGATTCCGCTACAAGCGAAGTTGAGGATTAAATACCCTCGTCGTCGGAACCAGTGTGTATCTGGAGCTGTTCAACGGCTGTTAGAATAGTATAAAGCGCTTTCCTTAGGATGTACTTCGCGGGTTTGTGGGACCTTGAGTGCCAATTTTCAGAAGGAGTGGCAACGTGATACGGGATATGAGAATGGATAGAACGATACGTGAAGATCCATCTATTGACGTAAAATGACTTGGGCTTGTGCCTTACGTATGTCTTTCGCAACCAAAGCCTCCAGGGCATCCATGCCACCTATCCCATCCTTCGACCCATCAGCCGAAACGGCTTCAGTATTTGCTTCAGAGACTCGGGGTCGACTTCCCTGTCGCTATCATAGCGAACCGTACTCTTCGTATTCGCCTCGTCGTTTTCCCTCGGTTTCGCTTCTTGCTTGGTGGAGGGTGTTTGAAAACTGAAAACTGGATTAGAGACGCGTGTGTGTGGTAAGGTTGACATAACTACGAACCGCCAATGGCACAACTCCAGTAGTCCTGGATACGAAGAGTAAGGTGAGCATCAAGGTTGATGAAATTTCACGACATAGCAAATGTTCGGGGTGGGCGTGTCTCGATCATCTCTTATTGGTGCGGGAAGGCAGCTAAGCGAGCCGCTTGAGTCCTAGCGCGGTGACTAACCCCGCAAACGCCGCATTAGCTTTCTCTACCACATCCCCTCCCACTCTCCTTGCACCGGCCCAGCCCAACCTAGCCCGCCGTGCGTCAGTATCGCTTTGACTACGATACTCTACCAATCAGCCGATCAAGATGCCACGACCCGACGGCTACCTCCCTTACTTCCTGATCTACGTACGTCCCTCCAACCCATCTGCACACCACTTGCTTACACCCCGCAGACCTCCCTCTCAGCCTACCTCCACAGCCTCTTCTGCTATCTCGGCTCCCACTCGGCCGCCCTGCGCCACTTCTCCGGCCCGCAACGACCGCCTCCCACGCAGCTCTTGGCGCACGTATACGCCGTGAAGAACATCTACACAGCCTCCATTCGCGCATACGCCGCTTGGGATATCACGAACCAGGCGGTGTACGATCTCGCGATCCTGTCGTATGTGGGCGTGCTGTGGCTCTTTGCGAGCGAGTTGCTGCTCTATAGGACGGTGAGGTGGAGGGAGGCGGGCTTTCCGTTTCTGAATGCGGGCGTGGGGCTGATTTGGATGGTGGTGATGAGGGGGTGGTATTTGGGTGGGTAGGGGAGGGATGATCATGAGAGCGAGACAGTGAGAATGGGGTGCGATACTAGAGTTTCTTGTCTTCGCACTGCGGAAACGGCGAGGTATGCGGGGTTTTTCTACCTTGTTCATCCGCGAGGATGGGATGAACTGTTAGATGCTGATGAGGAGGGCTTATAGGCGGCATGCACTTTTCCCATCGCTAACTAGAACTGCACTCGGGGAAACTGAGTGGAAGTCGATCTTCGAGTTAACTCGTCGTGCGTCTCCCGACTTGAATGACGCAAAAAGCTCACTGATTCCGGCTTCAGAATACGAAGGTATAAGAACATAATCATCCAATTTCATTCATCTATAGAGACGCCGGGTTTGATGAAGCTACCTTAGCCGCTCAGACCATGTCTTCCTGAAGCTGCTCATCCACCATTCCTAAAGAATGCAATGAGCAGACGTCCCTCGGATAGCAAACTACGGCTATTATCCATGCAATGATCCACAGAATCCAGGGAAGAGATCATCAGAATGGCTCGGACCCCACCTGCTCCTGCCCATCACATCTCTTCTGGTTCAAAGGTCGGGTTTATGACGACTTCCCGGTACGAGGGATCCGCCGGAATGCGAGTCGCAAAGTTCCTGAGCTCTCCGGTTCTGTGTCTAGATGGATTCCCGGCTCTCATGATCCGCATGCCGCCTGTCTGTCGGTTCATGTCGCGCTGCCGAATTCGACGCTCTGGACAATAAGTTGGGCTAGGTGTCCGTCTGCTCGTTTCCGGGGGACAAACCCCATCCAAGAATTCAGAGAGGTCTTTGAAAGCATCCAGAACCGAAAAGTACGGGTGGGATCGAGCCTCCGACCGAAGCCCTCTCCCCTCGCCGCGACTCGTAACGACCACAAAATATGGGATATCAACCTGTCTGCCGGGATCCAATTCATCGAGGACGAGAACTTCGAACTTTAGAGGGCGCTCATTTCTCGGCGCAGCGAATACGACTGCTGCTCTATCTGCCATATACTTTAGTACTTCGACACAGACTTGGAACTCCACAGGAAGCTGCGAGGATACTAACTGATGATCTTCCGCTCGTAATAGACAATGCGCGCATATTCGGCCTCCGATTTGGTGGAAAATTTTCCCCTAAGGTGAACTATTTGACCAAATTCTACCGTGAAGGCGCGACCGGGTGCGACGTCTTCAGGCTCGGTTTCTGACTCGGCTTCTGGCTCGGTTTCTGGCTCGGTTTCTGGCTCCCAGATAGGGTCCTGGGATCCTACGAAGCCGAGCGGTATAGTATTTCGCGTCGTTGTCATTCTGCTTTGCAAAGCGATCGTGTATTTAGGTGAAAAGGAAATGGACTGGGGTTCTCGTAGGTACGTTGAGTTCTCTTAGATTCTTCGGTCCGGCGCAGTGGATAGCAGTTGGGGAAGGTAGATGTGGCAGAGAGAAGGGCGAGACAGCCGACGAGGTTGCTTTTATATGACGGTGATGACTCTTTCGCTAGACTCATTACTCTGGCGATTGCGGCATCACCGAGTCCGTGCTGTCTGACGTAGACGCCAAAAATGAAAATCTTTTCAAAAGCCGCCTCCTGGGGAGCCTTTTCGATGACTCTGCCGGAACTCTGCGTCATCATGGCGGAGCTCGTACAACACACTCGCCCCTGCGCCCACACTAACCATGTGCGAAGCTGTTGCAATGAACTGCAGAGTGAGACGTCATTTCCCCATTTTCACGGACTGTTGCGTTGCGATTATTCAGAAAAGGGACACTGAGCGGGTTCAGGACCGTATACCCGACGCGAAAGCGGGCTCCGTATACTCCAACGATGACTGCTACATGCCCTACTGGAAAGGACCATGTACAGCTTTGCAGGTTATGATTGGGTTGCGCAAGAGTGACTGTATCAGTCGGACCGTGCGCTCATCACTCCAAGCCCCATAGTCTGCGGCTGGAGGATGATGCCCCGTGCATCGATACCGTGTATAACCTTGCTCCAAAGTCCCAAGGCCTAGAGCCCGCGCGCCCGCCCTCGCGGTAGCGTCCTCGGTAATCTCGATGGAGCGAGAGCAAACACACCCGCTTCGTTAGTTTATAAATGCGTTAGGGAATTAGAAAGACATTATTATAAGGAAACAAGGAATAAGCAAACTATGGGTATAAAACTACCTCTACAAACCCATAACCTCTACATACAACTAAGAAAGCACGGGGAGTCTGCTCTCCGGAAGAAGGCTACGCCCGCCTTATCACCGCATTGGGTTTCCCCAATCGCTCAATACCTGCATATGACTTTGAACCTCGAGCATAGGCTCGCTCCGTAAATGAGATTGCTCCTCCGCTTATCATCGCCTGCCCTCTTCCTCGGTCTGAGCCAACCATTGCTCCACCCGATTTGTTGCCTCATGTCTCTGTCTGGGCTCTTCCCGCCATTGTGCTTCCGCTTCACATCTGCGCCGCCCTCTTTCGGCCTCGGCCGGATCGTGATGGCCTTCTCGTACAACCACTGGGTGCATACCCACCCGAGGATTGTAGAATTCCGGATAGTGCGATGCATATGAGCGCGAGGGCTCTGCAGAGGGCGCATCATACCGCTGGGGCTGGGGTTCGTGGGGGTAGGTTCTGCTGTGTCTGGGAGGCCTTATGTGATGGTAGTCATCCAGTTCTTTATCGTAACTGACTGTCCTGCTCGTTCTGGGAAGCCTTTCGTGGCGGTAGTTGTCTGAATCCCCTGCACCGCTAAACCCCACAAAAGGACGATGGGGAGAAGACGGCCGACGAGTATATCGACCGCTGGAATCTTCGCCGTAGTAGTCGCCTACATCCTCCCCGCGGCCAAACCGCCCTTCTCGCCTTGCTGAAGGAGGGGGAGACGACCGACGAGTATATCGACGGTTGGAATCTTCGTCATAGTAGTCGTCCATGTTCCCCCCACGGCTAAACCGCCCTCTCCGCCCTGGTAAAGGATGGGGAGACGGCCGAGGAATATATCGGCGGCTGTAATCTTCGTCATATTCCGCAACGTGTCCATCGAATTCCTCTATGGCGCTGTCCCCACCCTCTTCGCACCTGGGGATGACCACGAAGGCGCGTTCGTAGTGGTTGCCAGACGATGGCATGTTCGGCGATGTGTGGACCAGACAGAGGTTTCCGGATAGCAGCTGGGGGTGATAATACTCCGATGTTAAATGTGTTATGGTGCGGGCTTGCGGAGGGTGTAGATATGTCGGCTGCGCGAAGTATGGTTCTGGCCGCTGAAAAGTATGAAATTTGGCTTTCTAATAGTATACTTGGAATATCAAAAGACTTGAAGGAGAAATGGGCTTCGATAAGGTAGGAAATCCTTTATATGTTGTTCTATGAGTCCTTCCAAATGACGATGCAGACGCTCTGCGTCATCCCGACGCCAAGACAAGTACTCACTGATGGCCTCTCCCCAACACACCTCGTTCGCACTTCGCTCCACATCGCGAAACAGCATAGATCTGGGTTCCGGTTCATGTTGAGGAGCTGGAGTGGGTGTGGGGCGTAATGAGGGTGCAAAGACGGGTGGAAAGCATGGACCTCCTGCTAAGCCCCTTTTGGACATGACTCGTTTTCGACCACAACACTTTGTCGGCTCCCACAGACGTCCCCCTTTCTCTCATCGATCACCTACTTAGGTACTTGTTCTGTTGCTCCCACAATGGACAATGCGTCATACTTCGCCAAAATTCTGTCCGCCGTTGACGTCCGGCTCGTACCTTATCAGCGATGGTGCGGGGTCTTCAGATCGCTATCGGCGGCGCCGATTTTCTAGGTAGGTCCAAGCAGCATGCATGCAGGTACGGGTACAAAAATCAGACGGATCCCGGTCGCTGGATCTATGTTTCCTTGTTTCGTTTCCTTCGCTCTTCGTCCCTTCATCATGGCTCCGCCGGTGTTCGCATCTGTCCTTCTTCTTCTCGCGCTTTCCAAGACGTCTTGGGCGCAGAACGAGAGCGTGTTGGCGATTGACCCTTTACAGACGCCTTACCCATACTATTTTCCTCCCATTGGGAGTGCGGATACTCCGGGCCTCTTTCCCATGCCCGCATGCCATGGTATTACCGTGGAAGAAGCCACCATCGACCAGCTACAGGGCTATATGAGCGACGGGACCCTGACTTCGGTGCAACTGCTGAAGTGCTATATCAAGAGGATACAACAGGTCGATGAATATATCAATTCGATCATCGAGCTCAATCCGGATGCGGAGGATATCGCAGCAGGACTAGATGCCGAGCGGCAAGCCGGGCACGTGCGCGGGCCGCTCCATGGCATCCCGTTCGTCGTCAAAGATAACATCGCTACGAAAGATCAGATGGAAACGACGGCGGGAAGCTGGATGTTGCTTGGGAGCGTGGTACCGAGAGATGCGCATGTGGTTGCAAAGCTGAGGCAGGCTGGCGCGCTTCTCATGGGAAAGGCTACATTGAGTGAGTGGGCTGATATGCGTTCAAACAACTACTCTGAAGGGTATTCACCAAGAGGAGGGCAGGCGAGAAGTCCATACAATCTGACTCTCAACCCTGGAGGAAGTAGTTCGGGAAGCGCGGCTGCCGTAGCGGCCAATGTAGTGTCGTTTGCTTTGGGCACAGAAACTGATGGCAGCGTCATCAATCCGGCAGAGCGAAACGCGATCGTGGGTATTAAACCGACTGTCGGCATGACTTCGAGAGCTGGCGTGGTTCCAGAGAGCATTCACCAAGACTCCGTGGGCACGTTCGGCAAGACGCTCCGCGATGCCGCATACGCATTTGACGCCATCTACGGCATTGATGAACGCGACAATTATACCATCGCACAGGAAGGAAAGACACCGGCAGGTGGATACATGCAGTTCCTCACTGACAGGTCTGCGCTCCAAAACGCCACATTCGGCCTTCCATGGAATAGCTTCTGGGTCTACGCAGACGAAGAACAGCAAGCGATTCTCCTCACTCTAATCTCTCTCATCGAATCCGCCGGTGCTACTGTAATCAACAACACCGAGCTGCCCAATTACGAAACCATTGTCTCTCCCGATGGCTGGAACTGGGACTACGGCAGCACGCGCGGTTATCCCAACGAATCCGAATACACCGTCGTGAAAGTGGACTTCTACAACAACATCAAAGCATATCTCTCCGAGCTCGAGAACACAGATATCCGCAGTCTCGAAGATATCGTAGCATACAACTACGCAAATGACGGCACAGAAGGCGGCAATCCATGGCCTTTAGGCATCCCAGCTTTCTACTCTGGGCAGGACGGTTTCCTCGCTAGTCTCGAAACAAAAGGAGTAATGGACGAAACATACTACCAAGCGCTCTCGTTCTGCCAGCGCAGCACTCGCGAAGAGGGTATTGACGCTGCGCTCGCGAACAACGGCCAGCCCCTCGATGCACTCCTTGTGCCACCGGACATCGGCCAAACATACCAAATTGCGGCCCAGGCTGGATACCCCATGATCACGCTCCCCGCGGGGGTGCATACGGAGACTGGCATGCCTTTTGGACTTGCGCTTATGGGCACTGCGTGGAGCGAGGGGAACTTACTAAAGTGGGCGAGTGCGATAGAGGACCTGCAGTTTAGCAGTGGGACGGAGGCTAAGAGGACCCTGCCTAGGTGGTATGGGTACTTGGAGAGGAATGTTCCGGTGAGGAATTTGTAGGATTGGTATTGGGTAGCCCGCGGGGCTTCAGGGTACTTAGCAATTTTCGCTCGCTGATGCCACACTACCTTTCATATTTGCCACTTTGCTGTATCATTCTCAGATTTCTGCCGGCTCTCAACGTTGAAAATGTGGAACCGAAGTTCGCGATGATGGGAAGTGCACTCGGGGCCTTCTCGGTGCCGGCTCCCTGGGTGGGAGACGGCGGCCTTCAAGAGGACAAAATTGAGAGAGGCAGACGGATGCATTAGCAATAATTAGCTTGATGGCATGGGGAGGAGTCCGGTCTTGATGAACGGTTACACAAAGCTCTGGACTCTAAGTTGGTCACTCAATCAATTCACGTGCCACTCGACCAGCGCCACAGAAGCCCCGAGTTTGGTTTCGCTAAAAACTACCTCTCCCTCTTCAGCAGCCCATTACCCAGCCTGCACTCCTCCAATGCCCTAAGTAAAGTGACCCATAATATTAACCCTCCAACAAAAACACCGCATTCCGCCCCCGCCCGCGCAAACCCTCATCCCCCAGGCCCCCACTACCGTCCCTCCTTCCCCCTCCCCTTCACCACCCAAAACATAACATACAAAATGCACACCTCCCCACCAACAAAAAGCAGCACAGCCCACCAAAGCCTCCTCACCCGCTGCCAGCAGCCCACACCCCCTCCTTCAGCTCCTTCTTCTTCCTCGTAAGCCGGCGGCGTCACAGCGTCTTCGTATCCCGGAAGCACGCCGTGCTCGAAGTCGCTCCAGAATCTGGACATGGCGTCGTCGCGCTGGCGGCGGTCGGCGGCGGCGGCGGCTTCGATGTCCGTGGAGGTGTCGATGTCGACGTAGTGCCGCTCGGAGGACTCGGTGTAGCTGGTGTAGCGCATGGTGTCGGGGCGGAGGGGCGAGCGCTCGGTGGGTGGGAGAGACATTGTGGGTTGGGTGGGGATCGGGGAGGCTGGGGGGCTTTGGTGTGTGTTGCGGAGGTGCGCGTTTCGCGGGGAACGGGGTGCGGATGGGGAAGCTGGAGGTGCTTCGAGGTGTATCGCGGAGTTGTGGCGGCGTTGATGCACTTGCGGGATTCTTGCGCGTGCAGTGGTTGGTATAGGAAGCGTGGACGGTGGTTGCTAGTGTGCGGGAAGGTGGATGAAGGACTTGTGGAGGAATAAAGCGTTGTGGGCCAAGAAAGGGTCCAAATTATTGAGAGTGTTCCAAGGTTGAGAAGCCGTTGTATGAGTGGTAGGCTTGCCCGAATAGAACTGACATCAGGAACGTTGACGTGGGTGGGAAAATTAATAAGTGGAGCCGAACAACGTGGAATTTTGAGACACGGCTAGAGGAATCGTTCGAACTGGACTTGCGAAGGAATTGTCCTGTTTCGGCATCTTTTTAGCTTTGTCCAAAAAGTTGCGTGCCAGAGTTAACCCATATGCGAAAATTACAAGTGCGTGGAGATCGGCAACGCTCGAAATCATGCACTAGCGAAGAGCCAGTCAATCATGCTCGAATATCGGACTTTCGAGTAGTTCGCTGATCTTGCAAAGCCGTGAGATGGCTGGATGGCCGAGGCGCAAGGTTTCGTGAGCCACTGGCGACGGCGCGGAACCAACATACATGAGCAGCAGCTGCAAGCGCGAGTTTATAGACGCTATTTCGATAGAGGACGCTCGCTCTCGTGTCCGCCATTTTTTGTAGTATGTGAAAGCCCAAGGTGTGGGTCATAGCTGGGGCCCTTGCGGAGCTTCCTTATATACCTAGGTACAGTACCTACTTTTATCCCTGCACTACGTCGTGCAACCTTTATTCTCGTCAACCACGCCCGCACGCCTACCATTTATCGAATCCTCGCCGCTTCTAATCCATTTCGCGGCAGCGGCTACAATCGATACATTTTCGAGCTCCGTGGTGGTTGAGGGCTACCGGTGCCAAGCCGCTAGGCCTATCCTGTTGTTAGCCTGGAGGAAGCGACGCCAGCTTCTTCCGGCAGGATATGTCGACGACTCCAGCCCCAAAGACGCGGCTCTCCGCTTCTCTTCACGCCGTATACCAGACGTACAAGAGGAGCACCACCGTTCTTATTGACTGGTTGGCCTCGCAGGGTACGCTCAAGAGCAGCGACGCACCAGAGTCGATCCGACTCCCCGTTCGGCGAATATTAGAGCTCGCGCAAGAGATTGGCTCAGCGCACATCGAACCACCGACTGACATTCAGCGCGCCTTCAAACTCGTCCTGGTGAATCGGAGGAAGCTCACGGCGTACTATGAGGGCAATCAAGACCGAAATTCGGAGGCGACGGCGGAATCAACGGAGCGGCACAAGTTCTTCAACGAGGTGCTCGCGAAGGCGTACGACGTGCTGTTTCCGCGGCCTGAAGCTGGCTGCGAGAAAGTAAAAGAGACCCCGCCTTCATCTGCCACGCCCCGAATTGGAAGCTCCAATCGCTTTGAGATACTGAGCGACATCATCGAGCAGGAGCCTGATTTCGACGACGCATTCGTACCAGAGCTCAGATACGATAAAGATGAAGTTCTCTCAAGTGCGCAGCCATCTGCCATTGAGGATGATCCCATGGAGTCTGTCTTTGCAATACATACATACCTTCTCCAGGTCGAGAGCGTCATTGCCTTTCTCAAGGAGCTTTGGAGAAAGGTCGCCGAAGAATCGCTGCCTGTGCCCTTCGCCGGTTGGCTTACCGACCTTGGGTTCGAGATGATAAAGTATACGGCCGCCGGATACGACACACTCTTTGACAACTTTTTGGGCTTATGGGGGACCTTCTTAAAAGCTAGAGAGTCCAACATCAGGCGAACTGGGACCAGGCTGTTCGAACCTACGACATCGGATTTCTGGAAAGGCCAGACGACTGACGAGTATCAAGAGCTTACGTATGGTGGCGCACTCACTTGGCCCACTATGGCTTTTCTCACGTTCTTCGTGAAGCTCAGGGATGACGAGTGGATAGCTGGCACCGACAAGCAGCCCCTTGCCAACTACTTCCGTACGCGAGCTGAAGAGGTCGAGGCCGAAAATAACTTGAACTTTGAGTTTGATAAGATGTACGGTAAATGCCCTGAGCACGGGGAGAATTTTGAGAAGGAATGGGAGGAATATTACAAGAGGATCGATGCTGTGTCCGCCGACGAACAAGGGAGGTTTAAGATGAAGTGTTATGAACGGCGATATGCCCCGGCCCTAAAGGCGACCGAATCTGTGCTTCGAAGCATCGTCCAGCTATCTCGCACGGAGTGCAAGCCGAAGCATCTCGGTACTATCCCTCTCTATCTGGAGGCGCTCGCCCTCAGGGTTGATCTCAAAGCAACACCTTGCAGCTTGGTACTCGGGCTAAACTTGCTCCTGGAAACCGCCAAATCCTTTGTCTGGGCTGAGACGAAAGACAAACCCAGGGTCAACCTCCGGCTACGTGCGCTCCAACTCGCCAACGAGGTACGAACAGAGATGGAGCGACTCAGCGACGCCGTGGACCAGAAGGAGGATCTCTACGGCCTTATTCACGGCGAGATGGCGCAGGAACTTGACCGACACATCAGGTCTCTAAAGGTCTTCTCCTCGAGAGTGGTCTTCGATTTATACCATCAATCGCCTTGGGTCGCCGGAAACCACATCAGCACGATCCTTGGCAATGCGCAAGCGTTCGGACTGCAACTCTTGAACCAACGAGGCATCTTCGGCGCGCTTCTGCATCTGTACAACATGATACAGCAGGTGGGTGTACCGTGTCCAAAATTTGCACTCCTGGAGCACCTTTGCGACCAGTTCCAGTGTCAAGTCTTCCTGGGGAAAGACCGACCTACGAGACGGTTTACTCAGCTATTGCAAATATTTCGCGGCGCCAAAATAGAGCGTGAGAGGGGTGTCGGGCTTGTTCTATCTCAGAATGAGTCGTCGGCTAGGAATTTCGCATTTTCGAGCTCAGCTCGGATTGACTCATGGGACATGTGCGCGTTCACATCGCATCGGTTGGAGACAAAAGGAAATCATGGCAATCCAGCCTTCTGGAATGGAATCGCCTCCGACCTTCCCGGCAATCACGGCCGGAAGAGCGCTCGTTGGGACCCCTACCTGCCGGCGCGTCTACAAGAAGAGTTCCCGCTCTCAGATATCCTCACGAGCGCATCAGCACGTCTCCTGCCCGAGTTCACAGGTGCTTTCCCCATTGCCAGGGTCAACTACTTCAAAGTATACATGCTGGCCTTGGATGTATTTCTAGATATTACGAGGAAGTACTGTGCTCCTGGCGGTAGCGGTATCCCGAAAGAGCTCCGACACCAGGTGTTCGAGTTGGGCGTAGGGGTCCATGATGGCATCCGGAACGGGATGAATCTGCATATGCGTACGGCGCAGGATGTGGATTTCAGGATGAAGAATAAGAAGCTCGCTGCTGGTTTGAAAGATCATTCGGCGCTGCTAATGATGCGCGACTCCATCGTGTCGGCATGCGAGGGCAAGAACGTCGAAGACTTCTTCTGGAAGACGGCGTAGCTGTGGCCTAGAGATGGCTGGAGATGCGGGATGCGTTGAAATGCTCAAGGAATGATGCGAAGGCCGCATATGCTTTAATCTCCGACCCATGAAGGGCGTCGTGAATGGGGCTCGGGCGACCTCCGTGGCGACGCTCTTGGCGTTCACGTTAGGGGATGGAAGGATCTCCAGTCGCAGTTTATGAGAAACGGTGGCATTTATTAATCACATGACAGGAAGAGAGAAATCAAAGATGCTCCGTCAAACTGTTTGTTGAGACCCTGTGGTGACGACCCGCGAACTTTGAGTTTTGGATCCATAAATAGATCCCAGCACGGATCATGCGCTAGCTAAAAGTGGGTTAGCTCATCTCTCGAAAATCCCAACCCGTCACTCCGTCATCCTGTCCCCACCGTCATTCAACACCCCAACTCTTGTCTACCTCATATGTCTCACTGTATCCTGAAACATGGGCTTTTGGCTGCGGTTGCGTGGCACAGTCTCGTGTTTGTTCCTTCAATGCTCTCAACCGCTCACGAGTATCTAGGGGTGACTCGACGATAGCCCGCACCCATTTAGCCTACCGAGAAGGAACCCCTCTAAAATCCTGTCCCTTCACGTTGAACATATGTTTTCTCCGGAAGCCTTCTCATCATGCTCACAGCGGCACAGCACTAGGCTTTACCAGCCTCGCATTGAGGACGACATCCACAGGTTGCTCCCTAGGTAAGGGGCAACCACAAGCGGCTGTGCTCCTGCAAGCCGGCCGCCGATAGTCCAAGTAATCGCCGTAATTGCGATATCTTCTTTTTTCCTATTGGATCCCTACTCGTATATGACGCTGTTCTCAGGTCTCTTACGCCAACACCCCTGTTCGGTGACCGACAAGATGCCACTAGTCTACTTCAGGCCCTCAGCCTCGCAGAAACGCGAATCCACCAACACCTCCCTTACTCTTCTATACCTGCACCGAAGAGCTCTTGGATATGCAGAGGCCTTCCAACGGCGCGTTTCATCAACAGCGATCTACATAGAATCCCGCCCGGAGAATAACACAGCTATAACAATGCACGCCAACACTCCATTTACGCCTTCTTGAACCTGAGTTCAAGTCATCAATACCCCATTCGGTAATAATGCGGCTTACTTCCAATCGGTTATCTACCACGGGAACCACCCCAAGTTTTGAAACTACGCCGATGCCACGTGGAGCGCCTTCTAGCAATATATGTTGGTCCTACCTGCTGCGCCGTAGCGTCATATCGCGACTCATTTCACTTCTTGTATATTATAATATAGCTGGATAGGTGTTCTTTGGTTGCGAGGCTTCGCGTCCACTCCTTCAGAATGCCAACGATTCGGTTGCGAGCGACGAGTATGGCGGATACTACCTCGATACCAGCAGATCTAATTGCGGCGGCTACGATATGTCTGTTCTTGACAGCATCGGCGGTGTTTGCGCGCATGTATACGAAGGTTGTTGACTTGAGGCATACGCAAGTAGATGACTGTAGGTGTCCTACCACAATGGAATGAGACGTCACTAACCACTACAGGCGCCGTCGTCTTCGCAGGAGTATGTCTGAGCAACCCGTTCCGAAGCAGCAGGCTAACATCTCAGATTGGCTTCGGCTCTTTCGCAGCTCTTCTCTTCGTCGGTGCCACCGCTGGCCTAGGCGATCATATTTGGACCATAACCGCTGAAGCCCTCAAGCGCGCGTATCTCTACTCCAATATTCTCGAAATTATCTACGCCCCGATAATGTTCGCCGCCAAGTTCGCAATCCTCGTCCAGATCGATCGAATGTTTTCCGGTGTTCGGAAGAAGCTGATCTACTGGGGCGTACGGGTGCTGATCGTGCTGAATGCCGTCTGCTACACGGCTATGTTCTTCGCGCACATCTTTGCTTGCATGCCTCGCGCAAAGATCTCTGACCCTTCGCTGCCGGGGGAATGCATTTCGCAGAATGCAACTATCATTGCTACGGGAACTATCAACCTCACTTCCGATGTTGCCATCTTGCTTTTCGCGGTATGGGGTGTCAGCAGGCTGCATCTGACCGCAAAACGGAAGACATTGGTCGCCCTGGTTTTCAGCGTAGGCAGCTTCGCATGCGTCGCTAGTGCTTGCCGGCTCGTCTACGGGGTAAACGTCGACGGCAACCCGGACTTCACGGCTGCCATTTGGCCTATGCATCTATGGGCGTAAGTCCAGTAATCCAACTAGCCAGAAGGCCCTGCTAACACCCTCAGCCTCGCCGAACTCACCTCCGTCATCTACGTCGCCTGTTGCCCAACCTTCCCTCGCCTCATCCAATACATGCAAGGCAAAACTCTCCAGCACGCGCACCGCAACGCCCACGAGAGGTGGCTATCAAGCGCCTCATCCACCGAATACCTCTCGGAAAAGCAGCTCTTCAGCCCCGCCCTGACCGCCCCCGTCCCCCGTCCCTCCGTCGAGAAACCCCTCCCGCGCGCACCGCTCTCCCAAATAACCACAGCCCCCACCTTCATCACGACCCTGACCCGCAACCCCTCCCGAGACCGCCCAATCTCGCACCTCTCCTACGATACATACACCGCCGCCGCAATGCGCGAAACCCTCTTCAGCGTCGACGATGCCGCGACCTGTGTGAGCCCTGTTTCGCCGGCGCGCACAGAGTTCTCGCGCTTCTCGCTCGCTACGGTCAAGTGTGCGACGCAGATGAAGGTGACGCCCGTGTACTTCAAGACGATTAAGAAGACGGTCGATGTCAGGATTAGTAACCACACGAATCCGGGGAGTCCGTTTGGGGGCGGGAGTGGGAGGCCGGAAGCGGCGTGGTAGACGCACGTGGGGAGGAAGAGGAGAGTCACGTGCGTTCACGATGGGCAGAGAGTGTCGAGCTTGGCACGGCGCAGCTCGATAGAATGTGCTGGATCACATGTCCTAGGCTGCTACTGAAAGAGAACGCCTGCGCCGATGTGATATCTACTCGCCATGCGTTCGCCAACCCAAGACCCCGGGCCCGGATGCATCCTTATCAGCCCAGCCTGGGATGACGGCACAAGCCGTGGATACCGCAGTTCATCTACGCTCCCTTAAGGACCCTGCATCTCGGCCGTTGGGCCTCAACGTCCGCACATGGCTCGTCAAGCATGTCCTCCCTCGGCGCCTCCCCATTCGACAAACCTCGAAAGATATCAACTTCGGATACTCCTTCCCAATCTCGCCCCGCAGTCCGGCACTGCACCCATTGCCGCCTAAGCCAATTCGAACTTCCCCGAGCTCGCCGATATTCGACTCACACCGCCACACTGTATACCATCCCGCGCGCCGTTGATGAGCACAGGGATGCCCTATCACATCCCTGCGCCCATCATCACCGCCCGCCCCTGCTCTGCTCTTGTTGAGCCACGCTACGTCCCGCGTGCTCCATGCCAGTCGCGGCGGCGCGTGCGGCCACGAGTGGGTGGGCCGTGGCGATCCGCGCGCGGCGCAGACGTCACGATACGGCTCTGCGATCGACGCAGGCAGAGCTACCTACCGTATGAAGAACATGGCTATCTCCTCGCTCGCCGAGGGGAGCTTTGTTGGCCGCGCTTCCCTGCCGCTCAACATTTTACTGTGGGCTTTGGGGGGTGAGGGAGTGCGGACGAATTTCACGTGTTGAGTTGAACGGTTTTGTTTGAGCGGCGTTGGTTTCACATGTTCATGTTCTTGATACCCATTTTTTCTTTGGTCGGAGGAGGGGGGGGGGGGGTTTGAACATGCCCCCCTTTCGTTTGATTTCTCGTTCGTTTTCATATGGCTGTAGACTGCGTACCTGTATCCGACGGCGCTATCAGCATCATACCCATCCATACCCATAGACATAGACTTTGATACCCAAGCGAGCGAGCGGGCGAGCCAAACACGCCGCCGCTCTGTGTTTCGCGTTTCCTCATCTGTATCATAGCTTGCGAGCTCAAAAAAACATCTCCAAGTAAATCCTGAAGCTTTCCCATTCTGTTCTACAAAAAAGGATCGTGAATGTGATATCTGAGGGATCGTGAACGTGATAGCTCGTCACTCATGCCACCATGCAACATGCGAAGTATGAGTTTCGTGGTATAATGCAAGCCCAAGCCAAGCCAAGCGAAGCAAAGCCGCACCTGTCCAGACGCCCAAACGCCAAAGAAGAAAGCAAGTACAATAAAGCGTAGAAGAGACATTAAAAGCAAAAGGCCGTATACAGAATCGCAGTCTGAATGCAAGCAAAAAGCCGTGCGGTGTAAGCAATCTGAGCACCGAGGAAAGTTGATCAAGGCTTGAACAACTGCTCCTTGCGGAAGAACATGAAGAAGCCAATACACACGACGCCCTGAAGGAGCAGCGCTCCCCAGAAGACTCCGTTCTCGAGGCCATGTATAGACAGCGCGAGGTTGGGGAACACAGATCCAGGGCCTAATCGGTCGGGCGCAGTGGCACGGGCGACAATGGTAGCCACGCTGCCGACGACTTGCGCAGCGGTGAGAGTGAAGGCGACGTGGAACCTCGTCATCGTCTGCAGAAGAATCATGCCAAAGCCGACACCCTGCAATGCGTCCAGGACACCCAGCCAAAGCCAAAGGCAGCGGCCGAGTAGGGCGCCAATAGTCGGTGTGCCCGCCCACGGAATGAACAGACCCATTCCCGACGTCCCCCAGAGCATTTGAGCCCATCGCGGAGCACCGAGGCCAATCGCGAAAATGGGCAGGATCCAGCTATGCTCGACAGACAGCTTCTGGAAGACGCTGAACACGGCAATCCATACGCCGATGAAGAACACGAGGACGAGAATAGCGATGCTCCACGCAGGGATGGTGTTGCTGGACCAGAGGTAGCGCCAGTTACGCCCGTACGGCGCGCTGAGGAAGTAGTTCTGGATAACGACAACGACGAAGAACCAGAGGATGATCTTTCTCCTTCGGAGGCTGTTGTAGAACGAGGGGACTTTGCCGGGGGAAGAGCGGTAGAAGTCCGGGAGACCGAGGAAGAGCGCGATGCCGATGAAGGCGAGGAGCAACGCGACGGGTGTCGTGACGGCGGTGATGTACGGCGAAGTTGCGAACCCAGTGGGATTCTTGCCGTGTGCGGAAAGCGAAGAGAGGTGTGAGCCCCAGTACCAGAGAACCGTGACATAGAGTTGCTGCGTGCCTTGGACGACGCACGCGCGGAAGACCCAGGTGTGTGTCGCGGTGCCGCCTTCGGAGCCGAAGTTCAGCGCGAAGAAGAGCGAGCCGGAACCCGAAGCAAGCGCGTAGAGACCAGTTGCGACGTTCTGGATCCAACCACGAGCCACGATTGAGCGACCATACGGCGCCATGCCGAGCATGAAGAAGGCGAGCGCGTAGCAGATAAACGGGAGTGCGACGACGTAGCGAGACTGTAGGGTACGGAAGAGCGTCCACCAGAGGATGGAGGCAGCGAGGTAGATGCTCGCGACAGTGTATAGCTTTGAAGCCGTTTGGCCGATTTCGCCAGAGAGCAACGTGATCTGGTAGCTGTTGGCTGACAGGATCTGACCGAGGGCGATGAGGAAGGCGTAGAGCGGCCAGTCATGAATCTTGTACTGGATGATTTTCCTGAAGCCTCCAGGTGGTGTGTAGTCGTTTCCGAGCTCGAACTCGTCTTCGACTAGAGTGCCTGAGCGGATTGATGAACTGCTGCCGCTCTCGCTGCTGTTAGGCGAGGAGTTTTCACGCGTGGCAGTGACTTTAGAAGAAGTGGCCTTGACACCCAGCTTCGCGTCGTAGAAGCGACCAAACCAATTCTTCTCGGACTTGGTGATGAACTCCTCAATGCAAAGTTCCTTTGTCGAAGTGCGGCCATTGAGACCACTAAGTAGCCTGTCGAACTGCTTGGTATAGACACCTTGCGCGTCTGTGAAGAAGGGCTCGACCTTCTGCATGCGGTAGTTTTTCTCCTCACCAACGACCTCAGAAAGGCTGAGGACGGAAGGATTGGCGCTCTGTCCTGCCAAAGGAAGAGGAAGAACAGGCTCAGTAGGACTTGGTGTGCGTGCTCCTGATCCTCCGGGTCCTCGCGATGCATCGGGAGTGGATGACGAAAGTGAGATGTTTGAATCTTGTGAGTTTTGACGTGAAAGGTGCCTTGATACTGATGCACGCCCAACATTTCTTCGCAAGTCTCGCGAGAAGTACTCCTCTGTTTGCTCGCTCCCTGCGCTTACGATGGGAAACAGGCTAAAGCCGGTGCCGCGGTCTATGGGCGTCACAGCCGCCGGTGAGCCTGGCGCTGTGGTAGCAGGTGAAACGGCGGCGGAATTTAAGCTAAGAGCCATAGGTCGACTGCGCTTACGGCTATGCGAGACAGCAGAGCCGCGCCGGGGTTCTTGAGTCGGGTCGCGCACCGGACTAGAAGCTCGGCTGGTCACGCGACTGGCGACACGGCTACCCATCCGACTAGAGGGCCTAGTGGTAGCGGGAGAAGTGAATGCGGTCCCAGGTGCTGAAGGCAACGGGGTTAGGAGAGAAGGAGTGCTAGCACCGTGGGCTAGAGAAGCGCGTGTGCCGGTGCGTTGGTGCACCTGGATGGCTCCGGATTGAAGCTTCTCAAGGTCTTCGATCCACTGGGCAACCGGAAAGCGCTGAAGGGATGAGCGAGCCCGCATCTCCGCCCTTGTCTCCTGCGAAGAAGCCATGGCGGCTTTGATAGCACTCTGGAACTGCCGAACGAGATGCTTGGTCGCGACCGATTCGATGGTGAACCACCACCCAGGCATGGACCCGAGACCACCAACTCGTGAACCGACACCCAATGCTCCCTTGCGGCCAAACTCAACCGCGACCAGACCGAAGGGTTCATCTCGTGATGGGATCAGAGCAAATTCAGCACCACTGAAGATGCAAGGTGGAAGAACGGTAAATTCCGGCTTGGAACAGACGCGGTCTGGATAGAGCTCCATGAGACGCTGAAGCTTGAGAGCAGCAAACTTTCCGTAGAGATCGATGACCGGTCCGATGCAGATGAGTTGGGCCTTGGGGTTCTTCTCCAAGATGGACGGGAACACATCGGCGATGATATCAATGCCCTTCTGCATCGACCAGCGACCGACGAAGACGAAGAGTTCAGCCTGAAAATGTCAGTTGTAAGCAATTTAGCGATAGATACGCACTTACCTCAGGATCTACTTGGAGACCAGCCCACTCCTGGGCCTGAGTCCTAAGAATTCCTCGCTGGGCCTCCGACTCTGCGTCAATAGCCACAAAATCGGGCAGCTTGTGATCCTTACTCCAGGGAGCAGTATCAGACGGATCAGGATTCGGGAGCGAGCCAATCTTCGTCAGACCCCAGAATATTGGATATCTCGCGAACGATCGCTTGCCGTACTTCTTCGACACACCAACTGCGCCAAAGCCTCGCTGGTGAAGACGCAAATAACTGGCGCCCGCATGCAGCATGTTGAAGACCTCACCAAACTGGACATATTTCGTGACGATGTCCTTGCTGAGGTTGAACACCCTACAGATCTCGCTCATGTCTTGTGGGCGCTTGATGGACCAGAGACCCTGGAACTCGGCGTTGTGAAGCGAGAGACAGCATGCCGGTGCACCGTCGGGGAGAAGGTAGAGCGGAGCGAGGGTCCCGTGATAGTCGTTGATGTGGTAGAGGCTGATCTCAGGAAAGCGTCTCATCGTTTCGGCAATGCATTGATTCCATGCTGAGTAGTACACGGCGCTCTCCATGTCGTCCATGCGCGAGGGATAGGGCTCGTTCTTGGTCTGAGCGCGGAAGACTGGGGCGTCGAGGAGCACGAAAGTGATGTTTTGATAGCAGTGATACTGTACGTTGATGATGTATGTCTGGTCGAGGATGGTTATTCGCATAGGCTCTCCGACCTGGTCAATCGGATAGTCTAGGCCCCCGACGCAGGGAACGACCCAGACAAGGTTCTGGTGCTGGAGGTTCTTCGCCATGAGCGACGCCATAACACCAAGCCCGCCGATCTTGACCTTCACCTTCCAGTCCTCAATCTCGTACTCCATAGTGGCTAGCAGGACGGTCCGGCGAGTGTTCTCGTCATCGGTCGCGAAGCCTTCCCGACGTTGGGGGTTCTTTGGTGCAGTTGGCTTGGGTCTGAAGAGACTGAGACGGCTGTTGGCATGCTTCTTGAAGGCTGTGCTGGAGAGGGTAGGGAGGCTGCCCATGCCCATAATAGTCTGACGCTTCTCCGACACGCCATGCTCATTGTGCTTGACATCGTAGAATGACTTCAGAAACAGCCAAATGGCCAAAGCACCCGTAGCAAGAGGAATTATGGCGAGCAGAACAGTAATGGCCAACTGTCGGTAACCCGACCCGACTGGCTGGAAGGAGTACCGGAGGTTTGCGTCATTGGCAATGATTTTAACGCCCACGTAAGGCATCCCGGGATTAGTAATGTTGATCACGTTTTTTCCCAAACTGGTCGGTGGGAGCCAGTCAAGGACGTGATCATGATCGACGTCTCCATACATTTTTGATTTATCCGGCTGTCCGTCTGGATTAATACCCCATGTGCTGAGCATAACGTCGGTGGGATATTCAGTCATGATGTCAAAGTGCCATTGACCGGTACCGGTATCATGCATTTTGTCGGGAAGTCCTGAGTCAAAACCGTAGAGATTCCAGGCGCCGGTGACATGCATGTGGGGCCAGCGTCGTGGCGTATCAACGCCAACGTCGCCGTGCTGAACGTGCTCCATACTGCCGGCCATCTCGCTCCAGTAGCGGATCATGACGTGCTCACCCTTCCATTGCTGGTCCTTCGAGCCTGACCAAGGCTGCTGAGTGATCGTAGCGTTGGCGGAAGTGTAGTCCTGCCAATCGCTCCATGTAGCGCCCCAGTTGAGAGTGTATTGCCACTTGTCCGCACCACTCGCCTTGTGCGTGACGGTAAGCGCACCTGTCTTCTCATCGCGATGGAGTAGACTGGTTGAGTAGTTGGATGTTGAAGGGAAGATCATTGGGTTTTCCGGTTGTCCGATGCGGAACATGAAGTGATCGACTGCTTGGGTGTAGAGGTTCGTATTCTCCGTGGATGCGTTGTTGATTGTGTAGACGTGGATGCCATCATAAACATTCTCCAGTTCTCCCTTCACAACCCAGGCGGTGCCGATCTGGCCAACATTCTGCTGTTGCTTCTCGAGCTCCACAAGTGAACAGTTGACGCTAGACGTGTTCAATCGCGCGACCTCTCCGTTTGCAGTAGTAGATCTGATAAAGAAGTTGCGGACAACTGATGCGCAGTTCATCTCGCTCGAGAAGTGGACCTCGATGGGCACTGTCTGGTGCTCGCCATCAGGTACCTGCGAGATGAGGCGTGCGTCGTGGCCGGGGATAACGCGGGTAATGGTCGGGCGGGGCTCCACCCACTTGTCTTTCGGTACGAACAGCTTGTAACTCCATGGCTGCATTTCGAAACTGCTGAGACAACCGTTGTTCTCTTCCAAGCCGTCAATGTCGAGCTTGGCTGAAGAAGATTCGAGCGTGTACTCCTCGTACGGGAAGAATAAGCTCTTAACGGTGATGCCGGCAGGAAATGGAGCAAGGAGGCCCTCGGTCTGATTCCGGCAGTTGAAAGTGTAGTTGACCGTCTTGTTGTCGTTCGAGTAGATGATCCAGAGACCCTGGTTGCCCAACGGTCCAGCATGCGAGAAGTCCTGGACACCAGGGAAGCGACCACGGTAGACGCTCCAGATACCAGTTGGTGACGGCATCCCAAGACTACCAGGCAGGTAAATGTCGTGGAACTGAGAAGATAACGTCTCCAGATATGCCCCGTCGTTGAGCACGGCGTATTGCTCTCGAAGCTCGTAATGCCTCTTCAAGACGTTACGCATAAAGTGTGACGGATCGCGATGATCGAGGCTGACGGTGTCATCCTCGCATCCGCGGAGGGCTCTATCAAAAGGCATGTCTACGTAGACTTCCTCGCCGAGCTTGTAGCAGCCGTGCATCTGCCATGCCTGTTGCGATGCCATCGGCGTTCGACCGAATACATAATCTGAAGCCTGGTTCTCCAGGATATATGCCTCCTGCTCCTCGCCCCACAGCTGGAAGGGCGCTCCGGGCATCATCAAGTTCGCGATGAAGAGCCCCAGCAAATGACGCTGGGTTCCATTTGCCAAGGCCGGCCATCGGAAGACGTCCTGATTGGTCATACCCCAGAGATGCCGAGGGTCGAATTCTCCGGTGTATGCATTCGCCATGTCTTCATGGAGAAGGAGGTCGTGCCATAGCTCGACAAAGTCGACGCCTTCGAGACCGATTGGGCCGTCCAGACCTAAGAAGCGGGTCATAGCACCGTAGAAGGGATAGTGGAAGGCATCGCCGTCAAGAGCGACGGACCCGAACGGCCGAAGGTAGCTGTCATTGTCGTTCTTCACATCAATGGCCGAGACAGCCTGCGTCATGTTCTTGAACGCCTGATCTGGCTGCTTGCCGCGACCGACAAGCAAAGACGCGTATGGAATTTTGCTGACGATTTCCCCGACGATCAGAAAGTTCTCCTTGCCGAAGCGTTTGGCGCAATCTCGCTGATAGTCGGACCATTTCGCATGAACGTCAATCGGTGTCTGAGCCGCCTTATCCATACGGAACCCATCAATGTCGAGCATGGCGATCTGCATGCAGGAAAAGTGCATAATCTTACCCAGAACGTCGTCGCGCCAGGTTCGGAGACGGTCCTGAACACCAGCGAACTTGGAAAGCTGGCTCTCCCAGATGGGGACTTCACCAACGCCTTTCATGTCGCCATACTACGCAGGATCAGTATTGGGCGAAAGGAGGTCAGGGATGGGCGTACCTGATCGAATTCGCTGTCCTTGCACGGTCGCTTCATGGCGCTCAGCGCTCCCGTGTCGTTGAGAGGGTAACCGTGCGGACTCCACATGCGCGGATAGGTGCAGCTCGTGTTGACGTTGTTGCCGACGGAGAAGTCGAGGTACTGGCGGGATGACTTATACCTAACGTCGTACTCATTCCAGTTGAACGGCGCCGTGACGTTCTCGTAGCCAACCCATTGGAGAAGGTCTCCCATGGTTCCAAGCGTGTTATCCAGAATGACATACATGCTCCGGCGATGTATTTCGGTGACCAGGGCTCTCCAATCTTCAATCGTGCCGTGGTGATGATCAAGAAGCGTGAAGTCGAGCGCACCGAACCCGTCACTACTCCATGGCATATTGATGAAGGGAGTACCGGAGAGGTAAATGGCCTGCCACAGTTAGCTAGGCCGGAAGGTGAGATGTGAAGACGTACCTTGATGCCCATGCCTTGAAGGTAGTCAAGATTGTTCATTAGCCCTTTGGCGTCTCCGCCAAAGCGGAACTGGTTGCTGGTCCAGTCATGTTCGAAAGTTGTTCCATTGGCCTCGTTGTTGGTGGGGTCTCCATCCACATAGCGGTCTAGAGTAACGATGTAGAACGGAAAACGCCAGCTCTTCGGGGACGGATGGAACGTGTGATCCTCCCATTCTCCCCAGTAATCCAGAGGATCTGTTGCACTCTGGTTCAGGTTGAGGTTCCAACCTTCGTGTGCCGGGTCATAACGAAGAGCAAATGCAGAAACGAAGAGACAGAAAAGGGACAATAGATTGCAATCCGCAAACATCGTCACTAATCTATTGCTCTATCAAGCAGAGGTGGAGCAAAGAGAGAGAAGAGGGCTTGCTTGGCATAGGTTCTCCGACTCCCCGGACGCTTTTATGTCCTGGTAGACTCTTTGATGTCATCTATCAAAGGCTTCTTGGGAGCACATGGCGGGACAGCAGCCCTGCATCGGGGCACACATGTACGGGGGTATATCCATCTCGACGACTAGAGGGATAGCCATAAGAGGAATCTAATCCACCCGGTTGAGGTTCCTGAAATTTAGAAACGGCGAAAAACAGGCGGAAAAAGAGTGGAGATGGCAGGCCAAGCCAGAAGCGGCGGGCGAGATGGCAGACGGCAGCTACAAGATTGATTGCATGTTCCTGGAAGCCGCGATAGTGTTGGCGGACGACCGCTGTCGTGTTGAGGGGCGCGCCAACAGAGCCTTGCCGTCGTGGTGTGGAAGCCATTCTCGAGATGGCGATAGCAAGAGATGCAATATCCCCGACGGGAGCTAGAAGCGACGGCGTTGATTGGCTTGGCCGTAGGGGGGTTGATAAGGCAGCGATCTGCGCTATGATGCGAGCCGAAGGGTGCGAGGATTTCTCCGGTCAGGGGCAGAGCGCAGCGCAATTAAGGTTAACAAAGAAGCCGTGTGGCGCCGAAGCCTCAACGGCGTCGCAGACCAGTGAGGATAGTTTGCGCCATCTGCCAGGTCTTGGCGGGAGCGCTTGGTGAACGCCTCGGGTAAATCCGCGGCGGCTTTTGAAAAATTCCCCATGCCGGCGATCAGGGTTCCGATGCTGGTGAGCCGCATCGGGATGTGCGCAATCTACACCCCTGGCTTAGTTCCGTCCAACATAAACCAGAGGTCGAATAAGCCGGCGACTCTGCTTGATGCTCTTTTCTGTCGAACGCACCCATCCATGCGCGCAATAAAACAAATTCGAACAGAATAGAAGTTGGTGAGAAGATCTCTCAGGACGGCTTGCCACATGCGTCGGCCCCACAAACGGGTCTGTACCTACAGTAGCACCGCGCCAGCTGTCGAAGTGCTCTTCCGCCGTCAGACGCCGCGGTGACAGTGCCCACGCCAGCCGGTGTGTCCCGCTGCTGAGCGCATCATCGAAGGGCATGCTAATCAATCAATCTTGGGTTGATCTTTGTGTATCCGCCATCGGCCCAATCATGGTCAAGAAACGGGCTTGATTGTAACAATTTGTTGAGGATCCACCTGCGCAGACGGGAAACCAGTCTGCATCCGAACATTGTTATCTCGGGCATTGGTGGTGCTGTGCTGATTCGCCAGGATCGAAAAGCGAACTCAACTACCAACCAGAGCTCTCTATGTCGCCATGAAGTTAGCAGTTCACCAGGAGTGGCCGTTGGAGAGTAGAAGCCTCGCAGGTCTCGCCTTTGGAAATCGGCCGAACGATATCGAGCCTGCGGCGTGGGGGACGGACGCGGCGAGCCCAAGCCGACGAGACCACGTTGGACAGCAACTCGGCGGTTAGAGACCGGTTCCGTTCTAATTCGGGAAGAAACAACGAACGGAAACGAAGTATGAAATGACAGCAGGGAACCAGAGAAGAGTAGAGGTAGCGAGAATAGGGATGGAACGGTAACACGTCCGCCCGATGCCGATGGGTACACCCGCGCACAGTGTATGCCCAAAACGCAGAGACATTTGGCGGGCTAAGTATTTCCCGGGCGTACAGCGCGGAAGTGACATTGCGATGCACAAAGCGCTCCAGGGCTATATCAGACGCTACTATTGCCGACCCAGGGCGCTGAATGCCAAGGGATGTTTTATTCGCCTAGCGAACCTTGGAGCAGCCATATAGCGGACCGGCTGAAGGGAAAAAGCGACAAAGAAAATGGCCTACTGTTCCATAGGATTTTATGGCGGACTTGGGTGGTCAGGATGGCGGTGGGGCCACATTGTACGACGAAGCACCTTTTTGCCTGTCATTGTAATCCCAGATTGGGACCGGGGGTCTGGTACCCATCCCCGAGATCCGAGCGAGACGCAGGTCAGCTCCTTCGCATGCCATTCAAATTGCCCATGCTGCGCATATCTGCAAGTTTCAGGCCTGCACAGTGAAGGCTAACTGTTGCCGGTATTCCATCTTGCGCCGGCGCAGCCATGGCAGCTGGGCACGCTCACCCAGCGAAAATGGCGACAAGGCGATATTGAGCCCATATATGCCACAGCTGTTCCAAGATCGGGCCCTGCACGGTAATCGAGTCCGGGGTATGCTGATCCATTCTTCATAGAGAAAGATGCTCACCAGGAGGGCTGTGGAATTGGCTTCGAGATCGCAAAGGAACTCAGGAGCGCTTAAGCGATGGTGGTGAGTAAATCCGGGGGAGAATCCGCGGCATCTGGATGTTTAGAGCCGGGTAGGAAGCGGTCTAGGAGCGCTGCTCGAAAAGGACCACGGTATCCCGAAGCCGCCCGTCGCGCTGACGGTAGCACTGCACTATCCGCACGGCATCTCTGTGCCGAGTACGAACAGTACCCATCCGTGACTGTTTGGTGTCGAGAATTGAAGAAGCCCAAGAACGGGAACCCCACCGGCCGTAGGGAAGCCCGACCTGTCAGCCCGGACCTGGCAAAACGTGGCGCAATCCTGGTACGGACCCTTTGTTGTGTATATTCCTCGCTTCATCTCCCTCGCGGAACTCAAGGCTCCTCCATATACATCCTGCCCTTAGCCTGCAGACATGCAGCTGATGCGCCCATCTTGAATGCAATCAGCAGCGTCTGCCGGCATGGAGCAGTTTTGCCACAGGAGCGGATAGCCGTCGGTTCAAGTCGTCACATTGTGAGCGGGGTTCGAGGGCTTGCGGGAGGTGTTTCCGTCGGTGGGAGGATGCCCGCGCAAGAGATAGGGGAGACGGGGACATGCAGGGTCTGCGAAGGGAAGGCTGAATCTGGGGAAGCGGCCGGGGGATCGGCGTGCTGTACTCCGCAAGACGCTTGTGGAACCATGGTGGAACTCGCGGATGCGGGCAGTCGCGCAACGGCGCTGTCAAGAAGGTGTCAGTGTGAGGTGAGGTGACGTTCGATACGAGGAGAGACGAGTACGAGATGTGATGGGCTTGAGGCAGTCCCCGAGCCTCGGTTGATGACTAAGCGGAGAATCTGCGCCTCCAGCGCTATCGTGACCCCGCAGTTCACGACCTCTGCAGGTCACCCTCTCACCGTCGCCTTTCCTTCTCCCTTTACTTCAAGGACGACTGCTCATTGTATACGCCTCAGTCTTCTCGCGACTGGAGGATGATAGTAGTCCGTCTTGGTCCCTATACTCTGGCCCAGATATGTGAATACTTCTGGCCCGGATATGTGAATTTCTACATCTCCGCTAACTCCTTTGCTAAGGATTCCTCCCCGCAACCAAGCAATTGGATCGTGCTTTCTTGTCCGCGGGCGACCTGCAAATGGAGGCACCGGTACTTCGACGAACAGGTTGTGCAGTCGCGGAGGACGAATGTCAGCGCCGTGGTTACTGACTCACTTGATCTTTCTCTGATCTCATGTCTCTATTTCCTTCATTACCGTTCATATTCCATCCCAAAAAACATTCCGGAGCTTTAGTACGATGACTGCGCAATATCGTACATTGCCATCGTACAAATTGGTGTACGGGATCGTTTAGCAATTGCTAATCCGGTCACTAGAAGAGCTCCGAAATCCGAACCTTGAACAGTACATTCTCACTTCTGTATGATCCCATTTTGTAATGCCTTGAACATCTGCTAGACGCACACCCCATTGAGCCGTTCCAAAGGGCGAGGTAGAACGGACTTAGTCAGCCTAAGTCCGAAAAAGTCAATGACGCCACGGACGAAGGTACGACACCCGAGCCGTGATGGCTTCATGGGGCACAATCTTCACTTCACTACGTCAGGCGATTGGAGGCTGTCTAACCAATAGCGTGAAGCGCCAAGGAGGTACGTACGAGAGAAGAATGAGGGAGGTCCACTGCCCAGTATCTTGGGATGCTCCAGCAGGATATAAACGTCAAGATATTCCGTCGACAGCGGTAAAAGAACATTGCAGATCCAAACTCAACAACACCGCAACGGATTTCCGAAAATGGCTTCCGACAAGCAGATAATTCTCATCACCGGTTCGCGGCACACTATACGTCAACCCTGCCTATTGACTGACACATGCAGGCGCAAACAACGGCATTGGATTTGACACATCCTACGCCCTTGCCGCCGCCTCTCCAAACAACCACATTCTCATGGCGTGCCGCAACCACGCCAAAGGGGAAGCAGCCCTCAAAGAGCTCCAAGCCCGCAAGCCCCAAGGCACGCTCGACCTGCTCGACCTCGACGTCTCGGACGACGACTCCATCGCCGCTGCCGTCAAGAAGGTCGAAGCCGACTTTGGTCGCGTCGACGTTCTCATCAACAACGCCGGCGTCGTAGGCAAAACTCCCTCCCCAACCCGCGCGGACTTGCGCACAGTCTTCGAGACCAACGTCTTCGGCCCCACAGTCTTGACTCAATCCCTCCTCTCCCTGCTCCAAGCCTCCAAATCTCCCAAAGTCATCAACGTGACTTCAGGCCTGGGAAGCATCGGCTTCCGCAGCGATCCATCCCACGATACCTACCACGTCCCATATACATCTTACCGCATGAGCAAAGCCGCCTTGAACATGCTGACCGCATGCCAGTACTACGAGTTCCAGAAGTTCGGATGCAAGGTCTGGGCCTTCTGTCCCGGGTTCGTCATCACCGATCTGACGGGCAAGGAGGAACGCCAATGGAGAAAAGACAACGGGGCCGACAGCTCGGAGACGAGCGCGCAGGGCATTCTGGAGATCGTGGAGGGCAAGAGGGACGCGGAAGTTGGGACGTTCATTGCCAGGTACGGACAGCAATATCCATGGTAAGAAGTGGAAGGGTGTTTGCCTGGTAGAACGAATGTTGTTGGGGACGAGAGATGTTGTGCCATGTTGCATGTAGATGAGCGTAATCGTTCGCTACCGAATGCGGTTAATGATCTTCATGGTGCTCCCTTATAATATCTCAACAACATAATTGCTCGAGTGTTACGCGTAACCCAGGTATAACTACGCACCATCGCCCGGTGTATTCTGTGCCTGCTTACTTCGTGCTGTTAAAGACGGCAGGGGCAGCCACCACGTGCAATGGCGCACCCCACGTGCACGTTCCCAGCCACCGGGAACGCCTCCTGCCATGCTCCCAAAACTACAACTCCACTCCGAAGCAATTCTATCGTATTTCGATTTGGGGAGCGCCTTACGGGACAACAGCTCACTACGGCGACAATTTGTCCAATCGGCGCTGCTGCCCCGCACATGTGCCTGAATCGCCGCTTGATCGAATGACCTCATCCGGGTCCCGAGGCTGCGCGAGAACATGGGTACTCCGGAAAGGCTATTTAGAGCACGCCATGTGCTTCTCGCGTTTCTTTTCTGCGTCTTGAGCGCTTCGGTTTTGTTCGCTGGGTTTGAGAAAGGCAACGAAGACACGATGTTGGGAAATTGGGTAGGTCCCCTGGTGTTGTACGAAGCGACGCCTTAGGCTGAGAACTGTAGATACCAGCAGCATTGCTGTTCCTTGCGCGTATGTACCTCTCGTGACTTCCACAGAGAAGATCACTAACACCGCAGAAGACAGCGTATCAGCCGGAAGATCCGCCGTCCGGTTGAATCAGATTCAAGTCATCGGAACGCACAACTCATATCATCGCGAAATCTCCCTCAGCGAACGAGCCATCTTTGAGAAATACGTTCCATCGCCCGAAGACTACTATTACTCGCACTCAGACCTCTCCAACCAACTCCAACACCAACAAGTCCGCTCTTTAGAACTCGACCTCCACTCGGACGAAAACGGCGGCCTCTACTACCCTCCTCTCATCTGGACGCTATCCAACCTGTCCGACCCAGACACCACGCCCTTCAACGGCGCCGTGCTAAAGCAACCCGGCATCAAAATCTTCCACGTCACGGACTTCGACACCGACGCCGTCTGCCACACCTTCACCGCCTGTCTGCAGAACCTCAAGCAATGGTCCGACCGCAACCGCAACCACGTCCCCATCTTGATCGACCTGGAGCTCAAAACCGACGCCGAAGCCTGCATCATCGGCGGCGTCTGCCCGGGCGAAGCAACAAACTGGACGCTCCCGCGGCTCCTCAACGTCGACGCGGAAATCCGCTCCGTGCTGCCGAGCTCGCAGCTCCTCACGCCCGACGACGTGCGCACGCCCAGCCTGACGCTCGAGCAGAGCGTGCTGAAGCACGGGTGGCCGCTGCTCGATGACGTCCGCGGCCGCTTCATGTTCTACTTCGACAACAACCCCGAGGAGAACGGGACCGACGACCCGCGCACGCTCTACACCGCCAACGGCCACGCCTCGCTGCAAAACCGCGTTGTGTTCACCAACTCGCTCGAGGGCTCGCCCGACTGCGCGTTTATCAAGCACAATAGCCCGGACACCGCCGCCGACTTGGCGGAGATCCAGCGGCTGGTGAAGAAAGGGTATATTGTGCGGACGCGGGCGGATACGCCGATTGGCACGGTGCTGGCGCGGAATACGACGATGCGGGATATGGGGTTGAAGAGCGGGGCGCAGGTTGTGAGTACGGATTTCCCTGCTTGGGGCATGAGTGCGAGGTGGGGGTGGGATTATGCGGTGAGTTTCGGGGGAGGGAAGGTCGCGAGGTGCAATCCGGTGAGCGCGCCGAGGGGGTGTAGGGATGCGGATTTGGAGTAGGCGGTTTAGTCGGTGTAGCACAAGCATTTAAATTAGTACGTTGTTGTGTTGTGGCCCAAACGCCCTCGTGGTACAGAGAGCTAGACGCATTGACCAGGTTGCTCATTCGGTGATTGGAGTCATCGGTCAGCAGGGCCATTGGTCATGGCTGCCTAATCCCTCGTTGGCATGATGAGCTCCTGGTGCACGGCCACGGGCTATGACTGCAGGGGAAACAAATGCTGATCAAAGTGACCTGGGGCAGTCCAGACTTGTGAAACTATGTAGGACGTGGGTCGCACGCGCTCTTGGCGAATATTGGGGTGAGAGTGAGCACCTAAGTGTGTACGATGAGTTGTTTGAGTGCTGATGGAGCCGGGAACGGCTGATACATACACTGTGGTATTCGGCATTTGCTACTAATTCTCCACCTACTCGTGCCCATGCGTAGGGAGCCACAATACTCGCGAAGGCCTTCTATAGCCAATTGTACGCTATAGAGTTGCTAGAAGGGGCCGTGCGTAGCCGTGCATGACCGTGCGCGTAAAGTACACAAGGGTTCGGCTTCCAACATTGGGACTGATGCCTGCCGGAATGGCGTGATGGAATTGAGCGCAAGGCAACAAAACAGATGCGTTTGCACACGGCCCTGTTCATTCACCTGCTCGAGGTCATGTCGCGTATCCCCAAAAGGGACTAGCGCGGTCGCGTAATTAGCGTCTTGGCGGTCAACTTTTATAACCCGCCTGCACCTCGCCTTCTTTCCTCCACACCACTCTCGCGCCACTCACTTCTTACCTCTTTCCTCTGCCCCATTCTTCTTCCACTCATGACGGCGAGTCCGCGGCTGCGCGTCTCTTCTACAGAACTATGCGGGTGCGAGTCTGCCCATGGTACTCACGCGTACGCTTGCTGGTAGCCGTCCGGCCACTCCATTCTCTTCGTTTGCAGCCCTCTCCCTTTTTTTTCGCTCAGAGTCTCTTGTTGGTCTGTGTGCGTACGGACTTCGCTCACTTTTACTCTACTCGCCCCATTCCTCACTCTAGCATCTCTGAGCTCTTTCTCTATTCTTCCGGCTCTACTGTCTGGATTGGGTGATCCTCTCATGGGTTGGTGGTGATGGCATCCAACCGGCTTTGCCGGCCAGTTTGATAAGCCATCTCTGTCTTGGGCCAGCTCGCACCGGGCGAGTGTCGGCGCCATTTCAGGTCCCTTCGGCGCAACAACGATGTGTAGTCCTGCTTCGGCTGGACGGATGGGTAATCCACATGCCCAGATTCGGCCTGTGCTGGTTTGGCTCCACTGTGGTCCTCCTGTCTCCGCTATTTTGTCGCTGTGCGACTCGGTGGAACTCCGTTGCGTCGTGAACGGTCAGTTGGAGTCCGGGAGAATCCTCACCCTCCGACCTCTTTTCTTTCTTTTTCATTGACTCAACTGGCGCAGCCGGCTGTTCAAGGAAGGAGCGCCATATTATTGCTACACGTAATTGGGGTTTCACTCAGGACGTTAATGAGGAAGCACGGGCATCGAGCGATGGTCATTTCTATTACGTTGGTGTTATGGTGTTAGCTTGACTAGGTAATCTCTCTCTCTCCAAAATAGGCAGCAGCGCGCAGTGAATCTCTAGTGCCCTATCTTTTAGCGCGACAGGCAAACGCGTTTTTAGTGGGCCCCACTTTACTTCTTCCGCCTTAATGGTGCCTTGCAGTTATTTCTGTAGCTTCACGACCTGCGTGCGAACTACCTGTCCTCAACGCCATCGCAGTCATAAAGCCCAACCATGGCGAAGCGCGCGCGAGAAGAGCGAGATATTGACGGCGCCGACCGTCAGTCCAAGAACGCGAAAGTGGCAGTTGCTGAGAAAGCCGCGGCGGCGCTGGGAGCGGAACGGGGGAGACCGGAGGGTCAAGAAGAAGAACGACGTGAGACCGCGGCGACATCGACGAGCCACACAACCCCAGAGACAGACAGCGCTAGAGAGGATAGCGGAAAGCAGCGAGGCGCCTCTGTCCCGGTTCAAGCGTCGCGCTTGGAGGGTCTCCCAGCGGAGCTCGTGGAGCAGGTCCTCGACTCGGTAAGGCCCTAATCTAGACCCCATACTCAGATTTGAAGACTGACCTCCCCAGCTGGACACGGCTTCAAAAGCCACCCTCATTCATGCCATGGGTCGACAGCCGGGTACCTCCCACGGCTTCTTCTACTTGGGCTCGTTCATGTCCCTGACGATTGGCAAAAACGGCCTTGATGGCGCGATTCTCGACACACTCCCGAACTTCCTTGCTGAGACAAAGCATTTACACTTCTCCGTCGGTCCGTATTCCCGCGCGCAAACAGATCTGAGGCATGTGCTCGCAATGAAGCCTCCCAAAAAGCTGCGACTCTTGACCTTCCAAGACGGCAGCCGACTAGATAAGAATTCCGCGTGGGCCTTGAGGAATGCAGCCCTCAGGTCAGGCCTCCGCCTGCTCCACGTTCCCTCCCGATGGTATACGAGCTATTCCAATTCGCGAAAGCTGTATGAGGATCTCACGATTGAGATTCGCACGAGAGTACCAGCTGCCACCGGCTACATCGACCGAGAGATAGTCATACACCCGGAAGCATGCCCAAACGTATGCTCCGAAATCATCGGATCTGAGCCCGCCGCTGCCGCACTAGCAATAACGTATTCCCCTACGCTCGACGTCCAGTCTGATAACCGACCTCCCCTTCATACCGTACTGCGGTCACTGAAGTGGCGCCGTTCTCCCTGCCTGACCTCGCTCCGCTTGGAATCCGTGGACCTCTGCGGTTGGGATGCCTCGCTCACCTACAACAAGGGCACTGATCGGATCATATTCTCTAGCCTGCGACGGTTGGAGATGAATGAATGCAAGAACGAGGACCAGTTCTTCGACTGGATGTACCAACATTGCAGAATGCAAATGCAGACGCTGGTGTACTCGATGCGAAAGAAGCCAGCCCACCAGCCGTTTCCCCAGCTGTATGCTGAGGAGATAAATGTATTCACTAAGCTAATGCGCTCATTCACGGGGCTGAAGACTCTCTCATGGCACATCCCGCAAAACGCCCACAAGAAGACCCTTCGCGAAGTTCGTCGTGACATCTGCGACGGCACTCTCCTAGGGCGCCATGTTACGTTGAAAGAGCTGGAAATTGTTCTCGGGAGCGAACAGTTGAATGCTGGGGAGAGGCGGGCGGCGAGGTCACATTGCCCGGGGCTGAGGGAACCTGGCCAGGGTTAGATGAAGCAAAGGATCATCTCCGTTCCGTTGTGGGGACTCTGGGGGACGTGTATCAAGAAGTGCGCGGTGCGGTATATACGGCGGCTGTTCGCCTTTTGAATACCGTCCTAGGATAGTATTCTCTTAAAGGCTTCATCATATCAAAGGCACTATCGGAGGCCTCATTCTCGAGATTCAAGAACTTCTTCGCCTTATGAAAGACATGTTCTCATGCACTCATGCAACGGCTCCCAACTGCACTCATTTCCGATCCGCCGCTGTTTCTCTGATGACCTCCTCGTACTTTGGTAGGCTCCCGCTGCTCTCTCCTCCACGTCCCATAACAGCGCCTTCATGAGCCGGCTCGTAAATCGGCACAGTTATCAATGCTCGGATCCCCCCGCGCCGAGTGCTCACGAATAACCCGAAGCCCCACATCATTGCGATTTTCGTTCGTGCGTCCAGCGCGCCGAAATACAGGGTGCATGCGCAAAGCGAAGCGATAGAGGGCGTAGTAGAAGAGAGCGAGGCCGATAAGCACAGTGATACAATGGTTATTATTTTTGCGGCGCGCACGGTCTGGGCTTTTTCCGTGTGCTGTGTGTCGTTGTCTGTGCTTTTGTAAGACTTGTTTCAGCGTCCCCAGTGTCCTAGAAGACTACCCGACATGTTTGGGGATTGGGATATTGTAGGGGGTTAGCAGAGAACTCAGAGCTGCAGAAAAGCGACGGCGACCTCGAGAAGATGAGGTCGATTGACGCCGCCGTAGCGGACAACGCGGAAATGAGACATTCTCTCGCCAACAAGTACTCTCGTTCGCGGGGCAGCCCTTGTGAAAGACCAAACTCTTCACCATGCGTGCGGTGATGTGGCGTATGCGTAGCACAGAGCACGAGTGGCGTAGAGCGCAGAATGATCGGCCCAATCATAGAGTCCCAATTCTTAACTGGCTCGTGACGCCAAGGCGCTACCGTTCGCCGCTGGCTTTCGCACACGGCCCGCACCTCCTCCTCGAACGGCCCGCAATTCATCAGCTCACCATATTCGCTCCCTCGCTCGCTCGCGCACCGCAAATCTTCAGGGCTGAGCCGCATACGAACACTGATTGCCCGTGATGGTCAGACGAAATGCAGCCTCACCGCCCCCAGATGCCACATAATCCGCCAACGCTCAAGTGCACACGTCCTCCATAGGTGCCCGCATTCAGCCCGGCCATCGCAAACGGAATTACCCAGGATGCGGCTGCCTGACTTGAAGAGGCGGCGACGATGTACGAATCGCGTGAGGCATGTGGCGCCCGTATTCAGCTGAAGCGAGAAAGAGGCAACAAGGCAATAAGGCAATCGCGAGATCTCAGGACGATGATTTAATAAGTGCGTTGCGGTCGTCCGCTCTCCAGTCAACCTACCGCCGCTCCTACACCTTTCTTTACTTTTCAGTTCTAACCCCTCTCCGTTTTCGTCATGTGTGAAAGGGAGATTCCTACGTTCAATGCCCCTAATACCGGCCCGCTAAGTGTCAACGATGCCAAAGTACGAAGCGTCGTCTCTCAAACTTCAATTGAGGGAAAGAAGTACCATCCATCGCCTTGCGCGTGGGAGGACCAGCAGCTCTATTTCCTCCTCCCTGACCGCTTCTCGCAAGGCAACGAGAACGGTAGCTTGGATGTCAATGGCAAGCCCATTTCCGGGAGCGTCACAGCCTTCAGCACAGCGGACGATGCGAACGCCTTGGCGGAAGCGCAAGCCTGGCGAGATGCGGGCACCCTCTGGCAGGGCGGCACGCTCAAAGGGATTCAATCGAAGCTAGGTTATCTGAAGCGCATGGGCACGAGTGCCCTCTGGATTGGGCCTATTTTCAAACAATGCTCAAAAGATAAGCACTCCTACCATGGATATGCGGTGCAGGACTTCCTCGATATCGATCCCCACTTTGGCACCCGGGAGGATCTGCGCGACCTGGTGAAGGCTGCACACGAGCAGGGCATCTATGTCATTCTCGATATCATCCTCAATCACAGCGGCGACGTGTTCGCCTACAAGGGCGGCGGCAAACCATGGACTGGCCAGCGCTATGAAGTTGAAGGTTTCCGAGACGCTTTGGGGAATCCGACTCTGCCCTTCCGGCCTATCACGGCCGCAGACGGTGTCAAGAACCCCGAAGACTGTGCGATCTGGCCGGCAGAACTACAGAAGCCAGAATGTTTCACCCGCCAGGGGTCGATCTCGAACTGGGAGTACGACCCCGAGTTTCTCGACGGCGACTTCTTGAGCCTGAAAGACATACACCTCGGCACCGGTGATGTCGACAACTTCAAACCGAGCACTGCGCTTGAGGCACTCTGCGAGGTGTACAAATATTGGATCGCGTACGCAGACCTTGACGGCTATCGCATCGATACCGTGAAGCACATGGGCGATGGTCCGACACGGTACCTCTGCACCACGCTGCACGAATACGCCTGCGCCCTGGGCAAGGAGAACTTCTTCCTCGTGGGCGAAGTAACCGGCGGCCGCGCGTACGACGTCGTCCAAGTCACTGGGCTCGATGCTGCCCTCGGCGTCGGCAATGTCCAGGACAAGCTCTGGAATACCTGTAAGGGGAACACGAATCCGAGCGATTATTTCGATCTCTTCCGGAACGCAACGTTCTTGAAGAAAGGCTCGGATGCTTGGATGCGCAATCGGCTGGTCACCATGATCGACGACCACGATCAGGTTTGGAAGGGCACCAAAGCGCGCTTCTGTTCCGACTCGACGGGACAGAAGCTCGCCGTCGCAGCGCTGGGGCTCAACCTCACCACCCTCGGTATCCCCTGCGTCTACTACGGCACAGAGCAGCAATTCGACGGCCAAGGCGATAGCGACCGCTACATCCGCGAAGCCATGTTCGGCGGCTCGTTCGGCGCCTTTCGCTCCAAAGACCGCCATTTCTTCAACGAGTCCAATCCCGTCTTCCAAGAAGTCGCGAAGGTATGCGCAGTCAGGAAACAAAACCTCGCGCTCCGACGAGGACGTCAATACCTTCGTGAAATCTCTGCGAACGGAAACGGCTTCGGACTGCCGCATAAGCTGAACGGGCGGATGAAGTCGATCATCGCGTGGTCGAGAATCCTAGCCGACCAGGAGATCCTGTGTGCGATCAATACGGATACGGAGAGCAGCACCACGGCGTATGTCACCGTGGATTCGGGAATGCACGCTGTAGGCGACAAGGCGGAGTGCATATATCGGTCTAAAAAGGAAGGGGATGCGCCTGCTGAGACAGCGGAGGTTCTGGGTTTGAATGGCAAGTCCGTCCGTCTGACGGTCCCTCCGGCCGCGTTCGTGATGTACAAGATCTGCCCGTTTGAGCATGGGGGTTGAGACAGATGCAGCATGATGACCTTCTGAGACCTAGCAACTAGGTCCTTATAGTGTGTATGAAAAGCAATGGCACCGCTTTCTTGCAAGGTGGAATTCACTTAGAGCCAGGAAAGATGCTTGGTGGTGGACGGTGTGGGCCCAAAAATTGTAAGATGGTGTATTTGTTTCCTTGCGCCCGAGAACGCTGAAAACCCTCACAATAAACTATTCCAACACGCACATTCTTCCACGCAAAGACGTTTTAACTTGCCGGCCTTGGGCTTTGGGTGATCACGTGAGTATCAGGGCTCCTGGGCGGTAAGCCGGTTCGCTTACAGGCATCCAAGGTGTCACGCACAACAACCTTCATCCGTCCCTTCCACAACAACCCCTTAATCCATCCCTTCAACACCAACATCGACGCATCACAGCAATGGCCCGCATCACGGACCTCCCCAACGAGCTACTCGTTCCTATATTCGAAAACGTGTGGAGAACGTCGCCCGAGTTGGTGCTTGCGCTAGCCCTATCGTGCAAGCGCCTCCACCAGCCAGCCCGGACCGTATACTACTCCCATGTCTGCCTGTCATGGAAGTTGAACAGGAATTCGGCCCTCGCAAAATTCGCCAGTGGGAACGTAGGCAACGAGGCTGTGAAGTCGATAAGACTCTCGCCGCAAAAGGCCCTGCTCAGCGCCTTCAAAGTCGGTATGAAGAACGCGTTTGATCATATTGATGTGCTGTGTGCATGTCTCTCCAGCCTCCAGAACCTGGCCACCTTTTCGATATTCCTGGGAGTCCAGGTGGACAGACGATGCCTGCTCCCGGCGCCTGCACTTTCCCGGATTGTGCGCGCTCTCCCGGAATCTGTCGTCAACTTCGAGTTGGACACCGAAGGCATCGACGGCATCTATGAAAACAAGCCGAAGACGCCCTCGGACGTCCATCTGTGCCACGATATCAGCGAGCTGCTGCCCCGGCTGGAAACCCTTCGACTGCGAGTTTCCTGCATGTGCACCGAGCTCTTCCGCAGCCTGGAACCTGAGGGCACTCACCAACCAGCATCAAACCTCCGCTTAGCCGCCATCAAGCTCGAACTATATTCCGAAAGGGGAGTCGAAATTCCGAACACCGTCGTCAATTGCCAGGCGCAGTGGTCCGGCGAAGCGCACAGACGAGACGATGTGCTGCGCCCAACGAAGTTATTCGATCATCTCCTCCGCCTGCAATCGAAAGGAGCGTTCCCGCACCTCCAGCGCTTCATTCTTCTGTCCTGGTCGACCCAAAAATGCATCTGCATTCGAGACGTCGCGTCGCGAACCACGACGGAGTATCTGTGCATGAGTGGGCGCCTACAGAACAACCACTGGACGCCTGCCGACAAGGGCGAGGACAACTATATGATACGCGTGCTTGGCCGTGGGGATTACTATGGCGGTTCCGAGGAAGTAGCGAAGGCCATTATGCACGAGGTAGCTTGGACGGAGGAGCAGAATGGAGCGAGGCTGCCGCCTTCACGGCAGGTGGTGGCGGCGGAGCATCGGTTGGATACAAGCGTCCTCCAGTCCTACCAGTGGACTTAGGAACACGGGTCGGAGGTTTAACCATCAAATGTGGATAGAAAGGCGGGGAAATTGGACGAGGGAGAAGGGGAGCAGCATGTGATTGTCCAGCGCCAGCCGTGAGGAAAAGATGGGCTGAATTGGATCGTCATTCTTTCCCAGAACATGGAGGAGAGTGGAATAGGTTGGAAAAACGTTACTACAGGATATTGTAGAAAAGGTGCAGGAATTCGTTCGGCCCATGAGTTATCGTGTTGGCGTCATGCAAACTTGCAGTCGAACTCAATTCAATTCACGACTCGGGCAACAATAGTGAAGGACTAGCGCCCACATTTCGTCGCGGCCGTGACGTACTCCACCGGCCTCATTCCTGTTGCTCCTGCCTCAACCCTGCAGGGCTGTTCCAGCAAGCCTTCCTTCACCACGCAGTGAGTGGTCGCCCTATTACCCCACCTCTCCCTTTTGTCTTCGCCTGGGTCTTTCCTTTTTCCTACCACCTTCGTTGAGAGAGCCTCACGCCTGCTCAACCACGCCAAACTCGACATGGGCAGCAGCATGCTGCTGCTTCTGCTCTCGGCCGCTATAGGCCTTGCGGCTTCCGAGTCCAACGTCACGCTCTGGGGCGCTCCGCGCTTCTCCCTCGGCGATACGCTTCCCAACACCGACAGCCACGGCCATGTCTTCTCGGTGGCCGCCAATGTCGCTGATGCTCCGTCGTGCGGTAACACCAGCGGCACTGCCGATGGCCGCTCTATTGCCTATTATCAGGCCTGGAACATCCACACCCGTCCCTGCGACAAGGTGTGGCCGTCGCAAGTCAACACGGCCGGCCTCACGCACCTGACCCTAGCTTTCGCCTCCATCGACCCCAAGACGTACAGGATGCGCTTTCAGCGATCCGCAGACGACGACATATATCGCCAATTTGTGGCTCTCAAGCGCGATGGCCTCGAGACGTGGCTGGGTGTCGGCGGCTGGGAGTTTAGCGATGAGGGGGAGACGCGCACCACGTGGTCCGACATGGCGAGCACCAAAGAGAACCGGAAGGCTTTCATCGACTCAACGCTGGGCTTTCTCGACAAGTACGAGTTCCAGGGTCTCGATGTGGACTGGGAATGGCCGGCCGCCAGCAACCGCGGCGGGCGTCCTGAGGACACGCAGAACCAGGTACCTCAGTCGCTTCGCTCCTCCAGACCTAGGCTAACAATTATAGGTCGCACTGATGAAGGAACTGCGTGCAGCGTTGGGAAGCAAGTACCAGCTCACGTGTGTGCTGCCCCACGATAGCGGATACCTCAAGGGCATTGATATAAAGTCCATCGCCGAGCATGTCGACTGGCTCAACATCCTCACATACGATCTGCACGGCGCATGGGATGCAAAGCAACCGGTTAGTCTATTGTACTCACCATTTAGTCAGCGGTCCACTGACCGTCACTAGGAATTGGGTTCCAAGATTCGCCCGCACACGGACGTGAAGGAGATCGACGAGCACCTGAATATGATATGGGCCAGCGGCGTTCCACCTTCCAAGTTCACGCTCGGTCTCGCCTACTACGGTCGTGGCTACACGGCAGCTTCCTCCGATTGTCTCCACTATGGCTGTGACTTCACCGGGCCTAGCCACAAGGGGAATTGCTCGCAGCAAGACGGCATCTTGAGCAACTGCGAGATCAAGCGAATGATCAAGGAAAAGAATCTGCGGCCCGGCATCATCCTCGATGGCGCCAGTGCAATGCAGGTATTCTGGGATGACCAATGGATCAGCTACGACAACGACGAGACTATCGCCATGAAGAAAGGTCTTGCCAATAACCGCTGCATGGCTGGCACCGCTATCTGGGCCATCGACTACGACTCTTGCGACGGAAGGTAAGTCGCGTAGTCGTTGTCTCTTCTCGCCCTGTCTACTAACATGAAACAGCGGTCATCTTCCGCCTCCTCCCGATGTCTCGTCAGTCCAGCCAAGCGCTCCGACTCAGACCCGCTCAGTTGTGCCTTCATCAGTCTCTTCCGGTGCTTCCTCCAGGGATATCTCTAGCGCGGCCCCTAGTCCCACCAGTGTCGAATCCTCGGCTTCGTCCGGGGAGGATGGCAGCACATCCGCACCGACAGTTAGTCGGCCTGGCTCCTCCGAGGCTTCATCTGACTCGCCTCCGTCTACAACAATGATTGTTCCACCTCCAGTTGGCACGACTCAGCAGCCGAGCGCCACTCCATCATCTAGCGACATTTCCCGGTCCTCCGCTGCCTCCAGCAGCGTTGGTTCATCTCCTGGAAGCATCCGACCTAGCTCATCACCTTCTGTGCCGTCCTCTATTGGTGGGAGCACTTCAAGTGCCTTCTCCCCCAGCTCTGCCGAATCATCCCCTGCTTTGTCTAGTAGCAACTCTGATACTTCTTCCCCTGCTTTGCCTAGCAGCGGGTCTGGCACCTCGGTGGCGATCACGGATACGTCCTCATCCACGGGGATCAGCTCTTTGTCATCGTCGGCGGCTTCGGGGAGTGAGTCGAATCCCTCTGGCAGCTCTAAGTTCGCGCCGTCAAGCAGCCCCGAAAGCTCTTTCCAATCTACAGACGTAAGCTGGATGCCCACTGCGACTCCTTCATCGCTTTCATCGGGACAAGACCAGTCCTCAAGCTTGCCGTCATGGGCGACGTTGTCTTCGGATGCCAGCCTGTCGCTCCCTACTCCGCCGCTGCAATCTTCGGACGGGACGTTGTCATTCCCAACTCCTCCACCGCAATCCTCGGACGCTAGCTTGTCGCTCCCTCAACCGCCATCGCAGTCTTCGGACGCCAGTCTGTCATGGTCTAATACTCCCCCGCTGCATTCGTCAGGCTCAAGCTGGTCCCCCGGTCCTTCCCTGCCGCCGTCTTCAGATGAGAGCGGGTCGCGGCATCCTCCATCAATGACCTCAGGTTTAGACTCTTCCGGTGCGCCAGGAAGCTCAGCCCCACCGCAATCCTCGCGCCCGGCACCAAGCAGTTCCGCGTCAACCACTGCAGCTCCTGTTTCCGGTAGTTGCGCCGTTGCCACGCGTATAAGTGCATCCACTGCCTCGGTGAGCTACCAGTCCGTGCCTGACATCTGGAAGTTCCGTCCGGACTTCACGCTTCAGTGTAACAAGTGGCCGTGCACGTACTGGCTACCAACATTCACGTTATCAACACCGCAAACATTCGTCTTCGCGCCCATTATCGAGACATTCTGCAAGGTCAAGGGAGGCGCGACTTCAACGACTACAAGAGGAATCGAGTCGTGTACGGGTGGAACAATCACCAAAGTCCAAATCACGGACGTCTACGTGAGAGGTGGACACACGGAGACGTTCTTGTCGACCATCGGCCCAGTGGCCATCACCACGAGCGAATTCCGCTTCTACCCGCTTCCCCTCCTCCCATCTGAGTCTCTAATTATGCCCGTGCCACGCATTGTGCCAGAACCTCTCTGGATAACCTTGCCGGCCGAAGTCAACAAATGCGTTGATGAATGGCCTCTGGACCGGCGCTTCTGCGTGTTTCCACATGACCTACCTTTTGTCTGGAACCTCCCGTGGGAATGCTGTTTGCTCGACTGGTGCAGGCCCCTCTTTACCACCTTCCCATTCCCAACCGAGAAGCCGTCTGAGTGTGTCTTTTCATGGTGCGACGACTGGCCTTGGAATAGTATGCGTAGCCCGACACCCACCACGACCGACGGTCCCAAAATCACGCTTCCTCCCGAGTGTACCTTCGACTGGTGCAAGCAGTACAGCACGATACCTGTGCCAGTGCCACCGCCGGAGTGCAGTTACTTCTGGTGCACAGGATGGCCGTTGTGCATGGACAGGGCGTGCCGCGAAAAACCTACCCTTCCCGGCCCATTTCCAACCGCGGTGCCGCAGTGCTCCAAGGACTGTGTAAGAACTGTATGCTGCGCTGAATAGAACGAAACTGACGTGATGCAGGAAAAAAAGTGCCCAGATGGCAGCAAGCCTAGGTTGTTCGGCTGCGGCTGTGGATGGATGGGCCTTCCGTTCCCTTGCCCTGGCCCGGGCGGTGTCGAGATCAGTATTCCGGAATTCGACTCTGGATGTGGCCTCTTTGGTTGCCGTAGTGACGGTGGTGACGGTGGTGGGGTCTGTGCCATTTTTGGCTGCGACGGTAACAAAGCCCATGAGTATCCTCCTGGCGTCAGCTGACATAGCGATAGGCAAATGTGGTGTAATTGGGTGCGATGGGAAGTGCCTCATTCCTGAAGGCTGTGATCCTGGTTGCCCTGACAAAGTAAGTTGGATTTCTCAAGTTGTGTCTCGCGCGCAACTAACGCATTGCAGATATGCGGCGGTCCCAACTGCAAGAACAATGACTGTGGACCGAAACCAGGCGAGCCTTCACCGTGGCCCTCGGATCGACCAAAAAGCTGCCGCCGGGAAGAGTACACAACGGTCACGGAGGCCTTCGTTTCCTGTGCCAAATCCGCCTCTGTCAATAATGGGACAGCAACTACCGCGACAGAGTCCTGTACCACCCTGTTCGCTGCCACGATGTCGGGTTGCCGTCTCAAAGGCATGACGACTACGACATGGCGAAGGTCTACGACTACCGCCAGCTGCCGTACGGAAGACTACACGACAATTACAAACCCCGTCGTTTCTTGCACCAATTTTGTCTCCATCAATGGGACAGCTACTAGAGCTACCGCCGCCTGTACCACCATGTCCCAGGTTACTATGTCAGGCTGCCGTCTCACAGGCACGGCGACTACGACATGGGGCAACTCAACGACGGCAGCCCCGGCTTGTACCTTGGCGCCGCTTTTATTGAACGACGACGAAGGGGATAATGAAGGCATTCCGCCCGCGGTGAACTCCACTACCTCGCGCAATTCCACGACGACAGCCCCAGCTTGTACCTTGGCGCCGCTTTCGTTAGACGACGACGAAGGGGACAATGAAGGCCTTCCGCCAACCAACGGTACGACAAGCTTTTCGAGCATTTCCTTCTCTGGTACGAGAACTCGCGGTCCCTCGACTCTGCCTTCTCAAACCGCCCAGCAGAGTTCCACCTACATAGAACCTGCTCCGAGTCTGATTCAGTATCCGAGGCCTTCAGGACCTCCTCAGAGTTCCACTTACATAGACCCTGCTCCGAGGCTGACTCGGTATCCGAAAGCCTCACAGGTCCCGGAGAGGTCGACTTATATAAGTCCCCCTCCACAGCTGACGTCGTACCCAACTATTACTATTCCCCCTTCCACCACCTCATCGGCTCCTCCGGCACCGACACATTCTGCGAAGAATATCCAGGACGGCGGTAAATGGATCATCAAGTTTCACCAGGTGATTTATCCAAAAACGAAGTTCTCGGCCGTGTTCTGGACGCTTATCGACTCCAACGGTTTCGAGGCAGGCGCAGGCACGAGCTCTCCCATCGAATGCAAAAACAGGCCCCCGCAGGATTCGCTTCCATTCAAGATTACCATGAACGTCGACAAGCAAACGGATATTGGTGCCAATTTCATAATGTTCGTCACGGATGGCCTGGACCTGCCAGACGGGTGCATACCAGCATGGTACACCGAGCAAACTCGAACGGGCGGTAAGAAAGCATGGAAGTGGTGTTGCTCCCAGGATGGATACACAAAGGAAAAATTTGGCTGCGACGACCTGCGAGCCCACGGTAAGCTGTGGCGCTCAATGGAGGACAAGGGTGACGGCAAGGGTTGGGAGCGCTTCTTTGAGTGCTATTTTGAATGGCTGGGCCATGGCCCTGTTCATGGCTTGCCGGGTGGGAATCTTCCGGAGGCTGTGTTGGGGTTTCCACCAGGGGAAGCTTGTGGTCCCGACTAATGGGGCTCTGGAAGAATTTGCATTGGTAGGCTACTTCCCTGAGTGCGAATGGAAGGCGACGACGGAATCTTGATGGGTATTAGAATCTAGTCGCTCCCTTGGTTGACTTATGGGGTAATATCGCTGGCGGATCTAGTAGAGATATGCTTAGCTCGAGTTAGGTACGGGTAACATACATCCAGTCATGTCCACAGACCGTACCCGTTCGTGGGTCTCGTGTAAATACCGTGTTCATGCGATTTTGTTGGTTTTCCTGCGGTTCATTGCGCTCGGGGTGTAAAGAATGCAGAGTCCTTTGCGAGTATCCGCGCCATCACGAAGTTTAATGGAGCAACATGGTCTAGAGAGCAGGACTACATATTTCAAACTTATTTCATTGTGTATAATATTGCTCCTATAGCAGTTCATCTCTCGTTGCTGCAGCAGACTGTAGTCCATTGAGATGATGCACCAGGTCGAAGGGACAAAGCGCCAGATCACTCATGACATGACAGTCCGCTCGATTCGTCTCAAACTCCATCCAGGCCATCCCAAGCCCAAACCCACGGTATGGCATTCAACCACCCCTTCTCCCCCTCCAACCACCCCGTCCCCGTCCCCGTCCCCGCCCTCCATTCCCACCCCGCCCCGGGAAGAAACTCGGCCTCCCCTCCCACCCATTCCGATACCACTTCTCGCCCATCTCAAACCACCGCTCCAACGCCGGCGTAATCTCCACCTCCGCGCTCGCGTCCACGCTGGGCTCCCGTACCCGGCGTATCATAAACAGCTGGCTCTGCGTCATCGGCATAACCGAGTACCCAGCATCCACGCTCTCCTCCACGCTGCGCTTCAAGAACGCGCCAAACTCGTCCTTCGTCGGCATCTCGCTGATCCCCATCGCCTCCAGGAAGCCCGGGAACTCGCTGATCGCCCGGATCTGCCGGATCTGGCGCGCCATCGCCGCGGACGTGCCGGGCGGCGGCGCGCCGTGCGTCGCGAACAGCGCGTCGCGCAGCTGTGCGAGGGACGTGTCGGGCGTACGCGCCGTGCTGCTGAAGAGTTTGAGGAACATCAGCAGCCGGTAGGACGTCCGGCCCGCCTCGAACGTCCTGCTGAGCCGGTAGTCTGACTCGCACCCGGGCTCGAGATATGCGAGCTCGGCGTGCCCGGCGCCCCGCGCGTCCAGCATCCAGACGACGTTGCGCAGGACCGCTTCCTTGATGATGTGGAAGACGAGCGTCTCGGTGAGGCCCGCGTCGGACAGCAGCGCGGCGACGAGCAGGTGCCCGAGGTCGGGGAAGTGTGCTTTTCCGCGCGGGCCCGCGAGGAAGCGCACCACGGTGCGGTTCGCGGAGGTGATGAGCACGGGGTCTTCGGTCGCCAGGCAGAGGAGTAGGTGGAACAGCGCGAAGTACGAGTCTACGGCTTTTTCGGAGGCGTGCGTGAGCGTGCTGCGCGCGTCTGCCGCGTGGGCGTTGGAGGGACGGTCTGCGTCCGCGGAGAATTGCACCACGATGGTGGTCATGAAGTGGAACAGCACGTCGACCGGCTGGCTGCCCTCGAGCCGCGCTGCGGCGTGCAGCTTCTCCAGGCTTAGTGCTGCGTCGCGCCGCACGGCGTTCCAGTGCCGCTGGGAGAGGGGGAGTGGCAGCCAGTGCGTGAAGGGGACGCCTTGGATGGACTTGCGCACGCGGAACTGGGTGAAGGCTGAGGCTGAGAGGAGGTCGAATTCCGAGCGGAAGACGGCGCGCTTGCCCCCGCTGCTGCTGTGGAGGCTGATGCCGATACCGAGGTTGGTGGCTAGGAAGGACTTCTTGAGCACGAAGCATTGCAGTTCGCGGATGCGGATGAAGTCGTAGGAGTGCAGCATGTGTGCGATGGTGGGGAGGGCGGAGGAGAGGGAGAGGATGTCGGAGGTGGGGAGGTGAGAGAGTAGGAGCAGGATTACTTCGTCCGGGAGGTCGAAGAGCTTCGAGGTAGTCGTGGTGCGCGAGAGCTGCTGGGACGTAGCGACGGACTTCTTCTTCTCCTCCGGCGGCGGCGGCTGCGGAGTCCACGAAGCGCCGAAGCCGCACGTGCTGCAGTAATGCTGATGCCGGGCGCGTCGATAATCCTCATGGGCGCGGCTCTCAGCCCGGTAAGTCGAAAGCTCGACCACACCCCCATAGTCCTGCTCTATCACCTCGCTCGAGAAGAAGCTCAGCAGCTGGATGACGATGCCCTTGAGCGTGTACGCCGGCGTCCAACCCTCGGCCGTGTTGAGCATCGACGCGCAGATGTAGTTATTGAAAACGTTGGGGTGGTCGACGGCGCTCTGGATGGTGACGCTGGGCGCGCGCAGCGGATAGTTGTCCGGGAACGTGATGGTCAGGTGCAGCGGCTGCTCATGCTCGCTGGGCGTGAGGATTAGGCATGTTGTGGTGATGTCCGTTGGGTTGATGTGGAGGTGCACGTTTGGGTAGGGGTCTTGCTGGATCTCGGCGATGTCGTGGAGAAGACGGCGGTGGAGGCCGGCTGGTGTCGACGTCGTCATAGTTGCGCCTGCAGATGCGGATGCGTGGCGGACGGGAGTGAGAGAAGGATGGATTGACGATCGGAGAACTAGTATTTCTGCCCAGTCAGCGATGACTCCGAGTTCAAAAGTTGAGGAGGCGATGGAGGGTTTTATGCAGAGGAGCGGAGTTGTCAGGTTGTCAGGTGGTTTTGCAAAGGGCGCCCGTGCGCAGGTGGTGAAGAGAGTGAAGCGGGAAGGCGGCGAAATCGGTTGCCTATTCGGGCAAGTGGTGAGGCTGAAGCGCCCTTGCCAGTCTCAGCCACAACTGGGCTCTCGAGCCAAGGGCGGACCGCTATTTCCATTCCGCCTAATTCTCTTCCATCCCGACACGGAACTTCTTGTTGCCCTTTTCTGATGCGTTACCAGGCGAGGGGCCAAACCTTGGAAGTTATCCAGACTCACCGTTCTCAGAGATACGCTGGATTTGGGGTATTGCATCATGCGCCAAGGCGCCAGCGGGCCTGGTCGGATCACGTGGCCCAGCCCCCATACCCAGGGTCATATAGCGCGCCTTCTGCTACTTTTAGTGAATAAAGCTCCTTTTCTCCCTTTCATAAGGATATGAGTTTGCACCTTTTCAAACGCGGGGGAAAGCCATTTCCGTAAGCGGCATAGCGCCGCCCTATTACCCGCCTCCGCCGTGGCTGGGGCTCTCGAACTCAGTCACGACATCTCTTCTCCACGGCTCCCCCCCGCCCAAGCCTAAGCACCGTTTCTCTTTCGCATACTGAGCCGCATTGTGCTATGGTTGCTCGACCTTGGCTACACTCTCCTTCGCTTCGTCGAAAAGGCCTTCTGCCCTGGAAGTTTCAGCCCGACATTGTCTGCGACGCCCGCTTTCCATTTGGTCTCCCACTAAAGCGTGTCTTTTCTTATTCCGCGTCTTTCGTAGATCAGACTTGCTGAGCGGAAATGGAGCTCCGATCCCCGGGGTCCATTAAACGCACCGAGAAGGCCGCTGGTGGACGGGATGCGGCAGGGCAGGAGCCCATGAAGCCCCGCCAGCCCTTGACGGCAGATGGTGCTCTAGCGGACACGGCCAATGATAATCACCAGGCAAGTTCAAGTCCTTGCGGCCAGCATACGGATCCTTACGGGGTCAGATCAACGGTTTAGGACATCTTGCTCGGATTGACGAGCATGAGCTCCAAAGGAAGCGGAAAGCGATGCAGTTGCAACTCCGTGACTTACGGATGGCGATTGGGGCATCTCGCTGGCCCAAGGTGGAACAGACGAAGGATGCGCCATCCTGGGGCGCCTTCTACCCTGGAAAAGTTCTGGTTGGACGGCACCGTGGTCAACCCGTCTGGGCTTTTCTGATCAAGGCCACGGAAAGAGGCGAAACAAAAGTCTGCTACTGTAGCGATGACGGCCTGACACTGACATCCTCGGCGCCAGGCTCGGTCTTATCCTGGAACATCTCCTTCAAGCCGTGGTGCGTCCTCATCGTGGAGCCAAGTGTTGATCCTGTTGGCTGCGTGGGTGCGTGGTCAGACCGCGCAAAGACGGTAATAAAACTTGCTCTGCTTGATGCAGGGCATTATGATGGCTCTTCGACCCGATATGACAAAAATTTTACCACCCTCTTGAATATTATACGTCGGAATCCCATGTCCATGGAAGATTCAGCGAAGGCTCCAAGCACTGACGCGACTCCGGGAAAGGAACGACCCCAGTCAGCCCCGTCCGAGCGACACCAACCCTCTCCTGTGTCCGGCGTCCGAGACCATGCAGCTGCGTCCACCCCGCCTCTGGCCGCTGTGGACTCCGAGGACACCCAACCAGCCACATCAGCGGAGCATGGCGGCGCAACAGAAGCACATTTTGCCAATGTAGCGAGTGACTGCATCGCAAAACTCAAGACCGTTATCCCGTCGCGCTTCTGGTTCAAGGTCTACGCGTCGGAAGACCACAAAGGAATTGACGCCGATCCCTTCACAGGCGGTAAAGTGCTTCTCGGACGTACTAACGTTTGCTCGCCAAAACTACCCGTATGGGCGTCTTTCACAACAGGCATATGCATGGTATACTACTTGGATGATCAAAAGCGAGCCCGACAACATCCGGACGGCCTCGATGGCCCGATCAATTTCGAACCTATCTTCCATCTTCTAACGGACGAAGACCATACAGTACTAGCCAGGCGCCACCGGGCCGCGATGATCAGTGTCCTAGTTCGTCTCGCGCTGGTAGACGCTGGATGGCTCACCGTTCCTGCTGCGAAACTCGATGGGCCAATCTCACTAAGCTTGGTATTGGATGTGGTCCAGAAGAATTTGGCAAATGGAGGATTGCAACGATTGGAAGCCGCAGAGGGGGAGACCGCGCTACAACCTCAAACCAGGGAACCTCCATCGGCTACTCAGACGTCAACGCTTGATGCCCACCGGCCGGAAGGAGCCGCTCAACCGGACCCCGGAGCTCCCGCGGCTACAGGCCCTACTTCACTAGGTGGTGCGGGCTCCCATGCTCCTGGTGGCGGAGTCAACCATAATGCTACAGGGTCTCGATCGAACGAAGTCATCAATATGCGCATTAGGAGTCTTTCTCCTGACCCATCAGCATCAGCACCGAGCTTCGGGACTCCTCATGCTTCAGGGATAGCACAAGGTCAAAAACAGACTCCAGAACGTGTGAACGAAGAAGAGCACCCAGTTCTTCGTTCTTCTCCTGACCGGAGCATCCGGCGAAAGAGTCCTTCGGTCATGCTTCCATCAAAACGACCTCACGATACCGCACCATCCGAGGAAAAAGATAGCTCACCGTCCGATCACAGAAGCAAGAGAAATTGCTCGGTTCTTCAAGAGACCGAAGGCAGCGCAACGACAAGCCCCACGAAGAGCACGGGTACTGAAGCCGCTGGCAGTAAATCCTCCGAGCGCCATTCGACCATCGAGCCGCGTGACAAGAGAAAAGAAGCCGGCGAGAAATTCAGACAGCAAAACAAGCGGCTCATAGCAGACGTGAAGACCCTCACAAAAGTAAAAGATGACCTCGAGAGCCAACTACTAGATACGGCAACCGAGCTCGACAACGCTGAAATTGAGAACTTCGAGCTAAAAATGCAACTTCAAAGCGCCAACAAAGAGAGTCAAGATCTGAGGAAGAGCTTAAGCGAGCTTGAGACGAAGCATAATGTGCTTAATGTACGGCTTATCAAAGCAGAGGCGGAGAAGCAGATGCAGAAGGTAAGATGCCTAGACACCGCACATCCGTCAACCACACCGCCCTAGATATCCAAGATCAAAAGCGCTAATGAAAATTACACAGGCCGAAATCGACGAGCTCAACGCCAAACTCGAACGCCGTAAAGAGCTTTCCTCCATGTCCCTCGATCTGCAAAGCAATCTGAGAAAGATGCACCGGGACTTAGAGGCCAGCGGTCTCGCCTACGCGGTGAAGTGCCTGGAAGTCGACTTGATAGAGAAGGGCGAGACTGAAGAGGCGGCCAAGGAGCGCTCGAGGCGCGACTGTGATAAGATATTCGAAGAGGACGATGGAGGCAGTGTAGATCTTGATTTAGTATATGGCGATTGAATAATGTCTTCGGCCACGAGCAAGGTGGAGGAAGGTTCACGGTACCAACGATGTGGGAAGCTTACTCGGCTGTAGGTGTAATGGAGTACGACGCTAGTAGAGCTTAGGCTCGAAAGGCACGTTATTTCGGCTCTGTTGGGTACTACCCCTTATTAATATCATGGTTGGATAAGAGAAGCAAGAAGCGTTGCATGCATGGAGCCACTTTCCCTACCGTGGCGCGCACACACCTAGCATTGCGACCCTTATACCACGACGAGATATCGAAATTCTGCCTTTCCTTTCCAAACGTCGTGGAACGTGTCGGTCCGCCACCGTTAAAACACAGTGGTAACAGGTTGGAAACAGCCTGTGGCACTGTACGGGACCATCTTGATTCGACATTACGATCTTTCACTAAAATTATTATCTCTTTCACCTTCTCGGGCACCGGACGCTAGTCATGCACGTTCCAAGGACTCCTGACTAAACAATGTTCGAGTCACCTCGGCGGCGAAATCTTCTACCGTGAAAGCGATCCTCGGAAGTGCGCCCTTTCGACTACATAATGCTCACATCCTAAGACCATCATCGTATCCAGTTCCTCGCAACCAGTCCTACATCGAGAAGGCACTACTTACAAGAACCCCACCCACGCGCGACCGCTCCAGAGATACCCCCCGCACAACCTTAGTCCCAGTCCCAAACCTCAACACCACAGTTCAAGATGGGCAAGAAAGGCAAGAAGAGCCACGTTTTCGCACCTAAGAAGACCAAGTCGAAGAACGTCCCCGCTTCTAAGAGCGCGCCGGGGCCGTCGCCGTTGATGAGCATCGAGGATATCAAAGCGATGATCGAGGACCCGCAGGTGTTGATGACGGCAAGTATTGACACTATCGCGGAGGCCCGCGCCACACTCCTTCCTATTGGCGACTCTGCTTCGGGCTCTCAGCTGGCGGAAAGCAACCTCGAGCAGGTGTTGGAAGTTCCCGACAATGTGTCCGAAAAGGTCCCCCTGGACGAGGCTGGTAACGAGGGAGCTATGACGCCGGCGATCTCTGGGAAAGTGGTAGTGCAGAAGATGACAGAGGCACGGTCACACGACACGGGAGAGCCCTCAGCAGCGGAACAAATAGCTGCCGTTATGGGCCTCTCTTCTATTACGTCTACGAATTCACCATCCCGAAGCCAGGAGACGTTCCTTCATCTCAAAAATAACAAGGATCCAGTCGGCAATGCCCAAGAGTCCGAATCGATGCAACCTCCATCTCTGCAGCCGAACGAACAGGGCATCGGCAGCGCCAAAGATCAAGCAGAAGGGAACACCGCAAATAGCCCCAAGCTCTGGCAAGGCGTCTCCAGCGAGAACCATCTTGGTTTCAAGTTTGACTTCAGAGCGCCTCTTCCTTCGCGGCGTGTCAAAATGGCTCGGGGCCGTTCCCGAGGCTGGAGCACCTGCATAGAAGATCGGACCAAATCCCTGTTGACAAACAACTCCGCGCATCTGTTCGAGCGGGGAGATGGGCTCGATGCGGTATCCGCAATGCCGTCACCATCGCTGCCGACTCCCGAAACTGGATCCTTGCCCAATAGCCGAGTCGAACACCAGGTTGAGCCGAACGACGCTTCGCCGAATGCTGAAGAATCATCCACTGGCGAGGAGGCAATAGGCACTCTCCCATCACCTGCTTTGACGGATGAGCCACTACACACGCTTGATCCGCCAATGAGCAAGGCCCCCTTGAGCTATTGCACCTACACTGCTCCCGCCCCGAGTCCGGTCACCCCTTCGCCCAAGAAGCAGCTCGTTGGCTGTGAAACCCCGGTACCACCGCCGAAGCCTGCCGAGAACGCTCGTCTCGACGACCACAGCACTTCTTCGCCCTTGAAGCCGACCGCTTTGAAGAAGGAAGTCCAGCCAGACGCTCGAGCGACCACATCACTCTTAAGGCCAAGCCGCGATACCAATATGGCAACCACGCCTCGAGCACGCATCACAGCGACACCCAAGTTCCCCGCAAAGTCCGTTCTGAAACCCACGGCCGATGCCAAAGATGCTACAAAGTACTCGAAGCTAACTATGGAGACTCCGTTGAAAGATAGCGGAAATCGGCCTCCTATGCCATCCTCCAACCCGCAGCGTGGACTACCATCGTTCGCTCGGCCTACCGCAGCATCGGCGAGTCGGAAGGAGAACATAAAGCCCACGCCTGCCTACAACGCGCATGGCAGCCTGAACTCTAGCCCGCATACTACTCGCAAGCCGTCCTTAAATGGCATATTCAACAAGAAGCCCACCGCGAAGTGGTCGATACCAGCGCCCAAACCCCCGGCCCCGCCGCATACCCCAGACACAGCCATGAAGAACACTAGCGGTGAGACAGCTATTAAGCCTGATCCCAACCCGACGCGACCAATAAACAACGTCGTCTCCGCCGACGGAAGCTCGCAGAAGCTGACCACCCGCACGTCGACATCAACGAAGATGGCCTCGCTGGCAGACATGCTACCCACTCCATCCCCCTCCCGGACCCCCACACCCTCCCAGGCATCCCCATCCCCAAAGACCAAAGCCCTCCAAGCCATCAGCTTTGAGATGGACACCACGCTGCTCGGCACGACTTCTTTCAGCGCCTTCATCGCGAACGTAACCCCGAGCAGCGAGGACAAAGTCACTCGGGCCGCGGCTGCAAAAGCGTTTATGCTCTGCGTCGCGCGGGAATGCGCTCTGAAGAAGGACGATACTGAGTCGTCGAACCAGAGCACGGACCAGCATATCGATGCGGCTATGGCGGAGCGCTGGCTCGATCCTGTTGTGAGGCGGCGGGCGAAGCTAGGGGCGGTCTCTCTTGCGGAGTTTGAGGAGAGTTTGCGGTTTAGCCGTGGGGAAGTGGCGTATGGAGATCTGTGGGAGGCTTGGAAGATGGCGGCTGCCCGGAAGGAAGAGTTGAAGCGGCCTGCGGTTGAGGTGGGCGCTACTGGGCCTGTGAAGCGTTAGTTGCTTGAGGGTCACTACTTATGGGCGACCACCGTGTTTGTTTATTCGTCGTTCCTAGAGTTAAACGGGGTACGTTATAGACGCCCAAGATGCTGAGGGTCTTTCTGAAGGGAGGCTTTCCAATGATGTATTTGATGGAGCAACGGAAACGAACAATATATGACTACATCCCTGAGGCATAGAAGTTTCGATTTACGGTCACTATAGCAGGTCTACTCAGATGCAGGTAGACTAGCACACCACACGCGAAGCCTTCCATAGGTTAACAAATCTGAATATCCAACGTTCTTGGAGTAATTTACCTCGCACTCCCCACCCGACCAAGCTCTTCACGTCTTCATCACAGTGATCGTGTGCACATACTTCACCTTCCCATCAATCACCCTAATCTCATGCGTATCCGGCAAGTTCCCCAAGCTATCAAACGAACACATGACTTCCACACTTCCGACCGACTCATCAATGACGTATCTAACAAAGCTAGTCAGCGACTCCATAGGGTGTGAAGATGCGAAAAAGAATGTACCGTCTCATCCCGTTGTTCTTAGCGCTGCCACCGTGGGGCAATGCCTTCCCGCAGGGGTTGGTGTACTGGCTCCCTTCCACCCTCTCACACTCCGTGCCCCAAGGAATACTATCGGCGGCTTTTGCGTCGGTCCACATGTCGAGGTACGCATCGCCGACTTTCTTCAGTAGCTCGCGGGAGGGGCGCGAGGCGGTGGCGTTGATGGTGCTCCAGTCCTCTTTCTGGATATATCCGAGTGTTTTCTTCGCGTCGAAGAACAGATCTCCGGTTGTGGCAGCGATAGTATCGATCATGCTGATAGTCGAAGTGTCGTTGTCGGCGTGTCGGAGCTGCGTTCCCACAACGTACGGCTTGCTGCCAGCGCTGCTGATCCACATGGTGTAGCTTGCGCATTCCAGGGGATCGGCGGTGGAGCGGCTGAGGTCCATCTTGTAGGCGGTTGCAAGCACGCCTTTGGAAATGTCGGAGACTTTGTTGTTTTGGCGGTAGGTGAAGTTGGAGGTTGAGAGCTTGAGGTCGGTGTATTTGCCGGCGGTTTGCGCGGCGATGTAGGACTGTGCGGCGGAGAGGAGACCTTCGCGGGTGCAGTCTGCGGCCATGGCCGGAGCGGTAATTGCCACGATTGTGGCTGCAGCCCTGAGAACCGTAGTCTGTAGCATCGTGTTTCGGGTGTGATGATGACTAGGAAAGAGACGTGCGCGGATTTCGCAGATCTCGAGCTGTTCGATCTACGAGGTGGTCGTGCATTATAAAGATGCAAATACCAGGTTACCGATCCACCGACTAACATTTGCCGATCCGTCTTTACGCCATTGTGAGATCCGGAGATAGTGCTGGGGTAGTTTGCGGGGCTCGCTCCACCGGTAAAATGATCGACCATGAAGCGCAGATTAATTGATGCTTATAATTGGGAAGCTTTTAAGCGCATCAATATAGACAAACCACTGTCAATCAACTTAAGCAGAAACTCGGGAGAAAAGAATATCATTGGGCGAGGAGAGGAATGACTTACTGCCTAGCTACATATACTCTATTTCGACTCCAGCGACGGCAACTGCAACCTCTTTCACCTATCGTGGGCCGGCCCCAACTGCTGGCGTGGCGCGCGGGCTCGCCAATGGCTTGGCCGATCCCAGAGTTCCCGTATGCATTGGAGCTCGCCCTCCGCCCCGGTAAGCACAAAACTGGAATCCCTCTCCTCGTATTTCTTCTTTAACCTCGTAGCGACGCGGGCTACATGGCCAACAAGTACCAAGGGCGGTTCAGCGTGAAATCCCAGCCACCCAGAGCCCCAAGCTAAGACTCGATCGCAGTTGCGCAATGGAAGGTCTGAAGACCAGCGATGCGGTTGTAGCTGAATATCCTGGGTAAGCAGCACGGTGAACCAGTGCATAACGGTGAGATCGCGGTCGTTGGAGAAAGCCAGGCTGTGGTGAATGAGGTGCCAATCAATATCTCCGTTAGCGGGTATCTGTGCGTTGACTGTCCACCAAAGGCGGGCAACATCGTCGCTGATATGCAGTCCGTGGTCCCACCCCACGAACAAGAGCATCTTGATCGCAAGACGAACCAAAGGCAGTAAAGAAAGCGGGAGAGCTTGGTGAAGGGCTCGAAGGAGAATGGGAATACGGGGCCACATGACGCTCAAATCCGTGTCTTCAATGGCGCGCTCAAGCGCTATGGCTATGAGCTCGGCTGTGATGTTTTCGTAAAAGTTTTGAGGCGATTGTTCCGGCCAGTGGATGAGGTACATGGCTTTCCAGATGGCCTGAGTAAGTCGGACGAGTCCATTGATATCCTCCGAGCATAAAGATTCCCAAGAGCCGAGGAAGGCAATCCCGTTGACCAAGAACTCAACTCTGGGGCGTGGCTCGATTGGAGTTTCGTGATGACGATACAACTCGTGTCGGCACGTAGGACATGTGCTGCGCGCTTCAGCGTCTGTCCATCTCCTGATGCAGTGAATGCAGGCGTAGTGGCTGCAAGGCAGCCGGATGGGAAAGCGATCGCTGAGATGATAGTCGTCGTAACAGATGGGACACTGTTTGTCAGGTTCCACCAGCGTTCTCAAGAATTCCTCCTTGGAGAAGAGTCCGGTATTGTTGGGGTCCGCCATAGGGATTCCTGGATAGGTGTCGTGAGGAAAACTACCTGCGCTCTCGCTGCCTCTTAAATAAGCCAAACAGGTGCCATGTTTCGTTCTAGCGAGACATCGCAAAGAGGTGTACAAACCGTGGCTACAACTGCCAACAAATTGGACGTGGTTCGGTACTGCAACTGTAGAACGCTAACACTGGTCTGGCTCTGGTAGCGAGAAAGCGCACAAGGCGTCGTGAAGACACCGTCTCACTCACCGAGACCTGCGCTTAATTCGGAAGTACGCAATGAGTTGTTTCAGCAGAGAAACTGTCCCAGCCTTACGTGAATGTTTGATCGCATGCTGGTGAAGCCGATGCAAGGTGACGCGTGGGTTGCGCCTCAACAAAAGAAATCAGGGAGTGCCGAGAGAGAGACGCATTGTGTGGACGAAACTCTATCCCGATTGAAGTTTAGATGGTGCCTGACGATGAGGGAGGGAAGATGAGGACGAGGGCTGAGACGAACTGGAAATTCCAGGGTATTTAGACCACGCTAGTCCCAATACGAACTAGCTCGGATCGACGCAATCCACCCGCCCAGGCGCCTCCTGTCTCTCCTCTCGTCCTTCCGATTATCATCCACCATTAAGCATACTTTGATCACTCGCAGTTCCTGAACGCAAGTGAAATTGATTTTGTTAGAAATCTCCTCGGGGCGATCGCCCTGCTATCCTTCATCAAGCTCGTGCGAAAGTATGGCTAGTCGACAGCATTGTTGGCAGACCGCAATGAAAGAATACAACGAAAGATGCCGTGCTCGCAGAAAGCGCAGCCCTGTAGATGGGTTTGAGGCACGCCCTAGAGCCAAAGCGTCGGAATTAGTAACCAAGTGAATAGAGTTTCGCTCAAACATCCAGCGACGCCCGTTACGATGATGCTCCCATCGCCCAAGCGCTTGTGTTTCCCATGGCTTTATCAGGGGTCCTAAGCAGATCCTTCGTTTTGAATGGCAGACAAATCGGTGAATGCGTTGTTCACAGTGACCTGCGCAAACGGACCACCCACAAACGGCATTCACGATGCAGCACCAACAAATTCACCATCTACTCCAGGGCCTTCGCCAACCTGCTCATACAATGGACTACATAACCTTTCGCATTCCAAACCGCAACTCCATCGCAGTTTGCAAAGAACCCGGCCATCAATATGGACAACTTCATGAACCGAGATCTCAAACCCACCGAGACCTGCGTCATCTGCACCGAGCCCTTCAGCGAGACACACCAGCCCGTCGCTCTCCCCTGTCGCCATATTTTTGGCCACACATGCATCAAGAAGTGGCTGCGCAACGGCCGCGGTAACACCAACAGCTGCCCGTTCTGCAGACACATCATCTTCGACCAAGCAAGCCAATCCACGTTCGACGCGGCTTCGATATGGAAAGCGCTATGCGAGCAGCCCCCAGAACGACTCCACTCCTTTCTCTCGGCAATGTGGGAAGGTATCCGGAAGCTGTGGCAGCGGAGGACCGGCATGTCGGGGACCTTTACCACTACGCAGATTCTCGATGAGGCTGCTATTCCTGCGTTGGTGAAGCTTTCTGGTAGCGGCGAGGGTCCGTTCATGGACTGCTTCAACCTCGTTGCTGCATCTTGGGATTCCTTGGGGCGTCCGGATAATGCGCAGGGCCTCGCCGTGCCACTCGTTCGCCTTGCGCGCCTGATGTCGCAGGCTTCTGGCGTGCTGCCGAGGTGGCTCACCAGCGTGCAGCGCACGAACTTACTGTTCTGGAGGGCAAACGCAGCTCTGGGCTTGGCCGAGGAGAATGTCACATGGGACCGCGTTATCGAAGCCGCAAGCCTGGAAAACGGACGCTACTTTCCTCTCCTCCACCTATATACGGTCCTTATCTCTCAAAGCATCGCGCACACCTCCCAGCCACGCGAGCTACCCACGCGCCGACATGAGATCATGAACCTAGTAGTGGAGCGGTGCTGCAAGAGGATTGGCGCTGATTGGGGAGGGCGACCGTCAAATGAGTTCAAAGATAAGCTGGTTGCCGTGTATCAGGAGCTGAGCAGGTATCAGGTAGAGAAAGGGAATAAGAGCTTGAGGGGCCACGACGGTGAAGAACATGTGGTCCGAGGGCTTTGGGGCATGGCTGCGTGGAGTAAGGGAAACGCGGCTCGACGGAGAGACAGTCCTCCAGCAGGGGGGACGAGGAACCGGCCTTCCTCAGGCTGGGATACGGATGAGTAAGGTACGCTACAGCACCTAAAGCTAGCCGTGCCCCTGACAGGCTTGTTTGCTTGGGCTAAGGTGGCTTTGGGTCATTATTGATTTGTTTTTCTGCGTACATCAGAGCTTACCACGGTTACTCCATATCTTTTCAACCCAATCACCTGATCTCCGCGCTATTCACCACCGTGCCAAACACATCCGCCAACTCCGCCAACGCAACCCTCGTCACCTCCTCACCCTTCACGCCCGGAATATCGCGGTCGCCAATAGCATCCTCCACCAACACAACCTCATACCCCTTCTGCATCGCTTCACGTGCAGTAGTCGACACGCACACATGCGCCATATACCCCACAAGAACAACCTTCTTGATCCCCCACCCCTGCAGCGTATCATGCAGCGGCGTCTGCTCAAACGCCCCAGGGAACTGCTTCCAGATGGTCGTTTCGCCGGCCTAATGACGTCATCAGTCTCTCTCCCTTCCTCGTTCTTCAAAACGAAGACAGTAACGAACCTTAGCCGTCAGCTCCTTGAATTCCTCCGCTAATTGCGTGCCCGGCGTGAAGATAGGGGCGCCCTCCGGCGTCTGGTGCAGCACGTGAATGACCCTGCCGTTCGCGGCGCGGTACTTTTCGAGCAGCTCGGCGATCGCTTTTCCGCTTGATTCGGCATTGGTGACGGCCAGTGCGCCAGAGGCGTATTCGTTTTGCGCGTCGATGATAATGAGGGCGGAGTCGGTGGGGGAGGCGGTGTTGGGGCGTATGCCGAGGAGTTCGCGGAAAGACTTTGCGGCCATTGTTGTGGTGGGGTGAGCGGTATGTAGAGGGGTTGTGGAAGGGATGGATGAGGGTGGAAGATCTTATTAATCCGCTTAGGAGTTGAAGGATTGATGATTAGTATGTCTTTGGGACATTATTAAGGATTTGCAATGCCAGGTGGCGGGAAATGTACCCCGCTCGGATCGGTACTTGAGTTTGCGTGATATAGTTCGGCCCGATGGGGAAGTAAAGAGGAGAAAATTTTAAGCCAGGAGTGCATCTACCTGTCAGTGATTATGCTATAGCATATGACTTGTCAATGATGTTGAGTTGAAGGCGTTCGGCGGGGTTTCGAAGAAAGACACTAGCCCAAAGCAGCCTAGCCACTTTATCGTCTAGGTGGCCTTTCCCACCTTGGAAATACTCTAGCTTCCTATGATCATTCCCATCTCTTTTTAGTGGCTCCTCTTTTTGGTACCCATTCCATCATCGGTTGGTCTACGCTATAAGAAACGGTCATACCGTTACCAAAAATCAGTCCGGTGGTCCTCAGAAATGAGCCATCGTTGAATCCCCATCCATTGCTCCTTTCCTCGTGGGCTCTGGAGGAGGACTCGTAATTTTTCTTCTTCGGTAGTATTTTCAAATTTCGTAGCCAACTCGGGGGCTGGGTCCACTCCACCGCCGTTGACGGGTACGGCTATTAATTTCTTAGTACTATTACTAGTCACTGTCAGAGTCACTGCTCGACTCACTCCTGCTGTACCCTCCCCCTGAATAGCCTCCAGAACCACCACCGGAGTAGCCTCCTGAGTATCCACCACCATAGCCAGAGGAGGAGCTACTGGAGTAGCCGCCTGAATAATCTCCGCCTGTGGAACCACCACCGCCTCCTCCCCCAGTTGCTCCACTCGAGCTGTCGCCGAATGCTCCGCTTCCAGATGACGGAATGACCGGACCAGGGCCCGTAAGATCACTATTACCACTCAAATCATTCCCTCCTCCATCGGTAGGCTTGGTCGAATCCTCGTCGTCCAGTTTCGATAGCTTCTTACCACCGCCCGTGTCACTCATTCCAGACCATGGTCCTATGCTTGCGTAGTTGGTAGCGCCGGAGCTCTGCTTTCTGGTATCCTTCCTAGGCTGTGTACTTGATGGAATACTGGTACTGGAATATCGGTTGGTGCTGGTAATTGGGTTGGTGCTGGTTGTTCGATTGGTGCTGGTTATCCTTGAGAAGTCGGATGCCCATGCGGAGCCTCGCCCCTGTGCTGTTTGAATGGTGTTTGCAGTACCTCTGGCTGTTGATTTGGGTGCAGCAGCTTCTTCTATTTTCTTTGCGGATGCCGATCCTGCAGCAGAACTTCCTATGGCCCCGCTTACGATCGAAGGCCCTTTTAGCGGCGCACATTGGCTCTTCCTGGCTATGGATGTGGCCACGACGCTAGACACCACAGTCGATAAGAGAACTGCCGCTAAATGCGCTGCCGGCAGCGTCGCGGACGGCCACGATGTCTCCTGCTTCTTCTTCTCTTCCGTCTCTTCTAGGTCGTCTTCAGCAGCAACTGCACGCTCCTGCATAGCAGCCTTATCTTCAAGAAACGACCTTAGTGCCAGGATGAGTCTCTTCTGTTCTTTCATCGCTGAGTCCAGCTTGTCCGTCCGCTTTTCTAGAGCAGCGTGTAGATGCGTAATGCTGCTGTGGATGTTCCTCGATGCTTCGTGTTGAGTGTCGGCTTGGGCCCCTCTTTCAGCCTGATTAGTAGCTTCCGTAGCTGCAGTCGTATCTTTGACTTCCTTGACTGCGGCTTGCAGCTTTGAAATTTCTCCATCAAGCTTACTCCGGAGGTTTTTAATGCGTTGAAGTTGGTCATCTTGCTTGATGTTGTGTTCGGCCGCGGAGCGCTGGAGGACTTGAATTTGCTTGTCGAGTTCGGCGGGAATATCTGCGATTCTAATGGCGTCTATGATTTGGGCGAGTTGTTCTTGCTGTAGAGGCTGTTGAGGTAGCGCTTCTATGGATTTGCTGTGGAAGCTGGTCAGCGATGCGCGTACACCACTCCCAGCGTATGGGTCGCCTACATTACCTGCAGCGATAGAAGCGAGTTGAAGGCCTGAAGCGGTTGCTCAACCTGCCTTCGCAGCTTCTCTACTTTTCCAGAGACGTCTTTAACGGTAAACGAAACCGTCGCTTTCGCCTTTCCCAATGTTGTCTTGGTTGCAGCCTTGCCCAGCGACGTTCTGTACTTGTCCACAAATGCTTTGAATTCGTCCAACGGCCCTTGCATTATCTTTAGCAGGTCGGTAATTTCCTGGGAGATGTCATCCTGAGGCGTCTGCTTTACATAGTCGTCCAGGTGCTGTAGCGTCGACACCAGGCTGGTGAGGAAGGCTGACTCGGAGGTGTACTTAGTCGAAGCGCCTCCCGCCTCTTTGAAGCCTCCGAAAAGGGAGATCAGCAGTTTGGTCCCTGCTATGAAGTCACCCACCGAGAAACCGAATGCAATCATTCTCGCGTGCGTGGAATTGCATCCATCGAGGCTCCCATTTTTTGGAAGGGAGAGGTATATATGTGGGACAAGGCTTTTTCCGACTTCACAGGCTGACGTGGCGGTGGCTGGTATTGGCTCATTTCGCTTAGTTGCAGGTGCGTGAGGCAGCCGTCGCAGCTTGGAGTGAGGCTGACAAACTTCGTATTTCTTCAGCTGCCTACCTAAATAACGCCGCTCCCTAAGCCTTGTCAATAACACAACTCCTCTGCATTTCTAACACCGTTCTGGTGCATGTCACTCATCGTTCTCCGATTTCTAGAAGATGTGGTGGTTCTTTCAGTTGGTTTGGGACATCGCGCGGGGCATTTGCTCAGCGCTGTGGGAATGGGCAACGTTGATGGCTCTTATGCTTCTGGGGTTACTGATATTCTTCGTGATTATCGCGGGCGGCTTCATCTGTATTGCGGCCGCGATCTATCTGGGCTATCTGGGCGTACTGTTCGTCGCCTGGGTCTTCGATGGCATTCGAGGAATACCTCGCTACTCACGGCGGACAATTGGCTGGCTTCGAGGACGCATCGCTCGTCTCCTTTTACAATGGATGGTCGCGCCCTGGCGTCTCGGATGGCGATCATACCAGAATTTCGCGGATTTCCGGACACCACTCTTGTCAGAAAGCGCTCATTCGGACTCTGATGATAGCATCTACACCAGCAAGCTCTGCCAGGAGTGCTTTCGAATCGTGAGCCAGTCTGGGCTGCTATCCGGATCTATCTTCCCTCTTATCCGGCGTTGCGAGTGGCATGACTGGGCAGTTCCTGTTCATAACTCAGTTTTACGCAAAGACTCCTGCCATTTGTGTCGATTAATGTTGTGCTCTAGAGGGGAGGATACGGGAAGCCGCTCGTTTTGGAATAATTGCCTGAGTCTGCAGGCTTTCGGCAGACACGGAAGGCACCAAAAACGTATACGCATATGGAAAGACGCGGGAGCAGGCTCCATTAGGTCTGATCGCCTCTTCCTGCAGCCCTTCTGTCCTTGCTACGAGAGAAATGGCAGCGTCTGTGGACCAATCTCTATTGTTGAAGGTTAGAATACTCTCTGAGCCATTAACCTAACCGCTGATGCTGACTCCACCAGAGAATTTAAATGGCCCTCCAGTCTCAGTCTACGTCTCGACATCCACGGGCTCGAAACATTGTATGGAGCTCGCGAAATCGTGGATTTCAGACTGTGAGATAAACCACAAGCTCCACTGTACTCGGATGTGCGAAGGGTCACATGCCTCGCTACATTATCTTCCGAAAAGGCTGCTATATGTTGGCGACGAACTGTCTAGTACGCTCCAACTCGTGGATACTTCTTCGATGAACTCCATCCCTGCCAATGCGAAGTACCTTGCGCTAATGTACTGCCGCGGAGATGCTGGATTGCTCTCGCATCAGAAATTGACGCTGGATAAACAAAGCAACTGGGTGAAGCACATCGATAAACGAGGCTTACCTTTGACGTTCCGACATGCGATTCAACTCACCCGCCTACTTGGCTTCAACTACCTTTGGATCGATGCAATGTGCATCTCACAGGATGACGATGAAGAATTGGAAAGAGAAACAGCCAACGTAGGGAAAGCGTACGCTAATGCGTATTGCACGATCTCGGCCTGTGGATCTCTGGATGCCGACGGTGGCCTCTTTCGGAGACGATCCCCCGGATTTGAGGAATTTCCCTGTTATCTCCGTTTCTCGAAAACTAAGGCTTTGAGAATCAAAGCTCTGGACCGAACTTATGACGACCAGTCGTTCTCCATCGAAGTCGACAACAGTCCCCTTAGTCAAGAGGCTTGGGCCTTTGAAGCGCGGCTCCTGTCCCGTCGCATCTTGCACTTCGGATCCAAATTTCTCTTCTTTGAGTGTAATACACACATTGCGTCCGACGCTCTTCCCCAAGGCCAACCGTTTCTAAAGGTATCGCGAGGTCTGCTTCATTTTCTTCGGCGTTTGAAATCGGATGGGATTACTCAGATCGCTGGTGATGCCATTCAGTCTCCATACAACCCAGTGACCGGGTATCGGGCATTCATGGGGGATCTTATAAGGAACAGATCTGCTGAGCCCAGTCTGGAAGAGCAGCTTCTCCTTCACTATTGCTGGTTCTTCCTCGTGGCCATCTATTCTAGAGCCAAGCAGGAGAGCACCCCTCAGCAGCCCGCTCCTTTGCTCAATCTCGCCCAGGGAGTTGTGGGTAGTGGAAACGAACTGCAATACATGCATGGAATGTGGAGACGTCACTTCATCTTTGACCTGCTGTGGTTTGTTGGCTTCGGAGAAGAGCGAAGGAAGAGACCCGTGCCATGCAGATCGCCCACCTGGTCATGGCAGGCTGTAGCTGGAGGCATCACTGCGGAATTGATATCATGGAGGAAAAACCATGCTGGGAAGCACTGCAACATAGTGAAGGTTGCTGAGACGCCGAATGGGGAGGTTTGGCTGCAACCAACCGAGGTGCTTACCATCATTTGCCCCGTCCTCCGCGGCACCGATATCAAACGCACCAGCACCAAACGGGCTACGCTTCAAATCAGCACACGGCATGAAAGCGTACGGGCATCGTTCATGCCTGACATATCAGATCTCGATGAATCCAAAGATCTGTTCTGCGCCGAAATAGTCCGAGAGGCTATGTATGAGAAGAGCGACAAGAAGAAGCTACTCACGGTATGGAGCAATGGGCTGGTTTTGCACCGAACTCTCGACCGAAAAGCTGAGGGCGTGAAGGCGACGTATGAGAGAGTAGGGCGATTCTGGATGGAGTGGCCTGTGGACGACTCCGCCGGGGGGACGGAGACCGGACTCAGAATGAAGCCGATGTTCAATAGACACAAAGCACAGAGTGTTAGCATCATCTAACCGCGATGATGAATGGGGGTAGGTGAGAGAAAATAATGCTCCTATATGGCACAAGAGAGCGTAATGACTTTGCGCCTTTTCTCTGTAGCTATGCGTCCTTTATTGTACGAAAACGTCGGGCAATACCCTAGTGTCTGGCGTTCGAGGGTCTCACATACATTCTAAGCGACGCTGGTGCAACTGCAGGCTGAAAGACGGAGCTGTCGGGGTTGTTTTCCAGGGGGAGAAATAAATGCTTCGTAGTTCTAGACATTATTAATGAGAACACTGCATCCTCTCGGGTGACGGGACCCCGCTCGGATCGGTCTGAGGAGCAAATCAGGAAAAAGAAGGCTATGCAGCAGCCTACAGAATGTAAGCGTCATTAACAGGTCCTCTTCTTAATTATAACTCAAGAATCGTCAGATTGCTTGAACGGAGGTTTGTGGTAGAAAGTCACGTGAGACACTAGCCTAAAGAAGTTTAGCCATATCTGCGATCGCAAAACAACGCCGCATTCGCATCGCTCTCCACCTTTTCACCAACTCTCACCAACAGTCTCCGCAAACTGTCGCATGTACAACCCACAATACCCGCGATCTAGGGCAACCGAGCTTTGTTTCAGATGGCCTCCGATGATGTGCAGCCCGCTCGCCCTACGGACGAGCTGTTAAAATCACGATCGTTCTCCGTCTCAAGTTCACCCAAGATTCTATCTCACGCCTCTCCGCCATGGAATCCTTTTGTTAACGTACATTAGCTTTCTGGATCCGTTTGTGTCAACTAAGCGTCTCCCTCGGCTCGAAAGCCCCCCATGTCAGGACTCCGGGTTTATCAGACGGCCAGTATTAGACCTTGTCACTGCCTTTTCCCAATGGCTTTTTAGATTTCGCATGAGGTCAAATCAATTCGAACGTCATCATGATGTCAACTCTCCAAAGATATTGGACAAATGTCCGGGAGCGCTTTCCAGACAAATCATCTACAACAACGGGGATATTCGTATTGCTTCGACAGCAAACGGATAACGAAAGTATGACTCTGCTTGGCGCTATTGTTGAAGCTATTTCTTTAGGCATGACGAAGCAAGATATAGTGGGGCGGAGCACACTTCTACCGTCCTTCGTTATATTCCCGTCCGCTCGATAAACGGCATGAGACCATCGAACACTAATGCCGAATATCGCACAGAAGTTAGCTAATAGACCATGGAGTTCCATAACATGGTACCACCTCTGATTCGATTATACTCCATGACTCCTAGATGAGGAAAGCCCTTGACAACTTGGATTCCTGAAGTTTGAGTAGTAATGATCCCATCTTTGATATTCGACATTAAGCGACACCGGGCATGCGCATGCCTCTCCACCCTCTATATGGATTCTTCGATGTCTCTTTGTTGCTCCGTTATCCTGTTCTATCGCGCACGACCGACACAACTGAGAGCGTTACGTCCGGCGAGCATTCGACTCTTCTGGCCTGTCGCTGACCTCTAACATACTTCGCATGTGAATATGGATATTATCTACGCTTCTCTGTGGTGTCCAAGTGTATCAAGTGCATTTGGCAAGAGCCGAGGGTGAGCCAAGAAACCCACGCATCCTTTCTGGCGAAATTCACCTGTACGCCTAGAACTTAAACGAAGAGCTCCAACCGGTATGACCCCGCATCTTCGCATCAGCCCACACCGGCAATCGACATATGTGGTTACGAGGTATCACAACATAAATACACGCATTCGTTTATTGCTGGTTTCCAGAATGGCACACCTGGCACTGCTTATCGCAGGGTATAGTACGAGGAGAGCGGGGCGCTCTCAACCGATTGGGGACTATTCCAGATAAGAATTGCAGTTCCACCGGCCCTATCCAGCTTGGCATTTATACCGCCCGACTGGTACCTACCCAACGGCTATATGAATACGACGACATCAGCTCTTCGGCTGCAGCTCAGCGCAAGGGTGAAAAAATCTAGATGCTCGAGGAGTCCTTTTCCCCAGCTTCAATATTTTTCGCCGTCGCACGGAAGCATATCCTCCAATGGGCCTGCCGACGGTACGAGAACGAACAGGTACATTTGGTCTCGGCGACACCATCAACCTCGCTACGCCTTCCACGCGAGATCCTATCGGCCTCAGAACCTCCGTTGCTTACCATGGAGACGCTTCTTCTCGACCACACCAGTATGCTCGGATCTTGTCCTGTCCGATGCAAAATATATCGGTTTTTAATATATCGGGGTTGGCTTCGTGTTCGCAGCTTGGAAAGGGAGAAAGCTGTAGTCCACATCTTCAGCTGAATGAGCCTAGAGGTGCGTATAAACAGTGCGATGGTCTAGGGGACAGCTTAATCCATTCGCCACCGAATTTCGAGAACGCGAAATACAGCACCCACCAAAAGAGATCTTTCAAAACGGATACCAAGTCATGTACGTCCGCCCTGGAAGGGGGCATCTAGCCTCCACGCCCCGGCGCAGGCACGCTGAAAGATGCATCTGCTGATTCCCGGATACCAGGGCTTCGCTACTCATTTTCACCTCGATCATCTTCATTTCTTTCGGTTCCAACCGATCGAACATGTTCGGTTGTGGGACCAACAAGAACGTACGCACCATCCCGCACCTATGAAGGTCTCCTTGGACTAACGGACTAGCGCAGTATTACCACAAAGCATGGAATGGTAGATCCATCCCTGCCCATCCATGCTCCCTTCATCGCCGACTAATTCTCCTGCAGGCAATAGCTGGGTCCCTTCTAAGACCACGTGGGACAATATGGGAGGAAACTTCAACTGGGCTCCCACGGCCGTGACGTGGCCAGGGTCCGGCAATATGGTCATGATGGGTGTTGGGAGCGATGGCCAGGTATCTCCGCTCTCCCGTACGTGGTTCCCAAGGTCTGCTAACGAGTGTCCGAAGATGTGGAGCCGCAACGGGGCCTCCGGCGGCTCATGGGACAGTTGGAACAACATGGGCGGATCGTTCGCCTCAGCTCCGGCGTCCACCTCCTGGGGTTCCTCGAGCATGGCCGTCTCCGGCGTGGGCACCGATGGCGCCATGTGGACGAGTACCAACACCGGATCTGGATGGTCGAGCTGGGAGTCTCTTGGCGGTACCTTCATGGCGGCGCCGCCATCGATGGTGACATGGGGGTCCAATCAACGCAGCGTAATGGGCATTGGGACAGACCGAGGGGTGTGGATGAAGACGTGGTCCGGGAGCAGTTGGGGCAACTGGCAAGGTCTTGGCGGCACGTTCATCAGTGTCGTTATTGTCATCTCGAGGGGCTCCGGCTTCATGAATGTGTTTGGTATTGGGTCGGACCAACAGGTTTGTAATCCCTTCCATGGGCTGCAGCCTCGAAATATCTGCTAACAAGGCTTCAGATGTGGATGCGCGCTTACTCAGGCGGCACTTGGGGAAGCTGGCAATCTCTCGGAGGGACATTCAGCAGTGCACCGGGAGCCGTGTCCTGGGGCTCAGACCGGATGGACTGCTATGGAAAGGGGACAGATGGAAATGTAAGAACCCACCCCGCGCTACTATCACTACCCCTGGTCAATCTGACCGCCTTCCACAGACTTGGCATAAAATGTGGACGAGCTCCGGAGGTTGGGGCAGCTGGGAGAATATGGGTAATGCTTGCGAGGGTGCCCCTGCAGCGGGCTCTTGGGGCTCTAACCAGATGAGCGTTGGGTGTACGGGTACCGACGGTTCGATGATGATGAAGAGCTGGAATGGGACGGGGTGGACGCCTTCGGGGTCGACGTGGGATAATATGGGAGGTTCCTTTGTCGACGACGGTGCGTGAGCGATACCTTTGCCAGACTGTCGCACCGAATGGGCGAACTGCACGGGGATAAGTGGTGCGAGGGTATCTAACCGGCAAGAACATCACAAGCCGATCGGCATGGGTCTAGTACAACTATCACTCACTCACTATATATGGTAAGGTAGGGAGGCTCCTATATTTCCAGATGGCTGACCCAGGCATTCCTGGAGAATTGTACACTGTTCGCTGAACATGAAACCCGTGACACGAACCATTCATGTCCCGTTCACTCCTCAAGTCGCTCCGTTACCAAACCGCCCATCCACGACCCAGATTCCACATCTCTGCAGTCCTGAAACATGAGTGACCGCTGCGCGCGATGTGGATAGCGAGTCCCTGTTGCAACATCCACGTTATCCATGTCGAGCGTCCTCGAGCGTTTGAAGGGGAGCGCCGTGCGCTGATACTGCTCGTTCTCGCTTCTCTCTGTACTCAACTCCGGATCAGGAGAGGGTGGGGCCAATGGTATCTGCACATAAAGAGCATTAGGGGTACTGTGTGGACTTCATTCGAAGCATACATCTCGATTCCCCATCTAATCGGCTAGATACGTCTTTGCGCTCGGCTAGCGACGCCGATTGTGAAGTGAACTTTGTCGCGATCGGACGCATTCTCGTCATACTCGCTACATATACCGGCTCTAGCAAAGATTTCGGAGCAGGGAGATCAAACACCATCTTGAAGCGTGTTGAATGGTCCAAATATGCAGCAGGGGTCAGCCACAAATATGCGCAAGCGTGATGAAGGATACGCTGTTCTCTCCCTCTATTTAGTCTCAGTTCAAACGCAAACGCAAAATGCCACTGTGCGTGATGAAAGTAAATTGTATCTTAATTTGGAAAATAATAGTTCAAAATGCCCACCGGCATCGCCACAGGGAGACCAGGTTCTCTCCGTAAAGTAAAATCCACCCCGCCTAATGCCCATAACCATGCCTACATCGAGCTAAGTTTGAAGAAAGGAAAATACATCGCGGAAGACATGAAATGCAAATACTAGCAACCCACGCAATGCAACCAAAACCGCGCCGGTCCATTCGAGCCGGCTGTTACGAAACATAAACATCGAAGAAAGAAACCTGACAGTCATTAGCTGAGCACGCGAAGCTACACCGGCTGTATAGCTTACCTGGTCACCACCTTTCCAACATCACATGTACCCCAGTTCGCGACCCAAGCGGGCAAGTCGCGTATCCTTCATCTGCTCGGCGTCCATCTTCGAAGCCTTCAGGAACGCATGGTATATATTGCGGAGTGGAGCGGCTGAGCCATTATCGAACTCGACGAGGCCAAGGAGCTGTTCAAGTTTGATGGTGCCGATCTTGACCTTGACCTGATAGCCCGCATTCTTCAGAACGGCGGCCGCGTCTGTCGCACCCACCACTGGCCCATAACCAGCGCGCCTACGGTCTTCCGCAGCGAAGAGAAGGAAGTTCGCGACGAGGTCGATCTTCGTCACCACCTCTTTGCCTTCAACTTCGTGCGAGCGGAGCTCTCGAAGGAAGTCGAATGCGCAGACCGTGCCGATGTGGGTGTGCGACAGGTCGGCCGCCAAGGGTTGAGGAATAGTTTCTTTCTCGGGAGCTTCGGGTTCGGCCTTATTCTGGTCTTGGTCCTCCTTACTCAAGAAGTTCGCTGGATCAAAATTGAACTCTGGCTCAATGTAGTCGTAGTCAAGAGAGGATAGCGGGGACAGGGGAGCAGATGTGGCGGAGGACGCGGGGCCGCCGGTGGCGGTATCCTCGCTTGACTCTTTGCTCGAAGAGGTAGCAGGGCGGGCTAGTTCTTCGGCGGTGAATGGGGCGAGTGTATCGCCAAAAGGAGTCCCCAAGCCAGCTGGCGCATTGAGGGTAGTGCTTAGGGTATCATTGATGGCGACGATTTCCAGAGCCGCCTCATCGTCGGCTACTATGACTTCGGAAGGCGCGATCAGTTCTTCCGAGATAAGTTCCTCGTCAAGTGGCTCATCAAGGTCGTCGTGTAGGAGAGCGTCGGCTGAATACGACGGTGCATAGACGATCTCTTGCTCAGCAGTGACCTCCATCACCGGCAGAGAGAGCGGAAGGACGTGCTCCTTCTTGATACCGACACCCTCGACTCCCCAAACTGAGGCCGCAGTGTGGTATCGCACGCCAGAGTCTGGCTCGTTGCTGAAGCTAGGCAACATAGCAGCAACAAACTCGTGCTTGTTGGCGGCATTACGCTCTTCAACCGCAATCTTGCCCTCAGCGAGGCTTGTCGACGTAGTGACTGAGCCGAATGTAGGCTCAATAGCATAGTCATTCGAGGCCTTCTTGCTGCGATGCTTCACTGTGCGCATGCTCGTGCGACGCAGCTGGAGCTTGTCGAGCAGATGAGCAACAGTGGGAGTTGGCAAGTTGTAAGCCTCGAGCCATGGAGCAACTCCGCCGGCCAGGGAAGGGAAATCGAGATACTCGCCGACAGAGCGAAGGATGATGGCGGCGCTAACTGCCCATTGCAAAAGGCGATGCGAGATAGTGTTCGAAAAGTCTCGAGCGGTCCATTGGAGCAGATTGGCAAGGTTAATAGTGAGGAAGTCATCGCCATACTTGAAGGTGGCAGACGTCGGATCGGTAGTGCGCTTGGACGTGCACTTATCGCCCGTGGGTTTCGGCGTGGTTACCTTGGTGGAGAATAACAGCATAGTCGCAGTATCCACGGAGATGAAGCTGGAGGCTGGCTTGCCGAATTCCGTATCAAACTGCACGAAAAGGGTATTATCCTCGGAAGGAGTAGGTCTCACCTTGTGAAGCGCATCAGTAGACGCATGCACAGACTCATCCAAGGTTGGCGACGGATGAGACTTGTTCGCGGGACTGGAGGAGAATGTGAACTCCACCGAATGAGGAAATTTCATCTTCGGACCATCGTGAGATGGCGTAGATGGCGGTGCAGTGCGCTTTCCCAAAGGAGACGTCTTTCGCGTCGGGAGTGAGGGAGCAAACTCAAACGGATTGAAGGAGTAGTCCGTCGTGTTTGCGTCCTCTTCGTTGAGCGATTGGTCCACATCCTCGATTGGATCTTGCTTAATTGCAACGATCTTACGAGGGGCATCCACCTCTCGCCGAGAAATCGGCTTCTCGTTAGGCGTCTTTGGAGAGGATGCTGCTGGTGCGGCATCGTCCTTAGCCCCGAACGACGCGGCCGGTGCCCGAATAGCCGGGGCCTTGAAGATGAACTTCTCTTTGTCGCAGTCAGGCTGAGGGTACAACGTCAGAATGTTCTCGCTGATCTCTTCCTGGCTCAGCTTATAGCCTTTGTGCTGCGTGGATTCAGCAGTCGGGCGCTCTCCAGCCGAGACTTGCTTAGCTTGCGCCCGCCTGTGGGTAATCGTCACCTTGCGCGTACCGATGGATTCCTTGGCCTTGAACTTCGTAGCCTCCTGGATCTCTTCGGTGCGGGTCTTGCTAGGCTGTAGCGGCGAGATAGAAGCGGTCGTGTCGGACTGAGAAGGAGCCGGCGCGGCAGCAGCAGCAACAAGGGCAGCTGCCTTGCCCTGCGCCTTCTTTGCCTTCTTCCGCTGGGCGCCAGACTTGCGCTTGTGCTTTTTTGGCTGATCAGTTAGAGGCGCGACGGGCGTCTGCGCAGTCGAGGCGAGCGTTGTGGACGTAGACTTCGAAGCCGCCACCGTGTTGTCACCAGTGGTCGCCTCCCGCACAGATCCAGAGCCAAGCGGAGAGCCAGGCGCAGAAGAGCTCGACGTGGAGCGCGGAGATAACTTTGTGTCCTTTTCAGAGCTTGCACCCAGCTTGTTCGTCGACTTGCTAGGCGGAGAAGCACTTGAGTTCTTCTGCTTCTCGGTCTTCGTCATCTTGCGCTCGGGCATCTTGGTGGATTCCGCAGCCTTGTTATTCTTCTTGAGACCCGCTGGCTGGGAAGCCTTCTCAGTCGGTTTCTGCGTATCTAGAACCGCGAACTGATTCTCGACTCCAGCCTTCGCTGCCGGCTTGTCGACGGTGTTCTTTCCCTTGCGCTCCGGCACAGTCTTCCACCCATTGTCCTTCTTCTTCTGAGTAGGAACAGGTCGCACAACAGAGATCTTGACAGGTGTGGGGGTTGGCGAAGGATTGGCACCAAGAGCCGGCCTTGAGTAAGACGGAGCTGCGGGCTGAGCCTTGTTACCATTCCACGCTGACGCAGTGGAGCGATATGGTACCGAGGGCGCCATCTTTATCGCAGCAGGCACGGGAGGTCCATGAGTAGTGTTCTGAGCCGGAACAGGGCGAGGAATTTTGTTGGCGGCCACCGCACTAGCGAAGGACTTGGTCGGAGTCGGCGGAATAGGGGCGGGCTTGAGAGACGGCGAGGTCTTTGGCGGGCGGCGGGTGGACTTCTTGCCCTCCTGAATCTTGAGCGCAAGGACGCCGGGCGCAGGCTTCTTGACCCCATGAGCCTCGTTGGCTTCGACCTTGGCGGCGATCTCTTGGGCGTGGAAGGCTTCCTTGGACATGCGAGCAGCTGCAGTAGAGTTAGTGGTAGCTTCCTTCTGTTTTGATGGAGAGCTTACATTTCGGCTCATAGGCCTCCTTGGAGAAGATGTCGTAGTCGGGTTTACGGGCCTTGACACCTTGCGTTGCGTTCATGTTGTTGTTGATGACCGTGTCAGGGCGGTTGAGCGAGGTGGCCGGGGCGCGGATGGAAGCAGCAGGCATGGCTGTAGCTATGATTACGGCAGGTCAGTATAGGGTCCGACTCGAGATTCCATATATTGATGGCGCTCTACAGGGTTAGTGTGCGGAATGGCATGTACCTTGAGCGTCCGGTGTGGAAAGTTGAGTGTAAGTTTGGATGTTGAGCGGAGTAGCAGGATGCTTGCCGGTGGTATGCAATTGCGGCGAGATCAAGTGCGTATGTTGAGCGAACTGCAAAAGTGAGTTTCCGAAAAGTTGAGCAGCTCAAGGTGTGGTGGGGAAGAAAGGCCTGCTGCAGCCGTGGCTGGATGCTCTAAGTATGGGCGAGGCCCGCACAGATGCTCTTGGCGGGCTCTGCGACCGCGGCGTGCGGGTGCAATTACGTAGCTCAGTCGGTGAATTCATCTCTTGAAATGGTCGTGTGGACGACTGTTGATTAGGGTTGTGGGATTGATGTGGATCACACCTGCGAAGCGTGATCTGATATACGCACATTCTACAGAGGCATTCCAGCATTCTAGGTTCTCGATGTGCTTTCGCAGTGCCCATCCCTTATTTTTGGCAGGCGTAGCGAATCGCGAGGGAGCATATAATACATTCAATGCCACATGAGATTGTAATTCCACGCATTGTGAACATTGGGCGCTATTCCCGCTGTATCACCGATTGTTTTTGGAAAGGTATATCCTGCTAGAGAAAGTTAGCCCAGGAGCAATAAAGGGCTAGGCTGAAAGCAATTGGAACATAGAGAAAGCAGTTTGACTTATAGAACCGTGGAGAGGAGCGATTAGATTGGTACGTTACGTGGCGTGCCATTTACGCTTGTCTACGCAATGGCAATCTCAACTTCGACAAATCCCAACCCATATCATTAGCATCCTCTATCCTCTCCCCATCCTATTTCAAGCCCTCATTACCCAATCTACTCTGCAGCTCTCCATCTCACGCCTAGGCGTCGACAATCTGACACACCTCTGGGCCTACCAATCAACGTCGTCCGGTTTATCTCGCTCATACGTCTAGCCGTACCGAAGCCCAAGTTATCCTAGCAGTCCAGCCTCGCTGCTCTTCGTAAGCCAGCGAGGTCTTGGCGGTCATCACTCTAGGCGCGCGCCATGATCCCCAATAGAGACGCACTAGCCGGATAGGGAAAATGTTTCAAGATACTACGTGCACCATAGTCGGGAGGGAAATCATGCCAGGCTTGAAGTCCAAGGAGAATGTGAGTGTATATAAGATCCTTCTTGGACTTCTGTACTCGATATCGCGAGTTCGACTCCTGTTTCTCTGCGCACAACAAACATCTTGCCATCGTTTGCATACGATACAATGGGCCTTCATACTTACCCAGCAGCGCAGGAGCTCCGCATCTGTCCAACAGGATGGGAATCCAGCGATAAAACCGAACACTTCTCCCTCTCGCCCATGGGCCTCGTCATGCCCAAGTTCTACGTGCTGATTGCCGAAGTGTTCAAGTTACCAGACGGCGCCGACACGAGTGCGATCGTCGCGAGCATGTCCGCCGGATTAGAGTTCGCACTGTCCCAGTTCCCAGTTCTGACTGGGGTACTGCGGATGGACGATGACAGCGGGCGTATGTGGGTTGCGAAAAAGAGGGATTCGGCGGTGGGGTTGCATGTTAAGTATTTGATGGGGGAAGATGAGTTTCCCGGGTATGAAGAGCTGGAAAGAAGAGATGTAAATGACTACTTTCCGTTCATCGGCATATTCACAGCGGTCTGACGAAGATTAGTTCCCCGCAAAGTTAATCGCAGGGCAGAAGCAGCTCCCCGAGTCGGTGACCGCAAAGCAACTCCTCTCTCCACTTGGAAACAATAATAAGGACGGTACTTTCGTGGCGACCCTCCAACTGAACTTCATCCGCAGAGGTTTCATCCTAGGCGTCGCTGTCCACCACGTCGTCTTTGATAGGCCAGGCTGTGATGGATTCCTGACGACATGGGCGGAGAATAGCGCGGCAGCGGCGAAGGGAACCGCGTTCATTCCCACGCGAGAGTATCCCAATCTGGAAAACTCCGCGCTTGACGTTGGAACGCATTCCCTGCGCTCAAGGACGCCGGCGGTTCCATGCCTCTGCCACCATCCGACTTCAAGATGCCCCCTCTTGCTTGCGAGATGTGTCACTTTCCCAAGAGCAAAGCAGACGCACTCAAACAGCAGCTATCAACCAGCGTGGTCGACGGCTGGATATCGACGTACGATGTTACCATGGCATTTCTTTGGAGCCGCATCACCCGCGCGAAGCTGGACCTGCTGAAACCAGACGAGAATATGAAGGCCATTACGATCAATGACGTGGACGCGCGCAAGGCGTGGAGCCCTCCTCTTCCCGAACGATCCCTCAGTGTGCACTCCTACGCAGCCCTCTGTGATCCTCTCACGATCAGGGACATCATCGCCCCGGACAACCTGGCCAAGCTCGCGACAAGTGTGCGCGCATCGATTAAAGCTTCGACCCCAGAACATTTCACAGGCGCGCTACAATGGATCGCCAGTCGCGACGACAAACGGTGGCTCGAGGTGGATGTCAAGTGCTTCTTGGGCATGGATCTGGGTGCTTCGAGCTGGGCTAGGATGACGGCGTATGAGAAGCAGAATTTTGGGTTTGGGTGTCCTAGAGCGCTGAGGTGGCCAAGTCCGCCATTTGATGGATTCATTTGGGTCTATCCGAGTCGGGCTGCACAGAAAAACCCGGAACATGATGAGGGTGTTGAGGTCTGCGTTTACTTAGAAGAAAGCTCTATAGAGAGATTAATGAAGGATGAGCTGCTTTTGAAGTACGCTCATGTGCGAGGCCTGTAGTCCGGCACCATGGCAAGGACTCTAGTCGGTTACTCTGATCGCTTGTCGGATGTCGTTGCAGACTTGTATAGGATAGGCTGGGAATAGAAAATATCTGAAAGCGGTCTCGGCGGCATAGAGGTGGCGGTATGTTGCAAATACGTGGAGAGGTCGAACGAGATCGAGCTTGACGATACCGTTAGGAGAGTGCGGGAGTGTTGATGAACGCGTGGATACAGATGCAGTGGGTGGGAAGACCGAACGGCGTCGCGGCGACGTATTATGTAATAAGTCTACATCGGTCAGCGGTGCAACCATGTATTGCTCTGGTAGCGACCTTGAATCCCTTCAGGTGAAAGCGGTAGGAGAGCGGTGAAGGAAGCTTCCCTTGGCGCTCGACGCGCCATAGTACCCTAGCTTTATAACTGTCGCTCCTCCGTGCTGCAAAGAACTTTTGCAGCACCTCGGAGCGAAGCAGACAACTCCGCATCGACGCGACTACGCATCATGGCTAAACGACGCAACTCCTCACCCGAGGCGCCCGTGGCGAAGCGCACACGAGAGGAACCCGCGCCCGAACCCACAAAGGACGCACAAGTCGAACCACAATGCCTCCCACTCCCGACCGAAATCTTCCACATGATATGCTCTGAGCTCGGCACCCATGGAGTCGCTAGCTTCCGGCTCGCCTGCAAAGCATTCTGCGTGATCGGGAAAGAGCATTTGGTGGAAGAGCTGTGCTTCTTCCTACATCGGCGGAGTATCATGAAAGTCGTGGCAATCGCCAATCATCCATACTGGGCAAGGCACGTCAAGACGCTCGTGTTCGAGAACGTGGAGCCGAAAGACTGGTCGAAGATGAGGAAAGAGTCCGACCTGATCAACGAGCGCGTCGACAAGAAGGCCTATAGCAGGTACGACTCCTTTCTCTGGCAGAACCTGAATAACAGCGGATATTTCGAGGATCGTCCTGGATCCTTGCATTCGCAGATTATACCCATTTTGGGTAAATTCACGAACCTGAAGGCCATTACTTGCCACCATGGATTCAAAGATCCGCGGCCTTCTGGTCCGGATGTGAACACGCCCCTCAAGATTCTTTTTGACCGTTACACCGCGAAGCAACTGGAGCTGCCTTTCTGGAAGGTTCGAGGATCGGGTCGAATCTGGGCTCCCGCGAGACTTCCTGACAATTGGAACTTCCTCCGCGGGGCGAACAGGACACTTGCCCAATTCCATAGGATAGCACAAGCGGCATTCGGAACCCGTTCGCTAGCCCACTTGGACACTGTCAACATCCAGTCGCATCACTCCGCTGTCTTGCACTGGCAACGGCCCGAGCCAGGGGACTACTTGCTGGATAACGACGGCCTCAAGCATCTGACCATCCAATACCACCCTCATCACTTCAATGGTGCCATTTGGCAGGTGGCTCCAGGAAGTCTGTGTAGAGACCTTGAGTATCTTTCGAAACCGGAGCAGAGACTGGTATTCGAGCCCTCGCAAGGGGACCATGTCCTAGCCGGAGGCACCAGCAATCTCAGGTCCTTGACTCTAGCGAGCCGTCTAGACAATCCCTCGAAGTGGCTGGCAGCCGATCTATTCAGCAATGGAGGAAGCGTGTATTTACCAAGGTGGCCTCATCTGGAAGAAGTGCGCTTCGTCAACTGTGTCTTCAAGAACGAGGACACTGTCGACTGGCTGGTGCAACAGCGCATCCGGGTGACGATGAAGAACGTGTTCCTATCCGAGGAGAATGCCATAAAGCTCTTCGACGCGTCCTCCCTGAAATCCCTTGAAGTATCCGGCCTAGTGATCATACGAGGGAACAAACAAGATCGTCTTTGGATCGTTGCGGACGAGCACAACGCTCCGGCCTTCGCCCGGCGCTTCCGACCGTACGTGGTTCCGATGGACAAGAGCATTTCGTGGTTCGTTCATCCGGACAATTTGGAGCAGTGCCGGCTCCAAGGGAAAGAAGCGAAGACCGTGCTCACCGAGGACAATGCCTGGGCGGTTGCATCCATCGAGCATTCCACGTGAAGGCCACCGCCGTCTCATCCGACGAATGGGTAAACGACTAGTATGACCAATTTCAAAGCTCGGCCTAAATGTTTCATGGCTTTTGGAGGCCGGGGAGACCGGGATGAGACCGGATCGCCCACGATTCGTTCCCGTTCCGCGGGTGAAACTAGTTTATCGATAGTATGCGTGCTGGAAATTCTTGACTAAGAAACCAATTAAAGAAGGACTGGAAGGGAACTGCTATATCACCTGAGGATATCGATGGCATGAAAAGCTTGACTCGTATTCGCGAAGGGCGAGACTGCACGGCTGCTCACGTATGAGGTGCATAGAATGGAATTCAGCCAACTTCTCCCGCGCATTCTGGAGTGACTGGATGCAATGCAGAGGCGATAAATGGACGATGGTGGAGATGTCGCGATCATGGTGTTGAACCGTCCCGAGGTCCGACCTCCGATGTGGTTTAGGCTAAACCCAGAGTAGCTAGCGCGGCTACGTCATCCATCCGGCGCCTCTAGTCCCTCCACGCACCCCACCACCCCTCTCTGTACCAGCAGGATTCAGCTCTTGTGATGCCACACCCGCAATGGCCCCTTATATCATCCCCGTTATGCGTCCGCCCGCCTGTCACCCCCAATTGACCCGTCTCTCCCGTCCGTCGCTCCTCCACCCTCTCCCGCACCGCCGCTTTCATCCATCGTGGGCGCGCTGAGCCTCGTCGCATACCCGAACTCGCGGCGATCATCGCGTGATTCAGCCGCGATGGCCCTCCAGTACCTCGCCACCAGCAACGGCTGGCTGTCGTTCGACCACTGCACCCCCGTGCTCTATGTAACCGCCGAAGACGAAGAGTTCGACACCGAGACTCTGCGCGCATGGCGCGACGAGGGCTTCAACGTGAAGTACGTGCCCATGGGCAAGGGTGGGAAGACATACGTCAATACGTTGCATCATCTGGGCGATAACATGAGCATTGGCGAGCGCTATGCGATCGTAGGTATGGCCTTCTCCTTTGGGCGCAATGCGCATCCCGTGCCACCCCATGCGCAATTCTCGTCATTAGTATGTACAACATGACTGACGTATCAGGTAGCATTCGGGGACGCAGCCTCCGTATGTCTAGAGGTATACTCTGAGCCGAAGACGTCGACTTCCAAGCTGTGCTCCCTAATAGCATACTATCCGTCGTCCATTCCCGACCCGAGACAGCGCTTCTCCGCGTCGTTCCGTGTGCTAGTGCATCTTGCGCAGGGCTCGGGCCCTGAAGACAATAGTGTGGGCGTTACGCGACGACCGGAAGTGCTTGGTCTACAAGGGAAGCGGAAGACTGTGCGCAAGCGCATCACGTCAGGAATAGGCGCGGGCGGCCTACAAAGTAAGATCGAATACCCAGCGTTTACGTACGAAGGCGTCGATCCCGGATTTGCCGAGCATGATCTGGACGAGTACGACGCAGTCGCAGACGCTTTAGCCTGGAGCAGAAGCTTGAGCATGGTGCGACGCGGCTTCGGCGCAGAAGTCGATCTCGAACGCGTGTGGGAAGACAATGTGGAAAGTACGAATCCCACCTACGCCTCACTCCTCATTTTTCATTCATTGACCACCTTCTAGGCAAGTTCCACACGCGAAACGCGAACAAATTGCTCGAGACCTACGTAGCACACCCCACACCCTTCGTCAACTTCACTCCTACTATGACCGGCGGCATGGGCCACGAAGAACTAAAACGCTTTTACCGCGACTACTTCCTTCCCAACGCTCCGCCCTCATTTCACATGCGACTCATCTCGCGCACTATCGGCGTGGACCGCATAGTCGACGAGCTCTACATCCAGTTCAAGCACACGACGGACATGCCTTGGGTGCTTCCCTGTGTCAAGCCTACCAACAAGAAAGTCGAAATCGTCGTAGTCAGTTTGGTAGGCATGAGAGCTGGCAAAATTTGGAGCGAGAGGATATACTGGGATCAGGCGAGCGTATTGTTTCAGGTAGGATTGCTGGAGCCGGAAGAAGTTCCTGAGAAGTTCAAGAAGGAAGGATTGGAGATGCTGCCTGTTGCGGGGAGTGAGGCTGCGAGGAAGATCATGGATTTCGAGGCTGAGGAAAGTAATGATATGATTGATGATTGGTGAACTCGACGATACTGGGAAAAGATTGAGGATTGGTGTTCCGGTACTGGATCTCCGGGTTGATACCTTGGTTAGCAATGGTTTCCACATCTTTGTTCTTGGACACATATTGGTTGAGAATGACTCTTATTTTTGGTATACTAATTCTGCTAGGTCAATGAACCCCGTTGATAGACAGACATACGCGATATGAGAAACGCGAACACGTCCATTTCCGAGGCCATGCGAGCTATCTGCCCGCCATCTACATCGCTTGTGAACACGATACTAGCCGCTCAATCGCCACGCCTGCAACGCCCCAGTCGGACCCACCTGCTTAAGCCGACGAGCAGGGTCCATGCCATTGCACTGCAGCAAGAAAATCCGCATCACCTCCGACGCAAGATTCCGCGTCGTCCGCGACGGCTCGCCCTCCCAAACGTGCCTCATCACGCGCATAAGCCCATCCAACCCGCGCAAAAGCAACATCATCATCAGCAGCTGGCAAATCACGCCATCCCCATCGCGCACCCGCTCGGCCGCGTCATTGAAGATCTTCCACTTCAGATAGGCGTCCCGAGGCAGGCAATCCGTGATAGTGACCAGCAGCTTGGGATTTGTCGCGCCGGTGCGGTAGTCCAGCACGGGCGTCAGCGACACCATGAGGTAGGCCAGCTTCCTGAGGTGCCACGTCTGGTAGTCGTTGTTCTGCTCTAGCAGCTGGCGGTATTCTTGGTACACGGGGTGTTGGTACTGCCGTGCGTAGCGCGTGAGCAGAGTCATGAGCGTCGCGCGGATCAGGGACTTTAGCCCGCGGGTGATGCTCTTGTCGAATCGATGGTACATGGCGGCGTGCTGCTGGTGCGCGGCGGTCCAGAGATCGGCCCAGAATCGCTTTGCGCCTGGGGCGGCTTTTAGTGTGGACCAGCGGTCGCGCTCTTCGTTTAGGCGCTGGTAGTAGAACAGGGGGTTGGAGGTGTTGTTGGAGCGCCGTGAGGCTTGGATGGGATATGTGGTTTGTGGACTACCACGGCTTGCCATAAAGTTATCGTATTCAGTCTCGTCAATCACCTCCACAATTCCATACCTACTTTCATACCTACGATAATTCCCTCCTCCAGCATACCCACCCGCGCTGCCATCGGACTCGTCAACCACCTCGTAATTCCCTCCTCCAACATAACCACCCTCGCTGCCATCAGACTCGTCAACCACCTCGTAATTCCCTCCTCTAACATACTCACCCTCGCTGCCATCAGACTCGTCGACCACCTCCACAACTCCATACCCACCATAATCCCATCCCATATCAGCATCCAGCTCAAGCTGGTCTTCTTCCTCCGCGCGCTGACCGAACAGCAGACCGCGGCACGTCGGACATGTGTTCGCATTGTCGTTGTCGGACTCAATCCAGGTGCGCAGGCACTCCATGCCGAAGACGTGGTGGCAGCCTGGGAGCACGACGGGCGCGTGTTCGACCGAGAAGGACTCCTGGCAGATTACGCAGGAGACTTCGCTGAGGGCGTCGAGGAAGCTGGCGGCGGTGGCGGGGACCGGTTGGTTTGGCATTGTGGGGGAGGGTGTGTGCTAGTTAGCTAGGGTGGTTGGTTGTAGTGTGGTAGGTTTGTTGATGTTATCGTTGTTGTTGGAGATGTGTATGGGAAGGTAGCCAAGGGAGAGATCGGGGTAAGTTTTATACCCTCAGAGGATGCGGGGGGATAGGTGGGAAGTATGTCCACCATATGTGCACATCGCAGCTGTGTAAGCACGAAAACTTCTTTCATTGCTGATCATCACTGACTACCATATAGGGCGGGCCGGAATGACGAGCGCTCGAGGACCCCCAGCGTTAGGAATGGAGATCGATATTGGGCTTGCACAACGATGGAACATGTGAGTTCGAAATCGCCGACTGATGGAAGGCAGTTGTGCACAATGGCTGTGAAGGCTAAATTCTTAACAATGTTGTATGAGAGAGTTACGGTCGCTCACAGTGTTCAGTATTTTCTCCATCAATTCTATCATACACTCCAGTATTGCTAGAATCGGTTTGACATCTTTTCCCATATTTCAACCTACCTAGGCATGGTCCACCCTATGTACTGGCGGCCCAAAATCCAGTATACGCCGCGAAAACACTAAATGCTCCCAATAGGTGTCGTGACAGTGATCGCTACTCAGGCTCCTTGGTCAAACCCGAGCCAACTCAGCGCCTGACACTAGTAACCCATCAGTGCAGCACAGGTAATGATGGCTAGAATCCCGAGCCAAGCATAAATCAGAATGATGAGGAGGCCAACGACCCATCCAACGAACTCCTCTACTTTCCTTGCGCCGCGACGAACGCCCTCGAACCACCCCGGTGACTGCTCCGTAGCTTGCGCGCCGGGGCGGGTCACCTCCGGTGTTGCGATGCGAGGGTTCGACGCCACAGTCGAAGTCCGCGACATAGTAGTCCCTGGAATCGTCCGGCCGGTCTGGACTGAACTCGTCGCTGCAAGTGAAATTGATGGGATTTCGGAGCGTGAAGCAGAGGCCTGTGCTCTAGGGGGATACTGTCCGGCAGTCGCGTAACCAGACCCATACGGCCCAATTTCGAAAGCTGTAAACGGGTGCCTTCGAATAGGGGATTGCTCTCTGGAGTGACGACCTCGGGGGAGATATTCGACGTCCGGGTGGCGGGGAGGAACGTGAATAAGCACACCGTCGGAGTGCTTTGCCCGGTCGGGTTTCTCGAACAGCTCAGTTCGGCAATTCGGACACGTGTTCGCCTTCTCGAACCACTTATCCAGGCACAATCGACAGAATTGATGGCCGCAGAGGGATAGCTCCACACCGCTATGGTCCTCGGAGTCATAGGGTTCGCTGCAGAGGGAGCACGTGGCGGGCTGGACGCTGGTCGTGAGGAAGTCGCTCTTGGAAGGGAGTTGCGTGCCCATGTTGTGCGTGCTCTTGGTTGCGTACGTATTGAGCGGTGTGGGCAGAAGGGGTATTATATAGGAAGTGGGATTGTAGCCTGGAACGTGGTTGTGAAAGTTTGCTAATTTCCAATTTCCGTTTGTTGCAATGTACAGGCAGTCTTGGAGCGCCTCTTGCAGTGCGGGAACGAACTGCATTTCACGTTGAAGAGGCCGTTTCACTGCAGTTCTAAGCATCTACGGAGAAGACTGACTCGATGTTTTCAAAGAAGCTTCATTCTCAATCCGTATTTTACCTAGACCTAAGCATGCGCGCTGAACAAAGCAGCCATGCTAGTCTAAAAGTAGGATAGAACGCATAGCAAGAGAAGGACGAGAAGGATGAAAGCAATACATACGACAATAAAGGCGACAGCAAGGATAATACCAGCGATGAGGATGTCGTGCATCACTATCCAAACGCTGTCTAGGAACGAATACCCAGGCCATGCGACAGGCATAGCATGAACTTCCATCTTGAACAGTTCTGTCTGACACTTCGGGCAGGTGTTGTTGCGATCCAACCACGTGTGCAAGCAGGTTCTGCAGAACTGATGCCCGCAGTGTGAGAATTGCACGCAGCTGTGATGCTTGGCGTTGTAAGGCTCCATGCAGATCGTGCATTCGCCAGATTCGATGCCTCCGGAGGCGAGAAAGTGGCCTTTTGTGGGGAGTTGGTTGGTCATGGTGTGGCGAGAGCCTAGGTAGGTGGTGTCGAAGAGGGAGTTTTGTGGTACCGCAGGCCAGGATGAAATAGGGTCCGCAGAGAGTAGATGCCCGGGGGTTGGATGTGCGGTAAGCAGTAGTGCTGAGTGAAATCGACGAGTTTCCCCATTTCCTGAAGGAAAATGTGTGAATGTCAAAGAGCGCACTAGGACCAACGATAGCTCCCGAGCTCGTCTAGCTACAATGGTGAATTCCCTCTTCGCCCCACCCCTGAGTTCTTGAACCTCCACTTTTCAATACATTCCTGAAAGCGGCGCAAAATAGGCCACAAAGCTGCCAAGTTCTTCCACCAAGGTTCTGCAGCGCACTACAGCCACGAACCAGGCAACAACACCCAATCCGATAGTTATGGCCATACTCAGAAGGCCACCAATGGCGATTAACATCAAGACAATGATTTGCAATATCATTGTCGCCCAGATGCCGTTACGGCCCATGGCAGGGTGCTGGAGTCTTGATGGAGGAGAGACGTGCTGCTGGTTGGGTTGCTCGGAGGGCTGGTCGAGTTGTGGATTTCGCTCCTCTTCTACAGGCATGGTAGGAGAAGGGGGCCGGATGGGCAAGGTTGTCGTCGGGGGCTGCTTGAAAAGCGGAGTCCGGCAGTATGGGCAGGTATTGGCGTTCTTTAGCCAGTGGCGGACGCAGGAGTCGCCGAATTGATGCCCACAGGGTTCCAGTTGGATACAGTCGTGGCACTTATCCAAGGGACCGTAAGGTTCTCTGCATATGGAGCATTCTCCTGGAAGGATTCCAGAGTTGAGGTAGTCTTGCTTGGTTCTGAGTGGCGCGGTCATATTGGCGTATTCGAGCTGGAGTCGGAGAGTTTTGGGATTACAGAGCGCACTGATGGTGGGTATCGCTAGGTAGAAGATGAGCGTGGAGGATACAAAGCCGCAGAGTCGTGGAATTGGTAAATTGTCAAGAGGTCACAGAGAGATGTGCTGCAAACTTCTGTAGCTCAAGAACCATGGTTAGCGTCGCCAACAGTTTGTGAGGATTAGAACTTTAAGCGAACTTAGATACGAAACGAAACCTGAGTTACAATGCTGTTAACCGAGAATCAATTATGGTACCGCCATCTCATTGGCTCGCCAAGTTAGCTTCAGCGCTCTTTCCATGGACTAGACAGCTAATTTCCTGGAAATGCGCGAGGGTCGCCCGGTCTAGCTCGTGCTCAGTCCTGCAGCCAAGTTGTAACACTAGTATTCAGCATTAGCCCAAGCCCACGCCCTACCCCACCGATACTTAACCTCCCCAACCGGCAACTTCAAATGCCTGATCTGTCCCCCGGTTTCGGTATCCCAATTACAACAAGTCACCGCCACACCAGCGACCACCATAGCGAACTTTTTGCTCGGCTCACCCTTCCAGTACCTTCCCATATGCTTCACTGTCTCCTCTGGCTCCTTCGAAAAAGCCTCCATCTTCTCATTGTACGAGACGTGATAGGCAAGCACGAAGCTGTACCAGCGGAGGATCTTCTTATCGCGATGGTTCTTCGAGCGCGATACACGCTCCCATGCTTCCCAACTCAGCTCGCCAGAGAAGTGCGTGATGGTGTTGAATTCGAGGAGAAGGTGTGAGCTGAAGGCGCTGGGCATGGCGTGGATGTAACCCATTGTGCTGCACATGTAGACCAACAGCTTAGTTAGAGCAAACAATGGGATGCACAGCGCTCGGCTTTCGGGTGAGAAACCACATTCCCGGAGATGAAACGTAACGTTGCGGTAGAACTCGTCGCTTGTCTTGCAGAGCTTCATTTCGACAAGCTCGCCGAACACGCGGACCAAGAATCCTGCTTGGGCCTGTGTATTGCCGATGATATCGTCGAAGGTTTGTTGTGTGTCGTTTTCGGGGTGGTGGAGCGGGTGGAGGAGCCTGTCGCGGACGCCGTTCCAGAGGCTCTGGATGAACATAGAAACCCAGTGCTCATCTTGTCCTACTGACAATTCCCAAAGCCAAGGGTTGATGTTGTTCGAGACCGCGACCGGCAAGGTCGCGGAGGCGTTGGCCGCAGATGTTCTAGTGTTTCGCCCTTCCGCTGACGTCGTCGGCATGATGCTTCCTTCCGAAAAGGTTTCAAGATCGCTAGGTTGGCTATTATTATATAAGGGCATACGGCAAGTGGGGCAATCAAGATTCCTATCAAGCCACTTCCTTAAGCACTGGTGGCCAAACTGATGTTGATGCATGCATGGCACCGTGACTGGCTTGTGGTTGCTGGCGTTAAACGCCACGTCGCAAAGCGTACATTTGGCGGGCTTGATGAGCTGGCTGAGGAACTGGCCTTTCGTTGGAAGCGTGCGGAAAGACATGTTGGGTGGCGGATCTGCGAATGGTTTGGCTCGAAATGCTTGAAGAGAATCCGGAACATATATGCAAGCTCGCCCATTGTGCATAAAATAATGTTTTCGTGGGGAGCCGGGCTCCTGATACAGTTTTGGAGGAAAGGGAAGAAGGGGGGTAGTACTCAAACAATGCAGTAAATGCCTTCATGGTCGCCTTATTCGGTTTCTACTGTACGATGTAGTTACTCAGAATATGCCACCCTTGCTAGACCTCACCGAGCTACATTTGGTGCTTAGCGACTACCTAGGTACACGATCAAATATGGATGCCTCGGCTACACTTCCACAGAGATTACTCTGCCGTCTCTCCTATGGCATTGTGCATTGCGAGAGATTGCATAAGCCCTCGGTCTTTTACGGTTGGTGTAGTTCGGCCGAACTCTGACTGAAATCATGTCGAGCTTTGGCAGACCACCAAAGCTTACCATCCCCCTCAATCAATTGTAGCTGCTTATCTAGAGGCCACGTTTTATCGCAAGATATCTTCTCGTTCCGATCGTGAAATCTTCCATCGAGCGTGCTTCAGTGCATTCGAGGTTATCTTTCTGGAACCGGTCCGGACCTGCTACTCCCAAGTCCAGTTAGCGGGCTACCGTTCTCGGGATTGCGAGTTAATGATAATTTTGCGAAGATATGATGTTGAGGAGAGAGAAGCTTGCGTTGATGCAAGGGTTGTGGAGACGAGAAGGTTGATGGCTGAGGAGATGCGTCCCATGGCGCGATCGCGTCTCAACCTCGGAACAGAAGTGAGTCCAAAACACGCTGATGCCCAACTGATGCCTAAGCCCTTATGAGTTCACGTGAAAATCTCATTCTACACTCGGGCTTGCATTTTCCAAGCTTGCGACTTGGGAGTGAAGGGTGAGGAATGAAAGAAAAACCAGACAATTTATCGATCATGTTCGATCTCCAAGACATCGTTTGTTGGCTGCCCTTAGAACCTGTACCGTTCGCTTTCGTTACGGACACAGCTACAACGCAGGAGGTCATCAAGCCGAGCGCCTCCCGCACGTGACATAGAACTTCCAATGCTTCCCCTTCTCCGGCCTGAAGTCCTCGCGCATCTGCTCCTGCCAGCGTCCAACCTGCTCTTCCGTATACCCATGTCTCTCGTTGACTTTGAGAATGACATGCATGAACATTCTCGGCATCTCCGTCGCCACGTACTCTCCGAATTGCTTCATCTCCTCTCTTTCTTCCCATTCTCCTCCGAACGGCCAGTAGTACTCCTCCACTCTAATGTCAACTAGGCCTACACGTAACATTAGTGAGTGAATCAAGAAGACGGAATAGGATAGACAGACCTGCGTCTCTCATCCAGCCTGCAGCCCTGCTCCCGCATTCAAAGTCGAGTCCGCGGTCCTCCGCTGATTTCCGAAGCACCTTGAGCCACTCCCACTTGTCAGAGATAGCATTGCTAGACTCATCGTACCAGATCCAATCCATGTCATGCACTTCCACCCAGCCATTGGGAGCTAGTAGAGAAGCCGCTGTGCGCAGGTATCCAGGCCAGTCTGAAAGGCCGCATAGAAGGAGCCGGGAGTAAATCAAGTCGAAGTGGCCGTTTCTGATCGCTTCCATGCCCGTGCGCTCTGGGGATGCGAGCGCCAGACCACTATCTTTTGGCGTCTGACCATTATCCAGGTTCAAGATATCGCCTTGGACGAACTCAATGTTGCTGGGGACCTGACGTCCAAGGATGTTCGGAACAGGTGTAAGATCAAGACCGAACACCCGAGCAGTGGGATATCGCGTAGCAAGAGCGGTGGTGACGACGCCGGTGCCACATCCTACGTCAAGAATTTTGCTAGGTTGAGAGCGTAGGGTTGAATGGATTATCTTATCGGACATCAAGGCAGAGAGATGGACCGCTTGGGTTTCGAGGCGCACATGCTCTGGATCACTAAAGCGAGGTCAGTAGTGCAAAAGCTATGGAGGGGTCCATTATGGATCACGTACTCGTTTGGGAGAGTATATTGTGCTCCCTTAACGCTGTGGTAGCGGCGGTCTTTTGGTTGAGGATATGTTTCGGTGGTCGCCATTGTGAGTTGCTATCTGTGGAGGATGAAGAATTGTGGGATTCTTTGGGCAATGCAATTTCTCCGCTGCAAATGAGGGAGTCTTTTATACCCCGAAAGCCCCTCTTAGGCCTTCCCTGGATAAGAAGATAAAAGAGAAAGGGTGGATACATCATGACGATGACAATGTGGAGACCTCCCAGGAATCCGAGGTGACCGCATATGGCAGATTGCTAGAAATGCAAATCAACGTGCCATCAACGCTAGGTTTGAGATCAGGAACCTTACCGAAAAGCATCACTAGACAAGCATTCTCGTACACAAGCTTACCACAAATAAGCTTACGCCCGTCCCGCAGAAAGTGCCGGAAAATCGTAGTGGGGTGCAACGTGAGAAGCGTGAGGGGTTGTGCTGATCCCTTTACCATCTGACTAACCCTAAATATTAGGCGTGCAGTTTTGGACGCCGGACCCCTGAAGTGCTGAGTAACTGTAGCCGGAATGAAGCGCGAAGTTGAAGCGGACGGTGTTTGTATCAGCGTCAAACGTGCTTTTCTCCTTGATTCGGATCTCCATTCTGGTTTCTTCTCGATTGCTGACGTGTTTGTCCACGTGTGAGCTTCGTATGAACCCCGTCCTAGTATAAACCATGTCCCAAATACCTCTCACTCATCTAGTCCCAGTGTTCCAAGTATGTCTGGCGGGAACTGCAATGACGTATCATAACTGGGTGGCCGATCCCATCGAGAGCCGTAGCTCCTAGGCGACGTTCGCCACATTTTCGAAGCGCTCATTCATCCGCGTTGGAACTTGCCAGAGCCAATATATAGACAATATGTACGAAGCCGAAGATGATGACCAGGACGAGGCCGAAGATGGGTTTTCCTAGGTACGCTATCGATAAGCCCGGAACGCTAAGCCGGATTGAGCTTGCTTACGTGTGCACTCCAGGCTTGCAACCACCAGCACCACAGCACATTCCATCGCGAGAGTAGGCACAATAACTGTATAAACACCATTTCATTCACTATACCGCGAGAATGGAATTGCATCACCGGGACGACGTCGTCGAGCCGAATATACCCGCCCTTTCCTGCCCCTCCACCATCGGACAGCTCGGATCCAAGCTAGAAAGCCACGCCGCAGCACAACTCGATCAACAATACAGCCCAAAATATATGCATTGCCCTCGTACAATGAATGGTGTACTCCATTATACCCTGGGCTTTGGGGAGTGATCCCGTCTATCCCCTAGGGGCGGCTGCGCCCAACGATGTGCGAGCACAACCGCTTCCAAGCACGGCCGCATACAAAAGGCGCCAACCTCTTCTCCACACTACAGCATAGCTTTTGAGTCCAGAGATATTCAACTCCATAGCCGGATCCATGGACAAGGAACGCTTCATCCGCAGCTTGGCTCTGCCGGACGAGGACTGCCCCATCTGTAAGTTGCCGTACAGCCCTGAAGAGTTTCCCGTACGAACTGCATGCGGGCATTGGTTCCATCGAGAATGCCTCGTGCAGGCCGTCGAGCATGCACCCTCTCCGCACACGTGCCCCTATTGCCGCGATCCTATGTACTCCCCGGGAGAAGACGAAGAAGAAGACGACGACGAAGACGACGACGAAGACGAAGACGAAGAAGACGAAGACGAAGACGAATACGAAGAATACTACGTCGGCTCCAACTGGATACCAAATCTTGGAGGGATGAGCTATGGACGTATGTGGAAAGAGCGCTGGGATAAGGTTGCTGACTTGTCCGATGCTGAGCACGCCGCGCTGGTAGGTTACATCTGGCGCACGATACGCCGCTACTCGGCCCTCAATCTCACCGACTCGGGGGCTTTCACACACCTAGCGACCGTTCACTTGTTGACTGGTATCATGCTCAATGTTGGCCGCGACATATATCGAGATCCCGACTGCCCGTTTTCGGACGCCCTACTGCGCTACATCGAATTCTCCGCCATCCGTATAGACGACCACTTGTCTCTGCCTGTCATCGAAAGGCGGTTCGGCGACGAACCTCTTCGTTCTCTGATCAAGATGATGATGAGCCTACATAGCTTCATCCCGGCTGACAGCCTCTCTACTGATATTGCCCTCCTTTGCTGGAAAGCCGCTATGGTACTTTTCAAGTACCGGGAGTCTTATTTGGCGCTGGCTACCGTAGACGAAGCCACTCTCGTTATTCATTTCCTACTCGTGATTGAGAACCTGAGTATCGTAAATGGGAGCACTGAGCAGCGGATGATGTTTGAGCGAACTTCCTATTTCTGGTACCTGGTTAACTTTAATCTCAACCTGGACCACTCATTTCAGTTCCGGCGATCTCTGAGGCGGGAAGTGCTCCATCTTCAACAGATGTCAGGATCTCAGGACTCGCCCGTGTTCACTGGTGCCCCTTCTGAATCTGAAGAGGTTTGTCGCATTATGCTTAGCCCGTTGCTCCAGACTAGCAATCCATTTTCAAACGGTCATAGGCGAAGTTTCTAGAGCCAGGTACAGAAGCAGGCGATCTTCCTTCTACTTCCGCCGACCCGCTTTATTTCAAGTGCACCCCTTCGCGAATAGGCATCAATAATACATTACATCAAGATATCTGTAGGTAAATGTTTCCCTTTGTGTAAGTCTCGTCACAGAATTTTCATTCATCTTCGTCATCCAAGGTACTGACCATTCCTAGCCACTGGTCAGCCCTGCACGTTCCGAACTGTCGCACCAAATCTCAATTCGGCTCAACGAACGCCTTCCAGTTAGAGTTGCCAAATGCTTTTCATAGAATGGATCTCGGCAAACTCTATCTTTTGTCCGTCGAGACTTTCCATATCGCTTACAGCAGATTTTTCTCGCCTGCCCAACGCCTTCTAGTCGACCATATAAATCAACCAATTTTTTTCTACTCATTTCTATAACATCTTCTAACGCGCATCTTCAATCTTCCTCGCATCTTTCTCACACCCTTGTCAGCAGTCCATCTTGAAAAGGCAAAAACCATGCGACTACCCTCGCGGACCGAGTTCGTCGCCAACCTCACCTTTGCGGCCCTCCCGCCCGTCTTAGGAAATGAGAACATTTCCTACCAATGCCGGAGCTGCCTCCTACATTTCGATCTCGACAATGCGATCCGCGCAGATATCGCATGCGGTCACAATCACTGGTGCGGGGCCTGTCTCTGTAGATTGGCCGTCTGCGATAGAAGGGAGGGCGCGAATAAGTGCCCGGATTGCGGGACGGTGCTTTGGCGCAGAAATGCACGTGATGGATCTGCGATGCCTGCCCGGGGCCGGAGGACTGATCAGTCGCGCGGGGTTTCTGGTGCGCATGATCTAGGTCGCTCGCGCCTGTGCGATTTGGTGGTGAGTCCGTTCCGACATGATCCCCGGTGGGGACTGACCTTTCTAGGTTGACAGCCGCCCGCTACCTAGGTTTCCACCGCGCGGACAGCAGGATTTGAGCGGCGCTTACAGCGAACACTCTCTGGCCGTTCTGTCGCAAGCGTCCGCCGGTATATTCTACATGAACCCTCAACCCGCATACCCAGGCCAACAACACCGGTACGTGCCACGACCCGATGGAGCGCATCACCCGTACAATGACCCCAGAGTGGTGCATAATGCGCCACTGCACACGCGACATCAGACGGCTACATACAACACACGGCCGGCGCAAGGTCCCCTACGCTACCCGGTCGCCAGGCAAGAAGCACCACTAAGCGCAACACCATACCGCCACCAGCGTGCCACAATCTTCACGGTGTCAGGGCAGCCAGCTCCACAACCACCGCCTTCGCGTTATGTGCCGCGTCGTCACGATCCCGTGTATGACAGCGCCGCACCGTTAGTGCCGGTGAACCGCTATTGTGCGAATCTTGCACGAATTTGGCGGGCATGAACCAGACGACTGTTCCAACAAAGCGAGAATTTCCAATGAGAGGACTGTGATCGACGTTTTTAGCCGTAGCTCCGAGGCGATACTGCGTTAGGAACGTTCATGATATTCGGACTTTGGCTTCTGAGAAGTGAATTGGGGATGAGGCGGAGTTGGAGGAGTGTTGGCGCGTTGCGTTCGATTGGAGTTGCAGATGACGGAGTGCATTATACCCAATCCAGTTTTTTCATGGTTTACTAATGTCACCCACGGTCCTTTGTTTAATGGATACCAGTTACGGATTTGCTTGGGCTAGGTTGGGCGCATTGGCATTTTTGTCCTATGGTACAGAATCCCGGTGCAAAATTTTCAGCTCCAAGTTGAATAATTTTGCCTGTCGGCGCCAGCACCGGTTTCAAATGTTTGCCTGTTTGCAGAGCCCACTATACCGTTAATCTTGAATACATAATCGCAGCACCGAACAATTCAATCTGCCCGTTTGAGGGTGCGTATGCAGCCAGTGAAGAAGACTGCCCCGCTGCATTGTCCATACTGGAGGTTTCTGCCTATAGCTAGGACACGACTCGGAAGAGGCAACGCGATTTTCTCGATGGCAGAGAAACGTCCGCAACTTACGCCCAGAGCAGCTAATCACCAGTTATCCCACCACTCCGATGCCCCTACCTTCTCTACACCCACACTTTCCTACCCCAGCGTCGCCAGCATCCCCGTCTTCCCATGACACCCCACATACTCAAACACCTGCTGCCCCGGCTCCAACACCGCCACCTCATGCCAAAGCTTCAACTTCATCTTCTCCCCCAACTCCTTCGCATACTTGTGAAACCGTCCAAAGATATCAAGGTGCGTTTTATGCCCCTTACACCACGTCTCCAAGCTCGCGAGCTCATCGAAGTACGCCAGGCCAAACGTGCGCTCTGTATCCGCGCTAAACGTCGCAGACGAGAGGACCGACATAAAGCGGCAGCTATAGCAGCCGATTGCCTCGCCTTCGTCGCGGAGGAAGTCCATTCCCGCGATGAGAACCGGGTGCATGGTTGAGAGGTAGAGGTCGCGTTCTTCGGGGGTTGTGCTAGACCAGTCTTGCCCCGAGCGGATCATGGTGAGGTTCTTGCGGCCGGGGATGCGGATCCTACGTTTCGATGTATCTGTATCTCCTCCATACGCCTTATCTCCTGCGGTCGTTCCTCCCTTCTCGCCAGCCAGCTCGTCGCCCTGCGCAGCTGGAAGTCGATCCCGCATACTACCCCAATACGCATGCTCTTTCACCGCGCCACTGATACTGTCGCGCATATGCGCCGATCCCTCGCGGATATCCGTCCGCGAGAGCACAGTCTCGAAGCGCTCCATAGACGGTAGAAAGGCTTCGAGAAAGTATCCACAATCTAGCGTTTCAGCGTCCAGTGCGTCCCACCATGCGCCGAAGCCGGAATCTGCTTTCCAGTCACGGAAAGCCTGGGTCGAGGGCCAGTATGCGATGAGGGCTATGTTGAAGTATCCGGCGTCGGTGTAGGAGCTGGGTTCCCAGAATGAGGGGAGGGATTCTGAGGGCCCGGATGTTACGAAGGAGAGCAATTTGGTGAGGGTGGGTGTGGGGAGTGTGGGAGAAGATGGGGAGGATGGGTACTGGAGGCCTAGTACGGCCATTGCGATGTCTGTGATGGAGGAAGGGAAGCGGTTTACGTATGAGGGGTATGGGGGTGCGGCTTTTGAGGATGGTTTGGAGGGGATTGTGTGAGGTTGGAGGAGGTGTTGGGAAATTGCGGATTCGAGGTCGTCGCTGGAGGCCATCTTGAGGAGATGCAAGTTAATGTGCAAGGCCGTCTGAGCAGGACTTGCGAAGAGATGAGGGGGTTTGTGGACGTCCTATGAAGCTCCTACTTTTAACTGTGACTGACAGCGCTAACTGTTCGGCGCCCTCCTGCACACCCCGCCTGCAAGGCAGGTTACACGGTGTTTCCCTGGGGAATCTGCACATCATCCAGATCCGTCCTAGTCGATCGTACAGCGCTGATTGGGCCATTAGATCAGGCCTCCCGCACGCACCCTTCACATCTTGACTCCTCTACTCAAAGATCAACTTGCAGCACATCTCCTCCCACGCGCATCATTTTTCTCTACTCGTTAATCCGATGCAACCACACCTCCTGCTCCGCCCTCGCACTATACGCACTCACCCCCAGCACGCCCTGCATCTGGCCAACGCCCACAAAAAGAATCTGCCGCGCGACAAACCAGCGAATCCCCTCCGTGCACGGCGGACTCGTCAGACTCCCCTGGTACGTCCAGAACTCATTGAACCACTTCACATCCTCCATTGCGGGCGTGAGATCCATTTCAATCGGCTCCTGGACGTCTAGCTCCGTAAACGGGATGAAGGAAGGCAGCTGCGTGAAGAACGCCGAGTCGACATTGCCAGGGTCGAGACGCAGGGCGAGCACGGCGCGCTCGTCACCGGAGGAGTCGACGTGCACGAGGTGCAGCTCGGCCTTGCTGCGGTCGCCGCCTACCGAGTGGTCGGCGGGGGCGTGGATGTGCCAGCCTTTCAGATACAAGGTCTCATTGTCGTAGCTGATGCTGGGGTGCGTCGTCCAGTCTCCGTCGTGCGCCACGGTAAACGCGGGCCCGTAGCCCCAGTTGTAGAAGTTACCGGAAACTGGGGAAGAGTAGTTGAAGGTGGGGGCGTGGTTTAGGGAGAGCCCGTTGCTGAGGGAGAGGGCGATGGGCGATTGTTGGGTCCCGTTTTGGCAGAGGGAGTAGGAGGGGTGGATGGTGTGCCAGTTGTACGAAGCTTCGTAGGCCCATTCTGGGGAAGAGTTGTTGGATACGGAAGGGTCGGCGGTGCGTTTCCGGAGGGGCGACAGTTTGTTGTTTTGGTGCTGAGGGCATGCTGACCCTAGAGGCAAGAGAGCTGTGAGGGCGAGGAGCGATGGAAGCAACATCGTGGAAAGTGGAAACGCTGGACTTTTGGTAAGGAAACCGACACTGACGGTAGGAAAGACGACGATCTTAAATGGAAGCCTGTGCTCACCTCCGCATCCACTCCGCTAAGTACTATTCCCAAAAAAGGCCTCCATCACAAGAGCGCCAAGTTCGCTTCTTTCATCCCAACTCCATCACCTCGCACCCACCACCGCCAAGATCCCGTTTCCTGCCATCCTCCAGCTTAGCCACTCAGCACGCGTCATCCCTCCTCCATTCCGCCAAGCCCCAAGACGATGCTGCTCATGAGCGGTGATGGTCGTTTTCGCCTTCCAAGACAGGAACGCCTTGTAGGCGTATTCAGCAACCCGGAACTAGCGATTGGCGCTCCCGAGAGATTCGGGCCGAGCCAATAATGCCGATCTTGGAGGAAAACGGCTCGGTGGCTTGGGCGGGCTCATTTCGCTTCGCCAAGAGGCTTCCGGTTCGGGCGGCGCTGGGCTTGGCAGGGGAGCAGGGTCGGAAGATGGATTTGATGATGAAGACTTCTGGACTTTGAGGTTTGTTAGTGTGGGTTTGGAAGAGTAGGAGTTTGGGTTCGTTGGGGAATGTGCGGAAGGCGGCGGATGCGCATTCGGGCCGGAGAGACGGATATTGCGGCTTTGCGCAGTCAAGGTAAAATTTCGTCCCAAGATGGCTATTAGTCTGCGGTTTGAAGGGTTGAAGAAGGAAAGGGATGGGTGTGGGCAGTGTGAGTCAAATTGTGAGATTTCATTGCCTTTCTAGGTTGTAGCTTATCTAACATTGCCTAGGCATTCTCTAAACACGGCGCAATGCGTTCAATCTTGTACTTGAAAGTTGAAAGCCTGCCGTCCACAACGTACCTGGATTCGATCACGCGTGCTTCGCCTCTTCTCTTTTAGCTTGCAGGACTGCATCTGCATGTCCAGCCGGCGCTTGCGCCTCTCCCCTCGCCGCATCCTCAGGCTCTTCATCCTGCACGATGGCATGCAGCTTCACTCCATTCACAATTCCGACCTTCCAGATTACGAACGCCGAAGGGATGATACAAACCGCGAAGAAGGACATATTAACAGCAACAGCCCCTGAAAGCGGAAACCTGGTCTGATCGATCGAGTTGATGCCGTACGAAATGGCCTGCCCACAGCTCTCGATGCCACGGATGATCGCACTCAACCGAATAATTTCGCCACCGTTCTTGTTAACCGTACCAATGAGCCAGTACAGATAGTCATACATGAGGTTGAACCCGACGAGCATGAGGATATAGACACAAACTGCGCGGCCGAAGCCGTCATCCAACCAGTCGAAGGTGGGTCTGACATCTCGCCGTTCGTACTGCTTACATACTACCATGGCGTAGATGTAGAGCGACGACTCAAAGGCGTAGATGAAGACGAAAGCTGCGATAGCGCGCGTGTTGACAGTCGGACGGCGCCAGTCGAGCCAGAAGCCGAGACAGAAATTTGCAATGATGACGCAGGTACTTGCGACCAGAGAAGCGAGAGCGCGAGAGCGGACTGTGAAGTAGGTAGCATTGTAGGTGGAGAAGAATGCTTCGGAGAAGACGCATTGGGATATCATTGGCGTGAGGAGTAGGATTTCCTTTCGGCAGACGAGTTTCCACATTGCGCGCAGTTCCACTTTGAGATCTTGCGGAAGAATGATCTTGACGGGAGTCTTGTCGGAACGTTGGACCTTCTCGGGATTCGAGAGAGCTGCAGCGACGAAGGGTCCAAGTGCTTGGATGGAGATGAATATGAGGTACGTGTTGACGCTGATATGGCCGCGCATGTCAGCTTTCGCATTGACACCGAGCGAGACAGCACCTCCGATCATCTGACCCACGATGCGGCTCGCAAGCCAGAAAGCCAGATACCTTCCTCTCTTGTGCTTCTCCGGATACGCAAGAACGATAGCTCCCTCAGTGAGCCAGAAGATACCGGAAAAGACGCCATCGATGACGCAGGCCACCATAAGGTACCAGTTGTTGCCGTACTTGACGTGGGTGTACAGACTGGCGGCGTAGATGGGGAATCCGACCATGCCAGAGACGAAGGCCCATTTCAGCGAGATTCGGGCGATGATCCAACTGCCGAAGATGCAGATGAGGAACTGGAGGCAGAAGATGACACTGTTGGCAGCGTTGACATATTCCGGGTTTTCTGCGCCGCCTGCTCCGAGACCGTTGATGGCAGCCCATAGACCGGGCGCGATGAAGGCGCAGATAGCTACGACAGAGATGTTGAAAAAGGTCGTGCGGTACCACGTTCGCTTGTACGAGACGTCGTTACCGGGGGCGATCTCCGCTCGTTCAGTCGCGGAGGTGATCGCTTCAGGATCGGACTTGCTTAGGTCATTATCAGACGGATAGGTGGCCATTGCGATACGTCAAGTGGAAAGAAGAGATGGATCAAAGCAAAGAGGAGGTCCGAGACGAGCAGCATTGCTCATGAGAAGGATAGAGATACATCTTATGGGTTAGGGAATGCGCAGTTCTCCGACGCCGAGTCATCTTGTATCCGTGTTTTTGGAAATGAGTATGCCTATCCTCGTGAGGGCGCCGGGGATAATCTGCGAGCTGCGAGGAGACCCACTCCTGGGGAGTTTGGATGACCGTTGACCTGTGTGCGACCATCGGAGAAGAGCCGAAAGTCCCCCCATGGGGTAGCGGGACGGATAAACAAATCCCACTGTACCATATACTATAGGATGTCACAAGTTCGTGTGGACTATGAATGTGAAAGATTGTGTTAGGCTCGTTATAGACGGCGTTTCTGAGGAGGAGATGTCAGTGCACCAAGAGTCCCTCTCTACATGAATAGAATACCGACCGCACTTCAACCTCCTCTTTGTTCTCCATTTGCGATGCGGGAATTAGTGAAGGATTCAGAGAGGACATCGAAGGAGTAATGATCAACGAGCATGTGACGAGGTCCACTAGCGGGGTGATGACGTTGCGCCTACCCCACGTCTTAGCGCCGGGCCATGTCCTACCGTTGAACGCCCACGACGCCCAAGTGGGTATCCCGATGCAGCTACAATTTGTACGATAGTCATCATTTCGGAGTGTTAAAGGAAACATGGCTTCACAGACGAAGAAGGCCATCAATCTTCCATCCAAGGCTGAAAGCCAAGCCCAAGATGACACATCCCGCACCCGTAGACGTACCGACAAGAGATCTCTTCAGACTTGATGGGAGAACAATCTTAAGTACGGGAGGATGAGCCTTCGCGTGATGATCACGGGCACATGCTTACCACGAGATGCAGTATCCGGAGGAGCAGGCGCCGTTGGCACTACTGTCGGCAAGGCCATCCTCGAGAGCGGAGGCGATGCCGTCTTCGTCGACATGGCGCCTTCTCCAAATGCAGAAACGTGGAGTACGATAAACCGTCGATCCTTGCGCGGGGAATCTATACTTACGATCGAATAGAAGCAATTGAAGAGATCGCGGCGGCAAATGGCACGAAAGCGTGGTACCATCAGCTGAACGTTACCGACGCAGACAGCGTCCCGCGAGTCTTCGACACCATTCGGGATGAACTCCGATCGCCCCTTCGTGGCCTAGTAGCTTGCGCGGGTATATCCGGCGAGTGCGATGCCTGCGACTATCCGATCGACGCTTTCCGTAAGATCCTAGATGTGAATATCAACGGGACGTTCCTAGTCACCCAGGCTGTGGCGAAAGAGATGCACCGTGCGAATGTTACCGGAAGCCTTGTCTTAATTGCCAGCATGAGTGGATGGGTGAGCAACAAGGTATGTCTTCTCTCGCTCCGCGAAAGTCACGGGAAAAGTCTGACGGTTATTAGGGCATCAACACAGCGCCCTACAACGCCTCCAAATCTGCACTCCACCAGCTCGCTCGCTCCCTAGCTGCCGAATGGGGGCACCCGCAAAACACCTTCCCGGGCCGGACTCCGGGCGACGCCAATCCAAACCCGCAGGCAGAACGCAAAGCATATCCGCCCATCCGGGTCAACACGATAAGCCCCGGCCACATCGAGACGCCGATCAGTGAGGCCGCGCGCGTGAGGGGACTGACTGACGAATGGGCTAAGCAGAACATGCTAGGGCGCATTAGCCAGGCTGAGGAGTACAGGGCTCCTGTGCTGTTTTTGCTGGGCGAGGGCTCGAGCTATATGACTGGCGCGGTACGTAAATGCTACCATGAAGCGAAACGGAAGAGGACGACTGCTAATGCTCTTGGCTAGGATTTGCGGATTGATGGTGGACATTGCGCGTGGTAGAAGACGCTGGGACAGAGATCCACAGTGCTGGAGGCGGGGAGTAGACGCTTGCCGGCGGAACGTTGAACAATGAGTGGGCACCAATGCATCGTGTAAATATAATGCATTGCACGATATGCGAAGTATACAAGGTCCCTATGGCTTCATAACCGCAACACCCATACTGTCCTCTACACTCCAATACTAGAACGAGGCCGATAATCACGCCGTACCAAGAAAAATGCCACACACCATGCAGGCCCGTCCCCAAAAAGCCGAACTCGAGAAGCGACTCTTCAAAGTCGCCAACCGCGTCGCCCACGAGCAAGCCTCAGTAACCCAATGGAGTTCCTTCCACGTATGGAACTCCCTCTGCCATTTCAACACAGCTGACGACGTCTCCAAGGTGGGCGACGGTATATGGGACGACATGGCCCCCTTTGCGCACTGTGTAGGAATGGCTACCCTCGTCACCAAAACCCTTCGCGCAGCTCTTCAAAAGACACCAGACCTCGCCGACTACGCAGACCACGTGCAGCTAATGGCATGGAAGGCCGGAGAGCATATCACCAGCGAACGCCACTTCCACGCGCTAACCGCCATCCAGCTCAGCACGCACTGCATCGTGATCGACCTCGTCGCGCAAGCATCTGCCTTCGAGATCCCGCTAGGCGGGTACTACCAGTGCGAGGACCGGATAAACCTCATGTGGGACGCGGTCGACTGGTTCAACTACGAGTACACTATGCGTTACGGCCAGCAGGAACTGCAGTTCGTACAGCGCGACGAGAACGGTAAGCGCGTGCGTGACAATATCTCCCCGCTGTTTCTGCCCATCGACCCGACAGCTGCGCTGACCAGCCTTGCCTTCCCGGCGTGCGAGACGCTGAAGCGGACGCCCTTTGGCCGCCTACCGGGTAGGAAGTACATCCAAGCGCGCGCATTCCTCGACCAGAAGCCCACGGCCCTCGCGTTCACTGAGATCGGGGCCAGGTACCTCGCCATGACGTGTCAAGTGCGCGTCGACTTCGGCGCTAGGCAGCTGGTCTTCCAGATCCCGTATAAGGACTGGCTGCTCAGGCCAGAGAACCGGCACTATCGGGGCGATCTGGAATGGTTTGGGGTGCTTGAGCGGTGTCATCCGAATCTAAAAGATGCAGTGGCTTACTTTACAGTTAACTTAGGCCCTCCCCAGGCTAGGAATGTCGTGGAGGTCGAGGGCCTAGCTGTGGTGCATTTGATGGATAAGATTTGCTCGAAGCTAGGCCTCCCAGACGGCGAAATTGTCCACATTGCTAGGGTGGTAGTGGATGTGTGGAAGAATCTGGAGCTCGAGATGAGTGGCGCGCATTCAGAGTTGGCTGCAGAGTCAGGATGCCGAGACAGAAGACAGTAATTTAGAAGGTTGAGATGCGAGTGGGGAGGCGGCGCAGAAGGTCGCTGGGCTGCACGTCTGTGAATCTATTTTCAACGGCGCAGTGGACGCCGTGGAGCGCGACGAGTCTTCTCGGGGCATGATGACGATGACGCTGTTCTCTTTGTTGTAAGCTGAGACCGCTGGCAGGACTTGTAGTCTTAGATGCTAATGAGATCTGATGGAAATCCTGAGATTGGGAAATGGAGAAGTGTGGTGAGTTATTCTTGGCACAAAGTGCGAGGATGTTGTTGTTTAGCTCAAGTCTCGGAGGTAAAGCGGAGATAATGGAGTCACGTGATGTTCGACTCTACGATCTGGCGGACCAGATAGCTTGTTAGAAAGTATTTGAGATATTTTCATATTGGGAGACAGATTGGGTGGAATACGAAATATAGTCGTGCGCCTTACTAGACGCTGGCGTAGGCTAGGCGCCGAAGTATCCGAGCGAAGAGGCTGTGCCGGCTCGCTCCTCATCCGACACAAACAACTCATCAAACAACGCACTCTTTTGCGCTCAAACATCGCGGCACCTGAGAAACACGGCCTAGGAAGGCCTTGCCATCGGCGCGCACAGCATCCGATACTCTCGGTTCCAAGGTTCCTTTCCAGCTGGCTAGCACGAGCCGGCCTCAGGATGGGCCGTGATTTCCGCTGCGGTTTGTAGGAACCATGGGACGTTCCTCCAGTCAAATGCTTGTCGGAGGAAACCCCAAACCCGTTCGCAACACCAAAGAAACAACAGATCAATTGTCGTGCTAGCGAGGTTCCCCTTGTTTCCGTCCCGAAACGTGCCACCCCTCAGCATCACCCAACTCCAACACACAACTCCCATCAGGACTAGATCGTTCCCCGCATCTTCAGCTAAGCTTCCCAAGCCGTCAACCAAGCTTTCACATTCAGGCGTGCTTACAAACACGTCGCCAATGAAAACGCTAGCCGGTCTATTTTAGAAACGGTGTTCTTTGTTTGGCAGCCAGCCTCTGACCTCAGCCTCAATCGCCGAATGCTTAGCTGCATCAGCACCACCAGCGGCTGAGGCCTCGCGTCTCGGTAGCGCAATTTCCCGGCCTCATGAGGCGCACCGCATCGCATGTGTTTGGCTGATACATTTTTGGACTCGATTGGTGATGGTGAGGCGTCTGCTGATGCTGTCAGCTCTCGAGCCGCGCCCGCGCCGCAGTCCTGAAAGAGGGATGCTGTCGACTCCGTTTGCGGACGGTCCAGCCAGGGCCGAGACACGATGAAGCGCGTATATAACAATAGGTACGTCCCTGATTTGTGGTTCCATCACTCGTCTCATCTTCCGCGTTTTCTCCGCCTCTACCTATTCAAATAATCGTAATACCGCATATCGACAAGATGCGCTCTTCGATAATATACAGCGCCGCTCTCTTGGCTGGCGTCGCCTCGGCCCTTCCGACAAACAAGCGCGGCGACTTCTCTCCAGATAATGTCTACTTCCCGCTGGCAAATGGGTTCCCGAACCCTTCGCAGGACCAGATCATGGCCATCCAGAAGCAAGCGGACGGCACGCTGCCCAACGGCCCTCCACCACCAACGCTAAGCCCAGAGGGCGTCACGAACTTGAAGCTCATTGCCCTCAACGAGCTCTTCGAAGTCGCGTTTTACACCGAGCTCATCTACAACGTCACCAACAAACTGCACGGCTACGATCTTGGCTACGGGCATGAGTATGTGCTGGATACCCTGACGGCAATTCAAGCGCAAGAAGAGCTCCACCTACTCAACGCCAACGGCGCGCTCCAGCACTTCAACCAAGAGCCCATCCAACCCTGCAAATACAGCTTCCCAGTCACAGATTTCCAGTCCGCCATCGCCCTCGCCGGCACCTTCACAGACGTCGTCCTCGGCACGCTGCAAGACGTGAACCAGATCTTCGCCAAGAACGGCGACGACGGGCTCGTCCGCGCCGTCTCCTCCGTCATCGGCAACGAAGCCGAGCAGGAAGGCTTCTTCCGGCTCGTGCAAAAGAAGCGTGCCTCGTCGCAGCCCTTCCTCACCACCTCCGCGCGCGACTTCGCCTTCACCGCCATCCAGGGCTTCACCGTCCCCGGCAGCTGCCCCAACATCAACACCATCCCGCTCAAGACGTTCAAGCCGCTCGCCGTCGTCTCGCAGAACATCCAGCCCGCCACCCAGAACATCAAGTTCTCGTTCGCGAAGGCGGATGCGGGGACCGAGGACTGGGCGTCGCTCAGCGTCGTCTACATCAACCAGCAGAACGTCCCGATCGTCAAGTCGCTCCAGAATCCGAATGTTGAGGGCGATATGGTGGTCTTCGAGGCGCAGTTCCCGTTCGATGAGTTCCTGATGCATGGGCTGACTATTGCGGCGGTTACGAAAGGGTCTGGACCGTTCGCCAGCGCCGATGCGGTTGCGGAGGCTGCTATCTTTGGGCCGGGGCTTATTGAGATCGATTAAGAATCTCGGGATTGAAAAGGAAGGTTCGCATAGCGATGGCGTTTAGGGATGGTCTGGGTTATACCCTTCCTTTGTGTTTTCGACAACCTAATTAGGCTTGTATTCTAGACCTGCTTGAGATTTTGTCAATCTTTAATGTAATGTCTTTTGAATGAACTTTTCGAAGCGCTGTTGCAAAAGAGGCCGTGGTGCATGTGAAACTGAAAACGGTCCATGCGCGGTGGAATCCGGACAGTGGCGTAGGTGTAGCTAGTGCATAACAACAATCGAACCAATCAGAGACCTAGGATATCGCTTGAATAGCCACTCAGAGCGTGGGATCCATCTCTATGTCCGATAAGGCCGAGCTCATCCATCCCTCAGAGCACGCAAACATTCATACGTCATGCCTCGCCTACACTTCAACTCCGCCATTCCTACAAATAAATCCTTCAGAATCACCGAAGCCCCTGATTGAATCCACAAAGCCCTCTAAAATGCCCACAATCCTCATCGTCGGCGCAACTCGCGGCCTCGGAGCCAGCCTAGCCAAGCTCTATGCTTCAGATGCGAACAACGAAGTCCTCGCGACGGCAAGGTCCTCGAATCCACCTGCGAATAGTACGTATTCGTTCAAGGGCCTTCTCCATTCGTATCGTGAGAAAGGGCAATTGGCCTAGTGCTCAGGCTAACCGCTTCCCCGCACAGCAAAGAACCTCACCTACATCCCCGGACTCGACATCGCGTCGCCCGATGCCGGCAAGAAACTCCTCAGCTACCTCCACACGCGACCAATCTCGCGCATCGACACCGTGATAATCACAGCCGGCTACTTCGCGACCGAGACCCTCAAAGAGCCGTCTTTCGAAGCGCAGGAGAAAATGTACCGGACCTGTACGTATCCTTGGACCCACGCGCAACTAGTAGGGCTCTCGCTAATTCTGCCCTCGCGAAGGTACCATCGGCCCCACGATCCTCGTCACCGCGCTCGCAAACGACTCCGACAAACTGCTCTCCTCCGGGTCGAAAATCATCCTCGTCTCCTCAGAAAGCGGCAGCATCACACTCCGGCACGAAAGCGAAGGCGGAGGTAACTACGGCCACCACGCCAGCAAAGCGGCGCTGAACATGTGTGCCAAGTTGCTGAGCCTAGATCTGAAGGACAGGGGTGTGGCGGTCGCGAGCGTGCATCCGGGCTTCATGCGCACGGAGATGACGCGTAGTGTGGGCTTTGATAAGTTCTGGGATGCGGGAGGGGCGGTGACGCCGGATGAGGCGGCGAAGAGCCTTGTAGAGTGGATAGCGACGTTCGATATGTCGAAGACAGGGCAGTATTGGGCGCCGAGGGGGGCTGGGTAGGTCTGAAAGTGCCGCGGGTGGATAGATTGGACTGACGATGCTGCAGGGATATTGGAACCGCTGAGCCGGTGCTGGGTCCGAAGGAGAAGCTTCCGACGCCTCTGCAGCTGCCTTGGTAGATGGGACGTCCTGGCCTCGGGTGGTAATGGAGCCACGACGGGAGGCATGACCAAGAGGAAAGTAAAGACTGTAATTATATTCCGGCTGCTTGATCGTTATATTGATATTACGCTATAACTCCAATTACCCTTGATTTCGTTTCCTTGTCAATTGTTAACGGCTTAGAGCTCCTCCAGGAGTACATATCAAGCATTCCGCTGCCCATCTTTCGGTACTGCATCCCCGGAACCGCCTCCTCCCAGCGCCGCATCACTAGCCTCACTATCTTTCCTTGATTGAGGAATCCAGGGCTCCGCATCACCCAGTCGATCGGCAGTGAGACCTGCAGACCCCGGACTCCTCATACCGGCCTCAAGTTGCCGCTGGTAGCTTACATCCCTCAAGCGTTCCGCCTCGCTCGGAGTGAGATGCAGCTACACACCAGTCAGTTTCAGGACCTTCAAGACCCCCTCCAGACCTCTAGACTTACATAGATCTCAACACCCACAGCATGCAGAGCGAGCGCAAGCCACAGCGCCATACCAAAGCTCACGTTCAGCGCCGCGCCCAACTCCGTGGGAATACCTCCACCGAAGTCCGCACGCACGACCACTTCTTGTCCCGCATTCGTCCCGTTCAGGTACGCCGCACACACGGGATATATACCTAGCAGCGTATCGTCGTCGCGCAGCGTATACGCGATCTTCGCGCACGACCAGACGGTGTAATACTCCCCGCTACTCGAAATGACCTTCGCAGCCACGATCATGATAATCCGCGCCGTGATAATCGAGCCAGCCTAGCGAAACTTGCGTCAGTAACCCACCGCATCGCCTCATTTACCTTCAGAACAACAACAAGGCAAACGTACATAAAACCACCCCCTCAGCATCCACGCCCTATGCAGCTCAATCTGCAGCCGCTTGGTGTTGACGTAGGCGAGGACGAAGCACATCGTGCCCCCGCCACCCACGACGCCCACCCAGCCGTGCGTCTCCAGCCCGCCGCCGAAGGCGCGCCGCGCGATCATGAAGGCGCCGACTGTGCCGACAAGCCACAGGAGCAGCGCCGTGTAGCCGCATACGCGGTGGATGATGAGCGCTTTGTGCCGGATGGCAGGCGTGAATTGGAGGACGGCCAGGAGGGAGGCGGGCAGGAAGCCGCCGAGGTGGAGCAGGATGCCGGCTTTGTACCAGAGGAAGGTTGTGTAGTCTGTACCCGTGTTAGTTGGAGATAGAAGCTTGGGGGGAGGAGTGGGTGGGGGAGGCGTACAGTAGCATTCTCCAGGCGCTGCGCTGTTGCCGTTTGAGGGGCCGTCGGGCGGGCAGAAGATGCGCTGGTTCAGGTATATGAAGCGCGCGAGGGTGAAGCCGAGGAAGGCGCCGGCGAAGATGCCAGAGGATGAAGTTGTAGGCTGCGTTGAAGCCGAGGGGGTTGTAGATGCGGCGGGCGAGGGCGTTGATGGAGTTCTTTGGGGGGCGGGTTGGGGCGGCCATTGTAGTGGATGGGTGGATGGGAGGGTTATGAAGGTGTGGCAGTAGTAGAGGGATGGAAGTGGAAGGGGAGGATGGTGAGTGGTAAGTGAGAGAGTCCTCTTGAACTTAACCCTGAATGCTTTTGCTGAAGAAATATCTGAGTATTCCACGGCTTTCTTATACCTGCCCCCTTCGCAGTGACGGGCTCGCTGGCATGGCCTTCGGACATTACCTAGGATCGAAACAGGAAGACGCTTGTCTGGCGGACACTGGCGATCGACGAGATTTCTATCTCGAGATAGTAATCCATTGTAAGACGCGCCGAACAAACAACATAAAGCACACGGCCGCAAAGTCCCGGGCTTGTATAGTACGTCGTTTCCGCATCCAGACACCAATTATCTGCTCCTAGCGGGACTCATTACGGACGTTGAGCGCACGAGTGCGTCTATTCTTTCCTCCGGCGCACAATGCGTCCCAAAGAAGTCTAGTCGCCATTAAGCTTAATCGCCCGCTTGGTTGTGCGAGTCGGGGACTTTGTGGGCCGCCGGTGCGAGATCTGCGACTGCGTCGTCATAGATCTGGCGGCCAGCGAGATCAGATCTATGCGACGAAAAGCGAGTGGGGCGATGCGCGCTGCGCTTTTGTGTGGGCAGTGTTTGAGGTTGTGAAGGAGGAATATGGTTGGCGTCCCAGGGAGATCGAAAGGCTGCGTTACGTGTCGGCGGAGGAAGAAAGGTGGAAGTCATGGCGGAGGGGGGCTTGACTGGTGCGTTGAGGAAAGGAAGCTGATGAGACGAAGTGCGATTTGAAACGCCCTGCATGCGGAGAATGCACAGCGAAGGGGCCGGTGTGTGGTGGATATGACCGCAATCGCATCTTCGTGAACCAGACTTCAAAGGCGGATACCTCGATTCTAGCCCGCAGCTCCCCTAGTCAAAACTCCGTTGAGTGGAAAGAAAGGGTTTCCCTCCGGTCGTCCATCACGCTTCCCGATGATCTCACTCGCTCCGCCTACCGCGAGAAAAGCGTCGAGGCCTTCTTCAACATGTACATTCCTGACGGCGGCGCGCACGGCTCTACTGCAGAGATACTCCGGACGAACAGTTTCGTGAGCGTCCTGCCACTACTCTACGTCCGCGACGAAGCACTGCGCCTCGCTCTTCTAGCGGTCGGCACGGCGGCGATGGGGAAAGTAACCGGCGACTAGTGGATGATGCAACAGGGGAAGAATCTGTACGGCCAGGGACTGCAGGAGATGGGAAGGGCGTTGAGAGATGAAAAGAGAGCGAGAAGTGAAGCGTTGCTGGTGGCGCCGCGGTTTATGGGCATGTTTGAAGTGAGTGCCGCGTTGTTTTCGAGAGAAAACGAGGATACCAAGTTGACGATGTCATTAGATCCTGTTCGGCGCTAACGTTGATCCGAATCTGCAGGCGCGTAGTTGGCGCAGCCATGCGGAAGGTGAGCTGGCGTTGATGAAGAGTCGAGGGCCGGGCGCGTTTCGGGAGGGGATTGCGCACCAGATTTTCGTTGAGGGGAGGATGGTACCGGTGAGTGTCTTGACTGAGTTGGATAGTTGGTACTGAATAGAGGGAAGATCATTGCAGGCGTCCGCATGAGAAGACGCACTCTGCTCAACGAACCGGAGTGGAAAACAATCCCCCGGTCTAAGCACCCTAAGACGCCAAAGGATACTCTGCTGGACGTTCTCGCAGACATACCGGAGGTGATGGAATATGCGGACTTGCTTTCCTCCTCCTCCTCCTCCTCCTCCTCCTCCTCTGGCGTCGGGAATGACGAATCGCGCAGAAACGCCATTGCGAAATGCCAACGCCTCGACGCTGAATAGGGACCTCATCTTAAATCCAGAAACGGAGAGTCCAGTTCCCGTCACGTTTCCCAACCTTTCAAAGGCCCAGCTCTCGCTCTTCTACTGGACTACGTCCCTCCTGCTCTACCAATCGCTTCACATACTTCATAGATAACCGCCTCTTGATGCCATGCTCTCCTTATCCGAATATGCTACGCCTTCAACTTTCGCTCGGTGCATAGCGCGCTCGGTGTCATACTTCTTTCACGAATCGGCCGGCATTTGGGGCGCGATTATGGTGGCTTTTCTGACCGGCTGTGCACTGTTGTATTTCAGAGCAAGTGGAGTGCTGGAGGATGAAGAGTATGAGAAGCTGTTTTTTTTTTGAATAGTATGAGGACTGAAGCGGCTGGGAAGTGGTGAATGGGCGGCTCACGTGCGCCCGTGGTCGGGCGCCGTCCGGAAGGCTCCTTCGCGAACCAGTGTCAGCGTTACTCTCAACTTTCGCTCGACTCGAGTCGAGTTTAGTTTATGCTCTGAACTGGACATCCTCGGTATCCCGAAGACCTCCTCCCGTGCCAAGCGCGACCCCACATTCCTCCAAAACACCGCCTGCACCGCGTCCGCGTCCATCCTTATCTTTCCTTCTACAATCCACAACTTTGCGACTGCCCCACAGCCAAGCATGCATCGTTAGAGCCTCGTGGTCTCTCCGTGTGGCTTCCGAGCCGCAGAGTTGGAGAAACATTCCCACCCACAGAATCGAGGCCGAGCTCGTTTATCCCAAACCAAGCCCTAGCAGTTCTGGGCAACTCTGGGCAGAGAAGGATATGGATATCCTGCCAATCACGGAACCGGCATGTGTGCAGCGACAAGACCGCGGGGCACCCGGGTTTTGGGGACAAAGGAATGTGGAATATGGGGCTGCTTGGATTAAAGAGATCGCGTCCCGTGGGTGAAGGATTGTCGCTGGACGCTTCGTCTACTGTATTTTAGAAGTCGGCCTGATAAGCGTGCGGCGGCCCAAACGCCCATTTAGAGGGACTGAAAAGAGCAGGAAACAAAATTGGACGTAGCATCGGCAGTGGCACGATTCGGTCGACATGTCCCATCTCGAGCTACCTCAAACATCGCTGTGGGCGAACCGCAAGTGCCTGCTCATCTGCTGCATCGTGTCGATCTCAAACTTGCAGTATGGCCTCGACTCAGCTGCAGTGGGCGGACTGCAAGCCATGCCCGGCTTCTTGAAGGTCTTCGGTTACCCTAATCCCAAAGCCGCTGGGGGATATTCGATCGACGTGAGTCCAAGAGTTCCTCCTCCATGCGCCAGACTTTTACCAGCTACAGTCGACATTCCAACAGCTCATCGCATCTTTGCTCACCCTCGGATCGTTTGTCTCCGCTCTCACAGCTGGAACCTTCTCCCACTTCTTCGGTCGTAAAGTGGCGCTATGGATGGCCTGTATCCTCAACGCTATCGCTTGCGTACTACAGATGACAAGCACGACTCAGGTGTCCATCTATATGGGGCGTCTTATCCTCGGCTTCGCGAACGGCTTCCTCGTCACCTTCTCCAATATCTACACCTCGGAAGCGAGTCCGGCTCATCTACGCGGCGTCATCGTAGCCCTGTTCGCCTATTGGGTGAATATCGGAAGCATCATTGGCGCCGCCGTTACGAATGCGACGAAGGCGCGCATGGATAAGGCATCTTACCAGATTCCGATAGGTACTCTCTTCATCGTTCCGCTCATTCTGAGCGTCGGGCTGCTGTTTGTGCCCGAGAGCCCGAGGTATCTGCTCGCAAAAGGAAGGGAGGCGCAAGCGAGGAAGTCGCTGGAAACTTTGAGGGGAACGTCTGTTCCGCCTGAATTCATTGAACTCGAGTGGACAGAAATGGTCAAGGGGATCGAGGAAGAGAAGCGTCTCGCGACGACCGTTGGGGCTCTGGATATGTTCAAGGGTAAGTGTTCGGTAGTCGCGCCCTCGGAGTCTCTTGCTGACGGCTTTAGGCACTGATCTCCGTCGAACGCTCCTCTGCTTTAGCATCATCGCCTGCCAAACTGGCTCCGGCATCTGGTTCATCATCAGCTATGGAACGTACTTCCTCATCGTGTCCGGGCTCACCGTCGCCGAGGCCTTCAAGTACAGCATCATGGCCACCTGCCTTGGCTTCGTCGGCGTCAATATGGGCATGTACCTCATGAAGCGGCACCTCGGTCGGCGCTCCATCCTCATGCTGGGTGGTACTATCTGTGGGTGCTGCCAGCTCGCTGTAGCTGTCGCTGCGTCAGTGGCCCCTGGCTCCAAAGCCATGCAGAGCTGCTTGATTGGGTTTACGGCCCTGTTCAAGTGGGGATACAATTTGGGTGTGGGCTCGGCCAGTTACCCGGTGGCGACGGAGCTAGTGAGTACGAGGCTGAGGGCTTGGACTGTGGGTGGTGCGACTAGTTTGGGGTACTTCTTGGCTTGGTTGAATGCATTTTGCACGCCGTATTTCATCAATCCGCAGAACCTGGCATGGGTAAGTGCACGTCCATGAAGTGATCATAGCGGCTGACGATGGGTAGGGCGCCAAATACGGATACATCTGGGCTGGGTCGTGAGTGTTTCATCACTCAGCTCCAAAGTGCAGCTACTGACCCCATCGCAGGAACTTTCTCTGCGTTATCTTCTTCTTTTTCTTTATGCCTGAGATGAAAGGGAGGTAGGGACCCTTTTTTTTAAACCCTCTGAAGAATGCCGAGGCTGAATCAAGATGCCATAGGACGCTCGAGGAGATCGACGAGCTCTTCGCGAACAGGGTATCTGCCTGGAAATTCAAATCATATGAGACCACTATTGGAACCGAGGCTGCGCGAGAAGTCGAAGAGAAGGCATTGGAGCAGAAAGGCGCTACTACTGAAGTGCATGAAAGAATTTGAGCCAGGGCGACGCGGTTGGAAGGCAACATTGGAGCACAAGCTTGGAACGCTTCAGGCCGAGTTCAGCACCTGCACAGACACGCAGCATCTAGAATACAGAAGTCGATGGTAGATCCGCGCTTTACCGCTGCACCCCGCACTCCGGAGACATAGCGGGCATGACGATGGCCCCAGATTTGGCTCCCTCCAAGATCGGCCATCCGATGATGCACGAAGTCGCCGAAAACCGGAAGCTATGCCACTGATTAAGGCTCTCCTGCGGGGTTACTCAGCCCAGCTCACCTCATGCGGTTCCGCACTTCATTGGCCGGCTTCCTTTACCCAATCAGCGCTGCCTACCCAGCGTAAGCGAGGACTCCATCCCCGAATTAGGTTTGTTGATCTCATCACTCCCCTCAACACTAGTTCAACGCTGTCGTGTTCTCTCCCATGTTCAACTATCCTTGCGGTGTGTCGCATGCCATCGCATGATCTAGAGCTGAGCGTTTGACGATAGACTGGCGGTCTGGGGAAGCGAGGCCAATAGGGTGAAGCCGGGGATGGGAAAGTAAGCTGAGAGGTGCAGATATGGCGCCCTGGTGGCTGCGCGGTGCAAGGGAGTTGTTGTGTATCACGACGTGCTGCGGTCAACATGCGGAGAAGCACATGGAGAGCCGATAAGAAGCAAAAAGGGCCGCGGTCTCACATCATAGCTCGACCTATTCTCCTTTCCCCTTTCCTCTCCTTTTTCCCTCCCCCCTTCGCTTCTTTTGATCGGACGGCTTAGGATCCCGGCGTTTACTTAAGGCGGTGAGACTTCAGAGCACGTGACTTCAACATTCACGCAGGTCCGAGCTTCGGTAACCGAAATCCATCATCAGCTTCCCCGAACTCTACCCCGCAAAGTTCAAGCTTAAATTCCACGACGCCTCGACGTTCTACTCTCCCTATTATTACCGATACTATTCTACCTAATCACCTAATCCATCACCATGCCCGGCCCGCAAACCCGCAGCCTCGAACTCATGGTCCTGCAAGCGCACCGCGCCAAGGGAGTCCGGTACCCGACCGCCACCCAAAAAGACTGCTTCAAGACGTGGTACTCGTATGCCCTGAAGAAGGGAGAGGCGGGCAGCAAGACGACTCCGACGATTATACAGGAGCATGCGCGGGAGTTGAAGGAGGTTAGGGAGGCGGCGCCGGGAGGGAGGACGTACTTGTAGGTGGGCTGGTGAGTTTATCCAATCTGATGGGGATTAGGTGCTAATGCTGGGTAGGGAGGGCTGGATGTGGTGATGGTGGGGCTGTGAGAAGTCTGCGGTGCGAGACTGCTTCGGCGGCGAGGTTGAGGTTTACCATCCGATATCGATCATGCATGACTAATGAGGAATGTTGGCGTTAGCGCTGAGCAAAATTTTCGAATTGAACCTTTTGATTTTGGGCAGACTCTTGCCTGTTACCCCATCACACGGGTCAGGTTCTGTTCCGAAGCAACGCTCCTTTTTCTCAAGTGGAGACATGATCCTATATAATGTGTTATTTGCATACCCATACATTCACATTCTTCATACATTGCTTGATTCTTCTACCTCAGTCTACTTTCTTTTGGAATATCCTGCTATCTACCTAGGCTAACGTTCTTTACAAATGTCATCTTTCCCGTATATCACTTAAAACCCTAATTGGTCTTAAAGCTGAAGAGGCTCACAGCAGATCTTTTTTCCCCATACTTCTTTAAGCTTAGTTGTCAAATTACTGAACAATGTTCTCTCATATTATCCGACTTATTCTACTATCAGAACTGCCACATGGTGCTCTACTTCCTTAAAAGTTATCTAATACTTCGATTTTAGCAGTGCACCTGTCTTGCTGTAGTGTCGTACATTGTTGTCTACCGCACTGTCTACCGACCGTCGTCTCATCGCGGCCATTTCATCCGGGGATACCACCGACGTATTGTGGTATGAAAAGCAACTGAAATTATTCATACCATCCACTCACGCAAACGCCATCTGAAACCCTGGTCCGTGGGGTGCGTATCGAGGTCGGGATCTCGAGGTCCAAGCGGCGCGCCGTTACTCTTGAAGACTTGCTGCTCGCCGTCGGCTACAATTTGGTATGGAACCGGGCCGGTCAGGACATGCAAGTCAACACCCTAGTGAAGAGGCTCGTGTACGAAGACGTCATTCCAGCTCCCCCGGATTTCCTGGGTGTTGATACGAATGCTCTCCGACAATCTAGAGATGGACTTCGGGCTTTCGAAGATACGAGATATACCGTCAGTGGTTCCTGGACTATTGCAGGTCTAGGATCTGCCGGGGTGATCTTGTAGTTGCTGCGAGCAGGTTTCCCAATCTCGAAACCATCGAATACAGCCACGGTTTCATGGAGGGACACCGACCAGGCTCGAATATGATGCGGGGTATTCTAGATCTCATCGGAGCTGTACCCGGCCAACTGGGAGACGACCGGTCTTATCGGAAAATGCTCTGGGAGGACCGAGACGCAGGTCAACTCTTCGAGCCCCCGCCAGTGCAGGTCGAGCACCTACTTGACCAGTCGCGATTCTACCTCCACCAAATGGTGGTCGCCGCCCGACGCAACCCGGGACGAAATGGGCCGTTAGAGGTCATCATTACCGCTTTGTACCCTGCCTCTGAGGCGGAGCAATTCGAGAGCGATGAGGGGCTTCGAGGCTCTGCAGTTGCGATATATCGGTCGTAATATGTCGCACGCCAGCAGTCGGGAGAATGACCTCGATGTCCTCACGAATACGCACACCGGCACCGTGTTCCAGTTCTTCAGCCTTCGGCGTCTCACGTTCTCTGGGCACTCATTCAGCAAGAGCGCACTGCTGAATCTCGAGATTCTCGGGCAAGATGAAGATGCCCTGGCGCTCAACTCGCTCCCGATGCTCGAATCACTGCGCTTGGCCTACGTAAAGATCGGTGTATATGCGGCGCGGCTGCTGAGGAATTCACCTACCCACCTTAGCATGGATACCGCTGTCTGGCTCGAGGGTTCGTGGGAGACTTTCCATCAAGGCTCCCAGCTTAAAAGGGTGATGATATCTGGCCCACAGATGCTTGTTGCTGCCGAGGGAGATGACGAAGACGAAGGGGAGATCGAAGACTCAGGAGAGCAACTCCAATCTCGGAGTCTAGAGAAACTTCGTGGTGCGGTGTGGCTTGTCGAGAGCGCCGCCGAAGCCTGTCGCCTCCACGAGAAATATCGCACCCAGGTCTCGCCGAGCGTCGACATGCGACCGGACCAAGTCCCACATGTCTGGGCGCTTGGCGTGGACACGTACTTCCGAGCAGGCGGAAACGATCCTTTAACGGACCAGAACTGCTGGGCTGATGACGTCAAATTGGAGGATTAAATGCTTGAGACGGAGGACGACACAAGCCGCGAAGTGCAGGAGGAGAGAGTGCCCTTTCAGGATTTATGGAGTATATATGGAGAACGGAAGGAATGGGACTTAGAAATGACGTTTATGCTCATATAATGCCATGTTTTTAGCTTAATTGCTTGCACGACCTAAGCGTAAGCGGTTTGCTTCAAGTCAAGATTGATGATAATTGCTAATGGAAGCGGTACCTAGATAGCAGACGAATAGTAGGGTGTATAGTTTCCTCGACGCACACCTACTTCTATGATTTTATTTGTCGCGCTTTGCTACAGCCCCACTTCAACAGCTCAACAGTTCAACTTCGTAAATCCAGGGCCTGTTTCTTTCCAAAGTAAATTATCTTGCATTTCAATTTCTCTGGACTTTATTAGATCCAATCTGTAATAACAGTCTTTACATATGTATCTCAACGATTCGCCTCGAAAAACTCCCACTTTTCTTGCTTTCCAACCGGATAGCCTATACCAGGACTCTTTATAATCGATCTGCCTTTGTACTTTAGCGTCCAGGAGGGTATCTTCTTTCTCCTATTTCTTCATCAAAACTTCGAATGGTCGAAGTCTATATTATGCTTTTCTTCAAAGTCGTTACGTCAAGCCCCATGCCCCTCTAAGTTCTCCTTTTTCTCGACCTCATAAACCTCCCTTTTTCAGACTCAACGATGTTCACGAAGACGTATTCAAAACGATCGAGGCATACTGCCAAGACCACGACAATCCATTGAATTCTTGGCCTGGGGTATGCGTATCGAATTGTAGACCTGTTCCCCGTTGGCGCGGCGTCACTTTCCAACAGCCGACCACTTCTTTGATGGCAATAGCTCCTTAGGCATAGTGAACAGGCTCTGAATTGGCATGGTCAATACACTCCGTGGTCCAGGCACTCTCAGGGCGTGAAAATAAACACGTCCACGTGTATCGCGTACTACGGGGAAAGAGACCGCATAGGAGCACAGTCGCGTAGCGCCGCGTAGTGAACCAAGTTTTATCAGCGTAATCAAGGAATTCCCGGTGTACACCGATGAGAAGGTCCCTGACCAGGCACCGAGAATCGACAAATCCTCGACAGAGTTGACCGGTCAGCAAACCTGTGGTCCAACACTTCCCCAAGAGATGTTTGACATGATTGTATCTTACATCGAGAGCTCGTACATTCTTGCCAATGCGCGGCTTATCTGCCGGGGATTCGCCAACAAGTTTACGTTTAAACAAGTACTCCAGGAGGCCACCTTCGTCCCTATCCGCCCGAGCATATGCTCGCTCTGGAAGTTGAGAAAAGATCCGAGCTATATGTGCCAAGGAGAACACATGCACCCAGCTCGAGAAACTCGTAGGCTTATATACGAGGGCGTGGTACCAAAGACGTTGGAAGAGCTAGACATTGACATTCTTGCCCTTCAACAGCAGCAAGGTGGACCTGAAGCACTTCGAGCATGGGAGGAATTCCGCCATTCGTTCGATAAATATCGCAACTCGATCGATTGCGATAGACGCCTCCGTGAAGCCGTTGCTCGCTTCCCAAATTTAGACACGATCGAGTATCACTGCGGCTTCAAGTACGAGCGGGCTCCCGGTGAGTGTGCAAAGCTCCCGGCAGCTGATCTAATCCGGCCGACCCCAGGCGAGTGTGGGCAGTATAACTCTTACACGAACCGTGTCTGGGGGGATCGTGGCTCAGGTATGTATATACCTGCTATATGTATTGGTCTGTCTTCATTCTGGTTTTGGAACACTAGCGAGCCATAAGCAGACAGGGTCAGACCGTAACATGATGGCAGTTTCTTCTTTCTCTATAGGTCAGGGTCCCCGCTAGCGTCATCCTTCTATAGGTCGACTGTTTAAACCTGTGCCGCAAGATTCTCGAGATCTCCTCGACAAATCGAGGTCGCAAGTCTGGATGATGGTTGAGACCATCATGCGCCACCTGAGAGACACGGACTCTCTGCGACTCATTGTCAATGCCACATCCACGCGTGGACTTTATCGCGCTCCCGTAGCCCGGCAACTCGAATCTGACGACGGATTCAATACTTTGGAGCTACGGTATAGTGGGCGTAATATGGGGCACGAGAACAGTTTTCAGCACGATCTGGACGCAACACCATGAATGGTTCGGCGGATCAGTTTCGGAGTATTCGGCATTTGACACTCAGTGGAGTGTCCTTCGAGAAAGACGGAATTCTGAACTTGACCCCCCTGAGAGATAATGTCGATGGCTCAGGCCTTCCAGTCCTCACAGCCTTAAAAAGGCTCGAACTTGCCTTCATCATAATCGGACAAGACACTGCCGTCTACTTGTCAGACTTGAACAATCTCTCACTCTCAGGGGTACGTCTGAGCGTTGAAAACGCTGTCTAGGATGACTCCTCTTGGGATACTTTCGGTCGGTTGGGTAATTCAAGGTTGCTGGGAGCTACGCTTTCTGACGTCCACTTCGTCCCAGACAACAAGTTGGATGAGGACCACAGTGAGCAAGATGATCTCTATGAAAGACCGCGGGGTTCTGCTTGGATCATTGCGGATGACTCTACGATTGCCGCCGAGATCGATGATAGGTTCGGCCAGTATTTCCTCCAGGATGCTTTCTTTGTGCAACCGATCCGTTTTGTGCTGCCTGCAGACGCTCAGCACTATATACTCACTGGGCTGAATAATCCTCTGGATAATCTTAGCTGCTGGGGAGTAGACGTTCTGTGGATAGGATGGTACTGGTGAATTAATTTATATCTTCTTACTTACTACTTCAGAATGCCTTGGCGATGTCTAGATACGGCACGTTGAGAGATGGTGACACGACACAGTGACAAGACAATTGACCGCGGATCAACAGATGACGGTTCCAGAATTCCTTCATTCGCAGCCGGTCACACCCCAGTGCTACGTACTGCTTCTACTGCAATCATGAATACAAGGCGCTCATTTCTAAGGAACACGGCTACACTGTAGCTTCGTGGAAGAGGCACCTATCAGAGTATCACGAATTGGACAAAATTGAAATGAAGCAAGCCACACAAATACTGCAAAAGCCTCAAAATCGCGCAACTAGAGCATGCAACGCTACCGCCACCTCGAAGACCCACGATGAAATTTTTGCAGCCAAGGTCGGGAAGGATATATGTGCAAGGGACCCTCCACCACACCTTGCGGGTACATTTCAACATCGCGAGACCGCATGATTCAACATTGCAACCAACCGCATGCGTAGCGATCCAATGCTCGACAGCGCTCGAATTGGACTGAAGTGAAGGTGCAGCCTTTGTTTGATGCCAGGTTAGCAAAAGTGGTTCACAGTGCAAGATTGATGCACTATGGACTTTATGAGTACAATACGGTGCCTAGGGCACAGCATAGAGTTGTTGAATAGGTAACACAACTGCAGGTTAGTCCAAATGCTCAAAGACTTAATTGTCTGGGGGAAAGATGGAGTGAATTGGCTACGTATATCCCGTGTAGATAGCGAGTGTGGTTTCGCATGGCAGACAAATGTAAGAATACCTAATGATCGTAAAGTCCCTCTTCGCAGAAAATAGTCCGACTCACACTTCTCATCCTGCAATGCCCCAATGTTTGCTTAGTTATGCCCCAAATCGATCAGGCTTTTAGCGGAGGTAAGCGCCAGCTAGTATCAAGGCTTGCACATAGTTAATAATAGTGCTAAATCAGTTCGAAGAGCACTTACACATCCGGCAGGTGCAGGCTCTATGCTCTGCCCTCCAATGGAACAGATTGTGTAGTCCTACATGGAGTCGTTAGTTCATTTATACTGTTCCCGAGTTTGAACTATTCTTATTCAGAAGTACTCACGTCACTGCCACAGAAAGTGGAGCAGCCCTTGCTACAAGTTTCCTCAACTGATCCTCCGAGGTCTGTGCAGCCCCCATATTTGCCGTCTGGGCAGGATGCAACGCATTCAGGGGCGCAGTTCACACAGCCTTCTTCCTCGCCGCAACAGACAAGGAGCGCGCCCGTAGGGGTTCTGATTGAAATGCAAGAGTCGGGACAGGTTCCAGTTCCAGGGACTGGGGGTCTAATCTGGGCGAACGCTGGAACGGCGAAGGCGATCGCAAGAATTGCCAGAATAGATTGCTTCATTGTGAGTAGCAGCTGGGGTTGGATTTGACCATGATACGTGAGTTGAACGCAGCTATATAAATCTCTCATTGACTTGGAGAAGGATTGACACCCTGAATGAAACAGGGGAAGGCCAGTTTGACCGGACGCACTGGGCATACATCATACACAAGCATTGAGGAGAAGATTGACACCTTGAATGAACTATGGGAAGGCCGGCTTGACCGGACTGACTTGGCATACATAATTTTTGCCGGCGATATACGATATTATCCTACAAGAGCAGAAGGTGCTCGTGATCCTTCCGCTCCTGACAAACATATACGAGCGTTGAGCAACTCGATCGGAGACCGAAGGGCCAGATTCGGCGAAGGGCATCACAACCGCTACTAGGCTCATCGTATCGGTACAGGCATTTAGGTCAAATGGAGTCGTATCTAGCCCAAAGACGATACGGAGTCCTAAACGAGGAGTATAGCTAATTGGGTAATGAGACATCCAGCGAGAGGTCGCAGGCAGTAGAAGCAGCCATATTAAGAGATCCATGCCTTCCTCTTTTTTTCTGGTGGAGTACATGCGGCTCTAGGTAACCTTGAAGGTTGCAATGCGGCAACGTCGAGCTCCTTCTCAATGTAGGAACCCGCTTCGCGACTGCATACCTTTGCGATGCGGATGCTATGCAGATCCCTCGGGCGGTATGGAATTTTTCGGCCATCAGATCCTTACGAAATCCTTCGGACAGGATGAAACCCTTCGGCAAGCAAATCCTTTGGCCAGGGTGAAATCCTTCGACCAGAAAATCCATCGGCGATCAGCGATTCTTTCTATCCACCGCGGGTAGAACGGCAGCATCCTACGGAGCTTGGCCCACGTCATATACGAAGCCAAGCTACTCCAGCTGTATACTCATGGCTATTATTCCGCACCAGCGCCACTTGCTCCAAGCTGGCTTCACGTATATCTTCTCCGACTAGCTTTGATGTCTAGGTCACCGATCGGAATTCATAATCATGTCACGATTCCTCATATCTCATTTCACGAGGATATCTTGCCTTCTGCTTGTACTAACGGTGGTGTTCTCACCAAAACACATTCTGGACCGCTTTACTCAACGCCTGCACGACGCGCGACAGTATCTACAGCGACATCTCCCGCAAGCTCCATGGGACGAGATCCCTGGTCCAGAAAGCTATGATGCAGTTTATCAAGTTCAGCTCTTCTCCCGGGACCCAGTCATATTATACATCAACGATTTTCTGACCTCGTTCGAGATCGAGCATTTACTGCAGCTCAGGTACGTCGGCGAAGTAATCGGTAGCGTCGTTGTATCCTGGGTGCTGACCGGGAAATCTGCATAGCCAGGGACATTATGAAGTTTCGAAGGTGTATCCAGGGGAAGATCATCACATTGACACAGAGAGCCGTGCATCGGACCTGGCCTTCTTCCAACGAGATCCAATTTACGATCGAATTGCGCGTAGAGCCATGAATATCCAAGGTTGGCGGGGGCCGTTAGCATTCTTTCAACCTCCATACGTACAGAGATACGAAGTCGGCGGATTCTACAAGGAACACTATGATTGGGATCCGGAATACTCCCAAGGCAACCGGATAACCACATTTTTGGCTTACCTTTCCGACAACTGTACGGGAGGGGGCACGAACTTTCCACGATTAGTACGGCCCCGGGATAGAAGGTGGTGCAATATCATCGAGTGTCCGCCCTCGAATGGTTCGGGTAGTAGTGTCAAAGATGTCACGTTCAAGCCAAGACTCGGCGCGGCCATTTTCTGGGAGAATATGCATCCGAACGGAAGTTTCAACGAGAATGTTCTCCACTCCTCGCTCCCGGTTCTATCAGGAGTGAAGTATGGACTGAACATGTTCACATGGGATCTGGGATGGAGGGCACCTACGACGTAGGGAGGTTCGGACCTCTGACATCCTTTTCCTGTTGCCGCGTCACCTATCCTCCACTCAACCTCGGAAGACTCAATCTTCACGCCAAGCCACAGGAATTGCGGCCATAGTCAGCATAACCTCTACAGGTTGGTGACTCAAAACGACAAAAACCAATCAATCGATCATCCCACTTGCCGATAATCACGCTCAATTCACAAAAAAAAAAAAGGATGATTCCTTCACAGGCTACTAACCCCAGCCCCAAGACCTGTACCAGGCTACGGTTCCTCCTATCCGCAGCGTAGATGCTAGATCCTTTGAACTGCTCCAAGCTCGGGAAGATATGTGCGGGAGGGTAGCTAACGCTGTGGGCAATCTGAACCAACTGCAACCCCTGGAATATCATTTCGGATTCGAGGCCCTTCGACGGAACAAGGTTGGGCATACAGGTATTGACATGCACGCACTGCAATGCTTGAACGGTTTTCACCTCATTACCGGCTAGTTATCTCGCCTCAAAAAGCTGAAAAAATACCTTATTGGTGGAGGGAAATGCGATATTACTGCATGGATAAGAAAAGATCCTCGCTGTTTAGTGGGGGGACAAGAGTAGGATGTGGACATTGGCCAATAGAGGAGGAAGCCGGAGCCCGTGGTCATCTTTCATGGTATGATTTGAGGGCTGCAAAGGTTCGGAGACATTATTGAAGAATAGCGGTCATATAATGAACCTCATAAACTGTCGTAGGGCGGGGTATGCGTCTGATCACCATACCCACCGAAGAACCACTGATTCCGAAGCACCGAAACTGTCCCGTGAGATACTATTCGCTCGGCTAATTCCCTCCGCTCTCCTGCTTCAATGCTTTTCTCGCTAACCCATCCTTATAACTTGCCCTTAGTCATAGACCAGCATAATTATACCAAGCACGCCAAAGGCCTAGAGCCTACCCCACAGAAGACGAGAACCTATTCGAAAGAAGGAAGGCCTCCTGTCTCCCACTGATTGGGGTATCGTGCTTGGAGTATATTGCGCAGAATTGCTGGCTCAAAATGACGCAAAAAGTATCTTGTCGGTGGCCTTGGAGGATATCGAAAGAAAGGGCGGGGGAGGGCGAGCATAAAAGCCAGGACCGGACTTGGCGCAACTCCGGAACGATTATCTGGGAGAAGTCGATGGATGAGATCCAGAATCGGAAGTAGATAAAAATCTCCGCTACGTATACGTAGTGCCTATGATGTCAGCCTGAATAATCGGCTGGTATGGGGAAATTAACCTTACGTACCGTTCAATGGCCTTAGATACGCCCAAGACGAGGTCCAAGACGCCCAAGCTTGCCAGTGCAGCACTGCTTTAACACCGCCTTCTCTTCTGCGCTAGCGTCCTTAAAAGCCTGGAACACTATCTCATCCCCAATCCTATCTTCTTCGTCGAAGGCCAGGCGATCAAGAAAAGACTGGAGCGAGATGATTCCGAGCTTAGTGGTATGGCGAAGGACCGCGCTCTTAATAAAAGGAGCAGGGGTCAGAGCAGCCTTAGGGAGCGGTTGCTCGTTGCGCGCGGCACGGTCTGCTTGGACTAGCTGTATGAAGGCGGTAATTACGTCACGTTTTGTCGTGGTGCCGCAGTCGTCGACTTCCAGGGCTAGGAAGAAGTTCTTGAGGGACTGGGTGCTGATAAAGGTGCCGGAGAGCTCCATCGCCCAATCACCAGCGGTGGGTGAGAATTCTCCTGCGAAGTCGTATTCGGATGGATCAGATGTTGACGTTGTGTCTAGATCAGTCGTGTCAACTAACTCATTTTCGATCCCCTCGATCTCGTTTATGGCGTGTTTGATATCCTGTGCTCCGATAGGGGCTTCCGCAGAGTGTGTAACCGTCTGAGCCTGCACAGAAGCAATATTCTCCTTGAACTTAAGGTTCAGGGTAAGAGCCACATTTTGCAGTTGCTCGCACTTCTCCTGCAGAAATTGCTTGCTCAGCTCCCGCGAAAGCTTTCGCAGGTCCTCGTAAGGACCGTCCACAGAAGTCTGCATCTCTTCAAGTTGATCTGGCAGGATGCGAACCGTGTCGACATTCACGCCAGCTTTCGGGGCCACGTTCTCCAGGTCCACGTGGGTAACCTCAGACAAGCCACAAATAACAGCTCGAACACCAAAGAGGTCGTTGACAGAAGCGGGCTCTACGGCATGCGTGAGTTCATTGCGTGGAGAACGAGATGGGGTGGTCTGCGGTGTAGAATCGGACGTAGTTCCCTTGAAGCCCTCAGATCCGGTCTCGGACGGCACCGGAGAACGCAAAGTTGAGCGTTCCCAAGTGAGGAGCTTATCAGAAGCGCATCGCTCCGAGTGTTCAGGGGGGTCTGCAGTGGGCTCGTCATTGAAGTCTCCGATGTCTTCGCCGACCATAGCCTGCGTTGAGGGGGAATGAACAATCCGGTCCTCGCTGGAGAGGACAGATTTTTCCTGAGGTTTGAAAGTGTCTTCAGGAGCCAATCGATTATCGAAGCGTTCATGGTTATTCTGCTTCGACTTCATCTCTTTCAAAGCCCAAATAGCGTTGACGGACAACCCGGCCTCAACCGTAACTTCGACGTTTACCTTCAATGCCAGACAGCTCGGATCGAGATGAGCCGCCGGAGAAGGGCCACCAATGGAAGTATTACTGTACAAAGCCTGCTTCTTGGGGCGACGAGCCATAGTGGTGTTTTCCGCAAGGTCAGTCCCCATGCTAGAGACGACAATAGCCTCAGGCCCCCAACCAGGGCGGAAGAGAGTGATCGCTCCGCAGCCGTTAGAAAACAGCTTATGCTTGTTCTCGGCATAGCGCAAAGAAGCTGCTTCGTGGATCACCCAAGCTGCCAGTTTCTTGAAGACCATGTTTGTGGGATGATCATACAAGGAGCGGATGGTCTCCTGGAGCTTCTCGTCCACCACCTTGATGACCACCATCTTCGGGGGCGGATCAGGGCCGAAGACCACCGGCCCGAGGTTCGCAATTATCGTGACTTTGTTGCTGCTAGCGTTGCTGCTAGCGCCCTCAGAGGTGGCTTGGCTCGAAGATTCCTCGTCGTCGGTGGAAGGAGTCGATTTATCGATGGGCTGAGATTCGTCACCGCACGAGCTATTAGACTGTTGCGCAGTCTTCGTCTGCTCGCAAGCTTTCGAGGTAAGCCTAGAGAAGCTAGCCAAGGATAGCGCGGAAGCAGAAAGATCCAGCGTCCACTTCTGCGAGCTGCAGTTGGAAATGGTGGCGCTACGTCGCGGCACATCTGCGCGAAAGTCGAAGGCGGTTCCCGGCAACGGAGGAGATGTCTGTCGTGGACGGTCGTCGGTATCTTCGGGCGACTTGAGCTCCTCATCTGCTTCATAGCTTTGGTTCACCTCGCGCCGCTCCGCATGCGGCTCGTAGACGTAGCAGGCAGCTTCAAGGTCCTGAACACCATCGGACTCCAGATTGCGGGAGGCAACCTGCGAGTTATCGGGTTCTTCCAAGAATTGGAACACGCTCTCTGCGTCTAGACAGCTGGTCGCAAGCGACCGCGATGAAGAGTCTTCGTCCTCTTTGTCCTCGTCAACGTAGTCGTTGGCCGCCGGCGCAGCTGCAACCGTGGCAGCCACCTTCTTCTTCTCGAACTTCTTAAGGTTCTCTTCGAAGCCCTCGTACAGGAGCCTACGGGCAGTGCTAGACTCTGCGAATTTCATTGCTGCGCGCTTCTTGTGCGGTGCTTCCTTAGCGCCAACGAGCTTGGGCTGTTTTGTAAGGCGCTCAAGTCGCTTGGGATTGACTTCGACTGGGGCGGATATGGCAGCTATTGAAGATTAATACTACTCTAACCAAGAGAAAGGGAGATGGAGAGACAACATACCTGAAGCACGAGCAGCGTCCCCAGCGGCCTGCTGCTTAACGGCTTCCATCGCCTTCTCGGCCTGCTTGCGCTTTTTGCGCTGAGCCCCTGACAACTTCTTCTTTGTCTTTTGTGTTCCAGCCTGGTCTGCGGTGTCATCGGTAGATGCCGCATTGGCGGGTTCCTCCTTCTGTACAGAAGTAGCAGTCACATCATTGAAGACGGGTGACGGTACACGCTTATCCGCTCCATCGAGATCTACAATCCATCAGTTCATCAGAGTACACAGACACCACAACCTTCTATGACACATACCGGCAGCAATATTGGCGACGGCAGCTATGGATGGCTTGGTAGCATCCAGCTTTTCGGTTCGGGAGTGGAGTGCGGCCTGCTGCAGAGCCTGCTTCCGCTCACGGCGGTTCTGTCGGCTTTTGTTGCCCATGATTGAGTGTTTAGACGCGTATCTCGTGTCGGAGTTCTCGTTGTATTGGTGCGAGGGACGAGCTGCGAAGCAATGGAGCAGATGCTATGTTATGCGTGTCAGTGTGAGTTTAATCGCAAAAAGCGTCGATGTCGTGGGGACGTGCGAAGTTCGGAGTATCTGGAGTATAAGTGCTCGGTGACGTACCCTTAGTCTCTGTGAAAGTGTGAATATGGATTGTGGTTGAATCGAGAGATAGTGGGAGCTGTAGTTATAGTAAAGAGCCCTGGGGAGCTAGGACGCGGTTGCAGAAACCTAGAGATTGGGTTGAGCTGAAGCCAGACAGAGCGCAAAAGGTGAGAAGAGGGTGCGCCGTGATGAAGTGGGGTTTATGTAATGGCCCGCGCCCCACAATTAGCCCGTGCGCCGGTGAAAGCCTTCGCACGTGATGGGCTCGCTGTTCCACCGCAACCAGAGAAACCTTGTACGATCAGATTAGCTCAGATACCCACAGCGGGAAGACGAAGTGCGGTTTTACCGTAGGAAGTCTTGACGAGAGCGGGCGTGCCCTATGAGAGAAGCACCAAATGCCAGAGAAAAGTTACAGCTATTTCGATGTGGGCCATGTCTCCTACTCCCGCCATCCCCATCAATCACTCCACTTCCGCCGCACAATCCTATTCACCTATGCTTCACGCTCTATGCCTCCTACAACCTCATCCATCCCATCAGCGCATGCGCCAAAGCGATCCTGCGCGTCCAGAACCTCTGCCTACACTTCGGGCAGCATTTATGCAGTTCCTGCCCAGCCCTCACCCAGCCGCTAAGGCAAGGCCTTCCGAAGACATGTCCGCAGGGGAGTGCGTAGAGCGTGTGCGGATCGTGGGCTGGACATAGGAGGGACTTTGAGCGTAGGGTGTGCCGGCGCTTGGTAGGGAGGCAGGGCTCGAAGCAGATCATGCATTCCGAAGCTTCGTATTGGTCGGTCTTGTCCTCGTTTCGGTCAGGGATGGGGCTGTCGGATGAGGAATCTGGTTCCAGCAGTGCCGTGATTTCCAGGTCTTCCTCTTCACCAGCTCCACCCCTCATCTTAACACCATTCTCCCCAAGCCTGTGCCAGCAGCCCTCGCCATCCTCCCACCATTCTTCATCCGAGCACTCCGTTCCCCCTAGCAAGGTAATACAGGTCGTCCAACTATCCTTAGTCGAACCGGAGTCCGTTCCAGACGAGGATTTGCTACTTGACTTAGTCTGGCCTATCCATTTCTGAGTCGGATACCAGTCCAAACACATCTCTTCAGCAGCCTTCACCAACTCTCCCACGACCCCAACGCAAGCCTCACACCACTGCCGCTCATACTCGACCAATCCCCAGCAGAACTCCGCATCCATGTGAATTCCGCTAAGAAGATTTAATGGCCGGAAGTCTCGCAGAAGAAAGAGCCACCGGCGAGCTTGTTCTGTGTCCCATCGGCGCAGCCTCGCAATCGGCGTCGATGCTGAGATGTCGAGATTGGGGAGCACGAGCGACGAGGAGACTTGGCAGGCGCATCGGAAGATGGTAAGGGTGCGGGTTGGTAGGGCGCGGTAAAGGGGCCCATAGACGCCGTGGCCGCGGAAGGGTTGGTATTTTTGGTGGAGGTCGCAGGTAGGGGCGTGGTCGGCGGGTCCGAAACAGGCAGCATATTGTTCATCCCCTTGCCGCCATTGCCGGGTAGCCTGTGAATCTTCGTAGATGAATTCGGCGTCTATGTGTAGACCCTTCGTGGGGTTTCTGGCACTGAGCCACGTTCGATCCGAGAAGACGGAGGTGGCGGGGATGTTGGCTTCGTCGTGCAGGGAGGGGACGTCATCATCTCGCTGCATGCAACCGCAAGGGTATGTGATCTTCCGGCGAACGAATGGAAAGTATGAGGGTTTCCCATCAATTGTCAGGTTTTTCAGAGTTTCTGAGAGGTCTGTCAACGAGCAATCGTGGTGATATGGGAGGCCCGCCATAGTAAAGACCAAGACCGTTTGTAAGCGACCGTTTTCGCAAGTAGCGATATGTGCCAACTGCTCGTCAAATGAATATAATTGGAGTTTCGATAAAGTTGATAGCGATGAAACGAAGTGATGCAGTGCGGTATAGAGGTGTCGGTCGGTTGACAAGACTGCTGACCTTATAAGACAGCAGGAAGTATGCATTGATTGCACGGTATATGAGACGTTGCAGGCGGAAGCATTCTTTAATGCGGAAGGGGCGTTTACATTTCGAAAGCACCATCGCTCACTTCATACTCATATTCGAGGTCCGGTTGAAACTCCCAATAGAGACTCTCTGCATCACTTGCCATCTTGAACGTGTAGGCAGCTGCGTCGTCGTCGACGTAGATCTTGGGAATGCCGTTGGCAGCTGCAGCCTCGACCATGAGCTGAACTTCGCAGGAGCGCTCCATGAGAGTGTACAGGTAGGCGGCCTCGTCGACGGTGCCTCCAACCGTCTGAATATCGTTAGTCGACCAGCACGCTTCATGGGCGCAATGATGGAGTTTCAACTCACCAGCAAGCCATGGTTCCTTAAGATCAAGCCCTTACCGTTGGGCCCCAGCGCGGCAGCCAAACGCTTGCCTTCGGCCTCATCCAGCACCACGCCGCCAAACTCCTCGTACAGAGCTTGAGCCTCGCCGTATAGGTAGCAGATGTCCTGATTGATCATCTCCAGCTTCCTGCCAAATGCGCTCCATGCTTTGCCCGCCTTGCCGTGGCAGTGACACGCAGCGTGCACGTCCGGCCTCGCCTTGTGCACCGCAGAGTGTATCAGGAACCCAGCCGCATTGGCCGGCCTGCTTGTGTTTCCTCCCACTACCTTCCCATCGTAGTCGACTAGAACCATGTCGGACGCTTTGAGGGTAGCGAAGTGCTTGCCCAATGGGTTGGTCCAGAACCTGTCCGCGTGCTCGGGATCGCGAACGCTGATGTGGCCCGACATGCCCTCCGTGAAGCCCTTTCGCGCGAACACACGGAACGCGCCGGCCATGTGAGCGAGTATCCAAGCTCGATGCTTGTCGTAGGACGAGAAGAGGGGGATTCCGGGGAGGCAGACGCCCTGGGAGATTGCTTGCAGCGGCGTCTGTTCTTTCGTGGGGTCGTCCTTCGACTTTGGAACGAGCATCTTCGTTTTCGAAGCCGGAGCGGGATCAGGAGAGACGGCAGAGGGAGCCATTGTGAGCGGTGCGTTTCCACGCTGCTGGGAGGTTGGCTTGGGGAAATTTGGGAGTGAGTGAGGGGAAGTTATAGGAGATCAAGACGTCGTGAATTGACGAGCGTACGCCCTACGCCCTTCGAGAACATCGGATTGCCACATCCCGACGTACCTCCGGAGGTATCTGCAATTGGTAAGGTGTGTGGGATGCGTTGTGGAAGTCTTCCTGTTGGAGGGGACGACGATACGCGGAGATGCGCGATTTCGGATGCGGGGCCCTCACGCGGCAGACGCCAGGGAGTCACGTGATATACCACGACATTCGTCCCTACGGACCTAGATCAAGTTGTCAGCGAGGTACGCTCTCCGTAATGTTGGCTTCGCGATTTTCGTACTATGGGTGCGTAAGGAACCGAACAATAGGGCGGGCCGGGTATTACCGTACCACGTGAGTACGACCTGGGCCGAGTTCGAAACGAAAACTACGTCTAATCTCCGTACTACGGAGAGCCGTCCATGGAACACTTTTACTTATCATTTGGGTCGCGCATCTTCCAAATTAACGCGTCTTTGTGCCTCCGCGCCGAAATACGAGCCCAGGCTGAACGCCACGCAGCCAACGTTCACCCGCACTGCGCCACAATGCGACAACAACAGGTTGTCTGCTTTCTCACGATAAGAAACATGTCCCCAGACTTCATCCCGAACTATTCCAAACATCTCCGTGCGTACGATAGCGTCCTGCTCCCATTTTTCCCTTACCTCGACCCAATCGCCTGTCGCTGTCGAGCCTTACCTGCGCGGATCCCAGTCGCTAGCCATGAACGCCCAGCTCCGAACTCTCTCCAAGGCAATAAAGTCTCTCGACCGGACAGCGGAACCCAAACAGCAACAGCACACCGAAGAAGTCCACCAGGAAGCCAGCCCGTATCCGTCAATAAACGCTTCAGACGGAGAAACACGACTCATTGAACTCCTGCCTGGAGCCTTTTCTGACCAGATAAACGTACGGCTGTCGAGAGCTACCATAACAGGCTGCACCGAGTACGATGCCTTGTCATACGTCTGGGGACAGGAAATTTCAACAACCCCAGCACTGGTAAACGGCATTCCTGTAAAGATAACCGTGAATCTAGAGGGGGCACTGCGACACCTCCGAAAGGAGACCGCCTCTCGGATTATATGGATCGATGCCCTCAGCATCAGTCAACACGATGTCAATGAGCGGAACAGGCAGGTCCAGAACATGGGAACGATATACGCTTCCGCCCGCCAAGTCATCATTTGGCTCGGGGATGGCGCCGGCGATTCAGAGCAGGTGAAGCCTGCGTTTGACTTCATGAAGACTGGTGTCTTTCCTACAAAGGAAGACCCATTTTTCGATCTGCGGAGCGCGTTCTACTACATACGTAGTTCTGAATGGTTCGACCGCGTCTGGGTTATTCAAGAACTTGTACTTGCGACTGAAGACCCCATCGTCTACCATAGACATGATTTCGTATCGTGGTCACAGTTCTGCAAAGGCGTTCTTGAAATGTGGCAGGCCATCTTGGACGCAAACAACCCTAGGACACCGGGCGATGCGTTCTCCGGAAGGAAGGACGCTACTGATCTCGGCGCGACGATCCGAAAATTCTTTCCAGGCGATGGAACAGCCCACTTTGACTCGTTTTCGGCCTTCTCCGATAAGGTGAAACGTTTGGAGGACATTAAACTCGAGGGCAGACACTCAAGCCTCCCATTACTTCTGTCCCGCACGACTCATTCTCGAGCCACGGATCCGCGAGATAAAGTGTTCGGGCTTCTTGGAATATGCACTTCCGCTGCAACACTTGTAATGGCCGATTATTCTAAATCTGGGGAGCAGATCTTTTGTGAAGCTATGGCTCTCGTGATCCGCGAGGGGTTCGGGTTCGGTTACGCCTCCCTACCGCTCCACAGACACCGCATCGGTTGTCCCCAGAAACGCCAGCTCCCTTCCTGGGTTCCAGACCTCACCATGTGTCAAGATTGTTGGGTCGTCAGAATCATGTGGTTTCATGCTCCCGCGAGCTTTTGCCCAGTTGAAGAGATCGAAAGTGCAACCGCAAAATCCTCCAGCATCTCTCCCATCTACTCATTTGCCAATAATTTTCGAACTCTACGGACAGGAGGTTTGTACATCGGAACCATCGCCAAGCGAATGTACGTTTTCCACCCCGGACGCCAGCAGCAACAGCCACACCTCGATGCTCTTCGTTCCTACGCAGATATCGGCGACATCTTCCGAGGCAGCAACATCTCTACACAAAGAATCCTCCAGGCGCTGATCGGTCCATCAAACCCATATCGTGACATTCTCGGACAGGAAGACGGCCAAGCTGCCATAGAGCAGCTTTTGTACGACAATGACCGCTTACTAGAGAGCTTTGGGGAGTCGGGATTCGCCAAGGGCTCTACGCTGTTCAATCTCCACAATGCGATCGCGACTTATACGCACTTCAGAACTCTTTTCGTTACCGAAGAACGCCATGTCGGTGTGTCATACCATCCCAACTCCGAGTTCGGTATACGTCAGGGCGACCTCCTCGTCGGACTCTTCGGCATCAATTTTCCCTTCATCCTGCGCCCAAAACAGGACTGCCGCTCAACGACCTATGAGATGATCAACGTCGCCCACGTCGCTGAGCACCGCTGGGGTCACGACTTCATTGAGAACGCCGCCCCAGGAACCGACTGGAAAGACTTTGAGCAGTACGGTTTGAAGGAGTATGTGATTGTCTGATCACCCTAGAACCGACTCCGCTGGGAAAGGCATCCTAGAGCCGCAGTTAACGGGGTCGAGCTAGATCTGGGTCTATACGTCAAGACGGCGTGCCAAGTGGCGACTATGATCAGCATCGCAAGAGTTATTAGTACGAAGGCCGCAAAGCAACCCCACTGCATACCCCATCGGAAACATTACGTCTACCAATCGGAAAAGACAATATTAATACCACCTGGAGGGTATGCGCCACAGTTTTCAAGTGCAAGCAACACGGCTAGAGAAGAAAACACCCCTTCGCTTGCAAGAGTCCATTTTTCAACTACACGAATTCATGCGAAGTTGGTCGACAGCGCATCCGCCCAATCCCACAACAAGCCCTGGTCCGTCCCAGCATCAGCTCCATACTCTGTGGCCCCCAGGTATGGCCAAGAGAAGTCGTGGCTATCAACCGGTGTTATAACCTCTTGTTGGGCTGGTATATCCGGAACGACGTTGAGAGCAGGAGGCAAGGTAGCGGACGCCATTCCCACAGCAGCAGGCTGAGGAACCCGCCGGTTGGGCAATATGTCAACAGTGCTGGCTGTAGCTACACGCGGTGGGTCCGTGGACCCCTCGCCGTCGGAGTTTTCTTCTGGAAGCGGTCGCGCCCTAAAGTCGACCTCAGTTGCGTGTTTCTGAACCGGGAGCGGACTGCTCGGGTCGTCGATGCTCCTCAGCATGTTCTGTATGTCCTGGACATAGATCTGGTACCTGGGAAAATACTGTGTGGACTTGCTGAGCGTTGCGATGAAGGCTGTGAAGTAACGACGGGCGGCTTCCGGATCCATGCTGTAGGCTGGACTATCGCGATGGCATGCGTACAGAATGGCGCACGAGGCCTGATATAGGGTGACAAATTGAGCGATGTCGCTGATGTATAATTCGCTTTCCACGAACCCGTGTGTCGACGCTACGATTTCTCCAACCGAGACAGCGTGCTGCAAACAGTTTGACTGGGCGTAAGCGACCAGGTCCGGCGAAGTCGAATGAATGACGGCATGCGGTAGAGCCTCTCGATATCCAGGGTTGAGTAGCCGGTAAAGCTCGCAGTTGCAATGATGCCAATAGATATGCAACGCTATGAAAGAGGTGCGGGTCGGCGAATAGGCGCGTAGCTGGAAAGCACGGGGGCTGAAGTGGTATTCGTTGGGGAGCGAATTGTAGATGTCGCGGATTTCTTTCTCGAGGGACTGAAATTGTGCCAATGACTGCTCGGGGCTGCTTGAGGTCTCGAGCAGCGATTTCGAATACCTGAACGGAAGATCAGTCCTAAGGGCTGAGTAATAGTCAAAATGAACTTACTGGAGGACACGCATACGTACATCGAGTACACGGAGGAGATAGGCGCAGAGTGGGAGCTCTGACTGTGCCCGTGCGGTGTCTCGTAGGTGCTCAGACTTGACTGCCGTATCGAAGTCGAAGCAGTGATCCCGACAGGGTAACTGCACGTGTATCGAAGAAGCGGGTAAGAGGAGATATTCCCGCACGCCACCACTACAGAATCTATCGGCCACAAAGATGCACCACAGAAGACGCCTACGTGACTCTTGTTCAATAAAGGGTAGCCGGTCATCCTCCTTATGCAGCTTCAGAAAATACGCCATTCTGACTGCAAGAGACAAGAAGTAGAACACTTTGCCCGTTTGATGATTGCCACTGCGGTTGAACACGAGTAGCATTAGAGCTTGTAAGTGAGCCATGTCGACTTTACCCAGGCTCTGGAAAACCGTCCTCTCAGCTCTTTCGATCCAAGACTTCGCTTGCGCCATTCTTACAGTGGTTGATGGAAGAAAACGGGAGGTGGCACCGCAAAGTGCCAGCAGAAGCACTTCGGAGAGGCTTCCAGAGGAATATCGATGGAGTAGATCCGCCCGATGGAGAAAGCTGTACACCTGAACTGGGTAAATGAACTCGAAATACGCATCAATATGCTGCCTTGCAGCAGTCTTCTCGCAGCCGAGTACCTCGTCCCAATCATGGTCCGTCGCGCCGGTCGCACTCAGAGCCGTCTCGTCCATAGTCGTCGGTGTGCTCCGTCCCGCAACATCGTCTATCCCACCTTGCCACTGCTGCTCGACAGGGTCTTCTTCTACATGTGACTGTCGTCGACTGTGCTCCTGTGCCCGGTACTGGCGGATCGAAAGTGAGTAGTTGCATGGAATCCCCAGCTGCCGGCACCGAGCGCAGCTGGGTGTATCCGCCGAGCAGCGAGCTCGTCGGGTATGGCACGCTTCGCAGGCTCTCCCCACCCTTTTCCGAGGGGCAATTGAACTGCCACTAGATAGTGGTGAAATTAGCGTAGATGGGGTGGCCAAAGAGCAGCGAAAGCCCAGCCGATTACACGCGTCGCAACTGTCTGGACCGCCTCGACAACGCACCTATTCGCTAGTTTAGCATTACGCTGGGTAGTGCCTATCACAAATCATACCTTTCTCTGCCGACATTGTGCACAGGCCGTCATAGTTCATGGAACGTTGACGCGGTGGTGCATTGAGGTCGGCGCCGGGGGCTGCCTACCATTTGTAGCAACCCGCCAGTCACAGACGAGAGATGCCGACAGCCGTGATCAATCGCCGTGGGTGGAGCATCTTCGGCAAACTCCACAAGTTCGAAGGGAGACGGCTGCTGTAATGTTGAAAATGTTGTGTAGTGCAAAGCGGGGAAGCGACCTCGGCTATGGGCTTCGGAAAATGCAGATGGCAGATCCGTGTAAGGAAGGGCGTGTGGCCGTTAATAGTCGCATAACGTGGGCATGTGGCAAGAAGCCTTAATCCTCTGCATGCAAAATATCTGGGCAGATAGAAGCCAGACAGCTTCCAAGACGTGGTATGAGGGCTAAATGCAGCCGTACTACGGTAAGTCCAAGAGCCGACCAGAAAAGCAGTTGAACATGTTCAAGGTGGAAAGCCATAGATTCATCCCAAGGAACAAATGGAGTATAACAGAGGTATGAGAAAGAGGATTCGCGTCTCCCTCTATCAACAACTAAAACTTCAGGGCTCATATCCATGAAGAGGCGCCGCCCTCTCCCCGTAACTCCATCGTCTATCCTCATCTTGCTTCCTCGCAGAAATCAACATCATCCAGGTGCCTAACAGAAAATCCCATTCCCCTTCAACCAACAACCTACAGCTTTGGACCCTCCACCACCCCCGGCAACAACTTCGGATGCACCGACTCATCCCCAATCTCCGCCATCTTATCTTCCAACATCCTCGTCATCCTCTCCACCACCTGCCGATACCCCGGCTCACGATACACATTAAACAGCTCCAGCGGATCCTCCTCGCAATCAAACAACTCCCACTCCTTATGCTCTTGACCACCCGGTCTCGCGCCCTCAAGCCCAAAGTCCTCATTATACCAATAAATCAGCTTGTACCGCTTGTCTCTCACCCCATAGTGCGCATAAGCCTCATGGATGACATCGTTGTGCATCCAATACCGATGGTACGCGACCTGCTGCCAATCCGGCGGCGTCTGACCCTTCAGCAAACTGCGGAAACTAACGCCCTGCATATAGCTCGGCTGCGTCAGCCCCGCAAAGTCGAGAAACGTAGGCCCGAAGTCAACATTGCAGATAATGTCATCGCACATAGACCCGGGCAGTATCTCCTTCGGGTAGCGGATGAGAAACGGCATCTGGAAGCTCTCCTCGTACATGAAGCGCTTGTCGAACCAGCCGTGCTCGCCGAGGAAAAAGCCCTGGTCGGATGTGTATATAACGACTGTGTTTTCGGCGAGGCCTTCAGCGTCGAGGAAGTCGAGCAGGCGGCCGGTGTTGTCGTCGATGGACTGGATGGTGCGGAGATAGCGTTGCATGTAGCGTTGGAATTTGAACTCGGCGAGCTCGGAGGGGGATTTGAAGGTGAAGGCTTTGCCGTCATCTTTGCCGATTAGGCGGAGCTTGGTGACGTCTGAGGGGGCGGGGATCTTGCGGTCGTCTGGAGGTACGGGTCAGTGTTCCGTTGTTGGTGAGAGCGGGATTGAAATACGTACTCCACCACCATGTATCGATTACCCTCTCTCCGACTTCCCTCCCGCCATCTGGCTGTACCAAGCCTAGATCATGGTACGTTAGGTCCTCGGCAACCCGCATCTTTGCAATCTTCGCCGCCTTCGCTCGGTTCTTGTAGTCGTCTGTGAAAGTGTCGGGAAGCCGGACCGGCTCAGTGTACAGTTGCTTGTGCTTCGGATCGCACTCCCAGCTCCGGTGTGGCGCCTTGTGGTGGCACATGACGAAGAAAGGCCGTGATTTATCGCGGTTTTTGATAAAGTCTATGCTCTTATCCGTAATGACATCGGTCGCGTATCCTGGCACGCGTTTGGTGCCGGACGGCTCAATAAACAGCGGGTCATAGTACTCGCCCTGACCCGGGAGCACGCTCCAGTGATCGAATCCCGTAGGCTCGTGGTCCTTGCCCTCTCCGAGATGCCACTTGCCAACCATAGCAGTTTGGTAACCTCCTGTTCGGAGGTGTTTCGCAACGTTGGGCAACCGCTTGTTGATCTTCGAATCTAGCGTCATCACCTGGTTCACGTGGTTGTGTGTTCCGGTCAAAATGGCAGCGCGCGAGGGTGTGCAGATGCTGTTCGTGACGTAGCAGTGGTTGAAGAGCATGCCTTCTTGTGCCAGGCGGTCAATGTTCGGCGTATGGTTGATTCCGGCGCCGTAGCATGAGATTGATTTCGAGGCGTGGTCGTCGGCCATTATGAAAATGATGTTGGGTCGGTCTTGGGTCGCCATCTTGGGTGTTAGAGGCAGGAAAAGCGCACGCTGGCAGAACAAAGAGAGAAGCGTAGAGTAAAGAAAGATGTCTATGCGAGTTAGGAAGCAAGGCGAGGAAGGTCAGAACGAGACGAGTTGCGAGTGTTTAAGCTGCGAAAAACCGACGCGTCGACCGAGGCCGACAGTAAACCGAGGCCGACAGTAAACCGAACGTCGGCATAAAAGAGCGCGAAAGGAAAGCCTCGCCGCATGTCGCGGCTACTATTCCACAGGCTTTTGAAGGCGTTGAGTGGGAAAGAAGATGCAGAGAGGGGCTCGGAGCGGAGGAAGTGGAGTTGACGTCCTGAAACAGCACCGACAGCCTATCGGCCCCGACATCCGCCCAACGACAGCCGCGCATCGAATTACGCAAGATTCTAGGGTTGAAACGGCTATTCCTCGGAGGCTCCCTGCATGACGCCTAGCAGATTTCCCCAGACGGAACCCCACGCGATCTGGAAACCCTTCGCATGGATTCGACATGGTCGGGCCTTCTGTCTGGAAACAAGTATCCGCCAGAGGCGGCACGATATATATAGTGACCAACGCCTAGATGTCCAGCTCGTCCCTAGAGAGTCCTTCTTCTGCAGATCAGTCTTTTGATACTCTCTGAGGATCGGCCAAAATGTCGCAGCTCAAAGAAGAGAAGGCAATCGACACCATGGTTGAAGACGTCGAGACCACCAAAACACCCGTCGCGGACGCCACAGCTGCGGCATTGGGCAACAAGGCAGAGACCGAGTTACCGTTGGGCAAGGCCTTCTTGTACTACCGCAAAGCCGTGGCGTGGTCCTTGACTATCTGTAAGTACTCCCAACAGTCACCCATCGCCTGGCTCAGGACTGATCCCGCATACAGCCATGGCAACTATCATGGAATCCTACGACATCCAGCTAATGAGCTCCTTCTTCGCGTTCCCGCAGTTTCAGGAGCGATACGGCGAACGCCTTCCAAACGGCAAATACTCCATCCCAGCAGCCTGGCAACTGGGGCTGAGTTTGGTGGGCTTGCTCGGCCTGATCATCGGTGTGTTCGCCAACGGGAGCCTGGCGAACCGTTTTGGGCCTCGTCGAGTTATGATGATCTCGTTTGTCGTCTTAACCGGCTTGATCTCAATTTCCTTCACGGCGAAGAACGTTGAGTCGCTGCTTGTCGGCTCTCTGTTATGGTACGGATGGATGCGCCTGCTTGAACCATAACGGTCAACTAACAGCGGTTGATGTAGTTCAATTCCCTGGGGCATCTTCGCCGCCGCAACGCCTGCTTATGCTGCTGAAATCGTCCCAATGGCTTTGAGAGGCTACCTGACGACGTATGTCAACCTCTGTTGGGTAATTGGCAGAATCCTGGCCACTGGTGTCCTTACCGGCACGCTAGATATACAGTCTCAATGGTCATACCGGATCCCGTTTGCGTGTCAGTGGATATGGCCTGTCCCATTATTTTTCGCGACGTACTTCGCTCCGGAATCGCCTTGGTGGCTAGGTATGTGTTTGTGTTGTGCGGAACGAAACGTGTGGCTGACGATTTCCAGTCCGTAAGGGCCGCAACGAAGACGCAAGAAAAACACTCGATCGGCTTGTATTGGCTCCACCGGGGGCCGTCAACAATGATAACGCGCTTGCTATGATTATGCATACAATCGAGTTGGAGAGGAAGATGGACATTGGCGAATCGTACTGGCAGTGCTTCAAGGGGACTAACCGGCGCCGCACCGAAATAGCCATGGTCAGTCTTACAATCGCTGAAGCCTGGGATACTCTACTCACCTATGCGTAGATCTCTTGGGGATGCCAAATCCTTCCAGGCTTTGTTATTCAGTCATACACGACGTACTTCTTCTCGCTCGCCGGTCTTCCTTCGAGTGACTCGTTCAAGATGACGCTTGGGACCTTCGGCATGGCATTTGTGGGAACCTGCTTGAGCTGGCTTTTGCAATCGCGCATGGGTCGGCGGACCATCTATCTCTCGGGTCTTATTATCATGCTTCCGGTTATGTGGATCGTCGCCTTCCTCGAGTTCTCTCCACAAGCCTCAGGGCCGGCAATCAAATGGACACAAGCCGCGATCCTCCTAATCTGGTTCTTCGTCTACGGTAGGTTACCTCGAGCACGCGCTTTTGCATTCGCTCTTTAACTTGCTACCCAGGAATTACAATCGGCCCCATCCCGTACGCCATTGCTGCCGAAGTAGGAGCGGCGAATCTGCGCGGCAAGACGATTGCTCTAGGCCGCAACATGTACTATTTCCTCGCGGTCGTGAACACAGTCATCTCCCCATATATGCTAAATCCGAAAGAGGGCAATCTGAAGGGGAAGGCGGCTTTTCCAGCTGCTGTATTCACCGCGATCTTAGTCGCTTGGACGTACTTCAGGCTTCCAGAGACCAAAGGGCTAACTCAAGAGACGCTAGATCATCTGTTCCTGGAGGGTGTGCCCGCGCGGAAGTTCAAGGAGGAGGCTAAGCGCTTTCAGTAAGGGCTCTGTGGCGTGAAAGGAAGGAGTTAGAAGATACGGTGGCTATGCAACAAGGTACAACAAGTAGAGAGCACAAACGAGGGATTGTGTTGGTGGCTTTATTTCTTCCGCGCAACCCAGAAAGATGCGCGATACGTGTTTTGTAGCATGCTCCTCGGGTTCGAAATATATCCCGTATCAACCGTGCCCGGCTCGTGCCTCTCCATGACGAAACCGAAATGCTGCACCAGCGCTACGACTTCCTCGTCCGTCAGCTCGACGGATCCGGGGTCTGCAATGCCAGTATCAGCGTGCTTATGCGGGCTGCTATTCTTCTCTTCGCTCTCCTCTCCGGAGCACTGAAGACGTGATGCGTGGTGCCACAACAGCGGTCCGAGATTTATCCAGATACCATTCGATTTGAGGCAATTTCTCACAGCTTCGATATATCGAATGATGTTCGGCGCCGTGTCAATGAAGAACACTGTGGTCACCACATCGAACGACTCTCTCGAATCGGGCTGGCTGTACAGCACACAAAAGTCTCCTGTTGACATGCTCATTCGCTCATGCGCCAGGACCTTCTCCCCGTCCACTTCGCGCATCAGTTCGCTCCCAGGATGAATGTCCGGGATGTCATACGTCTTGAACTGGTCGGCGCGACTGAGGTGGTTGGAGCAGTTGAGCGCGAAGGGAGCGATCTTGAACTCTCCAACTTTCTGCGTGTGGTTGAGGATGAGAGCGGAAGCCATGAGTTCATGATAAGAGATTTCGTTCCCTTCCACGGAGAAGCCCGAGCGGCAGATGTCGAAGACGAGACGTCCTAGGCCTGCGCCCGGGACGAGGACTTTGACGTCGGACTTGTCTATCTCAGGAGAGGTCCGCAATCGCGCAGCGAATTCTTGCATCAGTGTGTTGAGGATAGGATTGAAGCACTTCTCCCTTTCCACAGCCCCTTCCGCGCTCCACTCCCTGTAGAACTGATGCACGCAGCTCCTCGCCTTCTCCAGATCCGTCTGCGTAGCTTGAGCGTTCAGATGATCCATAATAATCGAATAGATCTGGTACTCGTTGTGTGCATACTTCGGAGGCACGATGCTCGCTACCCACTCACTGTCCAGTCCTGGAGCGATGAAGGCTTGAAAGCCCTCCCGGAATATGGCTTCTGCGAGCTCGGCATTGGAGTCGATGAGGTCGTCAAGTTTGGAGAGGGAGTCGAGGATGGAGAAGGGCGGTTTGGAAAGGAGGGTCCAATGCTCGGAGGGGAGAGAGTAGAAGGCTTGGCGTCGAACATGCGTGCCGTTAAAGTGCGCTAGGCGGCGGTAGGACCTACAGCGCATTTAATACTGCTCGTCCACGCGTGGTCGTGAGGGACTCTAATTGAGCACTGGACGACTTACCGGAAGGAGTCTAGTACTGATAGGATATGTTTCTGCTCCTCCGGGTCCGCCATTGGATCGAAGTCGCCCTCCCACTCCTTGTCTGCCATTTCGGACTCTGCACTCCCTGACGATGCGCTCAATAGCCTAGCTCTTCCCTTCCCTCTAAGGATTTTTTTTCTCTTGAAGAACAATCCTGCCGCTTCCAAGGTTGTGGAAAAGCCGGTGCGGCGAGCGCTTTCTAAAACTCTTAATTCATAGAGTAAAAGGAGTTAGCGGAATTGTTGTTCGCCCTGTTAATGCGGAGAAAAGAAGTGAATCGAGGTGTAGGCCGCTGTGTAAGCTGGAGCTGACGGTTGTTGGTGGTTTGCTTATGATTGCCAAGAGTCTTAGATCCGAGCTATAGCCGAAGGAAGGAATTCGCGACTTCGACTCACACCTCCACGCCTTCATCACCCACAAGCCGCGATGGCTTCTGCGGTGACAAACGGTATACCCAATGGAGGTGCCTCCGCTAAACCGATCGAAGTCGCATTCCCCCTACCGCGAGCGCAGCAAACAAATATCCACCTCCAACTACGCAATACCGGCTCCTCCGTTATGCTCTTCCTCACCACCTCTGCCCCTGAATCGTCGTCCTCGGCACCTCTAGGAAGCTTCGTATATGCGATGCCGAACGTAAGCCTCTCCTAACCCCTCTAGGCTAGTCGCGCTCATGCTAATCGTCGGAATCTGTAGAGAATATCCCCAGCCGAGACACTCAGCACCCCCCTCTTCACGCACAGCGGAACGTTAGACTTCACGACGAGATTAGCGAAGGTCCTAGCGCGGAAATTGGCGAAGCCAGTGTATGTGGGCAATTCAATAAGCTTTGCGAGTGCGGGCATGGGCGGCACAGTCGAGGAAGAAATGGAAGGATTCAGGCGGGTTGTAGAGGTCACTGTGGGGCTATTGGATAAAGAGAGGGACAAGGAAGGTGGTACATAACGATTTGGTACAACTTAAGGCATTCGAACCGAATCGCTTATATCAAGAGCCCGCGATCTCACAGCGCGTACCAGGATCAACCCATGACGTGGTGGGCCGCATGCGTATATGGATGACATTCACGACAACAGTCACGGTTCGAACGCCAACAGAGAATATCGGACATCAAGGAATTGGTTGTCATTTGGAATCTATCCAGCTGATGCCTCCACGGTCTCGAGATGTCTACTTCATCTGATTCAAGCGTTCCTTCGCGCTCTCCTTCGCCTCGTTCGAGACCTGAGGGTTGTTGATGGTAGCCTTCAGGCCGCCCGCGACGTTGTTGGGATTCTTGCCCTCCTGGGAGTGCTGTTGAGTGTTGCCGCCATCAAACTCGTTCTCAAGAATCTCGCGGGAGTGCTGCTTGGCCTCCTCAGAGGTGTCTGTTCTTTGTCAGTGCAAATGCTGGAAAAAACGTCGAGAGGAACGTACTGGGGTTATTCAGGTTGGCTTTGTGGCCACCGATGACATTGCCTGCGTTGGACATTTTGGAGCAGTTAGAAATGCAATGAGGTGGTATTGGATTTGGAGATGTGTAGATTGGAAATCAGAAGCGTTGAGATGTTAGAATTGAGGAGAACTTTCTGGTTGGAAACGCGATGCTCTTTATACATCGTCCTAGCCCTCACGACGTCGTCCTGCCTACACTTTTGTCTCGAACAACGTCAGCAAGGCCCGGACTACAAAGCTTCCACATTGTTTCCTACGTCAATGATCTCGCAGGTCGAGAAGATGCTCGAGCGAACGCTCTTTCCTCGTCCTCCGGATCATCCACGTACTGGTACCATTCTAGCGCCTCGTAAGACGCTCCTAGACCCTTTTCGTCGAGTACAGAGGTCATGGTTCCGAGCTCCGTGTCTTGAATCGTGGCCCAGGCGGGACCTCGACCGTTCCTGTGCTGGAGTGCGGGGATTAACATGCAGCGTCACATGCAGCGGGCCATCATTCGAAGTGGCACCGAGATCTCACAACAGCGGGCCATTCGTAGAGCACGGAATAATCAATTTCGTCTCTTCTGGCTAACTTAGTCCACTCCGTCATCGCTCCCATCCATTCAAAATATGTAAGGCTGCATAAGTCCTCCAACTAAGAGCAGCCCGCTGACCTTGGCTAGGGTCGATGACACTCATATCAACAAAAACCTCATAATCCCAATAATCGCCCTGAACAGCCTCAGCCGCAACAGGGACATTCTTAGAGAATCTAACAGTCCAATACGCACTCCCCTGCGTAAATTTACCAAAAGCATAAAGCCCGGTATTCAGGTTCTTCGCGCGGTTCGCAAACTAGTTATCCGCAGTCATCTCGTTGGACCACTCGCCAATGAAAACGGGGAACTTGCCGTCGCCGGCGGAAGCTTTGTCGTTAGCGCAGATGTCCGCGGTGACGTTGTCGAAGTCGGTGGGGCGCCCGGCGAAATAGTAGTTGTGCACGTCGAAGACGAGGTTTGTACTGCGCGGAAATGCAGGGGACCAGAAGGCTTCGCCTTGGAACTGCCTTGGAACATGAGTGGGGTTCTTAGATTCACGGCTTGTCTCTTTGCGATGGCGGCTTTGATGAACCTCGGACCCAAACCACGCCGTTATCCGACAACGTAGCCGGCGTCCCGAAAGTGGATAAGTCGCGGTTGTCGACTGGCTTGTTCATCGGGTCGAGAGTGTACGAGCGCGGACTCCCCGAACTCCGGATGAATGTCAGAGCAGCGTCGACGGTTTTGAGCGAGTAGTCGAGAGGTTGGTCTGGTTGGTGAACCAGCCGAAGCGGCCTTCGCCTTCGCCAAATCCCATGTCGTTGACGCCGCCGGGCAGGAAGTGGATGTCAAGAATGATGTGCATGTTGTGCCTATTGATAGCATAGGTAGCAATGTTCCTGAAAAACTATGCCTGGTTCCCAGCGTAGAACAAGCTCCCAAGAACATTGACCCAAGCTGCGTACGCTATTGGGATGCGGAGAAGATTCATTCCGGCGGAGGCCAGCTTGTCAACGTCAGCTGGCCGGATGTAAGTAGCGTACCGTCGTTCGAGAACAGGGCCGCACTGCGTGCCAAGCCTAGCACAGCAGGTCCGTTTATCGAGCGCGTCGCTGCAGTTCTGGCTCCACTATGCTAAGCCAACCGCTGAGGTTGACCCCACCGGCTTTGGTGGCTTTCCAGTTGACGTAGGTGGTCTGGCAGCGCCCCGTCGAGGCCAAGGCAGTGGAGGAAAGACCGAGAAGGAATGCATAGAGAATGAGCATTGTACACATGATGTTCAGAGATGAATCTATCTATATTGACTATTTGGGATCTACAGTGCTGAATTGCATCCTCAAATACTTCAATTTGCAGGCAAAATGCCATATTTCCTTCCTTCAAAGCTTGGGATAGCGTACACCGCGGCACATTCTGACATTGCGGGATAACCACGTGGAGCCGGTGCGCCCAGATCAAATTGGCAGGTAACTCATGTCGATTAAGGGCCAAGTTCTTGTAATTGTACTTTTGGCAAATTTCCTCCTTCCGTGAGTTCATGCGCCCCGGACACATCTACCCCGAGGGGTTTTACCCCAGGTTCGTACCCCAGATTCAGTGGCATGAAGCCTGTACACGTGTATTATTATGGCCTTAATAATTGAATGCTAGTAAGCCTTAAACTGATTGAACAGACATTCAGTCTTCTCGTGCTTGGATCGTACTGAAGTTCACCCGACCACGAGCGCTTCCTCCACATCGGGTGCTATTCATGCATAGACGCTCCAGGTCCCGTAGTATACGCTACAAGTGGAGAGAATCAGTACGAAGGAATGGCCGAAAGTGCGGTTCTAGAAACTTCGATCTGATGAGGTTAGAAGGGTTGGCGTTTACTAAAGCTGCATGATTCTGTCCACAGCCATGCTGTTAGGTCACAAGGCGTGAGTTAGACCTGTCTTGATGCGACATGAGGCTTTCGGATGTCACCGTAACAGTAGAGGGGATGGCCCGCCCGCACTGAGCATTCCTCTTACGATACCTTGCCACTTCTTTGAGCACTTCCCCAGGCACGTGTGCTGTTAAGCGGTCGTTCTATCGGAGCTGCGACCGCCGGTAGATTAAAGTAATGTGAATTCTGCGCAGAGCGTATAGTACGATGATTCGAACCGAACGGGAATGTCTAGTGTGTTCATGAGGACCCAAGTTTCAGTTGAATGTCATTTCCAATCACTCCCTAGGCAAAGAAACGAAACTACATTGCTACCTCTTAGGCACTATTCTGCAAGTTCCAACTGTGCTCTTCTTATTGTAACCAGCGTCTCGTAAGCTGATTGAATGCCCTCTAGCAGCCGTCTCCCAACTACATAGCATACCCATCAGGAACCCACTTCGCGGTCCAAATCCTAAGCCGCTTACCGCCTAGTCATCTTTAGATAGCGTTCGACTCGATCCACTGTGGATAGCCCGCTGTCAAGTACTTTTCGTGCATTATTGTAACTGAGCCCCTTTGGAAATTAGAAAGTTTATTCCTTTGCGGAGAAATTAAAGCCCTGAACGGTGTCATTTTGACCATGCCAACCTCCTAGATGGGCGCCGTACTCCGAACACTGACCATGGGCATTCAGGTTTCTGTTGCTTCATGTCCAATAGCTTTTATCCCAAGAAAATTCTCAATACTTGACAACCCTTGCAGATCTCCTTCCTTCGTGCCCTCTAGCTCTTGGTCGACCCAACCTTCAGCGCAACCCCCACCAAAATCTATCACCCAAGCGTCGCCATCCGCGTCAATTAAAATATTACCCGGCTTCACATCTCCCCAGGTAATGTTTGCATCGTGTAGCCTCTTGACTGTGGCTCGTATCTGTTGCGCCCATTTTCCTCGTTCAGCCTTTGAAGCATCCTCTGCGGCGTATCCTAAAGTTTCGCTGCCGTGAATATATTCAACGAGAAGACCCATGATAGAAAGCCCATCATCCCACGTCACAAGCCCGCCAAGCCTTGAGACATGTAAGTCGTCAAAAGAGGAATCACTCCTGAAACGGAGTAGTGTGTCAAGTTCCCTCCTAAATGACTCCTGTTCGAATGCACCTTTAAAGTGGAACTGAGTGTCTCTCCTAATTGCCCGAACCGTGTTTGGAATTAAATCGTAGTCTGCTTCATGTGCGTCTGGCTCCAGAACAGCCACTAGTTGTAACGCTTGAATGCGGAGTACACCTTTGGAGATGGCTTCTGACACTGTTGGATCAGACATCGATACTCTTGGCGTAAGGGAATGAGTTACTAAAGGATCGTCGGGACATCGTATTGCTTCGAGGCGACCTTCTCTATTCGCCAATTTGAGGAAGAATGTCTCTGGGTTGAAGTACTCCGCAAGCGAGGGGGGTTCCACACGGGGGATTGATGGTGCTAGTTGATCCATGTAGGAAACACACGGCTTCAACATCCACTCTTCAAGCGCCTCCATAGCGTGTGGATCATTATCCATGCTCTTTTGGAAGCTGAGAAACGTCTGCACCAGCGTCTCATCCCTTTGAGGTCCACGAAGATCCTCAGTTGTGAAGAAAACATGGAAACGTTTTCCGCGGCTCATAACCGTTAGGGCAGCATCGCGATCTCCAAAGAGGAATTCAACCATAGCGAAAGGAGGAAGATCGTCATCCATTTTAGAGGGTGAATTCGATTAGTAGGACTAATGATCTAGCTTAGCAAAATCTAAATAACTAGTAGTAGAGCCAATTCAAACATACTCTTGGGGGAGGGGTTTTAGTACACCTCTGATTTTCGTGGATTGGGAACTATCTGGAGCGATATGTTAGACTTTACGGCGAGGTTCAGAGTTTTACCAGCTGGCGCACGGCCTATTATTAACCCGATGGTGACTAAGCGCGCGCTTCCCAGAACGTTTCACTTCTTTTCCTTAAGCATATTAGATTTAGCCTTCTTGAGCTGCTCCTTGAGCTTCCCCTCCTCGTCCTTTTGAAGTCGGAATGCCTACTCTGCCTCCTTCTACTCTTGCCTCTCATGCGCGTCCTTTCCATTGGCGACTAGAAGAATGCTCCCCGGTTATACTTAGAGGACGGCTTTGTTGACATAACCGCAATAGGCAATCTTGCCACTCTTGCCACCATTACTGTCATCTGACCTTCGAGGCGTTAGCAGATTACGTACTCTCTACGTTCATTATGTATATAGATCGAGTTTTTCGCTCATTCAATTTGAGCAACCATTCCTTTGAAGATAATATTTATGAGAACTTTATGCTGCTAAATAAGACCTCTATGACGCTTTGAGTAGTAGAAGCTTACCTTGCTGCCGGCGCTTCTTCTCATTGACTAGGGCTTCTTTGGGGCGTTCATTTTTGTGGTCAGTTAGGGATTTTTGAACTGCGAGAGAGTGCATAGTTCGACTGAGCTTCTGGACCCGACTATCATACATATCCCCAACAACTTGACAAACGCTCAATCTTTCTCCAATTAGAAGCGCTCGATACTGAGTTTGAGCTATCACTAGATAAGGGCCTATCATCCGCAGGTATAGTGAACTTTTGAGGACTGCCTAAGGATTGAATAGTGGTTAAACCGGTAGCTTCAAAGGCCTTTAGGGTTGTTGATCCATTGAAAGAGGCCGTCCAGGCCTTGTAGAAGAGACCGAAGAAGTCTCTTAAGAGATAGAGCAGATACTCTTGTCCTTATCCATAAAACTCGCAAGTTCGGCTGAGTAGGCGGTAGGCAGAGGCTTAAATAGTCGGACGTCGAGAGGCCGGAGCGTATGGGTCGAATGGGGGATATATAGCGAGGAGTATCCTATTCTCATCGCAATACTTGAAAAACTCCATTAAAACATGAGATCCATGACCATCCAGGATAAGGAGGCGATAGGACCTCCTCGCTTTGGGCCTGGTCTCCCGATCGAAGACCTGTTTCAGTCATGCTAGCCCTATTTGATTATGCGTCCATCCCGAGGGTGATGAGCTGAAGAAAGCCTTATACTCTTTACGGTCAAAATTTTGTAGCCGTGTATCCTATATATCACTGGATATAGCTTATTATATCAGGGCAGGCGGGAGCGACGATCCGTCGGCGCAAATGCAGGCAATCGTCGTGATCCACTCACAATAACCGTCCTAGATGAGCTGCTTTATACCCCCCTCTGCATATCGACGTCGAGAGAATACCCTCTCCATCTTACTGAGCACCCCAATCAAGAAGCCCTTCTCATCCATATTATATATGGCGGGGCTCAATATTGTACTGAGTGATCTTATGTAGGGGCTTGAAACATAGGGAATATTGAAAGCCGAATCTGCCCTGTGGCGTGGAGTCGATTCCTGAGGTCCATCGAGATATTAGGGTCGATATCGTGTCGGTGTAAAAAGCGATCAACTCAGGATTTGCCTGCTTCTTTCTCAGCTATTTCTGGTGCAAGATTGCGTATCATTTCTTTTGAAGGAAGCCCCTCTTTTGTAGTAGGATATAAGCTCTGATTCTTGCGTAAGGTTGAGGAGGCATTGTTATCAGCAATTTTCCGCGTCGGTACAGTACCCTGCACCCCCTTATAGCGCCACGACAGCGTTGTACGACTAACACCATACTCTTCAGCAATCTTTTTGTAATTAGGTTTCTCGTCTATCTTCAGCAACTTCAGGGCTTTAAGCACAGCCTCAATATCGCCCATATTCGTGGAGTAATGTCGTATTGAAGATGTGGGCGATTTGGTGTTGACCGTGCATCACGTGAAACCGGGCGTCACGCGAGGCAGTACGGTATCGGCTTTCGCGTAGGCAGCAATGCCTCGTTTTCGCTGCTACTACGAGCAACCCTATAGTATCTTTTTCACGAGCAATATTAACCGGCAACCCAGATGCAGGCTGTGGGCATAGCGCACTGGAAAGGAAACAAAAGGAAGTAGAGAGAGGATACTCTGAAAATAAGAGTCTAAAGCCGTCTGAATCAAACCTAACTGAAGCTGGCAGATCCTTAGGTCCATACAAAAGTCGTATTAACGGCATTACAGCCCGCCGCGGTAAAAGAAACGAAAAGGCGGAAACTAGGAAAGCTGCGTAGAATGTTGGCTAATTAGAACGCGAGTTATTTGATTAAGGGCTAGAGATAAGATAGGAGAGCAGGTAGGCGAGGCGTAGAAAGGCGCGGGCAGCTTGGAAGCAGAGGCGCTAGGGTAGAGTTAGAGAATTAAGGGAAGGAGATAAGGAAGGTTAGCGACGGGAGGGTGGGCATTTTATAGACGTTTAAAGCAGTGGGTTAATGGGGGCGAGGAACGATGCCCGATATGGATAAGCAAGGGACTGCACTAAACCTGAAGAGGGAGTTCCCGGACAGAGATTACCAATCAGAGTTGCCGTTCCTAACCTCCTCTTTCGACAGTCGAAAGGCCTCGTTCAGCGTCGGCATTGTGCTGCACAAGACTGAGTTGTAGTGTGCGAAGCCGGTTAGAAGGGGCCAGCAAAGAGTTCGGAGAATTACAACCAAGTGGGAACCGCAGGGGTAGAACGTGAGTAAATCTATGGTGCTTTCCCAAACTATATACCTGTAGTATGCAGCTGAGAAGCCTTGCCGCATATTCCAGAGGAGGGTTCCCCGCAACCTAGGGGACCCTGGGCGTGCGCACCTTGGTACACATATAGCAGGTTAGGAGAACCACCGCTCTTCTCCCCCCTCCGCAGTTGCATAGAACAGGGGGGCACTGCCAAATCCCATACCCATGGGGTTTTCGGAATGTGGGGTTTGTCGGAAAGTGGAGTCGAGAGCAAATCTGTGACCAAAACTAATCTACAAACGTATTAACAGGCGCCCGGTGACAAAAAGACATGGGCTTGGCGTGCGGACGGTGTCTTGACAAGTAGTCGCACTCGCTTCTGTCTGCAGGCGCTTGTCCACATTCGCTCTCGATACGACTGACGTGAGCCTGCATGCGTCGACCCAACTGCTTCCTTATCAGCACCTTGGTGGTCCTTCCCGTCGAAGCGAGGGAGAGATCCAGGCCTCAAATTTGTTTCTGTTTTGAGACTGCATAGATAGCACAGCTGCGCGTTGCCTCTACAGCTTTTGACGTCTAAAGGATGATAGGTAGGATGTTGGATGACAGATGACAGGTCTATTCCGGGTCCGCTCACACCTCCGCTATACCCTATCCGTCCTCTTTACGCTTCTCAAGGCAAGCAGGTCCATTCGACGCCTCCATCAATCGCAGCCTTACTCTTGCGGGTCGACGATGAGCTTACCTCTGACCTTCCCTTCGAAGACGTTCGTGCTCGCCTGCTGCAGGGCTCCGAGACCTCCGGGCACCTTTGTATACTTGACCGTTTCAACAAGGCCCTCCCGCAGAACCTTCGGAAGGTATTCTCGGTACCACCAGGCCCGCCAGTCGCTATACTCCTCTTGTTGAGCTGCTTGCGAGAAGGCTCTGTAAACCCTCTGGACGTTCGACGGCAACTCGACTTCGCCGCCCAGAACGCTCGCAAACTCGCCTCCGCCCTGTGCCTCCAGCAATGACGCCAGCGCCTTTTGCGAGGCCGGGTCGCCGCTGGCCGTGAACAAGTATTTGTAAGGTCCCAGTTGGCGGAGTCTATCAACAGCATCCGCGGCTTTGTAATCGATCATCTCAGAAGCACCAAGCCTCTTCTGGCGCTCAAAGTCTCGGGGCGATGCGGTAACGACTACCGTATGCCCAACCTGGAATGTGTTAATGCTCAGTTTTCTAATCATTGAACTGTCAACAGAACTCACGGATTTGGCATACTGCACAGCATAGCTTCCAACTGCTCCGCCAGCACCCCATATAAGGACTTTGTCCTCACTGCTTCCGCTACCAGGCACGGCCATCCCGAGGAATACATGGAGAGCTCCCACCGCAGTCTGCAACGGAAAGTCGATCAAGACTGCTTGTTCGAACGCAGTGTCACCTATCTGTCCGCGAGTTAGGCCAGTTCAGTCATTCCGATGCAACTCCACCTACCTTTGCTGTAGTCCTGGCATCCGAGATAACAAGTTTCTGCCACGTCCCTTCGCGTCGGTTGACATCCGCCTTGACGTATGCTCTTGTATCGAAGACGACGCGATCGCCGACGGCGAGGCCGGTCACGCCTTCGCCGACCTCCTCAACCACGCCCGCACCACCGGTCCCGAGCAGAGCTGGGAAGGACTCAAGGGCGCCGCCTCCGCCGTAGCCAGCAAGAAGCATTTTGGCGTCCAAGGGCTGGATAGCGACTGCATGGTTTCTGACGAGCACTTCTCCAGCGCCAGGGTGATTGACTTCGACTGTGGTAACTTCCAGCGTTTTACCGGGGCCCGGAAAGACTGCTGCAAGATTTCCGGTCGCCATTACCTCCCACTGTGGCCACGAATTCGATGAAGGCTTGGAAGATCGCAGTGGCGTGACAGCAGATATCTTTGGTTTGGGTGAAACTGTACTAACTTCCGGCGGAGGCTTGTCAGAGGCTTGTAAGGCTCCCCTCCGTCTCCTTTATGGCGTCTATCCCACCTCTGCCTGCAGAAAATGCTAACTGTTTGAAGCTCGCAACACAGCACTAGCCGTCATTTGCGGGCCGGCCCCAATATCGCGCGCTCGAATAAGCCCTTTGCAATAGCTTCATAATGCGTTTTCTCGTTCGGACACGCCTCGTTTGTCCCTGGAGCCGTGTCGTCACATCGTGAGATGGTTGTGTAAGCATCCGGTAATCGGTGGTGGGGGTGCAGTAAAGTCCGTTAATTAGCCGTCTTTCTCGCTAACTAAGCAAGCTAATTTAGGCTTCTCAGCTCTCGTCTACCTAGGTACCGGACACTTTCCTCATCTCCGCGTCCCTTCAATTTCGAAGAAATTCTGAGTTACAAGTTACTTACAGCCGGATGGGGGAAGAAATGTTCACTGAATGACTGTCCCCCAAGGAAAACAATAAGCACCGGGTTCTTCTTCAACACCACAAAACAATCGTGTGGGAATTCTCGCTTACTGTCTGCACCGCCTCAGCCACGCACGACGATTATAGGATCCCCAATAGAAACGTTCTATTGGAAGTCCGTATTTCTGGAGACGAGAGCCCGCGCACCCGAACAAGGAGATTACTGCAGGACCGGCCCTGGGCTGAGATGAGATAGGGCCATGAGGGAGCTCTCTATCGGGCAGGCTTCTGGAAGCATTTCAGAACTTACGTCGGCCCACCCCTGTCTAGCCCTACTTCACTAATCGGCCAAGCGAGGAAACTCCGCTTACAAACTCTCCGGCCCTCTACGCTATCCTCGTTCTTTCGATGCTATTGGGCACCTAATTTGGGAATTGAGCTCGTCCGACCTTGTCGCTATGACTGCTATGACTTCATAGGGAGCCGATGAGGAATTCGTTTCCTTGCGCCGGGATGGCTCGTGGAGAAAAAGATGGCGCTCGGGCCAGAACGACGGCAGCTGAGTAACAATCCCCAATCGAAGCTTTACCTCGTGTTCACGCAAGCTAATATTAGAGTCTTCCGGACCTCTGATTCGTGCGCACTAGTTATCGGGGGTCGCAGATGAGAGTTCCAAGAGACGATGCGCTCGAATCATAGTGCGCGGGGCGCTAAATGCTTCTCCGAGTACACCAGCTACTTCGGGCTATACCGAGCTTGGGCAACCCTCTAGCGGAAAGCGTGGGTTTTTGGAATTATGGGAATGACGGGCAAGGCGCCACTAGTTGTGTATACGTGCCGCCTTCGATGGTCTTCGGCACCCTTCGCTCCCTTGTCTTTGGCATGCTGACCACGATGGAGGAGACTATTCCGCGTGCTTCATCACGTTGCAACAGGAAGCGGACTACTGCTTCAATTTACTCGGCACCGTATAACACCAGACACGGGCGAGAGGAATTTGTTTCGAAGTCAGCAAAAGGATTCATCAAAACTCCCACCAGCACGGAATCTGTGCATCGCGGTTACCGGCCCTCTTGGCCTCTTACTCGTCTACCCTGGCACCAGCAACCGGTCATCGTGCATTGCGGCTCAGAATAAGCATCTGACGACAGCAGCCCTACAGTCTCCCGCTGCACCATAAACCCTTCTACAGACCAGTTCTCTGCGTCTACAGCAGCCCAAGCCGAACGCCATAGGGCTAAAAAAGGATTTGTGCGCTGCACGTTTTCGTCCCCATTTTCCGTTACCTCCACCTTCACCATCACTGACTGACCGGAAGCTGTGGGCGATTCTCACCATCATTCGTCGCAGGATCGACCTTTTGGGCCGGTCTTGGACAGAGGTGTTGCGCTTTGACCTCTGTCTCTTACTTCCCAAGCCACGACTTCGATTACCTGATACCGGAGAGTGCTTATACGGCTGCAACCTTCTGAGTACAGACTCTCTCGTCCAACGGCGGTAATCGGCTTCGTGATTGTGTGGCCTGGAACTCTCACCGGAAGACCGGGGGCCAGGTTTTGCTGCATGAAGGTATATAAGAACCTGGCGGGGATCAGCTTGGAAGACATCACCAACCACCACCACGACAATCACCTACTCTCCTTCACCTGGAACCCGGAATCCCGACTCCAGAATACATCTGGAGTTGAAGTAATTACCACACTACCCTCAACAGGACCAACAGCTTATGAGCAGTCGTCCTTCGAATAATCCCAGCCCATCAAACTCCCCAGAGCCTACGCCTCGCCGCGCTGCATCAGTAATTCCAGAAGCTTCGAATCAGACAACTACTTCTTCTTCTGACGGCCGCCAACACTCTGTGGAAACTCCCCAACCTACCGCTGGACCACGATCTCAATCCGCACCTCCCAATCCCGTCTACACCGAGCAAGAGACCCATCCCACAAGACCCCTCATCATCATCACCGAATCCCCCGAACCGCGCAGCAGTCCAGAGCCAGAATCTGCATCCCGCCAAGGCCGTCCACTCGCAGCCCGAACCGCGTCCAGAAACAGCTCCTCGCAACCGCCGCACAGGAGGTCAACGACTCCCTACGCCCGACCAACCTCCTCCAGCCCAAGATCGCGCTCGCAACCGCGCTCAGCCCCAACCCCAACAACAACCACCGCAGCCATGTCCTCCGCCTCCTCTTCCCCGGGCAACACCTCCACCGCAGGCGCGACTTCCAGCTCCTCAGGCAACCCGTCCTACCAGCTCCCCTACGCCCCCTTTCCGTATCCCATGCCCGCGAACGCCCGCGGCTCCGGACAGGGCCAGCAAGGCAGCAGCGGCTCTGGGTCCGGCAAATAAGCGCTTTCTCTTCTTCGCTTGCGGGTTCGGTATTCAAGGCTTTGCGTTGCTTTGCATTGCATTGCGCGGCGTTTGTTTTGCGCTTTAGACTTCCCCTTCCCGACGTTCAAGCGGATACGCACGCATGGTAACGGACGACGATCATGACACGAACGGACGATCGACGGCTTTTTGACGGCTCTGCTCTCCTCTCCTTTCGATTAGACTCTAAGTCTCGCGACTTCCCGAGCTTCTTTCCTCACTCACGATACCACACCCCCGCATAGACTGGACGCTGCATTGCATTGCACGGCGCCCCTTTTACGACCTAGACCTATAGATTGACGAGTTTCCTTTTTCTGTCTTCGCGCTTTTTTCTGCATCTGCCTTTCCCTTTTCATTTCCCATCTCTTTTCCTCACTGTATTGCATTCGTTAGCATCCCCTACCTTTCTTATTTTTCTTCTTGTTTTCTCCAGGGATCGTCCGGCTCGACCGCCAATACCACAGAACGGCCTTTAGCAGTACGGGACGCGGACGCATCGCCCGGTCACTCTTTTTCTTTTACTTTACTCTGCCTTTCCTTTCCCTTTCCTTACATCTTGTCACTCATTTCATTTCATCCTAACCTAGCATTTCCCTTTCCTTTCTTCCTTGTATGAGTATCCCCTAGCATAGATAGATAGATAGAATACTTCACGAATGCATGAGAAATTCCAACCATGGATGTATTTAGCCTCTGCTTTTCGAGACTGCGTGACTGTTGGAGGGATGTGGTGTCTGAGGCGGAGAATTGCGACAGGGGAGAGGGATGTGAAGTGATGTGTGGAGTTGTTCATCGGAGATGAGGAGGCACGGGTTGGTGGGGCGGGGTGGAAGGTGGGTGCGATGTCGATGGCGATGTTGCGGAGTGGAGTGCGTGTGAAGAGGCGTGCAGAGGCTTGCTTTAGGTGTTGATGCGTGTTTGACGGTGTTGGATAGGGAGTGGAGGAGATAAGGATGGGATAGAAGTGGAAGTGGGGTTGGTTAGGTAAGATTGCTTGGCAGCTGCGCCACGCGCTGTACTCTATTGATTCCAAGGTTGATAGTGCTGGGAACGTAGTACTTGGAGTCAGCAGTTGATTGACGGAGCTATCACTACGAAAGACGCAGTGAGACTACGGAAGCACGCCCCAACTCCCTTTCTAGGGCACTGTAATCACCCGTGACATTTATTCACGTGCCATTCCTTTTGCTGAAATCCGACGCCTCACGAATGATACTGAAGCACACCCGCATCGTCCTTGTGGCACCATCTACCACGCCTCCAAACCCCGAAGCGGGCCTATGACTTCCACCAACACTTGACGGAGCGAATGCGGTTTTGCCAGCCGATATCCCTCAGATCGTCCACGGACCTGTCGATCTCCCTGTAGTGGTTACCAGTGCAGTCGGTGGTCCTAGATTCCATCAGCACGGGCCGCATACTCAAAAACAAGCAGGGGGCCACCTACTCGTAGATATTGCAGATGAATTTGTGCTTGCCCTGCAACCTATACCACTGGGGAGTCTTTGACTTGAGGAGGGTGCCAAAGTCTTGGTGGTTATAAGGACTAGAGAGGGACGGGTTAGCGTTAAGGGCTCTCTTTGGCTCAAGGAATGGTAAAGGGAGGAACTTACTCAGCGAGCACGCACTTGGCGTCTGCTTGCTTGTCTTTACAGTCGTACTCGACGTATCCGACCTGCCACAAGGTTCCGCGGTGGAAAGGTTGCGTGTAGAAGGCCATCTTGATCGGTTAGAGAGTTTATTTCGAATTGTACAGAGGAAGCACTTACCAAGGGATGTTTGCAGCCAGGAGGACCGCTGACACAGTCCGCGGTGTCCGCAATGGTGACGTTGCCGGGATCCTCGGGAGCGACGATGGCGGGCGCCTCAGCGTCGTCACCCGGAGCGGGGAGAGCGACGCCGAGAGCGACGGAGACGATGGCGATGAGAAGGAGTAGGAAGCGCATGGCTGCGGGTTGCAAGCACAGACCTTTTGTTGACGAAGGATTAGAGACAAGGAAGCTGTCAAGCTGTGGGAGTGGGACTGTAGCTGAGTGTCGAGCGAAAGAGGGAGGAGAGAGAAGTGAAGAAGCGGGGCGCGGGCCTTGATATTTTAGAGAGGGTCCGTTTGCTGGTGCGGTGAAGGCAGGAAAGCGCGACCAAGTGATGGCGGCCGGGCCCGCCAAGACTAGCGCCTGGTCGTTCTTCCCGTTTATAGAATTCCAAACTGTCGCCTGGTCATGTGTAGTTACTGGTTCATGTCGGCCCATGGGCTCGGCTTAGGTTCCCATGCGCTGCCTCCGCCTTCACCTGCACCTCAAAGCGGGCCGCGGTGCTCATATTGCGCATATCCTTCGGGATAAATGCCATTTGTTTAGTTCCAGATGCGAAAAGCATACTATGAGCCGGGTACTAAGTAGATTCATACTCTATAAGAATTCCAGCGGTAGCTTGCGAACAGGACTAGAGCAGAGCTGTCAAGACGTCGCGGGGGAAGGAAGATATCTTAGCGAGAATAAGGCAGGGATATCGTACAGCGGCTTGTTGTTTCATCGAAAGGCCTACAGTCCATCATGGAAGCCGTCGTGACGAAGACGATGCAGGTGTTGGACGTCAAGCAACTCGGACGTGGGGAGAAATCAAATATGTAAGCAAGAATTATGTAAGCGAGCCGTCTTGGCGGCTGCGCCACGTGCCCAAATGGGCTCGAATGACGGAACCGGCGAAGCGTCCAGCTGTGACTTTCACTTCGGACCATCTGAGCACTGCCGCTCTCCATCCACGCGACGCCGCTACGCCCTCGTGCCACTGCAGGCAGCACTCTTCTATCGCTCCTTTACCATCCTTTTCGCTCCGGACTTGGACGGCGACTTCACTTCCTACCTTTCATCGGCTGTCGTATGCCTCCTTTCCCTATCGAACCCTAAGCTTCGTCTCCCAAGCTCGTCTCCCTCCCCCGTCGAGCCTGCGGTCCCGATACGCATCCACATACCCGCCATGGCCCCTTCAACAACATCACAGTCGCTCCTCGCACTCATATCACTACTGCCGCTGACATCATGGGCTTTCGACTGCAAAGACGTCGCAGCATCCGGCGTGCATTTCAACTTTGGCAAGCTGGGCGGACCACATATGGTACACTGGGAGGAGCTAGATGAGATGCACGAGATGAAGTACAAATACAACTTTACCGTGGATATATGTAATAAGTTGAAGTGGCATAAAGGCGGAAGTTTGGCAACCGAGTGTCATCATGGCGCGAGAAGTATGTCAACCCCCGAGACTCTGATTCCGGAAGCGTATACGTCTGAATCCCGAGGGTCGGATCAATACCATGGTCATTGGGGCAGCAGAATCCTGTCAGAGTCTGACAATCGCTACAGTTTGCGCCATCCGCGAAACAATCGACACGTCCGAGACGAACAACTCCACCATAACACCCATCGATATCGCAGGAACTTACAGCACATCAGTGGGCCGCCCCATCGACGCCCAGTTCGAGCTCCTCCGCGACTCGAAATCGAACTCCGACGCCGGTCGCGAAGGCATCCGCGCCGAGCTGCACGGCGGCCGCTTCCCTTTTGATGACAACAAGAACGGCGTGGATCAGCGCGCCATCATCGAATTTGTGTGCGATAAGGAGAGGGACGGGCTAGGCGGAGGTGAGACCGACGATGGGGAGCGTGAGCCTGATGATGCCAGAGACGAGGACGGAGATGAGGGGGAGAAAGAGGGAAGCAGGTTGAGGAGGAGGGATGGAGAAGGCAAGGGCAAGTGCGAGGACAGTGACCACGATCTGCGATTTTGCGGGTATGAGCTCGAGCAGCCCAAGAAAGGAAAGAAGGTGCAGACTCTGCGGCTGGAATGGCGGACGCAATTTGCTTGCGAGGATGCACCTAGGGATGAGGGAACCCACTGGGGTTTCTTTACGTGGTTCATCATTGTGTGAGTACCCGCTTTCTTCTCTTACTAACTAGTCCCTGCCCCATGACCCCAGCATTTCAACCTGTACTAGAGCGGCTTATCTCCGATATCTCCTCGACATCAGCAGTCTCAGCTGCTTACGTTCTCCCCCTTGCCATCACCCCATGGCCATGTTTCTCCTTCAAAACACGCTGACGCTAACGTCTCACGCCAGCCTCTTCCTCGCAACCGCCGCCTACCTCATCTTCGGCTCCTGGCTCAACTACAACCGCTACGGCGCTCGCGGCTGGGACCTACTACCCCACGGCGACACAATCCGCGACATTCCGTACGTACTGAAAGACTGGGGCCGCAGGGTGGTGAATTCGCTCCAAGGCCCAGGGAGTAGGGGCGGATACAGCGCGGTGTGAAGAGGCGGTCGATAAGACGGGGGACAAGAGTGTGTTTGAGCGAACGGCTTGGAGCCTATACATTATCATCGGCGTTGGACTTTTTGGCTGTAATTGGTATGGGTTGGTAGGAACAAGCCTTTCCAGGTTCTTCTAGAACGTCATTTTGTGAGGGCTTCCCACCTTGTATATTTTTATGTCCGTTTTGAGCGAACTAGATGCCGCGCATTGACTTATTTTCAAGCCGCACGTCATTGCCTCATTCTGTGTTCCGTCACTCACTCCGTTCACGCTTTCCACTGTCTCACCCCTCTTCTCACCGCGTAAGAATTATCGACCCTCCATCCGCAACCCCTTCCTCGCTCACGGACGCGACGGCAAGAAGACGAAATGCCCATCCCAAGTCCCCTCGCTCAGGTGTGCAGTATAAACCCACTCCTCACTCGCTCCCTACGCTCCTCACTATCTACCTTCTTCCACATTGCCTCTCTAAAAGACACAAGCTGCGGCTTCATGGCCCCCTTGGAACCAAAACCGTCAATGAGCTCCGAATGTGGGCCGGAGTAAAACAGTCAGCGGCAAACCTGATGGGGTGTTCGGGCGTGGGAGCTTCGAAAATGGAAGTATCACACGGCTATGCGGTGGAATTGGGGTTGGGAAACAGTACATGTGCTGGGGAATGAATGGGAGTGTCGGTACCAAAGGGAGAGGGGCAGTGGAACATGGTTCACCGTCTGGCTGTCGACCGTCCAGGAATATCGATCCTCCCCACCCTACAAAATCTTGTACCAGCTCCCGTATGGGCCCCGCGGTCTGCCCGATCGAGCTGTTAGAGCTTTATGTGGATGGCGCGTCGTCCATCTGGTCCAAACTACCCAACTCTTCCGGGGATTTGTTCTTCCAAATGTTCTTACCTCGCTACTCATGGTGCTTGGTCCAGCGTCCCGTCCCCGAAATAACTCTTGCCAATCTATATGACAGCAGTACTCCTCGTTCAAAGACCCAACTACGCGCATGAGGGGTTCCTCCAGTTCCAGGTCGAAGAATAATCAGAAGAATAGTATGGAGACGAGGGAAAGGGAGGGGTATGGATGGATGGGTTTGACATGGAGAGCAACGCTGCCAAAATTCAAGTAGGCAGAGGTGGATGGTGCTCTCGCTGGGATTCAGGACTCGAACCATACGAGCCTCCCTCTCTTCGTTTGGTAGGACCGGTGATACTTGCTTGTCCTTCGGAATACCGCCTTGCTGCGATGTATGGCTGCGCCTCCTTTGGCACTAAAATGTGTAAAACCCAGGTCCCATGGAGTCGTGGAATCAAAGAGAATAAGTCCGCATATCACGGACTTTGGGCTGTCGAAATCGGCTCTCGAAGAAGTTGAATCGAAGTTCTTCCCGCACCCGTCGCGCCATCACCCGTGTCTTCGTCAAACACAACTGTTCATCTGCCCATGGGTTCCATCGTCTTAGTACTCTAAATTACTGCGGCCACTGAGAAATGGTCGGACCAATAAACAACTCAACACTCCCAATATGAAACTCCCCGCTTCCAAAACCCGGAGTCGTGGGAATGCATGCCTCTCCGTCCGTCGGCTCGGCCCCGCGTCACAAAGGATCCACTGTCCGCGGGTATAAAAGGACATCACCAACAGAACATGCTTTCTTCTCGGTACCTCCACTCGCCAAAGACTTACGACAAAATTTTTGACAATGCCCTCGATGGAGTTTCGGATCCAAAAATTTTCCAAAATCTACCATGGATCTGTTTTCCTAACTTCTTGTACATAGAAGCGATGGACTAAGTCGCAGCCTGTCTAAAGAATCCTAAGCGGAAAGCAGAAATGCGGATCGGGGGTTTATTGCTAAAGGCACATACGCCGATTATCGTAGGAGCTTGGAGTTACGAGGCTAAATGTTGCGGCCGGTCTGCTCATAGAGTCGCTGGGTTGAGTTTAAAATACGCCTCCGAGAGCACGTATGGAGTTTGGGATTGGGAAGGACGCTACCAAAATTTGGCCGACGTCCTCCTGATGCGGCACGTGGAGTCTCGGCCGGCGCGTCGGATATGGGGAGTGGCGGAGGAATAGCAGAGCCGCGAAGAATGGTGAGGGAGGACTTGATGGCAGAATCGTTAACGGCTGGCTCTTCTGCGTTAGCACTTCGCTCGCAACCAGGTGGGCGAGATGCTCTGACTAAGATTTGGAGGGGCATGGCATTGGGGTATAAATCGTCGCGCCCGAGGTCGCCGTCGTGGATTCCTGTTCTTCACACAGTCTGTTGGGTCTTGCACTAAAACAAACATAGGCAGCTGCGCATGGGAAGAGGACGCCTAAAAGGTTCCATCACACCCGGCATGGAGAAGGAGAGGACGGGGGAGTTGGGCGACCTCTGCGTATCTCCAAAGCAGACATAGCCAAGGTCCATGGAGACTGGCGGCAAAGCGTCGAACGAACATTCGCCTGCGTCATGCGCATGGAAGAATATTGAGGGATAAATTCGGTGGATCAGGGGAGGACGTAGGGTTAGTGATGAGCCCCAGGGAACAGAGCGTCGCAGGTCACAGTATATCAACCGCCTTCTTCCTCTTCACGCTACTTCCTCCGTGCTCTCTCTAAATCTTCCGGAAGAATCTCGATATGGGCCACTGACTTCTAGAAAAATTCCTCGCAAACACTCACAATGTTCGTGGCTTGTGCAACCCCGACCGCCACACACTCCCCTCCAAGATGGGCCTCACCAGATCGAGGGCCGCGTGTCCTCTACCAAAGTCTCCGGCCCCAGCCCATGTTCTCCCGGCGGCTCCGAAACATCCTACTTTTGCGCTCCAGCATGAGGTCACAAGGTGTTTGGATGCACAAAATCAAAAACCTTCTCTCTGTGCTTCATCTTCCAGGACCCCAGTGCCGAAGGGGTACTTGAACCACCTCCCGCCTCCTCTTGCTCTTGCCACCGCATTCGAATTGTTCCACTAAAAGAGAAATGGAAGACTTGAAATGGAGCGCTTCTCCGCTTCTCTCTAAAACCATACTTTCATCTCTTTCATGTAAGTCCCGCACCCGCGACAGGGTTCACCAACACCAAAACAAGCCGCTTCAGAGCCTATGTCTTGGTGTGCAGTCCCATCGAAAGCGTGCTATGGAAGCTATATGCCTTGAGCAGGAGGCGATTGGGAGTGCTTATGAAGGTCGGAGCGAAGAAAGTAGAAGATCGTCCCATCACCAAAAAACTCCCACTCGTCTCCCATGTCGGGTTTCCGGTCTGCGGAAGGATATATAAACACTCTTCCACGCTTCTTGTTTCTTCACACTTCATGCGTCACTTCCAGTACTACAGATCAGCGAAAGTTCTTTTGATGGCGAGATTATCTCTCTTCTTTAAAATTTAAATCCAACACTTTCACCTGAAATGCTGCTTTCGAGGCGGAAGGAGTCGAATAAACCAAAAGACATGATAAAGGATCATATGGTCCTTTCACGGTTTTGGAATCCTCCACAGGAGGTCATCAATGTGGTACGCCGGGCTAGGTGATTTCCACAGCATGGTCGGACCTGGCGAAAATACAAAAACAGTCGACGCATAGAGGGTTCCATTCCTCGTTTATCTCCCACGAGTCCATTTCGGAATTGAGTATATATGATCTCATCTTCCTCGGGGTCTCCTTCGACACCAATCCCTCCTCAATACCACTAAAACGCAAACACGATTACAGTATGGGCCTCCCCTCCTCTCTAAAACTCCTGGGATGCCATCCGATGTGTGGACCCTCTCTCCTTGCGTCCTCCTCATCTATCGGCCTTCACCCAGCACCGCTTATGGTAGCGGGAAGCACATATGCCAAAAAGAGGACATCATCCCGCGTATGAGGGCGAAGAGGACGGACAGATGACCCATAACCTATACGTCAATCGTCTTGAACAGGCAGACACTGTGGACGATGGAAGAGTCGTTTGGCTCCGGGCGCACCTTGGTAGGAGTGAGGATATATAAAGCCATCCTCATGGCTTCGTTTCCTTCCTCTCTCCCCAGTACTTCTTCGTCTGCATCTGCTAAAATGCAGACGCTCTAATCCTATGTGGAGTTTGTCTCTTGTCTAAAATCCTTCGGCGATATGCCGTATGGGCGGACTTTTTCTCGTCACTTTTTCCTTTCGATCAAAAGCTGCAAAAAGCAAGCGAATGGCGGAGGATACCAAAGCTCTGTCCGAAATTATATTGGCGCCACCCAGATGTGGAAAAGCTGCTCTGCTACCAAGCATCGACCGTCTAAATTGGTAAACCAAGGCAGTCATGAGCGCAGCGCTCAGATCCAGTCGCACTATTAGCGGCAATAGAGTGGATATATAAACCGCCAATCTCCCCTCTTCCTCAGCTTCTTCTTCTTTACCACTTTCGCAACGAGCTCCTCTAAAATCGTATACGGCACGTATGATATCACTCGGTCCTTCTCTAAAACCACTCGAAGCCATGGCATGCGTGAAGACCCGGTCCTGCGTCCTTTTCACATCAAAAGAGAACTCACCCGCGAGAATGACTTTGGACCTGCGCTGTTCCAAAACCAAACGGACCGTTAAATACGGTCACCAAAGCGAAATGAGCGACCTTCTAGTACCCTACCTAAACCGTTGAAAACATTCCCGTCGGTGTATAGGGAAGACGCGGCTCCTTCCTGCTCGCCCCGCGGCTACAACCTTGGAATCCTACAAGTAGACGTATACAAAGCTTTCCCTCCTCCTTCCACGACTCTTCCTCCACATCCTTCCATTGCATAGCTTCCCTAAAAAGGAGTGCGATAAATTCCTATGTGTCTCCGCCCTTTCTCCAAAAAGGACTCTAAATGAGTTAATATGCGGATCCCTCTTCTCCTCCTCGCACGAAAATATTCCTCCAGTCATTCTTATGGTCGCGGAGAGATGTCCTCTAAAAACCGATCCTATCCCGATGACGGAGACCAAAAAAGACATGGCCCCTCTCATGTCCCTCGCCTGCAAACCCGTCCTACAATCCAGTGATGGGAGACTCCCAAGGTCTTCCCCTTGCCACACCTTTTCCAAGCCTTCTAAGAGAACAGAATATATAAACCCCCTCGGTCCCCCTCTTCTCTTCTCTTTTCTTCTGTACACCACGCCACACCACAACTCCATACCTCTAAAAGCTTTCGAAAAAACGCTAATGTGCCGTCCTTCTCTCCAAAAGCCTGTTCGTCATGGCGCATGCGCCCCCTTCCCCTCTCGAAAAGACACCCGCAACATCGACAAGCGGCTTCCTCCTTCGGTCGGTCTGGTACTGGAAGAGTCAGTCCTGCGCCGCTCCAGATGGCTTACAAAACCCCGTCAGCACCCGCGAACATGAGCCCCAGTACAAGTACGAAAACTGGTCTGAACACCGTCCGTCGCTGCGTGGTGCCAAAAACCCACTCAAGTGCCCCATATGGGGGCGTGCTTCGTCGAGATCCTCAAACACCAGACCAGAACACGTAAAATGTATACACGAACACCCCTCTGAACTGCTCGCCCGCTTCTCTCCACAGCACCGCCACAACCGCGAGTCTAAAACCGCTGATCCGACCAATCATGTAGGATCCTGTGTGCTCTTTTTCTCTAGACAAACACGCTCACGAGTTTTGGCCGTGTGATGCGGTGGAAGGCAGCTTTCAAAAACCCCATGGGTCTGAGGCAACATGGGTTTCTCGGGCTCTGCGCTATCATCTATGGACGAGGCTAATCTACCGTGACGGGAAGTGAAAGTTGGAGACAGGAGATGGCGAGCATCAGTTACGAATGGTGCTGATTGATAGTGCTCTTCATCGTAGATAGAAATATCGAAGGCGTTATCTTAACCTATTCGCCATCTATTTGGACACTTAGTGCCACAGGGATGTAATACACCACCTCTTACAGGTGCTCCAGTCTCTGGGATATCATACACTCCAGCCCTAAGCCTAGTTATTCCGCTTACTCTTTTTCTTCTTCCCTCCGCCTTCATCGCCACTCGCCTTCTTGCCATTCGCATTGATCATCGACGCCCCGTCGCCATTGCCGTCACCCTCTTCCTCCTCCTTGATCAGCAACCTGTTCAGCGCATCGTTGAACTTCTCCAGCTGCGCGATCTCACCGATCTTCACGCGCATATAGTCGAACGCGATGGCGACTTTCATATCTCTTGATCGGACCTTGATGATGCGCTCGTGCTCATGCGTTGAAGATTGGTGGTGGTGGAGGGTTGGAGGTGGGTGTGCACGATTGGAGTGAAGGGCAGATGTCTTATCGGTGCCAGTTGTGGTAGAGGGGTGGACATCCATATTATCAGCTGGAGCATCATCAGCATCCTCGTCTGGCTGGACATCTTCCATTGCCTCGGGGTCGAGGAGCTCGTCTTCCTGTTCGCCGTCCTGCACTGTCTGGAGGACAGGGATCTTTTGGTACCGCTGGCTGAAGTGAGTGAGCACTACCGCCTTCGCACCCATTTGAGCGCCGATGCCCAGCGCTTCTGAAGTTGTTGAATGCTTCTTTGCAATCGCATCGCCTTGTAGCTCATCATCGAAGGTGGCTTCGTGGATCAAGACGGTACTATTGCGGCCGATGTTCGTAAAGTTCTTGCTGGGTCGGCAGTCCCCGGAATACGAAACTTTGAGTGGCTTCACATTCTCCTGATCCGACGGGGAGCGAGGGAAGGTCAGCGAAACAGCCATCGCGCCGTAGCAGTGCGCTACTTTGCATGCCTGAATGTCGGCTAGGCCAAGTATAGCCTCATAATCTTCTTTCTTGATCACATATGCGTTCTGATCCTGCGGATTGCTGCCAATTGTGAGAGTCAGGGCAGAGCCGGAATCTGCACCGCTCTCGACAGGATATATCTCAAGAGGGAGGATGCGGCTGTAGCCAAAGTCTTCGACGGACGAGTATTCTCTCAGCCACTGGATCATCCCTTGGTGGGATATGACGGACAGTCCATAGGTAGAAATATCGGCTGCCAGCGTAGCAGGCTCCGGGCGGTCTTCTGCTGGTACGCCGTTGTGGACGATCTTGTACCAGGTTCGTATCATAGAAGCAGTACCGAGGTGGTGATCCGCATGCAAATGACTGATCCAGATTACCTTTAAATTCTTGATAATCTCAACCAGTTCGTCAGGCTTGAAGACTCTCTGAAGCTGGCCGATTGTATTCTCGCCGCAGTCGAACAGGTAATTTCCAATCCCTGGTACTCTCAGGAGAGTGGCGGAGACATTCCGATATTTGGACGGAAGAGCTGAGCCAGTCCCAAGTGTGATCACTTCTGTATCTGGGCGTGCGAGCAGCTGCCTCCATGCTTGCAAAGACTCTTGATCTTGCGCGACATCCTGTTGTGCTGCCCTTGCGAATTCAATAATCTCCGGATCCATTGCCTTCTTAATCTCGTCGAGGTCTACCAGACGGACAGTTTTGTCTTTCCTCTCAAACTTTGGCATGAGAGAGAAAGTAACACCTCGATCCGCAACGATAGCATTGCTTAAAGAGATTTTCCTCTCTGACGATCCAAGGCCGTACAGGCTGTTTTGCGGGAGCGTAGTATTGTCATGGAAGGGGATGTGGTAGCGCACAGGATCGATCTGGCCGAGACGAGTCGTTTGAGCGGCAACCGAGTCGAGTGCCAACCGATTAGGGCAGTCATCCACGGATGAGATGACATGCTGCACCTTGTCCAGCTTCTGCATGAATTGCTGCAGCATAGGGTGTCCGGAGAGGCCAGGGCCAAGGAGCCAGAAGCAGGCTCCGATTCCCTTCATGACTGATTCCGACTGCAACTCTTCCCGTTGGAATAGCGATTTGAGGTACTCTTCTGAGGGGACGTCCAGAACAGCAAACCCCTGGCCAGGCCGATCCGGACCCATGACCATATCCGGAGTGATCGTCTCGCCCTTCTCGTTTTGTACAGACACGCCATTGCTCAGTCGACCAAAAAGCGGCCCTTGTTTGATACCAAGCTCCTTCGCCCGTTTTACATCAAATGCACCCCGCGCTGAGTGCGTACGCACAATATAAGATATCGACTCTGGGGCGGGCTTGGTGGGCGGAAGAGCAACGACCTTCGCACCTGGCCACGGGGTCCGTGTCAACACCTTGATATCTGGAAGAGGTTCCTTTCCTCCAGGGTGAGGTCCAGAATAAGGCTCGAGACGATGTGTCCGTGGATTCCGAACAAACATTGCAGTCGGCATCTCTACCTCGGAAATGTGTCGCTCGATGAGGGTGTCAAAGTTCCAGTTCGAGTTGTACATGAAATCTAGGACAGCTGTTCGTATTCGGTCGTACCGCATTTCTCTGTCTTCCGGGGTTTCGTTGTCGGGCGCCTGATGCTCCTCGAAATGGTTCGCAAACTTTTCGTAAAACGCCCTTCGCGCCGTCAACGTGTCCTCCTTATGCGCATCCAGATCCTTTCGCGGCGGCGATACAGGGAGAGCCCAGACTTGGATATTGGCATCCTGCCATGTTGGCAGAATATTGCCCTGCTCATTCCTGGTGGGCGGAACGTCCTTATACTCGGTCGCGTTCGTAGGTATCCCCTTCCTGAAGATGTATCTCCTACAAGTTCCCAGTGCATGTTTCAGGTTGGGCGGTCCATAGATATTCAGATTCGGCTTCTGAGGCTCGCCCGCCTTCTTCGTTCCTTTGCCCTTGCGCCACAGTTCCATAGACTGCTCGTAAGACGCCGCCGCCGAGTCAGCCAATGTCAAAGCCATACCGATCAGTCCGCCTGTATTACTCCACTCCATCCTGCCAGTCATGAAAAAATCTTGAACCTTGGTCATCCGGATGCCGGCCTGGTTCATTGCGCGCTGTGTGCCTTCCGCATGGCTGCCAAAGACATAGTGCCGCTTCTGCGTCTGCAGTACAAGCGTCGTGCCCGGTGTATCTGCTGTAGGAGCGGTGACGACCTGGATAGAAGAGCTCATATTGGCCGCCGGAAGAATGATCTGCTTCCTCACGTCGATCCGTCGCACTCGTTTGCTATCGGTGAGGGGTTCGAGAATCGGGTGTCGTAGTGGTGGCCGGCATGGAGGAGGATGCGGGGAGGGTGCAGGCTTCGCTTCGATGGAGCGCTCTTCGGTGGTGCTTTCTGGGACGTAAAGTCGCGGCCGCGCGCCTTCAATCGCGGGGCCTACCGGGCGGTTGGGCGTGTACGTAGTCTTCCTAGGCTCCTTTTCTTGATGCCCGGAAGATAGCTTTTGTAATGTTTTCAGAAGCACGTCCTTGAAAACAGAATGGCAAGCGCGGTTGGTTGTGAAGCTGCGGCAAGAGTGGAGGGGTACGGTCGTAACGGTCGTTAAGCGCCCGGCGGCGGTCAGCGTGGGAGCCAATTTGACGAACTATCAAAGGAGCGACATGAAAGAATATATACAGGCGTGCAAGGGCGCGGGAAGGGCGCAGAAAGGGCGGAATATGAGTCGAACTGTATGCACATTGCAGGCGTCACTTTTCGAATGATCGGCGAAACTTTCCTCCGAACTCGGTCTTGGCATATGTGAGCTTTGGTTGAGAACTCCCAACGCATTTCAGCAACATCGAAAGTGTCAACAACCAGTTCTTCAGTCTACCAGACGTACGCCTCAAACCAAGAGTGAGATATACGAACAGGCGCTGCCGTGGGATCTTTCAATGCTACAGAGCATCACCATCATCACTTAGTTCACCCAGCATTTCAGGACCGCAAATTAATATCGATATCTTCATTCACTACATACGAGTCCGAAGGACATCTTCCAGTAGGCTGGTACAAAACTTCCTTCTCAAGGCCATATACAAGAATAGCTAACCCTTTCCCTAACGCTGACGCCAAACCTGAAGCTGAAGCCTCTTCGGCCAGCTGTAACATAAGAAATCGTTGAGTCATACAGGTCAATCTAAAAGAGAAGGCCTTTTCGGCAAAGTGGCGATGCCAGCCAGAGTAGCGAGTGCTAATGTTCCTACAGTGAGGAGGCCTCGGAAGGCCGAAGCGAATCCCTGGTCGGTGGTGACTGGGAGCCCGAAGCGCTGAGCCTGATGGTCAGGTCTCAGTAGGTTGAGGTTGCCGTAGCATGGGGATGGATCATGAGTCGAGGTGCGACGTGAAAGAAGCTATCCTTTGGTAGACAGCCTCCATGGCGGCACACTGCTTCTCGAAACGCTCCATCAGTTGCTGGTCAGCAGCCTCATCCGAGATGAAGAGCTCGAAGTGGGCAAAGACCTTCTCGGGATTGGCGTCACCGAAGAGGGACTCGTGGTGTTCAACAGGGGCAACAGTGGAGACAGGAGCAGGCGATGAGCGGTAGAGGTCGAACTCCGGGTCCTCATCCTCCTCGACCTCGACCGGAGCAGCCGTGGACTCAACTGGACGCTGGATGACGGGGAAGTCAGGCTTGACCTCCTCCACGGGGGACTCGTCCTCAGCGGCGAAGAAGGCGCTGTGGCCCTTGCCAGAGAGAGCGTCGGTGTCGATAGGGTTAGCGGGACCCTCAGGGACTTCAAGCACAGCGAAGACCTGCGGCTGCTGGTAGTTGAACGAGTTCAAGTTGTTCATGCCCCAGTTGTTGGAGTTGAGGTTGAGCATCGAGATGTCCAGAGGAGTCTCGGGGATGAGAGCCATGCCGATCTGCGGGTTCTCGGGAGCGGACGACATGCCACCGAACTGCTGGTTCTGATAGGCGTTGACCTCCCTGCGGGCCGGAGCCGGAGTGGGAGTGGCAGATGAGGACAAGGCCGGCATGGCAGGCTTAGCCTGGACGTTTTCCTCCCGCGACAGCTCCTCGAGGAATGGAGTGAATGCCTGGTGGCGGAGAAGGCGCTCAATGAAGGCCCTGGAGCGGGCATTCTCCTCCATAAGCGCGCGGTTCTGAGTGCGCAGCTCATTGCACTCGTTCGTCTTCATGGCAACCTCGCCTTCAAGCTGGCCGATGTACTCTGCATTTCGTTAGCAACGGTCATTTGTACGATTTCAGTATACTAACCTTTTCTCCTAGAACGGAACGCGCGAGCGGAAACCTTGTTGCGAAGCTGGCGGCGCTCCTTGGAGCTAAGCTTCTTTCCTTCCTCGGATGCAAGCAGCCTCTCATCTTCATCCATATCCTCCTCGTCCTTCTTAGCGCGAACGATGTGGGGAAGAAGACCCGAGTCGTTTGCAGAAGCAGCCAACGCGCTGTTCTGGCTCTGTTGACGGATCTGGTTGACGACGCGAGCGATCGTCTCCTCAGTGCGCGCATCGCTCAATGGGCTGGAGCTATTCCTGCTGTGCTGTCGTTGCTGGCTGGCCTGGTTCTGTCGCTGTTGAGCCTGCTGCTGCTGTCGTTGCTGCTGAGCTTGTTGCTGAGCCTTCGCCAAGGCAGCCTGTTGCTGGTGCATACCAGGCCACACCCTGACGTTCTGCACCTCCTCTTGCGTAATGGCACTAGGGTCCACGAAATCATCTGACTGCGACGCGTCGTTCGTGGGGAAGAAATAGGCGGGCTGCGACATCGACACGTCCATGTCCATTCCGATTCCACTGTTCCAACCAGCACCCATCATCGACGATTCGCCCATCAAGCTCATCTCATCCAAGCCAGTGGATGAGAACATGGAGTAGCCCGTGTTGTACGAGGGGTTGATGCCGGCGATGGAGCCGGACGGCAGTCCGGTCTGCTGCTTAAATCGCTCATACTCATGGCTGGGTTTCGCAGGCGTCTGGAGGTCCTCGCCGTCGAGCGCGGTGTTGGTCGGGCTGGTGATGGTCGATGCAGCGTTGGACGGCTGTCGCGACACTGCAGAGGGCGTGGGCGAGGGAAGTTGGCTAAAGTCGAAGAAAGACTCCGTGTCGGGATCCATACACTGGTTGGTAAACGACGGCGGCATTGTCATCGCAGATTGCACGGCGGTAGCCATCGAGAATGGTGCCTGGCGACGATCCTGGGGGGAGCGGGTGCGAAAGGTGGACTGAAGAGGGCACCTCAGGCGTCAAGATGTTGTAGTTGCGAGGTGTTCGTGTTGGAGGATGGCCTGGGTGACAGGACAGGCTAGGCGTCTAAAAGTCGTCGTCAGCTCGCTTCTTTTCCCGGCTGATCCGCCGCCGTGGCTTAGCCTCGTCTCCTCACCTCTTGTCGTCTTGCGTGCTTTCCTTGGAACTGTCTCTTTGCGATGGAAGTTGATGAAGATGTGGCGAGAGAGTGTCGTTAAGTGTCGCGGTGAGAGTGAGCGAGAGGACTGAGGGCCAGAGGAGAGATGGACGGGCGCAGGAGGCCTTTACCTGGGTCGGGGCCGGAGTGAAACGCCTCTGGTCTGAGGCAGTGTCCATTCCAAAAATGGCTCGAGTGGCTGCCCGCCCTAGCGCGTCGGACAATCCACCTATTGCGGCCTCCCCTGATCGCCTCGTACAATTGTAGGGCCGAACGCCTTATGGAATGCAATTGAACGGTAATTTATTTGCTCCGTGTAATTCATGCTGCTTCATTCATGCCTCATACCCCTCCCGAAGAACACCCATCCTCCTCCATCTCCACTGTTCTTGCTGTTGACCTTCATCCCCAAGCCGAGTCCGAATGCCAATGGTTGGCAGACATCATGACAGCAGCGACCCAAGGAGTGGCTCGTTAGGCACGAGATGCAGCTGCAGGCGTGCGTAATCGCTCAGGTCGGCCACTCGAACCCCCCGACGGCCGGCTTCTTTGTGCGACGGGCAAGCCAACCACAACCACCACACAAGGGAGGCTGTGCAGGTTGGACAGACCTCTTGAGGAACAGCTTGCGAAGGCTAACGTGATTCGTCCGTGAAGCCTGCTTTCTACCTTCTCTTCGAGTTTCCAGCTGAAGGCTTGCGGACGTTGCTGTGCAGTGCTTGTTTCTTGTTCGGGCGATTCTTCGCGGCATCGCGCAGGTTCTGCCGGGGCGCAAGGAATGAAGAGAATCGTCATGGCGGATGGGCCCGCAGGTTTGCTCCTTCTCACATCATGTTTGCAGGCTGCGCAAACAAGATTCCAGTTGTTCTGATGTTAGAATCATCAGCCGGTGCTGTACACACACCGTACTCGCAGCAACTCGGACGTAAGGCGGGGACCCTCCGCCATCACATCACCACCCATGGGCCACAGCACTGCTGAGTCTCTCCACCATCCGAACGTATCACCACCACCACCCGTACTCTTCTTCATTTCTTACCTCATCCCCTCTCTCCTGATACCCTCATCGTCTAAATCCAGTAATTCCGTTACACAAGCCCGCACCAGTCGCGAATCCCCTCATCCCCATGCTCCCGTTGGCTGCCATGTGTCGGAGCGCTTGAAACGCGCTGTGTGGAGCCGCTGAGGCCAGACGTCTGTCAACCTCCTGTCCCGGCGATTCAGTGCCATGGAAAGTGCCGCTGAAGCCTTCACCTTGTTCGCGCTGCACCAGTGAGGACGGGTACCAAAGGCGCCCATGGCGCGCGCCTGCTCCGTACATGGCGAACCATGGATCGCTGGCCTCGAGATGTCGAACCAGGCGACTCCCGAAGCCGGCCCGAAGACGTCTGGAGGCTCGAAGATCTACCGGCGTGGTGCCGAATAGATGGCGAATAGGAGGGTCCGCTTCATGCGCGAGCGAGAACGAGAGCGATGAAGAGCCTCAACGCTGCGCTGCGCCACGAGTAAATCGTCAACGTTCAGCTCCAAAGACCATGCAGAGCCCCGCAGTTCTCTGCAGCCTTTATTGATCCTTATGCAAGGGGTGGGTATTGGAATTATCGAAGGCAGGTTGGAGCGAGGGCGAGCGTTGGATCCAAGCCTCCCAGGTTACCTCTTTGGGCAGTATGATTCCCGATAGGGAATACGAGCGGTTGCTCTACGCCACGATCGCAGATGAGATTCCGGACTTGGGACGTCCTTGGTAGGCAGAAACGGCTCTTAGCTAACATCTACGCCTCCTTTCTGTATTGGATTACCTATCATCCTGCTGTTTGCCTGCAACAACAAGCCGTCTACTCCGTAGAATCGTCCCGGTTTGCACCGACTCTGGCACCGACTCGGTCGAGCACAACTACCTTTGGTGATAATGAGCTGCGCCTGGATTCCCCTGAACGCGTCGTCAATCTCCATCGCCCCGCCCCAACCTACTCGGACACTAAACAATTACAGGTAGTCCTCCCATCGTCTTTGCATGCAAAGAAGTGTCCGCCGATAGATTTTAGTCTTCGATCGGCCACAAAAAGATTGCTTCCGGATTCGAAACGGCGAATTCTAGTGCACTAAATTAATCGGCGGGATCCCTCCGCACACCATGGACATGAAAACTCTACGCGCTCCGACGACCCCGTGACTGGTCCCGATGCGGGCCCGAGGGAGGAATGCACGGTACATCTTTCCCAAACATTGCGACAGAAGCCCAAAAGGAGAACACCACGGAGCAAAGACCATCTCCTCAAGAACAGTGTATCTAATACGCCGTATTCTACAAGCTACTCAAGCATCGCCCTCCTTCGCAGATCCAATTAAACCCATCTGGCCAGCGCATTGCATAAGCTCCACCACCCCCACGGAACATGCCGCACCCAACTCCCACCACGCATGAACATCACCAGCCGCTTCGAGAAGCAGCCTCCGAAAACCCCTATCTCTTAACCTTGCAGCAGCCCTATCCAGGTCCTCTCCACCTGACTTCGGGCTTCCGCACGGTCTCGGCTTGCCCCAGCAGCACGCACTCACGATACCAGCATCCATCCATCCCGACTACCGAACGCATACACACACACACCGCGCCACACCGACGCTGATGTGGCATCCCCATGTGGCGTGAACCGAGTGAGTGTCTTATCGGACCTTTTCGACCGCCTCGTGCGCGCGGCAAATATGCGGCATCATGATATCAAAGCCAGTATATCCCAAAGCGGATGTTTCCCCAAATACCCGTGCAGATTCTGGACGAAGGGGGTACGTATGTTCAGCTGAGCAAGGTACAGTAGCTACTTCTCTCTACAGGAGCGCACGAGTAGTATGGGTGGGTAGAGCTGATTGAATGCTCACTACACAACTGGGCATCTAGATATTGGTGATTCGTGAAGAGTACTACTGACTGAGTATTACGATACCGTCCTGCCCTCCTTAACGATTGATACACCCCGCAGTACCTACAGCGAGCGATGTTTCGCAGCCTTCCAGAAGCTCATGCGCGACCGTGCCGACCTCCCTCGGGCGGGCACATCCCCAGACGTCTCAGGTCCTACCGTAATCCTTGCTACTCAAACGGTATCGCGGACTCGCAATTGGTCTGCAGGGACTGGAGTGTATGAGGAGGCTTCTAAATGTCAAACTACACAGAGATGCGGCATTTACAGAGCAGAATCTACATGGAGCATGCGCCTGCCTCGATGCGATCGGAGATCGCGGAGCCTACAACGGGATGTCGCGAATGGTGCCGTTGTCCTCAGGCTTCTATTGCTGCCGCGGGTCAGGCTCCGGCGCGTCAGAGAGATAGCTCACGTGCTGCGCGTTGACGAACTCCTCGTCGTCGATTGCTTGTTGCGCTTCCATCTCTTGCGCTTCTCCCTTCTGTGTCGCGTCCAGCATCTCCGCAGCTCCCTCAGCTGCGCTCTGCTCGCTCATCGCTGCTTCGATGTTCGCGGGCCGCCTCCGCAAATACTCTCCAGCGAGTGTCTCCTCCAACCCACCACCCAACTCCCTCACCACAGCAAAGAAGGCCCTCTGCCCCGGCATCCCGCCCGTAACCCCGCCCTTCGCAACACCCTCACCCATCTGCACATCTCTGACCACAAGCCTCGCCCGCTCCCAGTCTCCGGCTTCGGCTAGCGCACGTACAACGGCTGTCAGCGCTCGCCAGCCAGGCAGCTTGCCGTGCGCAGACATGCGCGTCAGAACGCTCATCATCTTGCCCACCTCGCCGTGGATGGCATATCCTTCGATGACGCGGTCGAACAGGATTTTGTCGGTGGGTGCGCGTGGTGGGCCGAAGATTTGCATGAGGAGGGAGTCCACGGCTTGGATATCCGGAGGATCTTGCTGGAAATAGTGCGTTGCGAGGCTGGTGTAGATATGCGGGCTCACGACGAGGTTTCTTGACCGCATATGGTCCATGACAGCCCTCACTGCGGTGAAGTTACCGTACTGCTTGAGCAGTCGGTCAATGGTTGAGGAATAGACATAAGTGTTGAGTTTGAGCCCGCCGGATTCGAGCTCAGAGAAGAGTTTAAGGATACGATCGGCTTGCTCGGTATTAGAGAGGTCGTCGAACTTCTGATTGTCGAAGGCAGCGCGGATGAGCATGGTATGCGTCGCGAGGTCGCCTTCGAGACCTTCCTTCTCCATCTGACGAAGGAGCTTGAAGGTCGTGGGGTAGTCACCAGCGTTGAGATACAGCTGGATGAGGATGTTGTATGTGCGTGCATCGGGCTTAATATCGAAGTTGCCAGCCCACTGCAGGACCTTGTGCGTGAAGTCGACCTTCCGCGGGAATCGCAAGCCTTGTTCAGGTATCTGGACCAGAGCGGAAATAGCGCCATTGATCACTTCGATCGAGGGCTTTGTGAAGCTGTTAACAAGCTTGGTATTTGATGGAACCTTCTTAGCGCCTTTGCCTCGCTTTTGTGGGTGCTTGATAACTTTCTCCGCTGAGAGCCATTTCTTGCCCATTTCGTCCAAAGCGTTGAAGGCTCTAGCAATCTGTCGAAGGGTGATCAGGCCATGAATTCTTGTCGTCCAGGCGTAGTTGTCGGGCTCTGAACCTGATCGGAGCATCCTCTCCCACACGGCGTCCATGCCATTAAGATCCTTTGCCTTCACGCAACCCTCGAGCATTGCGACCCAAGTCCGCATACCAGGCTTGACGCCATGCGCAATCATGTGATTCCACACTGCCACGGCTTGTTCTGATTGGTAGAGAGACATAAATCCCGACAGAAACGCGTTATAGATGAGAGGCGGGATAGCCGTACTGTGGTCCGTGGATTTATACGCCGTAGTGACTTCTTCCCACAGCTTTCCCAGCTTCCCGGCATGGGACTGTGATAAGACGGCTCGCGCAATTCGCTTGAGGTAAAATTCTTCGAGGTTCGAGGTTTTTTCGGCCTCAGATAGTTCTTGTTCAGACGAGTGTGTCCCAGATTGCATGCCCACCAGTTTCATAGCCTGAACAGGGGCCGAGTTGATCTGATCTATGACCAGTTTCCTGAAATCATCCGGAAGAGCTTTGAAATCAACGGAGACTTCAGTGTGCTTGAAAACAGTGTTGATATTAGAACCGGCCAGAAGGTGTGTGATGAGCCCAATGAAAGGTGCGCTCTGTTCGCGCAACGAATCCGGTACTTTCATTGAACTTTGGTTGACCCCTTCAAATACATTGAAAAGAACAATGGCAGAGAACTGCAGAGCAGGACCGCCTAGCATCTCTGGGTGGTAGTTCTGCAACCGCCTTCCAAAGTTTGTTTGGCTATAGAAGCCGCTCAGCGACCGGCCATCCGGTATGCTGTTCCATTCAGAGCTCAGTGATTCCAGAGAGACTTCTTGTTGTCCTTTGCACTGAAAGAATAATCGCCACAGAGCTAGCAGCTCGACCAGTATCGATTCAGCGTCTCGTGTTCGGCTCGCCGCACCGGATGTCGACCATAGGAATTGATTCGTCACATGAGTGATCGCTTTTATCCACATCTCCGGACGCGCTATGCCTAGCTGCTCGTATCTGAAGAGCACAGCAGTTGGGCTAGCCAGCACATCGCTTCCCTTGCAAAACTCGGTCGCGATGGCCGCAGACAACTGCGAAAAGATTTTGACACCATTTAGTAAGCGGACGTCGTTGAATGATGGGTTGGTAAAGGCCGGACAGTCCCTTGACGTGTAAATCTGGAGAAACAGCCTCCAGGCCTGCTTCAAGTCCCGGCTCTTTAGGTGTCGGTCAATGGCCAGCGCATATGACGGACTTGACGTCTCCAGTGTCGACTCATCTGCGCCATCGGAGCCAGCCTGCATAGCGCCTCCATTCTGTTGCTCTGGTGGTCCATTGTGCGTTGGCTCTGCATTCGCCGTATGCCTCGAATAGCGCCCGGGTCGAACGCGGTCCCCATTCACGGGAAAGGGCACTCTAGGCGTCATTTGCCCTTCGCTTTGCGCTATGCTTCCTTCGGTACGTGTGTCTTTGGATGGATCTTGAGGCGCGGGATCGGGCTGGGCCTGCGCATCGCGGAGGGAAATGAAGGAGGCTTTCGGTTGCCATTGAGGGTTCCGAGCAAATACGGTGCGCTTTAGAAGACGACCTCTGCACTGGCGGCAGACGTATGAGCTCATCATAACGCCCAAAGGTGCCAGAGTCAGAAGGCTCGGAGCTTAACGGCTGGTTAGAAGAGATCGAACGACGTCTGGAGAACGGTTGTCTGCTTACGAGGGTCTTTGTGTTAGAGAGGGCGTGCGAGACACCGACACCATCCAATTAAAGTCGGCATTCGCAGCTGCTCGATGAGCTCGCTGAGGGTTGAGTTCGCGATCCTCCTCGTACCTAGCTTTGTCGCGTTATGGCGCTAGCCAAAACAAAGTATAGCGGCAGCCTCAATGCTTCTTTTCCGATCCCACGTGGATCCCTGCAGTGTGACGCATGAACTGCGACTCCCGACTTTCTTTTATATCTGGACGCCAACAACCATTGACGCCCGGCTAATCTATCTATCCTTCTATACATTGCATACGATCGTTCTTGAGCACCATGACGACATTGATACCCCGGAAACCGTACACGGAAGACGAGCTCGCGCGGCTTTATCCCCAGGAGCTCGAGCTACAACTTGTGCAGATTGTAAGATAGCATTGCTTTTCATCTCATTCTACCGCCGGAAATAGAATTAGAGAATTATATCTGATTGTTGCTCGCAGCTACTTCGACATGGTCAGTTACGTCCGGATCCCTGAATGGGATCATGCAGGTTAATCAAAGCATGCAGGCGAGCGAAGCCCTGTGTCACCTCGTTTTCAGAATGTAAGGGACTTGCTCCAAACACTTCTATGATAGGATAGCTGACTCTGGCTTCAGGCAGGCCTTCGACCTTGTAAGTGCCCTTGAAACCGCAGGAAGAATGGCTTTAACTCGCCCATAAGACTGGCCATATTGTAATTCAGCAAGACAGATCACAAGCGTGGTTATGGCAACTACGGACTGGGCAAAATGGGACCAACTGAAATACCGACGTCGACTCGAAACATTTGGCATGGATGACGGACCTGGTCAATCCATCCTCAATCCCCATCCCATATTACCCTTCTAACTCATTGCCAGTAATCGCATCGGGGCCAAACGGAGAATTCGACGCTATTTGGTATGCCCCTATACCAGGCCTTCCATTAAGCGACTAACATCCCATCCCCAGCCAACCCGGCGAGCTCACAGACAAAGGCCGAGAAACAACCCTCGCCCTCGGCCAGCGCCTCCGCCATCTCTACGTCGACCAGCTGCGCTTCATGCCGCGCCTCATCGCCGACAGCGACATGATCTACCTCCGAGCCACCCCACTCCCCCGCGCTCTAGAGTCCGTCCAGCAAGCATTCTGGGGACTCTACCCGCCCAGCGCGCGGACCGCTGATTTCCCAACCCCAACCATCATCACCAGGACGCCGGCGGACGAGACGCTGTATCCCAATGACGGCAACTGCAGGCGCTTCGCACACATCAGCCGTGCATTCGCCCAGCGCGCTGCTGAGCGCTGGAACGACACCGAGGATATGCAGTACCTCAGTAAGCTCTTCTCCAAATGGATGCCAGGCAATGGTAAAGTGGCTGTCGACGCTCACCCCAGGCTATCCGGGATCATGGACACGATCAACAGCACCGACGCGCACGGCGCAGAAACCAAACTCCCAAAAGAATTCTACGACCCGAAGGCGCGCGCCATCATCGACAAAATTGGCGTGGAAGAATGGTACGCCGGCTACGCCGAATCATCCGAGTACCGCATGCTCGGCATCGGCGCGCTAATGGGCGACATCTCCGCGCGAATAATCGGCAGCGTAGAGCGCAACGGCAACGACGGGCTCATCGAGATCGGCGGCGACGACGGCGACCTGGGCCACGGCCGCGGCGGCGAGACAGACATAAAGTTCGCGCTCTCCGGCTGCCACGACACCACGCTCGCCGCCATCCTGACCAGCCTGGGCGCCTTCGACGGCGAGACCTGGCCCCCGTTCACCAGCCACATCGCTGTCGAGCTGTTCCGCAGGAAAGCCTGGACGGCGCCCTCGACCGCGGCGTCGCGGACCTCCGCGTCCGACGAGCAGTGGAAGAAGCAAAACGACGCGAAGGCGCAGAGCTGGTGGCAGGCGCTCTTCTCTGGCAGCGCGAAGAACGCCGTCGAAAGAAGCCCGCCGGGGGCCGAAGGCATCGCGCGCAAGTCGCTGACCCAGCTTACGGACAAGCAGCGGCAGCAGCTGAAGGAGTACTACGTGCGCATCCGGTACAACGACAAGGTTATGCAGGTGCCGGGCTGCAAGGCGGCGGGCAAGCATTTGGACGGCGATACGACGTTCTGCACGCTGGTGAGTAAAAGAAAAAGGGCGTAGATGTATATGATGAACAAACAGGGACTAATATGTGGTGGTGCAGGAAGCGTTCAAGGCGATTGTGGACAAGTACGTCCCGAAGAACTGGAAGCACGCGTGTGCTTCGAATGTGGATGCGCCGTCGTTTCCGGAGAAGCCGGAGCCAGCGGGGTATGAGTAGGATGGGAGAATGGAGTGGCTGGAGTACATACGGGTTTTAAAGTACATAGCAAATAGGTCAAATGGCGCATGTTGATGGTTACAACGATACTTAGCTTAGCGTGGCGTTGCGCAGTCTTCCTAGAGTCTATCAATATTATAATCCCTCAGCTGCCCAGGTGGCAACTCTACTTTCAAGCGCCGCCATGCTTCACGACATCTCGAAACGTATGCTCGCGTGGCAACAGCCGCATCATTATCTCAATGCTACACCACATTGCAGCACGAACATCGCAACGGCGCGCCTGTATTCCGAAAAGCACTCATCAATTTTTGCTATTCTGCACATCTCCTAGTCTCGCAAATACCATGAGCCGCCTCAAAATTCCATCATAGAGGCTGAAGACCGAATTTCCATGCCGAGAGCATAACCGACTTTCTCGTATCATAAAGCCGATATGTGGGAAATGTATGTATGAAGAGGCAGAAAAGGGGGTTAGGAAAGAAGGCAGTCTAGAGCTGAGAGTCGCCAGAAATGAAAAGAACCATGGGAAAATGAAGGAAATATTTGTAGGGGGGAAGACCAGAGTCCCTAGGGTGCAACCGCGAGTCAGGGTCGTCTAGTTACCCAACGATCAGAGAACAGAGATCGACGTAGAGATTCCCTGAGGAATTGTCAGTCTTGTGAAATAGGTCAAGAGGAGCCAGGCCGACTACCTTTTAGAGAGGCTCGAAAGGGGGCACGGAGGCGTTGGGGGCCTCAGTGGTGTTGTGTTGGAAGATAGCGACGTCGACACTGCACATATCAGCTTGATGCCTTTGAACCAACCACGAGCACCGACTTACACTTTGTTTTGCTTGTATCCCATCGTCTTGAGGTACCCAGCCTCCCTGAACTGAAACTTCTTCAAGAAGGGCTTCAACCACTTCATGTCTTCACTGCCCTGTTCGACCGGGACGGACATATTGATGGTCTTGACAACGCGACTAGACCCGTGCTTGAGGTACTCGCCTCGGTTGAGCCATTTGTAGCCACTCCTCGCGGGATAGCCGGTGTTGACCATCTCGAGAAGTCGGTCGAGGAGGCACTTAGCTATTCCTTTCCGTGTATAGGCAGGGTGAACGTATAGTTCGAGCTCGAAGGTGAACCGATACATACTCCCTTTGTCGCAGAAGTCATCGATGTAGGCGAAACCAATGATGCGCTCCGAGACGTGGCCAAATGTCTGACCCCCTGAGTGCTGATTCTTCCTGTCAATGGCGACAATGTATGGGAGTCCTTCGTCCGTAATAGTCCTGATGCGGTCGTGGATATGTTGGGGCCCGCGTGGCCTAAATTCGGGAGCGCTAATAGACTCAGTCACGTAATGGTTGTAGATATCCTGCGTCCTGGTTAGCTGGCACGCGCTATCCAAGGAATACATTTTCCCACTCCTGCCATGTACATACCCTGATTCCTTTCGTATCTGCCGCTACCACTGGGCGCAAGTAGACGTTCACGTCCGTCTGGATGCGGCGGTCAGGCATCTGAACAACCGGAAGGGGCGACGGGGGGATTGGCCGGTTCTGTCTGAGATGAGCCTTTCGCTGCTTATTCTGTTTCTCGCGTTCGATCCTGTAGAGCATCTGAGTAGCGTTCAATTTAACACCCGCCATCTGGTTTTCTTCGTCGGCCTCGTCAATCTTGGCCTCGGGCACTTGGTGCGGTTGAAGGAAGCAGCTGTTACCCTCGCCCGGATATGCCTCCCAGAACGGTCGCGACTCGGTAAGATCGATGTCGCTGAGCGGGGGCGGCGCACGAGACGGCAATGCACGCCAGAACTGCTGGGGAGCATCTCCCTCAATCTGAACCGGGACCCAGGACCGCGGAGCCAATTCCTTGGTGATGTATCTGTCCGCAACCACCTCACCGTCTTTCAAAACGAACTCGCCTTCGACCTTGTAGCCCAGGTAGTCAGACGAAGCTAACTCATTCGTCAAATCTACCGTGCAGCTCTTGTCCTGGCGATTCATCCACGTCTCTATGCCCGCGCCAAAGTGTCGGTCGGTGAAGCCCTTCCGAGCGCTCCATGTCTCGGGTGGCGGCAGCCAGTCGCCGTTCCAATCCATTAGCTTCTTGACGTCATAATCCGGGTCGCCGTTGCTATTGGACTTGAAGCTGACACCTCCATCGCTCCCTTCATCAATCGGTTGGGCCTTCAGATCCCGAGTCTTGGGCCACTTGTATGGTGTGGGCTTTCCGACCCGGGCTGGCCATCGCGGATTCTGCCGATTGGGGACTTGAGCAAGTGAGTGCGACTTAGGTGGGTCCCATCCCACCCAGCCGTCATCTGCCTGCTTGTCGACAGGCGTGGATGGTGGAGACGGCGGGGATTTTGGCCTATGGTCGGCAGCCTGACTGCGGATTCTGTTAGCTTCACCTGGCAACGATCAAAAGGTGAGGCAGGGGGCTGAATAGACTTACGAAGATGACTGTGCCTGCACTGGGCTCTTGCCTTCTGACTTGGTACCGTTGGTGTCCGTACCGGCAGCTCCGGGCTTGCTGGCTTGAGCAGAACTCGCTCCTTGAGACTTGGCACCATTCGAACCACTTGCGACCGCGCTGGGCTCGTTCGGCTTCGGTGTGGTCGCCTTCTTGCGCAAATGCGGGGGCACGTACGCGCTCGGGAGAGCCATTGCGGTCATTTTCGCACCTGCTTTCGGCTTGCGTCGACGATGCTTCGGGAGAGGAGTGGGTTTCTGTCGAGTTTTCTCGTTGGGGTTTGAGTGAACAGAAGCTGGAGGCGATGGCTCGGCAGGTGCAGGTGAGTCGTTCTGGTGAAGCGAGGCAGGCGCGCAACCACGTGGGTCGGGGCCTACTTCGGCAATAGGCGGCACAATGGCCTCCTCCTGATGACGCTTATTGTCCTTGCCAGCTATTGTGCTATTGGCGAGCGCATAGTCGGACGCGGGTTCCAGTTTCTGCCACTTGCGGTTCTTTGAAGGGCGCTGCCTGCCAGAGTTCTATTGTCTATCAGCGACGGTGCGGGCCTAAGATTCGGAGCGTTGAGGAAAGGAGAGGAGAAGAAAGATGGGGAGTGAAGCTGTTTGGAAAGTTGAGGGGTAGAAGGGTGACAAGCGGGGCGTAAGAGGCGGCGTGCGAGCGGAGTGATTGATGCAGATCAAAGAAGCGGCCCGCCGCGCTATCACTTACGGTCAGAATGTCGAAATCCTGCTTCTGCTGCCATGTCATGGTATCGACCTTTTCGCCCGTAGGTGCAGGCGCTATTGGTTGCGGGAGGTCCACGATAGGGCTTGCGGTTGAGGTGTAGAGTGCATCGCGGGGAACGCGAGCGAAGTGGGCCATGATGTGAAGTCGGAGTCTACGGAAAGCTCCCGAGGACAACTGGCGCGTCGTCTCTGGTGGGCTTGGAAGGAAAGTGGGAGTGTGGGAGTGTGGGACGGAAGGAGCGGTCTGATGGGGTAGAAGTCTGGGTAAAAGTCAGTGCAACTCCGCTTACCTGTCGAGCGGTCAAACCTCACCTGGGCAGCATGTCGACCCACAAGTGAAGCTAGACGCATTCGGGTCCTGAAGAGCGACATCCAGTATGGGGTCTGGCATTTCAACTGACAATAAGAGTTCGGACTTTGTATTCCTATCCCAGCCGCAGGGAGATGTAGACACATAGATTTTCAGTAGACAATATCCAAGCATGGTCATACTTGAGCCCATCGCAAGCAGTAACCCCTAGCACCTTCTTTGAATGTTGATATTCTGGGACTAGTAGTCGCCCGACTGGTTGGCAGCCCCGTCCGCCGGCCCGTAGGTATAGCGAATTTGAGGAACTATGCGGGTCCAGCTCCCGAGCTGTCTGGAGCTCTAGAAAGAGCGTTGTCGTTGCGGCACCCTGCGTAGCGCATGCGTAAGATTTAGTGACCATACCACACCCGCCTACAAAGGGGCATCAGCGTTGCATATGGGGCATACGGCCAATACGCTTTCGCTCTGATTGGTCAGATCTGCTTACGTACTACATTAGCCACTTGCGCCACTGTGCCATATGCTTCGCGCCTGGCCCTTGGAGCAATGCGAACAACCACAACTCCACTACAAGATGTTATCGATACTACGGAAAGCGAGATTAAAAGATAAGGAGATGAGGATACTCATGCTGTGTGTCTCCTCTTGCGCCTTTGGAAGCACATCCGGCTAATGGATGAGCAGCGGTTTGGACAATGCGGGAAAGACAACTATCGTGAAAAGGATCATGAACGAAGATGTAAACAGCGTCAGTCCGACGCTTGGATTCATCATCAAGACTATCGAATATGACGGGTTCGTGGTGAGGGTATTCATGATTGAAAAAAAGAAGCTAACGTATAAAGGTACAAGCTGAATATCTGTACGTACTGCGCGTTTAGGCAACTGACTGCATGCTGACTGCTTAGGGGACGTGGGCGGCCAGAAGACGCTGCGGACATATTGGAAGAACTACTTCGAGAAGACGGACACTCTTATCTGGGTCGTTGATGCCACGGACCGCGAGCGGATCGACGATTGTCGCCATGAGCTCGAAGGGCTTCTGCAGGAAGAGGTGTGTGTAGCTCGAACGATGTCGTGGGGACCACCGGCTGATAATTTGTAGCGTCTCATGGGAGCAAGCTTGCTGGTGTTCAAGAACAAGAGCGACGTGCCGGGCGCCATGACGGAGGACGACGTTCGCAGGGTGAGTTGTGGGTGTGTTGACGAGTGCGCCCGATGTCATGCCGGCTAACAGCGCTCAGGGCCTTCGGCTGGACTCGATCAAGACGCACAAGTGGACCATCATGGCCTGCAGCGCGATGACGGGCATGAACCTGCAAGAGGGGCTCCAGTGGGTGGTGCAAGACGCCAAAGCGCGACTTTTCTTGTACTAAGTCATGCGCGAGGTGGAAGCCCTCGAGGTTAGGTGGTGCTGTTCCGCGGCTGCAAGGGGCAGCTGGACCTTAGCAAGCTAAAAATGGAAAGCGCGACCTAGTTACTGTGTACAGTACAAGCGCGCCAACAGTGGAGACAGCATGTGAAGTTTGAAAACACAAACAAGACCTCAATTGCAGCCATTGCCATCCCCTAGTGTGTGCCCTCCACGCCTCCCCCCGTTTTGCAGCGCGTGCTCGAGTTTATTATCCGCGTCGATCCTGCGTTTCAGCAATCTTGAAACTCCCGGGGTCCTGGGCGGCCAAGCATGAGGTAACCGAAAGTCGAGTAACATAACGTCCGTGTGTTTGGAGGGTAGCTCCAGTCTTTCCAAGATTACATTCACCTGCGGTGCTTCACCCTCGCGCGCTGCTGTGTTGTCCCGCGTCCTGGCGTGTTTACCGTCCACATGGCCGAGGAGCTGGACCCCAAGGAGTGGCTGCAGCGCGTGCAGCAGCTAAAGGATCAGCGCGACGAGCAGGACGCTGAGCGGGTCAAGAAGCTGGAGGAAGAACTAATCCAGGGCCGGAGCGAGAGACTAGCCCGACGAGCAGGTATGCTGCCCTGTTTGTGCCCCATCATTTGACAACCTCTGACCGACCCAGAACGCGCGCGTTCGCTCTCTCCCGACAAGCCTTCCACACCGCAATCGCTACGCTCCGGAGCCGGCACGCCTCGAAATATACAGGAAAAGGCTGCGGACACGCCTACGCCGGTCATGGAGCCGCCCTCGCAGCAAGCGGCACGAGAAGACTCGCTTCAACGCCTGACGGGCTCGCCTGCACAGGCCCTCGAGGACGATGAGCCGAAAAAGCCTGCACCCAGCGCTGCCGCGTTGGGGCGCTCTGGCACGCTCTCGTGGCAGCGAAGGCCGCAATCAGGCAGCATACGACGGCCAATTTCGGTCACAGCATCCTCGGCTGACAAAATCGTTGCTAGCTCGCCGCATGAGACCCCCGAGCCTTCCTCTCCCGAATCGGCCGTTTCGCGCAATCAGATAGCACAATCGCTGGGGGCAAAAGATCCCTCATGGTTCAGACAGACACCGGACCGAGGGGTTGGTTCAGCGGCATTCAGGCGGAACCAGGAGGAAAATACCTCCGAGGCGGGCTCAGCGTCTGGGAGGAGACAGCTTCCGGGCATGTCGCGAGAGTCCACAGCGGAGCCAGAGGCGGCGAGCCCACCTCCGGAGAGCGTCCTCTCAAGCGGCTCTGTCCGCGGAAGTGCTGCATGGAGCAACCGCTTCTCGTCCAATACATCTTTGTCTGGGGGTGATGCTGAGACGGCTGGCAAAGCCAAGTCGCCGCTGCCCGTTCTGGAATCGCAAAAGTTTGCTCCTCCATCGGAACAAGTGTCCTCAATCGATGGCGGGGATCGTCCAGGCTCCGCGCGGGGTCTCGCAATGTCACCGACCCAAGGGCGGATATCCCCTGAACGCACTGAGCGTCCTGTATCCCCAACCAAGGGCATGGGCGGCTTTGTGCAAAGCGCGATGCTTAAGCGCAGCGACAGCGTAAATAAGAGATGGAGCGCGCAGGTACCTCAGAGTCCGAGCAGACAGAACTCCACCTTGAGCAACCGGGGGAGCACGTATGGTGCGCCATCAAAGGCAGATTCAAGGCCCAGCAGCCTCAGTCGAGATAACTCGATGGAGCCTTCTTCGCGTCCCGGCTCTAGCTCCAGCAACCTCACAATCACTAAGGATGCTACCGACGGCATACAGAAAGGAGAGTTCGCCAAGCCTCCACTTCCGCATCACAGCCGAAGCAAGTCTGTTGCATCGACATTCAGCGAGGACAATCGACAGCAAGACGAGACTTCTCCGCCAAGTCCATCGAAGCGATGGAGTCCTACGAAATCGAGTTGGTTGGAGCGCGCGCTGAATAAACCAGAGTCTCCAAAGCCGAAACAACCGCCTCCACAGCAGCCCGCTTGGATGTCTGAGATCAATCGCATTAAACAGCAACGTGGCAGTGTTGATCTGGCCAAGGGAAGCCCTCTGCATAGCCCGCCGGCAGATCCCGCAAGCTCTGGGAGATCATCACCAATCAAGGACGTCCAGCTGAAGCCCGTGAGTCTCCGCAAGTCTGATTCTCCAAAGAAGGAAGAGCCTACCGAGCCCGAGAAAGATCTAAAGCCGTTGCAACCGTTGCCGAAAGCGAAACCCGTGCTATCTCCAAAACCATCAGTTGCTGCCAAAAGCGAAGCGGAACAAGTAAAAGACTCACCATCCTCGAAAGAGGATCGTGAAGACTCTAAAGAGGTCCCTATCACAACCGAACCGAAGCCAAAACCATCTACCCTCCGTGCTTCGAAGGAGTCACCGCTTGCTTCGCCCGCAGCAAAACCTAAGCCGGATACTCCACCCAAGAAGGATTTTCGCGCCAATCTCAAGTCACGTCAGAACGTATCAGATGCTACAAAGCAGGACGTGGTTCCAGAATTCCAGAGCGTCTTCGGAAAGCTCAAACGGACCGAGACGAAGAACTATGTTGCTCCAGATACCCTCAAGGATAACATTCTCCGTGGGAAGCAAGGATTGAACTTCACTGGAGGTCCAAAGCCTTCTGTTCGCCGCGATGAGTTCAAGGAAAGCTTGATAAGCCAGAAGGCAGCGATGCTAGCCAAGGCTCAAGAGACGGGGTCTGTTGTGCACAAGAAGACAGGTAGCTCGTCCCAGCAATCCGCCACTCCTGAAGCAATTGCTATAAGGAAAAATCTTGGCCGATCAGACAGCATGCCGAAGCCTCCACCCCCGAAGGAGAAGGAAGCTACACCCGAAGCGCTCGCCCGGCAACAGAGCCTTCGAACGAGTAAACCCGTAGTACCGGAGAAACACAGCCAAGCTACGTCACCGTTGGTGTCAAAGGAGCCTATTAGGTCTAGCAAGCTTGCGGATCGATTCAATCCTGCTCTTGCCGGTATACTTGCGCGAGGCCCACCTACCGTAGCTAATAGTTCAGCTACAGCAAGTTCAAGCGCAAGTGAAACGACCTCCAAACCTGCAGAAGAGAAGCCAGGACCAGGTCCGGAACTATCACACATGACGAAGGGAAGAGCTCGAGGGCCAAAGAGGCGAGCACCAGGCGCAAAGCAGGCCGCATCCAAAGCAGAGACAGCTCCCCGTGAGGTCGCCCCAGAAAAGGTGACTCCAGTTGCCGCTATTCCGTTGGTCAAAGCCGAGCATATTCTTACAAGTTCTGAACCTTCTAACGAAACCCTAGAGGAACTTCCAGTGGCGAGGACACCAGCGAGGGAGTCGCTCAAGGAGAAACCTGCAATGCCAGCGAAGTCGCCGGATCTAACTAGGAAGCTCGAGAAATCACCGTCCCCAGAGCTCCCCAAAAAGCCCGCATCATTAGAGCTCGACCGAAGGGTTTCGGCAGGACTAAATATCGCACCGAAAAAGTCCTCCATACCAGATCCCGTAGAAGCGCCCAGGCCGTCACCATTACAGTCCAACAAAGTCTCCTCGTCGCAGTCATCAAGACCATTACCCACCCCTTCTGCTAAACCGGAGCCGCAAGCCCTTAAAGAAATTTCCGCACCGAACACTGAAGTCTCCCCAGCGAAGCGTGAGCCTTCTCCGGAAAAGCCGGCGTTCTCCGTGAAAAGCGCCACGGCGTTGTGGGGCCGACAGTCCGCCTCCTCATCGCCTGCCCCGACAAGGACTAGGTCGCCGATCAAACTGCCCACGAAGGCTGACGAAGAAACCGCCCTGGAGAACGCGGGCCTTGTCCGAGCAGCCGAACAAACTGAGACACCGCAGCCAAGGCCTCAAGCACCAAAACCCAAGCCCATTGGTCTCGGGCTAGGGAGCCTGGGAAGCTTGGGTGGGCTTGTGGCCTCTAGATCAAGGGAGTCAAGCCCGCCCAAGCCTCATTCAGCAAAGCCATTCCCTATCTCTCCACCGGCGAGCGGTGATAGGCCTCAATCTGAGCCCTTCAAAGCGTCACCCATGCCCGAGAAAGCCGAAGGCATCTTCTCGGAGTTCTTTGACGAAGCTCCCGTTACCTCAGGCGAACTTCCAGAGAACATTGACACAACCCATATCCTGAAGAATCCACCGATAGACTTGGGTCCCTCAGGAAAGATTAGGACGCTTCGTAAGCAGATCCACGAGGTAACAGGTGATGGAAAGCTGTCGGCCCTTCCTATGCAAGAGGAACATGTCCTATTCCAGGACTCCATGTATCTCTGCACCCACATTTTCGGAGACTCAAAGGGCGCGAGGACAACCGAAGTCTATCTCTGGTCCGGTAACGGTGTCGCAGAACCAACATTAGAGGACGTCCAGGTTTTCGCGCGAAATTACGCAAAGCAAAATCAAGGGAAGGTTGTGGGGATGCGACAAGGCAAGGAAACGCCCAACTTCTTCGAAGCCCTTGGTGGCATTGTCATCACAAGACGCGGATCGCGCCCAGCCCTGAAGGAGTACATGCTTTGCGGACGTAGACATCTGGGTCACATCGCTTTTGACGAAGTCGATTTCTCCTTGAAGAGTCTCTGCTCAGGATATGCATACATCATTTCTACCGAGGCAGGAAAGGTATATCTCTGGAAAGGTCGCGGATGCTCAGCGGAAGAGCTGTCGGGCGCCCGTCTGATGGGAATGGATCTCGCTCCCACTGGCGACTTTACCGAGATTGACGAAGGCTCTGAGCCCCCAGAGCTGTTCAATATCTTCCCTCCCCAGGAAGGAAAAGGCCCTGCGATTCCCCGCTCAGCAGACCATTGGCGCTACAAAGCCACGGCCGACCGGTATCGAACGCGGTTGTTCAAAATCGAGCAGCAGCAATCTTCCGGATGGGGCCAGAGCCTGCAGGTGAGCTCATTCTTTGCCCCGCTGCTGCGCCGCCCCTCGTGGCAGTCGTTGACTGGAGACAAACCCGCTGAACGGCCACAGACGCCCAGTACGCCCAAATCCCCGCTTCCACCCGGAATGACGACCAAGGTCGTGGAGATTATGCCCTTCTGTCAGCGGGATCTGGAGCCTGAGTACATCTATGTGCTGGATGCCTTCTTTGAAATATACATGTAAGTCTTTGGTCATCCGGTGATATGACCTAACTAATATTATGCAGCATTGTTGGCTCGCTTTCACGCACCCAAGCTCATGCATTCTCCACAGCGCTCATGTTCGCCCAAGACTACGGCATCCTCGCCGTTTCCGAAGAAGACCGACCATTCATGCCAGTCACCACGATTGTTCTCGAAGGTGTGCCTAGGGACATGAAAGCAGTGTTCCGCTTCTGGGACGATTCAATCATACCGGCAGCTGGGCTGATGCGCGGCAAGCTTGGCCGCGGCAAGAGCTTGAGGATTGTTGGCTTGGAGAAGGCTATCGAAGCTACGAGACGTTGAGCGTTCTTCCCTTGAGTATCTGGTTTCTTGGTTGGGCCGACATGCATACTATGGTATGAAACGGGCATGTTGAAACGAAATCGATGTTCTCTATGTGGTGATAATGATGGGGACGACCTTTGTGCTTCTTGGATGTATTATCGATTGATTTGTTGGTGTTTCTGTGGTGTACACTATAGGCACAGGTAGTGGAGGCGCTGGCGCATTGGGTAGTCGATTTTTGGGTACATGGTTTCCTGCTCCTATGGGGCATTCAAAATATGTCGACGTCAATGCATCGAATGGCACCTACACTAATTTCTTCTTTCTCTTCTCGACTTTTCTAGTCCGTATGACAAGCTTCGGGTGGTCGGCGAGGCCGCGTGGGTACATGATGGAGCTATGTCCGGTACGCCGGCCCGTATTCATTTACCCTCATTTACAGTCGGGAAGCTAGCGCTACCAGCACGAGCAATGAAGAGAAGGTTATGACGCCATGTCACAGGGCCGTTTTGCACCGTTTTGGATGCGGAGCGCGTCTCGGTGGATGTTCCCCACGGGGTCTGAGGTAACACCCGGTGGGTGTCGCGCATCGACACGAGGCTGACGATGTGGTTTTCCTCGCTTCTTCCATTCAGTTATGAGGTGCACTCGCAATGGCTGTCTACGGCGTTCTTCGTATTCTATTTCGCTCTTCTATTCAACGTTCGTTTCATATTTTCCTGACCTTAATCGCTTACCAGCATTCAGATAAGACAGACGGGTGGTGACCGCACGAAACTCTGGAGCCGACGGTATATTAACTCGGCTCATCGCCCAACGGCCACATATTAATTCTTTCTCACTTTCATGCGCTGCGACGCCCTCCAGCCTATCGAGCAATGCTTTTACCAAGCACGGCCGCTCTAGTCCCACGAGTCAAGTGACGCTTTGGTTGGAGGCCTTCCTCTTGCGGCGTGCACTGCGTTCCGGCCTCCAGGTCGCGAGGGGGCCACTTAATATCAGGAACTGAAGAGGAGGGTTTGGGCTGCTCGGATCGCGGCACGCTTGGCGGCATGGGAGGCGGCAGGAGAGTGATATATAGGGAGGAGGAGAACCTGGGTTGGGGCAGATTTGCTGGTAGGTGCGAGAACGTGTTGCGAAGATCACCTCGTGGGCTTTATACTGCTCCTTTGAATATCCCGTACATCTGCCCTCTTGGCACCTTTTTTCTTTCAGGACGATATTCACCATGCGGTCGTACTTCCTCGCTGCTGCGCTTCCTGCGCTCACCGCTGCCCACGGCCACGTCGCTGCCGTTCAGGCTGATGGCGTCTGGTACCAGGGTTGGAACGCGGCGCTGAAATACCAGAATCCCATTCCTGCAACTGTTGGCTGGCAGGCCGATAATCTCGACAACGGCTTCGTGAGCCCGGATGCGTTCCAGTCGGCGGACATCGTGTGCCACAAGGCCTCGAAGAGCAATGGCGCGTATGTGAGCGTGAAGCCCGGGAGCAAGGTGACCTTTTACTGGGACACATGGCCGGTGTCTCACAAGGGTAAGTCTGCGCCCTCTTCCCTTCCGTGCAGAGGCAAACAGAAATCTTTGGCATTGCAATGCTAATATCTGCCAAAGGCCCCGTCTTCGACTACATAGCGCCCTGCAACGGCGACTGCGGCGCCATCGACAAGGCCTCCCTAAAATTCATCAAGCTCGACCAAGGCGCCTGGATCTCCGGCAACGACCCGGGCACCTGGGTAACCGACGACCTGGTCAAGAACAACTTCTCCTGGTCGACCACGATCCCGTCCACCCTCGCGGCGGGCAACTACGTCATCCGGCACGAGATCATCGCCCTGCATGCCGCAGGCCAGGCGAACGGCGCGCAGGCCTACCCGCAGTGCGTGAACTTCAAGGTCTCCGGCGGCTCGGGGACGGCGACGCTGGCGAGTGAGGGTGTGCCTGCGACCAGCTTCTATAAGGCGAGCGATCCGGGGATCACGTTTAATTTGTATAGCAAGTTTACCGGGTATACGATTCCGGGGCCGGCGGTTACGAAGATGGCGAGGAGGGCCGTGGAGGGGTTTAGGGGGCATGCTAGGGCGTGGGGGATGTAGGATTGAATATTCGTCCGAAGACGGCGCTGAAGTTTGCATAGCAGTGTATTGATTTTGCCCTATTATTGTGCTGTGTGAGACTCGAAAGAAAGGGGGAGTTCGCATCTCAGTCTCAGAAGCGATGCGTACTAACGGTGACTTCGTAACGGGAGAGGAAGGTTTCGAGTAAACCAACATGCATTGTGCACATAATCGTCTCATCGTCGAACAAGCAGAAGCGGTGACCTCGGGAGCGGACCGGCGTGGAAAGCGAGTCTTCACGTCGCGCTGATGGAATTGGGAAGTGACGGCTGACGGTGTAAATCACGAATAGCAAGAGCGCCACGGCTCCTGTTTGAGGACTATAAGAGTCTCAAAGTCTACGACCGCAACGCCTAAACCCGCTCTCTCTTCTGGCTTCGCATAGGAATGCAGGTTACATCACTCTGCCTCGGTGCTTTCCTTCGCCGTCATTAGAGTTAGCACCGCAACCTCGCAACCTTGAATGGGGAGACTGCACAGAGAATCTCCGAGAAAATACGGGTGCCACCGACCGAAAGCCATTATTTACGGTGTTCTACAGCTGGCACGCCGATATCGTAGACCCAGAACAAGCTCTCAATCCGACCCTCCCCGTCAGCCCTGAAGTCCACCTTCCAGAAGTCGGGACCTTGATCAACCCAGCGTCCTCGCTTGACCAGCTCGTTCCGAGGCTGGATCCAAGTGAATACGTCGTCATGGTAATGAGTCAGAGCAAATTTCTCCGTATCAAGACCTTAGAACGCCCAAAATAGCTTCCCCTCTTCCAGCGTAACGACCACCTTGAAAACGCGAGCCGGATCCCAGTATGTTCCAACGTACTCATACAAATCCCTGGGAGATATTCCGTTCTTTTGTTCCTTGAAGAGCTCCTCGGTAGTGGTCGAGTACCACTTAAGAGTTGTTGCGCGGCTAACCTCGGCGGCTTTGATGTAGTCATTCCGCAATTCCTTGGGTGCATCCAGCAATGCCTCCAGGATAAGTTGTCCGACCCAGTCAGGCACGTCATTGAGGGCCAAGGAGTTGGTCAAGATAACGATAGCGCTTTCGGTTTCTGGGATCAACATGGTGGCAGTCAATGCCCCTGGCAAACTACCTTGGTGATAGATGACCAGCTGCGAAGGGATGCCCTTGCCTACGACAGGCATACCATCCGGCATCAATGGAGGATTGCAACCTATGTCTCCCATAGTAGCAGCCAGTTGTACGCGGGCCCAACCGTAGCCATATGAAGTCTCGGTTCGGGTGGGTGGATTTACCGGAACCTTAGCCGACATTAAGTGATTGACTTGTTTCAAGGGCGAACCTTCCGTTGTTGTTCCTCCATGCGTGAACTGATCATTGAATGACTTGAAGAAAACGGAATATAGCTTCAGGAGGTCATTTACTGAACTTTGCAAGCCGCCACTTGGTCCTCCAAAAAGATCATCTCCCGCTCGTACGCCGCCAACTGGTGTATGTGTCCCATCATCCAAGGTGCAATGAGCCACCACCACATTGTCCGTACCTGGAGGAGGAGTCTTGAAGGAAGTACGTTGCATTCCAAGCGGACCCAAGATTTGGGAGTGTATTATGTCGGACCAGTAAGAGCTAGTGAGCTTTTGAATGACGTGCCCGGAGACCTCATAGCCCAGATTATTGTACGCGAACTGGCCACGGAAGGGAAGGAGAGCTTCTTGGTGGATGAGGTATTGAAGGCTATCCTTCGACGAGATCATAACGTTGTTGTTGGTGCTGATGTATAGGTTGTCTGCCCATGCCATGCCAGTGCGATGGGAAAGTAAATCAGCGACCGTCGTCTGTGTGTGTAGCACGTCGTCTCTAGTATGCCACTCGGGCACAACTTCCGTGAGAAGTGTATCCCATTTGACCTTGCCATCCTCAACGAGCAGGCCGACGGCCGCCGAGGTCAATGCCTTGGTCAGGGAGCAGCATGAGTATATGGTGTTTGCGTCGGGTGCTAGGCGTTTCTCGATGTCTCGAAAGCCGAAGTTGGCAAGGTAGATTGGCTCTCCGTGGTGAAGAACACCCAGTGAGAGGCCGGCGGTGCCCCCGATTTTCATGATTTTGTCGATCTTGGGCTCGAGGATTGCGATACGCTCTCGCACCGAATCCATGGTCTCGTTGGAGGGGATTGTGGCTGCCATTCATTAGGCTGGCTCGAGGAGCGGAACCACTTAATGCACTAACAAGGCTTCGGCCGTTTCCACCACCGAAACCGCAGAAAAGGATTCCGTGGCCACAGAATGGTGAGAATGGAAACGGAAACGGCGATATACACCAGCTTCCTGGAATGGCACATAAGCCAGACGGGCGTGTTTTGAACGAAAAGTAGCGGGAAGGAAGAAGGGGTCAGAGCAGAGCCAGCAAAGAATGCAAACCCGTTGCTTATCTCCGCATAGGCCGCTACCGGAGCCGGGAAACTCATTGCAAGTAGTTTGTGCAAAAGAGCGAATTTGGAGCGAACGACAGGGCGGATAGACCTCGACCGGCAAGTGCAGTCCCTGCGTGGATCAGCGCAAACGTGCAACGCGTCGCAAAAGCCACAAAGCATGCAGCATCGAATTAAGTTATTTAGCAACGCGTTCAATGATAAGGGGCGCCAGGTAGCAGACCTGTGAGGTTGCACAAGCATATTGCTCACCAGAAGGCTTGGCATAAATGAGGGACGAACGCGGGGGTAGCTAACGTGGCCTGCGCTGAAACTCTATCACGGCGACTGCATAGTGCTAGTTTCGGCTAAGCAGTGACCTTCCCTCCCGCCTGTGCTCCAGGAGGACCTCGACTTTTATAGCAGGATGCAGGTCTGTCCCGCCGTGCCGTGCCGTAGCCAACAGCCTCTTTCCCGCGCCTCCTTTTCGCGGGGGCGTACTTCTCCACATGCAGCTCAAATCCATCAAGGCTCAACCGCAACGATTTACAAGATGTAGTCAATCCTAAATAGCTCCTTCTATTTTGTCTAATTGTGGCTCTAGGGCTATAAGCTTCCCGTCGCGAAGCGTATGCGAGGCAGACTTTTTTTTCAGTCCTAAGCCAAATGCTCTTCCATCAGAACTGTCTTTACTCTGCGCGGCTAGTGTTCACATCCTTCTTTTCCAGCATTTGTCCCTTCCCCTGTGTATATCGTCCTAGACCGCCGTCCCGCCGCTTAGTATGCTACTACTTAGGTGCGCCACCGCCCAGGTGTGCTATATCAACAGCATGGAGTCCATAGAAGCCTGGCAGGAGGACGTGAAGAAGAAGAAAGATGACCTATCCCTTGTGTTCCAAAGGCTCGGACGGAAACAGCGCCGTTCAGATCAGTCTGCAACGACCCTGATCACCATCCAGGAGGCCCTCGATGTCCAAGATTTCGATGTTTTTGAAGCCTCTGTCGACCGCCTTTGTTCTCACTATGAGAATAACGGAGCAACAAAGCTGTTCAATCGATACCTTTATCCACACTTCGGCCACATCAAGTCCTTTTCACAAGCGATCGGTCAAATGACCCAGGATCAGGATGCGACATCACTTTGCTGGGGCTCCATCCTTACTGTCATCCAGGTGAGCCATTTAGCAGACATGGCTGGCCGATTGCTGATAATTGACTATTTAGTGCGCTTGCCAGACCACGGAAAACGCGGAAGAGATCCTTGGACAGCTCACCAACCTACAACAGCTCCTGCCCGATTGCCAAAAGGACATAGATCTCTACCCAGGGAGCTCAAGGCTCAAGTTCATACTCGGTGATATCTACGAGAACTACCTGGAGTATTGCATCGTCATCTTACGCAGCATGACACGCAACGCTTTCGGTCAGTTTTATCAGACCATCCCCTAACGTGAAACCCGCTGACATCCCGCGTTCAGCTCAAACAATTCGCAACTTGTTCTCGTCATCCCTTCGCTGTGACCTCAAAAAACTAAATGGGAAAGCCAAGAGCAATAGCGATGCATGGGACAACGCCGTAAACCGAGAAGAGCGCGTTAGGGCCGACCAGATGCGCAAACAGCTAACGCACACCCAGAGCCATAGTTCAACTGCGCCCGGCCCAACCTTCCCACTGCATACCGTCTACATCCAGGAAAAGAATGACTTCTTTGGCCGTGAGGCGGAGCTTGACACGTTGTATAAGATGCTCGTGGAGAATCATACCGAGTCAAAGCCAATCTCGTGAGCTATCCAAGGCATAGGAGGCATAGGCAAGACAGAGATGGCTGTTATGTTTACTTACAAATACAGGAAATACTTCGACGCTGTCTTCTGGGTGAGCGCCTACCCGCCGAAGGAGACGGAGGTTCTAAGGACGTTTGGTGCGATCGGCAGGAAACTAGGGCTCTTCAAAACGGAGGAAGTCGACCAGGCTCAGGTCGAGATCATACTCCATTGGCTTCAAACGGCAGGTTAGTATACCATCGGAGATCGCCTATTGTCCCCTGATTGATGCATTTACTTAGATCATCGCTGGCTCCTAGTCTTTGACAATGCCGTGGACTAGGAAAAGGTCTCTAGGTTTTGGCCTGTCACGTCTCGGCAACCGAGTGCGATAATTGTCACTACACAGAAGGCCACGACGTGGACAGACCACGGGCTTCCCCTGGAGCCATTCGACCCTGACGAAGGGTCGAAGTTCCTCTTGTACCAGTTGAAACTCTCCGCCCTAGAACCCGACAACGCCAAGAGAAAGACAGCAGTAGACATTTCGGAAATACTTGGAGGCTCTCCACTCTATCTTACCCCCGCCCAAGGCTTTATTCCCTCCCCCAGCCAAGCGAAAGATTCAGGTTGCAGACGCCCAAGTCTGACCCTTGATCAGGAAAGTGTTACCTCATCTTCAGAGCATGGTGTTCGCATTCGATCGAGCGTATCCTCCAATGGAAGCAACACTTCTCTACGCAGAGCGTCTCGCAGATATTGGCGGAATAGACCTCTATGATCGCGGCAAGATTCGAGAAGCTTACAGCCTCTCGAAGAAGGCGCTGGAGGTTTTGGACAAACAAGGGGCCCTTCCTGCTACACCTTTGAGGAGCGATGCGTTAACCATCATAGGCCTCTGCACTGACGTCATGAACATCGACAAACGGAAGGAAGGCCTCGACGTCCGCCGAAAATGTTTGAAAATACGCGAAACCTGCTTGGGGCAAATACCCCCTGCGACAGTCACGTTGGAAGATAAAATTCGGCTTTGCAACAGTTATACGGACCTTGTATGTAGCCTGCAGCACTTGTACGATTTTGAAGAGGTCGAACGAAATTGCGAAACATGCTTGTCGCAATACACGCGCTGGGGAAGCGAGGACGAGCTTCCCTATGAATATGCGAAGTACTACAACCATATGGCGTACGTTCATCTCTTCAGAAACGAAGGGGACAAGGCAGTCGAGTTTGCGAAGAAGGGTTATGAACTCGTAGAGAAGGCTTCTCCTGGTGCGCAGATCAACGTTCTGTACAAGTACGACTAGGCCAACATCCTATTCCAACACGGCGACGTCGAAAACGCGATTAAGGAACACAAGGAGATGCTAAGGACCCGCAAGACGGAGTGCGGGAAAGAAAACATCAGGACGCTCGAAACCCGGCCCAATTTGGGTATCATCAGCTTTTTCGCCGGGGATTTGGATTATGCCGAGTAAGTAATTCTGCTTTGCGAACGCCTTGATCGTAAGAGAGAACTAATAAAAGGTGTAGGAAGCAAATCAACAAGACTCTAGCCATGAAAAATAGGCCTTTTTGGCCGACGCACAACACCACGCGAGCGAAGTACTACCTTTCGCAGATCTTAAGGAAACGCAACCCCGATAGCAGGCGTGGAATCGAGCTGGAGAACGAGGCGAAAGCATCGTTGAAGGACTTGCTAGCTTTTGAGGGTACAGGGAAGGCGGATGCATATGCAGGGGATTTAGCAATCCTTTTCGACTACATCGTGCCCTGGGAATGTCGGCTAGTCACTCCTCGCATGGTTGCTAGAGGGTACTGATCGCGGGTTCGTCGAGACATTCATAGAGCACCCTCTCTACTCTCATTGCTGTATGGATTCTATTCGCCTTGGAAACGTATTTGTACATGTAAAACTAATATATCCCTTGAACTTTGTCCTCTTTTAATACTTCGAATCCCGGAAAGTCAGTCGCGCGTTAATATGTTTCTAGTACACTACCGGGTACCCGGGAGCGATGCTTCTCCGTTGGTGTGATGTCCGAGGCTCTACAGACGACGCGTTTGCCTGGCGCCACGATATTTCTTCTCGCATGGATGATAGACCGTACGTAGCCTGATAATCTTACAGTGGGGTCGTCAGGTTTGAAGGAGTGCAAGACTTTGTGGCTGGACGCAACCTCAAACGGGTTCGGGATAGCGCCATCAGTGCCCCTCCCAGGAATATTGATAATGCAATGCAATTACATGAAAGACTTACATTTCAGCACGAAGCGCAGGCAGAGCTGGCTGATAACTGCTGCCTTGTTATCTTGCACCCAGGTAGTCCGCCGGGTCCAGGTCCACAGTCTAGGTGCGAGTGGCGCCACCCAGATACGGTGAATTTCGAGGGTGGATACTACCGTACACATGAGTCCAACGGGCTTCGCTGGATCCAAATGCTGCAGTTGAGCTTCCATAGAATAATTAGCCGGTGTTGACGCCTCGCGCCTCCCCTCGCAGCGTTTCCACTGGTAAGTCTTCCAAGGGTGGCGATCATGTACCGCATTACTCATCGACTCCAGGCGACTAAGAAGCTGCGAGGCAATGGGTCGCTCCTGGGGCAACTCGTGGATCATCTCTTCGACAAGAGCAAGGAACTCCACAGGCAGCTGCACATCGTTGCACCTGAGGGTCTCCTTGAACCGTTGGTAGTTCTTGCGTTTGTAGGTGCCATCCATGTACCCTTCGCGGAGTTGCTGAATCCATTGTTTGACTCTGGGAAGGGTGAAATAGAAGGCGTCGCTGTTACTCCGCTGCACTCGTGCGCGCCTGCCTTTCTTGTAATTGCTCGTGTTGCTTCCAAAAGAGCACATTATTTCGGGGTGGATTTTAGGAGGATATGCAGTTTACCACGTACATTATACTACTGTGGTAGATTTGCTAGCTCCCTGGTTGTCCTAAACGGGTTTGACGTGGAAACCCACTTTTCAACATCAACACCAGCTCGCATCCAGTCCATCTTTCCTTGCTATCACCAAGTACATTTCTACTTCGTAGAGAGTCGTTGATTTAAATCCCTGAAATACCTACCCTCAATGACATTCCCACTTTCATTCATAAACCGCCCAAGTCTGGCAGCTCCGTCTTAAACGCAACGATGCGCAATAGCGAGAGAGCTGCTTCCATTTTGCTTTCCTCCAGGAATAAATGGGGTTTGGCGCAGTAGAACACTGCGCTTTGTCGACAAGACGGTCGAACTACGGTGATGCTCGCAGGCTGACCAATCAGCGTGGAATTCTGTACAACCTCAGACTTTGCCAGCGCATAAACGCCCCCTCAATCGTCTGCCTTCCCACTGTGCTGTTCCTGATTCTCACCTCTCCCGCTCACCGTCTCGAATGCAGCCTGAGTCGACGCGAGTTTCTCGCAGGAGTCAGTTCTTGAATACCCCCTAATTACGCTCCGAGGCCCACGACCGGTCAGCTACTCCAATCTTGCAACTCGGAGAAAGGCATACCAAGGCTTTCCTCAGTCGTAGCCGGCGTGTGTATGGGATGGAAACACGTGATCATAGATTCAATGCTGACCAACGCTCAGACAACGTTCTCTGAGTCCGAGAGCGATGCCTCCTCCCTCCGCAAAATAGCCATCCACCTCGCAACACAAAGATCCCTGTTCCTAGGCACTCGAGTAGTGGCCCATTGAACGTGGCCATGGACGGAACGCCGATGCTCTCAATCCCGGTGCAAAAGCGACGTATACTTGAGGGCGAAGATGCGGCAATCAAGGACGCAGAAAGTCCATACGAGGCGCTGGACCTCCTTGGTTTCGGTGGCCATGCCTACGTCGAGAAGGTCGTAGACGTGACCGATTGAAGCTTCTACGCCGTAAAAACGTTCCAAAATATGCGACCCCGCCAGGATATCCGAGCTATGCTCTGCCGCGAGGTGGATATCATTCGCGCGCTTGCGCCCCACCCCCATATTATCCGGGTTCATGCGACATGCAGCACCGAAACCAGGCTGTCCATCGTTTTACAACCAGTGGCAGACAGTGGGGATCTGGCGGAATTCCTCAAACTCTATCGATGTCTTACATCCTATGAGCCTGAGAAGGACGCGTATCGAAAGATCATCCAGCAAGCATTTGGTTGCCTGAGCCACTGCCTGGACTACATCCACAAAGAAGGACGCATTGTCAGGCACAAGGACATTAAGCCAAGTAATATCTTAATCCACAGGGCATGGCCATTCTAACAGATTTTGGTATCTCTAGGTATAGTACCTGATCCCATGCACAAGTTTTCGTTGAACCGCTGACTTTTGAATATCAAGGCACTGTATGGGTGATGACACCGCCACTGACGGCGCTCCGGGATCTGTCACGCGGGTATACTGCGCTCCTGAAGTCCTGGACTGGGGAACTCGGAATCGAAAAGTAGACGTATTTTCCCTTGGATGTGTCTTCCTCGAAATGCTCGCCTCAGTATTTCCTATGAATATCCCGGAGGTGCTCCTTTGGTGGGGTCCCGTACGAAAACCTTATCGCGAGCACATTGAGTGGGTTCAAACCGATTTGAAAGGCCGGTCATCCTTCTACGTGGAGACATTGTGCGGAACGATCGCCGACATGCTCAGCAGGGACCCTGTCAAACGCCCTTCTGCAGAAGAGCTAGCAGAACAGATTAGATCCTGCCGCAGTAACTTCGTGCTCTACTGCGAGGCTGAAATGAGTTCGTAGATATCTTATATTGGATAGGTCTGAATCGCGATTACACATGCTGCTACTGTCTCACAAAGAAGAGCGATCCCACCTTCTCTGACCTCATTCAAACGTAGACGGAGGCAGTATGAAAGGGAATTCAGCTCGATCGAGCAGCTTCGCCTCCACGTGCTTCTAGAACACAAATTTCATATATTCCTCTTCCATACATCTTGGCTTGCCCACTCTCAGCAGGGTAGGAGAACTGGACGTCGACAAGCGCCCTGAAACCCTTTAGAGAGCCGGGCAATAGGTTCAGAATTGCTGCTGACGCCTTTATTACCAGGTCTTCAAGCCCGCACCTTTTTGGCTGCTTTCGAATTTCAAGCACTTCATTAATATTATTACGGTAATATATCCCCCTATATTACCCCCTAAGGTATGGGTCTGCAGAAGCCTATATTAGGCGACTCCTGCTCTCTATTACGCTAATATTCACTGCCACGTTCTTCTTCGCTAGGCAGCGTACTCACCCAGTATGAACACGACTCCCCCGCGTGAAGAGTTTTAAAAGTGCACACCTGCATTCGCCCGGCCTACATACATGCCCCACCATACATGCCCTCTCACGGTGTGGAATTCTCTAGATAGAACGAGGTTCGTAACAGCTAGTCTAGAGGCATTCGCGGGTGCGTACAATAGGATGTATAATATTCGCTGAGCCAATCTTACTTACTTGTACGGCGAGCCCTTAAATCCGGAGAATATCCTACCAGAAGAGACGCCTAATCGTCCCTCCCCCCCGCGGTTATTGTACATCGTACAACCTCAACCACACGCTCCAGCCAGTCAAAAAGCTGGAATTTCCAGGCAGGAATGCCCCCCCTATGTAAGGGCTTCAGCTCTCCCACTAATATAGCGGAAAGCCGGACCGCAGTGTGTACTGGTAATGCACTGGTTCTGGCAAGCTACCTATCTCTGCGCTATATCTCGTAACAAGGCCACAAATGCCTGAGTTGACACGGAGGACGGGAGGACGTAAGATAAAAGCGATTTTTCTATCTGAAGATGTTGAACGGCTGCTAATGCATTCATTCTACCAAAAAGCATGCATACACCGAGACTAGGGACTACCCGGGCTCAGGGAAACCCCCAGCAATGCATCTTGTACTGCCTTTGTCTTTCTTAATAGCCTGAACGCCCTGACACCATTTATCCTCCCCGAAGAGCACCGCAAGTCATTGCCATATCACACTGTACCACTGTCACCTCCACAACCACTGGTAATTCCCGCACTACGTTCCATAATCCAGCCTCTCCACTCAGCTCAAGCCCACAGCCCACTCACCGTCTCCACAGCCCTCTCCACCACAGCCTTAACCCTCGCCTTCAACGGCCCACTCGCACACTCGACCTCCAAATTCTCTAGCCACACCCGCGCGGCATGCTTGTCGAACTTGATCTCGATACCCGGGACCGGGATGCCTAGGTTATGCAGCCTCTTGAGCTCAGCTTTATCCGTGGGAGAAAGCTTGACATCGTCGACGGACGGCGCGGTGGCCACAGAGAAGGTATCAGATGGAGCGTTGTTAGTGGGTGGGGAGGGAGAGGTACCGGCTGCGGAGAGAGGCGACAAAGAGGAGGAGTTGCGCGGGTATTGGATGGGGTTGACGGCGTCCTCGCCGAATTGCGCTTCGAGGAAGAGGAAGAGACGTGCGAGGCGCGTGGATGGGTCGGGTGTGCGGTGGGGATGCGGTTGCTTGAAGCGGTGGGCGAATTTGGTATCTGCGTCTAATTTTGGTGGCGGCGTGTGTGAGTGCTGTCGTGATGATTCTGTGGCACGCGTTAGGACTATGGATAAGATGATGAAGGATACGTGGATACTTACGTCTCACAGCCGCCGGACTGCTTTCAACGGTGAAGAGAACCGCGAGCACAGCATCCGCAATCCCATCATTAATGACATTGCCTTCCCACTCGACCTCTACTCTCCCGCCTGGCTGAACAAGCACCTTCACGCAGTCCATGACCGTGAACTGCATGCTTGACCGCGAAATCTCTTCGTCCGCTTCTTCCTTGTATAGCCCGTTTCCGTTGACCTCTTTGCCATCAACGGCTGTGTCAGTGATCTTCTTCTCTTTGATCGCGCCGAAAGTGCCCACTAGCGCCCACCGGATGAGATCCACACCCGCCGCCGAAAGGGTGAGATGCTGCCGACACACGATTGTTGTGGTCGTCAGACCTGCGTACTCCTTCAGATCCTCGGGCGCCATGAGACTGATTTTGAAGTCGTTTTGGATTAGTACCCCGGTGATGAGGTTGGGCTGGTCCTCTCCCTCCTCCGCCTGTTCGTCCTCTGCGCCTTCTTTCTTCGGGTGAGGTAAAGGCGGCGGGACAGATGCGAGTTTGCCGACAACTTTCGCAATCTTGTCGGTTTTGAAGGGGACGCGGAGTTCTTCGCAGTTGGCGGGTGAGTATATTTTCACGGGGACGGCCCGGTGTGCGTTGAAGCTTAGGAGCTTGGATTTCAAGCGTGTCATGTTGCCCTTTTCGCCGTGAACGAGTATCTATAGAGTGGCGGTCAGTCAACTCTCATTCACATCGCGATTCGTCTCAAGAGTGAACTTACAACTACTGGTGCATTGACCTCCTGTACAAACTCCATGTTTTCCTTGCCGTCAACGTGTGCCGCAAAGCTGAACTCTTGTACGCTACAACGTCGGGGTATCATAATCTGCTCGCCTTCCTTCTGGCCAGGTCGCCGCGCAGTGTTTGTCGCTCGTTGGGTGATGGCGGGTATCTGCTCGGGTTCATGCACGATTTGCTTTGCCATCGTGCCTTCGACGGAGTAACCGGTGATGATGACGCCGTTTCGTGGATCGGGCGCCCATCGCTCGAGCAGCTCGCGAGACGTGCCAGACTGCAGCATACCAGGGGATGCCAACATGACGCATCCTCCTACATCATCGAAGCGCTCCAGGGATTTCAGACTTCGGACGAAGCGGAAGTCCCACGGACCGCCTTTGCCTACATCACCGGCGGCCTCGGCTTCGGCCATTCGCTCTCTGAATAAGCGCTTGATGTTATCATTCATGGCTGAGACGTAGGTCTGGTAGACGACCATGCATTTCCGCGCTAGACTCGAGTTGTAGTAGATGGGTATCTTCTGGTACTCTGGATGTTTGGCCCAGTATTCGTCGAGAATGAGCAGCAGCTCCTGGGCTCGCCCAAGTGCGAAGACAGGGAGCAGCGCTCGACCGCCGCGGTTGAGAATGTCGGTTATGGATTTCATAAGCTGGGTCTCGCGCTGTAACCGCGGTGTGTGTGTCGAAATACCGAACGTAGACTCCGTGATCAGAACGTCGATCTTAACGTCTTTGGGGACCGATGCGGAAACCAGATGCCTGTCGTCCTCTCTTGAGTAGTCTCCAGTGAACATAATCTTCAAACCTGCAATTTCGATCAAAAACATCGCTGCTCCTAACACGTGGCCCGCAGGGTAAGGCGTTATTCGAATGCCGGATATGGTGTGTGTGGTGTAGAAGTCGATGGCCTCAATCATGGGAAACGTATTGAGGTGATCTTGCTCGGTATACATTTGGACCTTGGTCTCGGACGAGCTCGAGATGTTGCCGACGCGGACGGAATCTTGTATAAGCCACTTATAAATGGCTTTTGTGGGATGTGTCATGAAGACCCGGCCCTTGAAGTTCGTCTTCGCTAGAACGTAGGGCAACGAAGCTGCGTGATCAACGTGGAAACTGGTCACTATTAGCCCGATAGGAGCCTTGAGCGATATCGACGACGTGCGAGGCCTTGTATGTACATGCGGACTGGAAGAAGGGGTGAAGGCACATCACCGGCGTCGAACAGGTGGATGCAAATGATATTCCATTGGTTCTCATATACAAGGTGTTGAGGCAGGCAATGCCATAAATGTCCGTAACGTCCGACTGCGAGTGATGCGCCATGCCCTTTCCTCCGCGATTCCACAGCAAGCAAGAGGAAATATGCAACATACTGTGAGATCAAGAGCACGTCTACGGTGCTAAGATCGAATTCGTCGTAGAAGGGCATGGCCGAGAGGCCCTCGTATGCGGGATGCATGCCAGCATCAAGCTATTCTCCATTAGCATCTCCGTCCCTCTCTCTTTCGATATCCCAACGCACCATGACCGTCTTGCCCTTGTACTGTATGATATGACACGACCGCCCGACCTCGTTGCCGCCTCCAAGACACAGGAACATGAGCTCGTCGGACGGGTCCACGGGGTCGCTGTCATCGGGCGCCATCGCGGCGAGCTTCCTCTTGGTCGCCATGGCTGCTTCTTCAATCGGCCAGTGTGTGGTTCGTAAGGTCAAGTGTCGCTGCAGCTGTGGTGACAGTGGTAGCTACGCGAGCTGTTCAGGTTGTAGTCGCAAAGGGACGCGGCTGTCAGCAGGTGAGAGCGTTCATGTCATAGCCAGCAGATAGACAGCCCTGACGTTGCGACGGCGCTAATCTGGTTGACTGAGCAGCAGAGGTCGGGGTGAGAGAGCGCGCAGGAGGCGTGAGAGCGATTGTTCTCAATGGCTTCGCGACTTCCTTCTTTGTCCGCGACTGCCGAGATTTACCCGACGTCCGTGCGGCGTCATTGAACTTCGTGCCTGCTCAACTGCTCCTCCACCACGACACAGACACACGACGCCCCCTCACCCTCGCCCCATCGCACGCTCCCCCGAGCGCCTACTCGACCGCGACTGCTCCCACCAGCTCCTGCCGCAGCACCGGTAGACCTCACCACCGTCGATGAGATAGCGATCGAGCCGCCGCCAGAGCCTGAGCACGCCCTTTCCGGGGACGAGCATCGCGCGCTCGCTGCCCACCATGGCCAACCCGCAGTACAACCAGTACCAGCAGAACATGCACAGCATGCCGCCGCTGCAGACGCAGAACCAGATGCAGAACCAACGCGCCTTCTCCCCGCCGTCGTACCAGCAGTCACCGGGCGCCATGTCCCCAACCGTCGGCGGGATTCCCCCCGCTAAACGGCAGCGACTTTCACCGAACCCGCCCTCGCCGTACCAGTCGCCCTTCTCTGCCTCGCCATATGCAACCAATGCGACCTCCCCATATGCTACCTCGCCGCCGGGTAGCCAATACCTCTCCCTCCCCCAGTCGCCTGCGACCGCACAACCCTCGCACGCCTTCAACCAGCCGCAACCGTATCAGCACCCGAACATGGACCATCGACCGGCCCCTCAGGGATCTATGCCGCCGCCAAAGGTGCCATACAGCAAGGCCCAGGACAATGCGGAGCTTGAAAAGGCCAATCCGCGGGACATGGACGTTAATAATATCAGCGATGTCCTGACCGGATCTGGAATCGACCTGCGCGCCGAGGAGGACAATCTCCTGCATACCTTTGGAAGCCGCAACTACGGAGTGTCGTTCAACTCGCAAGGTTCTGGATCGACAATATCTCCGCACGGCAGCTTCAACCAGTGGGGCCAGCAAGCCGGCCACGGCGCCTTCCAGGGAACCGGACCGTTGAGTCAGCCAATGTCTGAAGAGCAACAGAAAGCAGAGTTCCTCCGCAAGCACGAACAAGCCGCCCGGATCCTGAACGAGGCGGCCGAAAAGCCCCTCACGGACCCTTTCCTGTTGGCCGGTGTCCTGCGACAACGAATATCTAAGCGAGCCTACGAGCATGGCATCACCGTCAACCTCGAAGGTTTGTTCGATAAGATCCCAGACACCCCCCAGAATGTCACGCGCACTACCATGGCAAGCTCTAATGGCGAAGCGATAGTGGGACTCCAAGCCTCTAGCCTCCTCAGCCAACATGCTCCCTTTGTGGAGGTGCTTTCACTGCTCTCCCTCGCTGCCGAGGAACGCGTGCGAACCGTTTTGGAAGACTCATTCGCCCTATCGCAGGGCCGCCAGAACACTTCGCATGGCGTTGTACCTCCCAGCCTTGCTGATATTGCCGTTGCTGACAAAGAGTCGCGGCCGACGCAGGCAGCACAAGTCAACCTCTCAAAGACCCCATGGGAAGCACCAGATAGTGCGGTCAGCCCGATGACGGTCACCGCTCAAAAGCGTACGCAGGAATATTCTCATGCACATTTGGTAATATCTTTGCTGACAGCGCTGCAGAACCGCCTAACGCAGCACGCTTGCCTACTCCGCCGTCCGAAGCGCCCCCCACACCACAGGCTACCGTGCAATTCACAAACAAGGTTGCCAATGTCCTGAAGCGAAAGGTGGCAGACGACGAACGTTTCGAAAAGGAGCGCATCCGCAAGCGGCATAAACGGCTACAAGGCAGCTCGGGTACTCCGGCAGACACTCCCACTATTGCGCCGCTGCCCCTGCCGGAGAAGATGACAAAGAAGGAGCGAGACCGCTTGAACAAGATGGGTCAGACGGAGGACGTTCTTCACCGGAAAGCGAACGAGACAGCTAGCATGGCTCTTGGCAGTAAGAAGAAGTACGCCTGGATGACAGGAGGCGGTACGGCGTCTGGTGCTTCTACCCCGAGACTCAACACTGCCGTTGGTGGTGCAAGCGGAACAGCTACCCCAGCGGTGCAGCAAATCGACCGCGCCTTGATAGCGAGGAAGAGGCAGTTTGGAGCGAACATTGAAAAGTCGGAAATCGGAGAGAGGATCCAGATCCGGGACCTGGTGCATGTGCTTGAGCAGGACGGTAGGGAACGCAAGACGCTAGTCCAGATTCTAGCAAGGCTGAGGAACACGGAGAAGGATGAGAAGAAAAGGGAGGAGCATAGGCAGACGGCTTTGCCTCCTGCTCGATAAGTGGAATGTTTCGATTACTTTCGATGCGGTATGAAGGGTGCTAAGGCGCTTCCACATTTGAGGTCTGGAGATCATTTTTATCCGTTTTCGCATCAGCGACGGCGTTTATGAGGGTGGGAATTGCATCATTGCCCCCTAAATTTGGGAGCTTTTCGAGAATCGTGTCTTAAAAGTATTACGAGCTTGTGCCCAAAGCCAACAACTGAATCAAATAGTAATTATATGTGCATCCAATTACTCTTCGTGTGTGAAACAGATTGTGATCGATGCATTGGATATTGCTCTGAACTTGCCTTGTATCTAGATTTCCCTCAAGATAGGACTCGATGTACCCAGTGTAGTTTGGTACTGTGCTATCTGGCTCAGGTTTCCTCCAGGCGAGAAAGTTGCCCAACAGGTGCCATGGATGGAGACTTCGGCACCAGGCTCAACTAACCAGTCCACGGCGCCAGTTAATTTTTGTTTCCTCACCCGTTTTCCTGCACCTCAAAAATCGCCGTGCCTTTTCTTCTACATCTCCTCTACACACATAATAACCTCTAGAAACCGAACCAGATCCTCCAATTCAAACTCAAAATGCAGTCTCCAGCGAAATTGAAATCGAAATCTACAAAGAACCACACGCCCACCACTACTACCATCACGACCACGACGGCCCAACGAACCCAGCGAGCCCAGCAAGCCCCTTACAACGCCGGAGATACCGTCTTCTTTGGCCTCGAGAAGCGCCGCACAGCCGAGCGCATACACGCCATCCAGCTCCAGCGCGACAGCAAGACCGTCCTGATCAGCGAGTTGAAGGCGTTTGGGCGGAACTTCAAGCTCAGCACGCCGGTGCCGGAAGATCTGGTATGTATAACCTTTGCATATGTATTTAGGTGCTTAGCAGCTGGCGATGAGATGAGAGGGTGTGCTAATGAAGTGGTAGATGCCGATTTTGGGAAAGGGTGGGAAGAAGCTGGGACAGGTGGAGGAGAAGAATGTGAAGAATGCGAAGAATTTGAGGGAGATGACGGAGGACGGTGAGGAGGAGTGGGTCGTTGTGGATAGGGTGGCGGAGGATGGAAGGCGGTAGGGCGGGCGGGAGAGTGAGCGAGTTGGTTCTGGGCTGAGGAGGGAGGGAGAGCAAGGGGTTTGCAAACTGTGCTCAAGTGTGATGTTGGCCCGCTACCTAGAATTTTCAACATTGTTTGTGTGCTGGTGTTGCCAAGGTATTACGGAAGAGGATGCTTGAATATGATGTGACACTGACTGGAACACTGATCATGAAGGAACTGTATTATGCCCTGTATAACAATTTGACTATGAAGGAGAAGAAATCTGGCCGACTGTCTGGGTAGACTGTATGCCGTGGTATCACATGATGCAGGGAAAAGACCGAAAGAAATCCATATGCAGAGTCTTGACTCTGTACCAGGCCGAAAGAAATCCAAAGACCAGAGCCATAAACTCCCCGTATATGCCCACTCATGAAAGAAAGTCGTGCCCAGACGCCGCTACGTCGCCGTCTGAACCAGCGCGTCCACCTTGGTGTAAAGCTCGTTTGGATCCTCGAAGACATGCCACACATTCCTCGGAACATCGTCAAACGCCTTCTTGAATCGCTCGGGGTCGTTCTTCGTGCTCTCGTCCATCTCTGCGACGCCGGTGACTTTGCGGATGAAGATGGCTCCGATCCACTTAGGATGCCTGCGATATATCTCGCCGTATGATTCCGGATCCGTTTGCGTGCTGTCGCCGATGCAAATGAACTTGCGCTTGGGGAACCAGGTGTGTACCTTCTCGATGCGGTCGACTTTGTAGGCTTCCGTTCCTTGGGTAAGATTGGAAAGGAAGCCGGCGAGGTTCATCCAGCTTGCGTCCCGCAGGATCATGGTGCCGGAGGGGTAGTAGGTCTCACGGAAATCGCGCAAGAAGGGATAGAGGTTGTACGGCGAGGCTGACAGGTAGAAGAAGGGCGGGCTATCCAGCTTCTGGACGATGTGCTTGTAAAGCTCCGGCATACCTCTGATGGGCTCCGGTTCGTCGGCGAAAGTGGTCTTGAGGATGCCGATTGGCGAGGCCGTCAGCGTCTTCTTGATGGTGTCATCAATGTCGCTGAGGACGGCCCATCCCTTTGGCGATGCAAAATGGGTCCTCATCGTCGTGGCGTCAGCTTTGACGGCCTGCGAGGTAATGACTTGGTCGTCCTTGTACCCATGCCCCGGAATCGCAATCTCGTCGGTGCTAATGCCGTCTCGCCCGCTGGGCCCAAGTCGCACATCGACGCCCTGCAGATCAATGGTGACAGCATGCGCAGGGAGGATGGAGTCGAGCAGAGGCTGGATCCTCTGCTCAATAGTCTCTTCCACCTTCTCATCTTTCGCCATGCCGATCTTGTCTGCGATGTAGCCCACTACTTCAGACAGGTCCTTACCACTGTTTTTGACGAAGTAGGCGGCCACGATCTCGGCTTTCCATCTTCCGATGCGGTTCTGGTACGCTGTGTTGTCGAGCAGCCAGACGTAGTCCTTCTGTGGGTCGACGTTTGAGTAAAAGGGGTTCTTTGAACCGAGGTATGAGGAAAGATTGTCCTTCAGCGAGAAGCTGAAGCGATTTACGAGCGACGGCATGTCTTTCTCGAAGTCCGGGAATCCGCTTTGTGATCGAGAGATGTGCTCTTGCTCGGTTTCCTGGTAGTGTTGCCTGGCATGGCCAGCCATGGCCGACGCGGATTCGTGCTGCATTTTGAGGGTGCTGTGAGTCGTACTGCCGTGACTGGTGTCTAAGGGGGGCGGAAGTCAGAAGGAGGGTGTTTTGCACGAGGTGCTGGAGGGGCAGGGAGTGCTGTGGTCATATTGCTTGTTTCCAAGCCAGCTAAGAGTTGGGCGCCTCAGACGCGTTTGAGCATCAGTGACGTCTGACAAGTCGAGGCGCGGGTGGCCGCCGTGGCTTTGTGGGGATGATCGGCGCATGGACCTGGCCGAGTGATGTCCATCACTCTACCCGCACACGTGAGAGGTGCTCGGTATTCTGCCGCCTTGGTGGAACAGTGCTGGCCTGACATTGGTTGCGCGAGATGGCGTACGTTTGGAGAGGAGAGGAGCTGATCTAGTTGCCTAGAACGATCATTACCTGGCCGCCTGCGCTCCGTTCGACGGCCTTGGAGAGAACACAGGAGCCCAGCAAGACGCGAAAGCGCTACGTCGGCTGCGGTGATTTGCTGTAGTACACTGTAGAGTGCTTCGCCGTTACTGTGCCTCCCGCAGCTGCACTCGTCCGCTCCTGATTGGTCTCTCTAGTCTCTCTGCACGGGATGCGACTCTGCTCCCGTCTCCTCGTAACCTGCTACGTACACAAAGAAGTCAAAAGCGCAAATGATAGAGGGAGCTCGCCACGACCAAGCATCTTTACGCGGCCGTTGACGTTGTCAAAGGCTCTTGGGGGTTGAAGGGGGCGGTGCAGCCTTGAGCTTAACTCGTCCAGCGTCCGTGCCGCGGAGGATCAAGAGGCACGACCAGACCTCCCGGTGTCTCACAAAATAACAGCTTCCGCCTTTCACTTTCTCCTGCGCGCAATTTCCGTCTTCGCGACACACACGGCGACCTTCCGACTTTCCTTCCCACCCCCCGAACCTCGTCTTTCGTCCAGAGCTGCGGAGCACCTGCCCCGCTAGCCTGTTGCCATGGTCCTCAAGAAGCGCCTCACGAATTTGGGCAGCATCATAAAGCGACCGCACGCTGGTGAGTTGGCCCCGGGGATCGTGTTCATATCGCAACTAATGGCGCGCTCCCAGCACAAGAAGAGAACGTCGACTCGAACGCCGATACGCCCGAGGCCAATGCCGCACGGGGGGTTGTGAGTAGCAAGCGCCCCGGCACTGTAGCGCCGCTGATTGAAGGATAGAGGCTCTTCTGCGAATCCGGCGCCGCGAATTCGGTATGCTGTCGCGGCGGTATCTTGCCAAACCAGCACGCTAACAGCGACCAGGGCGAAGAAGTCCTCCACCTTCCTACCATCGTCGAGGCGGCCGTCGCCAGTCCCTCCGCTGCCTCGGCGGCAGCAAACCAGATCCGCAAGTTCCTCTCCAAGGAGAACTACAGTCGCCCACATGTCCAGTACAATGCGTGTATGCTCATAAGGATCCTGGCGGACAATCCGGGTGCCTCGTTCACCAAGAACATGGACAAGCAGTTTGCGGATACTATCAAGCATCTGCTACGAAATGGACAGGATCCGAGCGTGGCGCAGATCCTGAAGGAGACGCTGGATTCGCTGGAGAAGGAGAAGGCATACGACACGAACCTGAATACAATGTTCGCCATGTGGAGAAAGGAGAAGCAGCTCATGGCCAGTGCCCAGAAGCACGTTCAGCCATTCGGCTCCCGAACGCTTAACGCGCCACCGTGGACTGGGCAACATCAGGGAGGATTCGGTTCCGGCGGAGGTCATTCGGCATCCAAGGGCCTTCCACCTCCTGTGGAGTTGGTCGGGCGCATCGAGGAAGCGCGAACCTCAGCAAAGCTTCTCCTGCAGCTCGTCCAGTCAACGCCAGCGAACGAGCTGCTCGGCAATGATCTGATCAAGGAGTTCTCGGAGCGCTGCATGGCCGCGCAGCGGAGCATCCAAGGCTACATCAACTGTGACAATCCAGGGCCGGACGACGACACCATGCTTACGTTGATTGAGACGAACGAACAGCTGTCCCTTGCCGCGTCGAAACATCAGCGCGCTGTCCTCCAGGCCCGTCGTCTTCTAGGTATATCCCCATCTCCGCCGATACCCAGCAACAACAACAATCCTTTGCCACCTGGTCCTCCTCCCGCTACCACGTTCAACCCTGCCGCGCAAGCTCCTCCCGCTACGACGTATACCCCGCCTCCGCAGCCTCCTCCACGCAACAATACAGCCCCGATGCTACCTCCTGTCGATGTAGGATCAAGAGAGCAGGACCTGAATCCGACCAGCTACAAGAAGGACGAGCTCCCGCTGCCGCCGGTTCTTCAAGCGGGATCCAACCGGCAACGCACAAACTCTGTTCCCGAGCCAGAGCCCGCGGACAATCCGTTCGCTGATCATCATACTTCTGGTTATGCGCTGCCTTCGGGAGCACCTCCTCCGCGCAGAGTTGAAGATGATTCTGCGGCCAATGGCTATGGTCATGGCCCTTCTTCATACAACCCCGGATATCAGTCAACGCCATCATACCTGGGCCGACAGGAGAGCTCCGCAAACAATCTGACGATGCATGGAGCACAGCGCGAGTTGACGGAAGAGGAGGAATATGCGCGTGACTATCCGGCGAGCGCCGGACCAAGAACGCCGGAGCAGACGAGGACGCGGCATGATAGTGATGTGTCGCCAATCGCGGAACGCGGCGGCGTCACATACCGATATTAGTCGTCTTTCGAGGGTACACAAGGAGATCTCTTTCGCTTCATGGCATGTATTGAGGGCATGGCGGGAATTGCTCGGAGATATCCGTTGGATAGGGTCCTATTCGTGTCGAGCTCGGAGGCAACACCGGTTCTTTCCGCGGTGTGTACCTGGGTGCGTTTCAGCAGTTTTATACCTCTTTCCATCGTTGCTTCCGCTCAGTAGATACCATCGATCTTTGCTTTCCGCCTTCTCATGTCGGATGCCTCGTACGATGCCGTCCGAGTAGCTCTACAGTAGTCTTGGCAAATGTCGTGATTTCAAAGCACGCTTAATAACGGGCTGCATGGTTACCCTATGCTGTGTATGCACGCAAACAGCACGAAGCATATGCGAGTGGTAGGGCGCGAATCGCCGTTGCAGTGCCGGCATTGGGGCGTCCAAACAGGCAGGTTAAACCGGCGTCGTGGGGTAGCGTAGCTGCCTAGGTTGTGCCCCGCCGAGGTGCCAGGCTTAGCGCGACAGGACTTTTAATGTCCGCCGTCATGTTGAAGCAGTTAACTATACAAAGCCTAGCCACGCTCGGATCCGCGCCCCCTTCTCTTCCCCATGGCCTTTTCTGCACTCCTACCAAGAAGCCTTCCATGGCGGTTTCGCTTCCACGATGCGTGGACACCGTTATCATAGGTACGAGCCATTCCTCAGCGCTTATCCCCGCGGAGGGCGGATGAGAGGGGCACAACGGCTGATTAATCAATAGGCAATGGGCCCTCTGCCCTCATTCTGTCCTATATCCTTCACGGCCATATTCCCTACTATATCGGCGGGCACCATGATGCCATACTAGACCAAAAGCTCTCGGCGAACCCGAGTCTCTTGCACCTCACGCCGGACCTGTACGCGCACTTTCTGTCCTCGCTACGGTACTCGACGCAGGGGCTTCCAGTCAATACGCTGCTCGACACGCTCATTCGACCGAACGCGGATACGGAAACAAACCCGAAGTCATGCGTCGAGTGGAGATATGAGCCTGAGAAGGCGATTTCGCATGTCGCCATCGGCCAGACGTCACAGCCCGGTGGACAATGGGCCGAGAGCCCAGTGTCTGCGAGCGCGGATATAGGGACACTGAGCTATGCGGAGCAGTTGAGCCTTCCAGGATACTCGTATGCGGATCATTTGGCGAAGAGCGGCAAGGGAGAGCAATGCGACTTTGTGAGGCCGTCTAGGACTGAGGTCGCCGACTATCTGAAGGCATATCCGGATGCGGTGGAGATATCGGATACTATACGTACGGGAATAAGAGTGGATAATGTATACCGGACTGTAGACGGCTTCGTCATTGGGTCGCTTGGAATACGATGCAAGCACCTCGTCCTGGCTTCCGGTATCTTCACGGTCAACATACCCCCACCGCCGCTACTTGCACCCATCGCGCAGATCGAGTCGAGAGAGAAACCGCTACTGGTAATTGGATCTGGATTCTCGGCAGCCGATGTCATTATATCGACGCCTCCCAATCGCAAAATCATCCACATCTATCAATGGGCTCCAGATACCCGACCGTCTCCGCTGCGTGGCTGCCACCATAGCGCATACCCCGAGTATGCGACAGTATACCGACAGATGAAGCTGGGAGCGCTCTCTTCGAGCAAGAGTCTATCGGCCAAGTCTCCTATGCTACGGCGGAAATCGAATCCCTTCTTCAAACAGCGCGATTGGGCCTCCCTCTACGAGGGGCTTCCGAACGCCGAGGTCCTGAAGGTTTCTACCTCGGACAGCACAAAGTCAGCGAGAGTAACTGTCCGCCTTGCATCCGGGGAAGAGACTACTCGCGAAGTCGGTGGCCTAGCTTATGTCGTGGGAAGACGTGGCTCCCTAGACTATCTCTCCCCTGACCTCCTCGCCGAAGTTCTCGGATCAAGTAATGAAGCCACTCCAGACTTAAGCCCCCCGGCTCTGATATCAGGCCGCACTCTCCGCGCGAAAGCCGAGTCCTCCCTAGAAGTGGCCAAGAACGTCTTCATCATCGGCAGTCTCGCAGGCGATTCGCTCATCAGACACGCAGTAGGCGGATGCGTGTTCGCCGCCGGCCGCATCCTTGGAGCCATACCATCGACCTTTTCACCCCTCTCATCACCCTCACGAGCATCCTTCACGCCCAGGTCCACCTCCCCTTGTCGCCTCTCAGAGGCTGCCTCAGACACCTCTTCGACACCCCCCGCTGCCAATGGGAGTCCCGTCATAATAGCGAATGGACATGAGGATTTGCATCTTGATAGGCGGAAGCTGAGCCGGGGTGTGGAGGTCGCGAACGTGGAGAATAGGTACTGGGTCGATTCTGGGTGGTGGGCTGGCGGTTTGGGGCCCGGTAAACCTGATGTATAGACCATTTCGACTTTGACTGGATTGCATGCGTGTCGGAGACGCGCTCATACTGTGGGCATAGCCAGGGATTTACCCCTTTTCAACATGGGATTGCGGAAGTACCGCCTGTCTCGTGTGTCGAATACAGTCATACTATGCCAAGCCCACTAAAGCCATAAAGGTTTCCTCAGGGCTAATCAGGGACATCCTAGAATTGCAATAGTATCTCGCCCCGCTGATAGCCCTCTCGTCCGCAGGACCAAGTCGACGGCAGGAGTTAGGGAGCACCCCCGAATAAGGTAGGGAGCACCCCTATAAGCCTCCGCGCACGACACTACCCTAATCCTACCCTTATCCTAGGCTGCGCCGCCGCCGCTACGCGGCATTAATACATTTAAACGCCCTTACTCTTTTAACTCTTACCCTTCTAGCCCTAGTCCTACCTGACTCTTACCTAAACATCGCGCGCGGAAGGCTTATAAGGGTGCTTTCTACCCTATAGGGGGATACTCCCTAACTGCTGCCCGAGTCGAACTCGTCCGGGCAGGCGCTGGAACGGTTGGCCCATGTCGTCTAATTCCGAAGCCGCAGATTCGCCAGACCACACGTCGTCGCGCGCCGCCCGGAGCCCGCGAGCGTCAACTCAACACCGAAAGGGTATCGTGAGTCGTTGGAGCTGTAGAGTTTGTTGATCAGCGCAGGACCGGGTCGACCTCGTCCGGGCAGGCGCTGGTGAATTCTTTGGCTATGAGGGTGTGGCTGATATTCAAGGATCAGCCAAGGAGTGTGTTCTTGTTCTTCTTTCTGCGATGCCTTTTCTTTCGAGGAGGTGTTTCGGGCTGGGATGTCTCTGTTTTAGGCTGGGATGCTTCTCTCTCAGGCCCCACTGCTCCTCCGCATCGTGATTCCTGCTTATCCAGACCACGAGCGGCGTCGGCTTCCATTTCAGGAGTTACCTCCGGGACGCCTCTTCGGAGGAATTGTTCGGCGACGTGGGCTTCGTTGCGTTCGGAGATTGCCAGGTACATTAGGCCCCGATAATTTGGGTTTGTTCCGCAAAGGCGTTCGAGGAGATCGGCGAGCTCGAATTGGAATTTGTAGTGTGAGTCTTTGAGGTGGGCTTAGAGGAGGTAGAGTTCGAGTTTTATGTTGTCTGGGTCGAAGTGATAGCCTGCAGAGCACCGTACTCGTCTGCCGACTATTGGATTGAATAAAGGCATCCCAAGAGTATCCAGCGTGTAGCGCTTAGACAAGGATTCGACTTCATGGACCTCGGAGACTAGACTACATCTAGTCAGTGAATCGGGTGCGAAACGAGGGGACAAGGAGACAGAAAGCACATGCTTCCCGGATCATGAAGTTGTGCTTTCTTCGCAAAAAGGCTGTGTATTTGTTATGGATGCCTATCTTCCCTTCTACCTCGAACTTGAGACGGCATATTTCATGAACCGGATGACGGACGGTAGGAGAGATTGCCCTTGGCGCGGAGCTACGCGCCTCAAAATAGCCTCATTTTGATGAATGCGCAAAGCTTAGCGACGCGGAGTTCTCTCTCGCTATCTGTCGGAGGTTGAGCGAATGATAGCGGCGCCTCGGGAGAACGTATCAGCGTTGGGTGAAAAGGCCTATATTCTCCATCGGTCTTCTACTTCATCACCACCTTTGATCGCCAGGCCATTGCTCATTTACACTTCCCTTTTTTTTATCATGTGTAGTCCTCCTTCTTGGACGGGCCCACGTCCCCTTCTTGGGCGGGCCTACCGTTTTATGGCATTGGTCACATACTGCAGCTTGTGACCATCTGGATTTCCTTTTGCTGGGCGGGCGGTAGGTGACCTCGCGGTCAAAACGATTATATCAATATCACTATCAATCCCTTCCCTTCCCTTCATCCTCTTCCTACATGAGACCTCCGGCCCCCATACCGGACATACCCCACATTCCCGAACTCCACAACCAGCCTTGTTCAACGCCGCAAATCAAACGCACATACAAGCGTTCCCCAACGCAAAACGAATACGCACGAACACATCAACGCCACCGACACGCCCTCAGCGCCTGTCCCCCACTCCAGTCTTCCACGTCTTCTCTCATCGTGAAGTGATTCAGAACCACATCGTGAATGTTAGATGTGTCTGTTCGTGTAGAGAGGAATAAGGGCCTGATGAAAGCATGTGACAGAGACCAACGCTACGCAGATGTACACAGAACGTGACATCTTCAAGGCAGTATATCGAATCGCCGCATGATGGATGTGAAAGGAAATCCCGAAAAGGATAAGCATAACAGGGTTAAGACTGATGGAGGCATTGCGGCGAGACGACATACCCAAGGTGATACTTGGCGACTCGCACGATATCCAAGGACCGTACCAAATGGCCAGTTTACTTGACCCAGACGCACTGCTTCCGGACAAAATGATCATGCATATCAATATCCATTAAACTACACTATTAGCGCTCCCTAAAGCAAATGGCAATCTATGATCCCACGCGGGGACGGAAAATAGACTTGAACGCCGAAAAGACGAGAAAGAACGCAAAATAACAAGCATATATACTAAATATAATAGAGAACCCCGAACGCTCGCTCACTCAATGACAGCAATCTATATAATGATTTGCAAGATAAACGCGTGTATTTATGATGCCGAGCTGAATGGCAATGTAACAGTCGAACCATGGAATCCGGAACGCGCGAGAGACCTTGAAGAGAGCTCCAACTCCACCGCTAAGACGCAATTGACCAAATGTTGTAAGACGGATAGGAAGGAACCTTTTTGTACCGATTTGAAGTCGTTGAATAGAGATAATCCTTTTGTGCCGAATTGAACTCGTCCGTTGAAACCGTTTGTGTCCGTAATGGTAGCCGTTGATCGTATCCGTACTAATTTGCAATCTCCAAAAAGTTTTAGTACTCCCATGATTGCCGCGGAGCAGTAGTGCTGCCATACCCCCTAGGTTCCTCCTCTTCTAGCAAACTGTCTAAAACGCTGTCCACCTCGGTATTGGTAACTGTCATCGCGTCTTCATCCTGCAGCTTCTTATGCACGAGGAATGTTTGCACACTGACGTACGTAACCAACGCCACGCCAATAACAAATCCAGCAACAGCCAAGAACGCATTGACCGGGATAGGGTTGCCGTTGAACTTGCTCTTGGTGAGCGCATCGATGCCCGTTTGTGAGAGGTTGATGAGGCCGGAGAAGCAGATAATCGTGCCATAGACGCGGCCGAAAGTCGCAAAGCCGAAGACCTTAGTAGCGTAGTCGGACATGGCGGAGTAGTAGAAGGGACGGAGGATGACGAAGAGAATGACGTTGATGTATCCAGCCCACATGGCCGGAATGCAACCGATAATGCCGATGGCCGTGATCATAGTGACGAGAATGAGGAGCACCGATGGAGTGCTGACGTTGTCGAGTAGCAGGCCAAGGAAGGGCGTAGTAAGGACGCCGCCAATGGGAAGTGCCCAGTCGAAGAAATTGTTGATGCTGATAGCTTTCTCGACAGAGTCGAGCATATACACGTACTGTTCCCTGATCGTGGCAATGAAGTAGTTCATCCGCACCATCTGCAGGACTGTGAGAAAGGTCAGAAGATAGAACCAGGGTGTCAGCATCTGCTCCTTCGCGCTCTTGTTATGCAAAGCACCCCAGACACCGGAGGTTTCATGGCGATGCTCTTCTTTCTCTTCTCGCCGCTTGCGCGTGTCGGGGCTTCCGACTAGCCTGTCAAGCTTGTTCAACCGCCGACGACGACGGACGCTTCGGCTCTTACGCCGTCTCCATACCTCATCATCTGGCAGCTCCTCGTCTGAATCGTGCACGTCTCGCATAGCATCCTCGGCGCGGTGTATCTTCATCTCCAGCTGAGGTGGCGTCTTGTAGCTCTCCTTCGGCAAAAAGGTGAGCTGCGCTATTAGAATCGCGATAGGCACCGCAAGATAGGCGAGGAAGAAGTACTGCGGCTTGAAAGCTCCGTCGCTGGCTTGGTACGCCAGTCGGTAGAACAAAAACACGGCTGCCGACGCATCGAAGGCGCCCGTGACTAGGGCGACAATCGTGCCCGAGTATTTCGGGAAGGCATTCGCAACCTGGAATGAAGGCAGAAAGACAAATGTGCCACCAAGGGCGAGAAAGAAGTTGCCGATGGTGTAGCCATCGAATTCTTCAATCTGAAAGGCGAGGCTCATCAGAAGGCTTCCGACGGCAAGGAAAAGGCAGCCTAGATAAAAGCATAGCTTTGGCCCGTAGCGGTCAAGCAGTGTGCCAACGGGAAGCGCGGAAACATTGGCCGTTGTCGATGCGAGCGAGAAGAAAAAGTTCAAGCGCAGGTCCTGCTCAAAGCAGACCTCGACCCCCGCGTCCAGCTCTTCCGACGTGCAAAGTTCTCTGAAGACGCCTTCCTTGAGGAGGATCGGCTTGAGCGCAGCGAATCCAAACACGATGCCGCTCGCGAACCAACACGCAAGTACCGTTGTAAAGACCTGAGCTGTACGGCGGGGTTAGTGGCACCGCTTGATATTACCCGATTGGGATAACTTACCGATGCGCCTCGTAGTACTGACATTGTACGGCGTTATACCGCCATACTCTTCAATCGCTTCCTCTGGCGGCTTCAGAGCATCGTAACTAATGACGCGACGTACTGATTTTGTGCTGGGCCAGCCGCCGCTCTCGACGGAAAGGCGACGCTCCGATGCGCGGTCGAGGGAGGCAGCGCGTTCCAGCGGGGGCAGGAACAAATCAATGAGCGCCTCTTCTCTGTCCGTGCCCTCGAGATTAGACACATGCTGAACTAAAGACATGGAAGCTCAGCTGTGCTGGACGGCGGATTCGCGCGCGAGATGTCACCAGATAAGAGGGAGAGCGGGTGGGTTGGTTGAAAAGCGGGCGGGAGCGGGTTATATTGGGCCTTGGCCGGACCCTTGTTTGCCTGGGTAAGGTGCTGCCGATAGCAAATCACACGGGACTCGTGCGGAAGCTAGTAGTCAGTGCAATGCTTCCTGCCACAGTATGGTTAGAAAACGTCGCGAAGCCGCTACGTGAAGTGCTGTGCGGCCACACTGCTTACCCCGGTGCTTTATTTCCTCGCGAAGGCCGGACAAACGACAGACGACAGACGCTATGGTTGGAGCAGCGGCGGTCACAACTGCCCCGATTCGTCAATGCGTCGCGCTAAATGGTGGGGTCAACGATCGCCGATTTTCTACCGCACCTTCACGATGCTTCTATCATCACGCCTTTGCTTCGAACCCGGTCCGAACTCGGCGGGGCGACGGGGCCCTTTCACCGAGAAATCGCCTTTGGCCTGTCCAACACCCTGAACGAAGGTGTAGAGGTCCTGGGATGCCGTGCCGTATACGAGAGCGAGGAGAATCCTCTCACCACGCACGGTAAACAATGGTCCAGCAGCGATGTCGTGGAATCACCGAAACACCGTGGTGACATAACGAGAGTATTGCGACTTGGCTGCAGGAAGGCGTCGGTGCATAGTATTGACGTTGAAAGAGCGCGAGGGTGAGCTTGTGAACTATACTTCACTTGTAGGGTGGCTATGTCGAACATCCGGGTGACGTGTGGGGAGTGGTCCAGTATTCCTTTCCCCATTCACATCCCGGCCGCTTCACGAAGGTCTTCATCTTGTAGAATGCGTAGGTATGTAAAAGGGTGCTGAGGCTTCTTCGCTGTCCCGAATTTCGAGATTCCATATTAGAAACACAAACTCAAGGAGCAATACGAACGAACTTACTGCAGCGAACGATGGCCTGCGAGGAACCTGAGCCACTTCTACCGTCTGCAGACAAGGCCCCCGACAACGGCCAGAAGCCCATCACCCGGGCACTTGTACTAGAGCTCCTGTATGACCCCGACGAAGATCCAGAGGAGCAATATGTAGAAGAAGATAACGGGGGAATCGACATTGAAGAGACTACCACGGAAGTTGACTTTGCCCCGGTAAGTGCGGACACCATCTTACAAGAAACTCGGAGCTGGCTGGAAGCTTTGGCAGATGAACAGCAAGCGGAAACAGACTCCACTTCGGACTGCGAAACCGAGGAGGATCCTACGGGAAACGAGTCGCCATCATTGGGGGTAGACGGAGATCAGGGCGATGAACCCGAGCCGACTATTCACGTACAGCCTTCTGACATGGGTATGAACACCGAGGTGCTGCATCGTATACGCGAAGAAGAGCCGGGTCCGCGCCCACCGGAAGGGTATGATCTTATCGCAAATTTGCGCCTCGGTACACCTAAGAAAGATGACACTAGCGAGGAAACCTACGCGGAACTCCTTGAAGTCGTGCAAGCGTGGAATTTGCACGTCGGGAGTATCCCAGACCTGACAGAGGAGCGTGATGAATTTCTGCAGGCCCTCCGGGAGCGGCACCATTTAATCAAGGATGTCGAGCAGCACAAGCGAGAACGGGCCGTCCTTGACGAACCGCCTGAACGACTGCAGCGTGCTATGCGCGCATATCGACCGGAAATCGCAAAGTTTGAGAACCAGAACACATTCGATATCCTGGTCATGATGATTGCCAATCTTCGTATAGCGAACCCGGACCTTGACGAAGACGTAAAGGATGCGGTTATTTGGACCATCTTCATGGAGGTCTGGTTGCCTCTTTGCTTCGAGAAGCAATACCGGGATGAGAGGGCAAAGATCCAGCAGCAAGTGACTAGGGCGCGCGAGAACGGGAATCGAGAGGACATGGGACACTTGACGGAGGAAAAGAAGGCTTTGGACAGGAAACAGGTCGCCCGCGCCGTGGAGAGGGCAATCAATTATATGAAATTCACCCGTAACGAGTTGCGTAGAAGAGTGGAGAAAGATACGGAGCAATTGGCGCTGCTGCAAACTGGGCAGAAATGGTTTGCCTCAGAGGTACTGTCGCTCCCGAAGGCTCTGGCAGAGCAAAAGCGCGCGGCCCTTGATGCAGAAGCCGAACGCACATTCGGTCTGCATTTTTCGGACCACGAAGCAGAGTGTGAAGTCGAAGGAATAAACATCGCGGACTTGGTCGAGATGGGTCGAAGATGCGTTATCCGGACGGAGAAATTCGCAGCGAAAGACATCAAAGACAAGGCGGATAGGGAGCGGGTAAAGCGGGCGAGGATGGAGGAACCCGGTACCGCCACGATGATGTTGAAGATCTTGGAAGACACGGACATAATCAAGGCGAAAGCACAGCGTGTCGTGCGACGCATGACGGGGTTGGAGTCCTCTTTAGATGCGACCCTGGCTGCGGCGAAGGGTCAGTACCGGGAGTATGATGCGTGGTTGGAGTCGATGCCGGACGAGGTCCATGAATGGCAGTGTGGACAGTGAAGGCGCTTGTGGATGCCGGGTGTCCGTTGGCACGGTGTTCGGAGGTAGACGCGCCTACGTAAAGAATGCTGAAGACGTCCAGGAACCCAGATACGCACACTCACGCCCTGTTGCGTCGGAGCCGGATGGTGATTTCGTGGAATGGCGTTGGTCGCGATGCTGGGTTTCGCGCATAGACGCTGTCAGGTATAGAGAAGGATGTAGCAATAAGCTGTTGAATTGCTGCCCGCGCATTTTAAACGCCAACCACGAGCAGCCTGTTGATGATGCCGGGATTTCAACCGCCTGTTGCTGGCCAGTGCTTGTTCTCGCACATCGTGTGAAGAGTCGTGCTGGCGTCTACTTGCGAAAGTGTGCGATCGAAGACCGTCCGCCTCCTGTACCGCGACGGGTGTGCTTGGCATGGAGCGTTCACCCATCGTTCACCCAAGGTGCAATCCCTATGCTATAATGAAAAGGCTCGGCGTAATATAAGCCGAACTGTTGAACGACGGAAGCAATCGAAGTACGTGGTAGAGAGATTCCCTCATCGACGAAGCTGTTACTGTGGGCTACCAGGAGGTAGTCGGAACTACTACTAGAGCCGAAGGAAGGTGCGACCACGAAGAGGAAGGAGCCACCGCGTAGCAGGAAGAATGCCCGGAGAGACTCAGTGAGGACAGCAATATGGCGAAGATGAGGTATTTCGGGTCGTAGTCGCCGCGCGCCGCGCACGCGCTAAGGATGCGCGCGGTGAGTGGCAGAGCTCGCTATGCTGCACAGATGAGAGGCTGGCCTTTTCCGGCCGCTCGGGAGTTAACGGGCAAATTTAGCGGCGCAGAGGAACTTTTCTTCGACATCCCTCGCCCTATCTCCGTCCAACCTCAGCATCAACACCAACAAACTCTCCTCTCAATTTCTTCGTTTTCCATCTTTCGCTTTTGTGCCCCATCAAAGCGAAATGGCTGCCGCTCCTCCTCCCACGCCCTCGGGCTCCCTCAAGCTCGATGCCATGCGCGCGACCGCCGCCGCCGCCGACCCAACAAAACCACAGGGCCTTGCTCTGTACTCAAGATTCGCCTTCGCTGGCGCTGTCTGCTGTTCCGTCACCCACGGCGCCTTCACACCCGTCGATGTGTACGTATTCCGCATTAATTGAACAGTTCGGTGGGCGCCAATGGCTCGCCGTTCTTTACCCGAGCTTTGCGACAGCTCTTGAGAGCCTTTTGTCTCAAGTGTCGAGCTGACATCTCGCAGCGTCAAGACCAGGATCCAGCTCGACCCCGTAACCTACAACCGCGGCCTCATCGGCGGCTTCAGGCAGGTCGTCGCGAGTGAGGGTTTCGGCGCTGTCTGGACCGGCTTCGGTCCTACGGCTGCCGGTTACTTCCTCCAGGGCGCCTTCAAGTTCGGAGGATACGAATTCTTCAAGCAGCAGTGCATAAATCAGCTCGGCTACGAGACCGCCTCCAAGAACCGCACCGCTGTCTACCTCGCTTCGTCCGCCTGCGCCGAGTTCTTCGCCGACATCGCCCTCTGCCCGCTCGAGGCCACCCGTATTCGTCTCGTCTCCCAGCCTACCTTCGCCAACGGCCTGATCGGTGGATTCGGCAAGATCTTGAAGAATGAGGGTGTCGGCGCTTTCTACTCTGGTTTTGGTCCCATCCTATTCAAGCAGTACGTGCACCCGGAATCCAGCGCCGTTTCTAGCAGCTGACGTTTTTTTGATAGGGTCCCCTACACCATGGCCAAGTTCGTCGTTTACGAAAAAGTCTCCGAGTTGGTCTACCGCCAGGTCGACAAGAGCAAGGCCTCCAGCGGCATGCAGACCGGCATCAACCTTGGTTCTGGTCTCATCGCTGGTTTCGCCGCCGCCCTCGTCTCCCAGCCTGCCGACACCATGCTTTCCAAGATCAACAAAACCCAAGGTCTGCCTGGTGAGGGTACCATCTCGCGCTTGGTCAAGATCGGCAAGGAGCTTGGCTTCCGCGGCAGCTATGCTGGTATTGGCGCTCGTCTATTCATGGTCGGTGGTCTCACGGCCGGCCAGTTCGCCATCTACGGTGAGTTGTCCCAAGTACGACCTATATAATTAGTAGCACGTGGCTAACAGAGAAAAGGTGATATCAAGAAGGCGCTAGGGGCCACCGGCGGGGTAGAAATTGCTAAATAAGGAGAGAAAAAGACGAGAGGGCGAGAGAGGGATGATACCAAGACAGCCACGACGCTTTGGGTCTCTTAAGGGAGGCTTTTAATCATGGGAAAAGTGTCAGTCCGTCTTTGTATTCTTGCATATGGCTGCATGGGTTCTCTTCTTGTGTTTGCGTTTATTTGCAGCCAGTATAGATTTTCTGCCCTTTTCCGCCGGTTAGAAGGTTGGACTTGTAACAGTACGAATACTTAGGAAATTCGCTGCACAATAGACCCTCATGGTGTGGACATCTCCGGATATAACGACGCACGTACCAGCCATCTTAGAGGCGTTCGCAGGTGCGTACAATAGCACGTATAGTCAGCTGTATGAGCAATATCATCTGTACAGCCAGCCCTTGATCCGAAGAATTTTCTACCGCAAAAGACCCCGCCAGTTAGTTCTCCTAATTCCAGTAGAGTTAGCTGCAGTATGCCCTCAATGTGTGATGCTTGAACGGGAACCTTGAATGCGGAACGATGCGCAGCAGACATCGTCTCATCTATAATCTGAACAAATAAAACGGCCGTTCAATTGCATGACTCTAAGCAAGCAAGTCTACTACGTATCTACGTGGTATCTTGGAAACAAATATCCCAACCAAGGAAACCATCATCCCTCCTTTACTCCCCATAGATGTTGGAATCAAAGTTCACGGGGAATCTATCCCTCCCCTCCGCCTCCTTGTTCACCCACACAGCGAGACTCACCCCGGGGCACTTGAACAACCCATACCCCTCCTCGTCGATCTCCACTTCGCCCTCCTCCCAGCCCAGGACATCGGTCCACTTCTCACCCGTATGCTCCTTCCCGACCGCCATGCGGATCTGCCCCGGCCCCTTGTTGCTCATCACGCACGCCAGTCCAGCGGGCTTATCCCACGTCCCGCGGCGCACCCAGCCGATGCAGTTTGCGTCATCCAAATAATCCTCTTGGCTACCGTATGCGTACAGTTTCCGCGCGAGCATGAGGTCGGCGAGTTTCCCGCCGCAGGACGGCGGCTCGGGATTCTTGCCCTTCATGCCGTACATGTCGCCGTAGAAGACGCACGGATAGCCCTCCTTCCGCAGGAGGATGAGGGAGTACGCGAGGGGCTTGAAGAAGCCTTCAATGGGTGTCTCGACGGTCTGTCCGGGTTGCGTGTCGTGGTTCATGACGACAGTCACCGACATGACGGGAGCCTTTTGCACGAGCGTGTCATCGAAGACTTTACGCAGGTCGGCGGCCTCGGTCTTGCTGATGCTAGAGAAGTTGTATAGCAGCGGGGCGTCATAGAGACAGAACTTGTGGTTCATTCTCTCGAGCCACGGCATCATTTGGTCGACGTCTCCGACCCAGAATTCACCCACGAGGAAGATGTCGTCCCCGCATTGCTCGCGCAGGTTGTCGACCCATTCGTTGGTGAAGCGCTCGGAGAAGTGCTGCACGGCGTCGAGTCGGAAGCCCTTCAATCCGAGCTCCTTCGTGATCCAGACGCCCCAGTTCTTGACGTCGGCTTCTACTTCCGGATGCGAGTAGTCTACGTCCGCAAACATCATGTAATCTGCATTGCCTTGCTCATTGTCAACCGACTCGCTCCAGCCTTTGTTGTCGCCGAGGATCTTGTAGATGGCTTTGCGCTCGGTGGCTTGGTCCCAGTCTGTGCCGCTGAAGTGCTCCCAGTGGTACTTCATAGCACTGTATTTATCGCCGCGCCCGGGGAAATCGAAACCCAGCCAGCCTTCGATCTCGTAGGGATCGGAGATTTCCTTCGTGCGGTCGTTCTCGTCCACTTCGACGACGCGGCATTTCTCGGTGTGGTCGGCGCCTGCTTTGTGGTTGAGCACGGCGTCCCAGTAGAGAGATACGCCCTTCTCCTTGGCTAGATTCGACAGCCCTATCAGCTCCTCTTTGGTGCCCCATTTTGTGCCCTTGCCTCCTTTCTGGTCGAACTCGCCGAGGTCGTACAGGTCATAGATGTCGTAGCCATTGCCGTTGGCTGATTGCGCTTTGCAGCCTGGAGGCAGCCAGAGGGCTGTTATGCCGACGTCGCGGAGCGCGGGGAGCGTGGTTGTTAGGCGTCTCCAGTGGCCGCCGTCCGGGGGCACATTCCACTCGAAGCCCTGGAAGAGGGTAGAGTTTTCGGGGGTGGGCTTTTGTTCTAGTGGAAGTCAGTATGCGGAGAAGGGGAATGCGCAGAGTAGGGCTATACCTTCGGAACCCATGGTGGTTGGTCTATCTTCTATATGATAAGCAAAACGTGAAGAAGTGCAGTGCGCTCCTGGGGAAATGAAAAGGGAGAGAGTTTGCGATAGTTAGAAAGTGAGGAAACTTTTTGGCGTCGCCGCGGATTAGTCGCTATATAGCTTGAAGGATGCCTTCGTCATTCTTGCCACGACCGCGTGGGTGAGCGGTTATCTCCCGCATTCCCTGCAGCCCTAGTGAACGGCCCAGATTATGGTCGTGTGAACTTGGTTGGGATACAAGGGCCAGATGTTGGCCAACAATATGCATCGGTGACGTCGTTGTGCGCTCTGTAGCTGTATAGTGGGGGAAAGCGAGTTTGGATTTCCAAGGTTACGAGCCGTAGAGGTGCGCTAGAGGCTGGAGATACGGCATGCTTTGAATACAAGGGTAGCAGATGCAAGACATACGATAAGTAGGTAGTTAGCGAACTATGATGGAATATGGTTTACTGAGGAAATGGCATGAGAGAAGCAGCTGAAAGGGCCCGGGCGTATGATCTGCACTAGGCTAAAATCGGACTAGAGTATTTTGACTCCGAAGATCCAGTGTCGCTCCCTCCTTACCTTCACTGGCATGATAGTAACTACGGATTCTCTCAAGCTTGGGAAACAGTAGCCTGACCCAAGTTGGCACTCATACAAGGCACCAAACCGTCCCGAGTTCCAGTCCCCGAATCAGCCTCGCAGCTGCCTAGCCATTCACAGCCTCAACCCTCGTATCTTCCAACCACAACAGCTTAATCGCGTGGATCCCCCAGATCGCTCAAGGTAGTTTTTCAATTTCTCTCAGTTTCACTTTCAGGACTAACCATGGGTGACATTTCGGATGCAGAGAAGCAAAAATCACGCTCAGCGCGCACCAATTTTCTCTCTCAAATACTTAAACGCACAAACACGCAACCACCCCAGTCCATTCGCTACGAGGATACAATAGAACCCTCCGAGCCAGCGTATAGTTCTGTCGAAACACGCAATCGTTTGCTAGCCGGAGTTTACTCCTTCGAGGACCTCACCATGGCACCAAATAATCCATTCAATCTTGGAGGAGGCAACAAATCCCCTCTCATTCTCCGCTTCTACGACCCAGACATCAAGGCCCGAGACGCCCATGGACGCACTCTAGATGAAATCCTGGATTGGAGGGATGCGCAACTTGAGCGCAGCCATGACTATATTCAGATTCTCTTTCCGCTTCCAGAGGGTTCACCTTTCAACTATGCGGCCCCGATTGTCGATCGTGAGGTCATGGAGGCATTTCACTCGCGCACAGAGCTGAAGAATAGACTAGGGGAGAGTTTCGAGCGAATGATAGAGTTCTATGGGTTTGCCGTTTCCGCTGTGCCTGAGGACGAGGAAGAGAGCGATGATGGGAGTGAAGAGCAGGCACAGCAAGGTGAAGACGCCGAAGAAGGGGGCAAACTAAAGGAAGAGGAGGAAGAGAAGGACAAACGGGAGGCGACGACCGGCGCTGAGGAGGCTCGAGAAAACGGGGCGTCTGATTCCTCCGCGTTACAGAGCACAGAAGGGCAGTCCGACCCTACGGCGGCCTCAGAGACGACCACCCACGTGGATGTCGCATCGAACGGACCCACCGCTGCACCATCAAATGAGACTACCGCCGGAGCCAAGAGCGACTCGAAGCCCGCGAACAAACCGCTCGTCGGCTTCTACGTAGTCCGCGGCCCACATTGGCAGCAGGCCTTTCGCAACTGGGCCATCCGCTTCGACCACAACCACCTGCGAATCACCCGCATCCTGCGCTGCCTACGAGTCCTCGGTCTGCAGACAGAGTGCGAAGCATTCTACACAGCTCTTAAGGCCGTCTTCAACGACCCCAACATCTACATCAACGAGCGATCCATGATCTTCTGGCGGAGGGCGGTTCGGCAGCCATTGTATATTGCGCCGGATGGCGAGCGGATCGCTTGGCTTAAGAAGTGGGAGCAGGCGCAGGAAATGGCCGAGGAGGAAAGGGAGGCCAAGAAGGCGAAGACGGAGGATGATGTGCCGGCTGCGGAGCAAGCCAGAGCTGATTAGGAATTCGAGGCCGCAGGTCTACCATGGCGGCGACAGCGAGTACCAGTGATGGTAGGTTCCGCCCCTTCTGAGGTGAGCAACCTAGAGCTGCATCCCGCTGCCTAAATGGAAGGGGTTCATGGAGTACCGGGTATGACTCGTCCAAGCATTCAGTTAGCATCGCAGTTGATACCAACCATTCAATTCGAATGACGTGACCAAAAAGAGCAAACAGGGCCATCCGCATGAGCACGTCACACTGCTTGCACACATGCAGTGTCTCATTCCCATGAGGAACATGCAAAGACCATCATTCCTGCCAGATTTCGGTGCAATTCCATGTATATACAACCATCCCTATTCTGTATTGCAGCCCTGATCATGCCCCCTTCCTATCCCGGCGTCTAGAACTCTGAGATCATATCACCCCTCCTTTTGCCGCGCATCTCCCACTTGCCCTGTTCCCGCATCAGCTTCCATTTCCCTCATTTCCAGTATCACGCAGAGCACTCACCTCCGTCATGTATCCAGCAACACCGAGTATACCCGGCACGAGGATGACGTACGCGAAAGAGATCCACGCTGTTCGCGGCGTCCAGCGGAAGTACTTGTGTCGGTTGACCGTCATGTCTGTTCCTCACGTCAACCTACGTATTCTCCCCATCCACATATCGATATCCTTCGGATGCGGTTCGCGGAGGACGGGTTGGAAGGCAGGCAGGCGGGCAGGGAGGGAGGGAGGGAGGGAGGCGTACTGTTCCATTTTATGAGTGCGGGATCCATGTGGATCGCTGTGAGCGGGTTAGTGATTGTAGCCATTGAGGGGGCAATCGGGGGCCGGACGAACCTTGGGGATTGTGGTGGCCACCCGCCATTTTGAAGATTAGGTGGCGGTAGCTTTGAAGCGGGGTTTGGGGTTGTTGGGTAGGAGAGCTTGGGTGGTACGTCGAAGCTGTGATGAGGTCGTCGCGGAGCGGTGACTAATCGGGGCTTGGCAGCACTTCTCGCCTTACGATTCAGGCACCCATTTTTCTGCCATCGATTTACACCTCGATTCAACGCATGCATTCTGGAGCTTGCATGACTTATTGGGGTCTGAACTCATGCCATGTATTCCCTTGATTTGTTGGCTCATCCTTCTCCACTCTCGTACTCGTACACCTATTCGAAGATGCGAAGCAAGCCCATACCCTTTGTACTGCGTACAGCTATCAAGTCCCTTGAATCGATCAATTGTCTGCCTTCCTATGCGACATACTGCAATGAAATATTCGTCTACAAGCTTGTCGCGTCTCTCCTCTGTCCTGCATCGGCAAGCGGTCGGTCTCCGTTTAGCATCGTACGAGGCGCCCGAGCAAGCAGAACCGTCTTCTTCCGAGCACTACGTTCCCTGGCGTAAACGCCGACGCCAGCTCGGACAGTTGACATGCCTGGGCTCGGTGTTCCTCTCTTGCCAGGTACGATTCGGCGTTGAATCCATCCGTCGCGGACTTGGTCGGGCCGTGACCCTTCCTTGTGACGAGTCCGTTAAAGGCGAAGCCTCGGCCCGTTTCGTCCTTTCTTTTGCGATTCCTAATCTTCGCACGAACTACCTTCATTTTCAAGTCGTTTCCGAGAGACCTGCGAGTTCCTCTCATCATCGTCAGCGTGAACACTATGGCGAATCAGCAGGGTGCAAAGATTACTGTCCACTGGTAAGCCACCCGGCCGCTCAGCCACACATCTCCCCTGCTCCCTTCAACACTACACCGCCGTCCAATGCAACTCAAAAATCCGGAATCAACAGCATCCGAGTCTTCAGCTCTGCCTTCGTACTGATCCATCAACCAGGCTGAACAAATCCCGCGGCCAGCGAATTATTTGGCTCCTCGAGGAGCTTGGCCTTGAATACGAGATCAAAGTCTACAAGCGAAATGCAGAGTTCAGAGCGCCTGCGTCGCTGAAGGAGATCCATCCTCTCGGAAAGTCGCCGACCATCACTATTGAAGCGCCCGGGGTGGAGAAGCCGCTCGTTCTGGCAGAGAGCGGCCCCATTATCGAGTACCTGTCTGAGCACTTCGGCCGCCAGCTGATTCCTCAGCGATACCCCGAAGGCAAGGATGGCATGATTGGCGCGGAGACTGAGGAGTGGCTGAGATACCGCGTAAGTTACACCTCTTCTCGGTTTTTGTAATCGTTGCTATGAGACGTATGCAACGAGATTTCCCTCTTTCCATGACCGTTCCAAATCCGGGCGCCTCTACGTGCTTTCCTCTTCCATATCCGGAGGACATCTAGTCCATTACTCTCCTCACTGGAACTGATACTGATAATGTTGCAGTACTTGATCCATTATGGCGAGGGGACTCTCATGACAATCATGATAATTGCACTTATTGTGAACAGTACTTTTACGCTCCCAGCGAGCTCTTTTAACACTAACGCTGGTAAAGATATCCGAGGGGCTCCTGTGCTCTTCTTCCTGAAGCCAATCACCAGGGCGATCGCCAATAAAGTTGATGGATCGTTCACCAATCCCGAGCTGGAGACCAACCTCACTTTCCTGGAGGATTATCTCTCGAAATCACCGAATGACGGACAATTCTTCTGCGGAACAAACCTCTCGGGAGCCGACATAATGATGACTTTCGCGCTCGAAGGTGCAGTGAAGCGTGCGCCAATGAATGAGACGAGTTATCCGAAGCTGTATAGCTACGTGCGGAGAATGCAAGCGAGAGATGCGTATAAGCGCGCTGGGGAGAGGGTGACTGAGGCTAGTGGGGAGAAGTACATTCCCTTCTCAGATCTCGATATGTAAGGACGCAAGAAGCGCAGGGTGGGACATGGGAATGAACGCCTTTTGGATGGGGCTTTCATAGAATCCTCTTAAAGTTGCGATTCTTAGGAACAAACGACAGCGGACCATGCTTTCCAAACCTAGTCTCCGTAGCCTGAATGACGTGCAACGACTAAACTCGGTGTTCAAGCGCGCCGACTGTAGCGGCATGGCGACCGGACCTGACCGATGCTCCAGGATTTCCTTTTGCTAAGCCAAGGGTTGCGGGCGCGCGACTCACGTCAGCATTTTGCCGTGGGCGGCTCGTGGTCGCGAAGCTTCGAACTCCCGGCCGCAGTCAGCGTCACTCTCAGCCCCCAGGTGGCTTCGGTATCGGCGGCTACTATGCATTTCTAGAAGGTCTTCGTGGGAAGCATGCGTTATGATTCGCCCGAGCGGCTCGTCCGAGAGCGAGGCGGATGTAGATGAGCAGGCGATGAGCATTACTGTACCAACGATGATATATATGCCAGCGGAATGCGCATACGTGTCGCAGCTTCGATTTGCACTTCGACCACTACTTCGATATCTGCACCGGTCCCACTACCGATTTCAAGCCTCTCAAATCAATATCGCAGCAGGAACCATTTTCTCTTCCAGAGCCGATTACATACTCCGGGCCTCGTATTATCAAAGCACGGCACTATTCCGCATCGAGCACTCATCCGGGGAGCTTTACATTTTCGCGAACCTTACTCATCTATCCATCAGCAGCCGCCCTGATAGTCCCCCTTTGCGCTGCCAGCAGCACTTTCGCATCCCGCTGCTGCGACTGTGGAGGGCACCTTCTCGGATGAAAGCTAGCCTTTATGCCGGACCAGGCCAAACGAACAACCTCACGAGACTTCGCATTTCAAAGCACTGACCAATCCTTCACCCACCAGCTCGGCGGAGCTGAAGGAGCTCCGCAATCCGCATATCATCCCCAAACACACGAGCGCTATGATGTGGAGAGCGCTACAAATTCTGGAGGGGGATCGGCGACATCGAATCTGGCAGCTGCGCCGGACTCTTCTTTGAGATTTGCGGAATACGGCGCGCAGCAGAGCTCCGTCCCACCGCACGCAGCTTCTGGACAGTATCCCGGCTACAGCTTCAGTCCGGGAGGACCGCTGGTTTGGGACTGGGGCAACTCAATTGACTTCCCGGACTTCACGAACCACTACGAACCGCAAGGGGAGCTTGTGCAGGAGCTCCAGAATCCGAACGTGCCCGCGAGCGATTTCAGCATTCCCCTCCCGGTCACGAATGCAGAGACGGCATACCAGTCGCCACAGCAGGTAGCAAGCTCGCATTCGACGACTGTACAGAATCCGCTCTCCCCGCCTCCTAGGCCGCCGCAGAAGCCTTCGGTCCAGACGGGCATGAAGAGGAAAGCTGAATCTGAACCTAGTTCCGCCGTATCGCAAACCGCCAGCAACTTTGGAGAGCCTCAGCCGAACCCACCAAAGCGCGCGAACAAGTCGCGATCCTCGTCTTCAGCTTCTGCCGCCACCTCTCCCGTTGTTGCGACCGCGTCCGACGCGCAAGTACCGCCAATGACCCAGAAGGTTTCCGCACCGGCGGCCACCGAAAGCGCACCCCAAGCTGCGTCGAATACAAGTACTGAGATTCAGAAGCGGAAGGAGCCTAGCAAAGGCACCGGCCCGCAAGGACGAGTCATCGATGTCTCGAAACCAAGAAGGATAGTGGAATCACCAAGCGGAGCAGAGATTCTTCCCGCGGGGAAGGTGTTTCCAATACAGATTGGGTCGGAGCTATTCAGATTATCAGGAGCTTCGCTATCGTCTGATGGTAAGCATGGGCCCTGGATTACCCTTTGCTCAAAGAGATCGTGAAAGCTAAGAATTCTAGAGCACCCTCATACTTCTCGCATTTCTTTGGGGAGCAATTGCACAGCAATGGCGGCCGCGCTCCTGGTGACCTGAGGACATTATACATCGATCGCGATCCAGACACTTTCCGCGACATTGCATTGCACCTGCAGGGTTATCACATCAATCCCCGCGATGGCGAGCACTTTGTGCGCTTGTTTGCCGACGCCCAGTTCTACTCACGTAAGCCCAAGGCTGCCCCTGACTCCATGGCCATGTGGCAGAATGATGCTGACGACGCCCAGTGCCCCGTCTCACCAAACAGCTATTTAGCACCGATATCTTTATCCGCATTGGCGGCGTGCCTTTCCAGATCCCACGTGATCTTTTCTCCTCGCCTGGCGACAGCCCGAACTACTTCTCGCTTGGATTCGCGCAATTCTTTTCGACGCCGACTGAAGTCTTCCCTGGGCTTGATCGCAATGCGCTGCTTCGCCCACCCTCGATATCACCTCCTACGGTGCCGAACAGAAGCGGAGAGACCTTCGCAGAGCTTGTGAAGTTACTTCAGGGCTACAATATTGACATTAGAAATGACGCACATCGATCGCAGCTGTTGAGAGATGCGCGATATTTCCACCTTAGGGGGCTTGAACAGAAGCTTATACCCTGCGAAATCTCGTACAATCTGAGGAGGAGTCAATCGGAGATCCTGATACGGCTAGAAGATGTACGACAGTCTGGCATATCATTCAGACCAGATACTTCAACAAGCAATTCGAGCTCCGGATCGGGGTCAGCCGCCCCATCCGCTTCAGGACTGTCACCCGCACCTACAAGCAAGCCTGCCAGTCCCGCGCCTTCCCTTGGGGGCCCTCAGTTTCGACCTGGCACTGTCTCCTACGCGCGGCCATATACAGATGATCATTCGAACACAAATATCCTTATCCTCGAGGTCTCAACGTCTGAGTCCACCACCCTTCATCTCCCCATCGATCCTACTAAACCCCGGTCCGACTCTGAACCTCTCACTCTCAATCTGAGGGCAACATTCCACGGCAGCACCCTTGCTCGGATCACATCGCTCTTCTCCGTCATAGCTTCGAAAATGGGCTTGCCTGCTACACAGCCTTTGGGCCTTATGATGCTCCAATCAGGCGGTGGCGTCGCAGCTCAGCCTGTCTCGCCCGCTAATTCAGGCGTCAGTGAGCGACGCGTCCGCGTGAGAATATCCTCAGACTGCTACATGGACATCGACGACATGCCTGCCGAGCTTAGCGTTGACCCTGAATCTGGACGCTTGGGCATTAAACGCGTCCTTGCAGACCGCCCGTCAAAACGCGTAAGAGTGTCCGATGACTACTCGGAGAATGACGACGTTGAGAATAGCGAGTGGATATGGGGCGGCGCGAGAGATGTTGAAGTGCGTATTGGGAAGGATGGGGAGGAGCAGCAAGAGGACTTGGTGGTTAAGAAAGCGCATTGGCGGGTGAGGGTCGAGCCGGTGGAAGGCGAGCGTGGGAAGATGCAGGTCGTGCTCTGCGGAGTCAGGATCGCGGGGTATAGCAGGGAGAGGAGTCGGAATCGATCGAGAGGGTTCTTAGGGAGGCCTTGAGGAGAACGTAACACAAGAGGAAAGGAGTTCCTGCATACTGTGGTTGCAGAGGGAAGTTTTGTCAACTTGGCAATCACACGCTCAGGCCAAGAACGCTGACGTATAATGCCTGATTGGCCAAATCAGCCCTCACTGGCCCTTTGGAGATCTGTGACTTTCTACGCCAAAATGCCAAGTTGACAAAACTACCCCCTGCAACCACAGTATGGGCGGGATATGGAAAGTTGGAGACCTGGAGAGCTTCTTGTTGCTGTCTTTGTGGTGGCAAGGCGATTTAGCGACTTCCGTTCTGCGTACATTTGCGAGACTGGTTACAACCTTTTGTAATTCCACCGCTCAATGTAACGTGTGATAATTCTTCCTCATCAAGCTCGCAGCGGGGGCCTCTAGCTCCCCTGGGAATCCTCCTTGTAGGTGAGTCTCGACGCGTTACCACACTAACACTCATCCGGCTAGCGATCAGCACGCGAACGTCAATGTCCCACGCGCCTCCCGACTGACGTCACAGGGCTCTGAAGCTTGAATCCAACCGCCATGACAGCCACTACATAAAGCCTGGACTAGGTGAACTTGATCTACCGTGCATAGACCCATACCGTCTCGACTCGTATCTTGCCTTCAGCTTTGAACAAAGACCAGCGACAAAAGCCAACATCAACATGTCCAACGACAACAAAGACCACATCCCCACCACGAACGAAGACGAGCAGCAGGAAGAAAACAAGGGCTCCGGAGGCCTTCTCGCGCCCTTAGGCGACCCAGTCGGTACGTTCCTCGCCTTTCCCCCCATCTCGTCCTACCCCGCCCACCCACCGCTCCCTACATAACCATCTCATCTCAGCTCCTCTCCTAACCCCGCCTCCCCACAGGAAAAGTCCTCAACACGGGCCTCCGCCCCCTCGGCGCGCCCCTCGAGAAAGTAACCCAGCCGCTCGGCAACGCCATCGGCGGGACGACGCGCGGCGCGCTGGGCCCGCTGCTCGGCGAGAAGGACGAGCGGATGGAGGTCATTGGCGGGAACAACAAGGATAGCTATGAGCACAAGCCGGAGAAGATTGCGGGCAAGGAGCAGACGGGGGATAATCCGTTGGGGCTGGATCAGACGGGGCGGTGGGGGTTTAGGGATGAGTAACTGAGTGGGTGGGTAGATGGTGGGGATGGGATCTGTGAAGGGGTTTTATATGAGTATATGGATATGGTTATGATTGAGGGTATTGGGTATATCAGGGCTGATAGGAGATTGGAAAATCCATAAATGACTTAATGACCAGCAAAGGATGTTGCTGTTCGTGATCTTGGTATTCATACAAAGGTTGCGACTTACGGGTATCCCAGCCAGCCCCAAACACCGTCACGCCATACGCCTTCGCTGTCTTCATGACAAGTTTCAGAACATTTCATCCAACCCGCTCTCATCAAACACGCTTCTCCCCCTCGCGCCACCCCCTCTTGTGCCATTAACCCCCTTTCTCCTCTCCCTAAACGTATCTTCAAAGCTCCCCGTATTCTCTTCATACCCTATTTCTATTTCCCTCCCCATTCCTCCTTCATCTCCCCCATCCGCCTCCACGTCTACAAATCCACTACTTCCACTTCCATGCAGTGGTGGAATAGGCGTCCTGCCCGTCAGAATATCATACAAACTGTCATCACTCTCATCCGCCTCCTGGTTCTCGAACTTCAGAATCTGGTCTCTGCCCTCTGGCCAGAGGATTATGTAGGATTGATGTCCGAACACGAGGGCGGGTTTCTTGTCTGTGGGTGTGTTGAGCCAGCTGGTGGACCATTTGGGGGGCAAGGAGCCAGCAGGTTTGCTAATAGAGGAGGAGAGGTCGAGGGTGGACGGTGGAGCGAGGACCGTAGTCGATAAGGATGTAGAGTTTGAGAGTGTTGGCGCGGTGTACAGATAGAGCACTGGGGAATCCTGCGCTGTCTGGATGAAAAGAAGAGCGGGATTTGAGGGGTGCCATCGCAGGCTCTTAACCGGCGAGTGTTGTAAGAGAATCGTCCTCGGCTTCAAACTCCTCAGATCCCATATGCGCACCGTAGTAGGCGTCGAATCCTCTCTTGTCGCGCACATCGTGCCCTCGCTGTTGAATGCCATGAGACCGATACCCTGCTTCATGAGCCCGTTGTCGTTCTTCTCGAGCGGAGCTTTCGGCAGGGTCACAGGTTGCTGAGTGACCGAATAGCTCCTGGCCCCGCTCGCATCGACTTGTTCCGTATACACCGGCACGGTGGGAACGCATATCTGCGCTGTATGATCTAGATATACGACCGGAGAAAACGTTCGCGTGGAGAGTATCCGAACGCGTCGGTCCCAGCCTCCGACGGCTAACCACTCGTTCCCCGGTACCCATTCCACGTTCTTGATCCCTAGGCCTTCTATCCCCCACTCGTTCAACTCGTCCGACGGTTCGCGCGATATCGTCCGGTAGAGGTGTCCGTCCGCGGTGTATATGCACAAACTGTATCCCGCGCTCGCAGCATCCCATATCGCGATCCACCGCCCATCCCGACTCCACTTCAGCCCCTGCGCGTCAACAGTCGGAAGCTCCACCCTCTTCAGCACAGTATACGTCCTTGGCGCAAGCAGCATCAAAACATCTTGTCCTGCATTGCGACACAACACGGCCATGACCCCTCCCACTCCTCTTGCCGCTTCTCCCTCTACCTCACTCCTCGGCCTATACCCCCAACCTCGGCTCCCCCTTCCGATGAACTTCGGGTCCCTAATCTCCACCGTTCTTCCCGTCCTCAAACACCACACTACTAACTTCGACGCGAAATCGCTCCAAACGCACACCTCCTCTTCCGTCCTCCCAAACTCTACATGCACATTCTTGCCCATGCCCCCTGAGCCATTGCTTATCACGGCACTCCATTTATCGTCGCGGAGGTCATAGACGCGCGTGTTGTCATCGTCGGCAATGAGGACGCGGTGGGAGCGGACGGGAAGATGGTGGCGCGGAGGTGTAGATGTACGTGGGCGAGTCGTGGACGGAGGAGACCATGCAATGCGGGAAATGCGGAGATCATGCGAGGAAGGAAGTAGAATGCTGCGGATAATTTCGAAAGAGGTGAGGCAGCGGATTTGCAGTCGGGCGCCGGAGAGGCAAGCGACGTGTGAGGCGGTCGGCGACGGGACGGAGAGGGATGTCGCTGGTCTTAGTTAGCAAGCTTGACGGATGCATAGATGTCGCAGAAATACGTGCTTTTAAATTGAGGAGATATATCCATGCCTTCCATGGCGGATAGCGCGATTGGAGTTATGATGTCCGACATCTGAGGTTGTTGACGAGGGTAAACAAACCGCAGCGTTAGGCTGGCCAATCAGAAGCGAGTATCTCCGCCTTGGATTACTCCAGCGAGGACTTCAGACTCCTTTCTATGATTAACATACTCACTAAAGCTATTGCAGTAGGAAAGCCCCGGCTATGAATATACGATAAGTCAGTCATGAGCACTGCAACGATCTTACCAAATATCGTCCCAATGTCCCAACCCACATCCAGCTCTCGGATGGGACACACAAGTGCACATCCACTCCGCCTGTAGACTAGCAACTCATAGGTCGTGCAGAATAAGAACTCATCCCAATCACAGGTCTCCAGACTCTCAGCAAACCTCTGCCATTATCTACTCCACTATCCCAAACCGGAGTGGCAACGAGGGTATCGGCATACACAACCACGAGAAAGCCAAAAACTACCGTTGAACTTCCCTTTCGCCGAAGCCGGGCATTTTAGCTACAGTCAAAACCTAATCATTTCCAACCCAGTCTAGGGAATCCAACCAACCAAATGGGGGTTGAGAAGTGAAATAGAGACATCAAAAAGAAATCGTGCATATCCACATGACCCACTCTATATCGTCGCTCGTTCATTCCAAAATCTCATCGCTTATGTGCTGTACACAGGCGCCTTGAACAAAATGCTCTTCCCGCGGATCTGCACCGCAACGCCAACAGCCATGCGTACTCTCGGTGGTGGAGGGTCTTCTTTTGTCCCAGCCGAGCTGCCAGATGGAGCCTGGGAGAGGCTCTGCTGACTGCCTCCTTGGCCGAGGGAGGATTCGCGTTTCCCTAGCGAAGCAGGAGTCTGCGAAGGTTTCTTTGATGCGCCAAAGCCGAACATGCTGCGCTTCTTATCCTCCTTCGGGATCTGACTGGCCTGCTGACCTTGTTGGCTCTGCTGGTCCTGATCTGTAATTGAGGCATTGTCCTCCATCTTGGATGCTACGCTCTTCAGGGAAGCACGGTCGGCTTCATCTAGCTCTTGAATCGGGTTGGTCAAGGCGGGGATGCCTGACTCCATCTTCATGAACTCTGACACAAGGCCATGACCTGGAGGGAAGTACTCGATGTGCACTTCTCTGCTCTCCAGTGGAAGATGCTGGGCAATGTTGACCGCCAGCTCGACAATCATGGGGACACCTCCGTTCAAATCTGGAGGCGCTGGATCATTCAAAAACATTTGTAAAGACCCTATGAGCTTCTCATTGAGAGTCTCTGTCAGAGTTTGCCGGTTTGACGCCGCTGATTGAGCCTTCAGCAGGTCTGTCAGGCCTTCCAAAGTGGCGAGCCGCCAATTGATGACCTTTGCCACCAAAGCATCTTCGTCCTCAGTGGTGTGGCAGGTTGGCGAGAACCTTCGGATGTTAAGCTGAATCGCCTTCAATTGGGTCGATAAGCCGGGCTCCAAGTCGGGATGGAAGTACTTGTCAAAGATGTTTTCCACCAGCCAGCATGAGATAAAAGCGCGGCCAACCGCGGTCATCTCTTGCTTGCCTGTCTCTACTGCATTCTTGTTGACCACGGTCTGTAACCATGGCGGAATCGACTTCCAGTCTTTGCGAATGGAGAAAGAGAGCTGTGCTATTAGTCCGTCTAATCGGTTGAACCTGGTAGCATATTCGCTGTCGTCCCAGGACGTGCGCGAAAGCGAGAGACGCTGGTTTGCGAGGGTGTTCTGTAGCTGGTGTACCTGTGTTTGCTGCTCGAAGAAGTATCGCTTGACCTTTTGATATTTCTCGCCTGCTTCAAGTCAACGGCGCTCTACATCGGCTCGCAGCACAGTACTCACGTAAATTTTCGTGCTCCTTGACCAATTGGCTAATTTCTTCGTCGGTCATATCGGTAGCAGACCGCGGGGGCGGTGTTGCCCGTCCCATTTCCCCACCCTGCCCTTGCTGCCCCTTCTCCCCCCGGTAAGGCTGCCCTTGCGAAGCTGTTGGCACAACGTTAGCGCCAAACGTCTGGATGCCCGGAGACACAGGCGGTTGTCCTTGGGCCTGACCTTGAGCCGAGGGCTGCTGGAGGAGCGAAGACTCCCTTGACGGCGCCCCAGATGGTGGCTGGCCTGCTTCGTTCACCTTCCTCAATGTGTTCCGCTGCTGGTTGTTCTGAGGCGCCATACTGTCCTGCCCTTGCTGCGGCGGCGTGTTGTTCTGAGAGTGGGGGTCAGCGGCTTGCGATTGCTGCCCCTGTTGGGCGTCGTAGGGTTGGTAGGTCTGGGCCTGGGGTTGGAGGGGCGATGGTGGGGCGAGCTGCTGCTGCGATGACGGCGGTCGAAGCTGCTGCAAATGTTGGCCGCCTTGCACTATCTGGGGGATCTGTTGGGCCGGCTGTGGAGTCTGCAGTTCGAGTTGCGCGGCTTGCGAGGGCGGGCGGACGTGTTGGAAGTCTTGGCCCTGGTGCGGCTGAACCTGCGGTGAGAACTGAGGGGGCGGCGGGTAGTGGATTGTTTGCCCTTGGGGATCTTGAGCGGACTGGGGAGATTGCTGCTGCACTTGCTGTTGTGCTTGCTGCTGTTGGTACTGGTAGTAATTCTGTTGCGCTGCGTGGTCCTGGGGGTGCAGCTGAGTCGTGCCTATGTGCGGGCTTGGCGCGGTCGGAGGATGGAACGCCTGATACTCGTTCGGGTTCTGCGTGTGCTGGACCGGCGGCTGGTAGCTTTGGTATTGCTGCTGGGCTTGTTGTTGCTGCTGCTGCTGCTGCTGTTGTTGGAGGCTCTGGTGTTCTGGGCTGTTGTGGTCTACCCCGCCTTGGGTGTGATAACTCCCCTCCGTGTTCACTCTAGCGAGTGGGGGCCGGCTGTACTGTTCCTGATGCGGATTTTGAGCAAACTGCTGCGGATGGGGCTGATACTGAGCGTCTTTCGGGGGCACCTGAGGCGTATCACTGTCCTCTTGCTGGAGGAAAGGGTCTAGGTTGTCCTCGTCCTGCTCGTTTGAGGTGGCTAAATGCGGGCTGGATCCCTGCCGTTGATTCCACTGCGCAGCTTGCAGTCGGTTGTTCTGCTGGGCTTGATACTCGTCAGCACGGGGATCGCTCTTCCTGACCGAGTGCCGTCGATTGACTCCGTTCTTGCTGGAATGCTTCGAGTGGTCCTCCTCCTTGTGTCCTGTGAGGCCCAGCCGGCTGCGAAGCGACTGCTTCTTCGGCTCCTGCACGTAGACGGCGGGCGATTGAGGCTGGTATGAGCCGCGGCGAGGCTGATCGTAGCTGGGCGACGGCTGGGGGGCGCCTGGGAGCGGTTGGAGGCTCTGCTGGTCGAGCGAGAGGTTCGCCGAGTGTCGGTGGCTCGTCGTGCGCTGCGGGAACTGCTGTCTATAAGCGGCGGGAGGGACGCCGGCGGGTATCTGCTGCACAGGAGCTTGCGGGTTCTGTGCAATCTGCTGTCCGGCCTCGGGGGGAAGGAATCTTTGGGCGGCGGGCTCGTTGTTCACAGCCAGCGCTTCGTCCAGTCAGCCGCGCGATTCATTGGGCCACCAGCCGCTCACTAGACTTACAGGATGTGCCCGGCGACGGGTGTCCAGAGGAGGTGTCGACAGAAGAGTGCGAGCGGTTCGACTTGGACCACGGCAGCTTGGACGGTTTCGAAGGCATTGCAGTGTCGGCGGCCAAGAGACGGTAGTCTCGTGGGGAGCGTTGCGTGGATGAGTGCGGCGGGGCCCTTCTCAGCTAAGAATAACACGAAAGCGATCGGCGGACGAGCCCGGCGGCTTGAGCAGTCGCAAAGAGAGCGCCTCTGCCCAAGTGGTAAGACAGCACGCTCCGATGAAGACAGGTCTTCAAGTATAGGCGACGCGACGGCCAGATTCAGCCGCACGTGCAGGGCTCTGGCGAATGGTCGACGCGAGCCGCAAGCCAGAGCAATGGCGAGCTACAGCCCTGCAGCTATGCGCCCGCTGATATGGAGCCAGGCGGTGGCAGTGCTGAGCGTCGTGGGGAACGATGCAGGCCTGCCTGGCGATATTGCATACCACCATCAGTTCGACGGCTCTTCGCTGGGGAGACAGTTTCTGCCGTGCTGCGGCTTGGGCAATACGAGCGCCGCGTACAGACTACCTACTCCATCCACATCGATTATTACAGAGTCACACAGCTGGTGGAGCAAGTACGAGCATGGATCCGGGCGCAGCAGCCGGCCTGGTACCCTGAAGCGAACAATCCCGTCTAGCTGGGATGATACGCGGTATCGATTGCTTATGCCCAGGCCATTTCCCCCTCTCGAATTCCTCTTCCGCATACCGTACACGCACATCCAGCCTTGCAGGAGCCGCGAACCGTTTTTGAAGTGATTGACGGCTAAGAGGCCCTCTACAGCTGTTGAGAGACGCGAAGATGCAGCCCTCAGCTACAGCAGCCCGGGCTATTCTTAGCACGCTGACGGGAGTGGGTCGCGCTAGGCTGCAACAGGGCTAGCTGCCTCTCGTTTGGCAGTCACCGCCCTCAGGCCAGCCTTGCACGACACCAATCCTGAGCCCGCAAAATAGGGCTGAAGGCCTTCTAGAAGCTGACCATCTAGCACCATCTCGATTGCCTGGGGCGAGACCGCAACCCCCTATCCTCCTTATACGTTATCCGGTTGCAATTGCTACACCACGGTTACCACATGCATGCCTATCACGACTCCCGTTACTGCATGCATGATATTTGCCACCCCCAGGTCCCCTCCAATGCCATGAGAACGGCAAGAAGGCTACTGCAACCCACCGTGTCTCACTCTGACTACAACCAGCATCAACGTTGTTCCCCGGCCCTCTCCTTCCCACCAACCATCTTTCTTCCCGAGGCGTTCCGGCCCATGTACTAGCCATACGTGGATGTATGGGAATTCACATGAGGCATAGCGGTCATAGACCTGCAGTATCGGGCCTTAGTCAACGCATGCAGCAAGCAGCCTTACCTATGCCGTCGGCTCTCCGATTTGCCCTGTTTCTCCGGAGCGTAAATGAAGTTGAAATAGAGTTGACAAGCCGGATACAATGCTACGAAGAGCAGATCTATTCCGTTTTGGGCTCCCATCGGCCTTTTTAATTATTGTACAGCCCTGCGGTACTTGCCGAAGTATTGATCATCGTGGGGTCCAATGCTGCGGGAACCATGGAGTGCAAATAGACTTTTAGATTGAGATGTTTCGGCCAAGGTGCGAATGGTCTCCTATGGAAACAATAGGCTAGTGCTAAAAGACGGGCCATCTGTGTAAGCCGGACATCCTTCCCGCGATGACCATCCCCAAGAGCTGCTATCTCAAGACTAGGAGACAACGAGTACTATCTTGCTCTGCGCCGACCGAACGCCAAATCCCTCTCTCAGTAAGCCTCGTCATAACGGTCATGTCAATTCGTCCTCGTACTCTCGGCTCGTCGTGCTTTCCTCGTGAAGGCTTTGAGGTCATCCAGCCCTTGCCCAATTAGATACAATTGTCATGCTGTCGAGCATGTTCATATCCAAGTGCGAGGTCCCCGTCCCCTATCACAATGAGCCCATATCCCTGAACGTTGTGCGGAACAGTCCTACGCGTATTGTTCCTTGCGCGCCGATGAGTCCGGACTCTTCCGGGCCCTAGCTCGCCTTCTCTCCCCAATGATTGCCGAGAACATCCATAGCAGCCACATGATACCCGCAACAACACCGTACGCAATCTTCTGCCCCCGGCTAGGCACGAAGTAGCCGGTGTCCGTGGCGAGGAGCATGCCGAGACCTCCGTTGATCATTCCGAGGGTGATGACGATCCGTCCGAGCCAGAGATGACCATAAGACCAAAGAGTCCGGCGGCTGTATTTCTTGAATTGATAGTGGTGCATCAATCCAAGAATCGGCTGGAAGAAGAGCAGGCAAAACACCACGATCCCGATCACAGGATGATAGTGGTCGAGAAGGCTCACGGGGATGTTCTTGACGAACCAGACCCCTATGCCAAATGCCGCGATGTACACTACGTACGCGAAGAGCTGAAACAGTCCGTGGACGAGCCAGAGCCCCGGAAAGGAAGCCAACCGGATGAGGATCGAGCCCGTGGGGAAGAGGATGACGAAGGCAAGGGACGCGAGGACGCCGTGTGCGATGAGGATCTTCTCGCGCTGGTTTAGGAAGCTGGCGATGTCAAAGCCGCCGAACTGGCTGCCTCCTCCGCTAAACGGATTGCTGCTATCACCTCCGCCTCCGCTAGGTCCGTACGACCCTCCTGGCCCGTATTGGGCGGACGCCAGGGATGCTACTGTACGGTTAGTCAAAGAAGCAGTAACGGAAGCAGGACTAAGTACCGAGGGTGAGCAAAAGCGCCTTTGAACTGAGCGACATTGCGAAGACGATGTTGCAGTGACCAGACTGTTACACGAAGGAAGAAATAGACGACTTGGGAGATGATACGAGAATAAATACAGCTACTTATTCAAATGCCGTGCTTTGAGGCCAACAATGACAGCGCATGTCCGGAAGACGGCCAAGCGAGACCTACAGCTATGAAACACGGTCCTGACGAATAGAGTAGACGTGAATGACGTCTATTCCCAAGAACTTACTCCAGATTACGCGTGTCGCAAAGAATTTGGGACGATAAGAGTGGTCAGAATTTAAGTGCTCACCCGGAGAATTGAGATGGTGGAGAGCCGACTGACAGATCACCGACATCAAGGGTCTCGTGTCGGCGGAAGTGGACCAGAAACTCCGGCCCTGCATCTGTCGCCCATAACTGCCTGCGGATCCGCCAATTTGCACATCTTGCGTTTGCCTTTGCATAGATGAGCCAAGGCTCCATCTTCCCTCAATGATGAGGTGCGTGCCTGGAGCGCAGCCTTGAGAAGGCGCCCGAATGACGCCCTTGAGCCCATCAACCGTCTCGCAGCGACAGTGGTGTTGTCTCTCCGCCCTTTTCGAGAGGGATGGAGGATCAGACCAGTCAGAGTAGCATCCCTGACCTTAGAATAGCAAATAGCGATTGCTCTTACTGAGGGTCTTTCAGAGCCCTATCAGTGGTTGAGTTGGCAAGGGTGTCGTTTCAACAGGTTTGACCCTGTACAGCTGTCGAGTGGAGTCAGACTGACCGTCGAGATAGGCGTATTACTTGCTTCCCCGACGTTGATGGACTCTCTCCAAGGTGCGATGGTATTCCTCAAAGCCTGAGATAGCGTCCCATGCTGCAGTCGAGGGGTATGATGCCATAGCCTTCAGGCAGTGCTTCGAAGGTCGAGAGGGCCTGGGGCGCCTTGCGAGCCGTGCTGGGGCACCGAGAACGCCGCATAGTAGTTGTGAACATCTCGAGATCGCTTGCATCTCTGCTAAGTCTGCCCTATGCAACTGAGTTCAGTATTGAATGAGCGGCACACCTTCCATTGTGATGGAGGAGTGACTCGAGCACAGCCACCGTGTGGCATTCTGCAATCCTCGTCCGGACCAAAGAGCAAGGAACGCCGCAACGCCGCATCGCCACAATGCGCAAAGGACGTGGCAGGGCAAGTTTGCACAGTGTAAACGAGGTGTGAGTCGGGACGAAAGGCAGAAAGGACGAAAAATTGATGGGCAGCGCGCTTTGTTGAAGGAATGACTCCGTGAAAAGGGTCATTTGCGACATCGGCTTGGGTCGGGCTTCGCCACATGGCTGTGCACGGGCCACGAGCGGGCCACCATCCAGTCATACCATCTTCCCACTCACACCATCGTGATCTGAGTCACTGCAGCCTCTGACTGGTCATGATGTGGCATTCGCGAGATACAAGTATATAAACTCCGGTAGGCTCTTCGCATTCCCATCTCTACCTTTTCATATCACCCGTCTCGCTCCGCGGCGAAACGCGTCGCCACTCTCTCCCTCCTATTTCTCTCTTCTCTTCCTTTACCTCTCTCCTCTCTCCGTCCCTCAGAATGAGCAAGCGTCACAACAGGAAGCGGACAAGGAGCCGGCCCCGTCATCGTGACGGTGGCAAAGCACGCTCAAACCACGTTCGGACTCTTTCGATGGCTACGGAATCGTCGTTTTCGAGCACGGCTTCTTCTATTCCTTCTTCGCATTTGAATTTCCCGATTGCGAATATGCCGTCGGACCATTGGCATCAAACGTATTCAGCATGGCAGAACCGACTCCGGTACGAGCAGGAGAAGGAGCGCGCCTTGGAGGCTCAGCGCCTGCGATTCTTTGGCGGAGAAGCTGGCGACGAAACCAGCCTTCTCGAGCCAATGCTAAAGGTAGTCACGGATCTCTTCGATGGCATGACCGACTACGAAGATCCATGACGCCGCCCTCTATGACCTCTAAGCTGCACCCTCCACTCCACGCGACGCCCGCCGACGACCAGGACAAACCGAGAAGGCCGACACGAAGCCAAGTTAATGTTCCTCCTTTCACGGGTTGACTCTTCCCTCCTGTCATGTCCGACGAGCAGTACTGGGCATCTGTCCATAGCAATACAACACTCTCCTTCGCCGACACTCCGTTGCACGGCGATCGCAGACCTACAATCAACTTCCTTTCGTCTGAAGCAGTGATGGCGCTTCACCTTACATACAGACACTCGATGAACTCTGGCAGCCGGGCCGGAGGCGTGGGATACATCTGGGCGAGGACTCGCAGCAGTGAAGGCGTCTCTCGACCAGCTGGGCTTGGCTGGGGTCTGAAGGGGCGCTGGATCGGTCCAAAAAAGCTCAGCCCTAGGACTCTGGTCATATGCGCTTGTGCGATGGATATATTTGGCCAAAAATGGTGTTTGATTTGGGGCGGCTCGATGCACGCTAGTGGGTGGTGTATGCGCTTGAGCTAGGCTGGCTATCAGTTATGCAAGCTCGTGCGTGCGGCACTATTGGCTTGAGCGTCGCTGCCTGTTGTGTGGGATGGAAGGATGGCAGGTGTGTTTCGGTGGAGGAGTCATCGTGTCTGGATTGGGGTAAGCCCCCTGCTTCTGCCTTCGACGGGCGGCACCACGTGCCGCAATTTCCGGGAGGGCGACTGGAGACTTGTAGGTTGGGATGGTCATCTTAGTTTTATTTTAGTTAAGCAATATGCCCGGCCGGGTTTGCCCTCGATTTTGATTCTCTTGGTCATTCGTAGCGACGTTCGTGGTCCCCCGGGCGTACCCAAGCAGGCAAATAGGCACCCTCATCCGTCAGGATCAGAGGCCCTGCTTGAGGCATCGGCGGGGCTGAACGCAATCGGGGCCTGCATCTCCCGGATGCCTTCGGGGCTGTATACGTTAGCACGCGTATCGAGTTCATCAAGAGTACACAGCATCGAATTGTTCATGCTACATGTCCATAACTATCCAGGGCCGTAGTCCAAATAAGGCCAACAACGATGCAGAAGGCCAAACGGGACTCGCCTATCCAGAGGGGCTTTGGCGCCCTATCTATAGGATTTGCCATCGCTGGGTCAACACTATTCATCGTCAGCCTGCATGTTCAAGCCTCAGGGGTTCTCTGGGAAGGCAAATCGAGGCTTGTGGGTCGAAGCATTATTCTAGTGTTAGCCTGCAATACACCCGCCTAGGTACTTCATTCTTATTTGCTGCCCCTAACGCTCGGCGCTCTGGTGTGGCCTTGATGCTCATGATTATCCTCTAGGCAATCACACTCGGACGAAAGATCCAGATCCGGCCTCCAGGGCCCTGCACATATTCAATATAGGGGAAACACAGTATCCTTGAGATCATATCATTTTGGCTTCAGTCCAATTAGGACAGCCTATCGGAGAGGGCTTCGACGCCTCATCATTTTCACCAAATCTACCCGAGACGCAGCCCGATCAGCTACCGTCCACCCAGAAGACCGAATATGGGTAGCCTATCCTAGGGGTTTCTAACGCCCTATCAGTTCTTGTAGAACTCATCATCGTCTGACCAAGCATCTTCCCGGTCCTCAGTAGACGTATCTTGATCCGCACCCAAGCCGTAGGGGTTCTTGACAGGCATGAGACCTCCAGAAGCGCCTCCCGCAATCGGCATTGCATTCACAATCTCCTGCGCAGAGAACGGTGAGCTCATGTCGGTGGTGTTCTTTGCCCCTCCAAACTCCTTCTCCGTCTTGCACACATTGCAAAGCCATTTTCCATGGAGGGAAGACAGCTTGCAACGCTTATCTAGGCACTCGTAATGGTACCAGCCGACCGGGCATTCCGGGTTCCAGCATTGGGTGATCTTCACCTGAAATGTTTGAGCAGGCTTGTGGCAGGCACAGATGATCTCCGACGCAGACGGGAAGCGCTTCTTCGGCTGGATGAAGGATGGAGATGGGGGACTGACAAGCTCCTTAACCTGTTGTGGAGGATATGGCTGGGCAAAAGCCGGGTCGAAGTGGAACTTCGGATCCTTGCTGTTTGCTGGTGCCGTTGGGTTTGGTGGCGGCGCGGGCATCGTGGCAGTCCGAGCGGTATTCGCAGAGTGGAGCTGCTCTCCCTTTTTTGGCGTTCCGGGGGTCGGGTGCATGGCAGGCCTCATAGCCAAACCGTTGGCTGTGGGTGTTGGTGACTGGTTAATAGCAGTCCATCCCCTCGATTTTGTAGAATCAGGCCGAACTACTTTGTTCGCGGACATAGGATGTTGGCTGGCCTGGGTGAAAGCGGGCGGCGCCACAGCACGGGAGCCGGGATCAAACATTGTCCCTTCACAGTCCTCTTCGGCGCTCGTCGTCGGATCTTCCCATATAGTGATCGGTTCGCTGTTCCGCTTGGTCTCCCACGTGCCGTCTAGTTGTATGGAAGGCTGGCCGTTGATGTTAGCATTACCTGGGCGTATAGAGAGTGCCCGCCAAATTGAGACTAGTCCCCAGCTTCCCTGCACATTCTCTTCGTCTTCGAATCGGCCAGGGAGGATTTGTCCGGCGGACATCGCCTCGTTCAAAGGGGTGTCACCCGAAGAATCGGAATCAGGGTCTGAATCGTCATTCTCAGACTTGTCTTCGACTTCGTCCTACAAAGATGGCAGTACAGTTAGTAGATGCCTTAGATTTGGGAGGGAGCTTAACGCTAGCATGTCATAGGTCATTACCTGCTGAAGGTCCCTAGGAAGAGCTTCCCGTAGGCAGAGCCAAGACATGCTAGAGTGTGTACCGCATCCTACGTACCTCGCTAAATTGGAGACGGTACGCATCAAGTTGATCTTTGAACTCGTCACCGAATTGGCCGATAATGGACCAAGCCAGCCTACGCTTTTCCCACACGAGGTGTAAGCATTCCAAGCAGAGGACGAGACACTGCTCGGGGATGAATCGTCGAATGTCGAGACCGAATTCGTATCGCATGCTTTTGTTGCGTCGGTAGACTAGAGGCTCCTCGTCATAGCCGCCTTCATTGAACGCGGGTTCTAGAGTCGCCCAATCTATGACCGGCTCGACAGCGACACCGTAGAATCGGATAGGCGTATCCCACTGGTCGTGGAATTTCTGGCACGAGAAGGAGGTGCATAGAGCGGAGGGCCCGTCCCGAACGACGAACACGCTATTTGCTATGCTAGTCAGCATCCTGAATAATCCATCGGGGAAAATGGTCTTACCTTCCAGCGCGTCAGCGATCAACGGCACGGCCGCGGCTGCCATGAAGTTCCCTTCCGTGAGATATTTACGCTGCAGGATCGAGAACTTGCCCCATTCCTGAGGCATCTCTCGCCAGAGCGGAGCTTGAAGTGGAGCAATATGGCGGGATGAGAGATTGTCCAGGAGATCCATTTCACCGTGCTGGTTCCTGATATGATGGTGTACAAGGTGCCTTAGGAGAGGATAGAATCAGCACATGTTTGCTATGCAGCTCCCAGGGTCACTTACCTTCGCAAGAAATATCTCATTGCCTTTTCGGCTTCCTCGCAACTCTTGTCGAACTGTGCGGTGAATGTGTTGTCTTGCTGGCCGATCACGTACGGAACGTCGGCACCACGAGATTTCTCCACATGTCGATGGCCCTTCAGATCCAAAAGCACCTCTTCCTCCTCCGCGCAGCCAACCCAATCCTCCTCCGCCTTCCCTCCCCCAACTCTAGGGGAGTTTCGCGCACCAAACAAAAAGGCAGTCGCAGATGCAGCGGCAGCGGACAGCACGGACGCATGGCTTACCTGGTTGGTTGAATCCATATTGGCGTGCTCTGTCAAAGCAATTAGCCACCGCCCGAATCAAAAAGCGGCTCTCGGATTAACTTACCGTGGTATACCGAAGTCGAGAAAGTTTGGTGTAAGAAGAAGTTTTTGCGATCCAGTGAAGACTGTTAAGAGGACGGTGGGCGCGCCAAGATTTTCAGAGGCCGAAGTCACTGCCCGGCTGATAAGGTGCAATTTCGTCGCCATAGCCAACAGAGTGAAAACAGTTTGGACGCGTCGTGGTGGTGCGCAAGAGGCGGAGGTACATTGGAGTGAAAGGTTTTGGACCCCTTGAAATCAGCTAACCGAACTGAGAGGACGGTGTGTGGCGTAAGGAGCCATAGGTGTACGAATAAGAAAATCGAAGTCAGTTGTACTCGGTGGAAAGAAAATGAGAAACGGCTCGATGACTGCGAAGGTTCATATAGCAATTGCTTGTATAGCAGATGTCGAGCGTCGGAGCTTTATCTCCAGCCCGCGAGTGGCGTTCTTCATGGCTCCCAGCTTACATGACTCTCTGAAACTGTTCAGGAGAGGTGGGTATAAAATACGGTTCTTGACTGTGATTGTCGCAAGCTCACTGAAAGGTAGAGAACATGAAAAGGTTAGCGACGTGGGTTGACACCTCGGAGAAAGGAAGCTCCGCCTCCGCCTCCAAACGCCTTTGACCACCCTGCTCCATCACGGACACTGTTCTTCAGGTACCTCCCCAGAAACTAAGCGGGCTCATATTCCTCATTTTGCTACAACAGGAATTGATCTTTCACGGACACGTTCTTTAGAGCGACCATGTTCCATCACGGACGTCATTTTCATCTTCGATGACACCAGCAGAATGAGCGTTAGCCCGAATCCAATCGTCCAAGGACATAGTTTCTTGCGCCGCCAAGCTACAATGCATCTCCCTACAAAAGAAACAATTGTGCCAGCTTCCCTTCGCCCCCAACGTCCGCTGCCCCTGCCTAGGACCCAGACATTGGGTCCAGGGAGAAACATCTCCATCCGACATTTCGAGCCCTACTGTCACAAGAAAAGCGCAGCACAAGCCGTTCCAATACCCAGACAAGCCCGCGCAATGGCCCCCATACCCGTTGGTTTTAGTGCAGCAGCCTCACTGAAGACGCTATCCCGAACCTTCTGCCTTTCATCGATGGCACTTTGGAATACCTTTCTAGCTTCGGTTGGAATCACAATGTAAAATGCTGGAGTGGCCTTAACCGCTAGAAAGCCTGGTCGTGCGGCAACTTGTACCCGTCATGGACGTCTTGTCGGGTTACCGCGAATGCCGCGAGAGCGTTCATTGCACTCTGATATTCCGAGTCCTTAGCCAGCCTCGCATGCTGGCTGCAAATGGCCGCATCGATTTTGGCGATCTTCGATGCAACCTGCTGGACGTGAGTCTTGCGGCATCTTAAGGGGTAAGAGAATTCTTGTCAAACTCACCTCTCCAGGATTGGTTATGGTCTCAGTGGGATACGGCTTGGTCATGATGTCGAAATCGGCGAGAACGGAGCCCGCAAGGGCAGCAGTGAGGATGAATTTAGAGAGCATTGTTGCGAGAACTTTGACGATCGGATGCTTTGTAGTGATTGTGGGAAGTGGCATCTGGGATATATGCAAGGTGGGTGATCGAACTCCTGAATGCTGGTCTCACAGCTTGCAAACTATTTGGATTATTGTGGCACACCACAAATCACTCACTCTGCACAGATCATCTTCGTACGCTGATTTAATATCAGGTCTAGAAGCACAATGTGGGTTTCCATCGGAGCTCGATTCACATCTAGGAGCAAAGCTGCTACAGCCCCAAGAACCCGACGGGTAAATGCAGATAGGGTGTCACTGAGTACGTATGCTTGTCTGATAACGACAACACCTCCCAGCAAGGCTGCTATTGTACAAACAGTAACGTCCAAAGAAACCTCGATTGGCAGTAGATAGCGAAAGTGCCTGTCACCCCAGCACTCCTGTGGAGTACTTCCTCTGCCTTCCCGCCCTCTCACCGGTCTTGGTCCGGTCTGACTTCTCATAGAGATGGCGATTTCTGCTTCAAGGAAGGGATGCCATTTTGTGCCACTCCTGATCATGAAGTATTGGACCAGTCATTCCACTTCCCGCGGTCACAGGAGAGCAGCCACAGCCACAGCAGCAGCCAGTAAGCCGTAGCCCGGCGCGGCGGCCTTTGGAGCGGCATTCGTTGCTTCAGCTGGCGTAGTCGTTGCGGCATACCCCATATCCGCAAGGATACTCCGTTCCAGGCTCACTACTTCGTCGTTAAAGGTCTTCACATCGCTAGGCAGCGCGGAATACCACTCTGGCACAGTCGTGTAATACTTCGCTGAATATTTGTCTGTCACCACGGGTGGTATGTCGTAGGTAGCTGTCGCGACAAAGTTCTCGAGCTCGCTCTCGGCCGACATGATGCTGTTGAGTGCAGATAGCGGCTGCGCCGTGGCCCAGGCGAAGACTCGGCTCAGGAGTTCTTGCTCAATGCTCAGGGACCAGCTTGAGGACTGTTGAAGTGTTAGTATTAATGAGTGGGAGAACGCAGGGAAGCCATAGTGGGCATACCCCTGCGGCGTCGGTGACCGATGGAGGGGGGATTGGTGTGGGCATCGGGCCGTCAGTGATGACTGCGAACTCCGCACTGACTGCTGCGAGGCCGCAAAGAGCGGAAAAGAGGTTGGATTGAAGACGCATTATGACAATGCTATGGTAGATCTTGGAGATATGACGTTAGCGAGAGTCAAGTAGTAGGTATGGTTTTGCTGGACAGATAGGAGGTTCCGTAAGTGCTCGGAGATGTCCTAGATCTGTTGTCCGTCGCAGCATGGTTTTTACTTATGCTTTTCCAGGCTCCAACTCCTCACGCCGTTGCTACTGCTAGCTACGCCGCATGAGCCACCAGGCTAAACAGATGGACTTCCACTTCACCTTCTGGCAGTAAATGAGACTGGGCTCTGCGCGGCACTAAACACTTCTCAATCTACCGCTTTCTCTTATTAGGTCTCCTCGCAATCGTCAAGGACTGTCTTCCATTCCCCTCCTGTCTCCCCGATTTCCTTGTGTTGAGATTCGCGCGTTACGGCAAGCTTTTAGAGGATTTGGGATCTAAGGCAACGAGGCTGCACCGCCGTAATATACATGCAACGCATGTTCCTTCGGACTACAATTGAACTCACGATGTCCAATGGTATTCCCACTACGCCGCTTTGGGGGTTGACGATATCATGCGGACTCTGCTTGGCGTATATTTTCTGGCCCCATAGAGTGGTCTCACCACTTGCAAAGAGGAGGTACTTGCGGAGCACAGGAAAAGCGGGTATATGGTGTTGGGAGAAGAGAAATCAACCCAATCAAAGAGCACACGGTAGGTACATTCCCCTCGCTTCTCTTCCTCTCGCGCCGCAGCCACCCACCTCTGGTGCCCACGGCAAGCTCGCGTCAACAATCGCTCAACACCAAGGGGCTGAATGCCTCGCCAAAGTGGTACAGAGGGGCACGAGGGACACCCCTTGGAGCCGTGGTACAGCCACTAAACAGGCTGTCCATGCAAGCCTGAATACTCGGACCGGGGTAATGCAGGGGCGGATAGAGCAAATCGAGCGGGGCAATGAGGTGGCGAGGCTGCAGAGCGCAGCGGAGGAGTATGCGTTGGCCAAGAAGGAGAAGCAGGAGCATTGAAGGGAAGAAGGGGCGGTGGAGAGGAGGGTTGAGATGCCGATGCTGGGGGTATAGTGGAGACAGTCGTCGAATAAGGTAAAACGGCATCTTTCTGGGACTGAGCGGTATTGTCGGGACGGCTATCGGAATTGTAGTCGTACTCAGAAGAAGCGCCAAGAACAGCTCTCTTCTCTGGAGGTTCTCCCTCTTCAATCTTCATCTTCTGTATATCACTGGGTAAGGTAGAGAACCACCCTATATCTCTCGTCCAAGCTTCTGCGGTCTCATGCTTTCCCTGGATGCATATCTGGAGGTTGCTGCCCAATGCTCGGAAACATGTGTCCATTCGTGTGAAGGCTCTCTGAGCAAAGTCTGTCCGCCGTGTGTAGTCCTACTATAGTGTGTCAGTTAACGAGAACGCAAGCGACCGCAGGAGACCGATACCTCATCCGAGTTAGCGAAGTACTTCTTGCCCAGGTGATGTCAGACCTCGGGATCAGGTGAGGCTCTTTGTCTATTACGTCATTTGCGCCTACTGGCCCATGAGAGGGCGGGTATTGCGCCGTGGGAACCAGCATCCGACCAGAAGCCAACAGAAAGGAAGAAAACTGCGTTTGATGCTCATCAGAGGGCGGGAACCGCTGGTGCGAAATGGCATCGGGGAAGAGTTCGGCCCAAAAAGCGCCGACCTCGGAGGAGTCGCGGCTGTCGGCGGGGTACTAGTTGGCGCGGGGCCGACACAGGAAATCTTTTGAGCTTCTCGCGCGAGCATTCCTCACCTCCCACTTATACCGGAAGATGTCTTCCTTCAATATTGTCGTTCTCGGCGGTGAGTAGCCGCACTTAAGCTCCATGCGCGGTTGCTGACTTAATTGACAGGAGACGGCGTTGGACCTGAGGTAACAGCTTCCCCATACGCGGTTCGTGTGACAAGCTCACAGATAGATATCAGGTCATTTCAGAAGCGATAAAGGTGCGTTACCCGCATCGTAATTTCGTGGAGAAAGGACATGTTGCTAACAGGCCTCAGATTCTCAGGGTTGTCGAGAAGAACACGGACGTCAAGTTCAACTTCCAGGAGCACCTTTTTGGAGGCGTAAGCCGCGCAATCACCAAAACCCAATGGGTTGTCTAACGAGGAATAGTGCTCGATAGACGCTCACAACAACCCGCTGACAGACGAGGCTCTCGCTGCAGCGAAGGCAGCGGATGCGATCATCCTCGGCGCTGTCGGAGGGCCGGTACGCGTCAACGTGCGCTCCCCACGCTGGTTCCGATGCTGACTGGTTCGCACAGAAATGGGGAACCGGAAAGGTACGCCCTGAGCAAGGCATCCTGAGACTTCGGAAAGAACTCGGTACCTTCGGAAACCTGCGGCCCTGCTTCTTCGCCTCCGAATCCCTCGTCGAAGCGTCCCCTTTAAAAGCCGACATCGTCCGAGGCACAAATTTCAACATCGTCCGTGAACTCACGGGAGGCATATACTTCGGCGAGAGGAAAGAGGATGAAGGTGATGGCAAGGCCATGGACACCGAACCATACAGCGTGGAGGAAATCGAGCGCGTCGTACGGTTAGCAGGCAACCTAGCATCCGTGGAAGATCCTCCTGTTCCTGTGTGGAGTCTGGATAAAGCGAACGTTCTCGCGACGTCGCGGTTATGGCGGAAAACGTTCGAGCGCATCATGAAGGAGGAGTACCCACACCTCAAATCCGGCACCCACCTCATCGATTCGGCCGCTATGCTCATGATAAAGAATCCTACAGCTTTGAACGGCGTCGTGGTGACGAGCAATTTGTTCGGCGACATCATCAGCGATGAGGCGAGTGTGATCCCGGGCAGTCTTGGTTTGCTTCCTAGCGCGAGTCTGGGAGGAATTCCGGACGGCAAGACGAAGATCAATGGTATCTACGAGCCGATTCATGGTATGTGTCTGAATGTTTTCTGTCCCTTATCCTCGTGTATTAACACTCAGCAGGATCTGCCCCCGATATCGCAGGTCAAGGCGTAGTCAACCCTGTGGCGACGATTCTCTCCATGAGCATGATGTTCAAGTACTCGCTCTGTCTCCCAGATGTAGCGCAGAAGATCGACCAAGCGACGAAGATTGTAATCGACAAGGGCATCCGAACGAAAGACATTGGCGGCACAGCGAAGACAGCTGAAGTGGGCGATGCGGTAGCGGCTGAGCTGGATAACCTTCTGAAGGCATAGTGGCCTACAAAAAGAGGGGTCATAAGGACATCAGAATCGTAAGGTACGATCATAGCAGAGATGCTGACTCGCGTGGCCGCATATACATAGGATAGGCTGCATGACCACACAAACGTGTCTGCTGACTCGGCAAACAATTCGACGAGTTGACGAGAGCCCTAAGCAAAGTGTCTCGTATCCAATTACCAGTTACTTTGTTTGATTTTCTCTTTTCTTTGTCTAATCCGCCGAGGTAGGCTGCTTGTCCACCAGCGAGATGACGTTTCTTTTAATGGTCGCAAACAACAATACGATGCGGTAGTTTGACCAGCCGAACCTGAATGTAAGCCTCGCGGGTCACTTTCTTTGAGGGTGCTATCAGCACACTTCGGCTATGCCAATGAGGCCGCATCTTGCTCATGAATAATCCAATGAACTAATCTTCCTAGAAAGCACTTCTCCAACACGCTTCAATTATTCTATCCTGCAATTGTTGCTGGGGCGCTTCGAAGCGGCTGACCGCTCAGCTCGACGCCACACGCATCCACATTCCGCATTAGATTATGCAGGAACGCCCATCGAAGCCTCCTGCATTTTTCTGGAAACCCTTCGCGTAAGCATAGTGCACTTGCTTGCTCAGCCTTAATACGCTTCCAGCCCGATCATTTTCATGGAGCTAGGCTACACCTCACCGCCAGAGGAGCTCAGAACAAAGAGAAGCCTCAAAGACCAAGCCTCAACGCCACAATCCCAAATACGCGAATTTGGATTGGACATGCTAAAACCTGATTAGATTCTGGAATGCGATTACCCTATGGCTAGTGCTCGACAATGCTGTCGTGAGCGCCAAGTGGAGGATACACGAGCGGTGGATATACGTATAAAGAGGCATTGATGCTTCCCTTGCTTGAAGTCACAGCCCAGTCAGCAACAGCGCATCTTTCTTTGATACGCAAAAAGCAATCGTCCGATTTCTCCATTGTACCTTCCACCTACTTCATCTCCTCACCTCTCCCGTCCCATCCGCTAGCATGTCCACCACCACTACCACAGTCCTCGAACCCGCCGAAGCAATGCCGAAGAGAACTTCCGCAACCCATCACGTCGCCTGGGAAGCCGGCCCCATGCAGCTCATCCCCACGCCCTTCTCCCAAACCGGCTTAACCGACCAATACACCTTCTGCGCCTCCGAAATGGCGCTCGTGCACAACTGCGTCGTCCGCGCCTTCAACAGCATCTACCTCCAAGCACCCCACATCCCCGTCTCCGAATACGCCAACTTCGTGCACTACTGCATCGCGGCCTACGACGGCCTGAAAGCGCACCACGAGGGCGAGGAAGCGCACTTCTTCCCGGAAATCGAGCGGATTACGGGGGAGAAGGGGCTCATGGAAGTCAATGTGGAACAGCACCACGCGTTTGAAAAGGGGTTCAATGCGTGGGGTAAGTGGCTCAAGGATATCGAGGCGCGGAAGAATAACTTCAGTCCGGATATGTGTCGCAGCCTTATGGACGATTTTGTCGCGCCGCTGTCGACGCATCTGAACGACGAGATTGCGACACTGCTCTCTTTAGCCCGGTTTGGAGATAAGCTGGATCTGAGGGCGATGTGCAAGGCGGAGGCGGATAAGGTAATGGGCGGGTTGGGCAAGACGACGCAGTTGCCCGTGTTCTTTCTAAATCATGATACCGAGTTTGAGGGTGGGGTGCATAATTTCCCGCCGATTCCGCCGCCGGTTAGGTGGGTGTTGAGGGAAGTGTGTGGGAGGTGGAATAGGGAGTGGTGGAAGTTTAGTTCGTGTGGGTTTGATGGGAGGCCGAGGCCTGGAGGGTTGAGATTTATGGAGAAGGAGCCGTAGGGAGATGGGGAGAGTGGAGCTGTTTGGGGAATTGGGGGCAAGCTGTCCATTTAGCGCGGCGTTTGGATAGAGGTTGGGCATTGTTCTCGAAGGGAGATATATGGCGTTGTAATTAGTGCTGCTAATTTTTGTGAAGCCTGCGGAGGGTGGTGGTCGGGTAGAGCTCTGTACTATGAATTCATGGTGCTGGACTCTCTAATAGTCGGTATTGCAATTCTCCCTGCCACTGTTCTTATTTCGTATTGAGCTCAGCGTACTCGCTCATCGTGTGAGAGGTTTGCGATCGCGCTTCAAACTCCTCTCTGCGCTGTTCTGAATCCGTTAGGAAGAAGCCGTGTTCGCTGTTTTCGGATGCTTCCCGCATCTTGCACAGTCTTGCAGAGCCGGTCATGCCAGACAGCTGTCAGTTCGGCTGCAGATCCGGGGAAGGGATGCAGGATGCCGCTGCCTGTCACGTTCCGACCAAGGAAGGTGGCTGATAATGAGCGTTGGTCACGGACGACCCAATGGAAGGGATGGTGTCTGGGCAGCGTGAAACAGTGGCCGGACAGAAACTTGGCAGTGCGACCTTGCGCTCCATGATGAGTTGGGAATCCTACTGAAGCGAAAAGCTATTGGAGGAGGCCATTTCCTGCAAATATGAGTTCACGGTATTGAAATTGGAGGTGCGTGTGCCGACACGAGGTTGCGGTGTGAAGTGGGAGGTGTGCACAAGGACATAAGGATTGCGAAAGTTTGAACTGAGTAATGACGGCAAGGAAGAGGCGTAGAATGTTGAGGTAAGATTTTGACTTCATGGCGTTGCGCGTGACAGACCTTTGAGGAACTGTCAGTCCGCAGGACACGGCCTAGCCATTGACGCAGTAACGTCCTCCAGCGTCCTTGGTCGGGTAACCGTTCACCCTGGAAAAGGAAGGTACTTGGAATGTGATCCCGAGTCACTGGAAAAGCTTGTACAAGCAGGGGCGCGTTAACAACTCCCCGGGGAGGACGGGGGAGCTGAATGACTGCGCCGCCTTGGGCCGTTGACAGGATCGCTAACGCCGGCGTACGAAGAGCCACACCAAAATCAATGAAGCAGCAAGTAGCACATCTCCGTCAGAGTAAGGAAAGTCCGTAATGAGGCTGGGAGAATAGCGTCGTGGGTTTCCCAAAGTGAGCACCAACTGCACAGTGCCGATTCGCACGAAAGGGAATGTGCTTCGGAGTTCATAGTTCCCAGTTGCCGCTGCTCAATCTTCTTGAAACGGAGTAATTTCTGGACGGAAGAATAGCTCTAGCCACTGATATTAGACCGACTCTTGGATAGATTGGGCTGCAGGTGTAGGCTTGCCGCCGGCTAGAAATTCTGCTTTACGTATCGATAACGAAAAGCCTAGTGCTCGGACCTCGAGGCGCCCACACGGCGCAAAAGAACAACGCCTGGGCAGGAGAAAGAGAGTTTCTAGCCAAGACATGCAGGAACAGACGGCAAGGCGGATGTGTAAAACAAGCCGTCTTCTTGTCTTCTGACTATCGCCCGAGGGGGAGCGAAGGCACGAATGAAGTTCCGGCTCGACTGCCCCTCGTTTGCCCCGCGCCGTCGCTTCCAGGAACAAGCGCCGCGCTAGCGCCTAAACTGGGAAAGTGTGAAACCCGGCTCAGAAAATTCCCAGCCAGAGGGAAACGGAACATCGCATCCAACCAACACAAGCTCTCACGCGAACATCTTGGGTGGCCGTAGGCGCTCGCAATTACCCGTTTCGAAACACTCAGGCTAGCCCCGCTTCTGCAGATGGCTGCGGCGCCCTGACAATGCTGAGCGGACATTGGCTACGGCGCAGCCAGGGGCCGTACCCAGGACCACCCTCGAGCCTCATGGTCACCTTGTGGGCTGCACAGCGGCTGAAACAGACGACCCTTTCACCTACGAGAAGGGACAGGCAGGGCCACCGAGCAACCGATTGGGCGTCTCCCTAGATCACGAGCAGCTCGTCTTAAAAGCCAGACGCCGCTCTTCACGGCAAGAGGCATCACTCACAGTGACACTTGTTTCTCGCGGACGGGCAAGCCCTGCTGGTGCTATATTCACTCCTTTGTGCATCTTCTTTTCCGGAACGCAGGGTCGTCTTTACCTTCTTTGTGTTTTTTATTGCTGCGACCGGCTCCGAGTTTAGGTCATTCAACACCGTCTACTTCCTAAAAGGACACCTCACGCATTGTCAACTGACCGGACCGCCGGACCGCCACCACGTTATTGTCGCACACCGCGGAATTTCTACAGTCCGTCCTTTGTTGCTCTTCTAGTTAAGAGTGCCCATTCTTTTTATTCCTTTGATACCCAGACCTCATTACATATTATCACAACTTCTTGCCTATACACTCTCAACTTCATCATGTACACCAAGGCTCTATCAATGCTCGCTCTCGCGGGCACCGCCCTCGGACACATGCATCTCTTCTACCCACCCACTCTCAAGGGTGACAACAACCCTCACACGCAAGGCGAGGCCGATCCTTATCTCAACTACCCCTATGGGTGTTGCGGTCAAGAGGTCCCCGGTCCATGCAAGGGCCACCTCGACCTCCTGGATACCGACGAAGGGACACCAGTCGTTACTTGGGCTCCTGGACAGAAAGTCAACTTCACTCTCTCCGGCCAGCAGATTCAGACTTCCCAAGAGAACCCCGTCGGTGGAACCCATTACGGCGGAAGCTGCCAAGTCGGATTTTCGACTGATGGAGGCAAGACCTTCAAGGTCGCTACGACATGGCAGGGCGACTGCCCTCTGCGAGATGGCACTACGGACCCTAGCACTCAGACTTTTGACTTCACCGTTCCCGGCGACGTCCCAAGCACTGAGCGTGCCCTCTTCGCCTGGACGTGGGTCAATAGGGAGAAGGAATTCAATATGAATTGTGCCGTCGTTACGATCTCTGGGAACGGGGAGAGCGAGCAACCGGAAACGCCAGCTTCGAGCGCCTCTCCTCAGCCTTCTGCGACCCCGACGGAACCCGTTGCGGAGCCTACCCCAACTGCGCCCGTACAGGAAGCTCCCACCGACTCCGCCCAATACACCCTCGAAGGATGCACCTGCTCCTGCCCATTCCAGACCTGGTCTCAAGCCTGCGCATGCTACGACTGCGACTCGCCCTCCACTCGACGTCACCTTGTCGAGCGGAAGGCTCTCGAGCTACACAAGCGCCACATGCAGAACGCTGAGAAGCTCAATGCACCACTCCGACGTGCCGAGGCTGTTGCTTTCAGCTCTCGCCCCGACATGTTGCTCGATATCGACTTCGCCGGCGCCCCATGCCACTCTCAAGGCAACCCTGTCGAACTCCAGTTCCCGGACCCCGGCCCAGACGTCGTTGAGGGCGATGGCGAGTACCCGCTTGAGGCGCCTTCTTGCTGAGCCTCTCAATAAGATATTTGGGTGTTGATCACCCAATCATGCGGCCGTTATCCCTGATTATTGAATGGCGGAATCCGGATTCACTTCTTGTTGATACCTTTTGCATGTCCTCTTCATTCATCCGCTTCTGTTCTTGTCTTCTTTTTTTTTTTGGACGCTCGTTTCTTTGAGCTGTCGTTCACCAGTGGGGGTTGCACAATGCATTGACGATCACCTGTCACTTTTAACGTCATGTCTCACAATATGTGACGTGACGGGTCACATATCGCATACCCAGGTGCATTGTAGCATTTTCAACTTTTCATTTGGATTTACAAGCGGACGGCCTGCATATGTATTGCATCATGTTTTCAACATTCATTTGCTTACGACACACATCATGAGGGGTTCTGGGAGGGCACTCTACGCTAGTGCAAGGAAAAGCATCAGGCATCAGACATCAAGGCAATAGACACATGAACATTCACAACAAAACAAAGCGCACATAAATATTGTGAAAGTCATTCCATTCCTTCATAACCTATGGAGAGATAGCCGGAACCTTTGACAGGACCTGCAATTCTCCTCATGACTCCTTGGTATGTTGTCCGACTCGTGTCGTGGTGACCGAAAGTATCGGATATCATGTCGACGACGTGGAAGCGTTTACTTGGATCCGCCCTTACGACCGGCCTCGGCAGCCTTCTCACTACCGGGCTCGAATGATCCGGATGAGGCTTGGCCACCCTTGGATGCAATGTCGCGCTATGAAATGTTAGTGGTAGATCAAAGTTTAAAATGAAGAAGCTATGCATACCTGCTTGTCGGGGTCCATGGACGCGAAGCCGCCGGAGTGGGAGGATTGGCCACCCTTAGAAGCGATATCTGTGAAATCTGTCAGTCGGGGACCGGAAGAGACGGCTGAAGGGACCACGTACTCTGCACCTCCTCCTTGGGGCGATTGGCGAAGTTTCCGGGGTTGGTGTTGTCAGTCATTGCGGTGTTTGTTGCTGAAGTTTGTTTGTCTGGTGGCAGAAGTGATCGCAGCTGTCGAGAGTTCGAGTGTCGTGATGGGTTGAAGCAAACACGAAGACAGCAGCAACTCGAGGCCTTATATACTCCTCTGTAACATCCCACCTGTCGTCACCGAGCCGTCACATCATGACTGCATCGCCATTATGAAGTCATGCCGTCGCCGGCCCCTCTCGGCAGCTCCCGTCCGTTTGACACCGCATACGGTGAGATATGTACCTTGCATCACCTTTTCGGCGACAAACTTCAAGCAACTACAAGCCTACTATGTCATACAAACGATAATTGCGAGCAATTGCACTCGGAGGGAGATGGGAGCTAGTCGACATGACGTTTACATGTCGTTAGCCGGAAGGCACGGACGCGTTTCAGCCCTAGGAGTGAAGCGGTAGAACGAGACGGAGAAGGTAAAAGAGTGGAGCCGTCAGCTGGTGGGATCCTGGAAAGGGGAGTCAGGATGAGGTTTGGATGATGTTAGGATCGACACTAAGCCTGTTCCTGACTGGTCACGTGTGGACGCGACAGCGCGTTTTACGCTTACGGGTGCGCTACAAGACCGCAACCCACGGTGTCGATAGAGAAGAGTAAATCGAGATTTCTGGCTGGTTTTCTCCAATTTAGAGTGTCAATAGCAAGTTGTACCCTTTGTAAAAGAGATAATGCTGACGTCTGTCGTCAATGCTTGTCACACCCTTGCCGAGAATGGAATAGTCGCCCCACTTTCACGGCGGCATCTCTTGTCACCTCCGACGATTGCTTCTCGCGATGAGCATGAACTATCATCGCCATGTCTCTGGGATTATCGAGGCCCCGACAACCGCTACAAAGGAGATCCTACTGCTTCCATGATATGGATCCGTGGCGCACACGAAACAGCGGAAGGCCGACGACGGACTGGAGTCACTAGAGTCACAACTAGTGTAGGCAATCACTTGCTGTATGATCGAAAAGCAAAGAGAGGAAAGCGGCGTGTGAGGCAGCCACACCAGCGCGGCGAGGAGGGGCCCAAGGTGAAGAAAAGCGTCGCTTGAGAAGAACTCCTCGCAGAACTGAGGGTGCCGAAGTGCTTCTGCCAGAGTAACTGGGGCTGGGATGAAACTTGTTCCTGGAAAGGAGTGGATGTCTGGAGGCAAGCGTCCTCCAAGCGATGCGACGCAAATACCATCACGATTTCCCACTTCGACATATCAGAACATCGAGAATTACGCACGAGGACTTCTCGCAAGTCCTAGGGAGACTTGCGAGACTAGCTACCAATCCTCTATGTCCTGTTGCCAGACGTAATTCGTTGTGTCCGGAAGCATATCGAATTGCGATCCGTCCACGACGCAGTCTCATGGATTTCCTTGACATCCTGCCGGGTTACATTGGCAAGGTAGACTCAGATTCAATACCTCATAATTATCGAAAAATCGAAAACGCCTGCAGCCCTTTCCGCCTCCATGAGTATAAGTCTCTGGGCCCTCAGCGTGAGACGGGTGTCCGTTCGCAGCACACCGAAGTGGCGCTCTTATCATCCCTGCTGCACTCTTGCGCTCATGCAGAAGAGGATGCATCGCATCGATATGCGCGGCTATTCTCATCATTTCAACCACCGACGTCCCTTCCGGACGCAACCGAGATGTATCGAGATGGAGGCGGAGTCTGCCTTGCTTGAGGGACATGCAACCTGATCCCAACAACGCACCTTTCAGGTGAGTAGCTCAATCCCACGATAACAATGCACGAGGGAACCCACCACGCTTGGTGCTTACCCTAAGCCATGACTAGGGAGATAGAGCGAGGCCGTGGGTCTTGTGCAACAGAGATTTATCGAATCCGCCTTGCTTACCAACCATCTTGCCTCACACTACGACCGGACCACAAGCTACACTAGACAAGATCTATCAAACCCCACTCGCAGTTCTCGACCGCCTCTCCGTCCATGATACCGTCGACATACGCTTCGCTAATGAGTTGATACCGTCCATCGTTCCTTCGGTGAACCACGAAGGGCACCTGGGCCCCGCGGATTAGCGCCACAACGTCGCTTCGCTTGACATGCTCAGAGCAAAGGACCAAATGCCCCTTTCTGGTAATGCATGGAAGTTGCCCCATGCTCTTCCCGAGGATTTCTCCGAGCAATGTGCGGGTACCCTGGGATTGTGCACCGATCCTACCTTTGAGAGCCCCGTTGGCTACCAGGTTTTGTACGCCGACTTTGATACGTCTGTGCTTGATGTGTTTAATGAAGCTCTGCAGAAGCTCTATAGCATCAACAAAACGGTCGTCTCCAACCCTCGCTAGGTCCTTATGTTCGTCAATTCTAACACCTCCGACGGAAGTCCGTACCGCTGCACGCATACGATCTCTGAAGTCTTTGCATCCTTCCTTACTGGTGTACGTGAGGAGAAGGACTGCGATCAGCCTATCCGCTGCCCTTGAAACCACATCTGGAAGAGGCATTTTACGACTAGAACGCTCGTTAGGAAATGATCCTACTTCGCATATCTCGTCGTATATACAGCCCGCCAGTGCGACGGCTTCGATCGCTCCGTATTTCGATCTAATAATGACTTCGGGCTGAAAAGATTCTGCGCCGGATGCGCTGAATGCAGGAAGAAGAGTGACGTGATCCCCTTCCACGCTTTGCAATACACCAGACAAGCATCCAGACCAATCCGGGACCCAGGATGGTAGTTCTGGAATGAGCTTCGGGGTCTGACACATCGATAATAGTGAGACGTGGCCTTGTCGAAGCAGAGCTACCATGGTTATCTTGTACGTTTCCTTAAAAGACTTTGTATAATCGGGATAAAGGCCCAACGACAGCAACTCCTCTCTATCACTTGCGATACCCAACAAAGCGAATACCTTGTCCCGCGGGTCGGTCGATTTTAGATGATGGGGCCCATATTTTCTGATATCTTCGCTGCCCTCACATGTTGCGCGAAGTAAAGCCACGAGCGGGAACCCACCGTCCCTGTAGATAGACCAGGATGCCAGCATGACAGTCGCTCTGTGCTGGAAGAAGACCCCTCCAATTCTGACTTGGTATGGCGTCAATGCCTGCGGATCGTTGGTAAACTTCGATGCAAGAACGGCTTGACAAGCAGTAAAAGCATTAAGAGCAGCGGTGCATCGACGACGTTCAATCCGCTTCGCCCCACAAAGAAATTCGGCGTCTTCGGGAAGAGCAATTTCTTGAAGTACCCAAACCCGCTCCCACCATTTTCGAGTGAACAGTCGCTTTATGCCGTCTAGCGGTAGTAGATTATGTTGATCGTGCCAGCCACTGATGGAATAAAACAGGCTATCCGCCGCCTCTTGCGAGAACCACAATCTTTGGCCCGCAGGCGTTTGTATTCGCACTTCAGATCGTCTTGGAATGCGGGCTCTTCGACCGTCGGCAACCAGCTCTTCTAGCTTCCGCCACGTTTTCGCATAAGATTTGGGCTCACGATCTATGCCACAGGCATCGGCGCTCGCTTCAGAGATAAGATCATCCAACAGTGCATCCCACACGTTGAATTTGCTTGGAGGACGGAGTGCTCCAGGCTCGGCCGCCAGCTCGTTCCAGGCTTCCATGTAGGGTGCGGGCGAGTGGTGTGCACCGCAAGCTTCAGCCCTCGCTCCGAAGTCATTCAGGTAATCCATTACTGAATCGCTATCCTGATCAGCTGGACCGAGCCAAGCCACAACTTTAGACGAATGCCCATAGATCTCCGCCATCAGTCCGACTTGCCAGCTCTTTTCTTCGTCATCTGCTTGGTTGATGCACAGAGCATCAATCCATATTGTGATGGGTGCATTGGCCGGCCGAAGTACCATCATCGCGTCGTATAGGTTCCGGGTCACTGAAATAGGAAAGCCATCTACCAAGATCACACGTCGATCTTTGGGATCTCCCCAGACATAGGAGAGCGCAGTGAAGTTTGGCTTTTCATCAAGAGCGACGTGAAAGAGATGACAAGCGGGGATTAACTTGGACTTTCTTGTGCCGTCGTTTGGGAGCAGGCTCGATAGCCTGATTTCGCGTTTGGAACGATCCAACGGATGGTATTTGTAGTGGTCTGCCATAACGAAGGGAACTAGGATAAGAAAAATAGTAAATATCAACTTTTTTTGGCTAGAAGGAATGAAGTTCGGTCGTTTGAGGGAAGAACTTGAGTTATCAAGAACAGACGCAGGCAGCAGCGGTGATGGTGGGGCGCAGTTGCCCTGCAGACCTCTACCAATCATGACATCTCGAGGAAGTACAAAGACCTTCATTCAGCACATTCGAATACGCTGCAAAATGGTGACTAGCAGTAACTAAGGAAATAACAAGTCCGAACTAAGGTGCATCCATGGATTCCAATTCTACCTCACACGAAAGACGCAGGAGCCATACACCGTTTCCAATAAGCACAAAACATATATCCTAAAAGAAATCGTCGGTACGTCTCATTTTTTAGGACAGGAAATATTATCACCAACCAGTATTCCGATGACTTAAAGATCATTGCCACACGATTGCACATTAGTTCGGAGTTCCAGGTATTTGTCTTTTAACACCAATTCAATAAACCGCTGAACCTTTTGATGATACCCCTTCTGCCTGCGGAGTTTAGAATATCGCGTCTTTTTTGCTGGTACTATATATGTAGTATGCTCGCATCTTCTTTATAACGAGGTCGAGCGAATTAATGACTGCGCGCGCAACACCAATTCAAGGTAAACGCTACGCAGTCAAACGCTACAGATAGGCGTCTCATCAGTTTGAGCTGCCACAAGCAAAGTGCATCAATTTCCCATGTCGCAGCTTAATAGAGATTGAATCACATTCTCCACAGTCGGCCGCATTGGCACGAGACGGATCTTCATTTCGCACGAGACTTTGCCGCCGTCCCAACCGTGCAATCTCATCTATTTGCCCCATGCGGAAGGAGGAGTATTCCATCGATATCTGAGGCGTTCTTCAATATCCGACCTGGAGCACCAATCCATGCAGAGAACGCCCCAAGCTACATGGAGGTGCGGTGTGAAACGCCTTACTTGCAACAAGGACGTGTCAGAGATGCTGGGGAGAACGGCCGGTGCATTACAATGCACCATGAAATCCTGTCATACATGCTGATTGCATTAGTAGTCTACCAGACCAATGCCGCGTTGCGATCGGGAACATCGTTGCATAGTTTGGATGATGGCTGCGTGACACAGACGGCATGGTTTGCGTTCGAGGATAGGATGAGATTATGCTCGAGGGTGTACATCGATGAGGGCTTTCTACTCCCAGTCTCTACGTCCGGTCGAGCAAGCGGCATCGTTTTCAACCTGGACACCACAGGGGAAAAAAGGATACAACGAAAGCGAACTGGTGCACAGGTGTAAACGAACACTAGTTCTCACACCATACTCCTAGCGTGCCACCTTCTTCCGTACCTTTTCCGAACAATGGCTGGCCAGCCTGCGATGGCCCTCGCGCCGGAGTGGGGCGCATAACCTCCTCCTGGAATGATGAAGCAGTTGATGAGGAAGCCAGGGAGCAGGAGATACCGATCAATCCTTCAACTTGAAGAACGAGTCTGCCTTGCCGACCTGGAACATCTATGTAGCATTGTCTATCAGGGAGGGTCTCACCGCGCGGGGCTATTCTTCCCGTTCCCGGTAAAGGGGGGTATGAATTGCAATCGCTTTCGGTGAAGTCTCCATGCATTTGGGCAGCGTTGCGTACGGTTGATCAGCATCGATGATTTCCTTCAACTTCCTGTCGAGCCACGCCCCTCCAAGTGGATATTCCCGGTGGAGTGCAATGCATAAATGGTTGGGTTGGCTACTTGCAAGAGTAGTGGGCATACTTTCCATACGCAGCACAAACGGGGAGCCCACCAAAAAGCACGTCACCCTCCCTTCCATCCTCCAGGAACACCAATTCCGAGCGACGTGCCGCCCATCATCCCACCACATACCTCTATTTGTAAATATTAGCATTAGCGCCCAGCCAAGTATGCATTGTGTGTTGTGAGTGGGTCCACGATGGCCGGGAGATATCCAAGTCTGCCTCGCCAGGCACACTTACCCCTCCCTGCTGACCGACTTCATCTCCACCACGTGTCAGCCACAAGCGAATAGAGCGAATCTGAATACGTGGAAGAAGCAATGTGGACCAAAAGCGAGGGGATACGAAAAAGTAAGGATTGATATGAGTGGGTGAAATTACGCAGTAGAGAACAGTGCTCCCGGTGAGAACCGCAGGAGCGGAAATCTATGATAGGAAAGAATGGTGCAATCTAAACCAATAGCAAGCAGCCGCCTATTTTTCTCTAGCCGAAACTCCCCTATGCCGTATCGTGGTATCATATCGAGAAGGAAGCAACTGGCCCCCCCAACGCCGCCAACACCGGAGGGCGACCGAGCCGGTTTGGGGGTGCGGTCGCCCCCTACCCGTAGTGAAACCATCATATCGAGGCAGAGAGAGGAGGCCATCATCAAGAGCGCCGATGCAACTCCTTCGAGTTACGATCGAGCCTCCTATTCACGCTCCCAAGCACAACTTTCATAATCCCGGCGCCCGTTAGCTCCGACCCATCCTCCCCCGTGAACGGCACCGTATCCACGATATCCCGCAAATCGCCATCAGGCGAGAGAGATCTCAGATCATCATCCAGGCTCTTCAGGTGCTCTCGCGCGCCCTCTTCGCGCCCAACTTGGAAGAACTGAATGCCCACCTGCCAGGAGGGCGCATCTAGCTTGTCCAGCTTCTTAGCTGTCCTAACAATGACGCTCTCGACGTCGTCCGTCGGCACACCGTCCGTGATCACAATGATGTTGACAGGTTTGGTGGAGTCGGGCTTAGCGGTATACTTGGCAAGATACGGCTTCAGGATCTGGTTGAGGCGCTGGCCGGTGGGTGTTCCGCTGCCGGGGCGCACTGTCTGGAAGATCTCGACGACGGTGCTGGCGGAGGTGACGTTCTTGTAGAGAGATGAGTCCGGGTGATTCAGGAAGTAGATGTCGATGCCGTCGGCGTCGCGCTGCGTGCAGATGGGCGTGATGGCCTTGAGCGCCTCGGCTGTCTCGCGCCACGAGCGACCCGCCATAGAGCCTGAGTCATCGATCAGGAAGATAGTGTCGAAAGACTTGAGGAAAGAAAAAGGGTCGTCTGCTCCAGAGGCGACGTTCGGTGCGGCCATAGTGGATTGCTCCGTGGATCCTGTATTAGCCGGTCCTGGGGTGTAGGCTGGTGGCGGCTCGTTTGAGGGTGTCGTGAAGGCGTTCATGCCTGAGCGGTCTAATGATACATTAACCCTGCGATTTGGGAGTAGATAGTTGCTGTTTGACTTACTAGGACGACGCGTAGCTGGCGAGCTGGCGAACGGATTGTTGGTCTGAGGAGCTAGATGCCCGCTTGGGGAGGTGGGGCTCTTCGAGGCTGAAGTCTGAGAGTTGCTCGAGCTGAGCGGATTTGATCCTCGCCGTGAGAGCTTCTTCTTCAGACCGCTGAACACCGGCATCTTCGTTTGTGGTTGTGAAGGAATGTCGCGGAGGTGGGGAGTTCTTGATGTAGATGCGCCCCCGTGGTCGAATAAGAATGAGGTAAGTGACACGGACATGGTCGGTCTGTGCAGGTGCAAACACGGGTACTAAGTATTGGCAAACGGCGTAGTCTCGTGATGACTCAAAGAGGTAAGAGGTAAAGCTTGTTCGAGCAAGTTACGACTTTGATGCAGGTGAATGCAAGGTGCGCTTAACCGTGGTCGCGTAGCGCCGTAGGATCTTATAGTGGTGCACCAAGGGGCGAAGTAGCCCAGTTGTGTGATCATGACAGCCTACTTTCTGCCTTGTGTATGCCCCAGACACGAGCCACAGGTATCGGAGCGAAGCGAGCTTCAGGAACGTATGAAACTCAAACCGGCATATGCTATGTGGCGCATCATGAACAAAACCCGTGTCAGTTGCCGCCGCATGGCCGAAGGCGGAGTTGTGGTGGTTCAGGGCGGCACAGCCTCACAAGCGGCGCAGCTTGATCTGCATAGCCGCCTCACGTGCTTTTGACCCTGGCCCAACGAATGAGAGGGTTTGAGAGACTGCATAGTCGCGCGGGAGCACGAACTACTCCACAGTTCTCATGAACGGTTCCCATACGGCAGCCACTTCCGATTTTCGACCACGGTACCCAGGGGTAAATCAATACTTGGTTCGTAATATTGGCTTCGAGGCTTTCCCAGGGCGCAATCGAGCATTCTAGTGTCAAATACACCCTCTGCAATCGTGCATTCATTGTCCTCACATGCTTTGAAGCGAGGCGGGGTACAATTGGCCCCGCTGCCTGAAAGCATCGAACTGCCTTAGGGTCTGAAAAGCGGTCATAAGCCCCGGTAGGGCTGACCCTTGCGGTCGGTAATCCAGGCACGAAGCGTTGATGATTTGCAGCCTCTTCCAGAAGGCTGGCTCAAGCTTCGCGGCTGAGAGCTGAACAACCTCATGACATGCTATACACCGAGCACGCCCTCAATAAGCGTCCCTAGCCGTCCAGTCCCTCTCCACAGCCATGAACATGTCCCTGACCAAGATATGCCTGTTCAGGCAGCTACTCGAATTCCTCTGATGTCCCCTGATGTAAGGGCTTGCAAGCGTGCGCATTCCGGTCAGAGACTTTGGGTGGGCCCACAACACCGGTCTCTTTGCTGAAGACCAGGCGTATAGCGACCGATGATAGTTCCAGCACTCCGCGCAAATGCCGATATCCAAACTACCAGTGTCAAGAGAAAGCTGATTCTGGATCAGGTCGAGCAAGGGTATTAGCCTGACTCGTAGACCGCAATGGGAGTGGTTGCGGTCGATCTGGTACGAAGAACACTGACGGAGAGACTCCAGTAGACGATCAATGTCTCCAGAATAGTAAGTCGGCTCGGTGTTGTCGTATATCGTACCCTGAAGTCGAAGAGTACTCAGCTTTGTGAAGAATCGAACCATTTCGCCAAGCTGAAAGGAATCACATTGAACGGATGTATCATAGCCCAGTTTGCATTGCCGCTCCCCTGACGTGTACAGCTTGAGGAAGTGCGACTGCAGCGAGTTGATCGTCTCCAGTATGCACTCTCGCCGCCGAATCAGTTCGTCTACTACCGTTAGTGGGAGTGATACCAAAGAGATGACCAGGCACACTACCTTCGACGCCGTAGGGAATATCCCACCACAAAGCCTTTGAATGATCCTCTTCAATCCCGGGTTTCCACTGAATCGAGTCCCGCATTATCAGGTGCTTCGAATACCGCGTAACCCATGGCGGATGATCGAACAGCAGACCTACAAGCAGCTTCTGTCGCGCCCTCTCTTCCGGAAGGCCGGGACTAACCCTGCCCTTCGGCTTCGCATCTATCAGATGCAGGTATTTCCTCCTTTGTACGTATCGCGAGAGACAAGTTACCGCATCGAAGCGATCGGCGACGACAGCGAGATTCGCGAGGTTCGGCACGGGAGGATTTGGAACAGCAAGGTCCTGTCCATGAACGGCACGTAGGAAGTCGGCGATTAGGTTCTGGACATTCGATGCTTTCGAAATCGATATTCTACCGATGTTCACGATGTGTATTCGGGGCAGGGCGTCTGCTGACGCATCTGCGATGTTTGAGTGTCCTGCAAGCTTCAGAGCTTCGAGCTCTGCTGACAGTCGCTGTCCTTCGTTGAATCGATCGCTCAGCAAATTCTCAAAAAACCTCGAGTTCTCCCGAAGGATTTTCGAATCGACACGGTACGCGAACTGTTCGCCGCCCTCTTCCTGGCAGACAGCGAGGACCAGGTCGCCGCCGGGGGCGATGATTGTCGGATTGGTCTCTTCCGGCATGGTTGAAGGGTCAAAATGCCTTGAGTGCTGATTCGAGGCGTACTCTTCATGGATATGGCCAAGCCATGTTGGCAAACTCAGGCGGCGATACTCTGTGTTGGTGGTGGCAGTTTGGGGTCACCGGCAGTGAGAATGATGGGGCTGAGTCAATGCACCGCCACGCTAAAGGTTTGACCAATGGGAGAATCACTTCTTAGGTTAGTCATCGTATGAACTTCATCTGACCGAGGGCGACTCGACGTCTTGTAATCTCTCACAGTTCAAGCTATTGAACGAACCGAGCATCGTTTTCTGAGGCGGAAGCCCTCTGAAAGGTAGGCTCCAATCCTTGGAATGCCTCATTTGAGGCTTGGCCTTAGACCTTCTCTCCCTCCTCCCAGTCATCCTCCCACTCCACGGGTTTAATCCCCTCTTTCTCATCGACCACGATTGTTCTGCCAACGCGAGGTGGTCCAACACCTGAGTCCCAACGACGTTCCATTTCGAGAGCTTGTTGCAATGCTGTGGACGTCAAACAGGGTCGAACTGACACTGAAACCTTCCGATGTCGCTTTTCATTTGTGTGACACCTTCCAGTCTCTTCATCCCAGATCTCAGTCTTGTTCCGTGCCCACCGCCAGAGCTCGCTATACCACATCGCGAATAACATCGGCTTTTCCCTCTCGGTAACGTAGCCTAAGTCTAAGCAAGCGGCGAGAGAAACCTGGACATGTCGACCTGGCGCAATGTCCCGGATACTGGCCTGTAGGATTTCGTGTAGTTCTTCGTGGGTCCGAATGTCGCCTCCCGGTCGTTGCAAGGCTTCGAAGACCTCCGCGTTTCCTGAGCACGACGCTTCGTCATAGGTAAGACACTGCAGGATGCCCTTCAGTCCGCTCTCATCAGGCATGCAAAAGTCGCTAAGGATCCTGACAGGCTCCTTTCGGAGCGTTGAGATCCTTGGCTCCAGAATCGGGAGAGCCTCCGCGTGGATTTGACCGCATGTTGCGAGAATGGAGATGCCAGGGATCGACTTCGTGATAAGTTTGAGAAAAGAGAAATCCTCGCCCTTGGGGCCCAGTTGCCGGTGTCGTGTCTTGATCGGCAGATACTCGTAGACTATGAGCCTGACCTCCGTCGGTAAATCGAGGAAGCGGAACGGACGCGCCTCCATGCTAAACGATGACCTGGGAGACTGTGCTGTTAGCGGGGTTACTAGACGCCTGCTCCTAATATATACTTACCTTCTACGAGCAGATATGGCTCGAGAGTGGGTGTCGAATGATATGCCGATGTGAAGAAGCCAGTGGGCGTGTTAGAAATTTCTATTCGGTGTGCGGGTGAGAAAAGAGATCGAGGCAACGCACGGACGAATGAGGAAGGCGCGGCTCGTGGTGAGTGAAAAGCAAAAGTTTCATTTAGGGCCCCGGGTACCTTTACTGGCACGAGCAGTTACGTAAGAACAAACTCAAGTCTACTCGGATACGCCTTTCGGTGGCGCTATTGACAGCATGCCCGCGCGCAGTATTCTGGGGGATAAGTACTCCCGATACGCCTGCTTAAGCTATTAAAACCGTGATGTAGAACCAATGAAAACTAGCTATCGTCCCTAGTAACCCCAAGCGTTTCGTTGGAATGGGGCCACGCCACAATCCTCACTTTTGCTCCGGCCAAAAGTATTCCCCCTCCGCCCAGCCAGCCTCCCATTCACTGGCCCTGATGACATCACCTCCGCCTATAATCCACTTCTTGACCCCGGAATTCTGGACGATAGGAGCAGGGAGTATGGCCCCATTTCCAATTGTCCAAGTCCAGAGAGCAATGTTCGCTTCGAGAGCGCTCTGCTCGATTTCCGACAAGAGAGCTGGTCTGACTTGGACCTGTAGTTTCCTGCTGCCGAAGACCGCAGACTGGGATGACTGTAGGCCTTGGTAAGCGAGTTGAAGGATTCGCGCCCTGTCATCTGCTTTATGGAGATTATCGCGGTCAATGAAACGGTTGTTGACGGCGATTTGTACTTCCCTTATCGGAGTCATGTCTGTGTTTCGGGTGTACTGCGCGAAGTGTATGTGCGCGTGGGGCAAGAGATTCCTGAGGTCCTTGCTTCCATTGCAATCCTCCTCTGGGAAGGCGAGGCATGTTAAGATTCTCTGAAGCCGATACACAAAGAGACCAGGCGTGTTCGAGATGATCTTGATGGGCGCCATCTTGATGGCCTCAAGCCGGGGAAGAAGGATTGATCCGGCTTCTGCTTGGATCTGTCGATTCGTCGCGAGGATAGACACGCCGGGGATGGTCGTCCACACCAAAGTCATAGTGACTTTTGCCGTGCTGTTTCCCTCCTCGATGAGGATGTTTCTATGCTCGTCCTGTCCCAGTAGTGCCCGATACCACAACTCCGAAAAGTCTTCAGCGAAACTGAACTGGTGGTGCCTAGTCTTGAGCGGAAGGAACTCGTACACTATCTGCGAAAGATAGGCCACTCGTTAGTATGTTTACCAGGGAAGATGAACGCACATCCTAGCTTTTCTTATCGTTTTACACGCTGAAGGATCTTTAAAGCTAAACGCAAGACAAGCTTGTATGACTGCCGCCACATACGTACCAATCTAACCTCCGTTGGGAGCGAGAGGAAAGGAAAGTAGCCCAATTTCTCTTTTGAGGTGGGTACAGTCCTGGGTGATGCTCGCTCTCGTGGAAGAGACCTGGGTAATGGCCTTCGACCCAGGAAAATGTTTCGTTCGCGGCCATTATTTTGCCGAAGCGGATTGGTCGGCATTTTGCGGTCGTAGGGTAATTTCGCAGGCCGATGGAGGTGTTCGCGAGCCGTTACGGTGGTGCCGATTGAGGTGTGCGGTGAGATGAGGTTGGTGTTGGAGGGTTTGAGAAAATAAAGCAGGCAGATGTTTGGCTGTTAATTTAGAAGTGAAAGAAAAGCTCGCTACCATGGGGAGCAAATGCTCCTGTGGGGGAAACGAGAGACGCCAGCAACGTCAACAGCTTCAATCTAGAGGCAGCACATGCTGACATGGAATGTGCAGAACCAACGGACTATCGTCGTTCAGAAAGAGACTTCCCAGCGAATGCTCAAACGGAAGGCGCGACTTAGCGGATATGACGTACTTCGCAACGTGTGCTCAATTTCGTCCTCTACCCTTTCACTAACCGTCAATTGTTCAACAACAGACCTATGCAATGCGTGCATCTAGTGAATGGAGTGGCCGCTAGCAAGGCGGCACAACCCATCCCCAACATTCACCGCAGGGCGTCCCGGCAATTCCAATCGCCATTCAAAGCACTGCATCTCGCACATCGACGGACTCTTACCATACTTGCTATATCCTTTCTTCTAAATTGACATCCTCTGAACTACAATACGTCCACCGCGGAGCCAAACATGGCGCCTCCACCGGCAGAGCAACACTCCGGAACCCTGCCCCTCTACGTCCTCCTCGCCCTCAGCGTTGGCGTTGTGATCTGGTTCTTCTGGCTCGGTACCATCTTTGCGCGACTGTGGTACTATAAGGGCGACCTACAGGGCGAATTCGAGCAATTTGACATTAAGCCCGCGTACCTTCGAGAGCGCGAACGACGAGAACAACAGTCCCTCGCGCAGCACAGAAAGAATGCCAAACGGGCGACCAAATTCCCGATACCCGACATCACTGTGACAGTGACGGAAGAGGAGCCAGAGGATACCAGAAGACGGAGGCGACAAGCGGAAGATAGGAGAATTTCTAGATTGCCGGCTTTTGTGCAAGATGGTACCAAGGCTCCGGTACAAATAGTAGACTGTATATGCTAACCTGTAGGCAGTAAGCAAAACCTTCCTTATATTGCGCCTACCTTAGGGCAAATGTTAGACATATTCCAACATTTGCTCCCTATCTAAGACATGCGGTATTTGTACCCCAGCTTTCTGAGTGCCTGCTAATTGTACCGTCACCTTTAGGATTGCGGCGACGGATCCGAGTTTCCAAATGTGCGGATTGCGACCGGGCCAGTGCCTGAACAGCGTAGTCAGAAGCCAAAGAACTACCAAACGATGGGTCTTCGAAAGCTGGACCGCGGAAACTGGTTGAGAATCGACTACGAAAGCTACTATGTGTTCCACGAGGCGCGCGACTTCTTGCTTCAAAAGAAGCACGCCGAGTGTCTCCAGGTCCTGCCGGAGGGAGAGCAAGCCTGCGAAGAGTTGATGCGCGAGGTTGTAGACTTCTTGACCGATAGATACCCGGAGTCCTTCAGGATCGTTCACAACAATGGCCTGAGAAACGTGCGAAATGAGATGACGAAGGAGGAGTTCTCCCTCCAGCGACCGTTCGATTGCCATCCGCTGGAGATGTGTGTGAGGCTGGCCATGGAGGATTTCAATATTCTAATTCAGAGCGAGTTCACCAGACAACATCTTTTGTAAGCAGGCTTGACCCTCTATACCCCCAAAGAGCCAATACTTACTGAGGATCCAGGCAAGCGAGCGCGACCCTCTTTCCCGCGGGTTGGCGTCTCCGTGAACGTATCGGAAAGTCCGTCACCGATCTCCATGGACCGGTCCCACTGTGGGAAAGTAAGCTATCCGGGCCTGTGGAACAGTAGGTTGCGCCCGTTAGAATCTGCGACGATCTCTCTGACATGCTAAGCTACTTCAACCGACTCGACGAGACCAGCCAGATGGAGCGTTCATCGCTGTTCATGCAGACCAAGCCTGACGATCGTAGCCTCGCAGACCTGCTCTTCGTCCAAGGAACCTCTGACTTCTTCCCGGGGAATCTATCGACTCTCTTACCCCAATTTTTCATTGTTCGGAGGGAGCGCCAGACGTTTCGGAGGCTGCCAAAGTCAAAGGCAATTGTGTTCACGGTGAAGACAAGCATCCAGCCGTTGACGGATTTGTCGAGGACGGAGCGCCTGACTCTGGCAGAAGAGATCAAGCGCTGGCCGGCGGATATCGCGACGTATAAGGGGCGAGATATCTGGCAGACAGCTGTGCTCGGGTTTTGCGAGGGGAAGAGCGTCGTGAGGGATGATGAGTCGGTGTTCGTTGCTGGGACCGAAGCGGACTACTCTGATTAAGAGGTTGTTTGGTGGGAGGCGCTCTGGGCCAGGGCATCTATGTCTCGGAACCTCATAGTACAGATGGTGGGCGATGGCGGGGCGTGCTCGGGTAGAGTGGGCTTCTAGCTAGGCTGATTTTGCTAGAAACTCTGAACCATTCCGATAGTCAGCGAAGGACTTGTGTAATATGCACTCGTATGGCTCCACCTCTTCCACGTAATGAGCCGATAAGCCTTTCGCCAACGACTGATATAGTGATCATGAAGAGCGGTGTATAACCTTAAAGAAAACTCTGCGACCAACTAGGGTTGGCAAGAGTAGAGCGACAACGCCATCTGCCTGCATGATCCCATGTCCTCCGGGACGGGACGCTAGGGCGGAACCCCTCGGCCTCTGATTGGCCAGGTTCCAATATCAAACCGAAATCGGGCGGAGGGGCGTCGACGTGGAACGCATAACCGTGGAAAAGAGACACGCGAAGCAAAAGAAAGGGCTGCAGCCATTCTGGAGAGGAGATAACCGAGCAGAAATAGATTGTAGGGCTTGGAAATAAAAGCCATCCGCGATCGCCTGCCCTTCGCGACTGGGGCTGAGTGAGCAGGCCTAATCGGGCATAGCCGCATCCCACCGCTGCTGCCTGAGGCTCATGGTCTGATAGCGCTGGAGCCTGAAGGCAAAGGCAAAGTTCGTCCTGGAGGAACGGTTGGGGAGGCAGCGGGACGGGACCTCGAGCGGTCTTGAAGCTCTGCGTGTCCCGCGTCGCACGTGAAACGCATATCCTGCGAGTGCGCTACAGGTGTGGAAATCCTCAAGGACCGCGGGAGGGGTTACTGGGCCTGCTGCTTGCTTTCAGCGCGCTGCACTTGGCTCAACGTGGCTGACAGGCGGACCATTCAGCGACGGATGCATGTGCGCCTGTGTTGGCGGGCCAGACTGCAGCGCGCCCGGAGTGAATATGACCCGTTGCGACTGTGCCTGGGGGTGCACGCAGTAGCAGCCGCCGGCCTCCTGGCCGTTGTCAGAGGACGAAGAGGACGACGACGACGACGAAGGGTCCAGCGCACCGCACTCGCGCAGAGCACAGAGAAGCAGGGCCGGCCGAAGCTGCTGCAATTGGAGAGCTGCGCCTCCACGGGCCATCTCATTGGGGCTGCGGCGTCGCGAGCCTGGTGCTGAAGCGGGATAGTCTCGCGGTCAGCCTTGTGCGGCGGGTTAGCCATCAGCCGCAGCTTGCTTTCCAATTTAACAACCGACACCCCACCACGCCGGCCACCGCTCCTCCTCTGTTCTGATGAACTCCATGAATGCTCGTTTCAAGAACCTAGTGGGTTCGAAACGGAAAAGCTCGTCTACCAACCCGTCGCCGTCGCCGCAAGGAAGCACCACGCCCACCCAGCGCCCCAACTCGCTCTCCCCGCAGGCGTCGAATTCGAGTAGCTCCAGCCTGCCCACCACCGCCATGAACCCCAACAACCCCCTCGGCCGCCCGCCGTCGTACACGTACGCTCCGCCCGGCGGACTCGCGCCCGCCCAGCAGCATGGCCGGCCAAACAGCCCGCTGCCGCCCATCAACACCGGCGCCCCCGGATACCCCCAGCAGCAGCAGCAGCAGCCCCCCATGGGCTACCCTCCGCAGGGCGGGCCCCCGGGCTATCCTCCGCAGCAGTACGGCGGCGCGCCTCCGCCAGGCCAGTATGGCGCCCCGCCGCCCGCCCAGCACGCGCCCGTCTCCTACAACCGCCCGAACATGGCAGAGGTCGCGGGCGAGGGCCGCTCCAAGGCCCAGCTGATCGTCGGAATCGACTTCGTAAGTGATGCCCCCTCAGGCACACGTGTGGCGCAGCTGCTGATGCGGGAGTGACCAGGGCACCACCTTCTCGGGCGTCGCCTTCGCCTTCGCGACCAACACCGAGGCGAAGGAGGACATCATCACCGAATGGCCCGGCGCGGGCAACCAGACAAAGCAGAAGGTACGACCCCCGGCCCCCGCAGCGCACGTCGGGGCTAATGCCGCGCGCAGATTCCCACTGTGCTTTACTATGACCAGTACCAGAAGGTTGTAGGGTGGGGCCCAGACATCGCCGACGCGCTGGCCCCCACAGGCTACCCCAAGCCGGGCGTCCAGAAGGTCGAGTGGTTCAAGCTGCAGCTGATGCTGTCCGGCAACACGTACATCGACCCCATCAACCTGCCCCCGCTCCCGCCGGGGAAGTCGGAGATCGATGTCGCCGCCGACTACCTCTTCCACCTGCGCCAGGCGATGCGCAACCAGCTGCAGAAGACGCTGGGTGAGGTCTTCAACAGAGAAGAGCGCAACATCAGGTACTATCTGACCGTGCCTGCCATTTGGAACGATGCCGGCAAGGCCGCAACTCGTGCCGCCGCTATCCAGGCCGGCTTCCTGCGAGACGAAAACGACAACAGGTTAACCCTGATCACGGAGCCTGAGGCTGCCGCCATGTTCTGTTCCAAGACGGGTCTGCTCAATCTCAAGGTCCACGATGCCGTGCTTATCGTCGACTGCGGTGGTGGCACCGTCGATCTGATCGCCTACGAGGTCGAGGAGGAGCAGCCGTTCTCCGTCGCTGAGTGCACAGCAGGGTCTGGTGACTCCTGCGGTTCCACAGCGCTAAACCGCAACTTCAGCAATATCCTGCGTGCCAAGATCAGAAAGATGAAGCTGCCGGATGGTTCCAAGACCGCCGGCAAGGTCTACGCCAAGTGTATCATGGACTTTGAGAACAGAATAAAGGCAGATTTCCGAAACAATGGCCAGAAGTGGGCCGTCGACGTCGGTATTGAGGCGGAATTCCCTGAGGCCGGCATCGAGGAAGGTTATATGACCTTCACTAATGAGGAGATTCTGCAGTGCTTCGAGCCTGTCGTGAACCGCATTTTGGAGTTGGTGAGGAATCAGATCATCGCCATCCAGGCACAGAACAGGTCACTACAGGTATGTCCATTTCTGGCCAATCAACTAACAGCAGACGCTGACTTCTGTAGAACGTGCTTGTAGTCGGTGGTTTCGGTGCCTCCGAATATCTCTTCCAGCAGATCAAGCTTCACGTGCCACCGCAGTTCCAGTCCAAGGTCGTCCGACCAATGGACTCTGTCGCAGCTATCGTTAAGGGCGCTGTTACGGCCGGCATCACTGAGCGGATCGTCACACACCGTGTCGCGCGACGACACTACCTCATGGCTACCCTGCAGCCCTTCAAGGAGGGTCACCATCCCGAACAGTACCGCGTTCCATCCCTCGATGGCAAGGATAGGTGCAAGTACACTCGCCAAATCTTCGTGCAGAAGGGTCAGCGTGTCAAGATTGGGGAGCCAGTCAAAGTGTCATTTTTCCGGCAGGTGGCACCTGGTGCGACGCTCATGTACGAAGACATCTTGTACGCTTGTGACGATGACGTTTGCCCAGAATACACCAAGGATCCTCGTAAGCTCTCCTCCAATATGTACCGCGCTGTTCAGCCCCAGCTAATAGTTCCCCAGGCATCAAGGAAGTCGTCACCCTCACCTCCGACTTATCACGCAAGAACCTCGAGAAGGACTTCGAGCGCATGGACACGCCCCAAGGCACTTTCTACCGCGTCTACTTCGATATCTACCTCACGCTCGACGGCTCCGAATTCAACGCTGAGCTGGTGTGCCAGGGCGAAGTCATGGGTCGCTGCACGGCCAGGTTCAGATAATGTGAGGAATGCTTGCATGTGGGATTGGGCGAAAAGTTTGGGCTTCTGTTCACATTTATTGGAAGATAATCTTATTAGGCTATCATGACTTGAAGATACTGATGGAATGAGGTGAAGGAAGCGAGAGCTGGGGGAGGTGGAGGCGAAACAACAAATTTTTGGATTGGATGATTTTCTTTCTCTTGTTCTGTTCTTTGACACTACTAGCATACCCCCTCAAGCTCTCTCATCGTTCTTGAATGGCTAAATACGAAAGATATATTGATTCAGTGGGGCGCGTTGGAGTTGTGAATAGCTCCCTTCCTTTTTGCTTTCGTTGATAGATTAGGGTTGGTGAAATACAATACAATCGGTAGCAGTTAACTGCGTCAGGACATTGCTATTGTGGTATCATTGCTCCTGAGGTGCTTCGGGGAGTTTTCCAGCACCGAAACATGTTTTGGTATTGCTGTTCTTTCAAGGCTGCAACTACTTTTTCGCAGGTCATCAGGGCGTGGGATGCGTTAGTTATTACTCCTTTTTTAAAAATTCAAGGAGACACTAGGGTGAATGTAGCTACTTCTAACGCAAGGTCCTCGATCCTACCTATTCACCCATTCTGGCCAGGCAAACGGCACGACATGACACGACACGGTATGTGAACACATAGCACGCTGTTAGCTAATTTTCTTTTTGACGCCATACGCTGCTAACACTGTTCCCATTACCAGGTGCGTAGGAATTCCTATACCAACACACGGAGACCGTGGTGAGAAGAGCAGTTTTGAAGAGTAGAACCGGGAAAGAGGGACGTGAATGGAATGCCTGGCTCAGGGTAGAGGGATTCAGGCAGTGAAGGTGTATGCCATCGCCGCGGGAGCAGGAACGGTCACGGTGACGTACACGGTCTGGGGTGCGGGTGCTGTGGAGGAGTCGACGATGTGGCCTTGGGAGTTGGTTAGCACTGGTTTTGTAGAGAGTATCGTGGAGGGCTTCAGAGACGGTGCGACGATACTCTGCAAAGGGGTGGAGATAAGGGAACAGAAAGGAGGGCGCCTACCTTTGGAACCCTTGATCTTGATCATGAAGGCGTTGCCATGAGCGCAGGAGGCAGGGGTATTTGAAGTAGAGAAGAGATGAGATGAGGATATGTAGACGGACGAAGATTCCGCCAAGGGAGGTGCAAGACGCGAAAAGGGTATAAGAAGAATCTGCTCGAAAACAATTATCTTTCTTAAAGAGAGCGAGCGGACCTACCATGGCAGAGCCGTCATAGCGAGTGAATCCATACCGGGGATTCATACTCACTGCTTGTGGATATACCCAGCACCACTTCTTTCCACGATGTCCGATACGCAACGCCAAAAGTCAAATTGCGCTTCCACTCTAGTCCGGTCGTCAAAGATGGTTGGAAGAAGTGACATCTAGGACAGCGGTCGCCGTAGGAAGCTGCAGAGTAGCACCTGCCTACCCAGTACGTGCACGCGGATCGTTATTGCGTATAAATTTTTCTTAATTGCAGTAGTTTCTCACAAATCAACCGACTGATAAGAGAGTGGATAGCGCCTAAGATTCCACAGACGAACAACTACTCTCTTAGAAGACGTCGGTTCGATTCGGGTCCTCGAGATGTGGTCTGAGGCCGACCCCCAAATAAAACCGCAAGGTTTTCCCATGAGACATAAATTTAGTAGCGCATGTATTAAGGCGCAAGCTCAAATTGGTTTTTTGCATTTTTTTTTGGTCATTTTTTAGTCCTTCTTTTGTCATTAAAAGGATGAGCCAACCCACTAACCCACGCTATGCCGTTGAGCTCGCGAGAGTCAAAGATTACCACGCTGAACCTCCCAGTAGTAGCGATATGCCAGCCTTCTTGCCCATGTTCTCTCAATTCCAGAACTCGCTTGCGCATACACACATCCAAAGGAGGTGGCCTTCAATCGCCGCCGTCAGCGGAGGACGGGGCACATATTTCCGGGGACGAGCGCCTCTTAGCGAATGAGAATCGATAAACGTCATCTTCAGTGACCCCTAAATAGCAAAGGGAGTATCCTGAAGGAGGCAGGCTCTCGCCATATTGGGTAAGGAGCGTACACAGTTCCAGTCTAAAGGTGCTCCCTCCATCCGCAGGCCACGTGCGACCCACGTGCTCCTGCTTTTCCTACCAACCTTGGGTGGGAGCGTACCAAGTAACACCCTCGCTGTGTTGTGGTAAGCGATAAGAGGCGGTTCGGAACACTGGAAAGGATAAGAAGGCGTGAACACGCCCCGGTGACCGGGCAAGCAATCCATAGGACCAAGTCGCAGCTCCTTAGTCATCTTTCGCGATAATCTTAACTCCGTGGAAGCGAGATACTGATGAGGCAAGAGTTGGCTGCGTTGTCGATGTCCGAATACCTACCGTGCTGTCAGTATATGTCAACCAAGGTCTCATTGTTTCTATTTCCGGCCGCTCAACACGCGAGGCGAGGCCAGGCCGGCGAGAGGAAAAATACTCTCTTCTTTGCACTGGGCAGGAAATAGGAAGATGCTCCGCAGAGTTTGCTGATTTGAGTTCTAATTATGATTACTATGTAGTGCTTCCATGTCTTGCAGCGTGCGTCTCAACGTGCATCGCTGCCACTCATACGCCGTAATCCCATCTATGAGAACAGAGGCAAAGACATATTAGAAGAAAGAAAGCCGAAGCCTCAAGGGGACAGAAGTGGAAGAAACGATCCTTGGGCGAAAAGCGAATGAGGTATTGGAGAAATGAAAAGACATTCAGAAATGAGTAATACATCGCCCAGGAACATGGACGCGCTCAAGATGCCACCCCGCATACCTATGCTTGGGGTAAATGATCCTTAAAGGGTGCGATGCCGGAGTAAACCGCCCTGCAACGCCATATCCCCTCTTCTACACGCCTCGAGGCCCTCGCTGGACATGAAAGCAGGAACATACCTCGCATCTACTGCCTTTTCTTTCCGTTGCTCTTCTTCCGAGGTAGTCCCTGCTTTTTCCGCTCGGCCCTGTCGCCCTCAGCGAGCCACCTGCTTGCCTTGATAAGCTGGACCACGTTGATCCACTGCTTTCCAAGCATGATGGGCGAGGAGACGATTGCGAGAATCCAGGGGACCGTGGAGTCCATTTTGTTTGCCCTGTACCATATCAGCACGTCTTATCTCGAATGTGTGGGTAATAGCGACTGTGTGCTTACCTGGCCATCTCCATAGCACCTGCCGACCACGGGCTCGTGAAGATCATCGAGGGCTTCGGTGCGGCTGGAGTGCCCGCTTGCAGCGAGGAGGGTGAGTCTGAGTTCTTCAAGAGGGTTGGGGAAAGGTAGGGCGAGGAGAACGAGAGGAGGTAAAGCGCGATGAAGAAGACCTCGTTGAGGGCGCAGAAGGTGAAGAGGACTTTCTGTGCAATTTGTTAGCAAACCATTGTCTCGAGGGTCGAACTCGCTTCCAGATGTGGATGGCGCAGACAAACGTACGTTGTTCGAATAGTACATCTTCAGCACCCAGCTCCTGCTGGCTTCCACCTTCTTATGGCTCTGGCCCGCCCCACCCATACTCAGCGTCGCATACATATGCATGTAGTGGCTCGCTAGATCTAGCGAAATTAAACCCTGGAAGATAATGCTCCACCGCGGGAACGCGCTCGCTAGGAAAACCAGCAAGCACGCCGTCGTGCATCGATCCGTCACCATGTCCAGCACCGCGCCGAATTTTGTGCTCTGCTCGAACCTGCGGGCCGCGAGCCCGTCGAGTGCGTCAAGGAGGCAGGATATGCTGTAGAGGATAGAGCACGTGCGCGGGTGGAGGGGCATGTAGTAGAGGGAGGCTACGGCGAGGACGACGCGGGAGTAGCCTGGGAGGATGTCAGAACGTGCGGAGGGCGCGGAATAGACGGGGGAAGGCCCGGAGACGTACCAATAAGGTTGGGATAAAAGAGAAAGATGTTCTCTTCCTCGTCGTGCTCTGCTTTCGCGGATCTGACAGCGGCGCCGTTGCCGTTGGCCATAGCCCGTGTGTTCGCCATGGTAGGAGCTGGAATGATGCCCACCGCGCGGTCCTTTCCTTCGAGAATCTCTGAATCTCGCTTGAGTCGCCTTTTCAGTCTCGCTGCAGCCCGCGCTTTAATAGTCTCGCTGGTGTTGTCGCTGTGCCTCTTCCTTCGCGAATTCCAAGCCACAAGCGTGCGACACCTCTGCAGCTCCGTGTGTTTCCCTTTCCGTTCGCCGGATGACGTCGAAATCGCTCGGGGCAGGCGCCAAATATCTGTGCTCTCCGCTGGCGACTCAGACTGCTGCTTGCGCGCTTTCGGACGGTTGAACAAAAGTGTCACAGCGCTGATAAGCCGATAACAGCTCTCCAAAACAGCAGGAGCGAGGCAGGGGCACGGTGTCGTGGGATCGCGTCTGGGTGTGGATCAGTAAGACGGAGGGGCGCGGCTAAGGTAAGGAGCGTGAGGTAGTGCGAGGAGGAAGTATACGAGGAAGCAGCGCGCGCGGTGGTGAGATCGGAAGCCGCTGGGAAATTGGCGGTCGAGGAAACATTTGGTCCGCAGAGCTCCGCTGATGGGCTAGCCTGCATGCGGCAATGTTCTGCATTACGCTTGGCGGCCTAGAATCCTGAGGTCAATCGAACATCACGCTGAGTCCACGAACGTTCCATTGACAAGATTGACATGATATCCGTGCTAAGTGGGTGAGACCGAGATTGAGCTATGGACACGGAGACAGCACTCATACGTTGCTGCTCTGGCGGTAACGACTCCCGAGGCTACTCCACGCAAGTCCATCACGCTCATCGCCTCGTCGCCTTCCCACCCTTCTTGGGCTTGTTCTTTGCCTTCCCATCCTTCCCCTTGGGAAGCACCTTCATCCCCCGATCCGCTTTGCCCTTTTTCCACACCCTCCCTTCTGTCTGCACATCCCGCAGCTCGAGCTTTTTCCTGTCCTTGCCGCTGAGCTTCTTTTTGCCTTTCTTCTCAATAGGCCCATTCAGCTCCGCAGCTCCTCTCTCCTTCGCTGCCTTCTTGTCCTTCTCAGTTTCGAACCACGTGCGCTTGGGCCGGGACTTGATTTCGTCCTCATGGACAATGAGATTCTCACCGCGCTTTAGGTCACGCTCCGTGATGCTCAGCGCACGCTCCTCTTTCTCTTCTTGCAGAACCTCTTCGAGCTCGTCTTCTAGGTCCTGTAACTTCTTCGTCCATTCTCCCGCTTCCTCGGGAGGAACTTGTCGGCTGACGACTTTTGCTCCCTGCTCTCGCGCGGCTCTCACAGCTTGCTTGACGACCTTTCGGTCAGGGTCCGCAGCGATCGTGCACGATCGGCCAATTCGTCCGGCACGCGCCGTACGACCGACACGGTGAAGGTAGATCTCGTGGGTTTGAGGTGCTTCGTAGTTGATTACAGTGGATACGTTCTTGATATCGAGGCCACGGGAGGCGACATCCGTAGCAAGTAGAAAAGCCGATTTCCCAGAGCGGAATGCTTCCACGCTTTGGATACGCTACTACGGAGTTAGAACGGGGTTATTTAAGAATTTTGGAGATAATCTTACCTGCTCTTGGCTCATATTACCGTGTAGTTCACTCGCCTTCAACCCACAAAGACCGAATATTACCCTCACCCTATGCGCCTCCTTCTTCTGCCGGAAGAATATGATGACTCTGTCCGTGTATATCTTGTTGCAAATGTACATCAGATATGCCAATCGCTTGTCTTCCTTGCCGTGCCTCAAACGTACAAATTCCTGCGTCAGGCCGGCGACGGTCTGCTTCTTCGCGTCCACCATAAGTCGCACGGGCCTGCTCATTCCTAATGTAATAAGCTTGTCGACAGAGGTAGTCATCGTTGCGGAAAAGAGCATCGTCTGCCGTGATTTGGGAATGGTGGTCAGAATTTCGTTCAGCTGGCTCTCAAAACCTTCCTCGAGCATACGATCAGCTTCATCGAGAACAAGAATCTCGAGATTCTCCACTTGAAAGCCAGCCGAATTCTGCATGTGATCGATGAACCGACCCGGGGTTGCAATGACAACATCGGGCTTCGTTTTGAGGACAGCTTCTTGCTCGCGCAATGAGAAGCCACCCGCCAGTTGCACAAAGGTAATGTCGGTAAAGGCAGCGAGCTTCTTGGCGACGTTGAAGCACTGGACAGCCAACTCACGCGTTGGCATAAGGATAGCGACACGAGTGGTGGGAATTTTCTTCGGTCGGTATAGGAGACGTTCCATGATGGGGATGAGAAAGGCAGCTGTTTTACCGGAACCAGTGACAGCCCCTCCAACGACGTCTTTGCCTTGCAGCGCAATCGGGACAGTCTTCGACTGGATCGGCGTTGGCTCTGTGAAACCCACAGAGGCAAGACCCCTGAGAATCGGTCGAGAAAGAGACATTGCCTGGAATGTCCCTGTGGACTTCGCGCCTTTTTTCTTCTTGCCCGAAACACCTTCCTCAGGTGCAAAGAATTCAGCTGCCTTCTTTGCTTCAGCTGCATCGTCTTGCGCGCTCTCATCTTCCGAGTCGGCGGCTTCAAGATCCATCGGGTGCGCTACGGGTGCAGCCACAGAGTCATTGTCCGAGTCTTCGTTATCATCCTGTTCGGCTTCCGCTCCTCGCTCATCCTGGCTGCCTTGAGCATCTGAACCCTCCTCATCTTCATCTTCATCGCTTCCAGCACCCATGCCGAAGCCATCCTCGGCGAGCAGCTCGTCGTCATCGCCGAAACCTTCAAATTCAGCTTCACCATCTTCACTATCCTCTTTGAGCTCATCAACTTCCATCTCTTCAACAGCATTTGCCTGCTTCTTCTTAGTCCTCCTCCGCTCAATAATATCATCAACATCCACAGCAGTGCCTTTCCGCTCAGCATTCCTCTCCTGCGCCTGTGTCGCCTTCTCGATCCCCCACCCATCGAACTCTTCCACAAACCCGGTATCTATATCCCCTACGGCAAATTCGAAATCGCTCGCAATATCGTCATTCTCCTCTATATCCTCTCCCGGCTCGGCGATTTTTGCCTCTTCTTCGTCCTCCTCGTCGTATAGCTCAGACGCTGTCTGCTTTCCCTTCTTGCCCTTCTTCGCTTTCTCTGTAGGTACATCCTTCGGCTTGACATTCAGATCGGGATCCTCCATGTACTTTCTTTTCTTCCCCCGCCCAGAGAGCTTCGGCGGTTCTGCCGCAGCGTCTTCGAAGCCGCCGTCGTCGGATACGTCGTCATGATCGGATATTGTGAACACAAAGTCGTCTTCAACTTGAGGTGCCATTGCTTCGGAAGAAGCCCGCAACTGACAAGGCGCGCGCAAATCGATGCCCAGAAGTTGATAATTCAAAGGGCAGAAAAAGTTCGGATGGCCCTAGCGCGAAATCTTGGCAAAAGCGGTGGGCTTGCCATTCACTCGCGCGCATCGGCCGAACCTATTTCCGAAAACTCTAATCTAGGCATCAGAGACTAGACGTTAACGCATCGCTGTAAATCGCCCAATAACTGATCTCGGTAGGCGACTTTGAGCGAATAAGGTATGCGAGTCTATCGCTGCAGCCTTGAGGACAATATTGTAGGCGAGCCGATTCGGGACGCCGTTTGCTTCTGCCTGACCGCCGGGCTACATGCATCGGTACGACGTGAGTGGTTCAGCCTGATGGGTCCCCTCCGGATTAGATATAATAGCTCATCAGTGAGGCTACAATGAGTCACTTGCGGCGAGATAAGTAGGAGGCTTCAATCCTCAGCCCCTCCAGTCATCTCTCATCTAAGTTTCCTCGGTACCCCTCGATGCCAACCTGGCCTCTCACCTCCCCTTCAGCCTTGTCATCTCTTACTAGTACCATCTCTCCTCTTCAATTCCTTTCGAACCCATTCCATCTTCTTCCTCTTGTAGCCCTTCTCTCTTCGCCTAGCATGGCACGAACGAAAGAGACACCCCGTTCCTCCACCGGCCCATCCACCAGGTCACGGTCCCGCTTTTCCCCCGGTCCGTCGACCCGCTCCCAAACCCGCAAAGTGCTCCGCTTAGACACCAAACCTAAGCGGGCCACATCCCGCAGGGCCAAAGCAGCACCACTACAGACTACCCGGGTCCTCCGCTCCACCACCACGCCCTCATCTACAACCCACGACCCATCCCAAGCGCCTCCGCCGCACATCCCTAGGAAACCCCTACGCCGCCGCACTCGCACCGACCCATGGCTCCCCAAACGCAAGCCCCCCAAAACGACCCGGAAACCAAGGGCGCCTCCGCGAACTCACCGGACCTGTCGAGTCTGTGCGGAAGAGCAACCGGTGGCTGACTTCATTCCCTATGTCTCGCCGCGCAGCTACCGCTACCGCGCCCCCGAAGTCCCGTACGCATGTACGTAAGATCCCGGTTCGAAGTCCGCTGTCTGCTGCTGCGTGCCTTTGTTTTGCGAAACGCCCTCAGGTGGCATTTCGTAATTAGGCACGCAATGAACTGAGATATGGACTTAACTATTGCACGCTCTTTAGGAGCTACGCTGACTCCGTACCCATGCCTCAGGCATCTCACACCTCGCGCAAAACCCCTATGCCAAGCACATCGACCCCGTCTGCAAATCCTGCATCGGCGCCAGCATGGCCGCGCGACTCGACCTGCTCGGCGCGCGCAGGGTAAGCTTCGGCTGTCTCGAACCCGGCTGCAATGCCTTCTGGGACTTCGACTTCGTCATGAAATACTTCCCCGCTGGTGAAGCGCTTGAAAAGTACAACGAGGGCATGCTGCGCGTCTGGCTCGAAGATGCTAAAATGATAACATGCATCAACTCGTCCTGCGCTGCGCAGGGCCTTCCCGATCCGCGGAGCCCGGGATATCCGCATGTGCAATGCCACGCCTGCAGCACACGCATGTGCGCCTCTTGCAACGTACCCTGGCATACGGACCTGACCTGCAGCGAGTACGCGGCACGGCACGTGAACGCGCAGATGACAGACCCAGAGAAAGACACGCTGAAGATTATGCAGGAGAAAGATGGAAAGAGGTGTCCGAATTGCTTTATAGTGATCGAGAAGGATGGTGGGTGCGATAGTGTGTATTGCATGGGGTGTCGAACCTATTTTGATTGGAGTACCGCGGCGAGGGCAGTGCCAGGGAGGAAGAAGGTTGTGCCAACGGAGCATCTGCCGATTTGGGAGAGGGAGGTAGTTTGTGAGGCGGATGCATTGGCGATAAAGGAGAAGCAATTGGCTGAAGGCGTCGAGGGAGCGCCTCCTGTTGTTGCTGCTGCCTGAGTAGAAGTTGTTCAACTTGGATGTGAGAAACGGAGTTTTGGTACAGGGCTGGTTAGGCGCATTAGGCGTTCGGAAACCTCACATGAATTTGTAACGAAATATGCAAACGGACGAGCACCATGATTTGACAGGTCCTTGGGCCCCATAAATGTAATAAATTGTCTCTGAAAAGTATTTACACGAACCCTGCTTTCACTTTCGTGCACAATTTCCCGCGCCCAAAGTAATCCATTCCCCAAATCCCGATTGAGTTGCTGATTCCTTTGGAGTTTGCACCTTTCACCATTTCCGATGCATGCTGAGTAGTGAACGCCAACAACGCCGGCCCCGGTTGAATCATGGTGCGAAGATGCCGAAGAAGAGGGAAGGAAAGTAAGCTTGGCTCTGGTCGCATTGTTGGCAAGCCTGCGTGACCATCAGATTTTGGAAACAAACCTCATTTTGTTTGTTTGTGTTTTCCCAGCTGTCGAGTGATTTGATCGGCGCGGTTAAGCTACCCTTTTCCACTTTTTTTTGTCTGGTTTCTGTTTTTAATGCCTGGACCGGTGGTGCTGTAGACTAGCACGGCATCGGCTCGTGGTCCCGCGGAGAGTATGAGTGTCGCTCGCGGTGGGATGGTGAAGCGGGACCCGTCAAGGCGGTCTGGGCATGGAGAGCGTCGTTCGCGCTGTCGTAATGTGCAGTCGTGACTGGAGAGAAGATAATGTCAGAAGCCTCGAACTTTTCGGCAAGTCTGTAAAGTGAAGTGAAGGGAATTCTCGAACATATGCAAGCCTAGCCGCCAGGAAATTCATGCCGGAGTCGGAGTAGGTAGGCCGTTGACCTCGGATTGGCGCTTCTTCGATACTTTCTCGCTGTCCTAGATTAGCACAGACGTCAGCACGAGAACGTGATTGTCCTCCTACGGCGCTTTAGGACGCCCTCGGAGATTTCGTGAGTCGTGTGTTACGCACTTCCAGCCCCGTCTCGGCGAATTGCCGCTTGGCGCTCCTGCTGCCGCTCGCTTTCTTCTTCTTCTCCTTGACGGATTTGGTCGGTTTGGTCTCGCCAGCGAGGAAGACGTCGTCGGGAAGTTGGTGGCTACGGACAGCGTCAGCCTCTAGAAACTGCAATTGGGTGAGGAAGGTCATACTTGCGGGTGTGGACGATACGAACAAACATGTCTTCTTCCCTGTAAGACTCTGACATTGCGATGTAGCGTTTGAACTCGGATACCGGGTACGAAATATCCAGTGATTTGGTTCCGGCTACACATGGTTAGCAAACTAATTCCGGTGGCGTGGGGGAAACGTACCTTCAGGCAACGTCAGACCAATGTAAAATGTGGTCGTGTAGATAATCTTGGGCGCATCACCGTTGGACGCTTTAGCGCCTGCCGCGGGAACTTCGTCCTCCTTGATCTGATACTTCACGTTGCCCTGCTTGACCTCGTCGATCTGTTCCTCGTTCGCGCAGCGATGGACGCGCTCGAACGCTTTCACATACGGACGGGCCAGCTCTACGCCAGCAGCACCATCGTCGATGCCTTTGACTAGCAACCGGACCTTGGACTGCACCAGGCCGGACCAAATCTCGTGTGCCTCTTTCGAGTAGGCTGTCGCAACGACACTGAGGTAGTACTTATGGTCATGGGTGAAGAACGTGTGTCGCTGGAACAGGTCTTTCCAGCTCTTAGTCCCGGCTTGAATCTGGTCCAAAATGCCAGCCGCCCGGTCGAGCTCGGCCATCATGATTCTCATGGTTGAGGGCATGACGGTGTGAGTGGAGCACATGGACGGGTAGGCGGGGGTGAGGACAGGCATGATATGGGCTCGGTCGGCGCCGTATAGTTGAGGGTTCCAGACTTTGAGATTCAAAGAACCGGGCTCGACGTCCTTCAGCATGATGGGCCGCGGCCACTGCCACTTCAGCATCAAGCCGAAGAATTTAGCTAGTATGGTCGCACCGCAAGCGAAGGGATAGAGCTGGCAGATGCGGGCAACCATGATAGCCCACGCTATGCCGCCGGGAAAGCCGAATACCGCTCCGTAGATGGCGCGCTCTGCATAATGTCAGCAACAGCGAGTCCAAACACATGTACGTCCTGATTCTTACGGTTTGACCAGAGTTTGACCGCTCGCAGCGCGTGCCTGAAGGCCTTGGGCTGCGGCACATTGTCGAGAAGCTCCTTGGTAACGCGGGTGCCATTTACGCTGCGCATCGCTATGTCATCGAGACCGCGCAGCAGCTGCAGGTCGGTGAGTTCCAGGTCGCTACCAACGCGCGACAGCGACGGGAGAGACGCGAAGAGCAAGTCTATGCTGACGCCGCGGTATTCCATCTTGATGATGGGGACGAATGCCTCTCGCACGGGATTCAGCTCGGTGATGTCTGCGACGGCAGACATTTCTCGGAACGTCGGCGGAAAGTGGTCGAAGAAGTCATCGCGGAATACGTGCTTCGGCGCAACAACAAGGGTATCGATATCGGATGCTGTACTTGTGTCAGCGGGGGTTACATAGGGGCGTATCGGGAAGACACATACATGGACCGTTTACGCCGAGGGCATAGCTGCCAAAGGTGAAGACCTTCCCGCCAGCGCTCTCGACGGTGGACGGGGGAAGCTTCTTCATCTTGCATACCCGGCGCACGAACTCCTCAGTGACCTTCTGCAAGTGTGCGAGGACTTTCTTTCTGCAATTCATCAGCAATCGACCGGATAGGGTCTCTGAAGCGGGCTACCCACCGCTTCTCGGTGCCTTCAGCCGTCTCGAAGTTGTTCTCGCGCTTCAATGCCTCGACTAGCGCATCGTTGAGCTTGAGGTCGGCCTCAGTGGGCTGTGCATTGGAAATAGCCCTCGTGATGCCCCACTGGCGGGCTTCCTGGCCGTCCATGATGGATTCTGGGGAGTCGAGATCCGAGTTGTTCGGAAGCGGAGGCACTGCAGGCGACTGAGAGGGCGCAGGGTGCGGCGGGTGTCGGAGGGGTTGTCGTGAGGTGCGTTAAAGGCCTAAAGCGACAAGGTCTAGCGCTCCCACATGGCGACGCGGCCTTCAGCGCGGGTCTGAAGTGAATGGAGAGGTGCAAGCCGATTGCGGTTGCGTTGAGGCAAGCACGGCCGCCAAGGCCTGCGCCACCAGCCACAGCAGCTCGTCGCGGCCAGGGCAGCCTTACGCGACCCCAAACACCATCACTCACCATGGCTGCCCGGCTGCCACCGCATCTCTCGCACAAGAGCGCTCTTGCCCTGCTGCCGCCGTCCACTATCGTCGCGCCAATTGAAGCTGTAAGGCGTGTTCACGACAGGCACTTTGCCCGCTGGCCTCCACACATCAATCTAATCTATCCCTTCCTTGCATCACCGTCCGAAGTAGAAGATGCGCAGCAGGGAGACCATCCGCTGCCGCCCCACCTGAAAGAAGGTATCCTGTTGCGAGTGCAGAAAGCCGTCAAGGAGATCAACCCGTTTCACATGTCTCTCCTTGCAGACTCTCCTGGTGCCTTTTCTCACAGCAAAAGGAGCAAGACCGTTTGGCTGGACCCATCATCGGACTCCGTTTCACAGCTTCAGGCGGCCCTGCAGGCTGAGTTTGCGGAATGCGATGCCAATGGGCGCCCATTCACTCCTCACCTTTCTGTCGGCCAAGCAAACAGCGATGCGGGGGCTCGGAAGCTGGGCGAAGAGATCAAGACAAGTATATCTGAATTTCTGGGCAACCATCCAACGGATCAGCCCATTGCGCTGGGCTGGTACGTCGACACGGTATACGTACTTGAACGCAAAGGTTTCCACGACCGCTTCAAAATCCTTGGAGCTGTTGAGCTGGGCAAGGAGTAACAGCATCTCATTTCTTATCGCGGATAACATAAGCATGTTCGTCAGATCCTTGTCGACCGCCAGAGAAAAGGTCCCTCAGATTATCGTCCAGCCACTTCACGTCTTCGGTGCTTTGACCAGGGCCTGCATCGCGTCAGTGTCATTACTTCTTTTCAATTTCGAACTAGTCTTACCTCCCGCCCAATGACCCCATATACTCGGGAAGATCTTCAGCTCGCCTACACCCGATTTCATGGCCTGGACCTCCATCTCTGAGTCTTCGGGCGGGAAGTATAAATCAGTCTTCGCCGGGAGCACCAACGCCTTGGCCTTGATTCCCTCCATCGCCTTCTTGATATCGCCGTTGTACGGCTCCTGTTGCGAGCAATCCCCAGCTTGCCAGGTATCAGCCATGACCAACATATTCTCGGGATCCTTCGAACAAGCCCAAGCTTCCCAAAAGTTGACCATGAAGTCGTCGATATCCTTGAACCCGAGAGCCGTTTCGTACAGCTTCTCTCTATAGAAGGCTTGACTAAAGCCCCATCCCGAGTACACTCGCCCTAGCGCCTTCAGCCCGCTCATCCGAGCCTCCGTGGTGAAGGGAGCATAGCCAGGTTCTGCAGTGGACATCTCCGGCTTCGCCACGCCCCCCGAGCTTGTTCCTTTCGCTGCGTACAGAGCGGACTTGACGCCTTCCAACATGGCCTGGTTATGCAAGCTCGTCTTTGCGCTTCCACAGAAGGGAACGACAAAGTCCATGAAGTCCGGGTACTGTGTTGCCCACTGGAACGTTTGACCCGCGCCCATGCTCCACCCCAGCACCGCTTTTGCATGCTTAACGCCCAGGTGCTTTGTGACAAGTTCGTATTGGGCGCAGACATTATCATAAAACAGGACTTGAGGGAAGGGCCGTAAGTCCGGCATGTTGGAGGGCGAAGACGATTGACCGTTGCCGAAAAGAGCTGGAATGATGATGTAGTATTTTGAAGGATCCAGAGTCTTGTCTGCGCCAGTGAGCCAAAAATTATCCGATATCACTATAGCATCTCCCCGTTAGCGGCGGCATAAGCTCTCTTGTTTGGACAACTCGTACTTCCTGAGTACCATGTCGGATAGATAATGGCCGGCGATGAAGGATCTCCGAGCGTCTTGTACGCGATGAAAGCATCTGGGAGCTCTCCTCCAGACTTGAGCTTGAAGTTACCAAGCTTGTAGGTTTGGTAGTCGTCTGTCATCTTGGATTCTTTGGCCCCCGGTCGGTTCAAGGGTGGTGCTCTTCAGCTGGGCGTTCTTTTCAATGGATGGATATGTCCTATTTATCTGGATAGTCCCCAGCGAGCAATGGGGCATAGTCCTGTGGTCGCTTCTCGCGTCGTTATCGCCATCCGATCCAGCTCCCCGCATGGTGTTGTGCTGATAGCGGGGTAGGCCCTGCCCAATAGTGGGGTAGACCCTAGTGACGTCGGGACATCCCCCGATCGCGCGGAACTGCCGTCGAAGAATTTCTTTAGCCTCGGAATGGTATCCGTCATTGTTCGGAAAGTCGAAATTACAAAATTGGCCCTGTCCCCATAGCTTGAATCTCTCCAGCTGCGCAGCTCTTTCGAAATACCCGAACCCTCGGCTCCATTGCTCCATTATGGCAGACTCTGCGCCCAAGCTCGACGCTGAAGCGGCCATAAAACGCAACCCTCACCCCGACTTCAAGAAAGTTGAAGCTTCGCGTCCACCCTTCGACCACTCGAACCAATGGCACTACGTGCAAACCCCCAAGCCCACCTGGAAACCAGGAGAAGGCGCCAACAACCCGTCTGCCCAGAAGCACCGAGAAATCGATCCCTACGCCGAGGGCCGACCAGCTGTCCACAACTACAAGCTCCTCATCTCTGGAATTGTTCCACGGCCCGTAGGCTTCGTGTCGACTATTAGCGACGACGGCAAGACTACGAACTTAGCGCCCTTCTCGTACTTCAATTTGATTTCGCACGATCCGCCGCTGTTTATTCTCGGTTTCAGCGGAGGGTATAATCGCCCGAAGGATACGTTGAGTAATCTAGTGGCGACGAAGGAGTGTGTGCTGAATATTATCTCGGAGGATTATATCGAGGCTGCAAATTACTGCTCGATCAATGCACCTGCTGGGATTTCAGAGTGGTCCTTTAGCGGGCTGCATCCCGCGAAGAGCTCGGTGGTGAAGCCGGATAGGGTTCAGGAGGCGGTGTTCAGTATCGAGGCGAAACTGGTAGAGACAAGGGAGTGGGAAAGCAGGATGACGCCTGGAAAGAAGACGGGAGTGCTGGGAATTGTGGAAGGAGTGAGGTTCTGGGTCCGCGAGGATGCGATTGACGAGGAGGGCGTCCTGATTGACCCTGCGGTAAGTCGCATTGTCTGTGCTGAGCGAAGGCGGAAACTCACGCTCATTAGGTCTTAAAGCCCATTTCTCGTCTTGGAGGAATCACTTTTGGGCGCACGACGGAAGCATTCGAGCTACCCCGACCGGATTTTGATGCAGCGACGAAGGATCCGGAGGTTGCGAAGCTAGCGAAACCAAAGGTGGATGGGCAGCTACAGTAGCATGTTCCTCTAACTCCTTCTCATCGGTGCCGCTCTGACTCTTGAAGTTCGCGCGAGCGACTATAGACGAAGCATTTCGAAATAGACATATAGACGCCGTTACCAGCGACATGTGTGCCAGATGCACCGACGAGAAACTCATCGCGATACAGCAACACATCATACTTGGGAACAGCTAATTGGGGTAGCTTATCTTGAAGTGCTTTAAACCTCCATCGGTTGTTGAACTAACAAGGATACTTCTGTACGCGGTTTGACCGCGTACCGGGGCGCATAGTCGCACCTCGCTCCATTCTATCTCACGGCGAGGTGGAACGCGGTTGCCGATTCCGCTTCGCTTGGAATGCGCTATCTGTTCGACCACACAGCGGGATGCTCTTGACAAACATGCCCAATTCGTTTCACAGCGCCTACCTAGCATATTCCGTTCACCATAACTTCAAAACAGCGGACTTGAGGGGCCGTTCGCTGGTCTCTCTTCTTTTTACCAATAGGGTGCTAGTTCACTGCGGCTATCTCCCGATATCGCCATGCGCGGGACCGACCCAAGCCGTTCCCCACCGGGGCGGGATTCCTCGCAGCAAAGCTTCCAGACGTCCAAACATCCCGACAACAGGCATGACTTCTCTTCAGACTCCTCGGTAACGCTTTGCGTCGATTACGGCTCGTTTTCAAATCTGGGACCTTTCGAGACTTTTGAGGTTATTATGGACGCTCCGGAGGTATGTCTGCCGCTGTAAACAGCCTAGTGGAATGCGTTTTGTTTAGCTACGGAAATCAGCTCTGGAGGGCATTCAGCGAGTAAAAGAGCTGAGAAATGCTGGGGTTTTGATCGTTCATTTTCACCTGAAACCCTAGCCGTTGCTAATCCGGCGCTTTGCAGGGTCCGCCTCGCTTCTCGGCTGTCAGTCCACTCCTCGGTGCACACGACCCTCCGAAAACTACCCATTATGGGGCAATTCCAGACGCCTCAGAGCTTGAGTCGCTCCTCGGCGAAGATGAAGAAGTCATCCAGACGACTGCGACCAAGGAAGCCAGATTGCTGCTGAACTACTCGGTCCCGTTGATGTTGACATACATCCTGCAATACAGCTTCAGCCTCATCACTATCTTTGTCGTCGGCCATATCGGAACTGATGAGCTCGGAGCTGTTTCTTTGGCCACTATGACGGCGAATATCACGGGATTTGCCATCTATGAAGGCCTTGCGACGAGTTTGGACACGCTGTGTGCGCAGGCGTACGGACTGGGGAAGAAAGAACAAGTCGGACTGCATCTTCAGCGCATGATTTTGCTAAACCTACTCGTCACTCTCCCCATTGGCGCGGTGTGGCTCTGCTCGGGCTGGATTCTCGCTGCTCTTGTCCCGGAGAGAGAACTCGCCCTCCTCGCCGGCCGATATCTCCAAATTCTCATCGCTGGTGCACCTGGATACGCCATTTTCGAGGCAGGCAAGCGGTTTACGCAAGCTCAGGGCCTTTTCAATGCCTCATTTTTTGTCCTCCTGATCGCTACCCCGGTCAACATCCTGCTCAACTACATCTTCGTTTTCTTGCTGCACTGGGAGCTTACGGGGGCTGCGATAGCCACAGTTTTGTCCAACAACCTATTACCTTTCCTTTTGTGGATGTACGTCTACTTCGTTGCGCCGAGCAGCCTGCAGTGCTGGGGCGGGTTCTCACGCTCCGCGTTCAAGAATTGGGGCCCCATGATTACGCTTTCCCTACCCGGCATCGTCATGGTCGAAGCAGAATGGTATGTATTGCCACGTTGCATTCATACCAGCATATCTTAGGCCCTACATCTGTAAAGCTACTCCTGGAGGCCTCCAGGGGACAAACAGAACTTGGGTTAGGACAATTGCTAATGTGTACCGCCGTTTTCGCAGGCTAGCCTTCGATATCCTCACGCTTTCCTCGTCGTATCTTTCCACTGCCCATCTCGCTGCGCAAAGCGTTGTCATGACGACTTCGGTCGCCATATATCACATACCGTTCAGCACTTCGGTCGCGGTGAGCACTCGACTGGGGAATCTCGTCGGAGCTGGAGCCCTCAACGCCGCACGAATCGCCACCAAGATTTATGTGGTCATCTTTCTAGCCATCGGGCTGATCGACGCAATCTTCCTCGCCGCCTCCCGAAACATCCTCCCAAAGGCATTCACCGAGGATCCAGAAGTCATCGCCATAGTATCATCCGTAATGCCTATCCTAGCCATCTTCCAGCTCTTCGACGCAGGCTCCGCGCTGGTAAACGCTATTTTGAGGGGCCTTGGAAGGCAAGCAATAGGAGGCTACGTCAATCTGGGAGCTTACTATCTTATCGCCCTGCCGGTGGCTTTTCTGCTATGCTTTGGGAAGCCGAATTTGAAGCTGGAGGGGTTGTGGCTTGGTTGCTTAGTGGGGAGTGTGCTGATCTCGGTGGTGGAGGGGAGTTATTGTAAGTTTTGGAGCTGGAGGAAGGCGGTTGATGCGGCAAAGGGAAGGGAAGAATGAATTTTCGTGACAAGCAATTAGACTGTGGGTTGTGGGATAAGAAAGGATGCTAGATATATGGTGTTATTGCTAGGATGGATGAGGTGCAGCACGGGCAAAAAGTGTGCAAGTTTCCTGGGAGGACTTCGGGGTATGCAATCCAACAGCGACCCGCTCGTGCGATCTTCTTTCTCTTATGGGTATTCGCCGTTTTCTCCAGGCTCTAATTTATTTCCTGTCGCTACGCCTCACAGCTCCAGCCTCCAAATTACATCCTCCTCGCCCTTCCTCCGCTTCACCACTACTTGAGGCTCTTTCACGGGCTTCATAACACTCAACGGTATCCTTTGGTCATCCCTCTCTGGCACATCGAAGGTCCCACCCTTCACATCCTCAATATCGAGCATCTGCACGCATAGTGCTACGAATCCTAGGATTTCGCTCTGCGCGAAATGCCGTCCCGGACAGATTACACTCCCTCCGCCAAACGCGCGGTACGCGGCGCTGGGCACGTTCTTCGGGAGCGCGGTCGCAGTGCGCTCGGCGCTGATGCTAGCTCCAGTCTCGGAGGAGAATTGCTCTGAAGATGTGGTAGAGGAGATGAAGCGCGTGGGGTTAAAGGAGTTGGCGTCGGCGCCCCAGACGGATTCGGAGCCGTGGATTACGCCGCTGGCGATCTGGATCATAGAGCCTTTCTTTAACAGGTAGGGTGGATGGCCCGGCGCGCTGACGGAGTGTGTATTCGTTACCAAGCGTACCGAAGCTAAGTTCGCTATCGTGCGCAGCGTTTCGCGGTACGTAGAGACAAGGAGCGGACACTTGGTCTTTAAGTCGGTTACGTTGATGATCTTTTCTTTCACTTTGCCGTCCCTACTGCGCGTCGATGATATGGCCTGGCTCGTCTCGATCCTAATCTTCTGAAGCAGCGCAGGTCTTCCGAACACGTTCGCCAGGAACCAAAACGTCGTCGGCACCGCATTCCCAATCACTCCAAACAGCAGTATCAACTCCGCTCTTCCCGCCATCTTAGTCGTCAGTCCATGCTTCAAGTTGATCTGCACGCGCTTTTGAATCATCGTGCTTGCGGTTCGGTAATACCCCTTCTCTACAAACTCCTGCAACGCCTCGTTGATCGCTTTCCTCGCGAGCCAGGGTTTCCGCGCTGTGATGAAAGGGAACACATTCGCCATCACCGCGATCATGCCGCTCTCGTAGTCCCAGAATTTATGCACGAGCTCCGGGTGCATGGCGAAGGGGTTCTGTGGGCCGTAGATGGTGTACGCATTCGCGATGGTGAAGATGCGTTTTACGAAGTCCATGAGGGAGATCTCCAAGGTGGACGTACCGCGAACGAGGTCGCTCAACAGCTCGCTGAATTTGTCGAGTTGGGTGGTAGAAAGTTGATTCAGACCACGTCCAGGAGAGAGCTCAGAAGCGATCATTTCCTGCGATTCGTTCATGAGGCCTTCGCTGGAGCCGTGTTCGCCGTCGAGATTGAAGCGGATGATTTCCATACTCTGCTCATCGAAGTCGACTAGCCTTTTCGTCACTTCCAAGATCATGCCGTAGAAACTGAGATTCTTGCTTGCTCTTTGGATTGGCGCGGCGAGGACGGGGTCGATCACGGCGATTGTGCGCGCGGTAAGTGTTTGCAGTGTGAAGATGGGATATTGCGTCTTTGCGTTTACGCGCGCGAAGTAGGAGGCGCCATACCAAAACATGCCAATTACGTGTCCGAGAAATGGGAGGTAGGGGTGTGGGATCAGAGGTGGTTCGGTAGGGTCTTGGAGGGCTGCGAGGAGGGCTTCTGTATCGAAGAGGAAGGCTGTAAGTCCGTACAGAATGAGAAACGTGCGAACTTCGGAGAAGGCGAAGAAGTAGAAGGTCGATGCTAAGACTGTGATGTGCTGGAGCCAAGGGATGTTCGCGGCGCGTAGGTGCGCGAGCGTGGAAGTGGACATCGTGTTGAATGGGGCTATTCGATCAGGAAGATGAAGGGGTCATCGGGGCCGGTTTATATCTTTCAGTTCATCGCAATGCGCGACAAAGTCCAAAAGGACATCTTCGGAGGAAGTCTTTTGGCGGTTGGAGGTCGAGATGAGGTTCTTGATGGGATCGAGATGTAAGAGGGGAACACGAGGGTATCCATGTCGTTAATCAAAATATTCAATAGACTAGCACAGAAAGGGCATGGTGGAGTGATTCCTACCCTTCCACTATGATCCTTATACTCAGAGAAAGTACCTTCTGGTTTCCGTCCCAATATCCGCATGCCAAAAAAGCTCTCAAAGCAATGATTCGGTATGCTAATCCTACCCCTGTTCAATGCATTCACCTACGCAGCGCTCAAACTACCTTCAGCCCTGATTTCCCAACCCATTTCGATCAAGACATAGGCGCAACTTCAAGATCAACCACAACATTCTCTCCAATCGTGTTTCCAGGCATCACTGTAGAAGGAGTCATTAAAACCGCTCAGGCGACGTGAAAATAAGGCATACGCACCTTCATACCAGTGGATAACCCACCTATCAAACTCGGGCCCCTCATAAGGCTTCACGTGCGTCTTAACGGCAATCCAGCGTCCCGAGCACGACTTATCACTCCACCTCAACACAGTCCCAGAGCCCCATGGCACGCTCTTGAACTGCCATCCAACTGTTTTAACCGTCGCGTTCTCTCGATCCGGTCCAACGTTCCAAGAGCCACCTGATTGCGGGAAGGCCTTGCTCAGCGTCCAGTCCCCGGGGCCGTCCGATACGAGAGCCAGGCGGCCGGAGATTGGGCCAGGATGTGGGTTTGTGGGCGAGACGAGGAGCTCACTAGCGTTTTCCTTTGATATGGAGATCGGCTTGGGGAAATCGCCGTAGCCATTGCTGTTGTAGTACGGCGGGGGTGTCACGCCGAGATCATAGGTGTTATTATCGCGCAGGAGGGCTCCGGAGGTGATGGAGTTGCCGCCGACTACCTTGAGGTAGAAGCCTTGACCTGGAGTGGGTGCGGATAATGTTGATGCGACTAATGCTGCGACCGTGAAGAAAAGAGATGTGGGCTTCATGGTGGGAAGATCCTAGTAATGATTATAGGATGTCGAAGATAGGAAGTATTTGGAAATGAAGGTATGTGGTGGAATATATTACTGCGATCTGCGTAGTACATATATTCTGTGCTCGTATATGATCTCACCCAGTACGAGATATGATGCCATACGTGGACGCTCCACAGTTACACCGGATACGGAAGAGGACCGGTTTCTCGTCTTCGCGGCTGACCATAATACGAGTAAGCAGTCCAAATAGAGAATAAAGTGGCACAGTCCTCTCCGATGCAACTGTGTGCGTCTTTGCAAGCCTGTACAAACGTCCGCATCACGTGGAGTCGATCACCTTTTTTGCCGACCTTAGCGTCTTGATCGATGTCATATGGGTCACCTTACCTCATGCCGATAGCCGTTGAACGACAGCTGAAGGCGATTCTGGCGCCATTCCACTCAGATTTGATGGAATGGATCTCGCGAGAAGTATCGAGGGCGACTATTGCGATGCGAAACCCCTGTACGAGCCGTGGCTCTCGGGCAAACCAATCCCGCAACTCGGGATGATCGATAGTTTGTTACTTAAATTGGTCCACTTCGTATGCGCGAAGGTATTGACAGAAGGAATATTGCAGGAAGGAACAATGCGGGAAGACATGACTTGGCCGGGGGTGGCCACGAGGACTCCATTGAACGAGGTTGCGCATCTATGGCTACTGACGAAAAGAGAGCTGAACAAAAGGTGAGTATCTAACAGATTGGGGAGAAGTTCTGACGCATCAGTATTGTGAGCGTTGGAGCTGGGGAGGGATGAGCAAAGCTTGCTGGATTTCGCTGAGTCGGGTTTTGAAGCGGGCTAAGCCAAATGAGTATAGCTCACGTGTTAGGGCGGATCCGTTTCATTTGCCCCTCGACTCCGCTCCCCTCTCATCAATCAGAATGCCATCCTCATCCGCTCCAGACTCAGAAATCAGTACTCTCCCTCATAGCTGCTTCCACTGTCGAAAGATCATCATCAATCCGCCTCCCCAGCCTAGAGTCCACGGCTTCCGCTGTCGCCTTCCTTACACCAGACGCGAAGCGCTTCAAGCCGCCAAAGATGGCTGCCCAATCTATAAAATGCTTGTCAAGGGCTATCGGTTCGCGTCTACTCCAGAAGAGCTCCGTCAACTAGTCCGCGCTGTGCAAGGCAAGGCCGACTGGCGACTTCCACGCGTGGGTGTGTTTGGGTCACAAGAGAGGATCATCTACCTCGCAGAAAGCCTCAGCGAGCATCCCTTCTCAATCAGATTCAACGAGAATGGATGGGCGCTCTTTGCCTGCCTGGCATGGGGAAGCTGGTGGTTCTATGTGAATGCCCGACCAAGTATGGATTCCCGTTCGCCTTGATGCGGACATGGAAGCTGAGCGCGTCCAGCCGATCCAGCTGCGTCAGTCTTTCCCATCCCACCTGTCAACAGAAATGTTGCTTCTGCAGAGGCATTTGACTGGGCCCGGAAGTGGTTGAATGAGTGCGCCAACCATGGACCCGAAACGCACCGTTTGTGCCCCTCAGCAAAGGACATCGAGTTCACCCCGACACGGTTGCTACAGGTTGCACTCGAGGGAGGGCGCTATCGTGTCCGACTTCGCGAGACTCTCCCACATGAGCGTTTACGATATGTGTGCCTAAGCTACTGTTGGGGTGGCGACCAGCCCGTAAAGACGACAAAAGCAACGTTGGCCGAACGTGCACGAGGGATCAACTTTCAGGCTCTTCCCAAGACTCTTCAAGATGCGATTTTCGTCACTCAACAGCTTCAGCTTTCTTTTATTTGGATAGATTGCCTGACGATCATTCAGGATGATAAGGAGGACCTCGCGGTCGAGCTGCCGAAGATGCCCGAGATCTACAAAAACGCATGGGTAACAATCTCTGCATCGAGTGCTAGCACCTGTTTTGAGGGCTTCCTTGAACAACGACGCCCATCCGCCGATACCCAATGCGAGGATGTCGCTCTCCGTTATCAGTGTTCGAACGGAACGATTGGCAATATTTATATGTTCCAGCACGAATCGAATACTGTGGATCCAATAGACAAAAGAGCATGGACATTCCAGGAACGTAGAATCTCTCCCCGCTTTCTTGACTTTGCGAGTCATCAACTGCGGTGGAAGTGTAACAGCAGAGCGTACTTTGATGGAGGATTTGCTCCCGCCAATTACGAGGAACAAAAGACAAAAGGCACGCACGAACAAGTGAAGCCCGCTTCGTACAATGATAGTGGTGACGCCACTCTCGAACAAACCATCTTCAAGGTCTGGCCGGAGATCGTGGACAACTATACCCAGCGGTCTTTAAGCTTTCCGGGCGACAAGCTCATCGCGCTCGCCGCTCTTGCTAGCGAAATTGGAGACCCCCTCAATATGACCTATCTAGCGGGACTTTGGAAGGAGCACCTTCCAGCGCAGCTCCTTTGGCGGCTGTGGGGTGAGCCAGCAAAGCGGCCGGAGCTGTATCGTGCTCCAAGCTGGTCCTGGGCATCGGTTGACGGATATATCATGATGGAGCACGAGGCGAACACAGACAGAGTCGCAATTGAGGTTCTGGGGTGTACAATCGAGCCAGTCACCAAAGGCTTTGTGTACGGCGCCGTAGAGTCTGGAACTTTAACCATAAAAGGGCGCTTGTTGCCAGCGATCTGGTCGATTAATCGAGAGGATTGTCTCGCTTTAGAGGGCGTCTTCGATTTCGATTCGGAGTCCGAAGGGATGTCGGACCTGGAGCAAGACCTTTCAGATGACGAAATGACTGATATACCAGATACGCCTAGTGAGGCGGAAGCCTTGGAAACGACATCAGACGCGGTCGAAGCCACAGTCCTGGAGCCTGTTGACCTCACCGCGGATGCTATCGAGGTCGGGTGGGATATGAACGACCCCGATTTCGCCGTCGAAGTGCACTGCTTACAGGTACGTAGGTTGCGTTACACTCTCCAGCGTGTCTCTGTTTTGACTGCGGAATGCTCCTCCTGGGGGCCTTTATCGGTAAAGAGCTAAGACATTCTAAAGTGTTAACTGGCCAATCTGAGACAAATGCTAATTATACCGCCATGTTTATAGGTCATATCCCAGACAACGACTGATGGCTCTGCTGGCCTCCTCCTGGTTCTCTCAGACTCCAGTAATCCTAGCTCCTACAAACGTGTTGGGCATTTCATTTTCGACAGTAGGAAGAACGACGTCTTTCAGAATGTCGATGAGCGAGTCATGACGATTGTCTGAATTGTAGGCCCAGCTCTGCATCCGCCCGATTTCGGACCGGTCTACTAGTTACAAGCCCTCTCGTTGCACGTCAGACAAATCCACAGCCAACTCGCCTATCCTCTCCCTTCCGTCTAATTCGGCAATCTCTGCGTTTGCATCCATCTCCTTAATAGTCTCCCTCGACTTCCTCCTCTGCGTGTCATCAAGCTCCGCCTTTGCCCAATAGTTCCCACTCGCTTTCTTCCCGCGGCGAGCTCGGCTTCTACGCCGGAAAAAGAATAGTGCAAGCGCCAGGACGACGAGGAGGGTGAGGCTGCCGATAGCGCTGCTCAGCGCTATGATTCTGGTGTCGGCTTTATTTGGGCGAGCCGCCACTGTCGTGGTCGGATTCGCGGACTTTGACGTCGCGATAGTACTCCTTGGTTGTGCAGCCTGCGTCGCATTGGTATTCGTGCTGTCGCCCGATACCGTCTGTGTGGCATTGGCAAGGCCACTCGGGATTATACTTGTGCTTGGTATTTCAGCCGTGCCTACAGCTGCAGGCGCCTTGATGTCCACCAACTGGCCCTGTCAACCGAACAAAAGCCAGAGACAGTGCACTCATATCCCGGCCAACAGCATGTGTCCCCAGCTTCGCCACATTTTACCAGCTCCGGATACTGCCCGTCGTATACCGCCATTATGAAATTACCACTGGTCCTCGATTCATTAGCAGCCATGACTTTGCTACATGTGTCAGGTGACACTGCATCGCAGTCGGAACCGTTCGGACAGCAGAAACCTCCATCTAGGTGGTCGAAGTGCTAATTCGGAGGCATCTTGTTTGCTTAAAACAACAGAATGATGACAGGAGGCCGTCGCACGACCTAGTAAGATTGGGATTGGCACAAGCCATCGAGGACGTGGCTTTCGGAGGGTGAAAGTATTCCACTGTACGGAAAAGTCCAAGCGGGAACGCCTAAAACTGACGGCGACACTGCATGACCTTCCGGATAGTGGCATGAGGGCCCTTTCTATCCGAATATCTCGATACGGAGCGAACGCTGTGCCGCATCGAAGCGTCGCGATGCGGGTTGGTGGAGTTTCATCTGGCGCTTGCACGCTGGCACCTTCCACCGAAACAAGCACTACCACCGTTCTATAACCTCTTTTCAGGCACCTTTGCAATGCAAACCTTTGGGGAATCCGTCGTTCACCGCCCTCGGCACCGTCGGCGTTAGAGAGAGGCCTGCTACGCGATTCGAGTTGCTTGCCTGAAACTGCAGCACAGCGCATTTCTCCACGCCCGCTATACTTCCGCCGACAAAAGCCATGCGATGTTCATTGCTGGAGTATCAAAATCGTCGCGGTCGGGGGCCATTGTCGAGGTCGTGTTAATCAGAAAGTCCGCAAAGGTGAACCGATGCTTCATTTTCTAGATGCAAGAGTCCTGCAAACACATCTATGGAACATGTACCCGGATCCCCTCACGAATGCTGAATTATGTCAGGGAACTAGAGAACCGCTGAGGGGCGCGGCTGGTGCAGTATATAATTAAGCCTGGCACTTCAGAATGGCCCACAATCCTCCAGTCCTCGCCGTCCTGTGCAATTTCCCAGGCTCGCAGTTCTCGTCCATTGCATTCCGGCGTCCGAGCATTACCTATTCGGGGGCTAGAAAGGTGAAGAGAACCCACCCTCGTGTTTGGGGATCTTACAGCAAGGTAAACCTCTGTTTCTCTATTGTCTCCTGCCCCGAAAAAATTGGATATGTATCTAACGCCCAACAGTGCTGTTCGAAATATCCGACGCGGGTATATACATCCTCTCGTTCTTCTAGCTTCTTGACTACGATCCCGACACGACAGGCTGCATCTTCAAGCACATCGTTGTTCTTCTTTCTCACCGTGAACTCCGAGCCGGTGCCCCGAGCGATGAGGAGCGCATAGTAAGTGTCATTGAGATCCAAATTACTATGATCAAGCATCCAAAAATCGCTTTTCGGGCTCCCTGAACCGCGATTGCTCGTCGGTATGGAATCTGTGAGTGATTGCTTGGGTCTAGCATCCTTGGGCCACTGAACCGGTCGTAAAGGTGCCTCGACTGTCAATCGGGCATGATCGACCTGCCCGTTCGGCCTCGCCATGATGTCCACGTCAAAAATGCGTATCTTCCAGTCGAATCGATAGGTCTGGGTCCGCGCGAGCTGGACATACGTATTCCAAACTCCCCCGTCCAGTGAAGCCCACGACCAAGACGGCGCACGGTAGGACGCTGCGGCGGGTTGTGCGTACGGCTTCGGGTTGTCAGTGTACCAAAGCAGCTCCGCTGGAAGAATCTCTCTCCACAATCCTGCTACGGAGTGCATGCCTGTGCACTCTCCAATTCGCGTCACGATGCCGTTTATCGCGACGAGTCGGTCCTTGCCGTACGTAAGGTCGCAGGACGTGTACTCGTGCAGTAGCCGCGTCCAGGACCTGTGGAAGCTGAGGAACCGATCCGTTGGCGAAGTGAGATCCGGCAGCTCGGTCCATGGTGTCTGCAGCCAGGAGAAGGTTTTCTTTGGGTTAGATGATGCGCCCGCCCAGGACGCTCCTCGGAGTTCAGGTGCGCCTTCGCTGGCATTGCTAATCTGGCATTCCCACAATATTCCCTCTTTGCCGAAATACAGAGTCCGCGGCGAAAGAGTGCGCTCTTGGATTACCCAGCCACGCCTTAGAAGTCCTCCTTGTGGTAGCACCTCGCTTGTCGAGGGGCCGGCTACCATGTTATTTTGCACCAGGTCGAATTGAAGACTGCAGGGGATGTTCTTGAGGGGATTGCGTAGGCCAAGGAAACCTTCGCGACTGCTTGTTGCGTCCAGTGCAGCAATAGTGCACACGCTGCTGCGATATATATGTCGCCCATGATAGCCGATTCTTCTTCCCAATCATGAGGCGTGTCCTGGAGAACGCAGAGAGAATCGATCCAGAGATATGCGTAGCCGAGGCTCCGGGTAACATTCACCGCGTCCTTGAAAGTGTTAGGAAGGTTCTCCCACGGGATTTCGTGAAGGAAGGAGTCTTGGTTCTCTCGAGTGAGGCAAAGTATCTGTGCCGTACCCCATCTATGACTCAAAGTCAGATACTCCGGCATTTCATCGCGATCGTCTGCAGCGTCCTTCGTATAGACGAGCCTTATCGGCTCCCGTTTCGAACCTCTGACGTCCAGAAGCCTTGTTGGTATCGCAGAAGCGGTCTGGTATGCCTCACGGCAAAGTTGATGTTGTCCTAAGCAACCGCTCAGCCATCGCCTTGCTAGGAGCATCGTCCCACGCGACATCGTTGACAACGCAGTCTGCGCCTCCAGGAACTCTTTGTCGTAGTAATCGCGCACATGAGCATTCTGCCCGATGCGAAGATGGGAACGAGCAAATCTGCCGCTCACCGCCTGGCCGTCGGCGATGGCGAGCCATAGACCGCCACTGCCACCGGATGCGCGATTGAAATAGACTCGTACTATGAGCTGGCTACCGGTCGCAGCGAATTGAACGGGATACTTGTTCCCGGGGAACGACCGAGCCGCCCACCAGGCCTCCAGGGCCCGCGTAGAATCAGGGGCCCGCATGATCTTTAGCGCGTCGCATATCGGGTTGAGCGGAGCAGGATCGGAGAGGTTAGCTGTGTCGAACTTCGAAAGCAGCAGGGAGCAGAGATGACACCCATTGGATGCCGCGGACTCAAGATCTTCCAGCCGCTTGTAATGCAGAAAGCCCTCCCGCAGTTCCTCGCTTGCTGGGATACGGGAGTGGCCCTTTATCCCATGTTGGAAGAGCTGCAAGCAATAGCTTACTGCGTTGCATTGCTCACAGAAATAGTCCAGGGTGGAGCATGCATTTGGGTCACCCTGCATCGCCTTCCTGAGCGACAACTCCTCTAGAGAATGCATATTGGCTTGATGGTTGCGGAATGGCACAATTTCGAGCCGGGGACCTGGTTAGGAAGACGGTGATGGGCGTTGGACGAGGGTAGCGTTGCTGGACGTCTGAACACTTTCAGCTGCTGCTCTGGGGTCGATGGCTTTGTGGCTTGCCGAGCATCCAGCGAAGAGGTTGGCGCCTAGCTTGGAGCCGCGACCATCGACATCTAGCCGGTATCGTCACCTATATTCGCTACGTGCTCGTTAAGTGCCATGAGGGAAAGCCTTTGAACCACGGAGGCAATAGCATCGTTTGGGAGCGGGAATCGTCGTGGACGGTGTGAACAGTCAAGAAAGCAGCTTTAATAAAGGTCTACGCAACACAGCTATGCAACGGTGCTGCGCAAAGCGTGCATTCTTTCAAAGGAAGAGCTGAAGAACCCGATGAGAAGCCCACCCGTGGTATCAATATATTCCTTCACAGGACTCTACAACGTACAAAAACTCCACCTCCAATGGATCCCAAGTAAGCTCATTTTCCGCTGTGGTGGGACGTAATGCTCGCCCTGCGGGCCTCTAGGATTTCGTCCTCTTGGACCGGAGGGCCCCGGTAGTTCTTCTTGCCCCAGATGAAGTACCATGCGGTAGAGATGACGAAGAAGGCGAAGAAGACGACCGAAGCGTAATTCATGTATTGTGGGGTTACGGGGATGGCGGTCGGCATGCAGAACAGCGGGATGGCGAGGAGCGACCAGGCTTGACTTTCCGTTAGCATTGAAATGTGGCTGATGGGGATGGGCGTCTTACCAAGTGCGACGCAGTTGCAGAAAATGCCCAACTTTCCAAGATGGAAATTACCGTCGCGGATGTGCCTTCGTCCATTGAGGAGCGATACTGCGATCGGGCACGCGTAGCTCATCGTTAAGCAAATGACACCAACCCCGGAAAAGGCATTGAAAGCCGCCGTGGAACCAAAATAGATAAGCCCAAGCACAAGCTGCACGACCATGCTAAGCATCATAGCGTTGAGCGGGACGTCCAGCTTTACGTTCACGGTTTTCCACCACCTGGATCCTGGGATGGCGCCGTCACGTGCGAACGCCCAGGTGCAACGCGAGGCTGCAGTTGTGCATCCAATACCGCAGAAGACGGCGAGAACGAGGAGAGGGATTAGCAGACCGATGGCGCCGCCGGATGAACCAATTGCGTCTTTGATGATGACGGGGACGGGTTGGCCAGAGGCAAGGGCGGCGAGCGTTGCCTGGTCGGGCATGACGAAGACGAGGGGGATGAGGAAGACAAGCCCGGCAATGGTGTTGAGGACGATGGTGCCAACCATGGCTTTGGGGACCTGTGTGGCCGGCTGCTGGACCTCTTCGCACATTCTAAGATGTGTTAGCAGTTGTTCTATTTGGGAAGTAGGGATACCAGTTGAGACGTGGCGCAATGGAGGATAGTCGCTCATGGCATGTGTCACTCCTTGGGATTAAGGGAAAAAGGTGCTTGAGGGAGGAAAGCCAGGAATTGTCGCATTGGCAGGGGCGCTCACGAGATGATCATTCCGGTCGATGATGTCGCATAGGCGGCGTGGAGGAGTCCAACGCAGAATGACCAGCCGGCAGGCCATCCACTGTTGCTTGGGTCGAATTCGCCAAACACATAAGATGCGTCATGGCGGCCGTTCTTCGCAATAGCAAGCACGCACACGACAATGGCGATTAGTCCAGCAAAAGTCCAGAAGATGGCAAACGTCTAGTCTTGGTAAGTAACGCATTCAAAGGTGCTCTGGAGATTCTTCTCACATCCAGAATGGGCAGCCAACGGTTGGCAAGCGCAGACACGAGGTTGCAGAGGATCGTGAGGCCGAAGAAGATGAGGTAGACTTGGTAGGTTTCACCGGCGAAGATGCCGACGCCCGGCTCGGATTCGAAGACATTGATGCAGGCTGTCAGGAACAGAGTCGTTCCAAAGTTGACAGCCAGCGTGATGGTGATGTTGCCCACGACGAAGGCCCAGCCGCAGATCCACGATACGATTCTTCGATAGGACGGGGCAGAGAGCATGAAGGTCTGGTAGTACACGCCGCCGGAGGTGGGATACACGCTGGTAATCTCTCCCAACGATGCGGCTACGCAGAGGATGATGAGCGAAACGGCCACCCAGCCCCAGATGATGTTCGTCGGCCCGCCTCCGACCAGCGGATAGTAGAAGGTCGTTGCCAGGCCGTATGGGATAGAGGCGAGGACAAAGGACATAAATGCGACTTGGAGAGTAGACCGGCTGCGAACCAACTCGCTCTTGTAGCCCATAGCCTCGAGCAGGTCGTCGGCGGAGGCTCGTCCTCCATCTTCTCCCAAGTGCTTCCCAGTCAGGCTGAATTTCCTCTCTTTTCCTATGCTGCGGTGGTGGAGGTCGTGCTCGGCCGCGTAGGCGTCTGATTGCGTTCCGTAGACGTGGTCCGCCATGGTGTAACGATGCTGCTGAGTTGGAATGGGAGAGGAAAGAAGGGTCCCTTTATCGCGCAACAACAACCGTTTGCCTCGGTGGGTACGCGACGGCATTTGAATTGCCTGCAGGTGAACGTCAGGCGACGCTAGGCCGGGGCCGGCTACTAGCGATTAGGCAAGTGCTTCCCAGAAATCGAGACGAACCCTGATCGAGATGCAGCCCCGAACTTGGCGCTCCCTGAGTTCTGGGCGGCATCCGACGGCGAACAGGGAGGAATCTATGCGATCGGCCCGAAGCAGATGCACTGGTGGGGATTCTACAGGCCTTCTGGAACAGACGGAAGCCGGGCGTCACAGAAAGACGGAACATCTCATCTTCACCCTGCCATACTGACATGCTGATGGCTGGTGAGTGGCCAAGCTGCTATTGCGCAAGCGGCTGAGGGCGCTGTGGGGTTGCGAGCGCTGCGTCGAAGAAATGATAGCGCCACCCAATCGGAGAGGCCGTCATTCTGCTCGCCTGTGATTGGATCCCAAGACATGCTAACGGTGCAGAAATACGATCTGATTTCGTGAGCTCGAAAAGGGCGCGCTGCCGGGACGAGGAGGTTTGTTGCGCAGAGGAAAGACGGTATGTAGCAGCGTCGCGGGCGCGATGTGTGACGAGGTGGAGGTTCGGAGATGTGCGACCCGTGGTTGGAGGGGCCTGTGGATCGCGACTTCCTCCACCGAGCGCGCCCTACCGCTGATACCTGGCCGTAGATAGTAGTCGCGACGGTATAAAGGTTGGAAGGACCAGCCCGTTCGTGTAGACGATACATTGCCATTGCTGCCCAGGTGCGACATTAGGGGATACGGCCAGAACGACGCACGGGTTTGACTTGCCTCGGCCATGCATCACGAAATCGTCGCCCTGGAGCGCATCCACCAACCCCTCCCTGAGACCTTCGACTTCCCCGCCGGCACCACCTACACCCTAACAACCCACGATACCACGCCCACGAGAGAACTGCTACATGCCCGCATTCGGCATGCTACTATTATCGTCGTCACCACGCTGAAACTCGATGCCGAAACGCTTTCCGCCGATGTGACCCCGACCCTGAAGCTAGTCGCCGTGATGGCGACGGGCACAGACCCCGTCGACCTCGAAGCCTGCAAGAAGCGCGGGCTTCGCGTGACAAACACGCCAGCTGCGAATCTAGACGCCGTTAGCGAGCATGCCATCAGTCTGTATTTCGCCGCGCGGAGGCGGATAGCCTTCATGGACGGGCTGACGAGGCAGGTGCCGAGCGAGTGGAAGAAGAATGGGAGTCTGAATAAGTATATGCGCTTCGCGGACGGGAAGCCGCCATTGACGTGTAGGGATGAGGTTATGGGCATCGTGGGATACGGCGGGCTTGGTATGTAACACTATTAATACACGCCGGACACCGCACTGATAGGGAGGTGCAGGGAAGAGGATTGCGACGCTGGGACGCGCCCTCGGCATGGAAGTCCTGATCGCAGCGCGAAAGACATCGTCCGAAACCGCGCTCAATGGCGTATTACCGGCCCCTGACCCTTCTGAGGCTCGCCTCCCCTTCGAAGAAGTCCTGCGCCGCTCGACCGTCGTTGTCCTGTCCCTCCCTCGAAACCCACAGACCATGAACCTCCTTTCTACCGCCGAGTTCGCCCAGATGTCGCCGTATGCCATATTAGTAAACATAGCACGAGGGGGTATAGTCGATGAGGCTGCAGTGGTAGAGGCACTGAAAGACGGGCAGATAGCAGGCTACGCAACAGATGTGTTTGCAAAGGAGCCAGCTGAGGGCGCTGGAGATACACCACTGTTGGGTGACGAAGCAAAGGGCTTGAATATCACCATGACGCCGCACCTAGCGTGGTTCGCCCAGAGAACGTTGAAGAATCTCGGGCAAATACTGAAGAACACAATCGAGGCGTGGGCAGGTGGTAAAGAGATTAACGTCATCGTCTAAGGGAAAAGCAACGTAGAAATAAAAGATAGAGAAGCTCCGCAAAATTACAAGAACAGCAAAAAGAAAACCTTCAGCGACCCCATAATCCACTCAGGCTTCAAGCACCTTCGCGGAAGATTTCGAAGATCTTTAGAATTATGCACAAAGACAAAATTGCGCTGGGTCTCAAATCGCAGGCGCTTCTTCCCTCTGGGAAGTTGTCGCTCGGCTTGTCGTCTGCCCCTCTCAAAACAGTGCGCGAAGTACCGTGCAACTAACGTCCACGACGTTTGCGCAAGCCCAGTTCCAAACTTTTGTCTGTCTTTCATTCATGGCTTACGTACTTTAGTTTCCAGAATTACGTCAAAAGCGCCAGCTCTCCTGCCAGCCCGGGATTTTACCTCCACAATGCTCTGACCCCCCTCGTTTCTCATGTTCGTTTGCAATGCAACGGAGCGACGGCTACGGGGCGTGGACAGAGGGAGCCGCATTGTGCAGCGCGTATATACTCCAGTTTCCTGGAGATTGACGGCATACACACATGTCGCTGGTCGGCGCGCGGCGATGATGCCTCGTATATAGAGGGACGTTTCTCCATAATGATGCACGGGACGGGATATAAAAACTGGGAAGGCCGCGAGGAGTGAGCATTTCCTCGTCATTTAGCACAGTACTAATAAGTCCTCTAGATCCTTCAAAAGAACAACTTCACAGCAAGACTAGAAGATCTTTAAGTACTCTCTAACACGAAGAAAATGTCTGGGAGCCCGGGAAGCGATGCGGCAGATCGCCCAAGAAGAGTACCTCGTTCCCCATTCTCCCGCATCCAATGCTGGCGAGCCTCAGCCTGATGTCCCCGAAGGAGGAGCACCCGAATACCAAGGGATCTATGCTCCCCACTCGCCCTGGAGAGACGAGGTGGCAAGGATAGGCGAGGAAGCTTGGGTTGAGGAGACGGTGGACGATGAGATTGTAAGCTTTCCCACAGTCCTCCCGTCCGTTGAGGAAGCAGACGCTGACCTAGAAACAGACACGGGGACCGAGGCAGATCCTCCGACTTTCTAGAAGAAGACGAGGAGCTGAAAACTCCGAGGGCGTATCTCAGCCTGCCACCGCCTCATCCACCATACGTCCGCTGCTCCAGTCTAAGCCCAAACCATCACGTGGTTTATATGGAGCCGACGAAAGACTGGAATCCTGCGTGGCATTACAGTCTGGTTGGTAAGAGCCTTCCTGCGAAGACGATCCTGAAGTGTGTTTTCGACTTCCGGAACTTGGAGCAAAACATCCTCCAGTGCCGGATGTTGCAGCCAGAGGATGAGGAGGCCGATCGGCTCACCTGGCTGTACAGGGAATGGGTCCGTTCCGTCATCTGTCTCCGGCTCACGAAGCGGTGGCTGGAAATGGACGAGAAGACGCGCACTGACGAGATCGCGTTCGTTGCTACCCGGGTAGAAGAACTGGAAATGGAGCCCTGGGAGTACCTCGCCACATGGCTCGCTTCGTACCGCACATGGATGAAGCAAGAGCACGAGCTCCTGAGCAACGCAATACGGACCGATCCGAAGCGGCGACGAGCAGGGGAACGACCGACTGTTCACCAGTTGAGGCTCGGTGCGCAGTTGGAGGAGCGGAAACATCGGAGCCAGCTCTGGCATATGCTCCATGATGAAGACATCTAGAAGAAAGATGTCAAGCATCGGTTGGACAAGGCGTGGTATGCGCTGAAGCAGTCGTGTCTGGAGAATGGCATGATCGATCTTGATACCCTCCGAGAGGCATGACCACCCGAAGTAGAGTTTGACGGCGCAACGCTTGACGATGCAATCGGATGCTTTTCTTCTTCGTAGGCGAAGGGTAGACGAGATAATGATTACGCGAAACGAATAGAAACTATGAATGTATACACTTTAAACGATAATCGCCTGCAAGCCTGTACCTGTGCATTGATGAGCCGAAAGATCATGCTTAGGCCCTAGTCCGCAGCTGCAAGGCAACCGACTCTGCAATGCAATCCTAAAAAAGATAGAAGAGCTCCGTCTGCTCATCCCGAGTAGTGTCAACATTGTACACTGCATATATAATCCCTAACACTTCAGCACATTGTGCACGCAAAATGCTCTATATACCATGATAAGTCTTCTCCACAACGCTAAGACGGGGTATATGAATCCGCGGAGGAGCTTCCACGACTTGTATGCACAATCATACATCGAACCATCTTCTGATCCATTGACTTACGCAAGGCTTCCAGAAGCGACATGAACACAATGTGCTATCCCAACTACACTGCCGCCGCCGCTGCCATGCGAAAGCAGGAAGCTTCTGTAGCTACCACTGGGCCGGATCCCAGCACGGGTAAGTCCCACGTAGAAGTTCTTCCAGGCGTGAAACTAACAGCGGACCAGATTAGGCAGATTGTGGAGGATGCGTACACCATCAACCACGTTCCCGAGCCCACGATGACGCTGGACGACATTGTGGATATCCAACTTGACGCCGTGGACTGCCCGTCTGTCGCATCCCTAGAGACAGGTATCGAACTTGACGCCGTCGACTGCCCATCTATCCCACTCCTGGAGGCAGACACGTCATCTAACTCGGAAACTGTGGATGACTTTCCCAACTACGAGTCCATCTCCTCTCTAGACTCACACAGCTCCCCCGTCCCATGGCGTAAACAAGTCCTCTCCGAAGGCGAAGACGCCTGGATCGAGCGCACCAGCTCGGAGGAAATAATCTCCTATCCCTCCCAAGACGCCAGCGGCCAAACTACCGAATGGAACATCGCCCGCACGAAAGACCTCGACAGCCTCGACCTCACGCCCTGCTTCGTCCTAGACTGCGTCTTCGACGCGCGCCATCTCGCGCAAGACCTTCTGCGCTGCGGGCGCGAGGAGGCAGAGCCCGACTACGCGAGCTACGTGTTTAAGCAGCTCCTGCGCGCGCTGCTCGGTGTCGAGGCTGCCAAGCGGTGGAGCGCGCGGGGAATGAAGTTCCATCAGGAGATGGAGCTGCTTGGCCGCGCGGCTGCGGATCGGGAAAAGGGGCTGCGGCTGTTCGAGCCACTGCGTGTGTTTCTAGAAGGCTGGCGTGAGTGGTTTGGCCAGGCTGTTGCGCGGACGATAGCTGGGCGGGGGGTTGACCTGTCTGGGCAGAGCGCATTGTGGCCGCGGCCGGAGGAGCTGCAGCGAGCTTGTGAGCAGTATGCGCAGGCGCGGTATGAGGAGCTGTGGATGCTGCTGCGGTGCAAGGGCGTTGAGAAAAGTGAGTATGAGCGGAGGGTGAGGAGGGCAAGGAGGGCTGTAAGTGAGAGATGCGAGGAGGCTGGACAGGCTTTCGATGTCAACGATATCCTCTTTTAGGAAGCATTGCATCTGTCATCCGCCTTTTCTGGCTTGCTTACTCACATACCCTCATGCCGTAGCTTCGAGCGATGGTTGCATAAAGAAGTCGAGAACAGAGGAGAGAGGGCAGACAAACCTCAAGACCAAATAATGAAGAAATGAAGATACCGTACTGCCAGACATGACATCGTTTCTGTGCTGATTTTGAACGTGGGAGTGATCCCTGAAATCTGATAAAAAGCTTGGACCAAACAGGAAATGCATTCAACACCTACTAACTAGGGAAGAGGTCTCATCCTCCACTCAATCCCAATAGTAGCTCCACATCTGCAACCCCACAAACTCATCACTATACGCTTTCCCCCTCCCCTCCCCTCCGGCGCCCACACACACAACCAGCGGCAAGAAATGCTCCGCCCCACCCCTCGGATGCATTTCATACGCCCCCTGCCACTTCCTCCAGCCCTCAAACTTCTTTCCCCTCTCCTCCACATCCTCTGTCATTACCGCGTCCCCAACCTGCTTGCTCCACTCCTCGTTCAGCGCCTTGAACGCCGGCGTACGCGTAACGCCGGAGAACATGGCGCGGAGGTTGTGCAAGGAAGCGAAGCCGGAGCCGATGATGGCGATGTTTTGCTCACGGAGAGACGAGAGGGCGCGTCCCATGGCGTAGTGTGCGGAGGGGTTTTCGGAGGTGAGGACGGAGAGTTGGATGATGGGGATTGAGGCGGAGGGGTTGATGAGCATCATGGGGACGAAGACGCCGTGGTCCCATCCTATCATCCTGTTAGCGCTCCATTCTTCCTTCCGTCCAACGACATCCAAGGAAGTGAGTCTCGGCACCTCTGCTCCCATCCATCCTCCCCTGCAACCCGGCTTCCTCCAGGCTCCTCTTCACCAACTCCGCCACCTCCGGACTGCCCGGCGCATCGTACTTCAAGCTATACGCCTCATCGGGAAACCCATAGTAATCATAATACAGCTCATGTTTCTCCCCACTGCTTATCGTCGGCTTATCCGTGCTCCAATGCGCAGTTACCAGCACAATAGCCTTCGGTTGTTCGGGGGTGCCCAGCTTGAGGATCTCCGGTACGCGAGTCTTCAAGGAATGTGTGATTTTGGCCTGCGAGGGGTCCCCGAGGAGCGGCATGGGCCCACCGCCGTGCGAGATGGAGATGACGGGCGCGCGGCGCGTCATATTTGCCATCTTCGTCGAGTAGAATGACAGTGGGAACTGTTGCAGGCCGCGCAGTGGGTTCAGCGAGAAGTTCGTCCAAGAGAGCTCGGCGGAGGCGCTGCGAGGCCGATGCAGATTGAATAGCAGCTGTGTGAGTAGAAACGAAGGGCGGGTTAGTCTCATGATCCATCAAAGAGTGCGATGAGCTCGAATATATCCATCTCGGACGAAGGCATTGATGTGGCTCTCGGCATTGCAGTTCTCGAAGGCGCGACGGTGTTTTGTAAGAGGTTGGGCAGTGCGGAATTGATGCCGCGGGTGCGCCGGAAGCGGAATGGAGCGGCTTCCGATCACGTGTGAGAACCTTTACTGGGGCCAGCATCCGCCTCGAATTCGCGAGCACAATGCCTTCTTGGACTTCGACGTCTACTTGGACCACGTCGCCCTGGCCAATGAAGACATGCAAGTACACTTGTGAGCGTCCCAAGCGTACCATTGCGTAGATAGGCTATCGACATGGCGGCAGGTCAAACTTTAGGTATGCCAAATGGAAAGGCTCTGTGAAGATGTATTTGTGAGTGGAAAGTATATTATGGATGTGCCTTAGAGATACCAAAAGAGGAGATCTGATGATATCCCGAGCAGGAAAACATCCTATGACATCCCGGCACATCCGCAGATGACAGCCGAACGTAGAGATATCCACCCAAAAATGCCCATACTGGCAAGTGCAACGTTAACACTATGGGTAACGACCGCGATGCTAACGGAGCGTAGACCAGTCTCACAACCAAAGAAGACCATGACCCGCCGTGAACGCCCTGGGATCCGAGAACGAAAGCGTGGGGAGCCGTGAAGGAAAGATCTAGATCTCCTCATCCTCCTCGACCGCTTCACTGTTAGCCAAATTCGATATGTTCCTTGAGATGGTGCACATACCCGTCTCGCCGTCGTCCTTGGCCTCCTCCTTGGCCTCAGCCTCAGCCTTCTCGGTCTTGGCCTTCTTGCCGCGACCGCGACCCTTGGCCGGAGCCTTCTTCTTGCTGTCGGTCTTGACGTCGTCCATGGAAATCTCGGGATTTAGCTCCTTGCCTGCCTCGGTGTCGTCGCTGTCAGACTTCGCCTTGCGCTTCCTTCCAGCGGCGGCCTTGGGAGCAGCCTTGGTCTCTTCGCCGGTACCAGTGGCAGGGGCCCCAAGGAAGGCGGCGAATGATGGGTGAGCCTCGACGGCCTTGCGCTTCACCGGGGGAAACATCTTCTTGAGCGAGCCAGCCGTGTTGCCGGTAAGCGTCGCGAAAAGCTCATAGTCGTACTGGAAGTCAACAGGTTAGTGGTCGAAGCAGCACATATCGCGGGTAAATCTGGACTCACCTTGTCCGGCGCAGTGGTTGCGAGGAAGGCAGCGGCCAACAACTTCGTCTCGCGACCGTCGAACCCAGCAACCGAGTTCGGGTCATCCTTAGTGTCCTTCTTGGGAGGCATTGTTGATGATGTTCGGATATTTACTTCTTAGAAGGTGGTTAGAGGTGTTGCTAGAGATTCTCAAAGCGTGATGTGAGACCAAGAACGGAATACTGGAAAGGTTCGACGAGAGTGGAAGACTTGAGGAAGGCGGGCGGGATTTTATGTGTGAGAAGAAGTCCAAGTGAAGGTGGAAAGTACACCGCAGCGATGCGTCGAAGAAACGATAGCAGGTGACAGAGTTTAGGCCCAAGGCCATTGTTGGTATGAAGGTGAAGGTGTATTGCACACCGGATTGCACACCGCCCGCCGCAAGAGTCATCTTCTCCTCCTCTTCTTCTACATTTAGTGTCTACCGCAGTGATGGTCGTTTTAGGCCAAGGAATCGGAATGCGTGTTCCTAAAGCCTTCGGAGCTCTATTAGCTGTTGAGACAACCCGACCGCATTAACTCTGTGCCTAATCTTTTCGTTGGACTTTGGCGCCCTTCACCAAGCTTTCCATATCATTAGCGTCCATGTCTTGCTTTGAAAAATGACGATGTGGTGCGGGGAAGCGAGAAAATGATATATCATGTCTTGAATGGAGCTGCTGTGGAACCTGTCGCCCAGGTCCACGAACCAGAGGCTGAACCCAGTGTGACTTTGAGCTGATTAACTCATGCAAAGAACGTGACGCCAATAGACGGGAGACCATGGTAGCAAATAGAGTGAATGCATTTCGGATTCCATCGGGCAATTTGATGAACACCTGCAATGCAGCAATGCGACGGCGAGAACATGTAGTCTCCCGCTAAGTTCCTACGCTCCGGTGCTCCTTGCGAGTCTCGCTCGCGTCCGCGAAACGGGCACAATCATGTGTCCCTTCGACAGCTGTCGGTTCGTGAGAGGTCCCAGCTACGAGGCGAAAACGTTGGCTCTGGCAGCGTCTAGACCAGCAAGATCGGCGCCGGAACGTTAGCCGGCCCCGGATGTTCCTCTTAATCCGTGTTCGGAATCCCGACCCATTGCTGTGGGACCCAATCTCAATGCTATTGCCATTCCCCTGACGCGGGTTCGAGCGGAGAAGCAGAAAGTGGTACGATGGTCCCCGCCCTTAGCAGTAACAGCGTCCAATAGGGAATATCTGGAGCTGCATCAGTTCGATTGGAGAGATTTGAATGGAGAGACTGCGGGTTCCAGGGGCTAGCATTTGCGGCACGGTTTGACGTTGAGCAGGTCGGCGAGCAAAAAGCAGTGTGATGAAGGCGATGTCCCGAGGCACGGAGACGAAGAGGTGCTAATGTAGAGCGACGAGGAAGAGGCTAGCCCCAGGGCAAGGCCAGGCGATAGGCACACGCCAAGATATCAGACGAGACGGCAAAGACGCGGTCGACCGTCGACTGCCGTCCATGGATCCACGGTTCGCGGGCGTGACAGACGCCAGCGGCCAGGTCGGTCGCTGCGCCGCCTGTGTCGGTGCCAGACTTCAGCTGCTGGTGCTACAGCAGACGTCTCTCTGGCGCGGCGCAGGACGCTGCGGACGGGCGAATCCCAGGGCATCGGACGGCATTATTGAGTGGAGATTGAAGGTTGGTGCCGGACGAGAGTCGACGGTTTGGGGGGAATGCAGCTGCGCTACTGTATAGTGCGGCGGGCAGCAGCGGCGATTCCCCTAGCGGCCCGCAGGCGGTCGTCCCTGCCGCGAGAAAAAGCAAGCGTGCACGCAATTTTGATATGCAACCGCGTCTGGGCCCCACGCTGGGCCTCCATTCTTCAACCCTCGACGCCGCGCAGAGCTGTCACTACTGCTAGCCATTGCCTTCAGCTCGGCCTCGACTCTTGCTCTCCGTGTGACCGCGCCCGGAGCACACTGTCGCTAGTCCTCGAGCTCGCGTGCCCCCGCCGTTGTCAGCTGCCCCTCCATCATCCTTCCGCCCACGTATCCATACCCATACCTCGGGCTCCCGCTCATCGTCTACAACCCCGACGCGCTCGCTAGGACATAAGGGTGCGCCCGCCCTCACCAATTCGCTCCCCAGTCCCTGTCTAACCGTCTTTCTAGGCCAGCCGGTCCACCCTCCACCAGTATGCCGTCCAGAAACATGTCTACCAGCTCCTACCGCGTGCGCGCAAACCACCTGTCGACCGGGCCCCTCGCCTCATATCTTCTGCGCCTCATGTCGATCAAGCAGACGAACCTCTGCCTCTCCGCCGACGTGGAGACCTCAGAGCAGCTGCTCGACCTGGCCGAGTATTGCGGCGACTCAATATGCATCCTCAAGACGCACTGCGATATTATCTCAGATTGGTCCGACAGGACGGCGAGGCAGCTCAAGGAGATTGCCCGCCGGAAGTGCTTCCTCATATTCGAGGACCGCAAGTTTGCAGACATTGGCGGTATGCCTCTCCATTCCGAGTCATGCCCCTTGGTTGCACATGGACACCCTTGCGTTACACGCCCTTGTTGAATTTGGTCCGAGGCTAATGCCGAGCCCTACAGAGACCGTGCAGAAGCAGTACACCGGCGGCTACCACCGCATCGCGAACTGGGCTGAGATCACCAACGCGCACATTCTCCCAGGCCCCGCCATCGTCACTGCCCTCCACAAGGCCGCCGATGCCGTCATTGCGAAACACAACACAAGCGTCTACACCGACATCTCCTCCGACGTGCCTCGAAAGAAAGCGGTCGACATAGAAGATAACGATGACGATGCCACGGCCGATGTGGCGGTCGAATCCCCGCCGCAAACTGAGGATACCGAGGAGCGGCGGTTAAGCATCAAGACCATGGACAGGAAACAGAGCGTTGTTAGTATTAGCACTACTATTTCTATGCGCACAGAAAGCATATCGCCGCGTCCTGCTCCCGACTTCCACCCCGACGAAGCGTTCCTCGTCGACAAGATTACCCTCCTCGGCCGCCTCGGCCAAACGCCATTTCTCCGCGGATTGCTCTTGCTTGCCGAGATGAGCTCAGAAGGTCACCTCATGACCCCGGAGTACTCGGAGAAGTGCGTTGAGATTGCGCGCCAAAACAGGGACTTCGTCATGGGCTTCATTGCCCAGCGAAGTTTGAACTCAGAGCCAGACGACAACTTCATTACCATGACTCCGGGGTGCCAGCTGCCGCCAGTAGGCCAAGGTACGTAGGTCCCGCACTCTAGCATATCTCAGCTTCCCACTGCGGAAAACCCATCCTGGAGGTCTTCAGCAGGTAAAGAGCTGAGACCTGCCGGAGTCTTTACTTCCCCCGTTTTCTGAGACAGCTGCTCATCACCTCCACAGACGGCAAGAAGAAGATGGGCGATAATCTGGGCCAGCAGTACAACACGCCCCGCAAACTGATCCTAGAACAAGGATGTGACGTCATCATTGTCGGTCGAGGCATTGTACGAGCGAAGGACCCGGAAAAAGAAGCCGAGCGATACCGGGTGGAGGGATGGAAGGCGTACGAGGAGAGGCTCGGGGTCCACCACAGGTAGAGAATATCCTGGCCACATATTCCTACCTGCGCCCTCTTCCCTACTTCTTCCTTCTTTTCATGCTTTCAAGCTCCAGGATCACTAATGAGGCAACAGCCTTAAAACCTCGGACTATTGCTTTCTCACGCGCAGGACCCCGGCTATACCTCTGGAGGTCCGGTTGGAATACCGCGCTCGGGCCGAGCAGGCTCGAATAGCGAGGAGTGTCTAGCGTATAACGGTATAATTGGTATGCATCGGGTGGCGTTCAAAGGTATTGTTCTGGTGCTCGAGAGGTGTTTATGCATCGAAAGTCGGGCATGGTATCATGGAGCCGGGAGGCCTTCAGAGCGTTTTCGCGAGGGACTGCATTCTACTCGAGAAAACGGAGTGGAACATTGGTAGCATAGGCATTTTGGGGGTATAGATTTGGAAAGCATGGGTATGAGGGCCAGTCAATGGGCATACCATGAATGCATACATTGGAGGATATCATTTTCCCTATTGACTGCTCTACAGACCTACCGTGCTCCTACCCTTGCGCGTCTCTCGAGCTTGCACTTAGGCCAACGGACTCTAGGCTCTCTCCGTGCTTACGGATCTTTCAGCTCTCGCTCACTCTGGAACTTCGCGCACAGCCGAAGACGCAACAGCACCCTCCGCCTTCTTTCCTGCAAGTACGTTCTCCCCGCTGCCCGTCTCGCTATCTGCTTTCTCAACAGCCGAATTCCCTTTCCTCTCCTTGAAACCCAAGAAGAGGAATCCGACAATGACGGCCAGCCAGTACAGGTTGTACGAGATAACGGAGCCGTAGGTTGCGCTGTTTTGCCAGCCGAAGAGCGAGTTGAAGATGCCCCATCCACCGTCGCCGTTCTCGAGGGGGCTGCAGCACTGCGTCGTGTTAGCTATCACGGAGTTGAATAATTAGGGAAAGACTTACGTTGACATGCCATACACTCTTTCGGATATCATACGAGCCAGGTCCTGCACCTGCTTCTGCGGCACCCTCGCCGGCGAGATTGACCCACGCGTTCTGCTCAAGGTTCCAGACACCCTTGGAGAAGAGGCCTGCGGCTACAAGGTACAGGAAGCAGGTTGAGATGACAAGGAAGATCTGCAACGACGTGCGGTTGCCGCCCTTGTAGATGAGGTACCCGACGAGGATGCCAGCACCGAGTCCGCAGATTACGGCGAGTGGGAAAGAGGTAGCCGGCAACCCCAGGCCGACGCCAGCAATAAACCTACAGTTCCGTTAACACCAGCACCATCTCCTAATTCGAACTCCCGCGACTTACAGCACAGCCTCAATCCCCTCTCTCAGCACCGTAATAAACGGCAGAATAAACATCGCGTATTTCTCGCACCACACCTTCCACTTCCCCTTGGCCGGCACCGCGCTCTCCCTCGTCTCGAGCACACGGGAAATCTTGACGCGCCATTTGTCCTGCAGCTTGCTGACGCGCAGCAGGGCGGCGCCCATCAAAGTGATAATGATGCTGGCGAGGAGTGCGAAGACGCCCTCCCAGATATTCTCGGCGGCTTCAAAGGCGTTGGTGCCCACAGTGTAGAAGCTGCCGATTACGCCGGCGCAGATGATGAGGCAGATTAGGACGCCGAGCCCGACGCCGTACCAGATCTGTGAGGAGGGTTACCAGATGTTCAGACGAGATTCAATTGCTGTTGGGTTGTGTGGCCTTTTGTGGTGGTTTGTACGTACCTGGCGGACGAGCTTCTTGCGGACTTTAGCATCATGCTCGGGGCCGAGAGTTTGCTTGAGGAAGGCGAGGAGCACGGAGACGATGATGCTGGTTTCGAGGCATTCGCGGAAGCAGATGAAGAAGACTAGGTAGGTGATGTTAGCACGTGCACCTGAGAATGGGTGTGGGGTCGCTAAGATTCGAGGACAAAGAAAACTCACCGGGAACAGCGAAGACGTTCGGCATGGTGACTGAGCTTTTGAAAATACCCAAAGAAGCTGGAATTGATCCTCCAAGCGCTGCAGACGTCCAATATTAGCAGAGGAGTGCGGAGAGAGATGGAAGGGGCTTTATCGCTTTATCAGATTAGTAGGATCTATTGAGCCGAGCCGAACTTCGGCACCTGCACCTGTGCATGCTTTTTTAATCTGACACCATCAACGGATGATGGCTGCAGGGATCGCTTGGACAACAGAGACAGCGCAAACCAGCCCTCTCACACCATCTCGCCAGTGCTTTCCACAGCGAGCTGTGTCCTGCGTGCCGTCGATCCCGTTGGCTAAGCACCGCTAAGCACGGTTTTCGCGTAGACCAAGCTCGCTAGCTCTCACGCGGGATCCGATAACAACTACGCTGGAGGCCTTCGCAGGTGCGTACAATGGAACGTATAGTTAGCTGTGTTAGTAGCTTCACTCATTTGTACGGCGAGTCCTTTAATCCAGAGAATTCTGTACCACACGACGCTCAGTTCAAACACGTCGTCCCACACCAATCGCTCCCCAGACAGCTCGCCGATCCGGCCAGAAGGACGCCCTAATGCACCATCGATTATCAGATGGCATGATAACGCCCCTAGCATGAGGCCGCTGCAGCACTAGCTGGACGATAGACCTCGTTTTTCTCTTCTAGCGCTCCATTCTTCGCTTACTTTTGCTCGGAAGAGCATACCGGGGGTCGCTTCTGGCGCCTCGCTGCGAAAATTCTGCGGTTGGGTTTGGAAGAGACGGCGCCTCTCTGCGTCTCCTCGCATTCAACCGTCACACATTCCCCGCTTTCACCCATGCTTTTACCTTCTGGATCCGTCGAAAGATCATCTGATAAACCTGGCCCGAAACTCGGCATTGCAGCTGGTGCCAGCCAATTAGGCGCACGAGCCGGAGAGGGATTTATGTGTCCCACTTATCAATCTAATCTCTCCATCAGCTTAACCCCTTCCCTCGGGACTGCTTCCTACCTACAGCTCTGAGGGCGCGTGTGAGCGAGTTTGCTCTCTTTTCTACCTACAGTCATCTTGGTTGAGCGATTGAACGCTCCAGTTACCACAATGGCGGTATCGTTGTCCAACTTCCTCCTTCCAATATCCCTGCTCCTCGCAGCAACCGTCCATGCAGCAACGGTAACCTACGACTTTGATGTGTCGTGGGTCTACGCGAACCCGGACGGTCTGCAGAACCGCCCTGTCATTGGCATTAACGGCCAATGGCCCATCCCTACCATTAGGGTCACCAAGGGCGATCGCCTCGTCGTCAATGTGAAGAATTCGCTCGGCAACCAGACGACGAGCTTGCATTTTCATGGTTTGTACATGAACGGGACGAACCACATGGACGGCGTGGACGCGGTCACACAGTGTGGAATCGCACCCGGCAGCACGTTCACGCACAATTTCACAGTGAGTCCCATGTTACATGTCGAGACTGGCGACATGGCAATTGCTGATTAGTACAGGTCGACCAGCCAGGTACTTACTGGTACCATAGCCATGTCCGAGGACAGTATCCTGACGGTCTCCGTGGCCCTCTCATTGTTGAAGACCCGGACGACCCGCACAAGGATCTCTACGATGAGGAGATTGTTCTCACCTTCTCGGACTGGTATCACGGCATGATGACAGACCTTCTAAAGGGCTTCATCAGCGTTGCGAATCCCTCTGGGGCCGAGCCTGTTCCGGACTCAGCGCTCGTAAACGAGACGCAGAATCTTACGGTGAAGATCGAGCCAGGAAAGACTTACCTCTTCCGCATGATCAACATGGGCGCCTTTGCTGCGCACTATGTCTGGTTTGAAGACCACACGATGCAGATCGTCGAAGTCGACGGCGTCTACACTGAGCCAGCCGACGCAGACATGCTATACATGACCGCCGCTCAGCGCGTCAGTGTCCTTATCACCGCAAAGAACGACTCCAACTCCAACTTTGCATTCGTCGGTAGTATGGACCAGGTATGAGAACACCCCCTGCGCCGGCGTACTCCCACCAAGCTTCTATCGTGGAGGCTTGGCATCCTTAGCCGTCTAGGCAGCATTAGCGCTGATGATCGCCGTGCAGGATCTTTTCGACGTGATACCCGAGGGCTTGAATCCGAATGTAACGGGCTGGCTGGTGTATGATGACGCGAAGGAGAAGCCTCCGCCCAAGGAGGTGGACAGCTTTGAGCCGTTTGATGACTTCACGCTTGTGCCAGAGGATAAGGAGGAGCTGTATGATCATGTCGATCACACTGTTCAGTTGGATCTCAAGATGGATAATCTGAACGATGGAGCGAATTAGTGAGTTCCTATTTCCAGAGATTGGGATACCCTCATGCACTAACACACTGACAGCGCTTTCTTCAACGACATCACCTACGTCCACCCCAAAGTACCGACCCTCTACACCGTCCTCTCCACCGGGTCCAACGCCACCAACCCCGCCATCTACGGCTCAAACACAAACCAATTCGTCCTGAAAGCCAACGAAGTCGTCGAGATCATCCTCAACAACGACGACCCCGGAAAGTGCGACTCCCACCATATCCACATCCACAAACACTCGTTTCCCCCTCGTATTGACTGACTAACGCTCATCCAGACACCCGTTCCATCTCCACGGCCACGCCTTCCAACTCGTCCACCGCAGCGAAGACGAAGCCGGCTTCTACGACTCCAACGCCGCCCCCTCCTTCCCCGCGACCCCCATGCGCCGCGACACCGTGCTTGTCCACCCCAACGGCAACATCGTCCTGCGCTTCCGCTCCGACAACCCGGGCGTCTGGCTCTTCCACTGCCACATCGAGTGGCACGTGGCCTCTGGTCTGGTCGCCACGATCATCGAGCGCCCACTCGACATCCAGGCGCAGCTCGCCGGTAAGATCCCGCAAGACCACCTGGACAACTGCAAGCTGGATGGCGTGCCGACGGCGGGTAATGCTGCGGGGAACACGGCGGATTTGCTGGATCTGACTGGCGAGAATAGGAGTCCCGGGACGCTGCCGGCGGGCTTTACGGCGCGAGGCATTGTGGCGTTGGTGTTTAGTTGTGTGGCGGCGTTCTTGGGTATGGCGGTTATTGGGTGGTATGGGATGGCGCCTATTAAGGCGAAGACTGGTTAGGAATGTCTATGTGCATGATACCATGGGAACAAGAGTGCTTTTTTAGCGCGTTGGGACTTACTTATTGGAGAGAGAAAGTACCATGTTCTTAGTTCTGAATGACGAGATACCTACTGACTTTCCTTACCGCAATGCAAGTTTAAGGAGTAGCACAAGCTTTGTATACATCTGCAATATCCACCACCATGACGAAACGAAACATTCAGTTCGGATGATTGTTTCACCCTACTCTCCCTGCCTTCGCTTGTCTTTGACCAAATCCAAGTCCTCCCTACCCTCCTATCCATACGCAAAAATTCACTGCTCCTTCCCTGTTCTTTTGAGATGAGTCCCACTCTATCCTCTTTCTACACCACGTCTTGCTGCCTTACCCAGCCTCATATTCATACATCCATCCATCCAGCCAGCCAGCCAGCCCGCTTAATCCCACCGTCTGCCTCGGGCCTATAACTAGGTGCCGAACGTAAGGACGTCAGTGCACGCACCCGTAGCGAGCGTACAACCGTGCGTGCATCGGGCACCAAAGACATGCATCGCTTGTAGCCGCAGCAGGAAAGGAGAGCGCCAAGAGCGTGGTAAATCTCCGGTCGCAGAGCGAAAGTATCTCGCTCGGATGCTGAGTGGGGAGAAAACGCGCGTTGAAAAGAGATGCTATTCAACGAGTTTCTACTGGAGTTGGGGGCTGGCTGGCTAGTGGGAATCACCACTTGGAGAACTTCAGGACGGCGGATGTAAAGTCTAAGGGGCATGTGAAATTGCCGTTGAGGGAGCTCAGGGAGATCAATACCATGCTGAAACGTCTAGTAGCGCGGTGCGCATCACCATGCCTCAGTTTGTACACCGTCGCCAGAGGAATCGGATTAGTCGAAGGGTCCTACTTGCTCCTCGTATACCGTAAGCTCCGTGTTGTCGCGGTGAAGTCTAATTGGAAGTATATGCTATAGTTCGCGAGCAGTCCATAGTGTAGTAGGGGGAAGGGTGACGTAGATGCAAGAGTATTCGGTTTGATATTGCAACAACAAATGCCCCAAACGCCGCTATGCTATGCCTGTAAATGCAACAGTATGACCATCATACAGACGCCCAATATGGCCAAGTATTACTCCAAATCTCGCTATCCGATTTTCGTACCCAACAAAACGCCCGCTCATAGACCCAGCCGCATCAAAACAACATCATTCGGCTACGCCGGTGCTAAGGGGAGAACATCGTACCTCCGCATCAGCGTTGCGACCCATACCGCCGCGGGGGAGAGTCACTCCTCCTCTTCCTCTTCGTCATCGCTGTCAAGCTCAGGTCTGCACGTGCGGCACTCCACGTAGAGCTTAGCGCAGAATTCCCGAACCGTCAGCTCCGCGCCGGTATCAGGCCCCACACAATGTCCCTTCATGCACCACCACGCCCACTGTTCCTTGTTCTCCGGGTCGCGCTCCAGGTAGTTCTCGCCAGGTGACCACATATCCAAGGAAAACGTGATGCGATTGAGTTTGGGGCCTGGAGGCGTGGTGGAGGACGGGGTCGAGGTGCTGCCCATGGTCTTGAGTGACTGCGACGCATGGTACCATACCCAGAGCGGGTTCCAGAGGGGATCGCCGATAGCCTTGACATGCAGATTGAGCTCTTGCACGTTCTCGACTTCTTTGAGCTCTTCGCGCATCTGCCTAGCGAGCACCCAGTCTTCGGGGTCCATGGTTCGCGGATCATTGACGCCGAGCATGTTCGAGGTAGTGACGAGCTTGATGTCGCATTTGCGGAGTTGCTTCAGCATCTCTGCTGAGATGTTCCATATCTTCTTGTTCTCCGTCGTAGGCGCGGTCGGGGCGGTGTAGTTGTGCGGTGAGATGGTCAGGTGGAAGGTGGTCTTCTTGCAGACGATGTCCATGTATTCGGAGTAGATTTGCTTGTTTGCGAGGAATATCCAGTTGCTTCGCTTCTTCCCGTGACCTCGTCCTTTTTGTTGTTCTGCGCTCCCAGACGACCAGCGTCCGGGGAGCATCCAGTTGAGAGGCGAGCCATGATGCTTTGCGCAGGGTGGCGGGGGTGGGTAGTACGGGTCTTCGAGGAGGTTCTCATACACCATGTCTCTCAGCTCAGGAGGGAGCTCCATAAACGGGAAGGGGTTTCCATTGCCATTCTGCATATTCCTGACTCTCTTGAAAATCCAAAAGAAAAAAAGAGGCGTGAGAAGCGCGACAAAGGTAACAACGGCAGATGCGATAGGGCTTTTCCATGTTGGCGGAGATGCGGCTCTTATGATATATTCGCTGTGCAAATATCGCGCAGCGGAGTGTGGGGTCTCGAGCATCGTGACGGCAAGGTGCTGTGCTGTGCTATGTGTTACGGAGACCGAGTTGGGGGTTGCGGCACGGACAGGGGATCGCACGTCCGGCTCCGCTCTACGTACACCGAGTTACTGTGCAGGACCCAAGAACTTCCGTAACTGTATAAACCTCAGCGGGAATGCCCCAGACGAAGCGCTGCCGTCAGCTTTTATTCTCCGAGGCGCGCTGGGATCGAGTAATGGGCGGGTATCGCGGTGTGCAGTGGTGACAGACGAGAAGCGAGTGACGTAGGCGCGATAAAACGACGGTGAAAGGCAGAGGAAAGGCGGTCAGCGGTTTGCGACAGAGGACGGCGGGGCGGCGCCGTGTTCTTCAAGTATGCTGGTGCCTTGCACAGGCGTCAGGGCTGGCCTGTAATGCGCGCTGGCCAGCGATCACCTGCCAATCTGCCAGCTCAGCTCAACACCGCCACACCGCGCTCCTCACGCTCCTCTCTTCAATTTCCGCTCTTCGGAGTGGCTGTCGCGTGCCATCCGCTGACGCTGCTGAAACAAGCGTTGAAACGCGGAGGAGATCCTGCCTGCCCGGCGCTCTGCAGGGCCAAGCCAGCGGAATTCGGAGAGTGACTGTGTCGTCGGAGGCTCATAAATAGACGCGCCAGGAGTGGAGAAATGCGTCTTTGGCGCAGCACACAAATGAGAAGCTTTGCACCGCGATCTCGCCCTGCAAGACAATCAAGAGGATAATCAAAAGAATGCGTGATGACGGAGAAGGGGGAAAGAGCTCGAGCAGCCTGAGGCGTGGCGAGATGACGCTTAGTCAGCAGACAAAAGCAAAATTTCGCGTACCAAATTCCAGACTCCACGGCAAACGGCGAACGCTCTACCAGCGATTTCGGTACATCAAGAAATCCATCACTCATGCGAAGTCGGACGGTCTTGTCAGCCGGCTTCGACTTCTGAATCCCCGTCCGAATTTGCAGAAGCTCACAGCTGAGTCAGAAGAGACGCATACGAGCTGCGGTAACACCAAAGAGATCCTTCACCTCCATCTCGGACGACTCTCCGCAAGAAACAGCCTGTATCCGCACATTCCACTAATCGATTACCACCAAACCACGTTAGAGGGGTGAAATCATGTTTCCCATTCCCAGAGCCCTTCCACTGAGGCAATCGCCTCTAAATACTTTCCCTGGCGCTGAAACACAAGGACAGCTACCAACCATGGGAAATTACGAAATGCAGCAGTGCCTCGACATTAGTCGAAGTCACTCAGCGAGGGGCAGCCAAGGCTCGCCACGAGTTTCCCTCCAAGGTATATAAAGCCCACCACAGACGCAGCACAACCCCACAACAGAGCAGAACCGCAAAATGGCTACTCAACCGGACGATACCTTGATTCCCTTCGGAACCGACTCCGACCGCCCCAACCTCGACTTGCCTCTCCATGGCCTCGGCGTATACCCCGTCGAGAAGTCCGCCGTCGAGAAGTGCCCCGACGAGATATTACTTGCATTCGCCGCGTATCTCGAGAAGGCGGACTTGATCAATTTGGCACGCGTCTCTAAGAGCATGTGCAACATCGCGCAGGACCTACTCTATCGCGCGATTTCCCTGTCTGGTCAACAAGATCGCAATTACGGGACGGAGCCTCAGAGCAGTATTTCAAGGCTTTTATGGACCTTGAGTCGCTCCCCAAGACTTGCACAAAAGGTCCGCTGTCTCGGCATGTACCCTGTCCAGGGCAGCCTCGTGCGGCATGACTTCGAAACTTTCCCGGGAATTCCAGGCTCAGCAGTCCCAGCTATGGTCCACGGCGGGATGGTGTCGTGTCGGATTCTTGAGCCGACTCTGGTAGGGGCCCTACTTTCAATGCTGCCCGGTCTTCGTGAGTTGGGCTTCGGTGTTCTGCCAATCTCCGACGGGAGCTCGTCTCGAGGGCAGAGGATTCTAGACAACCTCGGCATCTGTCCAAAGAAAATGGACATGATACCTGGCCTAGCTAACCTCGAGCGCCTTCATTTCTTTTCGGGCACGATAGATGGGCCATTCCTCGAGCTACCGAAGCTTCAGCATATCAGCCTTCACAGGCAGATAGATGTCGAGCATGTGTATAGCAATGCATCAGCCTCGAAGGTTCACTCGTTGTCCCTTACATACCCGAACTCGATTCTCGTACCCACCCAACCCGGCATACGGGAAGGGCATGTATCGCTCTTGTCATCACTCCCACAGCTTCGATCTCTTACGATCTCACTTCAGGAGGCCCACAACTGCTATATACACCAAGGCACCTGGAGCAAGCTAATCAACGAGTTGGAATGCGTATACAATACGCTAGAAGAGTTAACACTCATGGCTTACGGTGACCCGAAGTGGCTTGACCAGCTCGGAGCCGTCCACACCTTGCGCAACTTCAGCAAACTACGCAAACTCACCATAGCCGAGTCTACTCTGTTAGGAAGCAATTACCCCGGTGGACCACATCATCCCAAAAACAACGTCGCTCACCTTCTGCCAGCCCGTTTGCAGACTCTGCAGATATTGTATCCATGGCTCATCGTCGCCAGTTGGCTGGAAATCCTCTTCATGAAGCACGCCGCGATACCGGATTTAGCTCATGTGGATCTGATCTGCTCGACTCTCAGTGGAGCGTCTAAAGGAACAATTCTGGATTGGACGGACGACATCGTGGGCAAGCTTCGCAGCGTTGGCATTACTGTAACCGTCTCGAATGATTCGAAGTAGCTTTGTCGGCCCAGTCTACAAGCGGTTGTCGCATGTCTCTCCGGTCCTTCCCTTACGATGACGTTCAGAGTTTACAATATCAACTTCGGTCATCGACATTGTCGTGGGTAAAAGTCACTCTGGACTTCATGGCGGACGACCGGATATCCAACACATTAGCATAACGGATGCTAGTGGTGGGCCGAGCTCTCGCAGGGCCTCTGAGCGTAACACTTCTAGTCATTGAAGACACATGGTTGTCGTGTTCCAACGTGTTTCCGTAGTGGTAATGTATAGTATAGAAACTAAATATGTCAAAGATCGACGCCCTTTCTCGGGATTCTCCCATCGTGACGGGTCTATAGCAGAGAATTATATGTCCGTTCCAGTCAGCACAAGCCTGGCAGTTGAAGATATAGTAGATACCTTGAATTCCATGGACTACGTTCAAGAGAGCTGAGTTTCCAAGCCATGTCGCCTCATCATGCCGGGTGGCTTACTACTTTTCACTCTCCCAGGTTATGTAAGTCCGCTCGTATTTCGCATCGCCAACCCTACGCCACCCCGCGAGCCCTGCCAATTACAACGCCGCTCTATGCATGGCGACAACTCGCACCAATCACAGCCCCAAATGGCCTGCTGATCGCACTTGGCATCTGGTGAGGCTACTATTCTTATTTAAAGCACCACACATGGTCTCTTCTCGAATTGAACCTCTCCAGTGCAATATTATATAGCATTCACCACCACCAGCGACTAATCCAGGACATTGCCATACACAATGGACGCTCAAGGCCATTCCCTCGTCTCCTATCTCTGCTCCATCTGTTCCACCATCCCCTGGATCATGTTGATGCCCGAGGACCTCCCCGCTCAACAACACCACAAGTCCCTAGACGCACTAATCACCTCGGCCAAGACATGTCGTCTCTGCAACCTCGTCCTGCACGCCGCCGTCTCCAACTACCGGCGCTCGCTCGACCCCCCCGACGGCCACCCGCGCTGGCGCCGCTTCGAAACCGTGGGCGCAATCGACGATCCCGCCACCGGTGCAGTGCGCAAGATCGCGTACAAAAAAGAGCTGGGCGCATGCATGATGACGGGCGAATCGGACGTGTGCAGCGAAAACCAAAGCCGGGGTGGGTATTTCACCGCGATGAAGATGGAGTGGAGCACGGATCTGCAGTTTGGCCGCGCAGTCATCATCGCAACCAGCGAAACTGGGCAAGCTGAAGGGGTGGCGCCCGTCGAAGACGAGCCGATTGACTTGGAGGAGCTGCGGAAGCTGGTCCCGGCTTCCCATGGCGTGTGGGTGTACGGGAATCACTGGAGTAAGGGCGAAGCGGCGAATTTCAACGAGAGCATCAAGGACCTTAGCCTTATCAATATGGTTGGGATTGGCGCGCGTTTTGCACCTTCGGGGCTTGTGTTTGATGCTATTAATAATCCGACGCGGAGTCTGCATATTCGGGGGAGTGCGTTGTCTATTTGCACGGACGAAGGTAACTATTTTGCGTTTCAGTAGCTAGGGAAGATCGACGGATGTACTGACTTGAGCAGACGAAGGACCACCACATATCCAGCGCCGCTTCCGAGAACTGAAATCAGATTCGGACATTGCGTTTCGTCGATTAGAGCGGTGGATGGAGGACTGCAGGACCAAGCACAAGTGCCGGCCTCCGCTTCTGAATCCCACTTTACCCACGCGGGTCCTTGACGTATTTGCTTCAGACCGGACAGTTGCGTTGCTCGAGACCCGTGGCCAAAGAGGGAAATACGTAGCGCTTAGCCACTCGTGGGGCAAGTCGCCGCGGTTGATGGCGACAAAGGCCACTGTGGAGGACATGGAGGATGGCATCGCTATATCGTTTCTGCCAAAGACATTCCAGGATGCAATACAGATTACTAAACGCCTTGGTATTAGATACTTGTGGATAGGTATGTTAGTCTCCTTCCTCCTCCTCCTTGACTTCGTCGGTGGCCGCTATCAGCGTCGAGACTGCGTGCTCTTTGTTTTCATGTTGAGATAGCGCCTACTAAGGAGTCCTCAGACTGCCTATGCATTATCCAGGACGATGCGCAAGACTGGGAACGAGAAGCCTCTACCATGGGTGATCTCTACCTGAACTCGTATCTTACTATATCCGCCGCCAACTCAACCAACAGTTATACCGGCTGCTTTCCCAAACGCACTGCGGACCCATATATCTCATCAGCATCTCTATCGCTGGGATATAACTCCGCAATACAAGTCCCAGGGCCAGAGAGCTGCACTGTGGGCATGTCCCACGACCCCGGCCGTCCGCCATCCTATCTCCACGTCTGGAAAGAATGGATGCCAGGCTCATGCTCCAACTCGATGCAGCGATGTAGAATTGGAACATTTGGCAAGGAATTCGACCCCATCGCTGACGAGCCCCTGAGTGCTCGAGGTACGTACGCTTGAACTCCATCTCCTTCCAACCATCGACATCGCCTCTGACATATATTACAAGGCTGGACGCTCCAAGAACGCCTCCTCCCAACGCGCATCATCCACTACGCCAAAGACCAAATGTTCTTCGAATGCGCCGACGCCATCCGCTCCGAAGACGGCTTCGTCTTCCCCAGCGTCTTCTTCAGCCTCGACCTGCTCCTGCGCAGCCAGCTAATCGACCATCTCGAGCACGGCGCCTCAAAAGACACGCTCTCGCTCATCCCCGGCGGCGACGCCATGCAAGGCATCCGCTGGAAATGGGGCTGGCTCGGCCTCGTGCAGAACTACTCCCAGCGCAAGCTGACGTACCAGACGGACAAACTAACGGCGTTAGCGGGTTTGGCGCGTATCGTGGCAGAACGGACGGGCGATAGATACTATGCTGGCTTGTGGGCGGCGCATTTCCTCGAGGATGCGTGCTGGCGCGTGTATCCGCAAGAGGAGACTATGGTCAAGCAAAAGCCGGTAAAGGGAAAGATCCTTGGACCTGTAGTCAGACCAACGGAGTACCGTGCACCGAGTTGGTCGTGGGCCTCGCTGGATGCACCGATTCGCTTCCTCGCTCTCAGTTTCCCTAACCTGCTAGCTCGCGTGGTCAAATGTCTTACAACACCAAGCGGCACCGACCCATACGGGCAAGTAAAGGACGGCAAGCTCGTCATCGAGGCACGTATCTCCTCCTTCTCTCAAACGCAAGCTAACACGCCGCCCCAGGGACCCGTATACGAAATCCAGCCCTACAGCCCCAAAGTGTGGAACCACCACGGCATCCCGGTAGAAATCCGCTTCGAAGACGACCGGCCCCCTTCCGACGGTAAACTATACCTCGACGATCCAGCCTCAGAGCTCAAGTTTCCTTGCTACGCGCTCTTCCTGGACCCGGCGTACGCCCTCGTGCTGCGGACCCGCCGTGGACGTCCTGCCATCGACAACGGCGACATCCCACGCAGTGCAGACCACCTGCTGAAGGACGATGTATCCGAGCAGCTGGTGACCAGCAATGATGCGCTTCGCAGCGTGAAAGAAGACCCTCGGCGGAAGGGCTGGGTGTTCCAGGCAATTGCGAACACGGAGCGTATTGGGCTAGCTTCGTTCGCGAAGGGGTACAAGGACGTGCCGAGGGAGGCGCAGGATAGGGAGCCAGCGGATGTGAAGCCCGGGGAAGTGAAGTGGGATGATATTCAGAAGGTGTCGAGGGAGGAGTCGTGGGGCCCGATTACGAAAGATGATCCTGCGATTAGGGTTACGGTGCTCTAACTCTGGTCTGCTTAGCTACTACCAACGTGACGGAAGAGAGACTATTACCTTTGTTAGAGGCTAACGATACCGTGGACAGGGTTCGAAATGTCTGTGGTACGGTAACCGTCACAGATGGTACGCGCTAATTCAGACCATCCGGCCCGACCGGTGCTTCCTCCGCAGGTCTTTTGGGTCCATTTCCGCTGGTCGGCTCGCCGGCTGTCTGCCACATATTCTGAGATAACCCGCGCTTCGCAGGACTAAGCGTCACCGTGAAGCGTGCAGTGGAATGTAATGTGGTACAATACACTCAAAACTCCGCCCTCCGCCAGCGACTTTTTGATCCGCAACCGCTCTCCTCAAAGCTGGAAGCCACTTCAGCTCCAAGTGTCGGCGCACGAGGACAGACCGCGTGGAAGAAACGCCGTCGAATAGTGAAGAGTGGCGGAGGGAGAGGTGAGAGAACGGATTCAGAACCGGCACGACACAGCCGTCCAAGGGGGAAGGGAAGGCGCGAGTGCATGAAGAGAGCCCCCTTCAACTAAGGCCGCAAGTGCATGTGCAGCTGCAGGAAGATGCTATGATGGAGACTCAATATATGAACATTGAACAAACTCATGCATGCTACTGTAGCATCTTGCAAGCCCTTCTCAGTCTCGTTATCCGCTAACCTTGACCTAAGCAAAGCCCACTCTCCTCTCCACTCATATAAACAAGAAGCGAAAGCGTAAAAAGCTCATCAACAAAGAGTAAGCAAGGCCTGAATGGAGAAGAAGCCTCCAACTCCTGGATATCGTGACCCACAGTCCCTGGAAGACGCCTTACATCCCAAATGAAGATTTTGTAAAGGAAAATGGTATCACCGTAACAGCAAACGAACGTTCCCAATGCATGACTCTTGTCTACCCAAAGCAGACAATCCCTGAACGACTCTCTTAAGCACCGTGCAGTATTTCCGTTGTGGTGATATGTTCGCTTAAGCAACCATTGTCTGATACTCAGGCCCTTTTCCTCCTTCATGTGGACCCAATCTTGCGTTCGCATGCGCAAGGCCCGACTTCGCGGCTTCCTGCAGCTGGGCCTCGACTCCACGAGTGACTTCTCGCTCTATGTTCGGAGGCGAGTTGCGGTTCGACGGTAGCCTCGGCTCCTGCGGCATGCCTTGCTGTGCAGCAGGCGTCATTCCGTGGCGAGGAGGGCTCAGTACCGCAGCAGGAGACCCCGTGCTTGCGCGTTCGGCATTTCCGTTACCGTTACCGTTACCGTTCGCGTTGTCAAGCTCTTCACTTTCACTGCGCATCCTACTGTTCATACTCGGTGGTGGATGGGAGAAGTTGCCGCGCAGTTCGTTCTCCCTGACTTCCTTCCAGGAGCACTTGGCGTGCTTCTTTGTGCAGCCCATGCAAGCGGTTAGGTTCTTCAGGCAATCCATGTGTAGCCTGCGACATCGATCGCAGGGAGGTAGTATGCGCTCGCCCTTTGCAAGGGCCTCCATCCGGTGCACCATTTCAGCCTTGAAAGGGCCGCCGTCATCCTTGTCTTGCGGCTGGCTGGCGCGCTGACTGGCTGCTGGAAGTAAGCTCGAAGGCGTGCTCGGGATGGGGACGGGAGAGTTCATGACGTGGTGCAGCTCCGACTCAGACAGATGTGGCGGTCTTTGCTGTACTATATTTGGAGGGGCCAGTTCCGCGGGTTTCGGAGGTCTCGAGGCATTTGACACCGGGGTAGCTGGATGAGAGTCGTTGTGCGGTCCCATAGATAGACGCCTGGCGTCCATGGAGCCGTTCGCGGGTTGCGAAGAGGTGCGCCGCTCACTCACTGTGTGGAACTTGGACATGAGCTCATGTCGGGTGGATGATGATGCGCCGTTTTGCTCACCGTGGGGACGGGAGTTGACAGCGACGAAGCCTCCCGCAGACTGCGAAGACGAACTGAGGTTCGGCGCGTTGGGACTGCCTTGTGATGCGCCATTCATGAGGGCGACATTAGAAGGGCTCGATGGACGAATGGGCGGAGCGGGGCTAGCGGTCGCTCTCCGGTCAAGGATGGCCTGCTTCCGCCCCTTGAGACGATGATTGAGCTGGCGCGTCCGGGCGGCGACTGTTTCAGGTCAGCAATCATCTTGAATTAATCATGGCGACGATCAGCAGCCGTTATAACCGGGCATCGTAGTCCCACCACCCATCTCCGAATGACAAGGCAGGAGCTTCCAGAGGACAGAATGCAATTGAAAGCGGACGCTGGTCAAAGCAAAGATACGTGTAGACTCACCTTGATCAGCCAATTGGCAAATCTGTCCGAGGTTCCTCTCCAAAATCTCCAGCGTGCCCAGCTCCTTCTCTTCATCCTCAATGATGGGCTGCGGCGGAATCAGCTTCTGCGGCATGCCCGACGAGATGAGCACAAAGTCCTCCTCCGATATCTGAACCCGGCATTGCTTGGTGTAGAACTGGCAAACGCGCACTCCCTCGCTCATCTGTCCCAGCTGGAACTGCTCCGGCTTGTTGCGCGCAAACTCAACCACGTCCAGCCATGTTACATTGGTGCCTTCTTTCCCATGGCTCTTCAGCACTCGCGGCGGCCCGTCAAACAGGCGCTCGAATCGCTTGATCAAAATGGGACCCAGCGGTCTTGCGCCGAGGTTGCAGGCCATGCTCTCGTGGCGGTCCAGCACGCCCTGGTAGTCGCTGAGCAGCGACAGGATGTTGGGCAGCGTGTCATCGTTCGTAATGAGCGGCAGGTCGTTTTCGCACTGTCTGGCGAGATAGTTGATCTGCAGGTGGTTGCTCGTCTTGGCGGCCTTTGGCACGGGCGCGGCGGCGGGATGCAAGACGTCGTGCGACGGGCTCCGCTTGCGCTTGAGGTCGGCTTGCGGCGGCGGCGCATGGGGATGCGAGTTCATGGCGGGCGTCGTCTGCGTGTTGGCAGACATGCTTTGCGGTCGCGGGGCGGCAACGGCGCGGTATTTAAGGCGGGAGGGGAGGCCGGAGAAGGGTGGAGGACGGCTAAGCGGAGAGGGCGGGACAGCGACGCGTCGCCAGCGAGCAGCAGGCAGGGCACCGAGCGCACAGCAGCAGCGGCGTGGAGCTAGCTGCTAGAGCAGGGCCATGTCACGACGGAGACGCAGCGCAGCGCAGGGCAGAGGAGGGCGGCGGCAAAAAGAAGAGACGGTGGAGGGCGGCAGGTGGAGACGGGCGTGGAGACGGGCAGGCCGCTGGCTTGACCGTCTGCGCCGGGCGACGGTCGGAAACAGCCACAAAGAAGCAGGGCGCGGCTGGGGTGGTGCCGCTGCGACAAGGCCTCGAAGGGACGGAAACAAGAGGCTAGCTGGCCGCGGGCGGAGGGCGCCTGTGTCCGCGCCCAATCAGCGCGCGCCAGCCCGGCCGGCCTGCGGATCCTGGGCTCGATCAGCGCCGTGGTGGGTGCGCTGCGGCGCTCTGGGCCTCAAAATAGGCGCACTCTGGGAATAAGACGCCAGCCCGCCCCATGTCCGCGGCGCCGTCAGAAGGGCCGCGCAAGACGTGGTGAAACTGGCGAGCATCATCGCCCGCTGATGCCGGCCTTCCGAGCGCGAATTGGAGGAGCAGAGCCCGGCCCGGCCCCCGTCCAACCAGCGTCGAGCGAGCAGCACCCGGGCGGGATCGCAGCACTGGCCAGCCCGGTCGTGGCCCAAATCTCCACCCCTGCTAACGTAAGGCGCTGGTGCTGCAGCTAGCCGGGAGCGTGCTAGCCCTGTCACGTGAACGCGAGCGGCCACCCCTCGGAGCGCACGGGCCGCGCCAAAACCCTCCACCATTGGCGCTGCGCACGTCACCAGCCCGCCGAAGACGCATCCCACACACACTCCCTCTCCGGTTCCGACATCCTGACATGTCTTCCGAGCGCGGCGCATTCCGAGGGCGCGGCGGACGCGGCGGCGACCGCGGGGGACGCGGCGGCGGAGGGCGAGGAGCCCACGGCGGAGGTGCGGCGGGCCAAGCAGAGCGCCCGAAGAAGGAGAATATCCTCGATCTGAGCAAGTACATGGACAAGCAGATTACGGTCAAGTTCAGCGGCGGACGGGAAGGTGTGTAACGAGCAATTGGCGGTAGGGCTGCAGCCGGGAGACTGACAGCGCGAATAGTCATCGGCACGCTGAAAGGCTACGACCAGCTCATGAACCTTGTGCTCGACGAAGTCAAGGAAGCTATGACCGGTGCGTACCCTCCGGATCTGCCTCTTACTTCTATTGACGAAATCTCCAGATGACGAAGGCAATGTCCGTTACCGAAAGCTCGGCCTCATCGTCGCCCGCGGCACCCTCCTCGTCGTCATATCTCCCGTCGATGGCAGTGAAGAGATCGCGAACCCCTTCATACAAGAGGAGGAATGAGGTTACCTCAACAATGTAGCTCATGACGATATTGGGTTCTTACCTGCTATTGTTGGAGATAAGCTTGAGTGAGCTTCGAGAAAGACGCAATGAAACAAGGCGTACGATACCCGCGAAGCGATGACACGAAAGTCTGGTTTCCCCAACGCCAGTGCTCGTTTATGCGCTGGGAATATTCCGGCCGTACAGGAACTTGATGAGGACAACTCAGGCCATAGGCAGAACTCCTTGCTAGGGGGGAGTGACGAAGATAAATCCAGATTCGGAACATGAAAAGCATGTCAAAGTCTCATTGTTGCTAGTCCCCGAGTCATAAAGCATCATACAAGCATGTGCCGCATTACGAAAATCCGCCGATTGGCCTTGAAGATACTATCATCAATTTACCCCCCACCACATTACTGCTCGCACTTCAATCAGTACGGCGTGTTCGCCTTCCTGACCGCTTCCCAGTCAGTCACTCCCTGCTGCGTGGTCTGGTCCGGCTGCTGTGCTTGGTGATACCCTCCAATATTTTGGTTGTCATCGGTACCACCATGCCCATCACCGTACTGCCCGGTGTTCATCGGGAGTCCAGTATGCGGCTCAGTGACAGTGTGCTTCTGCTCATCGTTTGGATGTGCACCATAAAAACCTGATCGGATTGGCCTACGCATTGTGAGTTCACATGTCAAATACTCCTGAGAGGGGTGGCTTACTGGTCCCCTGAAATTTGGTTGGGATCACCAATCGGCCCGTCGGTACCCATGTGGAGGGGCTTGCCGCCCTGCTCGGTCTGATGCTGCTCTTCCATTACCTCTCGAGCCGGATGGCCGGGTGGAGGGTTCTTATGCAGCTTGCTGCGACGCTTCTTGCCCTCACTGCTGTCCGAATCGTTATCGCGGGTAGCCTCATATGCGGCCGCACCACCAGCGACACCCGCTGCGGCTCCCGCACCAGCATACTCCTTTGAATGGCGTGGACTATCCCGAGACTCTCTAGGACTATTCTCCGTGTTCTTATCTTCTTTGTCCTTCTTATCGCGATGCAAGAAGCCGAAGAGATGGTGCTTCTTCTTACCCTCCTCTTCCTTCTCGGCTTCCTTTTCATGTTGCTTCTGTTCCTTCTCGGCTTCCTTCTCATGCTGCTTCTGCTCCTTCTCCAGCTCCTTCTGGTGCTTCTTCTCTTCGGATGCTGCCAACTTGTCATGATGCTTCTGCTCCTGATCCATTTCCTTCTGGTGCTTCTTTTCTTCAGCTGCTACAAGCTTGTCATGGTGCTTTGCGTCCTTAGCTTGCTGTTTCTCTGTCTCCTTTTGTTTCTTCTCAAACTCCTTCTGCTGGTCCTTAAGCTGCTGTTCGTGGGCTTTCTGCTGCGCTTGCCTTTCCTTCTCAGCATCATGCTGGGTGTAGGCATAAGCACCGCCGGCACCAGCAGCACCTGCTGCGCCGAGAGTAGCGGCATCACGCTTTTGATGCTGCTTGTTAGGGTCCTGTGTAGAGTCGTAGCGCTGGTGGCCGGCAGCAGTAGCCTGTTGACTGGAGTAGGCCACTGAAGGCTGTTGAGCTCCCTGGTAAGGAGGGTAAGGAGAAGCTTCTTGACCGGTGGGGTATTGTTGCCTAGTCATTGGAGATTGTTGAGCGTGTTCATGTTCGCGAGTGGCGGCATATGCTCCTGCACCTGCTGCACCAAGTCCTCCGGCAACTGCAGCGTCCCGGCCGTAGTGATGTTGATCCTTCTGGTTCGGGTCTGCAGTATGTGGATGCGTGGTTATGGACGGTTGATGAGCACCTGGAGCGGAAGGATCATAGCGTTGGTCATTCATCGAGGCTTCCGCTCCTGTACTGCGATGGTCGCCATACGCCTTAGCTGTTTCATAAGCACCATATCCAGCGGCTCCCGCTCCTCCGGCAACTGCGGCGTCACGTCCGTAATGATGCTGCGCTTGGGGCTGAGCCTGTCGATCAGCCTTAGGGTCCAGGCGGTTAAGCGTGTCCGACTTGTGTGGTCCCGTAGTTGTGTGTCCCTTCTGTTTCTCGGGATCGGGCAGGACTCTAGGGTCCATCACGTTGGCAATGTTGCTCTTGTGGGGGCCTACGGTCGCCGACGCTGGATCTTCTGGCTTCGGGTCTGCATGGTGATGCTTTTGCAGAGCGGGGTCTGGCTGGGCGCGCGGGTCAAAAACGTTCGCGACATTGCTCTTGTGGGGACCGATGGTGGAAGATGCTGGGCCGCTGTCTTGCTTGTCATGTTGTCCGGCATAGTACAAGCCGCCGGCAGTGGCAGCGCCGGCTCCAACCAAGGTAGCATCGCGACCGTACTGATGTTGGTGCTTCTCGTCCTCGGTGTGTGGAGCAGCCGACGTCGACTGAGGCTGGGTCGCCGAAGACTGCACAGTGTCTCGCGTTTCGTGGGGCCTTGTTATTTCTGAGCCTGCAAGGCCGGCACTTCCGAGTGTACCTCCGGTCAAGGCAGCATCACGGCCATGGTGTTTCTCAGAGGTGGAGGGGTCGAACTTCTGTTTCTCGTATGCAGCAGGCTTTCCGTGTACGCGCGGGTCTAACTTCGTGGAGCTGTAAGGGCTGGCCTCCGTGGAGAACGTCTCGCCGCCAATCTCGGCCGGTTCTTTCTGATGGTGTTTTCCAGCTTCGTATGCGCCTGCACCCGCCGCTCCGAGCCCTCCCGCGATAGTGGCATCTCGCCCGTAATGATGCTCCTTCTCGGGTTCTTCCGCTGTCCTTGTCTGCGGCTGATCGAGGGTGCCAGTATGGCGCAGTTCGTGCTGATCTCCTGCAGCTGGGATTTCCTTGCTTAGCATGTAGGAGGGCTCAGATGGCTCATCCACAGGGGTAGGGCTCGGAAATTCTCCAGGTACATGCAAACGAGGGTCTAATCTGTTAGCAGTATCCGTCGCATGCGGTCCCGAAGTGAACAGCAGTCCAGACCGGTGCTGATCAGCGGTAGAAGGCTTGTCCTCGGTGGCACAAGGGTCGCCGATAAAGTCATGACCGCGCCCACCATGCTCGTGCTTAGAGACCGCGGCAGTAGCTGCGGCCAACGCCTCAGGGTGATGGCCGCCCCGAGTGGTATTCTCCTGGGACGTGCTATCCACCGCTTGCTCATGCTTATGCCCAGGAAGGGTTGAAGATGCTGTTGCAGCAGCCGCAGCGCCTGCCAATGCTTCACGCCCCTGCCCGTCATGGACGCCGGCTTCCTTCTCCTTGGTGCCTGGCTCTCTCTCGCGTGTGGCGGGATTGAGAGTGGATGATGTGTTCTCTGCCGGTCGTCCTGTCGTAACGCCGCCCGCCAGAGGAAATGACCGATAGGTACCGGTGGCATCTGTAGGTTCTTCCAGTGCTCGCTCATAAGGCTGCTGCTCGGTCGCATGTGAAGTGTTGTTGTAGCTGTTGTCCTCACGTTGACTACCCAACTCATGAGCTGCTAGACCACCAGCTCCGGCCGCGCCAGTGCCTATCGCTGCATCTCTTCCCAGATGGGACGGGCTTCCCTGTTCTGGTGCAGCGCCTCCTAGTCTTTCTCCAGCGGGATTACTGCTGCTCGTGGCGGCCTGGGAGGCTTGGGCACCCTGCGGGAAGCCAATTACGCCCGACTTTATGCTTGCGGTGCTTGCGTCGCCGCTTTGAGTGCCTGGGCGGCCTTGGGTGGCATCCGGACGGAGACTGGGGGTTGCAGAGGTTGCGCTCTGAGGTGCTGAGGTCGGAGTGGTCTGCTGCACATTGGTGGTATTGGAGAAGTGTGGTACGTGATCGGCGGTCTGGATAGGCTTCCCAGATGTCGAAGGCGGGCTCTTGCGCGTAAATTGATCGAAGATTGGGTGCTGCCTGATTCAATGTGAGTATACGTTCTTGGAATTCCGGTTCGCAATGGTGTTAAATTACTCTTCTGATCCTGTTCCAGTTGGCTGGCGCGCACTCGTAAGATGACTTCCCTCTCCCGTCAAACCGCTAGTAGTGCCGCGATTCGGTCCTGCTGTGGACGGAGAATCATGGGGATTTTGGTTCGCGTCGGTGCTCTTGCGGTGGCCACCAGAACTGCGCAGAGTTAGAAATGCTCCACCAAAGAAAGCTGGACCCACTTACATGACGCTCTTGATTCGCTCCATATCGGCAGCTATCACACCTGAACCGGAATCGAGAGGGGCACTGGAGATTGAGACTGGGTGTCACAAAGACAATCGAAGTAAGGAACAAGGGTGGAGCTTGGTGGGCTCAAATACACAGTAGTCTAGCATCAGTCTATGTTGCGCCAGGCAGGTACAAAGCGCATGACCTCATACACATGAGATCGCGGCGGGTAGCTGCGACCCCGCCCCTTCCCATTGGGACACACAAAAGGCCGTCACCCCCAAACAGCAAGCCCTTTCTCTTGATTGCGCACTTAGCAGGAAATGGCGGCCAATTCAAGCCTCACCGACTCCGCGGATCGCTGCGGTCTAACCCTATACGCCTGCATCGCCAAAAGTCAAGTTTTGGTGTTTGCTTGTATATCCGCCTGTGCAGTGCTTGCCAAAGTGTCAGGCGTCAAGAAATACCCACGACGGCCTTCCGGCGTGATCTTTCGACCCTTGAAATACCTGTACCCAATCGTAGACGGCGGGTTGTCGCGACGGGCAAAGCCGTAAGAACAAGGCATCGAGTCGCACCACCCGACACGATGACGCAGCATGATCGACGAGCTACCCCACAGGTCCACAGCTTGAATGACAAGCGCCCGTAGCGTGCTGCACCTCTAAGGTCGAGAAACCTGAAGGCGCCAACCTTTGTAGTGGAGCAGAGGATGAGGTCATACACTATCACGTGATCCGCTTCCGACTTCGGAAAGACCTCGGGAGCCTTCCAAGGGTCTGTCTCCAGCCCGCCGGGACTGACGGCTGAAGGCTGAAGGCTGAAGGCGGTACGGCTGGCTGCCTCTGTGTACTGTTTCCCAACACTATCTCAACAACCACCCGTTCGAACCGCCCCCTCTTCGCAGTCTCGAGACCGTCACCAACCACAAAAATGGCGCTGCAGGAGGCGAATGGCACAGCACGCTGCAAGGGCAGAAAAAGCCGCACCGCGACGTGCAAAAGGGGCCTAGCTTCCTCGCTGCATCCCGGCCCAGACCCCCGAGCAATGCGCCGACCGACCCGAGCTCCAATGCCAGTCTAACGTCAATCGCCTCAACTCCGGCTTTTGGGGCAGAGACCGAGACCGAGTATTCATGCGCCGCAACATCCTGCCGCAGCCTACCCAAGAGACAATTGCGAAAGCATCGTGCATGGAGAAGCGAACTTGTCAATCATTGTTGCGCATTGAGGGACGGGGAACAACGACGTCTGCTTCGCACCAGCGCCTCTGCAGCGTCTGATAGACTACCAACTACCGGCCGCGCGTGCCATCCTCCGCGAAAGTCCGGCATCTGACATACCGAGCGACGACGTCGAATGCTCAGATATCGCAGACGTCGGGGTGCAGGGTCAAGGTCACGATAGTCGACCCACTTCCTCCGCTAAACAGCTCCGCATACCCGCCCACTTAAGCGCCTCACCGTTCCACTCTTTCTACCGACCCGTCTGCTCCCAATCCAACAATTCGCGACCCCTCTGCATACTACGCTCCGCTCCAACCACCACAATGCCCTTCCGCTCGCGCCTCCGCCGCGCCTTCACCCGCGGCTCCCATGACGAGTCTGCGAAGCCGGAAAATCTTAAAAAGGGCGACCCCAATGTCTACCAGCCCGGCGAGAAGATGCCGCCGTTAAAGTACAGACGGCCCGTAAACCCCGAACACAAGGCGAAGCTCGAGGCATTCAGCTTCTCGAATGCGTGGCGGCGGCGGAGCGATCAGAGCCTCTATTCGCCCATGGGCAGCCGCATGCCCAGCCGGAAGAGCAGTTATATCTCGTTTCGGAGAAGCAGGAGTATCTCCAGGAAAAGCATGTCGAGGGGCGATGACGGAAGTGGGGTCGATAGTGGCATTGGAGCGAGTGTTGCGGGCGATGACCGACATGACATAAGGGAGGGTAGCGACGAGGAGGGTGATATCACGAATGGTGAGTTCGCAGGCTATATGCTTGCATCATGCCTTTATACTGACATACTCTAGTCGGTCTCTCCCGTCACCCTACGCAAGATCCCCGCCGCAAGTCCTCATCCATTCGCGGCCGCCGCTCGCAGTCCATAAGATCCGGCTCACGCCCCGCGACATCATCAGAACGCCCCTTCTCTCCTGAAGACCTCGAGCTCGCGCTTAAGAAATCAAATCTAGAAGCTACAAAGGAGGAGTCAGACCGCAGCGGAGACGGAAGCCCTCACGATCCAACAACCGGGCTGCGACCGCGTGAAGGCGCCGTCGCATCCGCCTCGCTCTCATGATAACTCGCTACGGATATGGGATGTATATAAACCAAGACAAGGAAGGGATTGCATGGACATAGAAGGACGGAGGATCTACTCTGTATATTGTCATTGCATTGGGTGGGCTTTTCTATATAGATGCATCGTAGATGGTGTTTCGGGAACTCGTTCCATGGGCATTGGGGCTGGCTGTTTGACATAGACATCTGGTCACACGATGGTTATGAGTTCGAAATGAGAGCATGTAACTTCTTCCCCCGTAGACGCCCTCTTTTGAGCCAAGCTGTCACGTTGCGAAGGTGGAAAGAACGACAAGAACTTACCCTCGAAACCCGCCGCTCCTCCGCGACACACGAGGCGAACAAGGAGTGCTCCTTCTAGTCGTGCTGCGATCACGAGCACCACGTTCAGCTAGCTCAGCTTTCAAGAGCAAGTCTACTCGCCTCAGCGGTACCCCGCCGCGGAGTCCCCGCCGCTGGACGTCCACCCTGTTCTACAGCACAGCAGAAGACTCCTACCATGTCCGATTGATATGCACTCCGCGGCACCTCATCGCATGCCTATTCGGGTAGCGAAGATCTTACTCAACTGCAGTGCCAGGAAAAGACGCACGATGGCGATGGTATTTCATCCACTTACCTTGCGTATTGGAAAGATGGGCTAGCCTACCCGCTCGACTTGCTACGGCGATTGGTGGGTAGGCTTAGAATTCCTTCTCGGTACCGAAGATCAAAGAGTGGGATACGAGAAGGAGGAGAAATACGAGGAGGGATTTTCCTATCCGCGCCTCCGCATACATAGGTATGGAGTGTCCGAAGAGGAATGGGAAACAGCATACCTTTGCACGCTGAGGGCTTCGGGATCCCCGACCCTGCTGCTGCGGGTATTGAGATGCCGATATCCATCCTCAGTATTATATTAGACAGCTGCTCTTTCATGTGTAGTGCTCAGAACTGGTGAGGAGGTGAGGGCGCTTGCTTAGGCCTACGGCTGCAGCGTTGCGCGGAGTTCGATGTGATAGCTCGCAACATGAGTCGTAGGATACCACGCACCTGGGACGCGTTAGCGCCAAGAGTGTTGAGGTGGAAGTTGAACGCCGACTGAACTGCTACTAGAGGCGTCTAGTCCTATACGGAGTGTAGCTGCCCAAAGGTGCTGGGGTTCGTCTAGAAGGTCCTAAAAGGTAAACGCTGGAGCGGTGATTTGCTGAAAAGAAAGACTCCTCCAGCGGGAGCCAATGTTTCGAAGGCCAGGGGATCCTGGCCTCGCGCACGTCTCGAAAGGTCGAAAGCTGGGAATACTGGGACCGGGTACTGCAACTCTACTCATCGCACACTGGAGAGAGCATTGCGATGGTCGACGTGAAAGGCTATGGGATCCAGCGCGAGACAGTCTAGATGGAGTGTCGCACATCGTCGGCTGAGCGGCATTGACTACCGCAGCAGAGGTGGTGTCTAAAGTTTTCGTGTCTCCGTCTGCCAGTGATTCAGCCTCCAGGTACCATACTCACTCGCCCACTCAATGCTGCGCAGCTCTGTGACACGCAGACAACCCCAAACAGCCATCTCAGCTGGATGAGGAAACGGAGTCCTCTCTCAGACTTCTCAGAAGCGCTGTCTGTCATTTGTGTCCGGAACAGCACCTCGTGGATCATGAGGCGCTCAGTCTGGCACTTCCCCCCGTAAGGTACTTTTGACTGGTCACACGCAGGCCTCTCTCCTCTTTAGGTGGCCGCCCACCCAAGCAACGTCGAGGCCACACCCACATGAAGCTCGCCATCGACGCTTACCTTCTTCAGGTATCGGAATGCGATCCAAGACCTCTGCTCATCAATCCTCGTGTGATGGTCTCTCGCCACGATCGCATCACGTCTTCGCCAACAAGGTGTTTCCCGCAGAGGAGGGCGCACATTGCGCACACAAGAGGCAAAGCAAGCACTGCTCCTGCACAGCGCGCAAAGACACCCTTCTGAACCGTTCTCAGGCGGGGATGCTGTCGTGCTCACGACGGACGGGACGCACACACCGCAGCTCAAGCCAGATCCGATATCCCAGATATACCCCATCCGATATGTGCCCGCCCATCACCTTTAAACTGCTTTGCCTCCACAGCGTTGCGGCCGATCTGTATCCTTGCACAACCAGCAGTGGTCAGAACGCACATTAGCTCTAGACGCTGGTTCACGGCTCACTCTTTGCCCTTGCTGTGCGGCACAGCGCATATGCGAACCATCCCGTGATGCTAGCGCCCGAGACTTGGCTAGATGGGATGACGCCACACGCACGCGGCGATGCCGTCAGCTTTGGATGCGAGCTGGGGTAGACGAGCGGTCGCGAATTTGCTTTTTGACCAGCTTGGAGGCCTGAATGTGAGCATTGCAATTCGGTGTGGCGCCGGCATGCTAAAGCTAATGGGAGGGCATCGTATGAGTTAGTGGACCTGCACGCAGCTGCGGGCTCGTGAGTCGGTGATCGTTGCTGTGGGGAAGGCAGTTTCATGGTGAGCGCACAGCGTTGAGACTGCTGGCGCCGGCGGAGCTTTTGGGAGAATCATGTCTTCTCGGTCAAGTGTTTGTGCTACTTGGTGAGGGAATAGGCACATCAAAGCCCCAGTTACTCCTATCTCGCAACAGGAAACGACAGTGTGATCAAGTTGCGATGGTCCGAATGAAGTTCTACTCGCGGTGTGATACGTGAAATGAGCTGTCATCTCGACCGCGCATCGCATAGAAGGCAGGAATGGACGAGCGCGCCGTGGCGGCCAGTTACTTTGCTCCGCGTGGACACATCGTCATTTCTCTATGTAGGGGCGAGATGAGCGTCTGTTGAAGAGCCGCGAGCCGCGACGTCCAAGGCTCCCTTCCTGCAGGGCGCGAGGTTCAACGCGTTTGAGGACGTTGGAAGTCCTGACAGCTCCGCCGTAGGCGAGCCTGAGGCGATGTGGATACGCCACCAGAGAGCTCTCCAGTCATTCCCAAAAACTTCTAGTGAGCTTGCGTTCCTTTGATCCTCCGGGAGCGATGGGTGACGAGGTAGCTCCACTGCTCTCCACCCAAAAATGGAGCTGCGGCTAGTGGCCGGGATGCCATTCTCGAACCCAATGCTGACGGGTAGCCATCTCTTATCGGACTTGCGCCATAACGGCGCGGTCAGCCACGAGCGAAACCATAGTATCAATCAGTTCACGCCCGCATAATCCGAGTCCGTAAACCCAGGAAGAAGCTTCCACTTTTCCAGGTTACCACCTGCCCTTTCACCAAATTGGATAGACGTGGCTGAAGCAAGTCTATGCGAGTCCTTTTCTTCAGCCTCCGAGGGGTAGCACAAAACCTTTTCACACAGTGCTCTTGGCTTGCAGTGCTGCGCCGCACAGCAGCAGCACGACATCCAATCCTCGTTCCGACCATCATGCACGTCATCTTGGCTGTGGGGGCAGCTAGACCAGTTGCGGATCTACGATGTGGAGCTTGGTCTGATCATATATGCAGTTGCACGAAGCAATACTGAGGACCCAACCAGGCGGCGGTTCAGCGTCTCGGCCGGGGCTGGCGCCTACATCCTCGTCTTTGAGCTAGCCAGAATTATATGAGCTGCGTCTGCGAAACAGTTGACCGTGAGGTACTCGGGTTCGCAACGGATACGTACTCTATCTAGATCGACTTGTGGAACGTGAGGCCAGGCAGCGCCGCGGAGTCCGTGGTGAAGTACGTGAGAGTCTTCGAATACCCTCCTGAACGGTGAGTGGTATCCCTTTCGAATATTCTGCGGCCCGTTGCTATTTCTGCGAGTTCTTTGCTCCAGCCATTGTTGGAATACTGCGGTTTGCAGCCAATCAGCCCTGCATTTGACAAATTAATTCTTTTTCCCTTGCTAGTATATACGTTATGGGCTTAGAGGCGGCGTTTATTGCGGCTGGGCAAGTCGTGGTGGAATCCGAAGGAACGGCAACAGCTGTAGAGCTTCCTCGGGCCGAGGGGCCTACCTCACGGCTAAGCCAGCACCATCCAGCCCCGCCAGAGGCTCCCAATGGCTAGGACCGTAGAAGGCAACTCGAGGCGCCGATGTCGGTGAGCCGACTGGTCGATTCGAGAAAGAGCATACTGCATTCCCTCAACTGCTCAGGGTGCTACTGCATTCCCTGCAGCAGACGTCAACACAAGCGATGAGCCAATCACATATCTCCGTGGGATGGCTTGTATGGCTTGCGAGACTCCACGGAGAATTCTTTGCTGATAGTGACCCCGGTATATGCAAGCCACTGTCGTGTAACGATCGCTCCTACCTGGGCAATACCCATGACTCTCTTCGAGAAAAACAAACAAAGATTCTGATCATATGGACTACGCGGGAGGAACCTGCTCGCTTTGAGGGTTTTTTTGGGACCATGAAAGAGTTGAGAAGCGCCTCGAACGGTGTGAGTCTGCAAGGTACTGCATGATACTGGCGTCCGAACCGTTGGTAGACTGTGACGTTTGAGCTAATATTGAGGTACGGCAAATTCTTGGTGTCGGCTTTCGGCTACTAGTGGCGATTCGTAGTGATGTTCTCGAGCTGTCGGCCAGATCACTGCTGGATTGAGATACGATATGAGCATGTCCCACACGCTTCTGAGCGATGAGCACTGCCTGAAGAGCCTCGACGTCCGTCATCAAGTACATTCTTCAAAATAGACAGCCCTAACCGAAGCCGTTTGGTGTAACCATCGACGTGAAGCTCATGAAGCTGTGCGGGGTGATGGATATGCAGGTCCAAAGCGGCTGGTGGGGTCGCCGAATGCTTGAGCGAGGTATGAGCTGGGGTAGGCTGGTCTTAGAATCGAGGTGGCTGCTGGCATGGCGTAGACCCCATGGTAGGGTTCTAACGTATCATTCCAGCGCACGTAGAGGCTGAGGTTACAGTGCGCGGCCGACCGATGAGCAAGTCGGACCCTCCATCTGTCCCGCCGCTGCGGCTCTTGTCTGGCAGCCTGCAAGGCCGTCGATTTCGTGTTCCCCAGAACTCACGCCTGTGACAGTCTCTTTCGATCTCTGTAGTTCTTAATCTGTCGCAAGGTCCCTGTACCTCTCTCCACTGTGCCGCGCTCTTCAAACTCCGTCGTCTGTCGGTCGCCCCCTGGATTTCTGCTCAGCATTCCCTTGCAGCTTCGTAATCCAGGTATTGTTTGTTCGCCGTCCTTCCTCCCACTATCGAGTTCCGCCAGCACGGTAGCGGATGAACTGAGTTCGAGGTTCATCGCGGGAAGCTCAACCCATTCCTTCGCCCTGCCTCTGGCGCGTTCGCGACCGCGTCCAGATTGTAACATGTTCCACACAGGTTAGTTCTTCCGCATCTCGTTGCCACTAAGAGCTTCTGGGAGATCGACCTGTCACCTGCAGGCCCCCAGACCCTGATTCAAAAGCTAAAGCTGCTTCCTGTCCCTCGTTCTTGAACCCAGATCCGGAGTGTTGCTCATTACTGCCCATTGCTGTTCTTTCCTTTTTCGTTCGCAGCTTCATCTGTAAGTGTATTGCATGAGATCGTATAAGCGTTTGGAGGAGAGGGTATGGAGAATGTGTTCTCAGGCTAACAGGGAGCCACAGAAGACTTCGACGTTGAGACTGCCACAATGTGCATGTCCGAAGCCACCAGCTATGAGGGAGGGAGGCCCAAGGAGGGGTTTCGGATCTCCCCTTCCATGGGACCTTCGTCTGGATTCCTCACGCCTCCGTCCCCGTACAACCTGGAGGTCCGCCGAGATTCAATCGCATCGTCTCAGTCGTCCATGTCGAGCTTCGCAAGTTCCATGTCGAATTACTCTCTGCCGGCAACGCCAACCTATGTGCAGAGTCCTATGACTGAGGAGGGCTTCATCGACGTCACGGGATACGATCTCAGCCAGGATATGCAGGGCCACATCTTCCATGGCCTTCCGATGGAGCCCCAAACCAAGATGATGCCGTCGGAGGAAGGCTTGCCCGGATCCTGGATGATGGTCCCACATGCACCCAATCTCACCACCAATCCGACAATACAGATTCAACCGCACGGTATCCTTTCCACGGCTGAAGATCTCATACATCCTCACCTGGCAGAGCCAGCCAGCATGGACAGCGTCATGGTTTCTACCCCAGAGCCTTCATGGGGTCATCTTCCTGCTGCCGTATTCCCGGATAGCGGAAGCCCATGGGACAACGGCTTCCTTCAGCCCATCGTTCCCGAGGACAGCATGCGGGCTTTCTGGGCGGCTCAGATACAGCAACCGCAGAGGCTCCAGACTCCGACGATGATTCCATCGGATTCCATGCTCGTCTCTGAGAATAGCTATGTCCATGTCGACCCAGAATCAATGACCGATACGGACTCCTTCGACAACGCCGGGGCCTCAATGCCCCACTCGCCCCAGGAGGTCACCTTCAAGAGAGAGAACTCGCCCCCACTTCAGCATGACTCCGATGCTGAGCATCGGGCAAGCTCACTCAGGAGGTCGGTATACATGTCGGCAGTGTCGCCCACCGGAGGAAAAACAATCGTGAAGAAAGAGCGACGACCCGGAGGCTCTTCAAAGAAGCCTCATACGAGACATGGAAAAAGGAGTGACTCCACCTTGGACGATTCGATCTCGGACGTGGTCACCTTGAACGGGGTCGAAATCGAATGGAACGAGGAGAAACAGGGCATCGATTGGCGCGGCACGCGGCTCAACAAGTCGAAGAAGCTCCCATGCCCTCGATGTCCAAAGAACTTTCGACGGCCCGAACACCTCAAGCGGCACCTCGACACCCACGACCCGGCAAAACGGGAAAGATTCGGGTGCGTGCTCTGCATCAAGAGATTCGGGCGAAACGACAATCACCATGAGCATTACTGGACCCACGTGCGGAAGCCCGGTAAGAAGGATGGCCGCAACCCCAAGTGGACTCTCCAAGAAGTTGAGGAATTGCTTACTAAGAAGAAGCTTACTGATGCCAAACTCGTCGAGAAGCTCAGGCAGAAGTGGAAGAAGCTTTGCGAAGCTTGAGAGCGAGGCTCTCCTGTACAAACCGCACTTTCGGTTATGTTCGGAGTTGAGTGGATCATGATTTTGCTCGCGGTAATACGTTTCTTCTGTTCATTTATTACCTGTTGTTCATGTACTCTAGTTGTGTTCGGATCTGCACATGTAATGTATGGAGTAATGAGGTACGAAATTCGCGACCAAAAGACTTCCCACACTCACCGAAAGACTTCGGAACTTTGCCACCGTGATACTCTTTCAGATCGACCCGGATTGGGATGGGATGCGGAACGTGCGGCGTAGTTACAGCCGAAGGGAGGAATTGTGGAACTTGACGTTGAGAGAAGCTGTGGAACGGTCACAGCGCTAGATCCGGATCTAGTTAGCTTCGTCGAGGCACCCCGCCCACCATTGACCGCCTCTCGGCCCTCGCCCAAGGGCCCAGCTGATCAGTTCTGCCGTGTTTGCATGCACTTTCTGCTCAAATCTGCATGAATAAATAAAGGGAGAATCCCAATTGGTGGATCAAAGTTCTTATCGGGTGACTCGCGACAAATCCCAGGCTGGGTCCACGTGTTGCTTTCTTTCACGAGGAAAGAAATCTGGGGCTTGCATCCAATAACGCCTCGTTGCGAAGCGGTAAATACGAGGAGGCTCCATGCAAGAGCAAAGGACCCTGCAGGAGCAAGGAAGTCCTCTGCAGGAGGAAAAGGACTCTCACCGGAAAGCTCAAGGGCCGGTAAGGCCTCCAAGCAGGGTTTTTTTTGGGGGGGACGTCGACTATTGACGCATCAAGGTGATTACAATGCATAGAGCTCTTGGATCTCGTCTATTGCTGCAGTCACGTCTATGGCTAGGGAGGAGCTATGGAATCGATTTGCGCCTTCGAACATATTCGGTATCATGCTGAGTAAGGGAACGGCGACCACCCGCTTGGATCGACAGCTTGACGGGCTTGATCAACAAGGCAGCCAGGGCCTCACACAACATCCGGAGCAACGTCCGTAGTGCTCGCCCTGCTCACTGCTGGGTTAGCGTTTCCGTCCTTGAAATGGGTCCTTGAAAGCAATCTTGACCTCGACCACCTGCATGTCCTATATCAGTCCCTTCAGTCTATCCGCAGCCATCGATGCCTTGTTGCCTCGCTCATCCTTGTCATTTCGCTTAGAGACGGGCGTTGATGCTGGAGTGCTCACGGCTGTGGCGGGCCTGGGCTTCGAGATGTATTCCCTCAGTGAGACAGGGAGGGGTAGAGGAGACCGCGACGAGGACGTGGCCACGAAGGGATCGTCCCTCAATACAGCTGCAGAAGGCTGAAACTCGGTTTGTTCGAAAGATGACGTGCTGACAACCGCGACGGAGGCGGAAGGGAGGATGCTGATGGCAGCTCTCCCGCCAAGCAAGAGAGGGCTTATCGGGCTCGCCGGTCGCAAGGGGACGGGCGACAGAGGCCGTAGTATGCCGTTAGAAGAACTCGCTCGTTGGCGGCGTCGCGCCATTGGTGAGGTGTGTTTGGGGCTGATGGACACCGTTCGTGATCGCGACCTGTAGCTGAAGCAGTCTTGCTCACTGCCATCGTCTTCGGCACCATCAAAGTACTTTGCCATCGGATTGCCACTGCGCACGAAGATCGACTTGCGGCTCTCTTTCTTCTTGAGATACGGGCTCTGAGATGTCGGGAGGAGAAGCAGTGAGCGTTTCTTGTCGATGCTCTTGCTTCTCTGGTCTCTTCGTGTCCTTGGGCGTGGGCTGCCTCCGGCGCTAGATGGCACGCTCTGAGGCGTGTTTATTCCGTGGTCTCTACTCTTCGTAATATCTTTCGGACGTGGTGCAATCGTCTGTTGCTGAACGACACCGGGGGAGCTTCCGGATCCGGGGGTAGACAACTGGAGATCATATTCTATCCAAGGAGCAATCTCCCTGATGTCAGAGGTACGGCTGTTGGCTGTGCGGTTGCTGCTCGCGGTCGAAGTCGAATCCTGTAAGTTGAGCGGTTGGGTGTGGGGGTCGCTGAGCAGTGAGTCAGATGTGTGTCCGTACGCCACAGGTCGTACGGTGGTTCGCGCTGGCACCTCCAACGTACTTCTCGATGGAGCGACAAACAGTTCCTCCGGGAGCGCGGCAGGAGCACCTGGGCTCACAGGCTTACTTGAAGATGTTCGAGATATTGCGGGGGTCTCTCCAATTGCAGCCACAGCGCGTTTAAAAGTTGCTGTACGCGACCCGCTCGGCGACGTCTTGGAGAGAGTTCTTGGTTGAGCAAGCTGAGGGGCCAGGGGCGGGATTGGCGGTGCAATCTTTGTTTTCGCATTGACGTCTATTTTCGCGGGAACTCCCTTACTATGTATCTCACGGTGGACTTTGCGGAGGCGTTTATACTCTGAGTAGTCATCGACCTCGGTTGCCGTGGGCCGGTCTATCACCTCTTTCATTGGCGTAGGGTCGTCCCTTTCGAATCTAATGTCGTAGACGATATCTCCCGCGCGGTATTCATGACCGGCAATGTCGGACGACCTCATTTGGCGAATAATCCAGCCAGTCACTCGATACCTGCGCGCCCTCATTAGCTGAGATAATACTAAGGAGTCGATGCACCTACAATCCCTCATACCTCACTCCAGCCTTAGGTCCCCAGATACTGTTGATACTATGACTGCGAAGGACCCGAACCGGAGCCCTACTCTTTGGTGTAGCCGCTGTGAGACGGAACCTTCCCTTGTCTCCTCTGCCACAGCGATAGGTGAAGTTCATCTCATCTGGGGCATCAAGCTCGCCGGTGTCTTTGAGCAAGAGTGCGTATGCGCCATTCTTATCGTATGTGATACCGCCTTCAACCGAATGAAGATTAATAAGTCCGGCATGGTATGCGAACATAGGGTTAATCCACCAGCTGCGGGTACATGGGTCAGCGTTGGTTGGCTCTGGCGTGGCTTGGGGAGACTTACGAACCAGCCTTGAATCCAAGGTCGCCTTGCCGGTGAGAGCTTCCAGGCGCTATCTTCTCCGGACAGATATGCTGCCATCGCTTGAGAAGGGCCTGGAAAGTAACGAGGTCAGCAGTAACATCCAGTAATTCCAAATCACAGTGGCTCACGGCTTTAGAAAACTCGTCTGCAGTAGCGATGCCTTCTAGACGCCCGCCCCTGCCGTATAGAAAGGGACGAAGGTCCTGTAGTCGCCCAAATTTGGCAGTCCAGATACTGATTATCTTGTCGCAATCGTCAGCTAGTCGCCCTGGCCATCTCGTGGCTATTCCGGCAACATCGATGATGGCCTTGTGAATGCCGGTGGCTCGTAAGTCTAAAGCACTGAGTGTTGTTGATGTTCGCAGAGCCCGAAAGACTTCGTGCAGGGTGAGCACATCGTCGGCGCGGAGAACATCCGGGCCTTCGCGAGCGACGAGGGGGTCGAGCTCATCCCGTATCCATGTCGCGATCTGACGAAGCCTCTGGCGGGAGAGGTCGGATGCTGGAGACGTTGCTGGGACAGTCTCGAGCGCCATTGCATGACGCGAGGGAGGGTCGAGATGGTGGAGTAGGGGAGACACTTGTGTTGGGAGACATAGGGAGGCGGTCAGTGTCGCCATCGTTACAAAGGTCTCGCTTCCTTCGCGCAGGTGTCGCTACCTTCCGAGGCCGGGCGAGGATCTCAGAACGCAGCCACGATGGGGCGCGCTGCGCAGACAGGGAGAATGAAAGAGAAAGAACTTATCGCATGTATAGCAGGGTTTGGGAACGGCGAATTAGAGCATGGATATTCAGCTGAATATCCATATATTGCCAATCATTTGCCCTGAGCGTTCTTCCTCCTCTTCTTTTTGGAACGCCTGGATCCTCTCCGCATCGCTTCTCGTGATTTAGTATTTGCAGCGCGGTCATCCTCATCACTGAAGCCTTTCCATTCGTCCTCATCCTCTCCGTCGCTATTTCCGTTGGAAACGGGCGCGGTTTGATCAGAACCATCATCTCGAACAAATGCAGCAACGAAGAAGCCCATCGTGCCATCCGCAGTGCCCTTTTCGCAACGTATACATGCTTCGCAGACCTCTGCCTTTTGCTCCTGAGCCAGCAGAGAGTCTTCTCCAAAAGCGGTGGAATCCCAAATACCTCGTCTCTCCCATCTCTTCAAACCGTCCACTTGATGCTCTCGCTTCAAGATCGCCCAGCCTCGCTCTTTCGCAACCTGCGAAGCCAGCGCGCGGAACACGACACCTTCATTCTCTTTGAAGTGAACCGAGCATGTTGAGTATGTGATCTTGCGCGCTTTGGGGAAGCGCATGGCATGCGTCAGAATACGGAGTTGAAAGGCCGAGAGCGCAGTGAGTCGCTCAGCGAGCTTTCCTTTGACAGGAGTCTCTTCGGCGGCAGAGTCGTCCAAGTCAAGATCAAGAGTGGTGTTGCGCTCGGAGACTCCATTCGTATCTTTGTCCCGCTTCCGCTTCTTGCCTTTGCTGGTGTGAGAGATAGTCTTGGTACCTGACGACGGGTCCGGCAAACGCATTCGCATAGTGTCATCACGGCCGACAATGCCACTCCCGGAGCAACTCGGGTCAAGGAGAATCGCGCCAACTTTCGAAAACTCCTCAGAATCTGGGCTAGCGACCAGAAAGTCGGCTCCACCTTTAACTAACACGATTCGATCCGCAGACGCGAGTTTAACCATCTTCTGCAGTGTGCCCGTTCTGACTTTGTCCCTCTCGAAAGCAATCACCGTCTGGCCTCGAGCTGGCCCATCTTGATCGGAGATGATCGCTGCCAGATGTGTAGTCTTGTTACCCGGTGCTGCGCACCCATCGATTACGTCTCCGTCCTCGGGCGTAACGTTCAGTAGGTATGCAGGGAAGCAAGACGCCTTATCTTGGAAGATGATGTTACCCTTGATATATGCGGGTGACGTGCTTAGATCGATATCTGGTGGAAAAGCGAGCAGATTGGGAATATTTGGGTCTTGAAAATATATCCTCGCTGAGCCGGATGCTGATAGTACGGCGGCCAGCTTGCTCGCCCTCGCATATCCGGCGAAGGTTGTCGAAAGTTGCTCTGCACATGTGGTATTAACCGTGTTGATACGGACCCATCGCGGATGCCGGACTTTCTTGGGTAAATCCTCCTGTCCCGGGTTGAAGACTCCGGCGACGATGGCCTCCTTGAATGCTTCCAGTGTGACATAACCGCCTTTGATGCGGACCTTTGTGAATTCAGCACTAAGACGGGCTTTGTGCCTGGAGATGGCAAGCTTCAAAAAGTGGTTTGCGGGAGCAGCAACGCCATTTTTTGAAAGCAGTAAGTCATGGGTGAGGAGAAGCGCGAGAAGCGGAGTGAGCTGGGACGCGGTCAGCAATAGAGCTTGTCGGCCTCGCCATTGCGAAAGCATATCCGCTCAAGGATGGTATCACCTTTCTTTCTTCACCCAGGAGCCTACATCTCTCGATGACATCCTTGAGAACGATTGACCATTTCGATGCCTCGCTGATTAAAGCGAAGAGCTGGGCGGGCGAGCTCTTTAAATCTGTTCGCTTGTAGATCCTGGACTTCAAGGAACCGCCTACCTTTTCGGCGTTGGTGAGTACCGCAGCAGCCTCGTAATAGAGCGACATTGGAGGTCTTTGAGATTGCGGATGAGTTTTCGGTGTTGAGGTGGTCTAAGCTCCTAGCTTCCGAATTAGGACACCTCCGAGGTTCCCCTAAGTCAGGCTGTTTACTAGGACCTGTATACCTAGGGATGGATTGAAAGTCGAACATTAGGAAACTTCCGAGAGAGTGATCTTGCTCTTAGCGTTGAATTTTTGCCGTGGAACACGTGATATGGGCGCTACATGGACGTGCACGCTTTATGTTGGCGCGGAATCAAGAACGAATCGCAGTATTTCATTTCCGAAAGCCATGAGATGCAAGCATACAGAATCGAGGGTATATCGCCTACATATCCATTTCCCGAACTCCGCTTTCCCATCCTCCCCAGCTATCGCATGACCGGCGGCCTAGCCTCCTTATTCCACCTCACTCTAGAGCACAACCACTCGACCGCCTCCTGAACGCCCGTCCCAGTCAATGCACTGCACGGTAACACCCTACTATCCCTCACGTTCCCGCCCTTTTCCCCCTCAAACACCTTCCTCACGAACCCCTCCTTGATCCTCACAACCTCCACGCAATCCTCCCTATCCTGCTTATTCGCCAACACGAGTATTGGCACACCCGACGCGTCCTCGTTGTGCAATACGCTCTCCAGCACCAGTCTGCACTCTTCTAACCTGCCATTGTCCTCATGCAAACCGCTGCCTAGATCTGCGAGGGTGGCGTTCCCGACGTCCGAAGAGTCGATGACAAAGACGATGGCGTGGCAGGACGAGTAGTATGATTGCCAGAGCCCGCGCAGGCTATGTTGGCCGCCGACGTCCCATATCTTGAGGTAGATAGGTGGGTTGGGAGGAGGAAGCGAGACGGTGGCTACGTTTTGGCCGACAGTTGGAACGGTTTTGAGGTTTGGGTTCAGAGAGGTGTAGTTTGCTTTTATCTGTTCGAGAAGGGTAGTTTTGCCGGCATTGTCGAGGCCGAGGAGGAGGATGGAGTACTCTGACAGGGACGTAAGCTTGGACTGGGGAATGTCGCGGAGATGGGTTCGTTGAGAGCATAGCAAGTGAGAGGGGGAGGCGAGGGGGAGGAGATACCTTCTTTACTTGTCGCATGCAGATATATTGATTTAAAGAGATGGTACATTGTCTGGGGCGCTGGCTGCGAGCACGCTCACACGTTCGTGGTTCGCCAGGATGTGGAGCTCTTCGGAGATAGTGGGGTTAGCAGAGTGCCAAGCTTTCCCAGGGTATCTCTAACCCCAATCCGTCCACCTTTTCTCAACCCCATCCGATATATCATCAAACTCCACAAGCAAGTCTGTAGGATCTAAAGCACCGCCTATCATTACACCCCATACCAGGACCATGACACGAGGCGCGATCAATATCGGCGCTACGGCATTGTGTAGACCGCTTGCTCCTTGATGAACCTCACAACCGGTTCGATGCTTGCGCCTGGCGATGGACAATGTCATGGCCTACACCAGAATGCAGCCGAATAGCCAATGCAGGATGTTCTGGTTCAACTATCGAACTTCCGCTTCAACACAGCACTGATCCGAACTCCAGAGAAGACATGAGACTCCACGAGATGAAAAGTAATCAGCGACCGCCTCCAGCCAATTTTAGTGGCGAAGAGTTTCTGAACACGTTCCGTAATGCTTCAGCCGCAAGTCCCAGCACCACGCCAGCCAACCCCGCATCACTCCGCTTGAGCGGCACGGGGACCGGAAGGGGCGGATCACCAGAGTGTGCAGCATAACGAAGCGGCCTTGTCCCATATTCAGCGACACACCCAGCAGATCCGTGGCTGAAGAGGCCGCCCATTTTCCTTCTTAACCGAGAGAGCGGCGCCACCACGTCCAGCTTCAAGGCCTGGAAAAAAGAGACTGGTCGCAACAAGACGCGCAAACGTAAGCAGCAGAGGAAGTCTTCCGCCAAAAACGAAGTAATCAGTTCGAGGGGTAGAAATGGTACTGTATCATCTGGGATGAGGCAATACCGCACGGTGAAGCACCATGCTCACATTAGGCACTGTGCCGTACGATGGGGCATAGTTTGCGATGGTGAGTCCCCAGCGCTACCCTTTATCTCTTACTTCATGTCCGCTAATCTAAGCAACAAGAGATGTCCATGGACACATGCTCTAGGATATCCGTTTCTTACGGGGAATATAATCATCCTTTCCAAGGTTGAGTTCAACCTCACACATTCTATTATCAGTAGCCAGCTTCCTTTAGGCATGTATAGATATCTTTGCTCTCTAACACTCCTTCCTACTTCTGTCTACTTCCCCTCCTGCATAGCTAGTCCTTCCCGCCCTTCTCAAAGCATTCTACATACAGGCGCAGAGCCTGCTATAGTCTCTAAAAATATATTCTTCCTATCTTAGCTATTTCTCTATATACAATCTACCTTTACCTTACCCTTGCCTTCTACTCTAGCTCTTCCACTCCGCGCTGTAACATCCATGCCCGCTCTAGCCTTGCAACATCCTCTCCTATGCACACTAAAACGACATTTCAAGAGTGCAGCCGCAGGCATCCGCGAACATTTGCTTGACTTTCACACCATAGTATACAAGACAGGGAAGCACAGTATCAACTATGGAGTTCATTACTCCCATGATCTAAGAATCAAGGAGTCGCCGAAGGCCTTTAGGAAGCGAAGTTCAAGGTACGGTTTACCAAACAAAGCAAACGTGAGAGAACGCGTAAAATGGGCCGAAGGCGGTGAGAAACCCCCAACGCACAAGGGACAAGATTTGGTGTGAACATGTGTGTGAATTAGAGGCAACTACTACAAAAGGGCTATTGTATCCATGACAAAGTGGTATAAACCGTTCTTCTTGAAACAATGCTTTGAGTGATTCCGGAATAGTTCTCCTAGCGGATAGGCGCTTCTGGCCTATCCACTTTACAAGACTTCTGTGCTACATGACGTTGTGGAGACGTGCTGATTGGGTAAGCGGTGCGGATGTGGGTGTTGCGAGGGATGCCAGGGCTAGGGTCGGTGATGTGTCTATCGGGGCGACGGGAGGGTTTGGGCAGAGTCGGATTAATGCCAGCGACGGGGGAGAGCTCCCATTACTGGCGTAAAAGCCAGCGAGTTGGACCCGCGGTTTCGGGAACGGCCGGGGAGTCGACGGTCGTGGGTTGATGCGCGTGTGGAATCGTCGGTGTCGTCGCCGTAGTCCGAGGAGAAATTGTGGGGAAACATAACCTCGTCAACGCGTGCCGCGAGCGCCTTTCCACGATGGTCGGATCGGGAACGGGGGTCCTCCAGGGTGAGCTCTGGTATCCGTCGTTTATAGTCCGCCCGAGCTTGGTGATGGCCGTATAGAACCGACAATTCGGACCCTAAGTACCAGGAGTTTAGTCAAATGCCAGATAGGAGTCCCAAAATGGGTATCCAGCTCAACCAAAACTCACGGGCATAGGACCGACACGGCACTATGGGGGAAAGGGCAGCGTGAGAGCCTTCAGGCCATGACGCCTTGATTGCCACCTAGGGCGGTGATCAGTGATATAAAATATGCTGGGGATATTGCGGTTGCTGGTAGAACGAGGGCATGGCGGGGCGAGAGGTAAGGAAAGGTCCTAGGAGCGACGTACCGATTTGGCGCTTGATCTGCTCGCGTGCCCACCGAGCCGTATCCCGCGTTCGGCCACTGAAGTCTGGGTTGGCACGGGTTTCCCTCGTCATCGTGGTTAAGAAATCGTGTCGGAAGTATTCCCGGATGTCCCCGTTCGGGAAAGCTTCAGCAAGATCGCTAGGAGCGATTAGTGAACTGTCATACAGTCAAGCGTGCTTTCAACTTACCCAATGACGCCACAGGACGATCGCAGGAGAGCTTCCGTGCGGTTGGTGTCCATCTGAACGATGCGCAGGAGCTCAAAAATTGAGTCCAGATACTGAACGAGGAGACCAGCTATTGATGTTAGCGCTCGATCTAAAAGCCAGGTCGTGGACGTACTTTTGTTGCTCGACTTCATGGCAATGATAATTCCATCCCAAGCATCCATAATGCCTTCCCGCAGCGACGTGATGTAGTCGATCATTTCATAGTTGCCCTCAGTGGTCATAGACACTTGTGATGCCTGTTGTAGCACCTGAGCGACGACGGCAAGGTACGTCTCGAATGCGCCGAGGATCGCCTGGGCAATGTCGCCAAAGCATTGCAAAATCGCAGGCTTGAACTGATTTCCGAGCGAATTGCTCTGTTTGAGATCATCAGTAAATACATGGAGCGTGCAGAGCTTGGGGAAACCTACCCGAAGGTTGTTGAGGAGATAGTTCATGAAAGCGTCGCAGTAGGGTTGAACCTTCTCGCCGAGCGCTCGCGTGATGTCGCTAACCAAACCGATTGCCATGGAGCACAAAGCAGGTTCTTCCTGATTACCGAGCGCATTGTAGAGGAACTTTGAGAAGGCTTCCATGTACTTTCCGAAATCTTCTTCCAGCGCTGTCGCGATCGATCCAATTGCGGCAAATACGGCATCCGGAACGCTCGACTTAGGCGGAAGGCTGGATAGTAGAGTGAGAAGAATTTGCATGATGCGGTCCGCCTGCGGCTTGATGTCGCCCTCCAGACGTTGCACAATTGCCTGCATACGTATTAGCACAGGGATAGAATTCAAGGTGGAGGTCCTACCATGACGACACTAGCTAAGCTCGTCTGCATCTCTTCAAGCGTCAACTTGTCTTCAACGCTGACGACCTGTGACTGCAGCTGAATCGACTTCTCCAAGCGCTCGAGAATGACGTTCGACAAGGTCGCGACAAGGCCGACGCTGTCACCAGCGGCGTTTGTGACGAAGGAGTTCAGCACCTCGTATGCAGCAGTTCGCAGCTGGTTATCGGCATCACCCCGCTCAGTGACCTGTAGAATGTGCTGAATGCTCTGCTGGAAGTGTGGTGACAGTGGATTGGTCTGGCACCCTGGCTCTCCGGCGAACCGGTCGGCGAGGTTCATCAACGCCCAGCAGCACGACGACGCCATCTTCGAATGACTTGACAAGCCGTTGAACAGCGCACCAATGAGAGACGGGAGATGCTGTTGAGCATCGACTGCGTTCGGCGCAGCTTCGCAGATGCGACCTAGAGCGTAAGCTGCGGAATCCTTGACGTGTATTACCTGGTCGTCCATCATGGCAATCAGCACTGGAAGCGCTTGCTTAACCAGCGGGTCCAGAATGTTCTCCTCTGGGCCCTCCATAATGGCGCCGAAAGCTGAGACGGCAGCATCGCGGTAATGCCAGTCTTCTGAGCGGAGGTTCTTCTCCACGAAGGCAAGGACGGGCGGCACGACGCCGCTGCCTACGCACTGCGCCCAGAGCTGAAGACATTGGTAAGCAGCCCGCGAGATGTTGTATTCCGTATCATCAGCGTCCTCGTCCTGCTTGGCGAGCAGCTCAAGCAGGACCGGGACAACCTCCTGAGTGGCCACCCGCGCGAAATTGAAGTAGTCCCTCAATTCGGTTGAGCCCTCGGATTGGGCCTGTGCATATATTAATACCGGGCGTCCTGCTTTGTCAAAGGTTTGGGGAAGTGGAAATGGTAGTACCTGAGTATTGTCGTCTTCGATGGAGATTTCCTCCTCGCAGACGGTGCACCAGAACTCAACAGCGAGCTTGGCAACATCCTCTTCGTCGCTCTTCATGCCTTGGATAGTAAGGCCAAAGAGGGCCTTCTCCATGTAGAAGCGCATCTTGTCATAGTACAGGCCCATGATGCGGTTCAGACAGCCATAGGCGCCCTGCTGGATGCGGCTATCATCTGCCTGCGTGGCCTCGCAAATGACCTGCATGATGTAATTGCGCTCGCCCTCATTGTCAAAGTTGGACCGCACAAATTCTATCGAGTCGCCGAGGGCGGAGATGGCGGCATTCCGCACGTCATTGTTCGCTTCCTCCTTGCGGGCGCCCTGGACGACGGCGGTGAGGATGGCATTGGAGTGATGCTGCAGTGCTTCGCGCAGATCTAGGTCGTCGGTGTCGCAAATGAAGCCGATTGTAGTCAGCGACGCCTGCTTCTGGTGGTCTGCGCCCTGTCCGACGTTCTCGACCAGGGTGGGCATAAGCTCCGGCCATTGGTTGTGGGGTATGTCGACGGCGGCGATGGAAGCTATGAATTGGGCGGCGGCCTGCCCCGCGCGGGCGTCTGGAGTCGAGAGCGTGCGCAGCGCAAGCTGCTTGACCGTCTGCTTAATCTCGGGATTCAGACTGAGCCAACGCTCCTGGACCTGACGTAACCGGGCATACTCGCGTGCGGTGAAGGCGTTCTTGAGCGCTAGACCGGCGGCGGTTCGGATGTGAGGCTGCGACTGCTCGTTGGCGAGCTCGTTGCTGAGGATGGTGAGGTATTGGGGCTGCGGTGAGACGCGCTCTGTTAGCGGGGGCTCTCTGTGGAGCGCAGGGGAGGGCTGCAGCCTTCTGGGCGCGGGACACTCACGAAGTCGGCTTCGGCGGCCTGGGTGAGCTGCTGCTCGGCGCTCTGGCGGATGCTGGCGTCTGGGAGAGGTCAGTCAAGGCGGCAAGGCAGCGGAAGAGCGCGGTGAAGGCACGCACCAGCAGAGAGGGTCCCCTCCAACACCTGGTTGATATCCATGACTGCAGGAGGGCGGGTGGTGGACTCAAAGAGGGGTGTTCAGTTGGAGAGCACGCGTGCAGCCGGGGTTGAATTTGCTTTTGGCGGCGGTGGGTGAGACAGAGGGGTGTCGAGGGAAGTTGCGGTGGGCGGCCGTGTAGGGAGGGAATTTGAAGCGAACGAAGGTCGAGCGTAGCCAGGGCCAAAGCACGTGAAGCGGTAGCGCGTCTACTTTTTCTGCCCTGGGGCCCCGCTACTGTGCGCCGTTTGCGAGGGGACGGGCCGCTGATATGCTGAGAGCAAGCGGTGCAAGCACAGCACAAACCAGGCGTCTGGAGGAGCACCGCAAAGACAAAGTAAATAGCAATTTCGCGGTCGCGGCTGCCTCAGCGGCTGTTGCCCATCATTTCGCTGCAGCATCTGGAAGGCAGCCCGAGCGCCCAGCCAGCGCGCGCATTGGCTCGCTTCCGTCGCTGCTTCCCGCCCCGGATTCCCTCCAGCTTCCGCTGCAGCCCTGCGCGAGAGCCACCGGTGGAACAATACAGCACAGGAGGAGGCAGGGTCGCCCGCCGCAGCCAGCGCGCTTCTTCACTCAAACATGCGCAGTATTGTCTCGGCTTGTGCCCTGCAGAAACACTCGGCTGCAGCAGCCTTGTCGCATGCCTCTGGCGTCGCCAATCGTCCGCCATGCCACAGGTTTGGCGGCACAGCACGTTGCGAACGCGCTGCGTCCGGTCCCTTTGGGGACTTCACAGCGTGAGAATCATGAGCCGTGTTTGCAAGAGACCAGACTGCTCAATTGGACACATCCTCTTGTATGCACACTTGCGTGAGTGCTTGCTGCTTCCGAAGACGTGACGTGCAGCCGCCCAATGAGGCGGGCAATCGGCTACGGCGTTCCGCAAGAACGGAAAGCGCGACCAACTTGACAGCCAACACCTCCAGCTTCCCCCGCTCCGGCGAAAAGCACCTAAAGACGTCCAAGTCTTGTTCATTCGGAAGAGTGCAAACGGCAGAACATTCAATAGCCTCAAACTCTACTCCCTCTGGAAATGTTTGTCCTCTCCGCCGACACCATGACATAATCCCCCCGAGCCCAGGAACAGCACCACGATGCATCCCTCGCAGCCAGGTCCAGCATGTGGAAACCGTCAATTCGCGTCTATACAGCCAGTCGAAGGCTTCCCACCGCCTTCTGGCCCTCCAATCGCTGCCACCTCCATCGAGACCGCGCCGTCGTACCGCACCCCTCCCGATGCCCCTCCCAGCGCCGCTGCTTCCACGAGTACTTCATCACCCATCTCCCGTCTACGTCGCTACACCCGGACTCGAGATCTCTCCACGGGCCACATCACCGGCTACCGAGAGACAAGAGCACACCCCATGAGCCGCGGGGAACAAACAGATCGCCGGCGGCACCGCCGCCAATGGTGGGGGCGTCGCGGGAGATGACGGTGGTCAGGATACCATTGAAGAGCGCGAAGCATCATTTCGGCGTCTCGCTGTCGCGGGGCACGCGTCCATACAACGAGGACACGTTCCAGGCGGGCACAATTGAGATTCCGGCCTTCGCGAAGAGGCAGCCCATGTCTGTGACGCGAAATCGAAGCGGGAGCATCACGAGCGAGGTCACACCCGCGGGTACGGCAAGCGGCGACCCGCAGGTCTTCTACTTTGGCGTCTTCGATGGGCATGGTGGGAGCGAGTGCGCCGACTTTCTCAGAGAGGAGCTGCATAGCTATATAGAAGCGGCAACGAGGCTGTTCGAGCTGGAGAGCAGTCTGAAGAGGAAGGGCCCCATGGAGCGCTATGTTGGATGGCCGAGCAGTATGGGCAACCAGGATGACAGACCTGCAGAGGGCCATACCGCAGGAAGGGAGAGCTTGGACGCCATCAAGACGCACACGCCGCCTGGGACGGAGCCTGTCAAACCTCCGAAGCCTGGTACCGACGAAAAGCCGCCACCAGGAGGAGTTGATAGTACGGCAGAGCCATTAGGCAGCGCACCACCTGTACAGCAGTCGCAAAGCCTAAGGAAGGCGGAGGAGCTGGAAAGGTGTCTAGTCAGGGACTGGAGAGAGCTGGTGGGTGGCTATTTCAAGCGGTTCAAGCCCGAGTATTTCTCCATGTCGGCCGGTGGACGTGGCCATCCTGCAGAGAAGGAGGTTGTCTCAAAGCGTGCCAATCCTGGCTCTTCTATCCCGGACAACACCTCCGAAGGCATCGGCATCGAAACGGCCCTCGAGTACGCGTTTCTGAAAGCAGACTACGATTTCATATCGGCGCAGGTTGGTAAACAGGACGAAGATCCAGTTCGTGCCGATCGCGCCATCAACGACGATGACATCCTGGGCCATCCGTCACGCTCCGGCAAAAACATCGGCGGGTCACGGCGCTTCAAGGGCGGAAGCACATGCAGCATCGCGCTTATATCGACGCCTACGCCGTCCCCCTTCTGGCACCCAGCATCTCCGTCTACCATCGTTACCGCTCACGTCGGCGACACACGGATCCTCCTCTGCGATACAGCAACCGGACAAGCCGTCCCACTGACCTCGAACCATCATCCTTCCCTCCCCGAAGAAGCAACCCGCCTACGCCGATATGCCGCGACCTTTGTAACCGACTCCTTCGGCGAGGAGCGCGTGTCCGGCCTCGCCAACACACGCGCCTTCGGCGACATGGCCTCCAAACGCATCGGTGTATCTGCCGAGCCAGAGATCCGCCGCGTCGAATTGCACCCCGCAGAATACTCGTTCCTCGTACTCGTCTCCGATGGCGTGTCCGGGCACTTATCCGACCAGGAGATCGTCGATATCGTCAAGGAGGCGAAGACGCCGGAGCAGGCAGCGCGCGATGTGACAAGCTATGCCGTCGAGGTCGCCAGTGATGCGGATAATGCTACGACGCTGGTTGTGAGGCTCGGCGGGTGGGAGAGGAGGAATGAGGGCGGGTTGGGCAGTATGGGGACACGGGAGTTGAGGGACTGGAGGAAGAATGAGGCGGAAGATCCGAGGGGGAGGAGAATGTAGCTTGTTGGATATTGACTAGACTGCGCATAGGGGATCCTGAGGGCCTTTAGAGCGGTTTGCATCGTCGAGATCGGGACTGGTTTGCACATTTGGCGTTTAGGTGCGTAGATGTGCATGTATTGGGTATGTATTTTTGTGTACTGTACACATGGCCACCTAGAGGCCTTCAACTACTTATACATCATTCAACATCAGCGCTATGAACCTCCACCAACACCCTCCAGCTACTTCATACCTACGTGCACGAGGGCAGAGTGGATGACTTCCTTCTGCTCACAGCCCGAAGAGAAGCCACTCTTCGTGAATGTCGGCGTCAGCGCGAACCTGACGCAGAACTTCTCCGGCTCCCTCTGCAGCACCGTCAACGTCTGCATGACATCCCCACACAGATTCCGCGACTGATTGACCATATGCCGCAGGTTGAGATCAGTCCCTGCCGTCGGCCACATGATGGTCCACTTCACGGCCTCCATGCGCAGCCGGAACCCGATGCGGTACCCCTTGATGAACAGCTCGCTCAGCACGTGCTGGTTCGCGCCGGGTGCGAGCAAGCAGGCCAGGTCGGCGATGAGGTCACGACTCAGCTTCTCTGCCTTGCGGTCGCGCCAGGCGCGCAGACCCTTGTCCGCCTTGAGGTTGGCGTAGAGCGAGGACTGCTGCTGGCACAGTGCGTGCTTCTGCGCAGCGTCGGTGGAGAGGGCAAAGTCGAGCAGGAGCTGCTCGTAGACGGCGGAGGAGGAGTGCTGGGAGTGGATGAGGAAGTGCTCGCTCATGGTATACATGACGATGTGGCGGGTGACGAGGGCGGCGACGACATCTGCACGGAGCTCGGCGGAGGAGAGGAGCGTGCTGATGTCGGTGTTCTTCTTCGCGAAGAGGTCTTGGAGAGAGGGCATCTGGGCGCAAGTTTTCGTGATGTCGGAGGGGGAAAGGGGCTTCGTGTACGTGGAAGCCCACGCGCGGATGGACTCGAAGAAGTCATGGAGTAGGCAACTATGCGTCGCGCTCGCGTTAGCACTGACTTGGTCACTGAAAAGCAAGACAAGTAAAAGGAAACCCTATCATCGACGCAAACAAAAAGACTTTTTCTTCATTCCCTCATCATCGTAATCATACAAAAAAAAATCTCTCTCTTCTCTCTCTCTCTCGTCTCCTCACTCCACCCAAGCACGGAAACGGCTCAGAAAAGAACCATGTTTACCCACCGGTCGTTCTGGGGCTCCATGCCCGCCGTGAAGACAGGGGCGCCACCCCCCAGGAACCGCTGCTCCGGCGTCCTCGTCCGGTGGTGGTGCGGGCGGCGCGGGGACAGGTCCATGACCGGTGGGTCCCAGCGGTAGGACCGCCGGGCCCCGATCGCGGTCGTCGGCGAGTACGGCGGGGCGGAGGGCGACAGTGGCTGCTGCTGGGCAGCAGCGGGAGCGGGACGGCGCGGCGGTGCCTTGAAGGCGAGCTGCGGGGGACGGTTGTCGGTCACGAAGGGGTCGTCGAGGACGACCCCCCGTCCAGCGAGGGCGAGGGCGGCAGGCGGCTTCGCTCCTCGGTGGAGCGCCAGCTCGGCCTCCAGCAACTCGATCTTGGCGTCTTTCGACGCGAGGGCCTTGCTGGTGGCGGCCCGGGTGGCGGCGATCTCGCGGTGGAGGGCGGAGACCTGCGCCTTGAGGGCGGCGAGCTCGGCGCCACTGTCATCAAGAATTAGCTATAGGACTGAAGAGGGATCAGTAAAGGGAGGATAGCTACCGGTACGTGATCTCGTACGTGGACTTGTAGTCCATGCCCGAAGGCCGGTAGGAGATCTTGGCGGCCGGGGAGACTGGCTGCTTGCCGTCTCCGAAGAGGCTGCTGCCGGCGGGGAGAGAGTTCTTGGGGGCGGACATGATGGGGAAGAGGGATGTCGATCGTGAGTTAAAGGCCTTCAGGCTCGGTGGTACGGAGTCGGAGTCTGAGATAGGGTGCTGGGTAGCTGGGAGACTGATAGGTGGCTGAAGCTCTTCTGGATGAGCTGTACGGGATTGGAATGGTCGATCGTGAAGGAGACGAAGGAGGTCGTGGTGACTGATGGTGATGGGTGATCTGACTGGTATGCGCGTGACCTACACAAGAGGCAGAGTGTTAGTATGTAGTGAACAGAACGTAAGACGACTGCCTGCACTGCTGGTGTAGAAAGGCGCGGCTCCGAGAAGTCAGAATTCTCTGTGTTCCAAAGTGGAATGTAGATGGAGCTGGAGAAAAAAGGAAAAAGAAGAAGCAGGCTCGAGGGAAATCAGACCTTTTATGCAGGTGTGGGCGCTAAGCGAGTGATCTGGTACAAGTTGTGATCTGGCCGAAGATCACAAAGAAGGAGCGCGGTGGAAGCGGGTAGAATTGCGTGATAGATGAGTTTGTGATCTGGGAGTCGTTGTGATCTGGTGTCGTCGCTTTCACTCGATCGGGAACGAAGGCGGGCGAAAAGCGAGCAGTGCAGACAACAAACGACGTTCAACCTCTCCGGAGTGTGATCTCGAGGCGGCGGATTGGAAGAAAGTCAAGAGTGAGTCTGCGAGTCTGCGAGTCTGCGGTCCTGATATGGGTGCTGTCGAAGCTCTTATAATGCTGTCCCTGCTTGGTGCCTGACTGCAAGCACGTCCATCCAACATGCGGGAATTGTCCTCAAGCTAGCGATTGGAGAATGCTGTGGCCAATGCACCGCAAAGTTGAGTTTCTCTGCTGACTCTGTCTTGTCTCCAAGCTCTTCTAATGCTGTGGCGGCTCGGTGCCTAAGAGCACGCACGTCCACCCAACGCGCGGGGGGAGCTCTCGGGCCAGGAACCGGAGCCTGCTATGGCCATTGTACCACGAACCCAAGCTCTTCTGATGATGCCTTCGACTTATACACGAACGCTCACGTCCGTGCTCTCGATAATGCCCAGGCTGCCACCCAGCGGGCGGACGTGCATGGTGAGGTTTACGGTTTGCATGCGGGGCTGTGAACCCCAAATGAGACACGACGTTGTTGGATGGACCGTCGATGATGCTGATTGGACATGCGTGAAGAGGCAGTAATGGAAGACGATGACTGTTGAGGCTGGGTTATCTGCAAAGGCGGTGGTACAGGTTAGAGACTGCGCTGAGCTAAAGAGGGGGCGGGCCAACGCACCGACATGTCCTAGTTCTCCGCCTGTCGGAGGTCTTCTGGAGTAACTTCCGAGGCCGAACGTATCGTGAAACTCGACTGAGGAGAGCAGAAGAAAAAAGAGTGACCTTGGGTTGGTCGAAATATATACCGTTGGAATACCCTAGCGCTGTAGAACGCTTCGTATCGGCATAGGCGGAACAAACGGGAAGGGCGGTCAGATGCATCGTCATTGGATTGGCACACCACCGTAAACGGAAAGCCGGTTGGTCTATTCGTCCCAGCAGAGGCCGTCAAGGGGACCGCTCATCGAAACTGCTTCCATCATACACATCATCGGGATACCTTTATTGGAGAAGACCTCGGAACGTTTCCGCCTCCGAAACGATGAATCGTATTGCCGACTCGGGAGGGTAGGCCAGCTCTTGCTCGAACCATAGCCTCCCCCTCGAAAGATCTGCGTCGTTGTGGGCAGGACAGCGGTCACAGGTGATGTGCTTCCTTCTCTTCTTCACGGAGATAGGGTAATGAAAGAAATTTAACGGGAAACAAGAACGGGTGCACCTCCAGTAGAAGGAAGTTGGGAAGGACTGGATAAGGAGGAAGTGCGGAGCCGTCGCTCATGTTGTCCACCACGGCGTCCAGCTGCGCCGTATCAGGCGGTACCATAACATCCCTCAATCTCCCAGGTATCTGCCCACGCGTGAACCAAGCTCTTTGTTCATCCCTTTCATGAATGACCCTCATTGTCACAGTCCTCGGAGTCTCCATCTAGCATCTTCAACATCCGTCCTTTGGAGACGTACCAACTACCAACCCATATCACCGCACCCCACCATACAGATCTCGTCAATCTGCACCCCACATTCACACGCCGCCCATCCTGCACCTACCCGCACCTTCCACATCCCCACGCTCCCGATCCCTTACCGCGCCCTCTTAACTCCAAATTTAAGAGCAAGGATCTTCCTGCTATAATAATCTATCCACTATTCTTTTATACTAAACAAAGCTCGCGTCGCATGAGAAAAGCTTCGAGAAACGTTCTCTGGAGGTAGGAAGTTTGGTTCGAGTGGTGTTGTGCTCATCAATTTCCGGTTATGATGCGGCGTATGGGTCGCATTGCCGAAGTCGGAGTGTGCGTGGGGCGCGCCAGGGTAAATTCGCTGGAAGTGCGGGGGATGCGGTGCTGGGGTCAGGGGAGTTGTGGGCGGCTTAAAAGGCTATTTGAGGGTGCTAGATGGATGAAGGGAGGATCTACTGTGCGGTTGATGATGGCGGCGGAGAGCGTGGAGAGGAATCCGATGATGAAGTCTTCGAACGGCACATCACCCAAAGACGATGTTTCATACAAGTCTTTGGCACCACATGGCGCCCCTTCTGATAATGCTTCGAAAATGCTTTCCAGTCTGGAGACAACGTGCGCGGTCGTCAAGAAAAGCGCCGCCAAGCAGTGCACGGTCCGGCTGATCTCCGTTGAGATCCCCACACCACATTCTGTTCCTTCTTTCAACCTCCACCGCCAGCTCTCAAGCATTCTAAGTAGTCCTCTTACAGTGACTGCTCTGAAATAGTCCGTTGAAAGAGGCACTGGAGGTCACTTGTGCCGTGTTCAAGATGCACGGCGATCAACTCGCGACACCGCCTAGGAGCTTCCCCCCATCGAGTAGCCACCATTGCAGCTCCCACATCAACCCAACGCAACCTCTAGGAGCAGTTTGACAAGGAAGCTACGCTGTTGCACCACATGAGTTTGTCGGGCGCCCTGACTTCTGACCTTCACCACCGACCGATCCGACTATTGTTTTTGGGTTCCCTCGGCTTGGAGCTAAGAACGCCCACTCCTCACACAGCGAATCGCCATCCCGGGCCAGCTTAGCACTCTGCAGGTACCGTGCTAGCAATCTCCACCATTTCTACGAGCGCGTTCAGGCTCCGCCGAAAGAAGAGTTGGTGCTTTACTTTTTCGTGGTCCCCTTATTCTTCTATAAATGTCAGTGTCGTCCCCACCCTGCGCTATCGCTGCAGCCGCCGACATTGTCAACGTCTAGTACATTCTCATAATGCGTCCATTCTGTTTCCTCGCGCTCCTCGGAGCGTCGGTGCTCGTCCGAGCACATAAGTTCGACCTGGGAAAGCGATCCGGTGGAGACTGCAGCGCAATGCCCAAGGGCAAAGGACCCGTCCCCTCTCCCGACAGCCCGTACGCATTCCTCAACTCCGAAGAACTCGCGTCTGCAGCGAACAAGGCGCCGACGCCATCTGGCTACAAGCAATCCTTCAAGAACCTGCACGCTTCGACCACCGCCAACGGCTATTTAGGCTACGTCGCACTGGACTCGTACGACACCACCCTCTGCGCTTCGAAATGCGACGAGCAGGAGAGCTGCCAGGCCATCAATATCTTCTTCGAGCGGAATCCTACCCTGCAAGTGGGTTCAGAGTGCCCGAATCCGCCGTCGACTACTTACATCAAGTGCGTCTTTTGGGGCGATCTTGTGACGAAGGACAACACGAACAATACTGGCTATACGAATAATGCGTTCCTCGTTGTCGCTGCGGGTTCGAATGGCTACAACAATCAGACCGCAAAAGGAGTCGAAGGGTAAAATAGAGCCTCGGTCGACTGCAACGATGATACTTACACGGACGTAGATTTGCATCGAAAGGCCTCTCGACTCCCGGCGCTGCACTGCTGGTCGTACCGCTCCTTGCGATGATACTAGCAATTCTCCCCTGAACGTGAATGCGCGTCAATAAGTGCAGATTGGGCTCTTGGTCGATATATACTGCTGAAGAACGTCTCTCATAAGGAACTCAGTTGCGGTAAGTTGGCTCTGGGAATGCTTCGTGTGGTACAACTAACGGAGAGCTAGTATGCGTCTCCATCTCAGTCCAGGGAATGAGAACAACGGCCTTGTTCGTGGACTTTAAGAAGTAAGGGAGAAGAGGCTAGTCGATGTGTCGTTCCTTCTGCGAGCATAGCCAGCCTCAGTATTCATAGTAGGGCGAGCAAGGCCGGAAACGGCAGCCATTGTCGTTGGTACCATTCCTTGAAGGCTCCAGTTATCCGCCTGTACCTACCGGGATCGCTAGGGGAGCCGATATGAATCGACCGTCAGGGTAGTGATCATGGAAGCCGTACTCGAATTGAGAAGTTCTAACCTTTTTTCCGCACGTGCTTGTAGCATAGTCAGTTGATGTGTCGGCGCTACTTTTGCCTCCAGACTGAGGCTCCGCGTGCGAGGAAGACCAATGGGTAGCGGTGGAGGAAAAATGACAAGCTTCGAATAGAGTCCCGGAACCGTGGCCACGGTACTGTGAATCCTTTGCAGCGCATTTATGTTACCTAATGCCCAGTGTCAGTATATAAACCGACTTAAAATCACCCAATGGAAATCGTCTATGCCCATGAAAGCGATCGAAAATTCCCACGCGTACAATACATAAGTCTAGACCTGATCCTTGATCAGCGGTTTAGACTCGTATACCAAGCTTTCGGTAATCTACGTACAAGGATGCCAAGCACTATATAGGATATATAGCATGAGTGCATTAGCCAATCATCCAGCTTCGGGGTGTTGCATACGACCGGTATATTAACCATTGGGGTTGAAATCGGGGAAATGATGGTTGGGGTAATGAGTTTTAAATAGTAAAGCGGCGTGTGATGACAGCAATATGGCGAAATGTAACGCAAGGTGCAAGGCGAAGGTTGAAAGAGGTGATCGTCGCCGCCGTCGCACTTTTCGTTGAGGTGCTTTTTGGAAATTCCTCGAGAGACGCTCGCCAGCTGAAGGGAATGATCTTCGGCGTGCTCGCCATGCGCTGAGCAGTCGACCCGGTTTTTTGCGACGAGACGTACGATCAGCGTGCCCCAAGCTACACGACATTCGAAGCCGGAGAACCTTGGAGTCGTTCCCCATTCACGATGGCGGCAGCAGCTTCACCGCTCGCCTCTGCTTACCTCCTCTTCATCAGCATCCTCTTCTATCTCCCATCGGGCCTTGCTCAATCGCCGACCGAACCATCCTCGGCCGCACCCTCCGCCTTCTCGCAGCCCATCCTCCACCCAAATCGCACCGACGACGTCGTCCCCGGCACTATATTCACAATCCGCTGGACACCAGTCCCAGACTTCCAAAACGTAACTCTCCAGCTCTGGGACAAGACACCGTGGGGCATCAGTCACGACCTGCTCACGCCATGCTTTCCCTGGGGTCGCAATCCCTTCTGCGGTACCATCGCATTCCATGCGCCCAACACAGGGTCCTTCGATTGGCAGATACCTAATCCCGCAAGCGGTGAGGCGGGGAGCGGATTCCCGAGGGGCGAGAAGGTATTTTGGATCAAGATATATGTGGAAGATTACATGCACCCGGAAATCGGAAATCGGGATCCGGTCGTGAGCTACGGACAGAACTTTGAGTTTGCCCCCGCGGATGGTCAGCAGGAGCCGGCTGTGGCGCAGAGTGATAGCTATATAGGGGGAATGCCGACGCCGACCGGGGATGGGGCTCCTGGCACGGTGGTGACAGTAACAGTTTATGAGAGCCCGAATCCGTACGCCAGCCCGACTTCTCCTTTGCCACCGGCGAGCGCGACAAGCGGTATGGCGACGGCGGCACCACTAACTCCGGGAGCTGCATCGAGGGTTAAGGGAAGCATAGCAAGCGCGCTACTGCTTTTGCTGGGTTTTCTTTGATCGTTAGTGTCTGGGTCGTTCGTTCTGGGTTCGCTTCGGATGGTTTCTGTTCGCATTTCGCTCGCTCGCACGCTAGAGAAGACAAGATATACCCTGAAAGGGTGTTGTTATGATGCATTTCTGTTGCATACATTGGCGTTGATCTGTGTGCATTCAGCATTTCTCAGAGCTCTCAGCATGGTCGGTGAAAATGTGTTTATTATAAGAACAATGAAGACGGGCCATATGTTGACCAATCTAAAATTGTATTCGCGTTGAAGAAGGTGGAATGCGGATTGTTCCCGGTAAATTGAGATGAAAAGCGAGAAAAGCAGACCGACGAGATAATGAGCTGAAGGAAAAAGAAGAGGGTTACGCAGCAGAAAGTTCCACGGTGGAGCTTTCGTGCTAGGCTGGATACGGGAAGGCACTGATGAGAGGTCCCTGCCATTACCCCTCCAAACTTCTTCCATCCAGATCCATCTACCTAGGACGCTAACACAAAGCTGCTTGCGCAATGGAGCTGTTTGATCGAGCGCCCGTGAGCATTTCGGTGTGGGCAGTCCCGGATCCGGATCCCGACGTTCGTTTCCAGCTAGGCTATGAATGGCGTGAGATATCGCACGCTGCACATCCATCCAGATAGCTAGCAAGGTGGCCGTCAGATCTCTTACCAGTGGTTGATCTCGCTATTGGCGTGACAATGGGCCTACCAGGCACCAGGCCGATTACATCGCGGGGTGAGCGCCTACGCTACACGTCGATATAGGCATAGACTACTTTTGTTATCCTTCAGTTACTTTGGTGGCCGCATCAACTCGCTCTGGAGAATTTCGATGTCCCATTTTATGCCCAATCTCAGTGCTGTACCCCGCGAGCTGCGAAACCTTGTATACGACTACCTATCCCAATCGCTCTCTTGGGGCTGTCTGTTAACTACTTCAGCATACGCGGTCGGAGCGGCTGAAGACCTTGTTTAAGCGCTAGGCCTGAGCGACCCATGCTACCTGAAACCAGCGTATACCGGAGCTCTAGCGAGAGAGATAATCCAGCGTTTCTTTTGAACATGTGCAGACTTCAAGTTCCGTGACCACCGAGACATCCCATTCTGGCCTTAGAACTACTCCTCACTGCTAGGACTGATAACAGCGTACTTCACGCGCCGTTTCGTCATCCATGCTCTGCGGTACGTCCACCCGAGAATTATTGGGACGACCACATCTTACAAACCCACGGATTCGCCAACCAAACCCGCATTCCCTCATCCTTAGCCTTCTGCCCAGCAATCTACCTAAGTAGCGCCCCCTGCGCACACGTGCTCGCCACGCTTCCTTCCTTCCTTCCTTCCACCAACGCATTCATCCCGCCTCCCTACCCAACCAACTTCCCACCCCGTCCCTCTCTGCAATAATCCAGCCCCTAACCCTCGATCGCCCGGGCCAATCCAAGGTCCGTCGCATCCCAGAACCAAAATTCTTGCGGCCGGCTATTCTTAGGCGAACAGTAGGGTAGCGGGGTTCGGGGTCGTTTGCAGTACGAGGGCAAAGCCACGACCTGGATACCGGTGAAGAGACCCGCGTACAAGGCTGCATGGTAGCATGCGAGCTGTTTTGTTTACTAACCCGAGGGTGGTGTAGAGGTGAGCTGTTAGTGTGAGTAGTGTGGAGCGATGGATCCTCGGATGGTAGGTAGTCTAGAAGTAGGCAGACTGTAAGGCTGCAAAGCCTGGTCGTCTCGGCGGAAGCGAAACCTGTCATTTCCGCATCGCTTAAACGCCAGCCAGAGATACGACATGCCGCGCAACGCGCTGCGACAACAATCCCATCTGTTCGCCGAAACCCCACTCACTGTGTATCAGCCGTGTAGCGAGCGGTGAACAAAATAAACTAGACAGCTGCAGCTATCGTAGGGCTAGAAGCTTGTGTCAGCTCTCCACCATGTCAGCTTCGCTTGCTCGACGCCTCAGACGGCTCTCGCTCGATTGTGGCGTCGAATGAAGCTCAGAGCTAGCGGGAGAGCGACACAGAGATCGCGACGCTAGACTGAGCACATCGGGCAGAGCGAAAGCGCTAAGCTTCGGCTCGTGGTCTTCAGCTGAACACAAGTGGAGGTGCGCATCTGAGAAATGCCCTCTTTGAATATTTGGATCAGAATTTTGACAGAATACGTGGCGCGGTCGAGAGCCTGCGTGCACGTTCGCTATTAAAAATACTATAGTGGTTTTCCTTTCGCCTGGCTCGCGAGAGCGTGCTGCCTCCTAACAAATCGAATGAAAAATAGTTATGGGTATATTGGTCAGAATGCGGTCAGTGAATGCGTTCCAGCCCATTCCAACTCCGTGTCATGTGTAACCACTAGCCCAAAAACGCCATTATGCTATGCTGTTGCCGCACCCAGACATGCTCGCTGACCATGCAATGCAATGCCGTTCGCATGCTCAGTCGTGTTTGATGCCCGCTTCTAGAGGTCAAAATAAGAAAACGCAAGCAATGAAACAGGTAGCCGAGAATAGCCTCGTGTGGAAGCCGTTGAGCTGTCGATAACGATCTCAGCGCCGTGGCGCATGTCGGAAATTTGGCGAGTAATGGGACTTCTGGCGGAAGATGCCGAGCAGTGTCGTGCGGCAATATGATTTACAAGCCTGCAGATCGGGTATACGCCATGAATCGAAAGGCGAGGGAGTTCACCGCCGGAAGATTGCAATCAGACTCTTTCGCTTGCTGACCTTGGGGGCGGGGGCCTCCTCCGGAATAGGCGGCGGAGGAGGGATAGTTATCGTATCCTTGGCACCAGCCTTCTCGTTAAGGTGCTTGGGAGGCTTGTGCTGCACGGATCCTTTGTGGTTGAGCTTGCTGTCAATAGGTTGAAGAGAAGTCGGTTCGGATCCTTTGTCGACGGCTACTCCAGAGTCGAACGGTCCAGGGCTAGGAAGCGGAGGGGTGATAACTGGCCTTCCACCCGGGTTAGCCTTAGAATTGTTACGAGAGAGCTGGATGCTACTCTTGGCTTTGGTAACAGCAGAGCGCCGCGAACTCTTCGTAAGAGCCCTCTTCAGACCGCTGCCATTTTCCTCGGCCTGCTGGCGCTCCAGTCGCTCAATGTCGCCCAGAATGGTCATGCCGTTGGTTGCAATGCATTCCTCCTGGATGGAGATGAATTTGATGATGCCTCGCTCGGATGGAACACCGATGGACTCAGACATGAAGTTCTGGATGAGGGCAGCATTGCGCTTGTTGGTTGTGGGCTGCAATTGGACGGGCAAGGCGGTGATGCTGAGGACATAGGTGGGTTCGAAAGAGCCGCCAAGCAGGAGACACGCAGAGTGGTTGACGGTGATCATGATGGACGACTCGGGTCTCTGGTATCGCGTTGAGAGGTGGTGCGACAGGTCCGTAACTAGAGTATATTCATCCTTAATCTTGGTTCGGTTAGCGAGCCGGTTCAAGCAGGCAGTTGCATTTGCAAGCATACAATAACATTGGTCCGGAGCTCTGCGACGATGGGAGCATCCTTGGTCACGCGCTCGCGGGCAGACGACGTCGTGTCCTCCTTGTAGGCGAACTGCTCCTCGTAGAACTGCGCACGCCGACGCGAGCCGGCGTTGCCTGGTTGGGCCGCGGCATCGCTTAGCTTCTGTGCACCTCGACTTGCAGGCCTGGTATTCCTGAGGTCGTCGAAGAGGACAGCTCGGTCTGAGCCCTGGACAGACTTGGGGGAGGATTCGAAGGAGAAGGTCGATCGTGAGGGCGAGCGCTGTTCCGGAAGGGGCTCGGGAGCTAGCAGAGTGGCACCTGCCTGCCTCGGAAATGCATTCGCCGAGCTCGTCGAGGTGGACGACGGCCGCGACATGGTGTGGGTGGATTCGTTGACCGAGTGCGGCATGCTGTGAAGGAGAAGAAGAAGAATAGACGGTGGATATGGGGATATGTAGGCGGTGAAGGGGGCGGCGTTTGTTTTGTGAGGGGAGCCGTGAATTCCTCGAGGCGGGCCCAGAAGGCACACGATCTTCGTCTCTAGATATGGATAAGGTTGGCGTGTGCAACCCAGCTGGTGCGCGCGGGCGCCAGATCGCCCAGAAGAGTGGTGGCCCAGTAGTCCTTATCAGCGGGTAAGCGGTCGTTCGTGTCAAGCGGCCTATGAAGGGGCGGCGGCGTGCGTGGAGGGCACCGATCGGTGTTGGTGCAGGCGAGAGCGTTCAGCAGACGGTGGCCGGAATGCGGGAGCTGAGGGTGTAAATAAAACGCAGCAGCGGACGCAGCACGCAGCTCTGGGGAATGCGGCACAGGTGGGAGGTGCTGGGTGCTCTGGCGACTTGCGCACGCTCGAGGATATATTGGAGGCCAGTCGTTGGAGAGCTGCCATGGCCCTGCACACCCCCGGCGCTTTGGGAAGTCGCGACCGGGGTTGGGTACACGGTACAGCCGCCACCGCCCAGAGACAGGCAATGGCAATTGCGATGGGTGGCAGCCGGCGCCGCCCTCATCTACGCTGCTTATCTGCGTTGGGCAAGCCCGCGGACGTGTGGCTGCAGTGGCTTGCCGCTTTGGGGGCCCGCCGCCAACCTTTATCTCAACGCCAGCGCCGAACGAGTCGCCGCGTCTCTCTCTACACCTCGCTGCCTATCTCCAGCCGCGTCTGGCTGCGCCGCCTTCTGCACTGTCCAGCCGTCGCGCGGGCATCCATTACGTCTCGACGACGGCTACGCGAGGATGCTGCATGGTCCAGCGGGCGTGGAAAGGAGTCCACGTCCGCTCCGCCTCGCGCTGCAGGCACCCCTTGCCCATGCGCCAATAATTCACCTCTGCAGGAAACCACCGTGTCCGACAGAGTGCGTACTCCGCCAGCCTATCTTCGCAGCGCGCAAGTCGACCCAGTTGTGCGTTTCCCTAGGCAAAGATGCTCCCTTGGGCGAAACGCTAACGCCATCGCGCCCGGTCTCTTTCCCGCCTTACTCCACACGGACACGGCTCTACCGCTGCGTACTCCTTCGTCCTCTGCTTAGCGCCGTATGCACTCCGGGCTCGACCTCCTGTCCACGTACCTGCTTCTTGTGCGCAGTTTGCTCGTATGCTCTGCTTACGGGCGTTCGGAATCTGCCTCCTCTGCCACCTACCGGAAGCAGATCCGCCACTGGGCCACTCTCGCACGAGCACTGCCGTCATCTGCAGCCGTTTCCTGAACTCACCATGTTGCACGTGAACCATAGTTCGGCAGTGGGCCGGCGGGAGGCGACATATTAGGACCGAGCCCCGTGTCCTCTGAAACCAGTGCTCAACTAGTCTGGGTACAACAAGACGCACCTCAGCTACATCGAGCAAAGCGTTGTTCCTGCTTGCGCATTATCTCCCTCAACGGCCATCCCAATCGATGACTGGAGTCAGACCTCCCCTATGCTCCCCAGACGGCGCTTGCCCTGCTGTGGAATTCTAGATGCCGACCAAGGTTCAAGCCGGGACAAGCCCAGGGTAACGACGCGCAAGACGTTTTTTCAATCAAAACTTCGTTTTCTGTGCACCCAAGCTAATCTAGCAACCGCGGCAGTGACACCTCGACAACTCCACGCGTACGACCATCGCCCGAGCCGAAGACGCTTGTCAGACTCCTTTGCGAAGTGAAGTTGTGGGCGGCGCAGTGTCACGACACACAACATCGGCGCCGCAGGCACTTAAATTGCCCTCATAAAAACGACTGGTTATACTTGCACCTTTTTCCCGGTCAGCGCCTCGCCTATATAATTGAAACAGCCCACTCTTGCCAACTACCGGCCCTGGTATCGTTGTCTCGGAATATTTGCACTCAGAGTAGAAGTCGCGCAAAAGCCACCGCCTGCCAGTGGACGCAGTACTACCGTCCTCTATGTCGCGATTGCTGGAAGAACGAAGCGGCCCGCGCCGTCGTAGATTAGACAGAGCGCCACAGTAAAGGAGAAAGCTCGAGTATCCACTCCTCAGTGTGGAGGCCCAACCAGCCGTCAGCTCGGACTTCGTTTTCGATTACACACGCTGCTAGCGGCAGCATATTGTGGGGATGGATTGTCTATGCATCATGTCATGGCAGAATGGTTTGTACCTAATGTAGTGTTACTCTCGGTTAGAAGCTTTTGAAGGCTAGAGAGCTCCCTGTAGGAGCAGGTCTAGACAGGGTCTTCGGCATCGTTAGATGAGGAGAAGCGAGAACACGTTGTTGATCTGAGATCTCATCTCGCATATGCGGAGGCAATATACTGTACGTTTAGGCTGGACCGTCCTCAACGGTCCTACCGTCTCGTAGACGATCGCCTTGAGCGACTGAAAGTTTGACAGCTTTGGAGGTTTCTTCTGCATAGGACCGAACTTGCCTCCTGCTCGATATAGGATATCGTCACTGTATGGGTGCTGAATGACTGTAGAGGACTTGCGATGCAAGCCACTGCCCGTTTGGGTGATGACGTAACCCAAATCATGTGATAACGCGCGTTCCAAGGTTGCCCAAACTGATCAACAGACCCCACAATCCACACCTTCGCACTCACGCAGCCCACAATGCCACCGAAGGCTGCGAATCCGGCACGGCGCAAAGGTCCCGCGTTCAACCCACCAAGGCCGGTCAAGCCAGCAGCGCAACCCTCCACCTCCGCCAAACGCGCTCCAGGAGCACCGGTGTCGCGTCCAACGGGCAGCACGAAGAACGCTGCAACATCACGGAACAACTTCCGACCAGCGGCAACGATATCTTCAGATAAGGAGCAAGAAGATGATGAGCTTGATGAGCTTTCGTTCCCCGACCTGGATGAGATGATGGAAGACGCTCCTGAAGACGACGACAGACCGCAACGCCGCCCTCCGCAGCCGTCGATACAGCCAATATCCGCGCCACTTCTCACGAGGCTACTCCACGAGCACTTCGAGGATGAGCAAACGCAGATACAAAAGGGCGCAATGAACTTGTTCGGCAGCTACATGAGCATATTCGTGCGGGAGGCTATCGCGAGAGCCAAGGACGAACGCGAAAAGGCGGCTAAACGGGGAGGCATATCGGACGGACATCTACAAGTTGAGGACTTGGAAAAGCTCGCGCCGCAATTGGTATTGGACTTCTGAGCGACTGGACACGGTTGACCGGACCCCATGGCACATCTTGGGAGTTCATTTGCGGTGCTTGAATATGTATCGACAACATCGGGGCGATTCCAGACCCAAACGATGTTCGCTGGGCCACGGAAGACGCTGAAGGACGGATATGCCGCGAGTCCGGACATGTTCTATGGTGCATGACGAAAATGCTAGATAGGGTCCAAGGGAGCGGCCATTACCCGTCACCATATCGCACCCTCCATATTTGGCAGCTATGTTACTCAGAGCGTTGGCGGCTGCGAAATATGTGATGGAGATAGCGCAGAGCCTAGAGGCCTAGCGCGACCCTCCTTGACGATCGGGACCTTAGGACAGGACGAAACGCGGTTCACAAGTGGACAATTTCCAAAAGCGATAGATTGTGCGAATGAAACGGTTGAGCGGGCGTGCGAAACGTATCTGTTGAGATTGGAGGTCCTCCATTAGAGCCAGGATACTAGCTGTTTGCAAACGATCTCTCCCGGCGCTGCCTCACAGAGACGCCTCCAATCCCCTTTTCCGCGCAAGGCATGAAGAATTTCCAGGGCACAGAACAATCCAATTTCGCGAATGAGCTTTCCGGGCGCCCCTTGGCGCCGGTCTGGACGTTTCCGTTGCCATGTGACGTGCCAAGTGGCTGATGCATTCTGTAACGCACACGACACAGGGACTGCCTCGCGGACTCAACACCCGGACTCAACCTTGCAACAACGTCGAACTCGCACTCTTTCGTCGCCATCTCACGCCAACCATCTTCAGTGTCTTTCTTCGGGCGCGAAGCGGTTGTCGCAATCTGTCTCTCTATTTTGAGTGTCATATTGGGTATTTTCGATGCGCGTAAGGCGTTCCGGCGAATTTCTCTGCAGCGCTCGCTTCGGGCCTCAGTGCTCGGGGTCTGCAGCAGCCGAACGGTGGCTGAAGCACGAACAGATTCTGACATGTCGCAGACTCGCCTGCCATGTGTCGGAACTATCCTAACCGCCGCGAGTACGTCTGGGCAAAACGCACTAACCATCGTTCCGAGCAGTTCTTCATGCCTTAAGAATGGCCTTTAGCCAGGTGGTCAGGCTCCATTTTCCTCCCCATCTGCTTCTTACACTGTTGCTGTTTCCTTTCGTCTCTCTCTTCAATTTCTTCCTTACGGTCCCTTCACTTCGTAATACCTGGCCAGTCCAGCTCGAGCGCTAGTCGCCTTTACATCGCTCTCTCCGACCGCCATTCAATACTAGTAATTCCCAGTCGCTCTTTGACAGCACCACTTCACACAGCAACAATGTACTTTTCGAGATCATTCATCGCATCCGCCCTGCTCGGGTTTGGAACCGCAACCACGCACATGGGCGAGATGGCTATGGGCATGTCCACGGCAGTAGCGGCGTCAGAGACCGTGATGACCTCGACCGCAATGGCAGCCGCAGCCTCATCGACAGGAATGGCTGCGGAGGGGATGGTTACCACGCACGTAGTTAACGTCGGCGGAGCCAATGGATCGCTCACCTTCTCTCCCGACAACATTCAGGCCAGCGTGGGAGACCTTGTCCAATTCCAGTTCCACCCCAAGGTTCGTATTCACTCCCCTATATCTATTCAGTCGTCTGACAACGTCAACAGAACCACTCTGTCGTCCAGGCGACATTCGATCAGCCTTGCACACCCATCCAGAACGTAATGCCTAACATGACGACCGCGTTCTTCTCCGGCTTCATGCCTAGCAACGCTTCCGTTGGCACCACCGCCAACCTTCTGACCTACACCATCCGCGTCATGGACACGAAGCCCGTTTGGTTCTACTGCTCGCAAGGAATGCATTGTCAGGCTGGTATGGTCGGCGCTATCAACGCGTACGTTCACATTCCTCCCTCGCCTATCCAAGATGGCCATGCTAACAATTCGGCAGTGCTGCCACCGGTAACAAGACCGTTGCCGCCTACAAGGCCCTCGCCGCTGCTGCCTCGGAGAACCTCAGCCCTGGACAAGTCGCTGGACAAGGAAACGCCTCTCCCTCGGGTGGCTCCGGCGCCGCCGCGTCTTCTGCGGCAGGAACCGGTGCTGGAGGTGCTGGCACTGGAGCTACCGCTACCGAGTCTTCTGGCGCCAACCCTGCTCAGCAGACCACCAACGCCGCACCTGGTCTCTACGACGCTTCTCGGCAATCTCTCTTCGGCCTTACCCTGGGTGGTCTGGCTGCTTTCTTGGTGTTGTAGACGACCGTGTGGAATGGAGAGGATTATTTTCAAGAAGGGACCGGGTCCCGGAGTGCGATGTATATCTGTGATACCATTCTGCTGGTGATTGAGCGAGGTCGATTGAGCTAGGGAATTCTTCATGGCGGGACCTTTCGGGCGTTTTCTATTTTTTCCACAAGAAATGTCTAAGATGATGTGGGTTATCATGCCATCATAGAATTAGGCACTAATTACAATCGAAAACTTTGACCCCACTGCTTACTTTCGATGTTCCAGGCCGCAGTTCCCGAGGTCAAATCGTTGTTGCTAGTCCGTTTCGGATGCTGGAAGGTGAATGTAGATGATTGGTGGAGAACTCGCCGCTGGACCCTGAAATAAACTCTTCGCAGGCACCGATTGCGTCACTTCCAACCATGATCGCTCTTGCCATGCGGTCCCTTCGACTAGGCGCTGACGCTGGTCACCCAGCATTCACATCTCAACTTCCATCCTCCACGTCACCTCTGAACACGACGCCCGGCTGTTCTTGGACCCTTTACCGCCCATTTTTTGAACCTATCGATCGGGTATCGGCTGTGCTTCTCTTCTTCCTTCTAATCCTGGAATAACCGCCAAAGCACGCTTCCCTTCAGGCAGCCGATACCATGCATACCTCCAGGCCCTGGGCCCGTGCCCGCCCTGCGTACCCTACCTATGTCTCTCAGATTTGTACCACATTGTTCGCTTTATCATGTCTACCTATCGCCGACGGACTGCACCACATGGCCCAGACAGCTCCGCGCAGGATAGACCGCAGAAAAGAACCCATCACGCCGCTGCTCATCACGAACCAATGTCCTGAGACAATTTACCCCGGAATCTCAACCCAGTCGGGGGACGGACCGAAAGAGAATGGCTTCAAGCTGGATCCTGGCGAGTCATCGAATCAGACCGTGTCGGAAGACTGGCAAGGCCGTGTTTGGGGAAGGACGAATTGCTCTTTCAATGAGCAGGGGACCGGTCCGAAGGATGGCGGGGCGAAAGCATGTCGTTCCGGCGACTGCAATGGGATAGTGAATTGCGTGGTTGGTGTAGGTTGAGATTATCTCTCGTGCTGTATGCGCGCCTGTCAGGAGTTAACTGACCGCCTCTAGGGTGATGTGCCGGTTTCGCTTGCAGAATTTACACTCGATGCCGGCGATGGACACACCTACTACGACATCTCCTTGGTGGACGGCTACAACATCCCCATGGCGATAGTGCTGCAACCGCTCCAGAACGTTACTCTAGACGATATCCCTCCGAACCTAACCAATCCCTCGTGCGAAGGCACAGTCGGCCTCTTGGCGGCTCAGCAATATGATCCTTACTCCAGCGGATATCCCCACTTCCTTCGGACAAACAGCTCATACCCTCTCCCCTTCGAAAGGGAGGTTACTGACGATAAGGTCGCCAGATGGTGTCCCTGGGATCTCCAGCAGGAGCCCCCAGACAAGCCGGGCGATGGCGTGTATCCGTATCCTGACGACGATATCCAAAGACCTATATTCAATCCTTGCTATTCCGCCTGCGCAAAGAACAACAGGCCAGAGGATTGCTGCACAGGGAAATACAATTCACCCAGCGCATGCTCACCTAGTGAGTACTCGAAGTCTGTGAAGCGAGTATGTCCGGACGCTTACAGCTTCGGTGAGTTTCATCACTTGTTCTAGGCCCTAGGCATTGAAGCTGACATGGGCGTATAGCCTTCGATGACCAGACATCTACCTTCATCATCCCATCCGGAGCTGGTTTTGAAGTCGTCTTCTGCCCCGGAGCACGCTCAACCAACATTTTGGCCACGGAGTCGGACAAAATGTTGCAACTCGCCCAACAAGGCCATGTTAGCAAGGACAGCAACGGCCAGTCTACCATGATGAAAAAGGTCAGGAACAACGTGTTCCGGAGGAGTGGTGCTATGCGGAACATCCGATTGGACAGTACCGTCCTCATGGTAACTTTCGTTATGGCTGCAGGTGTTTTAGCATACGCGGCGATCTGCTGAGGGCATTACAGCCGCATCGGACATTTGTGCTGAAGAGGAAGTAACTCAGTTCGGATAGAGGTGTTGGACGCACAGTTGAGTAGTTTTAGATACCCCTTCTGTTCATTTCGGTGTATCTTCATTTATACTCTTCTATGCGTGTAACACTGCATTTTATGCCATGCGTCTGCCCTCGTCACTTGCAGAGAGGCGAGGTAAATCGCTGTCTACATAGGTATGCAGCAAGCAGTCTAGACGGCAGTAGACTAGACTAAGTTTCACCCTCAATTTGGGGGTGCATGCCCTGCATGGCTCCGTAGAGTAGCTCCAACACTCCGTCATCCATGCCACGGAGGAAGTATCTCCGGGCAGATCTCACGTACCAAGCAGCTGGGTGACGTGAGCCGCGCCCCCCAACACGAGGCGTTCGCAGCGGGACCAAACTTTTCGAAATGACACCCTCCCACCCTGTTGTCTAAGACACGCAGTTTGATATTACCGCGCACTGCCGCTTGCCGTGCGAAACAAGACGTGAAAGGTACGCCATCCGCTTTCGACGACCACACACGGGCCCACGGCCCATGGAATGGGGAGCGGGAAGAGTGCAGCGCGCGTGCGTGCGCGTGCATTATGCACCTCTCTTACAACCTCAATCTCGACGCCGATGTATACCTCTGAGACACCCCTCTGACCTGGACGAATGGAATCGGCCAGCGATGGCGTAAAAGAGCGGTGAGAAGGGAGTCCGCGTCGTGTGATCGTGTGAAGCCTGCTCTTATTGCTTTCAAAGCATATATTTGCTGGCGTTGGCTTCCCGCAGGATCTTGGAGGGCGTTACACGGATTTCCTGTTTGGGCCCGGATATCCCGCGTGGGGGTCGCAAGATCCTGCTCGAGGTTGGGGAGCAATATGTTTGTGCAACGGGCGGGGCCAATGTTAGGGAACGATCTTCTGGAACTGGAGGAGGGCGGAATGCCATTGGTGCTGGTGCTGAGGGTTGAGGTTGCGGCGTGTGATGTCTCGTGCGTGTGTGGCTGCCCAGGTGCATTCTGATCCTCGGCGGCCTGCGCCGGCGGAGCAAACCCTTCTTCCACGCCTCAATACCAAATCACCCATCGCATATCGTGCCACCGGCTTTCTTCAGTGGCCCCAACAGCCGCCATCCATCACGGAGAAAGCTGCCCCGTCCTCATCACGGTATTTCCGCGTCTCGCTCACGGCTGCCGCGGCGCGTGCGCTCGCGACTGCGGCTGGGCTGGTCCTAATTTTCCGACGCCTCCGCAGCTACGCCTGCTCACTAACCGTCTTGGAAACGGACCTGGGTCGCGCGTCACCGTTTTCGTAGCTCGAGCTCTGCAGCTCATGGTGCTACAAACTATCTGGATGGAGCAACGGCGGCCTCAATCGCTCCGGCCAAGTTGACGGCTTTGTGCCGCGTCGGATATCGCATGCTAATTACTGCGCTATATGTAGAAGGACGGTCTGCGCGGGCCAGAGGTTCAAAAGTACACACTACGCTCCCCGGCCCCATTGATTTTGACCGAGAGCTATTGTACTTTCTCTGCTGTGGGCTCCTGCTTCTCCTGCCGAGCCTTCCCATAGGCCATCGTCACCATGGCTCAGGCTATGGCTGTGCACCGCTTGACGGACGGATGGAGCTTCAGACAGACTGACGATACTGCCGGAGACGCCTGGCTGCCCGTGAAACGCGTCCCCACCAACGTTCATCTGGATCTAATCGACAATGGAAAGTACGTCATCACGTGGGGGTGATTTGGAAATGTGCCTCAAGGCATGACTGACCGCCGTCCGCGCATAGAATTCCGGACCCCTTTCTTGGATTCAATGAACTGGAGGCTGAGTGGGTGGCAGACAAGACCTGGACGTACAAAGTTACCCTTCCGGAAGTTGTCCCTCCCCAAGATGGCACCGTCACCGTCTTGGCTTTCGATGGCCTGGATACCTTCGCGACCGTCAAGCTCAATGGCAAGGTCATTCTCCAAAGCGTCAACATGTTCGTACCCCATCGCGTCGACGTTACGAAGTACTTGAAGACTGGGTCGGATAATGTATTGGAAATCGACTTCGCCTCTGCGCGACTAGAAGCGATCAAGATCCGAGAGGCGCATCCGGAGCATACGTGGGTAGGGTTCAATGGCGATATGTCTCGTCTCGCCGTTCGGAAGGCACAATACCACTGGTGAGCCGGTTAGCCTTCGCCTCTTGTCTCTATTGACAGTCAATAGGGGTTGGGACTGGGGACCAATCCTCAACACCTGCGGTCCATGGCGCTCTGTCCGGCTGGAAACGTATCAAGCGAGGATATCCGACCTCCGAATCGACTATAAGCTCCATGATAGCTTGAAGTCTGTCCGCGGCAGCATCACGGCGAAGGTGGAGGGGTCGTCAGGCAAGCGCGTGTCCTTCCAAGTGCGGGGCGAGAAAGAGGTGGTATTTGAGCGATCTGCCGATGTCAGCGAAGGTTTGGCCAAGGTCGACTTTCATATAGACAATGCGCAGCTATGGTACCCGCATGGTTATGGTGCCCAACCTCTTTACTCAACGACTGCAACCATATCAGCAGAGGGCGTCGACCTGCATCAAGCCACCCGCCGCACCGGATTCCGCAAAGGCGAGCTAGTTCAAGAACCTGATGCGATAGGCAAGACCTTCTTCTTTCGCATCAATGGTGTGGACGTCTTCTGCGGGGGCTCGGATTGGATTCCCGCCGACTCTTTTACCCCGAGGGTGTCTGCCGAGAAGTATCGCAAGTGGCTGGAGATGATGGTCGATGGCTACCAGGTCATGATACGGTACGCAGCCCACGTTGTGCCTTGCGTCGCTGGAGGCATTCGCGCCGCAATCCCGCTAACGAGCACCAGGATTTGGGGAGGCGGCATTTGGGAGGAAGATGTGTTCTACGACCTGTGTGATGAGCTAGGCATCATGGTGTGGCAGGACTTCATGTTTGGCTGCGGCAACTACCCTGCCTTCCCCTCCATCCTCCAATCAATCCACGACGAATGCGTAGCCAACGTGGGCCGGCTGCGGCACCACCCTTCGATCGTGATCTACGCGGGCAACAATGAAGACTACCAAGTGCAAGAACAATTCGGGTTGACATACAATTACGAGGACAAAGACGCGGAAAATTGGCTCCAGACCGATTTTCCTGCGAGGTACATTTATGAAAAGGTAAGCGGTTATGCTGCACCGCCCTCAGCCAGCCAGCTAACGGACTGGGCTCAGCTCCTGCCCGAAGTCGTCGCCGTAGAGAGCCCGCATGTGCCGTACCATCCCGGAAGCCCTTGGGGCGATGGTCTGAAGACGTCGAATACGAAGGTTGGTGATATGCACCAATGGAATGGTGAGAAAGCCGTTTTATCTGGAATTTGGTAGCGATCATCAAAGCTAATCATCATTATCTGCAAGTATGGCACGGTACACAGGAGAAATATCAAATTTTCGACACGCTTGGCGGCCGCTTCAACAGCGAGTTCGGTATGGAGGCTTTCCCCCATATCGACACTATCAAATACTATTGCACGGATCCATCGCAGCTATACCCGCAGTCGCATATGCTAGACTTCCATAACAAAGCGGACGGCCATGAGCGGCGGATTGCGACGTACTTGGTGGAGAATTTCAGAACCCAGACTGATCTAGAGGTAGGTGTTGATATTCGCGTACATGTTAATAATAATATGCGTATTAAGACTAAGGGCAACGCAGGCATTTATCCACCTGACGCAACTCTCCCAAGCCGAGGCGTTAATGTTCGGATACCGTGGATGGCGACGGCAGTGGGGCCAGCAGCGGTTGTGCGGAGGCGCATTGGTCTGGCAGCTGAACGACTGCTGGCCCGTCACATCGTGGTCGATTGTGGATTACTTCCTACGCAAGAAGCCTGCATACTACGCGATGAGACGGGTCTTGGCGCCGGTTGCCGTCGCCGTCAAGCGGGCCCACTTCGACTGGAGCGTGGTTCATGCCCGTGTGCCGAAGACGAGTGATTACGAGGTGTGGGTTGCCAGCAATCAGCCAGCGGAAGTAACGGCGACCGTTGAGCTACGATTCATATCTGTTTCGACCGGGAAGGAAATTAAGGAAAAGGTGGTCAAGAAGGACATCAAGATTGCGGCGAACGGCACGACGGATGTGGTGTCGGGCACAATCGACAACGTTCAGGAAGAGCCCCACGTTTTGGCGGCCCGGATATGGGTCGACGGCGAGATTGTTTCCCGCGACATCGACTGGCCGCAGCCGCTCAAGTACCTCAACTTCGAAGACCGGGGCGTGGAAGTCACTCCCCACAGCGACACGATACACGTCAAGGCTAGCAAGCCGACCAAAGGGCTGGTGTTTGAGGAGAGGGCCGGCGTGCTCGTCAACGACAGCGCCCTTGATGTCGTGCCGGGCGACGAGCAGATAGTCAAAGTGAGGGGGCTTGCTGCGGGCGATGCGCCGCTCAGGTGGACGTATCTGGGCAGGACTTGATGCGGAGACTCACATGCAGTGCCGCACCGCTGCCTGGGGATGACGACGACGCAGGAGACTGTCGGTGGAGACGCTGCATGCTGGCTGACGGACTTGCGAGGAGCGACGGGCGCGGTACATGCGACGGTCGAAAAGTGCAGCAGAGAGCGGCGGCTGGGCGCTGCACAGACTGGAGGGCGGCTGCAGCGACGGTGATGTGACGCTGGGAGCGCGGTGGGCGTGGACTCGAGGGCTGGCGGATTGCGTTATAAGACAGGGTCATGGGTGAAGTCGGGCAGTTCTGCCAGAGGATATTGGATTGGGGGGGGCTATATGTGAGGCGACTATAGGTGGTCAATAAGGTGCCTGGCATGATATTGAAAGGGCCGAGATGGCGCTGTCTGGGAGCGCCGGGCGCCAGCCAATGTGCGGGCGCGCCTGAAGGACTGCAAATTAATCGATGGCCGTCTGGCATGCTGATAGAGGGCGGGCGGGGCGTGCGTGTGGTGGATCTGTGGCGGGCCTGTGACGCTGCAGAGTGATGGCGCATGCGGCATGCCTTGCGCAGAACCCGGGCGCCGGAAGGCGTGGCAGAGGCTGTCGGCAAACGGGAGAGCTGCCCGCTCTGACTCGCCCGCGGCCACAGATCGCAGCTTAACACAACGGCAGTATTCGCTATGGCAGGAGCGCGCGCCATGCCATGAATATGGGGAAGGGACGATCCGCGTCGTGAAACGGGCCTGCAGTAGTCGCCGGCCGCCAGCCTCGGCCAGTGAGCGGCGCCGGCGGCCTTCTGCAGCCTTCTCGAACGCGACCAGCGCTCAATCTCAATCTCGCTTGCCCAGGCCATCGCCGCCGCCGCCGCTGCTGCTGCTTGCTGGTGTGCTTTGCGCCCATCCGTCCCAGCGGTCCCCTCCAAGAGCCTATCATCCGGGAGGCCAATAATGCGGGGGCTCGTCCGCGAGTACTTTAGCATCGCGCTGCTGGAGACCGGCGGCTGGGGTCCTCTTCACGACCGACAGTGCGTACATACAGGACACTGGCATGCCCACCGTCGACCGGGCAGCGTGCCAATCTGCAGCCTGAACAGACTGGAAGAAGCGTGCCTGCGTCTCGCGCCGCTGCTGCTGCTCGCCGCCGCCGCCTGCTATATCACCCTGCGCGTCCACTTGAGCGTCCTCGTTTTTCTGCTGCGTCGTTCCTTCTCTTTCGCATCGTCTGGTTGTGGGCTCTTGCCGCAACAACGTCACCTCCTCGTCGTTCTTTCCCGGTACCGCGCCAGCGTTCATGCCTGCCGACGCACCTTGTCCGTGAGCGCTGCGGGCCCCCCAAACCGTCTCCCTCTCATCGGTGTCGTTGCTCTACAGTCCGGCGGGGACACGTGAGCCAGCATGTTCCACACCTTCCAGTCGTCGGCGGGCCTGCGGTCGCCCGGCGCCGAGGGCGATGGTACCGCCGGCAAGCCCACGCGCGCAGCAGGCTCGCGCCGCATATCCACGAGCAACGCCTGCGTCGAGTGCAGGCGCCGGAAGATCCGCTGTGACGGCATGCAGCCGTGCGGCCAGTGCCAGTGGTACCAGCATCCCGAGGCCTGCGGCTACTCGAAGCCGGCGCAGAGGGTCGTCCCGAGCAGGAAGTAAGCCGTCTGCACCATGCTGAAGACGACGCGTGCTGAAAGCGAGACAGGCTGGTCGACAAGCTGTCGACCAACATCGAGCAGTACCGGACCGTGCTGGCGAAGCTGTACCCGGCCAAGGAGCTCGATACTCTGGTCTCGTTACCGCGAGAGGAACTCCTAGAGCTGGCACTCTCCTCCCCGGGCCCCGCCCAAACAACGTCTCCGTCAACGGGGGAACCGCAGGCCATCTCAGAAATCAGCCATGGCTCGGATGGCGCTCAGAGCCTCGAGGCCCTGGAGCAGGCTCCTCCAGAAGACCCCTTCTGGGACGAGACTCGCAAGCACCAGGTTCGGGTGCAGGGCATCTCAGACGATGTCAACGGCCTTTCCATGTCCCTCGACCGCATGTCCTCCTACGTTGGCATCTCCTCCATCACGGCAGCACTGAAGGTCATTGTGAGATGTGCGCCTCAAGCGAAGCCGCTCATCGCCCACAACAGCTCCGAAACAGTACTCCCCAGTCGAGCAGGATCTCCGCCACCCGAGCTCGCCGACGATAGACCGGATGCGCTACCACCGCAGGCCCAAGGTCGAGAACTCATCGAGAGCTATTTTGATTGCGTGCATCCCTTCTTTCCCCTGATTGAGGAGCACAAATTCTGGTCGACCTACCTGTACGGCGATCGGAAGGATTCGCCCTGGCTGGCGCTGCTGAACATGGTTTTTGCTTTAGGATCTCTCGCATCGTCAACAGCAGACAATGAGGTACACTACGTCTACTTCAACCGCTCACGGCAACACCTGACGTTGGAGTCGTTCGGCAGCGGCAATCTTGAGGTGCTGCAGGCTCTAGCCATCATGAGTGGGTACTACATGCACTATCTGAACCGGCCGAATGAAGCGCATTCGCTTATGGGCGGTACGCTTCGGATGGCTACTGCTTTGGGCTTGCACCGAGAGTACTCGGAAGCGTCGAAGAGTGATGTAAACAGGCATCTCAACATCATGGCGCCTGGCGAGGAAGACTCCATATCCCCTGAGATGCGGAGACGGATATGGTGGAGCTTGTTCTGCCTCGATGCTTGGGCTTCGACTACGACAGGCAGGCCTTCTCTAGGGCGAATGGGTCCTTCGATTACTGTCCTTCGACCTGGGACCACGAAGTCGGTGCGTTGGTGCTTTTATTGATATTATAGCTGCCACTGACAGAATCTCAGGCCAGTATGATCCCGCAACCTAACAGCCCACAGTATCTCGAGCAGCTCAAAATCCTGCCTCTGATCCACGCATCGGAATTCTGCCAGCTCGCTACAAAGATCCAGGACCGCCTTGTCGAGTCACCGCTTCTCCCGCCCTCCGAAACAGCGGCATATGATGCAGAAATCATCAAGTGGCACGATGAACTGCCTGCCATACTCTCCAACATGAACGAACCCTGCCCTGACTTCCTCCGCCGCGTGCGCTTCGTAATGAAGTGGCGCTTCCAGAACATCCGCATCGTGCTGCATAGGCCCGTCCTCCTCGTTGCAGCACTGCGGCGTTGTCCGTTTACCGGCTTGAGCGCAGAAGAGAAGGTTGCTATTGGCAAATGTCGTATCGTGGCCGCCAAGACGATCGAAGATATCTCGAATGAATGTCTACCAGACTTGATCTCTGGCTGGAACGCTGTCTGGTTCGCATTCCAAGCCTGCATGGTCCCGCTCGTGTCTCTCTTCAGCGACGCCAGCATGCCTGAAGAAACAGAGAAATGGTGCGCTAGCATCGAGACTGCACTCACCTTCTTCGAACGGAGCAAGCCTTGGAGCATTGCAGCGAAGCGCAGCAAGGACGCGATATCGAAGCTCTACCAAGCATACAAGATCCAGGCCTCGAGTCCGGGCCAGCTTGAACAGCCTCGACAACAACCCCAACTTCAGCAGCAATCACCCACACCACAGTTCGCGAACAACATGCGAGGCATGGAGGGCGCCTACGACTACAACGCGGTCCCAGACGTTGGTAACCTGTCCATGAATCCCGGTGTAGTTGGCGCATGGGGCAACGATCCGAATGCAATGACCAACTTGAGCGGTTTCTGGGACGACATGATGTGGGATACGAATTTGCCGGATATGTTGGAGACACCTTTCGGGCTGGCGACGGACTACGACTTCCAAGGCGCCGCGCAGGACTCTGGCGCACCATGCTGGATGCAAGGCAATTGAATGACTCCGATATCGCGCTATTGATACGAGGATCAGTTGTTTGGAGATCTGACCTGAAGTATATCTTTCATTGGTACTATGAATCTTCGGCGGAAAGGAAAGGGTACCGCCAAGGTGGATTGCGATGAACGCCTGCCTGATTCGGCGACACACAAAAAAGTGGAGGATTGGCATGCATTGCATTTGGCCGGCTTTTCTTTGCTGCATCTCTGAGATTTTCCGTTTGGGATGTGGAGGGCGTATTTTGGTGGATTCAGCATGTTTGTTGCATTGCGTGTTCCTTTCTTGTCATTCGCTCGCATTTGCATTATTCGGCATCAGTCACTCGCTGTCATGGAAGCATCGATATCCGGGAGCGGGGCTTGCATTGGAGAGGAGGGGGAGCCGGTTCTACGCACTGCACACATCTGGGATGCTTGCATGTAGGGGCCTTCTTTTTTTCATTTGGAGTCGTCACGCTTCGTTTGGATGTAACAGTACGCTCATGGTTCGTTCGCTTATAGAAGGAAAAGGTTTTGGTTTCATGACTCCTAGGCGTTGTTATAGGCAAGGATGGGACGCCCCATCCCCTAGATACCTTCTCATGATTCATGAGCCACGAGGACAATGTCGTCGCGAAGGGGGCGTAGATAGAAATGACAAGGCTTCGTAGGTACTTGGACAGTGCTTATTCGTCTAGTCCGCGTCTTACGCACCCTATATGTGATGACGCATATACCGGATCGGCTCCGGAAAATAATGATTAAATCCTTCCCCTGCTCGGCCGCTTGCATGCCTGCATCCATCCTTCCCCAACGCAGCGCCCTTTTTAACCGCTTGCCAGCGCATCGATTGGATTGGATTCGCATTAACAACCTCTCTTAATCCTCCTCGCTCGACATGCCCGCGGAAAGTTAAAAGGCTAAAGGGTCATGCATTCGTCGGCTTTCCTTGAATTCTGCCACTACTGCACCTTCTACTTTCTGATGGGGGAAGATCTTAACAGAGAAGGATTAATGGTGGACGCCAAGCGCGCACTTGAGACAGCGAACGGTGAAGGAGGTACGTCGGCTAGACTGAGTGTGGAGGGAAGCTGCACACCGGATTGGAGAAGACTCGTCTTTGCTATCACGTTCTAAACAATATCTAAACTTTAAAATCCACGGCATGTGGAGCGTGGAAACCGGTCGACCATCGGCCGGGTTAAGGGTAGGTACTTGCCACCATGTACCCTATAATGCCGTCATGTTAATATATGTACCGGGGAGAGAGTATCCTTGCCGTTGGCTGTAACGGACGGGGCAAGGTTTGGGAAGGGAGGCTTTATGGTTGAAGGGCTTCGCTTGGGCTTCTAGAAAGGTGACACAAGGACAGACGGGACGGGACTAGGGCCCGTGGATGTCGTGCTGTTAACGTAACACAAGATACGTGCTGGACCGTGGTTAAGCCATGGATTATTGGGAAGAGGTGGGGTTGAGCAGCGCACGAACAGTCGCGATGAATGCTATCGATAACGTCAACCCCCTTTCTCTGGACTTAGCGTGGAAGTCACGCGTCGTCCCCTTTACGTGAGGAAAGCGAATTTCGGAAGACGGGGAAACAGCATCTCCATGGCGAGCTAGTGGCGAGAATGTGGTGAGATTTGAGCGAGATCGCACGGGATAGGCAGGGCGCTTGGCGAGGCCAGGAAGATTGAACATCGTTGCTCGTTGTCTCCTGACACTCTCCCTTCGTCTTCCCTTCGCCTCTCTCCTCGTTCCTTTCCTCTCGTCGCGTGTTTTCGCGTGTCTCTACTTGCCGTCAGATTGTTGTGTGCGGCTTCGGTCCATCCGCGTCTTCCGCCGCCTGTTTCGAGCAAGTTTTCGGTGCTGCAGGTACTCTATCTGCGTTTTCTTTCCGCGGCCTCCAACAACCAAGCTCTGCGTCGGATATATTACTAGACCCTCTCTACCAGACTACCTCTAGCGACCTACACGGGAGAAAGAATTGCCTCCACCGGAACCCTCAGCCGTCTATCCAGCGCCGCCGCCCAACATGCCTGCCCGCACGCTCCCGACCATCCCGACCGCCGATGTCCGCGCGCACAACACCGAGCAATCATGCTATGTCACGATCGGCACCAAAGTCTACGACGTGACGTCGTTCCTGTCGGACCACCCTGGTGGCGGCGACCTGATACTCGAGCATGGCGGGAAAGACGTGGGTGCGATCATGCAGGATGAGGTGTCGCATTTGCACAGCGAAGCGGCGTACGAGATCCTGGATGAGAGCTTGATTGGCTTCTGTCCGAGCGAGGAGATTCTGAACGGCGCGGCGAAGAGTGGGAAGCCGGCGGAGATTGTGCCGCTGCCGCCGAGTGAGGAGGGGAGGAAGGAGCTTAATGACATGGCTATGAATGGAGGGCAGAAACCGCTGTACGAAGCGACGGGAATGTCGTCGGAGGATGATCTCTCAAAGGAAACGGACGTCACGACAGACTACCAGACACACAAGTTCCTCGACCTCTCGCGGCCCTTGTTCATGCAGGTCTGGAATGGCGGGTTCCAGAAGGACTTCTACCTCGAGCAGGTGCATCGGCCAAGGCATTATAGGGGCGGAGACTCGGCGCCGCTGTTTGGCAATTTCCTCGAGCCGTTGAGCAAGACACCGTGGTGGGTTGTGCCTACGCTGTGGCTGCCGCCTGTGGCGTATGGGACGCTGTTGAGCGTGAGGAGTCTGGGCGTGGTGCAGGCTACAGCGTATTGGTGGACGGGAGTCGCTATTTGGACGCTGGTGGAGTACGTGCTGCATAGGTGTTTGTTTCATTTGGACTAGTAAGTTATCTCTGTGGCATTGGAGAGTAATGGATGCTAACGGGATACTAGCTACCTTCCCGACAACCGCGTAGGCATCACGGCGCACTTCCTCCTCCACGGCATCCACCACTACCTACCCATGGACAAATACCGGCTCGTCATGCCGCCGACCCTCTTCCTCGTGCTCGCGACGCCCTTCTGGAAGCTTGCGCACACAATCTTCTTCTACAACTGGTACGCGGCCGTCACCGTCTACTGCGGCGGTATCTTCGGATACATCTGCTATGACATGACGCACTACTTCTTACATCACCGCAATCTGCCCGCGTGGTATCGAGAGCTAAAGAAGTATCACCTCAAGCACCACTTTGCGGATTACCAGAATGGGTTTGGGGTTACGAGTCGGTTCTGGGATTGGGTGTTTGGGACGGAGCTGGAGATGAGTGCGCCGAAGGTTATTAAGACCAATTGAGAAGGTGTGGACTCCTGCAGTGTCTATAGTTGATGATGCGGCACGTACACAGGTATTTAGGAGGCGTTGCAGATGGCTTTGTACGAGTACTCGGGCGGTGTTTGGGAAATTGGTGGGTGCGTTGGAAAGCTCCTCTACGATACCACCTATATTAATGTAATGCGCCTTCTTACTCTCAATACCCCCAGACTGTTAGGGATGGGAAAGGCTTCTCTACGAGACTATGGATTTGTCAAGGTGATAGCTGCAGACTGACAGCATCCTCACTTCCGCCGAAGTGTTCTGGTGGCTACCTGCCCTCGGTTCCAAACTATCATACCGTTTTGCGCATACTCGCAAATGGTAGGTCCGTTTGCCCTTCCTTCTAGAAGTCCCCAACTGAGTTCATCCACGGGCCCTCTTCTGGGCGAGGTCACGTATGTTTCACGTGATTGCCAAGCTAGTGCACGGACCCTCGGCTAGCCGAGCCTTTTCAAAAGCTCGCGCCTGCCTCCTCTGCTCCGCTTCACCTCACCACAACACCCACATCAACAGAGTCGCACTCAAACTCCCAATTTCGTGAGCGCATACGCCTCAGGACAGTCAATCCGTCGCGCCGCGTTGCCTACCTAGGTACGCCGTGACCGCTGTCGCGTCTGCTCGCCGATCGATAAAGTCCTACTTGAGAGTCGCTCTTCGCCATCGCCAGCACTCACCTGCTACCTGACACCCCGCAGTGCGCCGATTCCCACACAACTTATCTGCAACTAGTATCTGCTACCACCATGACCATGGAGACCGCCCAGAAGGTCGAGAACTTCCTCGACGAGGTGGCCATGTCGATGGCGCAGGAGGACAAGGCTCGCAAGCGCGTGTCTTCTGGCTCCGACGACGCCCGCAATTCTGACCGCCGCGACGACCGCGACCGAGATCGCTCGGGCCGCTACGACCGAGACCGGCGTGACCGTGACCGTGAGCGCGAGCGCCGCCCCCAACATCGAGACCGAGAGCGTGATCGACATCGTGAGTCTAATGGTGAACGGCCTAGCAGCCGAGATAGAGATAGTCGGCGAAGAGACGGAAGCCGGCCTCGCTCAAGGAAGGATGCTGACACGGATGATGATGAAGATAGGTACCGCCGTAGCAACTCGCGAGACCGCTATCGGGTCCGTAGGGACCGCGACCGAGGCGGTGATTACTACATGGGCAGTGCGCGGACTCGATCCCGCTCCCCGCGCCGTGATCGCGACGACCGTCGTGATGACCGCCGTCGAGACCGCTCCGGCGATCGCCGCCGAGACCGCGGCTATGTGGATCGCCGAGGAGGACCTGCTCGTCGCACCCGCACTCCTACCCCGCAAGCTACCGAGGATGACCGCGACAAGCGCACCATCTTCGTGCAGCAGATCTCCCAGCGTGCCGAGCAGCGTCACCTTCGATCCTTCTTCGAGGCGGTTGGACCTGTCGTTGAGGCGCAGATTGTCACAGATAGGGTCACTGGTCGATCCAAAGGGTAAGTATCCCATCCCACGCCGTGTGCTACCGTTAACGCTGTCTAGTGTCGGCTACGTCGAGTTCAAAGAGGAGGAATCCGTCGCTAAGGCTCTAGAGCTGACTGGCCAGAGGCTCAAAGGAGTACCGATCATCGCCCAGCTTGCCGAGGCCGAGAAGAATCGCGCTTCCCGCGCTGTTGGCGAAGGCCCTGTACCGGGCACTAACAACCCTGGCGCTCCCTTCCATCGCCTCTACGTTGGGAACATTCATTTCAGCGTTACCGAGGATGATCTTAAACAGATCTTCGAGCCATTCGGTGAGCTCGAGCAAGTCACCCTGCAACGTGACCAAGAGAACCCGGCTCGTTCCAAGGGTTATGGATTCGTACAGTAAGTGTCGATGTGTCGCTCTATGACGAATGCTAACATCACGATAGGTTCGTCGACCCTAATGACGCAAAGAAGGCTCTCACCGACATGAATGGGTTTGAGCTTGCTGGTCGCCAGATCCGCGTTGGCCTCGGTAACGACAAGTTCACAAATGAGTCGACCGCCCACCTCCTCCGCAATTTTCCACAGCAGGCGGCAACCTACCAAGGATCGGCCTTTAGCGGAGCCGGTGGTCGAGGTGCCTATGCTGGTGGTTCAGGCGGCGTCTTCGACCGTGCCCACGGTAGAGATGATCGCGGTATCAGTGGCGCCTCTGCTCTCGATGATACTGACATGGCCGGTGTGAACTTCAAGCAGGTTGACCGCAACAAGCTTATGATGAATCTTGCACGCAACGAGATTGACGTGCCGACGAAGAAGGATGCTCAGCCTGTTGCCAAGGCCCGGGCTCCTGTTGTTGACAAGCCCATGGCTTCGAAGTGCATCAAGATCGAGAACGCCTTCGATTCCGAGGAGTGAGTAGGTTTTCCTTGTCGCTCCATTTGTGCTAACAATAGATAGGGAGCACAAGGTCTACGGTGAAAAGTGGATTAAGGGTCTTGAGGAGGAGATCAAGGCGGAGTGCAACAAGAAATACGGCAAGGTCGTCCACATCTCTGTTGACGCAAACAGTGAAGGCGAGATCTACGTCAAGTTCGACTCGGTTTCCGGCGGCGAGAAGGCTCTTCAGGGTCTCAACGGTCGCATCTTCAACCTCCGCATGCTCCGCGCCTCCTATGTTGTCGACAAGATCTACAACTCGCTCTTCGGTGCTGCCGCGAGCAAGTTTTGAGGCACTGGGCCGAACCCGCACGGTACGTATGTTTTTCTATTTGCATGCGCTGCCATGTCTGCGAGCTGTCAACTGCCGGAGGTGTTTTCTTTCTTCATGGGAGGTTTCATTGGTAGTGGATGGAATGCGGACGGTCGGGAGTTCGGTTATGGTGTCTGGTGTTTGTGGTGGAATGCATGACTAGTTCGCTGGTCTTTCCTGAGGATGGATATCGGTCGGCTAAGGAGAGGTGGTTCTCTGGGGCTGGTTTGGTGGTCTGTTTTCGGATTTCATTCTCGACCATGATGGAGGAGGACGTGATGGATTCAGGGAGCCGTCTCCGGCTTGATGGGGTAAAAGTGTTTTCTTGGTCGCTGGTATGTTCTGCGGGGCCTTTCTGGTCAGATCTTACATTCTCAGTAGGATATCGCGGACAGCCTGTCTCCAGCGGCTACGGTACCGATGAGCGAGGCCGGGGATGTTGGGGGTGCTAATAGTCTTAGGACTTGTAGATGGTTTGACCATCGGCTTTCCTGTATATCGTCCTGGCCCGCACAATATCACGGCCAATACTTACAAGCATGGGTTTGTATATGAGTGAGGTTTCGTGTTAGGCGTGGTGGGTCCCTTTCCACTGCCGGCTGCTTCCCTGACGCGGTGACAGGTTCTGTCCGTTCATTCGATGGCTCGCAACGCAAGAAAACAGCAAACCCCTTCTCCCATCTTACCCTACCTAGCTGACTTGAGTGCAGCATTCGTTTTTGCGCATGCTGTGACTGACATCTAGGCCCCATTCCGAAGACATTAGCACGAGAGACCCAGTCGGCGCCCAAGCATCGCTTGTTCCGTACATTCTACACTGCCTTTAATCCGTTGCTGCCATCTTAGCATACCCTCATCTCATTTAGCTTACGGTACGAGCGGCCTACTGTTCTTGCCACGCCGCCCTCTTGCGCAGAGTCTTGCCCCACGGAACTCCTCGATAACGGGTTCGACAATCAACGCAAGATCTTCTCGGACCCCTCAACGTTCACTCCAGCGGGCTTAGGGATAGATTATATGGATAATGGGGTGATAGGAGACTCAGCAATGGGCGCCCATGTTTCAGAGCTCATTCTCCCGTAATGTAAGGTAACCAACAACAGTGCGCAAACTTACTAGACACACAGATCGTTTCGCTCGTTCCTCCTGAACTTTCAACGATATGACCGTGCCGCACACGACCCCTTCGTTCGGGGTCACCTTCCCTTACGTGCCCGTCAGTCGCCGCTTCGAGCGGACGATGCTTTAGCGCCCTAGCCGGCCTTGAAGGATCGCAGTCCGACAGTTACTTCCCCCGCGTGAGAACTGCGTGCGCCAGTTTTAGCGGAGGTATACATCTAGTGCGCCATGGCATGCTTGAAGATTGAGCGCCGAGCAGCAAACGTGTAGCCGTAATTTGAAACTGCGGATGGACATTGAGAGGACATTGCTGATTGATCTGGCATTTCGGTCCAAAGGCACTTTCCTACACGTGGCCTAGGGCCAGGAGAAGCGGCGCCTGGTGGCGCGTAGCGCATAGCTTCTCTAGGGGTGGGTATCGCTCTTTTATATGCTTCCTTTCCCGGCGTCATTTTCTCTAACGTCCTCCTTCCCTTATTCTCGTTACTCAGTCAACTCTCCCCGGGCAATGCCTTTACTTTCATGTCTTTCGGAGCTTGTTCAGGCGCAGGCTCGTACAGTGCTGCACAGGTAGGGCGGGATGGGGCATGCCCGGCTTCATCCACGAGACGAGAGCATGGGCGAATCATTTACGAGAATGTGGTAAAAGGCAGTTGGATTTAAGAAGCAATGCCTATCTGGAATGCAAATTAAGAATTTGCTCCTCTAAACACCTTCGCCAACCAAGCTCAGGTATCTGGTAAATGCGCACAATCGCGCCAACCTAATTCCTATAAACGCCTTACTCCATGATGCAATGCAAAATGCCATGACTGCCAATCTAGGCCCGATCCCGATGTAATATCGACAGAGCAGAGTCGCCGATGAAATTTGGCTATTCATGCTTGTGCTCCTCGAGCCACTTCGAGCCAGCGGCGCTCATGGCGGCGTCTCCGCGCTTCTTCTGGTCTTGCCACCGTTTCCGGGCGGCGTCGATGGTGTTGCCTTCGCCTCGAGCGACGACGGCCGTGTATGTGAAGGAGAGGGCTGGATCCTGGTTAGCATCGCCTTGGAGATATTGCAGGTGGGTAGATAGGAACGCACCAAGAAAGCCGGCGAGGGCGGGCCAGAAAGACTTCGGTGTCATGGGCATGTTGATTAGATGTGATGTGGTAAGGGTGGACGGTGTATGTGTCTCGAATGGATTCAACCGATGCGGGGCTGCGGTGGTTCGGTAGATGCGATAAGCTGTGCTGCTGCACTGTATATGCCCGTGTCCCGGTACTTGGGTCGAAGGACGTGGATATGGCTTGTTGGCGGAGTAGGGAGTCGTAGATTGCTGCCGATGCTTGATGACCGTGGAACGGGGAAGAAACAAGGAAGCGGAAACACACTTGCCTTTTGTACGACTCCTCTACAAGCAGCCAAAAAATCACGAACTGCTAATTCGGTGGCGCCCGACCGAAACTATCCCCCGCATAGCGTGATCGCATCAGGGGAGTCGGCGCAGAACATCGGGTTGACTTTCCCACGGCCGCCTTCCTCTTGCCCAGCGTATCGTGTGAGCCTGGGTAACGGCGAATTGCTATTGGATAGGGGCGGGAGAGGGAATGGGAGAAGTCGGCGTGGGTCGTCTGATATCATTTTGCTACATGGCCGTGGTGGTGAGACCCGAGCGAAGTTCTCACCCCACCGAACGGCGGAGCCCGCTGGGCGGGAGAGCAACGCTTACTGGGTCGTACGATACTGCTCTGACGCGGAATTGGGATTTTGGGGGCGTTGGCACGATTTGCGGACATGAGCAGGCACGTGAAAAGATACGTCCTAGTTTGATTTTTTTTATGTGCCTGGACGTTTTCACGATAGTGGACTTGGAAGTCGTGATGGGAAGGTGCAAAGTCGGGGGAGACCTCGGTAAAAGCCACGTTTTCGTACTAGTGCATCATCGAAGGCTAGCACCCCGACCTAGACAGCCTAGGGTCCCTTTCTATCATCTATGTGTCCGCCACTTGAGGCTCTCCTTTCCATCGAATCGCCTCCATGCCTGAAACTTGATGTCGCTATTGAAACCTACGAAAGGCTCGTTACTTCTTTCGCAAGGCTCCTCCATCGACCGTGATGTCTTGCTACAAGAGGCATTAGCAATGGTCAACGAACGACGAGCGATCAAACACTTACTCCTGTTACGAAACCCGCGTCCATCAGGTACATGCAAGCGTCCGCAATGTCCTTTGGCCTTCCAGCGCGGTTCGTTGGATGATCTTCGACATCCTTCTCCGCAATTTGGCCTTCCCAATCCTCGCCCCTCTCATCGCCCTCCTTGCTCTCATGGGCAGCCTTGATCCTTCCAGGAGCCACGAGGTTCACGCGAATGCCCATATGACCTAGGCTGATTGCCATTGCGTGCATCAGGCCCAGCTGGCCTGCCTTGCTCGCGGCATACCCCTCCTGATTCGGATCGCTCTGATGAGCTCGGAAGGAGCCAATGTGGATAATGCATGGACCGGCACCGTGGATCTTCTGCGCTCCGGACACGGCATCTCGCTGCTCGGTTTTCATGTACGGGATACAGGCCTGGCTCATGGCGAATGGGCTCGTGAGATTCGTCTCGATGTACGCCTGCCATTGCTCCAAGGTTTCCCGGTCCTCCATCGTCTTCCCGTCTTTCCAGTATGGCGACGCAATGCTTGCGTTGTTGACCAGGACGTCGATACGGCCGCCGAAGAACTTGGCCGCGGCTTGGACCTTTGATCGAATCTCCTTTACGTCCCGGAGATTGCACGTGTCCACCTCCAACTTCCCGTCATCATCGTATTTCTTAAGGTGTACCTTCTTGAGATATTCTAGCTCTTCTTCCTGGATGTCGAAAATGTAGACACGGTGGCCAGCTTCGAGGAAGTAACGAGCCAGAGCTCGACCGATGCCGCGAGCGCCGCCCGAGACGATGATGTTTCTCGAGTTGCTGGAATTCTCGACTGGAGCCATAGTATCGAATTTCGAACTCTAGGAAATCGGATTGAGGGAGAGTACGCGCCGACGAACACTGATGCCATCTACAGATACTCCGTCGATATCGCGAAGCACGAACAACGTCGCTCTGACGTCACTCTTCCCAACATCGCAACTCAAGCTCAAATTGCGACCCTACCTCATGTCAAAATTGAAAAGAGGTTGTCCTATTTGGTCTGGTCCTTCAAAATCTGAAAACCAGTCCTTCCATTGCGTGTCGATTCCCGTGACTCTTGGCGCTTTCCGTTCTTCAGTTCTAAGGTCCTCAGCTAAACGATTCCTGCCGTGTGCCCATCTAAGAGAAAGACCGCACGCGTGAGGTCAATACCGAACGGCCACGCGCAGTTGACAAATACTCTGGCTGGAAATGACGACGACTCGAAGAGAAAGGCTACTTCTACCCTTCCACCATGTAAACGAGACGAGGGCTCACGGAGCGCGAAACGACAGACACGCAATGACGGACGTACGCGAGTAAGCAAACTGCAAGAGGCGAAAACAAACTCCAAGAACCGCGCGGTGCTTTGCTACGTCCAAAGCTTGAGATTGCTTCTCCTACCGAAACAGCGATCGCCCCAGTCACGCCTTTCCCCGTTTCGGCCTTCTCCACTGTATAGACCCCATCGGATTTTCCCATGATTTCCCCTCTAGCATCCGTTTCGAGCCTTGAAAATGGCGCATCACCTGTTCTTGGCAGCCATGTAACTTCTTTCGTCGCAGGCCCCTTGTATGATCTCCCGGAGCGGCTGCACCCCGCAAAACTAGCTCACCAAGCCAGGTTTGACAGCCCCTGTCACAACGCCTCTTCCCACGATGTCGGAACGCTGTTGCTATCAATTGCCCAATAGATCCTCGCTTCCCGAGGAACAAACTTTTCCCAAGTTTCGGGCAGGGTTTTTTCTAACGTACACAACTTCTCTTCTGGGCCACCTCCGGTTTCTGACTCAGCAATATCGTTCCTTCTCCGAACTGCGCGGCGAGACCTCCAACTGGACTGTTCACGTCGCTACAACCCTTTCGAGGCCCTATACCCGCAGCTTACGCGGCGCTGCCCATCCTGATGGATCATCTCCGCGCGAGGCTGAAATCCACGACGGCCTTCGTGGATCAGGCTCTGCTTCAGCAAGGCCTTGAAACTCAGCACATCATCGCGGATTGCTCCATACGGAATGGAATGTTTGTAGACTTACGTTAACGCCAAGATTTTCCTCGGCCCATACGTTAGAGCTCGGCGCTTCCTTGCGTAATGGACAGAATGGACACCGTCTACTGCGTCTGCAGGCACCAGGTACGGAGTTGGGGCAGCACGCTTGCGCAGTCTATTTACCATCCATAGAAGTACTTAAAGACTTCATTTCTCCAAGACCAGAGATTCATTCCACATCCTCCCTTCCCTTCGTGTGCCTTCCGGTCAAGGACTTTCTTTCAATACGTTTACTTTCTTACTCTCCTTTTTCTAATTCAATCATTTACACCACTGCCGGGCAGCCACACATATCCTATTCATTCAATCATTCACGATGCGGTTTTCCTTCGCTGCTCAAGCCGTCGTCCTCGGCCTTCTTGCTTCTCAGCCGGTCGTGGCTGATCTGGTCGATTTCAGTGCTGCGGATGTAGCTCGTCGATTCGTCGTAAGTACACTTGGTCATCGTCATAGTTTTCCCACACTGACCCGTTGCAAAGGGTGGTCCCGCGAACGCCGCGTCAAACTACGTCAACGCTCTCTCCTTGGACCGCCGTCAAGGCAAGGGCAAGGGAGGAGGTGGTGGAGGCAAAGGGAAGGGTAATGCTGGCGGCGCTGGTGGAGCTGGTGCAGCTGGCGGCGCGGGAGGTGCGGGAGGAGCTGGGGCGGCCGGAGCAGCTGCTGCGGGTGGAGCGGGCAAAGGTTTGTGCTGTCACTTGATGCATACACAGAACACTGCTGATCTCCACTAGGAAAGGGAAAGAATAATGCCGCGAACGCTGCCCAAGCGAATGCCGCCAATGCCAATGCCAATGCCAACAATGCGAATGCGAATGCGAACGCCAACAACGCGAATGCTAATGCTAATGCTGCGAACGCTGCGAATGCTGCAAATGCTGCGAATGCCGCCAACGCGAACAACGCCGCCAACGCAAATGCCGCCAACGCAAATGCCAACGCGAACGCGAACGCTAATGCTAATGCCGCGAATGCTGCAAATGCCGCCAACGCAAATGCGAATAACGCGAATGCAAACGCGAACAACGCAAATGCCAATGCGAACGCCAACAACGCAAACGCAAATGCCGCAAATGCCAACAACGCGAACGCCAACGCTGCGAACGCCAACGCTGCGAACGCCAATGCTGCGAATGCCAACGCCGCGGCGGCGAACTGTGAGTCTTTCATCCTCCCTCTCCTCTCCCCAACTAACCTCCCCTAGGCGCTGCTATAAACGCTGCTGCGACCAACGCGACGGCTGCGGCTACGGACTGAGTAGGTTAGTAGTGAAGCTGCAGGCAGCATTGCGGAAGGAAGGTCGATCAGCATGCGGTGGAAGGGGACAGACATGAGTGACACACCTTCACGGTGCTTTCTACTGTGGTGGGCTGCGGACCCAAGGCAGTGAGTGGCTTCACGGACATTCATTCGGACTGGTGGAGTCCCTCTTTTTTCAAAACCATATACCCTCTTTACGAAATTACATGAAGAAAAGTCGATATTTGCCACTCATTCTTCTATCATCATACGTACTCGCCCACGATTTACATGGGTATCTACTGCGAGATGGCGCCGAAGAAGCAGGAACGCACTCAATGATGATCCTATGTCATGGGAGGTCTTCGTCGCATCCTTCTCCGTAGATGCCGATTATGTCCAGCCAATGGTTCTGAAGGGTTTGGATCAGGGGTTTGGGCAGTGGTTAGCAATCACTTCACGATATATACATAGAAACAGGGAATTTGCTTTCAGTCGTGGCGTTGTGGCAACTGCACCTTGATGTGAGTGGTCACAGAATGGTTGGTCGGAAAGAGGGACGCGATGGTTTTCAGAGCCGGCCTTCGCTACATCTCTCCACTCGCACTACGGCTGATACATATTCAAGGGTTGAGCGGGAGGAGGCTGAGCATTTCTAGTGCGCCCATCTGCTTCCATAGGCCTGTGTTTGCCTGGAAGGCGGAATTGGGCCTTCTCGGAGCCTCGACGGATTCTGGACTGGGCTTGTTGTCTAGTCTTGGGACGTGGTTGCCGAAGTTGGAAACGCGCGAGATGCTCCTTAGCAATTCGGCTTCAAAGTAATTCGGAGCAGGCTCTCACGCGCTATCTCAGTGCACTTAGGCGCGCAGAATCCCGGCACAACGCTCTCACATTGGCGAAAAGCCTATTCTGCACGCTATATACACACGTTCCGGGTTATATCTCAATGAGCAGTTCTCAAATAATCTGTCAAGAGCTATCCTCGAGCCTGCTCTTCCGCCACCCCCGAGGCTCCGGAGGCTGCCAAAGGGTCTTCGTTCAGTTATAGAGCCTGCAGCGCAACTAGTCTGATCCCAACTATCTTGCGTTCGGTTCTTCTGTCCCATTTCACACATCATGGAACATTTAGAAGTTCTCCACGGTCAACGACGATCCCCGCGTGTCGGCAGCAACTACCCCGAGACAATGGAGCCCCGGATCGACATCATCAATCCCGGATTTAACCCTGCGTCAGCAAGCTCGGAGGGATAATATCGCGAACATGAGGGCGCTAGATTTCACGGCGCCGTATACATAACTACTTCGTGCTTGCCACATGAGCCATCACCTCGCCCCAAATCACCCAAATTCCTCAAGATGCATCCCTGGAAGCACAACTTTCGCGGCAAGACGCTCATCTTCGCAGTCACGGCGGCAGCATGCCAGGCCTTCTTGCTGTTAGGTTTCGACCAAGGTGAGCGTTTCCGCACCTACATCAACCAGGTTCAAGAAGATTGACCGCTCGACAGGCGTTATGGCCGGTATCATCGGCGCAGATAATCGCTTTGGTCGCGACTTCAATAGCCCTGATGCCGACATGCAAGGTAATATTACGGCTCTTTACGACATAGGCTGCGTTGTCGGCTCCATCGCCTGCTACTTCATCGGCGAACATTTCGGTCGACGGACGATGCTTATGGCTGGCGGAAGCATCATGATCGTAGGGGCTGTAATCCTGGCTTCCTCCGATACAGTTGCGCAGTTGATCGTTGGACGCATAGTAACCGGGATCGGAAACGGGATGAACTCGTCTACCGCGCCAGTATACTTGACGGAGTGTGCTCCTCCATCTTACCGAGGTGCTCTCTTGACGCTTCAGGGAACTGTAACCATTCTGGGTGTGGTAATTGCGTACTGGTAAGCCGATTACCATTCGTTCATTCCAGGCACTTTGACTGACGTTCATGCAGGATGGACTACGGTACCAGCTTCAGCGAATCATCCTTCCAATGGCGCTTCCCTCTAGCCTTCCAAGCACTATTCGCTATCCTCCTAGTCCTTCAGATCATTGGCCTCCCCGAGACACCTCGATGGCTCGTCCAGCACGACCGGTACGAAGAAGCACGCGCCGTAACCGCGGCGCTTGAAGACAAAGACCTCGACCATCCAGACGTCAACAGTATGATCCTCAATATACGCATCGGCCTCGAAGAGGAGCAAAAAGGTGGCCCCTTCCGATTCAGGGAGCTGTTCACCTGGGGCCAGACGCAGAACCTGCGACGACTGCTCATCGTCATCTCTATCCAACTTGGACAACAATGGACGGGAAGCAATATGATAAATTACTATGCACCCGTCATTTTCCAGAACAGTATGCACCTGAGCCGGGATCTTTCCCTGATACTAGGAGGCGCCGCCCAGTGCACCTACCTCGTGGGCTCAGCTATACCAGTCTTGCTGATGGACCGCTTTGGGCGCCGGAGTTTACTTATGGCTTGCACGGCGGGTTTGTGCTTCTGCTTCGTAATGGTCACTATTCTATTGTCGCTTGGGACGGAGGGTCCTGCATATGGAGCTACGGCTTTTATCTTCCTCTTTCAGCTAATATATGGCATTGGCTGGGTAAGATCCTCCATGATTCCCATGAGTATACCCAATCCCGTTGACTGACATACCTTTGCAGCTTCCAGTACCTTGGTTCTATCCTTCGGAGATAAGTACGACTAGGACGCGAACAAAGATGCAAGCGATAGCGTCAGGATGGAACTGGATGTTCGTCTTCACCGTAGTGAAGATTACGCCCATTTCCTTCGGTAAGCTTCCTTTTTCGTGCGTACACCGTTCGGCCGATAAGTATATCTAACTCAGTACAGACAACATCGGATGGCGCACTTTTATCATCTTTGCGGTCCTCAACGCTGCCTTCATCCCGATGGTATACTGCTTCTACCCCGAAACGAAAGGAATCACTCTCGAAGATATTCCGCTGCTGTTTAACAAGGGAGGAGTCACAGGCGGCGTGTTGGCGAGCAAGGGTGGGAGGACAGTCACTCCGCATCAGCACGCTCAGGAGGCGCACGTGGATGAGAAGATGGCTAGCAGGCAGGTGGAGGACGGCGCTGAACTGCCGCAGGCGTAATCAGCTGCATGCTTGGACCGAGTCAGCGCCGGCTCGTGTCGGAGTCGGCTTACCGGTCACACATTCCTATGCCGGTAAATAGGGGAACTGGGCGTAATCTTACTTGTTACATCCGCTCGTCCAGTTTCGAATCCACTTGTCATCTGTCACTGTCAGCGGTCTTGGAAGTATGTAAGCAGCCTTATAGGGCGTTCAAGAACTTCAGGAGATGCTCTTCGCGTAACCAATGACGACCTCCTTTTCTAGAAGGCAAACTAATGGAAACCCACACCCCACTTCTATGACCGAAGACAGAGTCTTGCGAAGATTCATCGCGAGGGTTTTCTGATCATTGCAGGTCCCATTAAGAGTTCTTCGACCGTGGCAGGTACGAGGGTAATGGCACGATACTACGATACTACGATACTACGATACTCTAAAGAAGATGGCGAGAACGAATAGGAGGTAGGAGATGGCAAGACGTACCTATTTCCTATCGCCGATTCTAAGGACGCTTACCAAACGACGGCGCCAGATCCCACGTCGGCTGAACGGGCCAGCAAGGCAACACAAGAACTCTCTGTCACTGGAAGCTGAGCAAAAACCTTCCATCACACACAGGCTCTACGCCGCAGTGGCTTCTGACAAGGAGCGGTGGCGGTCAGCGTCCACGTAAAGGGGTTTGTTGAGCAGCCAACAGGAGCAGAACTACGACTTCTTAACGAACATGCTATCGATCTGCCCAGCATAATGGCGAGGAGATGGAGCTTCACGAGGACAAACCGCGGAGGTTCTGAGCTCTGAAGAGACGGTTCTTTCTACCGTCTATCCGAAGGATGCGGGAGAATTGCTGAGAAAGCAGGCTCAGAAGGGGAAGGCAGTCGTCCGCCCTAGACTTATTTCTCAAGTATAAAGGGGGACGATACGTCGCTGTCAGTAACAACACAAGCAGTCATAAGCGCCTTCTCTGGATTCCTCAAGGAACATCTCTCTATCAAATCACTAAATTCCACATCCCGCACTCCCTCCAGTCACTATGAAGCCCACCGCCGCGATCCTCTCCCTGGCTTTCGCCATCTCCGGCCTCGCCGCCCCTGCCCCCGATGCCCACAACAGCCTCTTCGCCCGCGAGCCCTCTAACGTCCTCCTCTGCAAGAACACAGACTGTGCGGGCCCAAACGCCGACCAGTTTGATCTCGGCATCAACACTGGCATATGCAGTACGTATCTGTCTCTCTCCCAAAACGCAGTCAACCACGCTCAAGCTGACTTGATTCCAAACAGGCAACGTCCCCGCCAATTTCTTGGGAACTATTTCTGCGATTGCGCCAAATGGCATCTTGAACTGCTCCCTCTTCGCGTATGTTTCGGAGAACGCCTAATGGGCATATACTGACTTCCATGCTATAGCGGCGCTGACTGCACAGGCGCTTCGCCGCCTGTGGTCACTGGGCGCGTTAACGACCTCGGAGCGGCGCCGTATAATTTCAATGATAGGACGGCGTCTTTGCTCTGCAATCGCAAGTAGACGGTGTCTCTTCCGATGGTAGATGAGAGGGGCAACCTGAGAGTTGGCGAAGGCCGTAAGGTTTTCGTGATGTAGGCGATGCGAAGTGGCTTTCCTTTGTGGTTTCTTTGAGACAGTCGTTACCGGAAAGCTGGCCAGCTTGTTGTTCTTGCCTTTTCGTAGAAAAGAATCCACACTCTCTTGGACAGCGCTGTTGGTCGACCGTATGTGGTTGCGAAGATTGATTGATTGATTTTTCTCGTTTTAAGTCTCCAAACCTGCCATCCTCGCTCATCCAACGAAACACCCCCTCCGAAAGAGCACCCCTCCAGTACGATCCTAGAATAAAGATTGAGTTCGAATTCATACCAGGTTAGGGAAACGGATAGACATCTGGAAGGTAAAGGAGTGGATATTGGCTAGCGCGTTGTTGACGCGGAATTATGTATCTATCGACGGCCTCCACGAATAGCTTCCTACAACCTAGAGTAAGGCACGCTTGTATGGGTATTGCGACACGTATAAGGGATGCTTCGGAGGCATCCTGAAGTGCTCTTCCCCGCAGACTGGTCCGAGCGTTCGAGCTATTCTCTGGCTCCCCTCGCCCCACCACGCCAGCGCCGTCTTCCCGTCATATCCATCGCGGCTTTCACGGCAGCGCAACCTCGTTTATCATTTTGATGATCGACAGCAATCTTTGTCTTCCGATGGATCGCACCGTTAAGATTTTCCCGAGCGTCCTGCTTAAGCCATCATCGCGTATCTCAGAACTAGACAAATGACAGCTGTCGTGCGCCTGCCAATGCTTACTTTTGCCTATTGTTTTCTTTCTTCTTCCCTTCACGCGTTCCCTTGACTTCCAGCTGCGGCGCCAAACTCCCTGTGGAACGGCGCCATGGGCCCAACATGCTGTGACCAGCAGGGAACTCCCAAAACGGAAGCAAATCCACCAACCTCAGCAAGGCGAAACGGACATGTAGTAACACGCAGAAAAACAAACTTCGCCGACCCTGATGGCCAGGGGTTGGTTTCGTCATTGCCATTTGTACCACGGTTCGGGTCGAGATGCGCAGTGTAACAAAACCACTATATATCTCGAGTCCCGCCTCGGGCGTTCAGCCACCTGTGCGGCTTGCTGTTCATAGCTCTGGATTTTTGTCTCTACATGGTCAGTCCTTGTTCCTATCGCAGACCAGGCGTCTAAGTCTTCAACGACATCGATGAGCTATAGCTTCCCTACTTCCCGCCGATCGGTTTGAGTTCCTCTTGCGCGCCTCTTCAGCAACAGCTATGGTGCTGCACGATTCCAAGAGTATCGCGCGGCGTGGAGAGCAGGTTGAAAGCATCGCGATAGCCTTTCTCGTCCTGTCTTGGTTTTTCATTGCGCTTCGAATATGGACGCGGACCCATGTTATCTCCAACTTCGGATGGGACGATTCGGCAATGGTATTCGCTGGAGTAAGGATCTCAAAGTTGCTCTCGAAGCGGTCTTGCTAAGTTGACCAAGATGATCTTCACTGTTTACTGCGCATGCATACTATTCATCGAAGCAAACGGCGGCGGAACTCACGTCACTTCAGTCGCGCAGCTGACCATGCTCACAAAGGTGAGCGCTGCTATCTACTTCTCAATTTTAGCTGACATGTAGTAGTGGACCATCGCCGGCGAAGTCACTTACATCGTCACAGTTATGGTGCTGAAGATCTCACTAGGCATCTTCTTCGCCAGAATCGTCGTCAAATCGTGGCAGCTCGTACTGATCTATGTTACAGTAGCCGTGACCATCATTTCCTCGATGGCTTCCTTCTTCTACTGTCTCTTCCGATGCGGTCCTAATCTGAACGACTACGTATTTCGACAACTAGCAAACCGATGTACCGCGCAAGCGCTCGATCGATTTTTCGCATACCAACACGCTTCTTTTACGACCCTCTCGGACTGTATATTCGCGATACTACCCATCTTCATACTGTGGAATACTAGCTTGGGCAGGCGTTCAAAGATCTCCGTAGGAGTAATCCTGTCCTTGGCTGCGCTGTGAGTATCGCCTCGGAGAATCGTGACCCATTCTGACCCGGCAGTGGCTGCATATGTTCCATTATCCGATTCCGGTACGTCGACGGCTTGACTCAGGTTGACGACTTCTTCTGTAAGTATTTCTCATCTCACATAGTTCGATATTCATGGATTGTAGGGAATGCTGTCAACGTATCGCTCTGGTCCACCATCGAACCCGGCGCAGGTATCATTGCAGGTTGTTTGGCGACGCTGCGCCCCTTATTGAAGCGGGCCTTCGTCAAAGCACGGTCGATACGATCTTCGGCCTCTAAATCCCTCAAGCAAGCTTCGCGCTCAGTCCGATCGAACGAGGATTCCCCGAAGCACAAGAACTGCACCGCAAACAACAGCAAGGACTCCCACTCGGGCACTGATACTGACATTGAGGCTCAGCATGGCCTAGGTCAGGTCATTGAGCTAGGATCGGATATCAACAAGAAAGGGGAATCGACTGGTTGCATCCTTCCACAAGACCAAGAGCCGGGACCGTTCCCATTACAGAGGGACCGCAGCCTAGAGCTCGATCGCCAGAGCTCCCGCACCTTGCACTGTGGCCGCTACTCCCACGATACTCCTTAAATAGAGGGATAGCGAATAGGGATACAGGCCGGACCAACGGCCATCCGTCTTCGGGGCTGACAATGCGATCGCCTCCTCGCTGAAATTTCCCACATCGGCAACCGGCCTTTGGCCTGTCATACCGGTAACTATCCACATCCGTGGGTGTCCCGGGACCGTTATGGGAGCTCTGAGACAAATATCGCACTCTATGTGGCGGTTCGAGGCCGCATTGCGCGTTTACCACCATTCCACATGCGGACACTCCTGCATGGACACAGTCACACATTTTCGATCATCCCCCTGAAGTGCAGCCCTACAGAGAGCGCTAAGACGATATGACAGCGGACCCATTGCACCGCAGAGCACCGCATGGGGTAATATTGCTTTTGCTCTTTCTGTTGTCATCCATCCTTCACATCTCAACGCGTCGCCAGCTCAGTCGACCGATTCGAGGGTTTTACGGGCGAAACCGGACCGTATCGACATCCTTTCCCATCGTAGTGGATGCCGAACCGACCCCCCAAGGCGCGGTTCCGCCTCCGCATCATTTCCCGCCATGCTTCCTCCCAATTCTGCCTAGAAGATGCGAAGCAGCATTTTCTCATGAAGAGACCTACCGTGTGTCCCTAAGGAGCGCCACCGTAAGCTCTTCGAACCTGAATTTCTCCGACTTTTACTTCTTTGGCCTGCTAGCTTTGGGGAACTGTCAGGCGTACACAATGAGGGTTGCACATGATACCAGTTTGCTTTTCGCACCAGTGTCTTGATACTTTGGTTTAGCGGGTATCCGCGTATGTTGGTCATCGAGAACCGACATTCAAATCTGCTCCATCTATCTCGTTCTTCGTGCTACTCCCATATTATTTCATTTTCGTTTTCTTCCAATCATTTCAATAAAAGCTCACCATACCCCTACCAGTGGAGCTCCGCGCGAAACACGTCGGAAGTCTGCAGCCGCAGCGTTTCTTTGCATTTTCCTTTCGCCTTCCCTCACTAATCGAGTCGGCTTTCCCTTTTCAGAGGCCTCTGCATACAGTACCATCCCCACGCCGTCATCTGCGGTTCGAAGCCCTGTCCTTGTCTACGACGCTTGTTTGAATGATGGCGCGGCCTGATCTAAGCGTATGTTTGCATGATCGATCGACATGTTGAGTTTGGGAGGAGCTGCAGGTGGTTTTGAATATGGAAATCAAGCCGAGTGGGGGATGTCGTTACGGCGGTCACAAGGGTCAGAATTCGCAAGTTCAATTTCGCAAATTCCGTTCCTACTTCTTCCACACCCTTGAAGCCCGTCAGGCTCCGTGTTCCAACTTAAATTCCGTGGTTGGAGAATATTGTCACCTCGCGGTCTTAGGTAATACGTATACTTTTTGCAGCGCGGATTTCGGGTAGTAGAATGCTAGGGGATTGTGAAGTCTACTGCCTAAGCCGCTATCCTCGGAACGGGACTGCTGGAAAGTGTGCAGTTCTTGGCTTTCAAGGGCTCGTCGATTGGAGGAAGTGTACTTTTGGGAGCATAAGGAAGTCAGATAGTGCGTGCAAATGTGTTTGACACCATCTATTCTACTAATACGTGATGAATTACATGTTTCATCTTATTCCCGACGACGACAAGCAAGTTACTGATGTGCTAGACGTTTGCTGATGCCTCCCCACCGCCTTTGAATATGCGAAACTCGCAAATACATATGGACTGGTGACATAGTGACCAGATAGGAATCTAGAGACTGTTTGAAAACCTCTGCTGTCGGGGGATGAGAGGTAGCTAGGCTCGGGGCGGATCAGTCCGAATCAGAATCGGAATCTGACGAGTCGTTCTTCTTCTTCGCATGCGACTCCTTCTTCTTACTCTTACGCCGGTCCTCAACCGAAGATTTAGACGAGGAGGAGTCAGAGTCGTAGCGTTTCGACTTGGACTTCTTCCCCTTTTTCTTCTCTCGGCTCCTGAACTTCGTCTTCCGTATCTTCTCATGCTCCATCTTCTCCTCGTACGTGTTACCCAGGGTGTCTTTCATATACTCATCGAACAACTCTACCGTCCTGGCAACCACTTCGAACTGCGATCTTCCAAGCTCAACTTTGACGTCGCTATCTTTCGAGTAGCCGTCGGGGTCGGTGGGGTCAAAGCCCTTCTGCTTTGACCGCGCTTCATACTCCGCCATAGCAAGTGCCGTGTGGAAAGCGTTCCGGATCTGGCGACCATTCCAGCGGGCTCCTTCTGGCGTAGCATTGTAATGCTCGCGAGCGAAAGACTTGATGCTTTTGGAGTCGATGTGGAAGTTTGGACGTGAGCCGTTGGCTTTTTTGGTTCTCCTGATGAAGACCTTCCACACATCCACGGTGTCTTGTTCATCGAAGTTCGGATCTTGATTTCGAGCAGTCAGTGATGGTTTAGAGACAAGATGGTGGACCGCTTACAGAATAGTGACAGATGAATGCGCGATTTGAACGCTTCATCGAATGTGCCAATACGATTCGTCGTCAGGAATAGAATACCCTTATAGTATTCTAGCATGCGTAGAAAGACCGACACTGTGGCGTTGCGGCCATAATCGTCCCTCGTACGCTTGGCCATGAATACATCGGCCTCGTCTAGGGGTCGCAGTACACGTTAGCAAAGCCTTAGGAATAGAAGAGCGGCTAGAAATCTGAGTAGGTTCCAGTGGCCTTAATGCCAAGGAGCAGCCATAGGCACAACATGCCAGCGTGTAGACCACGTATGTACGTACCTAGGAGCATTACACAGTCCCACCGGCTCGCTGAGTACAGGTGAAAAGACAGACTGTCTTCGATCTCTTTTGCGTTGCTCCCAAGGTCACCACATGTCAAAGGATATAGCGGCCGCTGGACCAAGTCCGCAACACATTCGGCGGTAGCTGTCTTTCCCACTCCGGGAGCGCCTGTATTGTTGGTGAGCCACTCAACGACCTCAACGAACGGTGGAAATATGGCTCACCATGTAACAGGATCATGAGACCTTGCCCTTTCCCGCTCACTATGTCCAGGTCCCTCTCGTGATCATTGGCTCGTGAGCCCTTCTTTCTGAAGTGTTCTTGAACTTGTGCTTGGATAATTCGCTTGGTCTCCGAGGGCAGGACGAGTTGATCGAATATAATGTCTTCTCGACCTCGATGGACCTTAACGATGTTATCGACGAGGACCGCAGCTAAGTCCGGATTAGCAAGAGGAGCATCGGGAGGCAAATTCTTGACGCACCCCACTTTCTCGAACGCAAGCACCACCCGAACAGGCGGTGCGAGCATATAGCAAGATCATCCTCCTCAAAATTTTTCTTGTTTTCGAACCTAGTTGTGAACTGGAGAACATGCCCGCGGCCTTCGACATGCTCATCCATGTATTCTTCTTCAACATAGTTGTCAGAAACTATGACGTCTGTATTTCGGCCACAGTACCCTTGTTCCCAGTCGTTCGGTGTGCAGTAATGAGCCGTTTCGCAAGTGTCGAGAGCCTCTGGTGCGAAATAGTATGGTAGATGTTGCGTTTCCTCGTGCCTCCAATAGTACTCCATGTCCACGATCATTTGCTCATCCAATTCGTCCTTCGTCTTCAAATCAACGCCGCGATACTCGACATGTGTCACCGCACTGGTGTAGATGGAATCGACAAACTTGCGACCTCGCGCGGCGAGGGACTTCATCGAGGCTTGCCAGTCAGATGCGTACTCGACTGGGTAGACATCGAGCTTCCTGATGTCTCGTTCGCCTTCGTAGGGCTGAATCGTGAATCTTCGGCGAACAGGTATCAGGCGGCGGCCATCAAAGTCAATGTAGTACGCGTCAATGACGAAGGGCACTACGCCGTTGACTGGGGAAATGACCATAGGTGGTGATTGCCCGTTTGGGCCGGGAGGCAATGGTGGTGGATGAAGGTATCTCCGACAAATTTGCGCTCTGCCGCCCCGCACTTGTAAGACCCGCCAGAGGGTACTGTGCCATGGATGATCGTGTTTAGGATCGATGCTCTGGTTCATCAGCAGATGATCACCTGCTTTGAACATATGCCAAAGATGGCTGAACGAAACACTCATGCGTGAGTGGTCTCGTTTGCGGAAGCTCTCGTGGACTGGTACTAGGAATTGATCGACGAAATCTAGCAGACATTGAAGGATGTCTCTGGCCATTTTAGTAGTTTGCACCTCGTCACGGAGCGCCTGGGTGCAATGTGAACAACACGTCATCTCGCAGTCGTCCAATATCTCGTTTACAGCATCGAAGCTCAGGGGGCAACCGCTCTCCGGATCGGTGCTCGAATCGGACTCTTCGTTCGACGCATCCGCTTTGCTTCGATGAAGATCCTCGTAAGTGTCGATTAGATGGCGTAGCTCCAGCAGCCGGGACCGGACTCGTTTGTCGCTCGTCAAGAGTGGCTTGTATGGCCGGAGCATGGTGATGCCATGTCTACTATAACCGTGAGGTATAGTGCTCTGCGGCCCCAGTATCTGTTTCATTAGATATTGAGATGTGAAGATGGGCAAACGAATACGCTCCGGTAAGGAATGGCCCTTAATTCTGTGCAGCTCGTGCAGCGCGTCGTTGTCGCCTTTCTTCGTTCGGTGGAAGTCTTTGGACTGCTCCGTGACATCGTCGTCCTTACTGACGCGATGCATGCGTGTGTGCTTTTGGGAATGCTTGCGAACGCCTACTACAGGCACGGGCTCGCCGACCAAGACTTCGATGGGGTAGAGGTTCTTCTCAGAGGGCACTTCTTGGAACTCTTCCCAGTACAGGGGATTTAGTGTGGGTTGGATGGCTGCTCGGCTGGGATCTTCGCCGGCACTACCCTCCGGCGGTTCCGGCGGTTCTTTGTTCCCTAGTTGCCATTCAAGATTGTTCATACGGAAGAGAAGTGAGCCGTATTGGAGCTCGAGACTTCGAATGAGTAATTCGAGATCCGCGGGTCGGGGCTCCTTGGTTTCCCGACCGTCCTGGACAGTATCGCCGACGGAGCCCTCATCGCTTCCGCTTTGGGTAGAGGAAGGCGATGTGTCGCTTTCTTGGGTTTGCGTACCGCCATCTGCGAGGAGTTAGAAGCTTCGTATATTCGCAAAGGTGACTGGCCTTGGCTTGACTGCACATCGGCATCGGATATTGATGGCGTTGCCGTGGCTGTGCTGACCGGGGGATTTGTGGGCATGGTGAACTCTGAGGTACTGTCAGGCTCGTGGGTTTGACAGCGCCTGTCACCAGTGATAGCTGGAAACGGGAGTCGCTAAATAGCCACAGCCTCGCTCTTATCTGAGACGCCCACAAACCCTTCAGGCAGCCACAGCTAAAGCGCGCCAGGATAACAATTGAGGCAGTTGAAACGAAGGAGGGGTGTACTTTGGGGGCGGTTTCCGTGGCACGCGCGTGTATTGGTTGGTGGGTGTGCCAAGCGCAAGCCGAACCCCCATCTGCCGCTCCTCGTCATCTATCTTCTGCATGTTCGACGCAGCACCCCGTATTTCTCGCACGGAATTCACTGGGCTAGTCCTTTTATCGCGTCTGATCAGGCTTCGGCTTGCAGCTGGGGCGCGAGAACACCCTAGGTTGGGGCAGTGCACGATCGCCATCTGTCTCGGGAATGGCCGCCTTTAGAACACTATGATCACTTTTCCGCTTCATTCCCTCGTTTCCCGCGACCCGGCTTACACTTCGATTTGATCATGCTGGGCGCAAGGGCTAGCACCTTCCCGCTGCCCTCGCGCCAAACGCTTGAGGTCGACTTCCTTGAGAACCGACCCTCCGAGTTTCGACGCACCGCAGCCAACTGCATATTCGACACAGACAAGCGCCAATTCGCCCCGCTGATACCAGTCGGGACCGTGCAAACCGTATCGTTCGAGCAAGACGCGAGCGAAGAGAGCGAAATACAACTGCGACACACGCACGACTCGTTCCGCACCGCTGTAGAGGCACTCAAAGAGACAGCCGCAAGTAAAAACAAAACCGTCGCGACATTCCAGCTATCGAATGCGCACTCATGGGGAGAAGTCGCGAAAGCCGCCAAGGACGCAGAAGAGACGTACCTGAAGGCGGACAGTCCGACGAGTAAAGTACGGAGCGCTTTTCGTCGGATCGAGAAGAACGCGAAATCCATTAAGCCCTTTCTGGGTATGCTCCCGGATGGAGAGTATAAAACGCTGGCTGGTGGGCTCACCTTGGTCCTTTCTGTATGCCTATCCCAATGTCGTTGCGGTTTCTGCCTAATAGCCCTAGGTAATGATGAAGAAAGCCGAAATGCGGGAGAAAATGGCCGAGTTGCTCGATAGACTCCCTCTCATAGTGCAGAATTGCGAGGACTACGCACAGATATACCCCGGCAAAAATACCCTGAGACGGCGCATCGAAGAGCTGTACATACAGATTGTGGGCGCAATCGAAGATATGGTACGCTGGTACACCCAGAAAGCCTCGAGTAAGCGACGCTCTTTACGTGCATGAATTTCTCGTCTAATCAAGACAGAGCGCGCTCTTAAGTCGGTCTTCTCCAACGACGCGTACTTGGACTCGTTGGACAAGCGGATTCGCGACATCGATGTAGCCCATGACGCCTTCAAGGAGGTAGCGGAGAGGTATTTGCATTGGCAGACGGCTTTGATGCAACACAATGTCGCTGAGTCACATGCGCTCACCCAGGAGACGAATGAGAACTTGAAGTTGGTTGGCTTCAAGCTATACGAGCAAGGTCAACAAATAAAAAAAGAGGTATCGCAGATGGAAAGTCGCTTGATGAATGGTATCAACGACATCCTTGGAGATCATCGGAAAAATGCTGAGTGTGGGCGCATCCTCTCCGAAAACAGCGACGAAGCTGACCGCCAAAAGGGCTCCAAGAGAAGAAAGAATGCCAGCAAAAGATCGCTGACCAAGGTGAGCTACATGCCTAACTCGCCTGATGCTTTCAAGCTAATATCTTCAGACGCGCGTATCAAAGACTTGGAGAGGCAGCTACACAGCAAAAGTTTCCGCGCAGCTACTCTTGCTCGCCGGCTGCACCTCACGCTCCCATTTGACGCTTACGCAGACGACGTACAGCGCGCCATAAGCGAAGGCATAATCCGGTCCACGAAGTTTCAGACGAGGTCGAAGCAAATCGCAGCAGCCGAAGAGTTCCGCCAATGGTTCACATCCGACTCTGAGGAAAACGCTCTTCTCTGCGTAAATGGGAACGCCGACCAAGACTCCCTCTCTCCGACCACGTTTCTCGCGGCCCTTCTCATTCAAAACCTCGAACAAAAGGAAGCAGGGAATGTCCTAGTCCTGCGATTCTTCTGTGGCCTGCATACCAATACGCTGCAATATGGACAAGATCACGAAATCGGCGGCCCACTTCTTCTTGTCCGGGCACTCGTCGCTCAGATCCTGAACATTGACAGCATCGACGATAGGCACTACTTATCCTCTATTGCCGAGGATAGCGTGCAAGCTATGGAAGATGCGCTCTTGAAGCAGTATCTAGCAACATTGAGCGAGCTTCTCCACCGTCTTCGGAGAGATTACCATGGCGTTATGATTGTCATTGATGGGATCGAATTCTATAATACGACAGAGCATCGGAGAGCGACGAAGAGGCTCATCAAATCATTTGCAAACATAACAAGCGAGAAGTCAGCGGGTGGCTCACTGAAGGTATTATTGATGGCGGCGTCCGATTGTTCGCTGTTTCGCAGGATCGGAGGGTTCAGTGTGCTTGATATGCCCGAGGATATCGAGTGTGGTGGGAGTGATTATGAAAGCCTGGGAGAGTTATGAACTGGTAGGCTATTCATAATATGGAGTAGTTTGTACGATAGTGTAAACGTCGAACGCTGGGGAAAACGTGGTGAAGCGTTCCAGGCACATCTGGGAAGATGAACATTGCTCTACCCCACCCTTCAGGCGCTCGATGTCCTCTTCAATAGAAGGTTGATCTCGCCGTGTAATAAACGAATATCGGTATCCTTACCTATCTTGTATTCTCAGTCTTCACAATTCCTTTCTGGACTATTCCCCGTTTCATAAATGATGGTCGCAAGGAAGAGAGGACGGAGAGGGCTATGCCTAATCAGGACTAGCTTTAGCGCTGCACTCGGGGACGTTCACCTTACCTGGGCATTCTCTCCTCCACACCTGCGACTTTGGCGTTCGCCTTCCTGCACGTCACGCTAGGTACCGTTCTAGTACCTAGGATTCGTGTCTCATCTGCGCGTCCGCCCGTCACGTCGCGGCGCGCTTTCCCGTGACCGCATCAACGCCAATAACAATCCGACGACAACCTGTCTTCGAAACGTCACCAAAACTAATCCCGAAAGATACAAAATGCCGCCATCGCTCCGTCGACGAGCGCAGCCGCCGCACCCACCTCCCCCAACAGAGCCGTTCTCCGAAAGCGACGAGGAATTTGTAGAAGGCGCAGAGGAAGCGGACGAAGCCATGGGAGAGGACATGGTGGGGGTCGATCCGGAGGAGGATGACGAAGATGATGAGGAACCTCTGGGTGAGTTGTGTCAGTTACACTTATGTTCAAGTCGACTTCAGTCTGCGTGCACGTCTTCGAGCATTCTGCGGTTTTTGCTTGATCCTTCGTCGCTTCCTTCCTGGGCGTTCCTATAAGCCTAGAGCACGCGGTCTCGTCCACGCTCTACATTCCTTATACCCTGGTCATTTCTGCTCATCCGCTTTCTATATCTCATAATTTGACCACCGTGACTTTTCAAACCCCCCGACCCGGTGCTGTTATCATTTCCAATCTGTCCCCTGCTATCCCGCGGCTCTGTTCTTACAAAGCTTAAACCTTCTACGAAAAAGAAAGGCATTGCTAACATCTTCACAGCATCGCCTCTCCCCTCGCCCTCCCTCCCAGACCAGACTTCCCTCCCGCCCCCTCACCTCCGCGAAATCTCCACCCTCGCATCCTGGACCGTCTCCTCTTCCAAGCCGGGCTGTTCGATCCCGCAACTACGCCACCCATCCACATCCCTTTTCTGGCAATCCGATGGTCCACAGCCGCACTACCTCAACATCCACTTCTTCAAACTCGTCCGCATCGTGGGACTACGCCTTTTCCTGGACTTCGAAGCCGACGAGAGTTACACGCCGACGCGCATTATCTTCCTGGCTGGTAGTGGACAGAACGATCTTGTGGAGTGGGGCGAGATGAGGCTCGAGCAGCCGCGCGGCTGGGTGTGGGCTGACTTCTCCGGAGTCGGTGAGCCGGAGAGTGACTCGGAGGACGACAGCGATGAGCTGGAGGAGGAAGAGGTGGAGAATCGCGGTCTAGGCATCCAACACGCCGTCGACAACGACGCTTCAGATTTCGAGAACGCCGCTCCTTCTGCTTCTGCTCCTGCAGGCACCACCGGCGACGGCCTACCACCACACTCACCACCTACCGGCGACCCGATGCACCTCGACCCCCAACAACAGCAGCACACGCCCCTAATCCCCCAGCAACAGCAGACACCCAACTTAACCCGCCCAACGCCCCGCCTCCCCTTCACCTCACTCTCCACAAACACATCCCCGTCGCACCCGGCTCCCTCCCACCAGCGGACCCGGAAGCCCAAGATGCCCGTCTTGCGCTGCCATCTTGTTCAGATCAAGATCCTCGAGAACCATCAGAATGGAAAGGATACGCATCTCCGCGGACTGCAGATCTTCGCTCGGGACAACGAAACGGAGCGCGGGACGAGCAGGAGTAGGAAGAGTGTGGGCGGGAAGATAGGTGGAGAGGAGGATAGGCGTGTGGGGAGCAGAGTGATCAACGGCGGTGGAGGAGGTTTGAGGGGATTGGCGGAGAGCGAGTGGATGGCGGAACCTTCGATACGGTAGTCGCCCGCTTGTGTGTGTGAGAGAGAGAGACATAATGAAGCATTACAACGATTGTATTGAAATGAGGCTTTCACTTTTCCGTTCCAATTAATCTATGAGTACAGGCAGCCTCCTCGCCGTCTCATTGCTTGCTTGCTCGCTTTGGAAAAAGCCTGACCCTAGTCTATTTCGTCCCCCGCAAGCGCCAACGCTATGCATACGGTTGCACGAAGTTCCGAAGAGAAGAAAAAGAAGAGAGAAATAAAGGGTAAGAAAGCCACCCTCATCAAGAATATCCTCCGCTGAGGCCGCTAGCAGTGCTAGAGATCTCCGTGCCAGCGTTGTCATCGTCTCCTTCATATTCATCGTCCTCATCGATCCGCTTCCGCTTCCTGTAAATCAACGGGCCTGCTGAAACTTAGCACACGCCATCTAGGCCTTTCCATTCGGACTCATCGCCCTCTCACTCTTGGGCGTGCTCGCATTATCCACAACCTCCTTCGCCGTCTTCTTCGCGCGCTGCTTCGTCGCCTCCTCGCCCTCTCCAATCTCCTCTAGCTGTTCATTGACCTTCTTGTTAAACGAATCAATGAACTTCTTGTTCTCCGGCGACAGGGACGAGACGCGGTGGTCCCCATTAGCAACCTTCGCCGTTCGACCGCGAAGAGTGTTGGCCCCGTTCATAACGGCCGTGGAGAAGCCATCTTCGGCAGCCTTGCCGAGCGACTCGATCTCGCGGTCGACGCCGTGGATTGCGTCGCGACCGGCTTTGGCGATGACGGCGTGGTTAGTTGGGTGTTTGGCGTTGTGCGAGGTGCGGCGGAGGTAGGACTTGACGAAGAAGCGGACGAAGAGGCCGGTCAGAGGAGCGAGGTAGATCAGGTTAAGATAAATAGCGAAGGCTTGACCGGAGGTGTCCACGCATGGGACGTGCTGGTACTCGGTACGATAGACGATCCTGCTCATGGTATTCTTGATGACCTGCTGCGGCGAATTGGTGATCGCCGCTCCTGCGTACCCAACCGGTGAGGCCGCACCAGGCTCAACGACGTTCTCGGCTAGACCCTCGTCTCCCGCCGCGCGGTAGACGAGCTTCTTAAGGAAGGCGATAGCGATGCCGGAAGCGGACGGGAGCGCCGCAGATTCGGTGATGGAAGATACAGCCGATGCAACCGAGGTGGTGTTCGTCTTGGCTAGGACCTTGTCTGCGACGTGATAGGCGACTGAGACTGGTACAGTGTAGGACACGAAGAGATGGCAAGCCGCAAATGCAACTCCAACAACGAACTGCGTGATCTGCATGCTCGTGAGGGATCGCTTGACGATCTGCGGGACTCGGAAGCCCAGAGCAGAGACGGTGTAGTACGTATACTGCGCACAATTAGCGGCTGAAGCAAGAAGCGGACTTGGAAGGCTTACCATCATAGCGTGAATACCGGAGTTCACGAGAGCGAACATCCAGATGGGAGGCGACATGTAGCGAATGCCGGCCCACATGCACAACATAGCACCTGCATGGTGGTACGTCTGGAGCGTCGTGCTTCGCTTGCCCTTCATAATGATGATGGCCGTGTCGAGCACCTCGTAGAACTTGGAGAGGTAGAACCACCATCCCCACCAAGCAAGACCCTCATTCCAAATCCTTCCGACATCTGTGGCGTCAGGGAGCCCATAGGAATCCAGGCTGATCAGCGGGTTCTTGCTCTCCCAGCGGCTCGCGTCCGGGTTGTAGGTCACTGCATCGCCGAGTCCGCGGGGACCATGGATCTTGCACAGAGCGTCCACAGTTCCAACCACAGCGTTGCGCTCGGTATAGTGAGGGAAAGAGTGCTTCAGAGCTCGAATCATGGCGACGCAAGTGACCGCGGAGTACACAGCAAGGAACACGTTGTGGAAAATGACGAACGCATAGAACGGGCGAGACTTGCTAATCTTCCAGGCCTTGTTCCCATTCTTGCGGTTGTACCAGTTGAGCAAGCAGACAGTTGTCGCATATACCGACGCAATCGCCAATGGGACGTAGGGTGACAAGGCCGCATTGTAGATGTTGGCAGGTATAGGGAAGGGGTTCTTGAAGGTGTATTCGTTGGACGGCGGAGGTAGTGCGGGAGGCGCTGGGTCTGGGGGAAATTTGAAGACGGACCAGGAGGGCAGATCGCCCGGGTAGACACTAGGCCCTGCGCCAGACATGGTGGTGTTGTAGCTTGGATTCTTGTGGTGTTGACGAGGATCTGGAATGCGCCGATATCGGTGTTGATGGTGGGCGTAGCGAATTGACTCGAACGGGTGTGAAAGGAAGCCTAAGTAATAGAGAGCGGGCGCTATCTCTCGTATTGCGATGCGAGGGAACGCTGCGGTCGGAGGGAAGGGTGCGGCCTGGAGGACAAGCGGTGTGGAGAAGTTGTTGAAACGGCTGCCTCAATCCCTGGTGGAGAGCGATGGAGACGAAAGCTGAAGCCCGGGAGAGCCAATGGCTAAAGCTTAGGCAGTGCTATCATATAAAGGTCAGTTTCTGTAGCCAACAGACTTGTACTGCGAGGGGTGTTAACATACCGTCCTGGTTGCGGGAGCTGTGGCACGCGAGGGCTTGCTGCAGCGAATTGCACTCCACGTGGGAGCAACGAGCAATTTCTAGAGCTGAAAAGAAGGGAGAGCAATGTGTGTCTGGGGAGATGCTCGGCGGGCTGGCGTCGTGGTTCTTGAGTGTCGACGCTGGGGTAGGAAGAAAGGGCGAAAGTGTTGGTGATGGAAAATCAACGGCAGGCACGGGCCATTTGTCCTGCCAATCACTAAAAATTTTGGGCTGTGACATCAACCGAGGCGCCGCGCTGCGCTGGGACTGGTTCGGGTCTGGCGCTGAGATGCACGATCGAGCACGTGATTAGAGCTGCCGTTGAATCCCGACGCCGTTGCGGCGGTTTCTACGCGATCTGGCATAGGCAGGCATACCAAGCAGCCTAGTTCGCAAGTCTAGCTACTTGGAGGTGTGCGCAGGCTCAGGAACAAAGCGAATTGCTCCCTTTGTTCTTCGCAACTTCGCAACGTGCCGCAGCCTTGCATACGAGGATGCCGTCGAGCCCTGGTCTGCCCTCTGGCCCGAGCTTGCGAGAGCGAGATAATGTGGGGAAACGGCACATATGTTGACGACCAGTTTGTGTTGAGAGCACACAAGCCGCATTAGCACGCCTCCACCTCGGCCTCAACACATGCCTTTATGGCCCCGTTGGACCGCCTCTACGGCAGGCGTAGAGATACGCTTATCAGGACATTTCGTGGCAGCACCTCAACAGCTTAATCAACGGGAGCGCAAGCATGCAGGATAAGGACACGTGAACCATTACAGGGATTTGATTGCTTAAAACTTTGGTTTGCTTCCCAGAGGTACCGGCGGGGGTTTACCAGGACTCGTAGGGCTCGTAGGGCTTGTCGTGATATCTTTCTTCTTCGGAGGCGGCGGAGGGGGTGCCTTCTTACCAATCCCGCTCTGCGTCGGAGACTGCGGGGGAGGAGATGAGGTCGATTGCGAAGCTGCAGTGTTGAACCTGTCGCTAAGGCCATATTTCTGGTTGAGGCCGCTTGCTGCTCGCCATCCTGCCGCCGCTTGTTCTCCATGTCTCTCACGGAAGTTGTTCGCCGTCGACGCTGCACTCCTCATGTCTGTCATGGACACTTTGGAGGGGTCGTCGCGCAAGTTACCAGCAGTCTTCAGCGCTGCTTGTTTCTGCGCCCAAGTAGTACCAGTCACAGGAGCCTCGGACGATGGCGTCGACATCTTGGCAAATCTAGATTGCAATTCGCTCAGCTGCGACCCTTGACTTGCGTCTGCCGTTGCGAAAGCAGGCGCATTCGGTGGTGTTTTTTGGCGAGGCGGCACCGGCGGCGAAGCATTGCGAGCAATATTCAAGCCAGGGACAGATACGCCTGCCCGCCCTAGTCGGTTGAGCGCGCCCTGATTGAGATATCCTTGTGACGTGGTATTATCCCGCGACGTCTCGCTGTACGGAGGGGGCGGCTCTGGGGCACTGGCATCGGGATGTGAGTTCTGTCGCGGAGGTAGCCTGGGAGGGAGTCTCGGTTTGGGATTTGAAGGCCCTGTTGTAGTCGGAGATGCCACCGCCGAACCCGGCCTAAACGCGGGCGGCTTGGGGAGATGCGCAGTGCTAAGTCCCGTTGTGTCTGCTTTGTATGGCCCCGGCGGCGGCTTGTGCGCCTCTTCTTCTCTTGCTTGTGCTTCCTGTGCCTCCTGCAATCTTTGCCTTGCGGAGCCTTGGACAGGTGCTCCAAGTCCGCCCGTATCCGCAGATGTCGAGCTTGCGCTCGGAGAAGCCGCTGCCGCTCCGTAGGCTACGCGTTTAGGAGGAGGACCAAATGACGCAGGGTCTTTCAGGGTGGCCAGTGGGGCAGACTGGTGCTCGCGCGCAGCCTCATTCGGGTCCTTTCCTTTGCCCATCCATCCTGCCTGCACCGCCAAAGTCAGTCAAGGCGGGAGAGTCGGAACGGGTTGGACGGACCACTGTGTTGACGCCCTTGAAGTCGCCCCTCCAGCTCTCCTTTCCGCCGTCTTTCCCTTTGGAGTGCCAGCCGCCTTTGGCGATATCTCTGAGGCCGCTCATGTTGGCGACGGAAGTGCTGCGAGCCCGTGGCGCGCTCGTGATGGATAACCGAAAGCGCGGGCCGATGACGCAAGGCTGCCAAGGATGATGGGTTATTCAGCGCCCGCGTCCTGGATGGCTCCACCACTCCGGCGTCCCCGAGATATCCCACCGCGCTGATGCACTGCACTCCCAAAATACCAAGTCTTGCATACGCCCACGGCTAGAATACATTCGGAAAGCGACCTACCTCTGCCCGTCTCGTTCGGAGCGCGCAGCATCTTGGACTTGCGGGAGAGCAATGCGAGGGAGTGTTGCTGCACGGCGATCTCTATCGATCTTTATCAATTGCCCTGTTGTACGGCTGACACTCTGGTCCGCTTGTGCTACCGAGCGGACTCTTGTTGCAGCGTGCATCACCATCGCATTCCGTGTTACCCCACGACGAGCAGCGACTGGACGCTTTCTGGTGTCGCAACGGCAGGTCGGCCTCCCCAAACACCGACCCAACTGGCGCTGGAGGCGTGGACTACATGAGGCCTGACTGCGTCTGGACGGTGCATGGACGATTGGATGAGCTCATCGCTTTCCGAAACAGTGGTACATGCACTTTACGGAACCAGAAATGGCAGTGTTGAAGCGTGCTGGAGCCTGTCATCGACTGACGCCCTACCATGCCGCAGAGTACTGTAGTGGTACAGAAGCACCAATCAACCCGGCATGATCGGCAAGGCATGGTGAGTCTCACAGAAAGCCGGCAAGCCCTGCCGCGCTGTCGCTTCTTTGTTTTCCTCTCTCCCGCCATGCGTGGTTTCAAACAGCATGCCGACAAACCCTGGCGCCGCCGCACGTCTCGATGTCTTCTCTTCAGCGTGCGTTCCGTCGAAGGCGGAGCACCGGTATTTGTTTCTGGGCCACAGCGCAGTGATCGACATGGTGGAGCTAGCTTGCTTAGGCCAAGCCATAAATATCACCTTTCCGAGCGAGTGGGGTGAGGTTGTTCCCGCCTCTGCGTCGAGGCTGTGCAGACGCCTGCACCCATTCTGCAGCCAACCTCTCCTCAGCTCGGGTCCCGGACTGCTGGCCAGCTGGCTTGCCAGAATGTGGAAAGACACAATAATGTCTGCGCCTCTGCTGCGCTCTTCTTCGGACGAGCAACCTTTCCTCCTCCCTCTGCTCCTGAGGCTCGCTCTAACCCCTCAAGACGCTCGTTTCTTTATCCCTTGAGTGTGCAACCGCTTCGCTCTAGCGTCATCGACGGCCGCATTCCCCGAAAGTCTTCTACTGTGGTACTAGGGCGTAGCCTGCCTCGCGAGCCGTCAACCGGCCCCGCACTCCATGCTGTGAACAAAACCGTGAGATCAGCAACCAGTCTTGGAATTCGCTTCGCTGGCATCGGTGACCATAGGGCTTCCTGCCGCTCGACCCCAGCAAAGAACCTATCAAACCCGCCATTGCTCACTCCCCCCAACTTGAGTTCTGACACTGCCTCTGAATTGTGTCAGACGCCCACCTTCTCAAGCCCATACCTACGCAGGCCTATCGGACATGGCTCCCCCGTATGACTGGCTTGACGCTCATAAGGAAGAGGAGGACGAGTCGCGCTGGGAGTCCTTTTATGATGACCTGACCGCAGACCCCGCGGCATCAACCCCAGGACCTGAGGACCCGTATACCACGGACGACGACCACGAACCGCACACGGGGATGCCTCACTTCACGGGACCCTACACCAAGTCGTTCTCGAGACCGCCCTTTGGGTCGTCATTCACTGGAATAACGCAGCCTACAGACACTTTCGTCACGTCGCCCTATAGTGGCTCACCATATCCCGAGCATACAGGCGCCTCAGCTTCTGTAGGGTCCGATGGGAGCCCGTTGCCTTCCGCAAGTCATGCCGACGGCTTCAGGACGGATTCGCCTGACGGAGCAAGAAAGGCACAGTCGCACCACTCAGCCTTGTATGCTGCTGCCGGAATCGTGCCGGTAGTGGCTCTGATCATTATCGGTGCCGCCATCTTCTTCTGTCTGCGAAAGAAAAGGAAGCAGAAACAGATTGCTGCTACTCAGGCTCAAGTTCAGCAGATGAAGGCGAGGAGCAATCCTATCGGGACCAACCCCATCGTGTCAGCTTTTGCACAAATGGCATCACCTCCCGTACCTCCCCGGCAGCCTTCGTACACTGGTCCTCCAAGTCACCCACCTCCTGCTAGTCCGACCTCTGCCCAGCCTGTCATTCTGGGCCCAATTTCATCGGGCGCCAACGGCAACTACATGACCGGTATCGATACCTCGGACGTCGTGTCCGTGACCAACAACGAGCGCACCGGCCTTGGTGATCCGTTCGCCGACGGCAACAGCCTCAACGAAGAGCCGCCCCCACCATACCGGCCTCGAAGCGTCGCTCCGTTGTCGCGCGACACGAGCCTCCGAGTGCCTCAAGCAGCCACTTCATCGCAAACCAACCTTGTGGGCCGCCACGAGCAGCCCGAACGATCGCCGTTTGACGACCCCGAAGACGACGAGGCGGTGTCAGACATCTCAGGGCCTACTCTTCGAAGAGACCAGGACAACATGTCAGCCGTATCCGACCTGTCATATCAACAAGACCCTGTGGTGGGGAGAGCAGTGTGAAGCTTAGGCAAGCATTTGAATTCTCTTTCCGCATCCATGTAAATATTGCTGTTTGTGGGCGAGGAGTTCGGAGCACGGCGGTGCGTCCCTTACGGCGCGGAGGAAATGCTTTCGGCAAGCTAAGAGGAGGATCGATCCAGGTCAGCTCGACTATTCGTATCTGTAAGGCAAGGTGGTCGTCCGCCAGGCCCTCTGCAGGTGCAGCAGTTTCTTTTCAGCGCATGCCATGTCGGCGCTCGCAAATCGTACCGGGGTGTTTGTAGGACTTTTTATTTCTTGGAGGACACGAAGGCATGGGAGCATGAAGAAGGGAGGTTATATATAGCACCAATACTAATGCAACACCTTTTACGACATGCGAAGTTTGGTACCGATGGGCAGTTTTGTTCGCCCGAGTGTACGGTGTACCCCTCGTTGTCGAGCAGGGTTCGGATAGCGGCTGACAAGATGAGTTCGCCCACTCTATTGACCTGTCAAAGTGTAAGATGGTAGGTTGGCCCCTTTCCAGGCGGCGGGGCAGGTAGAATGACGACAAGGGACCTCCGAGGCCTAGACGGAATATTGCTTGTTCAATGGCGACATGGCGGGCGCCGACTCAGCTCCCCTTGGACGAGGGCTTTGTACCTTGCATGAGGGCGACATTAGGAGCTGTGGTCGTAGCGAGATGCGATGCTAGGGCAGCAGACAGTGGGTCCGTCGGATAGGGCAACACCACACACGATGGGCAGAGAAACGATTCCGCGATGGGCGTTTCAAAACGCTATTGTACCTGGGCAGTTCGGCGGGGTTCCCTTCTGAAGCCCTCGGCAATGGCGAAATCAAGATCGCCATGGGATTTCTAACGCCAGCGGTAACCACATTCTGCGCAGCAATCCGGCCCCAGTGCTCGAGAGGTGAAGTGGGCGGCCGCCCCGACTCAACACGGACCGGCTCAACTCTTCCAAACATCAGGCGGCAATTCGTCCGGTAGGAAGGGCTCGCACAACGTCCAGCGCGTGCGATTGGCCGGATTAACCGCATTTCCAGAGATGGCCTACATGGTCGACTCCTCGCTTGAGCGGGCAGGGGCCAAGGCATAAGGCCGCAGATTAAACAGCAGCTGCCACGGCCGTGATAGGCCCATTTGCTGCTTCGAGCTGTGGGCAGCGCCATTGACGTTGGCACGCTCAGGAGTGCAGACGGAGAGAGATGAGTTCGCGCGGACGGCTTCAGGAGTTTGCAGGAAGGGAGAGGGGCGCGAGCGGGCTGAGTGGTTGTCGCGAGCCCGCTGGCAGCCGTCGAGGGGCGGATTCTGGCGCGAACTCTGGGCGGATGCCCGTCTGCGAGCTGCTATTCACCACCAACCCGCGCATCCTCCTCAGCCCTCCTGCGGCCGTGCCGTTTGCCATCTGGCATATCGCTGTCTGCGGGCGCCCGCTAGCAGGCGAGCCATTCTTCGCTCAGTCGTCCCGCGGTGCTGGCGAGCTGCCGGCGGCGAGCATGCCTCCGCCGCCGTGCCCGTGAATGTCGTCCTCACACCCTCGTCCCTACCAATAATGAACCTTATGCCACCCCATCCCCGCGAACATGGCTCCCGCCCAGTGCGGCGCGGTACCTGATCTGCTGCCGCAGTCTCCCTAGGCTCAGGAGAGACGCACGCATTCCTGTGCCGGGCTGGTCGCCGGGCCACCGTGGTGGGTACGTCCAATTATCCATTGTTGCGAGCAGCAGCAATTCTCTGCGAACGCTGCCCGGCCCCACTGCCCTCGCTACGTGCACGCAGACGCTCGCCGTCATTCCTCCGGCCACCCTGTCTAAGCGTTGGAGCCCCCTCTGGCCTGCAGACGGCGCGCCTGCCAGCCGTTGCGTCGCCCCTTCCTTCTCCACCTGTGCTGTACCTGCAGCAGGTCTCACCGCACCCACCCACCCCAGGCACTGCCGCTCCGACCGTCCTACCACGTACCACGGCGTCTCTGCCCTATCCTAATTGCCTCTGCTCCAGGCCCGCTCCTCGAGACAGCACGAAATCTCTGTCAGAGCCCCTCGTCCTCATCCATCCCCGCCGCCCTCGACGCCTCCCTCCCCCCGCCGTCCGCTGCTTGATATAGCCCGCTTCATGGTCTCTGGGGCGCCGACACCGTTTCACCGGCTTTGCTATGAGTCTGGATCAGCATATATATGGGTATGGACTCCCCTTCTGCCCGGTTCAAGCTCCATGTGCCCCCATCGAGGGAGCTTTGAGGGACACAATGACGGCATGGCGCCCGGGCAACGAGCTGCGAGAATGGCCACCGCGGCGCTTCCAATGGCTTTTCTGCCTGTTGGTAGAGCGAGAATCTGTCAGACGGGCTTCTCAATCGCTCTTTAGCCTAGGCAGAGGCAGGCAGCACCGCACGGTTGCCGTTCTTGGGCTCCATGCATCCGGCCCCAAGCTTCCCCTCAAAACTTCATTCCAGCGTCGTTTCTACATTTTGCAAGCCCGAGAGGGCCCCAGTTGTTCAACGCTGGTATTTTCCATAATCGTCATCTCTCATTGAACAATTTTGCCGGCCTCCACTTTCCTTAAGCGAATCCTCCGGGTGTTTCAAAAGCTAACCAGTGTGGTGGCTCGCCAGATCAACGGATTGGCACCTTCCCAGTCCTTCCTCCACTCCAAAGTCCCTGACCTTTCCGGACTCGACGCTGAAGACGCCCAAGACTGAGGCCTTTCCTCAGTCGCACTTCCTCGACGCCTGGTCAACCCCCCGAGTCAATGGGCACAAGACCCCCGCCCAGACGCCGTCCTTCACCCTCTCGACGCCCATAGACCGGCCGTCCAGTTCGTATAGCCAGAACGCTCGCACTCCCGAAGACCCAGAATTCCATGTCAACCATTTTGCCGCGAGCGCTCTACCACTGCCCCCTGTCGACCCTTCACGCCGGCTGTCATCCTCGCCAGACCCGCACTCCGTGAAACAGACTAGGCCCACCCTGCGCGAGAACCCATCATCTCGGCCCCGGCCAGTCAGTATGGACACTTCGCAGATGCAGACACCGCCCCCGACGAGGGATGCTACATCGAGACGGAGCTTGCAGCAGCATGCGGGGAACGAGTTCGCTACACCGGCTACTGTGATAGCGCGGACTCCAGGCCAGGCGCCACCATCGGCGGGTCTCTTCAACCAGACGCCGTTTGGATTCCCAAGTCTGCAGTTCTCCCCAGATATGGTCCAGTTTCCCAGCACGGGTCCGATGTCTGCGCCGCCTTTGCCGCACTCTCGGTTATTCTGGGATCAACCGAGCGAGGGCAACCAAATGGACGTAGACATGCCCCTTGCATCAGATCCTTTCGGTCCGACGCCGCACAAGATTGAAGGAAACCTGAATTGGCAATCGTTTCACACACCAGCTGACAATCAGATGAATCCTCAGGCTTTCCAGGCCCTTCATGGCATGTCGTCACCAGGACCGATGACCTCTTTTGCAACCAGCCACGGTGGGGGTGGACAAAACTCAAGACCCGCTTCATTCATCTCAACGTCTGGTGGCGTCGACCCTAGCATGCTTTTTAGCTTCTCGAGCCCTGGGCCTAACGCCTCGTTCGACCACTCTATGCCGCATGCGAGCAAGCAGGTTGACCCTAGACAGCCGTATGAGACACAGCTGCTGGACTCTATGCGAGAAAGGGAGTTGACCAGGAAAGCAAAGAGCCAGCATTCTCGTACCAGTACCAATTCCTCTACCGCCTCGTTTGAACAGGCCAGGCCCGGCTTGCAAAGAAGTAATACCGACAGCGGTTTCAGGAAGAGTAGGCCGTCGTCGATGGATTCGAGGTCATCAGGGGCAGGTTCCAGCCATAACATCCCTCGTCGTTCTTCCCCTCTTAAACGGCAGAGTGGTGGCTCACTCATGGCCATTCCGGAGGTTCGCAGACCTCGAACCCGCCTTGTCATCGATGAGACTGGTCGAGCTAGGACGGAGACTGTTCCCGCCGATGAGGATGAACGGGACACCCGTAGGGACTCTCAAAAGGATTTGAGGCGCCAGTATCCCGGTCTTTGGGCTGAGGATGACAGTGAGTCAGAGCCAGAGGAACCCGTCACGCTAAGCCGGAACGCTTCATTCAACCTACCTCAACGCCGGCCTTCGAAGCACGCTCGGACCGACAGTGGCGAACTTAACCGATCCACTTCATTTAAGATACCAAGGCCGTTGTCAAGACCGTCGTCTGGCGTCTTTGATAAGCCCTCCTTTGAGACAATACGCCCTGTTAGGAAAGCGCCAGATAACGCCCATCGAAGATTTAGCATGATGGACTTTCCTACTTCTTTCGGCGATATCAAGGAGAACGAGGATCAGCAGATGCCGGATTCGCCCGGTGATGCCTTGGGAGCGTTGAAGAAGGTTGTCGAAGGTCGGCAGAAGAGGATAGGTATGATGATTGATATCGCTCGCTGGTGTCTTGCTAACCTGTTCAGAACGCACAGCCCACAATACCCTCAAAGCACACAATCAGCGCTGGGCGCAAGCCTCTGCAGATCTCAACACAACTTCCGGCCCCTACGACCCCTTTAGCAACTGTTTCAATGGTTCACCAGGAAACACCACTGACACCTCCCTCACCACACCGTCAACCGACCGGAGCAGTCTCTCAAGCGATAGCACACGCTGTGTCTGCAATGGTATTGACGATGGCCGACCTATGGTCCAATGCGAATCCTGCACCAAGTGGTTACACATGGTTTGTATTGGCATGGACGCGAATAATCTCCCTCCCGTCTACGTGTGCATCTTCTGCACCGGACAGACACCAATTGCAAGGGGTGGTAGAGTCAGAGGCCCCATACCAGCACCGTTTGACTCGCCCCTCACGCACAAGTCGGTCTACCGACGATAACCACCAATATATATCCCACCTTTACCGGCACCACGACACACCCATGCCCGGCACACCCGTGCGCCCACCCACACGCCAGCCCCAAGCGTGCACCTTCGCCATGCGACTTCCCAGGATACCCGAGGCCCAAATCGGCACTTTGTTTCCCATTTAGCATATCGAATCTCCTTGATCGTTCGAATTTCGATTTCTGTCCCACCTTCCAGCGTTGATTGAGCAAGCAAGCAAACATCTATACACCTGCATACCCTCACCGGTACCATTCACGACAGTCCTTACATCTCTTAATAATGGATCCGCCAACCCTTGCCACCGACCAACTCGTAATCGACAAACCTCCACCTTCGTCTCCCGCAGGCTCAGGAGTTCGGCTGGGGCTCTTTCTAATGTCTTGTCATTTCCTTCCTTTAAGGGGACGATATATGAGTGCGATCTAGAAGTAATGCTGACGAGCTTACGTTCTTTTTCTTGTGTTGTTCTTTACGCTCCTTTACGATAGTTTACGATGGAATCTTTGATGGATTGTTACGGCTGGGTCTTTGGTATACTTAATGAGTTCTTAGGCATGCGTCAGCAACGAGGGGCGGAAGAGAGAGGTGAGGGGAAATGGGTTGTGTAGATACGCTTGCCAAGAAATCCGACAAACACATTGGAAATCTTGAACAATATCCTTCGTTCCTCTATAGGCTACTGTGGCCATGACCTTCGATATTGTGGTTCACGCCAAGCCCGCACAAGCGAGCAAAAATTCACCACCCCAAACACTCCTGCTAGCAAGCAAGCCAAAAAAAAGACGTCACCAGAACAAAAACAAAATACGAAGCCCATGGGGCTCGAACCCACAACCTTTGGTGTATCAGGCTACAACCGCCGAAAACCAACGCGCTACCATTGCGCCAAGGCTCCTTCAATTCTGAGAACTTTTGCGCCTAGAATATACATATACTGGAGCTAAAAAAACGGAAGAAGAAATGTGCTGTACAAATGCTAATCATAGCGGTTTTACTGGCTTTCCGAGCGTGGAATATGTTTGCTAAGTGGTGGCAAGTCAAAAGTGGGGCGGGAAACTGTTGGGGAGGGGTACAGTGGTGGCCTTTAAGGGGATTTGTGCAAATCTGTGCAAATCTGTGCAATTGTAGATACGTGCAGTGATGGCGGCTCTCGCGTAGGAGAATTCTATCATTTTACCCCTAATGTCTTTCCGCAAGTTTGCTTTTCCTCTTTCTTCCTTCCATGCTACGGCGCCACATTGTGGCGTGGCGGTGGAGCTGAGTAATAGCGTATAGTTGACGAAGAGCCGACTAACGGACGGTTCAACATCAATAATGACTCATCTACGATGGCACTTAGCTTAGGTGGTATTATCCAAAAGCGCTTTACGGTCGTACGGCTGCGCTGGATATTGGGTCCCTTCCCTCTCGAGTGAGGTAGGTTTGCAATTGCAAGGACAATGAATGCCATTTCGTTAGGCTGGATCGTAGGCATAGAGTTTTCTTTTCTTTAACATACTTATGGGCGGCAGGCGGAGGCTATAACGCATCTATCCTATGTCTTTGGGGGTATGCTACGTTTAGGCGATTGCGCCGTCGGGGAAGGAGCAGGAAGATGCGGAAACAAGTAAGGTAAAAATATCATGAACTCCGAATGCATCCACCGAGCCAATATCTCGGGAGGCCGGTACGTCCTCTGCTGCAGGAAATGCATCTACGACCGGGGCAACTACAGTCTCTCCCGGCTCGGGCCAGGTTCGGACAGCGGCGTCGTATCGCCTCTTCCCGCCACAGCCTGGAGGACTTTGATGGACGGCTTAGACTGACAAGCTACGAACTTTACTCGCTCCGTTGACTGCATTCCCGGAAGTGTGTGCCCGGCGAGAAACGCTCTACGGATCAGAAATCTAGACTCGAGGTCGGAATTGGATCCATGGGAGGCGAAGCAGGGGTTTATGGTAGGATAAGGAGAGGAATGAGATGCTGGGGCCAGAGGAAGTGGGTTTGACGATGGCGAAGGAGACGATGAGGGCTGAGGATCTGGAGATTCGGGTGGTGAGGGCGCGATCACAAGACGCATGTTACGAGAGACTTTGGGATGGGTATAAGTGGAAGAAGTGGAGAGAGTTAGTTATGCAAGGAGAGTGAGACGGGAAAGACAAGATCGCAGCTTCATGGACACGCGAAGCATCACCAAGATAGAAGAAGCGGCACGCAGGCGAGCCGCTAATTAAAGACCCTTTTCTCCACGTACTAAGCAAGGTCATCGTTCTGTTCGGATTCTCCTCGTTCATACCTGCTGCCCCTGAACTTCGCTTCTCGTCGTGCTGGTCGTACAACACCAAGAATGCGGAGACTCATTTCCGTCAACAAGGGATGCCGTATCAATATAAGATCGGATACACTAGGACGCTTAATATATACGATCGCTGTCTCACTCGTCGCTTCAGGTTTTACACTATGCACATCATGAAGTTCACTACAACCCTCTTCACCCTCGCTTCCACAATCCTCGCCGCTCCAGCTTCTAATACCAAAGCCCTTGTCGCCAGGTCCGCTCTCTCTCTATCCCTCTTACACACTCCACTGATCCCGTATAGAGACACCCCAGCGACTATTCACCTCTACATCTGCGCCGACGCGGGCTTCAAAGGCACCTGCGAGAACCTGCATCTCGATCCCGGAAAATGCTGTACTTCTCCCTCTACGCACTTCCTTTGAGCCTCCCAGTCGCCTTCTAATCGCACTCAGATAACGCGCCCAACCAGTGGAACAAGAATATTTCCTCGGCTGGCCCAGATAACGGGACCTTCTGTGCTCTATATCCGTTGGTCCCTCTCCTCCACTCTACGCCGTTTCACATATTAAGTGACGCACAGCGAGTACGATTGCCATGGAAAAGCGCTGCCATTCACGTTTCCTGGAATGAGAGCCTTGTCGCACTATGGGTTCGATGATACAAGCAGTTCGTATCGGTGTGAATTCCTTGGGGGGTTCAATGGAGCCTAACAGCGAGATTGGTCGGGAATGTGAATGTAGTAAGAAGGGGAGGACGGGTTGTGGGATGAAGCAAGACAGCGGGGACGTCGGTGCAACGGCGCAATAGCAGCTTCAACTCTATTTGCCACCTCGTCAACTGTGTAGGAATTGCAGATGGAAGGTCCAACATGAATAATTGAGCGCATTCTAACAACTATCAGGGCAGTCAACAGAACGCAAAGCTGGTTTGACCGTATTATAGCAATATGTTCCAATCACGAGCGTCAGCGTGCAGAAGGCTCTGAATAAAACCAGTATCTTAGCTTAGACAGTGTACTGCTTTTGCCACGAAAACCCGTTCTCCTAGCGCCCGAAACGCCATGTATCCCTCGAGACCGAGGCATGTGAGTAGACCGATCCAAATCGTCAACCATGAAAGCGAAGGAAAACCTCTACCTAGGCTAGCATACCCCTCCTATGATGACCGTTGATAGATACCCGCAACGATAGCGTGATCACGTTCGAACGGCTCGAGCGTCAACTGCTCTTTCGGCTTGATTCCCAATTCCCTCAGCTTCTGGACCTCCGCGGCGAACACAGCCTCGGGGGCGGCGGTGGAGTCTATGAACACGTCAGTACATATTAGACGTTGATGCACAGTTTAATGGTAACATACCTATACAGTTGGCCTTGATAGAGATCAGTACGCCGCCGCCGACCTTGAGAAACTGAGATGCGTTGTATCCCACGATACGAGCTTGGTCTGAAGGGTATTAGCGTGAAATCTTATATAAGAATGGTTGTAGCCGCATTAATGCAAGGCAGACCCGATATATAGATGCAAATATGACCTACCAGGTTGAGCCACATCCGCGAAAATGACATCGACCATCGGGAGAAGCTAACAAGTTTCCTTTATCAGTTACGAATCTAGGGAAATGCTCATCTTTGGGGCCTACCATTCTGTATTTCAGGGGGTGTCTCGCGTCTTCGACGATAGGTATCACATTGGTACGATGTGTTCTGATATGGCGGTATGATTAGCAAGCGTCAGTGTTCGAACGACTGGGCTAACCTACGCCATGTTGATCAGATCACGACCAGATCGGTGACTGAACTCGACCGCGTATACAGTTCCTTCTGGGCCGCTTTAGGTAGCGGTTTGATTAGCGTATGTCCCCGTGGGTATTCGTACCCCTAATTCCACGAGCTGACTTACACAATGTCGGCCACGTGAGAGACACTCGTCCCACTGGCGGCACCAAGATAGAGCACTTTGCTTCCAGGCTTGATATATATGTCGTCCACGCCGCCCAAAATCGCCGCTGCAAGCTTGCTTCGGAATGGGTTCCAGACGCGGTACTCAGTCGTAGTCGCCGGGGCGTCTTCACCGTTGACGCCGGTCGCTGTATTAGAGATTGAGATGCGCTTCTCGCCGTAGACGCTCTCTCCAGGGGTGAGGTTCTTTGTGAGGAGCACTGCGGCAGGGTCAGTACAGTCGTCCCAGCGTTTCGAACGTACGACTGACGATCTTCTTTTCCTCTTCCGACAAAGACGCCCGCATGGCGATGAGCTTCGACAATAACCTTGCTGCGAGTCTTTAGCATGAGCCAAGGGTTGGTGATGACTTCAAGGCTACTCACGCTCCTCCCTGGCTTCCCCTACCGGGAGGCTTTCCTCCCCTTCCGCCGCGGCTACCACCTCGCCCTCTTGGTGCTCCGCGTCCGCGCTGCAATCCCTCTATTAGCCTCTGAGTCGTATACAGACTGCAACGGCGACACTCACCGAAGGAGCTCCGCCTCTTCCGCCACCAAAACCGCCACGACCTCCACCTCGACTTCCACCCCGACCTCCACGGTCGCCAAATCTGCGCGGTATATGTGAGCATACGTCCTGAACGATGAGAGGAGGTGAGTGCAAAGGGATTGAGAACGAGACCTGGAGAGTTCCAGGTTGTAACCCACGTACCCGCCTCGACCGCCACGGCCACCTCTAGGTGCTGAGAATGCCATCGTATCAGTCTGTCTGTAGTAGTCGCTGTGTCCGGGCGCCGGGATGTAAGATGCGCTGTGCAGTTGCGCTGTATTGTCGCTCTTTCCGCGAGGCTATCCGCTGTGTACGGGTTTCAAATTGCGAGGCAATCGCACTATGATTGCCGTTATCCGCTTGCTGCCCTGTTCTTGTCGTCTGCGGAAGGCTGAATGGTGCGGAGGACGTGAGCTGTATAGCAGGTGGAGGTTGGGGTTGGGGCTCCGCAGGAAAAAGTTCGAGCTCCCGGGTCGGCCAAACGTTTTGCCGGTAGCCCACAAGCGACGATTTTGCAAGAAGCGAGCAACGGAACGACCTCAACTAACAACACAGGACTCATCCACCGCACACACGATGGTACGTCGACGCCTTGCACATACCCGCCATATATTCGCTCTGCAAAATTATCGCTCTCGAATTGCGACCGCAGCTAATTGGTATCGCAGGTCCGCTACGCTGCAACCAGCATCGACAACGCAAAGTCCGCCCGGGCTCGCGGCAGCTACCTCCGCACCTCGTTCAAGAACACCCGCGAGACAGCGCAGGCGATTAACGGATGGAAGCTTGAGCGCGCTCTTGCTTTCCTCAACAATGTGCTGGAGAAGAAGGAGGCCGTTCCCATGAGGCGATATGCCGGCAGCACTGGCCGGACCGCGCAGGGTGAGTGGCTCCAGACCTATTGGCTGAGCTAGGCGGGGAGTTGCCTTTGAGAAAAATGGCAGAATGCATAGCACAACTTGAAACCGGATTGGATGTGGGCGGGATCGATTTGTGGATATTTGGCTGACAGCGAGCAGGCAAGGCATTCGGTGTCTCCAAGGCCCGCTGGCCGGTCAAGTCCGCCGAGTTCCTCCTCGGTCTCCTCAAGAACGCTGAGGCCAACGCCGATACCAAGGGCCTCGACACCAGCAACTTGGTCGTTAAGCACATCCAGGTCAACCAGGCCCCGAAGCAGCGGAGGCGCACATACCGTGCCCACGGCCGTGTACGTACCACTAACCCCTATGCATGCGATTCACACTGATATGACTTCTAGATCAACCCCTACATGTCGAACCCATGCCACATCGAGCTCATCCTTACCGAGGGTACCGAGGCCGTGCAGAAGTCCCCGCAAGCCCTTGACCGCGCCCGATTGAACTCCAGGCAGCGTGGCCGTGAGGCCCGCCGGGCCATCACTGCTGCGTAGAGGAAGAAGGATCAGGGGACTGGCATTCGGTGCTGAGAAAACGGAGACAGCATGGGCACGGTCTAGGAGTCAATGAGCGAATGATCAAAGGGTTTTCCATACCTTATGTATGCTCCGGCATGATTGGGACTTCATTTCTCCGGTGTCTGGTCGTTAAAATATAAGGCCAAGGCCCGTTTCCCAAACCCTCTCGCCCCTTTCTCTTCACATCGCTTCGATTTCTACCAGGAACTGCTAAACATGGCCACAAGTAAGGAGAGCAAGATCATCAAAGCCCGGCTTATGAAGAGTTGCCCCGCCGCGCTCTCTCCCTTCTGCCCCTCTTGGAAACCATTCGCCTCCCCACCCATATACAGGGCTCCAAGCTCCGTCAATCCTCCATCCTCATCGAACAGTGCCACACCATCACCGGTCCACTCATTTGCATCGTCTGTCCTAAAAGCCCCAAACCATGCATACTTCTCCACATACTCCTGTTGATCCAAATAAGGAAGTGTCTGGTTCATCATTTGCACTGTAGCCTGCGCATCCGCCTGCGGAAGCGCCAGCTCGGTGACCCAAATCATCAGCGGTGGATCCCTTGACGTGTTCGTATTGTAAAACTCATTCAACGTTCCCAGCCAGCCCGCTAGCCCGGGGAATCCGCCGTACCAATGCGCTGCAATAAAGTCCGTGGGACATCCATTCTGCTCGTCAATCTCGTGGCAGGATTCGTTGAAGCGGCGAAGCCAGTCGAGCCCGTTGGGAGATCCGGTTGTGGAAGGATGCGAGATCTTCCATGCGCGGTTTGAGGATTGGTAAGGAACAATGTGGTTGATGTAGGCGCGAGCTGCATCGGAGGGCGAGATGCTACTCCCGCCGCTGGAGGTGGTGCCGTCGGGCTCATTGAAGGACAGGAGGTGTGTGCTAGAATCCGGAAGGCTCTCAATGGCATCCTGTGTCTGGCCGCTTTCTGCTTGATCGATGCCGTGGATCAGAGGGACAAATTCCATGCTATCCGAGGGATCGATTTGAGAGGGCGGGTAGGGGGACCAATTGTAAAACCAGTTTAGTGGCGTTTTGGAGGATGTGAGGAGGGAGTTGTCGGAGTCATGGCTGTCGCCGACAAAGGAGAAGCCGCGCTTGGAGTTTCGATCTTGCGCGAGGGCGTGGCGGGCTAGAATCCCGAGCACCAGGCTCTGGAGCGCTCTACATTTAGGTGCCCTTACTCGGGAACGTGTCGGAGCCATCGTGGTGTTGCTGACGCCTTTACAACGCTTGAACTGAACCTTGTGCTATCTCTTTCTATACATTGAAGTTCGAGTTGCTGGACCCGATGGTATCATCCGGTGCACCATCGTAATCTATCAGTCGATGGCGTCCGCGATAAGAACGTGGCAGTGCCGATGCGCATGGTGAGCTAGGCCTACGTCATGGATCACAACTTGGCAGGCGCCATAGGCGGAAAAGAAGGACGGTCCGCTACGGAGGATGGAATAGATGTTGACAATACTCTACATGGTAGAGGGTTGAGCTCATGTAGAGGTATGAGGACTGTTACGAAGAATCGGTGATGCACGTCCGGTGTTGAGGTGTGTTCACGTTTCAACTCGCGGCTAGATCAGATCCGGCTTAGTAGTCCCCGTTTCGGGGTCTTGCCTTCAAGCTCCAACTTCGAATACGAAGCACTATCACCACCGCGGTAGGATCATAGCAAGATTTTCACAGCCTGTTTGAACTGCTTGGACTTGGACTCGGGCCGAGGAATCTTGGCTGCCCCCCTCCCCGCATTGCCCAAGCCCTCTTGAAGCTTACCGTACGAAGCTTTGTGGCTACCTGACAAGCCGCGGCTGATGATAACAACCTCGCAGAGAGCTTATCGAAATACCGGCTTCAAATGCACCCCAGGGCCTACCCTCCGGTGTTGTTTGGAAACCAACAGCGCACAACCTAGCCTGCAATCCTTCCCGCAGACTCGCGAACCCCCGGATTCTTTAGCCCGCGCACGCAAACAGGGAACCGTCAGCGGCGGCCCGTTCATCCACCAACCCCACAGATCAACCCTTCTGCCAACCGTTTTATCCAACAACGCCGTCAAAACGCCGACTCACAACTACCTAGTGCCACCGTAGCATCGGCACTTGCTCGCCCGTCGCTCTGCCAGCGAATCTCAGCGCTTGCTGGCCAGGCCGAACATTGTACCGAACGCCTGCGATCTGATGACACGCGCACATGGCGCGCAGTAGAGAGCCCCGAGACGGGGATGCCATCCTGGTCGGCGGTATATGTAGGTAAATGATTTTCAATTATCTGAAGTAACAGCTTTCTTATCCCTGCCATCGGATCTCGACAAGCTTCGTATAAGTAAAACTTTGTGTGCCCCTCTTGTTGGCTTTGTCCCTCCCCCTTCTTCCGTCTTCTTTCCCTATCACTGCTACATCGCTCTGCCAAGGCTGTTTGTCTGATTCTTCCTACGCACACAAGCCGATCGCGCGAGTTACGGCACATTTCCCTCGGAGTCCAGCAGCACGATGGCTGCAGAAATTGACAATAAGGCTGCGGCCGACCATATTTCGGACGATGTTGTTCCCCCGACAGAACCTGGGCATGGGCCGTCGCACTCGAAGCTTGAAGTCCCGCCACTCGTGGCCGCAATGACCCAAGACCACCGGTTAGAGGCTGAAGCGAGCTTGCGGAGGAAGATCGATACGAGATTGCTCCCTATGATAATTCTCATGTACATCATGAATTATCTGGATAGGAATAACATCGCTGCCGTGCGATTGGCAGGGTTGCAGGATGAGTTGAAGTTGACGAGTACGGAGTATCAGGTATGCCTCCATGCAATTTGAAAATGGGTGTTTTGCATACGCTAGCATGCTGACCTGACACAGACAGTCATCTCTATCCTGTTCGTCGGGTATATCCTCATGCAAATACCCTCGAATCTCTTCCTGAACAAGACCGGAAAGCCTGCCATCTATCTACCGACTTGCATGATCATATGGGGCGTCATCTCCGGCGCAACGGCAGCTTGCCAGAATTTTGGGGGTCTGGTCGCTTGCCGATTTTTCCTCGGATTCATCGAGGCGGCATACTTTCCAGGATGCCTCTTCTATCTATCCTCTTGGTATACGCGGAAGGAGTTAGGTTTCCGAACGGCCGTCCTGTACTCCGGATCTCTCATCTCCGGCGCCTTCGGAGGCCTTGTCACCGCAGGCATTACGAGCAACATGGACTATACCCATGGTCTACGAGCCTGGCGATGGGTCTTTATTATCGAAGGGGTGATCACAGTCATCATTGCGTTCGCGGCCTTCTTCATCCTACCGAACTTCCCACGCACCACAAGCTGGCTCACTGAAGAGGAGCGACAGCTTGCCGCGTATCGCTTGCAAGAGGATGTGGGCGAAGATGACTGGACTTCATCCGAATCACAATCCTTTTTCCATGGATTCAAGCTCGCCATGATGGATATCAAGACTTGGATTCTAATGGTACTCCTACTGGCCATTGTCAATTCCGCCTCGGTAACAAATTTCTTCCCGACGGTCGTGAAGACCCTCGGATATAGCAACGTCAAATCATTGCTGCTTACTGCTCCACCCTACTGCTTGGCCGTTATCACGACCTACCTCAACGCGTGGCACGCCGACAGGACTGGCGAGCGGTTCTTCCACATTACGCTTCCTCTCTGCGTGGGAGTCGCAGCATTCATTCTCTGCGCGGCGACACACGCGATTGCCCCACGATATGTCGCCATGATGCTCATGGTCCCGGGCGTATACACAGGCTACGTCGTTGCGCTTGCCTGGATCTCAAATTCTCTTCCTCGTCCAGCGGCCAAACGCGCTGCTGCGCTGGCCTTCATCAACGCGGTATCGAATGTTAGCTCCATCTGGGCGAGTTACATGTATCCACAGCCACAAGGGAAGAAACAGCCAGACCTGACCGTGCCTTTGAGTGTAGACTGCGCGACCGCCGCACTTGCGATTATAATGGCGGCTATTATGAGGATTGTTCTAGGTCGTTTAAACAAAAAACTAGACAGGGGCGAGCACGTAGAGGGTGCGATCAATGCGGTGCCAGGTGTGGCTCAAGAGCATGGTTTTAGGTTTTTGGTCTAAGAGGATACATGAAGCCTTCTCCGATGAACTAAGTCGCATTATTATCGGGAGTGGGCCTCAGGAATTGTCACTGTTTAATTGTCGGCATTACCTGTCATTGTTCGAGTGGGTTTTCCACCCAACGGGAGTCGGACACCGAGCAGCGGAGACTCGTGGACTCTACGCATGAGATGATTCAGATACATGATTCGCGATGGAACCGAAACACCGCTCTTGAATAAATCGCGGCGTTATTGCTCGTGCATTGGGCGGTAGTGATAGTTCTACCCTTGGAAAGTTGTTCGCCTCGAACATTCCACACGTGACGTCAAACACCTTTCGGGCTTAGGTCGCCGCACGGACCTATCACGCCCGCGTCACGCCCGGCGCTCTTCATAAACCTCCGTCACTCGCTGCACCGCTCGCATCCCAGCCATCGCTGTCTCAGCAATCCTACTCGCACGCGCTATCACTCTAAGCATCTCACCGCCATCGCTTCTCCTCGAATATGATCCTTTCACTCACTCGCAGCCAATCTGAAAGTGTTCTTGGTGCTGCGATTCACTAGGTTACACGGCCAAACCTTGGAAATCCTTGTGCACGTACAATGCATTCACGAGACTGCGATTAATCGACCTACCAGTAACAACCTGTTATTTCTCACCCACTGTCTTATCAACACATTTTGTACCAAAGCGAGCTCGCGAGGTTTACGCGCGGAACGCAGCAACCCCGACCCGTGGACGCGTTTCCATCAGCTGACGCCACTCTACCGACCGCATTCGCGAGGATATATCGGACATGGATTTCTCCAACAGCGCTTTCAGAATTCCTCGATCAGCTCCTACCCTCTCTAACGACACAATGAGCCACACGCAGATGGTTCAGGCCTGTCGTTTCGGATGGGCGGCCGGGCCGAATAGCAATGGCACATCAACGCCACCTGCGCCTCCATCAGCTCCTCCACGAACACCTGCCACAACTTCAACAGATGACACTCGGTCAAGGCGACTCATCCCTTGTCGAGGACGGCTCTATCACCAACTCACATGCTCACATCGAATACGAACGGATCTGGTAGAGGACTGTGGTGCAAATTGTCTCGAGCCATTCGGTGCTGCGTCGAATACCTCGTTCTATTGCCAAGAGTGCGTCGAGAAAGAATGCGCCAAAATTTGGGAAGTGCGCGAAGCTCGACTCAACGCTTTATACCCACCAATAGATCAAATGACAAAGGATCAATACGAGACATGGTACGAGGAGCGTCGCCAGCTCGAAGCTCAGTTTGAGCAAGAGCACAAGAGATTCGCAGTAGGACTCAAGGCCAGTTCACGGCCGAGCAACATCTGTTCCGCGCTCGAAGCAAGCAGGGAGGAAATGGACTTCGCTTCAGAGCTCGATTCGCTTTCCCTTTCATTGATGTCCTCGAACGACAGCACGAGTACTCAGATTCAGCCAACTCGGCATAGGGTCAGTCTGCCGAACGATGCGTCAGAGCAGCTCCACTGGAGTCTCAATTCCCTAGCTATCGACCGCGGTTCTTGCGGGGTCGAGTATTCGGCCTCAAGCCGGACTAATGGGGTCCCAGCCATGCGTTCCATGACCGAAGACGAGCTTTGGAGGAAGCCAAGGGAGCGAAACTGAACACCAACGAAAGAATAGATATTGTAAGATACAAAGGAAGTTGTGCTTGGATGCTGTGAAACATCGGTCGGAGAAAAAGGACGCGGTCCAGCGTTCTAGCAACGCATACCGTAGATATTAAATATCGGGCGGTGTGAATGGGAAAAGCATTGGGCAAAGGGGGGGAGGACTTGATTTTTCCATCGAGCGCTGCGATTTCGGAGCGAATAGAGGGGATTGAAGGTGTTCTGGATGCGAGGAGTGCTCGGAAATGTAATTCTTAGCATCAACGAGGAACGCATCCTGAAGGGCTCGGAGACGACATCCGGATAGTCTTCACCGCACCCAGGCTTGTCAGACCGCCCAGCCAAGTTCGTATAATGGCTCCTCCCCAAAGCCAGTTTTCGTTCTGCTCTGTTCAGATTTCGGCTTGTTATTGGTTGCGCTGTCTGCATCCGCGAACCGCACTCGCCCGCCATTTGCTGGCTCGGCCTTCAGCCCCAATATTGTCCCGCAATAGGCACGTTTGCGACTTTACTTGGACACTGTGACTCTGTGCCCCTTATCTGCCTTTTCTCGTAGCTATTACTCGCCTCGTTGACCCGAGAGAGGAAAAGTCCGGATGGAACGGACCAGGCTCGCGACGCCACCCGGCTTCCACTAGCACCCGTGGTGCCACCACCGCTACATAGGGCTTGCCCAACCGCTCGCCCGCCAGCGCGCCCGTGATGCTGGACATCTCTGTCTGCGATTCGATGCCTCACGCCAGCGGCCAGCGTGCGCCGTTCTTCCCCAAGGCAGATGCCGCAGTGCTCCAGTCCAAATTTACCCCGCCGTCCCCAACATCACGCCCAACAGCAGTGGGGCCGATTCTCGATGTCGACAACGCCAACAAAGCGATCGATGCCTGGTCCGAGCAGGTGGCAACCGCCGTGTATCCCGAGAAAACCGACAGTTGGTGCCCCGCGCCAATTCCTGAGAGGCCGCAGTCGGCCGAGGGTCGCTATCTCTTCCCTATCTTGACGCGCAATGAGAGACTAAGGTTGACTTTGCTGTTCTACTACACCCGCGGCGTCCTCGGGGATGCCGAGCTCGTCTCCCGCCTTCAGGAGAAGGTCCGCCTGGCGGGAGAAACTGTTGGATGGGAATTTGTCATCGCTGGCCTGCTAGACCACAATACCTACACCCGTATGGTCACTGTCGGGCTTCCTCTAGCGGTTCTACCGCGTCGCGAGAGTACCTGCGCCCATACAGTCAATCAACCTCCAGATGTAGGTTCGGACCCTTTGCATCCCGACGGAGCCGCTGCTAAGCCCCTCTAGACAATCTTCATTTTGCCCAATATGTTGGAAGACTGGCGGTTTCGGGAATCGCCGCACGTGAGACAAGGCGGCCTCCGCGCGTATGCCGGAGTGCCGCTACACTTCCAAACAGAATTTGGGGAGCATGTAGCACTTGGTTCGCTTTGTGTCGCCTCGAACACGCAGCAGGAGCCGCCTTCAAAGTCGAAGCAGATGTTTTTGGCTCGTCTCGCCGACTGGATCGTCGCCGATATCATTCAAAGTGCGAGAGCTAGACGGCAGCGGGAGCGACGGCGGATGCTGGAGCTCCTGTCCGATGCGCAAGAGCGATGTGCCCATGACGCGAATCACGAAGAGGTGCTTCTCGACATCTTACGGAAAGTCTATCCTTCGACCTCGATCAACATCCAGACATCAAACGACCACAGGCTTTTATTCGAAGGAGGGACAGCAATTCCTACTTTACAGCTCGAGAATGGCCTCTGGGAAGACTGCGACTATTGCGACTACATGATCGAAAACCACAACGATCAGGACCTAGTCGCCCCCCGAGTAATACGTGCCATTGTCGCAGAATGCGGAAGCGCACGCATACCCACTTTCCTTGTCGTGGGCTCAAAGGACTTCCGACTCATCTTCGACGACGTTGATTCCTGGTTTGTGCATACTTGTGCAAGTCTGCTTTCTCGCGGCTGGCAGAATCGTGCTCTTAAAGAAGCATTGGCAGCAAAAGAGACCTTTCTTCGCGGCATTACACATCAACTAAGGACGCCTATTCATGGCATTCTAGGCTCGGTGGAACTGCTAGCTGAGGAGCTCAAATCGCGGAACCTGATACATGCCACACTATCACCTACACCAACCGCAGACGTCGAACGTTTGGATCCTTACGGTTACATCAACACGATCAGGACTTCCGCACTAGAGCTCATCTCAACAGTCAACAGTTTGATCAAGCTCAACCGGTGGGCCGACATCGCACAAGCAGAACGTGTCATTTTATTACATCATGTCGACGAGATTGGGTCGGCGTTACTACACGAAATTGCTCAAGTAATGCCGGAGGATCCCTCTGCGAGGCCATCTATCGTCTTCAGTCACCACCTTCCACCAAATTGCGACAGTTTAGCGATCGACTTAGGCCTCTTAATCGACTGTATTCAGCCAATCGCCGTGAACGCGGTTCAGAACACTGCTGGCGGTGTTGTGGCCTTGACAGTATCAGTCACCGACGACTACCAATCGCTCATCGTGGACGTGGAAGATACTGGCCGCGGCATCTCACCGAGCGACCAACAGCGCATATTTCATTCATACGAAAAAGTGGATTCATACGCAGCGGGAGCTGGGCTTGGATTGACTCTGGCATGCAAATTAGCAACCCTCATGAACGGTTCAGTATCTCTAGTATCTTCCGACCTGAATGAGGGGTCCCACTTCAGGGCTTCCTTCTACGAACCCGCCTGCGCCTGCTCTTTCAACCCACCGCAACCGATCAGGGAGAGGTTCGTCCATCTACCACAAACCTTCTGTAGATTACCGGCATCTTCAAAGGCCCGGACACCCTCCCAGTACCTCAGCAGATACCTCACTCGGTGCGGGTTCATCGAATCTGATTGTCCGGAAGATTCACTTTTGCTCCTTGACTATACCACTGATTTAACCCAGCTTCAGAATCAGATATCGCAGGTTGGTGCGGAGCAGGCCGCAATCTGCCTCGTTCCCGATTCGGAATGCGTCATTGACTTTGATGGAGAGCAAGTCCGGAGACAGAACAACATAATATATTTAAGGGGGCCATTCATACCGAGTACACTCGCCAAAGCGTTGGAACAGGCGAACTTAGTCCTTAGTGGGCTCGCTTTATCGAAAGCAAACTCGCCAAGCTCTTCACCAGGGGGTATAGCCATAGACGCCTCTTCACCTGCTCCCAAAATGAGCAGGCCATCGGGGCATTTACCACGCCCCGGCTCTGTTTTCCCTGCAGCCGTGCAGGCCGACTTCCTCACATACCCCGTCCGGAGGACACGCCTTGACACCACCCCACCTATTTCTACGAGCACCTCCCCACAACGATCCGCAAAGCCTATGACCCTTCTCGTAGATGATAACGCTATCAACCTCCATCTCCTTGAAATGTACTGCACCCGCCGCGGTATCCCATACCGGACCGCAAACGACGGCGACCAAGCCGTACGCCTATTCTCTCAGCAAGGCTCCTCTGCAGCTTCCAGCACCACAGACGGGAGCGCGATGTTATCTCCCTCGTTGCCGTCTCCTTCGCCTCAGTCCAATTCGTTTGATCTGACCCTCATGGACCTCCAAATGCCCGTCTGCGACGGCATTGCCGCGACGCGGAAAATCCGTGATATGGAGCGAGAAAATGGATGGGAGAAGAGTGTGATCTTCATAGTCACGGGTCAGGATAGTCCGGCTGATCGTAAGGGGGCGGAGAGCGTGGGCGCAGATGCTTTTTTTGTAAAGCCTGTGGGACCGAAAGTGTTGGATCGAGAGGTTGGGCGATGGTTCTCCGGTTCGGGGATAGGGTAGATCAATCCTCCTCTATCGCGACTACGTTACGTGAAAAGGAGATGGGGAAGCCGGGCTGCAGCAGGATAAGCATGATCGACGTCAGCATACCGCGCATTCTGGGGTGCAGAGATGGAGGACGGAGATATGGCGTGTCACAGCGCTCAGGCCGCCTTGAGCCTACAGCCTATCGTGGTACCTCTGACTCTATGAAGTGGGGCACCCGTCACTTAGGTTCTTCCACCAAGAGGTCTCTTGTGTGCAGCAACATTCCCCGGCTTCCCCCACTCTACCGCTCTTCTTGCTTGCCCAGGTAGACAATCCTCATACATTGAGCCTCTTCCTTTGCGCAACAAAAAGCTCGGAATCATATGAATCCATAATGTTGGTCGCCATGTTCGCAAGCTATCTAGCATTGCTGATCTGCTTGCCGGTTGCTTCCATAAGCATTAGCGAACAAACGCCATCCACTGGTTACGGAGTAGCAGAAAACTCGATCACCTTCTCATATCTGGGGGATACGAACAGCGGCGGCATGATCACTAAGAAGCGTTTGGAGAACATTCAGGAAAAAAGGGACCCGGATGTGGAATGTGGAAGACCGCACCGAGGCGGATACCACTGTAACTGGCTCCACGATACGAAGGCAAAATCCGGGAACAAAGGCACCGTTAGCTATGTGGTACGCGCAGCAGAGTACATTATCGATCTGAGAACGCTGTGTCTCTCTTGTGGGGAGGCCGACTTCTCCACCGAGCAAGCCCGTCAGAGCTGTGTAGACGCTTTCACCAAGTTGTCGTATGATTGTAAACGTTGCCTCAATTGTCATGACACTGGTTGCCGACCTAGTACATGTGCTCACATGTATAGGCTGCGAGCGATACCCTCTAAAGAATTCAAAATGTAGAACATATTTCGGCGGCAAGATACGATACGACGGTGTCGAGTACGAATTGCGACGGCGAAACCCTGATCCACTACAGTGGACACTCCCTCCAGCCTAGTCCGGTGACCTTCGCTGTTGTCCCGCCAACGACCTTACTTTCAAGCGTCTCGACTACAAGAACGCGACCGAGCTTGCTGGCAATGTCTGCAAGCAGTTGTACGGAAAGTGGGAACAGATCAAGTCTTCAGGAAAGCCGTACGTCCTCGCCCGAAACAACATAAAAGCGGAAGTGGATATACGCCAGCTAGGAGATGGTGCGGAAAAAGAGCCAGACCCGAGATGCAATAGTCGACGCGGAGTTTTACATCGGAGAATACGGAGAAGTATTGCAGATTATTAATGCTTGGCTGACGTGAATATAGGTCCACATTGGCAGGCGGACAAGCAATTCATCAAAGGAGGAAGTTTGCGATATGCATGTTCACAGTGGACTCTTAAGTACACTGCATAGACTCGAAGAGGACTGCAGAATCGGAGATGTGTCATCGGCATCGGATATCATGCGCAGTGCGACGGCTAGCTTTCTTGCTTATTATACTCTTTATAGGGCATGTCCACTCAAGCAAGGCCTTTACTCCGTTCTAAAAACGGCTGGAAGAAAGCCCATCTTGCGAGTTTTAATTTTGGATGCATTAGGTTCCTCTTCAGGACCCTGTTCTCCGCTGTTGCACGTGATGCGCCCTTTTCCGACGGATTCCACAAGGGCGCGCTCTAACCCGCTTTAGGTGGATGATCTACCAGTAGTCAATGATAAATCCCCCACGAACTGTCGATGAGTCCTTCTCCAACTTGAACCCTCCCTTCTACCGGTATCCAAGGCGATATCCAAGATGTCTTCCACTTTGACTGAAGAGCGCATCGAGCTTTCAACAATCCCAACTTTAGCACCTACCTCCGTCATCAGGACGCCATCAAGCGACGAACACCTTCCAGCTTCCCAACATCCAGATGAAGTCCCAGAAGATGCAGCCTACTCTACGACCGCCATTCCGGATGGCGGATACGGATGGACCATTGTATTCTGCTGCGCCCTAACCATATTCTGGCTCACGGGCATCATCAATTGCTGGGGCGTGCTGCAAGCCGCACTGCTCGACTCCACGCTCAAAACCATACCCACATCCACGCTATCCTTCGTTGGATCTCTGGGCCTTGCGGGAGGCGCCGCCTTCGGACTCTTCGCAACGCGGCTGATACGATGGATCGGCTGCAGAGCGACTGCGTTACTCGGCATCTTGCTCATGGGCATGAGTCTCATCGGAGCTAGCTTCTGCACGCGCAATGTGGGAGGCCTTTTCGGTACCGCGGGGGTGGTTGGAGGAGTCGGCATGGCAATGGTATACACTGTCTCCAATGCACTTCCGGTGCAGTATTTCTCCGGCCATCTTGGTTTAGCGAACGGGCTCGTCAAGCTGGGAGGCGGCATCGGCGGCTGCGTGCTCGCCGTCGCGCTCGAAGCGTTAAAACGCCGTGTAGGAATCTCCTGGACGTTTCGTATCCAGGGCTTGATGACCATCGGGACAGGGCTCCCCGCTGCGTGGATGCTGAAAGAGCGAGTCCCCATGAAGAACATACCATTCGTGGACCTATCCATGTTTCGGTCGGTGCCCTTCACCGCCGTCTTTCTAGCTGGCGCGATCGGAACTTTCGCTCTCTTCGTGCCGCCCTACTTCCTCCCTCTTTTTGCGCAGTCCATCGGGCTCAGCTCCAGCACAGGCGCAGGCTTGGTCTCAGCGTTCAACGCCTGCAATGCCGTGGGACGATTTATCGGGGGACCGCTGAGCGACAAAATTGGTCCTGTCAACATGTTTCTCATCACAATGATACTGAACGCGGTCAGTATGCTAGCTATCTGGCCGGTTTCTAACACCCTGGGCCCGCTCATCGTCTTCGCCACGATTAATGGTGTCGCGAACGGCTCGTTCTTCACCACGCTGCCGACAGTGGTGGCTGGCCTGTTTGGTCCTGGAAGAGCTGCCGTGGCCATGAGCATGGCTGTCACTGGATTCACTGGCGGGTATCTCATGGGCGCTCCCATCGCTGGTTATCTGCTGCAAGCGGCTGGAGGAAGACAAGAGAACGGAGAAGGACAGAGCGTCGACGTGTACCGGCCTGCGATCTTTTATGCAGGGGCGGTTGCTACCGTCTCAGCTCTATTCGTGCTGCTGGCGAGAGTCAAGATGGAGAAGAAGGTAGTGAAGAAGGTGTGAGACGCCTCCGAGAGTATCCCAAGGCATACCATGTGAAGAGAACAGAGTTATTCCGCCTGGAGGGGTGCGGAACGACAATAAAATTGCTGAGCGCTGTTGAGGAAGGAGACATTTCGACGACTCGGAGTACAGGTCAGCACTATGGTTCGAGTGGAGCAGCGGGTAAAGGAAAGCATGCCTATGGAAACTTCAGGGAACAGATTAATGGGATTTGAAGTAGGGTGTGATTGTGAGGGGTAGGGCAGTCAAGGTAGGTGTGGCACCTTGAGGTGCCCAAAACTCTGTTCTGCTACTGGCAAGCACAGTTGAACTCAAGAAAATTCATTTTCAAACCCCGTTCGGTCACAGAGATAATGGTTAGGCGACTTACCTATACCCTACGCTGCCCCTCTGAATCCTTTCAATACCCAACGTCGAGTTGCTTCCAGTCTGAAACCCCAACCTAGGCTCTCCTCCGGCACTGCATCCTAGAGCGGCCTTCCATTCCTCGCTAAGTCATCATCATAACCCTCCGCATCGCTATCGAACTCCACATCCGGGACATCAGGGTCCTTCCCATACTGTCCATCGATGGTCTTCATCACCCACCAGCCTGTCTCAGGCTGAAGTGTATCGTTCTTGCCCCCTTTCTCGTACGCCCACGGCCTATTCAACTCGCTGAGATCGGACAATTGTGGAACCTCGGGCTCAGGCTCCCTCACATATATCTCTCTTCCATTCATCCAGACTTTGCGACGCCCATCGGCGGGGTTGGGCTCGGGATTAGCTTCCTGGGGAGAGTTGTCGTTTTCAACATTCTTGCCTCCCGCCGTAGGATCGTTGTCGTTTTCCGACCCAAGGCAGAAGATCTTCTGGGCGATTTGCTTCAGTATACCTGGCTTCTGGGCAGGCGCTTGGTTAACTAGAGTGGTATCCGTGAGCATGGAGGGCCCCGAAGCTTTGAGCTTTCTCGAGACGCTAAGGACCGCCTGATCTGGATGCTTTGCGCTGGCTTTCCCTTTGCCACGAGTGCTAGCGAACAACGCGTCGGAGTCCAGAACGCGCCAGCCAACAGATCCGGCAATTGCTTTAGCCACGGATTTCTCTCCACTGGTATAATCCTTGATGTGGATTGGGACGTGAGCGAAGCCGGAGGGCACGTCATTCCACTCAAGGTCGCTAAGCCGCTGCCCTTCAAACCACCAATCGAGCCCATCATCTGCAACGCCCTGTTGCCAGTTCTTCGCAGACCACCCGACTCGCCGGGCTACGAGCGGCTCTCCCTCAGCATCCCAAAAGCAGAAGGCAAGAACCCACCCTGTGATGTGCTTCTCGCCCGAGTAGTTATCACTGTACCGGTGAACCGCCTTTTGCCAGAACTTGACGACGTCAGGGGTATCGGGATTGTCAAACGTTTTGACAAATTGGGAGACGACGGCGGTGAGCACCGAGTTCCACACGAGCAGCTCGGCATGCTCACTGCCGAACTTAGCAAGGTAGTGGACACGTTCGAGGATGTCTTCCCAGTCTTTCTTCTCGCCCAGAAGTGTAACGGATGGGATACCGCATGTGATGCCGCAAAAGTAGGCGAAGTACTTCTGCATCGTACCCATCATGATGATGGCAGCGCTGATCCGGTCCGTGTCCGTCGTAGTACTGAAATCAGGCATGATCCACTGCCTCAGAGCCGGGTCTTTGACGTTCTTTGCAATCAGCTCCGTCATCCCTAGGGCGAACGCCGGCATCTCCATGACATCCTGCAGGATCTCGAGCTTCTTCTTCCCGGCATGATCCACAAAGTACTTGCGCAGCTTTTCGGCATGCTTGTTGACGTAAAAGCTGAATTGTATCTATAGCCGGGGGGTACGAAGTCAGCGTAGCTCTTCTAAATTCTCGCGGAAAGAAAGGGTTAGTGTCTCCTGTCTTATGACCTGCGGTGGCGGCGAGCGAAGTACTACCTAAGTAGTATTTCGATCAATGTAGCGCAGGTAAATTAACGCGAGACACGTAGTTTTTACCCCGGGGTTACGTACGAGGATCGCAAACCATACGTCCTCTGGGCGGAGAACTAAATGGTTGTGCTGTAGATACGCATCGAGGACCGTGCTAACGAAGCCGTTCGAGGCGGCACGCAGAGTGACGTCTGACCTGAAGGATGAGTCCAAAATGGAGTTCCCCGGCTTCCAGAGAGACGGGCATGTGGCCTGGAGTAGACCGGTAGAGTTGAAGCTCGACAACGCGGGCGCAGCCTTCACTTCCACTGGAGCTCCTCGTGTGGTTACTGGCATGACGGGTAATCAACAATCTGACGGCGCCGTAGGGTGTTTGAGTAGCATTGAGGTGTTGGTGTGGATGTGGAGATGCAGCTACATTTCAGTTTCCGAAGGATTGTTGTTGCCTGATGCCTAGGCGGTCAGAACTGCGGGGTCAACCAGCATCATTCACAGGCGGCCCACGATCAGCTTGCTACTATGGCGATTCAGATACTGTGCGATAGGAGAGTATTATTCGAAGTCCTAGACTTTGTGGTCTGCACTACTGAAAATTGGAGGAGCGGTCGCACCTAGCTAACCCGATATAGTTAGCGTAGATCAGTGAGTGTGAATGGCGTGTCTAGCACGCGCACAAGCATCAAAGAGCGTGCTACAATTCGGAATTATGGCGCCCAAAGACTACAGAAAAGCGGGAGTTCTTTTTCAAGACCGTTTCGTAAGGCGACGCGCTGCCCAGGATTGAGGACGGAGCAGAGGAGGCAGAGGAGGCGGAGGGATGCGACGAGCCATGAAGTATTTTTAGCGCATTTCGCTCCACCAAAGGCTCTCATTGACCAACCTATCCCTATGCACTGGCTGCACGCGAACTCCTACACCAACATAAAGCGACCCTACTCCGTCTCGAGTCTCATGCAGTCGCAGCCTTTTGCTCAGCCTCATCGCCGACAGGACCCTAATATAGCCATTTCCCGTCCGGTGAAATACTGTCCAAGAGTCACACAATTAGGATCGTTGGCGCTAATATCCCCAAAGCGGGAAGAAATAATCCGCCTCAATGCTGCGTAATCAGCAATAGGCCTTGGCGACCATTGCTATTTCCACCCTCGTGCAGTTACAGCCTTGCAGAAGACCCCAAATGAGAAGGTCTTGGCAGAAGTGGCTGCAGGTGGCTTTGTTTGAGCCTCGTATGGAGTCAAGCCCCATGGGGGCTAATATGTGCTACACACCGATAAGGATAGGAGGAGACAGACATATATACCGTTTCCAGGCATTCTTTCATCTAGCGCTACTTCTATCCACCAAGCTACTTCGTTCAACCTGCTAGCCTCGTAAAGTAGGAAACTGCGCTGCATTTCGGCTCTTCTTTGCTTCTCATTCTCCTATTTTGAAGTCTCCTACAAGGCTCAATCCCTTTTTACCCGTCATTCTACATTTCGGCCTCCGTTATGCCTCCTCGTGGTACGTTATCGCTGTGCACATACCAAAGTTTTCTAGCACTTTGACCGTCGACGGCCCTTCAGGGATAGATTTCTGGGCCAGAACTAGGAGACAATGGGACCTACACAGTCTCATCTTCAGCTCAAAGCATTAACTAACGTGTGCCGCCATTTTCCTAGGTAATCGGGGCGGCGCGCCTCAGCAAACCAACCGTCAGCCTCGCCCGACGAACCAAATGGCCTACCGGCCTCAGCCAGCGCGAGGGCGGGGTGCACCTGTACAGCAGCAACACATAGTGAGCCACCAACAGCAAGTTGTCATCAACCATCAAACCACCGTGGCTCGCCCTCCCGCTGCATCACCGCCCCAGAACGCGCAAACGCAACATCAGATCAATCAGATGAAGCAAGCTCAGCAAGCCCAGCAGAAACAAATCGCGCAGCAGCAGAAAACTATGCAGGCTCAACAGCAAGCCTACCAGAAACAACAGCAGCAAGCCCAAAATCGCGTGGAGAAGGAGCGCGCTGCACAGCAAAAGGCATATACGAGGCAACAGCATGAGATGCAAGCCCAGCACAAGGTTCAGCAGCAGAATTATGTTAAGAGCCAGGAGGAGCTGAGGAGGCAAAGGGAGAAGGAACAACGTGAAAGAGAGCAATGGGAGAGAGCGTTGTATGAGCGCCAGCAGTGGGAGCGGGCACAATGGGAGCAAGAGAGGCAGAGGAGTGACTGGGAGCGCGACGAGTACGAAAGGCAACAATGGGAAAGACAGCAATGGGAAAGGGAGCAGTGGGAGCAGGTACGTATGCCGCCTCACGCAAACCAGGGTGTCTTAGGTCACTCCAGAAGGCCCTCAAGGGTTCGGACTTCTCCGATAAGGATATTTGCTAACGCTTACCGCCACGTCCCCAGGAGCGCGAAAGGCAGAAACGTGACGACGCAGCTAAGCTCGCCGCAGGCGTCGCACTTGGTGCGGGCGTTGTGGTCGGAGGTGTTGTTGCCGCCGAATACGTTTCCGAAGGAAGCGATGTCGGGTATGGTGGAGACAATGTTGAGATGCAGCAGTTCACTGGAGGCGGCGGTGGGTTCTCGGCCGATCAGAACCAAGGCGGAGGTGACGACGGGGGCTGCTGTGATTGCTGTGGAGACGATTGCTGTGATGGAGGATGCTGTGGTGATGGGTGTTGTGGGGACGACTGCTGTACTGGATGCTGTGGTAATGATAATGGGGAAGACAGTGGATGGTGCTGTTGTTAAGTAGTCCCCTCTTGACTGCATTGGAGCAAGGGCATTCGTCCTGAGCTCGTGGAGAACCGGCCCTCATCCGTATTCCGAGACATACTGGTAGATTGTGAAGCAGTGTTTTCTCTTCCAGCGCTCGTCAAGTACGTTTACTTTTATTCGAACGTCATCCAACGTGGATGCCATCTCTGAAGGAGCTAGCCTTACTTTGCGGGCGATTGGCGATGCGAGCGTACTAAGCAGATTGACGACCGACTGGCTCGGTGGGTTTTTGAAGTCGCAATAGAAGACCGCTACCGCGCTGCCAGGGTCGCTCGTACCTTGTAGCCTTCCATGGCGAAGGCGAATAGCAAGGTCTCTCCAACCGTGGGAGCACCGCTCAGCCTGAGATGTGTGCCGGGCTCATGTACCCATCTAGAGAAAATCCCGTCGTCCATCACGTAGAACTATGCCGTGAGATAGCGTAGTTTTAAGCTCACTCGAACGCTTGGATGAGGGTCGACAGACAGGATGTGCTGAAGAATGCGGCATCGGTCCTTCTTCTTTGCGACCCTCGATCCTGTCTTTCTTGCTGAGCTCTGCGTCAGTATCGGGCATATGTTTCGATATGCCTTCCTGGAATGATAAAGTCTTCAGCACCGCAGTCATGCTATCGGCTGGTAGGGCAAATGCCAAGTTATTTCGATCTTGACGACTGTCCTCAGTACACTCGGTAGTGTTGATCGCCCGAAGGGTTTCTGATCGCTTGTCGCGCTTTGTCCTTGTCCGTGAGTCCCATCCTTTTGCGTTTCTCGTCCAATTTGTAGAGCGTAGCTAGGCAAAGATAGACGTGATCTAGCCGGACGGAGTAGCTTAGGTCATCCTGTCTCCAGGACCTGTGCTATTACTAGAAAGTAATATAGCACGCCATTGAGAGTAGGATCGGACTCCAGGTCGATAACTCCCTTCTCGGCGTTCTTTATATCCTTGACGGAATGGAATAGCCTCAGAAACGTAACCTTGCCAAGGGATACCAGGCCGGCAATAGAGCTAGCAACGGAGAGAGGATCGACCATCGGGTGTGGGGCGAAATTAGAGTGCGGACGGTCAATCGAGGTATAGGTTCGGGATTCTGGAAGGCGATCTTTTCGACTGAAATGCGTGATGTACAATATCTCAGCACAGTTTCCGATTGAATACGTGTGAGGTTGGGAGTCGGGAACTCGAGGGAGCCCTAGGGGCCGCCTTGAGCGATTTGAGAAATCACCGCGCGCCATGGGAAGCAACTGACGAAGGGGCAGACTTTCCGGATAGGTGGCACTAAAAACCTATAAATAGTGCGGAGGGTGGCGCGTTGTGCGAGGTTCGAGGAAGAGATAGAGGCATCAAGAGCAGGGTAACCAGTGCAGCGCCAAGACACCTGAATAAGCCGCCGCTAACCCGCACCTCTCCTGAATCTTTTTGCCCTCTGCCTAGGTACTCTGTACAACCGCTACGCCACGCTACTCTTGCACTCACAATTGTCAGCTCCGAGGTCTCTGCATTCTCAGGATTTGTTCGTATAGCCATTCCTTTGAATTTAGACTCCCGACCGTCTCCTCAAGGCGCTAAAACGATCACGAGCTAAGGTCTAGCCAATAATCCGGATACTTCTCACAAAGCGTGATGACAAGCAGATGTACACTGTGCCGTCATGGTGTTCCAAAGCCGGCGAGGCCAGAATGCCGAAGTGCTCGCTCGAGCGACGAGGAATGATGGCCCAAACACCCGCGCTAAGCTCAAACAGGAAAGCACCGTGAATCAGGAAGCGGCATGGTCTACCTTCGGCCAGCTGGCAACAGAAGACACTCGTAGATCTGGCGTTATAGTGTATTTGACACGTAGGGTACTAATGAGTTAGCGAGGGGTATTTAAGCTATTTGGCTTCCCACTCAGTGGCTCCCCCGGCACTCCTCTTCTTACTGACTGACTCCACTTCTGAAACCAGCCTGTACCGACTAGACTAGTGAAGTCGCTCTCTGATACAATGGCTCGCAAACATCCCTCTGTGCGCCATCTCACAGCCATCATTCTCACTCTCGGTGGGATTGGCGTCTCTGCAGCTCCAACCACTTGGGAGTTTGCCAGTGCGATTCTGCGCTCCCTCTCCGGCTCTTCGACGCACTCACCGAAACACCACCCCTTGGAGGAGAGACGGTATGGAGGGACCGAGGAAATCAGGTGCTTCAACCAGCCTACCGACCAATCCATGGCGCTCCCTTTGGACACCATTGAACAAGGGATCACGAACTTCTGCAACACCGCTCTCGACGTTGTCCTTAACGCTCAGAACCCACAGTTCAGCAATTCCACTCCGATATCGGACAACCAACCACCGCAAAACGCCCTCTTTAGCGCCCAGCACCACCACCGGTTATACGTCCCGCGGCGAGAACTGCGCAGAGCAGGAGTTTAATTTTTTCTTCCCGCCGGATTCCTTCGACTACGTCACACCCGCTCCTCAGGAATGGTGTTACGCCGCGTTCAACACGATTGCCAAGCACTGTAGGTTTCTATTTTTCAGATCTTGCGAGTGAGATACTGATGGCGCTTAATAGGTAAAGGAGAAAATGACCTTCTGTTTGGAGGCGCTCGTCTAGGAGATTGTTTGCTGTTGCAAATGGCAAAAAGCGTCAAGACGCAATAGCAGGCAAGAATCTTGAATACATGGACCTAGGGTGGGCTTGGTGTGAAAAACATGGCGATGGATACCGTCGATTCGGATTCCAGCTCCAATCCATAATGAGGAAGCGACGGTGATAGGAACATGACCTGTAAGATAGAATGCTGTTCTGGAGTAGTTCTACGTGGTCTTTCTCTAGCCTTTCAACAACGGCTATAAGAGTGCCTCATCTGCCAGTGCCGACGGCACTCAAATCGATCTTTGGTCTGTGGTGGCCGTGGTGTTAGCGGGGCGCCCTTTCCATGACACCATCTCCGCCCTTTCTTCTCTCCTCAACCAACTCCCCCGCCACACCTCCTTTCTCGCTCCTTCTCATTTCCAGCTCCATTACCCAGGCGCTGCCCTCAAAGCAGTCTCCCGCCAAATCCTTCATCCTCTTCTTTCCCAAGCTCTTTATCTTCGCATCCTTGAATGCCTCGTACAGGCTCGGTGGTGCTCCATCGCTACCCCTGCCTTCCCTTCAAGCTCGCCACCAGCATGACAGACTGATACCATTCCGGCATCTCCTCCAGTCCATGAGTCCGAGCGAGGGTGTTCAAGTGCGCCATGTTGCGCACGAAAGTCTGAATATGAACTTTCAGGGGCTTAATAGCGTTATTTTAGGAGAATTAAAGAGTATTAAGATATAAGTTAATTAATTAAGAATATAGAAAATATAGCTATATATATATAACTAGGTTACGTAAAGTAGTAACTATATTCGGCAACACGTTATCACGGGGAGCAGCGAGCTTGCGATGCAGAGCGAAGTTCGTGCGGAATATGTCGGGTTCTGTGAAGCGCCTCTTCAGCTCATCCCACAGAGCCTTAGCATCCGAGAGAAGCGCGTCGTCCGAACCTCTCCCGGTGAAGAGCTCAGCGTAGATGTCGTCGCTGAGAGCCTCGATGATGAGCTTGCGGGCATGAGTATTCTTGCGCTCGTACTTGATCCAATCGTCGATGGTTTGATGAGACGTTTTGGAGCTGATATTTGCAGGCTTCGAGAAAGATCCGTCAATATGGTCGAACATATGAGCTGACCACTCCGCACAGTTCGTAGCGCCGTAGAGTTTCATTGTCTGGAGTGTGGAGATGATTCTGGATTTCCAGCAGAGAACGACTTCTGCAACGCAAAAGGAGCTGAAGATTTCCGGAAGCCGCAAAGCGGCGTCTGTATCAGACTGTAGGGCAGTCTACCGCTTGCGACGCCAGACTGCAAGTTAGGCTGACTTGATGGTTGATGATGAGTTAAAGGGAGAGCCGCTCGGACAGTGGAGTGTGTTGGTGTTTACCCCTCCGAGATTAGGTAGTAACGAAACAACTCTTAAAGCGCAACACGACCACTGTGTTATAACAAACACCAATAGAAGGGCGTCAAGAGAGAAGAGGATATGGTAGTCGAAATACTTCACCTACCATGCCGCCTTTCGCCATCCGGATTCAAAAGCTCTTCGCCGCTGGAACGAAGAGGTTATGCACCGCATGCTATCTAGTAGTGATGGCTGCCGTTGAGTAATCGGGTTGGTAGAGTATAGGATCTGTTACTGGAGTACGAAACCCAGTAGTAGATTATCGGCGATGAGAAACCTGGAAAGCTACGAACGACCTCGGGATTTTCACCAGACGATCAGCAGCCAACCCAAACCGTGCTAGTGCTCCTGTCACAGCATCGCACACCTTAATCTGTCTTGTGTCTTTCTGTCTCGGGCCCCTCTCAAAGGTCTCCCCGAACCCGTTTGCAGACGGATACGAGCTGAAATGTACGTCCAGGCTACAAAGTCTGTGCGAGTGAGTACATCCACGCTTCATAGCTCGGTTCGGCTAAGCGCGCTGCACCATGCCTGGTCACGACTTGTGGCTACAAAGCCAGTCGAAATAAGGTTAGCGTATTACGTCTGCAGTATCTTTTCGTAGTCAGTCTTCTGCTCCACAGGAGAGCTCTTTGACACCTCCCAATGCGGCAAAGTTCATCAGCTATCCACACTTCCGCTCAAGATACCCGATGAGGATATGGTCAAATAGGGTAAGATCACTTGATATGCACCCATGGGTAAAGAGCATCCGAGTCTACTTCGAGAGCCAGGCACAAGTGTGATGTGGTCTTGGCCAGCGTTTATTGGGGGATTGGAAGCCTCTTCACCATGTAGCTGAACCTTCATTGTTATAGTCTACCTTCGCGTCTCTACCTCCTTGACTCTAAACACCATGTTAAGTTCTCTGTCCTCTTTACCAACGTGGAATTTCACCGCTTCACGCCCGCCGAGTCCCTCCCTCAGCTTATTCCACAACTTCACGTGCTCTCCTTCCTTTCCGATGCTCTTCGTCCGACTACCGCACCCCATACCAAAACCCCAAAATCCAAGGACCCATAACCGACCAATTTCCAGGTTCATGGGCGCTCGCATCCCCAGGAACCCATCTCTACTGCCAGTCTCTTCCCGTCCAAGCATCAATGCGTTCGTCGATCTGAGACGTGCACCGCAACAACAACCGAACGCCACCCAAAGCGGCATAAAGTCGCACCCTGGTTCCCCTCATGCGCACTCGGCTAGCGCCAGGTACCGTTGAAGGACGCGACTGCAGGTGGAAAATTCTACCGCGGCAGAAGCAAAGCGGTTGGTGAGGGGCGAGTCAGAGGATTGCGGGAGAAGTGTTTGGAAGGATGCTTTTTTCGGTTAAGGCGATGACTAGAAAGGGCTAGCTCGATGCGATGGGATGGGGAAGAGGCAAACGGTCGGAATCGGTGGGAGTTTGGTAAATGTTCATTTGTTTCGCGCGCTCTACATTTACATTCCATTTCTTGGGACGTAGACAGCTGTCTTTGAACTTTCTTGCTAACGGCCCGAAGAAACGAAGTCGAAAGCGTTAAACGGAGTGAATGTGGCATAGTGGCGCCTTGCGATGCGGACCTATATTGTAGCTTTGCGTACCTGCTATAGCCCTATAATGCGCCGGATATTGAGGCTGTATTAGTGCAGGAAGTGACACCGGAGACACTGAGGCTGCATGATCTGGATCATGCAAAACAGCCGAAAGCACGCTGATATGAGGCTGAAAGCAACGGCGGATATTGCGGCAATCGTGCATAACGGGGTCCGCAAGTCCAGAAGTGGAATCAAAGAAAACTGACCTGGCGGTCTGGGGAGATATGAGAGGACTGACGCAGGCGTGGGCACACGTGGGATGAGGCCGAGAGCAAATGATGACAAGTGCAATTATCCCTGGGTATTCCCCATCCATATCAAAAACACCGCAATCGCTTGCAGTACCAATTTCGAGCGCTTGCAAAAGCAAAATACCAGCCCTACGCCAAAATGCCCACGATACAGCCCATGATATCTTGCAACAGCCGAAAGAATCCCATTGCGCGCCAGCCGCCTTTTTCGAAATGAGCCGAACCGCCTGTCTAGCTCCAATCTAAGGAATGGAAGAAGTGAAATGATGCCAGAGAAGATGTTGCCGTGGGTGTGTGAACAGAGTTCGGACCGAGAAGCCAGTGGTGGACGTTACCGTATTAGCCGATCTCTGGTTCGCGGCCAGCCTAAAAGCTGGATGAGAGGTTGTAGCTTGGGAAGTGAGCATGTCCAGATGTCCTGATTTTCCCGGATTGGTGATAAAACATTGATCCGTCCTTGTGAATGATGAACTGGAGTCCAATCTCTTTTCGTCCGCTTTCATGGCGAGCGAGCGTTGCTTGCTAACTCCGCCTCAACGTACCTCGGCCACGTGTTGGTGAAGACGAGGTACTTGATGCTTTCGAATGCCGGATCGAAAATTTCTTCGGTGAACTCGCTCGGAACGATGCTCCTGGTGCTGGAAGTACTGGAAGCGGTTATGTTCGACTCGATACTCGCGGGACGATCCAGTGTGCTCTCCCACGGACACACGACATTCTCCCTGGCGGTTGGCGATAGCGGATCGGTAGGAGTACGACTGCGGGTCGGCATATACGGGTCATACTCCATACCCTCGAACTGCCGCTGGAGCTTCTTGAAGATCTTGTATTCGATGTTGATCGGGGCTTCGGCGGTGAAGGGGTTGATGAGGGTGAAGAAAATGAGCGACGCTTCAGTGTGCATCTGACGTCTCTGTGCCGTTGTCACGGTGCGTAGGGAACCCCATTTCTTTTTGAAGTTCCGCACCTCGCGCAGAAAGATGGTGTTTTCGGCAGTAAACTCGCGCGAGGCTGCCCACTCGATCAAAGGCTCGATCCTATGCTCGATGCAGAACTCGAGGGTCTGCATGGATGTCTTCGGCTTCAACTCTTTGCTCGTAATTGCCAGCGGAGATTTCTGGGAACTGATGGAGGGTGTTGACGTGAGGGTGTCGGTGTCTGTCGACGAGGAAATTGAATCTCGGCGAGTTTGCGTCTTGGCTGCATCGCGGAGCGGAATGAGAATGAGGACCTGCTGACAGACAACCAGGGAAGGGATGAACCTGCAGCGACGATTTGTTAGCCATCCGTTTTCAAGGTCCAGCTAAGGGGCTCGTGCGACACACGGTGGAAGCCACCTTGCGCCAGCATTTCCAGCGCATTTGGCAGAACCAACTGCACATTTGAAAATAGCGCAGGACAGGAAATGAACGACTCGGAAGCAGTCGAAGCCGCTGCAGGGCCATTTAAACACTTACCATCCAGCGGGGGCGAAGAACTTATTAATGGAAATCATCGCCGGCATTTTGCCGTAGGTAAACGCCATCCACAGCGGCGTGCCGGGCAGTCTGCACGGCGGAGATCAGCGCACGCAGGTACAAAGATAGAAGGAACAACATACCCCGCAATAATCGCCAGTCGGCTCTGCCATGCCCAGGAGTGGACATCGTTTACGCGCCGGATCTTCCACAGTATCCACGGACCGACGATCGATGTCCAGAATAGCTGGACCAGAATAGAAGGCACCCTGCACAGCGTGAGAAGCAATCCTAATTCAGAAGCTCATCGACTGACCACTCCCCGCCACGACGGCACTGTATTGCGCCTACCGCAGGGCCGAAGAATCCGTAGGACGCGTGGAAGCGGCGCGAGCCAAAGAAGAGGATGAGTGCCGGGAGAAACTATCGTCGTCAGCGAGAAGGAATGCGGGAAGGATTCCGTGCCGCGCGGGGACCTCTGAGCGCCTACCGAAATAACCAAACCTGCAGCTGTTCCCACATACACCTTGGCTGCTGCATCAAGATCCTGCCAGGCTTCGTACAAGCCCCGAGGAGTGAACGAGAGCCGTTTCTTGCGGGCACCCGCGAGGAAGTCTTTTCGCAGCCGACGTTGGCTTTCATAAGCCTTCAGGACTCTGGCATTGCAGGCTGCTTCATGTTAGAAAGCGTCATTGTATGAAGTGATAGATGTTACCTTGGAAGAAAGCCATTCCAGATGGAAGAAAGACGGACATGATCCAGAATTCGGCCGAGCACGGGAACCTCCCATTCAATGGATACACCAAGAGCACTAGGATGAGATAGACGTGAAGCATAGACACGGCGGTGAAGACGACCTCGAGGCTTCGTATCCGGACGCAGAAAGCTGAACGACGGCGGTATAGAACGTAGAGCTCGCCGGCCAGGACGATGGTGTATAGTATGGCGAAGAGGACGTAGACGATACCGCGGGCATCGAAGTTTGGCCTGCCTCCGTCGAGGATTCGCGGGATCAGGATGGGTGCCATTTTGAGCATCATGTATGGGCGTGCTCAGCAGACGTCGACTGGAAGGCAGGAGGGATGGAGAGACTTCCACATTCAGGCACGAGGCTCGATAAATAGAGAGATGGCGGAGAGAGAGAAGGAATGGAAGGTTTAGGGTACCAAGACAGCGGGATAGTAGTGGAGTAGAGGTTACATAAGCGAAGGTAGGGCAGATGCCTGTTGGAGAGGAGACGGGTGTATGAAGTTGACGGGGTAGGACGGCTCGGGGCACATGAACGAGGGATCGACTAAGTAAAGAGTGCAAACGCGGACAAGTATAGCAGCATACAGGTGGAGGGGGCGGCAAGGGAGGGCTGTCGGTTGCTGCCGAGCCAAAGCTGCGCCGTGTCACCTCGTCGGGTCGGATTGCGCCTCGTGTGATTGAAAGGGAGAGTGAAGGACGGCGCAGCTCACGCGTCCCTGGCGGGGAGGTGTCACAAAGCTCGCCATGGGAGCACAGATTGCTACGTCGCCATGCCAATAGAGGCCGCGGCTATGCATGAGCGAAGAAAGGGACATTGCGGCCGCGTTGGAGCGCCGGTGGCCAGCGCGCAGTGAACTGTGATGGTGTTGGGAGCGTGCTTGGGTGATGGCCGCCAGGAAGCTCGCAGAATAGGGGTGCGCGAGCCAGGAGACGGCGGGTGCGCTGCCGGGTGATGTGGGTGTTGAAGCGGGGAGCGTTTCGGGCGGTCGGCAAGCCCAGGAACCTCACCCTTCGCTTCCACGTCACGGGACGAACCCGCTGGCACCAGGCATGGCCTCCGGTGGCTTCTCGACGTTCTCGATGCATCTGCTTCTGAAAGTTTACGCTTCCGATGACGCCTGGGCGGCATTTGAGCGTTACTGCGCCCGCGCCGCTCCTCTTCTGTGCCTGAGGCAGCCGCCCGCTCTGCAACTCCGTAACCCAGCATATCAACGGCCCGAGGCTTTGGGAGGAATTATTCATGGATATCGCTGTTTCGGTTCCTGCAATGGCTATTGCGCTCGCCTGCCTGATCGCCGGCGTCCTCATGCAGCTCGTTCATCCCTCGCAATTAGAGCCAGGCCGCTGGGACGTCGCCCTGTAGCTTCAACCTGTTCAGCTTTCCTGTCAGTTTCTTCAGTGGTTTCAGGTCGCATCTTCTAGAAGCTCTGCAGCACCCCTCGCGCCCGGCAACAAAGTTTGACAGCGTGTGCCTTCAAGCCTCGTTCATGCGCGCAACGTAACCTGTTTGGTCTCTCGCCACCTTCCCCAGACATTGGACAATGGCGTCGACGACGACCGTGCCAGATACGGACGGCCTCGAAACCCGATCAGAGGAGCAGCTCGTGGGCCGATGCGATGAGACATGTTGCCCGATGTGGCTGTATCACGGCGCCAGGGTGTTTGACGCCTCTACTGCCGTGTTACATCTTATCGAAGAGGAGCCGTGTTCATAAAGTATGGACACTCCAGCCGCATTTTGTGCACGCCTGCGCGATGAATGGCTGCCGCCGACGATACGGCAAGCTCCCAGACCAGCTACAGGCGACGTATCTTCGAGCTTTCTCTTGCTCCCGGGCATGGCAGCCGCCTTCTACGCCTTAGTTGCGGAGCATCTGTAACGTCCGTATCCAGGAGTCGATCAGTTTACAGCTTCCAAGGGCTCTTCATTCATATGCGCACGTCAGCTCTGCCATGAGAGGGGTCTATTTCATGCATGGCGTTCGTCATCGGTCAGATAACAACAGAGCATTCGATAGCGCCGTTTTGAAGAAGAGTAAGAGCAGGCGAATTCCAGTGGCACCTTAGTCAAAAGGAATCTTCAATCGCGTCACGGTAAGATGCAGCGATATCCCTCACGGGCGCACGCCGATCAAACCGTCTTCGCGGCCTCGTCTCAGAGCCCGAGGTGAGGCTACGCCGCCAACTACGCCGCCGTTCTTGTGAGACGCATGCTAAGGAATATGGATACTCTGCGTTGCTTGCCCATTCGAGTGCCATCTGATGGGCCGGCCGCATGTCCGTAGTCGAAGAGCACGGTTGAACGCATTAGCGCAGGAGCACACCAGCGACGTTCTGCAGACCTATCCCTTTGAGATGTAACGACTTCGACTGGAGTGAGGTATCGGCGATGAGCACGGTATCTGTCTTCGCACCATTTCGGAAGGCCCAACGAACTGCAGTAGTACGGCTCGGAGTCGCTACACACCTTCACGGTCCGCCAGTTCTCTTCTCCAATAATTGCTGGACCATCCACGAAATGTTCCGGCAGCAATTCTGATGTTGCCCAGGTGTTCGTCGGGGTCCACGGGTTTGTCGGTACCACGTGGCTATGATCCGATTGCATTCTGAAAGGGTAGTCGCGACCCCAAGCCAGGTCGCCGACCAAGCCCGGAAATCCAGTTCACCAAGCGCTTCTTTGCCATCTACAGTGTTGCGGACGGACAAATATAAGTGAACGTCTTTACGCTAAACACCGAGGCGCGTGCAATGCCTTCGACTCAAACGGACAGCAAGCTATCCCACAACTATACACCTCCACGAATGCACATGTCTGACAGATATTCTAGAAGCTGCTGTCACTAGCCAGCCGAGCCAATCCTCAAACAGTCCAACAATCACTTTTACAGCCACCAGCAATGGCAAAGGCTCATCGGGGAAACCTCAAGATGAGAAGCCAATAGACCGATCCCGCGGTCGTGCTCCATCACCGGAAGATGCAGTCACCAAAATCACCAATATGTTCGACCAAAACCTGGGTGAAAGGAAGTGAGATCGCAGAAATTATTCGTTTGAAACCATCATATGGAAAGGCAACAGTGGATTCACGCCAATCGAGCACTGGAGACGTTCTTGGACACTGATACAGAGCATCAACAGCATCGAGGGCAAGAACGCAGGCAAGTATGAATGGTGTCACAGGTCTAGAGAAGTCCCCCCTGATCATCATGCTTCGAGGGTAGAATCGACACAGCAATAGGTCATTGACGGCGAGCGAACCACTTGATTGGTTTCGTAGAGCCCTTCACAATGCTCTTTGTCGCTGTGGTCGCCATTCATGTACAGTTTCAAACAAAGACACTGTTCACCTCTTTACCTTCGAACGCTCCCAATATGACGGCGACTCATTCACGTACAGCAACGAGCTAACTATAGAACACGGTTAAGAACTCTCTCTCCTCGAGTCTCGCTACTCTTCCACTACTACACCGATCACATCAAGTACACCGCCACAAACAGTTCGAGAACCATACACACGCTATAGCCGACCAAACACGACGCTCCATCAGCCCGTAGCGACCGGTACACGTAAGCAATTCAACCATCTTCATCCCCAAGTAAAGTGCAAGTCTTTCTGACGCGTCTGAACATCTACCATGGGCTGGATCTGTTGTACCTGCGGGACTTCCCAGAAAGGCCTCGGCGGCCGGGGCAAGAAGTGTGAGAACCCGAGATGCAAGCATCCATCTTGCTTCGCTTGCGGGATTGGGGCGTCGGATATCGATGAGAGGCCGAAAGGAGAGACGGGTTGCTGTACAGTGATGTGAGCTGAGGGTCGGGCGACGGCTCTAGGAGATCACCAGGCGGAGAGGATGAGTCATGAAATTACGGAGGAAGGCTCGTTGACTTTTGGGGCGACTGACAGCGGCATCGTCATCCATTTCAAGATCGGGGTGTCAGTAAAATAACGACGAACATTTCGAGCTTCAGGGTGCTGAAGTTTCCCACGAGTGGAGCCTGCCAAGCCCTGATCGGCGGCGCCTTCCCTCTTAAGAAATGGATGGATCCAAAAACGCATGTGGCTGGGCGTCTGATAACCAAGCTCTTGGCCCGCTGAGCCGCTCTCCTTTTCTCTGGAGCGTAATCATTTCTTGAACTTCACATGTATTCTAGTCCAACATAGTTTCAATCACTCTCCTTTGCCTCTTTCCACGTTCTTGCAGCGTAGATGCGGGCTTCAGTCGCTTCGTGATAGCCCGCCATGATTGCCCGCGGCTTCAGCCCTCGCCTTCTCACAGATCGCAGGATCCTCCTCTTCGTTCTCGCCAGCGTTTTCCTGAGTTTCGCATTCTTCTTCCATGATAACTTACAAGACGCGTACGCCGCGCTACCGGCCGATCTGCGAATTACGCGACCCTCTACTGGCTTCGCTATCCCCCCGAAGCACCCAGAGGACCCCGATATCGTCGAGCTAGACTACCTTACGTTCCGTCCCCAAAAATCAGAGCATGTCAAGTCGTATTGGAACATACCTTATGCTGCGTCTGCTTATGGCAAGAACCGGTTCCGGGGACCGCAGCCCTTGGGGAAGAAATATGAGGGGATCATGGAGTGGTCTGGGAAGCTGGGTATGTGTCCGGTGATACAGAAGATCGATGCAACGTTGCGCAATAAGGAAGACATCGCGCCGGAGGATGTACCTGGCATCGACGCCGAGCATACCGAAGATTGCTTGAGTCTCAACGTCTTTGCGCCCATCGATGCGGAGCCCGGGGACGAGCTTCCAGTCTGCGTTGTCATACCTGGTGGAGGGTTCCACCTGCCGGGTCGCTCGAATGGCGGGGATATGGTGGCAAAGAGTAGAGGAAAGAAGGATAAAGGGATTATTGTGGTAACCATGTACTACCGCAACGGCATCTACGGTTTCCTTAGCGGAGAGCAGATCCAGAAGGACGGCGACTTCAACAACGGTCTTCGAGATCAGCGGGCATCTCTGGAATGGGTGCAGAAATACATCCGGTACTTTGGTGGAAACCCGGATCACGTCGTGGTGATGGGGACAAGCGCTGGCGGAGCGTCTACAGTGCTGCAGCTTACAGGGAATGGTGGCGACCACCATGTCTCGGTCCCTGGAACTGGGAGGAAGCAGCTATTCCATGGTGTAATTGCACAGTCCCCAGCTGCGCCAACATTCTACACTCCGGAGCAGCAAGAGAAATTCTGGAAGCAGGTGGCTTTGGGTGTCAACTGCACAGATCTCTCCATTGAATGTGTTCGCAACGCCGCAGTTGGAGACTTGTACTGGCAGAACTACCCGATGTCCTTCCCGGGCCGCGACACGCCGCCACGATGGATGTGGGCTCCGTCTCCGGAGCCAGAAGGAGGGCTATGGACAGAATCAGCGACATCTGCCATCTTCGGAGGCCGCTACGCAAAAGTGCCGAGCATCGTCGGCTACACAACGAATGAAGGTAGCGACCAGGTGAAAAAGGCTACCGACAACGAAGGGGAATTCAAGTCGTACCTGAAGGACCACTATCCGCTGCTGACGGATGAGGACCTTGACTTCTTGGTCAAGCAGTATCCCAATGAGCGTCACTGGCCAGATTCGGGCAGCTGGTGGGACGCGGTTGCGAAGGCCCAAGGCGATCTCCGCTACATCTGCCCAACGTACCTGATCTCGAACGAAATGGCAAAGCACAACCCTCCATCCGTCAAAACGTGGCAGTACCAGTGGGACGTCGTATGGGGTGTAGACATCGAAAACGGCTACGGCACGAAGCACGCGGCTTCGGTCGGCCAGGTCATGGCACGACCGGATAACGAGGTCTCCGACTATTTCATCTCATTCATCAAGCATCTAGATCCCAATGTGGACAGGACGTCAGACACGGTGAAGTGGGCGCCGCTTGATATGGAGAAGCCGAAGAGGCTGTTCTTCACGAATCGGCAAGTGCGGGATAAGATTACGATCACAATGGAGAGTCCAGATGAAGCGAGAGATGCAAGGTGTCAGGAGGTGAGGCGGCTGATGCCTCAGCTGCAGCAGTGAGCTGGTTTCTCTTCGACGTATATACCCTACTTAGAGACGTATCGAATGTATTTGCACGCTTTGGTAATCAACGGAGCCCTTCAACACCTTACCTAGCTATCTTCTCGCGCGAGGGACGGCCCTGCTCCGGATGAGGGCTGAGTAAGCGCCATCACGTGCGGCGCGAAACTCCCGAAGTCCAGCCGCTCACCAGGCTGCGCCCAACGCATCACGTCGGACAGCGGCAAACCTTGGAACAGCATCGAAGCCATCGCCCTCGCACTCGCCTATCCGAAGCATGCGAGCGCCGCGCACACACACGCATCAGAGACGAATCTCTCTTCCAGCCTCCTCGCTCCTCGCCCCTCGCCCTTGCCGGTTGAACAGGGTCGCGCTCTCGCTCTGCGCCGCCCCATAGTCCCCTCCATCGCCGCGTCTGCCCGCTTCTCCAGACGGCAACAGCCATGTCGGCCGCCGTTGCTACCGTCCGCCCTTCGCAGGCGCTCCGCCAGCGCCGCGAGTCGCAACGACCGAGCGTCGCAAAGTCCTCGGCCAGACAGAACAACATGGAGAATGGCGCGCCGAAGGAGGATGCGAGGAGGTTCGTCTATACGCAGCAGGACGTCCTGGCCAAGTTCAAGGGCCAACCGCCGTCCCTGCGCGTCTCCCTCCACCAGAACCATTTCCGCCTCAATGACTCCCAAGAGACGCTTTCCTATGCCTCGCCCATGAGGGAGCTTCTCCAGCATATCCGCGACAAGACGGTGCCGCACAACATGCTTGAAGACTTTTATGCGCTTGGCATACAATTCTATGACAATTGTCTCATTGTCGAGGTCCAAGACTACCGCTCTGGCGGCATCAAGCCCAAGGACGACGCAAATAACCCCGCCGACGGCAACGGCGCGACCCCCTTCTCCATCCACAACTACAACAACTTTATTACGCCGTCCCCGCATGTTCCATACCCGACAAGCAAGTCCGCGACAAGGCCCGGCCAGGCAGACGGCCAGAGCAAAGGACCCGAGGTCAAGGCAGACAAGGATGTCGACAAGGAGAACATGCCAGCGCCCGGCCAGTCGGCCTCGCAAAAGCAACCGGCCAAGGCGAAGGTCACGACCGTTGTGCTCTTTCCTACGCCGCAGTCGCACTATACCGACCTCCAGCTGCTAGCCACCACTCCTATGCCTGATGCAAACACATTCCGGCGAAATCAAGCCGCTGGACGGATTCCGGGCAACCCTCCCACCCCGTTATCTGCAGTTCCGCCTACTCCCACGCTTCCTGGTCGAAGCCCCAAACGCCAGAAGATGGTCCTTGATGACAACAATATCCACCAGTTTGAGGCCGAGGTCTACAACGCCACATGCCCAAAGCTGTATCTGGAGCCGACGAAGAGCCTAGAAGAGTCTGTTGCACTCATCCAGGCCATGACGCATCCGAACAATCAGAATTCACCGCCTGCTCGCAAGACTCGCAAGCGAACTACGGCCGAGTTGGCAGCCGACGAAGCGGAGGCCGCAGATATCCAGCGCTTCATGCTCGCCGGCGATGAGTACCAAGCGAGCAAGACGGCTACCGCCACTGGAGGCGATGACGCCCAGCATGCAGCTCGTGCTGGCGCCAATTCCCAGACCTTCTCTCGTTTCAAGACCCTCGCGACGATTAAGATGAATCACGAGGAAGCCGAGCGAAGGAAGAAGGAAGAAGAGGCACGCCTTGTGCAGGCAAAGAGGCAAGCACAGCTAGAGTCGGAGGTGCAGAAGCGGCGAGAGATGGAAGCGAGTCGCCAGGCCGAGCAGAATGCGGCTCTGCTAGCGCAGAGGCAAGAAATGATGCGACAGCAACAACAGCAACAGCAGCAGGCGCTACAACAGGAACAAGCGATGCGCGCCGCCAGTCAGGCCCAGCAACTGGGCAACGTAGGAACTCAAGTCTCTCAGACACCCCACTCCGCAACCCAGCCGCAGTTTTCGTCCCCTGTTGTTCGACAGAACACGCCCATGGCCGCGTCTCCACTAGTTTCAGCACATGCCTCACATCCTATGGGTGGTACTCCGATGGTCGCTACCTCCTCGAACCAAGGTGCGGGTAGCCCAGCCCGGCCTCCATCCTCCATCTCCCATCACCCTACTGCAATGATGCGCAGCGCAAGCCAGCAGCAGAACCAGTCGATGAGCCGGACCGGTACACCCCAGATCGTGCAAGGCACTCCTGTCATGAACACCGCCATGCCCGCTCGCAACATGGCCTCAACTCCAACGCCGCGGATGAACCAGGGCAGCCCATCCGGCCCCATGCAGGGATCGACGCCGATCATGATGTCCACGCCTCAGCCCGGTCCTGGCATGACTCCTGACCAGATGCAGCAGATGCAGCAGCAGCAGAGCCAAATTCAGCAAATGAGGCTACGCCAGCAGATGCAGCAGCAGGGCATGTCGCCTGGAAATCAGCAGCAAGCGCAGCAACTTGCTATGCACAGAGCGAAATTACACATTCAGCAGAATGGCATTCCTCAAGGCCAAAACCCTCAAGCCTACCAGCAGATGCTTGCCCAAAAGTATTTCGCCAGCATGCAGCAGCAGAACCAGCAGGCACAGATGGCCAACCAGATGTCTCCTCAGGGTATTCCGCACGGCGGCATGCCTAACGCTGGTGGCCTAAACATGGCTAATATGAACCTGCAGCAGCTTCGGGCTCGATACATGCAGCAGAAGCAGCACCTCGTACAAACATACGGCCAGAACATTCCCCAGCAAGCCATCACCAACATGCGCCAGTTGGAGCTCGCCATCGCCCAGCGCGAACAGCAGCAGCAGCAGATGGCGCAGCAGGGTGGCCAGATGCACATGAATCAAGGCATGCAGAACCAAATGGGCATGCAAGGAGGACCGAACCCACAGAACCCCGTTCAAATGCAGCAATACCAAGCCATGCTTCAGCAACAGAGGGCACGACAACAGCAACAACAACAAATGATGGCCATGCGCCAGCAGGCCATGCAAAACGGCGGCCAGATCCCGCAGGGCATGATGAACAACATGCAGGGGCTAAATATGAACATGGGCAACATGGGGAACATGGGTATGAACATGAATATGCAGAATATGAACGTGGGGAATATGGGCATGCAGGGCATGCAAGGCATGAATATGGGCGGACAGATGAATCAACAACAAATCCAACAGCAGATGATGATGATGAGACAGGCGCAGCAGCGGGCCGCGATGCAGCAGGGACAGGGTGGTGATGGTATGAATTGGAGTGGGGTCTGAGCTGGAGATACCATTTTAGTCTGGCTCATGTGTGGGATGGTAGTGGTTTTTCTTGTACGGCCGCATTTTTATTCTTTTTATGGGGTAGGACGGCGTTTGTGGACCTTAAAAAGTCGGACGATAGATACCCCTCTTCGACGTGGACCGGAAAAGGTTTGGGACTTGATTGCATTTTGGGCGTTGATGGGATGCTTCAGGCATGGGGGTCTGCGTGAGTACGTATGCAATCATGATGGTATTTCGGCAGTCTTTCCATTTCGAATCTCTCAACTGTCGATACTCCACGGTTGATCTGTCATAATCGTTCTATTGTCTTAATGCTATTGCATTTTATTGCTATTGCCCGTGGAAAGGGTGCTGAAAGGACATCAGGCTCTATTATGCTAATGAGGACAATTGGATTCGTCCCAATAGACGGTCAGATGTAGCCGAGTCGAGAGGTGATCATATTATCGTACTATTGTCTTAAAACTATTGTACGTGGAAAAAAGACTAAAGGACTCGAGGCTCTATTATACTAATAAAGACAATAGGGTATGGAAGCCTCAGAGGTTAGACCTTCTTGCGCCTATAAATCCCTCGACCTGATCCCTCTTTCCTTTCGTCTTCTCAGTGCAGTGCAGTGCAGTCTTTACGTATTTTCAGCTTCTTACAGCATTCAGCGGCTTACAATCTCACAGACCTACGAAACCCACATCTATCTAGTCAGTCATCACCATGTCTTCTCCATACGGCCCAGGCGGCGTCCCGACCGCAGATCCCAAGACCTTGTTCAAGATCCGCCTCAGCAACGTAACCGGCTGCGTCCCCAAGAGCTACTACCACAACCTGGATTGCGGCCACATGGTGTATACGCTGCACCCGTCGGGCCCTCATCCCTGCGGCCCTTCGTGCGCCAAAGGCGGCCAGGGCGTCAGAATCGCATGCTGGACGTGCGATGTTGAGGCCGAGATGGCGTGGCTGATGCTGATGAACGATGTGGACAAGAAAGAATTGGTGGAGTGGCAGATTGAAGAGATGGCTAGGAAGACGGTTAGGGAGAGGTGGGAGGTGGCAGAGAGTGAGAATGCGGCGGTGCCGAGCGAGCTCTGGGGTTTAGTGGATGTGGCGAAAGAGATGAGAGAGACGGTACTGCCTACGGTGCGGTGGCTGGAGGAGAAGAAGCGGGAGTATGCGGAGAAGAGAAGCAGGGAGCGACGGGAACAGCAGTATTAAGGTTCAACACCTCTTTTTCGATTACGGACTACCTACCTACCTACCTGACTCCAACGCCCACCTACCCACTACTACCAAACGACGACATCTACTCGACATCTACCTTCCTCACCTCGACGAACCCCGTATCATTCAGCTTTGGCACCTCCACCCTCAAGACACCGTCCTCCAACTTGGCGCTAATCATGTCCGCATCCACCTGGGCGGGGTTTGCCCTGGTCCCCAGCCTCACCTTCCTCTCAAACGGCCCGACCTTGCGTTCGTCCATAGCCAGCGTCTTCAAGAACTCCTCATCCCCAGGGCGATAGATAACGCCCGCGATCGACAGCTCGGACTTCTCGGCATCCCAGTTAACGCCGACGTCTTCCTTCTTGGCGCCTGGCAGCGAGACGTGGATTACGAAGGAGTGCTCTGTGTCGAAGATGTCGGCTTCCGGGCTGAAGTCGTTGTCCTCCTTGGCAGTGGTAGTGGCGGTCGGGTCGAACCAGTTGGTGGCGAAGGCTAACGGGTTGAAGGGACCGCCGCCAAAGGGGCCGCCGCGACCCCATGGGCCACCCCAGCCGCCGCGTCGTCCTCCGTGATGGTGGTGGTGAGGTCCGCCGTGAGGCCCGAAGCCACCTGGTCCTTCCCAGCCTCCTCGTCCTCCACGAGGGCCACAACCGTGTCGACCCTTTCGTCCGCCGCAGCGCCCACGACGGCCACAGCGCCCTTCGGTCTCGGAGCCACTGCCGGACGGTCCCTCGCCGTTGTCATTGTCATCCTCCCCTTCTTTCTCTTTCTCCTTATCTTTCTGGCCAGATGGTTCTTCGTGCGGCGGTGGTCCACGATGAGGGAAGCCTCGTCCACCGAAGCCAGGGAAGCCCCAGCCCCATGGTCCGAAGGGAGGTGGTGAAGCACCGTGGTGGCCATGATGGCCTTCCTCACCGCGTTCGGTGTTGTCGTTTTGGTTCTGGCCCCATTGGAAGAAGGGGTGATTCGTGCCCTGCTGCTCGAGACTGGCAACGAAGTCCCAGAAGGGAGCGGATTGGTTCATGTATGTTACTGATGGCATTTTCGATGAATTGGATTTGATAATTATGAGAAATTTGTTTGATGTGTGATGAGAAAACAGAAAAACGTCACGGCTTACCTACAACCGTCTTTATACACTTCTACCCATCCCAGGCATCACTCCGCACGTGCAAGACCACGTACACCCATCTTCTCGCCACACGCTACAACGGCCCCGAGACGCGCTATCGGGCCCGTGACTACCAATCAAGGGCCCGGACCCCGACGATAGTGGTGTAGAGCCGAAGCTTCTCGAAGTCGCAAGAGGGGTCTCGGTCCAAAGCCGCGTAGGCGTGGCATTTGTCTGGCTGCATCTCTGTAGGCAAAGATGGTTGCGCGTCATGGTGTGGATGCGGAAGGGGCTTAGTGGCCGGTGGATTCGGCCTACCGATGTGGCCGATGTGGCGAGTGTGTGGCGTTCGGCGGTATGATTGGTTGGAGATGCTGCAAACTCCATGAATGTGCGTATGGCGTGTACAAACAATCGTACATCATGGGGAAGGTGAAGAGTCATACGCTTCAGTTGCGTCGGAGGGATATGATGCATGAATGATTGAGGGGCTAATTATGCTCTCAGTTGTTCGGACTCGGACTCGGACTTTCGTAGACTTGGTGAGCTTTGGAACGTTCTGCCTCTTTTACAATTGCATTGGCAAGGAAAGTGTCTTTGGAGGCAAATACTCAGCTTCATTGCATCCCAATCCTTGACAAGTAGCAGATATATCTAGCCACTAGTTCAGATCGTTTCGCGCATTACCTCCAGGAGCGCTGTGCTCGAGTATCAGCAGCAAGAACCTCTCAAGGGATCGGTGACATCGAGACTGTGTCAATGGGGCCTCTTCTCCAGCACCAACGAGACCCGGCATCAAGTGCGCAGACGACGAGGCAAAGAGAGCGAATACACAGTAAGTGAATGTCAGGGCGCCGACCATCCCGTTAAGGCAAGCGCGAATGCGGGGGCGGGGTAGCAGCCTAGCTCACACAAGCATGTTACTATGACGCCACTAGCTAGCAGACAAACAATTTCCTGTCAACCCACCAAACCATCTACAACTCTTCGTCACACGCCCACTAACCCACAAAACAACTCTCTGCTGAATTCAATTGCGCCACAACAACACCGCCAAAATGTCCCGCATCCCGACCTCCACGTCCGTCACTGAGTCCGCCGTCATCGCGGCCCCGTTCAGCGATGTCTGGCACCTCATCAAGCTGCCCGACTTCGCCAAGTTCTGGAGCAAGCTGGAGAAAGCCGAGGAGGTCAAGGGCACGTCGCCGGAGACGGATGTTGTGAAGTGGACGTTCAAGGATGGGACTGTGCTCGAGGTCAAGCAGGAGGAGCACTCTGTAAGTCTCCACACCCTTCCTCCCTCCCGCAGTCTCGCCTGGGACGTATATGAGGAGAGTATAAGAGAGGATGCGTATGCTTATTGGAATTGCAGGCCATCGACCATTATATCACCTACAGCGTCATCTCCTCGCAGCCCGCGCTGAGCTACACCTCCGTCGTCAGCACGATCCGCGCCTACCCCGTCACATCCGGCAGACACGAGGGCGACACGTTCGTGACCTGGAGCGGCAACTTCTCCAGCGACGCTGATGCTGGTAAGCCTCCCGGTCCATATCCTTCTCTTCGTCTTTCCATCTTCTAGCCCTCCTTCGGGACGCTCAACAGATGCACGGAATACCGCTAATGAGCATCCACAGGAGTCATCGAGGACGCCAAATTCAAGCGCCGCGAAGCTCTTGCCGACCTCGCCGCCGCCGCCAAGAAGAAATAGGCGTTCACAGACTGAGGGTGTTTGGGGACGGTTAAGTGGAGTAACTCAAAACGGTGCATTGGCAGTGGGTTCAATTGATCCATCGAGGTACAATGAAAATACAAATATGTTTCCACAGACGTTCAGTGGGTGCATTGTAGGCCCGCGGCTCTGAATAAGACTTTCATTGACGGAACGGGGGAGCACACACCGTACGGTGAGCATCACCCAAAATTGGAACCATTACAAGCTTGAAAGGATGCTATGTATGATAGACGCTAAAGGCCTACTTTACCTGTTCCATCCGCAATAGTATGGAGACAACGGCGTCCTATGTCTTCTTTGTCTTGTAGGGACTGACTGCATTGCGTGGATCTAATAGTATCCTAATATGGTCCGAAGTTAGAAACCATCCTGCGTGGTCACGATGCGATGCGTCAATGAAATAATACTGCATAATACAACATAATATCTTGATCTATCTATGAGTGAGGAGGCCCATGCTCCTCGTCTTTCCACATGACAAACCCGCCCATGCAAGACTAAAGTCAACGATCCGACCGCAGTAGCTACACTGTCGCAAAGCACCAACTCCCACCAATCTCCCAGCATGAACCTGTATCATCGCAGTCAGCCACCTTCACCAGTGAAACTCTCGCAGCAAGAAGACAGAATACGTATGTCTCAGAGAGAAGATTGCGACGTCAGCGCATCCCACAAACGAATCCCCAGTTTCGCCCAGCTCAGCATGCACTCCACCAAGTTGAACGAGGTCTCGCAGCCTTGCCGACTAGGCCCCGGCGCAAGATGCCGAGGCCATGGTCATCGACAGCTGTAAACTCCACCACGTTCAGAGCTTGGACTTGGAGCTGCGGCTTACTCCCGGGGGCTCGAGTTCGGGGTTGCTCGGTCTAAGGATGTTGTGTGTAATCATTGACGGGGAGGGAGAGAGGAAGGTAGACGTACCAGAGAGGGTGGTTATGCTGGTGAGCGTAGAGCGTCGAAGGACGCCGTTGGTGAGGTAGTGGGTAACTGTTTGTTGAAAGAAAGTGGAGGAGAAGTGAGAAGCTGGGGTTGAGGTGAGAGAGAAAAAGAGAAGTAGCGTTTATATGTGTAGACGAGGAAGGTGCACGGACTGGGGCGCTAAGCCTATGACGACACTAGCGCAATGTCTCTCAAACGGGAGTGAAGGTGAAAGACTGCCGCGTCATCAAGCCAAATCGAACTGTATTGGGGAAAGCCGACGAGCGAAGTCTCTTCGTCACATGTTGAAGCTTGTGAAATATTATTACTTATGGTATGTGCCGTGTCAACTCATTATACCATAACGGGCCAAAGTTCGAAAGTCTTGCAGAATGCACGGCCATTCAACTCTGGAATCCAAAGGATTCGCAATTCCATATAATCGCAATCATTCCATCCAGTCGTCTCTTGACTCTCCTAACCAAGTCGAGGATCCATCGTTGTAGGTGCGCTTTCAACAGCCCTGTTCTTAGCACCGGCCTTCCGGCCAGCCGCCTCCGGGGCATTTCCTGTTTCAACAGATCCGGTATTGAAAGCACAGTTCTGAAGAGCTGCATTGCCCTGGAGGACGTCGTTCGGCGCATATGCTTTCTGGATAATGTTCCGGGCAGCTTCGTTGTATACGACCCCGTTCTGGGGAGGGAGACCGCAGTTGTTGATATTGCCGTTCTGAGGGCCACTGTGCTGAATGTATCCATTCTGGACGGGTCCGCTTCCACCGGCACCTCTATGGGTCGCCGTCGCGTACCGTACATACACCGTCTCGGCCCGAAGTGTACACTCCTTGCAGAGGATAGCATCGGGCTGCTTCTCGTTACGCGGGAAGATCCTGCCCCGGCAAGACGGTGCGTCGCTGCAACTCGACGAGCAGGGACGCGTCGGCTCGCTCCAGACCTCGTGACCACAGCGGAGAATGTGGGTGTTCTTCCAGTCGAACGGGATGTGATTGGGATTGTAGAATAGCGGGCTCAAGAGGCTCTCGACCTGAGCAGGGCTGTAAGAAGTGTAGTACTGGATGACATTTCGGGTGAGTGCGACGGCGCGGCGGTACCGGGCTGCGGGCCGGAGCATGTTGAAGCTCCAAACGGGAATGCCATGGCACATCTCGCAGTATATGAGGTCGTTGGCCTGCCTATGACTGACATGAGGGACAAAGACGTTAGGCGGACGAGTGCTGCTGATCGCTTGCTGGAGCGTGAGACCCGTCCCCAAATCAATTTCTTCTTCCTTTTGCGATTTCTGCATTTCCGTTCTCCACGTCTCGACGTGCAGGCAGTTGAGGCCACACCGCTTGTCCTCGGCGTCGACTGCAACGATATGTCCGCAAGTAAGAAGGTGGAATGCTTGGGGGCGCTCCTCCACATCGACGGCGCAGGGCTCGATGATGCCGGGAACATACTGGTGGAACGGGTAGCCGATGACGGCTTGAGGTTGTTGGTGCGGCTGTTCGTCAGGCGGATGGCAAGGCTGATCGTTTTGCTCGCCGTGCGCCATGTTGGCTAGTTGTTGTGTCAGCAGTGCCCAGGTGAGTTTTTTCAGGTAGCGGCAAGGAAGGGGCGATCTATATAGGCGCGGGCGCGAGAAATCCAGTGAAAGCGGGTGCGTCAGCCACGGCACACCGCGAGATTTTCACCAAACGGATGTACTCGCGGTCATCAGCAGGCCGTATCAGCGACACTAAAGTGTTGTTGAAGCAGTCTTAACTTAGATGCGGATGCGGCGACAGGTGCTTGACGGCCGTGGTGATAATGTAATGGCTGACGGCGGACCGTAGGATTGACCTTCTCTTGACGGCTCCACAGCCACAGCGGTCCCTAAGGAATCGTTCGACGTTTCTGTGCCGGTGAATGACTAGACCTGTTCAAAAAGACCGTCTACGCTCGTAGCGAAGAAAACCCTTGTCCGCCGGGACTATTCACCCTAGCCGTGCCAGCGATCCGAATAAATTGGACAGAACCGTCGCTGCCAGCACACTCCGACTCTTTCTGCCCACAGCCCGCAGCTTCTCACCAGGACTAGAGACGACCTAGTCCCACCACACGCCGTATTCATGGCGAGAAACCAGGATGTCTGTACGTCGCAGCTATGTCCTCCGTTTTGAAGATGAGAAATATGCTGACGAAATGTTGCGCGCAGTCATTCAGACGGGCCTCCGCGACCTCGCGCCTGCAGATCCGCGTCCAGAAGACGTCGATTGCTCGATATGTCTTGACGAGCTCGACCTAGCAATCATTGGAGAGGAGAGAGTCGTCCAAATTCGAAGCTGCAGCCATGCCTTTCATCGGAGCTGTCTTCTCTCTTGGCTCAACTCCATAAACACGAAGCACAGCAGCTGTCCGAATTGTCGCGTCGAGCTCTTTCCGACGCGCCACCTAGAGCTTACGCAACGCGGACGGATGGCGCAAGTGCCAGGCGATATACTCGGCGGTCGTTTTCATCAACTTGCGGGCTTTCGGCCGCAGATTCGCGAAGAGCCGAGGACAGAGATTGGACTCCCACTCCGGACTTTCTTTGAGGATGTTCCACCGCTCCCTCGTGCACCCCGTCCGCTCCGCGATGACGAATATGTTGAGCGGGCAGTGAGGACGATAGCCGGCACTGACCCTCTCCCGGCGTGTCTCGCTCCAGACCCGAGCACTGGCGCATACGTGACGATAGAGCATCGCCGACGCTTGCAGCTCCGAACGGAAATACAGGCTCTTTCCCGCAATGTCTCGGACCAAGAATTGGAGACTCTCGTCAACGCTCGTTGGCAAATGCGCACACCCTTCTTGCGGGACTTGGAGCGGCTGGAGGCTTTCCGTAGGACATTAGGTCCTATTGCAGACCAGGAGAGACAAGATCCGGCACGCTCCGAGGACCTAGGAGATTTATTGCAGGCGTACGTCGACTATGGCTTCCTTCTCGTCGCGCTTACGCCTGCGGGGTCTGGACCGAGCTCTACCGGGGGGTCACTGTTTCTCAACGCTGCTTTTTCCGAACTAGCTGGAGAAGCTCGCTTGTTTTCTCTCTTCCATGCGGAAGACGAACAGCGACACCGGAGGTCTGCAGAGCAGGTGGCCTGCATGTTTATGTCGGCGCAGGAGAGCGTCACCCGGGAGGTGGAACGAGGAATGCGGGATCGAAGGCTTGCGCACTTCGTTGGACATGGCGTGTTTCGGCAATATGTGAGCGAAGGGGGCAGCTATGTGCAAGATCGATCCCCATCCGCACGTCGTCATAACCCCCAGCTAGCTCCTCAAGGGCCGCTCGTTGGTGCTTCCGGGCAACAGCTTCAAGCCAACTACAACCGAAACATTGCTGAATTCACAAGGTGGTCGGCTGCGCACAGCTCGATTGCTTTGTTATCCGCTCGTTCAGGAACGGCCAGCTCCCCAGGGACTTCCCCGCCTATACAGCCGTCTCTTTCTGGCGTTTCGAGGGCGAACCAAGTGGAATATGATGGAAATGGCGGGGACACTTTCAATCAGTCGGCTGAGCATCGCTCGGGATTCATACAATCAACTATGCCAGGACTACACATAGGGCAGACCCTTCGACCGATTCAAGCGCCTCTTCGAAGCGTCCCTCCTCAGCAACAGCAGACTGGCAATGGCAGGAATGGCGCAAACTCTTCGTGGCTGTCTAGCGAAGTTGATGGAAGACCAGCCGGGGAGAATAGTGGGTCTGCACCTGCCAACAATTGGCTGGAATCGTTGCTCCATGGCTCTGTTGCTCTTTCTAATATCTCAAGGGGGCCTGATTGGCCGCGTAGACCCATCGTGAGCAGATCGCTGAGCGCTGCACGGCCCGCTCCGTCGCTCGACCCGCCCCGAAACGAAACCCCTGGGGATGGCGTTGACGATTTCCCCTCGTTGGTTCGACACGATGCAAGAACGCCTCTCCAGAACAACGGGCCATCGCCTTCTGTTGTTGGGCCTAACCAGTCCTCGCATGCTAGTAGAGTGCCGGATACCCCACTGCAGGCTCGAGTCGAAAATCCTGCGACCCCTGGAGGGTGGGACATGCGGCGGTCGCCATACCGCTCGCCGATGCACGAAGCAATGAGTCTGGGCGTCAGTCATTTCGATGGCATGCCGCGCGGTCATAATGCGGACAGGCTGCTGGACCCGGAGTATGTGCGCTTTCGGCGAGCGCAGCGGAACAATTCCCCTTATGACAGTGCTGGTGCCATCGCAGCCGCAGGGCTCTACAATAACCCGGCCCGGAGGGATCCGCCTGGAACGGATGGTTCTCCTCTTGTTGGGCGTACGGCTGCTGCTGCTCATTGGGGCCGCATTTCCCCAACAACTACCTCTTCTTCGCATTCTTACTTTCCTAGCAGCACCTCCGCCCTCCACAGTGGACCACTGTATCGACCATCCCGCCCTCTGCGCCCCGAGGAGAGGACAGGCACACCTGGACCAAATGCGCGTGGTCCAGGCCCTAACGCTGAGTCGGATCCGGATTCCAGGGACCAGTCGAGATGGGATCATAGATCATGTGCCAGGGAGGGAGGGCGGCAGATGGGGGAGAGGGGGTCTGCACATGACTAGAGGTGGTGGGCCCGGGCTGTGGCTAGCAGCGGTGAACGCAGGGAGCGGCGGTTTGTTCTACACGACAGCATAATGCCATCTAGCGCTTTGATTGTTCCGGGCGGGCTGGCGGGTCGAGAATGTGAATGTTGAAGCGTGCAACGCGCCCCTGCAGTGCGAGGTGAAGTCTAGTGCCGCCATGACTAATCACTGCAAACATGCCAAACTCCAGGGATGCGCGACGAAGCGCTCGCTGTTTGATAGGGCCCAGCCCGCCGTCGTCACCAGTCCCGCGCGCCTTCTTGCTTTGCTCGCCCTCTGAATTCTGGATTGCGCCTGCCGATGGAGACGCGGCAGCTGTTGTCATTGGAAGTAGGATCTGTCGCGGGGCGGTGCCCAGCCTGCTGTCCGTAAGGTACTCAACTCGCTCCACCTCGCGCGCCCGCTATCGCGAACATGCCGCCCGCCATCATGTCCCACGGCGGCCCTGGAGACGTCCAGGAGCCCGCCGCGCCGCGGAACCTGGCGCCGCTCTCGAGCTCCCTGTCTAACATGCTGCCAGGATCGCGCCGTCAGAGTGGAATAGCATCAGCTTTCGGCGCCCCGTCGCCGTTCGAGAACAAAGCAGGCCCGCACTACGCCTCGACGCCGTCTCACCCCTCGTTCTTCCCGCGCTCTCGAGTATATCCACATGCGAGCGCTGTTGCCAGCCCAGACGTGTCTACCAACGATTCGTGCTCCGAGCTGACGTCGTCGTCGTCGTCCCGGGACTCGCTCCCAACGCTGAACCCGGCTGCCGAGGTGCGCCGTGGTGGCACGTCCCAGAAGCAGGCGAAGAACTCCAGACGCGCCCGATCGCAGAAGCACAGTTCTAGATGGAGTAGGGGCGGAGCTGGCTCTTCGGATGATACAGGCTCGGATCGCAAGGCGCCTGCATCCCACCCTGCCAGCTACAGCTCGCCTGCTTCCCCCCAGAACACCTGGCCTGCGCGCAAGCAGCGGTCGCACACCCACATTGCCTCTAGCAACGCCGCCGCTCAGCAGGGACGCTTGATGGCAGCAGCCTTTGGGGGCCCTTCGGGAGATTCGCGGCGAGGAGTAGCGTCTCCTCGACCAAAAGGTCGCGGTACGAAGGTTTGGCCTGCGCGGAAGTGGAGTCTTTTCTAACGCGGTGCTCTCAGAAGCCAAGAACACCTTTTGTCGCAATGTCACCATCTACGGCCATTGCCGGTATGAGAATAGTGAGTGCTCGAACTTCCGCTTTGGATCCGAGTCGTAACCTGGTCCAGCCTGTCCATATATCCACGACCCTTCCAAGCTGAACCAGAATGAGAACATGAAAAAGAGGTTCAATGTTGACTCACCGTCGTTCACGCCGTTGCAAGCTAGCACTAATGGGTCCTTGACTCCCTCGGCTCGCAGCGTAGCTATCTCACCCAAGGCTGCAAATGCCGCTATCTTCACCCCAAAATCACAGCGCTCTGGTAAGTCTAAGCCGCCTCTGGGCGTTTTTGCCTCTCACAGTTGACTCCTTCAGCTACAAGCACGCCTAGCCTGCATAGTAAAGAGCCTGCCGTGGAGTGGCATCCCCAAGAGTTTCAGGAATTCGTCCCGCAAGGCTATGAAGGTCAGATGGTACGTAGTCTTGCCACCTGCCTCAGTTCGCCCCTGTCCATACGACGATATACACAAGTGCTTGCCGTCCGCAGCGCAGAGGTCTTCCTGTTTACGCTTGCTAATTGTATTAGGTCGACCCCAGCGCCCAAGCAGCAGCATTAGGCTATGATCCCTTCAATTCGTCTTCCACAATTCCGTCTATCACTGGCTCCAGCCACCAAACATCGTCCCTCAACCCATATGCGCAGGACCCAGCGCTATCCGGTGCATCTTATTATCAAAATGCCGCCGGCTTCCAGCAGTCGCCTGCATACCACTTGTACTGGCCGGTTGGACCCCAACCTACAGGTTTACTCGCCTATCAGCGCACGGCACACGATTTCTTCATTCCAGACTCCGTCCGAGAGGACCTGCAAAAGAAGGCGGAAGTAGCTCGGCAGGTCGTTCCGAATTCATCTTTACCACCCATAGAGCAGTTCCACTCCCTCTTTTGCCTGGATACCTCTGCGCAGAAGAATCAGTCCCTCTTTGGATACTCCAGCTGGGTGTACAAAGCCGTCTCCAGCAAGGATGGGAACACTTATGCGCTCCGTCGGCTGGAGAATTTCCGGCTAACCAGTGAGACCGCCATCCGATCGGCTCAATCTTGGAAACGGGTCCTGAATGGCAACGTGGTCACAATTCATGAGGCTTTCACCACGAGGGCTTTCGGAGACAGCTCGCTCATCATCGTTACCGATTATCATCCGAACTCAAAGACTCTCGCAGAAGAGCACTTCAAACCAGCGCCAATGTCGCGCTTTCATGGAAGGCAAGCAGCAGCATCTCATGTGCCTGAACAGACTCTCTGGGGATACATCGTGCAAATTGCATCTGCACTGAAAGCTATACACGGCTCCGGCCTGGCAGCACGACTCGTCACCCCGTCCAAAATTCTGCTTACCTCCAAAAATCGGATACGCTTGAACGCTTGTGGGATCTTGGACGTGGTCCAGTTCGACAACACAAAGCCGATTTCTGAGCTCCAAGCCGACGATCTCGTCCAGTTAGGCCGGCTCATTCTTTGCATTGCGAATAACAACCCATCCGCACACCTGAATCTGCAAAAGTCCATGGATTATATAACACGCAGTTACACCGGTCGGTTAAAGGAGTGCGTCCAGTGGCTCCTTAATCCGCAACCCACGTCTGGCACGCCAACATCGCCAACAACGCATGGAGTCATGCAGAAGGATATTGATACCTTCTTGGGTGGCATTGCAGATCAATTCGCCACCGTTTTCGACAGTGAGCTTCACGCGCAGGATACGCTCGTCAACACCCTTGCGCGTGAACTCGAATCATCTCGACTTGTCCGCCTCCTCGTTAAATTGAACTTCGTCAACGAGCGCCCGGAGCTAGACGCCTCCCAGCATGTACCCGGCAGCGGTACTTCTGCGCCTTCGGCGATGTGGGCAGAAACCGGAGAGCGATATTACCTCAAGCTATTCCGCGATTACGTCTTCCACCAAGTGGATGCAAACGGGCACCCGGTCATGAATCTAGCCCATGTTCTGGATTGCTTGAATAAGTTAGATGCTGGGAGCGAGGAGAAGATTGCGCTTATCAGCAGAGACGAGCAGAATGTGCTCATTGTTAGTTATCGAGAATTGAAGAGAGGGTTGGAATCGAGCTTCCAGGATTTGATTAGAGCAGGACGGGGTTCTGGGAAATAGGGTCTTCCAGGCTCAAGTCCGCTCGGAGGAAGTCAAGGCTAAGGTAACGTGCTGATGACATCAGCGCATCATTGGACTGCACACGAGAGCCCATCTCGGGATTGCTTACTGTATGTTGTTTTTTGATTTGCGTGGATGAGCAACGTAGTGCGAGATCAGACAGACACGCATATCGTGAGCCTTTATGAATATGTTTCAATCTTCATTGTCGTCCCAGCGCCCTTATATCTGAACAAGGATGCAGAATTCTTTTCATGCTGAGAAAGCTTTCGTTCGTGTTTGATGGTGGTGATATGTGTAGGTCAGGCTCTTTGTGGTAGAGAATTCTCCGGATTTAAGGGCTCGCCGTGCAGATAAGATTGCTCGTACGGCTGGCTACACATGGCATTGTAGGCACCTGGGAAGGCCTCCCAGGGGTGGCTGTTACGTTGGCTCTCCGGGGAATTCCACACCATGATCATGGTCCTTTGCTCCGTCAGGACATGATCAGAGATGGCATGAGCGTCGGGTGAGTGCGGCTTGAAACGCTTCAACGTCACATACAACAGCGCATTCCAGTCTCCTGGATCCTGCTCGCGTCCTTAACCCGACCCGCTCGACCCAATTACAAACCCATTCAACATGGCATCCCTATGCACACAAGTGCCGCGCTCACTGTTGAGGTCATCGGCCGCCCCTCGGTTACGCTTGCCCTGCCGGAGAACTGCCCCTCGTCTGAGGTTCTTTAGCCCCACATCAACTCCGAGTTTACTTCTACATCAACGAAGAACTTTTGCAATGGCATCAAAAGGCAATTTCGAGCTGCTTTGCTTGGAGAACCCGCTGCTGGATATTCAGGGAGTTGGGTGAGTTAATTCCGAAGAGAAATGATCGTGGAGTACAGGCGGGGAGGGGCAGATGTGAGCACCGCGATGGAGAGGCACTGCAAAGAAAGTTGGTGGAACAACGAGTGACGCTGACTTCATTTTGGTCAGAGACGAGAAGCTTCTGGAAAAGTACGGACTCAAGGCCAACGATGCGATTCTGGCCGAGGAGAAGCATCTGGGGCTCTATGACGACCTGATCAAGAACTACAAGGCGGTGCTCATTGCCGGTGGAGCGGCGCAGAACAGCGCCCGGGGAGCCCAGGTACGCTTTCGATCCCTACTCTCCCTAGGAGTCAGCTAACACCAACTACACAGTACATCCTCCCCGCAGACTCAACCGTCTACATCGGCTGCATTGGCCGCGACAAATACGGCGAGCATCTGGAAGAAATTTGTGCGCAAGCGGGCGTAAAGACCGCATACCGCTATGACGAAGAGACTCCTACCGGCCGCTGCGGCGTCGTTATCACCGGGCATAACCGTTCGCTCTGCACGGATCTTGCGGCGGCGAACAAGTATCAGTTGGATCATTTGAAACAGCCCGAGGTCTGGAAGCTCGTGGAGAACGCGAAGTTCCTCTATGTGGGCGGATATCACTTGACGGTTTGCGTCCCAGCTATATTGGCGCTCGCGGAGGAGGCGGCGGCGAAGGATAAGGTATGCCACACATGAGTGGAGCAGAGGAGGTGGAAAATGGTCGGCTAATGGAACACAGCTCTTCATCCTCAACCTTTCCGCACCCTTCATCCCGCAATTCTTCAAAGACCAGCTTGACCAAGTCCTGCCCTACGTCGACATCCTGATCGGCAACGAGACCGAAGCTGGCGCATACGCCGAGTCGCACCGGCTTTTCTCTAAAGACGTCAAGGAGGTCGCCAAGTCCATTGTGCAGCTACCGAAGAAGAATTCGAAGAAGCCGCGTACGGTGGTCTTTACCCAGGGTACTGATCCCACTGTTTCGGTTGTTGCAAAGGATAGCGGGGATTTCGAGATCAAGGAAACCCCCGTGCATGCTATTGGACAGGAGTTGATTAATGACACGAACGGCGCTGGGCAAGTGTTCCGTGAACCTAATGCCAATCATGCGCTAATGAAAATGCAGTGACGCCTTCGCGGGTGGCTTCCTTGCTGGTATTGTGCGGGGCAAGCCCCTCGAGACTGCCATCGATATGGGTCAGTGGCTCGCCAGGTTGAGCATCCAGCAGCTGGGCCCTTCGTACCCCTTCCCCAAGCAGACCTACGGCTGAATACCGGCCGGGAGAGCGTGAGAGCTCGTGCATTTCAACAATCTACGAGAGCATGTAGGCCTAACGTGGCCCACTTGCATCTACCCCTGATGCCTATGTCTATGGCTCGGGTTGTAGCTGGAGGCATCCGGAGGTGTTTTTGGCGTCATAGAGGAGGGGAAAATGACCGTTCAACAGATATATTGGTCACAGCGAAAGTGAGCTTGAAGGCCCTTAGCGGGTAATGAATGGAAATAAATCTCTTCATTCTGGACGCTCATAACGCATGACGTCGTATTCTCTGCGGGAATTGTTTGTCGTCTCGGCGTGATCTTGAGCTTTTCGTGCCCCCTTTCCCATATGCAATGCGGGTATCCAATGCCCCTTTTCGATGCGTTTTGACTATGCCCCCCTTCCCCTCCCTCTACCTCTCGCGTATATACTGTGCGGTACGAACTGCAGCGCGGACATGCTGGATGTGAGGCCTTCCATGGGATCTGCGGTGGCGGCTGGTCCGGTTTTGGATGCTGATCCTGATGCTTGTGTGAGGGTAGAAGCGGTTCCCCGCCCGCGTCCGCGTCCGCGTCCGGAGCCTCGACCCCGATCTTGCCCTCTTGGATGCTGAAAACCTCCTCTTCCACGCAGCTTAACCGGCGCTCTCCTGACCTCCTCGTCCCCATCATCCTTCTCTTCTTCATTTTTGACATCTTGATCCTCATCCCTGACGACGTCCATGGTTTCAGCATTCGCTACGCCGGCATTTGATTCACCCCTCCTCCTGCCGGATTGGGAGGCGGTAGAGTTGATAGTGCTTGATCTTCGGCGGGGCGGCGGTCTTAGCATCGAGGAGCGACGGTCTATGCCATCGTTTACAATGAAGAAGTCGTAGTTGCGGGGGAATTGGTGTTTGTCGATGAGGTGGAGGCGGCGTTTGTGTGCGGTTGAGCAGACGCGGTCGCAGGTGGGGAGGAGGCATGCGAACTGGAGAGAAGTTAGCACATAGCTAAAACAGGTACTGAAGACAAAGCATGACTGAAATTTCAGGAAAGCGGAAAAAGTGAAGCATGGTGGGGGCATAGGATGATTGCGAAGACCTTGGACAGTAGATGCAACTTTGATGCTACCGACGGTTAAGACAAACCACTTACGGTTTTTTCTCCTCTTTCTCTTTTGGCTGCATTGATAGGATCGTGGTTCTCCGCAATGTGCAGGTGCAGGAAGTGCTCGTCCGGGAAATTCTTGTTGCATTCTGTACAGCGGTTCACGTGCGCCTTCTGGTAGTGCACCTCGTACTGCTCAAACGAGGCGAAAGTAAGCGGCTCGTGGGGCGGCAGCGAGCATTTCATTATCGCCGGCCGGTCTGATACTGCTGATTCGACATCAAGGTGCACGATCTTCACATCGACGGAGTGCTCTCGCGACGTGGGCGAATTGGGGTCTTCTGAGGGCGACAGAGAGCGTGAGCGCTTGACCCCCATCGTGACAGTGACAGTGATAGTTGACGGCGACGACTTGGGAAGGAGGGAAGATAGAAGATACCTTTGACCGGCCAGCTCTGTCTCCGGCTGTCGCGCGCTGCGTGCTGCTTCGCGGGTGAATGTGTTATGTCAGCGTGGTCCCGGCTGGTGGGTGGGTGATTTCGGGTGGGCAGTCGTTCGTCCTCTCGTCGATGAATCACCTCCGCCGCCGCTGGTTCGCTGGCCAGTGCGCTTGCCCAAAGCGAGCCTCGCCCGAATTACTCCCTCAACTCACCCCAGCGCTCAACCTGCCCTCCCCGACCTCGCCCACGCACCACGCACCACTCCCCAACCCTCGCTCTCGACCGCCGCAGGCCTGTCTTGCGCGCTGTTTGCTGCCCCCGCTATCCCACCCGCTTGCTGATTGTCCTCTAACCAGGGCATAACCAGACATCGACCATCCATGGAGCACGCCAGCCACAGCAGCCGCCGTCCATCGCTCCGTGCCTTCGTCTGACCTCCCGGCCGACCGTGGGGTCACATATGAACGCCGCCGGCCCTCTGCGCTGAAGGCATGGCCGCGAACATCGAACAGCTCCACAGGCACGCACAATCCTCCGCTAGCCCGCGCGGGTCGCTAATGATTGACCTACGCAGGCGGGCGCGCTCCCTCGAGGAAGAGCTCACCAGGCTTGCCGACAGCAATGCCTCCGGCGCCGAGCTAGCTGCGCTGCTCCAAGAGTGAGAGATCAGATGGCCGTCCAGCGATGTCTGCTTACCATGGCCAGGTACCGCGCCGCCTGCGAGAACGTCATCTTCGCCGACTTCGAGCACGCCTCGGCCCACGCCGTCGAACAGCAGCTATGGAATGCGCACGTAAAGGTCAATGGCGTCTTCAGGAAAGAGAACCGCTCCGTAGGTCGCATACGTCACAGAAACATGGCGGATTGCTAATGTGTGAGCGCAGCTCAAGCGCAACAAGGAGCGCGTCGTCGAGCTCCGCAAGCTCCAGAAGAACTATCTGCAGTTCATCAAGGCCAGCCAGCGCTTCTACCGCCAGTACGTCCTGAACCTCGACGCCCAATTCGAGGGCATTCCCGAGCTGCGCAAGATCGCCCGCAAGTGGAAGGATGACGGTATGTCGAACAGTATGCTCCAAGAGATGCCCGCTCATTGCACGCCAGCTTCCCGCACCTCCTTGCGCCGCCGCATCCCCGCCTCCTTCAAGAGACAGGTCTTGCAGTCCTGTCACCATACGCTGATCCAGCTGGGCGACCTCTCCCGCTACCGGGAGACCGAGCTCGGCGACGAGAAAGACCGCAATTGGGGTCCGGCAAAGGGATATTATGGTCTTGCCGCCGAGATTTACCCAGAGTCGGGACATTCGCACAACCAGTTTGCCGTCATCGCGCGCGAGGATGGTAATCATTTCCGCGCTGTTTACCACATCTACCGCTCCCTTGCGAGCAAGCAGCCGTATCCCCAGGCTAAGGCGAACCTCGAATTGGAGTTCAAGAGGATCGTGAACGCTTGGGAGAGAGGCGAACTCATCAATAACCACAAGTCTCCGGACGGAAACACCGCTGGACGAGCCCTCATTGCCTGGTTCGTTCGCCTGCACAGCAAGTGCTACAAGGGCGAAGACTTCAAAGAGCACGACGAGTTGGAGGGCGAAGTGCTCAGCCATCTCGCCATTGAGCTCAAAGAGCGCCCATTGGATGCCATTTTGCACAGGATCATCCTAATAAACTTAGCGGCCGAATACTTTGCGACCGTTCAGATGCAAGGTATGCTTACGAATTGCCTGCAGAAAAGTCTATGCTGACGGCACCAGGCTCAAACCCGCCGCCCAATATCTTGCGCACCTATTTCTACTTTCTTCGTCTTAACGTCAAGACATTTTTCACCTTGCTCCAAGTCATGCAGCCGGAGCTCGAACGCCTGTCCGAAGGCGATGATGTCACGCATCATAATGGCGATCGCCCACCACAGCTTTCCGACAAAATCACCGCTGTTGCGCGCCGCGTACTCCCTGGACTACGTCTGTACAGCACGTGGTTTGCCCGCTTCTGGAACGTTCTTGAAGCAAGTCTCGCCGATACATTGTCCAAGGTTGAGGTCCAAGAGTTGTGGAAATCCTATGCTGAAACGTTATCGCTCCTTGCTTCGAGCTTCCCCGCGGATCGGCTCCCTTCGGACAGCTACATGTTGGAAGAAGACACCGACACCATCGGATTCCAGCCTTTGGTTTCGCCGGAGACGCTGAAGTTGTGGTACAATGGTGGCGACATGAAGCAGAAGTGGACCGACCTCGAGCGTAACCACCCCAATATCGAGATGCTCATGCGCATTCGGGATCTGCTAGTTGATGGCCTCGTTTTGACTCAGAACTCCGAAGCGCCGCTAGACTTGGATGGCTCTCGCTTCATCTATCGCGAGGCAGGCCTTCCTTCCGAGCTTCTTGCCAGTCCGAACAACCGCGTTGATGGTTCTCCCGCTATCCCTGCCGAGACAATGGACTTCCCGTTGTTCCCCCAGGAGGCGCCAATCCCGGACGATCAGAAGTCGTACAGCGTTGCTGCAGCCTCGGAATCAGCATCTACTACGCTAGCGAAAGACCCGGCAATGAATCGAATGGTAGATGATTTGGTTGGCCCAGACGAGGGCCTAGATCCGTTGCCCGAAGAGGACGAGAACATTCCGCCTACGCCACCTGAACAGACTTTCGACGACACCACCATGGTCAGCGATAGCACATACGGGCCTACCACTTTCTCTATTAGTGACATCGTCAATACGGTACAGAACTACAAGAGCACGACCGGATCTCCAGCCCCAGCCGCACCCCTGTTTTCCACACCGATGAACAGGGGCGCTTCTTCGTCTTCGATTCGTCAACCTGCAAACCTTCCTTCTCTTCCCGACGGGCAGTGGAACTCCAACTCCATCTGGAATCGGAACTACAGCGGCACCCCTGGCCCTGCATCACCCTTGCTGCCTAGTAGTGTCGACCTGCGTAGCTCGCCCATAAACGGCATGCAGGTATCTGGTTTGTCCGGGCATGCTCGAGGCGACTCTGCGAATTCGCTCCGCAGCTCAGATGTCACTATCCCCGCTGATGTCCGAGCTCCACGTCCCGCCTCTGGAGGTCTAGGCAGTGGCGCCGCTTGGGGAAACCCTGCTGCTCACTGGAGCTCTGTTTACGGCAACGGTTCTGTCTATGGGAACAGCGCCAACATCAGCAACTACCAACTGCCCGGTACCAATGCCGACTTCAACCTCGCGAGCCCGTTGCTCTGGAACAGCTCGTATGCTGAGAGGGGGCACAGCTCTTACCGTCACACACCGCCAAATGGCCAAGCTGGTTGATTGGCGATTGTTTAGCCTTGACTGGCTGAGCATCGTCACCTTTTTACCATGTGCCGCCTGACATCCGCGCTTCTAAGCTTGCACCTTATAGACGCTCGATCTTCCCGTAACCCAGCACACTCAGGTGATGTCCACCTTTGGGATCATCGACGTTGAAAGCCATGCCAGGTTAGCGTTTGTTACAGCCCTCGCCTCAGCACTAGCCATACACGCGCCCGCTGGGTAGCTGGCTTGACCGAGGAAGTGGATACGTTTAACAAGAGAGCTTCTCTGTGAAGCGAGGAAACTGGTCGGGATTGATTTCGTCAGACTCTCGTGTGCTTTATCACAACTTTCGCTTTTTGCCCTAACACGTGGATTGCTAATTGATGATGGACCCGTGGACTCAAAAGGGTGGCTGAAGATGAGACGAAAAATTGGGAATCATATTTGCTAAGGCTTGATTTTCATCCAGATTGGACACTCGCCTTCATCGGCGATACGTCCGCTCCCGCAGTCTAGTCAAACTGGGGACGGAACAGGTCAACGCCTTGGTCAGACACACATTTGCTACATGCTCGGGTCTACGTTTATAGTGCTTAACAGGGAGTTCTGCGTCTACGTCTGTCTTAGGTGCGTATGTGAATGGCTGTGTGACCGCTCCGACTTCAGCCAACGCACACCAGGATTCTGAGATCACATCATGGGATGAGCAAAGTCCATTATGCATTTGATGTTCCAAACCCTTTCCATGATGTCTTGACCCGTAATCAATCTATCAGCGCCTCGATGTAGAGTGATCAATCATACAAGCATCCACATCATGATTCCGGGTCGAGAGAAAGTCCACCAAATGCCCAATCTAGCGCTAATGCGGAGTTCAAACGCCGCCCAATGCAAACCACCGTGTCCTTTACTCGTCTTCCTCGTCGTCGGACTCGATATCGGTGCGCTCCACAATCAGATTTCCACTCCTGCCTATCCGCTCCTTGATTGTACCTCCGCCCTTGACATCGTACACCTCGCGCGGCATCGGCGAGACGAGCTGGAACTTGTACTCGTGCTCAAATCCCTGCGGCTGTTCTACACCCTCAAAGCTCTCTCCAGACTGCAGGACGTCGTAGCATTCTACAAAGGCATACAACTCCTCAATGCCAGAGTCAGCAGAGAACTTCCGTATCACACGCTCCGCATTCGGCATCCGCAGACTAATCCGCACAACATCCTTCTCCTGCGAACCCGGCTCGCCGGGTATTAAAGAGGCCCGCCACTTACACCACTGCGCAAGATTTTGCTCATATCGTTCTGCGGCTTGTTGGCGCTCGAGCGCTTCTTTCTCCTCGCGCGCTTTGCGCTCTGCCTCTTCGCGCTTCTTGCGTGCGCGCTCGCGGTCCACGGCTAGTGAGCGCTCGTACGCGCTGTCTTGCTCCTGGCGGATGTTACGGGTAGCTTGCTGTTCTGCGCGCTGGGCGCGGACGCGATTCAAGGGCTCTGTGTGGGCCTGCATTGCTTGGCGGAGCTTGGAGACGAATTGGCCTGGCGGGGTGGGGCCGGTGACGCGGGTTGCGACCCCCATTGCTGTTGAGGAGACCTGCGGGGTGTGCACTATTAGCCCTGCGAAGGGGAACTTTGTGCAGTTTAGCGCGGAGGAGACTTGGTATGCTTCAGAGTCCTGGACGTTGCCTGCCCAGAGGATGATGTTGTTGTCCGGGTTGCGAATGAAGTCGACTACTTCCTGCGAGAGGAGGGTGTCCCGGATAAAAGAAGCGGTTTCATCGTGCTCGGGCGATATGAGGATCACGAGCAGGAATTGAAGGTTCTTCTTTGCGAGGTCGAAAGCTTGGGCGTAGCCGCTCTCGAAGAAGGGCAGGTTGTGGGACCCATATTCTTCCTCGAATTCGCGGATGAAGCGCGCGGCCGTATCCCTCGGATTCAGCGGCCGGCGCCCGCCCGTATTACTGCGCGACGCCGGGTTGGTGACGTTGCTCGCTGTGAGAGTTCCCCAGTACCGCCGGAGTGGTGGGAAAAGCCATCCCATAAATCGGAAATATTTTGAGAGTAGCGAATATACCAGGCTGAAGGGCGCAAAGAGGATAGCAAGGAGGAGCGGGGCGGGGGTCGTGACCTGACTCTCCGGTTGCGGGACGATTCGAGGCGCCGGGTCCAACCGTCGTCTACTCGACGTTGACGAGCGCGGCGACGATGTGAAGCCATTTAGGAGAGTTTCCTGTCGGCGGGCATCTTGCGGTGGAGTAGCGTTTACGGCGGCAGCTACGGGGTCTTCTGCGGGTTCACCGTCGAAGAAACGGGCTATCGCTATCTACAAATCGTAAGCTTGGGCTTCAAACGGCTCGATCATCCCGGCGTTAGCTACCTGCACATTCCATTGGCACCTTTGCAGCAGCGGCACGGCATCCTTGACCTCCTGGTTGGTGACGGCGGTGAACTGCTGCAGCGCGAGCTGCTGGTCCTCGGTAAGTTGCGCGATGTCGACTCCGGCGTCGGCCATCTTCGGAGGTCTGCTCGCTCTAGTCTCTAGGTGGGTCTTGACTTCTAGTTTCGTGACGGAGATTGTGGTGGTGCAGGTCGGAAAGGACTGTGGGAGGACAGATGATCGAATTGTTGGGTGCCTTGGGGTCCGACTGATGATGGAAGTCCGCCGCGGAGAGCTATCGCGGGACAGGCTAATCTTCGGCCTGCCACGTGACGCTAGAGCGAATACAGCTAGCCTGGAGCTGGTCCGTGCAAGCACCTGTGGGAAGACTACTCGTTGAATGCTGAGGAAACGGTCCTTAAGCGTGTGCCGAGGTTCTGCTTGGTATGCGTGAATCCTCTGGCGAATTCCTTCTACGATCGTCCCCAACCTCCCGCTACTGTAGCCGCACGCAAAAAGCCCGAGAAGAAGCAGAGACAGGCTCTGCAGAGCCGCATACCAACTTATCGTCTCACCTTTCATCACCCAACGCCCGCCAAATCATACCTTTAGATTGCTGACCAAAGGTGCATCGTTTCTGGCCGGTGCGCCCTTGAACCCGCAGCGATGCTCGTCGCCCTCTACCCTGTCGGTATACATCCGGCCCCTCAGCCCGGGAAGCAGAGATGAATCAGCCTGCAAACGTGCCTCGTACTATATTCATCCGGACCGCGTCATTCCTACACCATATACAGCAGGAGCTGTTCGGCTTACCCCGCAGATCATTGCTCGTTTCTCATTGCCATGCCCTTCCCCGCAGCCCTCCCGCCAGTAACAACCTCTGGAACATTGCGTGCCCCTCCTGATCATATGGCGGCCAGGTACAAGTAACCTTGAGTTCCCTGTTGCCAGCATGTTGTGAGCCTCATCCGTCCCGCTCCAAAAAAAAAAACCATGGCGCGGAATATGGTGTTTGCCCTGCTGTTAGCGGGTTCGCAGTTTGTTGTTTCTCAGAATGCGACTGCTCCATCCACTGGAACTGCGGTTGCAAGCTCAACAACTACTGGTGGTGCTACATTTACGACTAGTGTAGAGCTTTCCGTCGAAGGTACGTCGAGGCGCTGGAAGCCAGCATGGTTCACTTTCAACGGCCCAACATCATTACCATATCACTTCGCCTCAAAGCCCAATTTCTGAATGCGATTGTCCCAAATGCAGTTTTGCAATCGGCCAAAACATGCTCCCCAAGGCTTCGTGGTTTCAGAGTTCATGTCTAAACGCTCTCAGATCTCTGGGACCAATATGTTGGTCCCGTCTCGACCTTCTCTATCAACACAACAGTCGAGCCTACGCCAATCCCTTCAAGCTCGCTTATACCACCCCCGTCGCTTTACTACTCACCCTTTCCCACGGGCCAGCAAGTCCCTCTCCAGACAAAAAACGAAAGCTGGAAGTTTCCGAAGGATTTCTGGTACGGTGTTGCCGGTGCTGCGTATCAGATCGAAGGCGCAGTCAAGGCTGAGGGACGTGGACCAAGTACATGGGATGTGCTTACACACCGTGTCGCAAATTATGTGGTGACGAATGAGACGGGTGATGTCGCTGATAACAACTACTATCAGTACAAAGAAGGTCAGCAAGCTTTCGCAGGATTTGAATTCATATTAGATGGAACTACGTGCTAATGGTCAACTAGACATCGCACGTATAGCCGCGCTTGGGGTCAACACATACTCTTTCTCTATCTCGTGGTCTCGAATACAGCCCTTCGGCACCGGCCCAGTCAACGAGCAAGCGCTAGCCCACTACGACGATGTCATTGATACCTGCCTCGAGTACAACATCATACCCATGGTTACGTTGTATCACTGGGATACGCCACTCTTCCTCCAGAACTCGTATGGCGGATGGCTCGACTCCAAGATCGTCGATGACTTCACCGAGTACGCACGTATCGTCTTCAACCGGTACCACTCGAAAGTGCAATATTGGTTTACAGTTAATGAGCCTATCGTGTTCTGTGGATTCTATCCATTACCGAAGAACTACTTCAAGAAGACGGACATCCCAGATATCCAGCAAAAGTATTACTGCGGCCACAACGTCCTGCTAGCGCACTCCGCCGCTTACCATATCGGCAAATCGCTCAACTCGTCCCTAAGCATCTCTGTGAAGCATAACGGAGGCTATAAGATTCCGCGCACAAACAGCTCTGAAGACGCGATTGCAGTACAGCGCGCATGGGATTTCAATGAAGCGTGGTTTTCCGACCCACTCTTCCTCACGGGCGACTACCCGAAGTACTTGAAGGAGTATCTGGATACATTCTTGGACCCTTTTACCGACGAGCAGAGAGCACAGATCAACGGGACATCAGATATCTACGCACACGATGCATATACGAGCGACATCATCATGGCACCGGATAGCGGGATTGATGCATGCACGAAGAATGAAAGCCACCCTTTATTCCCGTCGTGCTATAACACAACAAAGCTCTACGCAAACGACTACTGGGCCCTCGGGCCTGCGGGAGATCCAGGGACGCCTTGGCTGGTTAAGGCTACGGACTGGGTGCCAGCGTTTTTACATTACATGCAGGATACTTGGAAGCCAAGGGTACGCCGTCTCTTCCTACCACCTAGTTCCCCCCCTCAGGGTCTTCAAAAGCCGTGGTAACTTACAGTGTTACAGGGCGGTGTCGCCATCACCGAGTTCGGCATAAGTGAACCCTTCGAAGCGCTGAAGACCAGTCTTCCCACTATCGTCATCGACCCAATCCGCTCAAAATACTACGTTGACTACCTTGAAGCTATTCTCATGGCGCTTTCCGAAGGCGTCGATGTGGTGGGGACGCTGGCGTGGAGTATCTACGATAACTTGGAGTGGAGTTCGGGTTACGGTGTCAAATTCGGGATCCAGGTGAGTCCTGTTGCGGGAATATAGAGATGGACGAATACTGACGAAGAGATAGTATGTGAACCTCACCACACAGGAGAGGTTCTTCAAGGCGAGCGCGTTCGAGTATGTTAACATGTTTAATGTCTATTTGGAGAAGTGAGGGAAGATGAGGACGGCAGACTAAGTGGTTTTATAATAGCGGACTCTAATAGTCACTAATCCGCGCTTCTAGCGCCTAGCTCCTAACTACTGTAATGATGGCTCTTTGCTTGTCTTGTTAACCTTCGTACCTAGGTGACTCGCACGTGTGTGCTTGACCTGCAGAGCCAAAGCTAATACCGACTAAGGCTAGCTCGGTGGGGCTAATTCACACACATCTGCGTCACCCTGCATTTAACATGCATCTTACTGCCGCCTAACTCTTCCGCGAATAATCTCCCGCAAACGTTATGTCAGATCAGGAGGCCTTAAGCTTACGGCTTACCAAAGGTCGGTCGAGGATACGTCAGGCCCGTTCTTGGCCTATCGAAGACGGATTGAGAAGATGGCAGAACCGAGCTGAGCCAGACCCCGGAGTCTTGCTGCAGCACCGATTCAGTACCGTGGGTATAAAAGGGAGAGGTATGGAGTTATGTGGCATGCTTAAGCGCGTTCCTTCCATCCCGAGTCTCATCGTCTTCATAGACAACCAGCCTCTTGTTCCGCACACTTCAGGACGCAAACCGCCACGATGACCGCCGAAACTAGAGAATTCGACTATATTGTTGTAGGGGGAGGAACCGCGGGCGTGGCAATAGCTTCCCGCCTCAGCCAATACCTCCCATCCGCGAAAATCGCCCTCCTGGAAGCCGGTCCCAACGCCGTCGACAACCCGAACGTCACTAATCCGAATAACTTTATGCACCTCATCCCAGAAGGAATCATTGTAGACTACTCCACTACGCCTCAAGAGCACTGCGATAACCGCCAGTTTCCCAATTTCGCCGGGCGCATGCTCTCCGGCGCCAGCGGCGTCAATGTTGGCGTGTGGATGCGCGCATCGAGCACGGATTATAGGCTAGTCGCAGAAAGAGCTGGGAATGAGAGATTTGGGTTCGACAATATGGTGAAGTACTTTAAGAGGGCGGAGACGCATTGGGATAAGGAGGCGGATCCGAAGTTCCATGGGTTTGATGGGCCCGTGCATACGGTGGGTGGGAGGAAGTATCCGCTGCGAGAGGTTGTGAGAGAGAGCTTTGAGAAGATGGGGCATAGGTATAACCCAGATGGGACGAAAGGAGATCCAACTGGCCTGACGGACTTGACGCAATGCTATCGAGCGACGTCTGAGTCGAGCTCTGAACGGCAGCATAGCGGGAAGGTGTATGATTTGACGAAGGTTCACATCCGCTGCGATGCGCCGGTTGCTAAGATTCTACTCGACTCCGCAAAACGCACGACTGGTGTTGAGCTTGTCTCGGGCGAGCGCCTCCATGCGAGAAAAGAAGTCGTCGTCTCTTGCGGTGCTCAGAAAACGCCCCAAATTTTGATGCTCTCTGGAATCGGTCCGCCCAGCGAGCTCTCCAAACACGATATCCCGTTGCGCATCGACTCGCCTAGTGTTGGCCAGAACTTATTCGACCACTCCTCCCTCATGCAATACTTCAAGCTCAAGCATCCGGAAAGAGGCCTTTGTCTCCCGTTCGATGGAAATATGCGACCTGAGTATGGCCAAGGATTCCCATGGGAATTCCATCTCTTCTCGCACATCCCGCCATCAGAACTCGGACCTGTCCTCGCACAGGACGATGCCGGCGTCGGTGCCGCACATCCTCATCTACGAGATAAACGCTGTCATTACTTGAACATACCGATGTACTTCCCCATCCTCGCAACCCCAGAATACAACCCCGACATCGTCATGGGCGACGGCAAGCACGTCGCCTTGACATCGCTGCATCTTCTCCCCATCTCGCGGGGCACCGTAACACTCCAGTCCGCCAACCCCTCTGACAACCCGGTGGTAGACCCACGTTACTTCTCCACACCCACAGATCGCTACATCCTCCGGCGTGCTGTGCGCACCATGCTCCAGCTTACGGAGACCGAGCCCTTGGCCTCAGAGCTCGATGGCGAGACACCTCCCGCGGATCCAAACTTCCCACCTTTGACGAGCAAGAGCTCAGATGAGGAGATTGATAAAAGGATTAGGGGTTGGGCGGGTACGATATATCATGCGATGGGGACCTGTGCGTTGGGGACGGTGCTGGATAGCGAGTTTAGGGTAAAGGGGGCGGAGGGCCTGAGGGTATGCGATGCGAGTGTGTTTCCGGAGCCGATTGGAGCGATGCCGAGTCACACCGTGTATGCATTAGGGGAGCTGTGTGCAGATTTGGTCGCGGGCAGGGTGTAAAGGCCCTCTCCACACTTCTGCGATACAACAGAAGGGACCATAGATGGCCGGGTAGACTTTACTGTGCAGTCGATCCAAGCTAGTCACATGCTCCGTTTCTCTGACCGAGCAGCACGAAAACGAACAAGGATACAATCGGTGAGGTTGGAGTAAGCTTTCCGCTACCTGACGCCACTGCGCGCCATCTGTGCTAGCTAAGTCGTCATTCATCACGCAGTTGGCTGGTTATGCGCTGTTTTGCTATCGTCGATATATAGACCCTGCATGGATGTGGTAGGGATTAGCGCCTTCTCCACATCACAAGACTATCAAGGTTGTGCCAACCCCGCAAGAGCCCTGTGCATATTGCTTGTTTGGTCAATCATTGTGACCGACATTTCCGGTGCGGAAGGCATGGTACTATGTAGGAGATGAAAGGCCGCGGGGACGTGATGTTAAGGCTTGATGGCGGGGACAAGAAAGGGCGATGATGGATTGAATTGAATCGTGCTTGATGAACGACCGACGTGTGGACGATACCAAAGACCGCTCCTAGCATATGCGAGACACTACATTTGCAAATCCACAGCCGTCACCTTGAGACTCGCCACTCAGACCCTGTGCGCTTAATTTATCATGTGCGCGTTAGCTGCCGTCATTCCGCATGTGCTTCCTCGTCGATCATCCCACGACTGTACCGCAAGAGAAGATATAAGAGGATCTCATTTCGACCCTATTCCCCATCTTGAACACTCTAAACTCCAAGTCACCCCCAAAAAGCACTTCCTCATCTACACTTCCACCATCGAACCACAACTACGACAACTACAACATCAACCATCCCTTCCCAACCACGACAATGCACTTCCGCAAATCCTCCCTCACGCACCCCTTCTCTACCTCTCATCGCACCTCCCAGGAGAAGCCCACGCGCTCGGACTCCATCCCTTCCGAACACCCTACCGCCCGTCGACATTCCTTCTCGCCCTTCAAAGGCTGGACCAAAGACTTGATCTTCGCTCGCACCAGTCCAGATACCGAATACAACTTCGCAGGCACAAATCCGCGACGAAGGGGGATGGCACAGGACCACAATTTTACGGAGTGTTCGCCTAAGAGCTGGAACGGGGGGCAATGAACAAACGAAGTGGGGTATGAGAATATGAGAGGGAATATCGGGAAACGAGCTTGGGATGACATGACGATGGATGGTACGGCGTCTGGTTGACTGGAGCTCCAAATTGAAGGAGGGGGTTGTTTATCTGGCATGCGGTTTCTGTTAGCGGGAGTGTGCAATATAATTCAATAAGGTCGTTTACGATGTAAGGTTGAAAAAGTCGATATGTGGATAACTTCTTCGAAAGGCTTGCCACGTAGATGCACCCCCTTTCCCCTTCTATGCTACAGTGAGTCGCTTCAGAAGCATCTTCTTAAGAACTTCCTCTACATCTTGTTGAATACACTCGTCCCGCTGAGCGCCACATCCGAGTTCTCCCTTATCCTGCTCTCCACGTCCGGGCTCTCCAGATCTTCCCTCAAACTCTCTAGCAATACGCTAGACTCGGCTTCCGCGCCTGCCATCAGGTCAAAGCTCTCTCCGCTCTCGCTGCCATTCTTCTCGAAGATATCTACACCGCCGTCGTACCATCTTGCTTGCTCGCCAATCCAGTCCGTACCACCAGTCCTGCGCTCTCTCCGTACGACTTCTTTCTCTTCGAGCGGGAAGGCCGGGAGTTCCGTTTTCGACGGGAGGATGTTGCGCCGGTGCCAGGCCCCGAGGAACATGCCTTCGGGGTCGACTTCGTTGCGTACGCGGAGATATTCGTTAAGGTCGTCGGGATAAGCCTTGGAGAGATAGGAATGATCTACTGATTGGAAGTTCTTAGCCCAGTGTGGACGCCCATTATATTCCTTCATCAAGTGCTCGAATGCTTGGTAGTAGCGTTCGCGACATGGAGGATCTTGGCCGTAGGGGCGATAGAGAGTGGCGTTGAGGTACAGAGCAGGCGTGTCGGGGTAAGAAGTGTCCAAATACGGCCGCGGCGTATGGCCCACTGTGTTTGAGACGCGAACCTCGATGGGTGAGTGAACGTAAAGCCCCTTTGTGCTGAAGGGAATGCCGGAGCCATGCTCATCGCCGTGCAACCAGTCGGTCAGGCGTGTGAGGGCTTCGGGGCCTTTCGAGAGGGGTATGCTCCATTCGTTCACAAACTGCGAGTAAAGACAGTTCATGAGCAATCCTGTCCGCTGTTCTTCGATTGCGGTAATCGTGGAGCCATCTTTGAACCCATATTGCATGCCAAAAACGAACCACTCCACCCACGGCAGGAACCGGGGGACGTACTGAGAAATCCAGAGCAGGACGTGGTAGGTGTGGTATCCAACGCTGCCGCCGTACCAATTGTATTGGGGCTTGACTGGAGGCTTCGTTGACTTGTCCGCGGTCCACACGATAGCGCGGCGCATGTACGGCAGCCACCAGACGCGCACAAATTCGTGCGAAGTCCAGAGACCCGTCTCCCACCGCGAGAGAACATCCTCAATCGGCAGTATCGTCTGTACCCACTCAATATCGCAGCGGTCCGTCATCTGATATTCTATCTCCACGATAATGCCCAATGCGCCGAGAGACACCAGAGCGGCACGGAAGAGGTCTGGAGACTGGGTAGGCGAGCATCTCACTGCCTGGCCATTTGCGAGCACGATGCGCAGGCTTCGGGCGTGATCGGAAAGCAGGCCGTGATTCATGGAGCTGCCGTGCGTGGCCGTCGCGATGGCGCCTGCCAGCGACTGGTCATCGATGGAGCCAAGATTGGGCATTGTGAGGCCATAGTCCTTCGCCACCAGATTCAGACCATGCATTCGGATGCCGGCCTGCACCGTCATCGTCTTCTGCTCCTTGTTTACGCTCAGCACCTGCCTGTAGTCGTCCAAGTTCACCATCCACGCCGAGGTACAGGTGAGGTCTGACGGCGAGTGTGCGCATCCGACTGTGACGACGCGCCGGCGCATGCGTCGCGCAAGCGTAACGATCTTCTGGATCTCGGCGAGGCTCTGTGGGCGGATATACAGCTCCGGCCGCGAGTGGAAGGTTCGCGCCCACGTGTGGTGGACGTGCGACTGCGATGCGCGGAAGGGGACGTCGGGGTCGAGCCTCTCCAGCTCAATCGTGAACCGCGGAGGCATGCTGAGGTGGGAGGGCGGCGAGTGCGCCATCGCCATGTCGGAGGGGGCTGGCGGCCTGCGCGGTGCGATGGCCTTTTCGGCGGTCTGTGAATGTCAAAGTCGGGATGACGTTGATGGACGCCCCGCGGCGGGTCAAGGCGTGTTTCCAGGGACCGTAGTAGAGGGGCTCAGGTGATGCGGACGACGGCGAGGCGCATCCAGAAGGCTAACTGAGCTACAGCGATCGGAGCGCTCGCCCATGCGGCGACGTTAGTCGGGGTGGACCGAAGCGTGGAGGGGGAGCGGTGGTGGGGAGCGTGCCGAAAGCGGTCTAGCGGCCGAAATTGGGACACGGGCCGAGGGGTACCTGCGTCACTCGCCTCTGCTTCCACCGTCTCAGGGCTTCGTTCGGGTCATTCCTACACCACAGGTCAGCGCAATCGGCATTTCAAGCTGTGGGCTATAGTAATCGTCCTCTACAAAGGTTAGCGGAGTTGGGCGTTACTCGGTCAACACGGACTCGTCGCACTCCGACATACCTAGGACCTTCTCCGTTATACTACTGGGTCGCCGGCATTCTCTGACAGCTAGAATGGAAGGCACACCCCAAGCCACCATGGGCGAGAGAGTACACCTGGTTGATCTAGAAGTAGCGGTACAATCGCAGACAGGAGAGTGGATTCTTGCGGGACGGAACAGTCAGAGATTCGCACGTTGTCTCTTTCACCGCTTCGGCCCTCGCTAAGCACCGGAAGACAAGAGTCCCAAAGCTCCAAAACCAAAAAGGCCAAGCAGCTCTGCTCTACCTCAGCATCCGAACGAATCAACCGCAATGGCAAACGACCAAACCCCCGTGGATCGCTTTCTCGCCGACCCGAACAACCTCACACTCCTCGGCACCAGCACCTGCCGCGCCACCAACACCGAGTGCCCCATCTGCCACGAAGCCTCCCCTCACTCCACCGAATCTGACACCCAAATCGTCAAGACAACATGCGACCACACTTTCCACCGCGAGTGTCTCGTTACATGGCTGCAATCTCTTAAGAACAGGGACGGCACTTGTCCAAGCTGCCGAGCTGTCCTCTACCGCGGCTTGTCGACGGCGCGACTGACGGACCAAGAGATGGAGGAAGAAAATCGGGAGCTTGGGTTGCTGATGGAGCAGGTTCAGACGCAGTTAGCCATGGTCGGGGAGAGACTTCGCGCCCTTCGGTCCCGACGTCGATCGCGCAATTGAGGGCCTGGGCTATTTCTGAACCTGGAGGAAGCATTTCTTCAGTACTGATCTAGCTATCCAAAGGAAGAGGGACACCGAGCGCTTGAGGCGTGTAGGGCTGGCTGTTTACGACCGACCGGCCTGCTCGAAGTATTCTCTTCCAGTGAGATTACGGCCGTGTGCTGTGGTCGCTATGGGCGGAGTGGAGTAATCCACACTCCGCCCTTACTCTAGAGTTGCTAGCGGCTTGCTCAGCCAATAATGACACGCCATTGCCAGCTACGTTTACCTATATTACTAGATTTCGTAATTCTCACATTATATTTTAGCTCATTATAGACCAAGAATTGGGTTTTACACTCTCCAAGTACGTATGGAGTTATCTTCACTCCGCTCATGCCGACTACTTGCCATGTTTGCGTCACACCGACCGGATATCCTACGTCGGCCACAGTAAGCTTTTGAATTCCATAATTTTCGTCTGTCTTGCCATACGGCTCTAGCAAGCAATCCCCTAGGTCCAACATTCGGGGCGGCGCCGGAATCAGCAACAGGTGTGTCCCAGCGGCCGAGGCTGTTCTTCATGATGGTGCTGATGTGGCGACGACAACTGGCAGGTGGTGGGCTCAGACTTGCGTTGCGGCGTCGAAGGAATACATTTGGGCGTTCGCAGTACGAATCGAACTGGGATGTGCTCTGTTTCGTAACGGTTAGGCGATGGCGTGGGTTTCGGTATGTCCTGGGCAGCTTCTTCTCCCACAAGTCTCCCATTTCCCTTCAACCCATCTCTTTCTTCGATTCCAGGAGTGTATGATTACCGTCGGATAAGACCTAGAGCATATACTCAGCGGATGAGTGTTAATCGCTCAGAACCCCTGAAAAATCGCCTCTTCAGGAAGTATGCGAAAGCAAATGCTGATGAAGGGGTGATTCCGAATACTCCCGATCGGGCGGGTATCTCCGAAATCCGAGGGTTACCCGTCGCCACACCACTCTCAGCCAATGCGGTCTTTGCTTTTGCTATGGCTGCCCAATGAAACTGGTTGAGAGTGGAGACGGTTTCGCCTTGATTTCTACTCGGTGCTGGCTCGGTGATGCTGCTATGGCTTCAGGGTAGGCTTGCTATGGGATATAAAAGGCTTTGAGGCTCCACGAGAGGAAGGAGCATATCGCAGCTACACGTCAATTAGCATCTTGACTTCCTATCTACTATCCTTCTGGTCGCAGAACCAAATCAAACTCGTCAAAGCGGTTACCACTCTTACCGTCCCGGCGAACAGTACTTCCAATCAACGTCAACGCAGGCATCATCATGACGACGACCACAAAAGGCTCAATCGCACGCAAGAACTCCGAAGTCACAATACCCAGTCTTGCATCGACGAACCACTCCACGAGCAGTGTATCCGCCTCAATCAAGTCGGCCCTGAAGAAGCCATTCCAGGGATGGACGAAGGAAGCGCTCTGGGCGAGGGAGGGATTGGACGACGACTACAACTTCCCGCATGTGGGGAGGCGAGGAGACGACCTGGCTAGGGAGCTATACAATTTCCCGGCTGTGAAGAGGAGGGGTGTTGAGTAGATGGCTTCTCGTCGGACTTTTCAAGATACATAGCAACTGGGTGGAAAAGGAGGCATGGTTGTTGGAGGAGGCGAGAGGGAGGCGATCGGTCGGAGTATATTCGGAGATGCCCAACCGCCCTCAGGCACTGGCGGAAGAGGAAGCGCTGGAGGGCGAGAGTCGGAGTCGGAAAGATACCCCAAAGCGAGGCTCTCGGATCGGTTGATACATATTCCGGCGGGTATTTGTTGGAGTTGGACTGGTCGTCTTTCCGCCGTGGCTTGAACGTTGGCGGCGCCTCCCGTCATGGCGGGGAAACGTTAAATCAACACTTCTGCATCGAAACCTGAGCTCTCGTCGTCTCCTTACCCTCTTTTTACGCTCTTCCCTTCGTTTTGTCGTTGATTGTCTGCGCTGCCACTTGGAGCAATACCCAACTGTTTCTTGTCGTGCGAGGACACTTGGCGAGTATCGACAGCCGCCAAATCAGGGACGACACCCATCGCTGCCTGACATTTGACGTCTTGGCCAGCAACTCCAGTCAAAGATTCGGTGACAAAGCAACAAAGGCAATTTCATCCATCCTTCGCCAAGATCCCCTTTCCAAACGAGCGATCGCGCAGAAGCGTTCAGTGGCCAGTCTAACCACAAAACTCCTACCCTGCCGCTCCTGGAGCCACTAACGGTCCGAGCGCCTCACTCAAATTGCTATGCTTGGATACGCGAAATTCCATGCAACTTCCGGAATAAGTAAACGACGATGCCCTCATCGTATTTCCTTCTCCTCACCTCCTCTCGTCGCTCGTCGCTCGTCGCTTTCCAAGCCGTTGTTCGTCACTCTTTACGCGAACACTTCTATTCTTCTTGAGACTTTAATATCAGCACCACAGTCATTTCAATACCTTCATAACATCCACCACAATGTCCTCATTACTGTCTGCCATCCTCTTCACTACGATCGCTACCGCCGAAGTAACCACCTCGATGTGGATGCCGTCCCCTTATAGCAGCGAAGAGATGGGTTTCTACGGTTCTGTTGTCGGTGCCGATGGCGATAGGCTCACTCTTGCGCTTACGTACGACAACGAGACCAATACTGAATCCCTTGGATTCTACGACAATTCTCCCGAGACTGTCACTTTCGTTGGTTCGACCTCCTTCGAAGCCGTCGTTACCACGGCCGACATCTCTGACAACACCGAGCTTACTATCTCCCTCGGCTGTCAGGCTCGCAACCGTGCGAGGCCAACCTGTTACTACTCCTCGAACGGACCCGCCGTTTACTCCTCTTACTGCTCCGAGTACTTGAGCTACACAGACATTATCACTTCTACGGAATTGTACACGTATCCTTCCGACGAGAACAACCCCGAAACCGTCGTCACCCGTGTCGAGACGTATGACTACCGCGACATGATCCCAGACTTCTGCTTGTCTGGATCGACCATCCCCGAGAGCATGCTCGTCGAGACTATAACCATGAACCGCAACTACGTCGCTATCTATCAGATCGTCATTACCGCCGGAGAACAGAAGCTCAAGGCGACCGCGGGCGCTACTCTTACAAATACTGCTGCATCGGTGACGGCTATGGTGACGGGAACCGCTGCCTTTCAAGAGGGAGCACAGAGCGGATCTGCTACCTCATCACCTACGATCAGCACTGTAGCAGGCGTATCAGGCTACGTCGAAGAAATCAATGCCGCTTCCAGGGTCACATTGGCCCCTGTGCTCGCCGGCTTCGGTGCTGCTGTCGCCGCCTTCGTCCTATAGAGCACCTTCGACGTTTCTTCGCTTCTTATATCACGACTGTTTATAACATCCATGCATTAGCCTCGAATGGGGAGGTTTATCACTACTATATCCATTGAATATCATCTCATGAGCAACATGAGTGCATCGAGAAGCAAACCGATGGAGGTCAAAGGCGCTACGAATCTATACCTTTTGCCCCGGTATCACCTGTAGCCCCACCTCGGCACCCGTTAGGACCCATAAAAAGGCTTTGTTGGCGCCACGTCTTAGATTAAGCCAAGTCATTACAAACCTGCAACCCGATGCCGGACGTCGCGGTTCATAGCACTCACACAGGTCTCCCAATCAAATTCACCGTTTGCAAGTCAGCATTCACGACTAGGTCTTCCATCTCTATCTGGACATAGGCTATAGCCTGAACCTACACCTTCTCCTTCTGTGGCTGCTGCCCGATCTCGATAGAGGGTAATAATATGCGCCGAGGCGCGCGTGAGTCAAATCCTCCCTCCTACTTTCGTACTGTCAAGGCACAGTCTCCACTTAATTGAACATTTACGCTACCAAGTTAGGGTTACCCCCAATCTACGCACCGTCTTCCACTACCCCAAACACACCAGCCTCTCCCCTTTCTTCCCGAAGCATGCCACCCTGTCGTCGGACACCTTCTCGGAACACGCCTCCCCGTCGTCGGACACCTTCCCTTTCACACTGCCCATATACACATGCCCCTCGCAATCTGCCCTCTTACAGGTCGACCTAGCAATGTCGCCCCCCTTCTCCCGCACATAGCACCCCTCCTTACACTCTGTCTTCCAGCGAACATGCTGGCAGCGCAGCTGCCACGGGAAATCGTGACTCTTAATCTTAATGGTTTCCTTCTTCATGTCTTTGAGGTCGCTGTGCTTCAAGCAGTCGTATTTAGATTTGTCCTGGGGCGCAGGGGTGGCGTGAACTTGGGGGACGTAGCGGCGTGGTGGGCGCGAAGGGATGTGGACGACGAGAGTATAGACTGTGTTTCTGTCTTCCCATTCACCTAAGGGGTCAAAGAAGTTGCCGTTCATGATGGTGATGTTCTGGCTGCGATGGTTGTGTAGTCGATTTAATTTCTTGTCGATGGTGGTGGTAAGCGACGGTATTCTGAGTAGTGGCGAAAGTGTGGAAGGATGGCCTTTTAAAAGAATTTGGCAGCGAAGGGTATGCGATGTAAAGTGAACTGTGAAAGGCGCTGTGAAGCAATGAAGTGGACAAAGAAATTGTGAATTCGACGACCAAACTGGGTTAGCGCGTGCGAAAGTCAATGACAGACAAACGATTCACCGTCTAAGACACACCACGAACAACAAAGAGCAATGTGCAGGAGATCTAACCACACGCATCCCTCAAGCGTAATGAGTATATATCACGGTCGAAAATTTGCTTCCTGGACGATAAACTACTCCTGGGCCGCTACTAAGACATTACTGCGAGAACAATATCAACACCAACTCGAGATAATGAGCTCCATTCAAGACTACATCGCCATATACAGAGACCCCGGACCCTTCGGCCGAATTCTCGAGGGCATATTCCCCGACACGTCAAAGGCGCCCAGCCCCCCCAAAGACCAATCCTTCACCATCGGCGTCCGCCGCCCGGAGATGTACTACCCCAAGCCTCCAAAAAACCCGAGCATCAACGGCGTCGTTAAATCCAGCTACAATGACGCGTGGAAGTATGCGCCGACTGTCACGAAGGCAAACATGGGGAAGTTGAAGCTCGACACGACGATGGTCTACAAGGAAAAATTTCCGGATAATGTGAAGTGCTCACATTTGCGGCTAGGAGCAACGGAGTGTATGAGCGGTACTTGCTTCTTTTTGGGGGTTGAGGATGAGCATGAGGAGGTGAGGCGGCTGGAGGTAACGGGCACGAAACCGTACCATGGTGCGCAACCGAAGGTGAGGAAGTGGGATGTGGGGCAAATGGATTTGATTATGAGTAGGAGGGTGTTTATTAACGGGAAGGGGACGGCTTGGATTGCGTGTGTGGAGGATTGCTAGGCTGGCACAGCGAGCTTGACGATAACCGAGAGCGCGAACAAACAGCAATGGTAATGCAACACTTAAAGAGGTATCCAAGACGTCAAGGAAACCCGGACAGTAGTTCTTAAAAGGCACGCTCGCTGGTATATATCAAAGGGCCGAACAGTTATGCAACATGACTGAACCCAGACTTATTACCTCTTTCCAAACTCACAAGGTTGTGACTGCGGCCCGTGTGCTAAAGCAATGTGAATTGTGACTCATGAAGATAGAAGCCGAAACGAGATAGGATAAGAATTATAAAGTACGTTAGAAAAGAAACCTGATAATCATACCGTTGGTTGCCCAAATCTACTATTACCACCAGTTTCCGGACCGATGGACTTCCCGAGCTCAGATATCCCCACCATACTTCCTCCCTGACGCCTTGTACGTCCCATGGAACCCAAAAGACATGGGCCCCTGCATCTCCGCCCTTCCCATCTCTCTCAAGTCCCTTGCGTTTAGCACGAGCAAGTAACTCTTCTCCTTTACTCCATCAAGCACCACACTCAAAAGCACACCATCATCTTCCGCCTTTCCGTCTGGATCCGCCACGAAGATAGGCTCGCCCGGCGTGTGCGCCTCTGTTTCCCAGAAAATTGCCTTCTGCGTCACGTTGTCAAACTTGATGATGCCGTCCATGAACGAGGACTTAAGCCGGTCGGCGGTGCCGTATGCGAAGCGGTGCTTGTGGGTAAGGTAAGCGGGGTTGATGGTGGGAAGTTCCATAGAGATCATTTTGTCGGCCTTGAAGATGAGTTCGGTGGGGAGCGGCTTGGATGAGGAGACGACCGCGTTGACGCTGGGCAGACGAAAGTGGGCGTGGCTCGGGAGGCAGGACTCTCGTTTCTTGCCCGCATAGGCTTTCGAGGCGTCGCTCAGGCTCATGACGTTGTCGTAGTAGAAGCGGTGTATAACATCAAGATTGTCGTACATAGCGAGCTCGCAGATGATGTCCGTTTTCTTGGGGTCGCTGGGGGATGGCTCTTCCCATGCATTGACGGAGTGGAAGCAGAAGAAGGGCTCGCTTTCGTAGGTTGCTACGAGCCCCTTGCCGTGGGTGCGGTCGACGACGTACCATTTCGCTTTCGAGGAAGGGTCGAAAGGCGCGATGGCGTCGACAATGTTCTTGTTATAGAGTATTGAGAGGCCACCCCAAGTGATGTGGCTGTTCCAAATGCAGAGGACGACATAATTCTGAGTGAGGAAAAGGGAGTGGAGATACGCTGGCTTTCCATAGAAGGTCGCAAGAATGTCGGTTTTACCGGTGGAGGCGGATGTGCGGAAGATACGATAAGTCGACTTGCGCCCGAACTCCAAGTTGAAGTTGAAGAGATCTCCGGCATCGGGATCGGTCTTGGCGTGCGCCGCAGACATATTGCCTTTCAGTTCGGGATTCAGTGCAGTCTGGGTGACGAGGCCCTTCGGCTCCAGGGTCTCTGGGTCGAGTTGTTTCATGAGGAAATTGTCTGTCTTAACGTGCAGCGTCTCGATCCCGCTGGTGTGGCCATTGACCATGGCTGGCTTCTCAGCGTTCTTAACATGGTCACCACCCGGCATGTTGATGGAAAGTGTGACGCCGACGTTCTTCGCGTTTCGCTGTGCCTTGAACATACTCATGACTTTGTGGAAGAAGGTCTCGCATGGGTCGCGCTTGGCGGCGAAGGTGATGCTGTCGAGCTTGCCGGTCTTTCGAACTGTCTCGAGATACTCGTCTACAATGCGTCTTGATCGATAGGTGACATGTGCCGGCGCGTTCTCCTCTGGAAAGTCAATCTCGAAGCGATGGACACAGCTGAAGCCATCGAACCAATGGTTCGCAGCCCAGACGTTACCATCGCCCGTCTTCGCCTTATAACCAAGTGGCCCTGTTCTGTATAGCACGCCAGCGGCATAGTACGGTATGTTGCCTTTGACGGTGAGCGGAACAGGCTCATGCTCCTCGTAGTCGGTGTCGAACTGTGACTATTAGGATCTCGAGGACACGGAAGTAGAAGTGGCATAGCTTACGCCTGCGTCGTTGGGCCAAGAAGTCATCTTTCCTGATGATTGCTACACTGGAGAGGAGCAACGGAAGTGAAGGTCGCGAGAGTTGCCCTGTCGACGCCCTGTTGGTAGGACTGACAAGGGATGGTATGGCGAAGGTTTGGAGGTGAGCTCAAAGAAGATGCCGAGGTTTCCTCGTTAGGACGTAGACAGTAAAGGGAGCGAGGGATGTTCACTTTTTGGAGTAGCTCGTAGCTGCGTAGCTGCGTATCTGTTAATTCGGCTTCAAGAGGGAGGAACGACGCATCGACAGCCCTCATATACCTCTTGCTAACGGACGTAACACCAGCAGGGGCCTCTAAGTAGGCATAATTAATCCGCGAAAAGAAGAGCATCATCCTCTTACTGAGGGGTGTACTGCGCAGACCTCAAGTAACGCTTACCACGACGGGAAATAAGCCCTCTCCACGTGCGCTCGCTCCCCCTTGCCGCCCTGCCTGTCTGCCCGCCAGCATGTTGGAACGTGGCACTCCGAGCCCTGCCAGTGAGGGGTCGCAGCGCGAAGGGGCTACCGAGCGAATGGCGTCAGCCAAAGTCCCACTAGGGTAGCTGGAGTGAGTGTTGCTGCCCGTCGTTTACGGCCGTTGAGCATGGGTATTCCTACGGCCGAGAGCTGGCCATGCGCTCCTTTGGCGGCGAGCGGTTCCTCCGCGATAGAACGAAGTATGGAAAAAATTGAACAGTTCCGAGCATGCTTTCAGAGCGCCCTGCTGCAACGTCAGATTGTTCGGTGCTTCAAAATCCGAGAAACTTGGATAGCCTGGTGTCGCCCCGTAAACGAGAGGCTTGCACCGATGCAGCGAAAATAGGCGAGGCAGTACGGTGAGTGCTCTAGGCGTTTGGAATGATGGAGATGAAGGATCCGCTCTCGCCTATGGGGATCAATGCTGCAGTAAGTGATCGTAGAGATGGAGCAGACTGTAGCACGATAGGTGGGCGAGGCTGTTCGTAAAGGCTGGGGAAGCGGGGTCTAACCTCGATTCAGGTAATGTTAGGCGAGACAAAGAGGACACGGGGATCGGCGCGCTTCGTCAGGAGCTCGCACAGGGAACGAGATAGAGCAATGCTGTTCAACGTCGGATATGCTGGTTGATAGACGTCCGGGAGCGTTGAGGAAATTGGGGGACTCTCAGAGTCGACAAGACTAAGCTAGGCTGGATTAGGACTAGACCTCCCGGCGTTCAGCCCTACCCTCAATGATTTGCATCACAGCACCACGAAATTGAGTGGACGTGCAAACACCACTGACCCGCCAGTCCCCCCTCGTCTTCCACCCCTTTTCATACAACGCAATCGCAAGCCCACGACTCTCCGCCAGCCGCCATGGGCGCCCTGCTCTCGACAGCCCGCTCCCTTCTCAACCTCCTCCTCCCATTTACGAACCCCAACACCCCCGTTATTCAAGACCTAATCCATACCGCCGTCCTCTGCGGCACCCTCTATTACGCGCCTCAAATAGCCGAATACTATAACGTCTGCCGCAATCCTCCCGTCTACATCGACGATACCCAGCAGACCGGCTCCGAGCAAGACAATGCCGCGCTAGGAAACCCCCCAGACGACATCCCAATCGACGAGAATCTCGTCCTACAGCCGGACACGGACGATGGCGAGGAGGTAGAACCGCCGCCGCTGGCACCCACTCCGCCGCCGGGTCAGGCTCGTGCTCCTCCTGCAGAACCCGCAGTTTGGGGAGGTGTCAACGGCGATGACCAGCCGCAATTTGCTGAAGCAGGTCCGGCGAACGCAGACCGTCCCCGCCCAACACCAGCAAACCGCGTAGTCGGCGCCAAGAAAGCGAAATCCCTCGCCCGCAAAGACCAGCGCCGCGCATACCACGAGTTCCACCGGCAAGAAGCCGAGCTACGGCGGCTCCGTGAAGCTGAAGGCCGTGAAGAACGGGAAGCCGCGCTACAAGCTGAGAAAGCACGAAGAGCGGAGGTCGAGCGCGAGATCGCTGAAAGGGAGAAGTCGGAAAGGGAGCGCAAGAAGGAAGAAGAGCGGAGAGAACAAGAAGAAGAGCGGGAGAGAAGAGACCGAGTGGTGCAGAGGGTGAGGAGAGAAGTTGGGGGTAAAGGTGCCGTAGATCTGGTGGACCTTGCATGGGAGGAGGGCAAGGACAAAGTGTGGATTGAGAAGTTGATAAGGGCGTCAGGCATGCTCTCACAAGTGGAGAAGGCGGGTTCGCATACTATGATCACGGGCGATGGATGGTTGGTAAGGATTGACGCGGTCCTCATGCAGAAGGCGTATGCGGACGCGGTGGCTTTCGGAGATTCAAACGAAGGGAAGGTCAGCTTCTCCGAGCTTGGCGGCATCTTGGAGAAGGCCGTGCGAGCTAGGGTGAAGGCACTGGCGCATTGAGCGCAACATCGCATGCATTGGGATGGCGTTATTGCTGCATTTTGTATTAGTCTACGACAGCCCACGAAATAGATACCCTAGAAGGCTCGGAACGGCTAAGCCTGGACCAGTCATGAAAGACATATTGAAACAAGTCTTAAATTCATTAATCTCCCGGCGGAGCGGAGATCCCGACAAGCGTCACGTCAGAGACTCCGTATCAAATGCACAATCTTTGTATCGAGATGTTCATTTTGCCATGCAACCATGAAGGAGATGCTTATTCACCTGGAAGACCGGATACATGCTAAAGCCTTCCGTAGTCGGGCAAATTCGCCTAGACCAGCCATATGAAGAACTCCATCCGGCTCGATGTCACCAATCCGCCCTTCCCATGCACCACGAAGTCCACATCCACGCACGCCTTTATCGGTTGCTCTTCGCCACACGCTCCAACTCATCCTTCTTCTTGATGGCGTACGAGTTGCTGCTTCCCTTAGCTGCGTTGATGAGCTCTTCGGCCAGGCACTCGGCAATGCTCTTGATGTTGCGGAACGAGGCCTCGCGGGCACCAATGGTGAGGAGGGCAATCGCTTGGTTGACACGTCGGAGGGGGGAGACATCGACAGCTTGACGACGGACGGTACCTGCGGAACCGATGCGAGTGCTGTCTTCGCGGGGACCGCAGTTGACAATAGCGTCCACCGCGACTTGGATTGGGTTCTGATCAGTCATAATGTGGACTAATAGCTTGTTAGCATGTGCCCAAACAGTGCTCCTGTCCTCACTCGTGGATATCATCATCTATGTGCAAGTCGGGACGCGGAGGACGTACTGATCTCGAAAGCGTGGGCGACGATTCGGACGGCCATGAGCTTCTTGCCGTTGTTACGACCGTTCATCATGAGAGAGTTGGTGAGGCGCTCGATGATGGGGCACTGAGCCTTCCTGAACCGCTTCTGCGCATATCGACCGGCGGAGTGTGAAATGTAGACGGGGGTTCTACGGGGTTAAGGGTCAGTACAGCACCAGAACATGTAGGTAAGTCCGTATCTTGATCCGTTGCTCCAATGTCGTGAAACACCCCCTGGAGGGTATTTCAAACGGCAATTCCGCAGCACAAAGTTTGAAGAAACCGTCATGTCAAACGTACCGGATCTGGATGTAGTCCGTCAACGAAATGTCTCGGATCTCGACATCCTCGTATGACCACTTGTTGAAGAGCTTGACTGCACACGAAGCAACATTAGCCTCTGTCCAGAATGTGCGGGGAAGAGAGTAATAAAACCCAAGTATGTCTCAATGACTGTTCAACGTAGAATGGGTGCCTCCACAACCCACTCCAAAGAGCTCCGAAGAGCTACCCCCCGCCGCTTGAACGCTGAGACAACCCTGGACTTTATATCGCAACGACATACCGCTGCCAATCTCCTCCGTGATGTCCTTAGGGAGCACCGGCCATGCCTGGGGACTCTCGATCTCGACCTCGCCTTCAGACATATTTGCGACGTCGGAACTGCAGAGAGGCGACGCTTAGCCGGCGTTCGACCGTGAAGCTATCACCGGGTGGCTTACAAGACGATATCCGCAATGAGGTTTTCGGGGGTGGGAGGTCGAATTGGCGGTCGAAGTGTGGAAGTTCGTGGAGTTGAGGTAGTCCAAGATCGAATTTGTCGTGGGCCTCGCTTAATCTGTTAGCTTGGCACCATGCACGGACCAACGAAATCGAAGTCCGACACCGCGCCTTGTGATCTACTTCAATCCGTGGATATTCTAGCACTGATAATCTTCATCATATATCCAATGAATAAAAAAACTCTTATTACACTAGCCTACACCGACGAATTCCATGACCGTCACCCTGTGGTATCCAGCCAAACCAGGACAAAGCCGAATAGACAACCTTGATAATTCAATGCAGAACCATGACCGTCGGTCAGAAAGAAGAAAGAAGCCAGAGAAATACTCCCCCTAACTCCTGGTAATGCCGCTACACAGCCTTGAAGCCCGAACCGGAAGGTGGCCCTATACAATCCTACACATCGAGAGAAGAGTTTTCGCGCGATCACATCAGAAGATACGACGGAGCCTCTCACTCCTTCAATTGTCATCGCCGTACCCTCGAGACTGGCGCGCTGATGTCTCTTCGCTCCTTGACTCCCTCCATCATCCCCTTCCTCGGCGTCCCATGGCCCGCGGCCATACTCCGAGCTCTTCCTCGTCGCTGACGAATAGCCTCCAGCGCGGCTTCTCTGTCAATCGGAAGCTTATTCAGGGACAGCTCGCCCAGGACAGGTGTCCGGGCATCTGATGGAGCGTGTGCGACGGTCGAAGGTGTAAGAGGCTGGTTTCCGGGCTTGGTAGCTGGCGTTACAGGAGAGAAGTGCAGCGGAATAGTCGTTGTAGTCGTAATCGTGCGCATGAGGTATTGTCCTGGCGTGGTTGGACCAGAGGAGCCATGAAGCGGGGTCTGAGGCTCAGAGTTCTCTTCATCGCTGTCGAGTACCACGTCTTCGTGGATGGAAATGCCAGCTGACTTGACTTCGGCCTGATTACCGCTGACCACCTCGGCGCGGGATTGAAGACGAGATGCAGTTCGAAATGGCGGCGGGGATGCGGTCTCTCTTGGAATGATCGTGCTGCTGGCATCTGGAGTCCACGGCGACGATTCCGTTGTGAGCTCGGTGATGGCAGAGAGCCCGAGATGAGAGGGCTTTGCGGGAGTAGCAGCGTGTGCAGGAACCTGAGCCTTGACGGGAGATGCCACGGAGCGGAAGGTACCTGTGGTAGGGGAGAAGGCTATCTCTGGCTCCGGAGAATTGCTAAGCGGACGCTTCACGAGAACGGTAGTGTCAAGAGTCTGTTCGCTCGTTTCGGGATTCTGCCCTGCCTGAGGCTCCTCTGCAGGTGGAGTAAACGGGTGTTCTTCGTCAACAGACTCCTGTTTGATGACTACTCCCTCCATCGGATCGTCGCCATGATTGCTCGAAGGGGGCGTTGGAACCGAAGCCTTGATACGGTCCATTTCTGCCGTGTAGCTATTGTCGTGTACGTATTCCAACCCCTTCATGTCGGCAATGCGGCAGGAGCAGCATCGGAACTGGCACTCCATCTTCATGAACTCAACCTGCTCTTGAACGCGCTGGCGCAGGCGCTTCTCTGCTGTGAGCTCTTGCTGTACAAACTTGAGTTCTACAATAGCCTTTCTAGGCGCGACGTTCTCCTTGTCGCCTTCATCTCGCTCCGGAGTGCGCTGTTTGCGCGGCGAGCGGACAGGCGATCCGAATTCGTCGTGCTCTTCAATTGTGGCAGCGGGTAGGGCAATTCCTCCTTCAGCGGCAATACGTAGCACCTCCTCTTCTTTGAGACTCGTCTTGAGCGCGTCCCGCTCACCTTCGACCAGTCGAAGCTTGTCCTTCAGCGTCTGAACCTCGCCACCTAGCTCAGCACGAACAGCCTCTAAGTCAACCTGCAAACCATACACTTGGTACTTATACTTCTCTGCCTCGGCCATGTGATATTTAAGATCCGACTCGGTGCGTTGGATGGTTCGCTGGAGACCTTGGATCTTGCCCTGGAACGTTGGGAGCATGCGCTGTGCGTGTTCCCTCTTCTCCTTCTCTTCTTGATGCGCCTTTTTGTATTCCTGGCATTTTGTCTTCAAGGCATCATTGAGCTTATCAATCTTGTACTGGAACGATGTCAGCGTATTTAGAGTCCAAAAGTGATGAAATGCAACTCACGGCCTTGTTTGCTGCTGCTATCCGACGCTCTTCTACACCAGCCATGGCGTTCTCCCATTTTGCAATGGCCTCGCGCTGCTCTTGGCGTGCCGCATCCCACGATTCTTTGGAGACGGCGTCCTTCATAGCTGCCTTGAGCCTCTGCAGCTCTTCATCCAACTCCTCAATGCGCACCTCGCGGCGGCCTATGGCAAGCGCGTGTTCCTTCTCCATCTGCCTGACTTCATTGGCATGTTTTGTTTTCTGCCTCTGCAGAGCCTGCACGTATTTGGCCTGAGCTTCCTTGAAGTCCTTAACCTCAAGGTTCTCAAACATGGCCGCGAGGCCCTGGACCGAGATATCCGAGTCATTCCGTCGGTGTTTGCGTAGCGGCGACGTGCGCAAGTCCGGCAGGGATGGCGATTGCGCTGCTGGAGGGCCATATGGCGGCTTCGTCCCGGCTGCGCGTTCCGGGCTGACGGCGAAGATGGGCATACCGGGCGACATGGGGAATTTGGAGGGCGATGGGGGATCCATCCCGCTCGGGCTTTCCTTGAGTTTCGCCAACTTGACGGTGTTGATCGTGTAGAGTGCTGCCAAAGAGGTACTTTCGTGTGCGCGGGTGGGATGGATTGAGGTGAGGGCACGGCGTGTGGTACAAGCTCAGAACTCGTAAACAAAGCTAATCGCTGCATCCCTGCTCTAGCAACGCGCACGGACCACCCACGATCCATCAGCCCGAAATCCATCACTGCGACATGGCTTGTTCCTCCTTGCTACCTGCAGTTCCGGTGGCCAACCCGCATATGGCACTCCGTCCTTCATGGTGGATGCAAACCGGCCGGAGGACCACAGAACCGAAGATTTCTTTCGAGATCAACGCGCTTTTCATGGGAGCGATCCGATCCTGCCTCTGAGCGTTGGCGCATACAACGGCGCTGAGTACGACTATGCCGGCATCGAGAGCGCGTCAAAGAGCAGAGAAGGAGTGGCTGCGTATTAAGTAGGCTAGAGGCCTTCAGCTTGCTTTGCGAGGGCGGCACTTCAACGGGATTCCGAGACGTGAGGGTATCTGCTACTCCGAACTGAAGTATGGCAACATCTAAATTAGCCTAAAGAGCATGAAGAGCAACTGCAGACTCTAGATATTCCGCTTAGCTTGCAAAGGCGGCACTCGGGTTGGAATACTAGGCGCAGAGGCCTTCAGCTACTCCACGAACCAACATCAAGATTACCTGAAAGAGCTAAGAAAAAGTAACAGCGTGTTAGACAGGCTGGCGGGCTTCGGGGTGCTTTAAGGTGGCCGTCCTCAGGTAGAAATACAAGACATGAAAGCTTTTAGCTACTTCAAGCCATGTACGCTAACCAAAAAAAATCTAAAGGGGGAGAAAAGCACATGCGCGTAGGAGGCTGGCGGCATTCAGCTTACTTTGTAGATATCACACTTAGAAGACATTACTGCGCGGGAAGACATGAAGGTTAATGTAAGTCTAGGCATTTGCCGCATTTACTCCCCAGTCCCCTTCGCATACAGCTTGCCATAGTCAATCCTCTTCTTCTCCAAAGGTTTCGTCTGGCCCCAGAGATGCTGAACTGGTGGCGCAGTCTGCCTCTCCTCATCCCGAACCGGCTCAGCAGCATGCCCTGAAAGCGTAGGGTTGACATAGCACTTCCCAATGCCGTGCCTAAACCAAGTCCCACTCTTTCGGAAAAGATATTCTTCCTTCACATCATTCCAATTCCTTTTCAAAAACATCTCATTTTCGATGAGATCTCGATACTCCTCCTTCGATTGGGCAACGATTCTTCGATTTGCGGCGCGATCCGCTTTCCGGTTTCCCTCGCACCCTGCCTTATGGCCCTTAATCCATGCAATCACCACATTGATGCCATTCCCCTTCAATGTAGCAGAGTGACTGTAAATATCTTCAAGTGCCCATTTGCCGTCTAATGGCACGGGGCCAAGGGCCAAGGCAGTCTTCTCGCCAGCAAGCATTCTCACCATATCCTGGCAGTCGGTGAAGATAATAACGTTTCTGATGTCGTTATTCGGTTCGTTTGCGCGTTGAAGAGCGATTTCGAGTGCCATCAGGACTGCTTCCAGCTCTGCATCAAGAATAGTTCCGGTGTTGCGCTCGATATCTGTAGTTTCTTCTTCCCAGTACTCGTTTCCTTGCCAGTCCCGCTCTTTCCACGCCACTGCGGCAGCTAAGAGACCGTCTTTTTCGATATCGTGGTGAAAGGAGCCGTCAGAATAGAATATCTTCGTTTCACCGTTGCCGGTCACATATCCATGCGGAACGAATTGGAAGATGTCGTCAGTGCCGTCGGTATACGGGAGCGCGGTAGCAGCGAATCCGCGATTGTGCGTGATGGAGTCATATATACGGTTGATTCGAAGGCGGCGTTCCTTGTGGAGATAGCGCAATTCATTGTTCGTAGCGGCAGAGAGGCGTTTATCGTAGCGTACTTCTGGCGGCGGTTTCTGACGAGCCATTGCAATATACTGTCACGATTTGTAAAGAAGATGTAGGAGAAGAGAAGGGAGCGGGTTCGCAGCGGAGGCATTGGCGCTGGGGAGGTTTTGCAAACAGAGTGAAAAGAGCGGAGACAAATTTTTTCGCAAGCTCGCAGTGAATGTAGCATACATAAAGGCTGATTTATATAAACGATGTCTTGGGAAGACTAGAAATGGAAAGAGATAATTCCACCTCCGGATTCCTTATACCCTTATTTATATGCGACTGGACCTGGCCTTTCTGCGTGACCTGGCTTAATGATAGACGCGGATGATGTTCCTAAACACAACTAGTGACTCTGAGTTCTCATACGCGTGATGCAGCCCGCAATGCCTACGGTAGCGTGACCTGGAAAGGCACTACATGCTGGCAGCGTCCTGGATACCTATTCCTTTCAATTGGAGCAAAAGCAGCTGAGGGCCTCCAGTCCACCTTATAGACAGTCCTGTCTTCCTTGACTCGTTATCTCCGTTCAATAGGCCATGGTCATGAACACCTACACCGCCACGGTCTGTCAAGGTCCTTTAAGACCGGCAGCGCCTCTCCTGCCAATCTATTGCGGTTAGCGCAAAGGCCGCTGAAGGCCTTCAGCCTATCTTATCCACAATCGAGAGGCCCAAGGATCTATTGAGGATCTTCTCATCCTCAACGACGATGAAAAGAGTAGCATTGCAGTCGCCCGTGGACGGCTAGCGCACGGACCACTACGCTAAGCCGTAGACGGGCCGAAGTCTTCGCTTTCCTCCTTCTGCTACATCGAAATCACAACCAACAACATGACGCCGCACAGTAATGGAACATAACACGGGTGCAAGGAAAACACGCAAGGCGCACAGGAAATCCCGCAATGGATGCCTCCCATGCAAGGCGCGGCATGTGAAGGTAGGGCCACTGCCGCAAGTCCTTTTGTCCCGTTGTCGCCTCTTCCCGGTTACTCTTGAGAAGTAGAATGTAAGATGCTGACCACAGGCATAGTGTGATGAGCAGAAACCGGCCTGTGTCAACTGCGATAAATATCACTCAAAGTGCGAATATCCCACGCAGAAAAGGCGGGCGTTGGCGAATGGCGCGCCATCGCCAGTCGGTCTCTCAACCCCTTCGTCAACGGGGAGCGTGGGCGCAAATCGACCCGTTCCAGAAACTCTTCCGAGCAGAGATCAGGACGTGTTATTGAACGTTCCTCAGCTACGTCTTCTACATCATTTCACCACCGTTACCGCAAAGACTCTGGCAGCCCACTCCAACGCCGAAGAAGTCTTCTCGTCTTACCTCGTCAAAGTCGCGTTCGACCATCCCTTCCTTCTTCACGCCATTCTTGCTGTTGCGGCTCTACACCTGGGCCGGTTAGAGCGAAAATCTCGGGCCGACTTCCTTCTTCAAGCTGAAAAACACCATGATGCTGCACTGGCACGATTCCGGTCCGACGTCGAAGACATTCATGAATCCAACTTTGAAGCTGTCCTTGCTTTCGCTACTGCACTCTTTCCATACTCTTGTGCGATCTCCATCGATAACAGCAAAGATCTCGACCACGCGTTCGACATCATCCTTTCGAACCTACTTCTCACCCGGCGTGTTCGGCCAATGGTGAGCAGTATGTACGGCGCAATGAACGAATCCGAGCTTGGTCGCATCGTTCCAAACGACATACAAGGGATTGATTTTGACGCGATACCCAGTGAGACTGAGCTGGTGCAATTGCGAAAATTCTCCGAAGCCGTCCACCATATCTACCCTTCGGACATCGTCGAAGCCTATGGAGAGGCAATTCGCATTCTGGAGATTGTCTTTTCGGTAACCAGCAGATTGCCGAACCCGCCGTCAGATGCTCTACTCAAAATGTGGATCCATTTCGTTACACCCCGCTTCATGGAGCTGCTGTCTGAGAAACAGCCTGGCGCTCTAATCATTTTCGCTCACTATGGAGTCCTCCTCGGACGAAGTCAGAGGTATTGGTTCTTAGAAGGGGTCGCCGAGCAGATACTGCAAATCGCTGATGCCTTTGTCCCAACGGAGTGGGCGACATGGCTGGACTGGCCCAAGGAGCAAATCGCCGGTGGGCAGACGTATTCCCCTGAAGAAACCTGACAAAGTGCTGGCGATCGAACTATAACTGATCTGGGATTGCTTGCGAAACCCTGCGGCTCTGGTAGAGCATACTCACCGGTAAGTTCCTTCGGACCAATGCAGCCGAGGGAGACTGACGCGTAGGACACTCATCTCTCTAGGTCTAGCAGTCCTCATGAAACCATTCGAAGAAGTGAACGAGTGCAACTGCGCCTTCCGGACCCTGGGGCTTGCCTGTGATGCATCGTCTAGCTGGTGCAGCTTTTATCTGCGAGGAAATCCATCAGTAGGTCTGCGGTCAGACTTCCCTTATTTACTTCGGCAAAGGCCGTCGTATTCCCGTATTCGCTTGTCGTATGCGCTACCAATCGGATTCTCGGTTACTCCATACGCGGGAACGGCAAGAGAAACAGCGCCACTCTGGCGCTTCACCATCTACACATTCGTCCTTGAATTTACCGTAGTTCTAAGAGCCTTTCTCACTCGTATCCTAAATACGGAGATGTACGCGTCGCGCACCGCCCCCTTCCCTAGCAACAAAATGACCGACCCGGGAGCCATCATATAAAACTTCGAAGTCCCCTACCGCAGCCAGAGATCTGACTTCAGCATCACACAGCATCGAACTGCGCATGGTTACGCTCGGTTACTGTTTACTCCTGCATTACCTACATTGGACACGTCTGTCGGCCGGCACTCGAGAGCAACGAGCACCTTGCCTTCAAGGCTTGACTTAGTTCCGTTGGTCCCAGCGTGTACCATATAAACCCCCCCCCTTCTGTGCGGTCACGGACATTCCGGCACTATGGCGAATTCTGAACCAGTCGAGTGGAAGCTCTGGAGCTACACGCCCTCTCTTGCTGGCGGCATCATCGCAGCTATCATTTTCTTTATTCTCACCGGCTTTCACGCCTTCCGCCTCGTTCAAAACCGAACATGGTTCTGTATTCCGTTCGTCATCGGAGGTCTGGTTAGTACCAACGTCCCACCCCCAATTACACGAGCTTATGAGTCCGCAGTTTGAGGCTGTCGGCTATGCTGGGCGGGCAGCTGCCCACAATGATACAGAAGCCAAAATTCCCTACATTATCCAATCGGTCCTCATCCTCCTGGCGCCAATTCTCTTTGCAGCATCCATTTATATGATCCTTAGTCGCCTTATCCTACGCACCGACTCCACATCCCTCTCCATCGTCCGCCCACGCTGGGTCACAAAGATCTTTGTCTGTGGAGACATCTTATGCTTCTTTGTACAGTCGGGGGGAGCTGGAATGCTAGTGCAAGCGGATGATCAAGACGCCGTGAAAAGAGGCGAAAATGTCATTCTAGGCGGTCTGATCCTACAAATCCTCGTCTTTGGGTTCTTCGTTGTGGTTACGGGTGTTTGGCACAGGAGGTTGGGTGACAGGCCTACCGTTGCGGCGAATGAGGTGCCCTGGAAGAAGTACATTTGGCTGCTGTATGCGGCAAGTGCTTGCATTACGATTCGAAACACGTGCCGTGTTGTAGAGTATGCGCTAGGACGGGTAAGCCCTTTGTTCTACTTCGTCCTGGAAAAGCAACTGACAAGAGCAAATAGGATGGATACCTCCTCACACACGAGTGGACCCTCTATTTCTACGACTTCCTGCCTATGATAATCACCCTTACCGTTTGCGTCGCTTGGTACGATCCAAATATTAGCCCACGCAAGCATGCCGACTTTGAGATCGGGATGACACACTCAAGGTAGCTTTGACGGCGCGAGGGCTTGGCTGAAGAGCTTCAGCTTGCTCTGAGCCGAGCCCGAAGGGCGTGCATAGCTGGGGTGAAAATCGGGGTGGACTGCGTATATGGTGCGTGGAAGCCCCACAACGAGCTTTGCGAAGGTGTCCGTCCGGGTGGGGAACTGGGAGGGTAGACGTTCAATACCGTCTATGAGGCGTGTCCTAGACAAGCAAGATGGAATACAGTGTGTAGATCGCAGTAATGGATGTATAGGAGTGGCGTGTGGCTTAGGAGATGGCCCAGGTGGTTCCATAGAGTTTTTGTATTTTATATGTCCACCATTTTCGTCGCGTACAATTCCCCATCGTCCGCTACCTTCCCTGTTACTTAGTGCCCCACTTATCACCTATTTACGGTTAGCGTGGTGGAGTGTCCGGGTCTTTAATAGCTCGACAAGTTTCCCCTCGGACCAGTCTTTGAAAGAACAGCGCCTGAAACATTCCAGCAATGTATGCGGCCTGCAATGGACGCCCTACAGCGGCAATGTAAGCAAGAAGATCTGAACTGGCCAACGTCTTCAGCACCAGTAACCGATGCTATTGCTATGTGGTAGGACATGGCACTAAACCGCTGAACCTTTTGATGATACCCCTTCTGCCTGCGGAGTTTAGAATATCGCGTCTGTTTTTCTAGTACTGTATATGTAGTATGCTCGCATCTTCTTTATAACGAGGTCGAGCGAATTCATGACTGCGCGCGCGTAGGACATGGCAGATCTATAAAGTCGTACAGAGACTGGCACGAGAAGGCGGATGTTACTTAGATTATCGAGGTGATCGCGGGCCGGCATGCCGTATCCGAGCATTATGCGGAACCTTTAAGGGGCACATCCGGTGATGGCAGCAAACTCGTCTGTCGGCACAACGCCTCAGGGGTTTTGATTCACTCGCTACAACGGCGCAGAACATGGAGCCACACTTACCGACCCGGCGGCGTGCGTCTTTGCGGAATATAGAGCAGCCATGTTCTCGCACATAGCAATGCATCGCCATTCTGAACCACGTGTGGTAGGGTAGCAGCCGTTGTCTTTCTAGTAGCGACCATGCGCCAGTTCAAGATGTCACTTTGAGCCTCGGAAGGCTTCCTGTGAGCTTTAGCACACAGCACGCGTACAACTACCAGACCAGCAACTCTACGAGAGCAAGTGGAACATTTATTCATCAAGTAGTCCGGTGTGCAATGTGTTGTCGTGCGTCGTTTCGTGTTCGAGTGTCTTTCGCTTCGCTTCGCAGGTGCAACCAACGCGTGACCCACGGCACATGTGGAACATGGAAGTTGAAGAACCACGAGCATTTCATCACACTGTTATTGCAAATGCAGGTGCCGCCGTTGCCAAGCATGGCTTTGTGCAAAATGAAGTCGTTTAACTGGGTTGAAGTGAAGCCTCGCGGTTACTTATCGAAAAAAGTTTGCAGCCTTCATTCACCGCGATTACTTGGAAAATGGCGTCGCAAACCCCCCGCATGAGCAATGACCTTCACTCGGGGCGCGAGGCCTCTCATGACCGCAACGTACTTAAACCTAAGGGGTTTCCTCTCACTCCGTTGATGCCCTATCAGAACTTCTTTCGTCGACTCAACCCCAACCCCACGAAACGAACATACCTTATCGCGGGCATTATTATGGGCTTCTCCGCCATCTTTGCGGGTGCGATCACCCTAATCGCGCTCCTCACTCGGAAGACGCACGGCGTTCTCATCCCTCCGCCCAAGCCCCACGACATGTCCTGGGAGGTCGCACACGCTCGTACTTCTCTGGTCGACACATCGCGCAAGGATCCGTACAGCCCGAGCGAGGACCGGAAGCTAGGTGTCTCGATCTTCGTCCCTGTCTTCAAGCCTTATTGCACGAAGCAATGCGACAATGTCTACATGCCGGACCAGACAGCCCGCACAAGCAATCTCCAGTTCTTCGGCGATGAGAACGCGAACGTCTTCGAGAAACTGTACTTCAAGTCATGCTGCGCTTCATATGGCGAGACGGATCTGGGGGCCCATAGGCTCGTGGTGTTGGAGCCCGGCGTGGCTACGAGCCGGGAGGTGTACAACCAGCTGGCCCGCCAGATGAGCGCGAACGGGTTTGTGGTCGTGACCATAGATCACCCACACGATGCTTCTATCGTGGAATTCCTTGACGCGAATGACAAGAGCGTAATCGCCAACAACGGCACCGTGGACCTATGTTCATTCAGCCCGGCAACATCTTGGAACGATACAGTGACTAAGGCAGTCGACGCCAGAACAGACGACATCAATTTCATGCTTACCCAGCTGAGCAACATTTCCCTCTTCGAGCGTCTCTTTCCGGACTTGAAGCTCCACGCCGGCTCGCCTTTGAACTCGGATTCGTTCGTTATCATGGGTCACGGCCTTGGGGGTACCGTCGCAACAATGTTCTCCGCTCAAGACAAACGGACCGTCTTTTCAATCAACCTCTCCGGCACCACTCCAGTGTTGCAGACAGATGTCAAGAACCACGTCATCTTCTTCGGCCGTGACGAATATACTCGAGATGATGATGCCAACTGGAAGCAGTCCTGGAAGCACTTCACTGGCTCAGTCGTGGAGTGGGACATGCACAAAGGCGGTCAGATGGACTATACTGATTTGCCATTGATGGTGAGTCTGGTGGGGCCGGGAACCCAAGCCAAAGGTACCGGTGCTGATGTTTGGATGTTTCATTGCACGAGTTGTTTCCTCGAGGGGTATCTGCGGACCGAGCTCCTGGAGGAGAGGGCGGAGGTTACCAAGTGCTTGATAGTCTGCCAACAGAGGATCAAGCCATACGGCGGTTAGACTGCACTAGCATGAGGTGAAGCGGTGGCATTTTCATGGCGTCCGGAGTATCCATCGGCTTGGACTAGCTTGAACTCATGTTGCTCCTGGGCATCCTGAGAACGATTGCTGGGTGGCGTATGGCATTGGATGCTAGCGATGGCGTTTGGTCCGTTTCCCCCAAGAGCATATACTTTCGGTAGATGATCCGGCGTTGAACCGCGAGATATCCATGTCGAAGTCTTTCCCAAAGCATCAGTCGGCGTGACTGCGTTGAGCGACGTGAGGGAAGGAATAAGCTTAACCATCGGAGATTGCATACGCCTTTTTGGCTCGTTTACCTTCAAGAACCTAAGTCGGCCCAGAAAGCGGTAAACTCCCGTGCAAAGCATGACACCTAGGTTACTACGATCTTCGGCAGCTAAAATCGGTAGTCCCTGAAGCGGTTGCGAATTGGTGCCATGCAGCAGTTGAGCAACGGGACGGCCTTGATCCAAACCAACTAGCAGAGTGAAGAGGGAATGGACAGGAAACTTGTCTTGGATAAGGCCAAAATTTGGATCAAGCGTACGTCAAGGATTCGCAGAAGTCGTCTGGTGTCCCTCAGGAATTGTGCCTAGTCGTGGGCATATGCCGTTCCCCTGAAAGACGCCACGTTGGAGAGTCAAACGTTGACGAAGTGGGTCGACGTGTATAGAGGGGCCGGCGCAGCGTTGGAACTAGTCGTGGCCGGGAACACACGCAGGGCAATCGCTAATGAGAGGACGTCATGTCATATGAACAGATGTCCCCGCCTGGACCCAACGAGCGCGGCTACAGCCTTTGTGCGCTGTAATATGAACACTGGGTTTTCCAGCTTCTGGAGCGAGGCGCGAAGGATAATCCATCATTCTCATGCGAGAAAACGGGGTCAGGCTAGACGGTTTTGGAGGCGTCTCGCCGCTTCTTGGGCACTGCAATGAATCCACACAGGAAGTATGAAAAGCCTGATGAGGAAGTTAGGTTTGTTGAGATGGAATGATGGCTGGCGGATGTGATCTCGAGATGTGAAGGAGAGTGAGGAGCCGAAAGCTGTGACGGGAGACTGAACGCGCTAACGAGCAGCGCTAAGCCCGATTTGTTGACAAGCGTCTTCTCTCCACATGTAATCCCCCTGGACCCATACGCCTAAACCACATTTCGATAACAAAAACTTCCTACAGTCTGGGTGCCTGGTGAGCTCGCATATGTAAGCACTCCCAATCCTGAGGAGTTCTCGAGAATTCATGATGAAGCCTCGCCAACGCCCTCCGTCAATCACGCCCAATTTGAGGCCTTACACAGGAACTTACACTGAACTTCTTCCACAGTCCGCTTATGGATTCCTGCACGTAGGATGGATAATAGAGAAAAAAATAGCATTGCCTATTGCCAAGTTGCTCCTGCACTGCCATGGGAAGTTCACAGTCCAAACCCGCTCTCAGAGTGGCTCGCTGGCTTTCCTCCAAGGCCCCACATATCCCTCTATCGGCGCGGTAGAATGGAGTAGTCTTACTTGCGTTCTAACGAAATGACTCGAAAGCGTGAACGGCGATCTGTTGGGCTTGATTGAGCTCACTGAGCTAAATGTCTACGGCATCTTCCCTCTCAGGTGCAAATTTGGCGGCTACGGTCCTAAGGGCTCTCATATACTCCATGAGGTTGCGCATCGGCAAACCCCCTGTTTAGGGTTTTACGTTCTGCGAACATTCTGCGAACCGTACTGGGCGCTAGCGATGACCTTACCCCAGACTATCTTGGCTGTGGGCAAGCTGTTGAAGTGCTTCGCTGACTCGCTGTATTGGAAAGGGCGGTGATGTCGATCGCACCTGGGCAGTAGCCACATCCGCGTGAGGAAAGCACGATCTTGCATTTCTTGAAACAAATGCCCGATCCCTGCAGCATGCCACCCCGCTGCCACACCGTTTGCGCAATTGCCAGCAGGAGAGCTTGCCATGCCAGATCGCAGATCTCCTCCACCGATTGATTCGACAACGTGGTCCGCTCTGACATCCGACTTGTGACGAAATCCGCTTCCCGAGAGTCTAACTTGCGAGCAGTCTAAGGTGATACCCTTCGGCATGGGGCTTTTGCCAACAACACCACTCCACAGCGCGGCTTCATTGTCTCCGCTCTGAAAGCGAAAGAGGTCGCGCGCCTGCAGAGGGATTCCGACGTCTCCTTGGAAACCATGGTGTGTTCATCGTGCGTCGCTGAGGGCTGAAGAAAACAAACTTCGATACCAGACGAACCAAGGGTTCGCGACAATTTCTACGGCAACACCCCCTTTAAGGCAGAGGCAGGACAATGTTCTTGGGTTCCAAGAAGACGTTGTCGTGACGATGCGCTCAGACCCATGGTTCCTGTGGCCGGATCGCTCTGCGTGGAGTCATGTCCCAGCCATCGATTTTCGTTCAGCCACGGTCCTATTGCGCAACGGTCGTGTTCATTTCGCTACCCACGTGGTTGCTACAACGACACCCGAAGCCTGTACGTCGAAGTACCGTTCTGCTGGTTACTGTTCTGACGACGTGCGTTCATCCAGACTGTTTAGCGGCCGTTAGTGGATCCCAGCGTTAGGGAACTATCCGGGTATTATTCCACTGGAAAATGCGTGTAACTCCTGGCCGAGCGACGTGCTCCATGGAGTGCTGAGACACCATTTATCTACCGGCAGCAAGGCGCGCATATCTCCCTTGTACGTTTACCCCAGAGTGTTGATGTTGTGCAACCACTTGAGCAGGTAACGGCGTCATCATGCGAGGCACTTATCCGAAAGAATTCTCCGCATCACAGTATCGTGATTGCAGAGCTGTTCATTTAGTCCTTGTGGTTGCTGCCGTCTTCACTACGCGTGAGCGGCCGGCTCGAAAGCGAATGGCATTCGTCGCTGCCAAAGGACTCCATTGGGCGTAGCCTCATTGAAGTAAAAGCGACATGGAGACCTCACGGGGAATGCCGGCCTGGGGGGAGACGGTCGCCCCAGCGTAGGCCCCAATTGTCGCCCGGCCCTGCGGTCGATGGCGTGACATGTCTGGATGCCTGAATGCCTGATAGCCGCGCTCAAACGGCAGTGCTGCAAGAGGCATCGCTATGAAAGCGAGAGGTGAGCAACGTTGCACCGCAGTCCTGCAGGTATGACAGAGCTTGGCTGTCCCGCAGTTTTCAATATTGTGGCGCTTTCGGCCCAGAGCTAAGGAAACCTCCGAGTGGCTGCCATGTGGGGTTTTATCTACGGATCATGGCCTTATCGACGCCTCCATTGAGGCTTGCTGCGACATCGAAACTCGACCTCAGCTCGGCCGCAAGGCGTACCGGGCGCAGTCGCCCTGCAACCGCTTCAAAAGAATGCTGGCGGCCTTGAGCACTAGCGCTGCTTTCTTTAGCAGTGAAACGGAATGAATGACAGGACTTGCGAAGGTACCGCCGCAGCTTAGAACGGCGGCTTGAGACACGGTGAGCTGTCAAAGCCAAAGCAAGCACGTAGCGATATCGATCGATTCCATCGACGTCTGTTCTCCGAGGCACAGAGCCGCCGCACTTCGCCGACTAGAGGGAATACGGCTTCTCCGGCCGGTGTTCGGGCCACACAGCAATGGCATCGCAAATCCAGACCGCTTTCGTGCCGTTCCCAGCCCTGTGTGGTGCGGATAGGCAGCATGTCGCGACGAGGCTGCAGCAGCGATGCAGAGACGGCAGCAAGTCCGGGCGTCTTCAGGCGGACAACGCACTGCCAGAGACGTCACGAGCGTGTTCCGGCAAACTTAGCAATCGCTGACCCGCAGTAGCCTTCTGCATCGAGCTGCCGTGCGCACTTCTGACGGGCCAAGGCTGCGGGCGGTGATGGCGGCGATTGGTGTTGACATCCGGCTCCCCATCTCACGTCCGGCTGGCCCCAGCGCGCTAGCAGGGGTGCTCAAGCGAGGCTCGCTCGGGCTTAGCGCGCGCAGAAAATAGATTGATCTGCTCGGCTCGGCAAGCTTCTTCTGAGTTCTCACCTCACCGCGCATGGCCGTCAATAATGCTTCACACTTCACCACTGCAGCTGTCAGCTCCACCACATGCCGCGGCCACCGTTTTGAACATGCCGCAAAGGGAAGGCCCCGCTCCAGCCTAGCGATACCTCTGCACGCCCTGGCCCTATGTGCGAATCGCAGCCTCTGCACAAGCTACTGCCGTCCCACCGGATCAGCCACCTGCACGCTTCTCCAGTGTCGAACTATTAGACTTCCCGCCGCTGGGGCCTAGTTCGTCGTCCGCCAGCTCGGGTCCAACATGGGCTCCACTGCCGCATTAACTGTTTTGGTTGCTGCTACACGAGGAAGAGGAGTTTGAAATCAACGTTAGCCAGTGACATGAGCCGTCTCCGGGCAACAACGCCACGGCGCCGTCTCACTCCACTAGCACCAGACCGCCTTACCCCACCATACTACCAAGATGCTGAACTCATGATAATCATGGCGGTGCATCTGAGCGCCAACCTTAACACTGGCAGCCTTCCGTGCGAACCGGCTACCAAGTTCCGCGCAGCATGCGCCGCCATGACTCTAGGCTTATGATTATCAGGTCCCCAAGCCAAAAGGAAAGTCTCTGTTGTCTTAGGCTGCGTATATAGAAGCAGGCCTGCCTCTCCTCGCAGCCTGGACGACTTTATTTCCAGACGCGCTTCGTCTATCAGCTACCCTTGAGGGCTTGGTGCGCATTCGTTTCTGGTTTTCCAACCATCTGGTGGCCGTCGATCTTTCTATTACCTTTTTTTTGCTTTTCCTACCATCTCATAATGCTGCACACATTCGCTAGGGCAGCGGCTCTCATCGCCCTGCTATGTCCTCAAGTCTTCTCTATCGCTATCGGCTCGCCCCCTGCTACGCCTGAAGTCCCCTGGAAGTACAGCAAGCGAGGTCTCTTTGACCGTGGCTACGGCGATGATAGCTCGTGCGCCCATGGACCGAGCACGAGGACCTGCTGGGGTGGTGGCTACAGCGTGTCCACAGATATGGATCTCAAATGGCCCAGCACTGGCAAGTGCGTCAAGGTAGGTTGCAAGAAAACCTTGAATGGGGAAACTGAGCTAACCGAAAACCAGTACAACTGGGAGATCACGAACACGACATTGGCACCGGACGGTTTTGCAAGGTGGATGAATGTGGTCAACGGACAGTATCCTGGCCCTGTAAGCCGTTCTTGAAATATAACCAGACCGAAAGAGCATTTCTAACGCTGTGCAGACAATCGTTGCGGACTGGGGTGACGATATTGAAGTCACCGTCACCAACCACGTCGAAAACAACGGGACGGGTATCCACTGGCACGGTCTTCGACAGCTGGGTTCGAACGAAATGGACGGTACCCCCGGTCTCACTGAATGCCCGCTCGCCCCAGGCGAGACCAGAACCTACAAGTTCAAGGCAACGCAATACGGCACTTCGTGGTATCATTCGCATTATTCGGTCCAGTACGGCGACGGATTGGTTGGACCAATCATCATCAATGGCCCCGCGACTGCGAACTATGACATCGACCTTGGCGCCATGCCGTTCACGGATTGGTTCCACACGCCTCTGTACGGAAATACCCCCGGTCTTCAGCCTCAAGATGAACATTGCTGACTCTATCCAGGACGACTGTAAATGCCGCAGCGCTTCACGCCAGCGGCCCGCCCATTGCGGACAACCTGCTCATCAACGGCACGATGACTTCTGCATTTGGTGGAAAGTACGCCGAGACCACTCTGACCCCCGGCAAGTCGCATCTCTTGCGATTGGTGAACACCGGCATCAACAACCACGTGCACGTAGCTCTTGACGGTCACTCATTTACCGTTATTGCTGCCGACTTCGTTCCCATCGTACCGTTCAAGACGAACTCATTGTCCATAGCTGTTGGTAAGTTTAGATCCTTCTAAGACTACCCTTGCACACGACCCCACTTTCATCTTGCATCATCTCAAATGTACCCTGGAATATTCGCTGACCAGGCCCACCATTGACAGGTCAGCGCTACGATGTCATCATCAACGCCAACCAGACCGTCAGCAACTACTGGTTCCGCGTCGGTACTGGCGGACGCTGTGATGGTCCAAATGCCAACGCTGCCAACATCGGCAGCATCTTCCGTTATGCTGGCGCTCTGAGCGGAAACCCCACCTCAACAGCCAGCCAACCGCTCCCCACTGGGTGCTATGATGAGACTAACATCGTCCCGTTCGTGGACACTCAGGTGCCGCAAGAGATGCCCGAACAGCTAACTGTGGGCTTCACTAACACTGCTGGCTCCGGCAACCTGATCCAGTGGCTCATCGACGGAAGCCCAATGCTTATCGACTTTAATCGGCCCACGCTATCGCAAGTTTTCGATGGTAATGACACCTTTAATGCGCAAGAGAACCTGTACAGCGTTGGTGAAGCGAACAAGGTAAGCCATCCGATTACACCCACTTGTCGAGTCTCAAGCTAATCCCTATCTTTGAAGTGGCAATATTGGGTCATCCAACAAGATCCAGCCATGCCGGCCAAGCTCCCCCACCCGATCCATCTGCACGGCCATGACTTCTACGTCCTCGATGTCCAGGCAAACACCACTTGGTCTGGCGACATCTCGCGCCTTAAGAAGGACAATCCCATTAGGCGCGACACCGTCACGCTTCCCGCCAGCGGCTACCTCGTGCTGGCTTTCGAATCTGACAACCCCGGTGTCTGGCTCATGCACTGCCACATCCCGTTCCACATCTCCGCCGGTCTGGGCCTGCAATTCCTAGAGCGCAGCGACGAAATCCCTGGCAACATTGGCAGCTTAGATGAGACGCAGAAGCAGTGCAAGACGTGGAGCGAATTTCAGACCGAGTTTTATCCCGGTGGCTTCACGCCCGGAGATTCTGGTCTGAGATAGCGAGCAGATGGGAGGTATTTTGAGCTTGGTGTTTGATATCCGAGGGGTTTTGCATAGGGTGAGGGTTGCATTGTAGGCGTTGCTTATTCTTCGCTGTATATATAGTAGCTAGATGATGGCGCTCATGGTCTGGGGCGGGATGGTGAGACGCATGATACGTAATGCTAATGAAGCTGTCACGTCCACTCTTCGATCTGGCTCCTGTTCTCTCGCTTGCATTCTGAAGTAGAACGGGAGCGATATGTTGCTACCGGGATTTGGGGGGCTCTCATCCTGGCTTCCACGTTCCCTCGATCGATCCGCGGTGGGGACCCATCACTCCCAGACTGAACCACCCACCACGTGGCGAAAGGCCGAGACATCGGGGCGTCAGCGCGTGCGCTTTCCATGCAGGTGTCCTGGGCGTCAGCAGGACTTCTGACTTGCAGAACCGGACTGCGATATCCTCGAGTAGACTCCTCACTTAGACGATACTGTTTCCGCCTGCGCAGTTGAGAATAGAACCTCTTTTATGCTGAATTTGTCTCTGCAGTATGCTCGCGTCTTCTTTGTGACGAGGTAGAGCTAACTTGGATGACTGCAGTAGAGCCTCAACTTCCACGGCCGCCGGGTTGGTGAGACATGCGTCAATCATCCAGCACTAATTAATCCCCCTATACAGCCATGCAATGCATAGTACCTTCCCGCAGATCTACGGGTGTACCACCATAATCCTCCGTGGGACCGGGTTCATATATATTGCCCCCATCTACACTATCGCTCGGTAGTTGTAGGAACACCAACCACATCCCACAAACACTCCAGATATATATCTCCCTCCAAGACTACAGCACCATGTATCTTTTGTATTTCCAACAGAACACGGCGATTGATCGCGATGGGGAAGCTCTTCTCACTCGTTGCCCTCGCGGCACTAACATGGCGCTGCTTTGCTCAGGACCAACCGCCGGTCATAAACTGCACGGAGTGTGCGACGGCGCCTATGCTACGATTCTCGTGTTCGCAGTTGGTTGTCGAACGCCTTGACCCGTGAAGTCTACCCTTTTCGCGCAGGGCCGTTTTTGCGTACTAAGGAATGTGCTGTAGGTTGGTGACTCCGGGTCTGAATCCATCTCCACATCTGCACCAGGTTAGTTCATCCGTGGCAAAATCTGGGTGAGTAAATACGTTAACAAAGATACCAGGTGGTTGGCGGAGTGCGTTTCCTCGCTCTCTTACCGGTCCGCGGCAAACATGCTGAGCAGCTGTAGAACACGTTCAACACCTCCATGGACCCCTTGAACGACATACCCGGCATGTCGACATGCACAAGCTGCACCTTCTCCGAAGACTTCAGGTACTATCTTCACATTCCTCCTTCTGCGCAAAGTAAGGGCGAAGTAGGGAATTGACTCGTACGCAGCAACTACTGGACCGCAGTGCTCTACTTCCGCGCGCGAAACGGCACCTTCAAGCGCGTGCCCCAAATGTCGAACCTCTTCCTCGAGGGCGCGACGGGCGGGCAGACAGTGTATTATATCCCGCCGTATGACGGCGTAACGAACGTCACGGCTTTTCGACCGGTAAGTACCCCCATCCCAGAATAAGGCGACAAACGGGTGGCATGGGAGAATGGAGGCTGACATGTGTGGTGTTGAGGGCTTCCGTATGACAGTCGGCGATCCCATGGCTAGGACGGATCGAGGAAATGCAGAGTCGAGACAAACGAGCTTCCGCTGCTTTGGTCCAAACTGGGAGGGTGGTGAGGGGCCGCCGGGGCTGGGGAATGATACGAGACATTTCCCTGCGAAGCCGTGTTTGGGTGGGATCAGGTCGAACATTTTTTTCCCTACGTAAGTCACTTACCCTGGCCGCATGTCGAGGCGTCCCTTGGATGGCGGCCACGGAGGCAGGTTTTGCTGACGGGGAACTGTGTAGATGTTGGGATGGCGTAAATCTGGATAGTCCGGACCACAAAAGCCACGTTGCGTTTCCTGCCAACGGCTCCTTCGAAATGGGCAGTGCGTGTCCGGAAAGTCACCCTGTTAAGATACCCCAGCTCTTCTACGAGATCATGTGGAACACGACTGCATTCAACAACCCCGACGAGTGGCCTGAAGACGGGAGCCAGCCATTCGTGTTCAGCACTGGCGATGCGTAAGTGTTCGCAAGCTCTTCGCTTCGGGGTGGAGGGCTGCTGACAAGTGTTGTAGAACTGGCTACGGGCAACACGCCGACTACGTATTTGGATGGCAGGGAGATGCGCTGCAGCGGGCGATGGACGCGCGGTGCTCTGTAGACTGCACGGGTGTGTTGAAGTCGCAGAAGAGGAGCGTGGCGAATGAGTGCACGAAGGCAGTGCAGGTCCAGGAGGAAGTCGATGGATGTAAGTATTCAAGTTCGGCGTTTTGAGAGATGGAGAACAGGAGCTGACGGGTGCAACAGGGCTGGAGAAACTGCCGGGCGAGAATCCGATTACGTGGACGGAGGGTTGAGGCAGTCCTGAGATGCGTTCGAATGCAGAGGGAAGTCACACTCATCCGATTCTCCGGGCGAGCTTCGATGTTGTGTTCTTTCGGTTGATCAATTGAAGTGTTGCGTGATGATCTCTCAGACTTAGACGGAGCACGAGCCTAGTGAATGCCTCGCACGGGTGGCTGACGGGTAGCAGCACGATGGAGGTGAGGCTACGCTAGTGGAAATTTGGTGGCGTTGGTGGTGCGAACGGTTTGCCTCTCTGTGAGCGCTTTGGCTTCATCTGAGCGCAGAGGACGGTGTCAAGGCGGCCTAATTGAGAAAGGCAGAGGTGACGGCTCTAAATGTTGAACTGGCCAAATGGGTCTCGTTCGGGAACCGGGCTTGTTGAGAGAGGAAGCCTAGATCAGGTGGGCCAATTGAGCCACAGCGCTTAGTCATCAAGCGCCACAGCAGGACAGAGCAATCTTGATCCAAGACCACTGTCCCGCAGTTGCACCACGGACGCGCCCACCTGTTCTTCTTCCGACTCCTTTTGCTGCCGTGCCTCGCCGTACATACTGTAAACTTGTCAAGATGCGGGACCGCTGATTGGCGCTTGGCGCGTAGTCTTCGGCGCACTCCCGCTCCCACAGGCTTCGGCCAGAAAGGAGCCAGAACGGGCGATGCAGCGCCCATCGTCATCCATTACCGCTCGCCAGCGCTCCTCCAAGCCGCACCACCCGCAATGGCGCTTCACATGCGCGACAGAACATGCGAAGAGGAGCGCACTGCGGCCTCCTGCTTACCAGTCCAGGCATGCATGTGGCAGCACAAAGGCGCGCTTTCAGCCCTTGTCCGCAGCCCCCCCGTGGCGCCGCTCTCGCGCGAGATTGTCGCTCACGCCCAGACATCTCGGCGCTCCATACATATCAACTTCCAGTCCCTGCGCCCATGAACCCTTTCCCCCGTCCTCCCCCGTCCTCCCCCGTCCCGCTCACCATGGCCGCCCTCTCGCTACAGGGCGTCCGCATCGTCCAGGTCCTCGTCGCCTCCACTGTCGTTCTCATTCTCTTTCTGACCGTCAGCCATTATGGCGCCGATTCGCTGAAGAACAGCGGCATCGCCGACCATGTCCCCAACGTCGTGCCCGACAAGCTGTCGAAACCGAGTCTGCCCTTCACCTCCGAGGCCCCGCCGGAGCCGCAGCCTGCGAATGAGACGTTGAATTTCCAGGAGATCATCTACGTGAGCATGCCGTATCGGACCGACAGGCAGGATGCACTGTCGCTCATCGCCGCCGTTACCGGCCTGAAGCTCACCATGATTCCTGGCGTATGACGCACAACACCCGCCCCCCAAAGCCTATACTGATCAGTCTTTGCAGGTCAGAGCAGACGAGATCCACCCGAAAGCCATGCCGCCCCATGTCGGAAACAACAATATGACCGGGACCCCACCGCTGGGTATCTGGAGAGCCCACGCGAACGTCTGGCGATACATCATCGACAACAACGTCCAGAGCGCCCTGGTTATCGAGGATGATGTCGACTGGGATGTGAATATCAAGCACATTATGGGCATGTTGTCGTGGCAGATGCGCTACAACAACACCATACGCTGGGGCAAGGACAACGTGCAAAAGGGCTGGGACGAAGATTGCCCATACGGTACCCACCACTTTTGTTTCGTCTCCCAGACGTGTAAACTAACAAAATGCCAGGCTGCGACTGGGACGAGCTCTTCGTCGGCCACTGCGGCGGCAAGCCCAACCAGAACCGCCTCGATCTGCACCAAGTCTACGCCGAACCCCACTCGCCCAAACTCGACGTCCTGCAAAACTGGGCCAAGAAGGAAATAACCCAAATCTGGAACCTCACCGAGTCGGAAGGCCACCGCGTCCTCGCCCCCACGTATGAACCCATCTGCCTCATGGGCTACGGCATCTCGCGCATGGGCGCTATGCGCATGCTGTACCAGATCGGCGGCTGGCGACCCTTTGGATATCCTGTGGATAACGAGTTGGCATGGCGGACGAGTGAGGGCGTGATAAGCGGGTACACCATGATGCCGCCGGCCTTTACAAGTTGGAGAGTCGGCGGCAGCCAAGACTCGGATAATGACGTGGGAATGAATTCCCAGGAAGTTCAATCGCAGGGCAATATGGGCGGACACAGCGAGAATTTGAAGAACTCGGTGAGGAAACATCTCGCCGAGTACTTCAAGAAGAACTATTGGGAGGACATGGCGAATGAGATTCGCTGAGCTTGGAGCATTTGCATTGGGAGGAGTTGGGAGTCCGGTCTTACGCCTGAAGAGGGTGGTTGTCTGCGTTCGAGCGGGCGTGTGTAACAATATCTTCTGCATAGACATTAAAATACCCAAGTCAAGTTGTGTGTTTCTAGGGCGCTGCCCCAGCCTACCTCGTGCACTCCTGATTCGATTAGCGGCGCTCAGTATTCTCAACCTCTCCTACGCAGTCCACCTGGCAGCGGAATGATCCAAGAAAGCTCGCCGAACACGCAAGGACAAAAGAGAAAAGGATCGAATTGCATACCGTAAGTCGACACAAGATCAGGTCTTTTGTCTCTACTTCCGTGCCTATTCTTGGCTCGTAGACAGTGCTCGGCGCGACGCTTACGACATGGGAGATAAGCGACTGTGCCAGCCTCTGGACACCTATGGGTCTAATACTGAGCCTGTATCTCCTTCATATAGGAGCTTTACTTTCCTTTCTTTCCAGAATTTTCCGATCCATTTCAATCTTCTCATCTAGGATATCTTCCTCGTATCCTAGACCGCCAACTTCGTTCAGCCACTTGTCGCATTTCCGATACACTCATCGATCCGCCATACGGTTTCCGAGGGAGCAAGACATGGATGGCTGCGCCAATTGCTTCATTTAAGATACGGGATGTGGACGCGGATATCACAGTCAACAGGCCGATGGGATTCCTCTCCTCCGTTTCCACCTATGAAGATGCAAGATCGTCGTCCGAGGACCGTATCAACCACCGCTAGAATCTATTGCACAGGCCACTCCTTCCAGTTCAATCACCCACAAAGTCTTCGCAAAATACCAGCTCAAGCCGACCTCCCTCGATGTAGTTGCGGGAATTCTTCTTCCCAAGAAAGTACAACCAACACCTGTGGCGATCACCCAAGCCCATGAGTCGGTCCACCTACTCTCCATCTTCCGAAGTGTCCTCCGGCTCAGCTTCGCCATCGCTCTCAAGCTTGCAAGGAGCGAAGCGGCTGAGCTTGTTCTTGCACGGGTTGCACGCAATAGCACCACCCTCTGGACAACGGAATGAATAGTGCCTGATGTCCGTATCGCAATACAGACATTTCGCCACGCCCTTCTTCTTCGCCCATCCGATGTCGATGATCACCTCCTCTTCTCCGAGCTTTTCTCCGCTGTTTTCAACTTCCATGACATATTCCTCCTGTTTCTGCGCGATCTGGGCGCGGGCCAAGCGACGCTGAGCATCCTTCTCCTGCGTTTCGCGGGCTCGTCGTGCGGCTTCCTTGGAGCGTTCGTCTGCGACTCGCTCGCGCGCCTTCTTCTTGCGCTGGGCGGCTTCCTCCTTCTTGCGTGCAGCCTCCTCTTCCTTGCGTTGTTGCTCCATTCGCTCTTTGGCTTTCCGCTCCTGCTCTTCGCGCGCCTTTTGCTGCTGCACTTCGCGAGACCGTCGCTCCGCTTCGTCAGCCTTCCATTGCCGGTATTCCTTATGTTCCTGAGGATCCATTGGCCGGAGTCCGTAGAACTTCTCACGGTACACTCGACGAGCACGCCAAGCGCATCCTAAGCAAGGACATTGTGCATACATCTGCGCATATTTCCTAGGCACACGTCCAAGCGCTATTGCGTCCCGGTGCGCCCGCTCTTCTTGGTCCATATAAGCTCGCCTCTTCTGTTCCCACTCGTCCCTTCGCTTCCACTTCTGGATCTTGCGCTGTTGCTCTGCTTCTTTGCGCTTCGCTTCTTTTTGTCCTTCTCGCTCTTCGCGTTGCTTGCGCTTCTTCTCTTCTCGTTGCAGACGCTCGGCTTCCCTCTCAGCGGCTTCGACCTCGCGCTGCCGCTGCTCATCTTGTCGCTGCTCGTAGAGCTTTAGATCTCGCCGGTAGTCTATCCATTCTTGCTGGATTCCGGAGTGTTTGAGGTCATACTCGGTTTTCTTGCTATCGGACTCGCGAAGGAAATCGTAGGCGGCGTGAACCTGTCGCCATGCGTTTATCAGCCTGTGCTCGGAAAGGAAAAGAAAAGGAAGTGTGACACACCTGTATGAACTCGCTGGCGTCGGTGGCTTTCCCGGGCGCCTTCTTGTCCGGGTGGTGCTTTAGAACGAGCACAGCCCAGGCTTTCCTGACCTCTTCGATAGTGGTCTTTTCGCTCAGACCCAGATCGAAGTAATAGTCCCGCTCGCCCGGCTCCGTCGGCTTTTCGTCGTACATTTTCGTCGACCGAGATTTCTGTGCAGGATGGAATTAGCGGGATGACTCACGAACGGCAGAGAGCGGCGCCGTGAAGGTGAGGAAGAAGAGGAAAGAAGACGGAAGGTTAAAATTTTTGAAGCGTTTGTGGACTCCAAGTGAAGGCGAGTTGTCCGTGCGCCGGGCTTCCACGCAATCTAAATCTGTGGTATCTGATGCCATTGCCGACATAAGGGGTGTTGATAGTGAAGGTGTTGTAGGTTCTGACCGGCTGGAGCAGTGAGCTCCCGATAGCGAAAGAGTCTTCGTAAGTCTCCGAGTAGGTAGTCGCCTATCTGATGGACTTATGAGAGGACGATAAGGAGCACCGAGTATCCTATGTTCAACTCGCGGTCTAGTCTTTCGTTTCATTATGCATGTCTTCTCTAACTGAGCAGAACTTCAATCAGTCCGCGTCAACTCTCCCGGCTCACTCCTCGTCCCGCTCTCTCTAATCCCGTAAGGGTTCTGCAATGAGGCGCCACCGGGGAGTATCAAACGCCTCTATAAACTCGACGAAAGTGCATCCGACCGTGAGAATTACTTACTCGAAACCTCACCCATTCAGCGGATGGTCACCAAACTGGCTTCGGTTCCCAATATGCACGCCGTAACTCTGCACTTCTTTTGCAAATTGGGTAACATTCTCCTCCCACTCTTGCAATGCCTTCAGTCCCTCGCCCTCGAAGACATTTTCTATCGCTTCTGCTAGGGCCATAGCGTCCATTGCTGCTTGGCTCGTACTACCCGCCGTGTGCGGTCTAAAGTTCGCCAGCGCATCACCGAGCAGCAGAACTCTGCCTCCGTCTAGGACTGCGGACGGTGCAATCGCATCTGTGATGCCCTGGACGAACGGGACTTGTGTCTTTTCCACGAGCTCAGCGAATTGGGATGGAAGGATCTCCACTGCGCGTTTCTTCTGTTTGCTCCAGACACGCTCTAGTACTCCGCCTGGTGGTAATGTTACATGATGCCTCTTCCCATCTTTATCCGTCATAAGCTCCGTATGCTCGGGTGAGCCCTCGGCATAGTTGACGTACCACACCCAGTTCACCAGCCGCTTCCCTGGCTCCAGCGCTCCATTCAGACCCGGTATGACATAGGCCAGGATTTGGATGCCCTCTGCATGGAAGAAGACGAATTTTTCCACAATCCACAAATATGTCAGCCGCGCTTTCCGAGATTTTGTCCTCAGGAACCGTGCCTCGCCATGCGACATAGCCGGCGTACTTCCTGGCGACCTGAGGAAAGTAGTGTGAGCGAATTGTCGAGCTGGGGCCATCGGCCGCGATGATGAGATCGGCTTTTGCGGAGAACGTGTCGCCTGAGTCACGCCTAACCGTAAGTTCGACTGGCTTGTCAAAAGCAGTGGAAGAGCCTCCTGGTGTCTTGACATCCGTCACCGTACACCCGTATTCATACGTCGCCGTCCCCTCATCTTCCCGCTCTTCAGGCACTTTCGCATACTCGCTCTCTGTCCCATCATAATTCGCCCTCAGTACATGGTACAACAGATCCCAACTAGTCATTTGTTGCACACTGTCTTCCCTCTGCATCACCTTCCCACTCTTATCTAGGTAAAGCCTCTGGCGGCTAGTGACCGTCAATGGCGTCCTGGTGCGGTCATTCCTGTGGAAGAAGACCTGCGTCTCGTGTCCCGCGACTACGCCCGCACCTTGGTCGTGCAGCAGTGGCGTGGGGTTTCGTTCGAAGATGCGGATGTTGAGGTTTCGCCGGAGGCGCTTTAGGGCGACGCCGGTGAAAAGGCCGCCTAGTGAGCCGCCGACGATCACTACGTCCTTTGGTGTGGTCTGTGGCATGGTTTGGAGGAGAATGGTTACAGGCGGGTTGGGCGGGTCTAAGTAGCACGTCGAAGACAACAGTCGAAGTTTCGGAGCAGGACTTGGGACGAAATTATAGCAATACTAAAGCCCTCGGGGAGAATCAAGTAGGCTTGCGTGCTAGCGAACTGCAGCTAGCTTACGGAGCATGACGTGAACGAATGGAAAATGAGCCTGAAATGGAATAGCGTGCTGGGCCTCAACGTCAACGTGCGGGAGACTTCGTTCCTTCTTTATTCTACCTTCGAGGGTAGGATGACCCGTGCTGCTGTCTCTTGGTTCTCCCGTGGCATCCTCTAGTATACTCAAACGCCATCCATCCGGATGAATTGCACTGACCCTCAAGTAGTCTACTTACTGATCTTCCTGGATTCACTCAGTGCACTCATGACATTTATTCGTCAAAGGCTCCCAACTGACCAGGGGGTTTCTACTCCAAACCCGTACACAAGGTCTTCTAGCAGGCTCTAAAATTTCCCCTATTAGCACATCAAAAGCAGAAGTACTAATCTGGTAAGCTCTCCTCGCATAAGAGGAAGGGCGAGGGACGCTTGTTGCGGCATTGATGAAGTGATGGGAGGTGGGAGGTGAGAGGCACTGGAGGTGGTGAGCCGGTTGAGAAGCGCTCACTCTGTGCTTTGGCTCAGGCCAGATGGATCACGCTCCTTGATCAATCTGTCTTTCTGCGCATCCGACAAAATGAAACAGACCAGGCAATCGTGTAGACAGAACAAAACGAGGAAAAAGAGACAACGAAACAGCACAACTTTTATTTCCGTCTCTATGACGTGATTCATGTCACACGACGGGCGGGGCAGACCCACACATTATCCTTCTCCTCTCCCACTGCCGCGCAATGAGCCATCCTACAGCGCCGAGAACTCTCTGAAAACCCGTGTCTAGAATGGATTAGGAGGAAGCGAACAAGGCCGGCCGTGTCATCGTAAATCTTCCGATTGATGTGATGTATGGGGTATAAAGGGATATCTCTCCGTAGAACTCCGCCATGTCTGAAACCGATGAAGAAGTCCGTGTATGTGGAAAGATAAGATGCTTCATATGCTGTTTCCGTCGTCTGCTGCGTCCACCGATATCCAAAGGTGTGTGGCGTTAAACAAATCGCGCCGGTCCTTGGAGAAGGGAGTTAGATAGAGCGCGCTGTCTGAGCGACCTGTGGGCATCATAAGTACGAGCCCCAAAGGATCCGATGAGATAAGCATGTTTGATGGGCAGCGCGGGCGGGAAGAATTACAACCTGCCGCTCTCGATCCTCAGCCTCTTCCACATGCCTATGTGCTCTATGCCCTCCTCGACCCAATGCGGCTCTCTTGAGATCTCGACCTCGCCCTTGTCGTCGACGAGCTCTTCCGCGAAACCGTACTTCTCCCACACCTTGGCGATGCCGGCCTGCGCGTGTATCATGACGAGTCCTTTCCATGTAACGGCCTCCTGAGCGGCATTACCGAGCAGATTCGCCAGTTCCATGGTCGTTGGAGAAGGTGGGTGATAGATAGCCTCCGGATGCTTCGAGGCGTAGTCCAAGGCGGTGTTGATGAGAAGCTTTGCGAGGCCGAGCTTCCGGTAGGGCGCCAGCACAGCGAGACGGCCCAGCTTCACATACGGCTCTGTGGGATGCTTCCTTGCGACGTTTGCCTCAACCTCGGGCGGCGGGTCCGCGTCCGCGTGCCTGTCTCCTTTCTTGGGATAGGCGGTCTCGATGTATTTGTTCGGCCCGTGTGGCGGAGGCACCAAGCGGATGGTGCCGACCGGAAGGCGGGAGGCGCTAGCGGACGATCGGCGGACGTCTTCGGCGTGCGTCGTGGGCGAATCGGTACGGAGGTCCTTTGGCGGCGAGCTTGCGGTCGAGGCGACGGAGGCGTAGACGACCCAATGCCAGCTTCGTGCGTCGTCTTCGTCGAACTCGGCTTCGAGAGGGACGCCCTGTTCGCCGTAGACGTCCTCCCGGACGGACATGGCGTCGCGGAAGGCCTGGGGGACTGTGGGCGACTGCTTGTTGTGCGGCAGCGTATTGTCGTAGCCGTCAAGGTCCTCCTTTGGCGGAGGGAGCATCGCCAGGAACTCGGTGCCCGAGCCGTTGCCGTTTGCGCTTCCGAAACCGAAGCCCGTCATGGTGGGCGACGTGGGCGACGTGGGCGACAATAGAGGGGGGGCGTGGTGGGCGGAGGTCGGCGGACAGACGCGGCTCTTATGTCGAGGGAGCGATTGACTCAGAGCGGCGCACGTGTAATGGCGTGATGTGAGCAGGCGCGTCGTCACAGAAGGCGCGCAGCTGCGGTGCGCGCCCGTAAATAAATATGTAGGGCGTGTCGCGCAAAAAGGAGGAAGAGCATGCAGGAGCCAGCAGCGAGAGGCGAAAAGGTGCGTCGCGCAGGGTCAAACAATAGCGCGTTCCGTCCCTGCCTGCCTGCCTGCCTGCCTGCCTACCTGCGTGCGATCAGCCGGCTGATCAGTGAGGGGTGCGACGATGCGGGCGAGTGATGCTTCGCGGACGATGCATGCCCGCCCTGCTATGACGTCGTTGCCGCCAAGAGACCCTGGCAGGGGGCCCGGCTCGGAAGCGCTGCCGGTGTGCCGCGCCTCAGGCTTCGTGCGCATGTTTTATGTTTTAGATGTGCCTAGAGTAAGACCCAGCCAATACCGCAGCTCCAGGCAATGCTGAATACTAACACGAACAGGGCTTGTGTGGTATAATACATGGAAGAGCGTGCAACGGGCGGTGCCTCAGAGCTTGGGCCGGCCCTCGAGCCCCTTCGCAATGCCCCGTGAAAGCCAGTCTGAAATGGCCATATTGGTGACCATCGGATTGACCCCGCTTGCCGACGGGAACACAGACGCGTCCGCAACATACAGCCCCTTCGTTCCCCACACTCTGCCTGCAGAGTCCACCACGCCCTCCTTTTCCGTCGCACTCATCCGACACGTCCCCATCTGGTGAGCCGACACGAACATGCTCTCAGGGCTCGGGAACCCGACCGCCCTGATCTCTTCCAACCAAGCCTGGAACTTCTCCTCGTTGATGCCGTTTGCCGTGGAAGAAGACGGGTCGCGCACAAAGGTCGAAACGCCTGGAATTGTGGTGAACATCTCTACGGCGCCTTCGACGTACTGCATCTTCGCGAGAGCGATGAGCCCTTCAATAATGTGCTTCTTATCAAACTTTGAAGTCGTGTACTTGCAGCGCACGCGGCCATCCACGGGATCCGGGTACACTTGACCAGTGTCTCGGTCCCGCGCAAGGGAGAAGTACCCGGCCATGTGCTTCATGCGAGCAGCATTGAGCTTGTACTCCAGCCCACCGCCCCACTTCAACCAACTCAGCCACGTCGACGGGATCATGTTACACGCTTCGAGTTTGACGCCGTGGCCTTTCCCGTCCAGATTCTCGTGCTCGCTGACGACTGCGGTGAGGATAGCACCTTCCCAGGGCTTGATTTCCTCCTTGTGAATAGCGCCGAGGAAGGAGACCGGATGGAGGTGCAAGTTACGCCCGATCTGGTAGTTCTTGAGCCCAGACCGGAGGAGCAGAAGCGGCGACTGCATTGTGCCTGCGGACACGATGACCCTTTTGGCTCTTATGATGACCTTCCGCTTGGTAACCGGATCGCCTGCAACTCCACCGTTGACATCCCGCGACCTCCATGTGCCCCTAATTCCCGTCGCGACTTTCTCTCCGCTTTTCCTGGAAAAGATGACCTTTTCAGCATGGAACCCTTCGATGAACGTAGCGCCGGCTCGGGCCGCGTCGGGCAGGTAAGAAACTACCGGTCCCTGCTTCTCGCACGAGCCGCAGCCGAACGTACAGTGCCCACAGTAATGTCTCTTACCTCCGGTGTTCTGAGGAACGGCTTTGTGAGCATAACCCAGCTTCCGAGCGCCTTCAAGTAGCATCTGGTTCGTTCGGTTATGCTCAATGTAATCGGTTGAAACGCCCATACGGGCGCAGACGCGATCGAGCGATTCTTGAAACTCGGCAGAGGTAAAGAATGAGAGGCCTCTGTCTGCCCACTCCTGACGAACGAAGCCTTGGGTCTGAAGGGATGCAGACCAGTTCACAGTGCCACCACCTCCCCAAGCTTGACCAGCTACAACGCTGACGGACGTATCGTCGGCTATAGAGTGTTAACGCAGATTCAGACGCTCTTCAAGAGACTTACAGGATATAAAAGCCCCATTCATGAAAAGATGGTTCCATCCGTTTACTTCAGACATGGGGAAGTGGTCTGGGGTCCAATGACGCCCATTATCGACCACAATCACCTTATTTCCCGCTTCTGCGAGATTCTTTGCGCATACACCTCCTCCGCAGCCACTTCCGACGATCACGACGTCAGTCTCGATAGTCTCCGGCTTGTCTCCGGGAGGAAACTGGATGAATTCGTAGTCGAAGCCTTTGCCGGGGACCATGCCAACGGGTACACGAGGGAAGCCTAACACACGTGGGAGGGTATTCGTGGTCTTGATCCACGTCTGCTTGGTGAGCATCGTCATCGAGCGGCAGAGCTGGCGGAGGAGAGGGAGCCTGGCTGTTGCCCAACTCTGGATGATGGATTCGCGGATATGGACTGGCTGATCGCCAATAGGTGTCACGTAGCCGGTGAGAACTAAGGATCCAGGGCGGGTGCTGTGCGTCTGTCAACCTTTAGCTGTTCCAAGATGATGGCTTTGATCGAAGGGGTCAAGTGGACATTTTGATGTCTGGGTATCGCTGGGGAGCCGTAGTGCCATCGAAATTCGACCTACTTGAGGATATTCAACACCATGGTCAGCTCTTTCCTGCTCGACTGAGGTAGACACAAGGCCACAACTCTTTGAAAGTCTTCCCTAAACGCTGGGTTGGACGATGCACTCTCTTGCAGGTACGCTCTGGCAACCTCTTCTCCATGGGCGTCTGGGGCAAGGCTCTTTAGGGTGGTAATGGCGGTCGAGTACTCATTGTCTGTAGCCGCGATCTCGCTCTGCGTCCTTGCGGTCGCGATTGGCTTGATGGCCGGAACGATGGCGTCGGTAATGGCGAAAAGCGTCCTCCATTGCGCTGCAGTCAATGGATCCTCGGATGGCAGCGGGGGAAGCGGCGCGGCTTTGGGAGAAACGGGCTCTGCTGTGAGAGACATGGTGGCAATATGGCGTTAGAGCGCAGGAGGGTTTGTTGTCGTAGAGCCTCGGTGGGCTGTCTGAAGCTGATATCACATCGATGTAGATGAAAGGAATGGATACAGAAAGAGCTAACTCTCCTATTACGATGCTCGTATCCCCGCACTACGGACGAGGTTAGATGTCTCACGATGGTCAAAGGAGCACGCATGTGCACCCCGCGTAGTACCTCGGTACCCAAGCTCCCCCAAGCGGGCTAGCTCACCTCGCCACATACTGCGCCACCCCACGTGCGCTTCCGAGGCGGAGAAACAGCGGCGACGCCCAATGCGGCCTTGCGCACTGCATCCGTGACACTGGCTCACTGGCTCACTGGCTCACTGGCTCGCTGGCTCGCTGGCTCGCTGGCTCCCCACCAGTTCCAAGCGTGGGTCGTGAACAAGGCATGGTGGAAGCTTGTCAGCACAAAATCGTGAGGCTGCACCCACAATCGCATGCGGTTTCGCGCGCTGCAGCAGGAATATATATCCATAAAGCTGACGAGGCGGCGATCGTCGAGGCGGCTGCTGGTCGGATGCGCGCGGTTTCTGGGACGAATCGAAATTACCAAGTGCGGCGGCGCGATTGGCCAGAGATAAGGGCGCGTCCCAAATCGGACTGGCGGGGCTCGAGCAAGCAGCGCACCTCGTCGCCTGTCAGTGGCATGTACTGTGTCTGTACGCACCAAACGCGCTGCCAGTGCCAGTTGCTTCTTCTGTGCGTGTCCTTTGGCTTGCAGTATAAAAAGGCGCGAGAGCGTGCGCGCGGCCGTCTGTCCAACTTACAGAAGAGCGGCGTGCGTGAGCAGTTGCCCGAAGAAATTAAAACATCCACGGTAATGCGAGCCGCTGATGCGCGAAGCCAGGATCTCGCTGCTCCGCGCGAGGCTAGACTGCGACCCGTAGCCCGCCCAGACCGGCCGCCGTTGGACCCTCGCCTTCAATCTTCGTGATGTACACTCCAAGTTGTCCTTAATTCACTCTCCGTCCCAGCCCGTCGCCGTCACCGTCGCCGCCGCGCCTTGAGTCTGCTCACCCTCACCCTCACCCTCACCTACACGCCCCTCGCGCCCGCCCGCTCCTCTCCTGCGCCGTATCAACCCGACGATGCGAGTCGCCCAGTCGCCCTGAGCGTACATTGTGGCCCCGGCGTCTGCTGTACCACCGCGATCCGTCCCTTATCGCCCACCGCCTGTACGTCAGCTACCAATTGCCGCCAACCTCAACACTCGCGAAGAGCCGCAGGCTTGCTGTAGGAGCAGCCCTGCCCGGGGTGAGCAGTCGCACCGCTGCTTAAGCCACTGATTGCTCCCTGCCGCCGTTGCGCTGCCGCCTCCGCTCATCTTCACCCTCACCCTTACCCTCGCCCGCAGCGACGCGACCCTCAACCCATCGCACCTCCCCGCGACCGCCTCGCCCCACGCCGACCTCGTTATCCACCTGGCCATCTGCTCGTCGTCCATAACGGTACCTTCGCCCTCGCTGCACTGCTCGCCGCACCCGCGATTCAAGCCCCTCCCGACATGGCAACCGAGCTCTCGAGCGCGCCCATCGTCCCGCAGCCCGCCCCATATCAACACCACGCGTACAACAAGTCCGCGCAGTATATGCCCATGGGCTCAGGCGCAAACACCCCGCTGAACATCTCGCCCACCTCGCCGCGCACCACCTCTCACCTCCCTCTGCACACTCAGCAACATGCCCCGCCCATCCGGCCGCTGAAGACTCCCAACTACATCCCAGCTGCGCTGCGCAAGACCGAGAAGCCCAACCGGCAATCACCACCCAAGGTTGACTCTGCTGTCGATACTCCCGCTAGCAGCTGGAACGTTGGCAGTCCCTTAGGACCGGCGGCGGGCGACGTGGGTCCTTTGAGTCGCATTGCGACCGAAGACCTGCACAGCATCTACAACGATGTGCCGCTTTCTCCGGGTTCTGGCAAGCCCACCCAGAACCATTGGCAGGTACGCTTTATTCCCTAATCTTTTTCGTTGTCTTTTGCGGCCTCTGCCAAAGGTCAGCACTCCCCTTTCCTTACCTTTCTGTCGCGTGCCTTTTCTTGGGCTGCCTCAGCTGTTACGTACACTCTTCGGGGCGGATCCCTTTAGCGTCGCAGCGGCCTGGCCGATTCCTCGCCTGCACTCGCCGATTTCAGAGGCGCCTCGCGATACGCGCCCATCTCGGTCCGCAGCTCAACAAAACTTGGATCGTCGGCTTCGCTGCGCGCTGGTGTCCTCTGCCGACGAGTATCGTGACGGAGGATGGCGGCGTCGCTTCTGCGCCCATGTCTAGCTTTATGCTGTCCCGTCTCTTTGTCTTGTCCACCCTCACTTCCCCCCACACTAGCGACTTTGGCGAATGCAGGGTCGCCTCATCAACACAGACCGCCTTCGGCTTTCTCCATCGTCTTCTACTTTTGCCATCTGCACCATGTTCTGGGCCGAGATTGTTAGGCCAATCAGACAGGCGCTGACCGAGTCATTTTAGCCGAATGGTTCCGCCCTCGTATGCACCGCATCGTCCTGCGAGCGACCGTTTGGTCTGTTCGTTCGGCGTCACCACTGCCGAAAGTGCGGCGGCATCTATTGCTGGCAGCACTCGCAGAAGCAGGTGCGGCTCAACGAACATGCCCTGTTCCATCCGGAAGGCACCTGGCAGCGCGCCTGCGATCGCTGTCATCTCCAATTCCGCGAGTGGGAGCAGATGCGTTCCAGCCGCGCCAACAGCGAGAGCTCCGGCAGCACCTCTGCTGTCCAGATCGATACTCCCCAGACGAAGCGCCCCGAAGGCCACCGTGTGGGCAGCCTCGGCACGAGCTTGGGAGGCAACTGGAACTGGAGCACCTTCTAGCTCCTAGTCCTTCACCGGCGACCTCCAAACCGGCTGCTTCGACATTTCTTCCTCTTTACGACATGATATCCCGGATAGTCGGCATTCCACTCATGGATATGCGGCTACTCCACCTCTTTCAGGACTCGGAGCTTCCATGGAGCATCCGCACAATTGCATGGTACCGGGCGTAATGCATCATCAACGGTGGGCGGTGTTCTCCAGCGATTCAGCGTTTATTTCCGCGCCCTTAGACCGGCTTCGTTCCCATGGACGTATGCTGTGACGGCCGATAAGATATCCACCCTAATGACTGTTCATTTCTCTCTTCGATGTCCTCGGCCGACCGAAGGCATGAGTGGGAGGATCGGCGCCTGATGGCCTGCGTTTTCAGGCCGGTGGGCTGGCGTTCAGGGTTTTCCAGAGGCATTTTCTTTCTTTATGGGACTGGCGTTCGATTGAGCCGCTGTGGCGGAGTTATGGCTCCCATGGCGTAGATATTTGGCGCGGCTGTCATGGTCGAGTAATGTGCGTGCTCTGCGTGGGTGCGGTCGATGAATATATCAATGATTGTGCCTCAAAGCTGTCATTCGTCAGTGGCCCAAGTGATGGCGTGACCGGGGGAGTACCTTGATGGTTGAGTTGGGTGGGAGAATTGGTGACTGGGGGGTGGACGCGGTGGAGTTTGCACTGTGCGTGGTGGGTGGAGCGTGCCTGATGCAAGCGGCCTCTGGAGCCGACGCCAGGAGGAAAGGACGTCCTTATAGCCACTTTTGCGACTGAAACACTGAGCCAGAGCCTAATAGCTACGAAAGCCAATGGATACTCGAAACACGGCCGGTCAGACGATGCAATCTCCATATTAAATGCTGGACCAGTCAGCCCTATAGAAGCTCCGCTGCGGTGGGCTGGCAGCCTCCGATTGGCTGCAGCCCCTGCGGAACGTCGAAAAGGCACATGTCGTTTTTTCCATGCTCGATGACCTCTTCGATTTCACCACTCCGCTTCCGCACACGCCCGCCGACGCCATACCTGCAATATTTCGCAACACAGGGGGCGTCGCTGCCCCCGCCCAGCTGCTCGCACGCTGCGCTCGATTCTTCGCCGCCATGGCTTCCGAGACGCGTTCCGAGCCGCACCGCCAATCGAAGCAAGGGAGTAATGGGGTCGCAAGTGTGCAGCGGCCGAGCAAGCGCGTCAGGCTGCATGGAAGAGCCTTCTACGAGAGCATTGGCAGCCCGAAGATTGTGCTTGCGCCTATGGTGGAGCAGTCGGAGTTCGTACGTCTCTCACATGCTCCCCCAGTTTCCCTCGCACATCCAGCGTAGCTGACAGTGCATGATTGCTATAGGCATGGCGCATGCTCACCCGCTCCTTCCTCCCGCCCTCCGCGCAATCCTCCCTCCTCGCCTACTCGCCCATGTTCCACTCCAAGATGTTCGTTGAGCAGCCCAAGTACCGCGACTCGCACTTCCAGCCGCTCAAATCCGCGCTGCCCTCCCCCGTCGACACCTACCATCTCTCGCAGCTGCCCGACTCGGAGCGACATCTGGACGGAAACCCGGCTTTCGATCGCCCGCTCACCGTGCAGTTCTGTTCGAACGGCCCGGATGACTTTCTCAATGCGGCGAAGCAGGTGGCGCCCTTCTGTGACGCGGTGGATCTGAATCTGGGCTGTCCACAGGGCATCGCAAAGAGGGGCAATTACGGCGCATTCCTGCAGGAGGATTGGCCTCTTATTTCGAGCATGATACGGAAGCTGCACGAGGAGCTGCATGTGCCCGTCACGGCAAAGATGCGGATCCTCGAGACGAGGGAGAAGACGCTGGAGTATGCGAAGGTACTACTGGATGCGGGCGCGAGCATCATCACGGTGCACGGCCGGCGCAGAGAACAGAAGGGGCACAATACAGGGTTGGCAGACTGGAGTATGATCCGTTATCTGAGGGAGAATTTACCGAAAGAGACGGTCATCTTCGCGAACGGGAACATCTTGCAGCATGAGGACATCGCGAAGTGTCTGGAAGAGACGGGCGCAGATGGCGTCATGAGCGCAGAGGGCAACCTGCATGATCCTACCATCTTCGCCGAGCCGCCGGCCGTTGGCAAAGAGGGACGAGAGTACTGGCGCGGGAGAGATGGAAAGGGCGGATACAGAGTCGATGCAGTCTTCCGCCGTTATATGGACATCATACACAAGCACGCTCTCGGACAGACACCTCCGGAGAGGAAGCCCCTGTGGATAGCGTCCGACCCCGAGGCACCGGAAGAGCAAGTCAGCGAGGAAGAGCAGGAAGGTCCACCGCGCAAGAAGAGAAAGCAGTCCAAAGCGGAAAAAAGGCAACAGAAGATCACGAATCCCAATCTGACAGCTATGCAAGCGCATCTATTCCACCTGCTGCGGCCGCTCGTGGCAGAACATCATAATGTCAGAGACGCGCTGGCGAAGTGTCGGGTGGGCGAGATCGATGCGTTTGAGCATGTCCTGAGGTTGACCGAGCAGGCTGTCAAAGAGGGTATACTAGCGTACGAAAATGAACACCCGACCCAGACCATCGGTACCGGGTTGGATCCGCAAGAATCGGGTCAGAGTGGCACGGTGGGGCAACTAGCGGAGACAGAAGAGGACCCGTACACGTCCTCCCTCGCAGCTGTCGCCCGCTGTAAACGCCCATGGTGGGTATGCCAGCCCTATGTCCGACCTGTACCGAAAGAAGCGATTGAGAAGGGCTCAATGCAGCTAAGTAAGAAGGAGAAGAAGAGGCTGGAGCAGCAGGAGGCGGAAGCTAAAGCTGTCGGTCTGGCGCCAGGAGGCAAGATAGAGAAAGAGAGCATGGAGGTCAATGGCACGCATCAGGAGGCAGAGATACCGAAAGAGGGCGTGGTCTATGGTTGAGGTCAGTCGCTCTTTCCCTCCATGTCTGGCATGAGACGGGATGACGGGCGAACACTCGCTCATTCACTCGGGCGCACAATGATTTCAAATTGAAGTCCTCGCCATATTTCTTTCACGTCCTCCTCTCCGCCCCACACCGTGCCCATCATCTTGAGGGTGCAACTAACCCTCGCTCCCCGCAGGCTGAATACCTTCACCATACGTTCCACATTGCTTGGACGGCAGAATTACCTTCTCAAGGTCTTCAGCCTCCCTGATCCACCGTCGGTATGCCAAAGCTGGATCCCGTCATCAAAGCCCGCCGCCGAGAACTCCGAGTGATATCACGCGACCGCCAGAACCGTATGCGCGCCCAGCTCAATCTCGATGCGAAGCCTTTCCCCAGCATCGTTCGCATCCCAGAACACGCCGAAGCACATGCCAGCGACGCCTTCCACGACTGCACAACAAATTGCAGCTTACTGGACCGACAGCAGACGTCGGGCGGGGCAAATGCCTCCTAGGCGCAGGCGTCGCCTGGCGCCATCCCAACGGCAATTGGCAATTTGCCGAGTACCCGCTAGGGTACAATGCTGGGGCCATTGGAGGCGCGGAATTGTATGCTATTGCTGCGGCGCTGAACCTCGCCCTCGCGCAACACGGACCAGGGGGCCGTTCTGTCGGGCTTGTCCGCGTCTATTCCGACGACAAGGGTTTCTTGGAGACGATGCAACGCGGGCTTCTCCTAAGGCGGCTTGGTCCCATTGGATTTGAACGCTTCGCAATATAGGAGCTCTATGAGCGCGCGGAGCTGCTGCAGTAGAAGGGGGTGCGCGTAGAGCTTGTATGGGTCAAGGGCCACAAGAGCAGTGCGGGGAATAAGAGGGCGGACCGGGCCGCGGGAAGAGCGGCACGGTCCCAGATCGGGGCCGCGGATATCGGAGTGACCGTTGAGGGGAAAGACGTACCCGTCTGGATGTGGGAGCTTGGTGGAGACTACGTGGATGAGTGGCTGTATAGGGAGAACGGCGGTCCCCTAGTTGGGGGAGCCGAACGGTAATCGCGACCGCGAAATGAAAATAGATTCTAGTAATGAGGTTACTCGTCAAGGCGTGGATGTTAACGCGCAGGAATCGGGTTCGGGAGACACGGAGATATCAAACGGGGAGGATGAAGATGATGGGCAGGATGTGCTGGGCTGATGCAGTTTTGCTCTGTACTGCATTCAAAGCCGCCATTCAATAATATACTGAAAGCCTCCAGCCTTGCCTATCCTGGCTTCCACTGCCCCTACTACGTGAGGAACTAACACGCATGGCACGCACCACTGAGGTCACTTGCAGACACGGTCTTCAATTAATTATGACCCAAGAACCTGCTATGAAGGTTTTCATCCTAGTGTAGGATATCGGTCTTGAGCATGTTTTAATCTAGTGTATTCTGTTCAATACGTTGAAGTCCTCACGGCATGACAATGCGGACTCTCGAGCTAATCCCGACCGCAGCAATAGTTGGCATGTGGTCGCACGCAGCGTGAAGGACTTGGGTCGTGGAAGTAGCTATTCCCGGCCTCGGTATCAAGTACGGTATACCCGTGGTATGGACTATTTATAAAGCTAGAACAATACGTGCTGAGTGAACATAGGGGTAAGTGGTCTCTCGCTGGGTCTACTATGAGCTTTCTGCCTGCGGAGTTTAGAATATGGGCTTCTTTTTTTTTGCTGGTACTGTACATATGTGAGGTCGGGCCGAGTTGGTGATTACTAAGATGAGCTTTGTATATGTTAGAAAGGCGGGAAGGAGACTAAGTACGTGCAAAGCTAGCTCCAGGTATGGGCCTTCTAGACGCTTGTGATTGATAATTTGTGAGTGCTTTGTTACTAGGTAGAACAGATGGGGAAGTGTAGAGTAGTAGGCGAACACCAGAGTGGTTAGATGATGAGCAGGTATTAGTGGATGGATAGGACTGTTCTAAAAGCCTTCACACAGGCGTGTCTATATGCGCAGAACACTGCTGTCACCAGTCATCAGTCATCACGTAGAACATGGATGAGATGCGGGTCATTGAAACCAAACAGTGACTCGGTCTATCTAAAACACAACTTCCAAAGCAACTCCAAAAGAGGGTATATCGCGCCAATCGACCGACCAGACGTCCGTGAAGTCGTCAGAAAGGACCGTAAAGCGCCGTGGCTCGTAGATCCGTAACCCATAACTCATACGACAAGCGTACCGGTTATCCAAAAGTGTGCCGGTTATCCAAATGCGAAACGCGATCCCGTTTGCATGTTATGGCAATGAAAGAGTGGGAAATCCGTGGAAATATCGCTCGCCAAAGCGAGGAGAGCGTGGTGTGAGAAGACGGTAGTGAGTGTTGAGAGCCAGCAAGAAATAAAGCTTCAGACGAAGGGACAGAAAAGTAAGGGAATGGAAGGAAGTGTTGAGATGGTCCTCTTTGTCGTGGGCCACAATTGTGCGCTGGCGCGCTAAGTCCCGAACGAGTCTGCAGGTTGTGTCGTGTCAGATTCACGATTGCGCTCGTCAGATGTGCGATATCCATTGATATGTGGTGTCGATGCACGGGGCTCATTATCGAGATCGGAATACTCGTTCTCCCCGGGCGTTGGTTGTTGCGTACGACTCTGCTCTGCTAAACTCTCGGGGGCGAGAGACATTGAGGGCGGGCCGAGCGAAGCGGTGGAAAACCTCTCTGTACCCCGCCTACTGGTCGTAGAAGTGCTACGAACTCGGCCTGCAGTAAGATTGGAGTCTATGGATGTGCGCGCCATGAGACCATGTTGACGTAGCCGCTGCAACGAATATCGAGAGTGCCGGAGCGAAGCGGGCCGAGGAGACAAGGACCGAGGTCTCTGACTTGGTGAGAGACCGAGTAACGAGTTTTGTGGGTTCGCTGTTGCCGTTGCGGCGCGGCCGGAGACTGCGGTGTCTGCTTCTGAAGTTCTTGTGGTAGTGCTGATGTTGAGTGGTCCAGTGTCGGTATAAAACGCACCAGGGGCAAAGTCGGTGAGATGGCTGCCCACTCCAGCAAGCTCGGGCCGAGGCGGTCGGGCTGTGAGAAACGGCTCAATACGAGCCAATTCCGCTCGAGCGTCAGGGGAAACATGGGACCTGCAGGTGCATTGGCGAGCGCAGCGGCATTTGAATGCAGTCATGTGATCGCGAATCCACGCATCGTGTTGATGAGGTGTCATCCCTTTCAGCTTTTCTTCGTCGTTCTTGGCCTTTTCAATCGCATCGGACCGTGTGTCTTTCGGAAGACACCCGTTTTCGGCGTCTTCAGTCTTGTCCGTGCTGTTGCTTCTGATTTTCGGTTCGTAAGCGCTGCCACGTCCCGCACGCGCCTCCGAATGTGATGGATAGTGGATGAGCTCGTTCTGGGCGATTGGTGATTTGCTTTTGGCTTTTTCCTGTCTCAAAGCCTTTCTCCAAGGGCTGCTGAGCCGCTTGAAGCGGGATTCCTTGAAGATAGGAAAGGCATCTTGAAGCTTGCGCTTGAGGGTAGCCAACGTTTTCCCGGCGCGCCTACGCTCGCTCGCAAGCGTTGCTCTGTCGGCCCTCTGGTCCACAGGCGCAACCACTGTTGGTGTTGCGCCGCCGCCGAGGATGGCTTCAGGGGGCTGTATCTGATGTGCAGGTCGAGGCTCTGCATCTGACAGGGAAGCACTCCGGCTTGGATGCTGCGTATGCATATTTACTGAGGCCTGGCGAGACGGGGCCCGGGACGAAGATTCGGGAACGCCGGGGAGACCCGCCGCGGTCGCTGTACCAGTAGCCTCTCGCACCATGTCAATTAGTGTTTTGCGGAAATCAATCTCCACGTGGTCCAGGTCAGTACTTGCAGTGGAGAGCAGCGAAAGTTGTGTGGAGCTGCCTCCACCGACGGCGAGCCATTTTTGGTGACATTTTTCGCAGAGTATGTCAGTAACCTCGTTGGGATCCCCGGACACCTCGACTCGGATGAGGAAGGCCTTGTGATGGTGATGGCATCTTGGGCAATTGCCATGGATCGGTATCTTCCAGGTCCCAGGAGGTAAATGCTTATCACTAGCAACTGTGGAGACGGTATTGCTCCGGGTGGGCGGAGAGATAGAAGGCTGTCTGGGGTGAGAGTCCGGGCCGGAAGATAGGCCTTCAACGCGTGAAGATGTCCCTTGGTACGCCATGGTATTGCGGATCCTTGTCACCGTCCGGTACCTAGGCTGTGATTAAAGTGTCACGGATGTTGTGACGGAGACTGGAAACCCAGGAGCCCGCTCCGGTGAATACATTGAAATTGAACCAGCGAGCAGGGGCGAAGAGAAGAACAGGAGAAGACGAATGACGATGTTTGAACGGACCGCTTGTCGCCCTCGCTTGACGAATTTAAAGATGTAGAAATCTCCGGCCTGGATAGGGCGGCCCGGAAGAATATGAATGAAGCTAACGTGAGGCTGGACGGATCACATCGCTTGGATAGGGCGATCAAGAGGACTATTAAAACGGAGTGAGGCGAAAGGGCGGCCGCCCTAACGGTGGCTGTTTACAGTCAGAGCTGCCTCATTGTAGGCGTCAGGAAACTACTTTTGGGCACCGGCGACCGAGAAATTGTTGGGATTGCAGTTTGTGGCGGTGCTATGAGCTGAGCCCCACGAACGTGACCTGTGCCCTCGCGAATACGGGCTGAAGAAGCATAATGACCATAAAGCAATGCAGGAAAAGTGCGAGTTTGTGGAAGATCGTCGAGGAACAGGGCGGAGAGTTGGGATTGCTTGGAAAAGGTGACCATGCAGGAGGCTGAGGAAAAAGGTGAAGGACAGAACACCACCGGGTAGCCCAAACCAGCGATAATCCGAGACATTCACCTTCTCAATCCCGGAGGACACCTGCAATGTGTTCGGGTAAACATGTCGAGGACTACGTTCGTGGATGAACGGTAAACTGCAGGCATCGACCCTAAGGCCAGCCGCCCCGCTGGCCTGATGCCAAAAGCCGCAGCATCGGGTGAGGCAGACTCCGTCTCATTGCGCGTGAAGACGGCATTCTACCAGATCACGATAACCCTCAATGGGGCTCAGTCTGCTCAGCGTGCAAAGGAGTCTCGACGTGTAGCGCCGGCAGGCGGCATGGGGGGGAGGCGCTGGAGGCAGCAGCCGAGTCTATACGGGTGACAGGGTGCAGGGTGCAGACTCGACTCCATCGGCTGTGCCAGAGGGCAGTTGGAAAATATAGAAAGAGTGTTGGTTATCGTATAGTTGCGCTCTGTGGCGAAGCTAGAGCGATGAAGTCGCCGCCTGGGGTTGGTGTGCGAGGGGTTGTCGGCTGATTGGCCGATCTCGCTTATGTCATCTCGCCAAGCCCACAGAAGACCGAGAATCGTCAATTTTGAGCGCGCAACCCAACGCCAACGCCATCGACAACGACAACGACAACATCACCGACGAGCATCGACAAGCCGCCATCATGTCGCTCGTAACTGGGGTGAGCTGCTTCAACCATCCTCTCTTGATTGCCGCTGACAAAATAATGTAGGAGAAATCCAACTTCCAGGTATGCATCACCCACTACCCGCGAAGCCCCTCCCGAACCCTGCTGCGACCTCCACGCGCCGGACCGATCCCAGCGCTCGCGGGCTCAGCCATAGATGGATCGCTGTGAACATCGAGAAGCCCCGGTGCTTCCTTGGCCAAGGAGACAGGCCGTAGGGCGTGCGGGTTGCGGAGGCGGGTCGCCGAAGGGAACGGTCCAGGGTCTCTACACGAGCCCTGGAGCGCATACCGTCTGTTTGTCGGTCGCGGTGCTGACTTGACTCCAGTACATTATTCGTCTGCTTAACACCAATGGTGAGTTCTAGCGCGAGGGATAGCTTCCGAAGAGAAGCTGATTTTTGTTTAGTGGACGGCAAGCAGAAGGTGATGTATGCGCTCACAAAGATCAAGGGCGTCGGCCGGCGCTACTCCAACTTGGTCTGCAAGAAGGCTGATGTCGACCTCACCGTAAGTCCGGCCCCTCGCTTGATGCAGGTCCCTGCTGACTGTTCCGCAGAAACGCGCCGGCGATCTCACCTCGTCAGTCGTCCATGGTGTCCTATTCTATCGGATAGACTAACATCTTCTAGTGAGGAGCTCGAGCGTATCGTCACTATCATGCAGAATCCTCTGCAGTACAAGATTCCCACATGGTTCCTCAACAGGCAGCGTGATATTGTCGATGGCAAGAACTCCCAGATCCTAGCCAACGGTGTCGACTCCAAGCTTCGAGAAGATCTCGAACGTCTCAAGAAGATTCGCGCCCATCGTGGTCTACGACACTACTGGGGCCTGCGTGTCCGTGGCCAGCACTCCAAGACAACTGGTCGTCGCGGCAGGACGGTTGGTGTGTCCAAGAAGAAGGGATAAATGTTCTCGCCGGTGCTGGAAAGCCGGGGCTTTGCGTGGTGCGGGAACAAGGCTTCTGCGGATGGGTGGTGCACTTACGGTGTTATCAAACGGCATTCATTGGCATCCACGCCTACATTTCATCCTGGGCTTGTACACGAGACGAAACGGCATGAAAGGGCTTTATGGTGGTAGGCATTAGCCATAAACAGCCTATACAAAAAAAATCACACAATCTGATCCCTGTTCTTCCAATGTTGATCTGCAAGTTTGCGGTTGGAGTGAATTTCGGTCAATGGGAAGGACTTGCGAGAGAGATCGAACCCCGATGCCAGTGGTAGCACCAACTATAGACGCCGAGCTCCCCTCAATATGATCGTCGTCGGCATACAGTACGCCGAAGAAGAGATGCAGAGCGGTATCCTCAGAGGAGTCTGTCCAATGTGGGGATCATCCTTTTGCGATTGATGTGTAGAGCTTGCTTGAGAATGTAGGTACGGGAGCGTGCGGCCGAAGCTGGTGTCGAAGGTTTCCGGATCGGGATAGGTCTTTCTGGAGGGTGTCAGTGTTCTATTGACCGTTGAAATGGAGCGCAGGTAGTACTCTGTCATGAGCTCAATGCCTGCTGCTGCTTCTCCTGTTCGATTCCCTCCTTCGGTTGGCGGATCTCTGCTTCCTTCTCCTCGATGGCGTAGTGCAGCTAATTGATCTCCCAATCCTCTTACTCCAACTCCCAAGCGACACCCGCACACATAAGGCCCTTTCGATTGTAGCTGTGTAAGTAGCTTCCGTCGGACCAGAAGATTGCGAGCGATAAGGGTCGATGATGTCGGAGTTTAGACAGTCGTCACCTTTATCTGCTTCTTCATGGCTTGGGACGATGGTGCAGCGAGCAAATGGTCGCTCTTTGACTTGTTGGAGAGCGCAGGAATAGCGATGCTTGAGCGTTTTGTCACGATGTTCGTCGAAGAGCCACACGCCAATCTCGAGCTGGTACTTCAGGTCGATAACATCCGTCGTCTCCTTCATGATTGTGATTGGCGGTCTCGATGTGCTTTAGAAAGAGAGTAGCCAATCGTCGTTAAAAAAGACTTAGATTGTTGGTGTCATGTAGCACGTTTTTGTTAGCTAAAGAGAAAAGAAACAGACCAAAACCGGCGGAGGCATCAGAGTTCATGTGCGGTCTGATCGAGTGAAGGGTTTGAACTTCAGAGTGAAAGTGAAAAGGAATCACCGACCTCAATCGCCCACCATATCCTCTCTCGGAAACCCCACGTCTGAATCCTAACATATCTCTAGCAAGATATCCAATACTGAAGATGCTTTCGATATAGATATGGCAGTCGAACTCACTGCCGTATTCTGCGAGAAAACAACCTCTAGAATCTACAGGGTGGAGCAACTGGACACCTTTCTCACCACATCTATCCCTGTACCTGGCTTCATCCGCTTAAGCACGTTCGAAAGCTCTAAAAAAAATTTTCGCCTCTATACCGAGATGTTCCTATAATTCCGCAATTCTTAACCAACCAGTACGATAAGATGGTATCTAACTTGACTTGACTCAGAAGCTCAAACACCTGCTCCAGATCGAAAAGCCCAGGATATTCCAGTTGAAAGTTCTCACGGCAGTTAGGAAAACTTTTGGCCACTCATATGGAAAGCCGGATGTCAAGCTTTGCCAATGTACCTAAGTATAGATCCCGTTCTTTCACTTCTTACTCGTCTTCTCGACAAGGATTTCGCTCTAGGGATACAGCAGGTCAAGACTTGTAGGCCCACAAGCGGCTCAAATTGCTCCAGAGGAATCAGTGCTGAGACTCCCTTTAGCGGCCCAAAGAAAGACCGGATGTCTAGGATCCGAGATGGAGCGCACTTGTAAGACTGGGTTCCTTGTTTTCTAGGAACACGACCAACTATTGACTGCGTAAATAAGGACCTTTTGTGAGAATGACCCTATTATGGGGACCCCTAGAATGCCTTCGACGATGTATACAAGACTAGGATAGTACCACGAGAGATGCGACCGTGCCTTGTGAGCTCCTTGGGGTTGCAATTATATCGGAGGCTGTAAGAAGCACATTTTAAGATCGCGCCAGCAAAGACCGCATTAGCAATATCCTAACAATCTTGACATCGAGTGAGGCTAGTGCAGTGAGAAACAGTAGGAGATTGATAGAAGGAGACAACACTGGACTCGGGGTCATTCGGGTCATATTAGGCGAGCGATCACTGGAAAAGAAATACACTCATTGTATCATGCCCGAATAAGCTGCGATTGGATCCATCTGCCTGAACGCCTGTTTATGCAGTCTAATCTGCGCCTCTCTCCACAATCATCATTTACTTCACCCCATTAACTACACCCCTCCAAACACCCTCTCCGGAATCCTCCCCTCCTCCTCCTCCAGCACCCCCATAACCTCCACCGTCCACTTCTTCATCTTCTCCCCGGCCGGCAAGTAGGGCCGCCTCGGCCAAAAAGCCCTTTCATCCTCCAGCCCTAACTTCCCTCCCACAAAAGACCAAGCTGCAAACTTCGTAAAGGCCAGGCTTTTCTTACAGGCCCACTCCGCATTCGCAACCACATCCTGCAGCCTCCTCGCCTCGTCCTTCTTCCCCTCCATCCAGAGGTCGTACACGCGGGCCGTCGCACGCGGGAACACGTTCCCCATGCCGGTCACGCAGCCCACGCCGCCGGCTTCCAGCGTGGGGAAGAGGAAGTCGGAGGAGCCGCCGTAGACGGAGAATTGGACGGGAGTGAAGTGCGAGGTTATGCGGATAGCTTTACCGATATTTCCGCAGGTTAGTTTTACGGCGACGATATTGGGGTGCGAGGCGAGGGTAGTGAGGTCGTCGCTGTTAAGATCGATGCCCGAGGTTACGCCCGGGAACTTTGATGATTATCGTTAGTTTTGCGGAGAAAGGGGGGGAAGAACGAAATGGACTAGGCCGTACGTTATATATAACAACGGGTATGGGCGACTCGTCGGCCACATCCCTATAGAACCCTAGCAAAGCCTCCTCGCTCATAGCCTTCGCCCAATAGCTCGGCGGGAGCAGGAGTCCAAAACTCGCGCCAGCTATCGCAGCATCCTTGGCCAACTGTATGCTCTCATTCGTGCTCTGGCCGGAAATACCGGCTACAATGGGGTAATCCGGAACACCGAGGTCGGTAACCGCCCGCCGCACCGTTCTCAGGACGTCCTTCTTCTCTTCCCGGTCCAGCAACGCCGCCTCGCCGTTCGTGCCTTGGTAGACGAGGCCGTGCTGCCCGCCGCGGACGAGGTACTGACAGTGCTTGTACATGGCGTCTAGATCTAGCTCTTGGGTTTTTGTGGGCTTGTAGAGGGAAATGACAGGTGTGTAGACGCCTGGGGGAAGCATTGTTTTCTTTGGTGGTATTGCGGCTTTTATGATAGGCATTTTGGATGGCTGATCGTGAATGAATGTTAATAGGAAGGAGGAAACTGATTCTATGCAGCCATAAATACTCGGTAGAAAGACGTAAATACAAGGAAACGTATACGAGGTGTCGAACAGCTAACAGGCGGGCCGCCTGCGAACTTTTACAGCACCCACCCAAAACGACAGCCAATTCCGAGCAACACCTACGTAAAATTCCGACGGTCGGAAAGTTCTCCATGTCATCAGATGCGCGTCGACTAGTTTCGAGGTCGCGGGGTTGACGTTCGAGGGGTAGCGGAGAGAACGCCGTGCGCTATTGTTGACTACTGAATCGTGACACCGAATGTTAGCCAGACAGATGATTCAGGCCTCCGATGGCACGGAAACCTGGTGTAACCTGATGTGAATGTCTAATTGCTGTGTGATTTGAGGACTGAGTTCAGTGTTGGGGTCTGGGGACGTAACTTATTATATCCTTGACGATTATTGATGATCAAGTCCATACACATACCGCTTGCCTGATCTTCCGAGACTGGCAACTCTCCGTCAAGACCCAAGGACACTCACGCCCTCCATCTTTCCACAACCTCAGCCAACGCCTCCACTCCACCCACACTCCCAGGAAACACCACATACGGCAGCCCAGGGTATTTACAAGTAGGCTCATTACACCTCCAAAGCGGCACGCCAGCAGCAGCCTGGCCTACGGCCATCGCCCTCTTCATATTCAATCCCTTTGTTGCCATGTCTGAGCTCGTGATTCCACCCTTCGCGATGATAAATCTAGGCCTCGTCTCGAGCCTTGTGAGGAAAGACACAAGGGCTGCCGCGACCGTCGAGCCAATGTCAAGCGACGACCGCTCGTTAGCCCTAGTGATGAGTTTCCGACTAGTCATGATGAGAACGTCCTGCGGTTTCTGGAGCTCAGATTCTGCGGTCACGAGCGCGTGTTGTAGCTCTTTCTCGGCGCAATCGGGCGATTCAAGAAGCTTGTTTACGTCTAGTTCCACAGTCGTCAACCTATCGCCCGCCCTCTCCCTCAGTGTTTTGAGCTGTGCCGTTGTCTTGGGTATGTATGATCCAGCTATGATCAACCCACCTCTTGATCTCTCGAGACTGAGCTGCTTCGCGGAGACAGGGGGGGCGCCAGAGCGGAAAAGAAACTTCTTGCCCTGTGCTGAAGCCTTCAGGATACCGAGAACGACGACATCCATGTCCTCTTCTGTTGCAGCATTGACGATGAACACGGTGCCCCTCTTCGCATGCTGTAGGATCTCGCCAATCTTATTCGGCCCGCCAGAGCGAATGTCGGACAGACCGGGACTCTGGACGCGCTCGCGCACAATCGCTCCCTTCGATTTCTCGACGAGCCAGTCGCGTAGGTTGCTGGACTTGTAACCGAACGTAGCGTCCTTTGCGAACGGTATGTTAGCAGCTGCAACTAGGGTGTCGCCCTCGGCAACGTAATGCACATCATCGATGGTGTACCGTCCACCCTGCAAGAAGAAAGGTGCCAGAATCCACGCGTCGCTCTGGCCCAGCACTTCTTCCACCGCCTCCAGCTCGAGCGGAAAGTGTCCCCTGAGCGTAGAATCGCCCCTCAGCACGACCTCAAACGCCTTGCCGGCCTTCATGGCAGCCTCGCTCAAATTTGTGCACATCTCGATCGTGAGCGCCTTCGCAGCTGGCGGGTGGAGCGCGCGCGAGTTTGTGAGGATGAAGAAGCCGGATCCAGGTTTTGTGTTCTCGAATTCCCGCCTGAGGACTGGCACGCTCCATGTTGTCAGGACGGGGACGTCGTGGCACGTCTGTGTGCCCGTAGGATCGTCGTCGAGGGCTACCAGGATGGGCTTTTTCAAGTTGCTTTGTATCTCCCTGCGCATTTGTGCTCGTAGCTCGGTCGACGACGAAGAGACGGGTGGGAGGGCGGTGAGCATTTGTTTGAGCGAGAGCGTGGTGGGCGATGACATCGCAGCTGCTTCGTCAATGGCAAGCAGGAATGCAGCTGTGTAGCCAGAGCATGTATATTATAACATTGGTTTCGGGCGTCAATCCATTTTCAATGGCCATATGCATAGAGGGCACATCGGCCGCTTCGGGCTTCTGACCGAAAGGCTGCTATAGCCGCCGTCGCCCATGACGAGTTCACAGATCGAGAGGAAGCAATAGCCATGGGACCAAGTTTGCGACTGCCAGGTCGTCATGCCGCGACTTACCGGCGAGCGAAGAATGCGATGAAGCTGGTCGTGTGCCCCTCCGGACAGCCTTCATGCAAGGCGTAGTCATGCATTACATAAGCACCTCTCTCGGCTGGTACTCCTCCAAATACCTGCTCTCTTCGTCGCTCAACTCCACCTCCAAAGCTTGCATAATCTGCTCCACCCTCTGCACACTCATCAGCCCCACAATAGGACAGCATCCCTTCCTCAACACCCAGCTTGTGGCCACGCTCGCCATACGAACCCCCTTCTTCCTACCTAACTCCTCTACTCTGTCTATGATCTCTATCTTCGCATCGCTAAACCACATGTTCGTTCGGAATCCGCTTCGTTCCTCACGCTCGTCTCGCCGACCGGCTTCCCGAGCAGACCGCATGCGAGCGGCGACCACGGGATGACGCTGATGCCCTGCGAGGTGCAGAACGGAATCATCTCGCGTTCCTCCTCGCGGTAGAGAAGGTTGTAGAAGGGCTGCATAGACGTGAAGGATGTCCAGCCGTCATCTTCGCCGTATATTGGAGCCGTGCAAATTCCCACGTGTACATTGACGAGCCGCCTAGGTAGCGTACTTTGCCTATAGACACGACGTCATGCAATGCGCGCATCATCTCTTCGGGCGGTGTCTCCTGGTCTTGGCGATGTAGTTGTAGCACGTCGATGTACAGTGTGCCCAGCCTTTCGAGAGATGAGTCCACAGCGTCGAAAATATGCTTCCGACTCAACCCCATCTGGTTGACCAACTCCCGCGAGTGGGGGTCCCCGGGATTTGGTCTACTATCGCCGCCCATGACTGGATTAAATACCTTTGTCATGATCACGACCTTCGATCTTGGGATGTTGTATTTCTTCATGAATCTGCCAAGGATGCATTCGCTTTCGCCGTTGGAGTACCTATCTGCAGTGTCCCAGGTATTGATGCCGAGATCCTAGGCTCGTTTGAGGACTTGCATGCTTGCGCCTTCGTCCAATGTCCATGGTGAGCCTTCCCATGTGGACTTTCCAAAGGTTATTCCGCCGAGGATGATACGGGAGACCTTGAGGCCCGAGGCACCGAGGCGGACGTACTGCATTCCCGGTAGCAGTGTAGATGTTGCGTTTGCTATTGAGTTGGACTCGTTGGGCTTGAGGGCTTGCGGAAGGAATAAAATGCTGAAGGCCTAGAGGCGGAGCTTTTCCACAGCACGATAATCAAGAGCGAGTGTTTATGAAAACCTTTGCTGATGTCCAGAGTATGCCCGGAGAGTTTACAGTGGATCTACGAAGTGCTGTGATGATTCTAGGTTCTAACAAGGACCCGTGGGCCGCGAAGCCGTCATCTGGAGTGAGGCGCCTTTTAGCGTGGTTGAGACGGGTGTCGGCATTCTCACCGGCGCCATGACAAGCCGAAGCTGCATCAAATGTTCTGAATGTGGAACTCGCGGTGTAATACAGTGCAAAGCTAGAATTCAGCTGGATATACGTCGGGGTTCGCGGAACTAGAAAGCACACGGGAGAAGTATATCCACTTCAAAGGTCTTGGTTCGTCACCTGCGTATCGTTCTCCCAAGCCGCCATGGGATCTCATTCAGAATCCACGAAACCTATCCTGTCACATTGCAATCTTGTTGGCATTCCAAAGGTCGGATCCGAGATTACATAAGCAGCTACGACCAGCCGCCTTCTCACGCAACGCTCCCACCACCATCATCATCGTGAAAGACGGTCGTCCCCCAATTCGGCCTATTGAATCTCCTCCCCTCGGACTTTGCCAGCTTGTCGAGCTTCAAAATCTCATCGCCGCTCAATCCAAAGATTTCTAGATTCGCTTTGATCCGCTCTTCGGTGACGCTTTTCGGAATGACACTCCACCCGCGACTCACGCCCCACGACAGCAGCACCTGCGCCGACGTCCCCTTCTTCTCCTCTGCAATCTCCAGCACAACTGGGTGCGTGTGCAGCGTCGAGCCCTTGCCGCCCAGCGGACCGAACGCCGTCTGATGGATCCCACGCGCCTTACAGTACGCATTGAGCCTGTCCTGGGGTAGCAATGGGTGCAGCTCTGTCTGGTTGGCAGCGGGTACAACTTTTGCCGTCTTCGAGAGCTTCTCAAGATTCACGGTTGAGAAGTTTGCCACGCCGATTGCCTTAACGAGGCCAGTCGAAAGCAGTTTCTCCATCTCGACCCACGTTTTCGTGAAGTCCCAGTCCGACGCGTGCACGGTGCGGTCTTCTTTGCCGAAGTTAGGTGCATTTGCGTCGTTGGGTGGAAGCGATACCGGCCAGTGCATAAGATACAGGTGGACGTAACCGACTTCGAGGTCTGCGAGCGACTTGAGCAGCGCGGATTCGACCTGCGAGTGCTGCGATGACCAGAGCTTGGTTGTGATGAAGAGGTCGGATCGCGGGATACCCGTCTCCCTTAGGACCTCCGATAAGGCCTGCCCGATCTCTTTCTCGTTGCAGTCTTCGAAAAGTCAGACTTCGAGGTCACGTCCTTCTTCTGTTTGACTCACAAAGCGGCGCACAATCCTGGACGCTCGTCAGCCCAAATCCGTGAGTCCGGAAGATGCGAAGCTTACAAGGTGTCGGTATCCGGTCGTAATAGCCGTCCTCACTGCTGTTCCTGCTTCTACGGGTACGTGAGCTTTCACTCGTACGCCTCCCGTTTGCTTACGCCACGTACCTCCTGGCGCTGCTTGCCATGTTCCGAATCCCTATTCCACTCAGCGTCTTCCTTCTCCTTCATTGCAAGAAACTCACCACCGCTGGAATCTTGGCTCCTGTGTTGAGATCGAACGTCTTCTTGTCTAACGTCATTCTTTCGAAGGTCGCCTGTTACCAGTCTCTTGATGGCTTCTGGACCATTTTATCTGGACCCTCTGACTACGTAGTCAGATTCCAAGGGGCGTTTGACACCAGCTCCGGCGAGAAGCCCGGGTATCCTCCCGCGACGTTTGTGGTACGGTGGGTTGAAACCCCGACTGCGCGCTGATGCTTCGCACGTCCAACGGCACGTTCTTCATGGTCACGATATCTCCCAATGGCCACGTTTGCAAGTTTACAGTCGGTGGAATCACACCTTGTTGCTTATATGAGTCTTCAAATTCATCACGGTATATTGAAAGTGCCGGCCCTTGCAGGGTATCGCTATGGGCCTCACGTTCATCCGGACATTCTCCCAATTCTGACTGTGGAGTCTTCTGATCTGTCTACCTCACACCCTCTCGAATTGGACGTTCCCATTATCCTTCTCGCCGCCGTCAAGAACCTTGGCAACTCCGTGAAATATATCGCCAACATCGTGGCGGACCTTCTCCTCCTCGGTCGGATACGCACGCTTGTACATAGTCCAAATAGAGTGCTGGAACAGGTCATCCATGGACTCAATCGAGCGTCCTTTCATCTCCGGCATGCAAAAGAAGACGAAAATTACCCCAATATAAGTCAGCACCGCGTACAGCAAGAACGTTCCCCATCCCATATGCGTCATCATAGAAGGCGTCGCTTTTGTGATCCCAAAGTCGACAATCCAGTTAACGAAAAAGCACCAGCTCATGCAAAAGGACCGGATACGCGACGGAAATATCTCGGCAGCGACGACGTAGCAGGCCACGCTGTGCCCGAACGACCACCCGAATGCGTAGATGTAGATCCAGACGATGCCGATTATGCCCCCGGCTTCAGTTCCGCCGCCTTGGGCTGGCTTCGCGAAACGAACATACAGAGCAATGTAGAGCATAGCGGTGGCTTGCAAGCAGGCGCCGATGATGAGCGGGAGCCGACGACCGACACGGTCCACGATGAAGGCAACGTAGATGATTGTTGTAGCGAGCTTGACAACGCCGTAAACACCAGTCGTGAGGAGAGCTTGTGATCCGCCCTTGACGCCGATCATGGTGAAGATTTCCGGAGCGAAGTAGTTCAAGCTGTCGGTACCACTAAACTTGTGGAAGAGGAAGAGCATGATGGCGAGGAAGAAGCGGCGTCTATTCGACGGGACGAAGGCAATGTCCTTGAGCACGAGCAGGTAGTTGCGTCCCGCAGCAACCTCTTGCTCCTGGTCGACCTGTGCGCAGACCTCCATGTACTCTTGCTGGAGGTAGGGGTGATGCTCGGGAAGCTTGCGCAACTTCATCAAATTCTTGAGGCCCTCGTCTCGTTTCCCTCTCGCAATGAGCGCGCGCGGCGTCTCGAGGACGAACGGAAGCATCAGGAACATGAAGCCGCCGGGAATAACCTGGATACCAAGAGCTAGCTTCCACTGCAGGTTATCCGTAATGCTCACGTTCTGCCATTTCGACACGCCGTAATTGACCCAGAAAGCAAGCGACAGAGCGGTAATGATCATGAGGTTATAGAGGCAGGTCATGGAGCCACGGATGGACTTTGGAGAGTTCTCAGAGAGGAATTGAGGCGCACCTGCGGACATGGAGCCGATAGCGACACCCGCGAGGAAGCGGCCTGCGTAGAATAATCCAAGATGGTCGACTTCCTGGAATGCACAGCCGAGGAGGTAGATGGCGCCATAGAGCATCATGGACCATCTACGGCCGAGGAAATCTGCGCAGGGAGCGGAGATGAGGGCACCCGCTGAGCCACCAGCAGCCACTTTCCTCATGGTCAGTATCCGCTTCATCGTATCGGCGTCCTGCAAGGCTGAAAACTTACTCAAAGCAGCGATGTTGCCCGCCCGGTGATCCGCAGCATCTTCGCTCAACTTATCGAGTCCAAAGGCATGCTTGAAGGTTGGCAGAGTAAGCACGCCTCCAATGTTTCCTTGATCGAAGCCGTAGGAGCATCCTGCGAAGGCGATGGTGGTAGCAAGATATGCTAGGCGTCCGTTGAAGATGGATCGGGGGTCGTTCTTCCATTCGGGCGAGGCCCAGAGTGAAGTGCCACCACCCATGCTTTGGAGTAGAGTAGGAAGGAGTCAGGAAAGGTATGAGACGGAGGTCGGAGATTGAAGCAGTGGTAGCAAGAGGTTAACGTGCAATTGTCGAAGCTCTTAACGCCTTTATACCGCGGCCAATCAAACCCAGCAATCTCCAGAGCAAGCTTATCAAGCTTTCAGGATATCGTTTCTCGAGTCCTACCCCAGAAAGCTCAGGCCTCCGGGCGTTTCCCCGCATTTGGTGTCAACAGTCCCGGGGAGAAGTGCGTTATAAGGTCCAACTTCTAGGCGCAGATCGGTCCTACTACGGAGCAAGCAATCGCAGATTACTTCCCGAATCGGCCAAGGCGCATTAAGCTCGGGAGCACATCAGACGCCTCAAGAAGTTGAGGAATTGGGAAGGAAAGAAAAGCGGGTAGAAGTGGCTTGCCTAGCGACGGTTGTCGTGACTCAACGCTTTTCTTGATCCGACTTATACTAGGCTTAGTTAATAGATACTGAGATACGGCTACCCTAATCTGTTTCTATGCTTCTTCATCTCGTTACCCTAGTAGTTCTCATCAGTTGAACGCTTCGCTTTCGACAGAAGGTATCTCGGTGTCTTCATCATGTCCGACTTCAACAACGATCTTACTATACGTTCAGAGACACCATACTTCTCCTCAAACTACATTCCCGCTTCGACAGTTCAAGTCCATGCCTCTAATCTCCTTCAACTACCCAATGACGACCTGCTATGCGCGTGGTTCGGCGGCTCCCAAGAAGGCCTTTCAGACATCTGCATCCATCTCTCGCGGCTTCGACGGGGCTTCCAAACATGGACGAATCCACGGAAAATATCGGACGACACAGAACACAGCGAGCAGAACCCAGTGCTGTTCCTTAATCCCACGAACCGAGAGCTGTGGGTCATGTACACTGCACAGCCTGCGGGCAATCAGGACAAAGCAGTCGTTCGGTACCGGGCATCGAAAGACGACGGACAGACGTGGTCGTGTGCGCAAAATCTCTTCGATGATGAGGGTCTGTTCATCCGCCAGCCGGTTACGGTGCTAAAGGATGGGACATGGGTCCTTCCCGCGTGGTATTGCCGAACACCGCCTGGATACCGATGGATCGGAAACGACGATATCTCAGTCATTAAGTACACGAAAGACGCCGGCAATACGTGGCATGAGCGAGAAGTCCCGAACAGCACCGGCTGCGTCCACATGAACATAAGAAAGCTGAAGGACGACGGGAGCTATATCGCATTCTTCCGGTCGAGATGGGCAGACAACATCTACACGTCTACTTCGGTTGACGGGCTGGACTGGGCCGACTGCGTACCTACATCGCTCCCTAACCCCAACTCTGGAATCTGCTTCGACGTTCTTCCAGATGGGCGCTTGCTCATCGTGTACAACGACTCGAGCTTTCAGCCAGGGCACTCGAGGCGCGAGGGTCTGTACGATGATATCACGCCCGAGGAGGACAAGCGCGAGAATCAACCCAAGCAGACGAGGGAAGCGATTTGGGGCGTGCCGAGGAAGACGCTGACGGTTGGGCTGAGCGCTGATGGAGGGAAGGGCTGGCAGACGAAGGTGTTGCAGGAGGGGGATGGGTTCTGCATGACGAATAACTCGCGGACTAGGAAGAACCGTGAGCTGAGTTATCCGAGTATTTGGGTGGAGAGGGGTGATGACGGGAGGGATGTGGTGGATGTTGCGTTTACGTTTTGGAGGCAGAGGATTCGGTTCTGTAGATTCGATGTGGCATGGGTGGAGAGCTAGGCGAGCTGTATATGTCGACAGCAATATCAGATTATGGGATTCGAACACTTTGAGCTCTTCCCAGATTTCGGTGTTGTTTCCGTCCGCTGAATCAGTTCTTAGTCAGTGCGGAAGCAGCGGAGACGCGTTCCGACACATCGAACGCGGCTCTCCCACGTCTCCGCTCCTCTCTCCGCCGCATCAGCAACTCCTGCTCTTCGGCGTAATGCTGGCTCCCCGGCGAGTCCAGCAGAAAGTTTGTGTCCTGTTGTCTCCCACAACAGCCTCCACAATGGCCACAAAACAGCCTCGCAATGCGCCGTCGGCCTTCTCGCCGCGCGATGGAGCTCAACCGAACCCACGCTCTCCATACCCGTGATTGAAGACGGCACACAGCCTCATCCATGCAAACACGCCCTGCACATGACCACACACACACACTCACTCACTCAAGAGCACACTGAGACATGATGCCGAAGCCAATCGTCCTCCACATCGGCGAGCCGATCAAGTACAACCACGAGTTCTACGAGAGCGACTTCCTGTCGCGCTTCCAGGTCGTTCGGAATGAGGATTTGAACCGCCAGTCATTCACCAAGGCATTGGAAGACAAGAAGTACGCACACAAGCGCCCCTATGAGAACCTGCTTTTCTCCTACTTCTACGCCTACTCCGTTCCAGCCATGCTAACCTACACGCAGATATGGCAACTTCTCAGCCATCTTCCGCCCACACTTCCAAACCGGTGGCGAAATGGGCCAATGGGACTCAGAACTGATACCTCTCCTTCCACCCTCCTGTCGGATATTCGCCTCCGCCGGAGCAGGCTACAACTGGGCCGACGTGGACTTGCTCGCCCAACGCAAGATATGGTACGCAAACGGAGCAGGCGCGTCCGATGAGGCCGTCTCAGACACCGGGCTGTACATGATTCTGTCGGTATTCAGGAACTTTACCCGATCACAATTGGCGGCGAGGACATGTGACACGGGCGAGTTCGAGAGGACACATAAGTTGATCGCGACCATCAGTGCGAATCCGAGGGGGCATATACTGGGGGTTGTGGGATTGGGAAATATCAGTAAAAAGCTGGCGTATAAGGCAAGGATGGCACTCGGGATGGACATTCACTACTTCGATGTGGTACGAGCGAGCCCGGAAGAAGAGGGGGCCTTAGGCGCGACCTTCCATGAGAGTTTGGACGATCTATTGAAGATTGCGGACTGCATCTCGTTACACACACCCCTAAACAAGCACACCAAAGACCTCATTGGCGAAAAGCAACTGGCGATGATGAAGAAAGGATCGCGCATCATCAACACCGCGCGAGGACAGGTGCTGAACGAAGACGCACTCGTAGCGTCGCTAGAAAGTGGACACATCAATGCTGCGGGCATGGACGTCCACTACCACGAGCCGCAGGTCTCGAAGAAGTTGGCAGCTATGCCACAGGTTACGCTCACAACACATATCGCTGGTGGAGCGCTCAACACGCGCATCAATTTCGAGCTCAATGCTATGAAGAATATAATGAGAGTCGTGGGACCAGATGGAGAGTTCACGGGGGATGAGCCCATGACGCCTGTAAATAGGAAGGCCTTCCTTGCTGCTTAGGCGGACCATCAATCCAACACAACGTTCTCAGGTGTCCCAGTCAGATGGTACGGTAACTACGTCACGTGTTCAATTCCATCCCGGCCTCTGAAGCGTCTCCAAACCTTTGGGACAACGTCTCCCCTTCCAGACTCTAGGCGCTCGATGGAGACTGGCGCTCACCGGAGGGCAATGTGAGGGCCTCTACACAGTCACGACCACTTCGTCTCGCTGCCTGGGTAACACGTCAATCGTTTACGCCGCCTGCATCTAGAACTCAATAACGCCAAGCTGTCCCCAGGTTTTGACGTTAGTGTAAGCCTCCAGTGCGGATTCTCTGACTCAATCAATCTCCCCACAACCCCGGGTCACGCACTTCCCTCCGGGGTCCCCGCACACGCCTTTTTCGGGCAAAACCACCAAGACCCTGGCCACTAGGGTTCGTCGTCTATAAAACTACAGCTCTAGAACAACACCATTCGCCCCGCAACCTCCTCCTTCCCGGCCCTTCTATTGCATACCAGATCTGCAAAAAGCAGCCAACATGGAAGACATCGTCGCCAACAAACCTAAAGCCTCATTGGAGACCACAGAGAAAGTCATCGTACCGCTCGACGACCTGCCACTCCCTGAAGAGCTCCAACATCTCGACCAAGACGCGCAGCGCAAGCTCGAAGGCGGTCTTGTTAGGAGACTGGACTGCACGCTCATGCCTGTTGTAGCGCTACTCTTTTTGCTGAATATTTTGGACCGGAATAATATTGCTAATGCGAAGGTGGCGGGGCTGTCAAAGACGCTGGCCATCACAAATGCGGAGTATAATACTTGTCTGATGATATTTTATGTCGGGTGTGAGTCTTGCTTCCGCGAGATTGGTGTCGAGATAACATGAGATGCTGACGAGATGTAGATGTTATCACCCAACTCCCTTCAAATATGATCATTACCAAAATCCGACCTTCGTGGTACATCTGCTGCATCACGTCCGCCTGGGGCATCGTGTCCATGTCTCAAGCCTTCACGCGCAACTTTGGCGGCCTCTTCGCGTCGCGATTTACCCTTGGACTGGTCGAAGCGCCTTTCCTACCTGGTGTTTTCTACCTCATGAGCTGTTGGTATAAGCGTACGGAGCTTCCGCCGCGAATCGCCATCTTATATGGAAGCAATATGCTGGCTAGTGCGTTTGGTGGATTGATCGCGGCGGGTATTGTTGCGCGGATGGAAGGCAAGGCAGGCCGGCCTGCTTGGGTAAGCTACTTCCCTGCCTTCTTCATTCCCATTCGCCTTCGGACTGAGAGCTAACATGTATGTATAGGAATGGCTCTTCATCATCGAAGGCAGCATGACGATTGTTATAGCCCTCCTCTGCGTCCCGATCCTCCCCGACTTCCCCCTTCAAAAGACTAACCCTCTCCTTAAGCGCGAGCACCAACTCTTCGCCGAATGGCGCATCCGCAAGGAGAACGCCGGTATCCGCGACGAAGACCCGGAGTCCATCTGGTGGGGCCTGAAGCAAGCACTCATCGACCCGAAACTATACATGTTCATCCTACTGCAGATGATGCTCATCACTGCACAGTCATTCAACAACTTCTTCCCGAGTATTGTCGGCACCTTGGGGTACAACACGACGATCACGCTGCTGCTTACTGCACCGCCATATTTGTTTGCCTTTTTTGTCTCGCTATGCGTGTCGTTCCATGCCGCGCATAAGGGCGAACGTGGATGGCATATCGCCGTCCCCATGATGTTTGGTCTGTTGGGAAATCTCTTAGTAAGTTACCTTCTCGCTCTATTATCCAGCTTTTAGATTATATGTATATATACTAACGGCGAGCAAGGCAATGTTCGTCCCCACCCTCGGCGGCCGCTACTTCTCCATGTTCCTCATGACTTCTGGCACCTACTCCCCCTACAATCTCTGCGTCTCCTGGCTCTCCGCTTCGCTACCCCGCCCAGCCTCCAAGCGTGCCGCAGCACTCGCAATTATCAACCTTATGGCTGCTGGTGTAGCACACTTCTATACTAGCTATGCGTTCCCCGATACGCAAAAGCCGCGATACTATGGGGGAGGTGGCATGATGAGCGCAGCCTGCCTGATTTGCTCAGGCATGGCGCTGATCATCAAGTATTATCTGAAGACACAGAATAGAAAGATGGAGAGGGAGGAGGTTGAGGAGGGAAGGGTTGGTGGCGGGATTAAGGGAAGTAAGGCGGGTCATGGTGGGGACCCTATTGTGAGATTTAGATATGTGCATTGAGGGATTGTGCGTATTTTGAATACGGAGAGCCCCCCCGAATGACGAACGCAAAGAGATCTTGGTTGAGAACTTTTACATATAGGTGAGCTCCGTATCGGTGAAAAATATGCTATGTCGTCGTGCAAGGGGAACGTCAATACAGCTAATGGTGGCAGCGGCATTGATGATTCTGAGGACCTTCAGAGGCCAATCCAGATAATCGGAGACGCCTTTCGTGCCACGAGGGCTGAGTCATCAAGCATCTATGCCGTAGATTACCAATTCATCGTCTTCCTCGTCTTCCTCGTCTTCCTCGTCTTCCTCATCTTCCTCGTCACTGTTATCGCCCTGGCCGAGAGACACAATGCTGCCTCCATTCCTCCTCCACAACCACTCATCAGCCTCATCCTTTCCATCCTCCACCACGCAACGCGGGATCTGTCTCCATTCCGTCTGCCCAGTCACCGGACTGTGCACCTCCGGTTGGCCCGTGATCGGATCCCAACCCTCCCACTGCCCCGTTTCATGGCTCAGCTGGTCCCACTCGGCATTGACCTGGCATTCGAACTGCTGCTGCGCAAACATTTGTCGATCAATCGCTGCTCGGCCGCCTCATCTGCTCGTTGATACCCCTCGCTGCCAATGTGTTCTTTGAGCCAGTAGAGTTGCACTTCCACTTTCAGGTCGACCAGTTCGGCTGCTCTCTCGTATAGATCCCGGATGGGGAATCGCTCGAAGCCCATTGGCCCAATAGGGCAGGAATTCCCTCTCGTCAGGCAATCCAGGAGCTCTTTATCATCAGTGAACACTCGGATCAGCTTGAGGCTGTGTTTCGATCGAATGTATAAGTCCTTTGCGAGTTGGAGTGCAGCGGCGATAGCATAGACTTGTGCATCTGTCTTGTTTCCAACGTTGCGGCCGAGAGGGTACTCTGCCCCGTTCCACCACCAGTTTCCGGCCCTTAAGCGCACTCAGGCCTAAAATATTTTTGGCCGTCCTCGCTCCACCGATCCCCACCACTCTCGTTACGCGATCAACGAGTGGTCAGTACTAACAACCCCGTGAGCTAGGACCACCCCGACACTTACACATAAGCAAATTCGCCCAATCCCGTCGCAAGGGAATCACAAGCTGAAACCATGGCACCAGCGGCGGGTGCAAACCAAGCGCACCAAGCATCTCGACTCCGAATCAGCCGAATCTTCCAGCGCCTCGTAGGCAACAACACGTTTCCTGGCCAGATCAGCATCCCCGATTGAGGGCCCCCGTGGACTCAGGTCGAAATAGCAACTGGCGGCGTCCAATACCCTATCCACGAATGTGCGCTATTTTATACCCATGTTAGGCACAATCCACAAGGTATATTAGCTGCGGGCGTTGTCTGGGAAGAGTGCGACACAACTAAGCAGACATGGCCGCCTTTCGTCTGGAGTGATGTCAGAGAATATGAGAAAAGGATGCATTCACCAGTGTGGAGTGTCCCTGACCTAAGCCCTCCTGTGGGTTCTCCACCTCTGGCTCACCACATCCAGCACAGTGTTCTAGAAAGCCTAAAGGCGTTGAAACCAAAAACTTTCTTCGATTGTACTTCGTCCTGGGTACTGATGCTCCTACGGTGAACCATGCCTCTCTTATCATAGTCGTTCCTTCGAGTCGTTGGCCTGCCGCAAACAAACCTATAGCCCTTTTGATAGTAAATTGCGAGAGGCTCTGGTCAAAGTGCGTGTAGACATTTCTTTCCACTCTTATGAGTCGCAGCGTGAGGAGGATATAGCGACCCGCGCAGATTCTGTCCTTTCCGCACTCAACAACTTCATCATAACTACCGTCTCCGGACTTCCTTCGTTCCCGTTCTCTTCCTCGTCCCCCATATTCTCATTGCTATCATAATTGTACGACCACGGAGCCTACGACGCACAACTAGTCTAAGCTCTCTTCGACTCAGTGCATGAAGCGCTCTGCCAGTAGCTCGAGCGGAGCATCCGTACATTCGGTAGCGGCCCCAGCAAATGTGTAGATAACCAAAGGCCTTTCCTTGGTGGTACTTTTGGTATTATAAAGAAAGCACTCTAGTTGACTGTCCGACTGGATTGGACGGGGTGGGGTGGCGGTTTCTACTCGGTAGGTTCGTGAAAAAAACCTCCACCATATTCTTTGCATGACAGGACCTCGCCCTGGAACTTGTGTACTTATATGTACTTATATGGTAAGGCTAAGCAGGCCGCCTATGGAAGAAGCGAGACCAGTTGAGAGTATCGGTCATGACAGAATATGCTCGATTGGGCGACCAACAGATTGCTCCAAACTGAGCAATTGAATTCGATTGTCATCCACGACCAGGCGGTGTAGTTGATCGCTAAACCGAACTGTTGCGGGGACGAACGAGTATCCATTGACGTCTGTATTGCCAAAGATACTAATGTAGGAGGATGAGCGGCGTGGCGCTTCTAGGAAGGTGCAGTCAAACCACGGAGGTTAGAATGTTAACTCCGGCTATACCGAAAAGGGTATAGCGTCTAGGATTAGCCCTGGGGGAAACCCGCACTCAGGTCTCCTCTGACCTCTAACCTCAGCGCAGAGTCCCTTTTGTAAAGTAGAATGAAATGCATGCAAGACAAATGAGTACACGGAACAATCTTACTTCCCCAGTCCACAGTGGACATCAGCAGCCTAGCAAGAGCCCTAGACACCGAAAAATTACTCGAGGCCTTTCGGGGCCCACAATCCTACCCGCCACCCCCGTCCTCCTCCGCGAATCCTCACAGCTACGTGTATCCGCCAAAATTCCCCGATCAAAAGCCTTAAAGACACGACCGGCCCAAATACCTCACCCGCAGAGCACGCCTTCGCGCCGAGCCACACTCCGATTGGCTCATTCTACCCTAGGCCGCATATGCGGCCTAAGGTACATAGTTTGTCTACCACGTCACACCCCTGCCGCTCCAGTCCGGAGAGAACAAGTGCGGGTCCCCTGACTTGCGAAGTTTCTCAAGTTTTCCGGCGGGTCGGTCCGTTAACGGCGGTCTCACTTTGAAAAGAGAACGGGTTAAGGGTTTAAGGCGTGGCATATGGGCAAAATATTGGACGCTTGGTTGATGGGCGGTAGAAGATTGGCTTCTGGAATGGTAAGCTCATACACCCGCATAATCTGATCTTACTGTGGCGTCTATTCAACGTTACACTTAAGATGAAGATCAATCCATTCCGGTACTCTGCCACCCCTTCTTCTTCATCCCGCCAATCTGAACTGATGGTCCGCCAAGTGCGGAGTGCGTTGTCTCCCACGCAGCCTCACCCACTCACAACCACTCTTTCTCTGCGGCCACTCTCCCTCGTCCACTCGCAGCCGATCCGTCTCCCCGTGCCCTGCAACTCCTTCTCGGGACAACGGGCACGCCCCATCCTATAATTTCCACCACTTCTTGATCACGTCGTACAGCGACCCCGTGGCATGGTTGCAGCAGCGCATGCAGGGCCAGCGCGCTCGCGCTGCGGGATATAAGCTCTAGATGCGGCCCGCTTCGAAAGAAGGCTTGCGCTTGCCAGGCCATCCCTATTCTTCTTTCTGAGCCGCCGCCCTGAGGCGGTCTACTGCGCGGCTTTTACAGCCACCGTGGCCGCATTCTGCACCTTGTACTACTATATACTCGCGTAATTTCCCCTCGGATACGCTCTTCGTAGAGCAACAGAAGAGTTCATCATGGCAGCCCGAGCGCAACCGCCTCCAAGGACGCCTTCGCCGAAGATCCGCATCTACCGCTCTCAGTCCTTCGATTCGCCTTCTTCTAGAGTCTCAGTGACGCCCATTGACGACTCCCCGTACTCGAAATCGACTGGCGCGATTGCGAAGCCGTTGCCTCGCTACGATGCAGTCCACACAGCTGAGCAAGACGTGCTCGGCCGCAGTAAAGTAATTCTGCAGACGAAGATGAGCGACGACTCCCTTATGTCTGATGCTTCGAGTGCCTCGTCCTCCGCCGCAAGTTCCCCAACGTCAGGAAGCGCCGAAGGCCCCCGCTTCGGACTCTTCTCCTCAAGCTCACCGAACCTCCCCTTAGCGCCATCGCCACCTCTCCCCCACGCACAGGCCCGTTCCCGACCGGCAAACATCAACACTGTGCCGGCCGCTCTACCTCCTCCACCGGAAATCCTCTCGTCGTCCCTATCGATCTACCAGGACACTTCAGTCCCGATGTACGACCCCTGGCTCGTGCGCGTAGTGCTTGACATGTACGACGTGCGCGGCTTCGACTGGACCATGATCGCCGAGCCGATTGAGCGGATTTGGGGATTCAGGACGAGCAGTGCGGAGGTGTTGGGGATCTTGAGCGGGAATGGGAGAGTGGGGAGGCGGTGGTGGGATTGAGCCATGAGCGGGGAAACGGGGAAAGTTTTCCAAGACGACGAAAGTGATGGAATGATGGATGCGCACTGGGCTTGCATTGAAATGGTGTTGATCTGGATCGATTTGGAGGGACGCGAAGCGGAATGGAATCTACGTTAAGAAGGAATGGAGTTCTTAGGGAGCATTGGTACATGGAAGGGTATGGAAAAGTCGACGGGTATTGGGTGGGTGCTTGTATCGCGTTTCTCGTCTCCTACTTTCATCCTCCGGCGTTGTACTTCAGGTTGGCGTTCGCGTGTGCTTCATGTTTTCTGTTTTCTCCTCTTCGTGCTGTTTCTTCTACATTCTATTCCTTGCATCGCTTCGGTTTCAGCTTTTTCTGTTCTTATTTGACGTTTCTGCATCTTCTGGTCTGCATTTCAACGAGACGACTCACGAATTTATGACGACTTGATGAGGGGAGGTGTCCGGTACACCTTAACTACTTACGAGCTAATGAAATGAGATTACGGACCCGACGTGTGCCGCGTTTGCACTCAATCTCCATTCTGGAACTGCGTGGCTGTAAATGTTTGGTGAGCGCTTTGGCTTTACCGTTAACCTTGGAAAGCGATAGCGTATGGAAAGCGCGGGGGATCAAAAAGACCCCGAAAACCGCTCCAGCTCTGCGGTCATACGAGGGCGAGGAATCAGTTTGGTAAGGTGGGTACAAGGGTACGACGGCCCCGGTTGCTGACCGAGGCAGCGCCAGATTTAGCGCCCAGCAGAGGAAGGGGGAGGAGAGGAAACTCTGGGAGCCACTATCGCGCAGCTGCTAGAGAGCTTTCTATACCAACTCTAGCGCTCGAAACCTGCTCACAGCAGGCTCGTTAGGATAACTTATCAGACGGCGAAGGCCGATTAGCAACGACCCTGGATGCGATGAACCGCCTGAGTGGCGAATATAAATCCACTGAAACGTCCAGTCCCAGGCAAATGGATAGGTGACGACCCTGGGTGGAGGGCGACATTGTGGGATGATTGGTCCATTGGAGCAAGATAGATGGCTGTTATGAGGTGAGATTGCAGATTCGCGAGGACTCAGTCGGTCGGTGGATCGGGGGTTGATAAGACACGGAGGCTTCGGGTCGAAGCACCAAGGCGAATATCTTTCCTATTGGCAGCCCGGCAGTACCATCGAAGCAAAGGTCTACTGTGTTCAGCTATCTGGCGCGGTCGATGGCTGGATACGCGAGAGTGAACTAACCTTGTAGCCATTTCTGACAGGCGTTGAAGGGTCAACGTTTCGCACGTGGATGCAGGTTACCGGGAAAGGGCCAGTGGCATTCTCAACACCCAAAAGATCAATCTCGACAAGCAAAGCGACCAGAATCTTCGCGCAATGGTGTGACATACGAAAATTGAGCGGAATCGACATGGAGTCGTCGGGGCGCAGGATGTTGAGAGCTCTGCGAGAGGTGAGGTGCGGACAGGAAATAGACTTCGGCGCTAAAGCTGCAGCTACCTGCATCTCGGTATACTTGTCACGCGATGAGTGGCTGCGAGTCAATAATCGGAAACAACGTGGTCGACCGTTTCAAGTGACATGCGTCGGAGGGAAGCTTAATGAAAATCGAGAAGGATTCGAAAGATCGTGGTGCCAGTCATGGTCAGAGGTGGGCAGGGGTTGACGTGGGGCTCGGGTTGAGGGATTCGGGAGTACGCGATGTGCGGCGCGCCTTGAGCGAGAATAAAAGGAAGAGAAAGCGAAATAGGAAGAAAAGGTACACTTAATTGTCAGTTATGTATGGGCGAAGCGCTAATTGGATTTGCTATCCATATGGTGCCGCTTGCTGCCCCTCTCTTGCGTCCGTCGATCGGACCATCGCCTGGGGGAGGACACAGCTGCCTTTACAGACTATGCTAGATAATTGATCGCACGTAAGAAGAGCTGCGTACCAGTGAGAGCGCGACTCATTCTGGCGACTCTCTCTGGCGACAATAGGATGGAAGGTATGTGGGAAGATGGGTACGGATAGCGCGGGTAAGAGGGCGAACGGGACATGCACACGGCGTTCGAGCGGATCACGTCCGAACGCTGCGTTGCGACTTGTCGACCATCGTAGGAGCGACAATTTTCGTAGCGTTTTGATTGATCCGATGGCGGTACACACGGAGAAGGAGTGGTGCTGCAGGCAGTTCACTTTCCGGATGTATGTCCACTCAGACGTCCACCCCAACAGCCATGTCCAACACTTGTACGTTCCCGCGGCCTTTGGTGTGGCTTTCGATCAGGGAATTCAGTGTCTTGAAGTCTCCAGGCTCAACCAGTCCGACGGCCTCCCATTCGCTACCCATCACATCCTGGCTCTCGATCTTGTCTATGAGGCTAAGAATGGCGTCCTTGACGGTGCCGTGCGCCTTCTCTTCTCCTCTGTCTGCCTCTTTCGACGGGTGAGCCTTGGGGACGGATTTGACAGCCTGCTTCAGGACCGATGTAGGACAGGTAATTCTTAGTTTCATCTGCACCCTGGCCACTGGGATTGGCTGATGCGCGACCAGCGCCTTGACAGCGTTGAGCGCCTGCGCTTTAGCGGGCTTGCCGGTGGCCACACCAGACCATTTTGGCACCTCTTTTGCTTTTCCGTTCTGCTCTCCGCTTTGGGCGCCTTCCCCATCTTGTTTCTCGGTTCCTGCGTTCCTCGACTGCGTGCTGAGTTGATCAAGAGCCTTTTCTATCATGCCTGTCGTGTAGACGCGCTTGGATTTCGGATCGACGAGTCTGGAGGCCACGATGTCGATGACCTCATTCTTGATTCGGTCCAGCTCAGCACCACGCTCCTTCTCTCCGACCTGAAAGTCCCCTTTCTCCAATATATGCTCGACAACCTGTTTCCGGGTCTTTCCCGGGAAGGCTTTCTCGAGATCGGCATCCGATGCCGCCTGGCCCCTGCTGACATTGAGGTAGACCTCTGAGACTTGCAGCACGTTATCGAGCTCTGTCTCAATCTTGTTCCGGTAGTCGAGTATCTTGTTCTTGTAGCAAGGGACCTCGAAGCGTTTCTTGCCTACAAGCGTCAGCTGTCGTGGACGTGGAGAAGCAGCACAGACGGATGGGCGGGAATACCTTTTCTCATGCGCACCAAGGCGAGGTTGGTGAGCTTGATTTGATTTGACGGGGTTTTGATTCCAACGGGCATTCTGCAAAATTACCTTGGTGGGCGTTGTGGGGTTTGGGGGTGGTCGGCGAGAGCAGACGGCTGCCGTCTGGATTTATAAAAGTTGGGCCATGATTTTGGCGGGGGATGGCTCAGAGTGATCACCCGGCCGGGATGCCACAGGGCTGAGAGGGCCGCCGCGCTATACCGGTTTCGGCAACGCAGGCACCGCGCTCACGGCACAGCAGCAGCAGGTCCCAACGTCGCAGAAATGTGGTGGAGCTTCGGCTGCCACTGCAGACGTCGCATACCCGTACCTTATGGAAACCTGCAAACAAAAAAATCCGATTCTAGGCACCGGCTGCAGCATGAAACGCGCAGCCCCCGTGACGCCCGCGCTAGCGCAGCTCCAGCCCAGCCACCTGATACGCTCCCGCATGCGTCATCCGTTGCCTCCCGAACCGAAGCTCCATCGCTCCATCGCTCCTTCCCTCTTATCCGTCGTCCCATCTCACCCACCATCTCTGCTCGTCTCGCCTCGTCTCGTCTCCCCTCTCGTACTCCATTTTCTTCTGCACCGGCTCGTCTTTGGTTGCGTGGCCGCCTGCGACCGCTTCAGCTTATCACCAGCGCCTGAGCTCGGGAAGCTCTACCAGCACTCGTTGACGCCGCCATGAAGGTCGCAACCTCCGCGCTCCTCGCCGGAGCGGCATCGGCCGCCGTTGCGCCGCAGCAGCAGATCCTCAAGCTGCCAGAACAGCTCAAGGAGCTCAACGCCGAGTCGTGGACGAAGCCGCTCCACCACCTGGAGGAGTCGCTGAAGTCGCTTACCGGCGAGGCCCGCCGTGTCTGGGATGAGGTGGCACTCATGTTCCCAGAGTCATTCGACAAAGCATCCTTCTTTTCCACGCCAAAGCCGCACACGCGCAAGGCCGACCGCGAGTGGGATCACATCGTCAAGGGCGCCGACGTCCAGAGCGTCTGGGTGGAGAACGCGCAGGGCGACAAGGAGCGCGAGATCGACGGCAAGCTCGAGAACTACAACCTGCGAGTGAAGAAGGTAGACCCGAGCTCGCTGGGCGTCGACAAGGTCAAGCAGTACAGCGGCTATCTCGATGATGACGACGAGGACAAGCATCTGTTCTACTGTGAGTACCCGGATGGCCCGTCATGCTCGCCGTCATCGCTGACAGCAACGAGGGTTCTTTGAGTCCCGCAATGATCCGGAGAACGACCCGGTAGTGCTCTGGCTCAATGGCGGTCCCGGCTGCTCATCCTTGATGGGCCTGTTCATGGAGCTCGGCCCGTCGTCCGTCATGAAGGATGGCAAGCTCAAGTACAACGACTTCGCGTGGAACGCGAATGCCTCCGTCATCTTCCTCGACCAGCCCGTCAATGTCGGATACTCGTACAGCAGCGGCTCCGTCAGCAACACGGTCGCAGCGGGCAAGGACATCTACGCGCTGCTGACCCTCTTCTTCAAGCAGTTCCCCGAATACGCCAAGCAGAGCTTCCACATCTCCGGCGAGTCATACGCTGGTCACTACATTCCCGTCTTCGCTTCTGAGATCCTGTCGCACAAGAAGCGCAACATCAACCTCCAGTCCGTCCTCATCGGCAACGGCCTCACTGATGGCCTCACCCAGTACGAATACTACCGCCCCATGGCGTGCGGTGAGGGAGGCTGGCCCGCTGTTTTGGATGAAGGCACTTGCAAGTCCATGGACAACGCCTACCCACGCTGCGCCAACCTCATTGAGAATTGCTACAACTCCGAGTCCGTCTGGAGCTGTGTGCCTGCATCCATCTACTGCAATAATGCCATGATCGGCCCCTACCAGCGCACCGGCCAGAACGTCTACGATGTCCGTCGCCCCTGCGGCAACAATGACCTGTGCTACGACGAAATTGATTGGATCAGCTCGTATCTGAACAAGAAGGAGGTAATGAAGGCTGTCGGCGCTGAGGTTAACTCCTACGACAGCTGCAACTTCGATATCAACCGCAACTTCCTCCTCCAGGGCGACTGGATGAAGCCCTACCACCGCGTCGTTCCTGGTCTCCTCGAGCAGATCCCAGTCCTTGTCTACGCTGGCGACGCCGACTACATCTGCAATTGGCTCGGCAACAAGGCTTGGACTGAGGCCCTTGAATGGCCTGGCCAGAAGGACTACGCCAAGGCCAAGATGGAGGACTTCCTCCTCGGGGGCGATGGCAAGAAAATCGGCGAGGTCAAGTCTAGCGGCAACTTCACCTTCATGAGGCTCCACGCTGGCGGCCACATGGTACCGTATGACCAGCCTGCGGCATCTGCCGATATGGTGAACAGGTGGTTGGCGGGAGAGTTCTGGGCTTAACTATCTGCCTGTGGTTGGTATGGGGATGTTGATACTCTGAAATTGTGATATTTTGAAGGCATCAGATGCATGGTTTGGATAAAGGGGGGAGGATCGGCCGGGAACTGTACTATACTAAATCATCGGTCTCATTCATGAAGGTTATATACAACGCACACTCGTCCATATCTAGGTACTCATCTTCGAGTTACTGTTTCTTGGAAGCACCTTACCATTGAAGTTCACGGGCGCTGCACTAGGCATTGTTGGAGGAAGGCGCCGTGGCCTACAATGGGAGCTAAACCTGCAGACCTATCCTTTCGGAGCTAGCGGACGAGTTTATCCATGGCTCAACGTGTGATTTCCAGACATCAGACCTCGATACCGACGACGCGACAATCGTACACCTTCCCATCACCTGGTGGGGCTTCGCACCATCCGCTTGATATGATGCGGCTTCGATTTGCACGGGGTGAGGGGGTGCATTCCACTCGTCCCGTTACGATAAAACACACTGGGAAGAGCTTCCAGTGGACAATCGCGGACGGGAAGTGAATCTATCCTCGGTGTGAGTATCTGCTCGGGGGTCACTCATTCGAGACCGTTTCCCATGCGGACCTCGCTAAGTGAGTTCGGGAGCCAACACATATGAGGTCTAGAGGCCGGTCTGTCGCCTTCGCTAGGCTACAAGATTAAGTCGCAGATGGATGACCATTGAAGTGCCAAATTGCTCCCAATAGAAGACAGGTACGAGGCTTCTAACATGTGGCTGTGCGGATCATCGGTCACAAAGACCGCCGGGCGTCTAGGATTACTCTCATGAGCTCTAACAGCCAGGTCCGAAGTCTTACAACCATTCATGTTTCCGACATTCCTTAGTAACACCCCATGAGCTAATTCATTGCCGATGCCTACTAAAAACTCCTTATCGTCGCTAACGTACATAAAAAGCCACGTAATATTTTAACGTACTCTACTAACGTACTTCACAAGCGAAAGCCTCACATAAGCGAAAGCCCCAAAAATGCCAAGCCTAAGAATTAATAAGTCTTTCTTAATAACTAAGCGAAACCTTAATATTTTTCTATAAAATTTTAAATATATATAGATCTATAACGTACTTTACAAGCGAGCTAGTTATATAAGCAAGCTGGTTACTTTCTCTTAGCAACGAAAATTAACGAAAATTAACCCGTTTTTCTTAAATAACTAAGCGAAACCTTAATATTTTTCTATAAAAATTTAGATATATATTCTTTATAGTATATTATACCTTATACTATAGTTACACTAGAATATATTACGTAATTAAAAAGCTATACGTATTTAACTAACTTTTAAGAAAAATCTAGTTTACTTCTAGTTAGTAGTATTATATCTCTATAATAATCTATAAAATTTATAGTATATAGTATTTATAACTTAATAAAGGTTTCTAGAAAACTTCTATAGAGCTAGCTCTTCTAGGTATAGCGTAATAAGAGATAGAAGTTAGAAAAATATCTTTTTTAGAGTTTTCTCTTTTAACTATATATATATATATATAGTTAATCTAGCTATATAAACTTATTATTTTATAAATTATAGTAGGCTTTAACTATATAAAGCTTATTAACTAATAATATAGTAGCTTTAAGTAGTTATTTAAAAGTAAAGTCTTTTTAGTAGTATAGTATAGAAAGAGAGAAATATACTAAAACTATCTTAAAATTATTACTTCTAAATATATAGAAGACTTATAGTATATATAATCTTATAGTATATAACTTTATATAGCTAGATTATTTATATATAACTATAGTTAGAGAAGAAAACTCTAGAAAGTATAAGAGCTAGCTCTATAGTCTCTACTACTATAAGCGTTCTAGAATATCTAGCTAGGTAAGTTAGCTATAAGTAGTACTATCTCTACGAGCTATAAGAATAGAGACGCTAGCAGAGTAGGTTAGGTTAAATTTAGCTATCTAAAGGTAAGAAGTAGAGAAAAGACTCTAAGAGGCTCTATATATAGAGGTGCTAAGTACTAAGACGCTAGGCTAGATTACGTAACTTTATTACGTAACCTAAAATTATATAACTAAGGTAAATTTCTAAACTAGACTATTATATTACTCTCTCTTATAGAGAGAGCTTATCTCTAAGCTCTAAAATACGCCTTCTAGATTTCTCTTCTTCTAAAACTTCTACGTTATACTTAACTATCTCTTTTAGCTTATAGTAAGTATATTCGTGCTAGTTTTAAACTAGAAGCGCTTTTATAGCTACTACCTTCTCTCTAGTTACTCTATTCTTATAGAGATTTAAACTAGAAGGCTTATTTCTATATTTATAGAGTAGCTTTATTATAGACTCTTTTCTTAAATAATACTATAAGCTTAGTAGAGTCTTAAATTACTTAGTAGCGCCTTTACGTTACTCTTATATCTTCTACTCTTATAAGTTTTAAATTCTTTACTATCTTCTCTAGAGTCTTCTCTTTTTTATACGCTTTAATCTAAGTATCTAATTATAATAGTAGCTCTAGCTTATCTAGGTATACTATATAAAAGTCTTTTATCTTATAGAGAGTATTAATAAAGTCTATAGTATTATATAAAGTAGAGTTAGAATTATAAGTAACCTATATAGCATAGTATTAAAGGTAATTTTAATAAAGATAGCTATTTAGAATTTTATATATAGGCTATTCTAGATTACTATTAACTTTAATAAGTAGCTACTCTAGCTCTACCTACTCTAGTAATAGCTCTAAGACTTTTCTTAGCTAATTAGTATAAAAGACGTTATATATACGTATATATATAGATAGCTAAAGCTAGAAAAAGTAACTCTTTATAGTAATAATTAGATAAGAGCTATATATCTATTAATTAAGCTTTATACTAGACTAATTTATTAAAAAGCTATAAGGTTTAATATAGACAAGGTTGCCTATAGTAAAATTAGATTCTTAGCGCTTTTTATTTACTTAGAGTGTCTATCTAGCTTACGCTTTTATAATATTACTTTATATAATTTTAGTAGCTTTTTTTATAGCGTTATATTACTTCTTAGTAAAATTCTACGCTTTCTAGCGTAAGAGACGCTTATATAGAGTAGAAGCTTTTATTATATACTTCTTCTAATTCTAGTAGTATATTAGCTAGTATCTAAATTTAATTTTTATACACTATTAGTTCTATAGTTTTATATAGTAATATAGCTTATATCTAGTCTATATAGAGTAGAAGGTCTATATTATAATCGTAGAATCGAAAATAAAGTTAGCTAGCTAGAATAAAGAAAATAGTAAGCTAAACTTAGAGTTATAAGATAAGAAATTATAATTAAAGTTATAGAAATAATTAGAGTTACGTAACGTAGATTAGATAGATTAGAGAGATTAGAACCTAATCTATAGATCTAGACCTAATCTAAGAGATTTATAGAAGCTAGGCCTTAGCATCTAATCTAGCTAAGATAGTATATATATATAACTAGAAGAAGCTTACCTTTTATAGCTTCTTATAGTTATTACTTTATTTATTAAATTACTATAGAGACTTATAACTTATAGTATTATTACCTCTACCTCTTTATTACTAAAGATTCTAGCCTAAAGTATACCTCTTACCTCTCTTTATAAACGTAAGCTCTAGCCTTAGTTAAGAGAATAGCTTATAATAAAATAACTACCTAATATTAAAGAGTAGAACTAACATATTAATAGTTAGAACCTAATCTAGAAAGGTCTAGGTTTGGAAGCTAACTATAGAGGAGTAGATTATAGAACTCTAATAAGTTATTATAGTACTCTAGAAGATAAGCGTTTAATAGGTAGAAGAGCTAGCTATAGTAAAATAATAGGTATAGGCTAAGATCGCTCTACCTTAATATTTTAATAGTAAAAGAGAAAATCTTAATATATTCTTAGTAAGCTATAGAACTCTATCTATAATATAACGCTATAGTATTTCTATAGAATAAGAATAAAATTCTAGAAGCTATAATAAACATAGAAGAAAAAGCTTTTACGTAGGCTAAGCTCTATATATTAGACTAGCTAGAAAATAAGAGTAATATAAAGAGAACATAATAGTCTATAGATAAAATGTTTAAAAGCTAGACTAGGTTTATAAAGTATCTTAGAGAAATATTTAGAAAAGTTAACGCGTATAATGTAATAGTCTAGTTTAGAGATTTACCTAGAGTTATATAACCTTAAGTTACGTAATCTTATTACATAACCTAGCCTAGCGCCTTAGCGCTTAGCACCTCTATATATAGAGTCTCTTAAAGTATTCTTCTACTTCTTACCTTTAAATAGCTAAATTTAACCTAACCTACTCTACTAGTACCTCTTATTCTTATAGCTTGTAGAGACTATACTACCTATAGCTAACTTACCTAGCTAGGTATTCTAGAGGTGCTTATAGTAGTAGAGACTACAAACCTAGCCTTTATATTATCTAAAGGTTAATACCTCTTTAGCTAGAAACGGCGGTATAATATCTAGCTAAACTAAGTAGCCTTATTAAGAAGCGTTTACTAATAGCTAATACTAAGAATTAGAGCTATAAGAGTCTAGTTACTTACCTAGAGAATTATAGCTATAAGAGCTCTAATTACTTATTTCTTTAGTACTGTATAAGACTACTAGCAGATCTAGTTAGTAGTAGAAAGATACTAGTACTAAGCTAAAGAGAGCTATTAAGAGCTCTATATATAGAAGAACTTTTATAGAACTTCTATGTATAAAAACCTCTCTCTTTTATAAATTATAAAAAATTAATAATTCTCTACTCTACTAGTAGAGCAAACTATCTCTCTACTCTACTAGTAGAACTAATAACCTGCTACTCTACTAGTAGCTAAATACCTCCCCTCTTTACTTCTTTTTTAATTAAAAAGCTAAATAAATCTAAATACTATAGAAGAACTCTTACAAAGCTAATTTAGAGATAGAACCTTAACCCTATAATATCTCTTTACTCTAATAGTTCTTAAATCTAGAGTAGTAAACCTACTAGTAGAATATACTAATTAATATTTCTATTATAAAAACCTCGTTTAGTAATATAACGCGATAACTAATAAGAATTAGAATAATAACTTTAACTAGAAGCTTATAAGGCTTTGCTAGAGCTTAGTAATACTAGAGCTATTATTAGCCTTAGGTTTATATATACTCTCTACCTCTACTAAAGAGCTTTAAGAGCTCTTTCTAGAAACGCTAGCTAAAATTATTAATAAAATAGTTAGCTAATTATATATATAATAGGTATATAAATAATAAATTTATATATATTACTAGATTACTACTAATACTCTTACTAAGAGAGATAATATATACGTAAGAT